AGAGAGAGAGAGAGAGAGAGAGAGAGAGAGAGAGAGAGAGAGAGAGAAGAGGAAGAGGAGGAGGGTCAGAGACTGTTCTCGCCAAAGGATGAGGCAATGCAACGGCAAATCACGTAGAGAGCAACCACGCTCGCTCGTTCTCTCTCGTCCCTTCCCCAGAAGCGGACTGTCTGACTGTCGCTTGAGCCCCTCTCCCCCTCTCTTTCCCACACGCGGCCGGTGCAGGATATGAGAGCTGAGGAGAGGCCCGAGCGCGGCGATGTAGGCCTACTCCGGTATTCCCCTGCCTCGTACACCGCTGCCGTCCTTGCCCCTCTTCGCCCCCGCGCGCGACAAATGCTAACTCACCAAGCCGGGGCAATATCCAGGTGTCGGGTATTGAAGCCCAACGGTAGAAGAGGGAAAAGAAAGGGGCGGAGCTGGCGGATCAAGTGCCGCTCGGCTGATGACCTCGTCGTGTGAGGGCAGGCGCGCACACAGAGAGAAGGAGCAGGAGGAGGGCAAAAAAGGTCCGACTTGTTGCCCGCTTGTGCGACTATCCTCTCTGATGCTGGATGCCGCCTTTGGTTGATGTTGCGTTGTGACTTGTGCGGAGAAGGCCTTTCCGATCTCTCTCTCGCGCCAAAGTCGGTTACGGAGTGATGAGTGCGTGACGGCGTGTAGACGAATCACCGGCTGACGATGAGAAAAAAGGGCAAAATGAGACTAGAGGCGTCCGTCAAGTCACGAACAAAAGTTTCGCTCGGTCAATACTACTACTAATCGGCCTCTCTCTCTCTCTTCTGCTGCTGGGTGCCAGACCCCTCCTCCGCCGCTAGTCGCACCGTGCGAAACTTTTGAATTCTATTTTTCCTTTTCGACTTTTTCAAACGAGCAAGGAGGATTACCCTCTGTTTTTAATCGCAGCTGCAACACAACTCTTTTTCACAGAGCCTGGGTTCTTGTATCGGGCGAGAAAGTGGCTACAAATGAGGGATTTGTTAAATTTGATCATAGATTACCCTCAGTCCTCCTTCCCCTTTGAGAGAAGGGGTGGGGGGGGAGAGAGAGAGAGGCTTCGACATACATTGAAAGGCCCGCTTGAGAACAATGGTACCGGCGGACGTCAACATCCCGGGTGGGGGTGCACGACCGGTGAGCGAGCGGCCTTTCAATTGGCCTGCCACGGCGCAACCGTGAGTGCCGATCAGGGGGTGTTGCCGCCTTAAACGACGTTGAAGCAGATTCGAGGCTTTCTTGTGCTGCGACGTACGTCTGATATCCGCACCTTTGGTTGTCCAATTACCGGTGAGGTTTGCGCGCGCTCGGGTAATAATTTCCCCCCGGGCCTGTACGCAACATCCCGGCAGACTGCTAGGGCCGACATGTTAGGATGTCAACGCCGGCTCAATTTTCCAGCAGGGATCAGGGCCCAATTTGAGGAAAATAAAATCCACGACGAGGGGGGGGATTGCCCGAGAATTCATTCAGCTGATGGGGGCGAGATGCGCGCTATGGCACAGCGTCGGCGAGATGTGCGAGCAAAAACGGTTCCTGCTGATCCTCTCCTGACAAGAGGGTCTCGGAGCAATTATTATTTGGATTACTCCTTCCGTGCGACGCTGCATCGTTTGCTTGCGCCTGCACCTGCGCCTGCGCCTGCGCCTGTGCCTGCCCTTGCGGCCTGCCTCTCTCCAGTGCAAATTCGTAACGCTCCCAGACGTCTGCCCACTGCAGCTCCCACGCCATGACGGCAGCGCGCCAGCGGCGAAGATCAAAATGAAGCTTGCCCTCGCGAAGCCACTGGCCGGCCATGCCAAGGTAATCGGTTGGTTCTGGCGCCTTGTTGAGGCCGTTTGAAGCCCCTTCCTGCCTCTCCTCCAGCCGTCTCTGCCATTCGGACAGCCTTCGCGCATAGACATCCTCCGCGTCTTCGGTGGGGAAGCCTCCGAGGATGAAGTCTGGTCGAGGTGGTGCGCCGGCTTCTGGCATTGAGGGTGTCGATCTTGGTGTGTGACTCGTATGGGCCGAAGAAGGCGGCATTAGCGTCGTCGTTGTTGCCGGTACATGCGCCTGAGCCTGCACAGGCGCAGGCTCGGATGAGACCTGAGGCCGATTGAAGACAGGCGCCGCGCCCGGCACAAAGCCCTCTCTGCCCGCGGCCCTCCTCGCGTTTAGAAAGTCCGTCTCTGGGTCCCTTTCGCCCTCGACGACTTCCATGTCCGCCATGGCGTGGGTGACTTCTTGCACGAAGGCATCGTCAAGGCCAATCGAGCCGCTCGAGTGCGCGGCGAGCCAGCCCTCCATCTGGGCCAGTTTGCCGTTGTTGGCCGCAATGAAGATCTCCATATCGTTGGGCCTTGTCCCCCTCACCTTCCACTCTTCGTCGAGTTTGCGAAAGAGGACCTCAATCTCGGACAGACCTAGCGGCCGGTAGAACCAGCGGAAGACCCGGAGGTGAGAGAAGGTGGCGATCGAGGCAATGTCGGAGCTTGTCAGGCCGCTCAGCAGCACCTCGAGTACCTCAAGCTGCTCCAGCTGGGGCATGACGGCGGCCGGAGACCTCTGTGTGACCCTTGTCGGAGCCGCAGCCTGGGCCACGCTCCTCTTCAGAGGCGCCGAGGAACAGGGGATAGTGTGCCCGCCGCGCCAGAGATAGGGCAGGCTGAGCCGCTTCAATCTCGCTTCTTCGTGCAGGCTCGCCAGGCCAGGGCGACCCAGTAGTGCATCCCAAATGACGAGCTCGTCGAGCCTCGAGCACCTGGCCAAGATGCGCCCGGCCTCTGAGGCTCGCTTACCTGTCGCTTTTGGATTGACACCCGAGAAGTCGTGCGACGACGTCGATGCTGATGCTAGGATGTCCCAGGGGCCGAGTCTGAGGCATCGAATCAACGCGCCCAGCTCGGGCGACGCGTCAAGCAGGTCGGCAAACGTCGACAGCGACTGGGCAGTGGGGCAGCAGATGCTGTGGTACAGATGCCCGAGGACAGCCTGCCGCGTGTGGTAGCATACAGAGGCCAGCGTCAGGTGGACGTTGGGGTCGAGCTCTTCGGCCGCGAGCGCGACTACATGAAGAAGAGTCAGCAATGACATACAGCCAAGGAGCTACTGACTGTACCACACGCACTCTCGGAGATGAGCTCAGCCGGCAGCGTATTGAGAACCATGCTCTCATTGCTCCCGGCCTTCCGTCGTCGAGCAATGCTGTTGCTGTTGCTGTCCTATGACTGACAGTTTGTTTGTGTGGAGGAGGCAGTAGCTGCACGTGCATCCGCGCCAATTTTTTGGACTTTTTTTTTTTTTGGAGGTTTTGCAATTCTTCGCGCCGGCCAGGGTGCAAAGGGTGTCTTCTCAACTAGCTAGTGGCAGGCAAGGCTGCCTCAGACGACGCAGGACAGCATGAGCTATCTGGACCTCCAGACGGCCTCGACGGCCCTGCTGGCGTCCATATCATCGCTGGATCTGCCAACCTCAAAGGCCCTGTCCGTGCTCGAGCAGTGGGCCAGTGCCTCGACACCCTCGGCCTCGCAGTCGGACCTCCTCGATGGCCTCTCCGAGCTCTTGATCCACCCGGCATGCACTACCGATGTCGCCGTCCACTTCCAACCGCTTCTACTCGAGCTGTGCGTGCGTGCACTAAAGTCTTTGGACATTCAACTATCCACCTGGTCTGGTCAGACTGCAACCGACGTGCTACACGCCTTTGCCAGCCTTCTCGTCCCCTTCCCAGAGACATTTGGGTGAGTGTTCTGAGGACAGTGCGCCTGTACGGAGCGCTTCGACTGACACAGAATCTGTTGAAAAGCACCGCACGACTGCTGTTGACCAAAGAGAGCCTCGGCGACGATGGCCCGCTCTCATCTGTGCCGGCATCGGACTCGAGGGAGCTGCAGTCGACGCTGCTCTCCGTCTATCGCCTTGCGTGCGCCAGCCCCCTCATCTTCGAAGACATCACTGAGCGTTGGCCAGTAGAGGTGCTGTACTCGGTGTTTTCAGACATCACCACACCTTTCTCCCCGACGACGCGTCTCCTGGCGTTGAGGGCTTTTGCTGCGCTCGAGGGGCTCTCTGAGGCTGCTCGCCTCGATCTGGAGCGCCAGTTCGTGGGCAGGCCCGTCGACCCGGGGAGCGTCGGAAACGAAGGGTGCATAGATGCAGTTTATGAGTCAGCGTCGGAAAAGATCGACATCTGGACGTTGCCCCTCACCGAAGTCGAGAGGGCGAGGAGGATCAAAGCGAGATCGACCAACCAGAAGACATCGATCGATGCCTCGATCCTGAGTCCTAGGGTGGCTTCCCTCGGCTGCATCCTCGTTCTTCGCCACTCTGACGCTGCACTGTCGGATACACGAGACGATACTTTCAAGGAGACAGAGGGCCTTCATGATGTGCTCGCGGATTTGGCTAGGGACATCGACTCGCCCACGCTCCTCTCTGGCCCCGAGGCCAGTGGCAAGACTACGATGCTTGCCCACGTCTGTTCCCTTGTCCACCCACGAAAGCGACCAGCACCGATATTGACACTGCAGCTGGGTGATCAGTCCGGCCTCGACGCCAAGTCCCTCATTGGGTCCTTTGTCTCCTCGTCGACGAGGCCGGGCACCTTTGAGTGGTCCGAGGGCGCCCTGACCCGTGCAGTACGCCTGGGCAAGTGGGTCGTCCTCGAAGATATTGACAAGGCCAGCAGCGAGATCTTGTCGGTCATCAAGCCACTGGCAGAGGCGCTGGGCCGCAGCAAGCTCATTGGCAGCCGTCCGATGCTGGACCTTGGCAGTCGGGGAAAGATGCGTGCGGGAAAGGGATTCGCCCTCTTTGCAACGAGGACCATCATCAACCCGAGTCGAGAAGACAGGTGGCCCCCCACGTCCTTTCTCGGACACACACACTTTCGAGAAATCCGAGTGAAGCCACTGACGCACGACGATGTCGTCGAGATTGTTTCGCGCTCGAATCCTGTCCTGGCTGCTGCCAGAGACGCCGCCTTGCTGCGCCTCGTTGACACTTGGTCCGCAGTTGTCGCGGGCTCCAGGCTCCAGGCGGCTACGACGACGAAGCGTCGCGCGGCAACGGCGGCACCTGCAGGGACCCTCAGAACACCGTCCCTGCACGATCTGATCAAGTGGTGTCGCAGAGTCGAACGGCTCTTGGAGCGTTCAGGAAAAGCCTCTGCAGTGGCGAAAGCACCATTCTCGAACCAGGTCGTCCAAGAGGAAGTCTTCATCGAGGCATGCGATGTCTTTCTCGGCTCCTTGGCCGCTCATGAGTGAGTTGTGGCTTCTCTTTGTGCTCTGGAGTCTGTCTTCTGAACTTGCTCCTCTACAGCTCCTCGGACACCAGTCGACACGCTCTACTCGTCGAACTGCTCTCCAAGTCTCTCGGCATCGACACTGAGCAGGCCTGGCTTTCGATCCGCGGACGAATGCCGGAGATGGGGCTCGTCAAGGGTGGGCCATCCTCGTCGTCAGCCATTCGTGTCGGTCGCTGCCAGCTGGAACGCGCCTCTCCTCTCGCTCAGGGGCCTTTTCCCGTCGCATCTGTCTCCAAGACCTTTGCTCTGACCCGACCCGCTGCACAGCTCCTCGAGAGGCTGGCTGTATGCGTCTCGCTGGCTGAGCCTGCGCTCATCGTCGGCGAGACAGGAACGGGCAAGACGACGGTGGTGCAACATCTGGCCTCGCTCGTGGGCAAGCCCCTTGTGGCGCTCAACCTGAGCCAGCAGACCGAGAGCTCTGACCTCCTCGGTGGCTTCCGACCCCTCGATGCCAAATTACCCGCGATGGAGCTCCACAATCGATGGATTGACCTGTTTGAACGGACATTCTCGTCGAGGAGAAACGCACGCTTCGTCGAGGCGGAGCGCAAGGCTCTCAAGGCGGAAAAGTGGGCCCGTCTGGCTGACCTATGGAAGGAGTCGGCAAGGATGGCTGAGGGAAAGGCGAGGCAAGAGAACGCGAGCGGGGATGAGGCAGAAGACGCCGACGGCGGCTCGCGCAAGAAGAGGAGGACGGGCAAGTCGACCCAAGTCTCGACTCCTTCTCCGGGTGCAAGTGACGAGAAGGTTGACGAATGGCCAAGGTTTGCCGAGGATGCCCAGCAGTTTCGGCTGCAGCACGCGGCCAAGCAGCGCAGCCTCGTCTTCTCCTTTGTTGAGGGGCCGCTCGTTAAAGCGATACGTTCTGGAGCATGGGTGTTGCTTGACGAGGTCAACCTCGCTGCGCCCGAGACGCTCGACTGCCTGGCGGGGCTGCTACAGACGCCAACGAGCAGTGTGACGCTGACGGAGCGCGGCGACTTGGAGCCGGTGCCTCGCCATCCTGAGTTCCGGCTGTTCGCGTGCATGAACCCGGCTACCGATGTGGGAAAGCGAGACCTGCCCAGCAGCCTGCGGAACCGCTTCACTGAGCTCTACGCAGCCAGCCCAGACTCGGATCGCGAGGCACTGGTGAGCATCGTCGACAAGTACATCGGCCAGCATGCACGAGGAGACCGTGGAGCCGTCATGGATGTGGCCGAATGTTTCTTGGCCATCCGCCGCCTGGCTCATAGCCATGAACTGGCAGATGGTGCGAATCAGCGACCGCACTACTCGATCCGCACCCTCGCTCGCGCCCTTACCTTTGCCAGCGATGTATGTGCAACCTATGGTCTCAGGAGATCGCTCTGGGAAGGCTTTGTCATGGCATTCACGATGCTCCTCGAGCCAAAGAGCAACCAGACGGTCCGGTCTTTGATCCACGCAAACATCCTCGCAAAGGCCAAGAATGCAAGGTCGGCTGCTTCGTTTGTGCCTCCAGCACCTTCGCAAGATCACGTACAATTGGGCTCCTTTTGGCTCGAAGCGGGTCCGTTGGCCCCTCAGCTGGCCGAAGATTACGTCTTGACGGCCTCGGTCCAAGACAAGGTCGTGGGCCTGGCCAGAGCAGCCCTGACCAGAAAGAGCCCCGTGCTGATCCAGGGGCCCACATCGGCAGGCAAGACGAGCGCAGTCGAGTACCTGGCCAGGAGGACAGGCCATCGCTTCGTCCGAATCAACAACCACGAGCACACGGACGTCCAAGAGTACATTGGCTCCTATTCTTCCGATCCCGACTCGGGCCGGCTCGTCTTTCGAGAGGGCCTGCTCGTCTCTGCCCTGCGAAGAGGTGACTGGATCGTTCTCGACGAGCTCAACTTGGCACCGACCGACGTTCTCGAAGCGCTCAACAGGCTGCTGGACGACAATCGCGAGCTGCTCATCCCCGAGACGGGCGAAGTGGTGAGGCCGCACCCGCACTTTATGCTCTTTGCCACGCAGAATCCACCGGGCCTGTACGCCGGCCGCAAGGTCCTCAGCAGGGCCTTTCGCAATCGTTTCCTCGAGGTGCACTTCGACGACGTCCCTCAGCCTGAGCTTGAGACGATCTTGACCAGGCGCTGCGCCATTGCGCCATCCTATGCGGCCAAGATTGTCGCCGTCTTTGTCGAGCTGCAGAGGCGTCGACAGGCAGGGCGCGTCTTCGACAGCAAGCAGGCCTTTGTAACGCTCAGAGACCTCTTCCGGTGGGGTCAGAGGGAGGCCGTCGGCTACGAGGAGCTGGCGGAGAATGGGTACATGCTCATCGCAGAGAGGGCCAGGCGTGCAGATGACCAGGCTGTCGTCAGAGAAGTGATTCAGGATGTGCTCAACGTCCGTCTCGACGTCGACTCGCTCTACCAGCTCTCCTCCACGAACCGGCAGAAGCTCGAGTCGCGCCTGGGCGAAGACTATGCCAGCGCCATCCTCGAACAAGCTGGTCAATCAGGCCTCGTATGGACGGAGGCGATGCAGAGGCTCCTCTGCCTCGTCGCAACGGCCCTTCGGTACGATGAACCGATCCTTCTCGTGGGTGAGACGGGCACAGGCAAGACGTCTATATGCGAGATGCTGGCCGAGGTATTTGGCAGGAGGCTTCACACGGTCAATTGCCACCAGAACACCGACACGGCAGACTTGCTCGGCGGACAGAGGCCGTTGCGCAACCGGGCTGCGCTGCAAGCAAAGGCCAAGATCGAATGCGACAAAGTGCTGTCTCAACTGGAAGGACAAGAGGTCAGCTTGGACTTGCAGGCGGCCAGCTCAAAGCTCACTTCCCTACTTGCAAGTGCGACCGTGAACGAAGAAAACTGCACCAAGGAGGAGGCACGGACGGCGCTGAGGTGTGCGAATCAGAGCCTTGCTCTCTTTGAATGGCACGACGGTCCACTGGTCGAAGCGATGCGTAACGGCGACCATGTGCTCCTCGATGAGATCTCGCTTGCAGACGACAGCGTTCTCGAGAGGCTTAACAGCGTCTTGGAACCCGGACGAACCGTCGTATTGGCCGAGCGAGGCAGTAGCACCAACAAAAACGATGACACTGCCACGCTCCGAGCCACTAACGGGTTTCAGGTCGTCGCTACGATGAACCCTGGTGGCGACTACGGGAAAAAGGAGCTCAGCCCTGCGCTGCGGAATCGATTCACCGAGATCTGGGTTCCGCACGTCGATGCGAGATCGGACCTGCTCCTGATTCTTGACAGACAGTGGGCCGGTGTTGGCGCGGACGTCGGGGAGATGCGGCCGTGGAGCGCTGCGATGCTCGACTTCACCGACTGGTTCGCTGCGGAGGTTGGCGGGCGAGATGCCGCCAACATTGGCCTGAGAGACTTGATCGCTTGGGCTTCCTTTGTCAAGAGTGTCGTTGCTGGTGGGGAGATGGCAGTGGAGGTGGCGTTCATCCACGGTGCTTTGCTGTGCATCGTCGATGGCGTTGGCACCCTCCCTGCTACCGCTTCGATGTCGAGGGACGGGCTGGAACGGCTTCGTGGCCGGTGTCACACCAAGCTGAGCGAACTGGTGGGCGGATCGCTCGCGCTGGAGGAGGCACTCAAACCGGCGCAAGTCTCGGTTCGAGAGTACTGCCTCTCTGTGGGGCCTTTTTCAGTCGAGATGGGAGGAGAAGCAAGCTCAGCCTCTTCGTTCAGCTTCGGAGCCCAGACGCCGGCTACCAATGCGCTGCGTGTCGTGCGGGCTCTCCAGATTCCCAACAAGTCCATCATGCTCGAAGGCAGCCCGGGAGCCGGCAAGACGAGCCTCATCGTCGCTTTGGCCCAGGCCTCGGGCCACGCCCTGACGCGCATCAACCTGTCGGACCAGACGGAGCTCGTCGACCTCTTTGGTGCTGATCTGCCCGTGGAAGGAGGAGCGCCCGGCGAGTTCAGCTGGCGTGACGCTGCGTTCCTAAGCGCGATGCAGCGCGGCGAATGGGTACTCCTCGACGAGATGAACCTTGCCTCCCAGTCTGTCCTCGAAGGCCTCAACTCCTGCCTCGACCATCGCGGGTCCGTCTACGTTCCCGAGCTGGGCCGCAGCTTCAACAAGCATCCGTCCTTTCGTATCTTTGCGGCCCAAAACCCGCATCACCAGGGCGGCGGTCGCAAGGGACTCCCCAAGTCCTTTTTGAATCGCTTCACAAAGGTCTTTGTCCAAGCGCTGGAGCCGGAGGACATCGAAATCATTGCGGGACACCTCTACCCAAGCTTTGATCAAATCTCGTTGAAGCGCATGATCCGCTTCAACGCCAGCTTGCACGACGAGACAATGGTCAGGCACTCGTTTGGGCGAGCCGGTGCGCCGTGGGAGTTCAACTTGAGAGATCTTCTCCGGTGGTTGAACCTTCTCCATGCAGACCTGGGTCTGAACTGGAGAGGAAAGGACCCGATCGAGCATCTCGCCTCGCTCTATATCCTTCGCTTCAGGACGCTTCGCGATCGAGAGGCTGCGGCGGACCTCTTTTGCAAGACCTTTGAGAGGGATGTGCCCTTCGATGTCGCGGGTTACCGGCCCTGGCCACTGATGACTCCACACCGAGCTCAATTCGGCCATACAATTGTTCAGAGAAGCCAGCAAGGCTCCATCGGTAACAACGAAGACGGCGGAGACAACCTTGGCATCGAGAAGGAACAGCTGCCCGCCCTTGAGGCCCTGGCTGAATGCGTTCGCATGGCCTGGCCTGCCATTCTGTGCGGACCCAGCCAGTCGGGCAAGACGTCGCTTGTGCGCTATATGGCCCGTCTGACAGGCAACGAGCTGGAGGAGCTCCGCATGAGCAGCGGGACAGACACGATGGATGTCCTGGGCGGCTTCGAGCAGATCGACCCTCTGGCGCACGCCAGGAAGGACGCACACACGCTGCGGGATGTCGTGAGCAAGATCAAGAGGACCGAGCTTGGGAGGATCGGACGGCAGGGCTTCGAAGATGTGTGCAGGATGCAGGAGACGCTGATCGGGGTCTTGAAAGAGGTCTCGACAACGGACGATGGGACTGCAGCTCGTTTGAGGACCACAGAGGCAGTGCACCAGGTGGCATCCAGCCTCGTCGCCAGCACTGTTGTCAGCGACGCAGACAAGAAGACATGCAGCGGAATTCTGGCTGGCCTAGCTTCGTCTGCGGAGGACGGAGGCAAGGATGCGGGCAAGTTCGCCTGGGTCGATGGCCCGCTGCTGAGGGCAATGAAGCAGGGCAAATGGCTGCTCCTCGACGATGCCAACCTGTGTTCGGCCTCTGTTCTTGATCGACTCAATTCGCTCCTCGAGCCTGGCGGGAGCGTCGTCCTGAGCGAGCGAGGCGTCGGCGATGGCAGCGGAGAGGGCTCCGATCAGCAGGTGCCCGTCATTCGCCCTCACGCCGACTTCCGAATCTTCCTGACACTCGATCCCAAACATGGAGAACTCAGTCGGGCGATGCGAAATCGCGGCCTGGAAATCTGCCTTGTTGAGCCGACCTCGACGTCGGCAATCCATGACGAAAGGTCATTCGAGGCCCATACGCTTTCGCAGGACTCGCAGCTGGTCCTGGCGAGACAGTGGGCCGCACCGCTCTCTGAAGAGGAGCAGGGCGACGGCGCTGGCCTCGTCCGTGAACTGGCTGCAGCTCATCTTCTCGGCAGTCTCTCCAAGGACGCCTTGGCGTTGGCCTCTCGTATGGTGCAGGACGCCTTGCCCGTTCAGCTCTTTCAGGAAGACGGTGTTGTGTCGTCAACGCACGCACTCATCATCAAGAATCGCTTTGCGCAAGAGCAGGAAAACATCGACGCTTTGCTCTTGTCTGAGTTGGTGAGTTTGCCATTGCCAAAGGAAGACAAATGCTGGAATTGTGGGCTGACTTTTCTTACGCCAGGGCCCTAATTTGAGCATGAATCCGAACCTCGTCGGCGTACTCAGCAGCGATGCATTTGGCGCCAGCCTCTCTCTTGGCGTCAGAGTCCTTCATCACTCGCTCGACCTGCAGAAGGTGGTGGAGAGTGCTCATCGCAAGAGCTCGACCTCTGCGAAGAAGGATCATCTCACAGTTCTCGAACGCTCAGCGCTGTCGTCGCTTGAAGGAGACGGCGATAAGAGCCCCTCGAGTGGTAGCAGGGGTGCATCGTCGAGTCACGACATTGCTACCTTCCCCTTCATCAGAAGCGTTCTGGCGGCTAGCCAAGAGCTCCTTGGCGTTCTCACACGTGAAATCACATCTGACGTTGGCGACCAGGGACTGGCAAGCTCGCTGCTTGGCTGGATGACAAAGCTGCTGGACCAGACGACGTTTCTGGCGCTCTCCTGGGCGTCCAATGGAATCTTCGACTATAGCGCCACCACCGTTGTGGCGCAGGAGATGGACAAACTTCTTTCGTCTGCCCTGCTTAGCGGCTGGGCGGCCTCGTCTGCGCCATTCGAGCAGGAAGAAGTGGGCAAGAGGTTGGAATTGTTGGGCGCCAAGAGGGTTCTTAAGAGCGGGTTGGCCATGAGGGGCATCTGGCAGGCATTCTTGCCGGGCGCTGATGCCGGTCAAAAGCAGATTACGCTCGATGCAGAACTCTCGGACTCTCTCTCGGGTCTCCAGCAAGGACTGCGTAGTGCAGACCGACAAAGGCGAGACGTCATCTCGAGCGGCATCGATGTGGCTGCCACGCTGGAGCTGGCCATCCTCGGTGGGCAGGAAGAGTCCATGGTAGCAAGGAGGCAAGAGTTGCTCGAGATTGCAACCCGGGTCAAGCAATCGCTCGATGCGATCCAGAGAGGTGCTGGCACGGTTGACGAGTCCGAAGAAGACGACTGGCTGAGCGAGGGAGAAGGACTGACGCTGTCGAGTCTCCTTCTCCTGTGGAGCACTGCTGATGCACGAGACGCTCAAGCGGGTTTGCAGGCGTTGACCGACCTTGTAAAGAGCAGTAAGCGGTATGCGCTGACGTCTGCCGTGGCGCTTCGAAGGGCGTCGTGGAAGTCGACTGGGACTATCGAAATGCAGACGACTGTCGATATCGTCCGCGGCCTCTGGAAGGACCGTATCAATGCCGAACAAGCCCACAGCGGCCCGCAGGATCTCTTCCGTCCCATGCTCCTATGGACGACGCTTCGGAGGTGCCTGCCGAGAAGGACGTCGCTTGCCGAGGTGGTGCAACGCAGAGAGAGCCTGACGTGGCTTGCCTCGGCTCTTGGTCTCAGCCTGGGGCCATCTCGGAGACAGTCGACGAGAGCTGCGCTTCAGCACACGTTTGATCACCTCTCGAGCTGCCTCTGGTACACCGTCGAGGATCTCCACCCGGGTGTCGGCAACCTCATCTTCGTCCAAGAAGGAGCCCAGACGGCTCTCGAGTCGCTCAAGCGCGTCATGACAGACAATGCGGCCAGCGAGGATGCGACTTTCGCGTCGATCGTCAGTGACTGGACCGAGTGCGCCGCACAGGTTCAGGACCCATCTCCGTCGCTGGCGCAGCTGGGTGCTTCGATGGTTCGCTTCGCCTCGTCGATGATCCACCTCTACGTCCCCAACGTCGCGATCGACCCGCTAGCCGTGCAGAGGACCAAAGAGGCTATGGTAGAGCACGCTCTAAATCGCATCAACATCGAGAGAAAGTTGTTGCAGCAGCGCGCGGAGCTTATCACTGGAAGCATCGCTCCTTCGACTGTCTGGACCAGGGCGTTGGATGAAAGGGCACTCGAAGCCACTTCCGGTCGCGAAGAGAGACGAGGTAAAGTGGTCATCAATCGAGAACCAGCGCCGCTCGACGTCTTGGCGAGGCTCCATGGCGAGATGAAGTCTTTCGTCGACCAAGTGCTGGAACAAGGCAAGCTCATGGACCTCATCGACCGCCTGTCGTCAGAAGAAGCCGCACAGGGCGACAACGACGATCACCTTCGTCTAGTTGCGCGTCTGGCGAATTTGCAAGCTTCCGTCTCGTCGCTTCTCGATCGCTTCAGAACCATCTATGCCTCGCTGCACGACCTTACACAACCCTTGTCACTGTGCTTGAGCCTCATGCAGCTGGGACTAGGTGCGCTCGTCCAGCATGCACGATGCAGCAAGCGGAGCACCATGGCGAGCAAAAACGCCGAGGTCGTCGACATGCTCGTCCGATTCCCTACGGTCGATGCCAGTGGGCGATTTTCGAATCTTATCGAGGTCCCACTGAGGCTGCGTGCCGATTCTAGGCTTGGTTCACTCGCTGTTCCGACGCTTCTGACAAAGCTGGCCGCCATCGAGCATGAACGCCAGAATGGTGTGCCAGCATCAGTGCATTTCGCGGAGCGAGTCAGCAGGACGTATGACCAGCTCGCTCATCTCTGGAGCCTGGACAGGCAGCGCGAGAGCAAGGAGGAGCAGGAAAGCAAGAGCCTGTACCGATCACAGAAGATCGACGTCGACGTCGAGGACGACGATGTGCTGCAGGAGAAAGAGTTTGCGACGCTCTTCCCTGAGTACGAAGACGTCATGGCCTTGCGTGCCTCTACCGCAACGACGAGCAACGGCAAAGAGGCAAAGGCAAAGGACTTTTTCTCATCCGAGTCCGTTGTCAAGCTCTACAGGCTGCACATGGCCCTTTTCACAGAGACACACGAGGACGACGTGCAGAGGTTCGCAAAGTGGCGAGTCGACGTCGTTAACCGTCTGATGGGGCTCTACTACCAGGAGACGGACGAGTCGCTCGACAGTGTCAGCAAGGCTTTCCAGCTCGATGTTATCGCATCTAGGCTGCCGAGCCAACACAATCGTCCAGACAGCGATTTTGACTTCTACCGCGACGCTGCCTCGAGTGATCAGGTCGCAAGGATGCTCGGCGTGGTCAACTCGATGCGGTCCCGCTTGGAAGGCCTGATCGACCAGTATCCCGACCAGATGGTACTGTCGCATCTGCGGGATCGGTGTGATGCCATTCTCTCACTCGACGCAGGTTCATGCCCCGTGGCCCGGCTTCTTTCGGCCCTGGAGCAGCTGCTGCTCCACACAGAGGACTGGCAGGCCTTTGCGAGCAGCCAGACAAGCCTGGTGGATCAGAGGTCACTCGTCTCGGGTCTCATTATCGAATGGAGGAGGCTGGAGCTCTCAAGCTGGGCGAAGCTCCTCCAGAGACACCATGATGAGGTCATCGATGCCGATGGTGAAAAGTTCTGGTTCCATCTGTTCGAGGCTGCCATCCGCGCGCCTTGTCAAGGTACCGCTTCAGAGGACGGAGAGCACATCGCCAAGCTCGTGACATTGCTCGACGAATATGTCAGGACGGCAAGCCTGGGCCAGTGGCAGGCGAGACTCGACCTGCTTGCTTCGTTTGCGCGCTATGCTAGACTCCTGTCTACCCAATTCGTGCAGCTCGACACCGTTGCCAAGGTCCTTTTCAACGTCGTCGCCTTTTACAGCCAGCACTCGGAGGGCGTGCAAGCGCACCTCGACCGGCGTCGCGCAGTAATCGAAAAGGAGATTGCAGACTACGTCAAGCTGGCCAGCTGGAAAGATGTCAATGTCTTTGCGCTGCAGCAAAGTGCCAAGCAGACGCACCGCAAGCTCCACAAGTGCGTGAGGAAGTTCAGAGATGTGCTGAGGCTGCCGATGGACCCGATCTTGGCCGAGCTGGGCGAAGCGAGCAGCAAGGCCAAGGGGCTGGACGTCGTTGTTGCAGCCTCGAACGGTGAATCGACTGGCATCTCCACCGAGAGTGGAGTCGTCTCATTCAAGGCCGGACCTCAGCGATGGCAAGGGGCGCAACAGACCATGAGCGCACACCTACTCGACCTCTCGACGACGTGGAAGCGCCTTGAGGGCCTAACGCACCGGGACCTGGGCATGACTATTCTGCAACAGCCCCAGCAGACATCTTCGGGCCTCTCTTCGCTGGCTTCGCAGATTCTCGAGCGCTCCGAGGCCCTGCGGAAGCAGACACCGGCGACGTGGACAGAGGACACGGCAAAGGCAATCAAGAGCCTCGAGACGCGCAAGCGAAAGGCGTGGTCGGACCTGCTCAAGGAGCTGCGCCGCATTGGTCTCTCCTCGGCCCTTCAGCAGAGCCACCAGAAGATCAACGAGCCTGCGTGGGTCTACTCCAGGAGCGCCACCGAGGGCGCGCTGAAGACTGGAGAGGACGAAGAGGTGGAGAAGAGGTACTTTGGCCTGCTCAATCTCGTTCCGAGGCTCAGAGGAAACATCACGAGTGCCGAGAGGAGCCCAGATGTGCTCGTCACGGAGCTGCAGCGGGCCCAGGGATTTGTCGAACACGCCGCCACGCTCGTGGTGGAGGCGCGGCAACGGTCGCTGGAGATGAGAAAGCCTTTGGCGTCGCTCCAGGCCTTCTCGAGCAGGACCGCGGTGCTGGCAGGTGGTCCAGTCCACTGTGGCGCGGGAAGCCAACAGGCCAAGCTCCAGGCTGTCGAGGAGCTCGCAGATGCACTTCACAAGATTCTTGCCAGTCTCGAGGAGACGCTGCAGCGAATTCTCGGTCAGTCTCGGCTGCTCTCCTCGTCGAACATCGATACGTTCACATCCGAGCTCCAGAGGCGCGCCGAAGCTGTCCGAGAGTGCGCGCGGGGCGTGGCAGCTCTAGCCAAGTCGTTCAGGGACAGCGGCCTTGTCGTGGTCACGCATGACGAGGGCGACCTTATCGAGCGCTGCACCGGCGAAATGCGAGCGACACTCGATACGCTCTCTACCGCACCACACCACCTGACCATCTGGACAGGCGAGCTCCGACAATTCCTGGACGGCCAGAACGACGTCGTTGAGCGAAGCAAATCGATCCTCTCTTCTTCTTCTCAAGAAGGTGACGAAAGAAAAGAGCAAGACGAACACGAGGCAGGAAGGAAATCGGACCGTATCATTTCCTTGGTCCTCGTCGTCATGCAGGACCTCACCAAGCTCGACAAGCCCGAAGAGCAAGAAGACGAGCTGCAAGACAAGGCAGTGCCGGCCCAGCAACGCCGACTGGCCAAAGTCGAGTCGCTTCTGCGCCTCGACGAGCTGATGCGCGAGTTTTCTGAGTTTGCATCGCTCTGTAATGGCGTCTCATCTTCCTCGGGCGGTGACGTGATCCGCGACGCGATGCAACGCCTGGCTCCGTTTGCAAGACGGTATGCCGAGATTGTCCATGCGCACCTCGAAGCTGCCAGACGCTTCATCTGCGCCCTCCTCAAGCTGGCCCACGTCGTATGCGTGCTCGTCGTCAACCTCGCCAAGCGCGGCTTCTGCCGGCCTCCGCCCAAAGAAGAGGAGCAGACTGAAAAGGGCGGCGGAGACGGCCAGGAGGCGCTCGAGGACGATGGCGGGACGGGCCTGGGCGATGGAAGCGGCATGAAGGACATCACCGATCAGCTGGGCGAGGATGAGGAGATGGAAGAGCTGCAAAAGGACGAGGACAAGGACGAGCAGGAGCAAGACGAGGGCGACAAGAACAAGGAGAAGGGCGCCAAGGAGATGGAGCAGGACTTTGACGGCGAGCTCGAGAGCGTTGAAGGCGAGGATGAGGCCGAGGAAGATGGCGAAAAGGAGGAGCAGGAAGATGGAGAGATCGAAGAGGCCGTGGGCGAAGTTGACCCGCTCGATCCTGGTGCCGTTGACGAGAAGACATGGGGAGGCGAAGATGAAGAAGAGAAAGAAGACCAGGATACCAAAGATGAGACGGACAAGGACCTCGGTGGGAAGGATGCCGATGATGGTGGGCAAGAGCAAAAGAAGAAAGACGGGAAGAAGGGAAAAAGCCAGAAGGAGCAAGCAAACGAAGGAGCGGGAGAGCGAGGCGAAGAGGACGGCGAGGATGCAAAAGACGATGGTGCTGAAGACCAAGATGACAGCGCTGAGGGGAAGCAACCAGATGAAGGCGATGATGGCGAGAAGCGGGAAGGAGAGGAGCAGGATCAAGAGCAAGATGAAGAGGCGGATGGCGATGATCCTGATCGCATGGGCCGGCAGGTGGATCAAGAGGCAACGCAGGGCGAGAACTTGGATCTGCCTGAGGACCTCAACATCGATGGCGGCGGTGATGAGGAAGAAGAAGACAAAGAAGGCCGAGACGACTTTTCGGACCTCGGCGACGATGACGAGCACGAAGGAGGCCCGGATCAGGACGAGAAGAAGCCAGACGAGGGAGGCATCGAGGTCGACGACTTTCCAGAGGACGGTGAGGAAAAGGAGCAGCTCGACAAGGTTGATGATGACAATGGAGAGGAAGATGGCCAAGATGAGAACATGGCCGATGGAGAGGTGCCCCATGACAAGGGCGAGGAGGCCATGGACGAAGAGGAAGAAGACGGCGACGACGGCGACGAAGCACCACAGAGTCAGCAACAAGGCCAACAAGGCCAGGATCAGCAGCCTCAGCCACAGTCCGGGCAAGACAATTCGGGCGACGCTGCTCCCGCGCCGGACGCTGGCGATGTGGGACAGGAGGACAACAGCGCTGACCAACAGCAACAGTCGACTCGCGGCGCACAAGGTCGAATGACAATCCCAATGGACGACTCTTCCTCTGCCTCCCAGGGTGCTCAACGAGGCGGCCAATCTTCTTCTCAACCTCAACAACCGCCTTCTTCTGCCGACGAGCCAGCTCAAGGAGAAGAGCCATCCGCCGCAGAAGAGGGAGCTGAGGGACAGGAAGACGGAGAAGGACAAGACGCCAGCCAGGATCCTAACCCAGTTCGAAGCCTTGGAGACGCCCTTCGCGACTTCAGGAGGGACCTCGACGCCATTGAGGAGAGGATGGCCAAGGAGGAAGGAGCCGAAGAACAGGGCGGTATGCCGGAGGACAGTGCTGCCACGGCCTTTGAGCATGTCAACGACCAAGACCAGGACGCAGACATGCAGCAAGCCCTTGGAGCGGCCAAGGAGGATGAGGCTAGGAACCTCGACGGCATCGTGGGAGGTGACGAGGACGAGGAAAAGCTCGACAAGCCTCCGGTGGGCGACGTAGACGAGACGATGGAGGCGCGCGAGGAGCGTGAAGCGCTGCCTCTCGATGTCAACGAGCAGGAAGACCGACAGGAGAAGCAGAATGGCCAGAAACGGGGCATGCTCGCTTCCGATCTCGTTCAGGGCGTCACAGCGGCTGACGACGACGAGGGTTCTGGCGAGGAAGAGCTGGCGACCATCGACGGTGAAAGGGAAGAGGACACCAACGACCCCTTGCCCGAGGAGGAGCGCCAGCTGATCGAACAGTCGCTCGAAGACCAGCTCGCCGCCTTGTCTGCAAAGGATGACGAGAACGACGATGGCGGAGAAGCAAGCGAGGAAAAGCGGCAAAGATTCGACGAGCTGTGGAAGACGTATGCGTCTCTGACGTCGGATCTGTCGCTGCAGCTATGCGAACAGCTACGCTTGATTCTGGCTCCAACACTGGCCACTCGCTTTGCCGGCGACTACAAGACAGGAAAGAGGCTCAACATGCGCAAAATCGTGCCCTTCATCGCGTCGGACTTTGCAAAGGACAAGATCTGGCTCAGGCGATCGAGACCTGCGAAGCGAGAATACCAAGTGCTTCTCTCGATTGACGACTCAAAGTCGATGAGAGAAGGCACGGGCAAGCGAGTCAGGCTGGCTTATCAGACCCTCGTCCTGCTCAAGGGCGCCATGGACCGGCTCGAAGTGGGCGAGATCGCCATTGCCAAGTTCGGGAGCAAGATGGAGCTCCTCCGCGGCTTCGACTCCTCGCCTATTGCTGCCGAAGGGGGCGATGGGAGGATTCTCGAGAAGCTCACCTTTGAGCAGCGAGGCACCGACGTTCTCAACCTTGTCGAGAACTCGCTTGGCTTCTTGGCCAGGTCGAGGGAAAGGACTTCGTCAATGTCAGGGAAGGACCTTTGGCAACTCCAGCTCATTGTCTCTGACGGCATCTGCCAGAATCATGACAAGCTTCGGTCGCTTCTCCGTCGCGCCCACGAGGAAAAGGTCATGCTCGTCTTTGTCATTGTCGACTGTCTTCAGTCCGACGGAGACGAACGTCCAGGTCAACAGCAGCAGCAGCAGCAGCAGTCCATCGTTGACCTGTCATCGGTGTCGTACCACACCAACCCTGCCACAGGCAAGCTCGAGATCAAGATGGACCGGTATCTCGACAGCTTCCCCTTTGAGTACTTTGTCGTCGTCAGCAACGTCGAGGCACTCCCAGATGTCCTCGCCACAACGCTGAGGGAGTGGACACAGCGCATCGCAAACATGTAAAAGTATGTAAAAGCTCACACTCGCCCACGATGAAAAGTGGGGAGGAGCGGCTAGAATTTCTCATTGCTTCGATACCAGAGCAAGTGCAACAAACAATGCTATAGATAATGTTCAAATCAATTCTCCTTTTCTAAGAAGCAGCGTAGTGCTCCCCGCGACAGTACGAGTCGTTGGCATCGTATGGATCTTGCGCATTCTCGTTGAGCTTTGCCACCTTTGGGTATGGACAAAGGCGATGGGTGAACTTGACGCCATTGCTGTACGGCCGCTTGTCACTCGATGTGCCGAGGTCCGTCGGCTTCTCGTCTGGATTGTCCTTGTACGCGGCACCAATAAGGTGCGTGGGTGCGATTCCCTCCTCAGCCCACTTGGCCAGCGCCAGGTAGGCGTCGTGCTCGGCATCGAATTTGAGCGGGCGAGAGCCGACGTCAGAGGTCTGCGAGGCCCCTCCAAAGTTCCAGGCGCCATCGCCGCCACGGCAGTGTGCCATGCCGGGGATGCGGAAGAGGCGGTAGGCGTCGAGATCGTAGTAGCCCATGTGGTTCTGCACCTCATTGTAGTAGCGGATAGAGCTACCGGAGGGGATGAGCTGATCGGCGAGGCCATGGTAGTGGATGATCTTGCCGCCGTGCTCCTCAAGGAAGGGAGACAGGTTCGGGTTGTCGGTGTTGGTTCCGCCTGGGTCTTGATCCTGGCCTTGGGCGATGAGGGAAAAGTTACCTTCGACCACTTTGTTGTAGTCGAAGGAGTCCGGTGTGCCCGTCAGGTTCAGGACCTGGTACTGATACCAGCCCGGAGCAGGCGGAAACGGCGTGCCGACAACACCGTCTGTCACCGTCCACGACTCTTCAGATCCAGGCAGAACAGAGTCGTGGATCAGGTCGCCGTTGGGGTAGCGCAGCGCCGTGTAGATGTCGCGCAGGTTCGCAAGCTGATCGGCACTCAAGCAGTGGTCGGTCCGGTTGAGCGACGCACAGCCAAGCAGCAAGTCGAAGTTGACCTTGCACCTCGTAGGATCTTCCAGAACGTTGTCCTGAATGCCATCCTGCAGGTCGCATGCACCAATAATGGCGCGATGGATGACGGGGTAAAGGCTCTCCGGGATGTACCTCGAAGAATTCTTGTCTGACTGCAGGAAGTTGACGTGGATCTGAATCGCGTTCAGGTAGTTCTGGTACGAGGGAGAGCTAGGACGTCAGCCAACGGATCAATCGCAAAGAGAGTATGGGAGAGAGTGACTCACATAGGAGATGGCAGGTGAACCTGCGAGGATGGCATCGTAGTCGCGAGGGTACCGTTGCGCCTCTGCAAAGCCCTGCCTACCGCCCGTCGAGCATCCTCGCCAGTAGGAGCCAAACCCGTGTTTTTGCTGGCGACCTTCCCTTGCCGCAACACCGTAGAAGTGCTTGACGACCTGCTGAGCGACAATGGTGGAGACGTGCACGCCTCGGTGACCAAAGTCGACCTGGCTCTGGTAGTGTCCGATGGTCCAATTGGTGCCGCTTCCGGTGCCGAAATGGCCGCCGTTGGTGCCTGCTGCAGCCTCGCGATAGCGGGTGAGGGCCTGCTTCATATCGGGGTACGAGACAGCGCCCCGCTGGCCGCCATTGCCGGAGAAGAGAAGGCGGCCGCGCCAGTTGTCTCGCGGCGCTGGAAGAACTTGCTGCTGGGCTGGCTCTCGCTCTTCATCCGTGCCGTTGCCGTCACCGCCAGATCGGCGCGTCGCGGCTGTTGCGGATGTCGTCTGGTTGCTGCTTCCAGCAGCTGTCGTGTTTGTGGGTGCTTGCCCCGGAAGAGGAAGCCAGACCTCGAAGAACGTCTTGCTATCGTCGCTCGTTACGATGCTGGCACCAAAACGACAGAACGCAGGCAAGCCGCCCTGCTCTCTTTGCACCTCGTCGGCCTCTCCGTAACCTTGATCGCCCATGACTGACTTGCGGTCCCAGTCACCGGCGCTCGAGATGATCGAAGCGAGGCTCTCTTCATTGCCTCTGAACGCTGTCGTGGGGATGTCCTGGAACAGTTCCTTCGTGGATGGGTTCTCGCCGTCTGCATACAGTCGTGTGATGATGTCCGCGAGCTCGAGGTTGTGGTGTGCCTTGACCGTGGAAGGAATCGACTGAGCCAATGCCGCGCACGACGCATTGAGGTCAGTGCTCGTCGGGCCTTCGAACGGCGGCAAGAACGGGTATCTTGGGTAACTCTCGCCCGCCAGCGCTCCCGCGAGGCTGGCGCTTCCGACAAGCACTGCGACGGACCACTTCATCTTCCCTTTGACCCGAGCAGCGACGTTGTCATGGTGTGGGAGAAGAAAGACAGCCCTGCCCCTTTCGGCTTCTAAGCTGCTTCATACATCCCTGCAAGTAAACCCGGCCGGAAATTTCTTTTATGCGTTCATCGAAGCTTTGTTAATTGCTAGGCAACCCCACTGAGACCTCCTCTCCACTTGCTGCGCTAAGGGCTCAAGCCTCACCCGCAATCGGCATCCGTCCCGCTGCCATTCTTTGTACACAGAACTAGATCAGAGGCCTCAGACGTTTCTTTTATGCAGGCAGGGGTAACATTGTCCGTGGGGCAAAGATCGTTCCAAGCCTGCCATTTCCAGTAGCGCATTCTTATTAGGGCCGCTATTCATGCTGCAGTTTCCCTTAGTAGATCTCGTTCCTGGCTCGGCTCGCGTGGCCAATGGCTCCCAAATGTGAATCAGAGGATCATGCCTGCTTCATGTTTGAACGGCGAAACAGTACCGATTCATCTAAGTCACAGTGTTGTTCAAGAGCTTAAGATATCTGACGGGGATGGCCATACGCCAGACCCGGGGTTCCTCCCTCATGATCGACATCGATCACCTGGATCCGATGGCGCGTTAGGTCTCCAAAGCAGTCATTTAGGACATCTACTACTCTTAAAAAAAATCAAGATATTATAATTTGCCACGTGGGTAAAGTTCAGACACGTGCCGTGCCTAAACCGCAGCTGGATAATGGGTTCAAACATCTGGAGACGGCTCTTCCACCTTCCAAGCCTGGTCAACGTCAAGATATCAAGATGGTGAGTGTTGGTGTTGGTGCTGCTGGCGGTCTTATAGGTTCAGCTCGTGGGCGAGTCCGAGGAGCATGGTGTCGACTGGGCGAGAACAAACGGACGGGAGGGGCGGACGGGAGGGAGGACATACGAGGAGATCATGGTACGCGGACAGCGACGGTGGGCTTGAGAGGGATGACCTGGGCGGTGGACGAAAGGGTTGGATAGGATAGGGCATCAGGAGTTCCAGAGATGAGATCCTCTAGTGATCGATGCAGAGAAGGAAGGAGAAAGGCTGGGCGACATGGAGAAAGAAGACAAGAGACGATTGGAGATGCAGGCCCTGACAAGTGTTGCAACAGGTCCGCTACGCTTTCGACGACAGCAAGCTGGTGGAGAAGACGTCGCGCTCGCGCGGCTCTTACCTCCGTGTTCACTTCAAGAACACCCGCGAGACAGCGGCCGCCGTCTCGGGCATGAAGCTGCAGAAGGCCTTCGCCTACCTGCAGAACGTCCAGGAGCGGAAGCAGTGCATCCCCTTCAGGAGGTTCAACGGCGGTGTGGGCAGGACGCAGCAGGCTTCGGAGTTCAAGACTACTCAGGGTGAGCCGAAAGCGCAGAAGGAGAAGTTAGAGGTCAGGACTGACAAGCGTGTTGTTTACAGGACGATGGCCCGTCAAGTCGGTCAAGTTCCTCTTGAACCTGCTCAAGAACGCTGAGGCCAACGCCGAGGCCAAGGGACTCGAGACCGAGGAGCTCCTCATCAAGAACATCTGCATCAACCAGGCGCCCAAGACCCGCCGTCGCACATACCGTGCCCACGGTCGCATCAACCCCTACCAGGGCCACCCTTGCCACATCGAGATCCACCTCGCCGAGCCCGCCGCCGAGGTGCCCAAGGGAGACTCGTCCGCCCTGCAGCCCCGCCTCAACAGACGCCAACTCGCTCAGAGGCGCTCTATCGCCGCCCGCAGCACCACCACTGCCTAAATATGGGCAGCATGTACCTGTACAGAGTAGTCGTGTCGGGGGAGAGAGGGGCCATTGTATGCATTCCGAGGTCTCGTGGGCAGGGCGGGCGTATTCAGCTGTACGGCCTCGTCGATCCTCGATTTCTCACCCTTCAAAATTACATCATCTCATGACCACTTGGATCGCTGCTGCTCCTTTCAGAAAAGCTGCCTACATGAAGGAGTCGTCGCTTTGTTCCCCTTCTTCATCCTCTAACCCTTCTGCCTGCCGCTGAGCCTTTACCCGGGCTTGCCGTTCTCTCTCCCGCTTGGCAGCTTCCATGGCCTCCTCGGAGTAGACTGGCAGGACGTTTCTGTCAGTCTCATTGATCTTACGCGGTGAAGCTCCTTCTCCCATGCTCACGGTTGCTGTAGTCTCTGGCCGACTTCTCCTCCTTTCTTTTCCTGGCCTCGGCCAGTTCTGCGTTCTTCTGTTGGTGATCGGCTCGGTCAGCCAGGGACTACTGTCTTGAAATGGTCAAATACCGCATTCTCACAATTTCATTGGCTGCCTCGCGCTTCTTCTTGTTCTTCAAACGCTCCCTCTCCTGGCGGACAGCCTCGTGGTCCACGACTTCCTCGCGGCGCGTCTTATTAAGACGGTTCACGATTGCGTTCTCCCGCTGGGCGACGTGATGACGCCGCACCCTCTGATCATTCTTGAACGACACAGCGCCGACTGCCATGTCGCCTTGTTTCTGCAATAGGTCACCGTCTCAATAAAAATTGCAAGCCAAGAGCTTGAATACCTCCAAAGACCGACCTTTATATTGCTCCACGGCGTGTAGATGATGGTCTGGTTATCTCTTTTGTTTCCTGAGGCACGACCGCACGTTGGTCAGTCTTTAGATACGAGGTCGTTATACGTAGCAGAACTAACCCTCGATACTATTCGCTTTGACGAGCTGTGACATGTCGTCAAGCAGGGGTTTCGGGATGGCGTCCCAAGCCATGCCCTCCTGCAGGCGCAGGTAGACGTGGGCCGAAGAGAGCTTGTCGACGTGGAACCAGACATCCTCTTCATCACCGTACTTGATCAACTCTTCATTCTCTACCTTGTCTCTGCCCATGTAGATGGTCGCAGGCGGATCGACCGCCGTCGACCGGAAGAACAGGACCATTTCCGACTAGACCTGGAGACTTTGCCTGGGCGGGCGGGCGGGCTGGGTGGGCTGGTTGGGCTAGGACTTTTCTCGTGGAAGCCTCGCGATTCTTCCAGGTGGAGCTCGATTTTTTTTATTCCTTCACTGACGTAATTTCAGTCACTTTCAACGCAGCAGGTGACACTTTTCAAGAAGAACCGACGAGAAATTTTTCAGGCGCGACATTATTTCTAGTGCGCTGTTGGCTGGTGGAAGTGCACCTGTGCTCCTCTTTTCTTCACAACCAACACAGAGCAAACTTGCACAAAGATGGCATCGACGATTGGTATTGATGTTGGTAATGCCAGCAGCAAGATCGGCGCCGCCCGGGCGAGGGGCGTCGACGTGCTGGCCAACGAGGTGTCGAACCGGCAGACGCCCTCGCTCGTCTCCTTTGGCCAAAAGGCACGAGCGCTTGGCGAGTCGGCCGCGACGATGCAGACGAGCAACTTCAAAAACACAATTGGATCGCTCAAGCGACTGATCGGCAGGACGCTTCAGGACAGGGATGTGCAGGAATTCGAGAGCAAGTTCATCAACGCCCAGCTCGTCGATGCAAAGGGAGAGGTCGGCGTCAAGGTCCGCCTTGCGGGCGAGGAGCAGGTCTTTTCTGCCACACAGCTCATGGGAATGTACCTGGCCAAGCTCAGGGATACGGCTGGAAAGGAGCTCGGTGGTAGCAGTGTGAGCGACGTCGTCATCTCGGTTCCCAGCTGGTTCACCGACGGCCAGAGGCGAGCCATGCTCGACGCGGCCGAGATCGCAGGCCTCAACCCGCTTCGACTCATGAACGACACGACGGCTGCCGCGCTCGGATATGGTATCACCAAGACCGACCTTCCAGAGGCTGATGAGCCGCGCTACGTTGTCTTCTGCGACTTTGGCCACTCGAGCTACCAGGTGGCCGTCGTCGCCTTCTCCAAGGGATCGCTGACCGTCATGGGCACGGCTGCGGACCGCCACTTTGGTGGTCGCGACCTTGACCGCGCGCTGCTCAACCACTTTGCGGAAGAGATCAAGGGCAAGTACAAGGTCGATGTCCACTCGAGCCCCAAGGCCATCTTCCGCCTTCTTGCCGGCTGCGAGCGGCTCAAGAAGGTCCTCTCTGCCAACGCACTGGCTCCTCTCAACGTCGAGAGCCTGATGGACGACATTGACGTCTCTTCGCAGCTCAAGCGAGAGGAGTTCGAGGCACTCGTTGCCCCCCTGCTCGAGCGGGTCACCGTCCCTCTCGAACAGGCTCTTGCGCAAGCCGGCCTCACCAAGGACCAGATTCACAGCGTCGAGATGGTCGGTGGCAGCTCGCGTGTGCCCGCCCTCAAGGAGCGTGTGTCCGAGTTCTTTGGCAAGCCCCTTTCCTTCACCTCGAACCAGGACGAGGCCGTGGCCCGTGGCTGCACGCTCGCGTGCGCCATCCTCTCGCCCGTCTTCCGCGTCCGCGAGTTCCACGTCCACGATGCCAACATGTACCCCATCAAGTTCACCTGGGAGAAGGTGCCAGACGTCGATGAGGACACCGAGCTCGTCGTCTTCAACCCCAACAACCCCATTCCTTCGACCAAGATCCTCACTTTCTACCGCAAGGAGCCGTTCGCCATCGAGGCTTACTACGCGCAGCCCGACCAGCTCCCGGCAGGCATCAACCCTTGGATCGGTCGCTTCCAGATCAAGGGCGTCAAGCCGACGGCCAACGGCGACCACTCGATCGTCAAGGTCAAGGCCCGTCTCAATCTCCACGGCGTGCTCAACGTCGAGAGCGCCTACACTGTCGAGGAGGTCGAGAAGGAGGAAGAGGTGCCAGTCGACCCCTCTGCGATGCAGACCGACGGTGCTGAGCCTCCCAAGACGGAGAAGAAGCTCGTCAAGAAGGTCCAGCGCAAGGATGAGCTGCAGGTCTCGGCCGGTCTCAACACCAAGGACAGCAGCCTGATTGCTGAGTACAAGGAGAAGGAAGGCCAGCTGTACTCTAGCGACAAGCTCGTCATCGACACCGAGGACCGCAAGAACGCCCTCGAGGAGTTCATCTACGACCAACGCAGCAAGCTCGACGAGAGGCTCAAGCCCTACACCCAGGAGTCGGAGAAGGAGAAGTACCTGGCTCTGCTCAACGAGCAGGAGGAGTGGCTCTACTCGGACGAGGGCGAGGACGCCAAGAAGTCCGACTACGTCGACAGGCTCGCCAAGCTGCACAAGCTCGGTGACCCACTCGCGGCGCGCTACCGGGAAAACGAGGAGAGGCCAAAGGCCGCCTCGGCGCTCCGCGAGACGATCAACATGTTCATGAGCGCTGTCCAGGGTGGCGACGCCAAGTACGACCACCTGACCGAGGACGACAAGTCCAAGGTGGTGGAGAAGTGCGCGACTGTCGAGAAGTGGCTGAGCGACAGCCTGATCCGAGTGCAGGAGCAGGAGAAGAACAAGGACCCCAAGGTCACGGTGGCCGACATGAACGCAAAGAGGGACGACGTTCTTTACACGTGCAACCCAATCATCAACAAGCCTAAGCCGAAAGCTCCTCCGGCGCCTACGCCCTCTGCTGACCAGCAGAAGCAGCAGGAGGCCCCCCAGGAGAATGGAAAGGCCGAGGGTGACGCGGAGGCCACGCCGCAAGAGGGCCCTGGCGAGATGGATGTCGATTAAAGCTTCCGTCAGCCTCTGGCAGCCGGTTCTGAAAAGTTACCAAGAAGAGTGATACACTGGAACTAGATTTCTTTTTTCCTATCTCAACTTTTTCTTTCTTGTTCCCTGCCTCATCTTTCCTCTTCGCTCTCCCCACAAAAATGAAATCATAGATCTATTCGAGTACTTCGTTGATGCGTGCGTCTGACTTGACTAAGATGCGATTCCAGATGACCAAACAAAGGGTGGAAAAGATGCTGTCTATTTGAACGTCTCTAGCATTACATGGCTCTCCTTGGGTGAGCTGGGGAGTAATTTTACGAAATGTTGACCGTCCGAACGCTCGTGCGATCCGTGTCGCCGCTACCCCGCCTCTTCTGGACTGGGAGCAGGCCCGTCTCGCTGTCCTGCTCACCCGTCGAAGCGTCCACGACGTCGACCAGTCCGCGCTGCGTGTCAATGTGTTCTGTGCCCTGGAGCTCACGGATGCGCAGGCTGTGTGCCTCGAGCTTCTGCAGGGCCTCCTGTAGCTCAATGTGCTTCGTCAGCGGTCGCCGCGGGAGCGGCGTGAGTGCGTGTCGAGCGTCAAGATTGATCGAGAGAACATTGGACGAGTGAGCGCCCTCGGAGACGGAGATGAGGAGCGAGCGCTGGCGAACGGGCGCTGGGCTCGACGAAGACGAGCCCGATGACGACGAAGATGACGGACCCGGCGTTTCGTCAAACTTGGGCTCCCTCGGCGACGCAGCACCACTCGCGGAGCCAGACGATGTGCCTGGTGCGGCAGTCTTCTCAAAGACTTCAAAGGTGATGGAGGAGAAGTAGTCGAGCGGGGGCATGCGAGGCATGACAACCGGCAGGTGCGAGGAGAGGATGAGGTTGAGGAGCGTATGGATGTGCGACTCTTTTGTAAAGTAGAGGCTACACAAGCTGCCTTCTTCCGAGGCGCGCAAGGCGGAAACGATGTGGTTGAGCAGCGGGAGCGAAGTAAGGAGACCGATCCGCTCCTGCAAGTGGGTCAGAGTCAGCCAGGTACAAGTCGCCGAATTGAGCGCCAGTCACTCACCTTCTGCTCTGGGGTCACGCCGTATTCTTGTGGGCAAATATAGTTGAATAGCGCCAAGCTCATCCGGTAGAGGTCGTGCAGGCGGTCGAGCTTCTTCTCGCCGGCGGCGTCCTTGGCATCGGAAAAAATTGTCTCGAGGAAGGGACGGTTGTGCAGGCCGTCGTGCGACAGCATGTCGTACAGCTCCGACGTCTACAGGAGCTAGAGGTCAGCTGACAACCATGACAAAAGGGACAGAAGGGTAAAGAACTCACCCTTCCAGGATCATGAGGATCGTCCTCGTAATCAGCAAACAGCTTCTCCCACCTTTCTCGAAATAGAGCCGGCGTCTCGTGAGTGCACCATCGCAGCTGAATCTTGTTGACGTCCAGCTTGCTCCAATTCTCCCGCATCGTGGTGTGCAGCGACCTGAGAAGCTCGGCAACGCGCTTACACAGCTCGGCTGGTGGAGGAAGATCCTTGGGCCAGTGGGTTGGCCGCTCGTTTGCACCAGCAGCGTCCGGGTCAAGCGACTGCTTGAGCTGCTTCTTGACGGTGTCCATTAAGTCCTTCGCCGCATTGCTATCATCGAGCAGATCCTTTCGAATGACGAGGTGCAGCGGCTCATTGCTGCTGGACTCTTTGTCTTCTAGCAGTGCTGCGGCAAAGATCTCTGCACTGGCCGACACTCTTCTCTCGGAACTCGTATAGATGGTGCAGTTCTTGAGTGCCGCGTCGTTCATGATATTCATGTCCCTGCGCATGTTCTGCCCAAAGTCCTTTGCCTGGTGTCGAGCCGCATGGGAGAACTCGCCGCCCCATTTGATGATGAGCTGCATCTTTTCCAGCTTGCCTGAGTCACTGTCGAAGCTGGGCTTCATCTGGACCTTGGTGCCCGGAAAGTCCTTCTTGCGCTCAATGACCTGGATGACGAGGTTCAAGTCTTCTTTTGCGGCGCCAGGCAGCTCAAGCGCCTTCTGGGCAGCTTGAGAGACAATCTCGAGGTTCTTGCGCAAGATGATCTCTTCTCTTCGACCTTGGAGTAGCTCAATGAGGGGTGCAGTCCAGCCGTCCTTTGGCTTGAACGAGCGTTTGAGCTGAAAATCTACTTGTCAGTGACGATCGGTCAAAATAAGCACAAGGAGACTATGCGCTCACCTTTTGCTTGGGCGTGCGATCTCCGTGCCTAAAGACGGTCACGTTTGCCTTAAGCGTCCAGCTCGACTGTTCAGTCTCGCCTCTTGGAGGAACCTCGCTCAGCGTCCGTCTCGGGACACTCGTCTTGCAGAACTTTGTCAAGATTTCGGCACACTTGTCTGTTCATCGAGGTCAGACTTTGCATCATGAAGAGAACTGACCTGAAGCGCAGAGACTCACCATAGTAATAGTCGTTTCCCTTGACGAAGCTCCATCCATTGACGTCAATGACATAGCTTTTGTTGCCGACCCTGAGCAGGTCAAAGCCGCAGATGTTCTGCTTGAAGCCGGTGGAGATGTCGCTCGCCATCTTTCGCTCTTGTTCGTTCAGATTGGTAATGTAGCGAATCTCTTTGCCGTCAGGGTTTCGCTTCACCATGCCGTCGACAACGGGTGATTTCCTTGTCTCGGCATGAGCAAAGCCGGGTCCAATCGTGTAGACTTTCACGTCTTCGGCATTGTCGACGTCCATGAACTGCTCGTAGATGTAAGAGCCTTCTGTTCTCGGTTCGGTCAAGTCTGGGTCATACTCCGATGACTTGTTGCCAACCTGTACCAATTACGTGTCAGCAGGACAGAGTCGCGAAGAGACGTTTTGCAGGGACAGGCGCTCTCACCTTTCTAAAGAGCCTCCTTCCGCCACCGCCTCTTGCCTGGGAGAAATAGATGTGAATGTTGTGGTCCTCTCCACTGACCGGCTTCTCGACGTAGGGCTTCTTGATGGTGGTCTCGTCTATGTGCTTGCCGTCATGGGAAGTCCTTGTCACGACGAGCGTGTCAGGATCGCCGTCCTTGAGCTTGCACGAGACCTTTGCTGGACTCGTGGCGCGAAAGTCAACCTTCAGCCGACGTCTGAGATCGTCCTCTACCTGCTCCTCAAAGCGCGGACCTCCGTCGCGGTCCACTTCCACCCGGAAAGGCGTGGGCACATCAATGGAGTCGAGGATCGCCAGGACAGCGCGCCGATCCCAGAGGACCTTTTGGAGGCGCAGATCGTTGACGAGGACGGGTTTCCGAAGGTCCACGTAGGCAATGGCCTTGTCGAGTGGGAACCCATCGGAAAAGAAAGAGATGAGGACATCGACAACGGGCCAAGACGACGGTGGTTCGTCGAGGAGGACCTGCAGGTCTTGTCAGTCTCTTTGAGGTTGCGCATGAGGGAGTCTACGCACCTTGTCGCCAAAGTTGACAATCTGGCAGTCGACATCTTTATTAGAGAGTATCCTGTTGAGGATCTGGGACATGGGCTGTGCGGGAAGGGTGCAACTTTAGTTTCATACCCAGAAGTCACGCTCACATACCAGGAAAGACGCACCTTGCTTCTGGCCTGTAGAAGAAAGACATTTAGCACTGTGTCAGCTCGATGAAGTCAATATCGACGAGCTCGGCCCTCACCTTCCGGTCGCGCGCCGCGACGCCTATGAGGATGGGGTCCATCTTCTCCGTCGTCGTCCAACAGCGTCCGTGCTCAAAAGAGAAGCAAGCCGGGGTCCGAGGCTGGTGTCGTCCCTCGCCCAGCTCTCGCTGACTTTTTTTTGGACCCAAGCTCTAACCCAGCACACGTGCGCCCAAAAGTCGAAGATTCCTCCACTCCACGATTTTACGCCCTGCCCTGCCTTTCGTGTCGAGCCGGAAGATCTCAATTTCACATGAGACACTGCGACAGCTACACTACTTCTCCTCCTACTGATCGACCTTTTACCTCCGTCCCTGCCTGGTCCTTTAGGCGACGTTGATCAGCAGAAAGACTAGAAAATATGGCCGACCCAAACGATGGCCAGCTGCCGCAGCCCAAGTTCTTTCTGGACCCGTCAGCGCACCTCATCGTCGTCTCAAATCGGCTGCCCGTGACTATCAAGGCTGATGCGTCACAGCCGGGCGGCTACTCGTTCAGCCTCTCGAGCGGCGGGCTCGTCTCTGCGCTGAGTGGTTGCAAGAAGCACATGTCCTTTACCTGGATTGGCTGGCCCGGCCTGAGCGTCGCCACGCGGGCCGAGGAGGAGCACATCGAGCAGCGGCTGCGCGACGTGTACAGCTGTCAGCCCGTATGGATCGACGACGACATTGCGGATGCGCACTACAACGGCTTCTCCAACTCGATCCTCTGGCCCCTCTTCCACTACCACCCGGGCGAGATGAACTTTGACGAGGCCAACTGGCTTGCGTATAGGGAAGCCAACCTCAAATTCGCAGAGACGGTCCGAAGAATCGTCAAGAAGGGCGACATGGTCTGGGTGCAGGACTACCATCTGATGCTCCTGCCCCTAATGCTTCGCACTCTGATAGAGGGGTCGGAGTTGCAGGGCTACGCATCACAGCGCGAGCTCGAGCATGTCAGGCACGGCGTCGATGGTACATCGCAGCTCAACGACTCCGAGGGGCTCGCTGCCCCACGGACATCGCCCTACAGCAGTATGGACGACACCATGAAGAAACCAACGAGCGCGACAGTAGACGAGGAGGATGAGTCGGAGCAAGTGCAGAAGCAACAAGAGGATGGAGCGCGCGAGGGACATGGTCTGGGCACATCGGACGGTATCAGCGCGCGGGGCGCCATCAAGATTGGCTTCTTTCTGCACACGCCCTTTCCCAGCAGCGAGATCTACCGCATCCTGCCCGTGCGCCGCGAGATCCTGCTGGGAATCCTCCACTGCGACCTCATTGGCTTCCACACCTATGACTATGCTCGCCACTTCCTCTCATCGTGCACCCGTATCCTTGGCCTGCCGACGATGCCGAACGGCGCCGAGTTCGAGGGCCGGTACGTGCATGTGGGCACGTACCCCATCGGCATCGAGCCTGCGCAATTTGAGGAGGGCCTCAAGCGCGAGAGCGTACTGCAGCGCATCAAGTCGCTCGAGCGCCGCTTCGAGGGCGTCAAGATCATCGTCGGTGTCGACCGGCTCGACTACATCAAGGGCGTGCCCCAGAAGCTACACGGGCTCGAGACGTTCCTCCACGACCACCCCGAGTGGATCGGCAAGGTAGTCCTGGTCCAGGTGGCCGTGCCGTCGCGCCAGGACGTCGAGGAGTATCAGAACCTGCGCGCTATGGTCAACGAGGCCGTGGGCCGCATCAATGGCCGATTTGGAACCGTCGAGAGCATGCCCATCCACTTCTTGCACCGCAGCGTCACCTTTGACGAGCTGTGCGCCCTCTACGCCATCAGCGATGCCTGCCTCGTCTCGAGCACGCGCGACGGCATGAACCTCGTCTCGTATGAGTACATTGCGTGCCAGAAGGAGCGCAACGGCGTCATGATTCTCTCCGAGTTTGCCGGCGCAGCCCAGTGAGTGATCCTTATGCATGAACCCTCTGCCTCTTTAGGGAAAGAGAGAATTGACCCGTTGTCTCTCACAGATCGCTTAACGGATCCCTGATCGTGAACCCCTGGGACAAGTTTGCCGTCGCCGACGCCATTCACGAGGCCCTGACGATGCCGGCCGACGCGCGCAAGGCAAACTTTGAAAAGCTCAGCCGCTACGTCCTCAAGCATACAGCCAGCCACTGGTGAGTGCTGATACTTGGGCCATGAAGAAACTGATAGAGAATGCAGACTGACGAGATGGACCTACTCTGCAGGGGTTTGAGCTTCGTCTCGGACCTGACGAGGATCAGAGTGGGTCGGTCACCGCCCGGGCTCGTCTGAGGTGGACCCTTCTTCTGCTCTCGCTTTTTTTCTCTCTCTCTCGTGTGTACATCAGCCATCCATCTGCATCTCCATTGCCATAGGTCTCTTCCACTGTCTCCCGATGGCACTGGCAATAGGCCGCGCGTCCATACACGAACGAATGTGCGGCTGTAGCCGTGCATGAGAAAAGAACGTTGCAACCAAGCGATGTGATAATACGAAGGAGGGAAAAGGAAGCTATCCAGAAGGTGTATAGGGCGAAAGCTTAGTCGACAATGGTGAGCTCCTTGGATCGGTTGGCCGCATAGGCGTCCTTCCACTGCTCCCAGATGCGCTCGAGCTCGGCAATGTACCGCGACTGCACCTCCTCCAGCTCGGCCTTGGACGGGTTGGCATTCTGCTTGACCTGGATCGGCCGGCCGACTGAGGGGATCGTTCGATGAGCCAATCGTCAGCTTCGCATGGCGACAGCATGCAAGAACACACTCACCGACCGAGACGATGGGGTGTCTGTACGGCATCAGACCAACCGAGATCCATATTCCTCTGCCATGAAACAGGGGCAGGGTGAAGCCAAAGATGCTCTGGAACCACTTTTGGAAGCCTGAGACAATAGAGACCAGTTGAGCCGCCTCTCTCCCGGAAAGAGTCAAGCGCCGCTGCGATCAGCCACTCACGGTGTACTTTGGTTCCCTCATCGTTGACGAGCTGCGAGTAAATGTCGTTTTCTCCAAACGAAAAGCTTTGTTGAGAGGGCTGGTCAGTCTTCTCAACTTGTGCACGCAGAGCCGGCTCAACAACTCACACCGGCACCAGAGCGGCGCTGATTATGAGAAGATGGGAGCAGTCAGGGACAAGAGCAAGGTGGAGGGCAGTCAGAAAGGGGACAGCCGCGGCCACTCACCCATTGCGAATGGCAATCTTGATGAAGCCCAGGCGGCGGCGCAGCGTCAAGTCAGCCGTGCCCGGGTGCGCGCTCAGGCTCTCGCTGGCGCCGCCGACGACGATTGTGATTGCGCGGCCCTTTCCCTTGCGCAGGATGCGCTCGCAGCTGCGCTTGCTGACGCTGCAGAGGCCCATGGCCATGAGAATGTCGCGGTAGATGGGGATGTTGAAGTTGGAGTTAAGCGTGAGCAGGTGAGGCGTGATGCCGGGAAACGACGTGGGGAATTCGGTGGCAGATGTGGCAAAGTTGGCAATGGCGCCCATGCCAATGATGCCGTGACTGCATAGAGGTCAGCCCATTTGTCTCCTCTCATTTGTTTGTCAAAAGGGACCTACGGGTGATAGCCAAACACATAGGGCTTGTCCGGTGGCAGATCGGCACTCTGGAGCCGAGAATAGAAGTCAGTAGGAAGTAAGATGCTTGAAGGATAAAAGCCGAAAAGGGTGGGTCACATACCTTGATTAGAGATACGGGGTAGTACTCTGCAAAGTAACGCCAGATGCTCAGGCGACGGGCCCACTCGAGGCGCCTGCCTCCCGACTGGGGTGCATCGTCAAAGTAGATCCAGACGAGGTAGATGAAGATGAGCGGCCAGAGCGGCGGGATGGAGAGGGCGAGAAGAAAGGCCGAGATGGCAATGGGCAACAGGAGCGCCCAGAAGAGCACGGCAAACGTCTGCAGTCTGCGATGACGAGGAATCGAGAGTGGTGCGAAGCTGTCTCAGGCAGGTCTTTGTCAGTCGAGTGCTTCCTCTCGCACCGAGAAGGTTTCCGAGATTCGTCGCGAGACTCACCGGATCACCTCGGAACCCAACGAGAAGCCGTCGGACCAGCCTGGTCCCTGGTGCGATCCAGTCCCGGGTTCCCCTTCGCCATTGCCGTTGGGCGACTGCACGTCCGCCCGGTCACCTGCCGTTGCTGAAGCTGGCTCCCGAGTCATTTGTCTTGCCTTCTTCGGTCGGCGGGCGGCACAGATGAGTAGCCTCTTGAGTGGCACGCCCGTGCGCCTGAAACCTGCATATGGACGCACGTGAAGCGACACCCCTCGGAAGTCGGCTTTATTTCTTTTTTCGAGGCGAATTTTTACTTTTTCCATCTTCTGAAGCTTAGAGGGCGCGGAGAGGAAGAAGAGGGAACAAGAAGAAGACCACTGGCGAGGAGAGCGTCTAGGAAGTCTTCCACGGGGAACAAGATGAAGTCCACCTTCTCCTTTTCCAACCTGCTCGGGACGGTGTACAAGCAGGGAAACGTCATCCTGTACGACGATGGCGAGGGCACGCACCTCGTCTCGCCCTGCGGCAACCGGGTGAGCGTCTTCAACCTGACGACGAACCAGGGCACGACGCTGCCCATGGAGATGCGCAAGCCAATTGCCCGTGTCGCTCAGTCACCCGCCCACCCCGAGATCCTCCTCATCGCCGACGTCGATGGGCGAGCACTGCTCGTCAACGCCCGTGCGCGAGTCACGCTGGCCCACATCAACTTCAAGGACGCGCTGCGGGACGCCGCATTCAGCCCCAACGGTCGCTACATTGCTGTCACGCATGGCTCACAGATCCAGGTCTGGCAAACACCAAACGTGCTCGCAAGGGACTTTGCGCCCTTTGTCCTACACCGGACGTATACCGGCCACTTTGACGATGTCCTCAGCATCCAGTGGTCCAAGGACGAAAGGTGAGCGTTCAGTCCTTGGAAGATGGTGAACCATACACACACACATACACATCGTCAAGGATGTCCAAAAAACTGATTTAATGAGTCGGCCGGCTGGCCGAAAACGATGCATTGCGCCTGAGACGATCTGCTTTCTTCTCCTTCTGCATGTTGTTCACATAGTTGGCTTACCTGCTTTACATCATACAGTTTCTTCCTGACGACGTCCAAGGACATGACGGCGCACATCTACTCGCTCAACCCGCTGATGGTGCCCGACCGGAGAAGACCAGGTCATACGAAGAAGTTCAGGCCCATGACCCTTGCAGGTCATCGATCGGCTGTCACAGCCGCCTACTGGAGCGCCGACGAGGAGGAGATCTACACCGTCAGTCGCGACGGCGCATGCTTTGTCTGGAGAGGCAAGCCAGACAACGAGAACGACGACGAGGAAGATGAAGACGATGAAATGGACGTCGAAGAGGAGAGAAACAGGGCGGGGCCCTCGCGAATCGAGAGCACAGCACCGGCCATTGCCACCAAGCGGTGGGGCCTGGCAACCCGGCACTACTTTCACGCCGTCTCGACCAACGTCGTCTGCACCTCGTTCCATGCCCCCACCTCGCTCCTCGTTGTTGGCTTCGCGTCCGGTACTTTTGGACTGTATACGATGCCCGAGTGCGAGTCGCTTCACACACTCAGCATCTCGTCGCAGCGCATCACCACCGTCTGTGCCAGTGCCGACGGTGCCTGGCTCGCCTTTGGGTGCGCGGGTCTCGGTCAGCTCCTCGTCTGGGAGTGGGCCAGCGAGTCGTACATTCTCAAGCAGCAGGGCCACTTCTACGACATGAATACCCTCTCCTTTTCCCAAGACGGCCAGGTGGCGGCCACGGGGGGCGACGACGGCAAGGTCAAGCTTTGGAACACGTCGAGCGGCTTCTGCATCGCCACGCTCTCTGAGCACTCTGCTCCCGTCACTGCCGTCGAATTTGCCAAACAGGGCAACGTCCTCTTCAGTGCCAGTCTTGACGGTACCGTGCGCGCATGGGACTTGGTACGCTACCGCAATTTCAGAACCATGACGACACCCCGGCCCGTGCAATTTGGCTGCTTGTCCGTCGAGTCGAGCGGCGAGGTCGTGTGTGCGGGTGGTGGAGGAGGAGCAGCGGCAGCAGACAGCTTCGACATCTTCATGTGGAGCGTCCAAACAGGCAAGCTCCTCGACACGCTCGCGGGTCACGACGCTCCAGTGTCCTCGATTGCATTCAGCCCTGCGGGAACGGGCACATTGGTGAGCACGAGCTGGGACAAAAGCGTCCGAATCTGGGAGTGCTTCCGACGATCAGCCGCAGTCGACCCGCTCGTCCTCAACGCCGACGGTCTTGCCATTGCCTACCGCCACGACGGCCAAGAGGTATGCGTCGCCACACTCGATGGCCAACTGGCCTTTTTCGACCCCAGGGACGGCGGACGGCAGACGGGACTGCTCGAGTGCCGCCGAGACATTGCTGCAGGCCGCAGGCTCGACGACAAGGTGTCGCGCAAGGCTGCGGCGGGGAGCTCCTGCTTCACAACCGTGACTTACAGCGCCGACGGCTCGTGCATCCTCGCCGGCGGCAACTCCAACTGGGTGTGCCTGTACGACGTCGGCGAGAAGGTCCTTCTCAAGCGATGGCAGCTCTCGCAGGATCTCAGCCTCGACGGCACCCAGGATCGCCTCGACACTCGGCGTCTGGCGGCTGTAGACGGCCGACCAATCGATCTCGTCGATGACTTTTCCGACGACGACGAGCTGACGGTGGCCGAGCGCGCCGACCGGTCCCTGCCTGGCGCTCAGCGGGGAGACCTCTCGCGGAGGACGACACGGGCGATTACGCGATCCAAGGCGGTCCGATTCAGCCCCACGGGGAGGACGTTTGCCGCGGCCAGCACCGCTGGACTCGTCCTTTTCAGCCTCGACGCAGGGGGCCAGGCCGTCTTTGACCCGCTGGACCTCGACATCGACCTCACGCCCGAGTCGGTCCGAGACCTGCTCGCGGCCGGCGATGCGCTCGCCGCCCTCGTGGGCGCGCTCCGGCTCGGTGAGATGCCGCTCGTCGACGAGGTCTACGAGCGCATCGGCGTCGCCGACATTGGCCTCGTCGTGCGCCAGCTGCCCGAGGCGCACCTGGCCGCCGTGCTGCAGCTCGTCGTGCGGCGCGCCCGCGCCTCGCCCCACCTCGAATACCACCTGCTCTGGGTGCGCGCCATCTTTGGCGTCCATGGCCAGAAGCTGCGCGAGCAGGCGGGCACGGGCCGGTATGCGCCCGTGCTCCGGAGCTTGCAGGGCGTCCTCAACGAGGTCGGAGCCAATGTCAAGCGGACCGCAGACGAGAACCAGCATGCGATGCTGTATCTCTGGCAGGCGATGCGATGAAATGGCAATTCACTCTTGCTCGTGCATCTTTCTCACTGACTTTAGCAAATATTTTTCTCTCTTGTGTCTGCGTGCTCTTTTTCGCTCTGTCTTGGAACACTGAAGACGAAGACCGCATGAAGATGACAAACCTATTCGCTTCCCTCTCTTTCTCAAAGTTTTACCCATTGCACTTCCTTCCCTAAAGCTACACCAACACTGCCGATGCGGATGGGCGGACAGTGTCTCAGCTTGACACTGAGCTCCGCCTCGAGGCGATCCGTGATCTGCTGCCTTTTGTTCTCGCACTCCCTCTCGTCTGATTCGGGTGCCACGCCGAGGCTGGCGCGCGCAGATGCAAAGCTGGCATGGAAGCGCGGCTGGGCGTGGTACGGCCTTGCCTTGAGGGCTGACGCGCCGAGGCCTTTATCCAACGCATCAGTCACCGTCTTGAGCTTGCGTCAAAAGACATGCATGCAGCATTCATCAGCGAAGGTCGGTCGGTAGGCCAAAAAGAAGACAAAGACTCACCTCGCGCCAGCCTTGGCCGACCTCGACGGCCCAAAAGGTGCGCTTGGCGTCGTGTGATGGAAAATGGGCAAAACGGGCGAATGCGACGTCGAGCGACGGACCCGGCTGGCTGTGGGACAGCGCGGTCCGAACGACGTCGACGAGGGTGTCGCGCTCGTGGGCGCGAATGAGGATGGGCCGCGAGAGCGACACGTGCAGCGGCTCGTCTGCTGATCTGAGGTCTCCCGATGGCTCGTGGAAGGTAGTCTCTAGCAGCTTCCTTGCCTTTTTGATGAGTGCAAAGACTTCGCACCCATCCGGGACTGGAGGGCAGTCAGGAAATCAGCAGAAGTGGACGAGGGGACAGGAGCCACAAGGGCGACTCTAAGACTTACTCGGCACAAAAACATAGCAGAGCCAGTCGCCCTTGAGCGGCTCTGTGGAAGCGACGCCTGTCGATGTGTGCACCTGGCGCTGCTCCTTGCTTGTCCCTGCGTCTTCAGCGTCATCGAATGCAGGCAGTCTGTACAGAAATGGTAAGCGCAGGGAAGCTTTGGCGTGGGCAGCGACTGACCTCTTTCTTTTCTTCTTTGCTTTCACCCCATCTCTATCCCTTTCGCCGCTCTTGACCGTCGTAGATGGTCCGGCTGTGTCACTCTCCTTGTCCGATTCCGACTCCGCATAGGGCACCAGCGACCTCTTTGTCGACATTGAAGAGGGAAAGAACCAGGCGCGTCAAGTGTTGGTTCCTCCGACGGCAGCAGCGCATGGGCCATCCTCTTCCTCCTCCACCCGTCTCAACTTTTCTTCCTGCTCTCTCTCTAACCTAAGCGCGATGAGCAGGCCCAGTAGCCACGTCCAGCTGCTGATCCTCGGCTCGGGCTGGACGGGCAATTTCCTGCTGCCGCTCCTCGACGCCCAAGGCATCTCGTATGCCTATACCTCGCGGACCGGCACGCGGCACCGCCACGCCGCCCAGGACCCCATCACCTTCTCCACCGCCGCAGACGAGAGTGAGGGCGCAGGCAGCATCACGGGCCTCGATGCAATGCCGAGCGCCGACAACATCGTCGTCGTCTTCCCGCTCCGGTCGCCCGAGTCCGCCACGCGGCTCGTCGAAGCGTATGAGTCTGCACACCCGGGCGGGAGCGCGCGCTGGATCGCACTGGGCAGCAGCGGCGCCTGGGGAAAGGGCGTCCACACCTCCGCCTCACCACCGTCGACGCCAATGAGCCCCCGCGCAGAGTCCGAGGCCGCCCTCCTCGCTCTGGACTCGTCATCATCCTCGTCCTCCTCATCCAACAGAAGAAGGACGGCGGTGCTGAACCTGACGGGCCTCTACGACGACGAGATCCGACTGCCGGCCAATTTTGCCAAGCGCGTCGGCGACAGCAAGGACAAGCTGGCGGGCAAGACGAGCCTGCATCTGATCCACGGCCGCGACCTGGCACGATCCGTCGTCGCCCTGGCACAGAGCTCGAGCACGGCGCCGGTCTGGGGCAAGCGGTGGATCGTCTCGGGTGAGTCTCGAGGAGGACCCAATATGGAAAGGGAGGAAAGGATGGGAGAGCCGAGAGTTGATTCTCTTTGTCCTCCTCCTTACACACATAGACACGCACGTCTACGATTGGTGGCAGCTCATGACGACGCTCGCCGTACCACCACAGAAGGCCGTCGTCGAGCACGCAGACGAGTGGGTCAGGGAGCTGATGGAGGAGCACGGTATCCCATCGCTGCCCCGTCCAGTCTCGGAGCAGGCCAGCGGGTCACCACGCTTCCTAGACCGTGCACTGAACAGCGACGACTTCTGGCACGCCATCAACCTTCGACCCAGCGTGGGGCGGTGCGACGAACAGAGCTCATCGAAGCAAAAAAAGTCTTTGATATGAAGATGCAATTGCACACTTGTTTTTCTTTAATATCATGCCACCTTTTTCATCGTCACTCTGCCGTCCTCGTTGAGGACTTTGATGATGTCGGTGCGGTGCAGGGCGGCAGCCGGGGTGAGGACGCCCCTGTTGACCGCCTCGCCATTTTTGAGAATGCTCCGGGCAGCTGCCACAAAGACAATGGGCGTGGCCACATAGCCTGGCTCTGGACCACGGACCTTGATGGCTGTCGACGGGTTCCAAGACACGGGTCAGTAGACGTCCGACAAGAGGCAACGGCAAATCAGACTCACTAGCAGTGACGTCAGGCCCGATCTTGCTTCCGGGTGCCGCACCGGCGAGAAGCGCCTTGGAGTGGCCCCGAGCGATCAGCGTGACAGTAAAGGACGTCTGGTCGATCTGTTCCTGGGTGGGACCTGCGCGCGGGGGATTGGTCTGAGCTCTTTGGGAGACTAGATGCACTAGTCAGCGTTTTTGTACTCACCCTGCTTGCTGAAGAGGCCGCCACTGAAGAAGGAGGGGTAGCGCAGCAGGAGAGCGCGGCCAAAGGCAAAGTCGCACAGGCCCGCAAAGAGGGTGAGAAAGACAATGACGACGAGCTGGGCAAGGAGCGACGGGAGGGTAAAGTAGCCGACAAACGAGATAGGCTGGAAGTCTTTGACCTCGGCTTCGAGCATCAGGCTCTGCGACATTCTCACCACGGCCGGATCGGTGAAGAAAAAGGGCTGCAGCACAGGGCGACGATGTCAGCATGAGTAAGTTTGTGCCCTAGCTCGGCTCGCAAACACGCACCATGACATGAGAATGGAAGCCGTCGTGGTACTGCACGAGACCGCCAAGTGACTTTTTTGGTTTGACGGCACCCGTCGACAGGCCCTTTTCCACTGCCAGGGGCGTGGCTCGAGGGAGCGCCGAGAAAAGCTGCTTCCTGTTGGCGCTTAGCTCTTTGCGACTGGCGAACCCAGCGACAGCAGAGGCATAAGTAGCAAAGTTGCTATCAGGGAAGAACCGGGGGTAAGCAACGACCTCGAACAAGCACTTGCTGACCTGCTCGACCTACAATGTCATCCGTCCCTCGCTCTGAAGCGTGAAGCCCATCTCGATTCCTGCGGGAACAACATCGGCGCCGAGCTGCATCTTGGCGTACAGCACGCCAATGTCGGTCGGGATCGAGTCGACGCCTGCAGCGTGAATGATCGTACATCCCAGCTTCGCGGCACGGTCGCGGTACAGACGGACCATCTGGGCCCAGGCAGCGTCAGCCGAAGAAGGTAGTGAAGCAAGATGGCGACAGGATAAGAAGCCTCACCCTTTCGATGAAGTAGGTCTCGCCCGTCACGTCGGCATAGTGCGTGACCTGGCCAGTCGCCTCGGAAGCGTCCAGAACGGCCTTGACCACATTCTCGCCCAGCTCAGCAAAGGGACCCACACAGTTAAGCACTAGTGTCGTCTGGCTTGCCATTTTGACGAGCGAGCCCACGTCGGTGACGTCGACGCCAGAGATGATTCGAGGCAGCAGGCCCTTTTCGGTATTGTCGCTGTCCTTTCCGTCGGCTGCGCCCACAATCTTCATGATCTGTGCGAGCACCTCTTCAAGCGCAGAGGCACGACGGCCGGCAATCGACCACGTAAAGCCTTTGTTCTCGGCGTGTAGCGTCGAGATCTGCGAGGCCAGCTCATATGCAACCCTTTTGCCGGTGAAGCCCGTGGCCCCCAGCACGCACAAGTGGGTCCTCGACATGGTTGCGGGTGGACTTCTTGCCATAGACTGCAGCACGCTAAATATCTTCACTCCTCCACGTGAAATGCCACCGTAGGTGGTAGTCGGAACGTCGGCCTAGAGCAAGGCCTTGCTTCAAGCAGCGCAGGCGCAAACAGCTCCAGGAACAATTGATATCTTGCGCTCAAAACAGTCGAACAAGAAGAGACCTGGATCATAATTGCATACAGAGAAAGAAAAGGGCAGAAAATCACATCGACAGAAAACGTCAAGTAATCGAAATTCTAAGAGAGATGCAGTCCTTGGCAGCGTCTTGTCTACCCGGGTATCGTTGAGTAGACAAGGGCTGGTCGGGATTGGCTAGACAGGAGATGGAGAAGAAATTACTTTCTTCCCATCATCTTGGAGAAACGCCTGGAAAGAGTGTCTCCCTTTGCCTTTGTCGCGTCCTTTGCCTCAGCCGCCTTCTCTTTGATGGTTTCTGCGGGGCCGTTGGGCTTTGCGCTGTAGTCGGTGGCACCAGAGGCATTGCCGTTGGTCTTGGGCTCCTCTGGCAGCGCCTTCTCGCTTGCATCACCGTTGGTCTCGGCGGCGGCGGCTTCCTTTCCGTCGGCAGTCTCGTCAACCTTCTTGTCACCGTCAACAGCCTTCTGTGTCTCCTTCTCGCCCGCCTGGGGCGCATCGTGGAAGTCACCTGGCGTCTCGGCGGCAGCGGCAGCCTCTCCAGACTTTGCGGTGCCGTTGGATGCAGCAGCGGCAGCTCCTGCGGCCGCGCCGCCAGCGGCACCAGCAACAGCGGCCGAGCTGGCAAAGCCTCCGGCAATGATGGAAGCCTCGTCCGGTGCACCAGTCACTTCGGGCACCTTGCCGTCGACACGAGAGCCCTCGATGCGGCGAGCAGTCTCCTCGTCTCCGTAAAGAGTGACGAAGTCCGACTTTTCAAGAGCCGCCTCGGTCTTCTCCTCGGCCTCCTTGACGCTCCTGCCCTCTTCAATCTCCTTGATCTCGCGCTTCAAAACAGCCACGCAGTAGCGGCGTCCGACGATGTGTCGGATGTCCTCGCCATCCTTTTGCTTGTAGAGCCAAGTGACAATGCCCTGTCCGTCCAGCGTTCCATCACGGTGTGCTTGCGTCTTGCCTCGGAAGTAGGGCTCCTGGTCGAACTGCGCCACGCGCAGTTTCTTGACGAGGAGCTTGCGCTTCTCTTCCGTCTCAGTGTCGGCCGCGCCCTTATCAGCCTCTGCCCACTTGCGCGTCACGGCCTCGTACTCGTCGGCTGTCTCCATGTAGTGGCCGAACTTTTCGTCGCGCTTGGCCTTGTCCTCCAGCAGCTTGTTCTCGCCCTCCTTTGGCTCGATGAAGACAAACTTGTTCGACGTCTTGCCGCCGACCTCGGGAAGGAGGCGATCGCTGGGCATCTTGTCCTTCATCTCCTCGGCCTTGTTGGTAAAGACAACCTTGGCCCTGACGACGGGGTCGAGAAGTGGGCCGAGGACCTGCAGAAACAGTTAATGAGCCCGACTGCCTTTCTCGTCATCAATATAGCTGTGTGCTGCTGCTGCTACTTACCTTCCAGATGCCCCAGAAGACCCAGGGAGCATTGTAAACGTACATGCAGTCGAGACTCTCGGGGAAGTACGCCTCGAGGCACTTGACGAGGAACAAAACAACGTTCCAGTCCATCCTGGTGACAATCGCAAGGGGTCAGCCCAGAAACAAAGACAAGTAGCCCTACAGACGCATACGCACGACTTCAGACCGAAGCCAGTCATGTCAAAGAGGATTTCGACCTTGCCGGTGTTGTTCATCATGAACAGACGGAAGCTCTCCATGGCGTAGATGACATATTTCTGCGGTATGACGAGGAACGGACCGGAGAAGGATTAGAAATAGGCAGAGGAGAAAGCATGATTCCGGTGACACTCACCTGCATCGATGCAGTGGGCTGGGCAAAGGTGTTGTGCTTGCCGACCTGTAATGGGACACGAAATGTCAGCAGGTTCAACAAATAAGCCGGTGCAACGTCTACGAACGTGAATGTAAGCAATAGGCATCTAGACGGCGAATGAAAGATCGTCAGCATATGTGAAGACGGCCAATTGAATATCTCTTCTAACCTCAGTGAGGGCTGTGCCAAAGGCGTACGTCTTGCCTGATCGCTGCTGCTCCAGGAATTTCTCAATCTTGCCATTGCCCAGATCGCCCTCCTCGGCAAGGAGCTCGACCTTGTTGTCAAGTCGCCCTTAAAGATAGTGGAAGCGTTCAGCGTAAAGAACGTTATTGAAGGGATGGAAGAGCTCACATTTCAGGCATCCCGCCATCATGGCAATTGCGCGGCCAACATCCCACTTGCGAGCGCGGAGGAAACGAAGCATGATCGTGTCGGGATCGTCGAACTTGACGAAGCGCCAGAAGGAGTTGCGGAGGGCGTCCTTGCCGTATTCCTGAAGCAGGTCGTTCATAGCCTTCTCCTCTTCCTTCTTCTTGGCCTCTTCCTTTGCCTCGTCGCCCTTGGGAATTCCAGACTTCTTGGGGTCATTGTCTTCCTGGTTGACACCAACCGTGGCGGCGCCAGCGCCGCCTTCAGCTCCACCCTTACCCTGGGCCTTTTCGACGCAGGAGAAGAATTCGAGCCACATCTCACGCAGTTTGGCTTCATGCTCGTCGTTCAAGTTGCCGACGTATCCCTCGGGGACGGGATACTCGGACATTCCGATTTCTTTGACCATCTTGCTGAATCCGGACTTGTGTGGCGTTAGACAAAGAAGGTGAATCTCGTCAGAAGAAGACGAGAAGTGATGGAAGGGAAAGAAGACGAGGTGAAGTGAGCTCGGAGGAAGCACCAGTTTTCCCACTCTGGGGACGCTTTATAAAACCAAATACGGGGAAGAGGACGCTCGAGCACCTCGTTAGTGTCTCATACCAAGACAAGCACAGCAAGCTTTCTTCCATAAGCTCAAGAGAGAGTGGTACACTGCCTTCATTCAGACATCCTTCTCTTTGCCTTGTTGCAGACGAAATCTGCGGAGAAAGTGAAGAGAGGCAGCGAGAGAAGGATGAAGTCGGGCAAATTGAGACGCACTCAAAAAAAAGTAAATGGGCATGCGCATGCAGCATCGACGCTAGTGCGGGCAAAGGCACCACACCAGTCTTATTGGTGCAAAAGTCGTCTTTCACAAATGGAGCGTCGCCCAGCTTCGGGCCTTGGGTGCGATGCGAAACACTTCTCATCCTTCTCATTGGGCCGTTTTGTTTGTGCGCCTCTTGTGCGGAGAGGACAGATGCCGAAACGTCAGCTTCTGTCACCTGACTTGCGGGGTGGAGGGGATACGAGGTCAGCATCAAAGCCATGCCGCTCACGGCTCACGCAAAAGATCTCTCAGTGATTCGAATGGAAGATCACCGTACAGCTAGCTCACGTCGGAGTCGCAACGGGCTAAACTGCCACCCGGAGCAGAAGAGGAATCTAGGCCTGTAATAGCTAAAGTGCTGACAAATGGATGTCACATTGATCCTGTCTCCCATTTCCACGAAGCAAGTCTCTTCTCTTCACTCACAAACATACACAGCATGGTGAAGCTCATTGTGGGCATGATGGGTAGCTCCGTTGCCAATGGCGCAAAGTCGATTGCCACACCAGAAGCCGTGCTTTCTTTCCTCGATGTTTGCCGCACTCACCACGTCGACGAGCTGGAGTGAGTCCACAGTGGTTTCTCGCCCGTCTTGGCCATTCTGACAGATCTCGTAAACGTACACAGCACGGCCCGCGTGTACAATGGTGGCAAGTCCGAGGAGCTGCTTGGTGCCGTCGAGGCACACAAGGACTTCTGCATCGCCACAAAGGCGCCAGCCTTTGCAAAGGGGTCACTTCAGTACGATGCCATTGTGGAAAATTGCCGCAAATCCCTCGCAGCCCTTAAGCAGGACAAGATCGAACTCTATTACATCCACGGGCCGGACCGCTCGACGCCACTAGAAGAGCAGTGCCGTGCGATCGGCCAGCTCCACAAAGAAGGCAAAATCGAGCGTTTTGGCGTCTCCAATCTCTCCGATGACGAGGTGCAAAAGATCTACGATATCTGTAAAGAGAACGGATACGTTCTGCCCTCTGTCTACCAGGGCGGCTTCAGCCCGTTGCACCAGGGTTCGAAGAAGACTCTGCTGCCCCTTTTGCGAAAGCTCGACATGGCCTTTTACGCCTTTTCGCCCCTTGCCGGAGGTCTCCTGGCTAAGAACATCGACGACTTTGCCAAGCCTGCCGAGGGAACGCGATACCATGAGATGCCCGTATTTGGCGATTTGTTTCTCAAAGACGGCATCATCAGCGAGTTACGCAAGCTGACGGCAACGTGCCAAGAGCACGGTATCACTACGCTCGAAGCAACACTGCGATGGTTCAAGCATCACTCGCCTCTCCAGCAGCAGGACGGCGTCATTGTTGGCGCCTCGTCCAACACCCAGCTGGAAGCTTCGTTGGCAGCGTATGAGAAGGGGTCCCTTCCAGAGCCAGTACAGCAGGCTTTTGTCACGCTCTGGACCAACATCGAGCATATCGCTCCGGGATATCATAATTGAATGGAATCATTATTTGCAAGAATCAAAACAAGTGATTTCGTTGGGTCCCAGTTCTCCTTCTGGTAGCCACTGCTGCGGATTGCACGCTGGCGTCCGTCGTCCGTCGCCGGTACCGCGGCGGTGGCATTCAGTTCCAGGTGGTCAGCCTGCTCCACAGAACATAAGACGGCCTCTATAGGCAACTTTCTTATTTTCTTTTATTTAATCCCTACTTCCATTAGAGATCGCGAGGGGTATTATCCTAATGTCCGAATACCTTTTGTGCTTCGGCGAATACGACGAAGCTGGGAGCAGGTGTAGGAATTCTAGCACTTCGCGTGGCTCCGATGTAAGAGCGCTGCGAGATGACAGGCTTGCGAGGACCAGGCGGGCATCTCCACGAGCTGGCGTGCGTGAATGTGATTGTGCCTGAGTGACAGGGAAGCGCACAGATCAAGATCTCATCTGTCGCGCGGCGGAGTCTAATGACGAGTGCCCTTGACCTGGGCGAGGGCGAATGGAAGAGCAGAGCAGGCAGGAGAAGAAAATAAAAATAAAAAAGAGAAAAGAAAAAACGCGCTCGCTGCGCCCGTCGACTGATCTCTCTCTTCTTCATTCTTTGTCCTCATCTCAAGCCCGCTCTTACAACCACCGACAACCCTCTGTATACCACCGCTGCGGCTTCTCGGTTCGAACTCTCTCCTTTCTTTTTCTTCCTTCGTGGCAGTCGCACGGTGCCTTTTCGCCTCTCTCGGTCGCCCGTTGCTTCCGGCGATCCTGCTCCCCTGACTCTGCGGAGGCTCTGAAACCAAATGTGAGTATCGAAGATGGGTCTCCTAAGGGCTTCTTAGAGCTGCGCATACACGGCGCTGCATTTGATGTGTGCATGGCGCACGCCGCAGTTCGCAATGATGGTCGCACACGGGATGGCATGTCTTGCCTCCGAGAGGTCTTGACTCCGTCGGGCCCTGTGTGCGTGCGCTCGGTCTCTCCAAATCGATCCTCTCCTTTCCCCCCTTTCCTTTTTCTCTCTTTCCACTACTCCCCACCTCATCAACATTTCTCTCGTTCAAATCTCCCTCCTTCCTCTTTCCCTCTACTTTCTTACCGCCCACGCAAACGCTTTGCTTACTTCCCCGTGCCCCCTATCCCCTCCCCTTTCGCACCCCGCTTTTTCATATGCGCTGCGCTGCATACACGATCTCTCCTATCAGCGACAGTCCGTAAAAGACACTGACTTTCTGGACCTGCCGTCTCTATCTCTCCCTCTCGACTCCTTTCCATGCTCGACAGCTCAAAGCGACAGCGTTCGTCATCGCCCTCAACTAGGGAGGACAACGACCAGAAAAGATCGCGGGACGAACAGGGCAACAAGTCGCCAGCAAAGAACAAAAGCACGTCTCAACAAGCAAGTAAAGACAAGGGCGACGATATGGCAGCCGCGGGTGATCACGACAAACACGAGGAGAAGGACGTTGTCGACGTTGGAGCGCCCAACGACGCCAGTGGCGCTGCCGATTCCGAGGAGGCAAAAGAAGGGCAGCAACATGCAGGCAACGGCGGAGGCGCGGCCGGCGGAGATGGCCAGCCGAGTGGCTCCGACAGCTCCAACCTCGAAGTAGGAGGCGAAGGGGAGCTGCAGCCGGCCAACATTGCGATGCGGGCTCTCATTGTAACGGGCGACGCCAGCATCATCATCGGCAAGCAGGGCAAGCACATCAACGAGATCCGAGACAAGAGCGGGGCCAGGTTGACTATTGTGGGTTTCTCTCCTCTTGATCTCGTCTGCACTCTGCTCATCCCACTCACTCCTAAAACAGAGCGAGAGCATCCCGGGTGTCCCTGAACGAATCATGACCGTGGCTGGTCAGCTCGATGCTGTCAGCAAGGTGGGTTTTCCTTCCCTGCTGTTTTCCCTCGCTGGCAATGGCTGACTCTTACGTCGCTTCACACAGGCATTCGGGCTCATCGTCCGTCAGATCAACGACGAACCCTTTGACCAGGCTTCGGTGCCCGGCAGCCGAGCCGTCACGATTCGATTCATCATTCCCAATTCGCGGATGGGCTCTGTTATTGGCAAGCAAGGGACAAAGATCAAGGAGATCCAAGAGGCCAGCGGTGCCAGGCTGACTGCTGGCGAGGCCATGCTGCCCGCAAGCACAGAGGTGGGTTATGGGACTCGAGTGCGGTCGTTCGTTCGAGATGTTGATCAAGCTGACAATCCTGAACCAAACTAACAGCGCGTCTTGAGCATCTCTGGAGTGGCCGATGCCGTCCACATCGCCGTCTACTACGTGGGGACGATCCTGCTGGAGCACCCCGATCGGACAGCCAACAACCTTACCTATCGGCCTGGCGCCGGCGGCCCCGCACGGGGCGTCCAAGGTGCCTTCGGCGCCGCCGGTGGAGCACCTGGCGCGTACGGCTACGGTGGAGCGGCCGGGGGAGCAATGGCGGCCGTGGCACCGGCCTCGTTCGGTGCACCGCAGCTCCAGCCAGGGTCGCAGACGCAGCAAATTTTTGTGCCCAACGACTTGGTGGGGTGCATCATCGGCAAAGGCGGTCAAAAGATCAACGAGATTCGGCAGATGAGCGGGTCGCACATCAAGATCATGGAGCCTCAGGCGGGCATCGCTGCCGGTGGGAGCGGCGCCGAGCGTCTCGTGACAATCACGGGTCCCCCTGCCAACATTCAAATGGCTGTGCAGCTCCTCTACCAGCGCCTGGAGCAAGAGAAGCTCCGGCTGGCAACGCAGCAACAGCAGCAACAGCAACAGCACGGCCAGCAGTAGATCCGCTTTCTTCTCTCCCTTTCTCTCTTCATTCTCCTGGGTTTCCCCTCTTCTCATTGTAAAACTTCTCGCGATTCTCTCGACTCGTCTCCTCTCTCTTTCTCTCTCTACTCGTCCTTCCACGGCACGCCTCATCACACCACTCTCCACTCCAATTATTCAAAACAACGAAAAGGGAGACCCTCATTTGCCCTCCTCCCCGGCCCCAGTCCCTCCTTCCGACGAAGCAAAAAGCGCCCGACGGCACCGCGTCCGACAAGTACAGTACACTAGTTCAAGTCTCTTAGCTTTCCCGGTGACGTGAACGGTGACGAATCAGAGAAGAATGTAGAGGATCGAAGCGAGGAAGTCCTGCCTGTTCGAGGCTTCCTCTCTTTTTTTTTGTCCTGTGCGTAAAAATACAGATGATGGTGTATGCGTATACGTGCTTCGACATGGCCCTGTCTTATCGATGTAGACCTAGGGCACACCGGCCTCCATGCGCTCTCGAAGATAGCCAGGAAGATTCCCGCTACTCTTGACGCAGTACAGTCCCGGCATGCGATTCTCTAGATTGGGTTGTCGTCAGTCTTCTTTCATGCCAGGCGCTGCGAGAAAGAGACAAAACTGAGAAGCAACTCACCGATCCGCTGCCACTTGGCCACCCAGCTTGCCTTGGGCTGAACGAGACCAATGAGGCCGTCGAATTGACTCGTCGTGCACTCAATGACGCGCTCCATGTCGTTGCTCATCTGTATATTGGATCTCTTCGCGTCAGTCGTGTAGCCCCGTCCCCCTTTTCGTCGCTGTCGCAGCAGCAGCAGCAGCCATCGACATGTTCTTCTATGCTCACCTGAAGGATGACTTCGCAATTGGGACATCCGCGCTGGAAGAACTCGCGAGCGCGCTGGACAAAGGCGCACGACAGGCACGCCCGCAGGTTCTCGCGGTCCGATCTGCTCGACATTACTGCTCTTGCTGCCTGGTAGCTCTCCTGTCTTCTTGACGAGACTCGGACCACAAAAAGTGTTTTCGCTCTCTAGTTCGGACCTTTTGTCGCGGTGTAAGGCGGTGCGGGTCGGCAAAGTACAGGCCTGCTTGAGTGCGGTGCGAGGCAGATAGCCCGGTCGAGGTGCGACGACGTCTGCAGACGAAGCAAAGTTGAGCCAGGCGCGAAAGAAGTAACGCCACGTGAAGAGAAGCCACGAAAAGAAATACCGGTAAAGGAAATAAAAAAATAAAAAATAGACACACTTTAGAAAGAAAAGAAATGCGGAAAGAAAATAAAGAGTGGACCCCAGTTGATCGTCTCTTGGGCGACGGTGAGATGACGTCGACCGCCAGGGCAACAACCCTTTTAAGCTGCACAACCAAATGGATCGCGATCTTTAAAATTTTAGTGTGCGCATGGAGTTTCACCAATCCTATCGGCGGCGACAACACCACCCGCATTTTTCGCCCTAAAGTCTGTCTGTCCTCTGCACACCAGTGGTCCAGGGAGTGCAAACAGGATGGCGTCAATGAGCCCCATCAACGAGAATGGGCCAGCAACGCCCCCTCTCGCCCCGCCATCCAAGGACCAGTCGGTGGACTCGAGGATGAGCAACGGGAACGGCACGACGAAAAAGGAAAAGAGACGCTCAAAGCCACTGGGGGCCATCGCGAGCCTCTTTGGTGGCGGGTCACACAAAAAGGATAGGGGAAGGACGAGCAGCGGCGACGAGGGCCTCAACAGCCCCAGACGCAGCGGAAGCATGCAGAGGAGCGTAGAAAAGCAAGCAGAAAAGGGCGAAAAGGCAATGCTTGCGGCTAAATTTGAGCAGGGCGTCAAGCTGCAGCGGCTCCAGTCCGACCTCCGCGCCCAGCAGATCGAGACGGGCGAGCAGCGGTCCCACTATGGTGTCCTTCCCAGCAACCTCGCTCTCAAAAAGGCTCTCGACGCGTCTGAGCCTCATCCGACGAAGGGAGTGGATGAGCAAGGTGGCGATGGGGAGGAGGGGGAACAACCAGCGCCCGGTCCCATTGCCAACGCAGCTGCTTCCCACGCCACCGTGAAGAAGGCATCCGAGGCAGGCTACAGCCCCCTGTCGACGCTCACCGTCGACGATGTGGGCCAGGAGAAGTTTTACCGGTTGCGCTTGCACGACAAGCGCACCCTCGGCTCCAAGCTCGTCTTTCTCATCCTGCGCGACAAGATCTTTACATTGCAGGCCGTGCTGCATGCAGACGAAAACGACGTGACGAGGCACATGGTCCGGTGGGCCGCCCACCAGATTCCCCTCGAGTCCATCGTCGTGGTGCGAGGGAGGCTGCAGAAGCCTCAGGAGCCACTGCGGTCGACGTCCTTTGCCGATCTCGAGCTCAAAGTGACGGAGCTCTTTGTCCAGATGGAGCCCAAAGACAAGCCAGCATTCCACCTGCCCAACCAGCACCCACCACCATCAAGCACGCCTGCCAACGGTGGCCTCATCAAGTCGCCACGCGCCAGTATGGTTTCGCCCGATGGGTCCGGAAGCGAACGCAGCTCGTTGGATGTTCCCGTTCCTACCACGGGACCCGTGGGAGAAGCTCTGCCCGTCATCCAGCATCTCAAGGCGGCCGATCCGTCGACGGCGAGCTCGACAGACAGCAGTGCCGTCGAGGTGCCTGGTCCCGGTCCACCAGTGCCCTCGCTCGCGCTGCGCATGGCCAACCGTGTGCTCGACCTGCGCTCGCCCTCGTCGCAGGCAATCTTCCGCATCAACTCGGCCGTCTGCCTGGCCTTCCGCAGCTTCCTGGGCAAGCAGGGCTTCGTCGAGATCCACACGCCCAAGCTTCTCGGCGGCGCCTCCGAGAGCGGCGCAAGCGTGTTCGGGGTCAATTACTTTGGCCGGCCGGCCTTCCTGGCGCAGAGCCCGCAACTGTACAAGCAGATGTGCGTCTGCGCCGGCTTTGGCCGCGTCTTTGAAATCGGGCCCGTGTTTCGAGCAGAAAACTCCAATACCCATCGCCACCTCACCGAATTCACGGGGCTGGACCTCGAGATGGAGATCGGCGACGACTACCATGAGGCCATGCACCTCATCGACGACATGCTCAAGACCATCTTTGGCATCATCACAAACGACCATGCTCGGGAGCTCGACGCGCTGCGCAACGAGTACGGCTACCAGGACTTTGTCTGGCTCGACGAGACGCCAGTGCTGCAGTTCCCCGATGGCATCAAGATGCTCGTTGACTCGGGCTACGTCGAGGAGAACGGCGATGTGCCGACGGTAGACGAGGACCTGAGCACGCGTGCCGAGATCAGGCTGGGCCGTCTGGTCAAGGAAAAGTATGGGACCGACTTCTACATCCTTGACAAATTCCCTGCAGGCGTTCGGCCGTTCTACACGATGCCTGATCCCATCAGAAAAGGCGCCAGCAATTCCTTTGATATTTTTGTCAGGGGCCAGGAGATCATCTCGGGTGGCCAGCGCATCCACGATGCCGACATGCTCGGGGACAACATTCGCAGAGCAGGCGTCGAGATGAAGGGCCTCGAGGAGTACGTCAGCGCATTCAGGCTGGCCGCGCCCCCGCACGCCGGCTGTGGTATTGGTCTGGAGCGCTTTGTCATGCTGTTCCTCGGGCTGCCCGACATCCGAAACGCATCGCTGTACCCGCGCGACCCAAAAAGCATGCGACCTTCGAACAACGACGAGCTCCGACACCCCGATGCGAGCACCAACCCGCCGCCATGGAAGAAGCGCGGCCAGTCGACGGTGGCGTCGAGCGAGGCGGACCTGCAGCCGCTCGAGAAGCTCATTGCCAACTACGGCGACACGTCCAACACCTCCTGGCTCGACGCCCGCTTCACAAAGTGGCGCCACGCCGAGACGGGCGCGGCCATTGGCTACGTCAAGATGCAGAACGATACCTGCGTCATCGTCGGCGACCCCCTCTGCGATCTGCACCAGTTTCCGCGCGTCGTCAAGGCCTTCATCGACGAGGTCGTCCGCAAGGAGAAGCTGCATCCGGTCTGGCTCCTCATCTCCGACGACCTCGAAAAGGTGCTGGGCGAGACGCTGCACTGGCGCTCCCTCACCTGCGTCGCCGAGTCGCGCATCCCCACGGCCGAGCGGCGGTCCAGCCCGGCGAGCAACGAGATGGAGCGCAAGATCCGCCAGGCCAAGAACAGTGGTCTTTCCATCCAGACCTTTGGCATGACCGACGAGGTGCCGGCAGACGTCAAGGCCGATGTGGACGCAGAGATCAAGAAGTGGCTCGACAACCGTAAGGGCAAGCAGGTCCACCTCACCGAGGTGACGCCCTGGCGCGACGAGGCGCATCGCGCCTACTACATCGTCAGGGATGCCGAGGAAAAGGTGTGCGCGCTCGTCATAATGTGCCAGCTGTCGGCGAACCATGGTCTACAGATCAAGTGGGCCCTCGACTTCCCTGGCGCACCCTCTGGCGCCATCGAGTATGCCATCTCGACGGCCGTCGGGGCCACGCCCAACGTGCCCCACTCCTTTGGCGCCTCGGCCACGTCGCACCTCTCCATGTCGCGCTCGGGCAAGGGCTTGGGCAACAAGGCGCTCGCAGCGACGTACGAGGGCTTTGTCAAATCGCTCCACCTCCTCAACAAGGGCGACTTCCGCAAGAAGTTTGGCGCAGTCGAAGAGCCGCTCTACATTGCATACCACAACAACATGAGCCCACGCAAGATCAAGGCAATCATTGACTTCTTTGGCTACAACGACTAGGCGTGACGCCTCCCACCACCACTCTCGATCCTTTGCTCAGTCTTACGAACCTCTCTCTCTCGCTCTCGTTCTCTCTCACAGACAAGTAGAAGAATACCCTGAGATACACCAAACATCTCTTCTTTTCCCTTCATACACGCCTCGCTCACACTCTTGTCATCTCTCTATTATACACGCAATGCTATCTTCTAGATCACTGGAGTGTTTCGAGCGCCTTGATGCAGTGACGATGAGCTCTCGTCGAGGAAGTCTTATTTGAACCCGGTGGCCTTCGTGGTCCCTGCACCAGGAACCAATGGCGGGCATATCGGACACGCGCGCATGAATTGTGATTAGACTAAGCTCATTGTAGAGCAGCCCACTAGTATCTCAGTATCTCCCTGCCGATCGTCGTTCCCTGTTCCCGTCTACCACTTGATTCACACCATGCCGCGAAGCGGTCAGCCGCCGCTTCGGTCGAGCTGCCGCTTGTGCCGTACCCGCAAAGTGGTGCGTCTTCCTCACGGGCTACGAGCTAATTGATAGCCGTACTGACGCTGCTTTTGCCCGCCCGTACCAGAAATGCACGGGGCCGATCGGCGCGGCCGCGACGTGCTCGCTGTGCGCGTCGCGCGGCGTCGAGTGTGTCTTTGATCAGAGTGCAGTCATGGGCAGGCCCCGCAACGCCGGGCGACAGTCGCCCTCGTCTTCGTCGCTGTCTCCCTCGGCATTGGCTCGGACTGGCACAACGAGTAGGCTGTCCGACGACGACGTGCGCCGGCTCAGCGTCGGGCAAGTGCTCCGGGAGACGTACGACGACATCTTTGTCCGCACGGACCAGTGGCCAAGGAGCGCCTTTGTCGCCTCGCTGCGCGGCTACCTCCAGGAGAATGCACTGGAGCTGGAGCAGGCCGTGCTGACGACGAGGGAGGAGGCCGAGCAGCGCACCGCCTGTGGGCCCGAGGTCTACGGCGTCATGGTGCCCGTGATTGTGCGCGAGGTGCTCAACACGGTCCGCATTCGCTTCAGCAGCCTTGGACAGGGCGGCGGCGATGATGACATCGAGGCGACCAGGCCTCGTTATCTCCCCATTGGTTTGATCCGCGACCGGGGCCACTTCGGTGACCAGCAGCAGCAGCGTCCGACGACCGATGCGGCTGGCATCGAGATGGGCAGGGATAGGCAGCGGCAGCTGATGAAGTCATGGTGTGTCTTCCACCCGCTTGCTTGCATCTTTGACGCATCAAGCGACTTTCTCATCGACGCAGACGAGGACACGCGCTCTTCCACCAACAGGCCGGGGCCCAGCGTCCACCCCGCAGCTCGCACGCTGATGCTCGCCGAGGCACTCATGCTGGAGGAGGGCAAGCAAGAGAAGGAGCAGGCGGATCGGCTTCTCGAGCAGAGCCACAGGCTCTTCGATGCAGGGCTGACGTACGGCGACGAGCGCGACCTTCCTGCGTGCCAGGCTGCCATCCTCCTCGCATGGCACCACCTGACCCACATCAGCGCGCGCAGAGGCATCGCCTACTTTGCCTTGGCTTGCCAGCTCTTGCCTCGGCACAATAGCGCCAGTCCTGCCGTGGCTGCTACCGTGTCACTGCTCGAGGCCATCCTGTCCACCATCACCGTCTGGGCCTTTTCCCAGCTCGACCGGTCGACATCGCATATGTTCTTGCGCGACAGCAGGCTGCAGACAGCTCAGCATTTGACGTCAAAGTCGCAGGGACCCTGGTGGTGCACCAGCCAGGTAGCCTCGCTCGCATCGCTCGTCTTTGAGAGGCATCCCGAGACAAAGTCGGCGCTGCCGTCTACGACGAAGGGCAGTTCACTGGCCGAAGTGTGCGCCTCTCTCTATGAGCAACTCTCTTCATCATCGTCGGCCTCCTCTTCATCGAAGGAGACAGAGGAGGCATCAGCACATCGGCGCGACGTCTTCCACGCTGCCGTGGGCTGCGCGCGAACCTTTACGATGCTTTGTCTCATCTTTCCCAGGTTGTCGCCACCGCAGCCTGGATTTGGTCGCCGTGCCATCGAGGCGTCAGAGGGCTTCGTGGCCATCATCAAAGCGCTAGAAGATGAGCGACGGTCGCCGCGGCGGGCCTCGAATCATCTCGTCTTCTCCAGACTAACGCACCACACTGCTCGCCCTGCCGAAGAGGCTTCGCCGCTGATGAACATGACGCAGGACGAGGCTGCCATGCTGGCCATCGTTGTCACCATGCATCTCAAGGTTTGCCTGTCAAGCCTCGACATCATCGGCCTCGACGATGGTAGCGAATTTTATGCCGACAGCAGCCTTGCATCGCGGCTGCTGTCTGTAGCCACGAGCCTCGCCAGTATTGCTCATTCGCCGTGGCTCTCCTCGGATAATGAGGAGATCAACACGGTGCGGTGCGGCCTGGACGAGGCCGTTGCCCGTCTCTCTTCTCTCTCCATCTCCTCAACTCAGTCCTCTCATTCGGACGCCGCTTCGACGCTGGCAAGCCTCGATGTGGAAGAATTCGTGCCTGCTTGGCCTCTGATGGCGCCCTCGTTTCTGGAAACGTATGCATTTCAAGCGCTAGACACGGGCGAGAAGCAGGATACTACAACAGTCGAGTGGCTCAAGCCGCTTTGGGGATCGATCATGGCCGCGCCGGGGTATGAAGAAGAGGAGCCTCAGTAGGCGAGCACAATGCCCTGCTCCCACTTGCTACCGTCCTTGATGCTCACGGCATCGGAAGGACGGCCGCCGGCTTCGAATTGGACGTCGATGTGAGGAGCGTCCGAGGTCGTCTTTGCGGGTCGGATGACCTGATCGACGAGGAAGAGACCCACGTCGGCCCGCGAGGCCGTGTATGCCGACCGGAGGTCCATGCCGTTGGTCGATGCACGGATCTTGCCACGTGCTGCTCCGTCTGTGAGGAGCGAAGGCCGCACGATTGTCAGCTTGGACGGGTCCAGCTTGGCCGTCTCGCTTGCTGCTGCCGCCTTGCGTGGAGATGGGTTGAAGGCGGGAGATTGCAGGCCGTATGCGCTGTGGATCTTCGTCTCCATCTCGTGCTTGTCGTCGTGTGCTACGCGCAGGTAGTAGCCATCTGTAAAGGAAAAGGCCACGTTCATATGAGTCTTAGTGCTCCCTCAATGTAATAATGCACGACGGATCGGAATCACTCACAGAGTGGCTTGAGCGCAAGCGGGAGCTTGCTGTGGCTTTGCTTTGCGATGCCGTTTGAGCTCACGACAACGAGGTGAGGCACCTCTTTGAGCTGGCGCAGCGCATCGAGCAACACTGCCATCGTCCGTTGGCAAATGTCGGGCTGCGACAGCTGGACGGGCTTGAAGAGCGCAGTCAGTCCGCTGATGACTGGCTTGGCGCCGAGGGACGTGACGACGTGGGTGAGGTCCTCTTGAGCCGCAGTGAGAAAGGAAACGACGTCGGACGTGACCATTGCATCGCCCTTGGCGACGACGAGGCGGCCCTTGGACTCGTATTCGGCCGCGCTGGGCAGACGCTCGCTGAGGGCAGCGCGGAAGGCCGAGGGATCGCGCACGAGGACGTGCACGGTGGTGTTGGTGTGCTGGAGGAGGATCAGGAGCGCCTCGAGGCCACAGCCACGGGTCGCGCCCAGCATGGCGATTCGCTGAGGGTGGGAGTCTTGAGCCATCATGTCTGCAGGTTTGTCTGAGAGAGGGGTGTGTGTGTGTGTAGGGAGGAGAAGATCTTGCTGACTGAGAGGAGTAGATGGTTGTTGATGGAGGGAGAGTTGGACAGTGGATCATCCCCCCCGCTTTTATACCTTAATTCCAAGGTCCAGATCGACAAGGAGACACACCGTATCGGGCACGGAGACATACAGTGACGGACACGGAGACTTTTCGCCACGGACAGTTTTCGAGGCCCGCTCGCGGCGCCGAGGCGACGGAAACTTGTTTCCCGCTAGCAAATCCAGCCCGCGGCTTACAAGACCTTCCCGAGCGTCTATTCATAGCTTATTGATCGCCAGGGCAGCACAGCCGAAAGGGGTACAGTATCCATGAATGCCCATCGTCGGACGGCATGAGCGGGTCCCCGCTGAGAAAAGTCTCCGTGACCATTGGCCTGCTAAGCCTGCACGGGCCACCCGAGCTTTTATTTTTATTTTTTGTTCTCTCTCAGGCGCGTGTGGTCGCGTGTCTCTTTAGCCCCGTTTGCGCTGCTCACTGCCTTCCGAGAGGGAGGGAAGGAAAGCGAGAAGCTCGTCCGATCGATGCTACCAACGCACGTCGTCGGGGTCGGTGCCGAGCAGCAGCAGCAGCAGCAGCAGCAGCAGCAGCAGCAGGCGACGAACTCCTCGATGGGCACATACCCTCCGACCATGACCAGCGTCCTTTCGACACGGGCGAATGGCGCGGCCAATGGCCTCTTTGGCAAGAGGGGAGTGGCTAGCCTGACTGTCCAGACGCAGGTCCCCTACGCCGAGGATGAGAGCGCGAGACAGAAGCCCAAGCCGCTCTCGTGGGCCGAGCCGTCGCGATGGGGCACCCTCGAGTTCAAGTTCTACTACCTCGTCTTCCTCACCATCGTGCCATACATGATCTACGTGCCTGCCCAGCTCAGCTCAACGTCGAACCCAAACTACCCTAGGTTCGCGTCGCATCTTGCCCCTGGATGGCTCTTTGGTCGGCGAAGGGTGAGTGCATGCTTGTCCGTCCTTGTTCTCGAATCCAGCAACTGATCTGAGAGACTTGCAGGATGACTCCGACTTTCAGTACAAGTCTTTCCGAGACTACTTTCCGCTCCTCGTCGCCCTCATGATCGGCTTCGTGCTGCTATCAAAGCTGTCTGAGCGACTCAACAGACACACTTATCAACGCGTGGGATCAGCGTCGGGACCAGGGATAGCGCAGGGCAATGGCAGACCGAATCGACTCGTCTTTCTCTCCCTTTTCACTACGGCCTTTATCTTGGCACTACATGGTACAAACTCGATCAAGCTGCTGTTCGTATGCGCAGTCAACTACTCGCTCGCCAAGACGCTGGGAGGCCGTGCTTACGTGGCGCCGCTTGCCCTCTGGTTGTGGAACTTGACGTGCCTCTTTACTATCCACTGGAACAACGGGTTGCCGTATGGACGCATGCACCCGGCGTTAGACTGGCTAGACGAATACCAGGGCCTGCTGCCTCGATGGCAGATCAATTTCAACATCACCATGCTTCGCCTTCTCTCTTTTTCCTTGGACACCCATCAAGCTCTTTTGCGGTCACAACAAACGAGAGCGAGGAACGAGGACGACGAAGATAGCATCATGACCGACCCGAGGAAGAGAGCGTCGGTTCCGTTGCCAAAGCACGACTATTCGTTGCTCAATTTCCTCCTCTACACCCTATACCCGCCTCTTTTCATCGCTGGACCCATCATGACGTTCAACGACTTTATCAGACAGCTTCATCGACCGCCGTCTATCCCGTCTCGACATGTTTTGTCCTATGCGTTCCGACTGGCCACCTCTGTGCTGGCAATGGAGTTTGTTCTGCATTTCCTCTATGTCAACGCCATCAAGGACGCCAAGGCATGGCAAGGCGCGACACCCATGCAGCTGAGCATGATTGGCTTCTGGAACCTCATCGTCGTCTGGCTCAAGCTCCTCATTCCCTGGCGCTTCTTCCGGCTTTGGGCCCTGGCCGATGGCGTCGAGCCTCCGGAGAACATGGTGCGGTGCATGGCCAACAACTACTCCACGCTTGGCTTCTGGCGGTCATGGCATCGGAGCTACAACCTCTGGCTCATCCGGTACATCTACATTCCCATTGGCGGGGCCAAGAACGCCATTGCGGCCACCTTTCTCGTCTTTAGCTTTGTCGCCCTTTGGCACGACGTCAGCCTCACGCTCCTCCAGTGGGGCTGGCTCGTCTCGCTCTTTATCCTGCCCGAGATTCTCGCGCGTCGCCTCGTCGCCGGCTACCAAAAAGAACAGCAGAGCGCTGCCGCTCGCAACCCGTGGTGGCTGCGGCACCTGTGCGCCCTCGGCGGCGTCTTCAACATCCTCCTCATGATGACGGCCAACCTCGTCGGTTTCGCGATTGGCACCGACGGCATCGTCTACATGTGGAACCAGCTGCTGGGTGGCTGGGACGGGCTGGCTTTCATGGTGGCCGCTTGCGCCACACTCTTTGTTGGTGTGCAGGTCATGTTTGAGTATAGGCAGGAAGAGGCCCGGCATGGCATCGATAGAAAATGCTAGAGAAATGAGCATTTGGAAACATAAAGTGCAGTCCTGTCAAGACGGAGAAACACACACATCGCCACGACACACAAGAGAGAGCTGGTAGTATTATTTCATAATTAGAAGAAGCGTTCTCTATCGCTTTGATGAGAAGAGTGTTCTGGGGGGATGAAGGGGGCGGCTAGTCGTCCGAGGGCTCGTCGAAGCACATGCCGGCCCGGAACACACACCAGTCAGGCTGGATGGGCGCAGCGCGAATGCCCATGGCGACGAGCCTGGCCCGGATCTCGTTGATGCGAGCGGTGGCCTCCTTGATGTTTCTGGGTCCTCTAACGCCGTTGATTTCTTTCTCGGCGCCTGTCCAGAACACTGGGAAGCAAGAGATTATTTATAAGTTCGCAAACTACTCTAAGTCCGCAGTCAGAGACAGAGACTCACCTTCAGCTCCAGCGGCTGCACGCGGCCACAAGAGACTCTCGAGATTGGTCTCATCAACCTGCTCTGCCCAGAGGGCAGACTCGCCGCCCATGATGCGGGCCTCAGAACCTGGGATGCCCTGTGTGCCGTTCAGAGGGTCGAAAGAGTATTGCTTTTGCCAGTCGACGTATGCGCACCAGCTGGTGGCCGCTGGTGTGACCGCGCTCCAAGCACCCATACCACCTGGTGGATAAAGCTTCTTGTCAGTTCCACTCATATCAACGGTTGAAGCTTACAGCAGGAGACGCACAATCGAGATAGAAAAAGTCGACGGGCGCATGCACCAGCCTGATGTTCTTGTTCTCGAGGAGCTTGTGCACGTTTTCGCTGCTCGTCCATGCTTCCACGAGGGTGCCCTCGACCAGGCCTTGGCCAGTCTCGGGGTAGTCGAGCACGGCTTCTTCCCACACCATGGGCACCTTCTTGTGCTTTTGCGAGAGGAATGCATGCGTAGTGTGGACAAAGGGTGCGAGCAGCTTGTCTGTGCCAGCCTTGTCTCCCTTTTGCAGGCCAAAGCACTGTGCTTGGATCTCGTCGTTGCCCGTCGACACGTATGGACCCGGGAATGCGGAGAGTGCATCGTCAAAAACGGCCTGCACAAAGGCCGCAGCCTCTTTCTTGCGAATGTCGAGGTGCCCGCTTGGTGGTTCCGCCGCCCAGTCTTCCCACGGTAGTTTGCTCTCGCAAGTGATCAGTCCACCCGGCATGTCTTTGACACCAGCGTTCATGTGGCCAGGCATGTCGATCTCGAGGATGACGTTGACGCCGCGCTCGGCGGCGTACCGAACAATGTCCTTGATTTGAGCTTTACTGTATGTCATTCCAGGACCGTAAGAACCCTTTGCGGCGAGAATGTCAAGGCCGTTGCCCTGGAGCTCCAAGGGCCAAGACTGAGCATCGGTCATGTGCCAATGGAGCTGGTTGAGCTTGAGAAGCTCCATGGCATCGATCTGCGACTTGAGGTGTCCAACAGGGATGAAGTGGCGTGCCGTGTCGAGCATGATGCCGCGGTACGGAAAGGCTGGCTTGTCTTCGATGCGCAGGGGCGTGTGCCAGACGTAATTGACCTTGCCGCTGCCGGGCAGGCGGTAGACCAGCTGGGTGAATGTAGACATGGCCCGCAGCGCACCGAGCGCCGTGTACGCATGCACGGTAGCGGTCTCGCCCTGTTCGGTGATCTCGAGCGTGTAGCGCTCATCGTGGTCCTCGAGGGGCGCAATGGCCTGCTGCATCAGATTGCCATGTGTACTCGTGCCTCGAAGAGCGCGGCGATGGGGGGCTTCGTGGCTAAGGGAAAAGGCCTGACCGCCTTGGAATGCAAAGGGCGACACACGTGGGTCATAGTGGATGTCGCTGCTTCTGCTACCAGCAAGCTCAGTACGTGTCTCGGTTGCGGTCCCGATGACAATGGACAGGCGCTGAAGCGGCCGGCTACCTTGAAGGGCTTCGGCACGACTGGCGCCGCGGTCCAGAACAAAGGCTTCGGTGGGGAGATCGTTGATGCGCGCGAGGAGGCGCTGAGACGCTGCGACGAGGGCCTCATCCTGGGCATACTTCTGCGGCTGAACATCCACGCTGAAGGACCTGGCGACGACGCGGCCTTGCTTGCCCCGGGTGAAGGACGTGGGATGGGGCCACAGGGCTGCGACCGACGAGGCCAAGGAGACGAGGGCGAGGAGATTGAGCTTCATCGTCACAGGCGGTGTTGATGATGGTGTCGGTGCAAGAAGGAGGAAGAGAAACTGGACCAGCCAGACGCAGTCGCGGGGCGGGACACGCCTCTGCGACGGAGCGGCGCGCGAGAGGGGAGGGGTGCGAGCGAGCTGTGCCCGAAAAGGAGCTCTAAATGACTTTTAGTGTGTCCGCCCGCCTCGCGGGTGGAGGTAGTAAGTAGTATAGTAGTGTATGTTTTACAGAAGAGTAGGCTGCTGCTAGCTGCAAGGGAGAAGAAGCAAAAGAAATGCGCTTCCATGGCTAGCGGGCCTTTCTTCGCGCGATGACGCTCCGGAGCGGTCGTCCATCTTCGGTGTGGTCAATCTGATCGCTGATGATGCTCCATTGCGCGGAGCTCAAATATTTGTCGATGAGCTCTTCGATCTCGCCTGGCTGCAATCTGGCTGGGATTGGCGGCGAGTCGTACTCGCAGCCCGCACCGTGGACGAAATGACTGAGGGCAAGGAGAGATCCATCGTGTGTCCACTCGTTGAGCCTGCGGAGAAGACTGCGGGGCAGGAAGCGAACAATGAGAATGATGTCCCACGTCTTGTGAGGGAGGGTGCCTTGGAAGACGTCCACGCTTCCCTCTGCCGTAGTCTGTCCCCAGACAATGGACTCGATCCGAGACGAGTGCGGCTGGTCCAGACGGAGGTCGCTGGCCAGCAGCCTGACTCTCCTGATCGTTGCTTCGAGGTTGTCGACTCCCGTTACTAGCCATCGCTTTTCACATCCTGTCAGCTCGAATAAGGAATGAGACAGGTGTCTTGGGTACTTACGACTTGAGAATATGTCGACCTCCGCGCGGCCCACGCCATGTCTCTTCCAGCACCACAGCCGAGGTCGAGCAGGGTTGCCTGCCCAGAGCTCCAGCGCTCTGCTGCCTCCTTCTCCCACAATGACATGGCTCTGTCTAAAATCGGTGACGGTGCAAAGAGGAGCCTCGTAGTGTCCTCCTCCCCTTGTCCGAGGATCAAGTGCAAAGACTGGGCATCACGCCAGAAAGTGGCATCGTCGTTGCTGACGACCACCTCGATATTCCACCTGCTAAGCGTCTCTGCAATCTCGCTCTTCTCTTCAGCCTTCGAGACAAGGACAACGAGAGGAAGAGAATTGGGCCCTGGAGGCGGTAGCCACGAGAATCGCTGGCTTAATCCAGCTCTTCCACCGACCACGAGGGCCCCCTTGACTCTCTGTCCCCCCGCCCCGCTTCGCACATCGACGACGCCAGCTTCAGCAGACGCTATCTTCTGAGCAGGGCCCTTATCCATCTGCGCCAGCCAGTCAGCCGGTCAGCTATCCTGTCAATCAGTCAGTGAGACAGACGCGTGTTGTTGGATCAGAGGAGGGAAAGTTCAAATGCGCATGAGGAGTCACCCAATCTTGGCTCGGCCATAGGACAATACAAACAACTCAGAGACCTCCTCTCTGGGCAAAAGAAATCACACAACAATGACGGCCACCCCAGCACACGGTAGCAAGACGCTTGTGACGAGACGGTTCCGGCTCGTCTACCCTCGTCTCGAGAACGACGAGCGCACGGTTGCGTCTTTCCACCGGCTCCTTACGCACCCCGACACGCTCCGCTACATTCCCGTCTTTTCGAGCAGCCTGACGCTCGACGAGACTCGAGCGATGGTGGCCTCGCACCGGACAGATACGACCCGGCTCGGCTTTGACATCTTTGACCAGGCCACCAACGAGTGGGTCGGCACCGTTGGCTTCACCCGCATGACAAAGACAAAGGCCGAGGCCGGCATCATGCTCGACCCGCAATCGAAGGCGAGCGGCATCGTGTCCGAGACGATGCTCTCGGTGCTCCAATTTGGCTTCGGACAAGAGGTGAACCATGACGAGGTCGGCTTCGCCACCTCGAGGCGCAATACAAAGATGCTGGGCTGGATTGAGCATGTTCTGCTGCTTCAGCCGATCCCAGATCACGATCTCACGGAACAGCAAGTGATCGACAGGGACTCGTGGGGCCAAGAAGACGCACTCGTCTATTTCACGATGAGCAGAAAGCAGTGGGAGCAAGTGACTGGTCCTGCCCTGAAGGCCAGGGTTGAGGGAGCCCAATGTATCAAATAAGGAAAATAAAAAGTAAGACGCGCCGCGGCCAGGCAGGCGCTCAAGCTCGTTCGTCTCACACACCACCAAGTCGGCCGGCCATGGCGACGATCCACAGCCAGCCCGCCAACACGGGCGCAGGCAGATACCGAGCGACCAAGATAGACAGCTTCCTCAGTGCTCTGCGAGTGCGTGCCTTTCTTAGATTTCACTCTTGTGCTCTCTGTTCTGTTAGAAGAAAAGCTGACCATTGAGCAATGATGCCTGTCGTGCGCAGTCGGAGAGGAGCCCCGTCTCGCTCGACGACTTTGCCATTCGTCACAGCCTCGAGGCGATTCTCTCGGATCCAGAGTTGCAGGACATCCTCAAAGCGCACGACCGGGTCATCTACAACGACAGAAACAAGACGTGGGCCTGGCGGCCAGACTACAACGTCAGGACACCCGCCGATGTGCTCAAGCTCATCGAGGGCAGGTTCAAAGACAGCGTGCCGCCACTTGTCGCTGGCTTCCGGCTGAGCGAGCTCCGCGAGAGCTATCCGCAAGTGCGAGAGGTGGTCGAGGCCAACTCGAAGAGACCTGCTCCCGAGACGAGGAGGGTCAGCGATGAGGATGGACGGCGCGGAGAGGAGGACAGGGACGAGGACGAGGAAGTGAGCAGGGAAGAGCAAAAGAAGCTGCTGCTCCTCACAAACCCAGCAAAAGAGAATTCGATCAAGCTCGTTTTTTGGAACGAGGCAAGCTCGAGCGAATTTCTCGAAGCAAATGGGGGCAGGCGCATCGAGTCTGTCGACGAGGGTGAGTGTGCCAGGTACCGCCGTTCTAGGCCTGAGGCTGACGCCAGTCCGACAGAGTTTCGCGAGCTGTGGCACTCGCTGCCCGTGCCTGAGCCTGTCGACATGTACAAGTACCTGGCCGAAAAGGGTTTGAGTGCAGCCCAGGCAGCCCAGTCGGCAAGCCAGCAAGCAGCTGCCAATGCGTCTGCGATGGCTGCACGGGGTAGGGGCAGAGGACGGGGAAGCTCGAGGGGCAGTGGGAGGGGGAGAAAGGTCAGGATACAAAACACCCACATCGAAGGCATCGATATCAGCAGGAACTACCAGCAGCCGTGATTTCAGTCGCTGTCTCTTCATCATACTACCATTTGTACTGTACCACACCAATAGCAAAGCTTCATTTTTCACCCGCAACATGCAGACCGGCCAATTGTCCATATATCGAGCAAGAGATATACTATCTGTCTACAATGCCCTGCACCCGTTTCTCCTCGTTCGACCATAGCTGCAAAGCCGGTTCACCCGGCAAGAAGCTTCGAGGCAGGGGTGGTCGGATGACCTTGCCTTCCCTGTGCAATTCGCCGGGAAAGACCGAGAGATTGCTAGGAGAGGCTTGCGTAGGAGAGGCCGAGGATAGGGGTGCAACGACGGCCCAAGTTATAGTCTCTGCAACCCTCTTTGGGGACTTGCAGAGGAACCAAGCGAGCGGGAAGAGGAGCACAAAGAGGAAGTAGCGTATGGTGTCGAGCACCAACACGAGCGGATTTCTACCCTTCGGTCTCGGCGGCGCTGGTAGGATCGTCTTCTTGGCAACTTGCCCCTTCTTCCCCGACTTGGGTACCACTGCTGCCTCTTCTTCCTCAGCTTCTGTCGGCAAAGATCGACGAGGCGGCAACAGGTACTCGAGCACATCTCTGCTCCGCTCAAAGCCAGCGCATACATTGACGACGTTCACGTTGGCCCTCTTCGTCGTTGCTGGGGAGCTCGTCGTCTTCTCCGCCACGTCTTCCACCTCGATCCCTGGCAACTTTGTCCTGGGTCGCGGATCAGCCTCGGTGAGGAGCTGGATCCTTCTCTGGAGCTCTCTGCTGAGGGAGAACCAGAGCAGCGAGGCAGTCCCGTCGATGCGCCAGGGCGAATAGCGGGGAAAGAGGGCGCGTGAAGATTCCTCGCTCCAGTCGAGATCGAGCCTGTCCGGCTGCCGTGCTGGGTCTACGGCAGCGGCGTACCAGGGCGACATGAGCGAGACGATGCGGACATCTCGGTGCGGAGGGAGGAGGAGCAGGGAGGGGAGGATGGAGTTGACGAGATGGAAACGACCGAGGATTTCGGCGTGGTTCACCTCCAGAGTTTGTTCTTTGCCCTTGCCACGCTTCGCTGAGGCTGAAGAAGAGACCTTCCGCGGAGCGTCTGACTGGCCAATCCTGTACCTCGTCGGCATGTACGCCTCGTCGACCGGTAGAAAGACGATGGCCTCGACCCTCCTCGGCGTGGGACCGCCAGAAGGTGCGCCGTCGTCAGCGCCCGGAGAAGACGAAGAAGGAGCACCGCCGGCAGTCGTTCCGGCAAAGCTTGCAGGCCCTGCACCTACGCCGCCAGCCTGCCCGCCGGAGCCTTCGCCCTTGTTCCACTGTTCGGCAAAGCGAGTGACGCTGTCGAGGTCCGTGATGTCGCACTCCTCGGCGTAGATCAACGCATTCGACGTGCCCTCTCGGAGCAGGTGGACGAGCTGGAGAACGCGCGATGACTGCAGCGTGGGCGTCAAGAGGATCAGCTGAGCACCCAGGGCTGAGAGCTGGGTGCAGACGACGAGGCCCTGGGGAGTGAAACCGCCCTGTGCGCGTAGACCTGCGTCAGCGCTCGTTCCACCATTGTCTTTTTTCAAATCAGAAGAAGAAGGGACCCACCACCACAAGGACGACACTGCCGTGCATGTCTCTTGGCTGTATCTTGGCGCGAAGATCGTCCTGGCGTGAGCTTGCCTCCGAAGCAATCTCAAGGCGCGCGAGCAGATCGACGCCCATCGCCCACTGCTTGATGGCGATGAGAGCCACGATACCCGCCACGTAGACGGCCAGGTTGTCGAGGGTGACGACGCCGGACAGCGCCGATGCAAAGAGATGGATCGGCATCCTGGGCTGCCTCCTCTCCTCTGTCCGACGGTGTTGGTGAACAGGAGCAGCGCGCGCGCGCGCTCAGACGTCAAGTTTAATTTTTTTTCTCTCTCTCCTTGGCCTTCGCTCTCCACTTCTTCTCTTGCAGACCCTCCTTCGTTGCGCTTGCATGACCTATCTTGGACCATGTTGCGGGCTCTGACACTGCTGCCGACACGGTGGCCAACCGGCCCGTGTCGTGGCATCTCCACCACGGCCATATGTCTGGGCCACGAGAATCCCCTAGGTCTGCCGCGCAACAACCAGCGAGCGGCGCCGAGCATGGCCCGTCGCTCCTCGGGCCCTCCTCAACCCCGGCCGATTCCGCACGTCAAGAGGGTCCTGGCCGTGTCGAGCGCAAAGGGCGGCGTGGGAAAGAGCACTGTTGCTGGTGAGAGTCCTGTTTTGATTCTTCCCTCTTCGATACTTTGCTGGTCGTAAGCGCTCACTGGTCATTGTCGTCGGACGTGACAGCCAACCTGGCCCTCGCCTTGTCCATGCAGCAAGTCCCCGTCGAAGGAATCTCGGGCTCGAACACGACGCGAGCACCGCGCGTCGGCCTGCTGGACCTCGACATCTTTGGGCCCAGCGTGCCGATCCTGATGGGTCTCCAGGGCGTGGGCGAACCGGAGCTGAGCGAGAGTGAGTTGGACGTCTCGAAATGCATGTACAGAGGTGCTGAAACGGGTGACTCTCCACTTCAGCGGGTGCACTGCTACCCTTGACCAACCACGGCGTGCCGTGCATGTCGATGGGCTTCCTCCTGCCAGACGCGAGCGAGGGAGCCTCGCCCGTCGTCTGGCGAGGTCTCATGGTCATGAAGGCCGTCCAGCAGCTCCTCTTCGATGTCGACTGGCGTGGCGTGGACGGCCATGCTCGAAGTGCAGGCCAAGAAACAGCCGGAGACGGACTCGATTGCCTCGTCATCGACATGCCTCCGGGTACGGGCGATGTCGCTCTCAGCTTGACCCAGCTCGTAAAGGTCGACGGCGCCGTCGTTGTCAGCACGCCCCAAGAGGTGGCCCTGGCGGACGCGAGAAAGGGCGTGGCCATGTTCGACAAGGTCAATGTACCGGTGAGTTGATATCGTTCATCAGATAACAAGCGGAAGACAAGGAGAAAGGAAAGGCGCAGCCACGGCTGATGCAAAAAGAGGCGCGCAGATCTCCGGCCTGGTCCTCAACATGGCCCACTTCACTGCGCCCGACACGGGCAAACACTACCCGCTCTTCGGCCCGCCCGAGGCCTTTGATACATTTGCCAAGTCAGCCAATGCGCCGATCCTGGCCAGGTTACCCCTCGAAGCCTCAATCAGCGCCGGCGGGGATGCGGGCCAGCCCATTGTGCTCAAGCGGGAAACCGAGTCTAGCGCCTCCTTTCAGCAAATGGCCGCAAAGCTCTGGCCGACACTCAAGTAGAGCCCCCGTCTGGTCTCGCTCATCGATATAGTAGCCACTCTGTATTCTATAATAACAGACATTACGCCACAGCGGCTCTTGGCCGTTGCTGCAGCCAATTCAAGCTCGTGTCCTGCAGATGATCTGAGATGACTCGCGTCAGGAGGGCACAGGCCGCCAATGTAGAGAGACACGCAACCCACCATCAAAGTCCACGATGTGCTCCCACGTCCCCTTTGCCACCTCCGACTTGACTCGCTCGATGCTCGCTTGTCCATCGGCGAGCGCGACGTCGGCGACTGGCACGCTCCTGACCTGTCCGGATGCCGAGACGCTGAACGGTTGGAGCGCATGGGCTGTCGTCGAAGCCAGCAGCGCATTGTTGACCTGCATTCATTGTCAGCGGTAAGCATGCGCATAGGGCAGGAAAAGAAGAGTCGCTCACCTGGAGAAGCACAGCGTCGGTGCTCAGCTTCCTTGCAACGACCTGTGCCAGCTTGACGGCGGATGGCGCCGCGCTCGTCTCGATCGCGGACGCCGGCGCGTGGTAGACGCCCACAATCTTTTCTGTGGAACTAAGCGATGCCTCGACCTGATCCAGCGGTGTTAGTAGTGATGCTACATGAAGGCTAGTACCCGTGTATATGTCTGTGGACTGACCAGGGAGGAGGCTACCTCAGTCATGGGCGCGAGATCCGTCCAGTTGTGAACAAGGGGTACGACACGCTCGACCGACTGCGTCGAACCGCCCACGAGGAGGCCCGTCACGCTCGATGCCGGGTGCTTGGCTGCATGCAGAATCGCAGTCGTGTATGCTTCGTCGCTCAACTTCATGTTGGGTAGCAGCAGCAGCAGGAGCGGCGGGCGTCTTCGTCGTGGTCGTCGTGGAGCGAAGAAGGTGGTGATGAATTTAAAGTTTCCACGTGTGGACCGATGCCCTGGGGCCCGTGCGTCTGAGCGAGAGAGCGGCTTCCTAGGCCCATCGAAAAACACCACCATGTCGAAGCTGACACCAGACTCGGAGCTCGAGCTGCTGTTCGACGCAAAGCTCATCCCAGATGAGGTCAAAAACGTCGGCGACGGTCTTCATGTGAGTAAGTCTGCAACTTTTGTCAGAAGCACAATCAGTCAGACTGCAACGGTGGAAAAACACACTACTTCAGCTGAGGCCGCTCTCGTCGACCGACTATGACCGTGGCCATCTGCGCGTGCTCGAGGCCCTGACCAAGGTCCCAGACCCGGGTCGAGATGCCTGGCTGCGTCAATTTCAGCTGATGCAGCAGTCGAAGCCTGCCGCGTACTACACGCTGGCAATTCTCGACGCCGCAACGGACGAGATCGTCGCCGTGGGCTCCCTCTTTATCGAGTACAAGTTCATTCGTGGGCTCGGCGCATGCGGACACATTGAGGACATTGCCGTGGACCCCAAGACGCAGGGAAAGGGGCTAGGGAAGAAACTTATTCGCGCCCTCACCGGACTCAGCGAGGCATTGGGCACCTACAAGGTTATTCTCGACTGCAGCGAGGACAACAAGCGTGGGTGTCCTCTCCTCTCCCTCCTCTCTCTTCTTTCAAGCAGTGGCTGATGCAAAGATACGTGCCTGTCCACGGCAGCCTTCTACGAAAAATGCGAGTACAAGCTCGTCGGCGTCCAGATGGTGAGCTTGAGCAACAGCCTTTATTACATGCGGAGAACACTGAGTGGACCGTTCTCCTTCGTTCTTTACCTAGGCAAAGTACGCGGCCCACGTTCAAAAGTAGTTGCGCGCAGATAGGCCACACCTACTCGATTCGACTAGATCAGATGCACTCACTTAGCTCAAGGAAAGAGCTGTGGCAAAGTATCAAGGAGGCAAATCCAAGGAATCATTAATAGGATTGACTAAGGAGAGAGAAGAGAGATCACATGTGTGCCCGGTGGTGGTGGTAACAAATAACAGAAGCCTTGAGATGATGGGTGAGAGGAGAAAAGTGGCAAAAGGCTTGAACGAGCGCGCAAGTGTTGTTTGTGTATGTGAGTGTGTGAGTGTGAGAGTGTGCGTGTATGCATGTGTGCGTGTGTTGTGAGTAGGTCTCGGCGCATTGTCGGTGAAAGATGCTACAGGAGAGATCGAGAGAAGGAACTGAGAAGATCGAGAGAAGAAAGGGATCCAGAACGTGAATTAGATGGAGGAAAGAGACATGATTAATCACGGCGACTCGTCGTCATGGTGCTGCTGCCGGTGGTGCAGATGGTGGTGGTGGTGGTTGTGGTGATGATGGGGAGGCGGGCTGACAGATGGTCTCAACATCATCCTCTCTTGGTCGCCCGACGCGTTACTGCCCGAGGTGCCCGCCGCGGCGCCCATGGCAAAGGTGCCCGAGCCCTGGGGCACGAGAATCCTCCTCCGGGCGTTGATGAACCAATTGGAGACCTGACTGATGCTCAGGCCCGTCATGGAGCAAAGCCGCCGTTTTTCGTCTTCCGTCGGGTAAGGGTGGCTCGCGTGCTCCAGCAGCCAGCTCTTGAGCAGATCCGTCACCGGCTTGGGAAGCTTGCCTCGCCTTCGAGGGATGGCGACGGGAGAGCCAGGTGCGGCACCGGAGGGAGTATTGGCAGCTACCGGTGTCGTCGCTGCCTCGTCCCGAGAGGCAGTCGAGGCCGACGGCGGAGGTGCTGCGCTCGAGCGAGGACCAGAACTATGGTAGGGGTGGTGGCGCGACGAGGTCGGCGCTTCGCCAACGAGGCTGCTGCGCCGTGAGTCGTAGTCGTAAACTTCGTCTCCGCGAAGACCATGTCCCCCTCCACCGTACGAGGCCGAACGGACGGGTGCATGTCCCATGTCCGCGTCGCCAGTCGTTCCTTCGTTCGGCGCGCCGGTAGCAGCGGCGGCTGCAGCAGCCGCTGCAGCCGTGCCTGCAGGCGCAGAAGGATAGAACGCTGCGGAATAGGAGCGAGAGGTGAAGGGCAACGAGGCTCGATCTCGGTAGCCCTCACCGGTGGCCATGGTAGCGTAAGAGCGTGGATCGGAGCTGTACGATGGCGCTGGCCTCGGATAGAAGCTCGACTCGTCGCGAGGCTCAAAGCGCGAAGCCGGCGTCGCCGTCGAAGCGTTGGAGAACGACGACGAATTGGAGCTGCGACCCTGATGGCCGTCATGGGAGTAGAGGGACGAGTCCGAGGTACGTGAGGGCGGGTACATCTCCGAGTCAGACACCTTGCGCCGCCGCTGCGGTGGAGCTGGGCTCAACTGGCGACTCGAGTGTCTACGCTCCTCCTCCTCGTCGCGGTGGAGAGTGGGGTGGAAGTGCATGGAAGACGATGGACGGACCAGGCCAGAGACGGCCGGCAACGATGGCGGTTGCGGCGATGATCTCTTACGAGCAGAAGAGTCGAAGAAAAAGGACGAGGGCGAAGAGGACGAAGAGGACGAGGAGGAAGAGAGATGAAAGGGACCTGGACGAAACGAGGGCACTTCTTCGAATTCGAATCGTGACCGTCGGCCGAGGAGGCTGGGAGGGTGCTGTTGGAGATGGTGATGATGTTGGAGGTGGTGGTGAGGACGCTGGTGATAGAAGTCATCGTCGTCAACGAGCGATCTGGGCGACGGAAGCGTCGGTGTGGGCACGCCATCGTCGGCGGCCGACCTAGGAGATCTGTGCATGTTGCTGCTGGTACTGCCAGCAAGCGAACGGCCAAATGTTGATGTTCGAGGCGACGAGGAGCCCGGCTGGCGCGAATGGGGCACATCGAGGAGAGGATGGGCCGAATAGCGCCTGGTAACGCCCTCCTCGAAGCCAGCCCTTTTTGGGGGCCACCAGGGCGTGTTGATCTGCTCGTCCAAGTGGGCGATGCTGGGTAGGCGTTCGGTGCTTCGACTGTCGCCGCCACCAAGGCCGCCAACGCCGCCGCTGGCAATGGCCGAATTGGCGTGAATGTTCTTCGGTGAGTCAGAGGTGCGACGAGGAGACTCGAGCTCGTCTTCTTCCTCCTTGTCTACGGGACCCGGCTTTGGAGACCAATGTTGCCGCTGCTGTGCCTGCTGCTGTTGCACCCGCTCCTCCTCTTCTGCTCTTTTATACATTTTTGACGACGAAGAAAGAGGGGACGCTGGAAAACGCGGGTAGGGTGCCGACGACGAGGAAGACGAAGGCGAAGTGGCAGCGGCGGTGGCGGCAGCGGCGACGGCTCTTGCAGACACGGCAGTTGTTGATTGCTGACCGCAGCCGATCGAAGTTGGTCCAGAGGACGAGGAAGACACTTCTTTTTCTGGCCAGCCCTGACGAACTCCACCAGCACCAGCAGCGGCTCCCTGGACCGTGGCAGTGGTCATGCTTCTCGGCTTGGCGACAAAAGCCGATTGTGCAAAGAACGGTGGCTCAGCGGCAGAATCCAAGAGGTGCTGACTACCGCGAAGAAACGATGTGTGAGGATGCTGTAGCGAGAACGAGCGAGGAATCACTCGATTCAAGTCAGCCGCGAGTCCCCTCCTTCTTTACCTCGTTGGCCTCCGCCCAGCTTTGGCCGACGATCGCCGAATTTCTTTAAAAATTTACTCACTAGAGACAAAACGTCAGTGTTTGGCTGCCTCATTGGGTTGAGGTCCTCTGTGCTATCCTCGGCTCTCTCCAGCTGGGTAAGATATGTCCAAGCGCCCGTGCGGCTCGCCGATGTGGCGAGTCGAGGCGAGCGAGGATTGGTGGGGATATGTGAGGTGGCGGGAAAAGCTTTGTTCACAGTTGTGGTTGTGATGGATAGGAAAGGAAAAAGTGGACCAAGGTGGCGAGGGGAGCCGAAATAGACAAAGGGAGGAATTGGAAGGAGGGAAGGAGCTACTTGACAGTTTCCCTTCGCGGAACAAAACGCCGGGCGGGGTTTGCGTAGCGTTCGCGTTATGACTGACAGACAAGAGAAGGGTAAAAGCCCTGACGTTCGGAGGAGAGAGCGAAAGCCAGAAGCAGGAGAGATAGGAAATATGAGGAGAGGAGAGGAGAGGATGAGGGAGAGGGCGAGGGAGAGGAGGAGAGGAAGAGAGTGTGTGCGCGCGAAAGAGAGACAGCTGGAGAGGGTCAGCAACTTTGCTTTAATTTTCCTGTGCCGACGGCGAGCGCATCAACTAAGCGAGATGGGATGCCAAGAGACCCACCGACTGCACCGACTTGTGACTACTTAGTGGACCCCCGGACTTAGATCGCTTCGCTGCTCGCGCCGCGCTCCGAAGCCTCCGTCACAATATTGCACTTGATACGTCGCCGCGGAGGAACTTGACAGTCGCTTGTCTTTCCTTCGATCTCTGACCTAAATACGAGCGTTGAATTGAATTATTGGATCGTCTCAGCGCGCACAGACGAATCGTTGTTCGGCTCAAGGTCGCGTACGGTTTTTCCTCCTTTGTTCCTGACGTGCCGAAAGAAGCAAGAGCGAAACAAAGGAGAAAGGCGATAAGAATGCTTCAAGGCCAAGACACGAAAGCTCAGACGGGATTCAAGGGCCCCGTGTACTTGCTTGGCGCTTTGCGTTCACGGATTCGTTGGGGAGGGCCTTTGCCTCGATTGTTTTTTGACAGACGGGAAAAGGACCTTAACCGGAATTCATGAAAAGGAAATGCAGGCAGGGTGCGACAAGAAGCGTACACGTACATATCATCCCATCGGAAGTGGAGCCGGACCGTCTTAGGGCAACAGATCTGAGCGGGAAGATGGAAGACAACAATTTTAATTCTTGTATAATTGCAAATTGGAGCTGCAGCGCGAGCAAGGACCGCGGACACGACCGCAAGGTACAACTTCCTCATCTGGACAGCCCCTGCTATTGAGCGCAGGGGCTGCCGAAAAAGCAGCGAGGCCTGTACGAAACGTACAGATATGTCGTCGTCGGAGTAGCCGTATTCATCCTGAATATATTCGATAACCGCATGACATGGCAGGAATTGGCGAATCAGAAGGCCAGGCCACACGGTGCGGTAAGACACGAATTAAATTTACGCAGCAAGAGTGGCGGAGAGAGCGGCGACGGGGGGAATCTATTACTTGGGGTCGCAACCAATACGTTCTCAATAATAGTCTATTTCATTTTTCTGGACATGATACCAGCTAGACCGCTCGGCTTGGCTCTGTCCGTCTTCTGATCAAGAAAATTAATCGAGAGAGAAAAGGAAACATCCGCCACCTTTGTCGTACTGCTATTAATGTGGAGCGGTCTTGAAGGGCCGAAGCGCGTCGCGGGCAAAAGAATAGCTGGCCGCTTGCCAAGTCGCTCTAGCCGCCGTATTATTCTTGTGGTACGTGGAGATTGTCGATTCGCCGTCGTGCAAACCCCGATGACATGCGCGCGACATCGGAAGACCAGCTGCTCCACCCTCTTCTACAATTAAACTATATTAGCAACGGAGTAGGGGCTAGTGCAGCATAGCAGCGTAGCCAATTTTAGAGCCGACATCATGCCATCGTCGTTATCACACGTCAGCTGGCAAGCAAGTAAAACGTCCGACGTATGTAACGTAGCTTTTTAGTGCTTTTTTGGCATGACGGCTGGTTGACACAAATACGATTGTGCTTCGCCGTGGGAGCAGACCGCTCATGTCTTGCCGTGGCTGCCCGATTTTAGTCGGATAAAAGCTGGATGTCGAGACCGCTTTGCTTGCGATGATTTCATGCGCAATCCGCGGACAGGACTACCCACGATCGGACACGGGAAAGAGAGTGTATCGGAGATGCGAATTCCGGCAGTTTCAGTCATCGGTCTCCCAGCTAGCTTCACGACACCACCATCACACTAGCCCGCTGTAGTGTGTCGTATACTCTTCTCATAACAATTATCTCTGCTTTCGCTACTCCTGTTCTGCTGCTATTCTTGTTCCGTGACGCACCTCACAATGCCGATGTCGTAACGACAGGTGTCATTCGCATTCATCAAATGATGCGGGAGATGCTTCCCGTGAACGATTGAGCCTATCTAAATGTCGGGTCATCTCTTCGGGCAAAGCCCGAACTCAGCCGAAACATATGTTCAGGAATTTGTCATTCAATAAATTCAAGTGATTTCCTCGAAGCGGAAAGAGAGTAATTCAAAGCTAGCGCACCTTTCGGCACTTAGCACTACTTGGCTGGAGGCTCCAGACGTAGCGTACAGTACATCTGCACGGGTCCGCTATCTGTTCTAGGGAATAATATATATTCAGCACTGATAGATGACACATGACATGATTAATCAACTCAGTCTAGCCGGCGGTACGAAATATTGTATCATTATTTGTCCAAGCGACCAGGAGGTAAAAATTCAAAGCTAGCTCTAGCAACATCGCGGCGGCATTGTAGCGAGCGCTTTGCTTGATGCGTTTGCGACGTTGATGAGTTAGATGGATCTAATATAGCGCAAGAAAGTAAGGTCGGACAGGCTCGACCCACCTACGGCCGTAGTGTCAATGTCCTGCATGCTTGGTGAGCAGCTTCGCATGGTTATGACGGCGAGACCTTCACCTGCTGGATGCCGGTTGCTAGGAGATCAGATCGGAAAGAATCCTCACGATTCAGTTGGGATCCCTTTTCTCGGAAATTGGTCTGAGTTGAGTGTCCTGAAGAAAATTGGTCTGACAGAACCTGACATTTTCATAACTTTGTCAGTGACGATTAGTTGTCATCAGCACAATCACGTGGCTTGCTCTCGACCGAACGACCGTGCGCACGTCAGTCGCCACATGGACGGATTTAGCGATTACCACCGCGGTGACGACGTCGACGACGACGACGACAGAGAAAAAGAGCTGCGCACAAGATGCAGACAACGACGAGCGACATGAAGGTTGATCAAGACCATATTGACGAAGGCCTTTACAGCCGGCAGCTCTATGTTCTTGGGCATGATGCTATGAAGCGCATGGCTGTCAGCAATGTCCTCGTCGTAGGGATGCGAGGCTTGGGCGTCGAGATTGGTACGTTGATTGCGACTTTTTCGAAGGATTTGGGGTGCTGGTATTAATCTATCTTCGTCCTCCCTGAATACAGCAAAGAATATCTGCCTCGCTGGTGTCAAGTCAGTCACCATCTACGATCCTGCACCTGTCGAGGTCGGCGACCTTGGCACACAGTTCTTTCTGCGCCCTGAGGATGTCGGGCCCAAACTTTCTAGAGCCCAAGCAACGGCTCCAAGGCTCGCCGAACTCAACACATACGTTCCTGTCCGAGTTCTAGAAGAGCAAGAGCTGTCGAGGGATGTGTTGAGCAGGTTTCAAGTTGTCGTCGCCACAAACCTCCCCTTGTCCAAGCAACTCGAGATCAACGCCTTTACGCACGGCTCGGGTACACATTTCATCACTGCCGATGTTCGGGGTCTGTTTGGCAGTGTCTTTACAGACTTTGGGCCAAAGTTTCTGTGCAACGATCCGACCGGCGAGCAGCCTCTGACGGGCATGATTGTTTCTGTCGACCAGGACAAGGAAGGCATCGTGACGACTCTCGACGAGACGAGGCATGGACTGGAGGACGGAGACTATGTAACGTTTTCCGAAGTGCAGGGAATGGAAGAGCTCAACGGCTGCGAGCCAAAGAAGGTCATGGTCAAGGGTCCCTATACGTTTTCTGTTGGCGACACAACCGGTCTTTCGCCCTACAAGAGAGGAGGAATTTTCACACAGGTCAAAATGCCCAAGACGATCGAGTTCAAGTCCTTGGCTGAAAGCATCAAAGCGCCCACGCTTCTCGAGAGCGATTTTGCCAAACTTGACCGACCTCCCACGCTGCACGCCGCCTGGCAAGGTCTGTCCGCCTTTTGGGAAAAGAACGGGCGACTTCCCAAGCCGCGGAACAACGATGATGCAAATGCGGTTCTCGACTTGACAAGGGAGATCTTCAAACAATCTGGTGGTAGTGATGGCGAGCTCGCTGAAAAGGTTGTCAAGGAACTAGCCTACCAGGCCACAGGCGATCTTTCGCCCATGGTCGCATTCATTGGTGGTTTTGTCGCGCAAGAGGCACTCAAAGCTTGCAGTGGCAAATTTCATCCTCTGGTGCAGCATCTTTACGTCGATTCGCTCGAGTCATTACCGACCAAGATTGCAGACGTACCCGAGGAAGACTTTGCTCCGACCGGAAGCCGGTACGATGGCCAGATTGCTGTCTTCGGCAAAGCGTTCCAGGAAAGGATTACAAATGCTCGACAGTTCCTCGTTGGGTCTGGCGCCATTGGATGTGAAATGCTCAAGAATTGGAGCATGATGGGTCTGGCTAGTGGGCCCGAAGGCGCCATCCACGTCACAGACATGGACACAATCGAAAAGTCAAACCTCAACCGACAATTCCTTTTCAGAACCAAGGACGTAGGCCACTTCAAGGCCGACACGGCCGCTGCCGCCGTCGCAGAGATGAACCCGGACCTCAAATCAAAGATCAAGAGTCACCAAAACCGTGTTGGCCCTGAGACGGAGGACGTGTACGGCGACGACTTCTTCGAGTCCCTCACCGGCGTCACGAATGCCCTCGACAATGTTCAAGCAAGGCAGTACATGGACAGGCGCTGTGTCTACTACCAAAAGCCTCTGCTTGAGTCAGGAACGCTGGGCACAAAGGCCAACACGCAGGTCGTCATTCCTCACCTGACAGAGTCCTACTCTTCGTCGCAAGATCCGCCAGAAAAGTCGATTCCAGTGTGCACACTCAAGAATTTCCCAAATCAGATTGAGCACACGATCCAGTGGGGCCGCGAGCAGTTTGACGAGTACTTTGTCAAGCCGCTCGAAAACGTCAATCAGTACCTCACGCAGCCGGACTACATTGAGGCGACCATCAAGGGTGGCGGTGGCCACAAGGAGCAGCTTGAGCAGATCAAGGAGTACCTTGTCGACCAGCGGCCAATCAGCTTTGACGCCTGTATCGCCTGGGCTCGGCTTAAATTTGAGGAAAATTACAACAACAACATTCGCCAGCTTCTTTTCTCCCTCCCCGAAGATGCCGTCACTTCGAGCGGTCAACCTTTCTGGTCAGGCCCCAAGCGGGCTCCCAAGGCTCTCACGTTCGACCCCAAAGACGTGAGTGAACCTATCCTTTGGTGCCACTTCCTTTCTTTGACCTTACCTCTACCCTCTCCAGCCGAATCATCTTGGCTATGTGATTGCCGCGGCGAACTTGCATGCTGAGAATTACGGCCTCAAAGGTCATGCGGATGCCTCGACGTTCGAGAAGACTCTCGCCAACGTCATCGTGCCCGAATTCGTTCCGAAGAGCAACGTCAAGATCCAGGTCAACGAGAATGAACCGCCGCCCGCGGCCAACAATGATTCAGGCGATGGTTCCGACGTTACGGATCTTGCTTCGAGCCTGCCGCCAGCTTCCAGCTTTGCTGGCCTGCGTCTTAGCCCTCTGGACTTTGAGAAGGACGATGACTCCAACTTTCACATTGACTACATTACTGCGGCCTCGAACTTGAGGGCAATCAACTATGGCATCCAGCCTGCGGATCGCCACAAGACCAAGGGCATCGCGGGCAAGATCATTCCGGCCATCGCCACGACGACGGCCATGGCCACCGGTCTTGTCTGCCTGGAGCTGTACAAGATCATCGACGCAAAGGACGACATTGAGCAGTACAAAAACTCGTTTTTGAACCTCGCCCTTCCGTTTATGGCCTTTTCTGAGCCTATTGCAGCGGCCAAGACAAAGTACCAGAGCCCCAACGGTGAAGTTGTCTGGACCCTGTGGTCACGGTGCGTAGATTGCCCCATACAACACACCGCTTTTTCTTGGCTCACCTCCTCTACTCTGCAGATTTGACGTGCCTGGAAACCCAACGTTGCAAGCTCTGATCGACTACTTTTCCAAGGAGCACGGCCTCGAGGTCACGATGCTTTCGTCTGGCGTTTCCATGCTGTATTCTGGCTTTGGACTGGCTGCTAAGAAGAGGGAAGAACGGCTGAAAATGAGGATCACTGAACTCATTGAGTCCATCACCAAGAAGCCAATTGCTACCGTGAGTTGTGCGATGCGATGCTGTTCGCTTGTGACAACAATCAGCTGATTCTCTCTCGGATGCTGAAGCACGTCAACCACGTCATCCTCGAGGGCCTCTTTGACTCGATCGAGAGCGGAGATGTAAGTCTTGCTCGTGGCAGCTCTGCTTATCTCTTTTACTTGTCGACTGACTCTGAACCTTGATCCTCGTCAGGATGTCGAGGCTCCTTACATTCGAGTGGCGGTCAAGTGACGATGTCGTTTAGACGGTCTAGAATCAATGCAATGACTTTTGAAAAAGATCGAGCAGGAATACTGTGGCCCTGTTCCTGAGAAAAAAATTGTCGGAGCCGGTGTGATACTTTGCTCTTACGGGACACTACGGGGACACGTTGACGAGCCAGTACGGTCACCAGTGATGAAAATCGTAAGATTTCTGGTTCACCAGCAGACTTGCGAGTCCGTGCACACATGAGATGAAGCTCCGACAGGAACGCTGGATGGCGCAGCTGGATTTAATTCCCCGCAGATCCCGTTCTCTGCTTGGGCTGCCCGGAATTTCGGAGACCCTTAAATCTCCGTCGATGTCAACAAGCAGAAGGCCAAGGACCGGCGAGCGGGAGGACCTGCTGCTAGCTTCGTTCATGGTCAGCTACTAATCACTCCTCCGGTGCTTGATCGGACAGACATGGTGTTCTTTTTACCTTTTCCCAAGCTTACTGCAATGTGAGCTTCGGAACATTTGTCATCCTCGTGACATTTTTTTTGTTTTGCGACGAACAGCAAGCGATTTAGGTACGAAGAATGGACGCGAGTGGCCCGATGTCTTAACTCCAGCAGATCGAACCGCGGATCTCTCCATTGGCTATGAGACTGAAGAGAGGTGAAACGAAGTACCTGAGGCGGTGTCAATTGGGAACATGTACTACTGTTTCGAGGTCACAGACGGCCAACCGAAATAGGCCAGTGACAGTGACCTTACGCCCACAGCATCATCGGTCGCGTCGGGCCGGGTTCTCATTGCATTGCGCAATTACACCGAGCAGATCCCGAAAAAATGCTACCGAACCGTTGGAACCACACTTGCACTCTCCTTTGTGCACAATGGGAAAATTGTCGACGCCATACCAGGCACTTGAGCCCGACGGAGGTTTCATTTAAATTTCTTTTCGTCTATTTTCCTTGCTCCACTCATTGCCAACCTTCTCGCGCCACACCGCCGTGAGGGGAAAAGATTAAAGAAAGCTTGAATTTTTTGACAGTTTGTGCAGGGGGGGGACGGCAAGTTCGAAGCTAGGCAAGCCAAGGCCTGTTGGCCTGCAAGATTGGTAGCTTTGCTGCCTGGTCTAGACTACTGCTGGGAACACATAGCACAGCCTTAAACGCACATGTGAGGTACTAGCTAGACTTGCTCTGTCCTGTGGACTGCACACCGCTGCAAGTTGGACGGGCCGTTGGCCGATCAGGGGAATGACGAAAGAGGTAGATCAGTGATGAGCTAGTAGTTGCCATTCGAACGAGCACTCGACAGGCCCGACGCGCTCTGTCTCCACTCTTTTTTCTTTTGATTCCCAACTAAATTTCCTAGCAATTTTGATGTGATATTCTGTGCATGTTAGGGTTCATTCTTCTGAAACATGGGAATACCGTGTGCTTGTGTTTGTCGACAAGGCCCACTGACCGAGAGTGCCGGCCGACATGATAGTCACCGACCGACATTGAGCCAACGAAGTGGTCAGCACAGCCATCAACTCACTACAGCACCGACATTGCCCGTGAAAGAAAACCCTCTCCATTGTTATAGTTTCGGCAAGGGTGAAGAACCGCCTCACTCTCATCGCAGACGCCAACAAAGGCGGATTTGCAGATTCCTTTCCCATCCCTTCGGTGGCCGACCTGGGGCCGAGACTCGTTCTTGCAACCTGCAATCAGTGTGGCCCGCGTCGGCTCGTCTTCTGTGTGAGTCGATCCGTCCATATCCGGTGCACTCGGTGGCCTTTCTTGACTGAATCAGTGGACCTCAATCAACACAGCCACGCAACGTCCTTCTATCTTCTCATTCATTTTTGTTCTATTCCGCCGCACCCGATTTCGCACATCGCATCTGGTTGTTAACTCGTCCGCCCTTCGAAAGCTGTCAGGGCATTCTCGGTTTCGCTTCCTCGCAAAGCTAGACAACCGACAGAGGCCCTCTCCTGCGGCCCCACTGACGATCCCGCCGAACACGAGTGCGTGACAAGGCGCACACTTTCTTTTACAAGTAGATAAAAAGTGTCTGGGGGCCCTGCCGATCGCTTCTCCGACCACCCCATCTAGTGCTGTCTTGATTCCACCAAACTCCGATCTGCATCCACCACACTCTTTCTCTCGCTGCCTTCCTTTATCGCAAAGTCGTTGTCTCGACTTCTATCCTCGGTCACCAGACACGGCGCAAGAACGAGGCCCAAATTTTCGCGGCGCGTCACTCGAGGAATGGATCTCGCCTTCTGACCGACAACCCAGCTCTAGCCCATTCGCACTGCCTCTTGTAGGACACTACAAGGGGCCAGAGTGCAAGGAGAAGGAGGGAAAAGTGGGAGCATTGGAGAAAGTAGCGGAAAAGGGCCGTAGATGGAGCCCAACCGCGGCGATCCCAATTATGGCAATGGTCCCGCCGAGGGGCAAGAGGCCCCTGGTGACGACCCAGCCCTCTCTGGAGGTATTGGGCCCTTTGCTACTCCCGTCAATCTATGGGTGACGTCTCCGTCTCATGCCGACACATTGCAGCAGAGGAGCACAGGCGTCGACCAAGTGCAGACCAGCTTTGACGTTGTCACGGCGAGCCCCTTTGGGTCTGCACAGGCCTCGCCCAACCAGCTCCACTTTCCCCAGGGCATCCAACAGCAATTTCCGAACAACCTTGGTCCCGACGCTTGGTCCGCAGCCCTTTCTTCTGAGTTCCAGGCCAGTCTTGATCAAGGGGGAATGGCACACTTTTCATTGCCAAGTCAGCAGCAGCAGCAGCTGTCGAACTATCAGCATCAGCAGCGACACTCACAAGCGCATCAAAGGGGCGAGCAGCAGCAACGACAACAACAACAACAAGAGCAACACATCCCCCTCACAATTGACCAACCAAGCGGGGTGCCAGCTCATTGGACTCAAGCTCCGTGGCACCCACAGCCGTCGCCATCGGACCCGTTTTTCAATCTGAGTGACAACATCGCCATCACCAATTCCCCCGGGAGTCAACAAGCGCAACCCTCCCTGTCCCAACACCAACACCACCCGACATTCCCTGATCATCAACGGCAGCGACAAGATTCACACCAGCCGCCGCCGCAGCAGCAGCAGCAACAACGCGATCAGAGGGTCCACGCACAAATGCCCGTTCGACGGCATTCATCCTTTGTAGCTGCTGATGGTCACTCATGGGATTCACATCTTGCGACGAGCGGTTTTGCGACTCCTCATGCTGACTTTCTTCACCAACGTCACTACGCCGCTGCTTCTTCGGCGGCTGTCGCCGCCGTTGCTGCTGCCAGCAATGCCAGCATCAATACAGCCTCTTCATCGTTGTCTTCGGCCCCCGACCAGCAACACCTGGCTCCAGTCAACATGTATGCGCCCTTCGCACCAAATAGCAGTCTACAGATGCCTTCGCCCACCTTTCTCGACCTGCGTCAGCATCAACACCAACAGCAGCAACAACAGCATCCTCCTGGGCTCTCGCTACCCCCTCCCAATCCCCCGAGGGAAGCCGATCTGCAAGCTTCTGCAGCGGTCGAGACGCCAAAGAGGGCAACAGCCGCCTGCCGCTTCTGCCGGGTCCGTAAGCTTCGCTGCGACGGCAGCCAACCCTGTCGACAATGCGAACGGAGAAACATTGAATGTTTCTACCCACCAGTACTACAAACCAAAAGCCGTAAGAGAAAGGATCAGGATCAAGATCAGGATCCCTCATCCTTGACGACGCCCACGTCAGCAACCTCAGCGGCTTTCGGTGGTGGCAACGGCAGTGGCAGTGGCGGTGGCAGTGGCGGCGGAGGCGGCGGAAACAGCGAGGCTCCGCCGTCGAAACGGGTTTCGCCGGTGCGGAGGAAGAGCCTCCCGGCAGCGACCGCCTCTGGTATCGCTTCGCTGGCTTCTTCTTCCAAGCCCGTCGTCATGTCGTCGCCCCAGAACGCTTCACTGGCATCGCCCAGCGCTCAACAACAGCCTTCCGTCCTATCCCGTTCACCTTCTTCGATGGGGAAAAGGCCAGGAGAGATGTCGCAGCAAGACAGCGACCGCAAAGACAAATATTCACGGTCAATGTCGTGGCATCAGGCTGCCAACAACGCTGAAGACACTGAGGACCGTGATGTTGGTGCATTAGGATTTGATCGGGGCGAGCAAAAGGCGGGCGGTAGGGCTCAAGACATGGGACCTTTTCTCCTTAGCTTGGGATCCTTGCCCCCGCCCCTAAATGTGGACGCAGACCGACCGTACACCTCTGTGCTCGCCTCGCCTGGCCTCGATGAGTATGTTACGGCCGAGCCATCAGGCATCAGCACCGATGACGGCGGTGATACGCCAAATGCTCGGCAGCAGACCAACGACAAAGCTGCAAAAAGAAAAGGCGACACTTTCGTGGACATAGTCGACGAGCACGAGACGGATGATGTAGAGGACGACATCACAAGTTCGGACGAGCCTTTTGCGAATAAGGAGCTCGCCGCCACTGGTCCGACCCTCATGCTCCCACGAGGCAATGCCCCGAACGATGATTGGTGGAACGATCTTTTGGGCTACTTCGGCCCCAATAAGTCTCTGTCGTGGGTATCGCTGCAACTTGCTCCTTATGATCCTCGTTGTCTCTTCAATTTACGTGATAGCGAGGCTGACGGCTGACCTGACACAAGGCTTCTCCGACAACAGGACCCAATTTGTCAACAAACTCCTTCGCCAGTTCGTGGTTCGTAATCCCGTCTTCTTCGGCCTGCTTCACATGCCGACCTTGATGGACCGGATCCGTACGCCAGAGAAGCGCAGGTCTGCCGAACCCGCCCTCTACTTTGGTGTCGTCTCGGTTGCCATCTGCGACATCTTGTCCACCAAGCCTGAACCCTGGACTGCCGATATTGAAGCAGCAGACGAACACATCAGAGCGTTCGCTGTCCGTTTGTCGAGATCCGGTCGAGGCTACTTAGAACGTCAACTCGTGTCGATGCAAAGGCCTTCTCTAGAAACAGGGCAAGCGGCCAGCGTGTTAGCTATGCTGGAGACAAACAGTAGCGCGGATCAGGCCAATCTCATTCGCATCCTCGAGGGCATCGTGACATCATTTGCGACCTCCGGATCCGCCTCGGCCTTATCTGGCAAGGGCAATGCAGCCCCGATCGCAGAGGGTCCCTCTGACCCAGTCTACTACAAAAGACCATCCAAATTACCGTCGATTCAAGCTGAAATTAATCGTGAAGCAAGTAAGTGTTCGGCTCCCATCTCATGATGCAATGAGACTGTAGAAGCTCACACCGTGCCCAGTGACGCGACTCTGCTGGTCAAGCTGTTCGCATTGGAGCCGGATGGTCATCAAACAGCCCGACCTTGATTTTGGCCCTGGCTTGGAAGTCCTGGATCAGATACAACCGATGGCGGCCTGGGAGCCAACTCGGTTGCCACAAGTGCTCCCAGACGCCTTCTACAGAAGCATGGACTTTATGCGGGCAGGAGCAGAGCTGGGCAGGCTCCAACATTCCGTGTGGAACTTGAAGATTCTGGGCACCGAAGCGTCATCTTCTGCGACTGGTGCTTCGCCCACACTCGAAAGCCTCGAGTACCTCGTGCGCCTTGAAAAGTTGGAAACACACTTCAAGCGTTTCATGCCCAGCATCTCAGCCCAGCGCGATCGGCTCCTCACAGCGGGTGCAGAGATGCTGGGCAGATGCATGGTTGCGACCCGGATGTCGCTTTGGCGAAAGACAGGTCTCTTTCGGATCGGGGGCGGCGCTGGTCGTCTCGCGGCCGTCGCAAACTTCACCGATTTACCGACGTCGGTCCAATTCTGGTTTGATCTGTTCACAGAGGCGACCGAGAGTGTCGAAGGCGAAAATGGACGGCTTGACGCAGTCTTCGCCTCTGCAGCGCCAGCGTCATTCTCGAGGGTGGCAGACTATGGAACGAAGGCAACGATGACGCAAATTCGTCGAGCGCTCGACTCGAAGCTATCCAGCTCTGAATTGACCTCAATCATGCACCACGTTCGACTCGCTTTGCAGATCAGCCACGCTTCTTTGCATATCGAGAAGATCGAGCCTCTGGTACGCAGGATGCTCGACGCTCTGGTTTCTCATGCCAATCACCTAACTCGACGAAGCGAACTCGAGGACAAGGTGACGAATGTCAAGTGGCAATATCTTGCCAGAGGTCTTGCAGAAGATGTGGCAAAGCTTCTCAACGACACCGAGGAGACTTACGGAGCGCTTCGCCAGGCCGAGACGGATCGAGCGCAAGACGTTCGAACGCTCTCAAATTACGCGACGTCAGGCATGACGGACGAGAGACAAGCCGACGAAAATGGCGGTTTTTTTCCCATCGAGATCACCATACCTCCTCTTCCCACCAGCAATACCACAGACAGCACCCAAATCCCAACGACGTCTGCCTAGTTCCCCGAAGCCCTTCTCAACACATCACTTTGGCGAACGTCATCGCAAAATCTTGCAGGCAAGCTCCCTTGCAGTGCCTCCCCTCCAACCCACATAATATATACGCAAGCGACTATGTCGCAAAACACACCTCTGCATCCTCTCTCGTTTCCCTGATATATAGGTCCCCTAGACGCCCTAGTTGTAATAACGCTGTAACCGTAGTTTCGTGTCTCACTTTCTCTCTCCCTCTCTCTCTCTCTTTCTCGCCCGCTTTTGAACACCAGTAAAGCATCATCCGGACGGTCACTGCACGAAAGAAGAAAGTGTCACCGATTCTCTCTTCCTCTGCGTGCGATTTGCTCTTTGCTGCTGCCATGGCGTGGAGCTTGAAGATCATTGGAGGTCTCTATCCCCACCTGCGAATGCCTACTAAGGGACCACGTTGAAGTGTTCGTGGGCCGTCATCATCTTACTGAAAGAAAGATGGTTCGACCTGTTTCTCGCTCTCTCTTTTGCTCTCTCTCTCTCTTGCTCTCTCTCTCTCACTCTCACTCTCTCTCTCTCTTGCTCTCTCTCTCTCACTCTCGCTCTCTTTTGCTCTCTCTCTCTCTTCGCCTCTCACTTTGGCCGTCCCATCCTAAGGACCGGTACAGAAAATTTTCGGTCAGCGCAGGCACGAGCATATGTTCTTCCCCTCCTTCGACGTACAACCGTAAAGCGCCTATAGGTGCACCTCGAAGGCTCTATAGCCCTGGAACGTATGGTTCAACTTGCAGTGGCAATAACACTTGACCTGGGCAATAACTCGAGTTATTGCCCCCAATAACTGAAAAACAATACAGCATCTTGCTATCGAGCCGTTCTGGCGAATACAAACGGAGCTAGAACCAACGCGAAAAGTCTATTCATCAGAGAGGAAAATTGTATCCAAAATCGAGGTGGTTCTCATCCACGCGTCTTCCGACTTCCAGGTAATTTCGCAAACGGTATTCAAGCTCAGATGAAAGTTGATTCGAGGTGACGAGTGCAAAAGGAGGCTGGATACAGGCTGCGGACCCCCTCTTCCCCTCCTTTTCTTCTGCCCGCCTTCCCTCTTTGTCATACTGTCCTACCAATCTACAAAAAGTCAAACGGATCCGACTTCTTCTGTGTCGACGGCGGCTGCTGTGCTGAACCTGAGGCCCATACGGCGCTGTTGGACTTTTGCTTTGCCATCTCCGCCAGAGACATTTTTCCCTTGTTGGCGCCCCCTGCCCCTGATCCCGTCGCTGAAGACTTGCCGGCAGAGGAAGCCCAGAGGTCATCGAAGTTGAGCGAGTTCTTCGCGGGTTGCTGAGAAGCAGAGGAGGTGGACGTGGCCGTCGTGCTCCGCGAAGCCTGCGGGCGCTGTTGGGGCGAGAGTGGCGTCGAGCTGATGCCACTGGTGGTGCTCGCGCTTCCACGGGAGGGAGCAGGTGCCGCGGCAGCGGTCTCGTCGCCTCCAAGGAAGTCAAAAACGTTGCCACCGCTCTTGGTGGCAGCTGTGTTGCTCGGACGAGCAGCAGGTGCGGGTGCAGGTGCAGATGTGGTTGCAGTTGCAGCGCTCTGAGAAGGAGCAGCTTGGAAGTCGTCGAAGTCGTCAAAGCCATCACTTGCTGCGGAGGTCGACGCAGCAGGAGCCTTTGAAGGGGCGGGCGGGGCGGGGTTGCTCGAGGCATCGTCGTCATCGTCGAAGCTGAACAGGTCGGCCACTTTCGCAGCAGGTGCTGGCTCCTTCTTCTTGGCAGCACCTTGAGCAGACGGGCGTGAAGAAGCTCTCGTGCCAGCAGAGGCTGAACCTTCTTCGTAATCTCCTGCATCGTACTCGTCGAAGCTTTCCCGTTGGGCGCCGCCGCCTCCGCCGCTAAAGCTGCTCGACCCGCCCGCACCACCGGAGCCTCCGTAGTAGCTGTCACTCCCAAAGCCACCGTACCGACCCGAGCCACTTCCCGGAACGAAGTCTGAGTTGCTTGCGCCCTGATACTTTGCCTTGTTGGCCCTCGCCCTTCGCCGCTCCTGCCGAATTCTTTCGACATCCGACAGGAGCTCGCTGATCTCCTTTGCTCGGTTGCGGACATTGATGCCCTGATCCTTGCCGGCTTCGTCAATGTAGTGGAAGCTGCGGAGAATCTTGATTGTCGAGAGGTGAGACCGGGCATCATCGACAACTCGCTCGGAGCCATGCTTGATGATGTACTCGAGCAGCTGAAGGGCCTTGTAGATCTGCCGCCATTCGCGCGCTTCCCGCTCCATGAAGTTGCGATAGATGGCGGGCATGATCTCGTTGAAGTCTTGGAAGTTGTGCGTGGCAGAAGCGATCTCTTGCATCAGCGTCGACGAGGCGCCCCTATGCTTCCTGTTCAGCATGGAAAGAATAAAGGGCCGGAGAAGACGCCAGATTGAAGCTCACCAAGGGTCATCGCTGGTAGCTTCGTTGACCTTTGCCTCGATCTCGGAAATGTTCAGCGCATAGTTCTTGGCGGCTGTATAGAGCTGCTTGACGTCGTACATGGTCAAGTTGGCAAGCTTGTTGCCGCTGTTGAGCTCGCTTCGCGTCAGTACCAGAGGTGCGAAGGGACCTAATGCTCAACGTGCACTCACATGTCGTCAAAGTCCTGGGGCGGTTCGACGATTCTGCGATGAGCATGTGTTCCATGACAGTCCCTCAACGCTTGTTCCTCACTCACCATGATGGGCAATTTTGTCTTCGTCGAGCTACGCCGACGACGAAAGGGGCGTTTTTGAGAAGGAGTAGGGGAGGCCAAGTGTTGTTCCCTTGGGCGCTGGCTGGACTTTCCACGTTCCGTCAAGCCCGCTCAACTTCAGTCATGTCGGGTCATGCAAGAGGTGATCGAGGTCACGTGTTGTGCACAGCGCTTGGTCCAAGCTTCGCGTCCTCTCGACCGACCGACTAGATGGGACAGACAGGAGAGACTCAACACCATCGCAAACATGTTCTTGACGAGGTCCGAATATGGTGAGTCGATTGCTGGTCAGATAGCAGCGCCCACAGAAAAGTGTGTACTGACAAAAGACGCAATCTGTCAGACCGCGGCGTCAATACCTTTTCGCCCGAAGGCCGCCTGTTCCAGGTTGAATATGCCATCGAAGCCATTAAGCTCGGCAGCACGACCATTGGCATCAGCACGCCCGAAGGCGTTGTTCTCGGCGTCGAGAAGCGAGTGCAGTCGAAGCTGCTCGAGGCCACGTCGATTGAAAAGATCATGGAGATTGACCGGCACCTCGGCTGTGCCATGAGTGGGCTCACGGCCGATGCACGCACCATGATCGAGCACGCCCGGGTCACGAGCCAGAACCACGAATTCACCTATGATGAGGAGATCAAGGTCTCGAGTGTCACACAGGCCGTGTGCGACTTGGCATTGAGGTTCGGAGAGAGCACAGAGGATGACGAGGCCATGATGGTGAGTGTTTTCTTTCTTCGAAGAGCTGCTTTCAAAGAGTGAAGGGGGCGCTGACCGCGCGGAGACTACGCTTGTCCAGAGTCGTCCGTTTGGTGTGGCACTCTTGATTGCAGGAATCGACGAAAAGGGACCCCAGCTGTGAGTGAACCTCTCCGCCGCACCACCTGTTGCCCTCTCACCACCTTGCCCTAATATACGAACGAAACCTCCCACAGCTACCACGCGGACCCGTCAGGGACATTTGTGCGGTACGACGCAAAGGCCATTGGCAGCGGCTCCGAAGGCGCTCAGGGCGAGCTGCAGGACAAGTTCAAAAAGGACATGTCGCTGCACGACGCCAGCCTCTTGACGCTGCGCGTGCTGAAGCAGGTCATGGAGGAGAAGCTCGACGAGAAGAATGTGCAGCTGGGCGTCGTTACGCCGCGCACAGCAAAGGACGGGAGGCCGAGCGGGCAATTTAGAATCTTGAGCGAGGCAGAGCTCAAAGCGCTCGTCGATGCGATGTAGGGGTACAGACTGACACTCATCGTTGAATTGTATTTTGAAGAGATCAAGAGACGAGACAAGGGTGCATTTGTGTGTGTCTTGAATTGTCAAAAGGGGAAAGGAGGGCTGAGCGCAGAAGAGAGGGGAAGGGCACTGTGGCCGCTTCTTGATCCTTGGCCGTGGGTGTAGGTGTGACAATATACGTGTGTATGGCATGGGGTGGAGAAGGAGGCGCAGAAGGAGTGCTTGTAGGGTCATAGAAAGAGAAAATCGAGCCACGGGCGTACACAGAGACAGAAAGACGCCGATAAGGTTTGATACAAAGAGAAGCTGTGGGATCGAGACAAGACTTAATCGAGAGCAAACTGGCTCAGGCCAACGATCGTGCTGTCAAGACGAGGTAGTCAGCTTGAGTTTCTATTCTCGCTCCCCAGCGATCAGAATGAAGACTCACCCGACTGCACCGGTGACGACACCAAAGGCCGCGCAGAGGGCGCCAAAAGCGATCGTGTTGCCCCTCTTGGCCGGACGAGGAGACAGCGGCGGCTCCTTCGCCTTGCTGGAAAGAGCTGTCCCAGAGCCGCTGGACGACCCGGCCAGCTCTGTCGCGTTCTGCATGCAGGCACATGCACCTGTATCAGTGTCATCGTCCACCTCGTCAATGGTCCGCTTGCGGCGGCTGCTAGTGCTGGGTGAAGCTGACGTGGATGACGTGGATGACGCAGGCGCTGCCGGAGCGTCCGAGCGTGCTTCATTGACATCTTGTATGTTACTATAGTCCCTTGAGTGGTGCAGATCGAACTTGATCGCGGTGGAAGAGCCAACCAGTCGATCGTCTAGACATTTAAGGTTGTCGACCGTACCGTCGCGATCCACGGCGAGGCTCTTCCCTGCACCCACCGCCTTCTTCATTGGCGACTTTGCAGGCGTCGTGAATGCCGACTCAAGCATCTTGGCCTCTTCTTCGTGAGGGACACAAGAAGAGTCACGCGACGAAGACGAGGACGAGGACGATGAGACGCCATCGCAGGAGTTGGGACGTTCCTGCCTCAACATCTCATCTGCCTCGTCGAGGAAGTCGAAAAGAGAAGCTCCTTCTTTGCTCGTTTCAAAAGCGGTGAGACCATCTTCGTGGGCGTCTTCGTGAGGGTCATTGTCATCTTCGTCGAGCATATCGTCATGATCATCGAAGTCGTTGGCGTCTTCGTCGTACATGTCGTCGTCCTCGTCCTCTTCGCCGGCTTCCTCAGATGGGTGCATGGAGCTGAGGAAGGAGCGTTGGTGCTCTTGCACCTCCTCCACGTTTTCTTCTTCGACGCATGCCTCTTCCTCGGCAGCAATGGCACCGTCGGCTACCACAATGCCGTCGGTGGCGCTGACGGCAACGGCTTCAGCAGGTCTCGCGCTGTACGATTCGCGGACTGAGATGGACGAAGACAGCTCAATTGGCTGCGGGCTGGCACGATTCTCATCGTCGGAGCTGGAGTCGTCTTCGCACATGATATAGACATCTCGGACCTGTATGGTTTGTCGAGTGTCGCCGTCCTCTTCCACGTAATCGGAATCATCATCGTCGTCATCATCATCTTCGCCATCAGAAATTTGGATGACGGTCCTGTTGCTGTTACTCGGCGCGACGATGGCCTCGATCGACGGCAATCGCGCAAGCACCGGGGATGAATGCGGATGGTGGGCATCCATCGACGGACTGCGCACATCTTCAACGATGATATCGTCGTGGTCGCCGTCGTCTGACTCAGCATCGTCGTTGATACATGCGTATCTATGGTTTCCTCCGGCATCCTTCCTCGGCGTCCATGTCTCGTTCTCGTTGAGAATTTTGACCTGAAAGAAGAAGGAAAAGCCGTCAGCATACCTGAAAGAAAATCGCATCTCACACGGCTGCCGCTACGCACCAGACACTTCAGAGGCCGATGGAGGCTGTCGTTCTTCAAGACAGCCTTGCCCAGGGTAATGACGTCGCCGTCGTGGATCTCGACGGGCTCTTCAGGCCTGCAGCGACGGCTGACGGGGGGAGACCTGTGGAGCTGCGCACTGGACCTAGCGACAAAGGTGCCGTGAGTCGAGCCGAGATCCTTGATGGTGAGCCGGCCGTTGGGACTCCACTCGAGCATCGCATGCCAGCGCGAGACGACCTTGGAGCTGGACGCGAGCGAGTGGCCGTACGCATTCGAGCGCGTTCCCTGTAGGCGCAAGCAGGCAATCGTCTCGCTGTCCGTGTCCCTGCCGTCTCCACCAATAGCAGCATGAACACTAGCAGCAGTGGCGGCGGGGTCGCGCGGCGCTAGGTTCTCGCGCGTAAAGGTGACGGGGCACGTTGCAAAATCGGACCGAAGGAGGCTGATGGGCGTGAGGTCGTGCTGCGCCGCAGCATCGTCGAGGCTGACCTGGTCCAGGTCCCGGGTGCCATCGCAGAGGATGAGCACGAGCTGCTGGCCCGTCCTGGCCTTGCTCTCCTGCAGCGACATCCTAGCGTCTTGGCCTTAGCAGGAGCTTTTACTAATGGTCGAATCGAGTCTAAGGACAGAAAGAGACAGACGGAGGGACAAGAGGAAAGAGAAGCAGTGGGTGGAAGAGTAGCAGTAGTAGTGTTGGTCTAGGAGAGGCAATGATGAGCGCAGAGATATGCCCTATAGATACAAAGGGGGGGCCCGTTCTGGCCCTCGCTGCGCTCAGCTTGCCCGTGAACCCCGCCGATAAAGCTCACTTTATGGCAATTGCAACACCTTTTTTTTTGAAACTGCTCGCACGGACCCTCCGCCATGCACGGGTCTGGTCGCGTGGCCCGCAACGAGCGCGCCGCGATATCTTTGAGAGCCCCACTACCGTTGGAGCAGGCTCCGAGAGTGGAAAGGCATCGTGATCAATGATATGAGGAAGAATGAGCTTGGGTAAAAGTACAGGTGTGCGATGCGGTTCCGAGCATGTAGATGCTAAAATTGTCGCCTCTTGAGAAAGGGTGGAAGTTATGGTGCTGAATCAGGGAAGAAAAGAAGGAAACCGGAAACAATGCCAAAGAGGCGGTGGCAGAGGATGGCAGGCAAAGGACCTTCAGTGCGGCGACGATGGCGGCAGCTGGCCCTCTCTCTTGCGGACCTCCTGCCAGACGCTCCACTTGGCCTTTTCCCGCTTTTCCCGTGCCTCTGTTGCCCTCTTTTCGACATCCTTGGCCTTGTCCTCTTCGCGCTTCTTGATCTTGGCCAGCCTCTTTGCGTCCTCCTGGTCCTGCCGGTCCTTCTCTGCCTGGAGCGCCTTTTGCACCTCAGCAAATCTGCGCTCGGCCCGGCTGCCGTCCGACTTCTTGCTGCGGCCCGACCCTTGATTGATGGCAGTTGCTGCTGCCGCCTCGCTCTCGGACAGTTTCGCTTGCTGGACCGGGAGCTGATCGGTCAGCGGTTGTGGCTGAGGCGACGATTCGTCTCCTCTGCCGTCATTTATGCTCCTTGGTGTCGAGTCAGGCTCCAGAGTGGCAAGCCCGCCCATGCCTCCCGGCGTGGACCTTGCGCTGCTGGAGCGTCGTCCTGCGCTGGCCGACTCGGCCGTCGTAGGCTCGGCAGGGGTGCGTGAATGCGGCGTGGAGGCGAGAATGAGCGGAAAGGGCTTCTCCCCCTCGAGCGTTGCTATTCCCTCTTGCTGCTGCTGCTGTCCCTCTGTGTTTGCGTGCGTCGGAGCGGCATCAAAGGGCGAGAGGTTGCGAATAGGTGGCAGGACCGGCTTGGTGGGCAGCTCGACAGTCAGCCGAGGCGCAGGCTTGGCCGCTTGCTCCTTGCCACCGTCGGCCAGGCCTTCGTGGCTGGCTCTCCCATTCGCCTTTGGTCTTGCTGGCTTTGCGCCAGCTGTGCTTCCCTTCCCGTAGCTCGCCGAACGAGTGTTCTTGGTATCTGCCGTAGGCCGAGCCTGCACCTCTCCGCCGGCCTTTGTAAAGGAGACGAAGGCCTCGAGATTGCCGTACCCATTGCCGTTAGTGCTCGCGCTCTCGTCGCTGTTGGACACTTTGCTGTCGTACGACGCCATGCGTGCCGGTCCTATGCGCCCTTGCACACCTGCGCAAACGAGCATGTCAACATCTCAGAGCTGGGCAAATGGCAACCCACCAGACTCACCAGGACCAATGACGAGGGCATCAGAGGGCATGCCCCTCTGGCCTGCCTTGCGCTGCCGTTCCCACTCCTGCTTGTCGGCCTTTGACGAGGACGACGCCTGTCGGACAGCCTTGGCCCTCGGTGGTGCTCGTTGTTCGCTTGATGCTGGTGCTGCTGGTGTTGCGGCTGCTGGCGCTGCTGCTGCTGCTGCTGCTGCTGCTGCTGCTGCTGTTGGACTCGACAGGGCCGCCAGAGGCGCGGGCGGAGGCGACGACTCATTCGGCGCAGACACGGACCGGTGCTGCGTGGGCCTCGCCGACTGCTGCTGCTGCTGTTTGGTAGCCGAAGCTTGCGCCTGGCTCTCGGCGGGAGGTGCAAGGACGGGCTGCATCGAAAGGAGCCCATTGGCACCACTACTGCCAATGGCCTGGTATGAGTGGAGCCGACGGCTGTTGTTCAGACTCGGCCTCCTCTCTCGGTCTGCCAGCTTCTCGTACAGGGGCGGCGGTGAATTCGGCGGTGAGGATGCCGTCGCTGCTGCCGCCGCCGCCGCCGCCGCCAATGGCTGCGTGGCTCGCGAGACGCCGTGGGAGATGTCGGCGAGGCCAATTACGCGGGCACCGGCTGGGGCCTGGTGGCGCAGCTTGGTCATGTACTGGACCTGTGGGTGGGCCGAGACGCTCGACGAGTGCGACGACGGCTCGGCGGGCTCGAGGAGTGGGTTCGTGGGCGGCACAAAGTTGTACGGGTCCGCGTCGTGCGAGCGCGCGGCCATGCGCCCCTGAGCCGTAAGGAGGCCGGTGCTGGCCTGGTTCGCGGCGAGCATGTCGCTTTCCTGCTTCTTTCGTGACGAGGCGCCACCTGACGAGACCGAGTCGGGAAGGCCGTAGCGATGGCTCGATGGCAGCTGGGGAAGACGGAGCGACTCGACGCTGTGGCCCTGCTTGACCTTGATGCTGAGGATGAAAATTTTCGTCCCGGGGTCAGTAAATGCTAGTGCTGTAGGATGAGGATGTCGAAGACTCACAAGATCTCGTCGCCATGCTCCAGCAGCGCACAGTCGTGCGTGTCCAGCAGCTCAAAGCCTGTGACAGCCTCGTCGGCCTGCGGGTCGTTTCTCGTCTCGGGCGCGATAATCTCATTTTGCCGGAGCTCGAGGACGATGCTGCTCATGCGCCACTCGCGGATCGTCTGCTCCTTGAGGTGCTCTGAGTAGCTCATGGCCTTGCTGCTGCTGCTACTGCTGCTCCCGTTACTCGTCGCCGACGTCGCACGGGCCGAAAGCTGGCCGGTGAGGACGGCGACGACGGCGGAGCGCAGCTGCTGCACGCTCGCCGATGACGGCGGGACGGGGATGGGGCAGGTGAATGCGGGCAGCGGGCGGCGCGACTTGAGCACGAGCTGGCCGCGCGCGGCTTCACGCAGTGAGCTGAGGTACGAGGCATCGACGGGCGCCGCTGAGGACGCCGTGCCACTGTCTGGGCCGGATGCCATGGTTGAGGAAGCCGCTGCCGTCGCGGCAAGCGTCATCACCCGGTCCTCTGTCTCTCTCTGTCTCGATCTTGTCTTCCCCTTCTTTCTTCTCAACAACAACAAGAGCCGCCGGGCATGTAGGTCGAATGGCGGGTAAAAAAAGAGAGAAAGAGCGGAAGTAGCACAGAGGAGAGCAGGCGGACAGAAGAGAGGCAACGCAGTGGAGAAGGCAGCAGCGGAGGGGGGGTTCAGGCGAAAGGGGAGCAGGGCTTCAGGGCACAACACGCCCGGGCCGAAGAACCACGAGCCCACGGAGATTTAAAGTAAAGGCACTTTAGATTTTTCGACTGCACGATGATGCGCTGCATCTCCCTCCCGATGCTGATCTTTTCCCTTTCTTACCTTCCTTCCTTCCTTCTCGTTGATGCTCATGTGCTCATGACCAGGAAGTCACTGATCTTTCCCTTATTTCTCTGCTTGTCCCTGCTGGCGGACAATGTTATTTGTACAATCAACGCCGTGCTGCCGTGGTGATGGGCCGGAAGCCAGACGGCCCCGTGAGCGAGCTCCTCCACCGGTGGCCCTGCTGCTGGGCAGCAGCGGCGGCGGCTTCTTCCGCTTGTTCCTGCTCCCGCCGCAGCCGCCGCCTCTGCCTCCGCGCCTCTTCGTCGTCGTCATCCACAAGCATAGACACGCCTCTCTTGTCCCCTCTCCCATCGTCTTGTGCTGCTCTGGCGTCCTTGCCAGTTGTGTCTCGCACCTGCGCGCCTTCCTTTGCTCTTCTGCTGCTGCCCCACCACTGCGCATCGTCCTCGTCGAGGGCCTCGAGGTCATCGTCGTTGAGGTCGCTGATCGTCTCCCATAGCTCATCGAAGTCAACATCGACGGCGTCCACGACGGCCGGTCGCCCACCCTGCCCGTCGTCGGCCGCAATGCTGCCCGCTTGGATGCTTCCTCCTCCTCCTCCTCCTCCCTGGTGGCCAAGCGGGACCGCAGATGAGCTCTTGGCCGCCTGCCCAGCCTGCGTAGCGGGCACAACTAGCGAAGAGGTGACACTGGAGGCGCCGGCGGGGGTGCTGGTGCGGAGCGGCTGCGTCGTCGCAATCATGTTCTGGTATGACTTGCCCGGCAGGATCCATGCCCGCTCTCGAAGGCGTTTGTGCTGCAGGAGAAATTCAGTCTCGCGCAAGTCTGCCTTGCACCTCATCTCAACTCACCCTCTCCCTGTCCTCTTCCATCCTTCGCTGGATATCCTGCCTCGAAAAGTCGGCCAGCTTGTGCGGCGCTTCGGTCGCGAGGCTGCAGGACACGGGAGATATGTCAGAACTCTGGAAGCACGTCGAAGTCCTGCGTCCCCCTCACCTGTTCTTGCGTGCCTCAAGCTCGTCTTCGATGCCTCTGAGCAGCTCAGAGTCGAACAGCTGCAGACTCCTCCATGACTCAAGCACCTTGAGAATGTAAGGTGGGCCGCCGTCAGCTCTGCTTTAGTTTTGGGAAAGTTGAAGGAAGCCTCACCTTCTGGGTGCTGCCCGCGTTGAGCCGGACGGCATCGCTGCGGTCGTGAGGGACGACTGCATCTACGATCTTGCGCAGGTCGCGCAGGGCCATGGCGAGGTAGGCTGCGCTCGCCTGCGCCTGCGCTGCGTTGCACGACGCCGCGTGGCCCACGGGGTCGACGATGCTGAGCAGGAGCGCGTCGAGGAGGAAGAGGATGTTGAGCTTGGCATTGAGTCCAGCCTTGTGTGGCCAAGGCAAGAGGAGCAGGCGTCAGCTGTCATCCTCTGACGGCAAGACAAGGGGAGAAACTCTCTCGAACTACGACTCACCCGCGCACACTCGGACACGAGGCAGTCCCAGACGTCGTCGGCGGCCGACGAGGCATGGCGCATGGCAAAGTCGACGACCTTTTGGATCGACTGCTGCGACGCGCTCAGCCGCCGCACCAGCGACAGGCACTCGAGCCTGATCTGGAAGGGATCCATGGCGTCGTCCTCTTCTTTTTCACTTGGCAGCTTCGGACTGGTCTGTATGCGCGTGCCTGCTGTGCCTGTGCCTGTTCCTGTGCGGTATGGTGCGCCCAATGCGTTCTTGTACCACGTTTCTGTCTCTGCACTCTTCACGGCGCCATTTTCCCACCGTCCCCACCTTTGCTCTCTTGGGCGTCGCCTCTTCCTCTCGCAGAGTGTGTCGTCGGCGTCCAATGAGAGAGTGGGAAGAGACAGCCCGTGCGTGCGCTTTCTGGCGTTGGTCGTCGGCGCGCGCCGCTCGCCCGCGCCTAGGAAAAAAAATTGAAATTTAATTGGGAAGGCTGTCCTGTCTCTCTTTTGAAGCTTGTTGTCTTGCCCAAATCGACGCTACTACCACTCGCTCACCACAACCTGCCTGGCGGGTAAAAGGGGGCCCTTTGGCGAATCTCTCTCTCTCGATGAATCACGGCGAGCCAGGATGGCCGACCTCGTGAGCAGCAGCAGCCCGCAGCGAAAACAGGCCAAGCTCGGCATCCAGCTCGTCTCACCCCACTACTCCTGGGACATTGGCTCCTCCTCTTCTTCTTCTTCTTCTTCCTCTTCGTCGTCTTCTTCTTCTTCCAAGTCCAGCTCCTCCAAATCCTCCTCCTCGGGTGACTTTCTCGCACAGACGGGCGCCAGCAGGAAGAAGAAGAAGAAGGGGAAGAACGGCTTCAGCATCAAGAAGGACCACGACGGCTTGGCTCTCATCGACGACGACGACGACGAGTCCAACGAGGACAACAAGGAGGACGCAGCATTCGTCGCCTCCTTTGTCGAGGACCTGATCTCGCGCGTCCGTGTCGTCAGTGCGGCGCCTGCAGCACCCGAGAGTGTGCGGAGAGCAGTGCATGCACTGTCGAAGCGGCGCTCCCTTGCCCCCCTGCACCCGGCCCTCACCTCGCCCCAGTCGGCCTCGCGGCTGCTCCAGGGCCTGAGCAAGCGCTCCGTCGACATCCTCCACGCCCGTGCGCCCGCGCCGCCGACGATGCAGGACGCAAACGCTGCCCTCTTTGGTGGCGGCGGCGGCGGTGGCAGCGGCGCGGGCACGGGGGGACCCATGGCGCAGATCCAGGCGCTGGACCACATCGATGCCACCATCTCAGCGATTGGGACAGGCGCCGCGGGCGGGCCTCGGCAGGTGCCGTCGATGCCGCTCCAGGAGCCCTTTTCCGTCTTTCTGCCGCCGCCCTACCGCATCCTCTTTCTCATTGCGCTCGGCCTCCTCTGCTGGTCAGCCAACCTGCGCGGCATCCGGAGGCTGGGCCTCGATGCAGAGGGCCTCGTCTCGGGCCAGAGCAAGCTGCGCGTCCTGCCGAGTCACCACCGGAGAGACGACGACGACAACAACAACAACAACAACGGCCAGACACGCTCGTCGCTCAATGGCAGCGCTCTGTCATCGACAGCTACCCTCGTCGGGGGTCCCGAATCTGTCGACGGCGCCGACGGCGGCACGGCAAGCTTTGGCGTCTTTCTCAAGGACCCCGGTCCCCAGGAGGCAGCCGGCTTCAGCATGGGCCTTACATGCATGATCTGGGTCCTCGTCTGCTGGGTGGCCTACCGCCTCTATGCGTTCCACACCATCTTTTTCGGCGGCGATGCCATTGGCGGCTTCGCCCACGCCCGCGGCCGCCACGCACAGGCAATGCAGGCCATTGCCATCTTTGGCGTCGTCGTCGTCACCGTCTGGCCGGGCGACGTCATGTACCGGTCGCTGCGGCGCGCATTCGCACGCAAGCTCATCCGCATCTGCGTGCCCTCGCTCCGCCAGAAGATCCACTTTGCCGACGTGCTCCTCGCCGACATTCTCACCTCGTTTGCCCGCGTCTTTGGCGATCTATGGCTGACGATGATCTTTCTCTGGCCCAAGTCCGACTCGCACGTGTGGTGGAACGGCAAGGGGAGCATCGCCGTGCCGCTCCTCGTCAGCCTGCCGTACGTCGTCCGGTTCCGCCAGTGCCTCTCGGAGTTTGCGACGATGCAGCCGCCGCCCGGCCAGTCAAAGACGCTCCGGCCGCTGGCCAATGCGGCGAAATATGCCAGCGCCTTTCCCGTCATTTGGCTCAGCGTGCTCCAGAGCGAGGCCACCACGTCGTCGCTCCAGGACGACCCGACGTCGAGCGGCGCCTCTTCGATGTTCTTCTACATGTGGTGAGTCTTCTCCTTCTCCTCCTTTCATACTAAGACTTTCTGACACGCTCTAGGGAAAATCTCTATCAGGGTCCTGTCTGTCTTTGCCAACAGCATCTTCTCCTTCTGGTGGGACGTGACAAACGACTGGGGCCTCGAGATGCTTCGGTGGGAGACATGGGCCAGCACCTCGACGCGCGTTGCCCGGGGCGTGACGTCGCTGCACAAGCGCGGCCTCAGCTCCCTTCCCGTCGGCTTCAGCCTCTCGTCGTCCAACGGCGGTGGCAGGCCATCCGACCATGGGGACCACGCGGCCCGGCTCTCGCCCACCGGCGTCCACCGGCCTCACCACATGGTCGGCGGGTCCTCGTCGCATCACCGGCGCGACCGCAGCTCCTTTCTGCGCTCGCCCACCTACGTCATGCTCTTCCCGCCCATCGTCTACCAGCTCGCCGTCGTGGGCGACCTGATCCTCCGCTTTGCCTGGTCGCTCAAGCTCTCGTCGCACCTGCACCACATCATCGAGCTCGAGTCGACGGCCTTCTACCTCGAGGCCCTCGAGATCCTCCGCAGACTCGTCTGGACCTTTCTCCGCCTCGAGTGGGAGGCGTGCAAGCGCCGCGCATGGAACTCGGCGGGGAGCATGGAGTCGCTCACCCTCTCGACGCTCCGCGGTGGCCCGCACTCATCGTCGTCATCGTCATCGCCATCACCACCACAAGCAGCAGGCCCCACCATTGCGGCGCACGCACCGCCGCCATGATGTTCCTTTCGTCTTCTTTGCCTGTCTGTCTGTTCTTTCCCCCCCCCCCCCCTTTTTTTTATCTTTTGCAACACTATATAGCAGACGTTTGCTCTACATTATCTTGATCGCTCTTGCTTGTGCCAATCCCAATACCCTCCTTCTGAGAAAGAGAGAGTGGGAAGGAAATAGGAAGGTCCGATTCGGAAGTCGGGCGAGGACGCGTCTGTCTGCTTCCTTCTGTGTTGCTCCACCGCAACAGTCTGGCAGTGATGTTGATTCCTCTCCTTTGCAGTCGTGGCGGATGAGGGCAGGCGACATCGATGACGAGCACGAGGAGGACGAGGAGGAGAGCATTCATGATGAGGCTAAGAATGAATCTGAGGCTGGAGCTGGGGATGCGGCTGGGGCTGAGCCGGAGCCAGTGAGACACCACCATGCCTCCACGCCGCTGTGCCCCGAGCCGCGCCGTGACACCTTCTGGCGCCGGGTGGTCTGGTGAGTTCGTCACGTCTACTCTTGTACCAGGCCTGCGATTGGCAAGTGCTGACACGTCTGTCATGACAACTGACAGGTCCTGCGACGGCACGCACCTCCTGTGCCAGTCCGAGGACCACCACATCGACCTGTTCTGCGTCTCTCTGCCCTCAGAACAGCCATCGTCGGACGACGGTGGAGCTACGTCGGCATCACAGGCACCGTCATGGTCGCACACGCTGACGGTGCGCGCCCCTTCGCCCATTCTCGCCGTCGAGTGGTACCCGCTGTCGACGCACGCGGAGCCGTGGACGTGGTGCTTTGCCATGTCGTGCAGAGACGTGCCCGTCAAGCTCGTCGATGCCACAACCGGCCAGGTGAGTTAGACTCGCTATCCACACTACCCACGCACACACACCTGAACTCACTCAAGCAAATTTACACACACACTCGGGGATGGGAACACAACAGACGAGGGCCACGTACGGCATCATCGACCACGTCGAGCGCTTTCTCTCGCCGCTGTCCCTCGCCTTTGACCTGACGGGCACCCTGCTCTACTGCGGCCTCAAAGACGCCGTCGCCGTCTTTGCCCTCGCGCAGCCGGGCAACGAGCCGCTAGAGATGCTCCACCTCGGGCCCACCGGCGGCTGGGGCGCCTCGAGAGCGGGCCAGCGCGGACTCGTCTCCTGCCTCGCTGTCCTCGCCGAGGGCGGCGACTACCAGCAGCAGCAGCAGCGGTATGACGACAATGGGGAGGGCGCAAACGGGACAGGTACAGGCGAGCTGCTCGCCGTCGGCACGCTGAGCGGCACCGTAGCACTGTACAGGCTCGACGCGCGGGGCTGCGACTCGCTGCACGAGGGCCTTGTATGCGCGTGGAAGGATGACGACTCAAGGGGTCTATCCCAACTCGCGTTTCATCCCAGCGCACCCCACGTCCTCTTCACAGCCTCAAGGCGATCAGACGCCGTGAGAGCCTTTGATCTCCGATACGTCGGCACCAACTCCCTCTCAGAGGGTCCGCCGCCGGCATGCAGGCTCGGCGAGTTCCCACTGGAAGGGAATGAAAGGGAAGGAGGGGACAACGAGAAAACGCAGCAGCGCCTCTTCTTCGACGTCGATGGACACAGCAGGACGCTCGTTGCCGGCGGTCGTCAGGGGCAGGTCAGTGTGTGGGATGTCACGGTGCCCGAGCACGGGCTGCGTTCTGCCGAGGAAAGCGATGCTTCGTCGTCGTTTGGACAGAGCGCGAGAAGCGAGTGCGCTGCTCTTCTAAAGCACAAGCCGATCAAACAATGGAGGGCATCCGAGGGTGAGATTGTCTCTTTTCTATGCAAAGGAAAGAAGCAGAGGCTGACACCAAGCGGACAGACGTCGTGGCCTGCGTGGCAATCAACCCGGCCAACGCTGCTCTGCTCGCACTCTCGATAGGCTCACGCGGCGGCGACAAAGACGGGCTCGAGCTCTGCATGATTCGATGAAAATTGATATGTGCTGCTACAGGTCAAAGTCGTCGTCATCGTCCATCGCCGTCTTCTTTCTCGTGTACTGGTCGATAATAGGTCCCTGGTCAGTGATACGAAGGGCGAAGAGAGGAGTACAGAGAGAGAGAGACCCACAGTAATCTTGCTCGCTGTGCCTGAGCCATCTGCCGAGTTACCTTCAACCTGGTCAAGCAGCCCGATGAGCTGCTGCTCCGTGACGCGCTGCCGGACCTGTCCGGACTGGGCCATGCGGATCAACAGGTCCTGGATCGCCCGCGCCTTTTCGGGCTTGACGAGCGAGATGCGCGATACTTTCGGGAACGGCTACGCATCAGCTGCCGTCCATCAACATCAACAGGAAGAACAAAGGCAACACTCACATCTATCTCTGGCGTCGGCGTCGAGAATGGTGCTGAGCGCCTGTCGCTTCATCTCTTCCTGCTGCGCCATCTTCTGCTCCTGCTCGTCGTGCTGCTGCCCCGAGCCGCCTCCTCCAGCGCCGCCCAGCATGCTTCCCAGGCCGGCGCCTCCCGCTGGAGAGCCACCCCCGCTCGACCCCCGCAGCTCAGCCATGCGCGCCCGTCGAATTGCTTCCAGCTCCGGGTCCGCCATCTCTGCTGTCGTCGTCGTCGTTGCTATCGTCGCCGTTGCTGGATCCTTAGTGGAGCAAGCCCAAGGTCAGTCGACCACTGGCTTCTTCTGGAACTGCCAAAATTTTCCACGTGGCTTTTCCACCGACTGCTTTGTCCGATTTCTTCTTTTTCTCTCCTTGTCAACTTTTGGCTTTGCCTCGCCTCACCTCGTCGTCGACTGTCGTCCATCTTCTCCTTCCACTCTTTTTTCTTCCTTCTTGGTCTCTTCCAAGGCCTCTAAGAGAGCAAGGCCGGACGACCGAGAGAGAGAGGCACACATACCAGGGCCGAGTGGACATGCCCGTGCACGATATCCTGACGATCCTGCAAAACGGGGCGCGGGCGCGTCTGCGCAGCGTCCCGCTGCCCTACACCTCATCGTCGCTCGGCCTGACGTCGATCTTACTCCAGCACGGCTTCATCCACCGCGCCACGCGGGGCACGCTCGCCTCGCCTGCGGACCCGCGCGCCTTTGCGGCCGCCGCCAGCAGCCCGGCCTCGCGCCGGCTCTGGGTCGACCTCAAGTACTCGACCGACGACCGGCCCGTGCTGGGCCATGCGCGGAGCGTGAGCAAGCCCAGCCGGCGCATCTGGCTCGATGCGCGCGAGCTCCTCCGTCTCGTCACGGGCCGGCGCGCCCAGTTTGTCAGCCCGCTCCAGCTGGGCGAGATTGCCATTGTGCGACACACGGGCGCCGCCAGGGCGGGGCGGACGGCAGCTAAGGGCGAGGAGGCGGAAACAGCAGGAACAGCAGGGAAAACACCGGTAGAGGAGAAGAGGGGCATCGAGGAGTGGATCGAGGCGAGAGAGGCCGTCGGCAGGGGCGTCGGCGGCGAAGTCGTGGCGAGAATCGGGTAGGCGGGCAACGCCGGTGCAAGCAGCAGAGCACCCACCCACCCACCCTCATCCCTCATTCATCCCTCTGAGCAAGCAGACTTGACTTCACCTCTCTCTCTATCTCTCTCATACACACACATTTGTACCTGTACCATCTTCACTTTTGCGATCAAAAGGGGCGGTTCCTTCCCCCCATTTCCCAGTGCATCACTTCTGACGAGGCAGGCAGGCACCTTGCTTGATGTGAAGAGAGATGTGATTGTTGCTTATGATACAATTGTGTTTGCCTTGCTTCCATTTACTATGGTTGTTCCATCTGCTACGGCTGCTCCTCGTCGCCCTCGTCGTCGTCGTCCTTGAGCTGCATGAGCGCATCCATGGCGCCCTGGTCGTCGTCCTCCTCCTCCTGCTCTTCCCGTGGCCCTTGTCCAACTTCCACCGAGTCATGCCCTGCCATACCCAGCTTGCCTCTCCTCGCCAGCTTGGCCCTCTCGATCCGCCGCCGATCGAGCCGGACGGCAGCCTCCTGCACCTTGCGGATGGTGCCGCCGACATGGCGAACAACAATACGAACGCGCCGGCCCTCGATGCTCGCCAGCAGCGTGCAGGCCGCCACGACATCGGCGACGCCCGCGCGGCCACAACGGACAATGGCCGTGCGCGTCGACGCGGACCAGTAGCGGATCGCGAGGCTTCCCCCATTGGCGCCCGACGAGGCTGCGCCAAAGTTGTCGGACAGCGAGGCGCGGAGGTGCTGCAGGATCGCGTAGGGAGTCAGATTCGGCGGCGGCGGTGCTGCGACTGCTGCTGCTGCTGATGCTGATGCTGATGCAGCTTGAGAAGAGTCAGTGGAGGATGCCGACGACGAGGGGCCAGCAAAGGTGAGCGAGAGCAGCAGCCAGCGGTTCTGTGTGTGGGAAGAGGGCAGGATGTATGCGCTCAGCGACGCGGAGAGAGAGGTGAGAAGAATAGACGCTCACCTTGAATCGGACCATTGCTCGTCGCCCTCAGCGTGCATCAGCTGGGGAGGATCGCTTCTCCCCTCCCAGTCCAAGGTGGGCGATGCCGAGCAGCAGCTGGGCGAGCGCAGATGAGGCCAAGGAAGAGAGCGATCTTAGGACGGGAAAAAGATGGAAATGGACGGGCCTTTTGGTCTCAGCAAAAGTCCGTCGACCCATTTTTTACTTTTTTTATCTTGAGAAGAAAAGCGACGCGCGCTCGCACAAGGTTGATCCAGGCGCACCTTGATCGATCGATTGACAGGAGGGGCCCATGTCTTTCAATCCGCTGGCGCTGCTCCAAGAGCGCCAGTGTGCGCCCGTATACAGCGCGCTCGACTCAGGGAATCCCTCGGCTGCGCTGCGGCAGTGCGACGGCCTGCTGGCCAAGCAGCCCGACCTGCACCTCGCCGCTGCTCTGCGGTCGCTGGCCCTGGTCCGGCTCGGACGGCGAGCCGATGCGTCAAAGCAGGTCGACGGCCTCCTCGCAGCCACGTCTAAAAACAAGGCCCTCCTCGACGGCGGCTCTTCTTTGCTCCACGTGCTCTCCATCGCACTCGGCAGCCTCGGGCGCACGTCCGACGAGGTCGAGATGCTCGATGCCGCGAGCAAGGCGGCACCCTCGAACATCGACCTGGGCGCGCGGGCCTTTGTCGCCATGGCCAAGACGGGCCAGTGGCAGCGGGCGCAGCAGACGTCGCTGCGCCTGTCCAAGGCGGCGGCGGGCAGCAAGGGCAGCGACAACGACCTGCACTTCTGGTGGTCCATGCAGGCCTACGCACTCGTCGCAGCCGATCCGTCGCTGCCGGCGCACCAGCTTGCGCTTCCCTTGGCGACGCGCATGATCCAGAAGCATCTCGAGACGGCGCCCTGGGGTGCCCGCTCGGACGAGGAGCTATTTCTCTACGCCACCATCCTCGCGCGCCAGGGCGACGCCTCGAAGCGCCAGGCCGTCGAGCTGCTCGATGCGCAAAAGGAACTGCGCGAAAAGTCCATGACGCTCGCCATACTCCGAACGGAGCTGCTTCGGGAGCTGGGACAGTGGACCACGCTGTGCGAGGAGGCCCTCCAGGCGATGGAGTCGGGCGACGACAACTGGAGCCATGTCCAGGTGCTGGTCGAGGCTGTCTCGAAGCTGCACGACGACAGCAGCAGCAGCGGCAGCAACAGCAGCAAGGTGACGGACGCAGAGGCGCGCCTTTCGAAGCTCGCAGAGGGAAAGGGGGCCAAGAATCGGGGGTTCCGCCTGGCGAGACTCGAGCTCGTCCGAGGCTTGTCAGACGAGCAGCGGGCCAAGCTCAGCCAGCCGGACCTCTCCAAGCTCATCGTCGCCTACTTTGACGACTTTGCACAAAAGGCTTGCGCATACGAGGACCTGGCTCCTCATGCGCTGCTGCTTGTTGAGGGCCCAGGGCTTGAAAAAGTGCGCGAGACGGTTGCCAAGGAGGAAGCGAGGGAGATCGAGACGCTCGACGACCTCTATCGGGTCCTCAACGCATGCAAGCTCCTGCGGCTGGTCCAGGCAGACTCAAAAGACGCCGAGATGGACAGGACACTGTCGAAGCGGTACTGGGACATTTATAAAAGGGCCCTCGTGATCGGCAAGGATCTGCCCAAGACAGAGATGCAGCCCGCCGACGACTTTGCGCTCCTGGCCGCACAGGCCTGCGTCGCTGCTTCGCCTTCTTCCCCCTCGGACCTCGTGCAGGCCGTGTCGATGCTCGAGTCTGCTCTCCAGCACTCGCCCAAGGGATATCGCCTGCGCGTGCTCCTCATTCGGCTCCTTCGACAGCTGGGCTCCGTCGACGAGGCTCGCGAGCATTTCTCAAAGCTCGGCGCACGCAGCGTCCAGCTCGAGACGCTCGGGTGGCTCCTCGTCGATCGCAGCTCATCGTACAGGAACCTGCTTCCACAAGGCTCAAGCCAAGAGGCCGAATTTGACAGTGCCGTCGAGGGAATCGCAAGAATATGGAGAGAAAGCGAGCGCGAGATGCCAGAGATGGTCGCAAAGGCCTTTGAGAACGGCATCTTCTCCCGGGTGGGTCTTTCTGTCCCTCGTCATAGTATCTCAGAGTAAATGCTGATCGGAGGAGAGGGGAGACGGTGTTCAGATTGAAGAGATTGTCGATTTCAAAAAGAGGCTCGACAATTCCTTGGCCAGGCAGCTGTACGCCGCCGAGCGCGCGCTCTGCCCTGCCAAGGGCGACGAGGATGAGGAGATGAGGAGAGAGGCCGTTCAGAGGGCGCTCCGGGTGAGAGCGCCGTCGGATCAGCGCGACTTTGCCGTGCTCCTCAATCTGCTGCCGAGCAGTCGAGGCAGCATCAGAGAGCTGACCTCCTTGACGAGGCAAGAGCCAGGGGTGAATAGAATCAATGACAGGCATTAACTTCGCGAGAGCTGACGAAATGAGTGGGCCAGACGAGATATGTCGACGGCATGCTCGACGTTGCGGCGGCTGTGCTCGGCATCGAGCGAGAGCACAAGGACGCGCGAGATGGGGGGTCCGACGACGAGCTGACGGCATCTGAGAGGCGGCTGCACGACCTTGCAAGGAAGATCCTGGACAAAGCCTCCGATGTCGAAGCAACCGCAAAGGCCTTCTTTGAGGGTGAGTATCCTCTGCCTCCCCATTGCGAAAGGTTATGTCATTGGGCTGATGTGGAATTCCGCCAGGCTGCCTCGATGAAGCAAAGACGACCAACTCTCCATTCCCTGCCGACCAGCTGCTCGTCGCCAGCGTCGCGCTGCAGGGCTACCAGCTCGTTGCCCGTAGACAGATTGACACCAAGGCCGCCAGCGCGCCTCTCCACGAGCTTCGAGAGCTACTCAAGGAGAAGAGGGATCACGTCGATTTCTCTTCCTCTTCTCAAGAAGCAGCAGCGGTAGCAGAGAGGGAGGGCGAGGAGGACACAAAAGCCCGGCTAGAGGCGGCTGCGAGGGGTGCATACAACGCCGTGCTCGGTAGATTAGAGGCATGTAATTAGAAGAGGGAGAATAAGATATGAGGCCAAGGAGGGAGCCAATCACTAGAGGGTACCCAGCGACAGGCTCGGAATCTTTTCGCCGTCCTTGTCCCATGCCGAGGGCTGGTCTGCCATGAAGAACTCGAGGCGCTTGGCGGATCGTAGCTCATCGTGCGAGATCCAGCTCCTCGTAAGTGGTCGACCGTCGAGACGGACTTCCTGGGGGAAGAAGGAGGTGGCAGTAAGGTTGTGCGAGACAATCTCGAGCGACGAGGCGGAGCTGGTGAAACGAAAGAGATTGAGTCTGAGCTTCGAGAAGCGGGGCGCGGTGAGGAGGTAGATGGGAAGCGGCGTGAGGGGGTACAGGCCGATGAGGTGGAAGGTAAGCCAGGACGGGATGGCCCCCGCGTCAGTGTTGCCTGGATAGCCCTGAGCTGTGTCTGTGTAGAACTGATCGACGATATTCCGGATTCTGGCGACGGACCTCCAGGCATTGCCCGGCACAAAGTGGTAAGCCACAGGGAGGAGGAAGCCTGGCTCGTTTCCAGGCTGGTAGATGGCTGTCCCCACATCGTTGTTGGCGCTGGCTGACGCCTGGCGTAGGCCAGACAAGAAGTGGGCGTCGAGACGCTTCAGAAACGTCGCGGGCCCACCCATCAATTCGACGACTCTCGCCGTATCCTGGTACGAGTCATCGATGCCGCCGCCGTTTGGTCAGTCTACACAGCAATATGGAGGGTTAAGAAAGTGATACGCACATGTGGGGCAGAGGCAAAGCTGCCTTCCGCAGACACGCTCTCGTATTGGTACTGTGAAAGGCACGGTCAGCAATTCTGCTCTGCGAAAGGCATACCCGTCGATCAACTCACATCATTCCACCCGCAGCCCGCCGCACAATTGAGCGGGTCAAAGCCCGACACATTGAATTGGCCGCTGGCCAGCCTGGGCGCCGGGAATGCGGAGAAGTTGCCTGCGTCGCCAAAGGAGGCCGTGAGGTTGCGATCCCAGATGTTCTGCCACCAGTCTGCCCTGGCCCGGAGCTTCAGCCTCTTGAGCTCCTCTGGATCCCGCGACATGGCACGGCCGGCGAGAAAGATGGCGGCGTCGTTGTACGAATACTCGAGCGACCGGCTGATCGAGCGCGTGTGGTTCGGCGTGACGTAGCCGTAACGCAGGTACTCGTCCAGCGCACCGCGGCCTTCCTTTGTGGCCCCGTCGGTGGAGACGGGGTCGACGTTGTGGACCGGCTCGACTTCTGCATCGTTGACCATGGCTTTCCAAGCTGCTTCCCAGTCGACTCCACGGATTTCGCCGCCGGAGCTCTGCCCCGCGCTGTGGCGAGACTTGAGGTAGGCGTCGGCCAGGACCATGTCGGCATGGGTCCCACCTTGGACACGGCCGTTCGTCTGGGCAGAGCGACCAGTGGGGAGGAAGCCATCGTACTTGAACGCATTCACGAGTCCCTGGAGCACCCTCGAGTACGTCGACGTGAAGAGGAGGTGGTAGAGGGGCATAGTCGTCTGGAATGTGTCCCAGATCGTGTAGTGGTCGTCAAAGTTGTCGACATTCCTGGGCCAGTGAGGTGGAGACTCATCCCCACTCTTGTCCGTCGGCATCAGTGCGGAGTGGTACAGGGCCGAATAGAGCATTCGCGCAAGGGTCGCGTTCTTTTTGTCGTCGTGCACTTCAACGGTGCTTAGAACCTCTCGCTCCCAATCCTGCTGTGCCTCCTTGACGGCGTCCGAGAACGACGTCGTCCACGGCAGCTCCTCATCGATGTACCGGCATGCTCGCGCGGCTGAGTCGTAAGAGATGCCGATTCGCGACTCCAGCGTGCAAGACTCCTCGTCCGTCTCCCCTCCCCAACCAAAGAGTGCGCCAATGGCCTGACCCGAGCCCGCGTATGCCCGCAACGAACGGTAGTCCTTGGGCTTGGGAGAAGTAGACGGCGCATGGAAGGCATCGTAGGAGTACGAAAATGTTTGGCTGCTCTGTGATTCTTGGCTGAAGCGGGCGCAAAAGTGGATCTTGTGAGCAGGTGCTTGGGACCAGCCACCCGAATAGGTTGCCTGAGTGCAGAGAAAAAAGCAGCGTCAGCTCACTCCCGCAACTCGCTTGCACATGGGTGAGACCTGCTCACAAAGCCGCGATAGCCGTGACGGTCGACGTCGAGCTGACCCTCGACGAACTTTTGCGTATAGTCAAAGGAGGAGTTGGCCGGGAGAACGTGGGCTAGATCGACGAGGACGTGACGCTGCCGGCAGGCTTGACCGTCAAAGCTGTACCGTGCGATGCCGGCGTGCCCGGACGCCGTGAGATTGATGCCGATGCCGCTATCGAGTTTGGCATAGAAGAAGCCCGGAGCGGCACGGTCGTCTGACTGCGAGCGGTTGCTGCCGTACGTTGTGTTGTCGGCCAGGTTGATCGACGAGGCGACGTCGCCCGTGAGGGGCATCTGGTGCACCAAGCCATACGTGGGAGTTCCGCCCGTGCCAGTGACGTGCATCATTGAGATGCCCGTCACATTTCCCCAGGCAGAATAGCCGCTGTTGACATCGACAGCATAGCCAGCGGGAAGGCCCTGGTAGCTCGTGTCGATGCCCAGCTTCACCATCCCCCAGGGCCGCGTTGCGCCGGGGAAGGTGTTACCCCCCGCGATGTTTGACCCCTGCATTGGACCTGCAGTCCCCACCATTGGATCAGCATAGTCGACCAGACGAGCCTGGGCTCGCCCTACTACTGCCAGCACCAAAGAAAGCAAGACTGCAAACAGCATCATGCTCGAGCTCAGAGAAGTAATTGTCGCATGCACTGTTGAAGGAACCATTGATTCGTGGATGCTCTTTCTTCCTTTCCCCCACGCCCAACGCACGTCCGGCTTTCTTCTCGGCTTTCTCGCCTTTGGAATGTTCTGCTAGTCCGGCCCGTGATTACTCAAAGGGATACCTTGAAGAGCCGCTCATGGATGTGCGGACTGACAGCGAATCAGATATCACCTCTTGGGTCTGTCGGTGGCCACAGCTGTCCACACCGTGCCCATCGTCACTTTAGACTGCGCACTCGGGAAATGCGAAAGGCAAAGGTGGGCGCGAACTCTCTTCCTCAATTCAATTTGGGACTGGCGTAAGGTCGTACGTAGGCGGACGCTGCATCTCTGGTCTGCGGCTGGCTGCCTCTTTCATTTCTGCCTACTCACTCTCGGCCACCGCTCCCCAAACTCTGATCAGGATTGTGACAACAGCGGCGGATGAGGACCGGAGCACTGGGACGGCTGCCGAAGACCCGTCACTTAACTGGTGCCGACGAGCCCATTGCGAATCGGCAGCCACACGTGCTAATTCTGGAAGCAGGGCCAAGTCTCTTGGATTGAATATCAAACAAGACAAATTGTTCAATGGCCGATAGAGGCGCGCGCCGTCTGGCAAAGCAGTGACCTCTAAATGAAATTTCAAAGCTAAGGGAAAAAGGAGACTTGGAATTAGGATCGATTCAAACACCCAAGCAGCTGGCTACTTACTGGTCACCACCACCACCTACTCAACTTCCATCACCTCCGTCGGTCTGCCGCTCGTCGGAACTCCGCACCTCTTGTTCGCCAACCTCTACGCCTAGGCAACACTCCTGTTCCTGCCTCTTCTAACGAGAGCCACGATCCACTTATTGACCTGTCCCTGATCTCGATTTACGTCTTAAAAGCAGAGGACGAAAACAACATACCAAAAATACGATAACACGATGCGCGCCTTCCTCCTCGCCTTTTGCCTGGCCACGGCTGCCGCGATGGTGGCTGCGCAAGACCCTGGCGACCTCGTCTCGTCGACTCGGTGCGTGAAGCGCGAGATTCCTCCTCTTCTGCTACCCGATGGGTCTCTGACATTGTTTGTTTCCTTTCCTCCTTTGTGGCGTGATTTACGATCACTACAGCGCAAACGGCATTATCATCACTGGCTCCATCGACGAGGACGGGGATACTGTGGGACTGTGAGCTGTCTTTCTGGATCATTTCCCTCGACATAAGCTTCGAAGGCTGAGCTAAGTCACATGCCTTCTCTTTGTTCAGTGCGACTTTGACGGACGCCAACGGAGACCCAATCACTGCGGTTGCTGGCGGTGTATTGACCACGACGACGACGCCACTGGTCGCGGCGACAACGACGACGCAAGCACAAGCCGTGAGTATCGTCAAGGAACATTCTGGCCGAGAACCAGACCAGATCGAGTCGGAGAAAGTGGAAGATGTAGACGCCCCTTTCGCCGCCGACTACCGCAACGACGAGGGCCACCAAGCGGACGCCAGCTTCCACATTCAGCAACGTCGAGCTCAGCCTACGGACCAACAACTGCATCGCCGCCAGCAGGTACGTATTCCCCCACCCTCTCCTCCTCCTCTATTCTCCACTTTCTCTTCTTTTCCTCCTCTTTTTTTTTCTTTCTTTTCGTCGCTTTTTTCCCTCCTACTCCTTCTGTTCGCCACTTTTGTGGCACCTTTTCAAAGGTACAACAAGGGGCTGGCCTGCGAGCAGCATACCGAGCAAGCGTGCCCTCTGAAGAGGATGTCGTTCGTATGTTCAATGTGTCGCAAGACCCCTTGTCGGACCTACTCTTGATTCTCCTCCTTTCACTCCTTCTTTTTCTCCCTTTCTTTCTTTCTTTCTCCTCCTCTCTCTCCTCTCCTCTCCTCTCCTCTATTTCTGGCAATCGCGGCAGTGGTTTGCGGCTGGTCGACGTATACCAGCCCGTTCTCTATTCGTCGTCGACACTCGCAGCGCAACAGCGACCCCCTGAATGAAGCGGTGGTCGACGGCGCGATTCAAGGGTTTTTCTGCGTTCTTCCTCCGACAGAGCGCTCTTCTCTTCTCTGATTCGTTTCGTCTCGTCTCCTGCCCTTCTCTTACTGACACAACATTCCTCCAAACAGGGTGGTGCAGCTCTTGGTGGCGGTGTCGCTGCTTCGACCGCGACGGGCCTTCAGACGATCTCTGGCTACACGCCTCCTGCCAACACTCAGCCGCCGACGCCCAACAACATCTCAACGGGATCTATCCTCTCACCCTCGCAGATTCCGGGCTACCAGGCTGACGGCAAGGGCGACGGAACAGGCACGACGGGCTCCAATGGCGCCATCAGCTTGTCATCCTGGTCCTCTGCCGCCCTCATCTCCGGTGCCGTCGTCAGCTTCCTCTTCATCTGACCGGCTTCTTGTCTTGGCCAGCGTCTTTCAGCATATACACCAGCACACTGTGCAGCGCAAAGCTACTTGCTTTTCCGTTGCTCTTTTCTCCCTCTTTCCAATTTCGACCCTGTACTCCAAGGCCTTTGTCCCTCTATTTGAGAGATTGAGAGCAAGTGCTCTCTAATTCTCGCCGACCTGTCTCTCTGCTATCTCTCTCCTCTCTTATTACAATCAACATGGACATTTCAATCTTCTTCCGCCATTTGTCTCGCAGTGAAGGGGAAACGGTCGATTGTTAAAGATCGGGGCAAATGGGGTGTGGGACCAAAAAAGATTAAATCTACATCGAGAAGGGGGAGGTGTGGGCAGGAGGCTACTACTAAGTGGGGAAGGGGGTAGATACGGACAATCAGTGAGTGTGAGAGGCGATGACGCCCATCAAGGCTTGATCGCTTGAGGCACCTTGTCGGACACGGGCCTCCTGAAGATGTAGATGTGGATGAAACGAACGACGGTGCCGCAAGTGCACTGCATCTGGTGCAAGAGCGACGAAAGGGTCGAAGGACGCTGGTTGGCCGTGATGCGAAGGTTCGCGCCGTTCTTTTGGTGCTGCGTCACAGTCGTTTCGGTGGAGGGCTTCTCAAGGTCGACGTGGATCGTCGGCTTGGGTCCACGTTGGAGAGGGCCACCGTGAGGACCGCGATGAGGGGGTGGCGGAGGCATGCCCAGGCGTCCTCCATGAGGAGGAGGCGGAGGGCGACGGTCAAAGGGACCGCGATGAGGCGGGCCCGGGCGGTCAGTCGTCAGGGTGAAAGGCTGGCCAAAGGGCACCGAAATGTGCACGTCAACGGCGGGCAGAGGCAGAGGCTCGGGCTTGGGCTCGGGCTTCTTGCCATCCTCTTCTCCATCCTTGGCTTCGTGAGCATTGTCTTCCTTCTTGGCCTTGTGCTTGTGCTCCTTCTTGCCCTTGCGCTCGTGCTCGTGCTCGTGCTCGTGCTCGTGTGGGCGAGGATGGTGAGGAAGAGGGTGCTTTCCAGGAGCAGGCTTCTCATGGAAAAGACCCATGCCAATCTGACCGTGGGGCAGCTGAAGCGAGCATACGTAGAACTCTTCGGCCTTCTTGCTGCTGTCGATGACCTCCTTGGACGTCTTGGGAAGCTTGACGCCAACCATGATCGTCGAAGTAGGGCCGTGGTGAGGGTGAGGACCGTGCTCGTGGCCAGGTCCATCATGATGACCAGGGCCGTGGGGACCAGGGGGACCAGGCGGGCCTGGTGGGCCTGGAGGGCCGGGATGACCGTGAGATCCTGGAGGCCCAGGGGGGCCAGGGGGGCCAGGGGGGCCAGGAGGAGGAGGAGGAGGCGGAAGCTCCAGGCCCTCGGGTTTGGGCTCATTCGTGACCTTGATCTGGCCGGTGGACATGCTGGGGTGCAGGTAGATCGGCTGGCCTGGGTGGGGAAGGGTCAGGGTAAAGTTGACCGAGGGCTTGTCCTCCGACATAGCGAAACATTCGAGCGGCTCGAAGTGCGGTCGGTGGTGAGGTCCACGTCCTCCTGGATGTCCTCCCGGGAAGCCGAAGCGAGACAGGAACTGAGGTCGAGGCTGCTGATTAATTCAGTACTCGAGTATGCCATGGTCTTATAGATCTCTTTTCGCTGAACTCACGCCAAAGGTGGCCACCGTGCCACCCGCCACGACGGCGCCGACGAGAAGGGCGAGGAAGCGCTTCGTAGTCAGGCCACTTTTCTTGGCACGCGCTCTCTGTTCCTCCTTATCGGACAGTGGCGTAGGGCTGTAGACAAAGCCCTTTTCTCCGAGGTCGATCTGGACATTGTCCACATCGTCGAGTAGGGCGACCCTCTCCTCATTGTCCTTGTCTTGCGTCGTTGGCAGGATGCCGTGTTGCATCGCCATCGTTGCTTCTTAAAAAGCGAGGTGGTGATGGTTGGTTGTGGTGGTGGCAATTGTGATTTTGACAGCAGATGCGCTCTTGAGACAGTTGCAGGCCGCTTTAAAGGAACAGACGGCCGCCCCCTTTCGTCGCGCCGCGGCTGATTGGTGGGCGTGAATTGCGAAAGGGCGCGTGCGCAGTCAGTCTCCCTTCGGTCTATAAAAAATGTGTAGAAAGCTCCGCAAGAAAGCCCCCACTCGACCGCAAACAAGATGCCAGAAGACGGCGGACCTTCTAGCTGATGGTGAAACGAGGGCTCAAGGGCTACGCAAGCGGGGTGTGTGATCCTCGCGGCGCACAGCCTGCCGCCCTTCTGCGTTATCGTGCCGTGCGAATTCGCAATCTGCTATATGTTTTAGCAGGCTTCAATAGAAAACAGGTGCCAGAATTTAGACTGGCCAAGCCACGATTCTCTGCATGCGCTATTTTCAGACTACCTCATGGGATAGCCCATGCTGCCGCACTTGCCGGCCTGTGTGCGCAGCAGCCAAGCTTACTTCCACGAGGCCCTCTCTACACGGCATCGGCAGCTAAACAAACGCTCGTGTTGTGTACCAGGTCACAGCATGCTCACTGGCTGAAAGATGGGTGGAATCAAAGGAGCTGCAACTCTTTTATGTAGAAGCGATCGAAAGGGCTTACAGATCGATCGCTCGATAAAAAGCATGAAAATTGCGAGGGAAAAAAAAATTTGGTGCATCAACCGCGAATCGAACGCGGACCGCTTCGAGTCAGGAAACAAGCTCAGAAGATGAGCTGTTAGATGGCAACGAAGCATTGTACCATTCAACCATTGATGCTACTTCCATGTACTTCCTCGTCCTAGCGCTCGGCCGAGACCTCGACGATGGCGACGAGCGAAGAGGGCCGCTCTCTGAGGGCCCGTAACATGGTAGGAGGCATCCGGTGTCAGTCTAGTGCTACACACGCTTCCCTGCAGTACTCACCTTCTCTAGGAGGGAGATACTGACCTGCCCCATGTGGGCGTCCCTCTGCGATTTGACCAACAACCGCCTTTTCAGCCTCCCTTTCCTCACCCACTTCATTACAACAAGGGCAGGCCCATTGCAGCAACGAAGGGAAGGAAGACGCAGCAGCATCCGTCAGCGCTTTGAAGCCAAGAGCTGGTACCTCTTGACTTCGCCACGACTCACCATTATTTGCCACTCTCCCAACAGCCGGCTCGCCTTTTCTTGTCATGACCCACCATCTAATTTATCAGCCTATTTTCCCCTCCCTCACTTGTTACGCATTGTCGCTCGTGGTTGATCTGACAGGACCCAATCGCAACGCTCGTGCTCCAATGCTTCTCCCATTCCATGGCTGACCCCGACATCATGACCATTGGTTTCAGAGCGATCCTCTTTCGACGACGGCGGGAGTTGGGGGAAAATTTTCCTTTGTCCCTCGTTCCCCCTGGGTATAAGCTATAGAGCGGCACAAGCCCCTATCGCCTTCGGCTCTGCTTCGTGCCCTTGTTGGCCCAACCCAATCTCATTTCACTGGCCTCAGCCGCACGGATCGCGGCGCGGTGCTTGCTGGGTAGCAATTCCTCCACGTGACACCCATCTTCCCCCTTATCATGGCCACCGTAGCCGTTGTACTGTAACTGCGGTCTCGTCTGAGCTCCTCTTCCTCTTCTCCATAAACACCCTTCTCGTCATGGCTCCTAAATCTAAAGTACTGCAGACTTTCCCCGCCGTGCCCTCTGGCCGCTCTGTGTCCGGCGCCGCCAGTCGCCCGTCGCGTTCCACTCCCTACTCTCGTCCGGCCTCCCAGGAACCGGTCGAGTCCGCTGCTGCTGGCAAAAGTGCAGATGCCCTTCGCAACAGCAAAAGCGACGAGGAGCGAGCACAACAGTACCAGGCCTTTGTTGCCCGCACAGACGACCTTCCCTGTGGCCCCCTCTCACCGTCGGGGGAGGAGGATCTTTACTCCATGCCTGACGGGGGGAAACCTCCTCCCGAGGCCTCTTCTGGAGTTGACGAGCACGAAGCGACCGGCTCTATCCACCATGAAGGCACTGCTGCTTCTCAGCTTGTCTCGCAGGTCGCCGATTGGGTCGCGTTTGTCGCTGCGGACCCCTATCTCAATGGCTCAGATAAGGTGGTCGACCCCCTCTGCTGTTGGAGCCGCCCAAAGGAGCACCATGGCAATGGACCGAATCTCTCGATGGAGCCAGCTGGTGCGCCCACCATTCCCTTTGCGGATCTTCCTCCGCATGAACCGCCGGGGCTTGGCGATCGCGGAGTACCGACTCGCTTCGCGACCGAGTTCAAGAGCAAGAGTAAAAGCAGCGCAGGATCTTATCTCAAGGCTGCATCATCCCTTCCTATCCCTATTGGAGAAGTGCGGTTCGCGTGCCACCCTTCGCTGAAATTTGGCGACACTAGCAAGCACCTCGTTGATTACTCGTGCGAGATTGCCGTCCGGCTTTGTGATCATGTTAAGGCCGATGTGTCCAATGCCAGCAAAGAAGCTTTCCTCCAGAATGTCATTCGCCTCTTTTGTTTTAACAAGGGCGCCCTTCGTCTCGTCGATATCGTGTATCCTTGCAACGCCCCCAACCTAAGCAACCTTGATCTTGTTGTGGGTGGCCGCGCAGCCGTCTTCATTGGCTACGGCCCTCGTTGTGCAGCCCATCACGCCGTCGTCGGCCTTTGGGTTCCTTCCGGTCCACATTTCGACTTTCAGCAGCTGGCACACGCCCTCAACGACAGATTCAAGCCCTATGCGGAAGTCATCGACCTTTGGGCCATCCGCTACATAGCGGAAAATCCGCCATCTAAGCAGCATACTGATGCCCCGATCTGGATCGGTGAGGTCCGCGCTCTCATTGAGGTGCACTCTCCTGCAGGTCAACTTGCGACAAAGTTTACGCAGAAGGAGTACCTGCAGTACCTCCCTGGATACCTCAGATGGGGGGACAGATCCGTCCGACTGTCATTCCTGCACCGTTTTCCGCACTGCACCTTCTGTCGAGCAGACTACGAGGACGGTCCCACACCCTTTGCACGTCACGAGAGGTGGGAATGCACCAGGGCCGTCTGTGGCCGCTATAGGCGCCCAGTCCACTAGGCTCGCAGCTGTCCCAGCTGCACAGACAAGTGAGGACCCGATGCTGGCCGTCGGTAGTATGTCTTAAGTCATCGTTCTGCAGTGGGATAACTTTCCTGGATGATTTTCAAAGTGTCACTCTACGCCATCTCCAAATTGACTTCAACAATATCATCTTCACTCTTTCTCTACAAGTCACAAATGCCCACTCTCGAACAAGTCACAAATGCCCACTCTCGAAAAACAAGTCATATGCCCACGAACCCCCCGCTCCCCCACATCGTCCACGCTCCATCGTCTTGATCGACAGCAGCGTATGAAAGTGCATGCAACAGAGCCGTACGGTAGTCTTTTCTCTGTTCCATTTATGACTTTGAAGAAGACCTAGACTTTACACAAAAAGCGTGGACGGTAAAGATAGGCAGGAAGATCAAGAATTGAAGACCCAAGCTCCGCCACATGCTCAAGGACGCTTGACAAAGACGGCGCCCTCGTCGGTCTCGTCAGATGTGTTGCTCGCGCTCGTCTTGTTGTCTGCACCCGCTCTCGCCCTGATATCGATTCCCGCGTCGAGGCTGCCCACGTTGCCTCCTTCCTTTGGCTGCTGCACGGCAGAAGTCTGTCCCTTGTCCGACTCGGAGAGGAGGTTGAAGTCTTCTGGCTCCTCTCCAGACTTGCCAGCCTTGATGAGCTTCTCTCGCTTTTCTCTCGCCTCGGCCGCCACATCCGGTCCCTTGCCTGTCCCGACAAGGTACGAGGCCAGCTTTGCAATGCCTCCGAGCCGTGTAGGTGAAGGCGGTTGCGCCTTGGGACCGCCCGCAGCAGCATTGGCAGCAGCGGACGTCGACTCCGACACGTCTGCCCTCTCAAGCTCGCGATCCATCGACTGCAGCGCAGACAGCATCTGCTCACGCACTCTCGTCGTCAGATCAGTGACATCATCGGCCTTGAGGCCCTTTGTGTCGACGGGAGGCAGAACCTTGATGCGAACGGTGCCGCTCTCGAACCTCGTCTTGCCGTCAAAGTACCGGTGATAGTTCTCGCAGACGACAGGCACAATGGGCACCTGCGCCTGGACAGCGAGGTGGAAGGCGCCCTTCTTGAAGGGAAGCAGGTCCGGGAACGGAAGGTTGCTCCTCGTGCCCTCTGGGAAGACCCACAACGAAAGCTGAGAAGGGAGAAGGAAGAGGAGGCAGGCAAGACGTCAGAATCTGATAAGGGGGTCAAGAAACCCTCACAAAAGCCTACTCACACCCTTGGTCTTCATAGCTTCTGCGACCTGCTCGAAAGCCTTGACTGCGTCGTGGCGATTCTTGCGGTCGATGAAGACGGCGCCGGAAAGGCTCACTTGCGTCTCGCGTCGTCAGCCAGATTGCGCAGCACATTTCGCCATCAGCATGGATGGACTCACTGTATTGTCCGAGAAGAGGCGCGTACTTGAGCTCCTGCTTGGCCATGATGCTTGCAAACTTGGGGAAGATCTTGCCGAGGTACAGGATATCGATGCCGGTCTGGTGGTTGCCGACCAGCACGGCTGGCCTCGCCTTCTGGAAGTTCTCCGCACCCTCAACCTTAAACTTGAGGCCAGTGAGGTTGCCGGCGATGAGATGGAACGAACGCGCGACGAGCCAGTTGATGTTGAGCCGCGTCTTTTCCGAGAGCGACATGGGCAGCGAGACGAGCACGCCCCAGACGGAGCAGATACCGAGCGAGAGGACATAGAGGAGCACGTTGAGGTAGAGGCGAGCGCGGCGGGAGCGCGGCGAGAGCAGCGACAGGACCAGGAAAGAGGCGCCAGCCGAGTAGGTCAGGGTGCGTGTGACGACGGTCATTGTGCTGACGAGTCCAGACCAGAACGACATCAAGAGTGGAACGGGAGGGAAGGATGAGGCGGTGGTCTAAATACGAAGCTAGATCGATGGCGATGGGAAAAATTAAAATGCTTGAGAGGGCCCGGGTGTCTCCACACAAAGCAGGCCGGTTCTGAATCGACGCTTGACTACCGCGCTAGAAGATTACACGTTGGCTCAGGCTGTCAAGCGATCTCGTATCTCGAGCTTCTGGCTGCGCTGGGAGGTTGGTGAACAAGGGCAGATAGACGACAAAGCAACGGCATCGCCGTGAAATACAAATCGAGGGGATTCCCCTCGATTGGCTTCTCTCCACTTTTCACAGCCTGGACATTTTGGGGCAAGCGTCGTGACAGTTCCACGTGTGACGGACTCAGAACCGTCAAATGCTTCGTATTAGTCTATAAATGCGCATCTTGGCCATCTAGCAGTGGATGGTGGACGACTTGGCCTGGTTCGCCCATGTCTCTAGCCTGTACCTCGCCCTCTGCTTCTTCTCTCACTGGGAGGGACAAAGCGTCAAGGCTAAACGTGCCCGAGAATTGCTTTGTAGAGGCTTCGGACAGGAGAGTGTGGAACCTGTGGGGGTCCGTCTGTGTCTTGAAGAGCCTGGGCATGAGGAAGGGGAAGTCCGAGAAGTCTGTGTGTTTCGTCTTGGCTGTTGAGGGAGTATGAACCCTCAGCAATCTGCCTCAGGAGAGAACATATAGACAGACACCAACTCATCGTCAAGAGCCAGCCGTTGCCCGTCTGCGCCTTTGCCTCACTGACGAGCTCCCGTACCTGTTTAAAGTGCGCTCGCCAGACGGTAAAGTGCTCCGAATTGATGCAGAACAGAGGTCGTCTGAGTGGCGTTGTCTCGCCAGCTTTTGCGATAGGCTCAAGCCACTTATCAAGAAGATGAAGAAAGCGAGTCAGGTCGGGGTATCCTTCACCGCTCGAAAAGAATTATCAACTCACAGGATCGAGGACGAGAGCATGGCGAAAGGGAGACTCGTCAGTGCGAATCATTTCGATTGCTGTCGCACCACCAAACGAGTGTCCAAGCATCCAAGTTGAAGCCAAGTCGAGCTTTCCTTTCCACTCTGACAGCTTTGCGCCTTCTTGGCCCCCGCGCACAGTGCTGGCGCGGACTAGGTCATCTCCTTCCCCGCTGTCGATCTTCTCCAAGACATGCAGCGCTTCTAGCACCTCAGCTTGGCGCAGCTTGAGCTGCACCGTCCTCATTTCATCCTCGTCTGACATGGGCTTGCCCGTCTCCTTATCCATGCTGGCACCATCCGGTCAAGTCAGAAGTGGCAGGAGAAATACTAGGGCGAAGCGGTCCACTTACTCTAGCTCGGCATGCTTGAAGTAGATGAGAGCCTCCTCTTTGGCTTTGGAGCCTTCCTTTGCTGGATAGTGTATTGTAGTTGCGGGTCCACTACCATCCCGGTGTTCGACGGCTGCGATCACCATGCCCTGGCTTGCAAGCGATGCAAGGTAATTTCTAAGGGCCGTCATGGTCACATTAGCACAACACATTGCGAGGTGACAGCGATAGAAGGCTTACGAGTAGGTTGTCTTGGATCCAGCGAGACCGTGGCTGAAGACGCCGACCGGAAAGAGCGTTGAGGGCTTGGCAGAAGTCGGTGCGTCATTCTCATCGCCAGCCTTTGCTGTTGTCAGGGTAGGAGCCTGGCTCGCCAGGGGTCCATTGGCTACGTATGGCAGCTACACACGAAGTCAACCAAACGGATTCCTCTCGCACTAGGACCAGAGCTCACCCTGGACATGAAGGGCAGCACCAGGGCGGCCGGAAGCGTGAAGATCTTTGGAATCTTGCCATATTTGATTAGCCCTTCGACACTCCGCAGCTTGGGCCTGTCTTGTCCGTCAGCTCCCTTGCAGCCGTGCTCTGTCCTGATTCTTCGACTCACTGGGGTAGCCACGAGGTGCCGCTTCTGCTCCGCGTTCGTTGACCGGCCTCTCGCAGCGATGTCGGATAGAAGATGGTCAGGAGGACAGTCTCGAACCGGAAGGCGTCCTTGCCACCGAGGAGGAACTTGCCCTGCTCAAACACCCGCGGAGATCTCGCGGGGATCTCGAGCTCCACCGTCGACACCTCGTACGGCCCGTCCGGCGCTGTCAGGCTCATGGTGGCTTCTACGGGTGCGCTTCGGAACCAAATTCGTCGCAAACTAATGCTAGTCGCTAGGAGGGGGCGGAAAATTACCGGAAGTGGAGGCGGATCTTGTTCGGACACAGGGCGCCATCGCGAGTTGACCAGAGACAAGCCATGAGAGCCATGGCGAAATTTCTCCTGGTGTTGCTAGCGAATGAAGAGCATTGAGGCCGTCTCATAGAAGATCGCATCGCTTATCATGGTCTGACGAGGCTATCTATTGAAGCGAAGCAGATGTAAAAGCTTGAGCTCGACTAATCATTCTTCCGACTCGACGCAGGCTCGGAGCTTAGCAGAGACGCAACATTGTTCCGCTTCAAAGCGAGCGAATAAAAAGCAAGAGGAGCCCGTTCCCTGACCTCCAGCGCTATCTCTCCGCAGACACATTGCAGATAGAGGGACAGGTGACGGGGAGCTTTCGAGTCCTGATGGGCTAAAAAGATTGAAGCATAACGGAAGGAGTTGCAGGAAGGCAAAGCCGTCGCAACACACCAGGGCTTCTCACCAGTGAGGTGCTCCTTCATCTTCTCTCGACAGTTAAGCATATCTTGACCTTTGCCAAAGCAGAAGGAGAGAGGAAAAGAGACGAGACACAACCATCCAATGAGAAGCGAGCTTGTTTACGGGAAGAGAAGGTTCGCAACGCCAATCGTCGATAAGATAAGTTTTCTCAGTGTTCAAAAGACACAGACGGCGTGCTCTCGCAGCTCTGGCCTTCGGATCTCATCAGGCAGAGCGACGTAGCCGCTTGCGTGCGATAGCACTTTCCCAAAATGGCATAGAGTGGATTGGGGAGCGACCACTCGAACGCCAGCAAAGCGCATAGATAACTGAGTATTGCTCCTGCTAGAAGGCCGGCGATTGCAAGAGCCGCCTACTACTAAGTCCCACCATGCTGACGTGGAAGGCAGGCTCTTGTGACCAGCGCATCCTCAGCAGCAGGCTAAGAGACGAGCTAATAATCGGCCGCGAGGGCTAGCTAGCTTCCCACATTTTACCGGAAGGCTAGGTCAAAGGATAGGCGGAATCGAATGATGTTTTTTTCTTTCGTCCCTTTTCTGAGCCGGTGAACCTCGCTTCTCTACCCAATCAGCGGGGCCCTAATGGTGAGGAGTGTGATTTTTGTAATTGAGATACAACAATAGTCATATTACCCAATTATCGCGTCAGTTGAGCCGGTCCAGTCTGCAGAGGCCGAAATCGCAAATCCACAGCGTTCTTCTTTGCTTTCGTCGCTTTGCCTCCTTCACCAACCCCCACTTCACCCTCCTTACTCCCCTTCACCGTCATCACCATGGACCGCCCACTCACTAGCACGCTTTTCAAGCTGCGTTCGTCGTGCCCATACCTGAGCAAGACGTCGACGCAGCAGATTGCAAAGATGTCGACGACAGCCTTCCTACCCGGTGGACCTAACCGTCTGGCCGTCCGGGCCCAGCAGTGCCCCGTCATGTCCAAGGCCATCGAGGACAAGCCTGACGAGGCTGTTGCCGCTGCTCCTGCCATGTCGTCCGAGGCTGGCTCGTTCCTCTTTGGCAACGGACCTGCGTCCGTTGTGGCGCTCAGCGGAGTTGGCGCAAAGAGGCCCTCGGCGGGCAAGTGCCCTTTCCACCACGGTGGCGAGCAGCAGACGCGCAACTACGTCAGCCGCAGCAACGTCTCGTCGGCCTCTGTTGTCGCCGAGCCAGCCAACCACATCAACCGCATCCATGCCAAGGAGGGCATCCGCACCGATGGCATGGGCGATGTGTCCAAGTGCCCACACGCCAAAGCCGCTCAGGCCGCGGCCCGTGCAGCCCAGCAGGCTGCAGACATTGCCCTCATGAGTCGCGGCATTCAGAACCCAGTCAAGAAGCACGTCCAGACTCGTACTCCGGGATCGGGTCTCGGCATCCCGCCCACGCCCCAGCCAAAGGAGGCGCCTGGCTTCGATTACGAGGCCTTCTACCATCGAGACCTCATGGCCAAGCATGCCGACAAGTCATACCGCTACTTCAACAACATCAACCGTCTGGTTGAAAAGGCGCCCAGGGGCCATCTCGAAGATGAAGCTCGCGAGATCACGGTGTGGTGCTCCAACGACTACCAGAACATGAGCCGTCACCCCAAGGTGCTCGAGTCGATGGCCGACACGCTCTTCAAGTACGGCGCTGGGGCTGGAGGCACCAGGAACATCGCCGGACACAACCGCCACGTCGAAAAGGTCGAGTCGGTGATCGCCGATCTGCACCGCAAGGATGCGGCATTGGTCTTTGGAAGCTGCTACGCAGCAAACGATGCCTGCCTGTCCATCCTGGGAAGCAAGTTGCCTGACTGTGTCATTTTCTCCGACTCCTCCAACCACGCCTCGATGATTCAGGGCATCCGTCACTCGGGCGCCAAGAAGGTCATCTACAAGCACAACGACATGGAAGACCTCGAGACGAAGCTCAAGGCGCTGCCCCTCGACACACCCAAGATTATCGCCTTTGAGTCTGTGTACTCAATGTGCGGCACCGTGGGCCCCATCGAGAAGACGATTGAGCTGGCCGAAAAGTACGGTGCGCTCACGTTCCTCGACGAGGTCCACGCTGTGGGCATGTACGGTCCCCGCGGTGCCGGCGTGGCCGAGCATCTCGACTGGGAGATGCAGGCCAACGGCGGCGCTCGTGGCGGCAAGAAGTCCATCATGGACCGCATTGACATCATCACGGGCACCCTCGGAAAGGCCTACGGAAATGTGGGCGGCTACATCGCTGGCTCCAACAGGATGGTCGACATCATCCGCTCCTTTGCGCCCCAATTCATCTTCTCCACGACGCTTCCCCCTAGCGTCCTGAACGGTGCGACGACGGCCATTGAAGTGCTCATGTCGTCCAACTACACCCGCCGTCTGCAGCAGATTCGCACGCGCGAGACCAAGGACGCCCTCATTGCTGCGGGCATCCCTCTCCAGCACAACCCCTCGCACATCGTCCCCGCCCTTGTGGGCAGCGCCGAGAAGGCCAAGGCGGCGTCGGACATGCTCCTCAACGACTATGGCTGCTACGTCCAGCCCATCAACTTCCCCACCGTGGGACGCGGCCTCGAGCGCCTTCGCATCACCCCTACTCCCGGACATTCGGAGACGGACGTCAAGCAGCTCGTCGAGGCCCTGGACCAGGTGTGGAACCGCCTGAACCTTCGCAGGGTCGACGAGCTCCGTGCCGCCCCTACCGACGGCAGTGACCCCCTGGCGGACCTTTTCAGGAGCGCAGAGAGGGACGACCGCGTGCCTCTGTGGGACGATGAGCTGCTCGGCCTCAAGAAGAGCTCCAAGTCGCTCGAGGCCAACACGATGAGCCCGGTGCACCACGCTGTTCACCACCAGTCCACGCCCATTACTGCGGCCGCTTGAAGTTCTGTCCGTTCCATGTTCCCCTGTTCCTCCCTCCCTATCTATCCTTTCCCCGCTCTAAACGGCTGAAATCCGTATCCTCTTCTCCCTCCTATTTGTTGAGAGTGTGTAGTGGACTTGTCTGTGGCCCTCTATTGAGCTGAAAAAAGGCAGGTGAAGACGGACAGATCACGCGAAAGAAGAGATGACCACGCAGTATTGTTCCCATTTTGAGACCACCAAGATCCAGAAACCTACAAACACAAGTATTCTCTGTCCGATTCTTACAGACTCGACGAAGGGATTCGAAGTGGACGACAAGAGAAGAAGAGGATAGAGAAGATTGGAGACCGGATCTACGCCAGACACCAGTCGATCCGGACGAGACCCGTTGCGCTGCCACTCGCCAGCAGGGGACTTCTAGTCAGGTTATTGTTCCACCCCACGGCGGTCCATGCGATGGCGGGGTGCCACCCTCCCAAAGTAGGCACCGTCTTCTTCTCGACAAACTGTTTCGGAATCGTCGTATCGGCAGGTGCGAAATTCTCGAGCATCCGCAGCTCGGCCTCGTCGTCGCTCGAGTCTGCCGTCGTTAGCCTCGACGAGCCAATGTCGAGGCGATGGAGCGTGACGACGTCTGCATCCGACGACTTTTGCGGAAACGTCCTCGCGACGTTGGTGAGTCGAACGGTGCCGTCAGACGCCGCCGAGGCACAAAAGGGGTGGAACTTGGACGTGGCGATGGAGCGAATCCTTCCCCAGTGGGGATAGAGCGCCGTTGTGATGATCCGGTCAGCAGATGTTCGATAGTCGATGACGCGCACCGTCACTTCTCCGCTCTGCTCATAGATGGGCATGGCGAGGAAGGAAGAGTAACGGACGGCGTAGAGGGGGTCGCGAGTGATGTAGAGGACCGTCGGGAGCGAGGGGAGCGCGAGGTCTATGATGCCGACTGTGCCGTCCAGGGAGGAATAAAAGAGCTGGTACTGCCTCTCAGCAAGGTCCTGGTCCAGATTCCAGGACAGAGCAGAGACGGCGGCACGGGCGATCTTGTGAAAGTAGCAAGGAGCGACAGGGCCACCGCTCCTCTTGCGCAGGCCGAGTGCCCAGATGGCAACGGTACCGTCGTGATAGCCCACCGCCAGCCTGTCGCCGCCGAGCCAGTCCAGGCAGAGGGGCACGCCTGCATTGACGTCGAGGCACATCGCAGGCTCCACCATAAGATGGGCTGTCTGACCTCGAGAAGCCTTGATGTCCTCTGGCCACGGAACTGGCACGATCTCCACGCTGCCATCTTGCATCGCAGCGGCCAAGAGCCCAAGTCGACGGCCTCTTTCCCGATCGCACCCTGCAGGGCACCATCGAATGGCTGAGGCACGACCCTTGTTAGAGCAGAGCACCATCTCGAGCTTGGCCCGGCCCTTGTTTTGCCCCTCGTCTGGCGAAATTGACCAGACCTGAATCACGCCAGGAGTCGGCCCTGTAATCTTGTCGCCGAGGATCGACCTGGCACTCGGAGACAAGGCAACCGAGACGGCGAGGAATTCTTTGCCTGCGTCACAAAAGTCAACAACAAGCGCTGGATGACCGACACGGTTGCACAACTCACCATCCTGTAGATGCAGGGGAAGGGGTGCCCAGTCGAGCGCATATACGTGTCCACCAGTGTTGAGCAGGTGTCCCTCCTTAGCACCGTCTTTCCACACCTCGTCTGTCAATTGCTAGATGAGTTGATGCTTCCAGGAAGTTAATCACATCCTCTAGGACCCACCGATGTGCATTGACTTGTGACGTTCAAGCGTAAATTTGCTCTGCGCCTCCTTGGCACCCATCCACAAGCTAATCTTGTCTCCAGCTTCAGGATAGAGCTCCTTGTAGCCCGAATCAAGCGGATGTATCGAAGCGGGCCTGCCTTGTGCGCCTTTGAACCTCTCGCGATCGCTGCTTGCCGGTGCATCGTCAGGGAGTGGGCTTGGGACAGAGCAGAGCCAGGAGCAGCACACTCACCTATCGCTTAGCACTTTAAATGCAGGGGCCGCAATTGCGTAGGGCGCAGCTTCATCGACGGTCGACGTGCTCCATTGTCTTCCTGGGTAATCATCGCGGTCCACGAGTGAGGCTGGCGTCGGCAGATACTTGGCCTCGACGGCGAGAGACGAAAGCTGTGCCTTGCGCTGAGCGATGCTGCTGCCTTTGTTGAAAACCAATGTCGCCAGACCTGGTTCGGGCCACTTGATTTTCTTCACCAAGATGTCCACGGGCATTGGATGTATCCACGTCACCGCACGCGCTCCCTTCAGAGGTCTCTTGCTAGCCTTCGACTTCGACTTCTGCTGCTGCTGTTTCTGCTTCTTCTCCTGTCCCTTTGCCTTTTTACGACCTCGTTTCTGAAGAGTCCGAGAGCCCTCTTCCTCTTCATCCTCCTCTTCGTCATCTTCATCGCTGGGATCAGCGTCCAGTCCGGCGCCAAGCTCGTCTTCTACGTCGCCCTCGCTGCCGTCTGATGACGTACTCGCGATGCGTTTCGGATCGTCATCGGCGAGTTGTGATGTTCTCGCGAAGGTAGAAATTGTCTGACGTGCCTTTGCGGCGCTCTTGCGACCCGGCCGAGATGATTGGCCCGGTCTCTCGTCGTGCTTCTCAGTCTGTTCACTTGGCCCTTCGCTGCTCAGTGACACGTCGCGCTGCTCGACCAGACGGCTTTGCACGTCCGCCTTGGACGGCCTGCCCCTCTTCTTCTGGCGCATCTGTGCCGCCTCTGCCGTGCCTGAGCCTTCTGCGGGAACGGGGACGCCTTGTCGCTCGGCCGTCCCCTCCGCCACTGCTGCCTTGCGTCGCTCAAGCTCTGCCTTTGAAGGCCTGCCTCGCTTCTTGCCATTTCCTTGCGCAGCTGGTGTCGCAGGAGAGCCATTCCTGGACAGCAACGTCTCGGGCGCTCCCGTATCGTCCTGTTCGCTTTCGGCAGGCGACGCCGTTGCCGCTTCCGCCGCCGCCAAACGCCGCGCGATCTCCACCTTGGAGGGCCGTCCACGCTTCCTCGGCAGTGCCTGCGCGCCCTCCGCCGGCGGTTCATCCGCCGAGGTTGACGCTGCCCCTTCCTGGTCCTTCTGGGCTACCTCTTGTGCGCGCGCCGCCAGATCTGCCTTGGATGGCCGTCCGCGCTTCTTCGAAGGTGCGCTCTTCTTCACGCCCTCCCCACTGCCTGCTGCCTGGCTTGCTGCCTCTGCCTGCTCATCGATGGCGCTCCCGCCAGGCGAGTCTCGCCTCGTGCGTTTGCGCTCGCCCCTCTGCCCGCTTGTGTCCGCCGCACTCCCTGCACCCTCTCTCTCGGCCGGCATGGGGCGCTACTACCACAACAGAAGTCGGAGGGCTCCGAGAGGCACTGCCCCGAGTTCTTGGGGTGGGTGGAAAAGAAGAAGAGAGAAATTAGAACAAGTCTTGTATTATTGCGGTATCGAAGTCTCTGTGGAGGGCTGGGCCTGCCCTGCCTTATTTCTTAGTGCGCTTAGTCCTTGCTGCTATCGCATCCAAAAAAATAAAAATAAGAATAAGAAAGGAAAAAAAAAAGGAATGGCAAAGGACCACAATCGCTCCCGTCAGCTCTCTTCTCCTGGGCAAGTCGGGAAGTGGTGCAGACAACAACTCACGCGGCTTGCTGACCTCGACAGGGACTTCCTTGACCTCCTTTGGCCGGTTCTTGCTCCCCTTTGGCCGTCCCCTCCGCTCCACTTTAACTGCACCCTGCTCGAGACTCGCCTCGGCGGCCGTCCTCTTCTTGCCCTTGGTGGCAGCAGCAGTGGCTGTCGACGACGCCGATGCAGGCGGGATGATCTGGCCGTCGGGCCCGACCTTTGGCTTGTTCTTGGACCCCTTTGGTCGGCCTCGCCGCTCGACCTTTTTCGGCACTTCCACTACCCCTGCTGCTGCTGGTCCTGCACCGCTGTTGCTGCTGCTGCTGCTGTTATCCGTGCCAGAGAAGGGCACCGTGGAGGTCAACTTTCCAGCCATGAAATCGAGTTTCTTTTTTTTTTCTGGGATTTTTTGGCTCTTTGGACTTTTTTGTTTTGTTTTAGCCTTTCCACAGTCTGCTTGTGTATTCGCGTTGTCGAGCTTCGGCAATGCTGGCGCGGTAGAGAGTGACGAGCTCGATGGCGCGGCGGATGGCGATTGGCAAGTGGCGATGATGAGTAGAGGGGTCAAAGAGGGAGATGAAAAAAAAATCAAGAAAAAAAAATGGCGGCACTCGCCAAAAAAAAAAAAAAAGAAAAAAAAAAGAGGGAAAAAAAGAAAGGAAATAAAAATAAAAATAAATAAAAATAAAAAAACAAAAAAAAAAAAAAAAGAAAAAAAAAAGAGGGAAAAAAAGAAAGGAAATAAAAATAAAAATAAATAAAAATAAAAATAATCAGGGGGAATCATTACCCAGTGGTCAAAGGGAAAGAGAGAGAGAGAGAGAGCGCCCCGTCGCAAGCCGCTTGCTGTCACGACGGCGAAGAAGAGGAAGTCGATGGATATCAATTACATAGCCGCTCTCGACGACAAGAGGAAAAAACGAGAAACACAACAGAGAAAGAAAAGAGCGTGTAAGACTGAAGGCCAGAAAGAAGAATAAAACAGAAAGTAAAACGAGAGGACGAATAGAGCCCGATCCCCTCACTTGTTGAACCTTGACGACAGAAGTCCTGTTGTGTTTGAATTTTAGGAAGATGGTGGCCTCTAGAAGCTGAACCATGATCCGGCGTTTTGGAGACCCTGCTGGACGAGAGACACGGCCATGTCCAGGTTGCCGCCCGAGATCCAGGCAAGGGCACCGACGCCCACGGCGCCGGCAGCACCCAGTGCGCCCGTGGCCGTGGCCACTGGTCTCCGCCTGGCGGCCCGGGCGCCGCTCCTGATGGATCTGACAACTGCATTGTTCGTGTCCTCGTCGTCATCGGCTAGGACGTCGATGTTGGCACTTGGGGCCTGGTTGGCTGCGCGACGCTTGGTTCCGCGGGTGGTCGAGGAGCTGTCGGCGGACTGGCGAAGTCCCTGGGCGAGGGCCTTGGACGCCTGCAGCTCAGCCTGGATCTGGGCCTCGGTGAGACCCTTGGAAGACTCGATGCTCGTCTCCGTCTGCTCGATCTCGATGCGCTCAGACCCGTCGGGCTGCGTGGTCCTCGTCGTGCGCGTACGCGTCACCGAGGGGCTCTCGCCATCGAGGCCGACCTCCTGCTCATCGATCCTTCTCTGGCGCTTCGTCGAGCGCGAGGGCGTGCTGACCTTGTCGTTCTTGGACGGCGTCAGGACGGGGCCGCCGTTGTCGTCCGAGTACTCGGCCTTGGCCTCGATGAGGGGCTGTGCGTACCTCGTCAGGCCGTACTCCTTGGCGACCTCGAGGGCGTCTGCGCTGGGGATCCAGGTGCCCTGGAGGCGCACACCGGTGCTGCCGGGGGGCAGCTTCCGCTCGGCCATGGCCGCCTCGTCGTGCTCCTGCGCTGCCTTTTTCGACGGGCGTCCGCGCGGCCGCCTGCGGGCAGGCTCGAGACCGCCGTTTGCCATCTCGGCATCGTAGCGCTTCTCCAGGTACTCCATCTCGCCCCGCTCGGCCTCGCCATCGGCATAGGGAAACGCAAGGCGGTACATCGACGACGCGGCGAGCGCATTGGTGTCGAAGCGCTTGAGCAGGAACGAGTGGTCGGTGCCATTGACAGTGGGCAGCTTGACGCGTCCAATGATGATGTTCTGGCCATCGCGCCGGATCACCTGGACCTTGACCGGCACGTCGGCATCTGGCAGTACCGGGTTGCGGCGCTCGGGCAGGGGTGGCCTTGCAGCGAGGGCCTTTGCCTGGGCCGCGCGAAGGCCGTTCTCCTTCTTGGACGCGGCCGAGGGCGTCGTCTCGACGTCAGCAGCACCGGCGTCCTTGTCCTTGGGCGTGGGCGTGGCGCGCGCCGACGCGCTAGCCTCGCGCTTCGAGGCAGCCTTCTTGCGCGGCGTCGTGTTCTCCTGCTTGGCCGACGCCGTCGAGACGTTGGAAGCCACCGACGAGGAGCGAGCACGTCGGGGAGTGGAGCGACGCGAGCCAGCCATTGTTGTTGGACGTCTTGTAAATGCGGGAGGATTTATATGAGGTTGGTGCTTAAGAAATGGAAAGAGGTGAGCGTGCGACACGGGGGGGGAAAGATGGGTTGCGTGATGGTCGCGAAAGGCAAGTCCAACGCGTGGCATTTGCAACAGGGAAAGAGAGAGAGGGGGGCGACCGCCCGACTTGGCCCTCTCCCTCCTCCAACCTCACTGACCTCTGCCCCGAGAGAGAGCAATAAAAATACAAATGGGAAAATACGATTTTCTTGAAAATCAATTTCTCTACCGTCGCATTTTTTCTCTTTTCTATTTTTCTCGCGTTGTTTTTCATCGCTTTGAAAGGAGAGACTAGTCCACCAAGGTGAGCGCTGCTTGCTGGGACGCGACTCTCGAACACGCACGTGAGAAAATAAGGCTCGTTGCATGCACGCCTTCGAGAACAACACTTTGGAGAGAGAATAATCGACCGGTCCGGCAAAATCAGAAGGGCAGCGCGAGAGCCGACCACGTTCCCTCGGCGCGCAGGAGGACAAAGCTGCTTCAACCAGGAACAGAGAGAGCTTGGCGCAGAGGCTGCATCGCAGTGATGGAATCGGCGAATGGGGCGAAGGAAGCTGTATAAAAGAGGGTTCTGCAATGCGACAATTCTTCTCTTTTCGAGATGCAAAGGCTCCTGATGGCATCCTCGCCCAACCCCCTCTCGCCGGCATACGTGCCTCCGAGCTTGAGCTGGTACTGCAACGCAGCGCACATCACGCCCTCGGTCTACACCCTCCCGCCTCAGGCCGAGAATGGCCAGGCCAAGCTCGTGAACCTCATCTACGTGCAGCGCCACCAGAAGAGGACGCCGGACAACCTGGTGCCCAACAACGAGAATGTCTTCAACCCGCCGGCCGGGTGGGACTGTCGTGACATCGACTTCCACTCCTACGCCACGGGCAAGGGCGTCGGTGCTGCCAACGTCGTCGAGGAGTTCGAAATTGATTCGTGGAACCCTTTTCTCGCCCGCATCTGGAATGGTGAGAAGCGTACCTCTTGTGCAGAGAGCACGATGGAGCTGACTCCGTGAATAGGAACCTGCGATGCGGGCCAGCTGACGGCAGGCGGCTTGAAAGACTCCCAGGCGCACGGCAAAGACTTTTGGGGCATCTACGGACCAGCAGGCAAGGCACACTTCCTCGGCCCGGCTCCGACGGAAGAGCAAGTCTACGTGCGCACTAGCCCCGAGCCACGCACGATGCAGGTGGCCGGTGCCTGGCTCGACGGCGCGGGCTATCAGGACGGCCGGCAATTCACCGTGCATGTGATGCCGAGCGAAATTGTGAGTAGACCGCATCGGCCCCCTGCCTTGGGAAGCATCTGATCGTCTCTCGGCAGGACAACATCGTACCCAGCTACAGCTGCTCCTACGCCGACAGCCTCCGCAGCCAGATCGAGGTGGGCGATCTTCCGCTCACTCAAGCAAATTGCAAGCACCGCTGATTGGCCCTTGTCTTTCTGCAGTCCGAACAGCCGTGGAAGGAGCATCTGGCGAGCAAACAGAGCCTCTTCGACGACGTCAATGCCGTCCTGGGCACGGGCCAAGACGGGGGTTGGAACAGCTGGATCGACCACGCCTTTGATTTTCTGGTGTGTGCCACTCTATTCGTTACTGGTTCCTGACCGCTGTTGCTGACGCCCTGGCCCCATAGTCCTCGCGCCAATGTCACGACCACCCTTTGCCGACGAACCCAGCCAACGGAAAGAGCATCTCGCAGAAGACGGCCGATGACGTCTACGCCGAGGGCAACTGGGAGTACAAGTGCGTCGCCCTCCGTGAGCTCTTCCACATGAACACCACAGATGCTAACTTCTTTTCACAGCTACATCTGGAACAATGCGACCAATGCAGACGAATACGTCAAGTACCAATTCGGCGGCTTCGTCCAAGAGCTCGTGCGCAACCTCGACAGCATCCGGTCCGGCCACGCTGCACCGAAGCTCATGGCTTACTTTGGCCACGATGGGACTATGGTGCGCCTCTTCAAGACGCTGGCACAGGCCGGCAACATTCTCTGGCCTGGACTTGGGAGCGAGGTCGTATTTGAAGTCTGGCAGGACAAGGCCGGCAGCAAGTTCATGCGCATCTTGGTGAGTCTGTCTTTGCTTTCTTCTTGATCGGACACTTTTTCTGACTATGTGAGGTCATTCTCAGGCATACGGAAAGGTCCTCTCGTCCAATGCAAAGGGTCTCACGACCAAGGATGGGCCCGCCGATGCGGCGTGGACACCTCTCGAAGACGTGATCCAGTATCTCGAGGGCCGTGTGCCCAGTGACCTGTTTGAGAAGTGCTCACAGTGACCCGGACAGATGGTCTTCGATGCAATGGAATGGACTATTTTTCTTTTCAGGGGTGCGACGAGAGAGAGGAAGGAAATTACGGCAGAACAGTGGCGACTATGCGCCTCGAGTGGCGGCCCTCTCTGTGCTCAAAGAGCTGGATGCCCTGCCATGTCTGCAAATAAATCCGTCAATTAGCTTCTGCTTTTCTTTCTCTACTGTTCGATGGAGGAGAAGAAGAAGAAGAAGGACTCACCCCAAGGTTCAGCCGGCCGTCGGTGATGGGAATGGTGATGGAGCTCCCGTAGATGCTCGCCTTTGTGTAGCTGCTCGAGTCGTCGGGTCCCTCGTCGGTGTGCTTCCAAGGCAGCGTGTCGGGCACCATGCGGTCAGCGGCCATGGTCATGTCCGTGCGCACGTCTGGGTCAAAGTTTTCGTTGAGCGTGAGCGAGGCCGAGGTGTGCTGAATGAAGAGGGTGAGGAGGCCAATCTTGACGCCCTTGAGGCCTGGCGCGATTTCGGCTTCGACTTCGCGCGTGACGAGGTGGCAGCCTTTGCCGCGCGAGGGCAGCGTGAATGTCTTTTGCCAGGGCATTGTGGGCGGCGTCGATGGACACGAGGTGCGCGAGGAGGAGGAGGACGACGACGACGACGACGAGGGAGCGGTGGGGCAGCACGAGGCGCACGGGGGCGGTCGCGACGAGTTCGGCTTGTTGGAGACGAGGCTGCCAAAGGGCAGGTACGAGGGGATCGTCAGGTAGAGGAGCCCAACGACGAGGATAAAGCAAACGACGGTGAAAGGGTCCGTGTGCGACTGGGCAAACTTTTGTGCGCGCAGCCGGCGGGAGGCCTGTGTCTTGTCGGTGCTAAAGTGCGGCGACGAGGCGTAGAGCGTGGAGCTGGCAGATGTCGGCGTGCTGCGTCCGGGCGCGTGTGCGGTGCTGCTGCTCGAGGCCGAGGTGGAGTGCTCCGTGTCTGAGGGTGAGGATTGGCGCGGATGGGCAGCGGTGCGACGGGGAGGTGGTGGATAAGAAGAAGCCATGGCGAACGACGACGGACTTGTCGTGGCGAGGCGAGCGAAGAAAAGTGGAGGGAGGCCGAGGCAAAACCCCCACGCGACATCATTTGTCACGGCTCCCACAGCCCAAGCCATCCAAAGTCACCAATGAAGGCAAAGATTTACAAGTAAGCAGAAGGGTGATAGATGGCTGCATCATTGTACAGTACAATTACATGCTCAAGCTTGTCGACTAGTGACCACTAGCACCCGTGGCAGCCGAGGCCCGCTTCCAGAAGCCAGCTGCGGCGACGCCTCCCGCGACGAGGACGCTGAGCAGGGCGGCGGAGCTAAACACCGTAAAGACAACGCCCGGGTCGTTGTGCTTGTGATGATGTTGGTGGTGGTGCTGATGATGGCTCCGACTCCTTGCTGCTCCTGTCCGCCTGCTGTCCCGCACCTTCTTTCGCTTGCCAGCCCCTCCACCGACATTGGCGCCCATCCAGAGGCTGCTGCCAGCCTTTTCACTCGTCTCGCTCCTCTCGTCGAATGCAGCCTCGTCAAAGGCGTCGGCCTCCTGCTCGGCGGCATATTCGAGCGCAGCAACCTCTGCAATCTCACTCGCCTCGCTCCATTCTCGCTCAGAGACGAATACCGCACCATCGAGCCTTCTGGCCTCGTCCAAAAACACCAAGGGTCCCGCTTGGACCAGCTGGAAGGCTCTTGACGGTGATAGCGTGCTCTGCGGCTGGCTTCCCAGTGTGGTAGCGAGGCCGGGTATCCCGCTGCCCGCCTCTGCTGGCGTGTTACCCCCAAAGGGATTTGTCAGGACACCGCTCGGGAAGCTCAACGGGGATCGAGTCTCGTCAAATGAAGGCAGTTGCAATCGCGCGTAGGAGACGTAGAGTCGGGCCAGCGCAGTCGGACCTCCGAGAGCGGCAACAAAGCGCTTTCGATAGAAGGGCGTCGACGAAAACGAGTCTGCTCCATTTCGTGGATGCAGCGTCTCGACAGACTGAGGGCCCACAGCAGGCGTGTCTGACCGCATCAGCGGCAGATAGTGGTCGACGAGGAACTTTGTGGCCAGAGGCACTTCGGCAGCCCTCCATGCGCGTGCGAAATACTCAAAGGACACCATGTCCTGGCGGGGACCGCGGCCGACTGCACTTAGTGTTGACGTCGCCGACGAGGTCGCAGGAGGCGTGGAGGCAGAGGAGCGGGCGTGGCGGAGACCCATGAGCGCAAGGCTGGTGGGATCCATGTTGAACTTTGCTGCCTCTTCTGCTTCCAGATCGGCCCGAAGACCGGCTGCTGTTCCCTGCTGAGCCGAGGATCTGGATGCCAGGACAGTTGTGCTGTCATCGCTGCCAATCGTGTCGACAGTGATCGTGCTCGAGTCTGGTCCAATGGACGGAGACGTGGCCAGCTCGTCGTCGTCATCGTCGTCTGTGGCGTCAGTTGAGTTTGATTGCCTCGGCAGCCCAGAGTGCAGAGCCTCCTCGGACGAGGTTCCCAATGCCTCGCTGAGGGCTGCGCGGAGTGAAGAGTGGCTGCTGACCGACGTGAAGGGACGCGTGGCGTCGCTGCCGAGCGTGGCAGCTGGAGTCGAAAGAGGCGCTGGTCCAGTGACCAGGCAGGGCCAGATGCCTCCATCGATCTTGTCGAGGTGCAGAGTGACAAGCCTGGCGCTCTTGATGATGTCGACGACATCGTCTTGCTCGTCGCGCGTCTCGCTTCGATCGGGCCTGCTTGGGTTGCTCCCACTCGAGCCCGTCGTGGCATCGGCACTCATGCTCGAGCTGAGGCTGACGATGCCGTCTCCTTCGCCCGAGCCCGTAGAGCCGGGTCCAACAGGGAACTCTGCAGATGCTACGCTCCTCGACAGGGGAGGTGAAGAGAAGCTCGGGCTTCCCGCTTCGGAGAAGGAATCGGGCGATCGGGGAGAATGAGGCGTGTAGCCAAACGGTGACGCGCCCCCCGAGCTTCGCCCTCCGCCACTGCCGCCATGGGCACTGTTGGCGCCCAGTGCACTGAGTCCCTCGGTGCTCCGCTGCAGCACATCGTAGCTCGAAGCCCCACTGCTGGCGGGTGAATGCGGACGCTCTTCTAATGGGACCCCCTGCGAACTGAGCTCGGTCCTGTCTCGCCTGCGTCCAGTGTCCTGCCCCCGATCATCGTTCCGGTGACCACGCACTGGACTCCTGGCCGGCACATCGTCGGAGTGGTCGTTGACGTCACTGCCGCTCTCGCTCCCTCGCATCCGTGTCCGACTCCTGCTCCTGAATCGCTTCCTGCTCCTCTTCTCCATCTGCCACGTCGACGTCTCTGCATTGATGCGGCCATGCAGACGCGCCTTGACGACTGGTTCCTCGCCTCGGACGCCAGCAATGATGTCTGAGAAAGGCAGGGGCCACAGTCAGCTCGCAATCACACGGGCAATCTCATCAGCGGTTGGATCGTGCATGGACCCACAATCAGTCTCGATGGTGACCTGCATGTCGTCGCGTCTCGTCCAGCGCGGGACGTAAAAGAGCAGCGTCGCCTGTCCATAGGACTGGTGGATGGACCATCCAAACAAGGCATTGTGTCGGCGATGTTGCTGCTGCTGCTGCTGTGGCTGAGGCGAGGCCGACGTCGACGCGACGGCGCCCGCCTCGAGACCAGCCATGGCGGCGGCCCGCTTAGCTTCGCCCATAATTCCCGCTCGGTGTTGTTCTGCTATAGGAGGAGCTTCCGACAGTAAAGAGCAGCAAATCACTTCCCTCGCGACCTTGCCGCGCCGTCAAGACGAACGGATGGGTGAAAAAGGGAGAGAGGTCGCTCAGTGAGCGGCTGCCCCTCTCTCTCTCTCTCTCGCGCGCGCCTGATTTTTTTGGATGGCTCACCAAAACAATTTTATGGAATAGCCCCGCGTCTCTCGCGATCAGATCAGCCTGCTCACCTGCTACTACACTATTTTTTTTGGGCAATTGCGTTGAATTTGGCTCAGCGTGCCTTGCGCTGCACGCCGGCTATCCATATCTCCGGCTAAGCCTATCTGCCTGCCTGTCGGTCGTGTCGATTAGTCGTCGGCACGCGTGCCGCGTGCCGTGTCACGGTCAAGATGGTCTGCAGCACTCGCGATTCCATGGGTGTCAGACTGCTGATTGCGGCGACCGACCCCGACAATGCTGCCTCTGCGGGCCTGTGGCTCGAGGAGTCACTGGCAGCATGCGTTACAATCGACGACGTCTACGGGCAGCCTTAAGCTCATTCGCTTTCTGGCTTTTTGAAAGCAATTCCATGCAGTCACGGTTGTGTACAGTACAAGGACGCTGCGTGTATTGATAGACGAGACAAGGAACAAACATCCTTGGTCTTGTCTGTGTTCATTATGATACTGTAAAGATGGTGACAAGATACGGAGAAAAAGAAGAGATAGAGAGATAGGTAGAAAGGAGGAGAGAGTTGGGGGAGACACAGGACTAGAGAGTCGAGAAAATTGTTTACATGTACAACGTGGAGGGTTACCGTGAAGAGGTGATACGAGTGTGAGAGGGAGATGCAAGAAGATCAGGCCACCTGGGCCTCACCGCGGCGGTCGTGAGTGGGAGCGGGCGCCTGGTGGGATCCACTCGTTTGTCTGGCGTGGTTGGTGCTCTGCAGTTGCTGCTGAGGGTTCGGCTGTCCGGTGTGGGTGTACTGGCCGGGAATGTGGGTGGGCCGTGGTACCGCATGGGCCTGGTACTGGCCGGCGCCGACGTTGGCGAGGTTCATGGTCGATGGTGGTGCACCGCTGACGCCCGACATGCTCGTCATGGGCAGCCCGTTGGCGACCATGCCGGCAGAGACGTTGCCAGGTCCGAGCGGGGCGCCGTTGGAGATGGGCACTGGTCCGCTCATGGAGTTGCGACCCAGGCCTGGTGCCACGGCCCCTGCTGCGGCTTGGTTGACGTTGAGATTATTGCCATTGAGGAGAGCGTTTGGGTTGCCGCCATTGACATTTGGCCCAAGCTGTCGCTGTGTCTGCATGAGCTGCGACTTGAGGAACATGATTTCGTTGCGAAGCGCGCTGACGGTCCCCTGCAGGTGCTCGTTGTCCGTCTGCAGGTACTCGACCTTGGCCTGGAGCGAGGCAAGCCAGGCCTTCTTGCGCTGCCGACACTTCAAGGCCGCCTGCCGATTACGCTCGAGGAAGTTCTTGCGCTTCTCTTCGTCCTCGATACCGCCTGCACCCTTTGACATTCTGGCTTCGTCATCGTCGTCATCATCGTCAAGATCGTCGCCGCTCATCGATGCAACCGAGCCGCCCTGCTCGCTCTTTGCCGATTTTGCCTTTTTGGCACCGCCCGTCGCGCCTGCAGCGCCCTTTGGTTCGCTCTTCTTGCGTTTGCCTGCGCCGCGGCCAGCAGCCGCACCCTTGCCACCGTGCTGAGCAGCATTCGGGCCGAGGTGCTGCGGCTGCTGGCTGCTGTTGTACAGCGCCTGCTGCTGGCTGTCGCTGGGCCGCTGGACGCCGTGAAGCGCATGGGCGGCTGCCTGGGCCGCGGCAGCAGCGTCTTCGCGCTTGGCGAGCTCCTGGTGCGCCTGGGAGAGAAGGAAGAGGCCAGAAGCGGCCTGTGTTGTCTGAGCTGGATTTTCAGCCTTGACATTGGCGGCGGCATCCTGTCGTTGTTGCCCTTGAGGCTGCTGCGCTTGTCCGTCGTTGGTCCCTCTTGCTTGTGACGGCTGCTGCTGTTGTTGTTGTGATTGTTGCTGCTGCTGCTGTTGCTGCTGGTCGTCTTGCTTGTTGCTGCCTGGCTGCGACGTGACTGCAGCGTTCTGGTTGGCGACGTTGTCCATCGGATTTCCCGACAGCGCAGAGAGGGTGTTTGGTGTAATGGTGGCGCCCGACAGGCCTGGCCCGCTCGAGTTGGTGACCATGGCCAAGAAGGCAGCCGTGTTTGGACTGGGTGGCGGAAACGAGGCGCCGGTCGCACCAAGAGGGGTGAGGCCCGTCTTGAATGTGGACAAGTCAGGGGTGAAGCCGGTCCGGAAGGCCGAGGGGTCGAAAGACGATTGCGGGCCCGCAAGCATGGCAGGCGACAGGGGACCCGAACGCAGCGAGCTGGAGAAGGAGTTAGACCACGGGTAGTGGTTGCTGCCGGACTCGTTTGCCGACGGCGAGGTCATCGACGACACGGGCGGTAGGACGCGCTTCGACGACGGCGTCTGGGCGTCTTTGCCACCCGTCGGTGTCGATGTGCCTGCCCCTCGGCCAGCTGCTTTGTCCGACGTCGTTGCACCTTCCTTTGAAGGTGCTGCTCCTGCCGCTGCCGTTGCCGTTGACGTTGATGCTACCGACGATGCCCTGCCGGCCTTCTCGCCGTCCTTTGCATTGTTGCCCTTTGCGCCTCTCCTCTTGGTCGGCGTGTCAACCTCGACGTCGTCGACGTTGCCATCGGGCGAGTCCGAGGGTTTAGAAAAGGACTGCTCGAACGGGTTGTGTTCCAAGTGGTGGCGTGACGACCGTGTCGAGGGCCTGGCCGGTGGCCGTGAGGGGCCTGTTGTGGTTGATCAGAGGTGTCAGCGATTGCATCTGAGACTTCGCGCGCATACACAGGCACCCATGTCTCACCAGCTTTTGTTTGAGTCTCGTCGACCGCTACTCTCAGCGTCGCGGTTGAGTCGTTGGAGGAGGTAGGGAGTGAGTCGTCATCGTTGCCGTCGCGGGAGAAGCGGTTCGAGTAGGAGATCGGGGTGGGGTCAGGACGTTTGGGAAGGGGAGTGGGACGATGGTCAGTATGCGGTTCTCTAATGGCGTTTGATCTTTGCTCTAGCGCGTGCAGGGGTTGTTTGGCCTGCAGGGCCATGGCAGCGAGATGGGAGGGAGAGGAAAAAGAAGAGAAGACCGGCGACGACAAATAGAAGCAGTGTCGTGATGACGATGATGTCCTGCCGCCAGAAGGAGTGGCAAGGGGGAAAGGGAGAAAACAGCAGCGGCCAAGCTGCTCGGATCTGCAAGCACGGAGATGCAGCCATCGTCCCTCCCGATCGGAGAAGCAAGAAATCGCATGACCGAATCTTTATTTTCTCGCCGGCCCTCTCCTTTGTGCCAAGCGTCTAGTTATTCCCTCGCTAGCCACTCTTCCCCTCGCAGAATTGCCATGGCGTAGAAGGCCTCTAAAGTGGGGAAAGGATGGAAGATAGAGACAAAGGAAGCAGCGACTCACCAACTTCAGATGCCATGCTGCTTGGTCAGATGGACGACAGTGACGTACCAAGGGCAAGCCCAAGCTAGTGGCGCGAAGGGCGGCGACGCAGCAGCGAGTCTATGAACGGGCCCTGTGTAAAGATGGGCCAATGCGGGCGCTGACTGCCTGGGCTGCTTGCTGATGAGGCGGGACCCTGAATGGCCAGTGATGACGACGTTGACGCACGCACAGAAATTGGCGCTTGTGTGATATGATCGGGCCACGCTTTTTGTGACACCGCGATGACTATCCTACGCCCTCGGCGAGTCCAATGCCACTCCCCGGAATTGGGTTAAGCCAGTGGGCGGGTCCTGGGCTGTATTGCACGTCGCTCGGCGAAGCAGCAAGTCAATCAATGACGATGACAGATGACCGAAATAGCCTACGTCCAGAGTATTGTTCCGCCGACGCGACGACGTATGATGTCGTTGTGGTAGGGCCCAAGGTGGAGACTGGAGCGATGATGATGTCTAGCAGCGATGACGAAAGGGTGCAACTGACTTTTTTTTTTGGACTTGGGCAGCCGGATTGAGGCAGGAGAGAGAGAGAGAAGTAAAAAATGAAATAAAATCAGAAATTGAATTGCTTTGCCCGCCGCGACACTGGCCATTCGCCTCGCACGCTCGGCACTCGATCCAGACGACCAGAAAGCCACGGAGATCGAGAGAGTGCCTGAAGGGACGCGTGGCTCAGTCCGTCACGTGGACGCATAGATGGGCGATTGCTGATCAAGATGCACCCAAACTAAGCTCAGGGTGCATGATGTGAGCAACGACATCACTGACTACTATTTGCCATCCGTCAGCCTGGCCAAGATGATGGCGCACAGGGGCCTGGCGACATGCTTGACCTGCAGCAAGTCCGTCTCTGCTTCGCTGCTGCCCAAGTGTGTCATACACTCGTGCTGTTCGCGCCCCGTCTGCCCGCAGTGCCTCGAGGCGCGACCGCGACTGGCGACGTTCTGCCCCTTTTGCGAGGGCGTCGACCATGCATTTCGCAAGGGCCCCAGAAGCGACGTGACGAGGGCGGGGCAGGTACTATGGGACACGGAGAGGATGCTAGACGAAACAGAAGAGCTGCCCGAAGTGTCTGAGGAGGAGAGACGGCGGCCGCCACCGACGTACGAGGAAAGCGCATACGGGGCAACCTCGGCGCCCTCTGACTTTGTCCTTGGCGGCGACGAGGAGGAGGAGGAAGAGGAGCAGCGGCGCCAGCAGAGTGCAGGGCCTTCGCTGCTGAGCAGTGCGTCGTCCAAGGCGCTCCCATCGCAGTCATTGGTGGACAGGAGCCTCTTGGCGACGGTCACTACACCCGCCCCATCTCCACCAGCGGGAGGCCCCTCGTCGACGCTTCGGGAGCTGTCCAGCGCACGTACGAGACCGAGTGCTTCGACAGAGGAGACACCAGCTCTGCGAGCGTCAACGGTCAGCAAGACAAGTCCACCACGTCCCAATGCAGATGACGACGAAGAGGCCGACGGGCGCACGCGCCAGTACTGGCTACGTCCCAACGACTCGCTCCAGGGCCTCTCGCTACGCTTCCGAGTGCCCGCTGCGCTTCTTTGCAAGATCAATGCGCTTCCCCTCTCCACGATCCATTCGACGCCCCACCTCGTCCACACGCGGCCCTTCCTTCTCATCCCAGAGCCCGCCATCGCGGCGGCCCTCTCGCAGCGCGACAACGCCAATGGCAGCACCGCGACATCGGACCTCGAGGAGGCACTCCAGGGGCCACGCCCGCTGTCGGCGAGGGAGAAGACAAAGCGGGCACGCGCAAAGTCAGAGGGCAGGTTCCGCGCACTCGTTGCGCGCAGCGAGGCGCCTTCGATCAAGGGCAAGGCAAAGGCCGCCGACGAGATCAGGTGCGACGAGAGAGCGGCGCGCGTCTATGTCGGCCTCGTCGAGGAGGAGCTCGATGCCGTGTCGGGAATTGCAAATATCGAGGGAGAAACAGGACGATCGCGCGGCAAAGAGGAGGAAGAGAAGGACGAGGCAATGACGGATGCCGAGCGAGAAGAGCGCTTCGAGACGATTGTCAAGCTGGCCGTGTCGAGGTGGGAGATGGACAGCGAGTGGGAGCGCGAGATGCGCATCAAGGGCCTCGATCCACATGCGTCGAGCATGCGCCAGCACGCGGCGTGGCCCTCGTCAGCGACGTCGAGCAGCGGCAGCAGCAACAGCAGCAGCAGCAACAGCAACTGGCTCAACCGCGTCTTTGGATCAGGCGCCTCTTCGCGCGCGCCGCGGGAGCACTGGCAGCAGTCTCCTGCGTCCCGGCGGCCCCTCGTCAGTGTCGGGCCACAGAAGCGAGGCGAATGAAGTGGGCCTGGCTTCCCATTTTTCAATTCTGTATTTTTACATGTTCTACCCTCTAACATTGCTTTTGTGGACCATTTTCAGAGAGACTGATGCCTTGACGGTGCTGTGTTCGTTCCCGCCAGATTAAGTTTGCAGACGATGATGATGCTACGACGACATGATATTATCACACTACTGCTAGTAATACGACTGCGACTCCTCTTGCTACTCCGAGGTCATAACACTGTCCCCAGTCTGACTGCCCCAGACTGACGGCTCCAGTCTGACAGCCCCGGCTTACTTGCCCCACGCACGCACGGCTTCCTCGACGATGGGCCGGATGAGCTTGCGGCCGCCATTCTGGATGTGGTGGGTCCACACCATCTGACGGCCCATGAGCTCGCTGCGCCGGTGCCACGGCTCGGCATCGATGACCTCTGCGTCGTCGATGGCCGCCTTGATGAGCGCAAAGAGGCTGTCGGCGGCCGCCTCGTCGAGCCGGTGGCTGTGGCTGGCCCGCACAACGAGGGCAATCTCCCTCGTCTTGACCTTGACAAACATTTCATCGACAATCTCTTCAACGGCGAGGTTGTGCAGCGCGGCGTAGGCCTTGGTCACCTTGACCTTGAAGCTGTTGAGGCTCAGGCTGATGTCGGCGGCAATCTCCTTTGTCCACTGCTGCTCAATGTCGAACCAGGACTGGACCTGGCCGTGGAGTGTGCGCTGCATCTGCTCCTCGAGCGAGTAGGGGATCGAGGCTAGACCCAGATGCACAACGGGGTGCTCCTCCGAGGATGTGTTGACCAGGTCTCCTGTTTCAAACAGATGCTTGGTCGGTGAGCAGGATACAGAAAAAGGGAGCGCATACATCACTCACCCTTCCAGTCGCGGCGCAGGAGGTCCCTCACGCTGAGATCCTCGAGGTCCTTTTTCGCCGTCGACATGTCGCTGCCGAGTCTGTCCATGACGTCGAGCAGCTTCTCGTCCCTGAAGTTGCTGCGCTTGAGGAGGCGCTTGGCCGTGAACTTGTCCTCGGGCGTGCCCTTGCGCAGGCCGGCGCTGTCGAGGGCAATGGCGTCGAGGATCAGCTCGAGGATCTCGTGGGGCACGTGGTACTCTTCACGGAGCTTCTCGAGCTCGTCGAGCATCTCGCGCGCGACAATTGTCGTGCATGAGGCGGTGGCCTCGAAGCGGCGCGGCCTGGCGCCGGGCGCCACACCACGGTCCTTGTGGTGGTCAAAGATGCTGAGCAGCCGCGCCTGCGCCCACACCCGCAGCGGCTCGGGGTGGTCGACGATGACGATGCCATGCAGCTTGGGCGCCAGCTCGGCCGCATCCAGTGGGAGCTCGTCCACCGTCAGCAGGTCCCGGTGGCCAGGGGACATGCGGACGTTGTGGAGCGCGAGCTTGTTCTCGGGCCGGAGGTCGAGCGCATCCTCGGGCGTCTGCAGGAGCGCAACGACCTTGGTCGGGTGGGCATGGCCAAAGGAGGCGCCAGTCTTGGTGAGGTTGCTGACGTGGGAGAGGTGGTAGGCCCACGTCAGGGCTGCCGTCATGCTGTCGAGGTCTGTTGAGCAGAGGAGCAAAGTGAGCTTGAGAATGAGAAAAAAGAAAAAGAGAGACAGGAAGAGGGAACAGCGACTCACCACCACCCTCGTTGCCCATCACGACGATCCACTCGTTCGCCCGGTCGGCCCGGACATCGTCGATGAACATGCGCTTGGTGGCCTTTGACCACTCGGAAAAGTGGCCCACGCCCTCCTCGGCCAGCCAGTAGTCTGGCTCGACGTCGTACCTGAGCTGGCGTGCGGGAGCAGGAGCAGCGCCCGACGAAGCGGCACCGGCAAAGACACGCTGCGAGGGCAGGCACCAGGCGAGGCTGGCCAATGCCAGGCTCGCGACCAGCAGTACTGTAATCCGGCGTCGGAAGGCAAGCATCGGTCCCGTCATGGTGGTCATGGTCGTCGTCGTGTGCGGGTGGCCCCTTTCCCCCCTCTGCCCAGACAGGCGGGTGCGTCGGCAGCTCAATTCCAAGAGAAGCTAAATTGCAAGCCACCGCTCGAAGCTTGTTTCTCCTTTTCCGTCACGCCTGCTTTCGAATTTCCGTCACGCGGCCCAGATGGGCGTCCGTGCATTCACGTCTTCGATCACCACCAAAGGAGGTGCCCCTTGGAAGACCACATCAGTCCAGACCAAGATGAGCGGTGGGGCTGGCGGCGGTGGAGGAGGAGGAAGCAGCAGCAGCAGCAGCCATCCGACGCTGGAATGGTCGGCGCTGCAGGACGTCTACTACCGCAAGTCGGACGTCTACCAACTGACATGGGGCATCGACGACCTGTCCGACTACATTGTCGCCTCGGCCAAGAACGGCGGCTTTCTGGCGCTGGTGCGTGACCCCAACAAGCTCGTCTCGCTCGGCAGAGCAGCGCTGCTCAAGCCAAAGATCCACATCTACACGAGCGCAGGACAGCTCGTCGAGAGCATACCCTGGGAGGCCTCGGATAAGATCGTGGCCATCGGCTTCAACAGCCTCGAACAGCTCGCCGTCGTGCTCGACGAGGGCGTCGTCAGGCTCTATACCCTTCTGTCACCGTGCCCCTCGCCACCCTCGTCATCGGTACTGGCAACTTCTTCAGCAGCAGCAACAGCGGATGGAACCGGCGGAGGAGGCGGCGCAGACGATCTGTCTTCCTCGAGGCAGAGGCCGATCGAGGCCACCTCGACGTGCTACTACGTCCAGTATCCGCTCGGACAAGAGGCCCTGGACACGGGCATCGTCGAGGCCAAGATCTGGGAGCACGGCCTCGTGGCACTCACGGGAGGTGGCCTATATGTGCAGTGGCAGTTTCCCAAGCGGCGCTTCGACGACGAGCGCGGCCTCGATGGCGATCCCCGACACCTCGAGGCAGCCGACCTTCCCCACGTCCTGTCACCCCCAGATGCGGCCAGCAAGACGCCATTCTCCTGGCATGTCCTGCCGCCGGACGTGTCGAGCTCGGGCCTCGTCGAGGTGCTCATCTCGCCTGCGTCGTCCAACACCATCCTCACCCTCGAGTCCGTGTCGGGCCTGACGGACATGCGCCTCTCCCGTGGGCCCTTTCCTGCAATTCGACCTTCGCCCAACGGCAAGCTCCTCGCCCTGCTCACCGCCGACAACAAGCTCTGGGTCGTCTCGTCGGACTTCCAGCGCAGTCTGTCCGAGTTTGACATCACCAGCTGCCAGGGCTTCCAGGCGGCGCAGTCGGCACAGTCGGCGCAGTCGGCGGCAGGCAGCAGTATCCAACAAGGCATCAAGGGCACCGGCGTGCGCCAGGTCGAGTGGTGCGGCAACAACACCGTCGCGCTGGCGTGGGACAGCGAGGTGCTCATGATCGGGCCCTTTGGCGACTCGCTCCCGTACCCGTATGCTGGTCCCATCCACCTCATCTCGGAGCTCGACGGCCTGCGCATCGTCAGCGCCGACCGCCTCGAGTTTCTCCAAAAGGTCCCCGGTGGGTGTCTTCCTGATGGCTCGCGAATGAGATTCTGCCCATATCTTATTGACACAACTCTCTCTTTCTCTGCAGAGTGCTCGTCGCAGATCTTTCTCCCTGGCTCGTCGCACGCCGCGGCGATCCTCTTTGAGTCGTCGGAGCAGTTCAGCAAGAAGTCGGCCAAGGCAGACGAGGGCATCCGCGCCATCAAGGCGGACCTGGCCATGGCCGTCGACACGTGCCTGGCAGCGGCCAGCTACGAGTGGAAGGCGGGCTGGCAGCAGCGCCTGCTGCGCGCCGCCTCGTTTGGCAAGGCCTTTCTCGACGTCTACGACCCCACCAACTTTGTCGAGACAGCCAGGACGCTGCGGGTGCTCAACGCGGCCCGGTGGAGCGACATTGGGGTGCCCATCACCTTTGAGCAGTACTCGCACATGGGCCCCACGGCGCTCCTGGCCCGTCTGACGGCGAGGAACCACCACCTGCTGTGCCTGCGCATCGCCTCGTTTCTTGAGCTGCGGCCCGACGCCATCCTCAAGCACTGGGCACGCGCCAAGATTGCACGGTCGAGGCCTGCCGTTGGCGCATTGGCCCATGCCGCCACGGGGGGCGCCGGCGCACGGCAGGACGACGAGATCTGCGCGGCCATTGTCAAGAAGTTTGAGATGCAACCCGCGGCGAGCTTTGCAGAGATTGCCAAGACGGCGTGGAACGCCGGCAGGGTCCGGCTCGCGACGAAGCTCCTCGACCACGAGCCGCGGGCCGTGGATCAGGTGCCGCTGCTGCTGAGCATGCGCGAGGACAAGCTGGCGCTCATCAAGGCCATGGAGTCTGGCGACACTGATCTGGGTGAGTTAAGCTCAACAAAGGCAGCGCGGCAAGAGTGGCATCTTTCTCTAGAAACAGCGCGAGTGATGTGTGACGACCAATGCTGACCTCGCACACAGTCTACCACGTCGTCCTCAGGCTCAAGGCGCAGCTGTCTCGAGGCGACTTTTTCCGCATCATCCAGGCACCCGTCGCCGATGCTTCGGCACCGGCCGGCGCCGACGGATCCGCCGCTGACCGAGGAGGCCCCTCGCGATCGAGCTACCTGTACCTAGCCTCGCGTCTCTTGGAGAGCTATGCGCTCTCGCAGGACCGTGAGCTGCTCCGTGATTTCTACTACCAGGACGACCGGCGGACAGAGAGCGCCGTGCTGTCGCTCCACGAGGCTGAGCTCGAGGGCGAGACGAGCGAGAAGGTCTTCAAGATCAAGGAGGCCATGCGCCTCTTTGGCGAGGACAAGGACCGCGGTCTCGAGTCAAAGCTGTGCGACGAGTATGCCAAGCTCATTGGGTTTCAGCTCGCGCTCGAAAAGGAAGACGGCGGCAGGTCTTCGTTTGTCGGGCTGAGCGTAAATGAGACGATGCGGCAGTGCCTGATTAAGAACATGGCAAAGAAGACAGACAAGCTCCGGAGCGACTTCAAGGTGCCCGACAAGCGCTTCTGGAGCATCAAGGTGTCCAGCCTCGTCGCCACGAGGGACATTGAGGGTCTCTGGGCGTTTGCTGCGTCTAAAAAGAGCCCCATTGGGTATACGCCCTTTGTCAGCGCTCTCGTCGAGCAGGGCTACAACAAGGCCGCGCTCGAGTATGTCACAAAGTGCGCGAGCGACAAGGCAGACCGAGCCAAGCTGAGGTGAGCGTGTCTTTCCTTTCCACTTTCGCCCTCTCTTCCTTCATTCTTCTGCGCAGGACTCCAGTGAGCTGACACTCTTACCTGAGCAGCGCCCTCATCCAGCGACTTCCTGCTCAAGTGGGCCAGCCGCTGGCAGACAAGCTAGCTGAGCTGTAGATACTCTCGCACCATGCAGACGACGTGAAATTGAGACTAGTATTGCGAGAAAACCTTACTCCTCCTTGCTCTTGCTGCTCTCTGAATCGCTGCCCCCATTGCTGCTGCTGCTGCTGCTGCTGCCACCACTGCTTCCTCCGGCCCCTGATTCGCCGCCCTCCTTGCCAATGATGCCAAGCCGGAGCACGCCGCTCGTAGCACGCAGCTCCCCCTTTTCGCGGGCTTCACGGGCCTCGTGCGCCTGCCGTGCGAGGTAGTGCTCCTTGATCGTCCTCATGCGCTCAATCTAGCAGTGCTCACCAAACATCAGTTATCGCTCTCTCTCTCTCTCTCTCTCCAGTGTCCTCCAATTTTCCCCCCAAATGGGGATGCGAAAGGCTAATGGACTCACCTCCTTGGTGTGGTGCAGGCACTCCATGTAGTCTTCCTTTTGCGCAATGCACTCCGACGTCGTGTCTGCGTTCGCGTAGCACTTCTGGAACTCCTGCCAGAACGTAAAGCAACGCGAGCGGCCTGGGGAAGGTGGGGAAACGATCGACATTAGTTGGACAACTCCAGACAGAGCGCCCCATGTACGGGGAAGACTCACCGCCGCCGAAGCCGAAGCCGGACGCCATGTCTGTGGATCGAGGAGTGGGGAGAAGGAGGCCTATTACTGGGCTTCCAGTTGTGTGTGCCGAGGCCAACGGGTGAGACGTTGGACGGACGGACCATCTGGCTCGGCCGAGATTACCCTTTTGGCTTTATATCGACGCGTGGCAGAACGCTGGTGTTTCTCGCGTGGCTTTTTTTTTTCTCGAGCCTGCAATGAAAAGAAATACGGTCGCGGCCGCAGCCAGGTCCTTCCACCATCAACGAAGCCTGTGAGTCTGCCTGGTGGTGATGGGCCCCGCAAGACAGCACTGACCTGAGCTATTGAATCCCAGTAAACTTTCCTTTGTGTCCGCAAGTCGAGATCAAAGGTGGCATCCCTTCCTACTCGTCAAACCAAACCAACCACTCAAAGTAGCCTTGTCCACGCAAAATGGGTCTCTCTCGCGGAAAGAAGGAGGACTGGGTGAGCAAGTTCCACCACCTCATCGAGACGTACCCTTCGATCTTTGTCGTCAACATCGACAATGTGTCGAGCGGTCAGCTCCACACCATCCGTTCGAGCCTCCGTGGCAAGGCGACGGTGCTCATGGGCAAGAACACCATGGTCCGCCGTGCTCTGCGCAACGTCCTGGCCGAGAAGCCCCAGTTCGAGAGGCTGATGCCCTTCGTCAAGGGCAACATCGGCTTCGTCTTCACCTCGGGTGACCTCAAGGACATCCGTGAGGCCATCCTCGCCAACCGTGTTGCCGCCCCCGCCCGTGCTGGTGGTTACGCCCCGGCCGACGTCATTGTCAAGGCCGGCAACACCGGCATGGAGCCCGGTAAGACTTCGTTCTTCCAGGCTCTTGGTGTCCCCACCAAGATTGCTCGTGGTACGATTGAGATTGTCTCGGACGTCAAGGTCGTTGCCGGTGGCACGCGTGTCGGTTCGTCCGAGGCCATGCTGCTCAACATGCTCAACATCTCGCCCTTCACCTACGGTATGAGCGTCACGCAGATCTACGACAACGGCCAGACCTTCGGCTCCGAGGTGCTTGACATCAGCGAGGACGTTCTTGTCGACCGCTTCCTTCTCGGTATCAAGCAGGTCGCCTCGATCTCGCTTGCCCTCAACTACCCCACCATTGCCAGCGTCACCCACTCGCTCGTCAACGGCTACAAGAACCTCATTGCCGTCTCGCTGGCCACCGAGTACGAGTTCGAGGGCTCTGCCAAGGTGAGTTTGCTTTCTGCCTCTTGCACTATGACTCACGGAAGGAGGGAGGGAGAGGGACGGCCAAATGATGGCCAAATTACACTGAAAATTCGGACGAGCCGAAAGGCAGATGACCGAAGCCTTTTTTTACGGGAGGAAACCATGTTTCTTCCCCTGATGGCCTGGTCGCTGGTTCACAATCAAGTTGTGAAGAGAAAATGGGTGCTGATATTCACTCTGCACAGGCCAAGGCTTACCTCGCCGACCCCTCGGCCTTCGCTGCTGCCGCCCCCGCTGCGGCTGCTGCTGCCACCGAGGACGCCCCCGCTGCGGCTGCCGAGGAGAAGGAGGAGGAGAAGGAGGAGTCGGACGACGACATGGGCTTCGGTCTCTTCGACTAAGCAGTCCCTCTTCCCCTTGCTACACCACCAAAAGATTTCTTGTACTAGATGTCTTTCTTGGAAACACATTTGACGCAGGAATTTCCTCCTCGCCCTTCCCCTTTTGAGCGCGGGCCCGAGCTCCGAGATTGAACGATGTGACAGCTATCGCCTGCATCCAAGCGCGGACGCGTACTCTTCAGCTGATAAGGCCAGTTTTGTCTTGAGCGGCTGCGACGTCGGAAGAGAAGAGCTTGACAATGAGTCTTGAAGCAACGCACCATGTTTTGTGCCTTATCGTGATTGCCTGCGGCCACAGGATGAAGAATGACGGAGATCTCATCGGAATGACGGGATGTCGATAGCTCCGAAAGAACCAGTACACTGGCTTCGGCGCCATCTCGAGCATCCGAAATCTCATCTGATCGCTCTACTGCAACTAATTTTGTTCTTCTGCAGATTAGTGGTCTAGTAGTGTGGGAGCAAGCGACCTCTTTGGAAGTCGTTTATTTGTAATTGATCTGCATGAGCATGAAAGGAAGGAGCGGCTGTTGCGGCTGCTGCTGCTGCCAATATAACGAGCCTATCTATCGTCCGAGGCCTCAAATCGAAGCGAGACCCGGTGATACGACGAAGAAGGCATCTCAAGAGTCGCTGTACGTAGACGTGGGGGTCCTTGCAAAACCAGGTTCCGGCCCTGCTTCCCCGGGACCCGAGAGGTAGCAGTAGCAGAAATACTACTCTACTAACTACCGTGGCAGTACAGTGATCTTAGCTCTTTTCTCAGTCTCACTTTTATTTAATTTCTTATTTCGGTCTCTCTCCTTTCTATGTAGCATTACCCGCGGCCGAGCAAGAGGGCAAGACGGGCTGCTTGAAATCCAATTTGTGTCATGCAGCCTTTTGCATCCGTACGGGACACCCACCTCGAAAAAAAAAGAGGGTATTACGTTCTAGTGTTAGTGCAATTTAGGTAGACCGAGCCAACCCGTCGTCCATCTCACAACGTCCTTGACAGAGGCACTCCTTCCAAAGGCGCCAACGAGAAGAGATAAGGCATCGAAGCAGGGCATGCTTGCTCCACCGTCGGACACCTAGATCCGAAGAGAACGCCCTGGGGTGCCACCAAGGAGCAGCGCCTCGACCTTTCCTTCTTGAACTCGTTCCTCAAAATCAGCCGACCCATCCAGCCAGCCAGACACCCTGCCAGCTAGCTAGCCAGTTGTCGGTGACAAGGGATGGACCATGAGTGCTATGATGAAGGTGCGCGCGGCCGATGAGCCTGCGCCGCCCGATGGCGAGCTCGCAGGCGCCAACAAGAAGAGGAGGGTGAGTATCGGATGACTTCTTCCCCTTCACCCATGCGCATCGATCCGCTGCTAATTTCGTCTCACGCAGATCTGGGCGGCGTGCGAACCGTGTCGAAAGAGCAAGGGACGGTGCAACGGTGACCAGCCGTGCGACAGCTGCGTCTCGAGGATCCGCAACTCCTTGTCGCGCATGCCGTACAAGCAGCCCAACGGCGTCGTCGTCGGCGGGGGTGGACCAGGTACGACGGATCCGGGCATGGAGCTGGAGGTCATGCGGCTGGCCTCGGAGCTATGCTCCTACGACTGGAATCGCAAGCCACGAGGACCAAAGAAGGGCAACAAGGCCTCTGCCTCTTCCGTGGCAGCCGAAGAGCGCAGGATGCATTCGTCAAAGGAAGAGGCAGAAGCACGAGGCGCTCCTCGCTCTCAGATCAGCGCTGGAAATGCCTATGTGTCTGCGCTTCAGTCTCGTCCACCAAACAGCTCGGTGGCCATTCCTGATCCGCTGCAGGTGCAGCAGGCTCCCTCATCGGCCTCCTTGCCTCTTCGAGCTTTTCCGCCACCAGCACCAGTGCCACCGCTCCAACCACCGGCAAGGATGCCGAACGAGCCGAATCCTAGCCATTTCAGGGTGCCCTCGTATCCGTCGTCTTCGTACCACCATGTGGCTGCCCCTCCGATCGATCCCCGTCTGCACTCGCCCGATTCTGGCCAGTACCAGCCTCCGTCATGGCAAACAGGCCGAATGCCCTCTGCCGACTCCATCCTGACCCCGTCGAGGAGCCACTCCTACCAACGTCAGCCTTTATCTGGCTTCGTCGCAACCGCACCACTCTGGCTGCCTACCTCGCCCTCGAACAATCCGAGAAGTACGCTTCGCTCTCTCATGGGGTCCAACGCCTCTTCTCCTTCTTCGAGCGCAGCTTCCTCGCATTCCGCCAGTCGAAATAACTCGCTGCGTCCGACACCCTCCATTCCCAATGATCCGTTCCATCCATCCCTTAATTGGCATGGCTCCTCCCACGAGAAGGAGAGCGATGCAGACATCCGCTTGCCACAGCTCTCCAATTGGACTCCCTCGACACTGCCCTTTCACGACAACGATGCTCCTAGGACGCGGGCGGCTGTCCTGGTCGAGGTGAGTCTGCATCCTGTTAACATGCTTCTGCTGTCTTATGTTGCTGACACAATCCTTGAAGCAACTGCGAGATCATCTGACAGACGATGACCGGCCTTTTGTCGCCCTTGCTCTGCTGCAGTTTGCCGAGCTCGATGCTGCCACCAAGCTCTTTCCTGGGCGCTATCTCTTCGGCACAGCTCCAGGCCTACAAGCGCCCGAGCCTCCCGCTCACATCATACTGGCCTTGTTGTCACTACTGTCACATCGAGAACTCTTGATTCCCTCGGCACGATGCCTCGACGATCTCGAACGGGTGGGCGAGCAGGAGACAGTCCTCAGTTGGCTCTCGCCAGAGGGTGTCCTGCGAGGCGACAAGCGAGACGACCTTTTGGTGTTTGCGCGGAGGATGTGGAACGAAGCCCACAGCATTCTACTCGATATCATTGTGCGAGGCGACGTTGATCCCCAGCTCATTCAGACGGGCTGGTGCCTCGACATGGCCGCCTCTGAGGACGGCATTAGGAGTGTGACCATGACGCAGCTCAAAGCTTGGCTCTTTGACATCGTCGTGGCCTGGGATCTGCAGTCTCTTGACGGCCAAGAGGTGCTGCACATTCCCAAGGAAAGGATCTCGCTGCTCCCCGAGGACACTCCGACGCCTCGACGCTGCGATGCTCGAGGCTACATTACCGAAGTCGTCGACAGAGAAGGCCTTCGGCGATGCTTGGCCTTTGTCTGTACGTCGTACGTGTGGACACAATCCAGCGTCGTATCGGGCTCAGGCATGGAACCACTCGACCTCTCTGGTATGAAGGTCAACCTGCCAGTCGACGACGACGACATTCATGCCGGCTCCGCCTGGCAACCAATGAAACGTGGTTTCCAGAGTCGTCTCCTCTATCTGATTCACAGGAGCTTCCACCTCAACAATCTCTGCGCTATCATGCTGCACACTCCTCTCCAAGATCTCATCGAGCAGCCGGATCTGCAGTCGACCATCGACTTCTTCGAAGAGGGTCTCGACACTGTCCGACACGCCTTGCCCGAGGTCAAAGGAGACGGAAAAGACCGACCCTTGGCGGTCAGCGCTTTCATGCATCACCGCATGCTGGAGGTCATGGTCTACCGCCTCATTTCTTCCATCATCATCTACGAGTCCTTCATGCAATCGGTCGCTCCCCAATACCAACAGGAGCAAGCGGAGCACCACTGTCAACAGACTCAAGTGCAAGTCCAGGGACCCGGAGCTTTCGGTCGGATGCTGGTGCCGAAGATTGATGAGAAGACCATGTATGAGTTCCACACTTCTTCTTTGCCTCTTTCGCAACCTCTGGAGCAAGGACCACGGCAGGCGCAAGTGACGAATGGCGTCAACTCGAGCCACAGCAACGGCTACAGCAGTGTCGTCTCGCCGGACTTGTCGTCTTCATACTACGTCGCACCGCTGACTGGACGAAGGCTGAGGCGAACCACGACGCGGAGAGACCCTGGCCTCTACTCTTCGTACCCTCTGTACGAGCTTGATCAAGTCGTCTGCACAGCTCTTTCGTTGCTCGAAGACCAGGAAAAGGAAGCCTCCTTGTCTGAAGAGAGGAACAGCGCCCATCGGCGGTCCTATTCGCACTCCTCCCCGCAGTCTTCCTCATCGACGCGAGACACAGAGGGCGAAGTCGGCACAGCCGCAGGCGTCTCGATCCCCAAGTCGCTTCGGGCCATGAGATGGCCTCGACACCTGGCCACTTTTGCCCGGCACAGCTTTGCAATGGCGAGTGAGATCGAAGTGAGCGGGCCCAAGTGGCGCGAGTACTATGCGATGCAGTCCTCGTCGGGACAAGTGGGCAATGGCGAGAAGGACGAGCGGACAAAGGACATTGCGCCAGAGTACCCACCGGTGGCGTCCAAGGAGCAAGGCGCGCTGCTGTGGAGGCATGGCGACAACATCATCCGCCTACTCGATGCCTTTGGAAAGGCCGGGTCTGAGCATGCGAGAGAGTCGGCAGAGGGGGCGAGAAAGTACAGAGCAGAAAGGGTGGAATTCTGTAGGAGAAAGCAAGAACAACAACAACAGCAGCAGCAGCAACAGCAGCCACAACAACAACAACAACAACAACAGCATTCTTTTTAGTCATCAGCGCGGGTAGGCTTCACGACAGTCTTTCCTGTATGAGCGCTTAATCCGCGACTCTTGTAACTTTGTATCACTATAATGCCTATCACATTTGTTCTATAGCGAGTGGGCATTGTTGACCAGCGAGCGCAAGTGGCGCGAGGAAGGGCTGGGATGCATTGGTTACTTGCAAAGTACAAACAATGGAAGGGCAAAGGACAGAACAGAGACAAGCGGTAGGTAGACCTCATTCTGAGGTGTCAGATCGAGAAGGCGACTGGAAGCGCATGGGCGAGGCGGCTCCACCCCCGCCGTTGCCCCCTACTCCTCCTCCAACCCCTCCTTGTCCATTGCCATTACCGCTCCCCGAGCCAGCACTTGCTCCGTTGCCTCCGCCAGCTGCGCCAACACCGCGCTGATGCTGCTGCACGGCTGCCGCTGCTGCCGCAGCCGCGGCAGATCTCGTCGAAGCGGAGGCCGAGCTACGGTTTCTCCAGGGCGAGATACCCGTAGTGCGTCTGGCCGCTGCTGTGCCCACCGCAGCAGACGAGGCCGAAGGCGAGTAGTGGTGATAGCCCCTCGTGGACGCTACCTGGTTGCCAAAGTCGCGTGCAAGCTCCGCGTCGTGCGTGTGATGTCGCGGTGGCTGGCGATAGTGATGGTGCGAAGAGGGCGAAGAGGCCGACGAGGGTGGATCGTGGACATACGAAGAAGGCGAAGAAGGTGAGTGCAGTTCAAGTTGGCCAACAGCCTCATCTTCAAGAGGATCGTACGAGATGGGTGCGCCGGATGCGTTTCCTTCAGCGCTGATATCAGTCGTCGTCTGCGCGGCTTTCGTGGTGGTGGAAGAGGCTGTGGGAGAGTTCGTCTCTTCAATTGTCCTAGAATCCTCTTGTAAGGCGTGATGGCCGTCTTCGGAGGATGTAGAAAGCGTCGGAAGGCGATGACGGTAGCCTGCTGCTTGCTCCTGCACCGCTGACCCTTGTTGCTCCTCTTCCTCCGGCAAGTCGTCATTGTCATGCCGCAATGGCGTCTGTCTCCTCCGTGCAGCGAGCGGAGGCGAGCGTGGCCCGTGCTCGTCTCCTGTCGAAATAACATTGCTCGGAGAGGAGCTCGGAGCCGCCACTGCCGACGTCGCAGGTTGGTTCCTCGTCGAAGCTGCTCCTGTGGCCGTGAAGGCGCCTCTGCTCAAAGGACTTCTCGCAAAGCTAGGCGAAGTACCATAAGGGTGCACACCCTCTCCTGACGATGCACTCGTTCCCAGACTTGTCGCTCGTTGCTGAACGGGAGAAGACGGCTCTGCGGACCTTGGGGTGGCAGCAGCAGTCGTCGTGCTCATCTCTCTAACGGAATGCTGCATCCGATGGAGCATCTCGTCGACTTGACTCCTGCTCAATGCGTGTCCACCTCCTCGGATCGACGTGAAAAGGCCACCTTTCCGCGTCAGAGGGCCTGACGAGGTCGAACTCGAAGAGCCTGAGAACGACGGTGGTGTCGTCGGTGTCTTTCTCGTGGCAAATCCTCCTCCGGCATGGGTCACCTCTTCGGGCGCCGGAGGCAGAGGGGGAGCTGAAGCAGAGCCAGCATCTTTGCCATGTGCTGGAGAGGACAATGGTGAAGGGGAGCTGCCCTCTTGGATCATTTTGACCAAGTCGTCCAAGCCTTCATCTCCCTGGCTGCCGACTGATCTTCTCGATCCACGCTGCTGCATCTGCCGCGGTGTGCCTCGAATCATTGGAGAGAAGCCTCCACCTGCGAGAAGAGCCCCTGGGCCTGCACCCTCCAAGCTTCTCGGACCCGACCCAAAACTTGAACCAGGCCACACGCTGCTCCCTCCGCTAACGAATTGCTGGCGCTGCTCCAGCCTCGACTGCCAGCTCCGGGAATATGGTGCATCGCTTTGCTGCTGATGCCCGTCGCTCCCGCCTCCTGAGCCTGAAGCTCCGCCGATTGCCACTCCTCCCACACTGCTGCCTCCTGCGCTGCCTTCCCCAGATGAAGCCGTCGCGGCGGCAGCCCTGCCTTGGCGATAGCTGAACGAGGAACTATACCTTTTGATCATCTGCGGCTGTACTGTCGGCCTCTGTCTCCCTCCTTCTTCGCTCCCTTCCCCTTCAGCTTTGTCGCTCGTCGTGCTCAAATGCGTCGAGGGGTCTGCCGCACCAACTAGCCCTAGTGAGGACGAGGAGAAGCCCGACGGCCTAGACTCCGTCGTGAGGGAGCGTGGAGGCGTGCGGGACAAGGAAGACAGGGAGGCCTGGGAATGTGACTGTGATTGGGAAGGCGTGTAGGACTGGAAGACAGAGCGAAGGCTAGAGCTGCCCGAGAGCGGTACTGCTTGGATGGCCCCCGGTCCGGGTACAGGACCAACCCCTCGAGTCGAAGGGCTGGAGGAAAGACGAGAGTACGAGCCGCCGTATAATTGCTGCGCTAGCGGTGAAGGCGACGAGGGACTGTACGAGCCGGACCTGAGCGAGGAGGCGAATTCCCTGGCAGCGGCAGCTGTCGCAGTCCTTGCGCCGATCGGTCTCGATGCTGAGGCTGCAGATGAAGAAGGTGCAGTTCCGGCTGAGACAGCGCCTGCGGATGTCGTCGTGGGAGAGGGCGGGCTACTCCTGTCCGGCTGAACTCCTCCGATCAAGCTGCTCAACGTCCTGAGCCGACGTTCGCTTGTTCCGCTGCTACCCCTTCTGTTGTGCGTCAAGAACGCAGCCTCGCTCGTCGATGATAAAGCAGCAGCCAATGCTGGACTCGGAGGCGTGGGCCCAATGGCAGCCGAGCCGGGGCTCGTGCCATAGACACCCGCAGAGACGGACGGGCTCCTACGGAGACCAGACAGACCGGCGACCGGCCGACCCGCGGCAGATGGGGTGAAGACGCTCGCTTGTTGCTGCTGTTGCACTCCTGCACCGCTACCACCTGGAGGTAGAGGCGAAGATAACGGAGAGGGCGATGGGCTAGACAGATTTCCTTCGTTCGGCGGCGTCGTTCCAACTCCAACTGGCAATGATGGCGATGAACTTGGCGGTAGACCTTCCACGACTGCTCTGCGTTGCGAAGTAGCAGACAGGAGCGACTTCGGGTGATCTTTTGCAGAAACACCTCCCTGCGCCTGCTGTCTCGCCGACGTGAAGCGATCCTTTGCTGGCCTGAAGTAGTCCTCGTCCATCTCGATCTCGGTCAGGTTCGAAGTCGGCGGCTTCTCCAGCTCCTCGACAAAGATGTCTGCATTGCTCCGGTATTCAACAGAGAAGTTGAGCGATCCCAGAGCATTGATCATGGGACTGAATGCAAAAGTCTCCGTCACGTCCATGGCCGCCTTTCGGTCCCCTTGAGCCAGCCTCTCTGCGGCACTGCCCAGCGGCTCGCGCAGACCGCATATACCGACGTCGTCTGCCGCGGGCTGCCCAATGGCCATCCTGACACCAAGCTTGAGTGCGTTCGCCTCGTCCTCGTCCCACTCGCTTCTTCGCCCGCCGCCTTCGCTTGCCTCTTGAGGTGTTCCCCGTTGCGCAAGAGACTCTTGTCGGGTCTTCTGCAGCCTCCTAAAGAGCCCCTGCGAAGGAAGGGAAAGTAAGAGCGTCTGGAGCTGCCTGAAATGGATGATTGAGCGCTTGTACAGCGTCGGCAGCTCCGGCGGGCTCGGTGGGCCGTAGAGGGCAAAGTCGAGCCTCCAGCTCTCCAACACAATCGATCTGGAAGCAGCGGTCGAGGATGAATCCTGAGGAAAAGCCTTGACCTTAGCTGGCGGACCATCATCCCCATTTGGCTCTTCGATCATGAGCACGTGCTTATCAGGATCGAGGCCCGAAGTGTCCAGGATAACGTCGAGGATCATCGGTGGGACGTAGCTTGGCCAAGGCGACGGGGGTTGAGGACCGACCAATGAAGAGGAGGATGACGAGGAAGCCGAGATCGAGTCGAGGACTGAAGGGGGTATGAGCAGCGACGGCTTCTGCCACAGCCGCAGCTCATCGCGAAAGATGTCGAGTTCTTCGATCTCTAGGGCAAACTATAAGAGACGATGTCAGCTCACTTTCTGTTCCCTCGCTCGACATCTTGAAGACTCACCCATTTACCAGCGGTCGCTCTTCGTGTGCCCGTCCGGCTGCCGGAGGCGCCACCTGCAGTCGACGAGGGGTCCGCCGACGATTGTTGCTCGCCGTCATCGTAGTGAGAAAGCCGACAGTTGGCCACGACGGCCGATGTCTTTGCGTAAAAATGGAGAAGGACGCCATCAAGCTTTGCATATCTGCTCGAGTCAGCACTGGTGCCTGGTTGTCTGGACGGCTGCTGGTGCTGACGTGTCGTCGGCTGTGTGGTAGTGCTGGACCGCTCGCTATCGTCACGAGAGGCCATTATCGTCGCTGTCGCTGCACCTCTTGCGTGAGGCGTCGGCTGTTGCTGCTGTTGCTCATTGGTCGTCGGCAAAGTGGAGAAATTTTTTGCAGGCTGAGCATTCTGGTTTTGACGTGATTGCATATGCAGGACGAGGATGAGAGATCAGAGCGAAGATGGAACAAGATGTAGGGACGAAAGAAGAGAGAAGAGAGAAGAGAGAGAGAGATATGCAGGCAAGGAACTCGTCGTTGTCGTTATGGGAGTCACGCAGCGAAGCGACAAATCGGAGGCACAGAGAGACAGGGTGAGTTTGCGTGGCTTAGCGGTGGTGGTGGGGGTTTTGAAGTGAGAAAACGCGCCGACGCGCAAGTCGAGCACAGACCACATGCATCGCTAGCCCCAAATTCTCCATCGATTGAGATAAGAGCAGAAATGCAGGCCTAAGTACAGTACAATTACCACGTCCATGAGCTGGCCTCCTACTGCAGTGTGTCGGGCTCTCTGAAGCCTCTGCGCCTCGGCAGGTGGTGCATCACTGAGGCGCCTGCTCTTCGAACCTCGGCCTTGCCTTGTGAAAGCCAGGTGAGAGAGGTGACCCTTTGCGGCAGTCTGGTGACGTGCGAGGCGCTTCGCACCGCCTGCAGAGGCGAGAAAAGATCCGACCTTAGGAGGACCAAAGGCCGGAGAAAAAAGAAGTAATCCTAAAAGCAGAACAGGACATTGTCATCAGCCCTTGCCAGCGACGAGGACGTCAACGAGCTCGCTGGGACCGATTGCGACGAGGCCACGAAAGCGCGCCTTGAGCCTGAGATTGCGATCCAGAGTGACCAGGACAGCCTTGGCTGTCGTTGGCTTGACCTTGCTCCGTTCTCTTTCCGGCTGTTCTGCCATGAGATTGAGCCGATCGACAAAATGGCTCTCCTGCCAAGCGAGGCATCCGAGGATGACCTCGTCGATGCTCCGAGCCACCCTGGTCTCCTCGTCGTCGTTGTCGTCCTGGTGCATACCGTAGGCAAAGTCGATATCCTCGGTCCGGAAACGCAAGTCGGGGAGATAATTTCCACGGCTTGTCTGCACCTTGAGCCACTTGGACTTGACCCTGATGTTGCGCTCCATGTACTCGATTGCCGCCTTTGCACGTTCGCCAATGGGCGCTGGCCGGTTCTTGAGCCCTTCGAGCTCGGTCAGGGCCGCCAGAGGAACGACGCTAGTCCACTTGCCTGACTCAACGAGCTTCTCCAGCACGCTTGTCGCCGTCAGCATGGCATTGGTGTCGAGGAGCAGGATCGTATAGCCGGGCACTATGTCGAGCTTGCCACGTTTGCTCTTTGGCTTCTTTTGCGTCTTGCCATGGGTCGACTTCTTTTGAGCCGGAGGAGACGACACCACAAATGATCTACCATCTCGGAGCAGTCGGCGCAGCTCACGACGGCGTCTCTAGAGTGGTAGAATTAGGGGAAATGGTTTGTAAGCAATTGGACACAGAAGCATGGCCGGCATGGGCCGCGCTGACCAACCTTGAGTTCCTTGATCTCGTCCGAGTCGTCGTCGTTTTCCTCTTCCTCATCATCTTCCTCACTCAGCGAGGTCTCCCCTTCTTCCTCGTCTCCCTCATCCTCGCGGGTCATGACCTTTAGCTTCTCCACGCGTATCCTGGCTTCGTCTGCCTCTTTCTCCAGGAACCATGCCTCCACCTTGTCTGCGAGCGGCGATGAAAGAACGAGCGCACCGTTGCCCTCGTTTGCATCGGCGTCGTAGTCCAAGCCTGGGATCGTCTTTGCCAGGATCGTAATGGCGTATGCCACTCGCTTCCAGCGAAGGTCCAGCAGATTGGGCCTCGCCTTGACCTCTCTTCCAAGCGCTCCCAATGTCGAAGGCTCGCGACGCCCTTGGTCGTCCGTCAAGCCCTGACTGTCGCCATCCTCGTCATCGTCGGTGGCCGCCTCGACATCGAAGACGTCGTCGATGGTGGCCTCCGTCATTCGCTGTAGGACATCCACCTCGCTCTCAAAAACGAGCCCGAGGCCGTTTCGATCGCTTCGAGACTTCCAGAAGCCGTGCTCGTACACCCGCCTGCTCACCCACGCCATTCCTCGCAGGCACCAGTCTTCGGGCAGCGGCACAGCATCGCCCCGAATCTTGGTCGCCACATCCTTGCGAGGGTCAATGGTGCGTCCCGTGGGCATCGAATTGCCCAGAGCAATGATGTCCGTCCAGGGAACGTACTCCTCGATGCTGCGAAGCGTCGTCGACTGCTTGGCCTCGTGGCAAAAGAAGGTGAGGACCATGGTCACATAGGGGTTCAGGTGCCAACTGGCAGGCGAGCTGCTCGCCGCTCGAAATTCATCGAGCGCAGTGCGAATGAGCGTCGAGAAGATGTCAAAGGTCAGTCGGATGGCGTACTGCAGAGTGACGGGCGGCTCGACGAATTCTTCCACAGGAGTCTCCTCCGCGCCGACCTCATCCTCGCCGTCGTCTCTCTCAGGCTCCTCATCGTCGTCTTCCTCTTCTTCGTCATCGTCATCTTTCCCTTGATGTCCCTCATCTGCCTCCGTCTCCTCTTTATCCCCTTTATCTCCATCATTGTTGTCATCGTCACCAAGACGCGCAGCCTCTCCTTCTTTTCTCTTTTGGCCTTTCGTGCTCGCACTCTTGCCTTCACCCTCCTGGAAACCTTTTCTGCTGGAGTCGTGCGAAGGAGGGGACAAGTGCGACGAAGAGGAGCTGTAGTTTAGCAATGCCGAGATGTTGATAGTAGCCATCATCATCCAAGTCGCCTGGCCAATATCGTCGTCAGACCATGGCGACGTCGTCGACTCGAGCCGTTCCTTGAACCGCAAAAAGACGTGCTCAAAGTCGTCGAGCTGGATCTTGGTAAAGAGCATGCCGTGGAGGTGGACAAAGAGGTCGATCAAGCCGGCGTCGGGCTGCACCCTCTTGGCCTGGCTTTCTCGCTCAAAGAGGGGCAGCATCGACTCGCGCGCGCCCGAGTAGGGATTCGACGACGTCATCGCCTTGCAAAAATGATGGAGCACCCGCAGGTCGTCGGGCCGACTCAACACACCCAGATGGTGGTGGAGCCTACCAGTGCCCGGGAGCTCGGCCAGGCCTCGTGCGTACCAGTCTCGTGCCGTCGTTCGCCACGTTTCGCGCTCTTCGAGATCCCAATCGTCGAGAGCTGCCTTGCCTATGCTTGCTCGTTGCTGCTGCGCAGCCTTGGTTGGCCCCTTGGCCTTTCCCTCGACGACACCGGCCGAAGCATCGTCGGCCGCGTCGTCGCCCACTGGTGACTTTGTGCCATCATCTTCCTTGTCTGTCGCTGCTGGCGGCAGCAAGAGTGACGACGAGAGCCTCTTTTCCTGTGTAGGCGTCGGCGACCCGAGCCCCACCTCGGCATTCAGCTTTGCCTGCAGACCAGCAACGGCCATGCGAGACCGCGCCAGATCTCCCAGATTCTCGACCCACTGGCTCTTGAACGTCTTGTACTTTTCGTTTTCGAGCAGATGGGTGTAGTAGCTGTAGGCAAAGTAGACAAAGTCGGTGAGGTGCTCGAGCAGCTCGGCGCGCGTCCGTCTGCTCTCGGGCGATTCCTCGTGGTGGCTGGGCATGGACTGGCGTGCACGCTCGAGAAAGAGGTGGAAGCCCGTCTGCCAGAGCCGGATGGGAATGTTGTACTGCTCGGGAAGGGCGTGGAGGGAGCTAGGAAGGCCAGGGCGGAGGGCCATGTCCATAAATGCGGCATGGAGCTCGGCGAGCTGGCGATGCTGAGCAGCAAGCTGGAGCCAGTAGCTGTGGTCTAGTTCGCCCTTGCTTGTAAAGCCAGGCGTGGAGGCTGAGCCCAGGATGCCCACGAGCTGCCTTTTGGATGATGACGACGGCAACGTAGATACGGCTTCCCCTTTGAGATCACCTCCGCCGCCACTACCGCTGCCACTGGCACCGCCACCGCCACTGCCCCCGCCGACTTTGAGCTTGTCGCTTGCCTGGCGATGTTCCTCCTGCAGCTTCTGCTCCAGCTTCTTGATCTCGCCGTAGCTTCGCTTCAGATCCAGGACATATGCGTTGGTGTCGGACGCCGTGGCCGCCGCCGTTGCGCTCTTGCCTTGGCCCTTGCCACCGCCGCTTCTGCCCTTATCGCCCGAATCGTTCGTGTTGGCCCGTGAACCCGGCCCTCTCCGTCTCCTCCGCCCTTCACTTGAGGCGGCCGAGCTGGACTGGGCAGTCGGCTCGGTCGAAGTGTGAGACCTCGAATCTGAGGCCGAGATGACTGAATTGGATGCAGACGCGGTGCTCAGGCCCTGGTTGCTGCTGAGCTTCTTCATGGCTGCAAATTTGACCGGGTCGTCGCGTCTGGGATCAAAGAGCTTGCCACCCTGGGTTGGCCGAGCGCTGTCGTTGTCGAGTCGCCCGCCCGACCGATGGTGGTCACCCTCTCGCTCGTCAGCCCTACGCTGACGCGAAGACCTCGAAAAGGGATCAGGGCCACCGCGAGGATTGGGCTGCTGGTGCTGTTGCTGGTGCTGTTGCTGCTGTTGCTGCAGCAGAGGATGCTGGTGGTGATGGTGGTGATGGTGCTGGTGTGGGTGATTGTGACTGTGATTGTGATTGTGATGCTGGTGGCGATGCGAGTGGCGCTGGTTGCCCTCGCTGCTCATCTCCGATCGCTCGTCCACGTCGCCCCTCGGACGTCTGTCTTCACGGCGTCGCCCACCATCGCGATCGCGACGTGATGGACCTCGAGGGCCAGGGACAGAGCCGGGGCCAGGGCCAGTGACAGGGGCAGGGACAGCAGCGGACATGGCCAGCGCCGGGGGAGGCATCGCCTCTGCCTCGGGCAGCCTAAGCGCGCCCGGCTTAATTTTGAAGGGGGCTGCTGTCGCATCCAGAGTCCTCGTTGGCCTCGACGCTGGCGGCTGCGGTTCCACACCGCCAAGGGATCCCGGCGCGAGTTGGGGCGAGCCGCTCTTGTTGGACAGGATCGAGATATGCTTCGGGGAGCCGGGATCGACGTCATGATGGTGAGGCGAATGCTGAGCTAGGTCGAGGACGCCACCCTTACGAGGGGGCGACAGCCTCTGTGCTGCCATCCAGAGCGGTTCGCCCATGGGTTCCGCCGCCGCGGTTGGCCCCTTTGTCTCCTATCGCCTTCTTTTCCTTGTCCTTTTTTCTTCTTTCCCTTTGTTCTTCGGGTGAATCACTCAGCGCGATCGTCGGGGTTGCTGTCTGGCGAGCTCGTGGAGCGGCATTCGATAGTGTCGACTGGGATATCGTGCGGCATCGTCTCTTGGCTCTGTGACTCTCTTGGCGCAAGCTTGGTCAGATTGGTGACGTATAGAGCGGTCCCGGTGGTGGCTGCTGGGGGGAAGAGTGGTTTCGGGCGCGCGATAGGAGCGTAAGCGGCGAGCGCAGGCACTGGCAAGAAGAGCGTCTGGGGGAAATTTCCGACTGCGCTGGAGCAGTTGCTGGTGGCGAGAGGTGTGCGAGAAGTTTCCCTGCCAGCTTCGTCTTGCTCTCAATCCTCCTCTTCGTCCTAGAGCCAAACAATCCAGGGTCCGGATATTACTGCTACGCTTCCTCGAGGACGGTTTTGACGGCGCTTACGCCTCCACGCCCGACACACGCACGGCAGGCTGAGTGGATAATGCGGCTGCGCTTTTTATTTTTATTTTTGTCTTAGGTAGTGGATTAGTCACAAGCACGTGAGATTTCAGTCATGCTATGTCATTTTGTGACTGTATAGATGACTAGGCGTTGGAAAGGAAGAAAGGAAGAAAAAAGTCGAACAATAAAGAGGGAAAGAAAGAAAAAAAAAAAAGAAAAAAAAAAAAGAGAAGAGTGAAAAGTCCAAGGAGTGGAATATGGGCTTGGGGCGCTTTGTCCTGCTACTCACCGCACCGCTTGTCCTTTTTTGTCCTGCTACTCTCTTCTCAGGCAGCTGGACGTATAAGTAAGGCCCCGTCTCCCCAACATTTATCCTTCTCCTTGTCCACCAGGACCCAGGTAACGTCACCTAAACACGACGCCTGTATCTCGTCCGTCGTGCAACGCGGACGACAACGTGTACATCACGTGACCCTCGAGTGAGGGCTCGGGGTTGAGAGCTTCACCAGGTCTATGTTGGTTGGAAGAGGATCACTTGTTCGTCTTGTTCTTCCCCTTCGACAGCAACCTTTTACACACCGCTCCCTTTTTCTTGCAGCGCCAAGACCACCTGCCTTCTCAAACAAGCCCGCTCCAAGGCCAATCAGATTCAGCAACATGTCGTCGGCCGCTCCCGAGGAGAGCGAGGCGCAGAAGCACAGGGATGAGGTGACGGGCGAGATGGTCTCCAAGAGCGAGCTCAAGAAGCGGCAGAAGCAGAGGGAAAAGGAGGCCGCCAAGGCCAAGAAGGCTGCGAGTGCCCCCGCTCAGCCTGCCGCCTCGGCCAACGCAGGTTCGAGTGCGCCCAAGCAGGAGGAGGAGCTGGACCCGAGCAAGTACTACGAGCGCCGGGTGCGCGAGATCCAGAAGCTGCGCGAGACTGGCAACCCGGACCCGTACCCGCACAAGTTCCACGTTTCCATCTCCCTCACCGACTTCATCGAAAAGTACCAGGACCGGGTCGAGGCGGGCGAAAAGGTGGAGAACGAGGGCGAGGTGTCGATTGCCGGACGGATCCACAACATGCGTTCGAGCGGCACCAAGATTCGCTTCTATGACCTCCATGGAGAGGGCGTCAAGGTCCAAATCACGGCACAGATCCAGGACCACAAGGACGGTGACTTTGCCCAGACCCACGACCTGCTGCAGCGCGGTGACATTGTTGGTGTCATGGGCGTGCCAGGAAAGACGAAGAAGGGCGAGCTGTCCATCTTCCCATCGAGCCTCAAGCTCCTGTCTCCCAACTTGCACCTGCTCCCCAAGGCTCCCGCCGGTGCACAGCAGAAGGGCGGCCTGACCGACACGGAGACGCGGCACCGCAAGCGATACCTGGATCTGATCATGAACCAGCATGTGCGCGACATCTTCGTCAGGCGAGCCAAGATCATCAACTACGTCCGCCGCTACCTCGACAACCTCGGCTTCCTCGAGGTCGAGACGCCGATGATGAACATGATCGCTGGTGGTGCCACGGCCAAGCCATTTATCACGCACCACAACGACCTCAAGCTGGACCTGTTCATGCGCGTCGCCCCCGAGCTCTACCTCAAGGAGCTCGTCGTGGGAGGCCTGGACCGCGTCTACGAGATTGGCCGTGTGTTCCGCAACGAGTCAATTGACCAGACGCACAACCCCGAGTTCTCCATCTGCGAGTTCTACATGGCCTACGCCGATATGTACGACCTGATGGAAATCACGGAGAGCATGATCTCGGGGCTTGTCAAGTCCGTCACGGGCGGCTACAAGATCAAGTACCACCCAGACGGCAAGGATGTCGAGGGCGGGCGAGAATACGAGATTGACTTTTCGACGCCATGGAAGCGCTTCGACATGATCAAGGAGCTCGAGTCGAAGCTCGGCGTCACTTTCCCCCCCGCCGATACACTCCACAACGAGGAGTCGCGCAAGTTCCTCTCGGACCTGGCTGCCAAGCACAATGTTGACTGCTCCGAGCCACGGACAAGCGCGAGGCTGATCGACAAGCTCGTCGGCGAAATCATCGAGGTGCAGTGTATCAACCCGAGCTTCATCGTGGGCCACCCTCAGGTCATGAGCCCCCTGGCAAAGAGGCATCGGGACATCACTGGCCTCTGCGAGAGGTTCGAGGTGTTTGTGGCCACCAAGGAAATCTGCAACGCATACACGGAGCTGTAAGTGGGCCACCTCTCCTCCTGTCCCCTCTTTGATCAACAGCTCATTTCTTTTGTCATTCTCTCTTTTGCTCAGCAACGACCCTTTCGACCAGAAGGAGAGGTTCGAGGAGCAGGCCAGGCAGAAGGACCAGGGCGATGACGAGGCCCAGGGCATCGACCACGTCTTCATCGATGCTATGGAGCACGGCCTTCCTCCGTGAGTGCCCTCACTTTTCTCTTTCTCATCCTTCAGTAGATGGACTGACCAAGCTGCCTCACTCGCTCAGCACCGGTGGATGGGGCATGGGCATCGACCGGCTCGTCATGTTCCTGACCGACTCCAACTCCATCAAGGAGGTCTTGGCCTTCCCAGCCAACAAGCCCCTCCCTGCCACGAACGCCGCCCCCGCTGCTACTCCTTCTGCGGAGGCTTCGACGTCGGCTTGACTGGTTGGGCGCAACATTTGAGAGAATTTGTCTTTGTAGAGGTAGACAGATCTTTTTCTCGTTGATTAAAAAGGACGCCTCTGTTGAGGAATAAATAGAACAAAAGAAAAAAGGATGGCCAATGAAGCGAACAAAGCCTGTTTGTCGAGTCCTCAAAGGAAAAGCCTGGCCAGTTCAAAGACGACTGTGGTGGTTCCTGTCAGTCATCGTCCGTGAGAGGGTCCAGAGGGTCCACTGCAGACTGCACGACTTACCGCCTCCGATGACGACAAAGCAGATGAGACTCAGGGCGATAGTGCCGACGGGGCTCCTCTTTGCCAGGACACGCTCCTGATATGGCTTGCGCGGCTTTGTCTTTCCCTCGCGCGCCGCCTTTGCGTTCTGCGTGTGCGTGAAGAGGATGAGATTCGAGAGCTAGGAGTGAGATCGGGCAAGGTAAGAAGCACACTCACTCTCTCGTTCTTTGCGCGGATATCTTTGCCCGTCGGCTGGATTGCTACAGGTCAGTCGCCTGTCTTTCTTCCTGCATCATAGAGATTGTGTCTCTCTTTGTGTGTGCGTGTGCTTACCATGATGTTCACTAGCTCCTCGGATATGCGCCGGTCGCTGCGTCTTGTCGTCGTTGTGAATAGGAAGAAAGCGTCCTCGTCTTCACTCTCTAAAACAGAAATTGGAGCAATGAGAGGCGCCACGCAGCGCGCAGCTAGCCCACACTCGCCCCATGGGCGGGCCGTGCGCCCAGCCTGGCTTATTTTCTTTCTCTTGCCTACACGTGGATGCGCGCGTTCGAGCTTGGGCTTGCGTTCTTCTCTCACTAGGTCGCCTGGCACACGACGAACGAAGGCTGAGGTGAACGGGCAAGGTGAAGGGCGAAAAGGAAGAGTGGCATGAGAGTGAGGGCATGACAGTCAAGAACGGCCATGTAGGAGCAACACAACGCGAGAATATGACGACAAAGACAACAAAGACGACGCTCCAAGCGGAGCTGTTGCGCCTAAGACGCCAATTTCGCAACGTCCACACGGGCGAGGGCAGCGGATCTGGCTTCAAGGATGAAGTACCAGTCGGGGCCTCGCTGCATCCACTCCACAGCCATGAGGAGCAGATCCCCTCCCTGGAGGAGTTACAGGCGACGATCCGATCGATGCGAGCAGTCGTCGATTCGTTCCTCGATAGCCTCATCGTCGAGCAGGCGGCTGCTGGGCCCAGGTTGGCCAGCGGCAACACGCCCAGCAATGGCGCAGCGGCGAGTCAATACATCGATGAGGCGCAACCGAAAGAGGGCTCATCGTCTTTAGAAGACAAAAAGGGCGCTGGAAGCAGCAGCAGCAGCAATAACAAAGCTCGATTCTCGAGCTTGCTTCGCGAACAGGCGTCGCACCTCTCCACAATCGACTCTTTGACCGACTTTGTTGTCAATGGCGGCCACTACGGAGGACCCAGCGGCAAGGGAAAAGCCAAAGAGCAGTCTTTGTGCGCCTCGGGCTTTCTACCACAAAGCTTAGCTGTGTGTGCACTGGACCCCACCTGGCTCTTTGGGCGATTCAAAGACGAGACGGTAGTCTGGCCGAACACCTCGCAAGAGTCTTCGGGTCGCGCATTGCAGGCACTCGTCGAGACCGTTCAGGAATTGGCAAAGGACAGCGGTCTTGAGGCTTTCGCCGAGGATCACCGCCCTGCCAAATCCTCGCCTCCGTCTTCCAACTCGCTCTCGTCTTCGTCAAGCGAATCCTTGGGCCATCTCTACACTCTCACCCTCGCCGCATCTATCTTCGTCATCGACGTTGACTTTGGGATCCAAAAGGTCTCAGACGAGCACGTGTGGCGTCCCAAGCTCAGAGTCCGGATCTCGTACGCGACCGACAGCAGCAATGGGGCTGGTCCGTCACACAGTCAGGGAGGAGGGGCACCTCGGAAGCGCGATGAAGGGCTGTGCGCATTTGTCCATCACGACGTCGAAGCACTTGGTCGACTGCTGTTCGGCTTGGAGCGGGGAGACAATATCGTGGGTGGTGACCCTACATCAAAGGCTATCGCGCACTTCCAGAGGCTCCGCAAGACCATTGGGACTCTCTGTCACCTCGACAACTTGTCATCAAGGCGGCATGCTGCCAATGAGGACGGCGCCAACCAAGTACCGGATCTCTTTGCGGCAATGGATGACCTGACAAAGGCACTCGGAATAGATTCAGAGGACTCCACTTCTTCGTTGAAAGGGTTGATCCCGCTGTGTCACGCTGGCTCGCCCTATTCTACATTGGTGTATCACACCATGCCGCCTATACTCGAGAGGAGCGAAATCGAACGCCAGATCGAGAGCGCCAGTCTAGGACAGGAGGGCAAGAACGAAAGAAGCACTTACAGCGTCAGATTCTCTGTCGCGCCGTGCCAATTTCCGCTCAATGGTAGTGATGGTGGCAAGACCAAGATTGCCGAGTTGGGCAGTGTTACACAAGGCACGGAAGCCGAAGAGACGAACAAAGAGTCGTCGCCGGGAGCACCATTGCGCTTCTTGGCGCAACTCGATCCACCCGTAATTGTACCTCGACAAAAGGCGAGAAAGATTGCCGAGCGCATCGGTCTCGTGAGCGATGGCGGCGTCAACGACCAGTCTCCGGCCGAAGCTGCGCTAGCCTCGGCGCTGTTCTCGGCAGGGTCAACCTCGGCAGTGACCACCCAAGCGCCGTCGGCCATGTTTGCGACCACGTCGCCTGAATCTTCCAATTTGATTCAGAGCGCCATGCTCGCCTACTCGGGAAATGGCTCTACAGCGAGACCCGCCTCGCTGAATGGATCGCAGGCAAACGGGACAGCGAACGGGAACGGGAACGTGGGTGGCTTCAGCTTTCATCTCGGCCCTTCGTCATCGTCGATGGATTTGTTAGCTTCTTCGCAGCAGGTCCCGCGCATGCCTCTGGATACCTTCCGCTTCGAACGCCTCATCTCTGCTGGGGCCGGTGTCTCAGTAAGCGGGAGCAGACGTAGAAGACCTAGGAGTGGGAAGCTTGACTTCAAATTCGACATTCGTACCACCGCGCATGCTGCGGAAGGCGAGCAGGGACTTCAGGGCTTGGAGATCAACTCGATCCCATTTGACTCGATGGAGGCGTTGAGGGACATCGTAGAGATACTGAAGCGCCAGACACAGGTCAACGAGCTCTTGCGCGAGCACCTGGATGATCAGGAAGGCAGCAACGAGCAAGAGCCTGATGGAGGAGTCCGGGTCGAGGTGACCTACGAGCTGCAGGAGGAAGAGCATCTCAAGGTCGCCATTCCTGTACGTCTGCGGACGCTTGTCGGCGAGCAAGAAAAAGAACAAGTCTGGATCTGCACCTGTCGACTTGATGCAGATCTAGACGATGGGTGGAGGGTGTCAGAAGGGAGGATCACAAAAGTGGGAGGAAAGAGACGTCGGCGGCGAGGAAAGCAAGGCCTAGATCCAGAAGAGCAAGACGAGGAACAAGGGGAGCATCTTATCGAGGGCGAGATGCAGAGGGAATGGGCCAGGCATCTCGGGGAAGGAAATTCCGAGAAAGGAGACAGACGGCTCGAAGGTCTAGCAACAAGGATGTACAACTACGTCGAGGCGAGGTATGGGGTTCAGGAAGAGAAAAAGCAAACGAAGAATGCGCAAGTGGATGAAGACATGGCGTCTGTATCTGCTGAAGATCTCGAGCGGAGGGAGGTACACGAAGAGGCAACAAAGCGAAGACGATCAGAGCAGCTCGACTCTGTCATCGAGGAGGAAGACGAAGACGAAGACGAAGACGTTTCGCCTACCGCTGCTGCAGCTGCGCTCCCTCCCACCGGTCGTCTCACCCGCCGGTCGAGCCACTTGGTGAGCGGGACCACGATGGAAAAGGAGACCCACGCCCGTCGACCCTCGACTGCATCTGGCCTGCGTTCCTCTTCGCCTGCGGCAAATTCCGTGGCTGGCACGAAACGACGTGCAAGCCAGTCGCTCGACCAAGACTCGGGCGCCGTTGGGACTAGACGGACTTCGAGAAGGAAGAGCTGAGGTGCCTTTGCTGCCTCGCGAACGAAGGCGGCAATGAGGATGAGAGGGAACGATACTTTTGATTGATGAGAGAGCAGGAAGTTGCTTCCTTTGTAATGAAGTCTATTATCTACAGAATGAGGTGTGACGCTGGCCACGGGGCCCTTGTCGTAAACGCTGAGGTCGAAACAGATTGTGAGAATAGAGCGCCAGAGAAGAAGTATAGATTAGGAGGCAATGATGGTCGAAAGTGTTCTGTGTTGAATGCTGATGAAGAGGCGAGATTTTTAGAATGAAAAGAGGCCGCCACCTCTGATCTTGCGACCGCCGACAATGTACGCAATAACTGTGGCGGCGTAGAGCCCGACAGTGAGGCCCAGAGCGACCTCGACAAGGCTCTGTGCGACCGAGAAACCTGACGAGATGTTGCCAGCAGAATTGTTCTGGTCATTGGCGAAGCTCAGAAGACCGCCTCCGCCACTCAGGCCGCTCGGAAGCTGGTAGAGAACGCCGACGCAAGCGACCGTATAAGACTTGCCATCATAAATGCGGCCAAAAACATTCGAGAGGAGACCGACGGCCATGGCGCCCAGAGCACTTGTCACGTCGCTCCTCTGCGAAAGCGATTTCGACTGAGCTGCGAAGTGATTGGTGGCCCAGCCAGCAATGGCAATGGCTACCATGACGGGGAACTCCTTCCTGGTTACCTTGGCCTGGTTTCGGATCGACAGCGCGATTGAGTAGCCAGGGACCGTCAAGAGGGCCCAGATCAGGGGCACGTCGCTCATCCACCACTTGTCGTTGTGGACCACGCTGCACTGGCGCAGTGTTTGACTGTCGCTGTCACTGCCGCTAAACAGAAGCCAGAACGAGTATCCAATCGAGATGCCAAAACCGAGGAACAGCGAATAGATGATGGCGTAGACGAGTCGAACGGACCCGGCGATAAGATTTTTGGACTGAAGCTCCAACGAACCGCTGAGGACGATGAAGCCGGGTAGAATCAGCACGATGGAACCCGAGACGACGCCTGCATAGCAGAAGTAACCAGTCGAAGCCAAGGCCGAGGCGACGAAAGAATTGATGGCGGCAAAAAGAATCTCAAAGACGTTCGAAAAGAGCTCCGTTGTGATGACGCTCTGGCAAAAGACGAGGAAGCAACCGAGCGGAAAAGCGGCGAGCGCATCGATGAACGAGCCGCTGAAGCCCATGGGTCCAACACAGATGAAAGACGAGCAGAATCCTCCAATGATGACCATGGGGATCCGTGAGATGATGGGCTTCCTTCGCATGAGCTCGTCAAGCTGCGAAGACGCCTCGGCAACGCCAATCTTGTCGTGAATGACGTTCCAGTAGATGGAGTGCATGTCAGTGAGCTTCGTCAGGTCGAGGCCACCGCCTTGCTTGATGAATTTTGTCTCGGATGTGTGCGTCGTGTCGTCGCCAAAGGCCAAGAGCATGAGGTTGGGCAGGTAGATGCAGCGGCAGTTGATCTCCAAGACTCTGGCCGTCTGCTGGATCTGCGTCTCGATCCGGTGGGTGGGCGCTCCGAACATCATCAACGCCCGCGCCAGCTTCATGAGGAACTCCTGGCGCTGGAGGATAGCTGCGACGTGCATCGTGATGAAGATCTCCTCCTTCTTGCGCTTGTCCTTTGCCCTCCGCTTGAGCTTGCGCTGCCACTCGGCCTTGGCTGCCTTCTCGTCGAGCTCCTCCTTGCCAAAGTAGTCGCTCCCGTGCGCGTCACCCAGGACATCAGGCGTATTGACGTTGGAATGGCCAGTCCACGTCCTGGCAAAGTTGGGCATGTGCGGCAGGTGCAGATGGGCTCCCGCGCCTGCGCTGTGGGGTGCCGTGCCGGCGCTGTTCTTGCGAGTGTGCAGTGCCGTCTTGGTCGAATTGGGACGTACGTTGATGATGCTCGAAGGCCTCGTGAATGACTTCCTGGGCGAGTGAGCCCCACCGCTGGGCGGCGTCATGGCTTGGGTTTCGGCACTGTCTGGCTCCTTGTGGTCAAGCGAAGACATGCCCGGTGAGTGGTGACCAGCTCCTGGTGTGCCCGGCTGAGATCGCCAATGGGGCCTCGGCGCGGCATCTGCAACGATCTCAGCCGTGCGCTTGAGCGTCTTGGCGTTCATCTCGGGAAGCAAGTAGCGATCGAGAGTGTACCCTGGGCGCTTTGGATTGGGACCAAGCTGCGCATGATAAGGGCTGACGGCGCCGATGAGGTTTCCCGTCGTGGCAATCAGACCGCCAATCGTGCCGGCAGACGATCGGCTGGCCTTTGGTCGTTCGTCGATGGCCTCGTCGATACCAGCCTCCTTTGCGGCAATCGACAAGACCTTTTTACCCGCACCAGCAATGGCGAGACCTCCAGACGTGATGTCCTTCGTCCAGCCGGGACTATTGCCGCCGGAAGGAGCCCAGCTCATGCGTCGCCTCGAGGGGCTATCAACACCGGAGGATGTCGACGAAATAGGTCGCGCTCCTCGAGCCTTGGCGGCGGCATCCTCGCGTCGAAGCTCTGCAGCCACCAAATCTGATAGGTTGCCATCGCCGACGCCATGACCTCCGATGCCCGCAGCTGCACCACCGGCACCCGTGGCGCTGCCGCCGGCGGGTCCTGGCGTGCTGAGCGGACTGGTAGCCTCTGAGCTCATGCCGCTGGCTTTCCGTGCGGCCTGCTGCTCCTTCTGCTGCTGTTCATAGAGCTTCAGAAGGTTACCCAGCACACCACCGGCGGCAATGGGTCGGGCAGAGAGGTTCGCGGCCGTATCGAGATTGTCGGGCGTTGAGGCGCCCGAATCGAGATGGTCGCGTTTGTTGGTTGGCATCGAAGAAACGCCCGGCATGCCGTCGTCCTCCGACATCGACCCAGCGCCCTGACCGGTCATGAGCTTGTGCGCTCGAACAAGCTTGGCGGCCTCTCGCTCGAACTTTGTCGGTCTGCTCCTGGGACCGCCGGGCCGAGTGCCGGTCGACGTCGTGACGGGGACCGACTTTGTGTTTGTAGGACCACCTTCCTCATACGGTCGACTCGTGGGCGAGCTGGCCGTCTGCGCCTCCGCTTTGCCCGCCTCGTCTTCGTCGCCCTTGCCGAACATCAACCCTCGAATCCTTGCCCAGCCCTTTGGCTGCGCATCTTCCTCCTCCGCTGCTCCCTTCTTCTTCTTGCGTCTCGCTGGCAACCCGTCCGTCTCGCCAGGCATAAAGTCAATGTGATCCAGATCCGAGTCATTTGCTGGATCGTAGCTGCCAGACTCGGAGGTCCAGTCCCCACCACCGGGCGTCGATGTGCCGCTGCTGGCCCAGTCTGGCGTCTCGGCTTTCGATTTCCGTCGACGCTGCTGTTGCTGTTGTTGTTGTTGTTGTTGTGATTGCTGTTGTTGCTGCTGTTGTCCGCCACCCTGCATTTCGATCCAGTCGCCATTTTCAGCGACGACAGCATCGGTCCCCTCGTGGGCCTCATGCCTCTGAAGCTCCCGCTGGAGCTCAAGGAAAGCTCGGTTGTCGAGCCCTCGCTCATCGAGGCTCTTTGCGCCTGTCAGACTGAGCGTCGGCACCAGCTGACGGTTCTCTTGGGCCTTGCCCTCCTCGAGGCCCTGGTGGATGCCCTCACTCGGCTGTTCGTTCATGGGTGAAAGCCTCGTGTGGAGCATGAGCGGGCCCGGATGGTGGGCCCTCTGGACACTGGTAGACGACGTGGGTACGACACCGCCACCAGCCTGCGTGGCAGCAGCGGCAGGCTGTCGGACGGTGACCGTGGGTCCGCCGTGCTGTCCCTGGAAGCGCTTCGAGGCTAGGCCCGGGTGGGTGCCTGCGCCGGAATCCCAGTGCACTCTGCCCCTCCTCGCTGTGGCAGACGAAGGTGCTGAGCCTGACCCTCGTCCGCCGGTGCCTGTGTTGCCATCAACGGTCTCTCCATTGAGGCCGCCTGGGGTGCTAGTCCCTGTCGGCTGTCGACTGCCCACCTCGATCGCGGGGCTTCCCTCGCCGCCTGTCTCTCTTGCGAGGGTGGTCGTTGCATGCTCTGCCGTGTTCTGGAATGACGACTGCTCCGTACCCTCGAGATTCAAGGGGTGCTGCTGTCGATCAGCCGCCATCTTACCGTACTCTATCTGTTAGCAGGAGCACCGATCAAGAATTCAAGTCTATATGCGAGTCGAGTCGAGTCGCGAGTGTTGCGAGGGGCGCCCCTTGGGTGGCGTGGTCGTGGTCTCCTTTCAAGCGCGCCAGCACGCTTTCTCGCCTCGGCTACCTCGGTGTGTCACTCTGAACACTCCGACGAGATAAGTCCGCCTTTCTGCTGCAGCTGCGTCGGTCGTGGATAGGATGTAGAGAGGAGAGCCAAGAGAAGATCTCTCGAAGAGAAACAGGGGCCCGTTTGGTTGTGTGCGATTGCCCGCGCCGCCTTCCCTGTTTTTTTTTTTTTTGTTCTTCCCTCCCTTTTTTTCCTACCTCTTTTTGGCGTGGAGGTTCGTGTCGTTTTTCGTCGGGTTTCCGATTTCCACCAGCCCAGGCGAAGCGAGAGGTGAGAGGAAGATCCGCGCGCGGCGCGAGCGGAGCGGAAAATGAACGAGGTCGTGTCTGGCGTCGCCAAGCGAAGCTCCGAAGAGATGGTGATGTGAGGATCGCAGAAGAAGAAGTGATGCTGCTTGGTCGACGCTTCAGCCCCTACTCAGGCTTCCTGTCCAATCCAGGTGCCAACAAATGTATTGATATCCTTTTAGTTTTTCGGACGATAGGTGCGTGTGTGAGTGTGCTCGCGCGGCATGCACGCTTTCCAAAATTCGCCGGGAAGCGCTCAAACTCAGAATGAGAAATAAAAAATAAAAAAACAAGTTTCACAGGATCGATAGAGGCCGGAACATTTCTCTCTCTCTTGCGCTTTCCCTGCCCCAATCTGCCCGGTCGCTTTAATCTCTGTGACGGCAGAGGTACGGATTATTGGTGCCGAAGGAGACACAGCAATAAATAAAGAAGTGCACTCACTATATAGATCGAAGTGGTGGTTTCGTCTGAGTTGTAGTTGGGGCTTGCGTATGTGGCCGAGCTTATTGATCGATTGAACTATGCATGGTTTGAGAGCCAAGACAAATGGCGGCTGCTCTTGCCATCATTGAGCAGCATCGATTGCAGCAGGCTCCACTCGCGGCTTCGACCGGCAGCGAGCCCCGCTCGGAGCGCTGCCACACTAGTAAAGAAAGTTGGCCAACGAGGAGGCGGAGACTGCAACAGTCTGTCTGGCCAAGAACAAACAATGGCGTTCAACAAAAGGCTAGGTAGCCGTGTCTCAGATAGCTTGGCGTCTCTCTCCCCGGACCGTATGTCGTCTTTCCACAGTGGCACTGCCCTTTCCCCTTCTAGCGACGGGCGGACGGAGGAGCCTCCCCTTCCCCCCCCCCCCTTTTTTCTCCTCTTTTGGCGTGGAGGTTCGTGCCATTTTTCGTCGGGTTCCGATCTCCACCAGCCCAGGCGAAGCGAGAGGCGAGAGGGAGATTCGCGCGCGAAGCAGACGGAGCGGAAAATGAACGAGGTCGTGTCTGGCGTCGCCAAGCGAAGCACCGAGAGCTGTTGATGATAGATAGCGTGACCCCGCTTCTTTGTTACCCCATCTTTCAGACTGTAGATTCTGCGAATCTCAAACCACCTCACTCAATTGTAGACGTCTTTCTGTTCACAGTCGAGGACGAGGATGTCCGCACTCATACGGTGAGATGAGCTCTCCGCTCGATTGGCACATAGTGACGTTTTGCTCTTTACATTGTTGTTTTCCTGAACCACGTATGTTCGCCTATCAGCTGTCAAAGCAGTGCTCTCTTTCTAGAATTCGCAAAGACGCCGCCGATTGTCCAGCGGCTGGCCATATTTCGGCAAATTCGTCGAGCCACCGCAGAATATAGAGGAGATTACGACGAGCTTGAGCAATAGTATCCGGAGACCGACTTCCAAGCCCAGAAATGAGCAGTATCAGCATCGTCCCCGAAACATAGATGCATCTAAGGTATGAGGGTAGTCAGTAAAGATCACCATTGGTGATGGTCATTTAGATACACCTACTGCTGCGTCGTGAGTGGAGCAGAATGGACCCCGTGAAAGTCACGGATGAAGCGAATGATGTCGATCATCTCCTCGGCGGCCTGCACGCAATGATCCATCGTTTTGGGCCACAAATTTGGGTTCTCAGTAAAGGTGAGGTATGGTCGATGGAGCTCGATCAGATATGCATTGTATATCGCCAAGAGAACAGCGACACCAGGCAGCATGATCGGAGCAGAGGATGGTTGCGGCCAAGTAAGGATTTCGGGCAGAGATCGTCGCCTGTGCAGCGACAGCGAAAATCAGCGATCATTCCTAGCAGTCAGTATGATCGAAGTAGCTCACCAAGCCAAAAGATCATCGCCCAAACGTTTGGCCAAAGTCAGCCGCTGATTGAAGCTCGCTCGCATGAAATGATTGCAGAAGACGATCTTGTGTCCAATATTTGAGAGTTGGCAATGCTTTCGGAAGGCAATCGAGACTATGCGAATTGCTGGATCACTCGACGTTCGAAGGAAGGGCGGCCGCTGATTTTCTTCCGCAGAGAGGTTGAGAGAAAGGCGAGCAAAGTAATTCGTCCACCAACTACCTGCAAGCAGGCCATGAAGAAGCGTGTGAGATAGGAACAAATTTGTCAATGAGATCCGTCAGAGAAAGAAGCACCAAACGCACTCACTAAAATTACGCACGAACCCATAGACGTCTCGCCGAGCCACATCGAGCTCGCTGTCTGGCTCCAAGCCCAATGCTCGCAGTTGTTCATCACACCTGCGATGAAGTCGAAATTCTTGCACGAGAAAGATTGCGATGGCGTAGTAATTGGAAGCTGCTTGATCGCTCATCATGCCAAAGCAATAAATTGATAGGAAGACGAGTGCGATTATCGTTCCCAGAGTCGGTGCATCGGCCTCTGAGTCAGCCATTGCTCGTGCCCTTTCGATGAAGCAATGACCTCGCGTAGCGTATTCTTCACCGCTGAATTGAGTATTTACAGAGTGAAATCGACCCACCTGATAGCGTGAGCCGATCCCCAGACACACAAGGTGAAGCAGAGGCGAGAAGTAGAGTTGCTTTCGCATCGGATCTGTGCGCATTGAAAGCGTGAATTGTTCCTGGAAGCTGTTCATCCCAAACGTAGGCGTATAGGCGAAAAAGAGATGAAGGAGGTGCTGGTGTGTCGATTTTTCAAGAGATGCTGGGAGATAAGGTACTTCGTGTGGTGCAAAGGTAGCTTCACTGGCAGGTGACGCTCTGCCGGTATCTCTGGAGCTCTGTGTGCCACCCATCCCAGCAAATAAGAACCCCTCGAACAACAAGTCGTCCGGGACATTGCTCTTGTCTTTTTGTCCTCGAGGGTCATAGGCATCATGATGAAGCAGTGTCGCACTTGCAGAGGACGAGTGAGGAATGAGAAAGTGTCGTGGCCGAAAGAACGTCGCCTCTGCTCCCAGATGAAGATTTCCATCGGGCGAGAGAATCAATGCTCCAGTCCCAAACGGTTCCTCGTCGCTCGCTTCATTCGCGTCCCTGCTGTCGCTGCTGAGCGGGGTTCCAACAAAGGGTTCTGATGTGGAAGGATGGGCGGATGTGCCTGATTCTGGTGATCTATTTCGACTGGAAGAGCGATTGGAGCCGAGAGCCTGCTCCAGTTCTGCTATTCGCTGGCGCAATTGGGCGTTTTCTCTCTTCCAAGCACGTACTCTTAAGAACGCATTGAGGCAATTAGCGTCTCTATAGTCTCCCATACTCACCTCGACTTACAATTCTCGCCGATCTACTGCTTCAGGATAGTGGCAAGTCTTTCTGGCCTGGCTGCACTTGGCACATGCAGGACTCTCTCCCGAGCACCGCTGCTTTCGATTTCGGCATCGCTCACATGCCCTGCCTGCTTGACTGCGTCGACTGCTTGGGACGTTGACATTCAGACTTGATTGGTAAGATGTAGATGCGTTGTCCATGTGGGTGCAGGTACAGCGAGATGGAAGTTATATTCATGGAGCAAAGATGATGCACAGGTAAATCAAGATCGGTGACGTGCAGCTTGTTTGGAAAAGCACGTGAGCTACCTATCTTACCGGTACCGGTACAGATTGCCCGCCTTCAAATAAAGCGATAGTAGTAGTAGATTGGACCTGATGATAGCTACAGACTCTTCGGAGCACTGATCACGTTACTGTGCGGTGCCTTAGGAACTCAAGGCATCCCAGGAAGGTGCATCGCTGTTGCTAGAACTGCTAGAGTGAAGTTCGTCGATCGATTTGTGAATGGCAAGTAAGGGCTTGTCCGCTTCAAATTCGCCATTGGTGGCTCCGCACTTGACCACGTAATTCTTGGGACGATCATCGACCAGAATGCGAAGCAGGTCCGGCCTCGAGTAATGACCAACTGGATCGGCGATCGCTTTTGCATAGTAGATGTCATCCAAGTCGATGTCGCAGTAGATGATACCATCAAAGTCGGGGGCAGCATCTGGTGTGATCTTGCGGCCGTCGGGACCAAACACACCAGAGGCGCCTCCCCAGCCCTCGGAGGTCATGAAAGAGCCAGCTGCAGAGTTGTGTCCGGAAGAGTTCGCCTTGATGCCAGCTGGACTCAGCGGCTGGTTAGTGACCAGAGTGAACACCTGCCCCTCGATAGAGTACATTCGTGAGGCGGTCACTTCATTGGCTTCGCTGCAGACATTGTACGGTTCTGGCCCTCCCGAGTGTGGAGGATTGAACGGCCACGCAGCGATGTGCACCTGCTCCCCCTGCGCATACTGGTAGTACTTCAACAGAGGTTGGATGTGTTCCCAGCAATTTAGCATCCCGATCTTGCCCAGAGGCGTGTCGACGACACTGTTTAGCGAATCGCCTGTTGAGTCGCCGAAGATAGTTCTTTCGACGTGCGTGGGTTTCGTCTTTCTTCTGTGCATGAGAATGTTGCCTTCAGAGGAAATCAAAACTTGACCGAGGTAGAGGCTACCATTATCACGTTCACTGAAGCCGAGGGCGACGAAAAGGCCCAAGTGGGCGGCGAGCTTGCGGATTTCCAGCATTTCAGGACCAGTCGCCGTCATGCTGTTCTTGATGTATGACTGAACAAGAGACAGATTTTCGCGGTAGTTGCCGTTCCACAGGAAGTTGGGGTACCCAGGTATCCAGACTTCTGAGAAAGCGATGAGGGAAGCGCCGCCCGCCTTTGCTTCGCGCATCAGATCGCATGTCTTCTTCACCGCCGCCTCGAGGTTGAACCAGCATGGCTCTGCTTGCACGACGGCAGCTTTCCACTTGCGGATGGACATAGCAGGGTAGTAATCGAGGGCTCGGGAGAGGGCGACGTGGCTTCAATACTCGTCTATGTGTGAAGGATACTGTGCCTTCCTAAATACAATCTCTCCCCTCCTGTGTCAGCTTTCTACATGTGCCAAAGAGCTCGGTCGATCATTATCGAGCGGATGAAGATAGGCCGACAGGCCGGCTAACGGATGGGGCCAAGGTCCTCGCGACCGGGTCCTTGTCAATGCTACTCGAGTTGGGAATGTCCTCCGTCTCGTCGCACGTAGGCAAAGTCGGGATGACTTTCCCCGAAACACGCTTAAATTTTCGGTCTGTCCACATCCGATTTCTGAGAGATTAGATTTCTTATGCCTGTCAAACAAAGCATCTCGGTCTGTCCACATCCGAATTTTGAGAGATCGGACTTTGTTACGCCTATCAAAGAATCTCCGCAAAATTTCCGCTTCTCTCTCATTTGTGCTCCCGGCAGTCTCACCTTGACTTGACATGGCTCACTGCGATGGGAGAGAAGAGCCAAGATGCTGCACTGCCGCAATATACCATCTCTCTCCACCTCTTCCACAATCAGCGAGCTACTAAAGGCGTACATACACGTAGCACCCTGACAGAATCGCCTCGCACCAGCTCCCCTCCTTCGGTTCCCGCCTCAATCCTTCTCCCCCCTTTCCTCCCACCCCCTCATCTCCTCTCTCGCTCTCAAATCGTCCTACTCCACGATGTCTACCACTTCTCTCTCCCAGAAAGAGAGTCGCAACATCTTTGCCACGCTGACGATTGTGTTCGCTACATTGGGATCGATCACCTATGGCTACTGCTCCTGCATCATCGCCACAATGCTGAGTCGTACGTAAAGACAGTCCGTAGACAGCTTTCCAAATCACTGAAGTTCCACACAGAAACATCGTTCACTGGCTACATGGGCCTCCAGCGAGCTACAAATGCAACCCAATTGTCTGGTGCTATTAACGCGCTCTATCAGGTTGGCGCTCTATTCGGCACCCTTTCCAGCGGCTACACCAGCGACCGATTCGGCCGTCGAAAAGCAATCTTCCTCGCTTGTATCATGGTCATTATTGGCGGTGGTCTACAAGCTGGAAGTGTGCACGTAGCGATGTTCATGGCAGCTCGCTTCATCACCGGGATTGGCATTGGCAATCTAGTCACCCTTATTCCCACCTGGCAAGCAGAGTTGTCCAACCCGCACTCTCGGGGTCTGCTGGTGGGCTTGCATGGTACCTTCATCCTCGTCGGCTACAGTTCCGCCAGCTGGATTGGCTTCGGCTTCAGCTACGTTACCAATTCTCACGTTCAATGGCGCATTCCTCTCCTCTTCCAGGTTATTCCCCCTCTGATTCTTGCATCGGGCATCTTTTTCGTACCGGAGAGCCCTAGATGGCTTCTTCAGCAGGGTCGAGAAGCAGAGGCATTGGCCGTCTGCAAGAAGATTCGAAGAGATTCCTCCGCCCCGGATGATGGGTACGCTATTGCAGAATTCTCCAGCAGTGAGTCTTCGCTTTATTTCCGTGACACCCTTCCCTGCGGTAACATTGGAGAGATTAACACGCACTCTGCACTAGTGAAAGCGCAGTACCAATACGACCTGACAATGCCTTCATCGTGGGCTTCCATCTTCTCCGTGAGAAGCTACCGACGTCGCGCCTTCATCGGGTTTTCCTGTCTTTTCCTCGCCCAGTGCACTGGTACCCAAGTCATCAACAATTACGGACCGACGATTTACGCATCCCTCGGCTTCAACGCGAAAGAGCAGCAACTCCTCGCCGCTGGTTGGATCACTGCCGGTATTCCTGCCAACTTTATTTCTGCACTGTTGATGGACAAGACCGGGCGCGTACGAATGATGCAGTTTGGATTCTTAGCAACGGGAATCGCTCTCCTCGGCACGACGACTTCCGTTGCGGTCGGGACCAGCACGGGCAATACAGCCGCTCTAAAGGCCGCTGTCTTTTTCATCTATCTGCATATTGCAACGTGCGTAATTCTGCACCCGTCTGGTGGAAAAGCTGTCGGTACTGACTCTGGGTCCCCCTATTCTTTTCCAGCTATGGATCCGGTCTCGATGCGCCCACATACGTCTACGGTACGGAAATTTGGCCCAATCATCTGCGGGCGAAGGGTGCCGCCATTTCAATCAGTGGTCTTTTCGTTGGCGCACTGATTCTGCTCATGGGCGCTTCCACGGCTTTTGCGTGAGTACGCTCAGAAACCTGTCCTCGTCGCCATTCTGACGCAGTCTCCACAAGCACGATCGGGTGGAAGTACTATCTCGTCTTTCTGGTCATGACCGTGATCGCCGTTGTCGTCTCTCTCCTCTTCTATGTGGAAGTCAACGGACTGTCCCTCGAGCAAACCGCCAAAGTATTTGGCGATCACGTCGAGGTGCCAGAGGTTCATGTGTACAAGGAGGATAGCAATTCCTCCAACTCACAGTCTGACATTGTCACTAAGGCTTGAACTTTCCCGGCGAAGACGATTTCCTGTTCTAAGTTTCTGTGAATGTATAGATGCTTACTTGTCGTGCTACCGATCCTTTTGTCATCTCATCATTGCGTAGAGTGAGCGATTTTTTCGCGAGTCGCGAAAGCTTCGAAGTCCCCAAAGAAGATTTGCGCGTGATTACCGCCCCTTTCTACCGGTATAGCCAGGTTGCCAATTGCGACGGAGACACTGAAGCTGTGATGGGACACAGCAATAAATGAAGAAGTGTACTCGCTATATAGATCGAACCGCACGTTGTCTTTCCACAGCGACACTGGCCCTCTAATCTAGCGACGGGCGGACAAAGGAGCCCAACGGAGTAATGAAATTCGTCCTGGCGCTTAAAAATGGACAGGTCCCGAGATCGTTACGACAATCGGGTCGGCATCCGTCTGAAGCCACTCGCTCCCTCGGCCACAGGCACACACGTGTAGAAAAGGGATGGCACTAAAAAGACGGGAGGCAGCCTACATTACGCGGGGAATTTATAGAAGCACTGAGATTACGCGCGTGCCATCTCTAAGAGCTAGCTAGCTAGCTGCATGGGGCGCCACAAACGCTCGCATGCGTCAACGATCGTCCGTCGTCCTTGACCTGGACAAGGAAGAGAGACCGCCAGCTTTGTGGAGCGCAGCACCGCCCGACCAGACGCGCTTGAGGCTAAGCAGCGGGTGCTCGGCCTGTTCCGCGAGGCTGGCCAGGGCGCCTGCCGCTCCCCCCAACCCCCCACCTTCCCCACCGCTGCTGTGGCCCATGGTGTTGGACCGTGGAAAGTCCGGTCTGCGTTGGCTCGTCTCTCTCAGGGGGCTCCTTGCCGCTCTGGATGTCGTCGAGGAGGAGCCCCAGCGACGGTGGCTTGCGCCTGCCGCTCCAGGAGTCGGGGTCGATGGAGCCGCATGCAGGGGTAGATGGCCCGAAGCTCGGCCGACTCGTTCCAACGACTCTCGCATCGGGTCCGAGAAGCGGCGTGTGACAATGTGGCTTCGGTAGACGGAAAGCGCTTGGGCAGTCATGGCAATGGCACGGAGCGTCTTTGAGTCGAGGAAGCGTCCTTCTCCGTGTTGAGCGTGTAGATGAGCCTGAGCGGCAGCAGCCTCGTCGCCTCCTTCAAGCAGGGCTCTCGACCCTGCAATGTCCGACAGATCCAAGGGAAAAGGCTCATCGCTGGTCGTGGTGAGACCGTGGGAGAAGTGTAGTGGCATGGCATTGGGCCCGTTGACTGCGATGCTGCCGGCTGCCGCCGCTGCGGCGGCATTGGCATATGCCTCTGCATTCATGGCGATCCCATCAGCAGCGGCCAAGGCGGCGGGGCTGATCGGTATGCCATTCTCGTCGACGAGACCTGACTTCTTGCCGTCCCGCGTGGATCTCGTAGAACGGAGCGAGCGGGCGCCCAGACCGGCGGCCTGCGTCAGCGCCGGTGCCCAGCTGGCCTCAAATTCATCGTTTTCCAGGCTGGGAGACAGCAGCGCGTCTGTCGTCGCACTCTTCTCCAGTGCGGGCCCTCCAAGGCCAAAGTCCATGACATATCGGATCTGATGGTGCCGGTGCCGATGCTGGTGCTGGCGGTGACTATCCCTGTTCTTGTTTTGTCTTCCCCGACCCGGCGCGTCGTCGACTTCCGCATCGCCATCGCCCTCTTCATCGCCACTGACTGGCGTGCTTGCCCTCGTGAACTCGTCGTTGTAGATCGAGGAGTGGTCCACGATGACCTCGACCGGCTCGTTCTCGAGACCGGCTTGATCCTTTGCAAACTTGGAAATGACGGGCTTGTTGTATCGTGCAATGGCCGCATTCATCGCCTGATCTCTGGTGCTCGTTTTTAGACCAGATGCCCTGCCATAAGATCCGCCCGACGATGATGAGCCAACGGGCCCGCCATCATCGTGGCTCGCATTTGCCCGCGCCATGCGCAGCTTAGCGGCCAGCTTGGCCGCATCTGCTGCGGTCAGGCTCTGCGTGCTCTGCGTCCTCCTCCGTTCGTGGCCGGGGCCAGGCGTGAGCTGGTACGAGGAAAGCGAAGAAGAGGTGGACGAGGCCGTGGGAAAGCCCGAGCCAGAGGCCCGTTGGATCGCTTGCACAGCCGGCGAGTGGGCCGAGGCCTGGCGCTGCTCTGCATTGGCCCTTGCATGCGAGACATTTGCCATCGAAGGGGAGCCGGAGCCAATGTTGATGTTGGACCTCGTCGAGCTGACACTCGCCTTTCTACGTGACTGTCCACTGCCGTGCGTGGTGCCCGACTGAGAAAGATCAAAGGGCTCGCTTGAAGAGCCTGGAAAGTTGTAGCCGTCGATGGCCAACGAGGACCGTCTGCTTCCTTCGGCGTCTCTCGACTCAGACTGGCGTCCTTCGTAGAGGGAACCAAGCGCGCCAGTCAGGGCGTTGTGGGTGCTGAGCATGGGTGCGAGGCCGTGCGATTCGCGAGGGAACAGTGACGACGAGCGCGTCGGTCTCAGTGACGCGGGCCGCTGTGACCGAGTCGAGGCGGGCGAGGTGACGGCAGAGGGCTCATACGCCGTGGGCGTGAGTGTGAGCGTGGGCGCGTCGCCATCCGGCTTGGGGTCCGACGACGTGACGAGATGCAGTGCTTCTTGCCTGTTCTCTGCTGCCTGCTCCTCGGTCCCACGCTCTTGCTGCGCCAGCGTCTCTTCAGAGTCTGTCCGCCAGTGGTTCGTCGGTCGTCGCAGGTGGGCAGGTGAGGCAGGGAGCACAGCCGTCGCTCCCTCTCGGCGCCTCTCTTCCTCCTTCTCCTCCTCCTCCTCCTCCTCCTCCCGGCGGGCTTGCTGCTGCCTCTTGTCCTCTTGACCAGCGTCCTGCCGTTGCTGCTCGTCGTCCTTACCGGCTACTGTTCGCTGCGAGTCGCGCCTCGTCATTCCCACGGGCTCAAAGCCACGAAGGGTGATCTGGGTGTCTGTCCTCTTGAGCGGTTTGCTGCCTTCGTCCTCTGCGTGCTGCTGCGGCGCGCCATTTGCCTTGGGTTTGGCCTTGATTTCCGCTCCATTTGCTTCCACTGGCTGCGAGGGAGCAGCAGCAGAAGGCTGCTTACGCTTGCTCTTGCCCATCACCAGGCCCTCGTCGTCCTCCTCCTCCTCGTCGCTGCTCCCCGGCGGACTGTTCTCTTTGCTCCGCTCGCCAGGCGTGCCAGCCTGACTCGAGCTGATCCAGCCGTCGTCGTCGTCGTCGTCACCATCAGCATCGGCATCTTCTGCCTCCTTGGCGGCTCCCTTGCCCTTGCTACTCGTCGGCTGCTGCTGCTGCTTCTTCTGCTTCTTCTTGCCGGATCCATCTGTGACGCTCATGATCTGCGAGTACGACTTGCTGCGCTTGTTTGCCCCCAAGTTTGTCGAGCTTCCGCCTTGGCCCGTCAGCGCACCCATGCGATGCAGTCTGTCGGAGGACTTGTGCCTCGACGCGCCACCGGCCAGCGCCTGCACATTGTCCGAGCTCTTTCCCGCCTTGGAAGACATCTTGAGACTAGCATCGACGCTGCGAGGAAGAATTCACGAGCATCGTTAGTGGTCAAACGGACAGCGAGATGAGACAGATGGAGCCGCTACTCACCGGCCGCGCGAGCCTACGCTGCCTCTCTTTGCGCCCGCGCCTGTTCCTGCTCCTGCGCCCAATGTTGAAGCGGCTGCATGGCCACCACCGCCCCCGCCCGTCGCTGCGGCTCCCTGCATGACCGCTGACGCACTTCGTCCCCCGCCGTCACCTGAGCTCCTCCGTCTGGCAGACACTGTCGCCATCAGCGGTTGTGCGAGCTGCGAATGCGAGTAAGCACCGCGGCACTTCCTGCGCCTAACGCCAAATGCAGAGGCACGCGCAGCAGCAGTGAGCCGAGTGAGATTACGGATTAGTGCGAGTCAGAGCCCGTAATTCAGTGCTGAAGCAGCAAATGGGCGCACGGGTGCCAGCAGGGTAGGAGAGAGCGGTAAAGGCTGGTTGGAGCGGGGCGAGACGGGGCGAGGCGAGGCGAGGCGAGGTCGTGTGCGAGTTCTGCAGAGGGCACACTCCTACCTCTGTCTCTCCTAGCGGGCCGGAAGCGCTACCTCGTCGACGTTTTCCCAGTCGAGAGACTGCCAGTATGCGGCAGGCAGGGATTAGCAGATTGGCAGGTACTGCGTGCGACGGGATAAGTAGATGAAGCGTGGGGGGTTGTGCCGCACTAGAGAAGATGCTGATGAATAAGGGAGGAAGTCGCCCGGACCGGGCGAATCAGAAAAGCGCGACGCATAGTGCTATTCGCGCGGCGCCAATCCATCCTTCGGTCGACTTTTTTTGCGCGCGCCCCTCCTCGGGCTCGGCACCGTTAGACCATTGTCTTGCTTTCTGTTCTTCGAGTCATGCTGCTCTCTCCGAGTAGCTATGCGAATGTCATCGATGCAGTATATAGGAAATAAGACTCTGAACTTCTGCTTTGTACAAAAACAGGGCAATGCCGTCGTCAGCTGCTCTCGGGGCAAGAATTTTACGGTGAAACGCCCATGATTGAGAGTGGTCCGGGGCATCCTCTTGACCGCAGAGAAAGCTCGAGCTGGTCGACATGGGCTGATGTGGGTGAGGAAAAAGACACTGTGGACGCCTATATAAGCGAGGTATTTCTCTGCTTCATTTTCCCATCTTTCCACCCCTTTCCCTTCCTTTTTCTCACATCTCGACAGGGCGATGACGACTCTGAAGCTGCTGCTGCTCGTGCTGGCCACGAGCCAGCTCTATTTTTCGGCATTTGCCAATCCGATATTCGCTCGAAGCACTGGCATGCAGGTTCTGCCCAACGCCACTTTCGCATTCTCGGTGGACAACAAGCTCAACATGCCTGTCCATTCCTCCTGCTCCGACAACAAGCTTCTCGCCATCAATCACGCCCTGTCGGACCTGTATACCCTCTCTCATGTGGCCTTAACCGAGCTGCTGGACCCTGCGACGACGAGTGCGTCGCTGCTCGACGGGCCCGAGCAACACCCTCTCCTCACTTCGCTTTACTTTGGCGACGCCAAGCGACCCAACAGCATGGCCACCGCTGTGGGTTTCTTTACGATGATTCTCCTCCGCGACAAACAGGGCCTGCTGCTGCGGTGCGATGACCCAGACGGCAAGTGCAAGGAGCACAGCGACTGGGCAGGTCACTGGAGGGGAGACGAGAATCCGGGAGAGACGGTCATTTGCGACCGCAGCTTTACTGGCCAACAGGAGACGACCACCGACAACGCCAGCACCGGTCCAGTCAAGAGGGATGCTGGCGATGCCACCATCGTTCCCGCTCCCATCACCGCACCTGCTCCCTCCACCGTACCTGCTTCCACCAACGCAACTGCCAGCGCTCTCCCAGCAGCGACTGGCAATGACCCCGGAAAGAAGACTGCGCCGCTGGTCGAGCCGAGGAAATTCCTCGACGACGTCTGCTTGAACGGATGGACGCTGTCCGAAAGCCGTCCCGAGGTCTTCTGGTCGACTGACCTCATCCACCGTTTCGTAAGTGCTCTCCTCTCTTCTCCCTGTTTTTTCTCCTTCTGTCTCGACTGACAAGCTAAAAATGGGTGACAATTGCTGCAGCTTCATCTGCCCTACATCTCGGGCGGCCAGTCGCTCCATGCCGCAAAGGCCTACCCCAACGCGCTTCACCTTGGACGACTCGAGCCAGAGCTGGCAGCGATGAATGTGGCCAACCTGCAGTACTTTGCGCTGGATGTCTATGCTCAGCAAAAGATCAAGGGCGGCTGCACGGGCCCTGTTGGTCCTCTTGTCGTGGAAGATGTGCAGAAGGACGAGTAGTGTCGAGCATAAGATGAGAGAATGTGTCAAGAGGCTTTGTCATTAGAAAGAAAAAGAACTGCTTGTTGATCGAGCATACAATTGAAAGAGAGAGATGAGAGTGTCACTGTATACCTCTAGTGCTGCTTCTATGCTACCAAGGCTTGCCGGTCCTGTGTAGGACCAGGCGATTGCGACTGAGACATTGATCGGCTGTATGAGGCACTAAGAGCCCTGAGGGCCCGATCGACTTCGATAGAGTCGGTCGAATAGTCGCCGTCGTCCTCCCAGCTGACATCGCCAATGTTGTTGCCAAAGCTGCTCTCGCTGCCCTTCCTCTCAGACCGTCGCGCCAGGAAGGCAGCCAGTGGGCTAGCAGTGCCCGTCGTTGTTGAAGTCGACGATCCCAGCCTGCTGAAAGTCGGCGAGCTGCTCGGCATGCGCCTTGATTCACCCAAGCCCAAAGCAGAAGCCGACGCTGCATTGATGCTCTCCCGCAGTGGAGAATTCTGGCTCAGGTTTGTGGGTGTCCGTCGACGTGCAGCCGCTTGCTGCGATGGAGAAGGCTGTTGTTGCTGCGAGGAGGGCGCGAGCGAAGCGCTTGCAGGGCTATTCCTTGACGGTGGAAATGCCAACGACGGTTTGCGCTGCGAAGCCGAGGACGATGCACCAGCTGCAGGCGCTGGTGTTGATCCTGCTTCTGGCTGGAAATTCGCCAAGACGAAAGCCTCGACGAGGTTGACAACAAGCAAAAGGTAAAAGGCGGTCCTGAGCCAGGAGAGGAGCGATGCGAGGTGGACGTCTGCCATTCCGCCAAAGGTTTCGTACGTCGCATCGAGGAGGAACCTGTTTCTATAGTCAGCATCATCGACGGGCACAAGGAGGCTATCCATACAATCCGAGATTCTCACCAGTACACAAGCTTGGCAGGGCCGATGTGGGGGAGAAAGGCATTGAGCACCAAGGCGGTCAAGTTCCACTTGATACGCCTCGACATGGCTACCTTGCTCATTTGTGGAGTTTGCGCTCGAGCAGGTGGCTGAGGAGATGGTGAGGCTGGCGCGCTAGCTCTGGCCGGGGAAAGAGAAGGGTAAAGGCCCGTGGCAGACGAGGTGCGCGTCTGTGCGACTTGCGAGCTGCTTGCTTCTCTCCCCTCTGAGCCAGAAGACGAAGCAAAGACCGAGCGGTTGAAGGGAGAAGAGATGGATACAAATCCTGCTCGACTGGACGGCACCATCTGACCCGACGAAGGGGGTTGTGGCGGTGGCAGTGGCTGCGGCTGTGGTTGAGGTTGCTGGTGTTGCTGTTGCTGTTGCTGACCTGGTGTCGAATGCGCCCCGCCAAAGATGAAGCCGCTAGCAGAGGGTGCCAGCGAGTAGGACGCTTGTCTTACGAGTGCCGAGGTAGATTGAGGCTGCTGTTGCTGCTGTTGTTGCTGTTGCTGCTGCTGTTGCTGATGCTGCTGGGGTGTCGCCCAAGGTTGGTAAGGTTGGTGTTGCTGCTGTTGCATCGACGGTTGCGGGAGACTTGAAGGAGCATCCTCCCATCGCACGGTCTTTGGCGTGGTGGAAGCACCGCCACTCATTCCGCCAAATCCAAAGCCCATCGAGGGTGATCTCGAAGGGGCAGTTCTCATCGAAGAGGCCCTCACTAGGCTTGGGCTGGAGCTCGGCTGGCCCATCCCAAAGCTGCTCTGCCCTTGCTGCTGTTGTTGTTGCTGGTCATAAGACGATGGCCCTGCTCCTCCCATACTAAAGCTTGCAGAGGGAGAGGCTGCGTACCCGCCTCCGAACGTCTGCTGACCGTAGGACATTGTCGGCCAACAGCTTGAGGTCCTTCCTTGATCTACTGCTCTGCTTCCTAAGTCGAGCAACTAGGCGCGGTTGGCTGTTGTTTTTTCCACTTTCAGAGAGAGAGCAACATCCACGTGGCGCGATCTTCCTATTTTCCTGACTTTTTCACTTTAATCCGGAGTCATTCTGCAGTCTGAGAGGTCCTCGAGAAGACGACGATGATGAACACCTTGGGAAGGGCGATTCGGCCTGCCCTTCGGGGCGGGAGCGAAGCGCTCACGACAGCCTCGCGGCGCCACATGAGTGCCTCCTCGACGCTGCTGAAGAGTGGCACACCCAAGACGGACAATCACCGGGACGATGGCCCAGGCGCTCGTTCGAATGACAGCACCTCCGCACTCGACTACAAGCTTTCCCACCGTCTTCGAAAGCTGCCCCCGCTCCCTTCGCTCGAGCCACCGACAATGGATGCGTCTGAAGCCGTGTCCAACATCCTCTACAACACCCCCGCGCCGTCCAAGCAGCCCTTTAAGCGCCACATCCTCAACACGCTCGTGCAAAACGAGCCGGGTGTCCTGTCGCGTGTCTCGGGTACCTTGGCCGCCAGGGGCTTCAACATCGACAGCCTCGTCGTGTGCGCGACTGAGATCCGGGATCTCTCGCGGATGTGCATCGTCTTGCGCGGGCAGGACGGCGTCGTGGAGCAGGCGCGTCGCCAGCTCGAGGACCTGGTGCCCGTCTGGGCTGTGCTCGACTACACGCAGAACCACGTCATCGAGCGCGAGCTGATGCTCGTCAAGGTCAGCATCCTCGGCCCCGAATACTTTGAAGAGAGCCAGTACGGCCTAAGCGGCCCGGCGGCCCAGCAGACGAACCAACACATCCCTCCCGAATTGCTGGCAGAGCGAAGACAAGGCAGCCAGAGCGGCCTTCAACGGCCGCCGGCTCCCCAAGACCCTGCCACGGACGCGGCAGCTGCCGTCGGGCAGCAGGCCGCCAGCGTCAATGTCCACGCAGCGCCGGCCATGTCGCCGACGGAAGCTCTGCGCGTCAAGTCGGACAACATGCGCAGCGTCATTGCCCTCGCCGAGCAGTTCCAGGGCCGCGTCGTCGATGTGAGCTCGACGAGCGTCATTGTCGAAATCAGCGCAAAGAGCAGCCGGTGCGATGCCTTCCTCAAGCTCGTGCGGCCCTTTGGCCTGCTCGAGTGTGCCCGCAGTGGTGAGTCTTCTTTTGCATGGCGCGCGTGTGCCGCTCGGACACTGATTCTCTCTCTTCGTTTGCAGGAACGATGGTCCTGCCCCGCTCGCCAATCACCTCTTCGTGGACTGGCAATGACGATCTGACCGAGGAAGAAGCCGCAGAGGTCGACGCCAGCCTCCTTCCTCCTGGCTGATCGCGTCACTCTCACACATACAGAGCTTGCATTCAATGTATTCGTCTGATACTCGTCAATCAGCCCATTGGTATTTTGGTTCTGCCTAGCAAAGCCCGCCAAGTGCAGTCTTCAGATCCTGGGTGAAGCAGAGAGAAAGAGAGAGAAAGAGGAGCGGCTGTACAGAGAGCGGTCATGAGGACTTAGAAAGAAAAGGACGGGAGAGATCTTAAGATGGGGGTATCTAGCTCTTGTGGAATGCGTCGAGGACGCGCTGGCGGCTTGTCTGAAGAGGGATGCTGTCACCCTTTGCCTCTCCGTCGTAGTCGGGCATGGACCTGTTGGTGCCAATCTTGGAGGCGCGCTCCTCTGGCGTGTAGTAGGCGGGCACGGCGTCGCTTTTCTTGTGCCTGCGCCAGCCGCAGCAGACGGTGAGCGCCGAGAAGAAGAGGAGAGGAATGCTGATGAGCGTCAGGTAGAAGGCGGGGCCCGGCATGACGGAGGCCACGTCGGCGACCTTGTGCACCTGCGTCTTTGTGTGCACATAGAGGGCAATCTGGATGGCGAAGGCGATGAGCGTCAGGAGGAAGGCGAGGAAGTGGACAAACGAGGCGATGAGCATAACGAGAAGGTGCTGCGCAAAGCTCAGCGCAAACGCAACGACGGCGACGACGAGGGCGACGACGACGACAACGAGGCTGTTGGCACGCGAGGCACGGGTCAGCTCGGTCTCTGCCACCTCTTCTCTAAACTCATCCCGGAGAGCGACTCACCCCCTTGTCCAGCTGGAGCCAATGTAAATGCTTGTCTTGTCGTCCTTCTTGGGGTTGTCGCCAATCCCAGCGATGAACTCATAGCCGTGGCTTGTCTTGTCGCAGTGCTTGAAGTCGTCATCGCCAACGTACCTCGCGCAGTAGCCCCAGTTTCCGAGCTGGAGAAAATCATGTCAGCCGTGGACATGAGAGACACGAAATAGCGCAGAGACTCACCTTAAAGGCAGTGATCTTGCTCCCGTCGATCGTGTCCCTCTTGCTGAGGTCCAAATTGTAGTAGACATTCTTGGCCTCGACGACGTTGAAGGGCGTGCTCGTGCTGAACGTCGTGGGCGTGCCGATCGTACAGCAGAGCAGCAGCACGCACGCGATGAACGAGGCCACAAGTGCGGGCACAGAGTAAGCTCGGCGTCCTAGCGGCATTGCAGAAGATTTTTCAGAGGGTGGCAGCGCAAAGCTGAAGAGGGCAGAACGAATTTGGAGGAGGGCAGCGCCGGTGCGTCGACAGTAGTGAGGGTCAAGACTGGTGCTTTTTTTTGCGTCTTTGTGCGCTCCGAGTGGCCTTAAGAGCGATATCGAGTACCCTGTGGACGTCAGGAAGAGAGAGGTAGCGACACAGCCTTGTCTCCTAGCGCCATGTGATTCTCTTCACAAATGACCTCGAGATGAATGTCTGCTAGCGTCACCAAACAGAAGCACTGCAGCTCAGAAGCGGGTACGAAGGCTGTTTTGGCCTTCATTTTCATTATTACAATTTTTCCCCTCTGTTGGTTAATTTTGGCGTTCCATTCCTAGGAACGTCTTCTGGCAGGTTGGCACTCGACCGTACGTCACATGGGAAAAATCTGGCGCTAGGGCGGCAGACCTCATGGTTGACCATCACTAACCCGACATTGATGCACCGCCTCGATGTTGCGATCCCGTCCTTGTCCCTCAAAGCGCCGGCCTCTCCTCTTCGGCACCGGCTCAAGTATTAAACGAGGGCAGAGAATACACACGAGCAACGATGAGAGTTGCCATGGTCAGCAAAGACATGCACTGTACAAGTTGGCGAGAGGAATCTGAGCAAATGCCTGGGAGCGGGTGTGCTCGCGCAAAGGGTATCTCTATTGTTCGAGTGACCGTACACCGCACTAGCTGGGTCCGAGGCAGACTCTTAGCGCTGATTCAGGTGTATCAGTCTTATCTGACATTGAGCATAAGGTCGTTGTGATGAAGGTCGAGGCTCCTCGGAAAGCAAGGCGGCCAATGCGGGAAAGCCCGCTTCGGGCGTGAGATTCGGAGCAATGCCCGCGAAGGCCCAAGCGCTGAGGCCCGAGCACAGAGGCCCGAGCACTGAGGTTGGCTTTGTGGGCTAGACATCGAATTTAGCAAAAAAAAGGGAAGAGAAACAAAAAAGTTGGTGCACTAACCGCGAATCGAACGCGGACCGCTTCGAGTCATAGCAAGCTCATCAGATGAACTGCTGAATGGCAACGAAGCATTGTACCATTCAACCATTAGTGCCTTTTTTCTTATACCTTCAGTTGTAAAGAGCATACATAAAGGTGTGTCACATCCCCACGTACTCTCCTTCACTCTAATCTCCCGCACTCGTCCGGAACGGACGGATGATGGTGAGCGAAGAGGGTCGTCCTATAAGCGCCTGCAACATGGTGATGGCACCCGGTTCAGCGTAAGTGCTACACGAGCTCTTCACGGACCTACTGCGATAGTGCATCGAGGTGCTCGCAACACTTGCTCTTATGACGGGGCGGCCCTAAGTAAGTAAGTCCCCTTCCTTGCGTGCCGATGGCTTTGTCGATGGCATTTGGAGGACACTCAAGCAGGGGTGAGGTAACGCAAGCAGGGAAATTGAATTGTCCAGTTGGAAAAGAGACAAGTAAAACAAAGGGTGAAGAGGATCAAGAAATCGAGCCAGGATTTTGAAGAATATATCGTGAGTACTAGACGAGGTGGGCGACAACGGCGAAGAGCGCACCAAGACCGAGAGCGGCCACCAGCGAAGGCTGTACCTGAGCTCCGCCAGAGCCGAAAGTCTGATAGCCGTCGCTAGTCGACTTGCCTCCGTTGCTGTCAGCTCCATCGGTGTTGGTAGATCCAGTCGAGGTGAGGTTGGCTCCGTTGGGGCCAATAGACCTCGTCGCATCGTTGAAGCCACTGTTGAGGCACTTGCCAGCGATGGGGTCCCAGAAGGGCGTGTCGCACTTGTCGTTGATGCGGCTCCTCACCGAGCCGTCATTGTTCTTTTGCGGGGGGTTGGGCAGTTGAGGGGTGGGACGCTGGGTGGGGCAGCCGTAGCAGGTCTACGAAGCACAATTCAGTCAGCTCCTGGCCTTCAAGCGCCCACATCTTCCGGCGTACTCACAGCAAACGGCGAGTTGTTGAGGCTGTCACCAGCCGTGTCGCTGATGCATTTTTCGAGTAGCCCATTCTCCTTGTCGGGAATGCCCGAGCAGATCTTGTCCTGGGCTGGGTTGGGCGTCTGGCACTTGAACTCGTCGAGCGTGTTGAGCTGGCTGGCCGGGACCGGGTTGCGCATCCAGGCAAGGAGCTGCTTGTTACTGACCATCCACACGTTTTGGAACTGGCTTGAAGCCATGGCGAAGTCGAGGAACTGGTTGAGCATGGTGACCATGGGCTGGATCTGGTTTGTGGGTGCGCCGGGGTACGATGTTGAGATGTGAATAGGGTGCGAGTACATGCCAAATGGCTGCTTCTGGCCGTTGTAATGGTCCGTGAAGGTAGCCTTCATGGCTGTGAGGACCTTGTTGACATCTCCCTCGAGCCATGGGTCCATGAGGCCAAGAATGCTCTTGTCCGGGTTGAAGGTCGAGTACATGGGAATCTCCCAGAAGCCAGGCAGCTTGGGTAGGCCGTTGCAGACACCGAGCCCCTCGACGGTGCAGTCGTTGGCCATACCATTGTCGAGCGTGTAGGGCCAGAAGGCGTCCGTGTTGGGGTCCGTCACCGGCACCGAAGAGCTCGACGATGACTCGTACTCGAAGTTGGCCTTTGCCAGGTCCTGAAGGTTCTGCATGGTGTAGTTGAGGAAGGGCGCCCGGAAGCCGGCCAGCGACTTGAACGGGATACCCGCGAGTGCATTGAGACCAATGAGATTACCCGAGACCTGCAAGGAGGGCGTCTCATCTGTGAGCTAAAGGGTGCAGACAGTCTTTTAAAAGCTCGGATACCCACCTCCTCGACGCTTGGCTGAGCGACGTGGGTGACTGTGTGATCAGCAACCTCATTGCCCGCAACGTAGTAGTTGGTCACCATCGAATAATTTGTGTAGTCGAGCGAAGTAAAGTAGGTCGTCTGAACTGCGCAGCCATTCGGATTCTTGCGTCCATTGATGAGGCTGTTGAGCGCGTCGATGGTGTACTGCTGAATGGCATCGTCGGCGGTGAGGGTGATGAACTGGGGGACGTCCTTTGGGTCCAGTCCTCCGGGCGGCTTGGTGCTGGCACAGTTGCAGTTGGGCAGCTTGCATGTGTTTGCGTCGCACTTGTAGTTTGCCGAGCTTGCACCCGAACCTTCTGCTGGGGTGGCGCCCTCACCAGAGACAGTGCCCACTTGGCGCCTGCGTAGGTCGGCGTTGTAGGCGCGCACCTTTTGGTTGCACCCATAATGCCTCAGATCAGGCTCAGCATTAACAAAGGACGAGGCCGAAGCGACAAGGGCGGCAACGGCCACGACAAGTGAAGACGAAGCGCGCATGTTTTCGAGGCGGCGTCACGGAAAGATGATGAAGGAGAGAACCAGAAAACAAATCGCGCTCGTCGGTGTCGGAACACGAAAGGACTCGTCGCAGATAGAAAGCCAAGGAGTTCCGGTCGTCAATGGCCTGCTCGAGGAGGATCAAGGAAAGGAAGAGGGGGCCGGGCGGTCGTCAAAAGAGAGGAGGCAAATGATGTAGGGAGTGCAGGTACTATTTATTTCAGGGCTCCCCCTTCTCCGTCTTCTGCTAGTCGTTCGCGTTCCGGGCAAACTGGCGAGCCATGTATTTCCACTTTTAGCGCCAGGAAATTGACATAAAGGTTCGATCTTTCTTTTCTTTTGGCGTATTGTTTTCTCCTCGCATGTCCCTGGATTCCAACTCCCCCCGGAACGCGATCTTGAGATGGTCAACCCGTGCCAGCCACGCGACACCAGGATTCGCCTAACGACCGCCTTCAGTGGCGCTCTCTCGCTGCTTCCGCCTTCTTTCCAGCGCTGCAAAGATGGCACCGACCTCCTTGAGCTCCTGTCCGCCAGATACCCTTGAAAACCACATCATAGCCTTCATATCCATCCTCGGCCGAACAGGAATGATTTGAGCTTTATTTTCCTTTCTTTTTTGCCTACTTTTTTCTTTTCCTTTTTCCTGGATCAAGTCGTCGGGGTTCCTTCTTTCTTCGTATCTGTGGTAAAGCCAAGAACAACGATGGGCCGACCACAGTACATCGTAGAGCACATGGAAGAGGACGAGGAGGGCTCGGCATCGTTCCCGCACTGGGCGCTGCTCGAGTATCGCCAGATGCTCCTCCTCGTCGGTCCCGGCTCAACTGTGCACTTCACAGGCCTCTCTCCAGGCTCGGCCTCGTCGCTGCGCGCGGCTCTCTCTTCGTCATCGTCTTCCAAACCGTGCGCCGAATTCCAGGTCCACACAGAAGGAATTCTTGACTTTGCCGCCAAGGCACAGGTTCCCATCTCGGCCATCTGCCTCCTCGACCCAAAGGCTCCACAGGCTCTCTCGGTCCGTGATGCCTCGCCTCCACCAAACGGATACTCGCACTTCCTCCTGGGGGGCATTCTTGGTGACGACCCTCCCAGGGACAGGACATCTGCTTTGCGGGCCCACGGCTTCCCTGGGCGGCACCTAGGCACGATGCAGATGACGACGGACACAGCGCTGGGCGTGACGAAGCGCGTCGTCGAGGACCACCTCGCCTTGGGCCTCGAGGGCACCGAGCAAGAGGGCCCGACAGGGGCTACGATGCAGTGGGTCGACCAGCCCGAGCTCAAGTTTGGTGGGGGAGAATCGGTGAGTTGTTGTCTCGATAGCTTTTCAGACAAAGTGCAAAGGCTCACTCGACATCAATCCAGGTCGAGATGCCCTTCCGATACATGGTGGATGAAGAGCGAACAAAGGCCTATCGGGGCAAGCCAGAGCCTTTGATGCCCGAAGGGATGCGGCAACACATCCGCAACGATCTCGACCGCGCATTTGAGTTCTGAGGACAATTGTGGCCAAGCTGAAGTGTGGTCAATTACTGTATGAGTACTATACATGCGGCAAGGCAAAAGAGAAAATACAATTAGCAAGAAGGGACCGAATCATTGCGAGCTGCCACAGCCCTTTTCGATGTCGGCCTCGACGTGCTCGAGCCGCTTCATCGTCGCCATCAAGACCTTCTGCCGTCGCGCTTCTCGGTCGAGCGGAGTGCCATCGCCACTCCCACCCAGGACGTGAGCCGTGACCTCGGCCGGATCGTCATTCTCTGGCGGAACGTACACGTCGGAATCGACGAGGCGGCGCGCGCCGTTCTTTTGGGCCGCCTCAAACGCCTCTAGCTGGGCATTCAACTCCGAATTGAGAATCTTGAATTCTGGCGGATGATCATTGACGCGATTGTGGGCCAATTCATGGAGGAGCACCTGTCTCATTGAGCGGTAGTGGCGCAGTCCGTCGTACTTGTCCGTCCGGGTGCGGAGGCTGATCCTCATCCCCATGTTCTCGTTGAGTCCGAGTAGGTTCGGGTGCTCGTGGGGCAGCAGCTCAGTCAGCTCGCCCACAGTAAAATTGTGCAGCGAGCAGACGTGAATGACAGCCGGGTCGTTGGCGAGTTGCGTCAGGCGCTGATGCACGAGCTTAAACTCAGGCGACGAAGGTGGCGTCGAAGGATGCACCTTTATGCTTCCAAACGGATTTAGTCGACTGGTCGAAGACGTGGCGCCCGTCCGCCGCGGCTGAGTTCCTCCTCGAAGCATGCTGGGGTGATACTGACGAGGTCGATTCGCCTTTGCACCCTCCTCGTCCTGTCTTCTCACAAACTCGAGCTCGTCTTTCGTTGGACCGACTACCATCACTTTGCTTCCATCCTTGAAAGCGCCTATTGTCTCCTCGTCTCTTTCACCACCGCCATCGCCACCGCCACCAGCTGCGAAAAAGGTTCGGAGAGGCCCAGAAGCAATGATCTTCTGCTGCGCAGCGGCGACGTCCGTCACATTTTCAATCTGCTCCCGTAGCGATGAGAGCGACGCCGTCTCTGGCACACTCAGCTCCCAAGTCTGACCTCGAAAGGCAACGACGAGACGAGGCATGTTGGACGTGGTGCTGCAAGAGACCGATAGATGACGACGCACGTAGGTGCTTCTATGGGTGGAGCTCGGAGCTTCCGTAGCCACGTGATATACGCGCAGGTAGGGAACCTTGGTTATCTCCGAGAAGAAGCTCCAATCAAGTCATAGATTTTCAAAAGCACTTCACGTACAATTCCGAAGACCAATGAAGAGACAAGGCAGACATACAAACAGGAAAACCATGAGAGAGAAACAGACGGAATCTCCCAGCTTCCACACTACTGCTACTGCGCTGGGTAAGAGCGACGATGCAAAATGAAGAATTCAAGGCGTAGGTATTAATGCTGTTGGCGGAACGTTGAAAAGCGAAAGGGCGGAAAACGTCGGGGATATTAAAGGGAGTCGGTTTAGGACTGGACGGGAGACTGGACCAAAACGGCTCGATTCTGGTGCTTTGAAAGACTCTCGTTGACCTGAATCATGTCGGTGGCGTTGCTGGCTGAGGGCTGTCGGCTGTGGCTGTTTTGCCTTTGGTGCATCAGGTATTCTTCCTGGTCGTTTCGCCTCCTCTGGGACCTCTGCTTGATCCGGTGCTCCCTCCTGACAGCAGCTGCTTTGAGGATCATCAGCGCGGCGATTCCGCAGAAGACGAGGCAGATGACGGCGACGGTGACGTTGAGAATCATCATGAAGTCACCGAAACCGTTTCGCATCGCCGCATAGCTGACCTCCTCAGATGAGAGCATAAAGACAAGGCCACCAGCGGCCAAGCTGAAAGAAGCCAACGCCTCAGTGGGCGGCCGAGACGGCAATACCGAGGAGGTGGGGGGTCGGAGCCAGAGGAGGAAGTAAGTGAGGATCCTCAGCGCGCTAAAGCCAGCCAAGAGGTTGCCCCAGAGCATGTGGATCTCCACCTCGTACACGTAGTCCTGGTGGTGGGCTGCCATAGCCAACCCGGTAACACCAATAACGAGGGCGGGGAAAGGGTTGAACGAAAAGCTGTATGAGGGCGGAGGGGTGATCTGGAGGTCGGCCAGTGCCTCGTCGCTGCCGAGAATCGCACCGCCCCGACGGGCACGTCGCTGGGCAGATGAGTGGCTGAGAGCGACGGGCAGCGAGATGAGGTCGCGGATCTTTCGGCTCTCGAGGAGCATGCCCATCAGGCCAGCAAACCAGAACATGACGGCGATTGAAATGTGCTGGACCTGCTTGACAGTGTATGGGTCACCCGCTTGTGCGCCAAAACGCTCCATCCATGTGTTGGTGGCACCGTAGATGAAAATAACGAGACACTCGACGAACTCTGCGCTGACCGGCGACGACTTGCCTTTGCCGCCTCGCTTCGTCGTCTCTGGTCGCTTGTTCCAAGCCCAGCCCATGTCGGCGTACGCGCCCATGTACCGGCCAAAGGACAGGAGGCCGTACCAGAAGAAGATGCCGCCCTTGATGCCATGGGCCAGGCACACGTTCTGGTATGGACCTCGGCAAGATCCAGTGTAGACGGAAAGACCCGTGTATGCGGCTGCAAAGCTCAGCACGGGCAACGAACGAGCGACTGTGACGTGGGTGTAGCGAATGACCGAGCGCAGCAGGGAAGCCGGCTTGGTCCTGACTTCCGGCGCCAGCTCTGCCTCGGCGATTGCTTCGGGCTCGTCCAATTGACGCCAGGAATCCACTCGCTCGTGGCGGCCTTGAATGCTGCTTGGGGGTGAGACCTTCCAGGGAGCGCCTGCTTTGTGGCTAAGCTCGCCAAAAATTGATGTCCTGGGGGTGTTGCAGAGCGTACTCGTAGGGCTGGGAAGATCGCCACCCGACATGGAGCGAGACGAGGCATGGCTCCGCCTTGGCCACTCTGCCTCATGACCTTCCTCATGGCGATCCTCTTCAAAGTGGACGCGTGGCGGTGAGTGTGAGCCAGAACGCAACGTTGACGAGTTCGAATTTGTGCGGCTAGGTGACTCTCTTCGTTCGACGTGGTAGACCTCATCTGCTTCATCGCCGGCTTCTGCTTCAGCGAGCATTCGCTCTTCTTCTTGAGCATCGTAGAGGGCAATTTTAGCCTTGTGCCCCTTGAGAGTGTTCCAGACGGAGCTCAAGGCAGCCCACCGCGAGGCGCCACGAAGGCCGATGAAGGTATCGAGGACCTGTCGAAGGAGCCTGTAGATATCGCCTCCCAGAACGATGAGAGAGATGACGAAAATAGCCCAGCCAAGGCCACCGTGTGAGTTTGAGGGGTATAGTCTCGGGGTAATGGCCTTGTAGAGCATCGAAAGGAAGAGGGAGCCAGCGAAGGAAGCGAGATATACGAGGGAAGCCAGGGGAGCAAGCTGCGAGTCGGCAGCACGAAGGGCAAGAGCTAAAGACTACCAGATCAGCTCTCACTGAAGCATTGTAGAAGAGAAGAGGAAGTCGAGACTCACCGATGGGGAGAAGGATGAAGCAGCTGATGATACAGCCGACGACGTGGAGGATGAGCAGGGCGGCGTGGCCCGACACATCGCCTTGGCTCGAGTGGATCCGACCCACGATATCTTGTGCAACGACCTTGTGCTTGTCACCATCTACCTCATCGATAAGGCTTCTCCACCGGCCTCCAGAGACGCTCATGAGGTTCTCGGACTCATGGTCCCTGTATGCGTTTGCAAACCGCAGCAGCTCGTGCTTCTTGCCGATACCGTAGGCGAAGTCCCATTCGATATAGCTCAGTGGGTCGGGTCCCTTGCCTCGGATGATGTTGGTCTCGTTTAGTTCAACTTCTGCGGGCGCACCCCCGGAGCCATGTGAGTGACCGGTGATATGCATAAGGATGGGCACCTCAACGAAGCGAGCGCCCGCCTCCTGGGGCGAGGGCAAAAGGTCGTACGGATTCGGCTGGTGACTATGCCCGTGTCCGTGTTCCTGAGTATCTTCCATGTGACTGTGTTCATGTTCGTGTTCGTGATCGTGCGCTTGCTCGTGCTCAGCGGGCTGCTGAGCATGTACCTCGGCGTCTTGATGGTGGTCGTCCTCGTGGGTGTGCTCCATCTCCATCTCCATTGCCGTCGTTGTCGCCGCGCCTCCCGGTGTCTCTTCTTCTTCATCCTCGTGGTCACCATGTCTCTTGAGCAACCCCCTTGACTCCATGGAGAGATCGTCCGGGACCCTGGTTTGCCCGTCGACGAAGGAAAGTGCCTCCACCTGGCCGGTCCGAGACACCGAGACGGCCGAAGCAATTGGGGCCAACATCGCTGTGGCCGCCAACACAGCGACCGAACACAGCGCCGCGTGCCGGCTTGCCGAAGCCCCCCGAGCGGATCTGGTGAGCCTCATCGTCTTGCTGTCTATGGATGTTGTGGATGGGCGCCAAAAACGTGGCCAAAGATGATAGCGCTCTTGTGGAGCACAGGAGAGGACCCGGAGAGAAAAAAAAAAGTCGCGTCGGATCTTGGATCCCGAGAATCGCGAATCGCAGATCGGGGAACGACGGATGCCTCCTCTGGAGAGTGAGTCAGAGGTGGATCGTTTAGCCTACTGCTGCGTTGTGGTGATGAGGAAGAGGAGGGGGAAGGAAGATGGCTAAGACGAGAAGGGATGCTTCGGGGCACTACTTCGCCTTGAGGTACCCCGAAAGGAAAGTGCAGCCCGCGGACGGAAGAAATACTGGTTTACGAATGCGTGCCCTCCAATTTTCTCCCCAATTTTTTTCTTTTCCTTCTGCCCGGAAATTAAATAAAAAAAAGACAAGCCTCTTCAAGTGGAGAGCGCTCGTTGATGATTCAACGACGATGACAAGGAGCGTCCTGCGAAAAGGAAGAGTAAAAATTTGCATTAAGTCCGAATCATGCCCGAAAATGATGACGGCAGGGTACAGTGCCTGGTGACAGTGATGCGAACCGCGCGTGTAGATCGACAATGCAGCCACCGGTTTATCTCCAGGGAGGCACTGTATGCCGCTAGATATTCTTACTATGCCATCGAAGCCAAGCACTACTAGTCTTCGAATGCAGTTCACTTACTCTTACTTCCAATTTACATCCGTTTGCATCCGATGGAGTACCGATCTTGCCTGAGCAATATCCCACACCCTGCCTAGACAATAAGCCTGCATCCGATGAAGACCCGTTCTCGCCTGAGAAACAACATCTCAGACCCTGACTAGACAATACGCCTGCATCCGATGAAGTTCCGATCTCGCCTAAGTGATATCCCAGACCCTGGCTAGACAAGATGCCAAGGTCCCTAATCCAAGACCAATTGAACCAGGGTTGGCCCGGCGAGCGAGATGGAATTTCTCAGAGAAAAAAGTTGCAGTTGCATGTAATGGCGTTTGTCACGCTTTCAAAAGAAAAAAAAGAAAGAAAAAAAAAGACGAGGGGGACTTTGGGGTGGAGCGGGCCAAGGGTCCGATCGAGAAACGCCGACGAATAGAGTTGCGGGGCCGGTCAGCATCGATCAGGTACGGCGTCGTCTCGCCTTTTCTTTCCCTCGCCCCTCCTGTCGTCCTTAAGAAGTCGGCTGGTGAGCTTGGCTCTTCAAGGGCATATGTGATCTTCAGGGTTGTTATGGGTCTCGCTACAATTGCATGGACGCGCAAAGACACACGTTCAGGCAGTCAGACACGAAAACCCAGTTCTGAGTCCGTGCATGCTGATCGCGCACGTTCCTTCACGCCCGCCGAAAGCTGGCGTAAGCTTCGGTTCAGTCTCCAGCTAAATTCGGACAAGGCGCTGAGATATGCTAGCCCGTGCGTTACTGTTTAGCTTCATAATGTGACATCAAAAGGGTAATCCGGGTCTGAGAACCTGCAGTGGGAGGAGAAGAGCTGCTTCGTTTATGCCTTTGAGTGGTTGACGACGTTCTGCGCGTTGCCGACGACCCTGTCATCGACCTTGAACAGCGGCTCGGGACGCTCAGCATGTCGCTGGAAAAGGACGTTGCGCTTGAACCAGTATGGGAGAGACTTTGTCGTCTGGTGCTTGATGAATGTGTTGTGAGGAACCGAGAAGACGCCGTCGAGTTCTGAAGTAGGGATTCCAGTCAGCATCATATTCATCCCTATGCCAATAAGAATGAAGGACTCCACTCACCCTCGAGAGTCAGTTGCTTCGTCTCTGGGACAAAGAGGAAAATGAGGAAGAAGGCGACGATATTGAGACCGGCGTAGAACCCAAACACGCCAGCAGGCGTAAAGACCTCAAGCAGGCGTGGAAGTGTGATCGAGAGGACAGCGCCCCAACCAAGGCAGACAGCGACGGCCCACGCCATGCCCTGCTCTCGCTGCGCCAGCGGAAAGACCTCGGCAGAGTACGTGAACGGAACGGGGCCTTCACCAGGCGAGTAGAAGGCGGCAAAGATGTAGATGAAAGTGGCGACGAGACCCAGACGAAGCTTTCCCATGGGCAAAAGCGTGCTGCATCCGGCGACAAGCAAGCTCCAGGCCATGTTGGGGAAGGTGAAGAGAAGCAGCGTCCTGCGTCCGTAAGTGTCAATCGTGAAGAGAGCCGGGAAGGCAAAGACGAAGTTGATGGCGCCGAAGCCCAGCGAGGCGTACAGCGCCTGACGATCCGTGAAGCCCGACTGCTGGAAGATGGTGCTCGAGTAGAATGCGATGCTGTGACAAGCATGATCAGAAAGGAATGTCGGCAAAGAGGTGTGGCTGAAAAAAAGGATGACACTCACATATTAATACCGCACATCTGCTGGGCAAGCATCACGACGCCGGAAGCAACAGTAGCTCGGCGAACTCGGGGAATGGTGAACAACTCGGCAGCCCTCTTGAAGTACGTTTCGCCGCGGATGATCTTGGCCTCTTCCATGAGAAGGGTGTGGATGTAAAAGAGGTCACGGGCAGCCTGGACACGGTTGTGGCGAAGCCTGACGAGCGAGGTGAAGGCCTGGCGGTACCGATTCTTTTTCATCAGCCAGCGGGGCGACTCTGGGCAGAAGAAGATGCCAATGGCCAAGGGGAACGCAGGAATAAAGGCTGAACCGAGCTGCAGCCTCCAGGAGATGGCTCCGGTGTCTGCCACAGCGACGTTGGCGCAGAATCCGAGGAAAATGCCAAACGCCGTCCAGAGCTGCCAGCCCATAACCAGTGCTCCACGAATCTGAGCCGGCGCGTTTTCGGCAGCAAAGACGGGGACCTGTCATTGATGCTGTCAGTCGAAACGATCCAAATGGCAGAGTATTTATGTCCATCGGGGGTCTGAACTCACAGTTGCGCCCTTCGCACCCATGCCCAGACCGAGAACCAGACGTGCAGCGAGAAGTCCCTGCCAGCTCTGTGCCAGACCCGAGCCGATGGGAGTGACAATGAGGATAATAGCCGTGATGAAGATGCAGCCTCGACGACCGAAGAGATTGTTTATGGGGTCAGAGAGCCACACTCCAAGTGCGGCAGACGAAATGTAAGGCGCTGTCATTAGGAAACAAAGAAGGTGAGGAACGTTCCTGTCGATATTATGTCAGAATGAGGGACTCACCAGCATTGATGACGCCCACGAGCCATTCGTTGCGCTCGTAGTTGGCGGGATCGATGTCCTTGTCCGGGTTGATTCCGAATCGTTGCGGGAAGCTGTAAAGGAGAGGCAGTGTCAATCGAGCGTTCAGGGTCTTCTAGGGCGCTGAAATGTTCTGTTGGGTGAGCGTGTCTGAGACGCGTTTTTTTTTTTTTTTTTTTTACCACTTCGCCATCACTTTTTCGTCCCCATCACAACACTGGCTCCGCCAGCTTTTTCAAGGCTTTACTCACGATAGATTGGCCCCGTTACTGCCCGTCTGATCCCAGCCCTGTGTCGCTGCACCAATACTGCAAAGGAAGATGGTCAAGTAGAGCGTCAACGGGTGGGACCATTTGTGCTTGATCTCGTTGTCGATTGCTGCCTTCTCCTCGGTGCTGAGCTCGTCAATGTGCTCGAATCCAGCCGGATTTTGGGCCAACAACGCTCCACGTTTGATGAGATCCACCTCGTCCTCAAGGCCCTTTGCCCGAGCAAAGTTCTCGGCATCGTCAAGCAGCTGCGCCTTTGAGAGTTTGGCAAGCGGGTTGCTGATCCTGGCTTTAGTGTTGTTGTTAAGGTCGATGGAATCGTCCTCCTCATCCCCCGACGTTGTCCTCAGTACGGAGGGCTGCTCATTGTACGCCAGTTGCTTGTCCTTTTCATCGTGGGGGCTCGCCATCGTTGTTGAATCTTCGCCTGCTGGCTGGAATTGCTGCTTGCGGTCCTCACGGTAGTCTTACGGTAGGCTCACGGTAGTCTTACGGTAGGCTCACGGTAGTTGAAAGAGGGTAAGAGTCGATGGACGGGACTGCGAAAGGGATGGCAAGGGGAAGGGTGAGATAAGGAGTAACAAACTCTTCGTGGGGGGGACAAACTCTGCGCGGTGCACCATATGCTCTTTATATCCCCATTCCCATCGTAAGATGAGGAACAGCCAAGAGTCTGCCTGAATAAGCATTGTGCTCGGCTGTATTGAACATTACATTCGAATTGAGTATAGGCAGGAACACAGTTGACAGGCCGGGGTAATCCTGGAGCCCCACCCTTGCCACCTACTCTCGCTCATTTGCAAGACGAGGCTCTCGAGGAGAGAATGAACGGCGATATTCTTTTTAGAGAGAGGGCGGAGCTGCTCCAGAACTTTAGTAAATCCGACGCGTTCAATGTTCCCTTCGTCAGGCTAAAATAGTCTGCCTTGCGCATGGCCGCACGTACTAGTACGTAGAGGCTCCTCTGAGCAAGTGCAGGCAGGGGGCACCCTGTGCGCACGTCCACTGTACCTGGAACAACACCACAATATAAATATGGAAAAGCCTTCCAGAATATCCCCAGACAGGTCCAGACCCCGCAAGTGTATCTCGAACAAGCAGCACCCCTTCATGGTTAAATTCCCCCGCCCCTTCCCTGCTTCGTGCTAACTTGGTCCCTGTGCACGCATAAAACAAGAAGTGCAGCCTCGGCAGGCAGGGCGGCCTTTTCTCCCCCACATCTGGATTTCCCGTCGGACTGCTGTTGCGGGGCATTGTACCAGTACGGCGTAACTGTTCCTGTCCACTAGCCGATTCCTCTGCGTTCAGAACGATTCAAAGTCCCTTGTCGGCCTGAGAAAGCGCAATGGCGCTACAATGAGCAAAGTCTTGCCACTTCTCAACGACTTCTCGCCCATCTTTCGGCAGACTTGTCCACTGGATCATAGCCAAGAGGGGCTAGATCTACTAAGCGCTCCTCTGCTTACCCTTTCCCCCCAACTGGTACTAAAACAGTCGCGTTACGACTAGCGGCGAAAGTGCCGCTTCACAATTCAAGAGAAGATTTTACAGGCCAGAAATAAAACTCAGATCTCGCGCTGCAGGTGCTCGACTAGGGGGCACACGAGCAGGCGAATAGCTACAAAGAGGGATGGGGCTGGTTACCATCTCCGACACTGGGGTGGCGGAACTGCAGAAATCTTACACGATCTCCGACACAACAAGGATCAAGGCAAGGGTCAAGCCACTCAGCGGAGGACAACAACAAAGGAAGAAAGAGGAGCCGTGCTTCATTAGGCTGATCCAAGGTCGAGAATTTGTGGCATTTCCTCTAGCTACATCTTTGTCCGCAGGGACTCTGGGGATTCCGATGGGGAAAAGTGAGCTTCGCCACGGGCCCACGCGGCAATGAGGACATGAGCGATGGCCGTCGGACCAGGAATCTTGAACGCTGACCTCCTTGGCCTCCTTCCAAAGGGGCTGGGAGACCGCCCTCGGTCGGTCACGTTTGCCACGCTTCCCGAATCCTTCTCGTCCCACTTTCTACCTAAGTGCTGCTGTTTTTCTTTGGCCTTGCGCTCTTCCTCTGCTGCCGCGTTTACGTCGAATTTGGAAAGGTCCCTCTTGCTAATCGTCCAGTTGGATGAGGCCTCGATAGCCGCCAGGACTTCGGTCCGGTCGAAGAATTTGGCATGCTCCAGCTCATTGTCCAAGTCGAGCCTGATTTCGTCCTTTCCTTCAACTGCCTGGCCAATGGCGCCCATCATCCTGATTACAAAGATTGCGATCAATCAGTAAGATGAGTAGATGGCGACTCCATCTCCAGCGTCGGCAACTCACAAGTTGGCGGGGAAGGGCCAAGGCTGGCTAGAGTGATAGGTAACCTTGCCCACTTTTACGCCGCTCTCTTCGTGAATTTCGCGACGCACCGCCTCTTCGAGGCTCTCTCCCGGCTCGAGGAAGCCGGCAAGGCAAGAATAAAAGCCAGGTGGCCACTTGCGCTGGCGTCCCAGCAGGATCTTCTCCCCGTCCGGCGAGACGATGGCCATGATGACTGTGGGGTCGGTCCTCGGGTACTGCGTGTTTCATCTCGCTTGCTCAGTGCACGTCCGCTTCAGCAGAAAGCTCCGGTCCCTCCACTCACACAGAAGTTGCTGAGAAGCCTCGTCGTGGGGCATTCGCCCTTTCCGTCTTCCTTGAAGGACAAGTCTTGCGAAAGCAGTGGCTTGACAAAGCCGCTCTCTTCTCCCGCTTCTTCCAGAGCTGATGCACACCCCCGCTTCCAGCCTGCCCAAAGGCTGTACTGTCTCCTGCTGCACGAAGGGCAGAACTGCAGATAAGCCAGTCAGTCAGCTAATTTTTAGATGCGAGCGCATGTAGAGAGCCCAACACTCACATGCTGCCTCTCGTTCCAGTCGATCAAGCTCCGGGCCTGCGCCACAACTGCGGCGTCTTTGAGCTCCCACTGTCCAGCCTGTGCCAGTGCCCTTGTGTCAGTGAAGTCGTATCGGCCCTCGTCGACGAGCTTCTTTTCAAGCTTGTGAGTCGGAAGCTCCTCGCCCTCGTATCCGGGGGGTGTAAAGGTGAGCGAGAGCGCAAAATATGGCGTTCCCGCCGGCGCGCCGCTTTCGCCCCCTTGCTGCTGTTGCTGTTGCTGACCGGGGAGTGAATCCTGCGCCAGGTGTCCTTCATCGACGCCCAGGAAGACGAGTGCGAGGTTCCAGGGACCGAGTCCCTCGACGGCTTTTCCAAACGTCTTTTCCTTGTGGCCAAATGCCTCGAGGGGTGCGTCCATGCCGTACGTTTGCGGCCCAAATACATCGGGCTCTGCCTCCTGTGCGCTCTTGCTTCCCTTTGCCTGTCCACGGGCCATGGCGACACTGTCGAGGATCGTTTCTCTGACTTCGTCCCAGGACAACGTGGCCAGGAGGCCGTCACGCTCGCTGCCGTCGGCATGCACGAGCGGGTTGAGGTTCTGGAGGAGAATGAAGCGCGTGTTCGACGACTTGATCGCCGTGTTGAGGAAAGACGAATCGTTTCGGAGCCACGAGAGCCGATTCAGCTCGTTGCCCGCATAGAAGTTGACGGTGGAAAACGAGGGAAAGCCTACTTGTCCCTCGATGCCCGGCTGCGCCATCCTTGCTGTTACCGGTGTCGAAGCGAAGAGGGAAGTTCTGAACGATAGTCTAGCAAGCGGAAGAGGACTTCTTCGAATGGAGTGCGAGCTGAGCAGTCGTCTTGCGAGACAGGAGAGGGGGAGGGACATGAGACGGGGTTAGAAAGTTGCAGACGACATCCGTTTTCCCGCTTTCTCGCTCTCGGTCAGCTGGCTTGCCGGGCCTAGCGCAGGTGGAGGATTAGACACCTTTTCCACTCATCCACGCGTGCTTCTCCATTTCTTCTCACAAGATACAGCCGGCTCCAGCAGGCAAGCGTCAAGTTCGACAGCACATGTTCCTCTTGAGATACCATTGATATACACATGTACAGATTCACAGAAATAGCACTTTGAGCCCTACAATGTCTAGCAGCATCTATAGCTCTACGTCCGTCTTCCTCGGCTCTACGCCCAGCATGGCCAAGAAGGCAGCCCCGATGCGAGTGCCGTCGTGAGGCTTCCTGGCTCTTTCCAACGCCTCATCCTTGAAGTCGTCGGTCACGACACCCATCTGTGAAGAGCACAGAGCAGAAAGAGACAAATTTGAGAGGAGTGAGCTCGCACATCGCAACATCGCCAGAGGCTAAGACTCACCTCGGTCTTTGCAAAGATCAGCGCCGTGACGATCTCCTCGTCGAATTCAGGGTGTCCCTGCAGCGTCATGACCTGCGCGCTCCTCGCCGGCATGGGTCCACTGGAGTCGGTGCCAAAGTCGGAGATGTCGAAGGCCGTGTACTCGGATGTGCCGGCAGTCGAAGGCAGTGGGGGCGCCTCGGTAGGGTAGCGAAGGGCGAAACCTTGGATGGGCGACTTTGTCGTGGAAGCGAGCAGCTCGCATCCCCGTGGCACTTCTGTGACATGATCGCGGTGACACTCCTGAATGCGCAACACCGCTTCCTCCTCGCCGTATCCCAGCATTTCACGCCCCTCCTCGGTGAGGTCGCACTCATACGAACCGACCTCCCAGCCGCCCTTTTCGTTGAGCTCAACGTGGGCGCCCAATGCACGGGCGACGATCTGGTGACCATAGCAGATGCCAATGATGCGGACGAGGGGATGGTTCTCCTTTACATTGGCGATGTACTCAGCTAGCCGATTAGCCCACGGAAGGTCGAGGTAGGCTGAGGAGGCGCTTCCCGTGACCATAATTGCGTCAAAGAGGCCGTCTCGCAGCATGCCTTCGTCCGGAAACTTGCCCTCGTTGACGACGTCGAAAGGTGTGAGCTCGACTTCGATCTTGTCCATCCAGCCATGGCGAGGAATCGAGGCTAGCGACTTCTGCAGCCACGCATTGTAGATCTGAGGGTACCGGCCCCGCTTGTCGACCACGTTCGGCGGCGGCGTGTCGGCCACGAGGAGGGCGATGGAGACTGTCCTCGTCTTCCTCTCCACCATATTGCTCGCTTTCTTTCGATGTCTCCTCTTTCTTTCGATTTGGCGAGCAAAGATAGAGGACGACTGAAATTCTTAAATTTGCTAGTAGTGGAGCTTTGCAGGTCGGTCCGATCATCGCCGCTCGCGTGGTTGGTTGCTCGGCCCTTTTGTTTCCCCTTCTTATTGGCCGAGAAAAAAGAGAGGAAGAAAAATTGCGTCAATAGGCAAGTCATTGCTGCCTCGCGTAGGAAGAATTGGGCCCTCCGTTTCTTATCTCTCACCCTCGACGATCTTCCGGTTGAAGCTCTCTTCTCGCTTTCAAAAGGCAACTTCACCTCGTCAAGGACACTTGCATGTTCCTTCAATCTACCAGGGACGACTACATTTCGTGAGTATGTGTGTGTTGTAAAGAAAGCCAGCATACATGGATGGCTGACGCGGTAGAGGTGATCAGCGACGCTGTCTTCAAGTCTTCGGAAGCATAAGCTCAGTACGGTCAGCGATGATCTCCTCCGCGACCCTTTTTCGTTCGGGAGCCTGCTTCCGGGCTCCTGCAACTCGGTTCACGCCGTCGCTAACCCGCGGCTTGGCGACGACGATCAATTATACAGCTGCGCCGGCATCGCAGCCGGCCACGCTCCACCTCAAGTCCGGCCACAAGTTTGAAGGTCAATCCTTTGGCGCGCCCAGGTCATCGTTTGGCGAGACTGTCTTCACAACCTCAATTACCTCCTACACCGAGTCTCTCACCGACCCGTCCTACCAGGGACAGCTCTTGGCCTTTACCCAGCCGCTGATGGGCAACTATGGCGTGCCGGACAATTTCTGCGGCAAGTCGCCCATGGGGCACCCGCTCGACGTGGACGTGGGGAGCTTCCTCGAGAGCCAGGCTGTGCAAGCTTCCGGTGTTATTGTCTCCAACCTGGCTGAGCGCTTCAGTCACTTCGAAGCCGTTGAAAGCCTCAGCACCTGGTGCGCACGCTACAATGTGCCCGGCATCGCCGGCATCGACACCCGGGCTTTGACGACGCTGCTCCGCAACCAAGGATCTACTCTTGGTGCCATCAAAGTCGGCAAAGACCACGATGTTGCGCCCAACGCAAATGAGTTCTTCGACCCTATGGCCGAAAACCTCATCGCCCGCGTCTCAACAAAGGAGCCCTACACCGTCCACCCTATCGGTGGCTCTTCCAAGGCCCGTGCTCATGTGGCCCTGCTCGATTTTGGATGCAAAGCCAACATTGTCCGCTGCCTCATTCGCGAGGGCGCCTCGGTTACTGTGCTTCCCTGGAACTTTGACTTCAACTCTGTTCGGGATCAGTTCGACGGTCTCTTCCTCTCCAATGGCCCCGGAAGCCCCTACTCGATCCCCGAAGCCATCGAGACGACGAAGCGCGCCATCGACGAGTGGGACCGGCCAATCTTTGGCATCTGCATGGGTAACCAGATCATCGGTATCGCTGCCGGCCTCAAGGCATTCCGGATGAAGTTTGGCAACCGAGGCGCAAACCAGCCCGTGGTCAAGCTCAGCACCGGCCGCGTCTACATCACGAGCCAAAATCACGGCTATGCGATTGAGCACAACGAGGACGAGAAGTGGCCCGACATGTGGGTGCCATGGTACGTCAATGCAAACGACGGCACCATCGAGGGCATCATCAGCCACGCCGACAGCGGCAAGAATGTGCGCTCAGCACAGTTCCACCCAGAGTCTCGAGGCGGGCCCGAGGACACTTACCACCTCTTCAAGGAGTGGGTCGACGATGTGGCCGCCGTGAAGGCCAAGAAGGGCCTCGAGAAGCCTGCCCTCGGCCTCGACCCGAGCTTGTTGGGCAAGGGTCCCTTTGAGGCCATCAAGACGGGTGCACCGAGCATCGCCGTGGCTGCCTGAGTCGATCATCTGTCATATATAGTAGTAATTTTTTGTCATTCAATAGAAACTTTAGCCTAAAAACGAGCGACCGCGTGGTCCGAGCACCGCCTGCCTTCTTTAGCCTCTGTTGAGACTCTCTCTCTTACCCCTTCCACTGCTACCACCATCACAATCACCAACAAGAGATGCCGCCGCTAGCGCCCAAGGAGGGCGCTGTGTCGCTTCCCATAGACGCCGATGAGCCTCGCTTCCCCATGCGCCGCATTGTCGACACTGACGACGAAGAGCAGGAGGAAGGGAGCAGTTTGCTCGCTGGGAGGGAAAGGCGCCCAAACGGAGACGCAGAAGACGCAGCGGAGGAGGGAGAAGAGGACGATGAAGAGGTTGACATGTTTCAGCGGGCCAGCAGGGCATCGGGCAAGTCTCGCTTCGTCGCAGTGGTCCTCTTTCTGCTGGGTGGCATCCTCTTCTACCACTTTGTCGTGCCGATTCTGCCTGACCTGATCCCCGAGCGCGACACTCCTTGGGACGACCCCGTTCAGTTCCCACAGCGCGACATCTGGACGCTCGATGGCCGCGTCGATCTCCCGCTTGCGTACGTCAACCATGCTCGGCTCGCTTCGAGCCTCTCAGAGCCCGAGGGCGAACCAGCATCGACGGACCTGAACCTGCTCCACATCGACCCGGAAGAGGTGTCAGCAGTCTTTGAGAAAATCTTCCTCCAGTCGCCTCGTCCTGGGCTGGCCGAGAAGATCTCTCGGGAGCTCACGCGCAAGACTCACATTGCTGGATCCAAGAGAGACTTTGAGACCGCCGTCAAAGTCGCTCGCAAATTTAGCGATGCTCTCGGGACACCGCTGGCAGACAAGCCAAAGGACTTTGTCTTTGATGCTGGCAGCTCCGACTCTATCCGTCATATGACGCAGGCGAGGAGGATCGGAGGTGACCCTATCAACGAAGGAAGACCCAGGGTGTGGGTCGATACGTACAGCGTCTGGCTCAACTACCCCGTCTCGTCGTCTCTGGCGCTCACTCGAAAGGGTGAAGCCGAGCCTTACTTCCACGCCAAGCTCGAGGAAGACAAGCTCGAGGAGGACAAGTTCAGTCAAAAGGGGCTTCCCATCTTCCACGGCTACTCAAAGAGCGGTAAGGCCTCGGGTCCCCTTGTCTACGCTGGCATCTGCTCGCTTGAGGACTTTGCGCGACTGAAGGAGCTCAACGTCAAAGTCGAGGGTGCCATCACCCTCTGCCGATATGGCGGCCCATTCCGGGGGTTGAAGGTGCGCATGAGCGCTGAGAATGGCGCTGTCGGCACTCTCATCTACTCGGATCCAAACGAAGACGGCGAGGTGACAGAGGCCAATGGCTACCAGGCATACCCAGACGGGCCTGCTCGCCAGCCATCGAGCGTACAGCGTGGCTCGGTACAGGGCCTGTCAATCTACCCAGGCGACCCTTCCACGCCCGGAAAACCCTCGTACCGAAATGCAACCCGGCTCGATCCAGACACGGCCGATTCACTGCCCAAGACTCCCTCGCTGCCGCTGAGTTACGAGGATGCCAAGCCACTCCTCGAATCGCTGAAGGGCCGAGGTGTTAAGGCGAGCGACGTCGGCGACGGTTGGCAAGGTGCTATTCCGGGCGTCGAGTACTGGACCGGGCCGTCCGAGGATCAGGTCGACATGTCAAATGAGATGACAAAGATGGAAGCGCGCGATACTTGGAACACATACGCCTACATCCCGGGCATCCTCGAGGACGAGGTCGTGGTGCTTAGCAATCACCGCGACGCTTGGACATTTGGAGCAGGCGATCCCAGTTCGGGAACGGTGGCCCTCACCATGGTCGCTGCTGGCCTTGGTAATCTCGTCAAGAAGGGATGGAGGCCGCTGCGATCCATCCTTCTTGCATCTTGGGATGGCGAGGAGTACGGCTTGGTTGGCTCAACGGAAGCCGCCGAGGACTACCGTGACTTTTTCAAGAGGAAAGGCTCGGTGTTCTTGAACGTCGATGTGGCTGCGTCGGGCCCCAAGCCCAATGCCAGAGCTTCTCCTTCGCTCTCGGACTTTGTCGTGGGCGCCGCGAGAGACATTCATTCCGATACCCCGGACCAGCCTGGACTCACCCTTGCGCACCCGCCCGGTCCCCTTGGCTCGGGAAGCGACTACACGGCCTTCCTTCAGAACCTCGGCATTGCCAGCGTCGACATGGGCTTCGCGCGGGGAACGAAGGACCCTGTGTACCATTACCACTCCAACTACGACAATTTCCACTGGATGAAGAAGTTTGGTGACCCCCACTTTGAGCGTCACGTCGACGCAGCCAAGTGGCAGGGCCTCATGGCTCTCCGCGCTTCCCAGTCCATCTTTTTGCCGATCAATGCTACGAGGTATGCAGATGCGCTCGAGCAGTACCTCGACAAGTTTGTCAGGCTGCCGGGCGCTGATGCAATCGACGTCCGGCCGGTCACAAAGGCGATTGCAAAGGTGCAGCAGGCCGCAAAGAAGCACGAGGCCAACAAGGCCTTGCTCGATAAGAGGATCAAGAGGTTGTTGGGCATGAGGACGTCTTATGCGCGCAGTCATGAGCTCAAGATTCTGTTTGAGAAGGCCCGCAGGCACAACAAGCGATCCAAGAGACTCGAGCTGAACTTTATTGATGAGGCTGGCCTGGCCAAGAGGCCCTTCTACAAGCATCTGGGCGTAGCGCCGGGAAGGTATCTGGGCTACGGTAGCACCACCTTCCCCGGCCTCACAGAGGCCGTCTCGCTCGATGGAGGCGGACAAGCAGCCGAAGAGGAAAAGGCAAGGCTGGTCGAGACCCTGGAGAGAGTCGCCAAGGGATTTCTCGAAGGTCTTTAGTTGTCCTTTTGCTCCCAATTAGCTCTTGTTCAATTACCAATATATTATTTCCCCTTCTGCCTGTTTGGCATTGTTGCGAAAATGCCTGAAGAGGGAAGAGACGCATGCTTCATCGTTCCCAGTGAGATTGAGATGAGATAGTTTGCTTCTTTGAGTCTCTGAATCGGAAGAGTGCGATAGCTCGAGTCAACATTGAATTTTCATTTCTGACGAGAGATAACATCAAAAGGGCGAGAGAGGACCATGAGGTGAACGGTTGGGGAGGAGAGCGAGGTGGACAGAGGGCGAAAAGGCAAAAGTCCTACTCTAGAAGTCGCGGCGAAGAGGTCCAAGATCTTTACGCCGGCTGCATACGTTGGATAAGCTGCTTGACGCCCACCATAGCTTGGGCAACCTCTCCCGAAGCAGACGATGTGATCTGAAGGTGAAGGCTCAGGGCCGCTTGTTGATTCCTCGCATCGATGGCTTGGCACAGGTTGAGCAGGATAGGAATCAACTTTGCATCGACGGTTTCGCAGTTGAGGTTGTCGAGGAGCAAATTGACCCGCCGGTCGATGTCATCTACCATCCGCTTTTGAGCGGGTGGCGTCGTCTGCTTAAACCTCTGAAGCTCGCGCGAGAGTGTGACAACGATGGGCTTTTGAGCATCAGGAACGTGTGACCGGTCCCCCGGAGGGTACTTGGACGCTGGCTTGGCAGGTGTCTGGCTCCTTGGTGGAGCTCCAGCTCCTCCCCCTGGCGTCGCCGACCTCGCAGGCAGGCCCGTTGGCGGTTGCATCAAACCAGGCTGACCAGGTGGTCCGGGCGGTGGTCGAGCGAATCCGGACGGCGGCGGTTGCTGCAGATTTTGTTGCTGCTGTTGGAACCCGGGTCCGGGTGGCGGCGGAGCATTCACCTGGCCAGGAGGCGGCCCATATGGTCCTGGTGCCGGCGGCTGCTGTTGTTGTTGCTGCTGAGGTGGCTGCTGTGGCTGCTGCTGCTGCTGCTGCTGAGGCGGAGGGTGAGGTCGCACCTGGCTACCTCCCCTTGGGGGTCCCATTGGCGGGCGAGGAGGGCCTGCTTGCATTTGCGGTGGCCGTCCGTACTGGCTGCCAGCAGCTCCAGGGGGCGGGCTGAATGCGCCTCGACTTGGTACCCGCGGAGGAGGGGGAACAGCGGCGCCCGGCGGTCCTTGACCATACATGTTGGGAGCCTGAGGAGCAGGCGCATTGGGGAATGGACTGGTGATGGGCGCCGATTTAGCGTTGCTCATCGCACTCGGCGTACGACGAGGAGTGGCAAGGCCTGTAGGAATGTCATTCCAGCCACCCTGGTCTCGCTTTGGCGGTGGTGCAGGAGGCGCTGGGGCAGGAGCGGCGGGAGGGTTGATGGCCGGCGCCTGTGCCATGATCGGCGGTGGCGGGGCAGGCACCATGGGTTGAGCGGGCGCGTAAGCAGAAGGCACCGCTGGCTGCTGCGTCGCTTGCTGCTGCTGCTGCGGCTGTAGCCCGTACGCTGAGGTGCCGTACGGATCGTATGCAGTGTTCGCAGCCCCATACGGCTGCTGCTGTTGTGACTGCTGCTGGGGTTGAGCGTATGCATTGATTCCGCTCGTTGCTGCTGCTGCTGGAGCTCCATAGGCATCGTATGCGTTCGAGGCAGGCGCGTATGCAGAGCTTGAGGCGGCGGCATTGTTGGAAGAAGCGAATGCCGACGTCGACGCCTGATATTGGGCAGCTGCTGCCGCCGCTCCCTTTCCTCCAAAGCGAGCCGCATCGGCCTTGACGAGTCGCTCGCGCGCCGTCGTAGCATCCGAAATGTTTTCACCAGTCTGAGCCTGGTAGTCGGATGGCGTCTGTTGGACGTACTTGAGAGCTGGCACGATAAGACCTTGGTTGGCCAGCAGTTCCACGTACTCGTGGATGCGGTCGTACAGCGCGGCAAGCTTGTACGTCCTAGCACCCGTCGCGGCCGCTTCCGCGTCCTGAGTAGGCTGAGCCAAATCGACGTCGACATAGTTGACGGCGCTCTGGAAGACGGTGATCTTCTCCATGAACGTCTGCAAGGCCTCGGCGTGGGCCGTGTAGAGGCTGCCGTCCTGACCGTCGGTGGCCTGCTTCTGTCCGGTCCGGATCGCCAACTCTTCTTCCTTCATCTCGTCAATCCACATGCCAGCCACCTTCTCGAGCTTGCCGGCGGCGAGATAGCATAACACCGCGTCCTTGCGATGCTGCTTGGCCTGGCTTGAGCTACTCGCCCTCTTCGCACGCTCATACTGGTACTCGAGCCTCTGACCGAGCTGCTCGGCCAAGCTGGCAAATTCTTCCGCCTTTGCGAAAGTGCAGAGAACGACGAAAATCTCTTGCCACTCATTGAGGTCCGCATTCTGCACCACATCAGTCAGATCATCGCTGACGATACTCTGGAAGAGTCGAAGGTAAGGAAGCGACGGGGTTCGGCGCTCAAAGTAGGCCTTCTGAGTTCTTGCCAGCAGGTCCTGTCCTCCTCGCACGGCGAGCAAGAGTGCGTCAGCGAAGCGGTCTGCCGAGACACAGAGCGAGACAGCCGACTCAAAGTCGCCAAGTACGAGGGCTCGGGTAATGAGCTTGTCGGCATCCGATTCGTCCGAGGGGTAGATTCGGAATGTGTTTGTCTTGAGTGAGTCAGAAGTGACCGAAGAGGGGCCTGGAGACCCCGCAGTCGCGGCAGCCGAAGAGGCAAAAGGCCCGTTGCTCAGAATTCTGTCGGGAAGAGCGGACTTGACGGGACCATCGGCCGCCGAGATTGAGTTAAAGAAGTCGGCATCGCCACCCTGAGCATCGCTGCTGTTGCCAAAGAGACTAGGTTCGCCATCGGCCTCAGCTGTTGTCGCCTTCGTGCTCGCTTCGTTGATTTCGCTCGTGACCGCCTCGGTAGCCACACTCTCGGCTCCGACCTCGCTGGACTCTGTTGTCGCTGCAACGACTTCTGACTCAACAACAGGCTTGACACTCGGTGTGCCAGGAGCACTAAGGCCAGGCGCGACCGCACCCTCGCTCTTCTTGAATGTCGAAATGGAGTTAGCCACCTTGGAAGCCACGTCCTCCTTCGAGAAGCCAAGAAGCGTGACGAGCTCGTCGCGAGAGTCGGCCCTGAATAGCGTCTGGAGCGCCTTCCAGTTGGCCACATCGTCGGACCGGGTGCTGGGGTCCTTGCTCCTCTCGTCGCAGAACTCAGCCAACGTCTGCGTCTCGAGCGCTTCCTGCAACTTTTTGGCTCGGGCGGCAATGCCAGGCTCTGAGACAACATCGCGGATGTGGACGACGGAGCTCTGCGTTTGACCATTCTTGCCGGGAAGATTGACTGTCGAAACAAGCTGACCACCAAAGCCGAACGTCGCACTGATGGGCTTTCGCAGCCACTTGGGAGGTTGCTTGAGAGAGAGACCCCTCGAACCAGCCTCGGTCTGTGCGGGGAGGTTGAAGATGTCGCTACCATCGGCTGCGCCCTGAGTAGCGGACGCCTCACCCGTGGCCTCTGGCACATTGGTAGCTTGAAGAGAGTGCACACCAATCTTTCCATCGAAGCTCGCGGTCGCCAAGAGGTCAGGGTTCTTGGGGCACCACTGCACATCGAAGCTCCAATTCTGGCTTGAGGGGAGTTCGCCCACGATCTCACTCGTCTGCGGGTTCCAGCAGATAGTCCGGTTGTCCTTGCCGCACGAAAGGAGCAGGTCTGAATCTTGCTTGCACCACGACAATGAAAGGACGCCCTTGTCGTGACCCGTGAGAATCTTTTCAGGCGCACGAGCATTGCGGAGATCCCAGAGCATGATGATGGGCGAGGCATCGTCGTCGCTCGCCGTCACCAATCGGGTAGGCTTTTTCATGATACGATATTCAGCAACCACACGTTTCTCGATAGCTCGGTGTTGTCAACTCACTGTGTCTGGATGCCAGCAAACGGCGCCCATTCCCCGTCTTCCTCCTGCAGCAAGCGCCATGCCATTCATGCTGCTTCCCAACCCACCGCCGGCTGTACCAGCTCCACCACCATAGGCCAGAGCGGTGACCTCTCGCTTGTTCAAGAGATCCCAGACGACGGTGTAGCCCGAGGTGCTCGACGTGGCCAAGATATGCGGCACCTGGTTGTTCCAGCTCAGCGATGTAATCTCATCGAGCTTGGTCGATTTGGCACCCGGCGAGTAGGGCTTTGTGGGTGTCTCCATGTTCCAGATAAAGACCTGAAGGGCGAAAGCGTCAGCCACCGAAACTCTCCAGGAAACAGAGATCGTGAGCATACATACCTCTCCGCTCACACCGCCGCTGGCCAAAAGGTTGGACTGCTTCGGGTTGAAATGCAAGCCTCGGACGGGACCTGTGTGCAGCGTGTTGGAGATGACCTTGGAGTCGGGGGAGCCATCGAGGACCTTTTGCGCGTCCCAGATGTTGAGTTCGCCGCTCTCGAGACCGGCTGCGAGCAGACCCTGGGGCCTCGACGGGCTGACACTGCCCCAGGACAGGCGGTTGAATCTGCAAAGGACGTCTTGGTGAGCTCGACAAAGACTTAGGGTCTAAGGAAGAGCTCGATGGGTACTGACCTAGCGCTGGCCGATACGCTTCCAATCGGCTTGCCCACTTCGCTGGCATTGCTCTGGTCACCGTAGTCTGGCTTCCAGATCTCGAGGACGCTCTCGTTGCTGAAGCTCTCGTCGAGGGCGCCCGAGACAGTGCCCGTGGCAATGAGAGGCTCGGCAAATGAAGTCAGATCGGCTGGCGACCACGAGAGCGTGGCCGTCCGAGGAATGTAGGACCTCATGCTGGGCGGGCCTCTTCTTCTTCTTCGTCTTCCGCCGCCGCCCTTTCCTTCTCTTTCCTCGTCTATGACGTTCGAAGCGTCGTTATAGTTGGTCGTGACGTTCGTTCGCCTAGGCCAGTCGTGCTCTTATAGCAAGCTAGGCGTTATCTTCAGGCGTTATGTCGCGAGAACCGGCTGCGTTGCGCTGAGCCTTGATCTACACGTCGACAAAGTGAGAAGACGAGACACGTCCACAGTCGGTTTTTGAGAAGCTCTCCCGGGCGACCTATTAAGTTGGGCTTGCTCTCTCAGGTTTAGCGTACGCGCGCTGGCGTGGCGAGTCGAGGCGAGGCGACGTGAGCGTGGCAGGTCCCCTCGCTCGAATAAGAAGAAAAGTCACGTGCGAATTTCCCATCTCCAATCCGAGAGCGAGGTCGGTGGTTGGCTAGGCGGTCGCATTCAAGCCAAGGTCGCCCTTCCGGACCAGACCAGACCAGATCAGAAACGCCTGCTCGCCATGCTGCTGCTCACGACATCGTCAAGAGCAGCCTCTTCGGCCCGCACCTCGCTCGTGCGAGGCATCAGCACGACGGCCGTCGCGCACAGTGCTCCCTCGGGCTTCTTCACGCGCCCGCCCGCTGCGCCGGCCAAGTCTGGCCTGCCCAAGCCGACCAAGGCCTCGACGACAGCCAACGTCGCACAGCCCCACACGCCCCCGCACATTCCCGCCGAGCAGAGCCCCAACTTTCCTCGTACGTGGAGCGTGTCGCAGAACCCGCGCGAGGAGGCCATGAGGGGCCCTCGCTTCGAGCAGCTCAACGTCGACCTGCAGCCGAAACCGTTGAGCGCAATGGAGATGATCCACCGCGAGCCGATCAGGCTTACCACGAAGCGCATCATCGAGTGCGACGGTGGCGACGGCCCGCTGGGCCACCCGCGCGTCTTTATCAACCTCGACAAGCCCGGCCCCAAGGGATGCCCGTATTGGTGAGCGTCCATTCGCGTACCTTTCCTCTTAAGATTAGAAATAGAGAGGTTCCAACTGGAAGCTGACGATGACTTTCACCACAGTGGTCTGCGATACGAGAGGGATCACAGCCACGCCCACGCATGAGAAAGCCTGATTTTGTCAACTATAGCATGAGAATGGGTAATTCTATTCCGGTTCAACTTCTTCCCTCCAGCTTGCTTCTCCATAGTGTCCTTTTTGTCTGGTGCCACGGCGTGAGCTAAGAGAAGAGTGACTGAACCTAGTAGGTCAAGGTGCGGACGAGCTGGTAGAAAAGTTTGAATAACGATCAGCTGCCATGTCTTTCCGAGGTGGTCGCGCATGGCTACTCACTGCGTCCATGATCTGGATCGGGCCGGGCTTGTACCATGTCTGATAGGGGAAAGACTAGGTCAGCGACTGGACGGCAACACATCACCCTGAGCTCTTTCGCATACCTCGTGAACTGCAAGAAAAAGAAGGAGTCAGTACTTTTCCGGCAATGTCCAAAGTCATGCAGATGCACGCACCGTGAGGGAAGGGCGTGTCCAGGCCACCAACCCTGGCAACAGGCGCCTCGAGATTCAGGAAGCACGACTTCTGCAGGTGGGCCGCAATCTCTGCACCCGCGCCGGCCGTGACGGGCGCCTCGTGAACAATGACGCAGCGACCCGTCTTGGCGACCGATTTTGCCACGGCTGGAAGAGCGATTGTACATGCCGTCAGCCCCGTGAAAAATACAGTAAGCCCAAAAGACCTGAAAAGATACCCACTCTCACGGTCCCAGGGCAGGATGGTGCGCAAGTCGATGAGCTCGACCTGGGCCTGCCTGGCATCTTTGGGGACATGCTCCTGGATCCCCGTCGGAGGGCTGCGCAGCATGTTGATCGCCTCTACGCACGAGTAGAGGGGCGCGCCCCAGGAGAGGAGCGTAATGTCCTTGCCTGGTTGCAGCACCTCGGCGCTCGACAGCGGCAGCGTGTAGTCGTCCACGGGTACGTGTTCCACTGTCCCAAGGCGACACATTTTAAGTCAGCTCTGACACCCTGGTAATAAGGAGAATCGAGGAAGAAAAAGCAAACACACCGCTGGATCGGTAGAGCACCTTTGGCTCAAGGAAGATGACTGGGTTGGGGTCACGAATCGAAGCGAGCAGGAGACCTTTAGCTTGGATGGGCGAACGTGGAATGACGACCTTGAGTCCAGCAGCCGGCATGAAGAACTGCTCGACCGACTGGCTGTGGTAGAGCGCACCATGCCCGACGCCCATGCATGGGCTCCTGATCGTCAGGCCACCTGCCTTGTGCTGGCCACCGCTCCTGTACCTGTACTTTGCCGCCTCATTCACGATTTGGTCAAAGGCTGGGAAGATGTAGTCTGCAAATTGGATTTCGGCAATGGCCGTCTTTCCCTGGGCTGTCATGCCAATGCCGAAGCCGACGATACCCTGCTCAGTCAAGGGCGTGTTGAAGACACGCTCCCGGCCGTACTCTTCGGCCAGACCCATGGTGCTGCGAAACACGCCGCCGAACGAGACATCCTCGCCAAAGACGCAGGCAGTCTCGTCGGAGCCCAACGCAAGCGACTGAGCGTCTCGGATAGCCTAAGAAAGGGAGGAAGAAAGACGAGTCAGACAAAAAAGACAGGAAGAGATGAAAAGAGACTTTATTGACAGGAGACATCTAGAAGAGAAAAGCGAGTCTGGGAGTGGGAAACGATCCAGGATACAGATGGAAGGGGACACAAGGCTGGAGACGAGACAAGGATGTAGAAGATGGGTTGGGACGGTGGGGTGGAATTTGCTGGAGATCATGACGAAGACGAAAGCTCTCTCCGCCGGGCATCAAGGGTTTGCAGCACGGCCTTGCCAGAGGCCTGGTCCAGTGTGCTCGCCAACTTGGCAGCTGGCGCACTGAGCAGGCCCACGACTTGGGCACGCAGCTCCTCGAGACCAGGAAGGAGGCCCACGTCCCTCAGAGCGGGGAGATCCAACAGCTTCAAGCGTCCGATGTCGTCTGCCTCAACGAGTGCCGCCAAGGGCGTCAACCTGGTGTTGACGCTGGCCGTCACCGGTGGGTGGGCAGACGAGGTCGTAGGCTTGGGCGTCGCACGTCCCGCACCGAGAGCTCGGTCAAGCACCGAGAGGACGCTGCCAAGGTAGGCCGGCGAGAGATGGCTGCACGTCAGCAGGGCGATTGGCCCACTCAGAGCACCTTCCAACGACTGAACCGAAGCCTGCGACGAGCTCCGCACCACGGGCTTAAGCAGACCAGTGCGCACCACTGTCAACTTGGCTTTCGCCTCTTCGCCTCCCTGGACACCCTCGGGCAGTGCCACGGCCGCAATGTCTCTTCGGACCTTGGACATGTCCGACACCGAGAGGTTGTTGTGCTGCAGCAGCACCACGAGCTTGCTCTGCGACAGAAGCCTCGCGTACTCTCCCAGAAGGAAGGCCTTCCGCGGCGTGTAGACGCGGCCAGGCCTTGACGAGGCAGCTTTGGGAGAAAATGCGCCCGAGGGTGACGGCGACGAAGACGAAGATGCAGCAGCAGACACAGCAGCGGCGGCGGCACCGGTTGAAAATGCCCTCCTCCCTCCTTGTACAGAACAGAGACCGGGAAGAGGACGCACCGTGTACATGTTCATCTTGCGAGCCTCGCGCTCGATGCCTTGCTCGCCATCGGTCCATGTCATGCCGGGCGTCCTGGCGGCCATCTTTGCGTTGGTTCGGAGGAGCGGGCTCGAGGAGACGCCGGGAGCTTCTTCCGAGGAGGGAGGAGCCGTCTCGGCGACAGCACCACTTCGGGCAGACGAAGAAAAGTGGCGGGCGTTGCGCATGTTGCCACGGCCGCCGACGAGCTGCTGGAGCACCGTGGGCCGGCTCGTCGACGACGACGAGGAGGCAGCGGCAGAGGTGTGCATGGAACGAACAGCTGTTCCACCGGGTCCAACCTGAGGAGCCGCGGGATCGTTGCGCGGCTCAAGGTAGTGAGAGCCCTCGGCCTCGTGAGGGGGAGGGGCCTCAAAGGAGTCGGAAGTAAGGCTGTTGAGCCTCGTGGCGTCGTGGTAGTCCTCGAAGATGTCTTCCTGGGTCGTCCATGCCTCCGAGGGGTCCATGGTGCGCTCGATGGGCCTTGCGTTGGCCTCGGCAGTGAGGTGGACGACATCGTCCCAGGGGAGCTGCACCTCAGCCGCAGCGAGGTTCTCCTCCATATGCCTGACCTCGAGGCTCTTGACAATGGGAATGATGCCGCGTGCGAGCTGCCATGCGATGAGGACCTGGGCAGGGCTGATGTTGTTGCGCCTGGCCACATCGACGACGACGGGCTCCTCGAGGTACTGCTGAGCGAGGTGGTCTCCGCCGAGGGGTGAGTATCCCTGGAGCATGATCTGGTGTGCCTCCGAGTAGTGGAGCAGCTCTTCATTGACGACGCCCCAGTTGACTTCGACCTGGTTGACGACAGGGTTTGACGCCGTGCTGGCCTTGAGGAGCTCCTCGGTGCGACGAATGTTGAAGTTGGAGACGCCAATGTTGCGCACCTTGCCCTTTTGCACCATCTCCTCCATCTTGAGCCACGTTGCAGCGAGGTCATGCGACAGCTTGGCATCCTCGACGGGGTGTCCGCCCTGCGACTTGATGGCTGGGATCTGCGAGGCGTTTGGGTTCGAGAAAGCCACAGGCCTGAAAGAGATTATCCCCTCTTCCTATTCAGCAATTGTTCTTCCTGCTCGGCGCACGTTGAATTGCACAAACTCACCAGTTCATCAGGAAGAGGTCGAGGTAGTCGACGCCGAGGTCCTTGAGGGTAGCATCGAGGCCCACCTCGACCTTGTCGCCGTGGAATGTGTTCCAGAGCTTGCTCGTGATCCAAAGGTCGTTGCGGTTCACGCCCGACTTGCGAATCGCATCTCCGACAGCGTCTTCGTCTGTTGTGATGGCAAATCGAAATTCTGGTTAGCGAGAGCCTCTTTGGCATTCTGCTCAGATACTCACTGCGGTGGGCCCAGGCAGAGTCGATGTGGCGGAAGCCCGTCTTGAGCGCCTGTTGAACGGCAGGTCCAGCCTGTTCCTTTTTCAGCTTCCAGGTGCCGAAGCCAATCTTGGGGATCTGAGCCCCATTGGCCAAAGTCCAGGACTTGACGGCCGCACGGCGAACCGCAATGGTAGCGTGCATGCCGGGCGTGGGGGTGTGTATGCGAGAGAAAAGCAAAGGTCTCTGAGAGAAAAGGACCAGCCCTTGAGGAAGAGATCTGGGCGATGGCAAGAGAGAGGCTGTCACGGTGAGCCTCCTACTTCGCCTTGCTGAATCAAGCGAGCACAGTCGCTTGTTGGTCGTTGAGACGTAGATGAAGGTGGGAAGGAAAAGAGAAGAAAGAGGAAAAAGATCTCTTACCTCCCTGGTGGGCCAAGCAGTAGAGGTTGGCCGACCAAGATCGATGAGGTGTGGGTGAAAGGATTGTTGAATTGATCAATTCAAAAGAAAAGGAAGAGCAAAAAAAAAAAGGCCGAAGCTTCTTCTTTCTGAATCAAAATTTTCGGGCGAGGATTAGACTAAGCCAGCCATCTTCTTTAATTACACGTCCAGCGTGCTGATGCGAGGTCGCTAGGCAAAGAAAAGTCCAGCCAGCGAGCGCGGGGGACGTGCGGAGACGAATTGCGTATCTTGTGCACCGTCTGTCTGCCTTCAGCTGCTGAACGGCATCGTGCAATCGGCGGAGAGAGTGTGTTGAGCTTGACAAACACGGCCTGACGCACGCTCGATAGAGCCAAGAGGGCGCGGGGCGGACACGGCCTCCTCGGCCTGCTGTCCGTCGACCCCAGAGCTCCCACCTGGCAATCTTCTGTCATTCGCCTTCCCAATCCTGGCTCCCATCATCTCTTGTCACCATGAAACGAGATAAGATTGTCGGAATAGCATCGCTTCAAGGGACATGATGGACCGATCGATGAGAGGGGGGCAGGCGCACTTAGCAAGGTTGGCTCAGCAAAGTTAGTTCCGTCGTTCCTCCACCCAGAATTTAAACAAATGCAGTAGTGGTAGCCTTCCGGAAGCCTGCTTCCATCAGCTCAAGCTCACCCCTTCCCTCCCTCCTTGTATTAAGAGACCAGCCATGGGATCGTCGCCCGTGCATCTCGTCGTGCTCTGCCACGGCCTCTGGGGTGAGCCAAAGCACCTCGAGGTGCTGGCCATGATGCTGGCTCGCAGCTACGGCTCCCTGGCCAGCATCTCCGACGGCGTCGAAGGTCGAGCAAAGGGCGAGCAGAGCAAAGATGGCGGCAACGGAGCGGCAAGCATCAAGAGCGGCGTCTCGGGCAACAGCCTCCAGGGCACTCTGACCCAGGAGCAGCTCGAGACGATCCTGGACGAGTACCTGACCACGAGAGAGCGGAAATCGACCGGGACAGGGGCCGCCGAGCAAGAGGAGGAAGTCGTCATCCTCAACAGCCAGACCAACAAGGGGTCGCACACGTACGACGGTATCGATTGGCTCGGCGAGCGCACCGTCCAGGAGATCTATTCCGAGGAAAAGTGGCTCGAGTCGCAGGATAAGCACGTTGCCAAGCTGAGCATCATCGGCTATTCGCTCGGCGGCCTCGTGGCGCGCTACGTCGTCGCCCTTCTAGATGCCAAAGGCTTCTTCGACAAGGTACAGCCTCGCCACTTTGCGAGCTTTGCATCCCCGCACTGCGGCGTACCACCAGCCAACGGGTCTTTTGGAAGGTGAGAAAAGTTTCGAGAGGGCCATGAGAAAAATCATTGATCTCACATCGTCGCGCAGACTGGCCAACTTCATTGGAGGCCGGCTGCTGAGCCGCACAGGCGAGCAACTCTACCTCCTCGACTCGGGCTGGGAGTCAACAAAGGACATCGAGGAGCACAAAGCAGCGCAGCACGGCGCAAAGAAGAAGGACAAGAAGAGGCCCAAGGTGGGGCTCATCGAGGCCATGTCTCGGCCCGACTCGTCGTTCTATCGCGCACTGGCCAAATTTAAACGGATCACATTGTATGCCAATGCCGTCAACGATCTCACGGTTCCCTTTCGCTCAGGCTGTCTCGAGGAGTGGGACCCTTTCATCGAATACAAGGAGGCTGTGCAGGTGTGAGTGTATGCTGGCCGCCGGGTGAGCGAAAGGGCAAGAGCTTACCTGTGAATGCGATCAAGTTCCCAACTTGATGATGCACCGCTTCTCACAAATGTGGCCCTGGCCGATACGAAAGTTGATGAGAGGTCAATGTGGGCGCGTCTGGCCGCCTGGAAGCCCTCGCTGCCCTTCTTTCTCAATCCCCGCCGTCTGCCCTTCCGATTTCCCTTCAACTACATCATCGTCATTGCGCTTCCCATCACGCTGCCAACGTTTCTCCTCCTCCTCATCTTTCGCTTTGCGCGAGAGTCAGGAAAGAGTCGGAAGCGCATCCTCGAACTCGACTCTGGATGGCGGGACGAGGACGAAGAGGAGAGGGCTGGCACGGGCAGGATTGATCGGCTGGTCAGGAATGTCGTCATGTCTGTGGGAGAAGACCGTGTAGACGAGCAAAGGGACATTTTCGGCAGCAGCGATGATGCAGACGAGGAGGCAGTGAAGCAAGTCACTGCGTCTAGGACTAATAGCGATCGGTCGAGGGTGGACTCGACCGTGATCGCGACTGCCAAAGCGGCGGACCGGACGGGCCTGACAAAGTCTCCTCTAGAGAAGCCAACGGCGATAGAAGAAGGACGCAAGAGCAAGCAGCCAGCGCTGCACGAGGCACAGAAACGCATCGTACACAACCTCAACTCGCTTCCTCGTCTTGAAAAGCGATGGGCCTACTTTAACGATGTCATCAACTCGCATGCCGTCATCATTTGGTGAGTTGATCAATTGCTTCTCTCTTCCTCTGCCTGCTCGCCCCGTAGCTGATGACCGATTTTTCTATCAGCCGCACGCCAGCAATGGAGCTGCATCGCAAAGGACTTCCGATTCTCCGCCATTTCGTCAGCGATTTCGACATGTAGACCGATACCCACTTCTTTTTCTTTCGGACTCTCGCTTCATGTAGACTCTCATGCTCGTTATAGCTCACTAGAGGAAATCACGCATATATTACGCTGCCTGCTTCTCTGACTTGGTGTCGGGAGAAGAAGTCAAGACCCAGAGAGGGAACGGAAGAGGGTAGAGAAAATGTCCATAGCTGATGCTCTTGTCACTCTTCACCGACCCACTGGTCGGCCAGAGGCCCGACATGGGGTAGGTACGGCGCGCGAGTCAACGTTGGTGCTGAGTTGGCGGCCGTGGAGCTGTGTGTCGTGACAAAGGTGATGAGCTGAATGTTAGAGAATGATTAAAGGGACCACTCACCCGCACACCCAGGACCAGCCGAGACCTGCCATGCCCACGATGATGCTCAGCGTCTTCCAGCCGAAGAGCGAGCGGAGGATCCACAGGAAGAGGACGATGGCTATCCCACAGATTCCCGACTGGTACGCATGGAATCTGGCCAGATCCTTTTGATCGTGGGAGGAAGCAAGAGAGAAAGAGAAACACAGATTGAGGAGGGACATTCGATGTAAGCTCGATGAAGAAGAATAGGGAAGATGGCAAAAGGGGAGGCATAACTCACGTTCTCCGTCTCAAAGATTAGCATGAGGACACTGGAAAAAGGGGGCAGCGCCCAGGCTGCAAAGCAGAGGTTGCTCAAGCTCCACCCTTGCGATGTCGAGTAGCTCGAATGGTCCGGTCTAAGGTTGTACTGCTGCTGGGCGGGCGCCGAGGCTGCCCACGTTGGCGTGGCGCCGTGAGGAAAGCCATCTCTGTAGGATCCAGCACCTCCTCCGCCGCTGTACGGCCGCGATGGTTGCCCCGCCGACGCACTTCCGAGGAACGGGGCCGAGGCTGAGGCGGGGTACGAGGACTGGTACGATTCGGTGGCGTAGCGCGGATCAAGGTCATCTTCGTCTTCTTCGTCGGCCAGCGTGGTGCGAGGCACCGTCGGCGGCGCGCGAGGAGGGGCCGTCGCCGCAGACGAAGACGAGGCCAATGGTGCCGACTGCCGCTTCTCGTCCGGAGGCGCTTCAAAGGGCGCAAAGTTGGCGGCTGACATCGCAGCAGATGTGGCTTCTGGAGAGATTCCCCTAATGTTGGTGCGCGGCGGAGGAGGAGGTGGAAGAGCACAAGGTCTCTAGGGCGCAACTTTCCACGTGAAGCTGAGCTAAAATTTCTGTCACTTTCTTGGTGTGTCTATCAGTTGACGGTACAGCTAGCTCCACTTGAGAGAGAGAAGCTTGTCTGCCGATGACGACAGCTGACTTTACTTTTTGCTCGTCCTCGATGAAGAAAAGCCAGTGACTATCTGAGAGTCTCACAAACACGACAAGGATGGGGATCCAATCTCTGCCGGCGGAGCTCTTGACCCACATTGCCACGTTTCTCGACCCGGCCTCGCTCTGTCGCCTGGAGCAGACGAACAAGCAATGGCACACGCTGGTGCGAGAGTCGGACAACACGTGCTGGTCGCGCCATGCCATTGAGCAGGGCGAGACGGTGGGCAAGAACACGGCCGGCGGAGACTTAGAACGGGCCAAGAGGGCGGCGGCAGATGGGAGGACATCGCTGCAAGACTACATTGCCGTCGTCAGGGATCGATGCGTCGACGAGTGGTTCTGGTCCGAGGCGACGTCGTGGAAGGATCTCTTCCGGCGGCAGAGAATGCTTGCCAGCAACTGGAAGGCCAAGAGGCCGCTAGCACGGACAAGCATCGTAGGGTATACGCCTTTCAAGCCGTCGCCCCACTCAAGGAGGGTTGCCGACCCGCCTGCGTTTCGGCTAGGCTCGCAGCCGATTGAGCTGCCCCGAGCGCTCCCTTCGCCGCTGGCATGGAGGGCGCGGCTGGACACGGCGACCGATGCCAACTTTGTCATCATGACCTTCTTTGAGGGCGGCCTCCGCGTCGTCGATGCGAGCGTCAGCAACCGGGTCGAGGGCGTCATGGGAGGCGACATTCTCTGGGAGCTGCCGCGATGGTCGGTGCGGCAGCACGCACACCTCGAGTACCAAAAGGGCGTCTGCTGCTGGGACTCGGAATCGGGCATCGAAGTGTGGAAGAGGTGGAAGCTCGTCCACGGCACCGCTGGCGAGCCTGAGCCGGCAAGCAAGCGAGGCACTCTAACCAAGGTGGCCACGCTGCCCGAGATTGCCAACACGCGCGGCTTCATGCTCAACGACGATCTCCACCTCACCATTGTCTCTTCGCAGGGGCTGTTCAGGACGTACGACCTGAGCGAGAAGGAGCCGAAGCTGCTCTACGAGCACACCATTGCGCGAGGCGCAACGGGTCACATTGAACACGACAGCAAGGTGGCCATCTTTAGCATGGGTCACGCCGGCTATGCTATCTACGACAAGGCATCGGGCAACCATCTCGGCAACGTTTGCTTTGGCGGCACAGCTGCTCCTCAGCCCGGAGCCGCTCATGAAGAAGCCCTGCCGGCCGGCAGCTCAACGTTTCTCACCGACGTCCTCGAAAAGCATGCGGCTACCAATCTCTTCAAGGCCGATGCTGAGAACCGTCTGCAGGCAATGACTAGGGCCGCGGGGGCAAGAGATCGCGACCTGACAAACTTCGTCAGGCTAAAGCTGCAGCCCGGCCCGCTCAGCTCGCGTCGTGTGCCAACGGCGCCCATGGGTGGAGGTGCCGCAGCCGAAGCAGATGCGCAGGACGGCCAGCTCAACGATCTCTTTGACGAGTGGCGGCAGCGCACGGGCGATCGTGTCCCCCAACGGCAGAACATCTTTTGGCGGACGTCCGCGACGACGCTGGAGAGGGGTGAGTAAAGAAGTCTGTTCAAGCTTGAACTTCTTTGGCGTCAGAGCACTGACAAGACACTTTTCTATCCTCGCCGCTTCGTAGATGAGTGGGGAGCGGCCATGGTGCGCCAGCTGCCAGACGGGGCGACACTTCTCGTGGCTAGGAGCAAAGCGGGCAGAGTACTGATTTGCAGCGACATGCTGGGCCTGCTCCACTGCCTCTCCAACGAGACGGCCGAAGTCGTCGAATGCAAGGTGCGCGAGTGTCTAGCCATCATCGAGACTGGCGGTGGCGGGTCCACCTCGGCCTTTTACATGGGCGGCTGGCTCAGTGTCCACGGTGGCCGTGCCGCGTTCGAGTCGGACTCGACGGTCTTTATCGCGCCGCTGCCCACGAGGCGCAACACGCTGCCAAAGGTCGATAGCGGTGACGCCAAATCTCCAGGATCCATCCTGGCTGTCGACAGCCGATACAAGAAGCAGCTGGACCTGCCCGACTGGCGGACCCCGATCCAGATCTCCTTTCTGTCACTTCACGACGATGCGCTCGTCACTACGTTCCTGCACCCGGCAAACGAATTCACGCCTGCTAACATTCCCCACGGCGGACTGGGCGGTCAATTTGGGGCTGGGCTCTCTGTTCGTTCCTTTATGAGCAGCTTCGAGATGGGCACGTGGGAGACTGCACTTCTCAACAGCGTGAGGATCATCAGACTGACGCCCCTAGTCTATGCGCACGAGGAGAAGGAGTGGCGTGAGATTCAGCAGCGGCGCGATGATGATGACGAGGAAGCCGTGGACAAGGCAGCTGCGGACAGTGGTCCTTCTCATCAGGACGAAAGCGAGGAGTGAGAGACGGACGAAGAGGAGGAGGAGGAGGAGGAGGAAGATGGGCTGGACGCAGGCCAATGGACGTGATCTCAATTCTTGTATACTAGATTGCATGTGCTAGTAGAATGATCCTGGCTGAAAGCATTCGCCCTTTGGGACCAAATTATCAGTCAAGACCGTCTTCACGCTCGCCGTGATGGTCGTCCGACCGCGAACTCGACCGAGACCGGAGCGCAGCGGCTATCTTGGTTGGATTATCAAGAAAAATGTACCTGGAGCTAAAATGCTTCTAGCGTATGCCCTGCATTCGCTTGAGAACGTGCCCTCTGCGTCTCTTCCTACTGCCGTCGCACGACATCACTTGTTCCTCTCGCCACTCATCTCTTTTCACCTCACCTCCCTCACCTCTCCTTTTCCCTCTCCCATCACTTTCCTCTCTGTGACCTTTCAGTGAAAGGAAGCACCGACGACGCCCCGGTCCACATCAGTCCGCCCAAGAAGAACACCGGCCGACTGACGCGTCTTCGCTTTATCCGAAATTCAAGCGCCTCCCGCTCCTCCACCCTTCCCCCCTGTTCACCAGGCAGCAAGCAGAGTCCAAGGGCCGACATGCTCGTGCCGACTCTCAAGCTCGCTCTTTGGCTCGGGCTAGCGGCTTCGACCGCCCAGGCCTGCCCTGGCATTGACCACAGCGCGGGTCTGGGCAAGCGCATGAACAGGGTCAGCACGCAGCCCAGTGGACCCGACAGCCTCGTGCGCCCCCTCACTTGGGGCCAGGTGCGTGACCCCTTTTTCTCTCTCTGTCCTCCCCATGCAGGACGGATCTGAAGTTGCTGACATTGCGACCCTCTTTGCGACCAAAGGTCAACATCATTCAGACGACGGACATCCACGGCTGGTACCAGGGTCACCTCAAGTCGACGCAGCCCGAGCCAAACTATTCTGGCGACTGGGGCGACTTTGCTAGCTTCGTTGCCCACATGCGCAGGCGGGCCAAGAAGCAGGGCGTCGACCTTCTCGTCGTCGACTCGGGCGATCTGCACGATGGTGCGGGCCTCAGCGACGGCTACCCAATGGGTCAGGGCCCAGATGCCCACGTCTCAAATCAGTTCCACTCCCTCGTCAAGTACGACGCCCTGGCGGTGGGCAACCACGAGCTGTACATTTACGAAAATGCGCTCGACACCTACCAGAACTTCGTCCCGCAGCAGCATGGCCGCTACGCCGCCAGCAATGTCAACATCTCGTACGCGCCTCATCCCGGACAGGCGAATGTCACCAAGCCAATGGGAGAGCGCTTCATCAAGTTCAAGACCGACCACGGTAGGCGCGTCACGGCCTTTGGCGTCCTGTACAACTTCCAAGGCCAGGACAAGGGACTGACGGTTCAGCCGCCAAAGGACATGGTCAACGAGGCCTGGTTCGCAGAGGCGATCAAGGAAGAGCCCGACTTCTTCCTCCTCAATGGCCACATGCCCGTGCGCCGCGACGACTGGCCCGTAGTCGTTAACGCCATTCGCAAGGTGCACCCTACGACACCGCTCATCGTCACGGGAGGTCACACCCATATTCGCGACTGCTACATCTACGATAACCGCGCATTTGGCATCGAGGCCGGCCGCTACCTCGAGACGATTGGCTGGCTCTCTTTCAATCTCACCTCTGCCAACGCCTCGTCGCCCTTGTCCTTTTCCAGGAGCTACATCGATGCGAATCGCCGCAACTATGCTATCCACGCCGGTCTCAGCAACCAAAAGCAACTTGACACCGCCCAGGGCATCTCCATCACCAAGGGCATGGACAAGGTTGCGGCAGACTGGAATTTGACGCAGGTGTACGGCAACAACACTCAGGACTACTACCTTGACCGTGTGCCCGCGACGGACAACAGCAGCATCCTCCACCTTCTCACTAACGACATTCTCCCCACGGTCATCTCGACGAGCAACCCGGACCGCAAGGGCGTGTCTAACTTCGTCCTCGCCAACTCTGGTAGCCAGCGCTTCGATGCATACAAGGGCCCCTTTACAAAGAACGACCAATACATCGTCTCGCCGTTTACGGACCACTTCCTCTACCTCCAAGATGTGCCGTACAAGTACGCTTCGACACTGCTCGGCGCTCTCAACGGAGACGGGCAGGCCCAGGCTTCGAGCAAGCGCTCGCCCGAGGCCGCTGCCAGGCACGACGGCTCCCTCGGTCAGCGAAGGGCCGTGGACGCCAAGGTCGTCGACGAGACGTATGGCGAGTGGCGCCGCGCACAGAACGAAGCGGCCCGTCGCGACCTGGAGGCGCTGGACAGGCGCGCTGACGCCCAAGATGCTACGCTGGGCTATGTCACCAAGGACAGCTGCCCTGGACTGGGCGATGATACGGAACACGTTGCCATCCCCTACGCAAGCCAGCCGGACTACGTCGCCTCGCCTCTGACGGGAAACACAACGACCGTCGGGCCCGACGACAAGGTCGATGTCATCTTCCTGGACTTCATCGTCTCCAATGTCGTGAGGCTGCTCAACAACCAGCAAAAGGACAAGGTGTACAATGTGTCGGACGCGACGCCTTACAACTCGCTCAGCACCCAGGACCTGTACCCGCTCTACTTTGAGTCGCTCAACAAGACCCAATAATGTCCGTTGTTACTTCCTCTCCCTCTCTCTCCAAATTATTCGCATTGCAATGCAATGCGGATTTGAATGTTGTTTTTCACCGGCGGTTCGGTGTCTACTCTCAATTGCGTGCAGATAGACAATGGCAGCTGGCTTTGCCCAACGTTCTCTCCATTTTTGCCATTACTGAATCTGCATGGACTGCTCCGGCCTCAATCGTGCTTGTGTCTTCTTGCAATCCCCTCCAATTTCATCTCGCCTGGCCAGGATTATGACTTCTAACAGTCGAGCAGTTGAGATGATCGGAAGATCAAGATCAATATCTCCTCCCTGTCACCCCGCACGGGCATTTCTTCTTGATGTGGAGGGACTAGGCAGGTTGTGTAATCCCGAATCTTCCTTTCGCTCTGACAGACAGCTAGGCTGGCTCCTCTGTATGCTGGAGGGTCGGCGATGCCGGAGATCCTCTGCATGACAATAGTGGTGATAGCGAGAAGGGCCTCAGAATAGATCAAAGTGTGTGCACTAGGAGGTAACGGGGTTAATGTTGAGGATATGTGGTTTTCTCCCCCACTGCGACGGCTGCTGAGGGCGCGAGCACTTCTGCGACACAAGTCGTCGAGAGTGCAAAGCTCGACGAGCTCGGGTTCGTCGGACTTGTGGACTCTCGTCTAATACTTGCTGTCTAGATCAGCTCGACATCAAGGCGGCCATGTCAATATGTTTCGACCGTGATGATGGTATAAATGGCTGGAAACGCCGATCGAAAGCCTCGTCCTCCACACAGTGATCCAGGGTTCTGTCAGACTGTTAAAGACCCCACTCTCCACACCTCAGCCGTTGATCTCGCTCCCCAACCACCTCCAGCCATGGACCCGCGTAATCTGCCCCAGCGCACTACTCCTCATTGGAGCCTCTACCAGCGCGAATGCTTTGAGAGCGGCACAAAAGACGGCCGCCTTCCCCCATTCAACACGCACCCAGACAACCTTGTCCAGCTCGCGCGCCAACGCCTGAGCGCCGGCGGCTGGTCCTACGCAGCCTGCGACGCAGGCCTAGGCAGCACCAATGCCTCGAATCGAGCGGCGTTCCAGCGCTGGAAAATCATCCCGCGCATGCTCGTAGACACAAACAGGCGCGACACGACGATTGAGCTGTTTGGAAAGAAGTTGGCGGCGCCCATTGCCTTTAGCCCTATTGGTGCGTCTCTTCCTTCCTTCCGGACTCCAGGCGAGAACCAGAAGGGCTTGACTGAGACGTAGAGTCTTGACGTAATCGCCACAGGAATCAACAAGATCTACCATCCCGAGGGGGAGCTGCCCGTGGCGAGAGTCGCCGGCGAACTCGGCCTCCCCTACAGCCTGTCCACGGCTGGTTCGTGCAGCATCGAGGACGCCGGCGAACACAATCGCATCGGCGCTCAGATCGGGACACAGCAGGGCCGAGGTGCCTTTTATCCTGACGGCATCAGGTGGTTCCAGCTGTACATGCCTCATGACGAAGAGTTGGCCGACTCGCTCCTGAAGCGCGCCCACAAGGCTGGCTTCGAGGCGTGCATCATGACGCTTGATACGTGAGCCTTCCTTGTCTTTTCTACGATGGGGAAGGCGCTGCTGACCCAGGGCTTACTGCGCAGCTGGCAGCTCGCATGGAGACACGAAGACATCGCGCTGAGTAACTACGGCTTCTACCGTGGCACTGGTACCGAGCTTGGCCTTTCGGACCCCGTCTTTGTCAAGCGCCTTTCTCAAGTTGGCATCAATGCCGCCAAGGATCCCAAGGCGGCTGGCAGGCACTGGATCGACCAGGTGTGGCACGGAAAGGCCTTTTCCTGGGCAGACATCCCGGCCATTCGAGAAAAGTGGCGCAAGATCAGCGGTGGGAAACCTTTTCTTCTCAAGGGCATCCAGAACGTCGAGGATGCCAAGCGGGCGGTGGAGTGCGGATGCGAGGGCATCGTCGTGAGCAACCATGCGGGTAGGCAGGTCGACGGAGCTGTGGGAAGCCTCGATGTCTTGAAGGATGTTGTCGATGCCGTTGGAGACAAGGTTGGTTCTTTTCTTCTCTTGTGGGCATGTCTTCACACTGCTTACAATTTTTCTCCAACGACAGCTCGAGGTTCTCTTCGACAGTGGTGTCCGGGTGAGTTTGCTCATTTTCTAGAATGCACAGACACGCATGCTGACAACGGACACTGTAGGGAGGAGCCGATGTCTTCAAGGCCCTTGCCCTTGGCGCAAAGTGCGTCATGATTGGACGAATGTGGGTCTATGGCCTTTCAATCCAGGGCGAAGAGGGCGTGCGCCACGTTCTTCGAAGTCTCCTTGCGGACTTCGACATCCTCATGAACGTCGGCGGCTTCCGCTCCATCGCCGAGATCGACCGTAGCGCCCTCAAGTACTTGCCAGACCCTCCTCATCACCTTTAGATGCTCTCCGCTTGGAATTGTTTGATCGGGTATCATTTCGATTGCAAAATACACGCATTTGTAGAATCTATGCCTGCTCAGGAGAGCTCAGAGGACCGACCTTGACCGTCTCTCGTTCTCTGCGCTTCACGATCTTCTCCTCTTGGTCCAACACTTTCTTCCTAGCCCGCTCTTCTCTCTGCCAACGAGACTTCGCCCCATGCTGGAGCCTCGTCAGAATCGTGCCGGCTTCACCCTTTGTCAAGCCCTTGAGCTTGTCGCTGTCCTCATCCGCGCTCTCGCTGTTCAGGCCCAGTCGTTTGGAGACGAAGGCGCGCTGCTTCTCGCTCGCAGGCCGACTTCTCCAGGCGGCATGACGGGCCACGAGCGAGTTCGGTCCGCTGGCGATGCCTGCAACACGCTTCACGACAAATGTGTCGCTACCTCGCAGCGCCTGCTCTAGCGTCGATGCAGTGAGAACCTTTCGAGGCCGGCGAAATGGCGAAAACTTCCTGCCTCGACCAAAGAACATTCGTCGTCCGGAACCAGTCGCGGATGCTTCGTCCTCGTCGACATTCTTGGCAACGTACCAGCTGCTCCACTCCCCTTCTTCCTCGTCTTCCTCTTGCTTTCCCTTCTTGCCCTTTGATGGCCGTTCGGCGGTCTTTTCGACCCGCAGGTACCCGCGATTGGGCGGCAGATCCAGCACGTAGACATCCTCGCCGCAATCGACCCATGCGTTGCTGCTCATCCTCTCGATGTATGGTCCGCCGAACTCAGCGCCTCTGCCACCAAACAGCGACTTGGCAGACATGGCTTTCTGCAGCTCTCGAGCACTGGTCCAATCGACGAAAGTCACCTTGCTCGGCTCGTTTGCACGAAGCGGTGCCCCTTCCAGCAGAGCCTTTCGCCTTTCCATAAGTTCCTCGCTTGTGAGTGTTGCGTCGCCAGAGTCGAGTTCGTCCTCTTGCTCATCAAATTCGGCAGTCGGATCGAGTCCAAAGAGTGTTGGAGCGCACACGAGTCCTTTCGAGCAGTTGCCCACGAGGTCTAAGATGAGACAGTCGGTCTTGTCCGTCGAAGGCGACTTTCGCATGCCTCGCCCAATCATCTGGCTAAACAGGTTTCGCGAAAGCGTCGGGCGAGCCAGTAGCACACAGTCGATTGAAGGTATGTCGGCTCCTTCCGTCAGAATTGCACAGTTGACGAGGACGGGGTACTTGGCCTGGGCAAAGTCTTCGAGGAGCGTCTTACGCTCGTTGACGGGTGTGGCGCCGTGCATGTATCGAGCGTCGATGCCTGCTTTCCGAAATTCATCAGTGAGATCCTTGACGTGCTGCACATTGACGGCAAAGATCAATGTCGATCGACGCCGTCTATCGGTACCGGCGCCCTCATCATGCTCGGTTGAGGCTTTGGGCCACGCGCGTTGGAGCCAAGTCCGAACGATGAGACGATTCACTGTGTCGGTGTTGACGACACGGGCCAGTGAAGCCGTCTGAAAGTCTCCGCCTCCTCCACCTGTGGGCAAGGACGACGAGGAGAGTGCGACAGAATCGAGGGGGATCTCGGCGTGAATCGAAGTAAAGCGGAGGGGCGAAAGCCTGAGAAAGTCATGAGCGCGAGGTCGTGACACCCTTGAGCACATTGGCAAGCTACTCACCACTCTTCGTCGATGAGATCGAGGACATCACGATGGAAGACGATCTCGTCAAAGACACTACCGAGGCTCAGACCGTCATGCCTCGAGAACGTGGCGCTGAAGCCAATGATAGGCGTCTTTGTGCTTTTCTCGTCGAGTGCGGTCGCCTCTTCGGAGTCTTCGACCCTGATGGAGGGATCGAAGTGGTTGAGGACTACTCTCCAGCTCTTACTGGCTGCATGGTGAGCCTCGTCGACGATGACGGCCTTGAATGTTTTCGGGTCGAATTTCTCCACTCTTCTCCGCCTCCCTAACCCATCGTCTGCCCCTTCAAAGCTGATGAGTGTCTGCCATGTCGCAATGGTGACGTCTGCGAGACCCGACGCCTTATACCTCGCTCCCTGCTCCACCTCGACCCACAGGGAAGGATACCGCCTCGCGACGTGTTGAGCTGTCTGTAGCGCCAGCTGGATTGACGAGACGAGGATTAGGACTCGATGCTGATGGGTGCGAGGCCTGGGGATCTGTGCGATCAGCTCGGAGAAGATGGTTGTCTTCCCGCTCCCCGTTGGGGAGGAGACGCCGAGCTTGGTGCCGCCCCGGTCGAGTGCAGAGAGGATCGCAGCGAGGCATTCTTCCTGGTATGGTCGCAGCTGCGGTCCGCGGTTTGCATCAGGGTCAGGCTGGCCACCTGAGCTGACGGGCTGCGAGATTGAAGCTGTTGCCGCATGCGCAGCAGGATGCCTCAGTGGCAGCGACGGTCGCAACGCAGTCGTGGTGCTTGCCAATCTCGCAGAACTACGCCGAGCGTACACACGCGAAGCCCCCCATCCACTTGTCGCTGCAGCGGCAGCTCGCATCCACATCGCGCTCATCGGCTAGAGCGGTTCTTGCAGCTCATCCTCGCATCGGAGAAGGGAAGAACAGGATCCTTTTGCCTCGTAGGTGGAGTCCGGAATCGAGAAGACGCGACTACGAATGCAGGGCGTGGATCATCATTTTAGGCTGTTCGACGTGGGGGGCCAATCTGAGCAAGTGATGATTACTTTGACGTTGAAAGGTACGGTACAATGCAATTGTGTGTGTCTTCGTCTCTTTCTTTTCAGACCTACAGGACGAATTTACGTCTAGATACGTGCCTTTATTTCACCTTCATGACCTCGTCCAACACTTCCGTTGTGATTCTGAAGTCTCTCCCGTCGTCATCGAGCGCCGTCGCCCAATGGCTGACCGCTATCCGTACCCCTCCGATGCCCTCGAAGACCGTCGGGCTAACGTAGGCCTTTCTGGCCCTCTTGATCGCGTCCGTCAGTGCCAAGTGTCCCCCGTTCGGCTCCTTGTATGCTCCGACAGGGCACAATTTTGGATGTGCCCTGAAGAGAACGACGGTCGTGTTCCAATCGTTTGTCCATGGCTCCGCAGTATCCTCGCTGGCTCTACACCGGGGCGTCAAGACCTGGTAAGGTGAGCCAGGCCGTCGGAGGTACTCTTCAATCTTGCGTCTGAAATCGACGTTGCGCTGTACCATGGCTCGCATGCCTTGCATACCCTGATCGAGCAGAACAGCATACACGGGCAATGCTCGGAATCGACGGGAGTTCTCCAGGTTGCGGAAGAGGGGCGACGGGAGCGTATCAGCGAGCTCCTGCCTCTTTTTTGTCTCTTGATCTTGCCCATCTACTCCCGCCCTCGCCACAGCCGAGGAGGCCAGGTAGGAAGGACCAGGGCCCTTTCCTGGCCCACAGACCATGTCGAGAACCGACAATTGCTTGGCGCGGCTGTCACTCTGGCTCTCGTCCTTTCGAACGAAGAAGATGCCACAGTCGTATGGCACGTTCAGTGCCTTGTGCCCATCCGATGTGATGGAATCCGCTAGGCTCATGTGCTCGCTGATCCAGCCGTATCGAGGCAGCAGGGCGACAAAGGCGGAGAAGGCCGCGTCGACATGCAGCCAGGCCTTGAATCTTTTGCACAGTTTCGAAATTGCAGGGAGTTGGCTGCTCAGGGCTCCCTATGAAGCGGTGGAGTTGTCGTTAGAGGAGGTCAAGAATCAAGAAAGAGGCACTCTATCAGCTCACAGTGTTAACTTCGCCCATCCCAACGACTACAATCCTTCCGAACCGCAGACTCTGCGCCTCTTCCAGTTCCTTTTCGAGCCTGTCCAGATCGAAATCGAGCCCGGCGACCCTCCTTTGCGCTTCCTGTTCCTCGTCTTCTGCAGCTTGTTCTCCTTGTCCTTTCCATTTCCTGCCCACGTCGACGACGTTCCTCCGTCCAATGCCCGTCAAGGCTGCTGCCTTGTTGATGCTCGCATGTGGCTTCGCTACAAACACCTTGACCCTCCTGCACTCCTCTGCGCCAAAGCCCATCTCTGCCAGGCTCCACTCTTCGTCTCCCTGGCCCGCATTGAGCAGTTTCAGCTGCGCCTCTCGTGCGCACGCCAGCCCTAGGATGTTGCTTCCCGTAGCGCCCGTCGTGAAAGTGCCCGTGAATGTCTGGCTGCTCAGGCCGAGCAAGCCCAGCAGCATCTGGACCGTGCAGTTCTCCAGCGTCGTTGCGATGGACTCGTTGGGCAGATGTACCTGCACGTTGCAGTCGTACTGGCTCACGAACCAGTCCGCTAGCGCCGCACTTGGCAAGACGCCTCCCTGTAGTAGGAGGGGACGATTGCATGCTCTGCTTTCAGCCATCTCATTGCATTGGCAACAGCTGGCGAGTGCCGACTCACCGTGACGAAGCCGAAATACCGCGGGCTGTGCCTCGTTAGCCCTTTTCCAACATCGACAAGAAGCTTGAGAAGCTCCTCTTGGCTGCCAAGGCCCTGCTCCGGCACGTCCCATCGTAATGACTCCAGGCACCTCTGCAGGTCCTCGCCAGAGGCAATCGTCGGTGCCGCCTCGTGGACCGCATCGCGAGACGCTGCGTAGGACTCAGCGAGGTGTCTCCCTGTGCTTAGAAGGTACGCCTCCTCTTCCTTGTCCGCCATGGCCATGGTTGGTCTCTTTCGTGGAGCACCAAAGTGAGTAGGGGAGGAGAAGGGACAAGCGCGAAGATTCCGTCCGAGCTTGCTGGGGTTCATGCGCGCTAAACTTAGAATGTGCTTATTTGAAAAGGTTCCTTAGACGCAGGTCCATCGGGCTCACCCGCCATCGCGACCATCTGGTTGGAGTTGTTGCTTGCTGATACGACCAAGTTCGTGAAATGTGAATAGATGGACGAGATCATGAACCATAGGTATTAAAAATGACACGAAGCTGGAAACAAACACACACACAAACAAACTAGATCACCACCAGACATCGCCCTTCGGCTTCTTGCGCGTAATGGTGCTCGACGAAGACGATTGACTCATCGTGCCGTCGTCCTGCCCTTCTTCCTCTGCTCTCTCCAGCTCTTGTGACCGCTTCGAAGTAAGTTTGGGAGAAGCACCGACGAGCGGAATCGAGGGACCGGGCTGAGCACCACTGGGTGGAGACGTTGCAAACACATCTTCTCCACCGTCTCCTTCCTCGTCCACGTCGTCACCCTCGGTGTCGTCCCCTCCAGCCTCTTCCGCCTCTCGTCGACCAATCGCTTGTTGAGCACTCGCGATCCTCTCCAGACTCGCTTTCCACTCCTGCTCCCTCATCAGCACCGCCGCGCTCAAGCTCTGCGGCTGATATGCGCTGCCCCGGACAGGCGAGAGATTTCGGCCCGGTGGCGATGCCGCTCCCGCAGATGTGATGCTCGCGCTGAGGTTGCTCTCTTCCTCTGCAATGTCGCTGAGACCTTCGGGCTCTGCATGTCGCCGCATCATGGAATTGTACTGCGACAGTCCATAGTAGCCAATGTCAAGCCCCTGGCCTACTCGTCCCGATGCCTCTGCTACTGCCTCATCCCCTTCTTCCTCCTCTTCCTCTTCGTCAAAAGGCTGAGGTGAAGAGAGAGAAACATCGGGAGAGAGTGCGTCCTCGGATCCTTCTGGAATGTCCGACAATCTCGGTTCCGAGTCGTCTGCACCAAAGTCTTCTTCGACGTCTGCGCCCTGGTACTCGTCCTCTTGCTCCTCGTCGGACAGATGCGGTGGACCTGATCCTTCCGAGGACGACCAGAAGAGGGGCTGCCGCTGCTGCTCATGTTGTGCTGGTGTCCCTCGCTGGCGCTGATTTTCGCCGCCAAGTTGCGAAACGTCCATTGACGACGAGCCGGCAGCAGTTTGCGTTGCAAGAGCATCGAGACTCAGCGGTCCTTGCTGTTCGTGTAAGTGACGCTGAGTGGATCGCGGAGACTGCTGCGTCTGTTGCTGCTGCTGCTGCTGCTGCTGCTGCTGCTGCTGAGCATGATGCTGAATTGGCGCAACATGGCTCGGCATATGAAGCTGAACAGGTGGGAAGAAACTGTCGCTTCCGGGTTGGCGTGCGGATGCGGTGCCCTTTGGGGTAGTGATGACGGGCGCAAAAGGCGAGGTTGGCGATTCTGATGGCGAGGGTGTCAGGCCAGCCGCAGCGGCGGCGGTCCTTCTGGGCGACCGAGACCGACCGCGTTGTCTGGCCTCGAAGCGCGTCTGCTGCAGGTGCTGGCGTTGGCGAGCGGCCTGATCAGCCTCCATCTTGGCCAGCAACGCAGCTTGCTGCTGTTGCTGCTGCTGCTGCTTGAGTCTTTGCTCCTCCTGTGCTAGCCGTCGCCTCTTGTTTTCGGTCTTTGCTCGTTTAGCCTTGGCCGCTTCTTCCTCTTGCTCATCCTCGTCCGAAAGGCCGATGCCGAGCTCTTTGGCCCGCTTGACGGCGTCTGCGATATTGACGACGAGGTCGCTGCTCTCGATATCCTGCAAGTCATCGTCGAGGAACGCCTGATCGAGCTCAAATTCCGCTGCGTCCGCGTTGCCTCCATCTTCATCGACTACAAACCCATGAAGGTCCACATCGGAAGGCATCGACCCTACAGACCCAACGTCGTCCTCGTCATCCTCTTCACCCTCGCCGGCTCGCGTGGCTGGGCGAGCCCCAAGCGCGTCGATGCCCGGCAGCGAATGCTTATCGACCGTCTTTGCAGTGAAGCGAGCGACAAGGTCGAGGCCCTTTTCTCGCTCGCTCTCGCTTCCCGCCAAGTACATGGACACGAACGGCCAGGCGTGCACGCCGCCCGGTCCCCTCTCGATGGCGCTGAAGATGAACTCGCCCTCGTCATGGCCTTCAGCCAGCGAAGAAAGAGAGGAAGAGGAGGGTGAGGAGGTGAGCGAAGAAGGTGAAGATGGCCTCTCCTTCGTCGGCCTTGGAAGGCTCGACTGGCCGACGTTGGGAATTGGCTCGTCATCACGAACGCTACCAGCATCCTTTGTGACTTTGGCCCCTTCCTCTTCTTCCTGCATCGTGGGCGTGCTTGCCCTTTGTTCTCGACTCTTTCCCTTGGCTTCTCTCCCTGCTGCACCCTTCGCAGTGCTCCTTCTCGTCCGCTTGACCCACAGCTCAATATCATCAGCCATTCTCTCGCGTTCTCCCCAGGTGACCAGACAGCCGTACTTGAGCTGGATCGAGCTCCAGTCGGCCACTGTGGGGCTGAGAAGGGGATGACTCTCCAGCCAGCGCCGTGCCCTTTGCCGCTCTCCGCTCTCGTCGTTGAAATCGCTGGACGGTTGAAAGTGGTCGTCGTTGTAAAGACCGCTAGTGTCGGCTACCAAGTCTGTCCTCCTCTCCGACGAGGTGAACAATGGCTCGAAAGCAGACGGCTCAGACGCAGGAACGACAGCCGCCGAAGTAGAAGAAGGGCCAGTGGTGGGCGGCGTGGCCGTCTTCAAGAGCTTCGAGAGCAACGGCTCACTCAGCGCATCGTGGGCTGCCCGAGCCAGCTTTGCTGAAGGCCTGGCCAATGCCGCCGCCAATGCCCTTCGCGGGTCCAAGACGAATTTTGTGGACGCAGCCTGCTTGCTTGGGATCTTCTTTTCCGCGAGACGTTTCCGCTCGGCCGCGTCCTCAGCCATCGGCCGTTCCTGCTCGTCGGCAAAGACACCACAGACATGTGCGATCCACCCCAGTGGGCCCCTCACACGGCGAGGTGCCTCGAGAATGCCGGCATAGACTTGCGCAAAATGCAACAGTGACTCACTGGCGACGTAGTCCCACTCGTAAGCTGCGACAGCCTCTGTCCAGCCATCATCTTGCTCTTCTCCTGCTTTATTTGTGCCCTGGTCTTTTGACGACCCCTCTTTCGACGAGCCTTCCGTGGTAGGTTGCTGCTGCTTCAACTGCTGCTGCTGCTGCCGGAGCTGACGGAACGCAATCGATTGTCTCGGCCGCAGATCGACCCAGGGGCTGATGAGGACGGCCTTTCCGGGCATGGGCAGCTGACTCCAGTCCCTCTCCTTCATGACGCCCTCGCCGTTCTCGAAGCCGATGCGTCCGCCGAGGCAGAGAAGCATGCCCATGGCCAGGTTGCCACCCGCCGAGTCGCCGGCAAGACAGATGCTTTCGGGGTCGATGTGCTCGACCTCGATCAGGTGCGCATAGCACCGGAGGCATTGTAGCAGCGGTGTAGGGAATCGAGCAGTGGGGCTCAGGTCGTATTCCACCGCCACACATCTCGGCTCGGCCATGTCCCTGGCCAGGACGCCGTTGTTGGCCTCGATGGCCGCGATCTTGGCCCGCAGTCGGAGCAGAGCCTCTGCGTAGAAGGCGACGCTGCCCAGACTGAAACCGCCACCGTGGAGATAGAGGAGCGTTGTGGCCTTTCTCGAGGCCACGTTGGCTCGTTGCACCTCTATTGGCATGCGTGCGTCGGTGCTGAGCAGGTAGGCCTTGAAGCCTCCCCCGACCTCGCCTTCGTCCTCGCTCTGCTCTTGAGACGAGGACCCGCCGGTACTCGCGGGCAGCTGTCTTCGACGGCCAAGATCGTGCAGGTCAGTGAACTCTTGGACCATGGTGTTTGACCCTCCGCCGGTGCGCCAGTAAACGAACGGGCCGATGGTCTCTTCGGCAAAGAGGACGCGAGGGAGGAGGTGGGGAAAGTTGGCGCATGCAAAGCGCGCCACGAGGACGATGAGGTGGTGGAAGGGCGAGAGCTGCGAGCGAGAAAGCAGGCCTGCTTCCGTCGCTGTACCCTTGGAAGACGGAGGAGCAGGAGCGGCACCCTCAGCCTTGCTTTTGGCTGCTTGCCTCTGCTGCTGCTTGGCGATCTGCACTGGGTCGCGCTTCCTCTCGCTCTTTCGCGCCTTGTCATGGTTCCTCCTCGATCGCCTCTGCTCCGACGCAAAAGCCGATGGCGGGGCGAAACTGAGCGTCCATCGATGATAGAGGTCTCGAGGGAGCGAAAAGACTTGTGAAGAGATATGTCAGTTCATTGCAATTACATCTTGCGAACAACAGAAAAGTGTACTCACCTACGTAGACGAGGCCCGTGAATACGACATCAAAGAGCTCGGCGAGACCGCAGGTTCTCAGGAGATTGATCGCATAGGTGAATGCGATGAAGATGAGATCGGTAAAGAAAAGTCCGCCCAACCAGGGATTTTCTGTGGGTGGCTGCTGCTGCCGTCGCCTCCTCCTCTTCTTCATCTCCTTCCTCTTTGCTGGTGGTTCCTGCCGTTGGAGCTGAGCCTCTCTTTCTCGCAAAGCAGAAGTCATTGCTCTCTTGTTCGTTGGCTGTATTGCTGCCGGTTCACTTGCCGCCAGGATGGGAGCATCCCCCTCTACAGCATGCTGACTCGCCTCGGTCATTACTGGCTGCTCACCAGCCCCGCCTCCCGTCTTGCACTCTTCGTCGTCCTCGTCCTCGTCGTCCTCGATTGCATCATCGTCGTCGTCCTCTTCCTCTTCCTTCTCCTCGCCGTCTTCCGCTGGCAAATGTTCCCCGCTCGCTCCCACATCTGTCGCAACCCCGCGCTTCCTGCCTCTTGCCTTTCCCTTTCTTGCGCCTGCGCCTGCGCCTGCGCCCGACCCTGCGCTCCTGGCTCGTCGCCCGCCCGACTCTCCCGCGCCCGCCGCACTCGTGCCCCTCGTGATGCTGTGCCGCCTCGCAATCTGCCCCTTGGATCGCTGCCGTGGCAGCCCCATCCTCACGCTGCCTGCAGTCGCACTACTGCTGCCTGACGCCGCCGACGCCGCCGCCGCGCCGGACATTGTGTTTCCCGCGCTGCTGGCCTCATGGTCCGACCCAGGCGTCGGGAGCACAGGCGACACCATCGCGCGGATCCTATTTCCTGTTCACGCACGGCTGCTGCTGCTGCTGTGTCCGTTGTACAAAAAGTAGCGGTGCTTGATTGGTGGGATTTCTTGCTGCTGCTCAGCGTGCGCGCGCTTACAGAGGCAACCCTCCACGCGCGAGGTGCGTAAGCAGCGAGCGTGTTGGTCCGCTCGCCCGTTCTTAGCCTCACGCTAAGTGATTGGTGCCGCCAAGAACACAAGCACTACCGTCGAGGAGGAAGAGGGCTTGTCGTTGTAGTCGTCGTCGTGCAGGCGATGGTGTTACTTATGTCTGTATCTCAGGCAGCATGACATCCAACACGCAGTCCCCGAGCGTGTAGGTCCAAGCGGAGAAATAAATCGGCATATGCAGCAAAGCCCATCAAAACTTTGCCCGGGATGCCATGAATAGCATTTTATCTCACGGTCCAGTCCACGTGTGAACGGATGCATGCTCCAAGTCGTGTGAAAAAAGGGCGGACGACAAAAATCGGAGGAAGAAGAAATCGTTCATGATCTTTATTTCAGGTTTTTGTTTGGGAAGATAGGAAAAAGAGAGAGAGGAAGCGGAGAGAGGAGAGAGAGAGAGCAAGGAAATCTATCTAGATAAACGCCTTACGAGGTCATTCTCTCCTCGACGGAGAGCTTGGCCACGTCTGGCAGCTCCTCGGCCCGCGGCGAGAGCTTTGTCACCTTGCCAATCCCAATCGTCCTTCCTTCGTCTCTGACTGTGAACCGGCCCAGCTGAGGGTAGTCGGAAAACTTTTCGACGCAGATGGGCGCCGTCGTCTCGATGAGGGCCACAATCTTCATGCCTGTGTAGAAAAGAAAAAGGAGGAATCAGCTGGAAGAACACCAACAGACGTCATGCAATAGGCACAACTCACCCTTCTTGGCAAATTGCGGCGGCTTGCGGCTCTTCTTGCCCGTCTTCTTGTCGTAGTAGTGGAGCAGCGCCACGAGGTTGATCTCCTCCGAGAGCGTGTGGACGTGCATGACGGCCGAGTAGCCTGCACAGATGATGTTTCTCGACTCGAGGATGGCCAGCTGGGCCTCGAAGCGCGTCACAACATTGACGGGCTGCTTGGGGTCCGTCAGGACGAAACCGACGCTCACGTCGTCGTGGTCCACGCCCTTGATCTTGATGCGGACATTGTCACCGGAGATGGCGGCAGGAACCTCCTCGTCCTGCTCGTTGGCGATGGACACGACTTCGACAGAGGTGCGGTTGGGCATCAGGAGCATCGCATCGCCCTTGCGCACCTTGCCGCTCTCGAGCTTGCCCACGACGACGGTGCCCATGTCGTTGTACTTTTCGCTGATGGGCATCTTGAGGGGCTCCGAGATCTTGCGGTCGCCCAACTCGAGGTTGTCCAGGAATTCGAGAAGGGAGGGGCCCTCGTACCAGGGGCACACGTCCTTGGGCACCTTTTCCTTGAGGTTCTGGCCCGAGTAGGCCGAGACGGGAATGAACGTCAGGTCCGTCTTGGGGTTAAAACCAGCGGACCGGAGGAAGGGAGTGAGCTTGGAGACGATTTCGTCGTAGCGCTCCTGCTCCCATTTCACCGTCGGCTCGTCCATCTTGTTTACGACGACGACGAGTCGCTGGACACCAGCCGTCTTGACGAGCATGGCATGCTCGCGTGTCTGACCACCGCGCTCAAAGCCCGTCTCGAACTCGCCCTTTCGCGCGGAAATGACGAGCAAGGCGATGTCGGCCTGGGCGGCACCACTGATCATGCTGGGCACGTACGTCTTGTGGCCAGGAGCATCGAGAATCGTGTATCTGCGCTTGCCCGTCTCGAAGTAGGCCCTGCCCACCTCGACCGTCTTTCCCTTTTCACGCTCCTGCGGCGTCGAGTCGAGCGCCCACGACAGGTACCAGCTTTCTCTCCCGGCATCCTTTGCTTCCTTTTCGTATTTTTCTAGCGTCCGCTTGTCGACCATGCCTGTGAGGTAGAGGAGGTTGCCGCCCATCGTCGACTTGCCCGCATCGACGTGGCCAATGAAGACGACGTTGAGGTGCGACTTGAGCTCGTCGACCTTGTCGCCAAACAGGTCCTTCATCGTCTCTGCATCCGTCGCCTTGTTGGCCTCCTCGAGAATCTTTGCAGCGTCCGTCTGGCTCTTTTCCACCTTTTGCTCCACCTTTGCCGTCCTCTTGGCCGCCAAGCCCGCGCCGGGCGCCTTGCTGTCGACGCCTGGGGCCGGCGACTCGGCCCGGCTCGGCGAAGGGGATGTCTTGGATGAGCCGGCCTCTTGGCTCTTGACTGCACTGACAGCCGCTGGGGTAGCAGCAGCAGCTCCGGCAGCGGGGGTAGTATCGGGCTCCTTCTTGGCCGCTGATGCACCTCCAATCGAGATGCTCACGGGCTTCTTGTCCGCCGCAGGTGCGGCACCACCGCCGATGCTCATGCTGACTGGCTTGCGCGCCTCGTCGCCCGCCGGTGGCGTCGCAGCGCCCGCACCAGCACTGGCCCCTCCCAGGCTGAGGCTCACCGGCTTGCGGTTCGGGTCTGATGCCGAAGGCTTGGGAGGGAGGCCGCCCGTCGCTCGCGCTTGAGGAGGTGCACCGCCATACCCTGCTTGTTGCGGCTGCTGCTGCTGCTGCTGCTGCTGCTGCTGCTGCTGGTATGGCTGATATTGCTGCTGTGGTGCCTGTGCACCGCCGTAGAAACCCTGCTGCTGGTAGTATGGTGCAGCCCCGAATCCGCCCTGGGGGTACCCGCCGCCGCCACCCGCGCCGCCATAGTATCCGCCCGATCCCATCGGAGGCTGCTGTTGTGCCTGTGGCGCCAGCGGCTGGCCCTGCTCGTCGAACTGCTGGCCCTGCTGGCCGGCCTGCTGGGCCGCATACTGCGCCGCCACCTGCGGGGGCATGAAGCCCTGTGCGCTGGGGTTGAAGGCAAAAGACCGGGCGTTCGGATTCATCTTGTCTTCTTCAACCTCGTGGCAGTGATTGTGGGTTCTGATGCTGGTGCTGTTCGCGCTCTAAGTGTGCGATGCGTGCTGCTGTAATGGACCGACAGCGACGACAGAAGGTTGAAGACGATGGGTGCATCTGCGGTTTTGGTTTCTTAAATTTTTATTCCCTTTCCAAGTCGCGCGCCACGTGTGAAGACGCTATTCAGCCCCAGGCAACGAACGAGAAAGAGTCATGGTCAGACGATGGTACAGTACACTAAGGGAAGAAAACACTCCATGGAGAAGAAGAAATTGACAAGACGATTAAACTGCTGCTTGAAAGACTAGGTTACTTCAAAGGTCCATGACTCGAAGAATGACTGTGCTGATTCAATGACTCGAATGCCTCCTTCGACGGAAACGTCTCAGGCCTGACCGTTCTTCCTGCGCCTCTTGTCCAAGAGGGGCTTTCTTTCTCCCTGGTCTGCCTCTGCCTCCACCTGTGGGTCCTCCCTGATCTCCTCGTCCAGCAGCGACGGCTGCATCGATGGCTGATGAGGTGCATTTTTGTTGTCCGACGAAGACGTCGAGAAGTACTGCTGAGTCGGTGTCGAGCTTCGCGAACGCATCATCTCGTCGTGGCTCCTCGACAGATTCTCCGACTTGCTCAACGGCGAGTTTGTGCTGCTCCATGACAGCGTGCGGTCGAAACCACCGTCACCCGACGTGGCGCCTGACTGGGATCGAGAGCTGGGGGAAGTGGGCCGTTTGATCAGGACGCGATCCTGGACTCCCTTGCCTGCGGCCCCTTGTCCTTGCCCCTGGCCGGCAAAGCTGGCCCTGAGCGGTGCGCGCTGTTTGAGCCCGCCAAGCCTGCGCCGCTCAATGATACCGCGGACGAGAGGGCCGAGATCGGCGCCACCGGCAGGCTCGTTGGGCTTTCTCGAGACACGAATGCGGTTGTGGACATCGACCCAAACGTCCGTCTCGTCGATGATCTCTTCGCCGATGAGCTCCTCGACGACGTCTTCCAGCGTCACGACGCCGAGAGCGCCCTTTGGCTCACCGGGATGCTCGCTCACGAGGAGCATGTGTGAGCGTCCGGTCTGGAAGTAGTTGAGAGTGGACAGCAGCGTCATGTCGGCACCCGTCTCAGGCAAGGGTCGCAGCTGGAAGGACGAAACCATCTTGCCATCCTCAGGGTCGTAGGTAATGAGATCCTTGACGAGGAGCATGCCCATGATCGAGTCTGGCTTTCCCTTTTCATAGATTGGCACACGCGAGTAGCCCGACTGCACGAGCTTCTCGACGCCTTCCTCGTTGAGGATGGTGTCGCCGCTGAGCGTAAAGACATCTGCGATGGGCGTCATGACGTCGCGCACCGTCTTGTCGTTGAGGTCCAGCACGGCACGGATGATGGTCACCTCGTCCTCGTTGAGGTTCTCAGTGCCCAGCTGCTGGTGGAGCGAGACGAACGTCTTGAGCTCTGCCTTTTTGTACGTCGTGCCGTGGTCTTCTCCAAGGCTGTAATCGAGCAGCTTGGCGGTGGGCCAGGCAATGGGTGCGAGGATGACCATGAGGGCCCAGACGAAGGGTGCGCAAGCTGCACCAATCGACAAGCCGTAGCGTGCGCAGATCGACTGCGGCAGCACCTCGCCAAAGATGACGATGAGCACCGTCGAGGTCAGCACAGCTGCTGGGCCGCCAAAGTCGGACAAGAAGATGGGCAGTGCTTCGTTGACTGTATATGCGCACGTCAATCAGCATCGCACTTGCAAAGTGGTTTGGTCCTTGTCCCAACAAGGATGCTTACCGATGACGTTGGAGAGAAGCAAAACGACAAGGACCCAGTGACGGCCTCGCTCGAGCAGACGGAGCACTTTTGTTGCGTTGCGCTTCTCCGTCTCGGAACCGGCAGTGGAAAGCACCTGCAGATTGACCGAGTCGAGACCCATGAGGCTCAGCGTCAGGCCAGCGCACAGCCCACCACCAAGGACGAGCGCAGCGATGCTCAAGCAGTCGACGACAAGCTGGCCGACGGTCCTGGGCTCTTGCGGCTCCTGCGGTCGATGGCTGGCCCGCGTCGCGCCCACATCACCGCTGCCTGGAAAGAGTGGAGCGGCAAGGGCATGGCCCACAGCAGTGGTGCAGACCAGTGCGAGCTTGGCGAATGCCACACGCGTGGTCCCTGTAGAAGCGCCTGCTCCTGGCGTGAAGGACATTGGTTGTCGCCCAAAACGTGTTTCTTTAGGGGCCTTGCGTAAGAGAGGAGGGAGAGCTGGAGACGAAGAAGAAAAAAGGAAACCTTATGTGGAGCTAGCCAGGTTCCGAATTCGTACGAAGAAAGAGAGGGGGTTGAGGGTTGTTGCCGCAGACTCGACGAGCAACGCCCAAATCGCTCTTGCGTCGTCGACCGGGAAGGCTACACACAGCGGTGGGTGCACAAGATGGCTTTGCTTAGAGCGTTGCAGCAGTCTGACGTGCAAGGGAGGGTTTAAAGGAAATGAGAGAGTGGGTCGAGATCTCGAGGTGGGAAGGGTTAGGGAAGAAAGCTCCGCCCTTTTCTATTTCTAGAGCACGTGTGCTTCGCAGGCCGAGCGAGATCTCGTCGGAAGCTTGGTCTCTCACCAGAGCAGGCAGGATTTCCAATCTCTGAGATCGTGCACGGTTGCCTGAATTCAATCAGGCGGCGGCAATGCTCGGCGGGAAGAAGCAGTACAGTGCGTCGGGTCGCAGAGGACCCGAAATTGATGGATTGGTTGTTGTTGATGCATTGTGATATTTGATAGAGTACAGAACAAAAACAAGAAATGGGGACAACAGCTTCGTGGTGGGGGGAATTTCCAGACGAGGGATGGTGTTCTGGACGCAATCATCGAGGCGGTGCCGGTGGCCGAGGCCGAGGGGCTTCGTTCGGTGGTGGTCGTGGTGGAGGTGCGCTTGCTCGAGGGGCCGGTGAAGCCGCTGCACCAGCAGCAGCCGGGCGCGGTGGTGGCGGACGAGCTGCAGGGTTCTGAGAGGGCCCTGGACCAGGATTGGGTCTTGGCGTACTACCTTGCTGCTGCTGCTGCTGTTGCTGCTGCTGGGCGGCGATGCGACCCGCCCTCTGTAAGAGCTCGAGCTGCGACGGCGTCAATTTGCTCAGATCGGATGCACCTCCTGGCCTCTGTAAAAGGGCCAAGAGGGTGTCTGCATCTGCCTTGGTGAGCGAAGATGGTGCTGGCCTTGGTCCTGAGGGCTGCTGCTGCTGGCCAGGGGGCCTTGCTTGAGCAGGCTGGTTGCTCACGGGAATTCTTGGCCGTGGCGCAGGCGCCGGCGCGTTCATCGATGGGGCAGGTGGACGCGACATTGGCAGCCCTGGGCGCGGTGGCTGTCCTTGTCCAGGCTGCTGCTGTTGGTTCGCGGGTACCGGAGGGCGAGCAGGAGTTGGCGCTCCTGGCGCAGGAGCGCTGCTCAGAGGTGGCCGCCCTGGCATAGGGCGGGGAGCTGGTGCATTACTGGCCGTGGGCGGTCGGTAGCTCGAAGGAGCGCCCTGAGGCGGGCGTCCTGGCCCACCTGGCGCCTGTCCTCCAAGCGGAGGGCGTCCCATCGGCTGCGGCGGTCGCTGACCCATCATGTGCTGCTGAGGCGGACGACCCGGTTGCTGCTGCGGGGGCTGCAACGGCTGCCCTGGGCGGGGCATGGGTCGCTGCTGTTGCTGCTGCTGTTGTGGCTGCTGAATGGGAGGACGAGCAGGCGCGGGAGGGCCAGATGGGCGCGCCGTAGTAGGAGCGGGCGGCCGTGGCGCTTGACCGGCAGCCATCTTGGCCTGCAACGTCTGCAGGTGCTTGACGAGGTGACTCTGAAGAATGGCCAGGGCCTGCTGTGCACCTTTGCCGCCAATATCTGCAATCTCTTCGCGACTCATGTGGCCAAACACCTGGGGGCTGAGGTACAGCTTGCCCTCGTGGTGCACAATCGGTGGCCCTCCAAACAGCGCCTCGATGCTCTCGGTGATGGCAGCCTTGGGAGCCGATTTCATCTGCTCGAGCGCCTCCTTTGGCGCAGTCCCGATGACGATCGGAACACGTGCCGAGGTGATTTGATGGGGCGGCTGCTGAGCCGGCGGCCGTGCAGGCGAAGGGGTAAGTCCCGCCGGCGGCCTCTGGAGGTTCTGAGCAGTCGCAGGGATGAACGAAGGTGCAGGACCGCCCGGCCTTGGCGAAGCAGAGGCAGAGGCTGTCGCCTGCTGCTGCTGGATAGCAGGCGACATTGGAGAAGCAGACGACGAGGACAGCGGGGGTCTGAACGAGCTGTTTGCATGCGGAGGAGGCGTGGGCGACATCGCCTGTTGATTGTATGGCGATGCTCTGCTCCTTGCCGCTGCTTCGCTCGTCACCATCGCATAGAAGAGGCCCTTTCCAGGCTCGTCTGGTCGGCGAGTGATCTTGGTCACATCGCGGGACGAGCCGACGGTGTGTCGGATAGAGCTGTGCCAGTCTCTTCCATTTTGACGTCCATTATTCCGATACCATTCGTAACGGCCTGTGATATCGTCGTAGATCTCCTGCAACGTCAGCTTGCCGCCACGGCTGAGTGAGAGTGGCGAATTGAGGGCATCAATGATGAGCTGCAGCGTACTGAGCTCCGGTTTTTCGCCCGGTCCCTCGGGCAACTTGGGCGTCTGAGGTGCCGCTGACGGGGTGTTGGCGGCGAGATGGGCAAACGCAGCTGCTGAGGGGGGAAATGCAGGTACGGCAGGTCTGGGAGAGACACCTGGCGAGGCTTGGTTCTGAGCCATCGGTGGACGCGGCGGCTGCAATGGGTATGAAAGCGGGGGTCTCGCGCTCGCGTTTGTTGCTGCGCCTGGCTGCTGCCCAGAAACAGGATAGAATTGGTGAAGAGATGGGCCATTGGTTGCTGGCCGCACGGGCCCTGTAGTAGGACCAGCACTGCCAGCAACACCTTGGGCAGCAGACGAGGAAGCGCTGGGCATGACGCTCTGACCCTGAAGGCTCGGAGGTCGAATCGGCTGCATTTGTGGGGCAGCGGCCGACGTCGGAGATGGCGAGACAGCGGCAACAGGCTTCAATTTCAAAGCAGGCGAAGCGCTCTTTTCTTCGTCCGCCTTTGCTTTTGCCGCAACGGCAGCTGCCGCAATGGCCGCCTTTCCGCCGCCCTTGCCCTTGCCCTTTGGAGGCTGGGTGGCCGCTTCGTCGTTGACCTTCGGATCCTGGTCCTTCTTCTTCTTTTTCGCTGCCCTCCTCTCCGCTTGGAGGGCCTCGATGCCAATGGGGGTGCCAACCTTGAGGGCCGCTTCCTTCTCTTCGTCCTGGGCTCCGGCGTCGCCCCTCTTCCTCTTGCGGCCGGTCATCTCTGCCTGAGCCGATGCGGCCTCCTTCTTCGAGGCCTTTAATCTCTTTCCTGTCTTCTTTCCCGTTGAGAGCTTGCCAGCCTTCTCCTCCTCCTCGTCTTCCTCCGGCTCTCCCTCGTCTGACTCCTCTGCTTCTTCCTCTGCTTCTTCCTCCTCCTCCTCGTCCACTTCCATCTTGGGTCTCTTACCCTTGGCAGCTACGCTCTTTGTCGCCCATTTTGGCTTGCCAGTCCCTTTGCCTTTGCCCTTGCCCTTTCCTCCTTGTCTTCGCTTCAATACCAGTTTCGGTCTTGCCCGCGCTTGCTTTCCGGACGCCTTGGTATCCTCTTCCTCTTCAGCCTCTTCCTCTTCATCCTCCTCCTCGTCCTCTTCCCCGTCGCTTGACAGGTTCGAAGAGCTTTCTTCATCCTCGGAACCAGAGAGGGCGTCATCGTCGTCTTCCTCGTCCTCCTCGTCAGTAACAGCTTCGAGATCGTCGCTACCCTCTTCGTCGTCGTCATCGATGTGCGAGCCAGCGGGAGGGTGGGAGGGCGGCAAGACAAAGTAGAACACTCGCTCAGCAATTTGAATCTTGGTTCTGTAAAACGGCCAAGTTCATACAATGAGCAAAGCATTGTTCAACAGAATACCAAGCAACTCAGTACTGCTCACCTCTTTCCCAGCGGTACGATGCCATCTTTGCCTACGTAGACGTCATCGACAAAGGCCCCATTGCGACCATTGACTTGAAGCACAAAGCGGCCCTGATCCTGAAAGTCTTCGCGGTCCATCTCTTCCGACATGCTCCTTCCTGGCGGCAGAATCTGAGGCAAGGGCATAGCCGGTTGGTCTTGATAGAAGATGCGCACGTGGAGCCTGGAGATTGACTTCAAGGGCCCAAGGTCGACGTCGACGTCTCCTTCGGCCTTTTGTGCCCCCGTGATGTGCTGTCGCGAAGCCGTCGCCGAGTCTGCAGCAGGCCGAATATGTGCCGGTCTTCTCCCGACTGTAAAGTCAAGGGTCTGGATGTAGTAGCTGAACCCTGGGAATTCGAGTTTGGCATAAGCCTGGATAGGCCCCCCATGTTCCTGAGTATCCTCCTCCTGTGCGAATGCGCCGTCGATAGCTCCGTTGCTCTCTGGGGCCATTGCCATCTCGCTGTCCTCTAATTTGATTCCATCCGAAGCACCAGGCGCGGACATTGCAAGAGCAGATAGAATCGCTTCTGTGCTTGTCCCTTTGCCTGGCTCTGCTTCCGGGCCCGATCCCGAACCTACGAGGCTGGAGACGCCGTTTGCGAGAGAGACGAGCAATTGTGCATTCTCGTCATCATCCAATCCTTCTTTGATTTGTGTTGGGGGCTCATTCGATGCAACGGGTTCTGTATGGTCGAGTGTGACTGCGGATGTAGACGCCAAGGGCTCGTCGCTCTTCGTCAGCTGCTGCACTGCTGCTGGCGGCGGAGATGGCCCGGATGCCGACGACTGTGACGGTGGTAGTGATTGTGATGGTGGTGGTGGTGTTGGTTGCGATGATGACACCTGCGTAGTTGAGGTTGGTGTCGAAGACGTGACCATCGCCTCCCCCCCACCAGCAGGGCCTGAAGGCGGCGCTGCCGGCGAGGCCATCATGTTGACGATGATGTCGCTTGTCTCTTGCTGTTCCTGTGGCCACGCGTTCTATTCTCTTTTGCCATTTGCGCTGCCGAAGGGATCATCAGAATAGCCGAGAGAATGGATGCGAACCGGGCGGATCGCTGATAAACCTTCGCGCAGTCCGACCTGCTTGACAAAGGAACGGCGATCGAAGGACCGAGAGGTCCCACAAAACACGCGACGTGAAGACCCGCGAGCGAGAGAAGGCCAACGGGCGGTCCTGCTTGCCTCTCTTTCCGACGTGTTCACGTTCGTCACGTCCCTTGTGCCGCGTCACGGTCGCGCTCCCTTGATCGCCCTCGATGAATCGACGCGATTGGCGCGAGACGTATGCACGTCAAGGGCAGGAATGGTGATGGATGGTTAACGGACGCCAGCCAAGTCCGTCTGCATGCACTGCACGTCCTTGACCCGACGAGAGCGACTCCTTCGCGTCCTTCGAAAATTTCAAAGTTTCGTCAGGTCGCTTTCTTGCTTTTTCCCTTGGTTCATCCCGATCGCACGTGGCCAGCGTATCTTCCACCGTCAATGATGCTTACAGCAATGAGCTGTGTCTCTGCTACTTCTCTGGGAGGTTCACAGTGTTAGGCAATGTTTCAGAGAGAAAGATCATCGGGGGTGTTCCTTCGCCTGGGAAGGCGATTGGGTCTAAAGCCTTTCGCTCTCTGTGTGCCTTGCCACCATTCGAAGAGTCGCACAAGTCTCCAAGTCACTCTCAAGTCAGATTTTGACGTCTTTGACAAGACAGCTCATTACCTAGTCTTCAGATGCTATTGGCTATAGAAACGCTGTTGACGAGCCCACTAGTATTCTGGGCTCATCGAGGTCAGATTATGACTGTTGTGCATCGAGTCTGGCAACCTGCCGCTAGGCTCATGATGGGCGAGCCTGTTGCATCATTACATGTCTTCGTTCTATAGGGAGGTGAACATCACAGAAGATCCAGCCATCACAGAGATAGGTGTCCGTCCTCAGCTTGAAGCAGAGAATAGGGATCAGGATAATGCTGCAAGGCAATGAGTGCGCACTTCTTCCTAAATCCAGCCTGGAGACGCGTTGCATCACGGTATTGTGCTGCCTTTGCTCGGCACTGGCAGTCATTGCATTCGTCGCTGCTCCCTGGCGCTCTATGGAACAACCGCGACCACCGCAGCGATCGTGTCCACTCAGTAGAGTCCCAGGGCCATCATCGAGAGCATCAATGTTGAGCACGGCGGCGCACCGGTCCGAATCCATGTCACACCACGTGGATAGAGCCGCAGCTCAGAAACTATCACGTGTCGCGCCCGTCTTGCGGGTTGAAGGCGCGCCGTCAAGTTTCGTCTTCGAGGCTTGTATCCATCGACGACCACTTCAAGACTGTGATTCGACAATATGGGTGAGCATCACGCACGGATTGCTGTCGTCTGCGAGGAAGAGGAGGAGTGGTGATAGGCGTTGGAGAGAATGTAGAACGGGGAGGGACGTCGAAGAAAGAGTACAGGAAGAGGAAGAGGAACGGAGAGGAGGGAACAAGAGTGGTGGAAGAAGGCGCTCAAGAGGAATGGATCGCTGACTTTCTTTCCATTGCAGCTGTCGGCAAGAACAAGAAGCTGTCCAAGCGAGGTGGTGTGCGCAAGAAGGCCGTGGACCCCTTCACGCGCAAGGAGTGGTACAGCATCAAGGCCCCTACCTTCTTCCAGCAGCGTGACCTTGGCAAGACGCCCGTCAACCGGTCGCAGGGTCTCAAGAACGCCAACGATGCGCTCAAGGGCCGCATCCTCGAGGCTTCGCTCGGTGACCTCAACAAGGACGACGAGCAGGCCTTCAGGAAGTTCAAGCTCCGCGTCGAGGAGGTCCAGGGCCGCACCTGCCTGACCAACTTCTACGGCATGGACTTCACCCAGGACAAGCTCCGCTCGCTCGTCCGCAAGTGGCAGAGCCTCATCGAGGCGCACCAGGACATCAAGACGACCGACGGCTACCTGCTCCGCGTCTTTGTCATTGGCTTCACCAGGCGAAGGCTGAACCAGGTCAAGAAGACGACGTACGCCAAGTCTTCGCAGATCCGCGCCATCCGCCAGAAGATGTTCGACATTGTCCAGCGCGAGACGAGCAGCTGCGACCTCAAGGAGCTCGTCGCCAAGCTCATCCCCGAGGTCATGGGCCGCGAGATTGAGAAGGCGTGCCAGGGCATCTACCCTCTCAAGGACGTTTACGTTAGGAAGGTCAAGGTTCTCAAGACGCCCAAGTTCGATGTCAGCAGACTCTTGGAGCTCCACGGTGGTGCTGCCGCCGTCGGTGCCGAGGACACGGGCGCCAAGGCCAAGTCGTCCGAGTTTGTCGAGCCCACCCCTCTTGCCTCGGTCTAATGGGCATGTCCCCCACCTTTGACCGTCTGGCATAAACGAACCAAAAACGGGGGAAGCCGCGCTGACTCCCTCTTGTATGATGTACCGCGAGCCTTAACACACACCATCCTGTCAAAAGCACGCACAACCTTTCCGTCTATTGATATGACACGCTCTTCCTATCAATACTCATTCATGACTTGGATTCATTTACCGTCTCTGTCACCGCAAAGAGGTCTCTACATTTTGTCAAGAGGGCCGAGGGCGTGTCTATGCTGCTGAAGAAGCTGGCCAGCCTGTGCCGTCTGATGATTCTGTCTTGGCTGTCGTCGCCGTCATCCCATTTCTCTGCGCTATGCCCGGAGTTTTCTAGATGCAGGCGAAGCTCGTCTTGTGTGGGTGGAAAGAGCCTCGTGTCGAGCAGAAGCATCCTCTCGAGCCAGTCGTCCTGTGCGCTGCCTGCCTGCGCCGTCGGTACGGACGGGAGCAGGCCCGCCTCGAAGGGCAGCTGCTTGTATGCGCGCTGCAGGGCGTACCAGACGTGTCCGCGCATCGCCTCGACGGCCTCGACGAGGAGGGCGCGATGCCAGAGCGTCAGCGTGCCACTGCGGCTGTTGTCTAGAAGCAGATGCCGGAGCGTAAGTGGCCGGCGCCTCGTTAGGCAGTCGTGGATGGCTGTTGCGAGCTCGATCGATTTGCTGCCAGAGGAATTCGGATGTGTGATGTGCGCTTGCACGCGGCAGAGGCCTTCGTACCAGGCGAGCGTCTTGCTGGGCAGCGTCGGCTTGTTGCGGGAGCGGCCGCCGATGCGCTCGACAAGGCCGCCCGTGGTGCTGTGCCAGACGAGGTGAAGCGAGAGGAGGTGGGCAGGCTCGACGGACTGCGAGAGCCAGGCGTTGTCGGACGGTCCTACCTTGAACAAATTGCGCAGATCAGAAGACGTCGCTGCGAGAGTGCCTTCCGAGGGCTTTGCCGTTAAGAGAAGGTCGACGAGGCGAGGTAGGGAGGACGAAAGCTGGATGCCGTCGCTGACAAGGAGGCTCAGCAGCGTCGAGAGCGCGTACACTTTGAACAGTAAGACAGTGGTCAGCGGGAAGCGAGAGAGAGCATGAGCGGACTTCCTGCATGATGGACTCACCATCAATGGCAAAGTGATCGCTACGCTTGGCAGCCACACAGCCCTCCCTGAGCCTCCGGACGAGCAGGAGCACATCGGTAAGCGACTCCATCATTGGTCGCCCAATGGCGGCAGCTGCAGCGACGGCAGAAGCCTGCTGACTGGGCACGGGCCAAGGAAAGAGCGCAGCGGCATTCAGTCGGCCATGGCTGTCTGCTGCCTTGACGATGCGTTCGCTGATGTGGACGCGATAGGCGTCCTGGGTGCTCGTCTGAGTGAGGCTGAAGGCGAGAGAGATGGAGAGGTGGGATCGAGTCAACAAGCCTGCATCGCACTGCATCAACATGCTCAACTCACTCGGCTCCCGAGCCCGCGTCCAGCCCTCTACTTGGACTGGCAAGGAGCTCTAGTGGGACACCAGTCGATCTCAGAGCCGGCGGTGGCTTTAGTCGGTCAGGCCTGGAGCCTTGCGGGACCTTTCTCGCTCCCGCATCCTGGACGCGCCCCTGCTGTTGCGACGAAGAGGGGCCGGGAGTCGAGGATGAAGGCTGCTGCTGCTGCTGCTGCTGCTGCTCTTGCTGCTTCTTATCCAGAGCCCTCCGGCTGCGCCACGGCTGCATCGAAGGCCGAGCAGCGTCCATGCAACAATGCGAGCTCGGATCACGGGCTTGCTTGCTATGCTATCTCATGTGCGTCGGCTTGTTTGTTTTTTTCGAGTGGAGAGGGAAAGCCAAAGACGCGGGAGGAGGTCTAATCTCCATTTTCGGTCCTTTCTTCCTCTTTTTCGCACTCTTTCTTTCTGTCCTGCTTCTGTTAGCTGTACCATCGTGTAACGCTGAATGTCCATCAAGCACTGACTTGTTTCCAAGCACATGGCCCCATCAGCCAGCCATCTCTGAATTGCTAGCTTAGGGCGAAAGGCCACCACCACGCACGCGAGTTGAGGCACGGACCTCCTGCTCCCACTCCTCTTTGTAGCTCCGAGGAGCCGGCCGGACAAACGGACATGTATTTGACAAAGCGCGTCAGGAAAAGGCACCGAGCACACCCTCCGCGGCGCTCGCACAAAGCCAGCTCCGGAAAAATGCAGGCTCAGGTCGCGACATCAAGGGCAAGTGGCTCTCCGGAGGGCTACGTATTTACGATGCAATGGCAATGAAGGTTAAAAGCGTGATAAGAGCGCGGTCGAAAACTGCGCCCTCAGCATCACACATGCGCCTTAGGAGAGCAGACAGATGCTGCCACTGCAGCACGCACCAATTGTTGCCTCCGCGGATCCCAGATGAGATATCCGCGAGAGTGCGCAGGTTGCCGTAAGCGCGACGACCTAAGTCCGCACGTCCGCCTGCCCGCCTCTGCCCCCTCTTTCCGGGTAGTCAACAGACTACTACTAATAACCGCATCAGATGACGCGCAAGCTAGAGCTAAGGTGAAGCAGTAGTGTAATGAAGTAATCCTGCCCTCAACCTCTGGCCGAAACGTGTGCTCACGCGGAGCACCTCGCATGACATTCGCCGGGGAAGACGAGGACTGGCCCCCAGAGTGGTTCGATTCGGTCATAACATCGACTTCGGGCATATCGACGGGTGGGGTGGGTGTGTGTGTGTGTGTGTGCCTCTTCCCCTCTGCACCCTCTTTCCTGCGCGAGTTTGCCCTTCGTCCAGCAATTTGTTGCTTTTGCAGATATAATTCTAAGCCTTCCGTTTGTATTCTTTTGTATTCTCCTGGACCGTGCGGGAAGTTGAGAGGAAGCCCTGCTCCACTTGCCCCTCAAGAAAAGGGTAATATAGCCGCCGACTTCGACTTGCTGCTTCTTCCAACCTTCCAATCCACTCCTTGCTGTGTCCTGGTGTCTGCTTGCCTGCCTTTTGCTTCATACGGACACACCCACACACGAACACTCGCACACAAGAGCAATGGCACCCACCGCCACAGCCGCCACGACGCCGGCCCTCGATGCCGGCGCAGCCCCTGCAGTCAAGAGCAAGCCCGTCAACAGCAACACGTCGACGCTGACGTCGACGCCTCCGCTCGTGGACCTCTACTCTGGCTCGGGTCAGTCGTCTCAAAAGTCCGACGAGGAGCTTCGCAAGGACATCATCAAGGGCCTCCAGGGCTACAAGACGTACATTGTCCCGGGCAGCGTCGACAACATCGAGGACCGCCACTTTGCATTTAGGCGCACCCTGCCCACGACGATTCTCTACAGCGAACGCGGCCTGCTCCTCTACGACCGCCTCGTCGAAGAGCCCGAGTACTACCTCTGGAGCGCTGAAAAGAACATTCTCGAGACGCATTCAAAGGACATTGCCCTCCGCATTTTCGGCCACCAGACGGGCGCGCAGTCGCACAGCGGCAACACGGACGATATCGTGCACAACGACGAGCAGCAGCAGCAGAACCACGACGAAAGCAACAACAGCAGCAGCAGCAATGGCTGGCCCCACAGCGCAGAACGCGAAAAGGAAAAGTGGGGCGATCACAAGGTCGGCCGTCACAATGGCGGCGTCAACAGCGAAGAGGGCATGGATGGTGATCAAGGTGTGGGATGTGCCTCACTAGTGGAGCTCGGCGCTGGGTCGCTGCGCAAGGTGAGTTGAGCCCGTCCTGGCGTGGTGAAGCAGTGCCACTGACACTGACCGGCTTGCTTTGCCTCTTCTTCTGCCTCAGACCGTCCACCTTATCCGCGGCCTCGAGGGCATTCCCCCTCGGCCGGGCGCGGACAAGGACGCTCCAGCTGTGCAGTACTATGCTTTGGACCTCGACAAGGCCGAGCTGGTACGCACGCTGGAGCAACTTCACCAACAGGAGGCCAGAAAGGCAGATGCAAACGACTGGACCGTCCTCGACGGCAAGGTCGGCATCAACGGCATGTGGGCCACCTACGACCAGGGGCTCGACTTTATCGGCAAGGGCGGCCTGGCCCAGACGAAGTCAGGAAGTGGCGGCGACGGCAAGCGCTGCCTCGTCTGGCTCGGCTCCAGCATTGGCAACTTCAACCGGCGCGGCGCCGCAGAGTTTCTCGAGACGGCTGCCAAGTCGTCGCTCCGGCCGGGCGACACGATGCTCATCTCCGTCGACCGGCGCAACAAGCCCGAGGCTGTGGCCAAGGCCTACCACGATGCAAACGGCGTCACGCGAGACTTTATTCTCGAGGGCATTCGCCACGCTGACCATATCCTGGGCGGCCATGGCATCCTCGACCCCGCCAAGTTTGAGTACAAGGATCGCTACAACAACGACGAGGGCCGCCACGAGTCCTACTACCGCTCCCTGTGCGACCAGAGGCTCGAGCTGCCCGGCACAGACGAGCCCATCGACATTGAAGAGGGCGAGCTGATCCACGTCGAATCTTCGTACAAGTACAACGAGCGTGAGATCCTCGACGTCTTTGACTACGCCGGCCTCCGCGTCGTGGAGCGCTACAGCGACGACAAGGAGCTGTACGATGTCTGGCTCGTCGAGCGGCCCGGCTTCCACTTCAGCAGCACCAGACTCATGACGGGCTCCCGTCAGGACATGGGCATGGGCCTCACGGTAGAGCAGGCGAATGGCCAGCGCGGCAGCTGGGAGTTTGACTCGGATGGAGGCGCAGGCAGCAACGGCATCGAGGAACCCACCGTCCACTCGACCTGGGGCATGCCCTCGCGCTCCGACTGGGAGCAGCTGTGGAAGGCGTGGGACACTGTCACGCTGACCATGATCCCGAAGAGGATGCTCCACGAGAAGCCAATCGATCTCCGGCACATTTGCCTCTTTTACATTGGCCACATCCCTGCCTTTTGCGACATCATGCTCGCCCGCAACCTCAACGAGCCCCACCTCAACGACCACTTTTCGGCCATCTTTGAGCGCGGCATCGACCCTCACGTGGACGACGAGACGCAGTGCAACCCACACAGCGAGGTGCCGACCAAGCCCGAGGACTGGCCCACGCTCGACGAGCTGCTCGACTACCGGGCCAAGGTCGCCAAGCGTGTCGAGGGCATCTATGACGACGTGGCACAGGGCAAGCGCGTCTGCGACCGCCGACTCGCCCGTCTGCTCTGGCTCACGCTCGAGCACAAGGCCCTCCACCTCGAGACGCTTCTCTACATGCTCGTCCAGAGTCCCAATACGCTAGCACCCGAAGGCTTCACGGCGCCCGACTGGAACACGCTCGCCCGTCAGTGGGATGCTGCATGGGAGAGGCAGGGAGGCCAAGCCGCTCAGGATCACGTTCTCAACTTCAAGGCTGCCGAGATCACGCTCGGCCACAATGATGACGATGCCCAGGATTCCAAGTTTGTCGCGTCGCGGCCTTCCAGCAACGTCAACGAGGTCAACGACCAGCTTGGCAAGCCAGAGTTTGGCTGGGACAACGAGTCACCGGCCCGCAAGGTGTGGACCGACGCCTTTAGCATCTCGGCCCTGCCTATTACCAATGGACAATATCTCGACTATCTTCAAAAGACGGGATCCAAAGAGACTCCTCCCTCTTGGGTCTACGTCGCAAATGACCCCAGGGTCAAGACGGTATATGGAGCCGTGTCGATGAAGGCTGCACAGCACTGGCCAGTGCAGGCCTCGGCAGCGCAGCTGGAGGCCTTTGCCAAGTGGAAGGGAGGTCGGCTCCCGTCGCATGCCGAGCTCCGCCGCTTCTTGGACGCGGCCAGCGGACCCAACTGCACCGATCGGCCAGGTACCAACGTCGGCTTCCGCAATTGGCACCCGGTCCCCCCTGCACTCTCCCGGCCCGTCTCGGGCTCTCCCGCGCACGTGCAGCAGCATCTCCCTGGCCACAATGGCGGCGTGTGGGAGTGGACCTCGACGCCGTTCAGCGACTACGAAGGCTTCAAGCCCTCAGCCCTGTATCCTGGCTACAGCGCCGACTTCTTTGACGGCAAGCACAACGTCGTCCTGGGCGGCAGCTGGGCCACGACGCCCTCGATTGCGGGCAGGCGCACTTTCGTCAATTCGTACCAGGCCGCCTACCCTTACGTCTTTGCAGGCGCTCGTGTCGTCTTTGACCAGAACACGCAGGTCAAGCCTAGGTCCCTCTCGCCCTCGAGGTCCACAGTAACGACTCGCTCTCCTGTCCTGTCTGCTTAGTGGTTCACGGCTTTTCTACTTCGTTGGCGCTTCTCCGTCTCTGTGCTCCGATTCTCATCTCTCTGCTCTCGACTCTGTATACGACTACTCTTTCTCAGCTTCACGATATCTTTACTGTGTCATGCTTATTTATCTGTCTCTCTCTCTGATGACATTAAAGAAAATCAAATGATGGCTTTATCCCGCCCTATTTGCGGATTGGATGAATTGTGGCGCAAGGGCTGCCTATAGCTCCTCTGGCTCTGAAAAATTTAGCCGTCTTGCGCCCACCTTCAGCCCTGGTCTTCCGCATGAGACAGTTTCACAACCCGACCAGCCTAGCAGTACAGATAATTAGGACATGGATGAAGTAGTAAAAGCATCCTGGGTATGGGCTTTTCTAGGAGCCCGTTCGGGGACAACAACGGAGAATCGACTCTAATCTCGCGCGTCTCGTCTCCTCGTCTGCGGAATTGCGGCGAGCGACAAAGGGCGGGCGCGGCCAGGACGGAGGTCCAAAACAAGAAAAAGGGGTGACATTATGAGAGCGGGCAGTAGTCAGGGAGGAGGAATTGGGCGTGCTAGGAGTCGTGCCGGAGTAGCAGTAGTGATGATGTGTGCCGACGGCGTGTATGTGACTAATCTCACCAGTACACTACTGATTAGCTACTTGCTTGCCTTCATCTCTCTCCTTTTTTTTTCTTTCTTCGTTGGAATGATCTTTTCGACGGGCGGGTGCGCTTCGCTCCGTGAGTACTGAGTGCATTTCTGGTGCGTCCAAGTCCGCTCACCGCCCTAGCCTCTTGGGTGTGCCTATCTCTCTCTGATCTACTGCTTTCATTTCGAGGTTGGGGAATGAGAGGCACGACAGCCGCCAAGAGTCGCCAAGGAGGCAGCAGCCCATCCCAGCGGGGCCTGAAGTAGGTCGGTCGAGATCGATCCACGGTTTGAGGACTTTCAAGTAGTGCGGCCTATAAGGGCGGTGGGCGTCGTTTCCCTCCCTTTGGATCTCCCCCCTCTCCCCTTTTCTTCTCACTTTCCTTCACCTTTTGCTGTCTCAGCACCGACGACGATGCGCGCAAAGCAGTCCCTCCTCGCTCTCGTCGTCATTGCTGTTCTGGCTCTCCTCGTCGTGCCAGGGTCTTCAACTCCGTCTCCTACGTCTGCTGATGCGACCGTCGCGGGAAGGCCAGTCTGGAAGGGCAACTGTGATAATCCACGAGTCCGCAAGGAGTGGCGAACGCTCACTCGACAGGAGCAGATCTCCTTCAACGAGGCAGTCCAGGTGCGTTGACCTTGACCCTTGCACATTTTGGAGCATATAGGCCTCTGACTCTTCCCTGTCCACCCCTTGACTTTGTTTTGTTGATCCGGCACAGTGCTTGAAACGGAAGCCACACGACAGCCGCCTCCGAACTGTTGCGCCTTCCCACTTGTCTGGCGTGCCAAACATTAATCCAAAGTCGACGTTTTGGGACGACCTCGTCTATGTCCATGCAACATGTACGCCCCTCGTTCATTTCACTGGCCTCTTCCTTGCGTGGCATCGCCTTTTCGTCTATAATGTCGAAACAGAGCTTGTGAGTCCGGCCATTGCAGCTTCAGACGAATGGTGATGATACTGAACTCCTGTGACAACAGCAAAATTGTGGCTTTCCCAAGAACCTCGGCATGCCGTATTGGAATTGGACGCTGGACTACAAGGACGGCCTGGACAAAGCACCTCTCTGGGGTACTGAGCCATGGCAGATTGGCCCTGCGACGGGCACGGGCAAGAACTGGATCGTCGAGGAGTTCCCGGAGATGGTCGCGTATCCTTCCCCGCATAGAATCTCTCGGCGCTACAATCGACATCCATTTCGGAAGTCGGTCGAGAGCGAAGTACTGACGAGCTCCTTTGCTGCCAATTCCAAGGTGGCAGCGACGAACACTAAGGTGGCAAACAACACCGTATTGCCCAATCACATCATCCAAAAGGCAAAGGAACAGACAGGTCATACTCGCCGAAGCAAATTAGCAAAGGGCGAAAAGCCCGAGAGCATCAAACCGGCGAATCAGCCAAAAAGGTTGTCGCCATCCGATCTGGCCAAAAGATTCTCAACCGAGGAGAAGGCATTCAAAGGATCACTGTCGCAGAAAGTCAAAGAGGATGACGAGACTACCAACATGACGGGAGAGGAGATGGTGTCACCGGAAGCGATCAGATGGGTCTTTGAGGCTCGGGACGGCGACTACGAGACCTTTGCCCAGCGCGTTGAAGGGACAGTGAGTGGTTTTGTGATATGCATTCCTTGTTCTGCACGCAATCTGAAACGTCAAGCGACGGCGTCAGCCTCACGTCGCAGCACACGAAAGCTTCTCGATTCACAATCTCGATATCAATTATTCACCAGAGTCGAGCCACTTCTACTTGCATCACTGCATGGTCGAGCAAGAGTGGTACAGCTGGCAGAAGCGCAGTCCACTGAATCAGGGTGCCATCGGTGGAAAACAGACTCAGTCGGAGCACGAAGGCCTTGGAGTGGGAAATGCCGTGACATACGACACCATTCTCCCCATGGCTGGTATTTGGCCGGATCAGAAAGTGAGGGACGTTCTCGATCCGAGAGGCAACGCTCCCTTGTGTTACGAGTATCAGTAGACCTTCCTCTCTCTTGCTTTACCCACAAGCAGTAGAGCTTCTTGGACTTTGTGTATTCTTCTTCACATCACAACTCAGTGTTGCCTCCTGTGGACAATGTCATATCCAGCCTTGCAGCTATCACCACCACCGTCACGACGCATGTCTGGTCCCCTCCTCTCCTGTTTGGATTCATCGTTTCGGCGAGGCAATGAAATAGAGATGCCATGTGGACTCGGACTAAAAAGCAGTAATTATGCACGTGGCTATTAGATGGTTGACTTCTTCGTGTTCCTTGCCTCAATTTTTTCTTCTCTCCTCAAGTTAATGGTCCTCGTCGCCGGCTTCTTCCTCACGACAGGACTCAGATCAAGCCCGACCTGCACCCTCGCAGCGAATACAGCGCTTACCACCCTCAGAGCGAACACCGCGCCTGCCTTACCCACCGCCTCCTTCTTCTGCAGCTCCGCGACCACCCGCAAGAAATCTGCCAGGATGCCTCCCAAGAAGGCCGCAGCTCCTGCCGAGAAGGCACGCCTCGGCAAGGTGTCCAACAACCTCAAGATGGGCATCGTGGGAATGCCCAACGTCGGAAAGTCTTCTCTTTTCAACGTCCTCGCCAAGGCCGACCTTGGTAAGGCAGCCAACTTCCCATACGCTACAATTGACCCGGAAGAGTCGAGGGTAGCGGTGCCCGATGAGCGATTTACATGGCTCTGCGATCTGTACAAGCCCAAGAACGAGGTGCCGGCCTTTTTGACGTGCATTGATATCGCCGGTCTCACGGCGGGAGCCAGCACCGGTGCTGGACTGGGAAATGCTTTCTTGAGCCACGTCAGAGCCGTCGATGGTATCTTCCAGGTTGTTCGTGAGTCGCTCCTTTCCCGCTTCCTTCTTGCTCTAATGGTCAATTAATCTGACCATCTTGGATTCCCCACATAGGTGCCTTCGCCGATGATGAGATTATCCACGTAGAGGGTGATGTCGACCCGTGTCGCGACATGAAGATCATCTCCAACGAGCTCCGCCTCAAGGACATTGAGTGGACCGAGAAGATGGTCGAGAACTCGCGGAAAATCGTCAAGTCAGCAGGCAGCGTCAGCTTGGAAGACAAGAAGAAGAAGGAAGAATTGGCTGCGATGGAGAAGGTGCTCCACCTCTTGTCAGAGGAGGACAAGGATGTGCGGAAAGGCGACTGGACGAGCAAGGAGGTGAGTTTTGTAAGAGATTTGTGTTTGTGTCAATGGAAGAAGGGACAATGAGGGAAGGAGGAAAATCAAGTGATGATAAAGAGAGCAGAGACTCTCGATTTTATAACCCAGCTCGTCGATGGCCCATCAAGCCTTTACATGAGAAAGAAAGTAACGCACTGATATCGATGGACTGGACCTTGACTCGCACATTTCATGACGAAGAAGAGAGAGCCAAACGCTGACTCTTTCTTGCATACAGATCGACGTTATCAACGGCATGCAGCTTTTGACTGCCAAGCCCGTCATCTACCTCGTCAACCTGAGCGAGACCGACTACGTGCGGAAGAAGAACAAGTGGCTTCCCAAGATCAAGGAGTGGATCGACAAGAACAACCCGGGCGACCAATTGATCCCCTTCAGCGTTGCGCTCGAAGAGAGGCTCATGGCACTCGGTGGGCCAGACAAAGAGGCTGAGGAGCTCAAGAAGCTTGGGGATAATGTCACAGGCTCACTTGGCAAGATCATCAAGAGTGGCTATGATGCCCTTCAGCTCATCAAGTACTACACGGTCGGCGAGCCGGAGACGAGGGCATGGACGATCCAAAAGGGCATCAAGGCCCCACAGGCAGCTGGCGTCATTCACTCCGACTTCGAAAACAAATTCATCTGCGGCATGAAATTCTCATACGACGACTTGAAAGAGTTCGGCAACGAGAGCAGGGTGCAGGCGGCTGGCAAAGTTTCTCAGATCGGAAAGACCTATACCATGGTGGACGGTGACATTGTCACATGGAAGTGTGGTCAATGATCAATGATCTTGAAGTGGTGCCTAGAGGCAATTGATTTTCTTTTTCTTTCGAGCGGTTTGGGATCGCGTCTATTGCGTGGAGTGCATGGGCGAGAGCGTGACAAGTCCGCTGAGGTGTAAAAGTACAAGGATTTGTGAATATAGAGATTAGTGGTGAAAAGTACAGCTCTAGTTCCTTCTGCCTGCTCGATCTGCTGCGACGCTGGCGAAGCTCATGGGCATCGATGACCAGTCGACCTGACCCTGTGTGGCTGCCCCGCCCGGAGCAGCGACGGGGGAGGCGCGGGCCTCTTCGTGCGTTGCGAAAGTCGGACTGACAGGAGCTGAGCCTCGTCCCGAGCCAATTGACAACGGGTCGAGCTGCTGCTGCTGCTGGTGATTGTGATGCACGGGGTGCCACGGCGGGCCGATGGAGCCCGGCGTCGAGCCTGAAGCGGTGCCGCGAAGGAATGCGGCGTGCATGGGGCTCGAAGACGCCGTTGGCGAATCAACCATGCCGCTCGAGAAAGGATTGTTGCCAAAGTGAGAAGGCGGGGAAGATGTAGTTCCTTGATGTTGCAGAGAGGGAGATGGGTTGAAAGCACTTGTCGCAACCTTGGGCGATGCCGGGGCAATAGGCATACCCCAGATGTCAAGCCCCGATGAATTTGTCGCTGAATTAGGGTTCTGAGAGGTCCAGAGTGAAGGACTCGATCCGGGCGGGACGCCCTGCGACGGCGGTCCAATCGGCGAGGTGCCGCTCGGAACGCCCGAAAGGTTCGGGCTGAACGAGCTGCGCCGCTGCTGTTGGATGGTTGCAACATCGTTGCCAAAGCCGCTGTGGACAGACCTCGGCGCAAGATGTGGAGAGACGCCGACGGAGTTGCTCGTCTGACTGTGGTACTGATGGTGTGGCCCGAGAGAAGAGGGTGCTGCGAGGGTACCTTTAGCCGTGATGGGCGACGCACTGGCTGACGGAACAAATTCGGGGTTTGCCGGATTCAAAGGGTAGTGATGGGCGGTTTGTGGGCTTTGATTTGTGTAGCTTTCGAGCTCGTCTGAGCCGCTCTGATGATGAGGAGCCGGGCGTCCAAGATGACCTCCACGGCCGTAGTGACGGCGTGAAGAAGACTTGCCGCCGCCCCCACCACCAGAAGTCCCTCCCGAAGCCGTCCTTCCTCCTCTTCCTGCGCCTCCGCGACCGGATCGCCCTCCGACAATCTGACTCGGAACAAAGGCTGTGTTGTTGCCGAGCTGACCCTGTTGATGTGGTGAGTGTGGTTGGTAGTAGTGTACATAGGGCGGGTGGCCACCCATCCCACTGCCGCCCTGTGGCTGCTGGAGCTGCTGCAGATGCTGTTGCTCGTAGGCCGGCGAATGCAGCGCTCGATCGGTCTCGTCCTGAAGCCGCTTGATTTCGTTTTCGAGCTCGACCACCTTCTCGCTCTCAAGCTTCTTCTTCTCGGCCAGCTTGGCCTCCAGACGCTTCTTGACAACGTCAACCTCGGCTTCAAAGGATTTCACCTCGCTCTCCATAGCCTCAATCTTGCCCTCGCTCTCCTTGACCCGACTGCCGACTTGTGCCTTTGTCGACTTGAGCTCTTCGTCCTTCTCCTTCTCCTCATCCTCCCATTTGCCTTTCTCCTGTTCCACCAGCGTCGTTTCCTCGTCGATATCCTTACTGGCTTGTGTCGCCTGCCGAATGCTTTCCTGCAATGCCAGCACCTTTTGCTTTGCGCGATGGTCCACTCCCGACATACGATCAAGCGCTCGTTTCAGAGCCTCAATCTCATTACGGAGAGCCGACTCTGCGCGTGAAGTGTCCTTGCGAGCTTTGCGTAGGAGCGTGTTGACAGTTGCCTGTAGCGCGCTGGCCGTCAAAGCTCCTGCACCTGCACCTGACCCCATGACAGTGGCTGAGGCCGTCGTGGAGGCAGGTACATGGGTCGGGGATGGCTGTCTTGGCGACGGACCGATGCCGTCGGAGTCCACCGAGTCAGTGAGCACAGTAGTTGGGTCTGCTGAATCTTGTGTAGGTGGTGTATGGCTTCTCAAGACAAGGTTGCCTGCAGATGGAGGATGGACGTTGGCAGATGAGGTGCGCGAGTGATCGTTGGAGGGAATCAAATCTCCTCCGGCATTGTCGATGGTCGAAGGCGATGAGGGAGTTACGTTGACTTACATCAGAAGTCAGCATGCGGATGAACGCACTCTTGCCTGGTCGCATGCATAGACCTACCTTTATCCGACAAGCTCTTGGAGTTCAAAGCTGCGACACTGCTCGTCTGTGCCGAAACGACAGCCTCATCCTTGCCCACGCAGAGGAGAATCTCGTAGTCGCGGTCAGGCAGCAGTCCGTACACGACGACAAAGGCTTCGTCTGGTCCCCGATCACCCATGACGACTTGGAGCCAGGGCTCGCCGTTGACGCTGACGCTGACCCCGCTGTCGAAAATTTTGGTCAAGCTCATCGGAAGCTGAGCTGGAGGGTGGGAGGACGAAGTGGCCGAGGCGGGATCGTTTGCGGTATCAGATGTTTCCGAATGGCCAGATTCGTCTTCCGCCACACCAGCTCCGTCATGCTCTTCAACCGCCGTCGCACCGTCCTCCGAAGGCCAGTCGTCGTTGTCATAGGGCACCGCAAGCTGCCGCGAGCCAGTATGCCGCGGTTGCTTGCCGGACGAGGAGGATGATGGGGCTGGGACTCGTTGCGATGGGCTGGGATTCCGGATCGTCGTGACTTTTGTGACTTTTCGATTGACGCTCCTCGTGGCAACGACACCTCCATCAGAATGTATTCTTTGCGATGGAGAAGGAGCGGATAAATTTGGTGGTGCGCTTCGAATGTTCGCAGACGTTGACGCAACTGGAGATGGGGAGGAGGAAGAGGAAGAAGACGAAGTCGAAGTCTGTTGGTGCATCAGCCCCTTCGGTATTGCGCTTAGCGGCGGTGGCCGAAGCGACCAGAGAATTGAGATCGAGACAGGAGTGACATCCTGCACCTCGAGCCGAAAAGGGTCATGTCTGGGGGGCGCCATATCAATGCTCTGCTGTCGCCTGGCAGCCCGCCGTCGATGTCGAAGACTGGACTTGTCGTAAATTTCCCTTTTCGCTCAGATCCATTGACAGGTTATAGGTCACGTGTGATTCCGAGCGGAGGAGGTTAATCTTCGCGCTCCGCTTGGCCTTTCCACCGGTGTTGAGTGTTGGTTGGCGCAAGGATGCAGACAACGGAGGGCGGGGCGTCGACGTCTGCGCGGCCTTGGTGTGTGCCGCTGTCAAGGCTGCAGACGCTCTATCTCGAAAGCACTCATCTCGAGAACAGCAGCAGCAACAACAGCAGCAGCCCTCCCGTTAGCGGCCTCAACACCTCCTCTTCGTCTTCCGTGTCTTCGTCTCCCTCTTCGAGGCCGACCTCACAAGTACGGGCCCCGGACCACCTGGAACGGACGCGCGCTCTTGCTCAGGCCCATAGAAGGCATCCCAAAGCTGGTCCAGTGCCAGAAAAGGGATCTGCGAACAAAGCTGCAATGTCGTCAATTAGCAGCATCGACAATTTCTTGGTTGCGCCCGGGACCAGCACGAGCGATCCTTTGGAGCCCCAAGCGGCGCGGCTGTACGTGCAACATGAGCGTGTAAAAACAGAGCCGTTCCCCCCTGTCCGGGTCTTGAGCCCTCAGGATCGCAAGAGAATCCTCGTCACTGGTGGTGCCGGTTTCGTTGGCTCCCACCTCGTCGACCGACTCATGCTTATGGGCCACGACGTCCTCGTCCTCGACAACTTCTTTACTGGTCAAAAGAGCAATGTCAGCCACTGGATCGGGCATCCTAATTTTGAACTCGTCCGTCACGATGTTGTCAATCCGATCCTGGTCGAGGTGGATCAGGTCTACCATCTGGCGTGTCCGGCCTCGCCGCCGTTCTACCAGGCCAACCAGATCAAGACGATCAAGACGAACTTCATGGGCACCAGCAACATGCTCGGTTTGGCCAAGAGGACAAAGGCTCGGTTCCTCCTCGCAAGCACCTCGGAGGTGTATGGAGATCCTGATGTGTCACCCCAGAAGGAGACCTACAACGGCAATGTCAATCAAACAGGCCCAAGAGCCTGCTACGATGAGGGAAAGCGGGTAGCGGAGACGCTTGCCTATGGGTGAGCTGTCTCGTGAGGCACTCTTCTTTACGTGCTTGCTCACTCGTCACCTTTTGCTGCAGTTACCTGTACCAAGACAAGGTCGATGTCCGTGTTGCGAGGATCTTCAACAGCTATGGCCCTCGCATGAATCCTTTCGATGGTCGGGTCATGAGCAACTTTCTCCTTCAAGCCCTGCGAGGGGAACCCGTCACCGTCTATGGTGATGGCTCACAGACAAGGTCTTTCTGCTTCGTACATGACCTCATCGACGGTCTCATTGCGCTCATGAATGCCGACGACAATGAGGATTCTGCGGAGCGAGACTACAACATTCATTCACCAGTCAACCTAGGCAGCGAACACGAGTTCAGCATTCGAAGTCTTGTCGACGAGGTGGCGTCCGTAGTCGACGAGCTACGACAGCAAGATGGCCAAGAACGGCTTGGCGCAGCATCGCCAGAAGGAAACGCTAAATCGACGGTAAAGATCAATTATTTGCCCATGCCCGTTGACGATCCACGACAGCGGCGGCCAGATACGACGAGAGCCAAGGAGCTGCTTGGCTGGCAACCCCAATGGTCGTTGAGAGCGGGTTTGAAAGAAATGGCCCGCTTCTACCTTCAGCAAATCAAGAGCGGCGCACTCTGACTCGTTTGTATGCGCCAATCCAGTGTGACACGCGCTTTCACCGATTTCTCAAACTTTCGCCCCTTCATCTCGCTCTCACGGTGTCATTCGAAAGTCCTCCCCTCTTTACGGCCACCTTTGTCCCACGCTCCAGCATCTTTCAGCATCGGTCAGACGCACTCTCACAATCCATTAGTAGAGCCTCTGAGCTCATTCCAAGACAACCTCATGACCCGCGTCGCCAAAGAGACCTTGCACAAGACCATCTTCGAATTGAAGAATTTTCTCATCGAGAGAGTGCCCAAGCGCATTCACCACGGCGGCTTCGGCTCTCCGCCGATCTCGCCCACTGAAGATCTCAAGAATCGTCCTGCGATCGAATGGCAAGACCTTCCTTGGACTTCCAGCAGGGCCCATCTGTCATGCGAGGTTCTGCATCTTGAGAAGCCAAGGGATGGAAACTTCAGTGCTCTCGATTCTGCATTTCTGCGGACTTTCTGCCGCAGCTCATGTCCCGAAGCCTCCGACGAGGACCTGATGGCATCGCAGCGCAGCGGCGCATATAGTCAACTCAACTTTTCCCAATCTGGCTTCGCCGACTCGTACTTCTCCCAGTGCACCCAAGGCTCCCAACAGCTGCAAGAGAACGAGGAAGAGGATGGCCACCGTACTAAGCTGGTGCGTGGTCGGCTGCTGTAGATCTCGAGGTGAAGCGTCGACAAAGATGCTGAAGTCCCATCATTGCAGCTCGACCTGAACTTGTCGAAATGTGGCTGCTCCCCACCCCCGTCGCTCTTCAATATCTACCCGATGCAAATTCGCCATCGAGGACGAAAGGTGGCATTGGTCTTCCTCACTAGTGATAACATACAGACTGTGAGTTGTTGTTCCGCGGTGGTGCTGCCTCTCTGCTGATTCACGATTGCTGCTATTATTCCCTCTGTGCAGTGTCGCTACAGGAGGTGCCGATTCGAATTTCACTCCGCCAAGGATGCGCATGCCTTCCTAGACCTGATCTCCGTGAGATTTGGCAACTATGCTGGCCTTGTTTTCACCAGGTCGGTCTGCTCACAGCACTGCGATTTGTAGGCGTTTGCTATCGTCGACACGGACCGCTTTACGCGTCGAAAAGCTCGACCCGATCGCGACTCACCTGTGCTCGATCAGGGTCGACACTTGTCTGTGAATCTCCATCGGTCTAGCCTGCAAGAACCTCTGAGAACCCTACAGGCACATTCTTCTACATGCTCACAGGAGCCGGCGTACCACGCCGAAACACAATCCGACATTTCCGAATTAAGTGCGCCGAGCTCACAGGCTCACTCAGACATTTCGAGGGCGTCCTCGAAGCTTTTGCTTTCTCGATCGCAAGACGGCGAGTCTCAAGGGGATGTTGACATTGTTCCGACAAATGATTTGCAAGATTGCGTTCGGGACGAAAAATCCGACAATGAACGACGGTCGGCTTTGGAGGACACTGAACGAGCGCCATTGAACATTCCCAAAGGCTCGCACGACTTACTGGCGGAGAGATCGAGGGCAAGGGGCTTTCTCAACGTCTCACAGTGCTTCATCGACAGTGTGCAAGCTCACCGCCCAGATCAGGAATCTTTGAGGGAGGCCGCGACGGATGATTTCGTGTTGAACGGTGATCGTTGTCCCGATAAGTCGACACCAGTCGACGCGCAGGATGAGACCCCGAAGGACACAACAGAAGAAGAGGGCGCAATCGACGCATTTGAGATCGACCCTGGCTACAACAAATTACAAGGTGGAATGCCAAGTAGGGTAATTCTGTCCGACGCTATCGCCAAAAGGAGTCTGGATGGCGCTGAAGCGAGTGAGTGTCAAAAAAGTATCGTTGCTGGGAGGGAAGCCGCTAATATGATGTAACAGCAGAAGAGAGAAAGGACCGCAAGAGAGCTCGCAGCAGTCCGTCACTTGAATCGACAGCCTTCGACTGGGAAAATGCAATCAGCTCGAGAAGTGACGGATCCGACGTTCATCCGTCAAAGAAGCGTAAGATAGTGGACGAACGCCCGATCTCGACGGACGAACCGGCACAGTCAGCAGAGGAACCGGTGAGAGGCAGTCTGGTATGCGAGCCGAGGGTGAGTCTTTTGACGCGGGTGCCCCTCAGGACTTCGTGATCACTGGGTTCAAGCGTGCTTCAAATTCTCAACAAAACCCGATCCGTCTCTTATAGGTCTGCGGTCACCATGCTTCTTTCTGCCCTGCAAAATGCTCAGTATTGCCGTGTATCATCAGCATGCACGAGGATAAGGAACGCTTTATCACTCCGAGCTTCCTAACTCAACGGCACCACCAATCTCTTTTCCGGAACGAAGCTGGAGCGGACTGCAATGACGACTGGCTGGGATATGAGAGCGAGTGGAGCTCACTGGGTCAAAGTTACTGTGATAAACGAGAGATCCTTCAGGCGCTTTCTTACGATGAAGGACCAAAAGACGAAGGCGACGAGGCCTACAGAGAGAGCAATGACTGGTACAGTGCTGGCGTCGCCCTGGACTATCCTCGCTCGTGGGCGCCGTGACGGTCCAGACCGCTCAGAAGAATCAAAGACCCCTAATCGATCATCAATGTACAGTACAGTAACAATTCATCCAATGTGACCACTTGAGACATAGTACAGCATGCGTCGACAAAAATCGTGACCTAGTGTGAAACCTTCTTGGTGAGACCCATCCGTCTCTTCTTTCTCTCGAGCTTCTTCGCGCTCATCTTGAGGGGGGATGACCTATTCAGTATCTTATGCAACATAAGCCAAGGGCAGCGGAGGCTCACCTTCTTGGCCATTTCGTCAAGTCTCTCGCGCTCCTGCTTCTTACGCTTGCGCTCCAGAGTGACGTCCTTCTTGCGCTGAGCCTCTGCCAATTTGGCGTCCCTCATAGCCTTTTCTCGCTCCTTGATGCTCGCCATCTTGTTGCGCGCTGCTACCTTGTCGGACCACCTTGGCGTCTTGCGAACACCCGCAACGTTCGTCTCTCTTGCTCCGCCATTTCCTCCAGATGTGGCCTTCGATGATGAAGGACCCGCCTCTGCCTGCGTTATCTTTGCATTTGTCGTCGTCGTCGTCATGATTATCGTCGTCGTCTCCAAGCAACTCTTTGCAATGGAGCTTAGTTTGACTTGGTTCTCCAAATCCTGGACTTTTTCTTCCCCCCGTCGAGATCCTGCACGTGCAATTCCTTCCTGGAAATTTTTTGAAGCTTGATTCAAGGCCCTGGTTCGGCCTTTCTTCTTCCTGACAAAAGCCCTCAAGCGGCGCACGCAGAGGCAAGGCCCACCAACTCGCCAACATGTCGGCCGGCCCACCGGTGCTCTCAGCACCTGTACATATTGCCTCTATGTCAGCCTCGTCGTCATCGTCTGCGCCGCCCTTTTCTGCAGAGCAGCGCCACCTTTCGGCGACACCTTCGTCTTCGGCATGTGCGCCGAGACAGGTTGCTGATGGATTTGCCGTTGGGTCTGCCGTCAAGCTCGGGTCCAACGGGTCCATCAGGAGGTCAAAGGGGCTGGCGGTTTACGTCGCTTCAGGCGAAGGAGTCGTGCTTATTGATGTGAGTCTTGCCTGCTCAGATAGGAAGACCTGGAGAGGAGGAAGCTGATACGCCGGGCACCTTCATAGCCTTCTTCGCAAACACCCAAGGCTTCGTATGCCATCTCACCGTCCCTGCAACCTCTGACTCCGCCGCTGGTCGTCATGGGCCCTTCCTCGCGGTCGACCTTCATCGTGGTTGCGTCGCGGCATGATGCTGCGAAGGCCGAGCTACATGCATGGGTCGAGAGCAAGCAGAGCGCAGTCACCGCAAACGGCCGCACAGCATCTACCTCATCGCTCGGGACAACGACCCGAAAACACACCTGCGAAGTTGATAGCGACATCTTCTCGTTGCACGCGCTGGCTAGCGGAGAGGTTCTGGCGAGCCATGATGATGGAAACTACTCTATTATCTCGCCAAGCACCGGCAGCGGCGAAACCGTGACATACAGTGTATCGAGGCTGTCACCTTCGAGCAGCGAGAGTCTCCATACGCATCACATCAGCGTTCATGATCGAGGTGCGGCGGGCTCGCTTCTTAGACCGCTTATCACTGGATCAACAAAGGACGTGGTGGGCGTTGTTGTGCATTTCTTCTCGAAACGAGCACGAGTGTCCGGAGCAGGAGGAGGCAAGACTCAGAAGAAAAAGAAGGAGAAGGGCAAGCGAATGTCTGCGATGGAAGTGATTGACGCAGCCGAAGATGGGCACTCCACTTCGACATCGATGGGCGAAGGTCATATTACGATGAGGGTTCGAGTTATCAGGGCAGCGGCGCCAGGCGTTGTGACCAGCGGAGAGCGCAGTGATGTCTCAGTCGAGAAGCAGGTTCAAGATGCTTTCGGCATCGAAGATGCTGGCCAAGTCGTCGACCTGGCTTTCCACCATCATGGTCGCGCTGTTGCGCTAACGCGCGATGGTGTAGCAAAGATGACAATATTCTCGACGACGGTTAACAAGGACATTGGTTCTACCCCTGCAAGTGCCCTTCAGCTGCCGGCCCTTTCGAAAGCCTCATCGCATTCGGCCTCGCTCCAGCTCCTTACGGCTACTTATCTCCTCGTTGTAGCCTCTCTCTCAGCTCCGCCCACGCCACCGGCTCACCTGCTCCCAAAGGCCTCTGATGCTGTCTCGTTGCTCATTGACGTCGATCTGTCCGCTGTCCTATCGGAGCAGGTGATTGATGTGTCTCTCGAGCAGAATGCCGAAGCTCCGGCAAGCCATTTCTGCTCACGGATCGGTGGATCATTGGCCTTGGTTGGCTCGGCACCCTCGAAAAAGCTTGAAAATCGATCTCGAAAAGGTGTCTCGCTGTGGACGCTTCCCTTTGAGGTGCCGGAAGGTGGATCGCAGCTCCTCTGGGCCATGGGAAAGAGCGATCTCACGCGCGAGTGGACGACCGAAAGTGCGTCAGTAGCGCCTGCGGCAGACCAAAGCGCGGAGAAGGACGCCAAGACGACCCTGGTGGAGCAGCTGAGGGTTCTATCAAAAGAGAAGGGGTCAGGCGAGAAGATGGACGAGACCTACTCTGCCTGGTGGAAGACCCAGCACGGGCTAGCGAAAAGAGAAGCGACATTCACGCACATGTTTGTGTCTGAAATCCTCGCCTCGACATTACCACCTGCGTCGGCTTCGTCCACAGCGCCTTTCGGCAAGAGGACCGTGCATCACCTCCTCTCGTCGGGCGCCGTCAGCAAGAGCATGTACCCCGACCTGGTCGCGAGCCTCGAGGCGCAGAATGACTGGGCTGCGCTCCTCAGCGCGATGGCGAATGTCAGCGACATTGGCGAATACGAGTGCGCCCGTCTGCTCGCCCGAGCCCTTCACGAAGATTCGACGCCCGGGTTGGAGAAGGTCCTGGCTGTCATTGTACGGGTGCCTTTCTCGAGGCCGGTCTTCAGGCGAGCTTTGAGGGATGAGATCCACACGCAAGAAGAAGTCTCTGCTCTTCTCGACCAATGCTGTCGATGGCTGTCTCTCCTCACCTCTCACGACTCTTCTATCCTTGGCGGTGCAGCGAAGGAGAAGGTGCCCGAGCTTGAAGATGTTCTGCTCTTTTTGACAGATCTTTTCGACGCCCACTTTCCTTTACTTCTCTCCACGCCCTCGCTAGCTGGTGCCCTAGCACAGGTCAAAGTCGCCATCGATGATCATCTAAGCTGGGTCGACGTCGTGGGGCCTCTTCGCGGACCTCTAGGCGCGTTCGCAAAGCTGGAAGACGATCAAACGAAGCGCACAGAGCTTCTCGAGAGCCGCAAGCGGGTCAGTGGGAACAGGTCGAAGAAGACGTGGAACTCGGGCATGGATCAAGGCAAGGAGGCAAGGATCTCAAAGAGGGTGCAAGGCTCCATCAATGGACCTAAAGTCGGCATCAGCGAGACGGGCGGTGGACTGGGCGTCATTAGGAGATCCGGAGAGGGAGATGGCGGAGAAGGTGGAAAGAGCGCCAGGATACAACGGATCGAAGCAAGCGCTCTCATGGGCCCTTATGTCCGGGAGAAGTTCTATTTGTAACGAGGCTTCTGCTTGCCAACATGGATGAACGATTAATTTCAAGAGTGCGAACGAATGTGAGCGTGACCGAAAGCATGAAAGATGCAGGAATAACCGAAGAAAAGGATACAAGGTGTGCTATCGAAGAGAGAGAGAGAAAAGAAGTCGAAAGAGATGCTAGAGAAAGACACTGCTCAAGTTGCGCCGTATTGCGGCTGTTTAAATGTCCCGTTGAAGTAGGCGGTTGCTGCTCTAGTGAAATCACCAACCGATCCCGATTGACTGTCCATGTAAGCGAGTCTGATGTAGTGGGGCTGGGTAGCCAATGTATCGTTGAGGATTAACTGCGCGTTCGGGGCAGGGTAGTAGGTAAAGTTCATCGACGATGTTGTCGTCGAGGTCGAGTCTCCTTGCGCTTGCGTGGATGTCGGCTGGTAGAAGTCGACGAGGCGCGAGAGATTGAATTGCGTGGCAGGCCCCTGGTACATGAGTACGTCATCGACGAGAAGCTGGAATGAGTCGTACGACCCTGCATCGGAGTCATTGACGGGGTGCCATTGGATGAGTCCGTTTGTAGCTGCTGACGACGCGTTGCTGCTGAATGGCAAGAGTCCGGTGAAATTACTTGATCCCAAGAATGCGGGCAGTGCGCTTCCTGTCTGGCCTGATCCGATGATATCGCTCGTGTCCTGGATCAAACCATCGAAGCCCCATCGCCCAACACCGTTGAGGAACATGCCCAGACAAAAGGCGGCATAGATGAGCGACAGCCTTGTCTCGAAGGCGCAAAAAGGCAGAATGACGAGCGCAATGATGTAGTGGTGTAGCCGTAGACCCGTCGACGGGACCGCCGCAAGGAGACCGACGATGATTCCACCAACGACGAGGAGCGTCAGATACTTTGGCAGCGCACCGACTTTGCGAATGACGCGAACCTGATTTATTGCCAAGACGATTGCGACGACGACGATGACGATGATGCTTGTCAGAGCACCGGGCTCATTCGCAATGTCGCTCGCAACGAGGCGGCTCAGAGGCACGTTTTGGAAAACGATACCAAGGAGTGTACCGATCCAGAAGAGGCCTTGAGTGAAGACCTCCCTCTCGAGGGGCAATTTACGGAATGCTGGCCAAATGAAGCGGAAGGTCAGCCTCCAGACGGCGTAGGCGACGAACAGCGTCGGCAAGAAATCGCCGAAGGGACCGCTAATCGTCATCGGATACGTTCTGGGCTCCGAGATGAAGTTGATATGCCAGAAGCCGAGGCAGACGAGCGTGTAGAAATAGACGATGGGCTTTGGACGGAGGACGAAGCCGACAAAGGCCAGCAGAATCACGTTGAGAATGTAGCCCTTCGATCTCTGATCGGTGCAATCTCTCGATTGAAAACCGTCATCAAAGAAGAAATTGACCGGAAAGCTTGATGCGTACGATGTCGAATTGATGCCGTGCTGGTAGGTCGAGCCGAGATCGGCCGATGCGCCCGCAAGCCAGAGCGAACCGCAGCCCCCCTTGCCAGCTTCGAGGACACCAGCATGGATAGCCGCTGCACACACGAACGAGTCGCCGCGATACAGCTTCGGCCCGCCATCGGTGACGTTGGTTCCACCAACAACGAGAGGCACATACGATGGCAATTGATCGCCTACGGCCCTCAATCCTCCCAGCGTCGTCGTCTGGCAATTGGCTGGGCATCGAAATTGTATGCTATCGTTTGATGAGAAAGGTTGGCAATTCTCTCCCTCAAGCCCGCAATTTGAATTTTGCAGCCAATATGTCGTGGTGCAACCGAAGAATTGAGGCGCGGAGCGAGGAGTGATGCCATCGGTGTCCAACACTTCGGCTTGATACCATAGCTGTTGAACGAGGAACGAGAATCCGAGAATCCAGCCAATGTAGACCGCACAAAGGAGCAGCCAGTGGAGCCAATTGAGTCGAACGTCGGCCTTGACACCTCTCCACCAGCTATCGACCTCCTCGTCGTTCTCTTGCTCCTCCTTGTCAGAACCAGTAGGCTGCGCATTCATCGTAGAGCCAGGGACACTTGTCCGTGGTGATTCCAGATCATCGACGACGTACGTCAGAGGCATTCCTTCTCCGCGTGTACGCTCTTCCGGGTCCTTCCACGCGACCCTGTCCGTTGATTTTAACCAGAAAGCTTCCACGGGGCCCAAGGGCCACCACTTGTAGTGCTGAATGGTCAACCGTGCGCGTTTCTTCGGTCCGCGGATGAGCGACTTGAGCATTCTCCACGGTAGACCCGCCCGAGAAGCGGGTGAGGCGCCCGGCTGTCGAGCAATTTGCGATTGGGAGGAGGATAATGACGAGGGCAAGTGATTAAGATTGTTGACGAGCGACCCTAACCGAACCGGAAAAATTTGGCGCTTTGCCTTGCTCTCGGCCTCATTGGCTTCTTGAAGAGGAGCTTGTTCCCCTGGTGTTCTGGGCGAGGTGATGTAGCTACCTCCCTCCGCCTTTTGGGTTCCGCCATCGACGTAATCCCCAAGCAATGTTGCTGGTGTTGCTGGCGTCAATTCGATGTCTTCTGCCACAGCCTGCTTTTCCGCCTGGCTGTCGGCACCATCGGTGCCAGCAACGCGGACCTGAAGCATATTCATGTCTCTCCTGCCTTCCGGCGGCGCAACCATGCGCTCTGACAGTGATCTCGGATACAAGACCCATAAGCTGGCCCGGACCTGACCAAGCATCCTTCGTCCCATAGTCTCGAGCTCCTGACCTCCATCAAGTTCGTGCCCATCGCTTTCTTCGCACGGGTACACGCGCATCACCTCCTTGACGAGCCACTTCACGCTGAACATGTTCGTTGTCAGCGTTGTGATATTCATCTCCAGGCCGACCAGTAGCGACCGAAGCGTGTGGCTCGTCTGTCTCAGAGCCTCCCCCGAGCACGCGTCGACTGCGCCTCCTCCGGCTTTTGTGCTGATGTCTTCAAGCGTCTTTACGACGATTCTCTTGGCTTTTTGCTCAAATTCGTCTGCCCATGTGCGTGACTGTGCCAGGGCCTCGGTGGTTAGTGTTTCGTGCGTGTCGAGCACCTTGACGGGTAGCTTAATCTTCTCCCGTACACTTTGGAAGCTTTCATCTGCCCACCGAGAGCCTGTCCAAAAGGACTGGGGATCTTCACCATGATCACCAAAGAGAGATCTTGCTCGCAGCTGCTCGGCAGGCCCACCGACGAGATTGATAATCTCCCCGAGCTTGTCGCGGGCCTCGGCTGTGCAGCGCAGCTCCAGCGGCCGATCAGTCGTTGTGAATGCCGTGAGGGAGTCAAAGAGGCCATCGCCGCTCATTTCTCGCTGGAGCTGCTCCGTCAGCGTCCTTGCCCGGGGCTGCTTCTTTGACGTCAACGCTTCCTCTTCATCTGCTCCTGCGCCTGGTGCATCTGGCCAAAAGTACTTCTCGCAGTCTTCGATGCGGCTGGGAAGGCGCATATGCGAGATGGTAGAGACGAGCGCGACGAGACAAGAGAGGTCCAAGTTGAGCACCGTCGTGGCGACCATAGACGGCATCCGCGGCGCGAGGGGAAGCGAGGGCAACGACATGCGCTTCAGGATGGCCTGCTCGTCGCTCTGCTCCTCCAGCTTAATTTCACCCGAGGCCAGCGACGAAGGCAGCAGCTCGCATGGCCTCAGGCGCCGGTCCGATGGGCCCGAGATGACGATGCCTTTGTCCGCCATGTAGGTCCGCATCGCCGCAAGCCTCGTCTCGTACCGCTTCGCCTCTGCCTCATCGTGAAACTTCTCGTCCATCGATGCGTCGACCGAGGAAAGATCCAGACGGGTCAGCACGATCTCAAGAATCGGCGTGTTTCGGCTCGGTCCCGCAGCTGCTGGTGCTGCGGTGGCTCTCTCAGCGGCGGTGAGGAGCTCCTTGATGATGCGCATGACGGAGCAGTCGGCAGCCACCGAGTCGACCTGGCCCTTCTCGAGGGCGGCCTGCATCTCTCTATAGCTTGTCCTTTTCCTCTCTCCTGCCAGCTCCTCTTCTCTAGCCTCTTCGTCGGCGCCGCTGCCGGCCTCTTCTTCCTCCTCGTCATCCTCGTCCACGGTGACATAGCTCTCGGCATACCGAAACTCGGCCAAGAGCGAGAATGGCTTGATGGTGAGGACGCGGACCCATCGATTGCCTCCCAGACAGACAATGTCAACCTTGGCAGCCTCTCCGCCAGGGCCGCCGGTGGGAAAGGCCGAGTCGATCTGGACGACGGGCGACTGCGAGAGGTAGGAGAAGAGGACCTGTTGCCAGCTCGTGGCGAGATAGAAGGCGTTGGAGCTGCCGAATTGCTGCGAGGCGTCGCCGACCTTTGTGATGTGCTATTGCAGGAACACTGGATCAGCTCTTTGCTCTGTTCCGCGGCACATGAAGAGGAAAGGAAGGAGGGCAGGAAGAGGGAGTAATCTTGGACAAGAGAATGAAACGCACCCGCTCAATGTAGGACAGCTCCTGCTGGACCTGGTTGCGCACGGCCTTGAGGCCCTTGATACTGTGGTCGAACCCAGTCCTTCCCTCGACAAAAGTTCCGCTCCCCCCACCGTAATTCTGGCCGAGCTGCGAGGAGTCGAGGTGGTCCTGCCAGGCGAGACCAATGATGGGCTTGGCGTATGCGAGGGCATGCCACTGGGCGTGGTCGAGCTGGAAGCGATTGATCGAGTCGAGCGTCGACAGCATCGACAGACGCAGCGCTTCCAGCGTCGGAGGCGTCATTGTCGTCACCTCGTCGTCGTCTTCTGATCACCTCCTGATCGCTACTATGGTCATGGGCGAGACGTTCAATTTGTGGATCCTGGGCCTTCTAGTTAATGACCCTTTCTTTGATCAGCGGGAAGGGAGCGCATGCAGGTAAAGCCTGTTTATTTCAATTTTTGAAATATTTGTCACGGCGCGGCACTGTTCTGTCACCGTCTCCGCACAGGTCTCGGCATCAAGCAATCACCGGCAACATGTCAAGAGAGGGACGTGAATGAAGAGAAGGAACTCAGCCATGGCAACGAAGGCTGATTGTTGATGGAGAATACTGGAGACATATGGCTTGTGAGAAAATGCTGATTGAGATCTGGTAATTAAAAAAACATCATGAAGAGCGGGACAAGAAAAAGGAAAATCGGACAGCTGGCTAAGGGGCCCATCATCGAGCAAGACCCCGATCGGCGTGAGTGCGTTCGGCCTCGAGCTTCTTCTTGTTTGCCATGAAGGCGTCGGACCGGATGCTGGCGCTGAATGCACACGAGTGGGCCTCGGGCAGCCTGTGCTTTGCGCAGAAGGCCAGGTGGCAATGCGGGCACTCGCCAGCCAGCTTCATGGCCGCTTCCTTGCACTGGTGCTCTGTCTCTTTGCCGCTCTTGCACCGAACCTTGCCACCGCCGCGGAGACGCAGAACCAAATGGAGGGTAGACTCCTTTTGGATGTTGTAGTCAGCTAGCGTGCGCCCGTCCTCGAGTTGCTTTCCGGCAAAGATCAGACGCTGTTGATCCGGCGGGATGCCCTCCTTGTCTTGAATCTTGGCCTTGACGTTGTCAATCGTGTCGCTGCTCTCCACCTCGAGCGTGATGGTCTTGCCCGTACTGTAACATGCCCACATGGTCAGCTCGTCGATCTGACGGCGCTTATCGGCACGCAGCTCCAAACTCACAGTGTCTTCACAAAGATCTGCATGCCTCCCCGCAGGCGAAGAACGAGATGGAGGGTCGACTCCTTCTGAATGTTGTAGTCGGCCAGTGTGCGTCCATCCTCGAGCTGCTTGCCAGCAAAGATGAGGCGCTGCTGATCCGGCGGGATACCCTCCTTATCTTGGATCTTAGCCTTCACGTTGTCGATCGTGTCCGACGACTCGACCTCGAGCGTGATCGTCTTTCCTGTCAGTGTCTTGACAAAGATCTGCATGGTGTGTTGCCTGTCTCTAGGATTGCAGGGCGCTGTGGAGCAGTGGCGGGCGCAGTGATATGTCCGACTTGGTGGCTGTGCGATTCAGGGGCCAAAAGCAAGTGCTAGTCTATTGTCGCGCTGGCGTTGCCGCTACGATTCTCTTGAAGACAGTGGCAGTGGCGAGTCGCTGATTTGCAGCGATTGCTGTTGAGCAGAAAGCGGTGTGAAGTTGGCAGGTGGCTGGTGATCGTGGTCAGAGATAAAGGGAGGAGAGAGAGGGGCAATAAATATGCGGCCTCTCCACCCACAGTGTCGAGTCTTACGCCGGCCTCCAAATTCACAAACCCAAGACAAAACTGAAACCGGTGGCTAAAGTCTGGCCTAGGTTTTGAATTCGGACCTCATCGCCCGACCTGGACGTCTGTCACGCCAAGGGGACGCGTCAGCCCTGCCTTTTCGATCGCTCAATGCAGCCCGCGGAATAAATCCCACGTGGAACATAGCTCCACTTGGAAAATGGAAAGTCCGCACGGACGCGCATCACCACGCCATCACGAAGCCTCCCGGTCGCCATCTCGTCGCAAGACTCTACGGATACGAGACCTAAACAGACAACACACACACACACAAAATGGCATATCGTCTAGAGTATTCTAAATCTGGCAAAGCTGGCTGTAGAGGACCCAAACCCTGCACTGGGACCAAGATTGTGAAAGGCGCCTTGCGATTTGGCACCGGTAAGTGACGTTTGCAAGAAGATAGAAGAGTGAGAAGTGGCTCACAGCAAATTTTGTCCAGTCGTCGACATCCAAGGCCACACGTCCTTTTTTTGGCGTCACTGGGGATGCGTCACGCCAACACAGATCAGAAACATTCGCACTACTTGGGGAGAGGATGTCGGGGAGCTGGACGGCTTCGAAGACCTGACCGAGGAGGATCAAGCCCGCGTTAGAGCTGCGGTCATGGAGGGCTGCGTGGCTGAAGAAGACATCCCAGAGAGCGCCAAAAAGAATCCAGATGACGAAGAAGAAGAAGGAGACGAAGGCGAGCTGCCTGACGACAAGGCCAAGGAGGTGGACATCAAAGGACGGTCTTCGAAGGGCAAGAGCAAGATCAAGAAGGACGGTTCAGCCTCCCCGTCCAAGCCCAAAGCCAAAGCTAGTGCAGCGAAGCGCGGAAAGCGCAAGCGCGAACAGGACAGCGACGCTGAAGAACCGAGTCCGAAGGGTGAAGATGATGACGGAGAAGAAGAAGACGTCAAACCCGACGTGAAGTCAAAGGCGCGTGGTCGTCCGCCTGGCTCTAAGAACAAGGCAAAGACCGCTGGCGATGAGGACAAGACGGCCACCGAGAATGGCGAAAAGGAGGCACCACATGGTCAATCTCGAAAAGTCAAAGTTGAGAAGACTGAGGCGGAGGAAGATGAGACCAACGAGATGGTAGCGCAAGACAAAAAGGCTCGAGGACGGCCCAAGAAGGTCAAGCCAGAGATGGAGGAAAAGAAGCCCCGCGGACAACCCAAAAAGGTGAAGGCCGAGGAGCAGAACGAAGGTGATGAAACTCGTCCTGAGGAGAGCAAACCGCGAGGCCGCCCCAAGAAGGTGAAAGCAGAGGAAACAGAGCTGGAGAATGTGGGCGAGAGCGAGGTGAAGGACAAGAAGGGTCGGGGGCGTCCAAAGAAGGTCAAGGCCGAAGAGGCTGAGGCCGAGCTGGACGAGCCGCAAGTAAATGCGGTGGAGGTCAAGACTGAAGCAGAGGAGACGCAAGAGGCTCCATCGGCGTCGTCCGCAGGCAAAAAGGGACGTGGACGTCCCAAGAAGGAAGTTAGGGAGGAGGCGCCTAGCAGCGATGGGGCTGAGGCGCCTAAGAAGGCCAGGGGCAGGCCCAAGAAGGCCGCCTAGCTGGCCAAGCGCTGTCGGCAGTATTCTGGCGGAAGCGTTCTGTTCCTTCGTGTTACGATTCTGTATCATTACTCTGTGTCACCTTATCATCAACGGTTCTCTACCATTTCATGACGGCAATCTCAATCTACTTATTCGAACAGCCACGCGCGTCGAGAGTGAAGCCAAGAAAATTTAGGACTGGCGGAACGCGCTTTCCAACCACACAGCCTCGGCAACCCGACGAGACGGGCGATTCGCTCGACTAGATGGTCGAGGGCTTCCCTCCAGCGATGGCAACAGGCACACAGCGTGACTGACAACAGTAGCAGCAGAAGACGACTGAGTGTCCTATCATCTTCTTTCCTAGACCCGGGTGAGATGGCGCTCAACCCACCACCTTACGCTGCGACAACGTCTTCGAGCTCTCTACGCCTTGCTGTATCTCAGGATGTCAACTTGCCTGGCCTCGTCTTCTCGAGCGCCTCTGCCTACGCTCAGACTCAGCGACCGAAGATGTATGCTCGTATACCCAAGAAGCGCGATGGGTGGAAGGCCGACATTGTTGAAGTGACGGAGAAGCAACAGACTTCAGTGAGCTATCTCGGCTCGTCGATAAGAACAAGGACCAGACGGTATACTGACGGCCTCCCACCAGCCCTGCTATGAAGTGAGAAGAGAACCGTTGTCTCGACGAATCGATTTCCGAGATCACGAGGGCGTGCATAATGTCATGATCAGCCATGGCCTCGCAGGGTCTCGCGTCATGGCGCTGGAGGCTAGAGACGGGCAGAAGCTGGCTTGGCAGGTCGGCGCGTGGTCTTCTTGCGGCAATCTGGATCTTGTTTCGCAGCCGAGCAGCTATGTGCTAGCTCGTTATAGAGGCAATGTTGCACAAGGCGTCCTCGAAATTTCGCCTGTGCCTGTGTCTGACAGCCCTCCAGGGCAGACGCAACGAATCAACATCGGCAAAGAGGACAAAGTGGACGTAGAAGATGAGGAAGAGGACAAAGCGCGGCTGGGAAAAGCAGCAAAGCGGGTGGACGTGGCAATAGGCATTGCTGCCCTCGTTGGCGGTTCGTTTGCGACTCCTCATGGCGTCGCAGGCCTCAATGCTCGCTGTGGACTCTCGGACGAATTTGTCAATCTTGGCAGAACATTGCTCACGACAACCGTCACTGCTCAAGATCACAACCAGGACGAAAGCTTGCGCCGAAAAGCTGAGGGTCTGGCCGCGCGCAACCGAGCCGACTGGACCAAGATCGATGACCCGAGACCTAGGCCAGTCCCCCTAGACTTGGTCGTCGCTAGCCTGGTCGCAGTGCTTTGCAATTGATCTCTTATAAAGCGACGATCCCTTTGTCAAAGTGAGTTGCTAAGAATTGCTCCGCAGAGCTAGCGATATGATGAGAGACAAGGCGAAGGTCAAAGCGTGATCCAGCTTCTTGCTGGACACTCCCCGGAGGCAAACACCCTTGTTTTCAGACTCGAGGGTTTCGGCTTATGAGGGTTTGTAAGCCAGATTTGATCGTGCTTCCTCTCCAATGTCCACTCGCGGAGTGCATGCTGAAAAGCTTCTCCCCAACAGTAGTACCACTGTCGCAGCGCTTTGTCTCGCCTTGCTCTTCTCCGTCACAGACGGTTTGACGTTCCTGTCCATGTCAAAGGCCTCACATGGGCACGTGGGCGGCGCAGAAACAAAATTCAAGAATCAGCCCCTGTTTTTGTATCAGCTACAACCCTTTGGTTTGGCGTGTAGCAATATTCATATGAAACTTTTTGGTGGAAATGCACTGCATCGCAGCGCACATTGCAGAGGGCGGGCAAGCAAGCCGGCGCCAGTGATTTTCGATCATCAATCGACGAACCAACCTCTCCTCTTCTCTCCAGTTACATCGACGCTCGTCCTCTCTGTTCCCATCTCTTTCTCTTCTCTCTCTCCACGCTGGCGTCTCGATTCTCCTAATCGGCACGCTCCCTTCCGCTCCTTTGACTGTCCAGAATCAGCGACAACAGAAGTTGTTGGGGCCAAATACACACGCGCGTTCAAACGCCCTTGCCTTATTTTGACGAGCGAGGTGACGCTGCCGACGGATACATCTTCAAAGGCATAGCAAGGACGACGAGGGCGACGACACGAGCGACGCCAAGATGGGCATCTCGTTTGGAAGCTACGACAAGATCTGTGATGAGGTTGCGCTCATCGTCTGCCCACTCCTGGGGTCGGACTTGGGTCTGGAGCCGAGCTGCTACTCGAGAAACGTAGAGATCAACAGCACAGTCATCTTCCAGCCAGGTGAGTGGGCTAGTCTCCTCGCGATGAGAATGTGGGCTGTGGCAGCTTCGAGCGGAGGCTGACAATCGTGTTCTAGCAACATGCTTCCTGCACATTGCTGCTCTCATCATGACTGCCATTATGGTCTACCACGTCCGATCAAAATACACAGCCGTTGGTGAGTTGCTCTCCCTCATAGCACCCTCTACTACTATGTGAACATCTTTGCTGACTAGGATCGCGAACAGGTCGCAAGGAGATCGTTCTCTTCTTCTACCTTTACGCTCTGTCAGAGATCATCGCCATCTTCCTCGACTCGGCCATCATCCCCACCTACTCACCAGCATACCCTGTGAGTCGAACTTTGGGATTTTCTCTCTGTTGATGCCCTTCCAGCTCGGTCTTTGCTAATTTGATCGACTACAGATCTTTGCTGCCATCTACGTCGGCCTGGGGACGGCCATCTTCTGGTGCTTGGTCATCAACGGCTTCGTCGGCTTCCAGTTCGCAGAAGACGGCACGCCAAAGTCTCTCTGGGTGAGTACTGTGGAGATCCGCTTCACATACACCGCTGCCGCCGGAAAGTCACTGACAAGGGACGGCTCCTCAGTTCCTTCGGCTATCGACGCTGTTGCTTTGGGTCATTGGCTTCCTCGTCTCCCTCGGCACCTTTAAGTCGATTGGTGGTCTCTCGCCCACGAAGCAGGTCGGCCTCTGGGTCGTGCAGCTGCTGTTCCCCGTCATCTGTGTGGCTATCTACACCATCTCGCAGATCATCCTTGTCCTGCGGACGCTCGACGACCGGTGGCCGCTGGGCGACATTGCCTTTGGCGTCGGCGCCTTTGTCGCGGCATGCGTCCTGATGTTTGGATTCTCAAAAGAGATCTGCGTCGGTGTCAAGCACTATATCGACGGCACCTTCTTTGGCGTTCTCTGCCTTCTCTTCGCAGTCATGATGGTTTACAAATGTGAGTCTGGATGCAGCGTCTCTCTGTGTCGCCGGACCCTCGCTGACAAATGCACTCGACCACGCAGACTGGGATTCAATCACAAAGGAAGACCTCGAGTTCAGCGTCGGGTCAAAGCAGTCAGTCTGGGAGATCAAAGACCCCCTGCTTGGCCCTGGCGACGTCGACGTTGTGGCGTCTTCGAACACGCACGATTCGTATGGTCGTGCGGGTGGCGCTAAGCTTGCGCCGGGTGCGGCTACCAAGTCGCCCGGCGGACTCGGTTACCCTCCTGGCGGGCACTACGGAGGTGGCTACTAGTTGAACGACAAAAGGACTATCTCTCACCTTCGTCCCTCTCCCTGTCCTCTTACCTCTTTTGAGTTCACCTACTCACGACCACTGTACTTTTTACCGTGTGTGTGTAGACACACGCCCTCTTGTCCTTTCTCGTCCCTCTTCTCTCTAGTAGATCCGTTCTTTGTTTCAAACTCCTGTCCCACCACGCACTTGTGTTCCAACTCTCTGGCAGTCATCCACGCGCACAATTTATACACTCAAGCTCGATATTGGCAACGAATGAGGCGAAGCAAGAAGCTGGCATGGAAAAGAAAGATAAATGATCGTTGAAAGAGGAGAGATACTACAAGAGGTGACCCAAAATTCGAAATGGGGATGGACAGGAGGGACGGTCTTCACTATGGTAGAAGAGGGCTGGTGAGACAGGAAACGCAGCAAGCCTCAACCTCGGTCTTCGAGCGACGGGCGCCGTTATATAACAATTTTACGCAAAGAAACAAAGCAGGTCATTAGCTCAGCTCATGCCAGAACCGACGTGGGGTGTGGCTGTCGTCTTGCCCGTCGTGACCGACTGCGAGACGTCGATGTGGCCTGCCTTTGTGTTTCCAGTCTCGTCGCGCTTCTGCAGAGAGAAAAAAGAAGATTTGTCAGCGGAGATGCTCAACGAGACACAGACCAAATCCAGCAACACTGACCTTCTTGTAATCACGGATGGCACTCTTGATGGCGTCCTCTGCCAGCATGGAGCAGTGAAGCTTGACGGGAGGCAGGCTGAGCTCCTTTGCGATCTCGGTGTTGCGAATCGCACCGGCCTCCTCGAGCGTCATGCCCTTGACTCGCTCCGTCATGTATGACGACGAGGCAATGGCGGAGCCGCAGCCGAAAGTCTTGAAGCGGACGTCCTCGATGATACCCGCCTCGCTGACTTTGATTGAGAGCTTCATGACGTCGCCGCAGGCTGGCGCACCAACAAGACCAATGCCAACGTCCTTGTCACTCTTGAGGAAAGAACCGACCTGTCACGACCGCAATCATGTGGGTCAGCGATGTGAAGACGAGGAAACAGGAGAGAAGAGGAACCGACTTACATTTCTTGGGTTCTCGTAGTGGTCAATGACCTTCTCGTGGTATCCTCTCCGCTGTGTGGCGGCGGGAGACGGTGCGAAGCTGTTGGCACCGATAGCGTTCGGTGCTGTGGCAACCGATGGTCGTGCCGCAGCGAGCACGGCACGGCTGGTCGAGGCGGAGCCGACCCGGGAAGCGGTGGCGAGTCCTTGTCTGAAAAGAGTCATGGCTCACACTGGAAGAGTGTGGGTGAGATATTTGGTGGTGGTGGTGGTGTTGGTGATAGAAGACGGTGGAGGGTGCGAGGGTCAGAGGAGACGATAAATCTCAATGCGACCAATGGCCCTTCGCCGACGCTCCGGCCTTCGAATTTCGATAACCCCTCCATCAGATTACAAATGCCACGCGAACTTTATCATTACTCTAACCGGTATTTGTTCAAGGCCGACGACTGCCGCACGTGATACTCAGCTGGAGCGAAGGAGGCCGCGACGCACTGACGTTTGGAGCAACAGGAGCATTATTCCCCTACCCACTTCAACCTCAAGATGAGCGCTGGTGCCGGAGAAGGAGCATACAGGTGCGTATACTGCAGATGAAGAGGCGCCAGAGCACATTAAGCTGACATGCTTTGGGCAGCTTCTCGCTGACGACGTTCTCGCCGAGCGGCAAGCTCGTCCAGATCGAGCATGCTCTCGCTGCTGTCTCGCAGGGAGCCACGTCGCTGGGCATCAAGGGTGAGTCGTCCTCCTTCATACCGCCAAGGTTACTGCAGGGAATCCTGACAGAAGTCCTTGTGCTTCCTTAGCATCCAATGCAATTGTCATCGCCACGGAGAAGCGTCCTCCCTCGCCGCTCGTGGACGACTCGTTCCTCGAGAAGGTCTCGCTCGTCTGCCCCAACATCGGCATAGTCTATTCGGGCATGGGACCAGACTTCAGGGTGCTCGTGGCCAAGGCACGAAAGTGTGCACAAGCTTACTGGAAGATCTATGGAGAGTACCCGCCGACAAGGGTGCTCGTGCAGGAGGTGGCTACCATCATGCAAGACGCGACACAGAGCGGGTGTGTATCTTCTACTTCGAGGGCCGTCCTCAAAGATAGCAAAGCAAGCTGACCAGAATGTACTTGCAGAGGTGTGCGTCCGTTCGGCGTCTCGCTGCTCGTGGCGGGATACGACAGCGCACGAGGCCCCTCGCTGTACCAGGTAGACCCCTCGGGCAGCTACTTTATGTGGAAGGCGAGCGCGATTGGTAAAAACATGACAAACGCAAAGACGTTCCTCGAGAAGCGCTACAATGACGACATTTCACTCGAAGATGCCATTCACACGGCATTGCTCACCCTCAAAGAGGGTTTCGAGGGTCAGATGACGGAGAAGACAATCGAAATTGGTATTGTCGGGACCTCGACCCAGGCGCCCATTGGCCAGAGCGGGAAACTGGTGCCTGTCTTCAGGAAGCTGACCGAAAGCGAAGTTCGCGACTAGTGAGTCTGCTGCTTGTGCTCGGACACTTTGTTCTTCAAGAGGGCTAACATTGACATCTTGCAGCCTGGCGCTTTGAGCTTTGCATATCCCATTGTAGAATAAAGAGAACAAGAATGACTACACCGTTCTAACGACACGCTCGCAAGGGATGATGATGCGATCTAGTAGGTCAAGTCCACATCTTGGGTAAGTTCGACCTGGGCGACACCGCCCAGAAAGTCGGTGATTTTGACCTGGTCGATGGGTCTCTTGAACAAGTCTGTCCGCACGCCTGGGTCCGAGTGAATGACTGAGGGATCGTAGCTGTCAAACTGCAGAAGCAACCAGTGAGCTTCAGAAGTCATCTGTCATCAACAGAAGTCATAGGATCCTCACCAGATCGGCCATGGTGGCATCACTAGTCTTGTTGATGCTCTCCATGTAGTTGAGAACCTCGAGCGTGAAGCGATCCGAAAGTGCCACGCCCAAGTCGTCGTCTGAATGGTGCTGTAGAAGGCAGGAATTCAGCAAAGAGAATTGAGGGGAGCCACGGAATGAGAAGGTGATGGAGAAAGGGTGCTCACCGAGTAGGAGTTCTGGTCCTTGTGGCTGCTCCCCGTGGCCAGCACGTTTGGGCTGTAGATTTTGCTGTACATGGTATTTGCCTGGCAGGTGTCGATCATGAAGAAGAGTTCGTGGTACCGCCGCTTCTCCCACATCTGTTCAATGGCGTCGGCCAAGTCAAAGGCGCTAATCTCTTCGTAGTCTTGGAACTTGAGAAACTCGTCGCCGCCGTGGCCCGTCATGTAGAGAAAGACGTTGGAGCGCGCATCTGACTCGAGACGCTTCGATCGGGGCGTGTGCGGTGGGACACGCCCAGTGAGCAAGCGGAGCAGGCCCTCGACGCTGACCTCGTAACCGCGGTAGTCGACTTCAACGCTCTCGCCGTACAGGTCCAATGCGCGACCTGGGTCGGCCCAAACGAAGCCAGGTGACTTATTGCGCGTGTTGCAGGCTGCGTCGTCGGCGAGCATCAAGATGATGTGGCTATCGGGTATACCGAGACGCTTGACAGTGCGGTACATGCCCAGGGTGTTGGCCATATGCTAGGGGCACGCATAGGTAAAGACACGTGTTAGTGATGGTTCTGCCTTTGTCTTCCTTCTGTGTATGGCACACCCTCACCCGATAGTTGAACCAAAACTTGGAAGCACAGACGAGTACAGCCCAGTTGTTGGTATGCCCACCCTCCTGACCCCCTCGGTCAGACTGGAAGAAGCGCTGAACTTCCTCGACCTGCGACGCCGTGACGAACAGCGAGGGTGCCAAGAAGGGCAGTGCTACGGCAATGCTCTGCGCGACAGCAATCAGGTTAGCCATCTCTTCTGTTCCTATGTGAAAAAGAGAGCCATGCTCACCAGTGCGACGAGCACCGACGCCGAAAGCAGCGCCAGTCCTCTTCGAGCCCTCATCCTCGTCGTCGTCGCGTTTAGACGTCGGAGGTAAGGGCAATCCGACCAGGAAAATCGTCGACTGCACGGACCTGAGAACGCGCGCGCTAACACGTGGAGGGTTCTAAGTGTCACAATCGTGCGGGCGAGCTAGTGCTTTCCTCTCCAATTCAATCGACCGACCACAAGGAGGTAGGGCAAGCTGGACGAGGATGTCGCGCTCGCTCCGGACGAGGCCTCTGACGCTGTATCAGTCCCGCGACTCGCAAGAGCCGGCCATTCCGCCGGTCCGCGGGTCGTCGCGGGCAGATGACGCCTACGGTGCCATCGAAGAGACCAACAGCGATGGCCGGGTACAGATTCAGCCGCGGGAACAGAAGCGCCTCTCGGGCATGGGTGGGGCAGTGAAGAAGGCCGGCAAAAGATCGGGCCTGTCAAAGGCGTCGGAGGTGGGATCAAATTTAAAGAAGAGACTGAGCATGCGGTATGCCGAGCCGACAGAGATTGGGCCGGGAGGATTCAGCGCAATTCCAGAGGTGCCTGCGCTGCCACCTCAGGTCATGCCGGGCGCTCCCGATCTGCCTCCAGGGCTCGCTCATTTCAGTCAGTCAGAGCTGCATGAGCCGAGTGGGCGACCAATGCCAATCATGGGTCATGGCTTTGACGACGAAGGTGCGCCCATGTCAGGGTCCAACAACGACCTAGCCTACCAGGAAGACGCCTTGGTCGGCGATACGGCACCATCGATTAGACCTCGAGCAAGTGGCGATTCGGCGAGGACCAGTGGCTCCAAGGGCGTCCTCAGTCTAGAGAGCTTTGCAAATGATCCGGCCATCGATCTCGAGATGCTGAGCCATGACAAATTTGACCCGCAAGCCTGTGAGTCAAGGTCTATAGCTCTCCCCTTTGGGCCTTGCTTGTCCTGATTCTTCATCGCCGGGCAGACCTCCGGTACAAGCTCGCACATTCCAGTGAAGACTTTCTGAGGTCATTTCGGAGCTCTCTCAAAGCAACCAAGGAAGCAGCCTCTTCGGACCTCAAGCAACAAGTCTTTAGAAACTATCAAGAGTTTATCACCATCTCCAAAGAGATTGCGACACTCGAAAACGACATGTTAGAACTCAAGGAGTTGCTGGGAGAGTGGAAGACATTGCCGCAAGCTCTAGAGATTGACGAAAGTGGAAGCGGCGGGACTGGAAGCTTTGGTAGTGAGCAGACGACCTTGATCAACCATTACACACTAGCACATAGCTGATGCAATGCTCCCAACAGCTCTGACTGACTCGGCCCTGAAACGAGGCGGAAGAGGGAACAGGAATAGTATGATCGACCTCCAGCAGATTTACAAGGCGCAGATCATGTCGCTCTGGGAGGGCATCGAAGGGTCACAAAAGTTCCTGCCTTTTGTTCCCGGTCGCCATCTCATCGCCGAGGCTTCTTCCTTTACCGAGCTCAATTCGGCAACATACAAGCCAAAGCAGGGCGTCGCTCTCTTCCTTCTTGACGACCTTCTCCTTGTCGCGGTGCGCAAGAAACGACAGATGAGCGCGCGCGTCAGGCTTGTGGCCGAGCGGTGCTTCAGTCTTGGAGAAATTGTCGTAATCGACCTCAAGGACGGAGGAGATCTCACCAATGCCGTCAAGATCAAGCGAGCAAAGGAGTCATTTGTCTACCGCACTGAGCGGCCAGAGGACAAGCGCGCATTGCTCAACGCGTTCAGAAGAGTCGCTGAGGAGTTGGCCAACAAGCGCAGAAAGGAGAGCCAAGCTGAAGCAGAGGCTCGCAAGAGGGACAGTGTCGCTGCTCATCTTAGTCCCGATGGCGCGAGGTCCTCTTCGTCGACGGCATCGTCTCGACCAGGCGGAAGCAGTAAGACAATGGCAGAACTACTCGCCTCTCCTGACGGAGGAGGAGTTGCGGCGGTCGCCAGCACCAGTGCCGACAAGAAGGACCCCTCGCGCTGGCTCAATGACTTTGCGGATGAGCTCGCCGTGACCATTGCCCTTCGTGAATGGGGCGATGCCGTGTCGCTTGTAGAGAAAGGCCACACCGTCCTCTCAACTTCAAGCTCTTCGGAAACAGGCTACGAGGAGCTTACGGCTAAGCTTCACGATCTCTCCTCTCAACTTGTCGCGGCAATTTCGCACGACCTGTCGTCGCCGAATCTCAAAAAGACGCTCGTCGTCCGCGATGCCGGCTACCTGCTTCGTTTAGACAAGGGCGAAAAAGCGCGAGAAATCTTCTTGAATGCCAGGACAGAGCTACTGAGGCGCAGAAGTCGGCAGATCAAGTTCGAAGGCGACGTCAGCCTACACATTTCCGAGCTGGCTCTCGTCCACTTCACCCTGATCAAGAATACGTCAGAGTGGTATGTCACAGCCTTTAGAGACTACAAAATGGCCAGTGGCTTTGTCCGGTGGGCAGCCTTGCAGGTCGAGGCGTACGCCGAAATCTTTCGGAGGCAGGTGTACGGCGTTGTAGACCAAGATCCAAAGGTGATCAAGGAGGCCATCGACATTACTATGAGTAGCGCTCAGCAGCTCAAGGACGTCGGACTCGACATGAGCTTCTTCTTGCGCGACCTGCTCAAGCCCGATGGGCATCGAGAAAGTGAGTCCCTTCCTGCTGCTTTAAAGTGAGAGAAGTATGCTGACCTTGACTCGACAGTTCCGGCGCTCACGCTGACGTTGGCCGACGGAGATCCAGCAACGGAGTCTCATAGGCTTTCGGCCTTTGATATTCGTCGAATTAGCTCTTCGCCAATGCCAAGCACTGGTTCCACATCGTGATTCGCTTTCCCCAAGCTTTTCTCTTCTCCCCGCGCATGTACTTGTATCGATTCATCATCTCCTCTCATCGTACTGTACATGCATCTCTACTCTCTGACCTCATCCGTCTCCTACTTCTGCCCAAATAAGACATAAGCCAGGTAGGCCACGATGATCACGAGCGGTAACAAGTTCTCCATGGGGATGTTCTTGAAGCTCTCGGCGATCCCTCCCGCACCTGCACTTGCACCTCCTGACCTGGATCCCGAACCGCTGAGCGTGTGGCCAGTCCCGCTGAAGTTGCCGCCAGCGCCTCCCTTTGAGAGCGTCTCGACGAGCTGCGTGAGCTTCGCGCCATTGGCGCCTCGGAGCGTCTCGACCACTTGCCCGTTCTTCAGGAAGATAAAGGTCGGCATGGCACGGACGGAGTAGCGCTGTGCGACGGCGCCGTTTGCGTCGACGTCTACCTTGAGAAAGTGGGCCGAGTGGGGCGAGTAGCGGGCGGCGAGCGACTCAAACGTGGGAGCAATTGCCTTGCATGGTCCACACCCTGTTCACGTCATGGAAAGTCAGCAGGTGGGAATGGAAACGTGCGCATGCGTGTGTGCGTGCATGCGTGAGAGAGAGCTAGGATGACACATACAGGTTGCATGGAAGTCGACGACGACGAGCTTGGACCCCGCGGACCGGAGCGAAGCGTCAAAGTCTGCACAGTAAACACTGTATGTGAGCAACAAGTCGAAAAGAGGAAAGAAGAGAACTCACCAGACTGGGTGTTGCAGTGCTTGGCCATCTTGGAAGGTCAAGAATTGGGTGGTGGTCGAAAAGCAAGAAGAGGGCGACGATTTTCTGGCGTTAGGCAAAGGTCTGGATAAAGGCGTCCGATGATCTCCGCACGGACCGCCTCCTGATTGACGTCGCGTACTGTACTGTACAGTACAGTCTGTTCGCACTCTTCACATCTTGATGACCAAAGTTAAGAGCTTCTCCATTACTAGGACCTCAAAGTCTACATATGAAGTGTTACATTGAAAGATAAACCGGAAGGAACTCCTTAGCGCCTCCATGACTTGTTGCTGTCGCTCGGTCTTGCCGAGGAAGACAGACCCTCGAAGCCCAAGGACGGCGCCGCCATCGAATACCCGCTTCCGTACGGCGACTCGCGACCCGACCCGTTGCTGTAGCCTTGACTGTGTGACCAGATGGAAGTGACGCCAGACGTGACTGTTGTAGGCGTTGCTGGCCTCGTCGAATTTCGAGAGTTCGACTGGCTGTAGCGATTCCTTTCGATCGCGTACCCATCCAGGATCCTCACGAGGCCCATCGTGAGATGGTGGAAGTCGTCTACTTCCCTCTGCGACATCCTCAGCTCTTCCTTCATCAGATCTTCTTCCTCTTCTTCGGCGCCACCATCGCCCTGGCCGTTTGATTGGTCCTTCTCCTCTCCTTGGTGGCCACTGGCTCCATTCTTCTTTCTGCTTTGCTGTTGCTCCCTCTCTCGCCTTCGTCGCCTCCGCTCCCTCTCCCTCTCGATTTCCTCATCCAAGACGACACCGCCGCTCCCAATGCCTTCAAACACCCTTAGCATGCAAAGGTCCAGCATCCTCTTGACCCGTTCCAGATCGTCAAGCGCAACCGAGTCGCCCCTGATTGGCAGCCAATCGTCGCACATGATGCCCCCATTGGCCGACTTGGCCTTGCTGGCGCCAAAGAGCATGTAGGTCAATGGATCCAGACGTGTGACAGTCTTGAGCATCGTCTGGCCACCGCCCGAGTTGGATTGACCACCGACCATGGAGACATTTTTCATCTTCTCCGCAAAGGCATACAGCTCGCGCTCGCCCTGGAATGATTCGCCCTCCTTGTGTTTCGTATGACGGTTGTGGCACACCGACGAAGGATGAATGTAAACATTCTACAGTGGAATAGGAGAGTGAGCATGGACAAAAACCTAAGCTTCTCAGCTGGCACTGGTTGTCTGAACTCACCTTATCTTGGGATGTACGATACACCTTCTCGCTGTGGCGGATGGCGAAGTTGGGCGTCGAGGCCAATGCGATTAAGGCGGCGAGGAGTGGGGTGCAGTCCGAATTGGAGTTCAAGTCTGGGTGGGTCTCATCGATCCACCTGCCTCTAGGTCCGCCCCTCCTCGGTCCGGTGGGCGGCGGCCTCCGGGCCTTGTTCTGTTCATTTGGACCAGAGACCGAAGCTGCCAGAACGACGTCCAAGATGCCGGCCTTCTCCATGCTCTGGAAGAGGTGCTCCTTGACCTGCTGAATCTGCGCCAAGGTCGTCCTGCTCAGGAAATTGTCGGTGCAAAATTGGTGTGATGCTCGAATCTGTCCGCTAGCCTGGAGGTCCGCCCACTTGGTGTAGGCTTTCAAGGTAGCTAGTGAGTCGGAGCGGAAGTCGGTTGGGCACCAGCTGTCCTTGACAGCGTCTGCTTCCTTTTTCAGCTGCAGAGGCGCCATGAACGGATCTCGGTTCGTCAAGACGGCCGCCAGGGTTAGGGTGGGCTCCAAGCACCTGAAAAAGGCGCCGTACAGGCACATTTTGCCCATGGGCGCATCGACAGGAAGTTGCAATAGCACATGACCCAGTGAAGTCAGCGACTTGTCTTCGGCGAGAGCGCCAACCATGATGAGCTTGTCCATGGCCGCTCTGACGCGTTCCGGAGCTGGTGGCTCGATTGCTGCGTCCAGGACATCTTCGACCTCCATCCCAGGGATGTCGAGAGCCTTGATATGCATGACGACGTTGCTCAGATCCACTCGCTTCATTTCCACCGTCTGATTGACGCTGAGCCGGTCGTAGCGGGCTTTGGACAGCACGCCGTAGTACTCTCCCGCTCGGTGACGACCAGCACGACCTGCTCTCTGGTTCAGGTTCGAGGTACCGACCCAGGCCGAGACCAGGCTGGACAGGTGCCGCTCTGGGTCGAAACGCTTCTCCTTGACACGACCAGTGTCGACGACGTAGACGACATCAGGAATGGTGATGGACGTTTCTGCGATGTTAGTGGCCAGGATGATGCGGCGGATGCCCTTGTGGCGAACAGGCTCGAATACAGCCTGCTGATCGGCAACAGGAATGGACGAATGAAGAATGTGGATCTCGTACTTGTTGCCGTCATTGAAGTTTGTGCCAAGCAGGGGTCGCTGCATCGTGTCTGTGAGAATCAAGTTGACAGCCTTGATCTCCTCCCAACCAGGCATGAAGACCAGAACGTGGCCGTCGTCGGAGCTCGCCAGAACATCGGCGATCATGAGGGCCACCAAGGGATAGGGGATTTCGAGGTCGTCGATTGCGTCAACTGCCTCATTCTCGGTCCCGTTCGCAGCTCCGTTAGGATCGCGCCGGGTGACGACGCCTCCTCGCTGATTCAACTCTCGTTCCAGGTATTCGACGACATTCTTTTCCCTGAAGACCCATCCACCCGCACGCAGGGGCAGGTCAAGCCCATGCAAATGCCGCACCGTCTCTTCGAGATAGTGTTTGTCAACAGGAAAGCTGCGACCAGGAATCTCTACAACGGGAGCAGGCCTTCCGGTTTGGTCGGAAAAGTAATTTTGGAATAGTGTCGGGTCGATGGTGGCACTCATGAGGATGAGCTTGATCTCGTGCTTGCCCAATCGCTTTCGCTCGGCCAACAGTCGCTTGATGACGACCAGGAGCAGGTCTGTCTCAACGTCGCGCTCGTGGACCTCGTCGACAACGATATGCGTGAGGTTGTCAAGGAAATTGTTCGAGGCCTCACTGTCGCCCAGAGCAGACTGAAGGCGTCGGAGGAAGATTCCGGTAGTGCAAAAGGTAATCGAGCCATGGTCTTGGGGCAGCTTGTGCTCAAATCGGACCTGGTAGCCCACCGTCTGGCCAACGCGTTCGCCTCGCTCCTTGGCAACTCGGTCGGCCACACTGATGGCTGCAATCCTTCGGGGCTGGGTACAGATGATGTTGCATTTCGCACCTTGACCTTGTGTGATGTGGTCGTCAAAGATGATCTGAGGGATCTGCGTCGTCTTTCCCGATCCCGTCGCGGCCATGATGATCGAGACCTGGTTCAGCTCGATCTTGATGAGCACGTCGCTCGCTTTTTGCTGCACAGGCAGGCTAGCTCGCTGAGCCCTCATCGCCTTGACGCGATCGTCGGACTGGTAGTTGTAGAGATCCTCTTCGAGCCTCTTCGACTTGCTGGCCAGGGCGTCTTCCGACATGTTTCGGACGACGGACCCAATCTCACGCCTCTTGCCCTTGGCCGCATCAGGGCCTCCAACGGTGTAACGCGGCGCCTTCTGGAAAAGCAAACTCTCTCGAATGTCTCCGTAGAGGTAGTTGACGTCGTCGGCCAGCTCGTCCGACATCCTAAAGACGACGTGTGGAGCAGCACTGACGGGTGCACCTGGCTTGTGAGTAAGGTTGAACTGCTTCCATACGCCCGCATGCTCGCCCTCTGCCAGATTCTGCGCAGCAACAAGATGGACGCTGTTCGTCGCCGCCTTCTTGTTCGTCGCACTTGCCTCTCCGACTACACTTCCGGCAATGGCGACCTGAGCACGCCAGCCGGATGCCACACCCTTGCGTCCCCGGGCCTTTGAAGCCTCCTGTACGACAATCTCCGGCTTTCCACACTTGTATGTTTCGCAGAAGAATTCGAGGTATTCACGCGCACGTTCTGGCGCAATTTTGGTTCCATCAGGCATTGTGGCTGATGGGCCAGGAGGTGGAGCGACCTGTCCTTTTGCAGGTCCTGTCGGTTTTGCGCTCAGCAGATTTCGATCTTCGAGCTGGAGCATCGCATGCAGAGCAGCAATCTTTTCAGCCTCCTTGAGCTGCTTGGCATCGCCGTAGCCCACAATGTCGTGATCTTGGTCGGCGAGCAAGGTGACCCTGAACGTCGCTTCTCGACGACCCTCGACATACCCTTGCTCGCTCTGATAATTGGGAGGTTGAAGCGTCCGAGCCGAAATGTAATTCTGCATCGGATTCTTTGGGTTCTCGAGCCACTTTGCCTGAATCTTGCCCGACGTGAGGATGTGGTGGTAGTAGTCGGTGATGAAGTTCATCGAGTGCATGGGGCCCATAAGGGTGGGCAACACTGCAGCTGCCGTCCCTCCGCCGCCCTTTCCACCTTTTCTTCCAGCACCACCGCTACTTCCTCCTCCTCCTCTTCCAAGCCCTGCCGCTCCACCTCTGGCACCTCTCCCGGCTCCTCCTCCTCGTCCGCCGCCACCGCGAGTGCTACCACCTGCAAATGCCCCACCTCTGCCCCATGAGCTTGGTGCATTGCCTCCGCTGCGCCATGAGTCAACTTGCTCCGCCATCGTATGGTCGATGGAGCTCTGTGGAGTGGTTGAAAGGGGGCGCTTACACGGGAACGCGAGGAGAAGAGCAAAAAAAAAAAAAAAAAAAAGAGGTGCCAGCAGGATTATGTAATCATTTCTCATTAGCCTACAGAGGGCGCTTTGTCCTGGCTTCTCGCGTCTGCTGCTCCATCGCAGAAATTGCCAGTCCGCGCAATCGTCCGAGCACAAGACAGGCCACATCCGACGTGCAAGAGAAGCAAAGGAGTCACACCATGTCAGGCCTGCTCAACCGTTCGCTGGACGACATTGCGCGCCAGGAGAAACGCGCCGGCGGACGCGGATCGCCTTATGCCGTGGGTCATCGGGTGGATGCATACATATAGGGCGCCTCCAAGACTGAACTGACGCAAGCCGACGATTGCAACTGATGATCATAGAGGCCCGCCTACGGAAGGAACCCATCCTCCGATGGGCCCTGGAAGCACGACAGGTTTGAGGGCGGAGGAGCTGGCCGAGCCGAGGCCGACATTCCCAGTCCCAAGCTCCTCGTCGATGGGCTGCACTGGGACGTGTCGGAGGAGGAGCTCACCGAGCTCTTTTCCCGCATCGGCCAGCTCGAACGGTGTTCGTTGCGCTTCGACAAGTCGGGCAGGTCCGAAGGCAAGGCAGTTGTCATCTATCGATCCCAGGCGGACGCAGAGACAGCCAAGCGCGAGTATCACAACGCCAATGCAAAGGGACAGCCCATTTCCGTCTCCTTTGCCCCGTACCGACCGCCGCGTGGAAGCGAGGGCCGAGGCGCGCCGGCTTCCCGAGGCTCAAGGGCGCCAGCACCAGGTGGTGACCTGGCGAGCAGGCTCTCGGGCAGCCTCGCAAGCCGTCTTGGGCCCGGCGATCTGAAGAGCCGCATCGGTGGACCCCTGCCTGGAGCAAGACATGCGGGACCTCCTTCAAACGCACCGCGTGGACCGGCAGCCGGAGCACCCTCGAGACCGGGACCCACGAGGAGCATCAGCGGTGGCGGCGGTCGAGGCCGAGGTGGGCGAGGAGGAAGCCGGGGAGGTGGTGGTCGTGGTGGAGGCAGAAAGCCAGACCGGAGAGGCGAGAATGACTTGGACGCTGAGCTTGGTAGGTTTTACGCAGTGCAAAGACCATAAATAGAGACTAATTCAGTCCTATGCTCCTGCAGAGGCTTTCATGAAGGCACCAAGCTCGTCGGAGCTAGCCGAGAGCATTCACGCGCCTCAGAAGGACGCTGCCGGAGATGTCCAAATGGAGTAGCTGTACCATTCCCATCATCGACGAGCCCCGACTACTTTTTGACTATGTACCACGCCTCGTTCTCTCTATGCTTGTCTCTCGCTACTGTTCACAAAACGTGTGTCATTGGAGTATGTTACAATACATCGGGCTCTTCTCTCCTTTCCTGTGATTATTGCTGCTGCTGCTGTTGCTGTGCGGCTGGTGCGGCAGCCTCTCCGATGCGCTCCTGCAGCGTGGCCTTGTTTTGCAGCTCAAGAGTCATTCGGTCCATTTCCGTCTGAAGAGCGTCCTCGGTGCCTTTCAGTGTGGCCGCCTCGTCGACACCGTGCTCGAGGCTCACGTCGGCGTTCTGCCCGAGAGTCTCGTTCATCTCCTCGCGCAGCACATCTAGAGGCACGCCGTTTTGCTTTTCTCTAACGATGCTACCCAGCTGATTCCTCAGCGACCTTCCCATCTCTCCGAGGTATGCCCCGTCCCGCTTTGCGAGGTATGTATCGAGTCCGCCCATCTTCCTCATTGTCCGCATGGCCTTTGTGCTGACATGGAGCTTGAGGTTGGCCTGCAGAATGTCCGACCAGACGCTCTTGAGCTGCACATTTGGCCTCCATGTCCGTGCCGTCTTTTGCCGAGATTTGGGGATGACGTTGCCGCTCTGGGGCAGAGCACCATCAAAGAGGCCGCGCTGCGATCGCTTGAAAACTTGGCCCGACAGGACCGCGGCCGCCTGCGTTGGGCGCGAGGCCGAAGAGGACCGCGCCGACGTCTTGAGGCTCTGGCCTGCACCGGATCCTCGCACGCCCCTGTACGTCGTTCGCGATGTTTGAAGGACCTGTGTTGCCCACATCGTACCCTTGCTGCTGCGTGTCTGACGAGAAAGAGAGAGAGCAGGAAGACGATAAAAGACGAGAGGACGTTGAGACCACGTGAATTTTTGAGAAGCCTGCTAAATTTTCGACTTTTTTCTTGTGGCTAGGAAAGTTGAGTCTGCCCTTTCGTTCTAAGCACCTCTGCGACTCTCGGACAGGTCATTCATCGACGATGCTTCGCCGACAAGCCCGCGAGCGGCGAGAGTACATCTACAAGAAGTCGCTGGAGGCGAAAGAGCACGCTCTATTTGAGCGCAAGCAAAAAGTGCGCCAGCTTCTGGCGCAGGGAAAGCCAATCCCCAAGGAGCTTCGAGACGATGGCGACCTCAAGAGCCTGGCACGCGACCTGCCCGTTGATGAGGCGCAGGCCGAGCCGGGCACGAGCATCGACGACGAGTACGGACGGGCGGGGCAGTACGATCCGCGGGTGCTTCTGACGACGTCGAGGGATCCGTCCTCGAGGTTGACGCAGTTTGCAAAGGAGGTCAGGCTCGCCATCCCAAACAGCACCCGGCTCAACCGCGGTGGCTACACCGTCCAGGAGCTCGCCGCTGCCTGCCGATCCAATGGCATCACCGATCTCGTTGTTGTGCACGAGCACCGAGGTGTGCCCGATGCCCTCGTCGTCTCGCACTTTCCCCACGGACCCACGCTCCTCTTTACCCTGCACAACGTCACGCTCCGCCACGAGGTGGCGGCCCACGCAGCCTCAACGGTCAGCGAGCAATACCCGCATCTCATCTTTGACGGCTTCTCGAGCAAGCTGGGTCAGCGCGTCATGAGTGCCCTCCGCTTCCTCTTCCCCGTCCCCAAGGAAGACGCAAAGCGGGTCATGACGTTCCGAAACGAGCGTGACTTTATCAGTTTCCGGTGAGTCTTTTCTCCTTCCTGGTGACCCTCTTTTACCTGCCTAGATGCTGAAAGACCCCACTATCTATATAGGCACCATGTCTTTGTCAAGACGTCGCACCGTGAGGTCCAGCTCGCAGAAGTCGGCCCCCGATTCGAGATGCGGCCGTACGAGATCCGCCAGGGCACGCTGGAGCAGTCCGAGGCAGACGTCGAGTGGCAGCTGAGGCCATTCATGAACACGGCCAGGAAGCGCAACCAGCTGTAGAACTATTGCTTTGTCTTTTTCTTACCAACGCACATGTACTTGTATCTTCGACCCTTCAATCCACCATCGCATGCTGAGCTTAGGGGACTGAACATAATACAGATTGATGAAGGCAGAGGCTATTCGACTGTACATTGAACTACCCCAAAAGGCCGAGAACCTTAGATGAGGAGGCGCTCGATCTGCAGAAAGGAGGAGAAAGAGAGGATCAGCGTCGTCATCCAGTAAAACTTGGTAGATCTTGACGAGACTCACCGCCAGCTTGACAGTCTGGATCTGGCTCTGCAGCTCGCGTGCCTCGTTCGTGGTGACACTGGCGGCGACAACGGGGCGCGAGACACCGCAAGCACGACCAAGGGCGGTCTTGGATGGGACGAAAACGTAAGGAACGTTCTGTAAGATGGGGATGTCAGCGGCCTTGTTCTTTCATGAGTCTGATCCGCCTCTCCTTCCCCAATTCCCTCATCTCCCTCAGAGTCCCGAAAACTAGCTCCTCCATCCACTCTGGCCCTCTCGCCTTCTGCTTTGTCGTCAGACGATTGACTCACCTTGTCCTCGCACAGCAGGGGCAGGTGCAAGACGATCTCAATGGGCTCCACGTCGGCAGTCATGACGATGAACTCTGCGATACCGCGGTTGAGGGTCTTGGTGGCCTCGTTGGCGCCCTTCTTGAGCTGCTTGTAGTGCGACGCCTGCTGGATCAGGTCCAGGATCTGGTTCGTCAGGCCGGCGTCGGCCAGGGGAAACGCCTTGGGGTTGGGCTCAGCAGCCATTTTGAGTTTTTTTTACAGGTGTCCGGAGGCTTGGTTGGTGGTCGTAAGTTGGTTGAGACCTCACGCGATGGATCACGGCTGCAATCGATACGTCAGCAGAAAGCTTCATCCATCTGAAGAATCTGTGCTGCAACTCACGTCAAAGAAGGCCAATGGTTGGGGGTGGTTAGATTCAAAGGGCAGTCGAGGAAAGTCGCGAATGTCGACGAGAAGAAATTTTACAGTCGGCCGAAGAATATTTCTCCGATGACATAAGCAAGAACGGCGTCTGTGCGCGTCAGAACTCGTAGGCTTTCCAAGCTTCTGGGTAGCCAAATAAGGCCGACCAGGATGTTTCGACGGCCGGTGCTCCGAAGCTGTGGCGCACGACCTAGAGTATGGGTCGCCCCGCCTGCCACTGCTAGGGCATTCACACCCACTGCGAGGTCCTGTCGGTCAGACCCGACCCATCCAGCCTCGGAGCCAGACGCTTCGAGACCTCTGGCGTTTGCATTCGACATTGATGGCGTGCTGAAGGCGGGCAACACCGTCCTGGACGCAGCCCGACGAGCGCTTGCCATCCTCGAAGGGAACAACCCGCTGGGCAGACGCGTCCCGTACATCTTCATCACAAATGGCGGAGGTCCCTCCGAGGTGGACAGGGCCAAGAACCTCAGCAAGAACTTTGGGTTAGAGGTCAAGCCAGACCAGGTCATTCAGGCGCACACCGTGCTTCAGTCGCTCACGAAGCGGTTTGGGAATAAGCCCGTGCTCATGATTGGCGGGCCAGACTATCCGCCGGGAGCATCGCGGACGGTCATGAATGGGTGAGTCGCAACGCATGCGCCACCTGGCACTACAGAGGTACGGTTTGCTGACTAGCAGAACCCGTGCAGCTATGGTTTTGAAGACGTCTACACCGCCCATGATGTGCACGCCTGGGCGCCCTCGTCCTGGCCCTTCTCACGAGTGCCTGAGGCGCAGAAGGCAGCGCTCCGGCATGCCGATTTTTCAAAGGTCAAATTCTCTGCCGTCCTTGTCTTTCACGACAGTCGAGACTGGGGCCGAGATATCCAGGTGAGCGTTTTCTGTCCACAGTGAACCACTGAGGCAAGAGTCGCTCATTTTTTGAACCTAACGGCAGTACATCTGCGATGTTCTGCGGTCACCGGCTGGCACATTCGGCGTTGTGGGCGACGATACCCATCCTCAACCATTTCTGGCATTCACCCATGCCGATCTTCTGTGGGGGAACGACTTTTCAGCGGCGCGCTTTGGCCAGGGTGCATTCCAGACTGCCGTTCGAGCCGTCTACGAGGAGACGAGTGGGCGCAAGCTGGAAGCAACGACGTTCGGCAAGCCGCAACAGCTAACGTACGAGTACGCCAACGAGCTCGTCAAGAACCAGCTCAGCGTCGCCGACGACGTCCGACCCAGCGTCTGGATGGTGGGCGACAATCCGGCTAGTGACATTGCCGGCGCAAACAACTTCGGATGGTAAGTCCCTATCTCGATCTCACCGCTGCACTCGGATGGCGAAGCAGCCGTCTGTCGCTTTTTAGCCCATTTCATCAACTGACACCGCCCTTTCGCCCTTTTTCAGGAAGTCGGCTTTGGTGCGGACAGGTGTCTATCGAGACGCGGCAGGTCCGCCAGCCCACAAGCCAACAGTGCTTGTTGATGATGTAGAGGTGGCCGTCCGCACCGCGCTCAAACGAGAATGGGGTGTGGACATGTAGATGCGCTTTCTGCCTTTTTGTCAATGCTACCCATCATAGAGAGCAGAAGACCTGGCGAGAACCGGTTTGCATCCCTACTACTACTTCTTCTTGTCCCAATCTTATCTAGCGTGGCTGCCGGCGTGGAACACGTGGACCACATCAGCATACACTGCAGCTGTCCTACGCCGTCTCGGACGGAGCAAGGTCGGTGGCACGCGGCGCACGCAACTGTGATGTGCTCTCGCTGCTCATTCCATCAGGCGTGGAGAGCCGCATAATCGACGCATCTCGCTATCAGATTCGGAAATGGAAAAGCGGTCGGGCCCGTTGTCAGATTATCAACTAGAAGAAGAGCCATCTCATCTCATCTCTCGAGCAGCTCTAAATTATTCAGGCGTGAAATCTCCTCTTGACAGGCACACGAGAACACCTAAACTCAGGAAGGAGAAAGTTGAGTCGAGGCCGAAGATGAGCCTTTCCGAGCTCCGTTGTTGCCCCTTGATTACGGTGATCGATAGCACTTATCACGACCGAGGCTAGGGCAGGGCAGCTGATCCGCCTCCTGCCGAAACACCTTAATTTTTTCTTTGCTTTTTTATCTTTTTATCTTTTCCTAACTTTTTCTGTTGTGAATCTCGCACGGACTAGATCGCTGGGCCCGGGCGCGCTGACGGGCTGACATTAGCAGAGGCGATTGTGGGCCCAAAGGACCCTATCATCCGATCAGCGATGGGGTGACAGTCGATGAACTGGGCCAGCCAGAGGTAGTCTAGTGAACACCATCTTCTCCCTATCCCTCCTCTTCCCCCTCCCCAAGGCTGAGGCCGCTGCCATCCCCCAGCGATGCTGGCCATCTCGCCGCCGTTGCACAAGGATGTGCCCATGAGACGATTCACATCGCCTGGTGACGGGTTCCGCGCCTACGTCCCCCCGCCCGTGGATCCAGCCTTTCACTTTCTCGCTGCGCTTCTCGTGCCAGTGACACATGGCTCCGCGCTTCGAAAGGCTCCCCCGCGGCCGCCGCTCGACCCTGCGCTGTACGGCAGCCTCTCGCGCGCGCTGGACTTGCCGCTCGAGGTGCTGGAGCTCATCGCTCGCAACGTCGTCGAGGCCGGCACGGGCCCGGCCCTAGCCCGCTCTTCACGATTCCTCTGCGCCGTGACCGTGCCGCAGCTCTACCACACCCTCGATCTGCGCACCTCGCACGATGTCGCGTCGGTCGCGAGGACACTGCGACAAAAGTCCTGGCTGGGGATATACATCAGAGAGGTCCGCGTCCGCGCCTACAGGCTTCACTGGACAGACATGAATGCGCTCGTCGATGCGCTGGGAATGAAAGCGGCCAGAATAGACCATCTCCAAGTCAGCTTCCCTGCCAGTGAGTCCGTTCGGGGTGACTCTTCACTTTTCTTTTTCAGTACTGACTTCCCTCATGCTCCCCCCTGCCAGGCGATCTCCCCCAGGCCATGAGGTTCTTCTCGGCCTTTTCGCCAAAGACATTCGAATGGGTGCGCGCTTTAGCTGCGGATGGTATATGAAGGTGTTGACTGACACATGCCTATGGTCACATCGACAGATGACCTCGCCGTGCTGGCAGATGCGACCAGCCCATCTCTTTTTGCATTTCATGGTGAGAGACTCGCAGTGCCAGACACTATCTCCTGATTGGAGCGTCCCGTTGACACATTTCATCTAGTCACGGTGGCATCGGCTAGAGCAGCTCAAGCTGGGCAGCTTTCGATTTGATGATGTCGTCCTGCAGTTCCTTGGCTTGCTTCCGTGAGTTTCTTTGTCAGGGGAAACGCGACTTTGCTCAGAGGCATGCAGCAAGCTGATGAGCGTCTCGGTCAGATCACTATCCCGCCTGACCCTGGCTGGGTCTGCGACCAAGCACCTCGAGAGCCGGCTAATCAAGCAGCTTCTCGAGACACCTTGCACTGCCCCTACCCAGGAGAGCGATGCGATGGAGGTGGACGAAGACCCCAATTTCCCCTGGTCAGCGGGGGATCGATACCTCGACGAAATTGAGATCCTCGACTGCCCTCTTGACCGCAGGCTCGCGCTTGAAGCCGAGCTTTGCGACGACCTCGTGCCTGCTCTGCGCAGCAAGGTCACCTGGCAGGTCTGAACCGGACACCCACCCTTGTACAAGTATATTGCCCACAGCAGCTGTGTCAGCTTTTCCTCCTTTCTCCACGTAGCATGACATGAATGATAATGATGACGACGATGATAATCATATCCCGCAAAGAAGCAAGCTAGGAACGCCCGCACGCACCATGCGAACGAGGCCAGGGTCGAGACTGCTTGGAGCCGGAAATGAAATAAATGATTAGCCTCCGCAAGCCACGGCCCAACTTTTCGCCTGCGCGTGCTGTTTCTTTTTAGGCTCGAGGCGTTTCGTTTTCCCCAGCCGCCGTCTCACATCGCTTTCCCGTCGCCGTTTCTCTTCTTTCTCTTCTCCCTCCCTCTCTTTCTCTTTTCATCTTCTGCTATTGCTTAGTACTTGGTGCGGCGAGGGGAAGGGGCCACCGAGTGCGGCCATGAGATAGGCCTGCCTGCCTGCCTGCCTGCCTGCCTGCCTGCCCACGTCGTCCGAGAGACACACGAGCCGCAGCATCGACTAGCGAACCAGCCATGGCGCCGGCGTCGCTGACGCTGACGCTCTTTGAGCCCGTCGTCTACCTCCGGGGCCAGTCGGCTGTCGGCGAGGATGCGCGGGGGCGTCGGCGGCCCATCAACTTTGACGCGCCGCCGTCGCAGCTGCGCGGCCTCGTCACGCTCACGCTGCCCAAGCCGAGCCGGATCAAGGAGGTGAGCATCAGCCTCGTCGGCAAGGCCCGCACCGACTGGCCCGAGGGCATCGGCCCGGCCAGGCTCGACACGAGCGAGGAGACGACAATCATCAAGCAGCACGTCACCCTCTTTTCGGCATCGAATCGCCACGATGGCGTCGGCGGTGGTGCCAACGGTGCTGCTGCTGCTGGTGGCGGTGGAGGAGGAGGCACGCACGAGCCGCCGAGAAGAAGGGCAGGGAGCATCGGTCCGGGCGTCGTGGGCCTCGATGACGACGGTGTCGACTGGGCCGCCTTGCAGGGCACTTCCTCCTCGTCTGCAGCCCCTCCCTCTTCCTCTTCTTCTTCCTCGACTCCCTCTGCAGCAGCTGCTTCTGCATCTACTGCTGCGACGACAGCACCAGCGACCGGCGACCGCCGCGTGGCCAACGGCGAGGAGATGTCCCCGCATAGAAAGAGCCCCGCGCTGGCGAGGCAGATTGGCAGCGTGGCAGCACGGGCAGGCAGCGCCATGCTGCCGCCCACGCTCGTCCGGGAGATCAACACGAGCAAGAACAACGGCATGTCGAGGTCCCAGTCGCCCCCAATCCGGCCCGGGTTCCAGCGCAGCTCCAGCTCGGGTCGATCGTCGTCGAGCAATTCGAGGCCGACGAGCGCCGAGAGAAGTGGCGGCGGTGGTGGCGGCGGGCATGCCTTTGGCTTCGGCAGCGCGGGCACGAGGAGTGGGCCTTCTACGCCTGCGGCTCTGCCATCCTCGAGGATGCCGTACTTTTACGAGGACCCGCCGCCGCGCTACCAGCAGGCGGAGAGGGCTCTCGATGCACCTGCCTCCCTGCTCTCGGCCTCGGCACCCTCAGCGTCCTCTGCCCCAGAGTCCGTCTCCGAATGGACTGCCTCGACGTCGTCATCATCGACTTCCTTGTCTTCGCCGCTGGTGTCGACGCCGTCTAGAGAGCAAAATGCCTCCCGCGCTGGACAGAGTGAAGGGCAGATCGCAGCTGCAGCCCCGAGCTCCATCGGTAGCAATCGGACACAGCACCCACAGAGCGTCAGTGCCGCTGGTCCACGGGGGAGAAGCATCCTTCATGCGTCTGGCAGGCAGGAGAATCGCTCAAAGTCAAAGGTGGCCGAGGGGCCGGGTGTGCGATTCGACCCGAAGGACGTGGCTGCGGCCTTGTGCGGCAACAATGGCGTGAATGGCAGTAATGCCACATCGCAGCAGTCGTTGCCGGCGTCGGCGGGTTCTCCCTCACCGAACTCTACCGCGCCGCAGTCGGCTCCCAGCAGCACGAGAACGTCGATGGAGCTCCTGCGCTCGGCGGCCGCTCCCTTGACGAGCTCGTCGCCCACTCGCGCTGATAAGGGAAAAGGAAAGGCCAAAGCAAACGGCGCCCCTACAGGCTCTTCTGCGCTCTCGCCTTCCTCGTCGTCGCCTTCATCATCGTCGCCCTCGCAGTCGTCTTCGAAGCCTAAGAAGGGTGGATTCAAGGGCCTTCTCGGTGCCTTGCTTCGAGAGGAGGGTGACAAGGATCGCGAATCCCACCATGGAGCAGGGGCTGGCGACGGAGCAGCAGAAGGCCAGTGGTCGACCGGTGAAAATGACAATGCCGAGTGGAAGGAGTTCAAAAAGGGCACCTACACCTACCCAATCTCGATTCCTCTGCCCTCGAACCTGCCGCCGACGCTTCACGCCGACTTTGGCTCCAACACCTACATGCTCAAGGCCCACGTGCACCGCGCGGGCGCTCTCACGACGAACCTTATGACGGAGCGAGAGGTGACGCTCATCTATGCACCCGACGAGGACTCGCCAGAGGAGACAGAGGCAATCGTCGTCGAGCGCAGCTGGGAGGAGGCGCTGGGCTACATTGTCATTGTGGGAGGCAAGAGCTTCCCCGTCGCATCCAAGATGACCGTCTGGCTCAAGTTTGTGCCAACAGAGAAGGTTCGCATACACCGCATCATGGCCACCCTCGAAGAGCGGACGGCGTACTTTGCGCGCGGAAGGAGGGTGGCTAGACACGAAGTGCCCCGGAGGTGGAACATGCTCAAGCTCGTCTCGCCCCAGGCCAACCAGCCCTTGCTGCCCATTGACTCTGCAGACCCAGACGCGCTCATCTCGAGCCCGCTGTCGAGCTACGCCCAGCATGCCGCCGACCTGTACACGCGAGCGGCCGATGTGGACGGAAGCAACCTCATTGCCTCGCTCGCAGACCCAATCGGGCCCTGGGAACTGGCCGCGGATCTCGAGATCCCGTCGTGCAGCGACACGCGCATCAACATCTCGACGAACCACGCCAAATCAAACATTGCCGTTCACCACCTCATCAAGCTGGCCATCAGGGTCGAGAAGGGCGGCGTGTCCGCAGAGTCCAACTCCAACAGCGCGGCCGGAACCCGGAAGCTGTACGACATTCTCATCGAGGCGCCCGTCACGATCACGCACAGCCACACCTCCCATGCCTGGCTCAACCTGCCCGACTACTGGAGCGTGCGCGATGGAGACGAGCCGGCATCGCACGACAACGAAGACAGCACGCTGCGCCCACGGTCTTCGCACAGCTCCGCGGGCTCTGGCAGCGGCGGCGGCGGCGCTTCTCAGGCTGTCAAACGCGCAACGGCGCCCTCCTTGACACCAGCACGGCTGCAGTCGAGCTTGGCCACTTCTCCTCCGGGCGCTTTCTCCTCGCCCGCTGCGTCGGCTTCCCTGCCTGGCTCGTCTGTCCCTGTTTCTTCCTCTTCCTCCTCTTCCTCCTCTTCGGGGCCGCTACCGCTCCCACCGGGTGTCGGCCTTCGGCACCTCCAGGGTTCTCGACCCGCCTCGGCCGCCGCGGCGCGCGAGCTCTCCAGAAGGTGGCTCGCCCTCTCCGCCGGCGCCTTTGTCGGGCCCCCCGGCTCTGCGGGCCCATCGATGTCGTCATACCTGAACGCGAACGCGCAGGTCGACCCCACGGGCTCCTCCTCGTCTGCATCGTCGTCGTCGTCTGCTTCTGCTGCTGCTGCTGCTGCTGCGAGAGCCTCGGCCACAGCCTCGTCGGGCGCCGTCGTGACCGTCGAGGAGCCGCCGACGTACTGGCAGATTGACGGCGCGAGGGGCAGCACGGACCTCGACGACGATGCCAGGGAGGCCGTCCTGGCAAAGTGACCTCTTGTCTCTTTCGCTCTGTCCTTTATTTCTCTTTCAGCCCTCATCATCTTTAATAACAATGACTTCTGCACAAGCTTGGACCTGCTTCTTTGCTGTGCTTCTGCCGCTCTTCTGGCCATGCGGGGGAGAGGTCAGCTAATTTCTCAGCTTGGAAGGAGGCTCACAAAGTGGACTTCACACCTCGGATCTAGATGCAAACGGCAGCAGCGGCATTTATAGTGCATGGGTCTCTACAGTTTCGGCGCTCGGCCATTCTCTTTGAGTCTAGAGATGCACTGCTGCGACTCGGAGCAGACGAGCCTTCCTCTCTGATCATACACTCTGCTCTCGGCGAAATGGCGTGTCCGGTCGGCGCACCAGGACCGGAGCTCGCGGACGTGCCACTGGTCGACGTCGAGGTCGTCGTTGTGGAAGCGGAGGCTAAAGTCGAGCGTCGAGTTGGCCGTTGTGTCGCGCGCATGGAGGCCGTGGTGGTTCAAGGGTAAAAAGGCCAGGAGGCTGTCGAGCCAAAAGGCCAGCAGCGACGCATGGAGGCTGTATGCGTCCATGGGCAGCACCTCGCGGCCGGCGGGCGTGCGGCGCACCTCGTCGTTGATCCGCACGAGGTCGGCAATCGTGTAGCGCGACTTGAAAAAGTCGGCATCGACGCGCTGCTCCGACGGCACGCCCGCCGCCGACGTGGTGTGGTCCTGGTCGATGCCGACGAGCGTCTGCTGCTGCGTCGAGCCCGGCGCAAACTTGAGGTCGAGGATCTCGTAGGCGAGCTTGAAGAAATCCTTGAACCGCCGCACGTTGTCGGCCGACGTCTCGCCTGTCTTGCCCCGCGCCTCGACCTCGTCGACCCAGAGCTTGACGCTGCCGCCCGCCGGGTCTGGATAGTTGCGCGAGGGCGCCTGGCTGAACGCCAGGACGGGCCCCGCGGCTGGGAATTCCTTGGCAGCCTCAACGCGCCGGATGAGGTCGACGGTGCAGCTAAAGACTTTTCGCGTTTCCGTATCCCCACCACCGTCTCTTCCTCCAGCCGGTTCCCCCTTCCTCTTGGCAGCAAACTCCTGCGTGGCGACGACGAAGCGCGTGACAAACGTCCGCGTCTCGCGCAGCGTTTCTACAGTGTATGTCGCCCGCTTGTGCGAGTCCGTCGGGCCGAGGAAGTTGCCCTGGACCGAGTAGACGGCCCAGCGCTCGGCGGGCGAGGGCGCGGGCGGGAGCGTCTGCATGGCGGCCTGGAGCGCCTGGCAGGCCATGGTGCCGCCAAAGGCGCGGCTCTGCACCCGCGCCATGCCCTCGGGCAGGCACACTGTCTCGAATGCCGGGGCGCCCGAGGGAAGCGGCGAGGCGCGCGCCTTGCGCAGCTGGCAGAGGCGCAGCAGCGGGGGCAAGTCTTGCGTGGCCATGGAGACGAGAACGAGGCAGTGGAAGCGGGGGTATGGTTGGTCGCGGTCAGACCACAAAAAGGAGCAAGGCACGAATCCCCGCAAGAGCTTGGAAGCCCCCGGGCCGGATTCAGACCGGCGCGTCCTGCAGGACTGAACAAAGTTAGACTGAATGCTTGTTTTTTTAGAGTGCGATGCAGTGAACAACAAACATCTTCGTGTACAAGATAAATGACACACAGAGAGACAGTCTCCCATTCGCAAGAGTCTATTGTGAGACGGAGATCTTGGCCCGGCTCGCCATTGTCTCGGGCGTGATGCTCGCCAGCTCGTCCAACAGGGCCGGGATGAAGGTGCCAGGGCCCTTGACGTCCTGCCTCGCTGCCGCCAGCTCCGAGGCAATCGTCATGGCCAGGATTCTGATTGAGCGGTGGTCGGTCAGCATTCAATTGTGACAGTCCTCTGCGAGACTACCCACCCGACGAGTGCACCAGGAATGAGGTCCTGCGGGTGTGCTCGGACCATGGCAGTGGAGAGCCCCTTGACGCTGTCCCCCCGAGCGACGTTGCATGCCGCGGCAAGGCCAGCTGCAATGGTGACACCAAGCGCACAGCCGCTACCCGTGATCCTTCCCAATAGTTCGTGGCCATTCTCGACGCGCACGACGAGGTGTCCGTCCGAGAGATAGTCGACCTTGCCGGAGAGGAGCACGAGGCAGCGCTCCTTTCTCGCCAGGCTTCGGACGAGCCCCTCGGGGTCCTTGAGGCTGCCCGAGCCGCTGTCGACGCCGCGCGACGTGACCTCGCTCAGGCCTGCAATCGACGAAAGCTCGGCGCTGTTGCCCTTGAGTAAGGTCACCTGGGTGTCGTCCATGATCTCCTCGACGGCAGCCCTGCGAAAGGCAGACGCTCCCACGCCGACGGGGTCAAGCACCACCGGCTGGATATTCTGGTTAGCTAATACGCTCACTTTGAGCAACTCTCAGAACGAGACCCACCTTGCCACCCCGATTAGCCGCTGCGCCCACGGCCTTCATGCCCCTCCTGGCCTCCTCGCCAATGGTGCCAATGTTGAGAACGACGGCGCCCGTGGCCCTGGCGAGATCCTCTGCCTCTTGGTCCTGGTGGCTCATGATGGGGCTCGCGCTGAAGCAGAGCGCGACGTTGGCCGAGAGCGTCGACGAGACGTGGCTCGTCAGTGTCTGGATCAGCGGCGGTCCGTGCGTGGACTGGCGGTGGGCGGCAAAGATCTGCGTGGCGCGCTTGAGCAGGGCAGATGTATCTGACCACTGCTTGCCAGCGTCGAAAAGGCTGAGCTTGCCAGGGGATATGTCTGATGGGAGCTGCGCTTTGAATGCGCCAACAATACTCGACAGCTCCGAGGCGGCCACGTCGGCGTCCCTGCGCCCGACGATGGCACTGATGACGGCGATGCCATCGGGGTGGTTGGCCTCGCTCGTGGCGCCATAGAGCGTCCTCTGCGCCGTCTTCTGGTTCAGACCACCAATGAGCACGCACGGCAACCTCTGCTTCCCATCGGCCGATGCGAGGGCGGCCACAACCTCTCTCGTGCCGCGAGGGCCGAGAACGTCCTTCTCTCCAATGCCCGCCTTGCTCTGAGTGCCGTGGCATGGCCCCACGCCAGCATAGTCGGCTATCCCTTCGGCAAGCACGGCGCGCGCCTGCTCGACGTTGTGCACCGAGATGCCCAGCAGCCGCTCGGGTCCAAGCAGCCGTCTCGCTTCAGCCAAGGGGAGATCCGTCTGGCCAATATGCAGTCCGACCCGGGGAGGCAGCGCCAGCGCGACGCTCAGGTTGTCGTTGATGAGCATCGGCACGCCATGCTGGATGAGTGGTCCCGAACAATCATCAATTCTCAGCAGACAAGAGGAAGCTGGCGGCCAACATACCTTGTCGCAGATGGCAAGGCTGCGCTTTGCAATCTCGAGGAATTCGGCCGTGTCGACGTGCTTCTCGCGGAGCTGCACCACCGTCACCTTGTCGCCGCCCGACAGGCTCGCCTCGAGCGAGTCGTAGTAGTCCACGCCCGCCGGCAGAAGCTCGCGGCCCGTGACGAGGTAGAGCGAATAGTCAATCGCTGCCTTGGCCATCGTCGTCGTGGCGCCCTTTTCAATGGTACCGGTTTTAGTAGAGAGGAAGGAAGGAGGAAGAAAGGAAAGAAAAAAAGAGACCGTGCACGGTTGCGTTCTTCCTCTTTCTCTCTCTTCCCTCCACCTGAATATTCCTGCGCCACACTCCCTGCGTGGCTCTTGCGCGTGGAGCCCTTTTGTTTCGTTCGTAAAGACAACGCCAACGAACGGACGCACCCAATGTCGCCGCCTTCGTCGGAGAAGCTCGACTTGACGTCGCTCCAGTCCTACTCGCCCTCCTGGCCGCACACGCTGCGTCTGACGCTGGCCATTGCCGTGCAGTATGCCAGCACGAGGTGCGTCGAGCGGGCCCGCGAGCTTCACCGCCTCATCGACCCCCTCGCGGCCGACACGGAGGGCAGCAACAGCAACAGCAACGACGACGATGACGATCTCGTCGAGAGGGACGAGGAGGGCAGGTCGACGGGCAAGCTCGAGGGGTGGGCGAGGAAGAGGCGGCTGAGAAAGGAAAAGGAAATGGTCGATGCCTGGATCGAATATGGCGACAAGGTGAGGCGCGCACAGAACAGGTGAAAGAAGGGAGAGAAGGGAGGCTGACATGCCCTTCGCAGTTTGTCATGGCGACCTGCCAGCATCTCGGAATCTCCAGAGAGACGCTTCCCCGTGAGTACAAGGTTCTAGCAGCGAGAGACTGCAGAAGCTCACCCAGGATGAGAGAGCAGCTGGGCCCCTGACGCTCGAAGACGTGCTCTGCGCAAGCCGAGGCCGCATCGATGACGACTCGCCAAGCAAAGAGCCCGCCGCCATGGCGCAATTTGAGATGGGCAATTCGCACGCCTCGAGGCTCCGCGAAGGGACAGGCACGATGGCCAAGCAGGTCAAGGAGGCTGAGCAGCAGGAAGATCAGGAGCAACGGGACAAGTTGCACGAGGAAGAGGCGAATGAGGGGGATGGTCAGCGGACACATGATCAAGAGGGAGAGAAGAGCGAGGAAAATGCGAGCACAGGCCAAGAGATTTCAGAGAAGGAATCAGGAAAGGCTTTCAAAGAAGGGGACAAGAGCGAGGCGCATGTCAAGCGAAGCGGGGGCGCCTTTGAAGAGGAGAACGCGAGGGGAAGAGAGATCGAGGTCGTCCATGAGCTCCTCTTGGTCGCTCTTGGTCTTGGCCAGTACCGAGCCGAGGACGGAGCGACGACGCTATTTGAGCAGGACGCCCTCTTTGGAGACACCAGTGTGGAAGTTGCGCCAAGCCCTGCTCCTGCTCAACAACCTCCCGAAGCCCCTGCGCCCGACGCAGCTCCTATTTCCGCGACACCACCCCCTCTTCCTCCTCGCAATCATGCCGCAGATAGAGGGTCTGACGTAGCGACGACGTCCGCGAGCGAAGGCGCGGCAGGCAACGCCTGGGGTGCCCTCAAGACGGGGGCTGCCTCTTCCTGGAAGAACATCGCCACGACGTCAAAGGGCGTCAAGGACGGTATCTCATCCTCCTTTGCCACGCCCTCCAACGAAGAACAGCCGTCCAACGAGAAGCGAAAGAAGGACGACGGTCCAACGAAGCCAAATGAGCCTTGCCACTACGATTCCAGGGCGAGGGCCATCATCTTTGTCGCTGCGACAGCCATGGACGTGCAGGGAATGGACGCCTGGATGGCCGAGAAGGTCGTTGCGCAGACGATCTACTTCATCATGTCGGAAGGACGCGATGCTTCCACGAAGCAGGGCCAGACGGATCCCCTCGCCGACCTGGCCCATCAGCATGAGCAGGGCCAAAACGCTAGGAAGACGTGGATGAACAGAGCGACGGGCTCGGCCGTAGCGAGGGAGAAGGGCAAGGCCAACTGGGGCAAGTGGGCGGCCACGGGTGCTGGGTTTGCCATCGGAGGCGCCATCATTGGACTGACAGGCGGGTGAGTCTCAGCGTCTTCTTCCTCTTCCTTTCTGTGTCTCTCGATTCACACGGCAGACTGCTCTTCTAGACTTGCCGCGCCTCTCATTGCCCCTGCTCTTGTCGGTCTGACTGGTGTCTCTTTCCTCGCGACGACCGGTGGCATCATCATGATGGGCACGCTGCTGGGCCTGGGCGGTGGCGGCCTGGCCGGCTACCGAGTGCAGCGACGGCTGCGTGGCATTGGTGAGCTTTCCTTCGTCCTTCCCACGTCTGCTTGGCAAAAAGACTGATGAATGGATTTTGCTAGACTACTTTGAGTTTCAAGAGCTTCCTTCAGCAGCCCAAGAGGCCGGCATGACGATCCCTTCGCTCACGGCCACCATCTGCTGCTCTGGCCTGCTGCTGCAGAAGCACGATCAGGTGTCAACATGGAGCAACGTTTTTCGCTCGTCCTTTGATGCACGCGACGTCTTTGCAATCAGGTGCGAGGAAGAGATGATGAAGCTCGCTGGCGAAGGCCTGCGCTCCTATGCTCGCGACACGGCCCTCATCTCTGGTGGACAGCGAGTGGGCACAGAGGTATTAAAACACACGGCCCTGGCCGGTCTGGCCGCCTTGACGCTGCCCCTGACCATCTACTCAGCCGCCAGTGCCAGCCTCGACGGCCGCTTTGTCCAGGCCAAGACGCGGTGCTACAAGGCCGGTCTGATTCTCGCAGACGTGCTCCGGGAGCAGGTGCAGGGACACCGCCCCGTCGTACTCGTCGCGACGAGCCTGGGCTGCGTCACCGTCATGACTGCCCTGGCCGAGCTGGCCAAGTCGCCCGACGACCACGCCCACCTCGTCGACTCCGTCTTTCTCATCGGCGCCCCCATCAGCCCCAGCCCAGGCACGCTGAGGCGGGCGAGGAGCGTCGTGGCGAGGCGCTTCGTCAATGCCTACAGCTCAAAGGACATGGTGCGTCTTGCCTGCTGATGAGCCGTGCTGTACTACAATACTGACGCATGTTGTGCTCCGTGAACAGGTCTGCGCCATTGCAGCTTGGCTCGGCTCCGGCATCTCGCTCGAGGAGCTGCAGAGCGGACAGATGCCACGCATCTGCGGGAGCCGCGCCATTCTCAACGTGCCCGGCGTCGAGAACGTCGACGTGGGTGACCTCGTCAAGTCGCACTTTGACCTCAATGACGCCGAGGTCCTTGAGAGCGTCGTCGCGAGGTGTAGGCTCATTGAAGGGTAACTGGTCACATTCAGTCAAGCTTTTTTTTTCTCTTGTCGCTGTGCTGCCACGCCCATGTATGCTCCTTTTATTCATTCTTTGATGCCTCCCAATGTACATTTTCGTCCTCTTTTGATGGTTTGATGAAAGCTACTGTGCTCTGAGACCGACCTCTACACGCCTTCGGACCACTTGACGGTCCTCTCCTCGGCGGCGCTCTTGCGCGCGAGGAGGATGCACTTGGTCACGTCGACAGTCTCGTCAATCTTGACGAGGAGCCTCTCCTTTTTGACCTTTTCGATCTCGTCGACGCCGCCACTCTCGCGGACAGCCTCGACGGCCCAGATGGTGTTGCCGACGTTTGCGTAAAAGTCGATGTAGCGGCCCGGGAGCATGGGAATGTCTGTGCTGGCCAGCTCGGGCTGCTTTGGTGCGCCGCCAGCAGAGGCAGCGGCGGCAACGGCGGCCGCCAACGAGGCAGCAGTGCTCGTCGTGAGGCGAGCGCTGGACAGCGCGCGCGGGCTGTCCTTGGCGTAGATGCCAAAGGCCTCGGGGTGCGAAGCAGGCGTCCAGCCGGCCTTGAGCTGGTTCTCCTGCGGGTCGGTGCCCGTCTTGAGGAAGCTGCCCCTGGTACCCTCGACCTTCCAGCGGGGCTGCTCTGCGTCTGTGTGGGCACTCAGACAGCTGGCGCCCAGCGTGACCCTTGGACCACCGATCCGGGTGCCAGGGAGAGGCGCCTCGCTGTCCGGGGGCAGCGGCGCCGTGGTGGGGTAGTGGAGATGGATGAGGAAGTCGTCGTCGACATTCTCGGGCAGCTGGCCACGAGCTGAGGAAGCAAATGCAGTCACCTTTTCCGGGGGCCCAAAGAGGACGAGGGCTAGGGAGAAGAAGATGAAAGCGTCGAATCAGCATGCTGAGCACGGCGCGAGAGGAGAAGGGATCGCTCACCTTGATCCACGAGATGGGCGCCAAGATCCCACAGCATTCCACCGCCCTTTTCAGGCCCGACCTCTTCTCGCCAGCCTCCCTTTGCGAGGGGCCGATAGCGGTCGAAGCGAGACTCGACGAGCGTCGGCTGGCCGATGGCCGACGGCTGGCTGGGGTCATTACGTGGCGGGTGGAGAAGCGCACGGAGCGTTAGGAAGTCATTGTCCAGTCGCCGGTTCTGGTATGCACAGCAGATGACGCCCTCGGCCTCGCTGGCCTCCTTGAGGGCGACAGCCTCCTTGACCGTCAGCGCGGCAGGCTTCTCGACGATGACATGGTGTCCGTTCTTGATGGCTTGCAGCGCAAATTCGTTGTGCGTCTCGTTGGCCGTCGTGATAATGACCAGGCTCCATGGCGGCAGTGCGCCATGCCCATCGCCGCTCTCGCCCTTGAAGACGGAGTCGAGCGTGGGCGCGATGCGCACATTCGGGTGCTGTGTCGACGCGGGCGGGCCAGACTTGCTCTCTGGTCGCTGCTGGATCGTGTGAAGGTGAAAGACGTCGGGGAGGGAGAGGACGAATGGGATGTGAAAGGTGCGCGCAGACGATCCGTAGCCAATCACGGCCACTGCTGTCGGTGCTGGTGCCGCCATTCTTTGTCCTTTTGTTATTTGCTCGCCCTTTGCCTGGAAGTCGGTCGACGAGAAGCAACCAAAAATACAGATGTCACGAAAGTAAGCATGCCCTTAGTGCGACGCCGGATCTTCCTTCGCACGGCCGAGGCTCCGTGTCCATCTATCCATTAAGCTTCAAGGCAAAATAAGAAGACTCGCAGCACCACGACCATGTCCACAGTGTTCGACCTGGGAGTCGATCACTCGCGCCGCGAGCTCCTTGGCTATGGCGCCACACCTCCAGACCCTCGCTGGCCAGGTGGGGCCAGGATTTGCGTGTCGTTTGTCGTCAATTACGAAGAAGGCGCCGAGCATATCGGCACCTCGCCGTCGTCGTCGACAGGCTCACGGGAGAACTACAACGAAAACGACGGCCATGCCGAGGTTTTTCTCACAGAGAGCGGTGTGGGACCTACGGTGGGTACTCCAAAGCCGCAACGCAACCTCAACGTCGAGCAGCAGTACGAGTTCGGTGCCCATCGAGGGTTCTGGAGGATACTTGCCCTCTTCAAGCGACACAACCTCCGATTCACCTCTTGGGCTGTGGGCAGGGCCGTGCAGCTCAACCCTTCCGTGGCCAAGGCGATGGAAGAGGCCAAGTGTGAGGTGGCCTCGCACGGCTGGCGGTGGATCGATTACGCTTCCCTCACGGAGCAGGAGGAGACGCAGCACGTCAAGCTGGCCATCGACGCACTAGCCAAAGCTTCGTCTGATGGCAAGACAAGACCCCGTGGCTGGTACACGGGCAGACAGAGCTTGCAGACGCGAAGAATCGTCTACGAAACGTATCGTGAGCTGGGCATGGCCGAGCAGTACTACGATTCGGACGCCTGTGAGTATATGGCCCTCTTCTGCTGTTGAATTGCCCTAGTGCAGCCCTTCTCACTCCGTTGAATCGGTCTCCGAAAAAGATGATGAGGACCTGCCCTACTACGTCAAGTCTCCGTCGCCGTCCAAAGAAAAGGCCTCGCCGCCCCTGCTTGTCATCCCTTACACGCTCGACAACAACGACATGAAGTTTGGCATCGCTCCTGGTTTCAGCACCTCGGACCACTTCTTCACCTACCTCAAGGACGCCTTTGACGTCCTTCTGGCCGAGGGCAAGGCGGGCGAGCCAAAGATGATGTCCATTGGTCTGCATTGCCGCATGGTCGGTCGGCCAGGAAGGTTGGCCGGCCTGGCCAGATTTATCGATTACGTCAAGGAGCACGAGCAGACGGGGCTGGCTTGGGTACCGACAAGGGACGAGATCGCAGACCACTGGAGAAAAACGTACCCTCCTCAGCAATAGAATTGGATTTGTCACTGGCTTCATTTGCTTTGCTCCTGCTTGCGTACGGATGTCGCGGCTCTCTGTGATGGTAGTTGGGGACCCTCCGCTCGAACGCCTTGTTCCCTGTCATGGGAATTCCAAAGGCTTCGCAACACCGGTGTCTGTATGCTATCCTTGCAAGTTCTGATCAAGACCCGCAGGGAAAGCGCGGGCAACAAGCGGGCAAGCATACAGCCCTGGCACAAGCTCCGTCCATTCAATCACAGATTGGTCGCGGAACACACTGCTGTTAGGAGCGTGAAGTGGGAGTCAGACCAGCCCCTCCCCAAATCTCGCCCTTTCTCGCTCCTCCTCCTCGTCCACCTTACTTAGCCAGCACGCCACAACCAGGATGAACGACTTCGAAGGCGCGGTCCACTATCTCGAAAGCAACCATCGTGAGGCGTGCCTCGCAAGCGTGGAGCTGGGTATAAGTCTCAGCCTTGGCCTGGCTTTTGTAGTCCTTTCGACAAAGGCGCAGCGCCACCACCTGGCCCTCTTTCTTATCAATTGCTTCTCAATTGCCTGCGTCATTGGCACTTCGACTGCCAGGCTCAGGATGACGTCTCTCAAGATCCAGGACAGACTTGTCGGCGGTGTGGGCGCTGAGCTAGCGCGCATCAATCTGTGAGTCGACTCTTCTCCTTTCTACATGGCATGACTGTGCTGAGTGCCTTCCTGTCTGTGATGCAAGGGCGTGCTACTTCTTTTGCATCTGGACGCCACTCGTCGCCGACACCACCTTGCTCTTCAAGCTCGAGACCCTCTATCCGGCCTGGACTGGCTGGAAGAGGCCCGCGATCCTAGGCACTTACCTTTTACTCCTCACTGCACGCTTGTGTGTGGCAGCAGCAATGATTTGGCTCGGCATGATCAACTACGTCGGTCCTGCTGATCGTGGTGCAGACTTTTGGAGGATACACAGCAACGTCAAGGCGACGGTGCTCTTTATCAGTGCCCAGTTCCAGCTCGTGACGTGCTCGTTCGCAGCAAGTGTCCTCTTTCGTCGCGCCTACGTCTTTTCTTCGGCAGTGAAAGAGAAAACCAGCGAGGCACACCAAAAGCTTCGACGGCAGCTTCGCTTCTTCATCGAATCGACTTTCATGACGTTCCTGCCTCCAGTAATTTGCCAGGTCATCATTCTCGTCACCTTGCTCACTCACAGTGAGACTCATGCCGCCAAACGAGCGGTCGGCTGGGGAATGGACCTGAACATGACTCTCTCGCTAATATTCTCCATCCTCGCGACATCCTGGTCGACCATCCGGACTCCCTTACCGTCTTCGTCCACGGCAGCCCCAGAGCAGGAACAGGGCCGTCCGCCTCAGTCCCCGTCAAAGAACAAGTCATTCCTCGCCTCTGTCTTGGAACGTGCCGGTATATTCCATGAGCCAGATGATTCAGTGGAACTCTTGGCTACGGTCCCATCTCGTCCAGAGGCTGAAGGAGAAGCAGCACACAGTCCCAGAGATCGCTGGCTCCGCCCTTCGTGATACCAAAGGATTCACAAACACAGCACTCTTGTCCAGTGTAGTATCTGAAGACCTGCCTCGAAATGTGTATTAGACTGAACAAAGAGACATGGAAAGAGAAACGGTGAAGAAGGGGACAGAGAAGGGGAGAAGTCATAGTGACGACACGGTGGCGAGGATCTGCTTCTGCCCTCTAATGCGTACGAGCTCCTCGTCTCGGGGATTGGCCTATTGTAGCGCACTAGAATTGCGCTTCCTCGCCCGAGTGCACGTTTCGCCTTTGTGTGACGAAATGGTCTCTTTGGCGTTTGTGGCCTTATAGCCGCTCGATCACGAAAGTTGAGCCCATGCTCTGCACTTTGCTATCGCCTTCGTATTGCGCATGAGTGTTTGGGTGAATTCCGTCCGTATCACCGCAGACACCATCATTGAAGTAGCAAATGTCGAGCATTTTCCCCTCCCATTTGTCGTAAACCAGCTGATACTTGTCTTTGCGTCCGTGAGCCTTCTGTCCAAATGTGTTGCGAGTAGAAGTTTGCCCCTTTTCGTCGATGATGCAGTCTTTGCCTGGCCACTTCAGAGGATTACCAAAGAGGACGACAGCTTTGACCCTCTTAAAATCCGCTGGCGGAAGCTTTGGCAAGGCGTCGACAACCGCGGCGGCGCCCTGGCTGTATCCGAGAATGGAAAAGCATGGCGATGTACTTTTGCTGATGAAAGCGACGATCTGGATTCGGGTCCCGAAGAGCTAGTCAGAATTTTATCGTTTGACGAGGGAGAAAGCTGAGCAAGCGATGACACTCACATCGTCCGAGCCTCGACCCCATTCTTGATGGACGTCGGCGGGGTAATGCACGTGGTACAGCTCTCCGCCCGGTAAATATTCACGTATCCAGGTGAGCATGGTCTCGAAAGGCCTCACGGTTTTTGGTGAGGAACGGGTTCCACGAGCCACTAGCATAGTATAAGACGAGCAAAGCTTTTTATTGGCAAGATTGTCCGCGTGAAGACGACTCTTGTGATGAGCATCGGTCTTGAGACTGTACGGGTTGCCGCCAATCATACCGTTGCCGAGCGCGACCTTGCGAAAGCCATTGAGGGCGATAACCTTGACGCAGACCGTGAGAATGGTGATGAGTGCGCAGAGCAGCAGCTTTCTTCCTACGGAGAACATGGTCGAGGAGAAGGAGAGTACGGCGCGTTGCGCTGGGGAAGGGGCAAGAGTTGAGGGAGGGAGACGTGATGGCGCTGTGAGCAGGCAGGTCGTACTTTGAGACGGACAGACCTCGTACTGTACATTGCAACTGCCCTTGTGCTCGCGGAGATTCGTCCGAAAGCTCGTAAGGTTCCTTGTGACACCCTCTCTCATCACCAGCCTGGCACTTTCTCGTTGCCCTGCAGCATTTTCGAGCGGTTCTCAAGGTACTGTACAAGGCGGCGTCCCCTCGGCTCGCGTGCTTTCTCACACGATCCAGAAGAATGTCAACACCTTTTTCAGTGCTGCAGAATACCTCATTGGCCTTGCACCGTCCCTTTTATAAATGCGCAGCTTCCTTGTCTAAGTCCACGCAGCCGGAGTTCTGCATTGTGTACAGCGGCGCTTGGACCGCCCATTCCCTACTCCCTATGCTCCTTCCTAGAAAGCGGCTTGTTGACGTTTTTTGTAAAGTCCGCGCCGCCCTTCTTCACCGTCGCATTTCGTATTTCTTGGCCTGGTCGTGTCCAGGAACCATTACTACAGTACATGGAGATTGTGCTGAACGGCCTCCGGCAATCGGGCATGAGTCATGACTTGCTGGGCGGGATTTCATTTCTCTCGGACAGGCCTCCCAGCGGTGCGTGCCTGCGGCATTAGGCTGGGCTGGAGGCGAAAAAGGGGCGCTAACAAGGCAGACGACCTTCTCTCTCAGTGCTTTCATGCACAACTCAGCGCAACACGTCCATCCAGCTGGCAGACTCTAGCCTGCCATGAAGTCCTTCCAACTCCTCCTGGTCGTTGTCCTTGTCGTCGTCGTCCCAATCTTGGGCCTAAATACCGCCTGGGCGGCCTCCTCCACAACAGCCCCGCCCTCGCTCGCGGCGCTACGCGCGGAGCTGGCGCTCTTTGAGTCGTCCATCGTTCAGGCGTACCTCGCCCGTCATTCGCTCTCGCCAGACTTTTTCAAGGGCGAAAAGGAGCTCATACGCAAAGCACTGGACCGTTTGACATCGCTCGTCGACAAGAAGTACGAGCGAGCTGCAAATGAGGACGAAGGCGTCTTCTATGGCGGCCCCCTCAAGTACATCTTCTACCAGCGCGACAAGGGCCGATTCGGCGATTCGTCCCAGTCACAGACCGGCTCCATCTTCGACGGCCTCTTTGCCTCGTCTCCTCATCAGCCTGCCACCGAGGAGCAGCAGCGCATGGTTGAGCCGGCCGCGGTGCTCGATGGGGCTCTTCTCTCGCTCATCTCCTCGCGCATCGGCATCGGCAAAGATGTAGCACGGGCCAAGGCCGCCTCGGACCGAGAAAAGTACTGTACCAAGGAAGCCACGAGCAGCTCATCAAAGGTGCGCCAGAACCTCACGGACCAGAAGCAAGTGGACGCGGTCAAGAAGTCGGTCCAGGACAAGTTTACAAAGTGGAGCGCCAGCACGCCGTCGACTGACGAGGTGCAGCGCTTCGTCAGCTTCTTTGAGAGGATCATCGATGTGACAACCGACGTCGAAGTCTACACGATCAAATCCAATCAGGCAGGCTGCTGATTGCCTTCGTTGCGGACATAACCAATCCCGCGTATGCCTCTGAACACTAGACTTGTCTGTGAACCACCGTCCTCCATAGAAAGCGTAATCAAAAGAGACATTGAGCGCTATTCGTCATTGAATTGTCGTATTGTCCGTGGGAAAAGTGAAGAGTGAACAAGACCTAGATCTGGCCACTTCGGACATTCTCGTACTGCGAGCCAGGGAAGTGAAGATTGTTGCTGCTTTGATCGAGGTCGCCCAGCTACGGTCGGTGAGGGATGGTCAGATCAGAGACGCTTCACAAGAAGCGAGAAGGAAGGCTGACTCACCCGGAAGCCAGCCCTGGGCACAAGGGCTCTCTGTGGGTCTTCGGCGTCGCCGCCCAACTCCCACCACATCGCACCGGCGAGGCCTCTGCGGTGGATGTAGTCTGCCTTTGCGTCGACGCTCGTGGGGCCCTCGTACGATACAACCTGGCTCCCGCTGGGGTCGACCGAGTACCATGCCAACGCCTTATCGTCAAAGTATTCTTGATGGCCAGGCAGCGGCAAATTCTGTCGCGAGAAGATCAAGGCATCAGGTTGCGCCCCCGTTGGCAGAGACAACGGCATAGCGAGGCGAGGATGACCCACCTTGTAGAAGAACAGCCCAGGCTCCGACCCGCCTTCGGGCACGCCCTGGTAGTTGGAGCCCAGTCCGTGGCAGTTTGCAAATGCACGGCTGTACAGAGGCATACCCAGGACAATCTTTGCCGGATTGACGCCCTGGTTGACAAAGAAGCTGACGGCTTCATCGGCGCACATCGGTGTCCTGGCTTGCGGCGAGGCAAAGATGTTGGCCTAAGATATACCTCCATTCAGTTCACCTTGCTCAAGCAACTCTCTATATGCTCTTTCCTGCTCCTTCGACGACAAGGGCCTGAAGAGAACTCACATGATGGGAGGCCGTGTCACTCCAGGTACCGGTAAAGTCATAGGCCATCAAGTTCCACAAGTCCAGGTACCGGTCCATTTCTCTGACTTTGAGCTTGTTGCGAGCCTCGCCAGCCGGGGCAGCAATCGAGAGCCAGTGCTTTGCCTCGCCCATAGCTTGCTCGCGCTGGTCCAGGGCCTGGCGCAGGGCCGCAAGCAGGTCGACATACGCTTGAGCCTCGCCTGCGTTCTGCGGGTATTCCCAGTCAACGTCGAGGCCATCAAGACCGACGTCTTCGAGGATCTTCATGGCGCTCTCAACGAAGCGCTGCCGGCCCGAAGGGGTGAGGACGGCCTTGAAGTGCGACGAATAGGTCCAGCCACCGATGGACAAGAGCAGCTTGAGATGGCGATGCCGCCGCTTCATCAGGGCAAATTGCTTGAAGTTGCCGTACAGCTTCTTGCCTTGATCCTCCCAGGAGTCGCCATCGTAGTGGATATCGACGTCGGACCAGGCGTCGGTGAGAAAGACGGTGCCGTCGTCTTTGATATCGGCAAAGGCGTAGAGGATGTGCGTTAGGCTCGAGCACGGCACTTTGCTGGGGTGGTACTTTTGCCCGTAGATGGACCAATTGGTGAAGCTGTATAGCAGCACATCGGATCTCCGCTCTCAGCCCTGGCGCAGGACCTCCAGCCACTTGCTTTACTCACTAGGCCACATTGACCTTGCCCGTCTGCGCCATTCTGGTGGTCCCGTTACCGCTGTTGCTTTGGGCTCCTTGGTAGTTGCTGATACTGCTGCCGCTGCTGCTGGACGTTGCGAGGTCCTTCACTTTCTGAAAGAAGCGAGGTGCCATCGGGAAGTAGAGAGCAACTACCACAGCCACAACTGACGCGAGCAGCACGCTCCTCTTTCCCATTTAGACTTTTTCGATTCAATGCCTGCTTCTTTGCAGTACCACTCAGCTCGTCATTGGTTGAGTGACCGTGCGCAGTGCGTCGCTCGTCGAATCGCGAACGATGCCGAAGCGGACAGAGCCGAGCAAGAGTTCGAATCAAGCTTCACACGTGCGACGTTTGCTTGCACGACGTTGTCGATTCGAACAACACTTCCCTACAACAGTCCGTTTAGTCACCGAGTGCTTTCTTCTTTGTCGGACTCGATCAAGTCGCAAATATTCGGTGTTGGCCTGAGCGCACTTCTTCTCGGCCGGCCGCCAATTTTTTTTCTCCTTCGAGTGGAGTTCATTTCTTCCTGCAGCTGCGTTTGTTTATTCCTTTGCGCAACGCAACGGCAATGAAGCAGCAATGAACGTGCCTTACTTCGAGGCCTCGCAGACGGCACAGCACGTCCACCTGGATGTCCGCCTTCCCTCGGAGTTCCGCCTCGAAGACGTCAAGGTGGTATTGGACGCGAGCGAGGCAGCACCGCACCAGCAGCAGCAGCAAGGAGGGCGCCAGGAGCAAATCTTTGGCCTGACATGCCCTCCCTACTACCTCCCTCTCGTCTTTGCACCGGGCACTTTTGTGGGAGGATCCTATCCTTCTGAGCAGCAGCAGCAGCGCGCAGTCGACGTCAGCAGGACAGGCGATGGGCTACGGGTCAGCCTGCTGAAGGCGAGCCGCGACGAGGAGGTGGCTGGACTGGACAGGCTCAAGGCGCAGGTCTTTCCCGGTGCTGGCGAAGAAGCGCAGCGGCTCGAAGGGCTTGCGATGCTCCAGCGGGGAGTCGAGATGATGAATGCGCCAGATACAGATGCGGAGGCAACAATAGCAGAGGAAGGGGCTGCTGCGACTGCTGCCATTGGAAAGTCACTCTCGATGCCAATGCCGCCATCGATCGAAGAAGGCACGAACTCGCGGCTTCACGAGTGCTTCCAATCGGACTCTAGCGAAGAGAAAAAACTAGCCGATCACTTGGCTCGGGACGACGAGAGATTCGACGAGGGAATGTACATGTGAGTGGTTCCAGCTGTATTCCTTCCTGTAGACGCTCGATTGACGACCATGTCTTCCACCAGGGAGAGCTATGTGGATCCAGAGGGCGAAATAGCCTCTTTGCTGTCGCAAACCGACCTGACACCTCCGCAAGAGGGAAGAAGAGCACTTTCAGGACCAGGAGCAAGGCTTCTTGTCGACGCGGACACCGAGACGGCCATGCGTTCCCTGCTCATCATCCTTCTTGAGCTCGTCGTTGCGACAGTGTATGACCGTGTGACGACATGGTCCGATCCCTCGCCAGAATCCGGTTGGACCATCTCCACGCTTTGTCCCGTTCTGGTATCCTCTCTCGCTCCGTCAACTACGAGCACTGAGGCTGATCGGGGATGGACACTAGACACGATGCGGCTGCTGTTCCGAAGGATGCTGTCGAGACCGCTCTATCGCAGCTGGGAACTGGCGATGCATGTCTCCCAATTGACGATCAAGGGACTGCAGGATCGACCGCTGGACTGGCTTGCCGTGACGAGGGATCGATTGAAAGAATATGCAGAGTCGTCAAACGAGGAAGTTGTCGTGCAGGCGTACCTCGACGCGACTGTGGAGCCCCTCATCAGCCTCGTCGAGTCCGGCTACTTTTCGTGAGTTCATGCTACTTCAGCATCGTGCGATAATGAGCTAACTTGACAACTTCAGAGCCGAGCATCTGAACAGCCTGGCGATTGATGCATCGCAATCACTGGCTTCGCTCTCACGGGACTTCGTTGGCGGCGATGCCTGGCAGCTCGAGGCATTGGAGGCGGCTGCAGACGAAGCCGTGGCCTCGGGCGAGGGTGGCTGGGTGTAGCATCAGGGCTTATTGCGGTGCCAAGCTACTAAGATCCACTCCATCACGGCTCCTGCTGTCACCCATCATCATCTTGCTGCTGCCTGTCTTCATCAAGCGCGCACACCCAATTTACAAATTAGGACTGCGTCTTAGCATCGAGAAATCTTTATCGGGAATCGGGCTGCAATTTTTACCGTTTGAAAGATGCGTTTGTTCGGACGTTTGCTTCGCTCGCCTCAGCCTGGGTGGGATTCGTCAGCGAGTGATTTTGGCTCGCGAAAGCACCACCATCACCACCAATTAGCAAAGCAGCATGCAAGTCGAGAACGGAAAGGGCGGAAAGCCCGCTGCTGGATCGGTGCCATCTGGCGTTGCGCTGCTGTCGCAGCCATTGGAGCTGCCCTGTGGGCGCGTGGCGCCGAACCGGCTCGTCAAGGTGAGTTTTATTCTCGTTTGCGGGGAAGCCACACGATGAAAGGAAGGGAGGACTATTTGGCTGACAGGGGGCTCCAGGCGCCAATGGAGGAAATGATGGGCCACTTTGGTGGCTCAGCACCGACGGAGCGGATCTTGCGGCTGTACCGGCACTGGGCCAAATCGCAGTGGGGCATCATCATCACGGGGAACGTCTGCGTCGACTCGACCCATCTCGGCCTTCCCTTCGATATGGCCCTGCCTGAGCCTCCCTTTCTCGAGAATGAAGATCTGGTCAAGAGGTTCAAGGCCTATGCAAAGGTCTGCAAGGGCATCGAGGGCGAAAGTAGCACCTCAACGGGCAACAAGCCCCTCGCCATCGTCCAGCTCGTTCACGCCGGTCGCCAGTCGCTGCGCGGCTCGGGCCGAGCACCCTGGAAGCCATCACTGGCCCCTTCGGCCATTCCCATGAAGACGGCAAAGGACCTGGGCGTCGTGGGAAAGCCGCTCGACTGGCTGCTCTGGGGCGTGCCCTCGGCCATGACGGTTGACCAGATCCATTGGCTCATCCAGCGCTTTGCTGATGCCTCGCAGCTCATGGCGGCCGCGGGCTTTGATGGTGTTGAGCTGCACGCCTCGCACGGTTACCAGCTTGCCGCCTTTCTCTCGCCTCGGACCAACACGCGAACGGACGCCTACGGGGGCAGCTCTCGCAACCGTGCCCGGCTTCTCCTCGAGATGGTCGAGGCCGTCCGCGCAAAGGTGCCCCGCGACTTTGCCGTGGGCGTCAAGCTCAACTCGAGCGACTACATCCAGGGCGGCCTCACCGAGGAGGACGCGCTGGAGAATGTAAAGTGGCTCGCCGAGACGGGCATGTGCGACTTTGTCGAGGTCAGTGGCGGCAACTACGAGAACCCGTCGTTCCTCACCGACGGCTTCGACGCCGACGCAGAGACGGCCAAGCTCAAGGGACAGAAGCAGGAGCAGGCGTCAATCGAGAACAAGGCCTCGGTCAAGGTCAGCGACCGGACGCGAAAGAGGGAGGCGCTCTTTGCGACATTTGCCAAGCGTGCCCGGGGGGTGCTGCCCCAAGGCAGCGGCATGAAGATCATCGTCACGGGCGGCCTGCGCACGCGCGGCGGCATGGCCTCTGCCCTCGAGACGGGTGCCATCGATGGCGTGGGCATCGGCCGGCCCGCCTGCGTGCATCCAGACCTGCCAGACTACATCCTCAACGCCAGCGTGGCCGACTCGGACGAGGCGCACGCGAGCCCGCCCGCATACACGGTGCCCGGTGCCGGTGTCCTGGGCCTGCTCCCCATCAAGATCCTCGGCGCTGGCTGGCAGACGCTGTGGCACAACGGCATGCTCGCCTACCTCGGCCAGGACGAAGCGGCCAAGCCAGACACGAGCGCCGGCCCACTCCGGGTCCTCCTCGCCATCTTTGTGCCGTCGCTCTTTGCGACGCGGAGTGGCGCTGGTGCTGCGGGCGTCTTTGCCGTCTTGGGCAGCCTCGTCGCTGCCGCCGTTGGCTCGGTCCTGTTCCTGGTCATGAAGTAAATGCTCTTGATTTCTTTCGATGTGGCCTAGATGTATTCCCAAGATGTGTTCCCAAGATGTTCTATTCTAATCTTCCTGTGCTGCGAGAAGGGCACTGCTGCGGTGATCAGTGACAAGTGCAGCGACACTCGTACGGGATCACATTGAAAGTTCTTCACGATTACGATAATGAAATCGTCGCAGACAGCCTCGCTGTCCGAACAAACAAGCAAACAAGAATTGCCTGCAAGCCAAAATAATGTATTCCGTTTAACAAAGCCAGCAGCTGGCTACTGCCTACAGCCGGGCCTTGACGCCCTGTGGCTTAAAGTCAGACACGGGCGCGGGGGCGCCGTCGCTGTAGTCCTCCTCCTCGCGCGAGGTGATGGACTGGGCAGCGCTGGGGGCGCCCGGAACGGTGCCGTAGATCTTGGAGCGCTCGTAGGAGATGAGCTCTGCGATGCGGAGGGCGAGGTCGATGGAGCCCTTGATCTTGATGCGGCCGCCGTTGAAGAGTGCCGAGGCGTGGCGCTTGCCCGTGGCCATGTCGACAAAGTCGCGGTCGAGGCACTCGATGGTGACATCGGCCCGACGCTTGCGGCCCAGCACCGTCTTGGGCGGCTGCCCGCGCGCAATCGTGCCCTTGGACCGCAAGTCGGCGTGCCAGTAGGCTGGCCGGAGCGCGCCGCCGCTCTGGCCCTTGGACGGCCGCGTGCGCGGGTTCGACGCATCCAGCGGCGCAGAGGGGTGGATGACAAAGAGAAAGATGGCATTGATGCTCCGCAGCAGCCGCTTCCGCGTCGCCGTCGAGTCCGGCGGCGGGTTGTCGAGCATCTGCTTCGTCAGGGCAAACACCTTGGGAATACTGATTCAGCCCACCTTCATCGTTTGCGCCAGATTCATGACTCTCACCCTGCTCGACTCAAAGCCCTCGCACTGCATGTCGGGCTGGGTCTCGAGGGCCTTTTCGGCCTCGGATCGCATCTGTGACTCCATCCTGTTTCGATGCTCTTGCCTTGCCTTGCCTTGCCTTACCGTCGAGGGGTGGGTTGGGTGGGTGGTGGTAAAGAAGGTGTAGCCAGCCGTGGGCGGATGAAGGCGATTTGCGGGGGGAAATCAAGCGTCTGTCACTTGGTCATGTCCCCCCGTTGAAAAGTGAACGGCTCGTGCCACATGGGACGCGCACCAAAGTGGAGAAGACCGAACAAATACCGTGCCAATGACAATGCCATGGAACGACAGGAACAAAAGAAGCCAAGGACTGCCCTCACACACTCGTGATGGCAGCTGCAAAGACGGCAAAGCGCGGCAAAGATGTACAGAATGAGAATTCCAGACGAATGACCAACCACGCCAGCATAGACGATGATGAAGTTTCAATCGGGAGCAATGTGGTATCCCGTCGCGCGTTGGGTTGTCGCAAGCGTCTGTCTGGCTCAGTGCTATGAGTGCACCTGGTATAAAGTTCATTGCATTGCAGCTAGACCAATCTCTATGAAGGGCGTTGTGCACCTGGATATCAAAAAGAAAACAAATGAGCGATCAGGCTCCAGGCGTCGATGACCTGGAGCTCTTCCTCTGCTGCTTGCTTGCTCGCTTCGCCTTGCGGCGCTCCTCCTTGGCCACCCGCCTGCTGCTGCGCCTGCTTCCAGCCGCTGGGCGCTGCTTCACATCGACAGCACCTTCCTCTGGCAGCTCGGCATCCTCCTGAACACCGGCATTGCTAGCTGCAGCAGCCTCTCCACCCGGATGCTCAGGCGCAGGCCTCTCACCATCGATGGGATTCGGTGAAGATGTCGCCTGGGGCGCTGAAGGGGCGCCCTCTTCGTTTGCAGCTGGAGTCTGTGCACCCTTGAAAGAGCCCTTGGGCGTACTTCGTGCAGCCCGTCTCTCCCGTTTCCTATCGGCCCTCTGCGCCCGACTCTCCTGTCGGGCCGCATTCTTTTCGCTGCGATATTGCCAACGTGCGCTGAAGATAGTAGAATAGCAGAAGGCGGAGGTGAGGACGAGAAGCATTGAGGGATAGAGGAGTGTTACTCACGCCTCGGCACGGTGCCTCTCTGCCTCGGGCGACTCGACGTCGTTGAAGCAGGAGCAGTTGATGTTGCAGCACAGCCCGCCTTTGCGCCAGAGACTCATGCAGAAGAGCCCTGCAAGAGCCTTGTTGAGCCGACTCGGTCCGAACTTGGACATCTTTCGCCTGCCGCCTCACGACGAGAAAGAAGAGAGAGTAAGAGACCTGTCTATCAAAGGCAGGCTGAGAGAGAGGAGGCAGCGATTGCCTCTTTCAACATTCACCAGATCTTGATGCGGGGAAATCGGAAATTCAGGCCACGTGAGAAAAAAAAAAAGAAGCGTGAGAGTTGCTCCAGAGGCCAAAGCGCAACTCCCGCCCAGCCGGTTCCCTCTTCTTATTCCTGTCCTCGTCCGATCAGGCGGTGCGTCTTTTGTTGTTTCCCGTCGTCGTTGCCGTGAGCAGCATCGACATCCACCATGACACCGGCTGCGCAGAAGCAGCCGCAGAGGCAGTCGGAAGAGAGCAAGCCGGCTGGCGCTCATCCAAAGAATGGCGATGGCTCGTCACCGCACAAGGGCGAATCTGGTTCCTCTTCGTCTTCGACAAAGAGGCGCAAGGTGGGCACGGCGTGCATCTACTGTCGCCGAAGCCACATGACATGCGACGAAGGGCGGCCGTGCAAGCGCTGGTGAGTAGAGGGTGTTCTGACCACAGCGAAGTCACCGAGAGCAAGAGATAGCTAACCCCAGCTGTTGGAACAGCATCAAGAGGGATATCGGCCACCTCTGTCACGATGAGTCAACGTCTAGGGGCTCAGCCGGCCACGCTTCGTCGTCAAGCTCGAACAAATTGTCTGCCTCTTCAACCGCCCCACACACGGGGGGTATCAAGGAGGAGAATGGGCCGGTGAACGTCTCTCACCCCGTCGCCATGGCCTCGTCGGGACCGGGATCCGCGCCGGGGCCAGCACCGGGCGCGTATGCCGCGAGCCCACCATTTGTGTCACCATACAAGGCCGAAATGGGTGGCCCGTATTCTTCGGCCTCGCCCTTTTCCAGCATGGGCGCCGTCGGGCCCCGTGGACCTTCTGGGACATTCGTCGGCTCAGCCATGACGCCCTCTGGCGATCTGTCCCTCAGCCTCGGCCCAAATCTGGCGCCTTCGGCGTCGACAAACCCTTCATCACTCTGGGGCCTCGGTAGCGGCTCTGTCCTTGGAGGCGCGGGCTTCCTCGGTCTCGGAGGTGGAAATGGCGAAGGGATGGGCGCGAGCGGTGACGTAGCGGGGGGCAACGAATACAACATCCTCAGCGAATTTCTCGAGTCGCTCGACGGCTCAGCCTTTCCCACTCCGCCACCGGGTCTGTCTTCTACCCCTTCCTCTGCGCCTTCGCTGGCTGCCCTGACGTCGTCAAATGACACGGCACTTTCTCGCGTGCCCAGCAGCGGCTTCAAGGGCGCCGCGCCGCCTCCCGACGCGTCGTCGTCCGCCGCAAGCACCTCCGCTCCACCCGCGCAGACAACGGCTGCTCCTCAGCTCTGGCAGCAGAGCGGCGCGGAGGACGGCGCTGATTCATCCAAGCAAGTGCGTGCGACTCGAGGCGCCAGCATCTCAGACGCAGCGCCGGGCGCCTACGGTTCCTCGCTCAAGGGCTTCAACACAAAAACGGAAAAGTTCTTCTTGACGGCCGCCGACCAAAATGACGGGACAAGGGACGAACGCCTGGGCAAGGTCATTCAAGCAAAGTACGATGCCGGATTGCTGAGACCTTACAATCACGTCAATGGGTTGGTGCCTTCTATTTGACTGCTGCTTGGCTGCATGTGCTGACCTTGAACCACCAGCTATGCTCGGCTGAATCGATGGATGGAGCAAAAGTGAGCGCATCAAGAGATGACTCGAAAGATAACGAGCTGACAGACTGTATCTCCGATTACAGTGCGTCGCAAGCGTCTCGAAGGCGGATCCTCAAACCGCTCTCTGTGTTCCGACCTGCATTTCGGGTGGGTGCTCCTTTCAACTTTCACACGCCTCCAGAGAGAAGGCTGACACACTCTCCAGGCTGTGGCCCAATCTCTGACCAACGTCGACCTTATCTACATCGAAGAGGCATTCGAAAGACTTTTGCTCGACTATGACCGCGTCTTTTCCACCCAGGGCATCCCCGCCTGCCTCTGGCGCCGGACCGGGGAGATTTACAAGGGCAATAAGGAGTTTGCCGAGCTCGTGGGTGTGGGCATCGAGGCGCTGCGCGAGGGTCGTTGCACCATCTACGAGCTCATGGAGGAAGAGTCGGCGGTCAACTATTGGGAAAAGTACGGCGCTGTTTCGTTTGACCCTGGTCAAAAGGCCGTCCTGACGTCGTGCGTTCTCAAAACGAGAGCAAAGACCTCGTCGACCGAGTCATCATCGTCTGAGGTCTTTTCATCGTCGATTAGCGCCGATGGCGGCGCTGGTAGTGAACGTAATGCAGGTCAAGGTCTGGGCAGTGGCCGTGCCAGCGGAGAGGCATCTCTCAACGTTTCTGGAACCGCAACGCCAAATCATGGGAAGGTGGACGCTTCGCTCAACTCGACGCCAGGCCCAGTCGCCGCCGCCCAAAACTCCCAGAAGGAGACGGACGTGCGTCATATCCCGTGCTGCTTCTCATTCACGATCCGGAGAGATGCCTGGAGCATCCCTTGCCTCATCGTGGGCAACTTTCTGCCCTTGAAACAGTAGGCAACCCCGCTCCACCTCTTGGCTCGCACGAGAAGCTCTTCCTACACTGTTGTTGTTGATTCCTTTGTATTTGTGTGGTTTATGTACACTTGCTTTTTTGGCACTCTCGCTAATCTCGTCTGCTTTTCATCTGCACTGTCAATGGAAAGTGTCCCTGCTGTCCCTTTGCCTTTGCTTGCGTGCCTTGCTGAGCCATTTTCATCTTGCATGCTGCAAACAACTTCACTCGCTCCAGTACCGGTTCCCAAAGTCACCCAGGCCGGGTACGATGTAGTTGCGCTCGTCGAGCCCCTCATCGACCCAAGCGCTAATGACACGCACGTCTGGAAATCTAGTCGGCCGTGCGCAAAAGAAGAGCTCTTCTCAGCCTGGGAGGGAACAATAACCCAGAGAACGGTGGGGTGAGACTCACTTTCTCCAGACGTTGTCGAGGCCCTCTGGGCTGGCGACGAGATTCAGAAAGAGGATCCTCTGCGGGCTGACGCCGTGTTTGATCAGCACCTCGATGGCCTGCAGTGCCGAGCCTCCCGTGGCTGATGAAGCACAAGGTGCGTCAGCTAACACTTCGCCGCTGCGGAGACTACCAGGGGTGGGGGAAAAGTATAGCTTACCAAGCATGGGGTCCAAGAGGAGGACCCATCGGTCGGCAATGTCTTCCGGGAGCTTCGCATAGACTGTTCTCGAGATATCTTCTCAGTCAGCGGGCAGAGCGGCTTGTGTGAATTTGCGAGAAGCAGAGACAAAAAGACGCACAGAGCTTTGGTTGCGACGTCTCCTCGTCCCTCTGAATCCTGTTATTTTCCGCGCTCATCGTCAGTGCCATTTCTTCACCAAGATTGACCAGGCCGAGAATCTCTTTCTCAAGACTCACAGGATCTTGCCGATCCTGACGCTTCTGCAGCACTCTCTCAGGCCGCTCTCCATAGCCTCGCCCGCGCGCAGGATCGAGACGCCGCAGATTCTGCCCTGGAACGAGACGCCCGTGTAAGGAAGGCCCGTCGGCGTATTGACCGTCTTTTCGAGCGTCGGCAGGTGGTTGAGACCTGTGTCGCGCCCAACGTCAGCGTCAGGGAAGAAGCACAAGAGAGAGAGAAGGTAGGTGGAAAGGAGCACTTGCCTTCTTCGACGAGGAGCCGGATGATGCGGTCAGAGTAAAAGATAAAGTCGGACCGGCTCGTCGATTCGTCGCGAATAATGGTCAAGAGCGCATCGAGCTGCTTCGTCTGTTGGTCGTTGGGCGGTCAGTGACGAGGAGCAAGAGGGGCAAGTGCAGGAACAGGGGAAAGGGGCCCAGAGAAGATGAGGGGCAATGCTCACCTGGGGCAAGCGAGCGGCGTTGGGTGGGATCGGCGGACCGTCCTGAGGGGCTGTCTGCGCAGCACAGGGGAGCGGAGTCGTCATTGTTAGCCCGAATTTCAGCGCCGGTATTCAAGGTGGGGTCCGAGGCGCTTGCGGTGTGACGATGAAGGAAAAATTAGAGCGGGACGGGAGACCTGATAAGGAACGACGACGCAGCGGAAAATTAAGCTCATTCGCTCGACACGGGCAGTCGGCCGGGCTCTGGTTCCCCTCCCTTTCTCTTCGTGTCATCGTGGCTCTCTGCTATCGTGGCCCTCTTCCTGCTTGCAAGAAACACATTGTCACTCTCTTTCTTCAGAACAGAATGGATGATGATGTTGGTGATCTATTAAGTACAATGCAACGGGCAAGGCTGGCAGGCAATCCCCATTACTTTCTCGTCGCCATCGATGGGTAGCCATCGCTCTTTCCCTTGCTCTCCAGCTTGACGCCCTCGTTCTCTGCCTTGAGCTGCGCGACAATCTGGACGAGGTCGCTCATCGTCTCGGGCACAATCTGGTGGTGGACCACGAGCCTGGCACCGCCGAGCTTGATGCCCCTTTCCGCCTGGGCGCGCTCGACGAGCATGCGTGCATCAAAGCCCAGGGGCGTGGTGTCGATAAAGACCATGTTGGTGTCAACGGGCATGGTGATGCGCACGCCGAGCTGCTCGAGCGCATTGGCGGTCCAGCGCGCAAGTTCGTGCGTGTATGCGAGCTTGTGAAAGTGCGACGTCAGGGCGACGCGGGCGGCAGCAGCGATGAAGCCAGACTGGCGCATGCCGGCACCAAAGAGCTTTCGGAAGTGGTGGGCCTTGCGAATGAGCGCTTGTGGGCCCAGCATCATGCTGCCGTTATCGTAAAGTGTTCAGCTTGAGGTCAGCAATGGGGGGAGGTAGAATCGTCAAGTCAAGCCCACTCACCTGCCAATGGGGGCGCCGAGACCCTTGCTGAAGCAGAGGCTGACGCTGTCAAAGGGCTCGCAGAGCTCCTTCATCGACTTGCCCGTCGCAGCAGACACGTTCCACAGCCTGGCACCGTCGAGGTGGAGCTTAATGTCGTGGCCCTGAGCTTTGAGCTCGTCGAGGCCCCTCCGAATGGTGAGAATCTCCTCCTGGGGCAGGATAGTGCCTTGGAGCGTGTTTTCGAGCGAGACAATCTTGGTGGGCGCTGCGTGGACGTCGCCGTCGTCGAGCGCAATCTGCGGCTCGATGTCGACCCAGCGAAGGTAGGCGCCGTTGGACGGCTGGATGAGCTCGACTGCAGCGCCAGAGTGGTAGGCTACGCCACCGGCCTCGTGCCGGTGAATGTGGGCCCGGTAGTCGCAGATGACCGCATAGGGCGGCTGGAGCAGCCAGGTGCGGAGGCAGAGCTGGTTGGAGAGCGTGCCGCTGGGCACGTAAAGGCCCGCCTCCTTTCCGCACAGGGAAGCGACGCTGGCCTCGAAGGAAGCAGTCGTCAAATCCTCCTAGAGAGGCGTCATCGCCAGACGGCATTGTGTCAGCTTTCTTCCATGCCAAGAGAAATGACACTGGACGGCGCACTCACATTCATGACGTTGTCGCCCACGCTGGCCTCGGCCATGGCCGTTGCCATCTCTGGCGTGGGAATCGTGGCCGTGTCGCTGCGCAGATCGCGCTTGATGTTCTCGCGCGCCTCGGCCACGCTGATCCCATCCTTGTCGACGCCACCGATCGAGGGCAGGACAAAGGGCTCGACGTGGATGGGCGCCTTTGGCGGGGCAGAAGGAGACGCGTGTGTCGCACTGCTGCTCATCGTCGCTGACCTCGTCATCGTTGCGGCAGGTGCCATTCTAGCGATATCTTTCCCGGCAAAGAGTGTACTGGTGGTGTTGGAGGAGAAGATAAGAGTGGGGGAGCGAGGAAGAAGCTGCAGCCTCGTTCGAGCGAGGATCATTCCTCTCCTTCTGCTTCTTCTTCTTCTTCTTCGGGCTTCTTCTCACACGAGGCTGGCGCAGGGATAGGAAGATTGAGGCAACGTCCCTGACCCTCCCTCTTTCGGCCGCGCGCACGGTTGGAAGGATGAGTCAAAAACTTTTTTTGGGCTGTTCGCTCGGCTCCTCCACCGCGGAGTGCGAAGCGTGTGCGACGCGGCCGACCGAGCCAACGGTTTCCCCCCGCCGTTTTGCGCCGTTCCACAGGCTCCACGGAAACAAAGCAAGCCTGGCTGATCGAGGGTACAGTACAAAGCAGGCAGAACGGGGGGAGAAAAGGGTGACTGACGATTACATTGCAAATCTATTTGCCCCATATGAGATTGCAGATGGGAAAATCAGGGCCATTCATGACTTCTTGGCCCGTCGAATTGCACTCTTGTGCCGAGAGCCGACGGTCAAAGGCAGGCTGTCCTCTCTAGACATGGAGACGAGGTCGTGGTAGCTTCGCCTCTTTGGATCGTTTGCCCGTTTCGCAAGGTGCTTCCGGACCTTTGCCTCGGGACGGACAATGACGACGGGCACTGGCGAGCGATTGAGAATGTCACTGCGGGCATGAGAGGGGCCGGATTGAGCACGTCAATTAAGGTGATAAGTGGGACAAATGACACCAAGGTCAACCTCACCGGCTACAGCTGCCCATGGAAGCACCACCGAGCATCTTCTGAAACGCGCTCATGGTCTTGCCCTTTGTGCCGACTGTCAAGCTGTCGGGCCGGTACATATGAATGAGGCGCAGGATGGTGCTCGTGACTCGACCAGCGACGAACTCGACGACGATGGAGATCTGAACGGGCTTGTCAACGCGCATTTCTGTAAGATGGCTGGAGAAGGACTTCACACTCACCGATCGATCTTGCACCTCGTCATTGAGCTGGACGATGCTTGCCATCAGCTCGCGCGCCTCTTCTCTTGCCTCGTCTTGATCGATCTCTGTCGTGGAGAACACGCTTCAATGCTTGAGACTCCCCTTACACGAAGTGTTTTGCGACCAATTCCACCCACCATCAGCATCCCCCTCGAGCACTCTGAGCGCCACAACCTCGTCTCCATCTTCGACGAGGCCATCTACGAGCCACTCGAGCGCTCTCTCGCTGTAGGAGTTGTCATCGACTGCGCACATGAATGTCCGGGTATTCTTTGTCCGCAGGTATCCAATCGATTTGACCTGCAACCACATCACCGATGACACGCGTACAGAGTCAGCCATTGTTGCTGCCGTCCTCATCGAGGATCTTATGATCAGTGCAACGTGGAAAGTGCAAGAAACCCACCTGCAAGGTGAAGCTAAAGCTGCCGCTGTTGGTCTCGTCGGCATCCCTCATCGTATCAAAGCCGACCTTGCGCTCGTATCCAGGGCGCATGTCGACATCGCTGAGACCGCCACTCGAGCTGGTCCGCTTCGACGTCATTGAGGGCCCTCCCTTTCGGCCGCCGTAGCCTCCCTTGCCCACGATGCGCGTACGATCGCCCGTGGGCGACGGCGACGGGTTCCTCGACGTGCCTGTGCTCTTGAGCAGAGACTTCGATCCCGTTATCCGCGGTGACGCGGTCGACGAAGCAGCAGTACTGCTCTGGCCATCGCTTCCTGTTGCTTCTGTGCCCGGCGGCTTCAGCAGGGCTGCCTTTAAGCGCTCTGGCTGCTGCTGGTCACTTGAGGAGCCCTTTGTGGCCGCTGCCGCGTCAATCCCGTCCAGACTGCTCCTCTGGCTGCCTGGAGGACTTGGATCCGAGGAGCTTGGGCGAAGGATGGAATGCGTGGGTGCAGGCCCCAGCGGTTGGCCATGAACGCTCGGAGGCTCAGAAAAGGTGATGGACGTGGTGGGCGTGCCTGTGCCCGTGCTCGTGGCCCCTGTCCCTCGCAAGCCATCACTACCGCCGCCCTCGAGATTGAGACCCGAAATTGCAGGGAGAGGGGTGGTATGTTGATGTTGCAACTGCTGCTCGATGCCTTCGGGCTCGTGCACCTCGCCCTTATCGTCATCATCCTCGGGCGTCAATGGGATGGACGACGACTGGGGCGAATTGAGCGCCGAGGCCGGATGGTGCCTCGTCCGCAATATCGACGGTGGCTGCCCCTGCGCAGGCGGGTTCGGCGACAAGAATGACATGATTGCCAAAAAGGAGAATGGCCTCTTTGCTTTGCAGGAGAGAAAGGAGATAGCTAGTCAGTCGTCTGGGATAAATTGGGAAAGCCACAATGTCGTCGACTTTGGGTGCGGAGGCCAGGAACCTCGTGGCTCTGTGTGCGCGCGACGCGCGCGCCAAGACACAGAGCCGCACGGACTAACGCTTCGACTCAATCTCCTCTGCCTCAATCGCCTTGCGACGAGGTGAAATTTAGCTCCTCAAGACTCTAACGTGCTTGTCTACAGACGGTCCATGACATGGTTTGCAATCAGATGACCTTGGCATTCCACGCTTGCAGTGTGTATTATAGTCCAGTGGTGGCAATTTCTATGAAAGGAAGTGAAGCATGCTAGAGAAGTGGGGGAAAGGGTAGCAGAGGAGGGAAAGAATTCAGTAGGCAACAGCGACGCCCTCTTTTCTCGAGTCGCTCGCCGCCCACACGTCTCGTCTCCTTCTACCCTGGAGTGGGCCTCCGTCTGCGAGGCACATGACTGCCTGCACCTCTGCGACAGCCAGGTTGATGTCCAGCACCTCGAGCTCGTGGCCACGGTCCGTGAGCCCGTCCAGGCGGCTCGGCTCCGTCGTCGTCTCGGCACTGACTTGGTGCGGCAGGAGCTGGTGGTGTATTCTCGGCCGCTCAATGGCATCTGAGAGCGTGTAACCCCAGTCGAGGTTGAGGAGCACCTGGGCGATGGAGCCGTAGATGCGCGAGCCTCCAGCGCCGCCGATGGCGAGGTAGAAGGAGCCATCGGCGTGCTCGATGATTGCCGGCGCTGTCGAACTGAGCGGCCGCTTGCCCGGCTCGGGGTAGTTGAACGGCGAAGGAAAGAGGCCAAAGGCGTTTGGCACACCCGGCGTCGAACTGTCGTCCATCTCGTCGTTGAGGATGACGCCAGAGACAGGATCCAAGACCTGTGAGCCAAAGATGAGGTTGACGGTGCTCGTCAGCGCCACAGCCATCCCCGACTCGTCGACAGTCGAGAGATGCATGGTCCCGTGGCTGTCGCGGACATCAAACAAGGGCTCGTAGTAGTCGATTTCATCATGGGTCCGCTCGTCGTCGATCTTGCTCCGCATGTGGTTGACGGCAGGCTCGGACGCGAGCTCGTCGATGGCATCGAGGGCGCTCTTGTTGAGGAAGGCCGGGTCTCCGATGTGGGTCCTCTGGCCAGACGTAAACTTCATCGCCTCGATGAAGCGATGGGCAGTGAGGCCAGACATGTACGAGCCAGGCTCATTCCAGTCTGGGTAGGTGGAGAGGACCTTGAGCAGCGAGATGAGCACGGGACCAGAGGTGGGCGCGGGCGTGGTAAAGATGCTCCGGTTGTACCACGTCCCCTCGACGGGCTCCAGAACGCGAATCTTGTACGAGGCCAAGTCTTCGAGCGTCAGGATGCCGCCCTTTTCCTGCACCTTGTCGACGATGGATTTGGCAAATGGCCCCTCGTAAAGGGCCTTTGACCCTTGCGAGGCAACAGCCCGCAGTAGGTTGGCGAGGCCTGGCCGTCTGATTGTGTCGCCTGCGCGCAGGAGGGTGCCCGTGTCGGCATTGACAAACGTCGGCGCCCAGTCGGGATCGGTGAGCATAAATGTTCCAAACATCTAAGGGACGGTCCATGATGTCAGCTCGACTTCGCCTTCTTCAGAGAGAATGGACCCACCTTTAGTCTCCTATCAAGTTCCCTGGACACATATGTCGACTCGGCCAGCTTGATGCTGGGCTCCACGAGCCTGCTCCAGCTGAGCTTTCCCCATCGCCGGTGCGCCTCTTCGATGCCCAGCAGCTCGCCCGGCACGCCGACCGAGAGGCCTCCGATTCGCGCCGCCATGGGATCGCCCTCGAACATCCTGGAGTGCGACGCCGCTGGAGCCGTCTCGCGGAAGTCGATGACGTGCTTGTCGCTGCAGTACCTCTTCTGCTTATTCCTCCTCTTCTCCGCCTCGGTGCACTTTCTCGGCACGCGCACAGTCATGAAGCCGCCGCCACCGAGGCCTGACGAAAACATGTTGACGACACCCGTGCAGAACGTGGCCGCAATGGCCGCATCGACTGCTGTGCCGTTCTGTTTCAAGACTATATCAACGGCCACCTGGATCAGCTTCTGTTTCCACTTTGCATGTTTCCCGCACTTTTGCGCTTGCGTCTGCTCACCATCGACGCCAATCTGGCTGCACCGGTGGCTCTCTGCCGCGACGGCACCGTGGGTGCCATGGGCGAGGACGGCGGGGTAGTTTCTGCCTTTGCCAAAACGCGGATCTCTCCTGTCCTTGATCTCTTGCACGACAATGGCTGCAAACAGAGCGATGACGAGGAGGGCGAGGAGCACACCCAGGCCGCGCACAATGGCTTTGGGAAGCAGCGGCTTCGTCGCTCTCCGCTGGCAATGTTCTCTTGATCGATGTCTTCTTGACGAGTCTGCTGCTGTTGTCGCTGCTAATGGCGATGATGACGACGAGGGCCCGGCCTGCCTCACCTGCTCCGACAGCAGCGGCGTCCGCTCGCTGCTGTCGGCGCCGGCGACTGCCGTAGTCGTGCTCTCGCGCTCAGGCGTCGACGAGGCCGTCCGTCGAAGCGACATGGCCTTTTTTTCCTTTCTCCTCCTGCTCCGGGGATGCTAGTCTCTTGTTAGGAGAGAAAGCAGGAATTTTGAGTCTCTTTCTCTCTCTCTCTCTCTCTCTCTCTCTCTCTCTCTCTCTCTCTCCACCGATCGACGACGGAAATCTGGACCTGAATCTCTTTCGTGCGCGCGCACTCGCACGCCAACCGAAGCACGAAATCAGAAATGAAAAATCAGAAAAATACAGATATTGTTAGCATATGTCCAAACAAGAAAATTTAAAAAGAAATGCCCGAGGATTTGGGTCGGGGGGCCTAGGCGGTCTTGGAATGGAGAGGGCGGGGACGTGGAATGGATGGGGTATGCTCTCAGGTCTCACTCAGCCCAAGAGACAATAACAGTTGCATGAAATCATATGGAACGCCCACTACTTTTCTTCATGGGTGCTTTGTGCAGCTCGCTTTTGCCTTTGCTTTTCAGAGGCGAGGCGTCCAGTCCTGCGTGGGCAAGATGGGGCCACTAATGACAAAGTGCGAGGTACCCGAGACGACAATACCAAAGGGTCAGGGGCGCGGCCATTAGTAATGCGCCGACTAAAGCGCCAAGCGGGGTAGGCGCCGCACTCATGCGGCGTCTCAACCATCTGTTCCTTTTTGGATTCTGTGCCTTTCTTGCAGAGGCGGCGGCTCGGGCGTGGACTCTCATTCTCGCACGGCGAAAAGGGACACACACACAAAAGACAAGAAAGAAGTGCACAAATGTTGTAAATTGAATGTTGGAAGCGGTGCAAGCTTTTCCATCCCATCCTGGGGAAGCAAGCGACCTGAAGCGTGACAATAAGTGAAGAGATGGAAAGACCAAAAAAAGTGTCCTGAGAGAAGAGCGCTTTGATTGTTGTGTGCGTGGAAAGCCTAGTTGGTCGACCTGGTATTAAGTGTTTGATGTACGAAAAAGGAGAAAGAGGAGAACGGGTTCCAGGGGCATCTTAGGCCATGAGGACCAGGGCAAAGGCAACGGCGCCGGCCGAGAGGGCGACGAGAGGGTTGCTCAGCGTAGCGACGCCCGACGTCGACGTTGGCTGGGCATTGTAGGCATTTGCGTTGGAGTTGGACGAGAGCGTTGGCGCCGTGTTGTCGTAGATGCGGTTCAGGCTGCTAGAGGCCGTCTTTGTCGACGAGGAAGAGGCAGCGGTGGAGGAGGACGAAGAAGCAGAAGAGGTGACGGCGGGTGCCTTGACCTGGTTGGCGCCCGTCGGGTTCGTCGTGTCTCCGGGAACAATCGACGGAACTGCCTGGCAGTTGGACGACTTTGGCGCCGCGTGGGCAGACGGCGTCGAGGCGTCGCCCTGCATGAAGGTCGAGGTGCCGTAAACACCCGGTGGGTCGCTGACGTCTGCATCACAGCTGTCGAAGCCTGGCTGGTAGTTGCCCGGCATGACCCAGTCACAGCCCATAGTGTCGTAGACGTGCTGGCAGTTGGCCTGCGCCGTGGCGCTCTTGCCCTTGCAGGCACGCATGCAGAACTCATTGTAGGCGACAAACTGCATCCACTCGTGGACCTGCTGGTACGTCTTGCCGTCCTTGGAGAGGGCGGTGGTGAAGACGAGACCGCCGATCGGGTTACCGTTTCCGTCTGCACCGTGCGGGTCCAGCTCGCCACCGCCGTCACCGGCGGGAACGTTGATCTTGGTCAGGTCACCGGTGCCGGTGATCTGGACGTAAGACTTGGTCTGGATGAAGTGGGCGCCCGTGATGGTGCCTTCGGGAATGAGACGAGTACCGTAGCCCTCCTTTGTGCACCACGAAACCTCGATGCGCTCCGTGTTGCCGATGGCGCTGTTTGGTCCGGGCGTGGGAGGTGCAAAGATGCAAAAGTCGTCGACAGCGTTGATGAAGTTGTTCTGGCACATCGATTCAGGCGAGCTGGCGCCCCACTGCGTGCACTGGTTCGTGCCTGCCTGTCCCTGCTGCCACGTCTTGGGAAGCGCATCGAGGGTGAAGTCCCGGTCAGAGGCATCGCGCGACGTCAGGTTGGCCACACGCCGGTGAGGCTGCTTGCCCCGGGCCTCGAACTCCCTGGCCGAGGTCGTAGTGACAGCGCCACTCAGGAGGAGCGCCGAGAGGAGCATTGAAAAGGCTGAGTGCATGATGGGCTATAAATTGTACGGATAAGAGGACTGGCTGGTACGTTGATGCTTGTTGTCCCGACAGACCACCGTGAACTCAAAAAACCGGGAGACCGGTGTGTGGGCGAGACAAGGAGCGAGGCGGAACGGTGCGAAACCTGTAAAGACTGTGAGAGAGAGTCGGTAGAAGAGACGAGGGATGAAGGGATAGGTGTAGAGAGTCGATGGTAAAAAAAGGTAGAGGGGAGGAACGGCGGCTTGCGAGCGATAGCTAGCCAGCCAGCCAGCTTTAGGACTTGTCGCGCCCGACGAACCTCGCCTAGGCCAGGCGCCTCGAAAGGGAGGGCAGGCAAAACACCCCGCGACTCCTAAAATAAGTAAACAAAGAAAACCGACTAAAGTTGGAAATCGACGTTCTATCTGCATACAAAATAGGCAAGCGGGCTTCCGAAGTATTGCGTGCAGGGGAAGAAAAGAAGGATCCGACTCGCTAGCGGCGGCAGCGTGGTCAGGCCGGGCAGACAGACATTCCCGCCCGCCTGCCCATCCGGCGGGTTGGTATTCTATTACTGCTACCTCCTCAGGTATTTGTTAATTGGCTCCATATGCTGCGCTGCTTCTGCGCTCAAATTGAGCGGGAAACTTATTGTGCCATGCATGCTGCACCGTCTTCGGCTGACTAGCTAGTCGTAGGCCCCTCCTCTAGTTCATCGTTTTGTGCTCGATCTTTATGGTGCGTTGCGCCGCTTCTTGTTATATTTGGCTCTATGCATTCTCATGTGACCGTTGCCGATAAGGTCCACCCCGTATCTTTCGGAAGGTCGGTGCCCCTCTTCTGCTCGCAGTCCACAGTTACCTATCTTTGCAATCAACAAACACCTCCGGACCAACGAGGCTGCATGCAGCTGCGCGAGAGTCAAGACCAAAAGAAGGTGCATGCAAGTTCCATTTGAGCTCCTATATATTGGTTATGGCAGACCAGTCTCGCTCAGGCGACAGGGAAGCGTTTCGAGCAAGCACTTCTCTCTTTATGCGTCTGTGCCGACGGTGGCCCGCATCGTTCAGCGGTGAATGTATGCGCGCGCAGGTACGCTTCGGCTTCAGACAACCACTACTACTAGCTCGCGAGTGATTCATGTGCCCAGAAATAGGGGTAAAAAAGGTGCATCACTCCTTCATGTCTGCTAAAAGCTTTTCGACACGTAGCGAGTATTCTCGAGAATAGAAGGATGGGACGGTTAGGTGGAACGTGGTAAGGACTGTGCAAATGGCGCCGTGCCAAGAAGAAGAAGAACATGTCGGCAAAGCCGATTGGCCTGATGCAAGAGGAGGGAAGTTCTCGAAAGACGCGCTGTCTTGGCCTGGCGTCATGGCGGTGGATTCTGGTACGCTCAGCTCAATTGAGTGTCTCTCTCATGGTCTGGTGACCTGCTCGACGAGCAATTTGAACAAGGACAGCTCCTCCATTGCTTCACAATTCCCTTGACAATCGACATCTACAGTAGCTATAAGAGTCACGGGAAAGACCACTACTCGAGAGCCTGGCGCAGGCCATCAACGATGGCCCAGACACCCCAGGCGCCCGGGTCGGGAGGCATGTCCTTTTCGTCGTCCTTGCTGGCGACGTAGGTGGCCCTTCCGAGTCTGGCCCGCATGGTCTTGGTGTCCTCGGCGCCGGCCTTTGCACTGTCGACGGCCTCCTTGAGGCTCTTGCCCGAGCCCAGGTTCTCGCAGAAGGGCGTCAGAGCGTCAACAAGGGTGCGGTCACCGGGTCTGGCGGGCGTGTAGGTGCCCAGGTTGTCGAGGGCGGCCTTGGACGCGGCACCCCACTCCTTGAGCGTCGCCGGCTGACCGGGCTTGCCAGGTCCGTTGATGAGGCCTTGAACGAGACCGGCAAAAAAGAGAGCATAAATAGCACCGCTGGTGCCGCCCATTGCGCTCTCGAGGACGGTGCCCACAGTCAGGCAGGTGCCCGCCGCCGACTTGAGGTCAATCTTGCCCTTGCTGAGAGCATCAAGGACGGCATTGGACGCGTGGGCGAGCGTCTCACCACAGTCACCGTCGCCGACAATGGTGTCGAAGCGGGTGAGGTCAGGCTCGGCGGCGATGGCCGACTTGGCGCCCTGAGTGATAGCCTTCTTGACCAGCTCTGGATCACCGTTGGACGGACCACCAGACGACTTGGAGGCATCGTCAGAGAGACCAGAGACGCTGCCCCCCTCGGCGCGGCGCTTGGCCAGGAGCTCGGCAGCCTCCTTCTCCTCGGCCTCTCGGTCGCGAGGCTTGCCGGTTGGGTTACCCCATCCGCTTCGGACACCGCTCCACGAGTAGGCATCGGTGTCCGCGTCGAGAAGCTCGAGGAGGTCCTGCCCCGTCTGCTTCTTGACATTCTTGTGGTTGATGAGCGAGATGCCAAAGCCAGGCGCGTTGAGCGACGTCATGTACTGGTTCGCAAAGCATCGCGAAGGGTAAAGGCCGTATGTCTTGCCTAAATGCTCAGTCATGGTCAGTGAACCTTTCCATAGCTCTAAAAACTCTAAGTGCGCTCACCAAGCTGCTCGATTGTCTCGTCGAGGAGAGCATTGAGCTCCAGCTGGCTCACACCGCCGAGGTTGTTGAGGAAGACGATGGGGGCGTCATCTTTGTCGAAGTCGAGGTAGTGACGGTCGGTGTCGTTGGGGTTGAGGAGCAGATTCAGCATCTCGGAGACAATCTTCTCGGGAGGCGGCGTCTGATCGAGACGCTTGAAGCCGGGTTCGTTGTGAATACCCATGCCAATCTCGCAGGCTTCGGCAGGAAGCGCGCCCCACTCTTCTCCCTTCTTTGAGCGACCGGGGACGTGACAGTGGTCGAGCGAAGTGCCGACCGAGACCGTGTTCGCGACGGTGCTGTCGCCGAGAGCCTTGAGCTGCTGGACATTGAGACCCTTTTCGGAGCCAGCACCGAGGATCTTGCAGGTGAAAGGGTTGCAGGCCAGCCCACGACGGCCGACGAGGCCACCGCGCTCACGGCCGACGGCGACATCATCGCCAACAATGACCATCTCAACGCCACCCGACTTCTTGTTGCCGCTGAATGCGAGCGCAGCACGGGCCTTTTCGGCAGCGAGACCAAAGTTGAGGCAGTCGCCCGTGTATCTGAAGCGCGATAAGTGCGGTGAGTACAGTGCAAGGGACCCCACGATCGCAGCCACTGCCGGCTCACCTGTTGACAACGAAGATGACACCGGCGTCGGTGTTTGCAAGATCAAGACCACTGCAGATCTGCGATGCAGAGGGCGAGGCGAAGATCTCTCCAGACACGGCAGCGGTGAGCATGCCTCGGCCGATGAGGCCTGCGTGGCCAGGCTCGTGACCGGCACCACCGCCGGCAATGATGGCCACCTTGTCGGGCGAGTGGGTGCAGTCGTAGATGACCTTGTGAGGCGCATAGCTTCAATGGAGGTTTTCATCAGTCCTCTGTAGCGCTCGGGACATGCCCTCGTCATGTTCCACTCACAATCGCAGAGCCGGATTGAGAGCGATAGCGCCTCGCTCGGCCTTGTCGACAAGCCCTTCGGCCGAATTGTAGAAGTGCTTGGTGGACATGTTGCGCTGATGGACGCCAAGGTAAGCCGTGCAGGCGGTGGACAATGGTTCGACACGGAGCACTCACCGATCCTCTCAAGTGACGATGGAGAGGCACGTTTGGAATGAATGAAGTGAGAAGGTGAAGGTCCGGGTGGATCAGCTTTAGGCTTTCGGCTGCGCCAGCAATATGTTGGAAAAGTGGAGTACGTAGCGCGAGGAAATGGGCAAAGCTTCTTGGGCCCACGTCGCGTGTGGCAAGGCACCAGAGCAGAGGCAGGCCCAATCTCGCTTCTGCAATTTTATGCGCTTCTTTTTGGAGGGTGACGTTGAGTTACACACGGCTGCAGATAGAAAAATAGACGAAGAGAAAGTGCCATGTGACCAAGTTTGGGTGTGACACAAGTTGAGCGCGACCAGTCAGTGGTTGGTCGTCTGAGGGCGTTACGGTGATTCAATATGTGATCTCTCGATTGATGCTGATGAGGAGTGTGACGAAGCGAGAGTACCTTCGACTCCGCCCTCCGCTCCGCGCGCGCGTTCTGCTCATGCTCACCGCCTTTCCAATGGGATGTTTTGTGACTGTAGGATGTGGACGCTGTCAAAAAGGATGAAAGCATGTGCCGCGTTTCTCGCTGCTGTGAGCAAGAGCGGAGAGGTGCAGGTCCTCTTCTACCTCCCTTTCCCTCCTCGTCCTGTCCAGAGAGGAAGGGCATATGGACTCACGAGATCGTGACCACCTGTCGGTGGCATTTCCTCTGATTTCGACAATTATGCCATTTGTGTCGATCATCAGCACCGGTCTCGCCATCATCGGCCCGGCCTTGAAGAATCGAAATCGAGTCGGGTCAGTCGAGGCCGCGTTCGACGGTGCCACTTCATCCACCGACTTCAAGACATTGGAGCAACCTCCAACGGCAATGGAGGGAGACCGTCGAGCTAGAGCCGGAGCCGAAGCCCAAGAGTGCAAAGCGACAAAGGAAACCTACCAGCTCCTCCAGGCCCTTGTCGACCACCTGTCCCAATACGTCTTTCTTGTGTACGTCCTCTGCACCTTTCTTCCCAAGCACAAGACCATCAGCTTCTTCAGCGATGGGCTCTTCCTCGTTAGCTGCACACTTGTCCTCGTCTCCAAGGCGCTTCTTCCCCTGTCCGGCACCGTGGCTTCCTGCTTCGCCGTCATGGTGACCGACATCCGTGAAGGCGGCCTCCTTGACACCACACGCTTGACGACTGCACTCTATGTCTTTCCAGCCCTTGCTCTCGCTCTTGTCTTGGCTGGCGCCAGCTATGCCCTCCGCTCGAGCAGCACTCCTTCCACCTCTGCTGCCCGCCTCCTGATCGTCTCTCTCGCCATCACCACAATCCTCTCGACTTTTACGATCTCCTTTCTCCTCTATGCCCTCAACCGCAAAGCCAGAGAGCCAGCTTGGATGTTCTCTAGACCTTCGTTCAGACGTGCGGCCAAGTCTTCAGAGCCAGCTGAATCAACTCCGACAAAACCTCGGGCCGGGCAGCGGACGCAAGAGACAACGCCCGAGTCGCTAACGATGCATGCAACGAGTCAAAGCGACACCGCCTCTCCTGTCAAGCTCAACGAGAGTACATCATCTGCTTCCGCCCACCAGAACCTCTCCTTCCTCGATCTTCCTTACCTCCCAGCAGGCGACACGGCCAGCACAGCACAGACAGCCTCACATGCAGGCACCTTCTCGGCCGGCACACTGGCCTCATCCAAGGATCCTTTCGGGTCTCAGCTCGGAGTGGAAGAAGGAATAGGAGAAGCAGGTACAGGAACGAGAAGCACGATAAATGCGCTCGCTTCTCCCTTTGGACGGTTCCGAACCCATCTCAGCGTCGGGCGGGGCTATGCTCCCTCGTCTCTCAACCCAGCCCGGCCTGCGTCTGCCTTTGGGACCGGCGGCACGGGCTTCACCCAAGTCACCGACGGCACAAAGGCGTCGTCGGACGATCCGTACAACGGTCCAGCCCCGAGCCATGGCTCCTCGTCGGCCCGCTTCGGCTCTCGCAGCACCGCACACACCCTCGCTTCGTCCACCATGAACCCTTCGTCGTCCTCGTCGTCTTCTGTCACACCATCATCCGTGAGACCCGTGCCTCGCTACCATCACCTGGACGGAAATGGGCACGAAGGCATTCTGCTCCGTCCAGAGAACATCATCGGCGAAGAGAGCCTCGAAGATGTGATCCAGCAGAGCCTCGCCCACCTGGCTCCGCCCGTCGATGATGCTGACGAGCCACAAACGCAGAGTCAAGAGGGGCAACAACATGCTGGCCAAGTGACAGTGGAGCCATCGATCGCCGTGCATGACGATACACTTGACCAGGATCTCTTCGGCGAGATCTCACGATCGTCTCTGCCAAAGGTCGAGAAGCTGCCAGCGAGCCAGGCCTCGCGCTCGCCCACCCCTGGCTTCACTTACGAGCAGGACGACTCGAGCAGCATCGTACTGATCAGCCGCCCATCCTCGTCGCAGGCGACGACGGCCGACTTGCTCGAGCCAGCCGCCCAGATCCAAGGTCCATCGCTGTTTCGAAGAACCATTCGCACAAGCACAATTCATTTCAATCGCAGCGATATTTCGACGCTGCCCTATCCGAGGTTGCTTGACACATTCGGCGTCGCGATGCTGCTTCGCACGCAGCCGGCCGCTCGGGAAGAGTGGTCCGACGAGAACAATCAAAGTGGCGTGAAGGACCCCTGGAAAGACGCCAGAATGAGGCTCAGTGTTCTCTGTGTCAGCATCTGGCTTAGCTTTGTGAGTTCAGTCTGGAAAAGTAAGAGATCTTCAGCGCTGACCATGTTGGCTACGCAGATTCTGGCGCTTCCTCTGCTCTGCTCGGCCATCGTCAAGGGCAATGACGCTGAACCGTCGCTAGGCGCGTTTGTATGCATGATACTGAGCATCTCTCTGACTGGTGAGTTGTGCCTCCACGCTGACTGCGGCATCTCTGACCGTTCCACTCGACAGGCCCTCTCTTGGCTCTACAAGTCATCCTTTCCAAAGGATTCACCTTCGTGGTACCCGAGTGGTTGAGCAATCTCGGCTCCATTATAAGTTTCAGCAAGGAGGATCAGCCCGTGCACGGTACTGCTCATTGCAGGATGGAACCCACGGATGCGAGGGAGGACGAGAGCGAGACAGTGGAGCAGGAAGACCAAGAAGAAGAAAATGGTGTGCCTGTGGCAGGGGCCGGCTTCGAGGATGTCAACGGCTACGATAGTCCAGTGTACGGACGCGTGCCTGGTCGATGGCGTCGTCAGTACGACAAGCGAGACAGCAGCAAAGGCCGCTCATCAGCCATCCTTCCTGTCAACGACCCGTCTCGATCGCGACGAAATCGACACCGCGCGGTCCGGAGCGTGCCGTTCCCCCAGGAGCACTGGCGCGCAGGCGCCGTCGAGGGAGATCACGTCGCGTCGACGCGCTCCGGCCTCGAACGCCTACTGAACCTGCTTAGTGCCCATCCCAGGCTCGAAGTTCTGGCTGAGCAGGCAAAGCAGCTTTCCGAGGAGCTTGCGGAAGAAGTAGAGGGTGATGTCTCAATCTCCTCGATCAGCATGGTTGACATCGAACTGGGCCCGAGTCATGAGCTGATCCAGAACATCATCCGAAAGCTCCAACGGTCCCTCGTCTCCTCGAGACACGGAGGCCCCATACCCGGCGCGCTGGACACGCCTGCGAACAGTGAGGCCCTGCTCAATGTCCATGCTAGAAGCCGCAGTGAGGGTGCCTTTGCGGGTGACGACTACTCAGTGACATACGACATTGACGCGCTCAGCGCCTGGATCCTGCCTAGGCTCGTGCCTGGTCTTCGCGTCGGCCCAGAGATGCGCATCAGGACCGATGAGTGAGTGAAGCACTGCTTCGTCTCGCAGTCATGCTAGCTTTTCTGACTTCTGGCCATTCTAGCGACCACTACTCGCTGCTGGAAGAGTTCGAGGAGTTGCGTCGACGCACCGCTTCCACAACTTCCCGCAACACGACGTCGTGCGACGGCCCACTGACAGGACGGCACTCAGAGGGTGAACACCGACAAGGAACTCAAGATATTTCAGTCTCCGGCGACTTTGGCGGCCCGTCCAGCAAGAAAGCCATTCGTCCGCCTCGACGAGGCGCTGTCCGTCAGCGAAGAGCCGACAACAGCACTGGCGCTATCTCGACGCAAAGCCTAGTGAACGACAAGAAATCCTCCTCTCCGTCAGGAGACGAGCAAGTCGCAGAGCGTCTCGATGGACGCGTCGAAGAGGCGATGCTGGAAATGAAAGACAAGGGCAAGCAAACGGAGGAAGGCACGGCTTGGCTTGACTTTAATTCCGCCGCGACCGATGCATCGCCTCTCACGGAGAAGGACTATCAGGTATCTCCGACAAGGGGAGCGGAAGACCAGGTACATAACGAAGAGCTGCTCTCTCCCTTGAGTCGCTCTTTAGCAAACGAGCTGGGACTTTCTCCGACGCCCAGTGAGATTCGACGCAAGCGATGCCTCTCAGCCGAGCTTGGGCTGCTGGTGGAGAAAGACGAAGAGAAGCACCACGAGGCTCTCGAGTCGGGTGACACCGTGAGCCCGCTCAAGCAAGACAAATGGAAACGGCGGAGCCTTGGCTCGGAGATGGGATTGAGACAATTCAGCTATGATGACCTCGACGCCCCGAACGGATCACCAGTCTCAAGCCAGGTCGGACGAAGGCGGACATCGATCGAATGGGGATCCGCTTCTAAGCGATCAAAAAAGGCTGAAAGCAGCAGTTGCGGCGGCAGCGTCCTCTCTGTCGGCACGGAGACGGAGATCATCATCTCTCCCGATGTGACAATCGAGCGCAAGGGGTCTGTCAAGTCTGTTTGCGCATCGGTCACCGAAGATCAAGCAGAGCAGCAAGCTGTAGAAAAAAAGGTGGAGGCGCAAGAGGAGCTGCAGCAGCACGTCGTCGTCCTAGAGGGAAGCTACAGTGACGAATCTTGTCGAGATGAAGAGGGTCCGGCACCCATTCAACACCCCGAGATGGAAACCTCCAGTGCCGAGCATGAAGAAGACATCGGAAACGTCACTTCCCAGTGTTCGATCGAGGAGGTCCTCTTCGTGCGTCAAGCCGGAGCCGCCTTGTCCGACGAAGCAGGCGAAGAGATACCGAGAAGGACAACCTACCAGCCCGGGATGCCACTCGAATTGCTCGAAGAGGTGACTGAAGAGCCGACTGTGTCCGAAGTAAGCGATGAGAGCGTGACCGGACTGCAAGCTGCCAACACCAAAAGGAGCGAAGGTCTGCCGGGATCCGACAAGGAGCAAATTGTGACAATGTCGACACCACCACGAGCGCAAGGCATCTCGCAAATGCTCGACCGATCATGGGAGAGGCTTCACGGCCTTGGCACTCCCAGCTCGGTTGGCGGAACATCGGCATATGGCTGGGCCGAGCTTCATCTTAATTCATCGTCTCCTCGCTCAGCTTCTCGCTCGCCCTCCAAGTCGACCACACCGAGGACGAGACCTTCGATGTCGAAGAAGATCCACCAGCAACGTTTACACCAGCAACTTGCCTCCCACGCCGTGCTCTCGCCATTTTCTTCACCGCAAAAGGTCATTGGCCTCAACTCGAGCTTTTGGATAAACTCTCCACAACCCGTCAAGCTCGAGCTGCAGAAGCTGCTATACAGTCAGGCCAATGCACCACTAGACCCCTTTTCTTCGTCTTCCAAGGTGATTTCTCCAAGGACCCGTCCACGACTCTTGGCCGACCAGATGGAGATGATACAGAACGACGATGACGACTGGGTCGAGCTCGAAGCCGACGAAGAGAAGGTGACTGCGAATGGAGGGCGCTCAGCATCGACGACTCGCCGCTGGAAGAGAATGTCGTCCAGTTCCACCATGTCGCTAGCAAGCATCGCTACTTCGACAACCTCGGGCAGCCTGCGACGGAGCAGCAACGGGTCCTCCGTCCTGGAGAATCTGCAGCAGGCGAGTAGGTCAAAGGGAAAGGGGAAGGAAAGGAGAAGCCTGCACGAGATTTGGTCAGGTAAAAAGCACGGAAAGACGGGCACGGCTGATACCCCCGCGACACCGACGTATCCAACCTCGAAGACGAGGGACGCAACCACACTCGGTCTTGATGCATTGAACGGCGAGAACGGCAAGACCGACTTGGGTGAGAGCGATGGAGATGAGAAGACGCCGGTGACCGCTTCGCAAACCCTTCATCACCGTCCGCCCTCTCCGCCAGCCTCGTCGATGGCAACTAGTATGAGGGCGACGGGAGGCTGTGAGGAAGAAGAAGGTGATCATGGCTCAAGCTACAGCACCGATGCAGTCTCGATCAAGTCTTGCAAGAGAACCAGTGAGTGTGAAGATAGGAGTGGCATGTGTGTTCTGGTGCTGAGACGAAGCACGGCCAGGTTTTGCTAGACCACAAAGGGTCTTGATCACGCCTCCCAGCAGTGCCTTCACTACCGTCTTGGGTAACCCCTGCCAAGAAGACGCTCAAGACGAGGAGGCACACTGGCAAGACGAACCTGACTCAGCCGCAGAAATGCGAGACCAAGAGCCTGAAGCGACTGTGTTGCCCTCGCCAAGCTCGTACACCAAGAGGCGTCGCTACGCGATCGGCTCGCCGTCGACCGCTTCGTCTCCCAGCAGGAAGTCGATGAGCAGCTGCTCCTCTGCGACCAAAGTGACTGGCAGCTCGCGCCAGATCGAGGCTTCGGCAATGTCAAACGCAATGACTTTTGCGAGCCCGCTGCGAGAGATGAGAGGCCCGCATCGACACCGTCGCACGCCAGGTTCGCTACACCGTCAGGGCGGCAGTGCCGGCGGCGGTTCACCTTGCTCCATCAGCCGCCCACGCGCACAGCTCCCCTCGGTCCATATTCGCCCTCCAAGCTCTTCCACCAGCGTTCCTATGGAGCATCACTTCCCCTAGGCTTCTTTCTCTATACTGTCCCGCTACTTTTCAGTCTCCTTCCAATCTCATACACACCAGTCTGACGCGGGTCCCGCAGGCTCCGTTGAAGTGTATATGCGGTAGCAGTGCTACATGACTATGATTCTTCTTGCCCTGTACGCGCCTCTCTTTCCCCTCGCTCCTGTCGTAGCTGGCTCTTTGATGTGAGACGGGGCCATTTCAAGTTGCCATGGGTGCCGTTCCGCTCGTCTGTTTGTCAAGCTCGGCCCTACCGCACGCATCACATTCGTCAGCATTACGGACTTATTACGGACCTAGGCCAGAAATTGTGCAGGGGCAAGGGGGAAGGCTCACCTCAAAGCCTTGCTGAAGTCATCTTCAACGTCGTCATCGTCCCAGTTGTCCTCCCACAGGTGGTCAGCTGACGAGCCACCTGCCGCACTCCCCGGGGCCCCCGATGCGCCGACACCGCCCGCGCTGTTGCGCTCGCCTGAGATGCTCAGGCCCGAGGCACCGCCCGTCGTGTTGGACGAGAGATGCGCAAGCGACGTCTCTGAGTCGTCCCAGTCTGCCACCGGATATGAGAGTCTCGTCAGCTTCTCCTGTCACCCCTCTACACTCGCATGCGCGGGAGGCGCGACGCACCCTGCACCTCGAACTCTTCGAACTCGTCATCCTCGTCCAAGACGCCCAGATGAGGCACCTCGTTGCTGTTCGAGGCGCCTTTGCTGTTTGGCTGAGCGCTTGCTCCGCCAGCGGCTGATGACGAAGGCCCCTGATCGGCTTTCTTGGGAGCGTTGCCGGACATGTCTGAAGGTGAGCTGGAGCGAAGAAAGCGTTGGCAACGTCTCGAGCGGGCGAGCTCAAGGGACGCGTGTTCTGACAAGTGTATATCCACGTGACGGTCGGGGCGTTTGGAATAATATAATTGCTTTCAGATGTTACAACATTTCTCCTTATTTCAATATAGAGATCCTTCCCTCCACAGGGCAAGGAAGACGAGACTACAACTGCTCGAAGACAAGGACTGCTAAAAGCACTTCTTCTAGGCACCAAAGCCCATTCCCTCTACGTGTTCGACTTCTTGGATCTCGGACAGCCAGTTGGCTCTGTCCTTAGTGAACAGCTCGGTATCTGGCCTGAGCTTGGTCTCCATCAGGTTGAGGTCGTCCACGGTGCCAATTCTGAGAATACTGACGCCCGGGAATCTCTCGCCGACGCGGTACATGAGCGTGCCACAAGTCGAGCAAAAGTGATTGGTCATGTACTTGGAAGTGACGGGTGTCTTTTTCTGGCTGAATTCCTTGAGGTTCTCCTTGCCTCGGAGATGCTTGAGGTATTTGTTGTCGACGATGAAATTGGAGCAGAACATCGACGAGGAAATCTTGTGGCAGTCGTAACAGTTGCAGACGAAGGCGCCCTTGTAGCCTGGCTTGTTGACCGGCTGTGTATGCAGGTAGTGAGCTACCATCGCCGCAACTTCAATGACGAGAGAGAGAAGCTGTGAGACTCACGAATGCCAGCTGGACAGCCCCGCAGAAGCACGTCGCAGTCGCTTCGTCCTCGTTCGAGTAGCCGTCCTGAGTCAAGCTGGCCAGAGGCATGTAAGGCTTGGACTTGTCTGCGTTCTTGACCGACATTGTTGTGTGGTTCTGAATAGCTGATAGGCGTGTGTTGGCTCTTGATGCTGACATCGCTGTGTTGGCAGTCTGAGGGCACACTCTTATATGCTTGTGAATTGTCCCCGCACCTCGCTCGACTTGCTCCACTTTGGCTACTTATCACCGCGTTACACGGGTGTCGTCTGACACTACGACAATTCATGCGCTTCGGAGCTTAATTGCTTGACCCTAAAATCCGAGATACAGCGCAAGCTTCATAGGCGTTTACCATGATGACGGCTGTTGAGAAGCGTCTAGCTTGGCGAGTCGGCGTCGTTGTCTTCGACAAGCTACAATTCTCACACTGCTCGGGAATATTTAGTGCCGATGGGAAGCGGAAGATCCACAGTTCGTCGACCACGGTTAGGCTAAAAGCCGAGGATGTGTCCGCACGCCACCTTTGTAAGATCCTCTTTCCACCCAGTCGGACTTTTCCACTTTCCGGGCCTGCATTCAAGATGCGAAGCTCTTGCGAGCCTCTGGTCTTCTCAATGCTGGCCGGCCTTCGAACAAGGCCAGAGCTGCCATGGGAGGGACAGATCTCGTCAAGGCCGGAGCCCGTGACTTGAAAACCCGTCACGAATTTTTGTCAGACGCGTGTCGTGTCGCCCACGATGCAAGCCGCATTTCTCAGGCTTCGAAAAAGAACAACACAAGCTCGCGCGCTCGCGCGCTCGCGCCCGAATATCAAGCTATTTCTCTGGCTCTCTCCTCCTTGCATTACTCTGCCTCTCCCGTGCCTGCCTTGCCTGTCGATCCAGCGCGGACGTTGGTCAACAGAGATTGCAAACATGGACAATTCGCTAGCACCCACCTGGCCCACTGACTGGGGAAACAGTACTGGCGCCCCGCTGGTCTGCGTACGCATAGGAAGCTTTCTTCTGCTTGGACGGAAGACGAGAGCGGAAAGGGGCGAGGAATGACATGTCGCAAATAATGTGATCGCCACCCCTCTTCTCTTTTTAGAGGAAGTGCTTGTTCTCCGCCAGGCTGCTTGTTTCCTCCCCTGTTTCTCGCGCCTTCCATCGAAACAGCCGACCGTATCTCCCGGGATTTTGGCTCTTGCCCTCCTGTTGCTGTTGCTGACAGCAGGCCGAGCTGTTTATCGCCATCATCACCGACGTCACCCTTCTCTTTCCCCCTCTTCCTGCTTCGTCTCCCCGCTTCACGCTCGCTTCTTCTCCCCCTCTCCTTCTTGTCACCACGCTCATTTAACAACCACGCTCGTTTAAACGGCCCACAGGGTCGGTCTGACCGGATAATAGTCCCAGAATCGAAGAAGAAGAAGGAGGAGCCATGGCAACAATCCCTGAAGCGCCATCAACACCAACGAGGGCGGGCAAGCGCAAATCGCTTATGGTGGCTGTCTCGCAAAGCGCGCAGAGCAGCACTACGGACCATGGAGGCTCGAGACCATTTAGCGGCAGCGGAGCAGGACTCTGGCTCTCCTCGGGCGCCGAAGGTGGGTCTGGGTCGATGGGAAGGGCGGCCAGCAAGAAGAAGAGCAGCAGGACTGAACAGATGGTCGACCATGTCGCCAATGCGGATGCCAAAGATGCTGCTGCGGTCGAGGCTGCGCTTCTAGGGGTCCTGGACAAGGAGAACCAGGCAAGGACACCACGCACATATCACATCTCACCTCGACTGCAGGGTAACGAGCAGGCGGCTATAATTCGGAGCAGCGGATCGGATGGGAGCGTCGACGACTGGGAATGGAAGCTGCGAAGCGAGACAATTAATGCGTCAGCAAGCGGCGACGTTGACCTCGACCTGAGCTTCGACTTTGCCAGCCAGCTCGAGACGGAGAGACGGAGGCGCGGACAGGAGCCCAAGCTGGTTTTCGACGAGAAGCCAGCCTCGCCTCTGAGCATCAAATCCATCAACGCCTCGCCCGCCGGCATGGCATCAGCCAAGTGGACTTCGAGACACCGTAAGGAGCCTCCAGCGCCGCTGCCCCTCTTTTCCAAGCTCAGTAATCAAAAGGCGAGCGCAAAGGATCAGAACGTCAAGAGCGCATTCAGTCCCATCGATGATGCGCCGCTGGCCACGACACCCCTCAGCGCGACGAGACGCGGCGTCGACTCGGGCTTGAATGCACTCGCCAACAGTATTACAACGCAAAGTGATCCACCTGCCGCCTCTCATCTACCCCTGCAGCCGTCGGCCTCGCAAAGTTCTTCTATTGTCGACCTCACATCGGCAAAGGACGCCGACGAAGTCTCCTCAATTGTCCGACAGCAGCGCCAAGATGCCATTGAGCGGCAGCAGCACCAGAGAAATAAAAACACAAAGGCCAAGTCAAACTCTGTCTCGCCGAAGAAGCTGAAGACGAAGCGATCGGTTCCCTTTGGCTTTGGCTACAATGGTGATGTCGGCGGCGATGGCGTGGGACAACAAGAATCTTCAACAGTGTCGCCGAGAAAGGTCAAGAAGAAGGGCTCGGTGACGGCACTCGGCGAGAACAACAACAGACACAACGTCCAAATGGGTATGAAAGGAGCCAACGAGGAAGAGGAGGACGGGTACGACTTTCGAAAGCATCTCAAGAAGCAGCCTAGTGTCGCCTCCTCGATTGGCGGCGGCGTTGGCACCGGCACCGGCACCGCAGCCAGCTTTGTTACCGCAGATGGCTCGATGACTGCTGGCCATAAAAAGAATCGGAGCATGGGTCGAACGAGGGGAAACAGCATCGCGAGCACCGATACGTGGAAGACGGCGGAGACGAAGGCATCCAACGGACAGGAGGAAGGAGGCCCTCTTCCTCCTTTGCCGAGCTTTGCCGGGCAAGGTGGACTGGCACTTGGCCTCTTTGACGGTTCAGAATCTGCCACCATGCCCACCGATCCTCGTCTTTCGTCGTCCACCAGGGTGCTGCTAGAGCCCATGTCGGCCAAAGGCCACACAATGCAAGAGAATTCGAGCAGCCCGGCCATGCACGGTAGCGATCTCAGCTCGCCCATGACGCCCTTCTCGGCCCTCTTCTCAGAGCCTGGCACTGGTCGAGCGCCGGGGAGCGACTTTACCCACGCAACCGCCCCTCCGTCGGAGGCAGCAGGAACACCTGCGTCTCTCGGCTTTACTCGCCTGTGGAACGACGATGCAAAGCAAAGGCGTGCTTCCCTCGAGCACACTTCCACTGCTATGGCTCGCGCTGCCACGACTACTTCGGCCACCAAGCAGTCAAGCAGCCTACAGAACAACATCATCAGCGAAGAGGAGAGCGTTGACCGCATGACTGCTTCAGCACCGGCAAAGGCTTTTCTGGTGGACCTGCCCAAAGTCGACACGGAGACCTGGATCCGACAGCAGAATGTTCGCACCAACACCGAGGACAGCAATAGTAACACCAATGGGAGCGCGACGTCAAGTTCGGAATCTGACTCGGCAAGGGGAGCAGGACCGATGATTCTGGATACGAAGAGCAGTCCAACGGAAGGTGAACGTTTCTTTGCTACGGCCACCAATGCTGAATCGCAGCAGCCTCGTAGTCCGCTCCTACTGAGCCCTTCCCTGGCCGCAACAGTAGCTATTGCGACGGATGCCAAGGACTCGACTAGGAAGCGATTGCCCTCTCAGTTGGGTCCTATCAAGGACATGCGTGCCTTCACGAGCCCTGAGCCATCCGTCTCCCCAACTGCCATTGGATTGGGCCTCGACTTTGGCGGCAACGACGAAAATGACAAAGGAGTCAGGCGTTCCAAGAGCTTCCAGTTCATCCAAGATGACAATGTCATCGTCGAGCGTGCCCAGGTTGATGTGCCGGCCTCCGTTTCAGTCCTACTGGACGGAACGTCGCCCGCACCGAGGTTGAGCACGTCAAGCAAGGGCCCGGGTAGCGTCAAGCTCAACGTCATGTCGAACGTCGACAAGAACACGACGTCGGCAGTCCTCTCGTCGCCCAGCTTCTCTTCGAGCTTGGATGCTTTCTCCTTCAACGCAACTCCCCTGTCGCACACCATTCGTCTTCCTTCGGCTGAAGAGCTCCCTCAGCAAACCAATCCGCGATCGCAGCCAGCAGAAGCACAAACGGTCACAGAAGATCTTTTGTCCCCAGATCCGGCAGATGAAGGCGGCGCCAGTCGAAGTCGGTGGAGCTCTAGGCTGTGGAGTGCTGCAAAGGGCTTCGCCACTGGCGGAGATTATGCGGGCGTTCTCGACAAGACGGAGCGCGGTAACTCTCCCTCGCCTCCTATGCGCCCGCTCACCCTACTCAACACCCGACCTCTCAGCGATGGCAAGCGAAGCCACCAGAGATCCAGGTCACACGACGGCAGCCGCGAGCAGACGCAGCAGCAGACGCAATCGAGGAAGAAAAAGCAGTCGACTCTCGGACCTCACAATGTTGTCGATCTTGGATCTGTGTCTGCTCCCACATCGGCTATCTTGCCTCCCTCGCCCTTATTCCAGTCCTTTGGCATTAGTCACGATGATGAACCAGAGAGCACGCCTCGTTCGCCTGCACCTGCAGCCCTGGCTAACGACGACAAGGTCGACTCTCGATCCAAGGCTAGCCGAAATGTAAAGAGACACTCGAGGATTCGCTATCTCCCTAGCGGCCTAGAGGTCCGACTTGAGCCAACGGCCCAAAGTGACCCTACGTCGCCTCGTAGTCCGTCGGCGGCTTTTACACCCAAGCTGGCGGATCTCATGCGAGAAGAGGAGCAGTCGTTTGCCTCGCCAAGCAGCAGGAGAAGCTCGTGGCGCGGTCCAGGAGGCCAGCCAAGAGGTGGAAGCAGGTTGCCATACGTCCCCTCTCCTACACCAGGCGATGAAGATGCTGGTCTGCTAGACTCACCTTCAGTGGACTACGCTGCCAGGAGGCAGAGCTCGCCAGTCATTGGATCGCCTTGGCTCGGCTTCGAAGATGAGGAAGAACAAGACAGGGCAGCTCAAGACGAAGACGAAGAGACACGTCGGAGGCGGGTCGAAGAAGAGCTCAAGACGGCGAGAGAGAGATTGTTGGCGGGCCAAGCGAGCCCATTCCCCAACCCGCACCTTGATACAGCTGCACATCGTCAGAAGCTTCTCAGAAATCGGTCTATCATGTCCACTTCCACAGTCAGGCATCGTCGAGCAGCGACCGAGACCCTTTCGCCACCAACTGCCACCGTTGCTCCGCTCTCCTGGACCTCTTCCAGGCAGGGTGGAGAGGCTTCGACACCATCCGCACGTGTCTGGCTTCACAAACCTTCAAGCCCCGAGTCGCCCTCTCAATTTGATGTCTATGGTCGGTCGCGCGGCCATCAAAAGAAAAACGCCATAGACATTGGCCATCAGAATGGTCACGGCGGGTTGAAGAACAAAGTGGGCAATCCCATGGTCGTCTTTGTCCCCACGTCGGCCATTGAGAACCATCTACTTCGGATGACGGGCTCGCACGCGCAAGCTGACGAGCGCAAAAGGAAACGCATGGTCCGGAGAAAGGTTCTCACGCACCACTGGTGGTCTTCGGTCCTTCCCTCGAACACGCTGATGAACACCTCGGCTGCGAAGAAGCGCCAGTCGACATGGTCTGAATACGGCGAGGGTCTTCTCAAGTCCAGCAAGGCGGTGTTCCACGATGGCAGACCAAGCAGATCCATGTTCCTCCTTGGCTTCATGGGCATGCCGTGGCTCTGGCTGATTGGCGGATGGTACCTGGACCAATGGGGAGAATGGCCGCAACCGATGGAGCCTCTGCTCCTGCCGGAGGACTACATGATTGTGAAAGGCCTTCCTCCGGCTCCTTCGAAAGAGCTTCCGCTGGTGCAATGGCAGGCGAAGGCACGGCCGGAAGAGGAGGACGAGCAGTCTTTAATGCCGCGGACGCCTCAAAATCCTCGGCAGCCAGATCAGTCGGAATCGACTCTTTCACCTCCCTCGCCTGTCTCCAAACAGCCAGTCTCGCGTTTCGACGATGACGAGGATGAGCAGGGCGACGCGATCGTGTCGCGGGGGCCAATGAGGAATGATCAACCTTTTTCGCCCAAATTTCTTCTGCGAAATCGCTTCTCAAATGTCTTTCGAAGCGGTGACGCATCCCACGGCCGCTTTCAAAGTGGTGGAAGACTTGACGTTCAACGAGATAAGATCCCTTCGACCCGACAACGCAAAATCAATCAGCAGAACCAAATCAAGCCCGAGCAACGACCCATCACCGTGCAACTCAACTATTACCTCGCGAATCCTGCGAAGTTGTACGACGCTTTCGAGGATTCCGTCTATCAATCTACCTGCCAGATTGTCGCAGGCTGCCAGCAGACGGTGTCCAACTGCCAAAAGCTCGACCCATTCGTCCTCGCCAACAGGATCTTGGGACTGGGCAGCATGGTCATTGCGTTTGCGCTCATGGCTTGGGCCATCTACGAAGTCGTTCAGCGCTATTAGAATCTTTCTTTTTGTGGTCTTCTTGCTGCTTTGGAGGCGCCGAGCGAGAACAAAGAGCCGATTTCGCTCTTTGTTTTGACGTACTTTTCTCTCCTTTGAGCATCTCAAAGCCGCTCTTGCATTTCGCTTTCACCCTTCTTTCCCCTCTTTTCCCCAGTCCCTCTTGGCTTGTCTTTTGTCTGTGAAGATATCCTCTCATTACTATTACACACTCTTTTGCAGCAGTTCTCTAAATCTAATCGTATGTACACAACGACGGCTGAATGAACCTCGGCGACCTAGGGTATCGACGGTGAAAAGAAGATGCCGAGTGTAACTGTCTGTTCCTTTGACAGACCACGGATTTGTGTCTGCGCAAGACCAGAGAGCTTACTGCAACTCCATCTTTCTCTTCTCGTCGAAATGCATTCTCCTCCTTTTCTTTTTGAGCCACGCAGCTGTGCCCTCTTTGGGGTTGTTATTGCGACGAGCGACGAAGACCCCATCTTCGCCATTGGCCGCACCTTCGATGAATGACTGCGAATTCTTGACCCAATCCTTCCCGGGAATCTCCCCATTCCCCGATTTTTCAAGAGGAGATGATCGCGGTTTTTCTCCTCCACGAGGTGTGGGCACTGCTCGTTTAGCCCTCCGACAGGCCCCCTTCTTCTCATCGAAAAACTTGAAGGCGACTCTTCGTCGTCGGCGCGGACGCCGACGACATCCGCTACCATGGCATCTGAGGTATCCTCAGCAGCTCGTGACACCTCCGCCATCCATGCGACAACTCGTTCTTTTCTCTCCTCGCTCCTGTCTACCTTGCTCCTATCCTTCGTGTCCATCACCGGCCCTTTCTCGGCGCTTTCGTCTTCTTCTTGTTTTGGATCTCTTCGACGCAGATGTCCAACGACACTCCTAGCTGCAGTCAAGAGCCTGGACGAGAAGGCGTTTTCCTCTTCGCTCGGGCACCAATCGAGATTCTCCTTGGCGCTCTCTGGTGGCTCGCTCCACCCTCGGCCTGACCAAGTCATCAAATCGAGAGCTTCGTCTTGCGGATTTCGAACACAAAGGTTTCGCTCGTCGACAATGTCGTCGTACCCTGGCTTCATCAAAGGTACGAGGCCGTAGCCACTTCCAGCGCGTGGCGTCTTAACCTGCCTCTTGTCGACATTATCCTGTTTGCCAAGCCAGCGGTCAAAAAAAGAGCCAGGGAAGATGCGTTTCCGCTCTACGTCCCTCTTGTGTTCTTCGTCCAGGTACGGAAACACGTTGACGAAAGCGCAGAGCAGGCACAGCCCGACCGCCGCGACGAACAGGAGGTTTGACCAGGTGGCGTTGCTAGGCCAACGCGATAGGACATTCGACAAGTGGTTGTTGAGGACCGAAGGTGACATCCGCGCAAAGTGCTGCGCCGACGATTGCAGAATGCTCTTCATAATAGCGATGACTACTTCTTCCAGCCGGCACAAGCATGCACGACCAAAGTTTTAAGATGACGTGTTGATGGTGCTCGGCCGTTCACAGCGATGGAGGTCTGTGAAGATGCGCATAGCAGCGGCATCGAGTCGGAGAAGAAATTCACGCAACTGAGACGTGTAATTTAGGGCCGCCTGCGGGGAGTCAAATCGTCTCGAGAGCAGACGTCGAGACACAGAATCACCGCTTCTTTCTCTCCTCAACGAGCTTGGAGATGGCTGATAGGATTACAAACGAAGGGAAAAGACATGACATCCAGATTTCAAACTTGGTCTTCGAGGATCGCATTCCGATCCCTCTCCTCCTCTTCGACGGCCTCGACGATCTCTTCCGTTAGCACTCTGAGCTCCTTGACGAGCTCGCTTCGATCCCATTCGGATCTCCTCTTCCAGATGACATCGAATGCGGCGGCTCGAAGCTGCTCGAGTTGCTCGATGTTGAACATGCCCGTCTTACCAAGCATGTAAGCAAAGAGCTGGTCCAAATGCTGGCGATCGACCTTGAATGGTGGCAGAGGGGCAGCTTGCGGTGGTGGTGTACCAGACGCATGGACGATGGGGGACGAGATTCCGTTCAGATAGGGCTGTGCTCCCTTTAACTTGTCTTGAGCCAGAGACGACGGATATGCTGGGAAGCCGTGCGGTGGTGGGTATAGCGAAGGATCCAATTGCGCTTGGGCCTGCATTTGAGGACCACTCGAAACCGTTGACGAGCCGATTCCCTGACCGAGCAGAGTAGCCTGCTCATGTCCGAGGTCCATTGAGAGGTCGGTTTCTTCTCCCTGCAGTCTTGCCCGCTTTCTGACTTCATCATCGACACCCGTCTCAGCCTCATCGCTGCTCATCGCACTCCGCTTCTTGTCGCCATTGCTCTCTGTTGTCGCTGTCGCCTCGCCCGCTGTCGCAGCTCCTGCGTCCGCTTTTGCTTTCTCCTCGGCAGCCTTTGCTTCTTCTTCCCTCTTCAACATCCTCTCGCTCATACGCTCGCACTCCACTCGGAAGGCAGTGTCGACGTATTGATCGATGAGAATGTTGGCGACATTCCTTAGCTGTTGTGCTCTCGTCAATCGTTCCTCATCGACTTCAGAGGCCTCCTCGGCATTGGAAACGATTTTGCCCAGGTCGTCCATGAAATCTTTGCACGTCAGGTAGCCATTGTAGTAGAGTCTCTTTTGCATCTTCTCCAGCGTCATCGTCCAGATGTGAAGATCACGGACGTAGAACCCGAATTCGTTTTTACGCATCCCATTTGCCTGGCCATCCGTCGTCGGGTTTGCGGGAGGTGGATTAGCTGAAGAGAAGCCACCAGCCATGGCAGCCGCCAGGCCAGTCAAGGAGCCACCAGCAGAGCCATTGAGGTGTTGCCCCGAGTTGTAACCATTCGCTCCGGTCCCTGCCGAAGGCATCAATGGGATGCCGTTGCCAGCAGCCATCAAAGACTCTTGTGAAGCCGTCGGTTGATCCGAAGAGAGGTTGGGAACTTGAAGGGTGACATCTGCACTACCGCCTCGGCTGGCTTCCCTGCTGTCTTCGGCAGCCAAGGCATTCGTTGTGAGGCGGTGGGCGCCCAGACGCTCCGGATCGGCGCTTGATCTCCGCCTTCGCTGAATGAGCTGCGAGTCGGGTTCGTAGAGAAGCGTGACAATGACCTTGTTCTTCTCGCGACGCCAATCGAATTGTTGCGTGAGCTCGTGCAGGTTATACTCGTCCCATACATCCTTCTTGAAGCGCGGGAAGCGTTTTCGGAGATCTGCGAGAACGGGTCCGAGACGAAATTTGAGATGCTCCAGCAGCCGTGCGTCGTCGTTGGCCTGCTGTCGAAGCTCGGCCACCGTCGGTTGCCTAGGGGGCGGAGGAGGAGCTATGGGCAGCTCCTCGAGTACCCGTTTTCGCCTTGGCATTGCATCAGGAAACTGGTTTGGCGGCTTGCTCACATTGCCAAGCACATTGGAAAGGTAAGCTTGACGCTCTGGCAGCGAAGGGCTCGTCACTTCGACTTTGTTGTTACGCATGTACCCAAACCATGGCCTCACATCACGAGGCAGAGCCGAGATTGGCTCCTCGGCAATTGCGAGGAGGAGGATGGGATCCGATGGCGAGACACTGTCGAGCAGAGACTTGGTCGTCGTTCGTACACTCTCGGAGACGGAATTGGACCAACTGACGAGATCGGGAATGAAGAGGATGCTTGGCTTGTGTCTCCGGGCCTCATTGAACTTCTGGACGACGCAAGCCTCGGGCGTCACGCTGCTGTCGCCCATGATCGAGCCAACGTCCAGCACTTGAACGTGGTAGCCCTCGAGATGTTGCAGCAAAGCAGCGCCCACGTACGTCTGACCCATTCCAGGACGACCGTGGATGAGGAATCTTGGTCGAAAGACGCGCATCTTTTCAAAAGACTGCAACATCATTTCTCTACCAAAGCCTCCGTCGCTTGATGCCGAAGGGTTCTGGTCATCATCCTCCCACATCGCTTCCTCGAGAGGATTACGCTTCGAGGAAGGTGGCATGACCTTCCCCAAGGCCGCGATGGCTTCCTCAACGGTAGCAGAGAGCAGAGGGCGCAGGTGCTCGGGCAGGGGAGAGGCCGAGGATGTCGAGGATCGAGCAGACGAGGGAACGACCTTGTTGACGGACATCATGAAGTCCTTGGCATCTACCTTGATTGTCTCTGGTGCGAGTTGGAGTCGTTCAGTCGTCGAATATATTTGGGGATATCGCCGCTGGATTGCGTTGAGAGCGGCTTCGGTGCACAACGCCTATAGGACGGCTGTATCAGCACCACCATCGTCAAGCCTTTGAATCATTAATCAGCCACTCACTCTTAGGTCTGCACCACCGTAGCCCTTGGTCACCTCGGCCAAGCGGTCTTTGAAGCTGTCATCCAAGGGTGGATCCCAGCCCTGGGTATGAATGTTGATGATGCTCTTCCTTGCTTCTCGGTTGGGCAAGGCGAAGTAGAATTCGCGATCAAAGCGCCCGGGTCTTCTCAGGGCTGGATCGACGCTATCGGGCCGGTTCGTCGCGCCAATGACGACGACTTGGCCGCGTCCATCCATGCCGTCCATAAGAGCCAAAAGTGTGCTGACGATGCTCGCGTGAATCTGATCCTGTTTTGAACTCCTGACCGGTGCCAGACCGTCGATTTCGTCAAAGAAGATGATGCTCGGTTGGCTAGCTCGCGCCTCCTCAAAAAGCAGACGTAGCTGTCTCTCTGCCTCGCCCACCCACTTGGACAAGCAGTCCGCGCCCTTGCGCATGAAAAACGAGATCTGCTGACCCGAAGAGCTGCAGCTAGCGGCCAGAGCTCGAGCAACGAGCGTTTTTCCGGTGCCGGGTGGACCATGGAAGAGTACTCCTCGCGGCGGTGTCACTTTGAATCTTTGGAACACTTCGGGATAGAGAAGAGGTAGACTGACCATTTCCTTGAGCTGCTGGATGTGCTGATCAAGGCCGCCCACCGAACTGAAGTCGATCTTCATGTCTACGCCGAGAGGATCTACATCTGCGAGCTCGGTCGTGCCCTTCATCCGTCCCATGGCGTCCCGGTTGGCGCCCAAGTCGGCCCCGAGCGCACTTCCCCCGGCCGCGCCCCCGCCACCTCCCACACCGCCAGTACCGAGCAACCCACCGGCAGCTGAGCCACCAAAGATGGCCGCCGCATTGGCGCCCGCCTTTCGAGAAGCTGGAATGTCCTCGTCTGAAGAGTCTGGATCGCCCTTGCCGAATAGTCGGTCGTAGTCCTTCCCCGACATCGATGCGGGGAGATTGCCCCAGTCTTCTATTGACTTTCGGGTGCCCGGCAAGCCGCTGATGGCGCCATTGAGACCTGAGAGGTCGTACTTGAACTTCTCCTTCGGCCTGCCTCTGCCCCTCTTGACCTGTGTCGTCGGATCGATGGCGTCGAGGGGGGGCGGAGCGATGTTGTAGTTGACCTGCTTCGTTCGAGTACGCAACTTGTAGCTGCGTGGTTTTCGAGCGGGCAAAATCTCTTCGTCGGACGCCATCTCCCCCAGGTCCTCTTCATCGTCATCGTCGTCCTCGGCTTCGGCCTCCTCTGTCTCTTCACCATATTCAGACTCAGCCTTTTGCGTCGCTCTGCGTCTTGCCGCCATAGCCTCGAGCCTGCTCTTTCTATCAGATGACTGTTGCTCATTGCGCTTGGGCTTGCGACTGCTGGAACCACCGTATTCTTCGTCAGGGTCTTCCTCATCTTCATCGTCCTTGACAAAGTCCTTCTCTTCTCGTCTCTGCCGTCGTGAAGCCGATCTGCGACCATAGTCCTCGTCTTCATCTTCCTCGTCGTACTCGTCCTCAACGTCCTCATCGTCGTCGTCGACCACAAAGTCATCCATCTGCCTCGACTTTCGCTTTGCCTGCCTTGGCTTGACCTGCTCCTCGTCGTCGTCGTCATCCCCATGCTCACCATAATTCACCCGCGGAACACTTCGTCCACTCCTCGTCGTTCTCGAGCCCATGGCTTTATTTGTCCCTGCAGCAGGGCGGAAGGGAAAGAGGAAGGAAGGTCCGACTGGGAAGCCGTATCACACAGCTGCAGACGTCTGTTGGCACGGCGCGCGGGTGTTGGTGATAGACAGACAGACGCCTGACGCGACGAAAGTTGGTGGTCGAGATACAACTTTTGATTTCAACAATAATTCAAGAAACGCGCCCTGAACAGTCATCACCACCGCTCAGGCAGATTCACAGCCCACACCGGCGCATACAAGCCAAGGCTCCCTTGTCTTCTCTGAGACGCTCGCCTGGTCGCTCCCTCTCCGCATCGGTGGCATTTGCAAAAGCGTACAGAGCTGGGGCTGGAGGCGCCTGTGCCATGGATGACCGCTCGACCCTCCATCGCTGTTGAGTGTGAGACGCGGCGCGTCGCAGATTGCTACGTCTAAAGGCGACCGACCACACCATCGTCGGTCGCCACAGCGTCGAGCTTCGACTTCGCCCGCCATGCCGGTCCCACTGCAGCCACCCAACAACATACCGCTTGCTTCTTCGCTGCCCAAAGTTTCCTTTCGGCGCATCCCGGCCTCGGAGGCGCTCCTTCTGGCCGCCCCCGCGGGCGTGCATGAACAAAGAGACATCAATTTTGGCTTCAACGATGGGGCCGAGTTTGACAAGCCCGAGCACTACATTCGACATGTCGAGCCCATAGAGAGCGAGCTCAAGAAACAAGTCGAGTATGACATGGACGAGCAAGGTATGGCTACTGGTTTGGGCTAAGTACTATGGCAATGAGCTGAGCTTCCCTACATTCTCCCCAGACCAAGAGTGGCTCGACGCCCTCAACACCGACCGCAAGCGAGACCAGCTCGATATCATCTCCTACGAGGTGTTTGAGGTCATCATCGACCGCCTCGAGAAGGAATGGTTTGATTTGGTGAGTTGATGACCAAGCGTGGTCCGTCATATGAAATCATACTGATCTCCACCTTTGACGACATGTCAGATGAAGCTGATGCCGCCAGAGCCCCAACCAACCACGCTGGATGAGGATGGAGAGCCTATTGAAGATGGCAATGAAGATACAGCATGTGCCATCTGCGACGATGGCGAATGCGAGAATTCGAATGCCATTGTCTTTTGCGATGGATGTAACCTGGCCGTTCATCAAGGTGAGCTAAATGACTGTGCGAGATTACTCCACTTTGCTACGTTTTCCTCACCAACTTCACTTCCGAAACAGACTGCTACGGGATACCGTACATTCCGGAAGGCCAGTGGCTCTGTCGCAAATGCACCGTCTCGCCAGATCGTGCGGTCTCGTGCATCCTTTGCCCGCATGAAGGTGGCGCCTTCAAGCAGACAACCCAAGGCAAATGGGCTCACCTCCTCTGTGCGATGTGGATCCCGGAAACGGGCGTCAGCAATCCCGTCTATATGGAGCCTATCGACAGTGTCGAAAGAATACCTCGAGCCCGTTGGAAGCTGCAGTGCTACCTGTGCCGACACAAAGTGGGCGCTTGCATCCAGTGTGACAACAGAAACTGTTTCACAGCCTTCCACGTCACTTGCGCTAGACGAGCCGGTCTCCTGCTCAGGACGCAGCGTCAGAGAATGACCCACGAGGAGGAGAGTGACGATGATGACGAAGCCAACGAGAATCTCCGAGCTTGGTGCCACCGCCACCTGCCAAAGAATCTTCGCAAGGATATGACGCTGGACGAGGTTGATGAAATCGATAGCAGGAGCGACTCGCCGGCCAAAACATTACCCCCACCTAAGCATCTCATTAAAGCAGCCGCTCCAGGCACCAGCGCGCCCGGCATGAAGAAGTCGGCAAGGGCGTACAAGAAGTCTTATAGAGCCGGCCCGCCTCTCGTACCCGCCTACGTCCTCAACCGTGTCCTCGAGTACATCAGCAAGGTGCAGATCAGAAAAAAGCAGCAATTTGCTCTCCAGATTGCCAAGTTCTGGAGTCTGAAGAGGGAGGCCAGACGTGGCGCGCCTCTCCTCAAGCGGCTCCATCTCGAGCCTTGGACTGCGAGCGCCAACACAAAGGAGCAAACGGATGCCGAACGCATAAAGAAACTTCAGTTCCTGCTTCGCCTTCGAGAGGACCTGGAAAAGGTGCGTATGCTGGCCGAACTCGCTCGCAAGCGCGAAAAAGAAAAGCTACGCCAGGTCCGAACAATCCGCTCGACGCTCGTCGAAGGTGTCCTCTTTCCCTACTACACGGCCCTTCGTCAGATCCTCGAGCGTGTTTCTGCCTTGGACCGCGGCAATTTGTTCCTCCAGCCCGTGTCGCAACAGAAGGTCCCCGACTATTACGAGGTCATCAAGGAACCAATGGACTGGACCGCCATCTCAGATAAGCTCGAGCGATATGAGTACGAGTCAGTGAAGGACTTCCAACGCGACATCTCGCTCGTCCTCGACAATGCCATGCTCTATAACAAGGCAGACACGCCGTTCCATCGAACTGCGCTGCGTATTAAGAAGGTGTCGGAGCCCATCTTCGAGGAGCTCAACTCGCTCCACGCCGTACATCAAGATGCAGCACAAGCGATTGGCACTGAAGAGGCCTTGGATATGGTCGAAGGCATTGCAGGTCTCGAGCTCGAGTCAGAAGAGGCAATCTTGGATCTGCTCAAGGATTATGGCGACAAGGAGCTGCTTGACACGATCGGCGAAGACGACAATCCTCTTGACGCGCCTGCCAACGTCATCGAAGATCTAACGAGGCATTACTACCGCCCGGAACCACAAGAGCCACCACCGCCGTCAGCGACGCAACTCAAGAGGGAAAAGGAAAGGGCAAAGAAACAGGCAAAGGCGGAAGCCTATCAAGCAAGACGGATCGCACTCAAAGAAGCAAAAGCGGCTGCGAAAATTGAAGGCGCTGTCAATGGCGGCAAAGAAGAGAATGACACTCCCTTGCCACTACACGACACGATGCCAACGGGCACTCGGACTCGACGACAGAGAGGTCTTGGGAATGAAGAGGGGCAGAGCAGAGATCGCGAAGAAGCATCGCAACCCAGGCTTGGTCGCACTCGTTCAAGAATGGAGCCAGGGACGAGCAACAGAAGCTCGACAGAAGAGAACAAGGCCGATGCACCTAGCTTACCACCAAGGAAGAGGCGGCGAATGAAGAGGACGAATGACTCCTCAACTCCCGAGGAAGATCGGGCTATACTGGAGAGAAGAAGTGCAACGATGCCGGAGCCGACAAATCTTGAAGTGGAACAGGTCGACGCTTGGGATTCTTTCAAACGCTTCAACGTCGGATGGGTCCTGCCGGAAGGGACAAGACGATCTCGTCATCCGAGGGATTCCTTTCGGTCTGGCGGGGCTAGGGAAGGATCGATGGGTAGCGAGCTCGCCGCGGCTTCTTCCGCGGCAGGGCCCGAGCGGTCTTCACCACAGGTCTCGCGAGGAAGGAGCAGCGAGGTACCGTCTCAGCGAAAAAGACGCACGACATCAATCACAGACTTGTCGGAGCCCGACGATGCTGTTTCTGCAGAGCCGTCTTTTTCTCGCCAAGCCCGTAAAAGGTCAACATCCTCGACCAGCAGATCTCATCCAGGTCCTCCGTTGGGAAAGGCTAGCGCAGCGCCCAGAAAGGACGTGAGTCAGCAGAAGAGAGGAAACCAAGGACAATTCATTCGGAAAGACGACGACCCAAACAAAGAAAGGAGGAGGCCCTCAAAAGGAGCAGCGCTTCCCCCTCCATCCTCTAGCATTCTTCATCAGAAGAGGAAGGCGCCATCCGAGTCGACAGGTGCGATGAGGCTGAAAGTGAAACCCAAGAAGATGGCAACGAAAGAGAAGGAAGAAGGTCGCTTCGAAGTAGGAACGACGTGTTGGGCAAAGATGCCAGGTGAGCGAGCCTAGCTGGAGCTCTTGCAAGTTTTTGCCTTGCTGACAAATGATGATTGTTTCCCTTAGGCTACCCATACTATCCTGCCGAGATCTGGTCCCAAACGGCCAGCAGCGTGCCGAAGAATGTCGAGGCGGACCGGCCAAAGGCGTCATCAGAGAGTGTCGAGCTCGTGCGGTTCTTTGATGCTCAGCGGAGCTTTGGCTGGATTGGCACGTCGAAGCTCGAGCTGATGTTTGAGGATGCAAAGCTAGACGAGAAGATGCTGGGTACAGACAACATGGCTGGCCACGGTGATCGGAGAAAGTCTAGCTCGACGGCGTCGAAGAGGATCAGGGAGGAAGTGGCCAGCGCATACGCAGCTGCAAAGGCCGAGCTGGAAGTCTGAGCGCAGCCACGATGTTCGACGCAGAAGGAGCTCGTTGTCGAGGCGCTGGCAAAGATATCATCCAATTACAGCCCTCTCTCGCTCGCCTGTCCCCAGCCCCTAGCCTTCAGTCCTCGCCATTGTTCTAAGGATATGTTGTCAATTTCAATATGAGATGTACATGACGGACCGTTAGAGAGGCGAGACGACGAGAAGAGGGGGAATGGGGTGGGTCGAGGGGGTTAAAACTATGATATACCTTAGGTCGAGTGGTCTAATCTTTTGAGACAAGCGGAGAAGCGTAGAGTAAGGAATTAAGCGGTGAGAGAGAGAGTGAAAGCTTTCCTTCTTCTTTTGGTGGTTGAGGACTGGTTGAATAGTTGAAGACGAGAGGGAGATGAGGGATTTAAAATGAAGGCTGCGAAGGTGATGTCCGCAGAGGGACGGCGATCTGGGGGAAAGTGGTGACGGAGCTAAGCTTCAGACTGCCGTCATGGCTGCTACGGCGGCGTGCTCTAGCGGTTCAGACATGGTCTCGCTTCCTGCGCTTCCCTTCTCGCTACGCGGTCCGTCACGAGGAAGATGCGCAGAGGAGGCTCTGGCAGCCAAGCCAAAATCAAAGGACGCGGTGGTCGCACGGCTTGTCTCGCTGAGGTCGTCGCCGTTGTCCTCGCCATCTGCACCTTCATGGTATTGCTGCTCGTGCCGCGAATGGCCAATGCTGAGACGATGGTGCAAGTTGGGTAGCTCCTGCTGGGGCTCCTGTTGGTGATCTTGATGGCGGTGATAGGAAGCGAGCTCGTCAGACTGCTGGTGCTGGTTCTGCTCCTCTTCTTGGTCCTCGTCCTCCATACCCCTTGGTACGGGACTGTCTTCATCGACGATGGACTGTGCCTGGGACGAGGACGACAGGGACAAATTGACATCTCTGAAGCGCCCATTGCTGAATGACGGGTTGTCATCCAGCTGCTCCTTTTTGATGACGTTGCTTGTCATAGCTGCCGAATCGTACGAGTAGGCATGTTGCTGCTGCGACTGCTGTGGCTGAGCGAGCAGACCGACGCTTCCATTTGCCTCGTGCTGGTGAGTTCCTCCACCGAGACTGCTCAATCCTCCGAAGCGGTAGTTGGATGCAGGTCCCATCGAGCGCGCTGCGCTGAGGAAACGGTTGGCCGGTGTAGCGCCGCTTGCGCCACCGGATCCATATTCGTTTGCGAATGCACTGGAGGGTGTCGAGAGAAACGAGCTGCTGCCACCCTGACTGAAGCTCGAGAGGCTATTGGTGCGGCTGGGCTGAAGCGGTGAGGACCAGAGACCGGTCGACGACTGGCTGGTGGCAATGGACGATGGAGAGCTGAAAACTGCGTTGATGGGCGGCACGTTTTCCTTCTTGCAGATGTTGCTGTTGCCTCCTTGCTCATCTTGCTGCTGTTGCGGCATCCAAGAGCTGGATGTGCTGCTGCGTCCACTGGCATTGTCGTAGAGCGAGGTGCCGGTGCCGGGACGGGAGGCCGATGTCGATGTCATAGTCCGGTGGTTCTCATTGGCAGTGGACGACGTCCATTGGCGGAGAGGCGAGGAGCTGGAATTGCCGGTGTATACTCCGTTCTGTTGGCTGTAGACCCGGCCGAAGTAGGTGCTGTTCTGCTTACAGTTGTTGAAAGTGGGAGCTTGCTGACATGCGCCACCCGGAGCTGCTGCGCTCGAGTCGACGCCGGAGTTGCTGGTATAGTTTTGATTCAGACCATAAGATCCGCTGCTAGAAGTCGTCACCGTCGCGCCAGAAGATGAAGAAGCCGGTGCGTAGATGGAGGAGGATGACGATGTTGTGGTGGCAGTGGCGGCGGCAGTGGCGGTAGCACTGTTGCTGTAGCTTTGACCGCCAACGGCACCGCTGTTTGCATCGAGGGAAGAATTGACTTCCGACGAATAGGTCTGGCTGCTCTCGCCACCGTTGGATGCGAAGCTGCCATGAGAACGAGCAGGGGTGCTGCCACTGAGGGTGTTGCTGTGCCAAGTAGGCATCGCATTGGAGCTGGAGCTATTGTAGCCACCCGCATTGTTGGAGCTCGAGCTGCCGTAAAACTGGTGATTCGACGAGTAGGGCGACGTGTAGAGAGAAGCGTGGTTGTCGAGTTGCTGCCTTACTCCAGCCGATGAGGAAGAACTGCCCGGGTAGAAAGTTGCGGCACCGCTACCGCCATTGCCGCTACCGCTGCTCATGGCCGTATTGGAGGATGCCGGCCAGCCTTGTGCAGAGTTGGAAGACGAGCCGAAGCGATGTCTTTGCTGTTGGCTATTCGAAGGCGCATAGATGTGGCCAGCCTGGGAGCTCAAGTGGGAGTTCATGGAGGAAGAAGAGCTCGTCATGTCGTATTGGCCGCCGTTGCTGCCGCTGCTGTTGTTGCCCCCAGATCCATTACCATTGCCGAAGCTGTAGCCGTCATTCTTTGGGCTCGACGAGCTGCCGGTTTGAATACCGTAATGACGCGAGGCGATGCCCTCCACGCTGCTGTCGAAGCTGGAGTTGTAGGCGCTGCAGTTGCCGTGGAAGCCCCTGTTGTTCATGAATGCGTGCAGCGAGAGTGAGTTGGCCGAAGCCTTTGAACCAGCGAGGGCGTTGGAATGGCTTGCTCTGCGTCGCTTTCGCATCAGGTGATCCATACGATTTTTGCAGGCGAGACCAGACCTCCCGTTCAGGTATTCTGCGGCGATTTTTGACCACGTACGGCCCATGGCCTCGACGGAGGCTTCAAGCCTTTGATCCTCCTCCAACGTCCAGGGCTGGTGGTTGAGGGCAGGATCCAGAGAGTCGTTCCACCTCTTCCAGCACTGGTCACCGCTGCGCGTCTGGACGTCTTGGGCCACGAGCTTCCATTTGTTGGCACCGTGGATGCGAATGCTGGCTAGGAGACGGTTGTCCTCGGCGGGCGACCACCTTCCCTTGCGCAGGTGTGGGATCCCGTGAGGCATGTGCTGGATGTGATAGGTGGTTGCGTTGGTGGGAGTACCACTGGACATATTCATCGGCATCATGGCTGGAGAAATCGTTGGAGTGCTGATATGTTGGGTGGGTGAGAGCGTGTCCACAAAAGAGGGTGACGAGGAAGAGTAAAGACAGGACACGGCAGATGAAAAAGCCGAGAGGCAAGTGTGCAAAAGTGAGTGTGCAAAGAGGGGAAACCGAAGAGGAAGAGCAGAGGATAAGAAGAAAGGAAAGACCGTGAAGAAGTTAGGGCGAAGGCGATAGGGCGTTGATCAAGTCGAGAAGGAGGACAGGAGGGGGGATTGAAATAAGGGCGGTGAAAGGAAATGGCAAAAGTCAGCAATACTGCGACGTCACGACCGGCAGAGGCGTCATCGGAAGTTGAGAAGGGGCGAGAAACCCACCTTGTAGCAAAGTGCTGCGACCTCGGTTGGGTTGTCGATGGTGCCAGAGCTGGGCGTACGACAGAGCCTGGGTCTGTATGCGGGCCTTTGAACGTCGAGCAGAGCGAAAATGAACAAGACAATGAAAAGTGCTTGGGCGCGCGCGCGCGCAAATGTGATCGCTCAGCCGGCTGAGATTGAGCGAGCAGCCCAAAGGCTACGGAGTCGAGCTGCTCCTCCCTTGCGACGAAGGGCGAGGAGCAGGGAAACGAAAAGCTGGACGGAGATTCTGCCCTTTCTTTCTTCTGCGCAGAACGCTGAGTCGCGACTTTTTTTTTTTGGAAGAGCTGGGCGTCGAAGGGAGGAGGGCGAAAAGTTCGACGTGTGTGGATGGTACTGGATGATGTGATTTGATGCGTTCCCCTTGGCCGCTGTCGATGATGGCTTGCGTAACAGGAGTTGGCGGTAATGGGAAGAAAAGTGATGGAAAGAGGGACGGTGGAAAGGAAGAGGAGGGGAAAAAAAAAAGAAAGGTTGCTCGTTGATATAGGATTAGGCAAGTCGTGAGGGCGCCGTCTGTGGGTAAGGTCGGACGAATGGCTGTGTTCATGGATTCGCCAAGCGTCAAGAAGGGGGGAAAGAGGAGAAGGAAGAGGAGGAGTGGTGGCCGACGGCGCTCATGTGAAAATAAAAGGGGGGAGGCAAGGCACACTGCCGGTGTCGAGAGCCCATCAAGGTAAGGCCTAGTGCCGCCTTGCCGAGCGCAGATAGACGAGAAATAGGAAGGGGGAGAGGAGAGGGGCGAGTACAGCGGTGCGGCGACATCCGTATCTCGATATTATTATTTGATGAGCCCGCTTTTGCATTTCAGCACCAGCAAACCAGGTCCACGCCTTTTGTTAGCTGTAGAGGGGAGGCGCGAGAGGGTTTGTTTAAAAAAGACGAGGCGAGGATAGAATGGGGCGTGCGCAGGACGGGATGGGCTGAACGCCTGACCGAGTGGAGAGAGCTGGACCGCACCTTGGCATCCCTCGACGGCAGATCTTTATCCGTCCGCATTCCCTGTGCTGCGTTGAAGAGGCCTTGACACGTCAATGAACGGGAAAAAAGCACCAGGTTGACTCTGGGGCATGCTTCTTTTACCAGGCCGTTTCCTTACCTCTCCTCGTCACCGCTCTGTCAAGGTAGTGGCACGTCTCGAAGGTAAGTCCGCTCGCATAGACGTCTGAATAGGTGACTAACTGGCTTTTATTTTTGGGTGTCCTGGCTGGATATGAAGGTTGGGTTGCGCTTGGCTGAACGAGTTTGGCGTCGGTCTACAAGGTCCCCGAGAGGACCGACGGATTGTTGCTCGCTTGTCACTATGCGGCCTTATTCGGCCGGTCTATTAGAGCAGCAAAAGCAGCAGTAGGGGCAAATGCGTTGGAGATGACGTCCTTGTCTCCGACGCCTCGGAGGAGGAGTAAATGCGTTCCTGTTCTCACAGTTTCCCCGAGCCACGACGTCAGCCCTGAGGCAGCTATCCCCGCATCAATAATAGATTGATTGAGTGCTGGACATTAAAAATAAAGCAAAGTGTACGCTTCGATTGTTCAAAAAGGTATGGTCACGCTGAGGTCCCCTCACCTCTTGCACGCACAGCGAACAGTGACGACCGAAGTGACGTATCATGCCATACTCAAACAGAGCACATCATTGAGGACGATGGCGGGAGCGGCTCCGCTTCCCCTTTGAGAGAGAGAGATTGCGCGGGGAGCGTGTCTGTGCGGTCTTTGAGCTGACTCGACAAATCCGAGCTCAGTGAAAGAGGGGGCGGGCGTCGAAGTAGGGACGAATTGGGCAGGTGACACTCGACGAGGAACCGACGACACGCTTATGCACTGCAAGGGTAAAGGGCCGATGAGGTCGCTCATAGATTTTGCACTCCGCACAGCCGCAGAGATAGGAGAAGTCTGTCTAGAGCGCGAGTAAGGGTGGGAGAATTGTGCCGAGTTAGAGATTGCAGAGAAGGTGTTGCGCCGATGTCATGCAAGCTCGACGTGCAGCTTTCTATTATGTGCAGTACTACTGGCGCCAGCCCTAGTCTAGTCTAAGCAAGCATAGCTTGGCGCCCAATTTAGCCCTTGCTCCCTATACGCGTCACACTGAATCGATAGAAAACAGGCGAGGTAGTGGGAGCAAGCCATTCTGGGACTGACCGCACTTGCTCGTGAATGCTACATTTCAACACAGTGGGAAGGGCACGAGACGAAGCGTCGGTCCAAGGACATCACGAGGAGCCTCTTCGCCCGCGCAGCTTGGGGTAAGTCCCCGGATCTGGCCCCATGCCACCGGCCAGCTCCATGGGTCCATGAATCCGCTTCAGAGCGGCACCACCTGCGACCAGTAGCTCTCGTATTCTCGTCTTTTCGTGTGCAGATTGTCAGATGCCCTCTCTTTTGATGAAGGGAAGCGCTCTCTTGGCCGACTACTCACGACGTCCATCTCGCTCCGCAGCCCGCTTCTCCCCTCAAAATGCTCGTCTCTCAGCCAGTCGATTGTCTCGCGCCTCGCCTGCGGATTGGGAATGTTCCGTGACGCCCGCAGAAAGTCTCGCCAGAGCTTCGAGGCCTTTGATCGGAGGAGAAAGTGCTCCAGCGTCACGCCGCCGTCGTCGGAGAAGCGCGACTTTCTCTTTGGTGGTGTCGCTTGGTCTTGCTGGGCCAGGAGTGGACGAAACGTGGCCATCCCTCGTCGTTGGCAGAGAATATGCGGCGCGGAGGAAGCAACAGCCGTGGCTGTCCGAGCTCGTGAAGCCATGTCTGGGAACGAGAAGCAAAGGGCAAAGGTCGAGCAAGGAGCTTACGTTGGTCAGAAAAGAAGAATGGAGCGAGCGAGGTGGAGAAAAATTTCACACGTGAGCCCAAACGGCTGTTATTTTGGAGACGCGTTTGGTGTGTTACTTTCCACGACGAAGCACCACCATCGCCAAAGACAAGCACCACTCAGTTCACGATGGCGACGCCCGCTGACTCGGAGATCTGGAAGTGAGCACTTTGTCACTGGTTCACTGTTACTTGCATCTGCTGATCATTTCCTACAGCGACGAGACAATCTCGAACCTCGTCGCTGCACTGAGCCCAGCGGAGGACCTCAACAAGTGGACGACGCTCGAGGAGCAGCTGCAGGACATTGACCGCGCCCGCTCCTCGTCAATCCAAGGCATAAATGCACAGGTGCAGGCGCTCTCGTCGACGCTCTCGGCGCTCAAGGAGTCCTCGTCGCGCATTCGCTCGCGCTCGTGGAAGTCCGAGGCCGCCCATGCCTCGACGATGGAGGAGCTCCAGCGGGAAAAGTTTGGCCTCGCAAAGGAGATCAGCGACGGCGACGAGGCCCTGATGCGCGTCGAAGCGGATCTGGCCCGTCTGAGGGAGGAACTCGAGGGTGTGGATGCCTACGATGTCGAGGAGAACAGCGCAATGGACAAGGAAGCGTGAGTAGAGCGCTTGTGCCGTGTGCAACAACAGAAGAGGGGCCTGACCCTCTCTATCTCATTCTCAACGACAGGATCGCAGCGACCTTTTTCCGCAAGCTGGGATTCGTCCCATGCTATGGCAAGGACGACTCCATCGACACACTCATGGTTAGGTCAGACGCCAAGAATCGGACAGTCATGTTCGACATCGGCGAGGCCGAGATGGCGACGCAGGGCGTCTCGCGCTACATGAATGCGCAGCTCATGTGGCAGGCCAGCGAGTGAATCCCTCACTTCTCTTCTTTGAGTCACTGTAATACTACCAGCATACCCCTCTTGACCCGGTTCCAGTGCGCTCTCTTTTCCCTCTCATGCCTGTTGAGATGGGTGCTGTTGCATTGCAGGAAGGGGAACCTCAGTCTAAGCATACATTAAAAGCGTAGTAGTACAGTGCGGTGCCAAAAATGCGGAGATCAGGCACCGCCAAAGAGAGGATCATCGTCCTCTTCGTCCTCGTCCTCGTCCCCGTCATCCTCGTCTTCACCCTCGCCATCGACGGCGTCGGCGTCTGCATCGGCGTCGGCATCGGCATCGGCATCGGCATCGGCATCGGCATCGGCATCGGCATCGTCGTCTGCGTCGGTGTCTTGCATCGTGAGCGACGTTGGGTGGCTTGACTGGAGCGTAGATTGAGTGGCCGAGAGCTGGCTGGGGTCGCCGCCCGTGGCCTTGTGACCAGAGGCATGCGAGGACGCAGCAGCCTTGGAGGACGAAGACGAGGAGTGGGCTCTGTCCGACACGGCGGCAGGACCGCCCTCCAGCCCAGTCAGAGATGATCGTTTGGGCGGCTCGCCACCGGCGACGACGTCGCCATCGGCGTTCTCTGCGGCGTCACCTCCCTCAGCAGCTGCAGCTGCAGCCGCCGCGGCAGCTTCCTCTGCCTCCCTCGCCGCTTGGGCTTCGATTCTCTTTGCCTCTTTCTCCTCTCGCCGCTGCTGCTTGAGCGTCGTCAACTGTCCGCGCTTCATATCCAGCTCCGTCTGGAGCCGCCGGAGCGACTGTCCGTTGCGTTGCTTCATGATGAGGTTGATGGCCCCGTCCACCTCTGCCTGCTTCTTGCGCACCATGCCCTCGATCTCTTTACACTCGGCCTCGAGCTGCTGCTCGCGGACCCTCTGCTCCCTCTCCTCCTCGTCCTCGTCTTCGTCCTCTTCGTCCTCGTCCTCGTTACCCTCCCCTGCCTCGGCATCGTCTCTCTGAGCACCCTCTTCGCCGTCCTCTGCATCGGCATCAAAGAGATCGTCCTCAAAGTCATCATCGCTCGCCCGGCTTGCGCTCCTGCCCCGGCTTGCTGTGCCCCCTTCCTCGCTCGAGTCATCCTCGTCGTCATCCTCATCCTCTTCGTCGTCCTCCTCCTCTTCGCCACCACCCCGGCCATTCTGCCGCGCAAACTCGGCCTCGAGCTCCCGCTGCAGGTCAAGGTCCACGTCATCGTCTGCCATGCCACCAGCCCCGTCGCCCATCTGCGAGTAGCCGTCGTCATCGTAGCCTTCGCCCTCGCCCATCATCGACATGCTGTCCTCGCCGTCGCCGCGAGGCGTGTCTGCGACAGACATTGCGCCCCCCTCGTCGTGCGAGGCCGAAGGGCTGGCGCCGCCTGCATCCGAGTCGTCGAGCTCGGCCTCTGCCAGATCCACCATGACGTTTTCCACCTCGTCGGCCCTCGAGTCTTCGGCCAGCAGCCTCTCGACCTCCTTCTCGACCGTCTCGATTGTCCGCTTGTGGGCCCGCTTGCGGAACCGCCTCTTTCTCGCATACCGCATCGGCGGTGTGATGCCGTGCTCATAGATAAAGTCCTCCATGTCTCCCATCGCCGCATCGTCCTTGCCGGCGGAGCTGCCAAAGCCAGCCTTGCCCTTTTCTGTCCGAGTCACCTCGGCCTCGTCGTCTACCTCGTGCGTGACGAGGAGCATCTGGGAGATGTCTGCGATCTTGAACACCTGCCGGTTGTCGAGCGTCTTGTGCGACTCGATGATCGAGGGCAGGTCGACGAGCTTCGACGAGAAGATGCGGTCGCCCATCTTGAACATGGCTCTCCGCGAGTCTGCAGGCGGGCCAAGAAGCACTCTGCGCGTCAGTGAGGGCTGAAGCATAGCAACGAGAGGGAATGGAATGGAAACTGACCCTTGAACTTCATCTCGACCTCTCTGCCCTCGCTGCCGACCTCGCGCTTGCGGACCCAGTCCTGGAGCACCCTCGTGGCGTCGCTGTCCTCGGGCATGCGCAGGATCAGCTGCTCCTCAAACGCGATTCCCTGGCCCGTCTCATCGTCGGAGCTGTCGAGCTCGCGGTCATAACCGTCCATGTAGGCAGCATTCTTTTTCCCAGACAGCGCGTTGGGGTCTTTGCCCCGGTGCGTGATGCCGCCGCGGACGTTGAGCTTCAGGCGGGGAGCCTTTGCGCGGCCAAGGACGCTGCCGCTCGAGCTCGCGTTGCTCCCGTTCGTCGTCGTCGTTTGGCGGCGTTGGCGGACGGTCGACGATGACGAGGCAGCGGCATCCAGGAGGCCGTCGTCATCGTCGCCGCGCAGCTTGAGCGTTGGCTTAATTGTTCGTCCAGACGACCGCGCAGCAGCAGCGGCAGCAGCAGCGACGGCGGCGGCGGCCGAGGAGGCGGGAAGCGGCGGAGGCGCCATTGTGGCTCCCCCATCGTCCATGGGTGAGGCAGGGGCCGCGGCGCTGAGGGATATATTGTCCATGCTCTCGTCTGTCTGGACGTGCTGCGCCATCGTGCCATTGCCATCCACCCGTATCGCCTCGGTCTCCCCCGTCGCAAAAGTCCCTGTCGACGGCGGTGGAGGCGGCGGCGGCTGCATCGGTGGCGACATGGCCTCGGTGGGCGAAGCCATGCTGCTGGGTGGGGAAAGAGGACCACGCGCGCGCCGCTCAGCCTGTGTCTGACTCCTCGACGAGAAAGAAAGAAGAAGCCTTCTTCTTTGCGCAGATGGAAGCGGTCGACACACACACTTTTTCGCTCCACCCAATCAATATCCACGTGAAGGCTCTTCCAGCTTTAGCAGCCAAACGCGTCCCAGATGTTGGTTGCGCCGCTCTGTCTGTCTTCCGAAAGCGCACGCAGACGATGGCGCTGCCCTCCCAGCTCCAACCGGGCCTGCTCCCCTCTGAGGTCGAGTTTCTCGCCACGTCGACGGAGCACGTCCACGTCGTGCCCCTCGTGCGCATCGACCGGGTTCGCCTCCTCTCTGGCGTCTACGGGCCTCTTCGTCCGCCGACGCAGGCACGCGTCCCGCTCTGGCTCGCCCTCAACCTCAAGAAACGGCGAAAGTGCCACATCGTCTGCCCAGAGTGGCTGCACATTGGTGTGTTGTTCGCTTCCCAGAAAGCAAAAGCCGAATGGAAAGGCGGAAACTGACATCAAGGCGAGTGGTGTGTTATAAAAGACAACCTTCGCACCCTTTTACGGTCCGAGCAATCCAACGCGGCCTTTGCCTCTGTCCCTCCCTTCTACCAGGCCATCGCCAAGGTCCTCCTCGAGTCAGCGGCAGACGATGTGCCGGCAGCCGATGACGTGCGCGAGGCGCTCAAGAGCCTGCGCGAGGCGCGCCAGAGCAAGGTCCTCGCCGGCCTCGAAATGATCAATGCCGACCACCTCGAGGTGAGGAGCGCAGCGTAGCCTAGCCTAGCCTGGCCTTCTCCTTCACTCCAGATCGTGTGTGTGTGTAATGCTGATGCAAAAAGAGGAGCGCAGATGACAAATATCTCGAGGGGCGAGATCACCGAGCTGCGACACTTTTTCACAGACGCTTTCGAGCATCTCCGCGCACTGCAGCGCGCCGCTCACGAGCCAGACGGACCGGGAGGCGCAGGCGCAGGCGCAGAGGCAGGGGCAGGGGCAGGGGTAGCAGCGGCGGCAGGGATAGGTGGCAACATGGGCGAAGGCGCGATGGGCCATGATTGGAGCTTCACTGGGTCGGGCACTGGAGCGTACGATACAACGACGACGACGACGACGACGATGTCGGCAGGGGCAGGGGGAGATCGCGGAGACACGACACTGGCGACGAGCTATGCCCTCGACGACAGCAGAGAAGCAGCGACGGCGAGAAAAGCGAGAGCCTCGAGCCCTTCTCGTCAGCCTCAAGGCGAGGCTAGAGGGCAAGAAAGCCAGCAGCAGCAGCAGCAGCAGCAAGACTCAATGGACCAGAACAGCATGGACCTTTTCTGATCATGAGTGGAGAGGAAGACGTCCTCGTCCTCGTCGTTGCAAATGTACAGTGTTTCTCTTGTAATAGTACACATCGAGGTCTCCAAAACAGGGGGGGATAACAAATGGAATGGTCAGACTATTGTCATACAGGGGTAAAGAGATAGCGTAGTATCATCGATGGTGGTACAGGTGACACTCCTTTCTTGAAGGGGTGCAGATGCGAGCTGGGTAGAGGAGCGTTCAAGGCGTGCTTTGAACGCCATTGGAGCTCGGGGCACCGGGCTGATCGCCGGCGTCGTTGGCACCATTGCCGTTTGTTGTTGGTGCACTGGGCTGGGATGTAGAAGGGGGCGGTCTTGGCACGGGATGACGGGCCACGGGGACGTTTGCAAAGGCAGAGTCGATGTTGCACAGCTCGCGGCCGATTTCGACAATGCAATTTGCATGCTCGAGCAGGGCCTTCTCGTGCCCTGCCACCTGCGTGCTGAGCCTCAGCGACTCGGCAAGGGGTGCCTCGAGAGCCAGGAGCCTTTCTCGGAGCGCTTTGATCTTGCCCTCGTAGTGGTTGTCGCGGACCTTGAAGAGACGGTCAAAGTCGTCTTTCAGCGCTTGCTGCCACGCTGCCTCCCTTGCATTCATCGTTTGCTCGAATTGCATTAGCATGTCCCTCATTTTGCGCTCTTGATTCGACTCCAACGCTTGGATTGCTTCAACGACTTGGCCCATCGGCATCGTCTCTTCGCCCAGGGGCACGGCAGCAGCAGCAGCTCCGTTTGCTGGCGCAGAGGCAGTGGCGAGACCTTGACCTGCAGTCGGAATCGGAGCCGTCGTCGTCGTCGTCATTGGAGAGTCATGAGTGCTGTCCGGGCTGTCTATTACGATGGGATTTAGGTAAGACGACGACGACAACGCTTGCTCGGAGGAGGGGGCCTGTTGGCCTGCTGCGCCCTGAGCCCGATCACCGGTGTCTGGCAGCGTCGACGGAGCACCATCGACTCTGGCAGATTGCTCTGCCGCTGCTGGTAGAGCGGCCCCCGCGGCTTCGGCCTCGGCTTCTTGGACGTCATTTGCCTTTCTCTTGGCGGCTCTTCGCTTGTCTCTGAGGTCATTGAGCTTGTCCTCGACGTACTTTTCGACCATTTCCTTCATGTCAAGGAAATCGAATTCGTCGAGTCGCTCGGTCAACTCCGAGTGCACCTCGTCCAGCCTGGCCTCGAAGCCATCCACTCGCCGTACAATCTCGTTGCGAGAGGGGACGATCCTCCTTGGCTTTGGTTTCTCTTCCGATGTCTCCTCTGCGGTTGGCTCAACAGATGCCTGAGCACCCGGTGGGGCAGTCTGCGCTACCTCTGCTTTTGTCCCCGTCGCTGCAGGTGCGCTTGCACGAGCTGCTGTATCGTGCACTTCGCCAGGCTCTGCATCACTCGACTCGCTTGTCGCTTGGATCGACTTGGTGGGGTGCATCGCCTTGGACATCCTCGTCTCAACCTGCTCGCCGACTAGCCTCTTTACCTCCTCCAGGCTCAATTCGGGGTCCGGCCTCGACGATGATGTTGAGGCCGACGACGGCAGTGCCGCAGTGGATGCTACTGGTGCTGAAGAGATCGTATGCTCGATGAGCTGCCTGAGCGCGCGGCTGGCCTCGGCCTCCAGGCGCTTCTCGTCCTGCCTGGATGCGTCGACCTTGTGCTGCGCGGCCTTGACCTTGTCTTCCACCGTCTTGCCGGCGTCTGGCTTGTGGCGAAGAATGTCTGCGAACCTTTGCAGCTCCTGCTCGCGCTCGTCGCGCTTCCGTCGAGCGTCTACCCATTTGCCAAATGTCCTCATGTAGCTGTCGGTCGCATCCTGATCGCACTGAGCCACCTTTGCACTTGGGGCAAGGAGGGGCGTAGGAGGACCATCGCGAGGTGCCGGGACCGGGGGCGATGTCGACACTGTTGGAGCCCGGTGCGATGGTTGCGCTTCGGCTCTGGGGAATGAATTGCGTCTCGAGGTCTGCATTAGCGGAAGGGGAAGCTGAGCAGACGACGAGCCAGCAACCAAAGAGGGCGTCGTGACCGAACTACGGCGCCTGGCAAGCGTTCTCGGCGGCGGTGACGCTTCTCGACTGTACTCTCCTCGCTTCAAGGATCCTGATACCCGAAAGTCCTCTCGAACAGTCCTTTCCACCGCAGAGGCCGATCGGGGCCCCTCTCCTCCAGCTGGCCGATCACGGCTCGCAGGCTGCTCCGAAGGACGAACATTGAGAGCAGGCCTTGGATCGCCCGGCGCGCGATAGGATGATGACGATGTTGATGATGGTGCATACGGTCTACGTCTCCCATAAGCGCCCCACCCGTCGTGGTGGTCGCCCATCTCTCTGCCGGAAGGCGCAAGGCAGCGCCGAGACGAGAGAGAGAAGAGCTCGAATGCACCGATGAGGTCGTTGATAGAGACGTAAAATGAGACGCGACTTGGCCTTAATTTTGTCGCTTTGGCTTCAGCTCCACTTCACTATTGTCGGACGCACGCTGATCAGCTTCCTTCACCGTGCGCTCTTTTTGCGGCTTTGTACAGCTTTCATTCGCCGACACGAGGCCAATGGCCTGGACAGGGGTCGTGTGAGGCTTCTGATGCGCTTGCTCGTAAGCCCAGAAGATAACGGGCTCCAACAGCTTCTTCCCTTCAGTTCAGGATGGCACCGATATTGGTGGTGATGTCGTGTCCACGTGAACGGAAACACCGGTGCAGCTCTTTATTTCTTTTTCTTTTTTTTTTTTTTTCTGGGTCGAGGACGCTGCCTTTCTTCGCAATACGAAGATCACACGATGGACACCGCTGCTTACCTCGAGACTGCCGCCAAGGCTCTGGGACCCGCTGCGTACGGCCCCGATGATGCCTCGAAGAAGCAAGTGGAGGCCTGGCTGAGCAAGGTCAAGAACGGAGACAAGACCATTACTGACTCCAAGGTGAGTTCTGTCTCGCGGGTGTCGATCTTGGCGATCAGACGTGGGAGCAGCGCGGACCGCTGCAATGGAGGATTGCTCAGTCACACAGCGGGGGGCTGACCATGGCTTGGTCCCAACCTGGAAATTCCAGCGTCGAGGTCTTCACCGTGTCCTATCAAGGCCTTGTTCGCGATCGCTGTCCTGGTACCACCTCCCCCTACTTTTGGCACCTGCTCTGACTCCGTCCTTCTCTCCTTGCCCTCGCCGCCATTTCCATCTGCGCTCCCGACGAACGATGCGATCCCACCAGGCACTCGACTCGCAGCTGACCTCGCTGACCTTCCTGGTCGCCAACACCCTGACGCTGGCCGATCTGGCGCTGTTCTCGTCGCAGCACAAGGTCGTCGCCTCGCTGCCGGCCTCGTCGCAGCATGCCGTCCCTTCGCTTGTCCGCTATGTCTCCCACATCTCGCACCTCGCCGCAACCGATGCCCGCACTGGCCCTTCGACGGTCGCCGCAGGCTACACGGCCTTTGACCCCGTCTTTGAGGGACAGCCGCCCATCGAGAGAAAGGACCTCGCGGCAGAAAAGAAGCAGAAGCAGCAGGCAAAAGTCGACAAGGCAAAGGGCGCAGCAGACGAGGCAAAGGCGCAGGGAAAACCACAGGTTGCTGCCGTTGCCGGCGCTGCAGCTGCCTCTTCTGCCCAGGGCGCAGCAGCAGCAGAGAGCGGCGAGAAGCAAGGCAAGAAGAAGGAGAAGAAGGCAAAGGAGGGAGGAGGCGGCGGCGGAGGAGGAGGAGGAGCGGGCGAGGGCGGCAGCGGCGGTGGCAAGAAGAACAAGAACGAGCCGGCGGCGCCCACGGTGCCGCTCCCTTCGATGGTGGACCTCCGTGTGGGCAAGATCCTCGACATCAAGAAGCACCCAGACGCAGACAGCCTCTACCTCGAGACGGTCGACTTTGGCGAGGCAGAAGGCCCCCGGACGGTACTCTCGGGCCTGGTCAACTTTGTGCCCATCGAAAAGATGCAGGACAGGTTCGTCGTCGGCATCTGCAACCTGAAGCCACAAGCCATGAGGGGGATCAAGAGCCACGCGATGCTGCTCTGCGCCACCCACAAGGACGGCAAGGAGCACGGCGTCGAGCCCGTCGCGCCGCCAGAGGGCAGCGTCCCCGGCGAGCGCATCTACATCGAGGGCTACGAAGGCATGGAGCCCGAGGCTGTCCTCAACCCCAAGAAAAAGGTGAGCAGGACGGCCGGCCACTTGCAGACAATCCTCGGAGCTACTGATCGCTGACCGAGCTACGCGCCTGTACAGATCTTCGAGGCCATCCAACCAAACTATGCCACGACGGCCTCGTTTGAGGCCGCATGGGTGGGCCCGCTGCCAAACGACCTCGAGGGCGAGAAAAAGATGCGGCTGATCAGGACCGCAAAGGGTGTCTGCACTGCTCCTGGCTACGCAGAAGCGACCTTGTCTTGAAGACTGCTTCTTTGATAGAAATGGCAATGCTAGAAGTACAGTACATGCTGCAGAACAAGACGTTCACATCAAACACTATCGCTCTCTTCTCTGTCCTCGTCGACTCCTCCTTTGTCCTTATCTCCCCGCCGCACGGCAGCCTTTGGCGGCCCAGACGAAAGGCCTCGCTCGACCGCATCTGCTCCGGCACTCTCGTTCCACTTTTGCAGACGCCAGAGCGAAGCAACGAGATCCGTAGTCCAAGGGTGCCTACGAACGACGTGCACCCTTTCACCCCTCTTGCTGTTCTCTTCTGCTTCCTTGTTCTTCTGAATGCCCTCCTCTAGCCCCTCTGCCTTTCTATTCTTGCACTTGCTTGAATCAGGCGCTTCGACACTCTCGTCCCGCTGCTGCTGCTGCTGCTGCTTTTTCTTTTCCCTCCTGATGCGCTTGTTCCACACTGCTGCAATCTCGCCCAATTCCTTGACCAGCTCGCCCCTTTCCTCTTCTGCCTCATGATCGCTTCCAAAGAGGCCCTTCGCTGAAAAGTCCAGTACCCCTCTCGTTGCTGTTCGGTCGCGCTGAAGCTGACCACCGAAGTCGATGAATGCCGCATACTCGTCCACTTCACCGTGAAGCCGACCGGAGCGATACGCCAGCCTCTCGGCGCCCAGCGCCTTCATCCGCCTCACAATCGCAGTCGAGCCGTGCAGCGCCGTCGTCTCGAGCTCTCTGGCCGACGTGACTCTCCACCTCAGAAACCTGGCCTCCTGCAGCACCCGCTTCCTCAGCTGCCTCCCAACCGTCTCGCACAGCTCCTCGCCCGTGGGGCTGACGGACGAAACAAACTCGAAGCGTTTCCCGATTCTTTTCCTCGTCACCGCATCTCTCACGATGGCCTGGTCCAGCGCGATCCAGACAGTCTTTTCCTTGCGCTGGAATGGCATCCACTTGTCGTCGCCCTCGGGCCAGACGATGCCGTGGGGCGTCAGCTTCGACGCGCGTGGCAGGCCCGCGCCCAGGACGGGCCCGCGCTTGTATGCCGCGTAGGCCTCTTGCAGCCTCTCATACTCGGCGGCATATTTGGGCCGATGTTGTGGCTGGCATGTTGCACAGCGATGCTTGGCCATGCGCACGGCTTGGAGCAGCTCCTTGCCCCGCCGCCGAATGAGCGCACGGCGGTGTGCGCGCCGACGCTGGGCCGTGCGCTGCTTGTAGAGCTTTGGTGGAAGATCTGCTTGTATCGCTGGCTGCTGCTCAGGCTCCTGTACCGAAGCAAAGCTGCTTGGCTCTGGCTTGGCCTCTTCGGCCTTGCTCCCTTGGTGCTCGCCGTCAATGTCGCCGTCGGCGTCGGCTACCTCCTTTCCCACCTTGCCCGGGCGCAGGCTCACGAGTGGCACCGTCATCACTTTTTCTGGATCGCTCGACAGCCTCCTGTCGGGTCTCAGCTGGAACATGAGCGCCTTTGGGAGCACAGCATGCGTCACCCCGCACCGCCGCAGAGGCGTCGCGAGCATCTTTGCTTTTTGTTTGGAGGGAGGAGTCAGCCCTTTCGTCTATTTCGGCTCCCAAGAGAGCGAGCAAGAATGCTACTCACTCAGCGCATCCGATTCAAGATCATAACTGAGCGCATTGACTTGCTTCCGCGCCAGCGTCTCCCCGTTCTTGTCCACCGGCACCGAACTCTTGGGACCATCGGAGTAGCTCGAGCTCCTCCTCCTGGCCAGTGTCTGAACACGCGATGCGACGCTCTTTGGGCCCCTTCCAGCACCCAATCCTGTCGAGACGAGGGCGGCATGGACCCATGGTGAGACCCCTCGGAGCATGCCAATGGAGCTGCTCTTTCCCTTTTCGTCCCGCCCTCTTTACCGCCGGATCACGATGACCATGTCTCTGAAGAGAAATGTGAACAGTCAAGAAGAATCGAAAAAAATAAAAAAAATAAAAATAAAAATTGCCGACTCCACTTGCTCTCTCTTCACAAGATTTTGGACAGGTTTTATCTCTGACTGAGCTCGCACGGCCTCAATTCTTCCTTGCGACAACGACGGCGGTAGTGGTGGTGGTGGTGGTGCACGGAACAATGTCACGCCGCTTCCTCCCTCAGCTGGAAAAGAAGCAGCCGGGATCACCACCTCAAGATGCCCACTCGAAGCGCATCTTCTCCAACAGGCTCCAGGGACAGACGGCCTGGCAGCGCCACCAGGAATACGTCGCGCGCTACCTGCGCGTGTACGAGCGCGACGGGGGCAAGGCACGGCTCGAAGCGCTTGCAGCGGGCAACCGAAACGACTGGGACGTGCTGCGGGAGCGCCACCGCTTCCTGCGTGACGACGACGAGGTGCCATCCTCCTCGTCGGGCGGGTCCAGCTACGAGGATGAGGTGGCCCGGCGGTACTATTCGCACCTGTTCAAAGAGTACGCCGTAGCCGACCTCAAGCACTACAAGTCAGGGGCCATTGCGCTCAGATGGAGATCGGAAGAAGACGTCATCGAGGGCATCGGTCAATTTAGTGAGTGAGTGTGTGCGTATTGGAGCAAGCACGGGCTGACGGGTGCAAGCTCAGCGTGCGCCAATACACGGTGCGAGGATCACCAACGCCGAGCAACGACGCCCCGGAGAAACGAGGTGGAGGCGTCTGCCACCACTTTGACTCCCTACGAGGTCAATTTTGCGTATGCAGAAAGGGAAGAGGGCGAAATGGTGCAAAAGAATGCGCTTGTCAAGGTCGTCCTGTGCAGACGGTGCGCCAGGAAGCTCAATTACAAGCGGGAGCACGAGAGAGTCCGTGAAGGGTCGACCTCGGCGTCCAGAGCAGATAGGAGGCTGCGAGAGGACGTCAAAGCGGATCAGACGGCGATGGTAGAAGTGAAAGAGAAGGATAAAAGAAGACATGCTCGGCCTCGGCCTCGGTCTCGGTCAGCGTCGCCTTCAAGACCTCGTAATGAGCGATAGCAGGATTCAGAAGAGCCAATAAACCATCGTTACTGTGATTGAAGACAGCCATATTGACCGAGCTTTGTCATGTGGGAGGAACGAATAGATCGCCCCGGACTCTGAGAGATTGCCCCGCATGTCGCACGAGCGATGTGCTTTAGTACGCTGGGCTCTTGCTTCTTTGGCTCTTCACATCAACAAGTCAACATCTACATTTCGACATCCAAGGACAATGAAGCTCACCAAGCACATCTTCTTCGCTGTAGCCGCCGTGGCAATTCATGCTTCTTTCACCTCATCTATGCAGACTTCTGGTACACTGCAGGTGAGAACCTCTCCAGCTATGCGCTAGCTCATAGAAGGATGGCCTATTAATAGACTACTTGTTCCCACGTAACGTCTGGCATCCTATGAAAGGGCAAGGCTATTGACGCCGAAATCCGAGAGAGCGCCGTCGGGCCAAGCGTCAAAGACGAAGGTGGAACCACGTCTCGCAGCCAGACGAAAGGCCTTTTCAACTTCGACTCATTCTCCAAGTGGTTGCCGTTCAAGAAGGTGGAGAGAAAATCGAGGAGGCCCTCAGGGTACTCGAGATATACTTGGGCCCAATTATCCGAAGATGCGAAGCAGAATGTGATAAGGCTCGAGACGGGAGGTCTGGAGAGGCCCAAGGACTACTCTAAGAGGCTTTGGAAAACTAGAAATGCGGCAGAGCAGCAAAGTATCCACCACTTTCACAACAAGCAGGACAAGGGAACGCAAGAGAGAAATAAGCGCCTCGTACGTTCTTTCTTGTGGAAGTCTGTCTCGTGAGACCCAGGGTGCTGACTTGCACGGACTCAGGTAAAGGGAAAAGGATTTTGGTCAAAGCTCTCTTCTTTATGGAAGAGGTGAGTCAGCTCTGGCGAACGAGGGACGAACAATTCAGCAGGCAAGGCTGAACGGAGAAAGGAGTAAGCCATTAATTTAGCCAAAAGCTCGGTAAATAATGATGGCGCAGATAATCTTCATATCGCTGTGGGACGAGATCATGTCCCGAGGCACAACGAGGCTTTTTGAGGGCAGACCGACGGTTCCCGAGCTGGTTGTGTGTTTAGGCTCTGGTATATCAGGCCTCTACCCACGGCAGGTCTATCTCTTCCATCGACCATTCACACTCTCTTTTCTCTCTTCGCAAAGTCAGAAGAACGCCAAAGATTGACTCCCGTTGCAATTACGATGAAGCCGGCTTCTATGAACGCCATGCTCCTCTCTGTCTTTCTCCTCTCGACCATGGCCCTGACTACCCGCGCTGCTCCGTTCCTCTTCAATGTCAAGCGCAAAGGTGTGTCCGCCAACAGTAACAGTAAGACGGAGACGAGTCTTGCTACCGGTTTCTGCGGACTCTTTGGCGGCACGAGTGGACCCAGTGTGACCACTGTCTCTCCCGATCTGAGCAACGAGGACCCTACGATTCAGGAGCTGCGAGCGGCCTGCGAAAGGTTTTATCAAAGCGGCAGGAGGGTGAGTGCAGCTTGTTACTGTGACCTAGTCGCGAAGGGCCCTGCGACTGAGAAAAGAGGGTAAAAGAAGGGCCGAGACGAGACCAAGGACGAACAGACTCAAAAGCGTCCGGCTGCCAGTCGTCAGAGCGAGCAGTCCTGAGTGTATAGAGTGAAAGGGAATGGCGATTCTATCTGTGCTCTCTCCGTGTGTTTAGGACTACAATGAGAAGTCCTATTGAAAGAGTGTGATCTTGATCAAGTGAGAACAGAGGGAGATGGTAGGACTTACTGACTGGGCCCTTTCCCTTTTTTCGGCCCTTCCTCGGACAGGCATCGACTAGTGCTAATTCGGTGGGAATAGATCATACAAGGCAGTGCACATCCTTGGGGCTGTGAAACGCCCGTACGCATTCTGCCGTAGCTTTCGTGACAATTTTTTTTTTTTCGTCGTCAATCCCTCACTTCGCTCAGTCGCAAGGAATACTAGAAAGCAGACCCCGTACTGAGAATATCAGTAAGCTCGGAAAGAGTGTACACACTCCCTTGCGGGGAGCGCATGCAATTCATGGGCGATGACCAGCATATATTACAACAAATAAATGTACTGCAGAGACGTTCTCTTTTTACTTCGTCGCCGTCGTCGGTGCGCCCTTGGGCATACCCTTCTTCTTTTCCCTCTCGTCCTCCAGATCGCCTTTTGTAAAGTAGTGCTTGGCGACCTCGATGAGCCACTCTGGCTTGATCTCCATGACCTGTCGCATGAAATTTTTGCTCGTTTCCACCAACTCAAAGTAGAGCAGATACCTCGGCGGAGGCACCTCTTTGAAAAGGCAGCTAGATGGGTGGATGTGCACGGAGCTGTTCTGCTTTATAGCCCGGTACCCTCCTCCGCGCTGCAGACGAGCCGTGTTGACAAAGTAGCCCGCGGTGAGAGCCTTTTGGATCGGCGTGATGTTGGAGCTGTCCAGGTTGCTCTCGGGCATAACTTCGACGCGCTCGCACAACTGTGCCAGCTGGTCTCGAACATCGCGAACGCGCCCAAGGACCTTTGGTTGAACGAAATTTTCCATGCACCAACTGAAGCTGTAGTTGGACTCGACCCAGGCCTCCCAGACATTGAGCATCGTAAACATATCTCCGCCAGTCGGGTGTGAAAGGGCCGCGCGAGCTCGATCGGCGTGCATCTTTTTGTCCTTTGGTCGATAAAAGAGCGCAGAGCTTTCCTGAAGCATCGAAACAATCGAAAGGACTTCGTCGGTACAGTGGTACTGCTCTGAAGCCAAGATTGCTTTGGAGAGCATCGGATCAACGGGAAATTCGGCCATGCGTCGACCAAGTTTGGTTAATTCACCCAGATCATTGAGTGCACCCAACCCGTAGAGCAATCCAAAGGACTGCATCAGCGTATCCGTAGGCGGTGGGTCGAGGAAGTCGAAGTTGAACAAGTCGTTGATGCCGAGCGATTTGAGTAGCAGCACGACGTTAGCCAGATTCGTCCGTTGGATTTCTGGGGGTGTATGCGCTTCCATTTCGTTTTCAAAGGCCCACTTTGTGAATAACCGAAAGGCCTTTCCAGGCCCCACCCTGCCGGCGCGGCCGGCTCGCTGATTGGCCGAAGCACGAGAACAGGGGACCACCGTCAGTGATGACATGCCCGTCTTGGGGTTGTACGAATTCTGCTTGACGAAACCAGGATCGATGACAAAGACGACGCCGTCGATTGTGATGCTTGTCTCGGCAATGTTGGTCGCCAGAACAACCTTTCTCGCGCCCTCTGGCGTCGGCTCAAATATTTTTGCCTGCATCTCGCTCGGCAAGTTGGCGTAGATCGGACAGACGATGAGCTCTGCAATTTTGTTGCCTAGTGCCCGCGACGTCTCCTGCAGATTCTCCATCGCTGCATCAATCTCGTCTTGGCCCGTGAGGAAGACGAGGATGTCGCCCTTCGGCTGAGTTGTGTGAATCTGGAAAACCGTGGTGATGGCGGCATGCAGGTAATTGGCTTCCGGCTGGGGCGTGTAGTGAATGTCGACGGGAAAACGACGTCCAGGGACATAGAAGATGGGAGCGTCGTCGAAGAAACCACTGAACTTTTCGGCGTTGATTGTGGCGCTCGAGATGATGAGCTTGAGATCTGGGCGGAATCGAGCCACATCCTTGACAAGGCCGAAGAGAATGTCCGTCGAAAGGGTTCGTTCGTGGGCTTCGTCGATAATTAAGCACGAATAGCCCGCAAGGTCGGGCTCGGTGAGGAACTCTCGAAGCAGCATACCATCGGTCATGTACTTCAGAACCGTAGCGTCAGAAGTGCAGTCTTCGAAACGGATGCTGTAGCCGCACTCGCGTCCCAATCGCACACCCATCTCTTCGGCCACGCGAGCGGCGACACTCATGGCCGCCACTCGTCGGGGTTGTGTACAGCCAACCTTCATGCCATCCTTGGTGTAGCCGGCCTCGTGAAGGAACTGAGGAAGCTGCGTTGTCTTACCCGAGCCCGTCTCGCCGACGACGACCAGCACTTGGTTGTCGGCAATGGCATCAAGCAGCTCTTCTCGCAAGGCGTAGACTGGAAGAGACTTGCGCACCGCCTCGATGGAGTCCGCTGTGGAGGACAATGTTAAAGAGTGAGCATTCACTGGCCCAATGGTAGTTATATGGAGCTCACCTTTGGCTTGTGCTTCTTGAATTTGCTTCTGCAACTTCTGGTCCTCTGGCTTGAGCGTGAATTGATCCTCGAGCTTGTCGGCCTGCATTATGAATTGAATCGTTTGACTTTCGTCAAAGACGTAGTCGTAGTCGCCTTCAGCCTCCTGGCCGGCCTTGATCGCGTCAGAGGGCATGACCTTGGACCTTTCGATCTGCTCCTTTTCAAACAAATCCACCTCTGTGATGTGGTTGGCCTGCGCCTCCCTCTCAAACTTCGCATCGTCGTAGCGCTGATAGAGGGCTGCCTCCTTTTTCTTGCGATTGAGCTTGCCCTGTTCGGTGATGTAGTCCTCTGGGATCACGTAGCCATCGTCTCCATCGTCAATCTTCGCCCTCTCTTCTGCGATGCGCAACACTTCCTTCTTGTACTCTAGCTCTCGCGTCTCCCGCTTCGACAGCTTTTGTCCTCGGAAGAAGCGCTCCTCGTCTGCAATCTCTTGTCGGAGAATTTCAATCTGCTGTTGCGAGCGTTTGGCAAGGTACTCATGCCTCGATCGATCTCGCAGCGATGGCATCGCCTTGCTTCTCGCCTCTGCGTCGTCGGCCAACAACCTTCTTGCCGCTACCTCTGGATTGAGCTTGGAGGAAGAGCGATCCTCGACGACCTTTTTTGTTGAATCCTTGTCCTTTTCGCGAATCCGCTTGGCGAATTCATCCCTCTCAGCCATGTCCTTCAGCCTTTCTCGCTCCCTTCTCACGTCCTCCGAAACCTCCTCGTCCTCTTCTTTCACTTCACCTGCCAGCGCTCTGCCCTCGTCCTCTGGCTCCTCACGTCTAGCCTTCTTCCTCTTCTTCCGCTCAGGCTTAATCGAGAGCTCCTCTGTACCTGCCACATCGTCGAGCAGCAGTCCGTACCTCTTCTTCTCCTCGGCTTTGCGGCTCGCCCTATCCGAAGTCGCCGTCGTCACTCCGGCCGGCGATTGGCTCTGCGTAGATGCACTGGCCCGCGGTATTCTGCTGTATAGCGCAGAGGCAAATGCCCGCCCATCTGCATCTGAGGGCAGTCCAAGTGAAGAGAGGGTGTGGAAGAGGTCCGAGGGCGACTTGGCCGAGGTGGCGCTCACATGGACAAAGTCAATCGTCGTGCTGTCCGACATGCCGAAGAACTTGATGGCATGGTCGCCAATCCACCTACGGAGCTCCCCGGAAGCCATCTTGGAGTCTCCGACTTGAGCAATTGTCGTCGTGCTCTCGCCGTCGTTTCGTCGTTGCTGCGAACAAAGGAGCTGAGCAGTTGGTAGGAAGCCTATTCTTTGAAGGTGTCAAGATCCAGAGGCACACGTGACTTTCTCACTGCCTCCGCTCAGAAGGTGAGCCAAAGCGTGTTTTGGACATCAGGTCGCGTCGAAATAGGCTCTCCGATCGAGCAGGACTTCAGCATCGCAGGCCAGGCTGACCCGCTCACGAAAAGCGCGCAGCAGCCGACGCCGTCAAGGACGTCCGACCGACGGGAAGCTGCCCCCCTTTCCGTCACTGCTCTGTCTCATTTTGCGCATGCGTTTCCCCATCGTCGAAGAGAGAGAGAGAGAGGCTAAGGAGGAGTCGAGACGCGTCAGAAGACGGCAGCAACAATTAGGTCTGAGCGTATCATCGACCAGCCATAATTCGTAGGAAGCTGGGTGGGCAGTAGAGGCTTTGGCGGTCCATGAGGCGATCAAGCCGCCTTTCCGGCTACGATGGCGGGGGTGGTTCTGCTATGTCGTCATCATCTCGTCCAAGCACCTCGTCCGATGCAACGTCACCGGGTGCCCTTCCTACCATTGCACATGCACGCGCTAGAGCAAAGGCCGCCGCCACGGGTGCGGGTGCCGGGACCAGCAGCAGAGGCAGGGATCATGACGACAACCATATTGGGAGGGAAAGAGTCGAGCGGCGTTTTGAGGACTTCATGGACGAAGATGCCACGACTGCAGCATCGGGCTCTGCGCCGGGAGAAATGACGACGTTCTTTCGTGAGCCGATGGAATCGAGGAAGCGACATCATCGAGCGTCTTCAAGCTCACCGCAGAGGCATGGTGAGCCAGACGATATTTATGTCGGAGCAAGAGCAGTTCGCGATGCAGGCCAATTGAGGAATGTTGCCGAATCCTCAAGTAGAAAACCTAGAAAGAGTACGTTGGCGTTCCTTGAGTGCAGCAAGAAGGTTGTCGCTAAAACCTCTGTCTCAGCCTATAACGAGCAGGTGGACGAAAGCGGCTTCATATTCACCTCGGAGCGGCCGCGTGATCCTTCGTCTTCATCGTCAACAGCAGCGCCACGAGGTGTGCCGGGATCTATGGGCCCACCTCCGACAGCCTCCTACCGGACGATGTATGAGCCTTTGGCTGACGTGGGCATTGGTGAGACGCCCGTCCATCGAAGAAACCAAGCCTTCCGAGCTCGTGGTGGTCTAGACAATGCAGACAACCAGAGCACGCCTCTCGGAAACGTTATGTCATCTGCGCGACGATCGTCTATAGGGACCAAGTCAAACCGAAGAGTGTCGTCGCTCACCAGTGGCGCACCGGCTTATCCACACCCTCGAGTGCCCGATAAGGAAATGTACCGGCACTGCAGCAACGAAATTGGCGACGTTGGCAGGATGAAACACCTGGCAGGCTGGGCACTCAAGAGAGCCGTGGACGCTACGCTCCAAGGCGAGACGAGAAAGAATCGGAGGGGAGAATCACAAAAGTACCTCTCGTCAAGAGAGCTGCGAGAACTGGAGAGGTGCAAGGACGTCGTCAAATCTGCTATGGACGCGATGCTGGCCGACCTCAATCGAGGCTTGGTTAATGTCAGCTGGCTGGGTCGCCAAAAGGTGAGCTTTTGTTGATTTCTCCGACTTCTTCCCATGTGGGTCATCTTGTCTCAATATTATCTTCCCATACAGATTTCGTCCTCAGTGCAAAAGACACCGCATCCTCGCAACATGGCCAACACGTCCTCTTCTGAACGCCTTTCTTCACATCTCGAAAGCTTGACGCGCGAAGTGGAAGCCTGGAGGACAGAGGAGGCGAAATTGGACGCGTTCGAGGAGGAAACACGACGGTTGGTCGAGGAAGCTCGGATCAGCTTAGCCCTCGAGGGTCCAGACGATGTGACGCTTCCTAGTGGAGGAGCAGAGTCAGAGCTGTTGGAATGGGCCGACACCGACCTGAGCGAGGGGCAACTCGAACAGCTACAGGAAGCGAGGAGAACCTTGGCATACGAGGCGCCATGGGCTGCTGGCGATGGAGGGACAAGAGGCGATGCGGCAGTTCGGGCCGCGAGCCTCTCGCTTGGCACTCGTACTTCCCAATACCCCTCTCGAAAGGATGGGAAAAGGAGAGCAAGTGACGGTGTAGACCGAGGTCTCGTCGAGGAAGCCTACCGTGGAACCGAACTCGACGATCGATGGAGCGATGTCGAGTTCCACGCAGACCTTCTCAGATCACAGACGCACCGATATGCACAGCTCTCATCGCTCGCGGATCGCTACCTCTCCGAAGTGTCCACTCGGGCCACACGGGCGCTGCGAGACCTTGCCGATGGGACCGTGCGATCGGCCTCTTCGTCCGGTGCTGCCTCTGGATCATCCGCCTCGAGGCGTCAGGTGGGCTCGCAGCGTGCCATCGCTTCGAGACTAGCAAGAGAAAGTCGAGACAATGTCGAGACGATACTGACGCGGATGCGGGACCTGTCGAAAGGGGAGCGCGTGGAGGAAGCAGAAGAAGAACGGGGGGATGAAAACATTAATGTGGGCGATCGAAGCGAAGGTGATCTGCTGAGGGCCTTGGCAGGCTCCTGAGTCGGCAGCTGGTGCATCGCAAGCTGGCTCAATCGTGCCCACTCGAGCTATTCAATCATGTATTTTTTCTGATCAGTCTCTTGCTCTCTTATACCATGCATTACGCCGACGGAAGCCGCCGCCCTCGGTCTGAAGAGCATGTCCGAATTCCGGGCTCGAAAATGACCAGTTCGCGATTTTCTTCTCCAACACCATCGAGCGAGACGCGTGCGCTTCTCGACCTCAAGACAACTTCCTTTGGAGAGGGCCGGGGACAATAGACGGCAATGACGACATCGACGTCGAGCAGTGAAAGTGCAGAGGGCGCTGTCGTCGTAGCGAGGACCAAGAAGAGCCCGTCTTCACTGCTCGTGCCCTCACTATCGACGATTCTCTTGTGCGGCCTCGCGCTCCGACTGGCAGTCTTCCTCGTCCCAGACCTAAGTGCGATCCCTGCGCTTCTCGAGAGGAGACCAGAACTAAGCACCCCCGTGAGCAGCTACCTCACCTGTGCGTAGCTCTGCATCTTTATCATCGGAGGTACATTTGCTGAGTGATCTCTCGCGCCCGCAGTCAAAGAGGCTCTGCACCTGCGAAAACTGTACATCGACTCAACGGCGTCCGCTGCCACAAAGCTGCCCAAGCCGTACCAGAGCGGCACTCTGTACACGCCCCCTCTACTTCTGGCCTTCCTCGGACCACTTCTCGAGTCTAGATCAGCAGAGGCCTTCAATCTCATCACAGCTCTCGTCTGGTCGATTGCGGACTTGATCACGGCCGCTTGTCTGGCCGACGCATACTCCCGTCGAGTCCAGTCACTTGTCCATCCCAGCAAGACGCGAAGGGAAGAGAATGGAAAGGGAGCGGCGAGAGGACTGGCAAATGGGCAAGAGGATGCTCTGCTCAAGTCTTGGAGCCCCTCAAAGGAGACCATCGCCGCCCTCTATCTCTTCAATCCTTTCACCCTCGGCACTTGTTGGGCAAGGTGCACCACGGGACTAAATAACTGCTTCGTCGTCCTGGCGATCGATGCAGCCTTGGCTGGTGAGTCGAATCTGGCCCATTCCGCTTTGTTCTCGCGTCCGTAGGCTGACGAAGGCCCGATCAAGCGTCACCGATAATTTTGGCCGTGTCGATCGCAACAGCCGCCTTGCTGTCCCTCTATCCGGCGCTACTATTGCCTGCACTCTTCTTGCTCTGCGCGCAACAGGCCACTTCGTCGAATCAACGACGAAGACATGCAAAAGACCGGCATGAACATCAGGTAGGTCGCCCTTGTCTCCCCCTCTATTTTGACCATCGCTCTGCTCACTTCTTGTGTCTCCGCAGTCACGGTCATTCGGGGCTACTCTTGCACTTTGTGTCTTTCTGACGCTTGTCGTTCTCGCCATACTGGTTCACATCAGCTTTCTCGCCGCTGCCATGGACTGGACCTTTATCGATCGGGCGTACGGAACGATGTGAGTCCTCTTTGCCTCCCCTGTCGCCATGGGCTGATACTGACTCTTGCGCACCAGCCTCCTCGTCCCAGATCTCTCGCCAAACATTGGCCTATGGTGGTACTTCTTCATCGAGATCTTCGACCACTTTCGTTCCTTTTTCCTCTTGGCCTTCAATGTGCACCTTGCCAGCTACGCAGTGCCGTTGACAATCAAGTATCGGTGCGTACCCAACCCACCAGCATGCAGTCTGCCTCGTCTTCGCTGACCCACCTGTGTCCCCCCCCCCCCCATCAAAGGCAAGACGAATTATTCGCATTGACGGCTTTCCAAGGGCTGATTTCTACCTTCAAGTCCTACCCGACAATGTCGGACGCCTCCCTCTTCCTCTCGCTCCTCTCACTCTCTCCTCAGCTGTTCCCTTACTACCGCTATCCGCTCGTCTCGCTGCTCCTCTACACCTACGCCACGCTTCTCCTGCCCGCCCTTCATCATCTTTGGCTCAATGCTGGGTCGGGAAACGCCAATTTCTTCTACGCAATTACCCTCGTCTGGGCATTGGCGCAGGGCGCCACGACACTCGATGCAATGTGGGCGTGGGGCCGATGGAGATGGGAGCTGGAAAGGCCGAAAATGGACCCTATTCTTGCGCCGAAAAGGAGCGCAAAGAGGAGAGTTGTGCAGTTGTAGCCACTTCCTGAAAAAAATACGAGTCAAATGACATAGAAAGGGTTTTATATTGACAGGATCTTCTTAGACATTGTGGTGATGGTACAGTGCTGGACTGAACTGATATGATACTTTCGTTAGGGAACCAGAAGAGCTGACAAGAGCCCTTTTTGGGGATGACGGAGAGGAAGGTCCGGCGCATCGCGACCTCAACTTTTTTGACGGGGACTTTTTTGACCGGCGAGGTGTCCAGTCAGAGTCCTCTTCCTTCTCCTGCCGAGTCTTTGATCCTCGAGCCTTCTTCGTCGGGCGAATCTCTTCCTTCTTGCTTCTTTTCTTCGTGAAAGGAATGGTCTTGTCACCGGTGCAGTCGCCAATGACAATTTCGACTCGCACATCATTCGATGGCCAGCTCTTCGACGCAGCCATAGACCCCGAAATCAGGGAAGGATGAACCAAATGACTTGAGAATGACTTCGATTCTCGCGATGCCCTCTTCGAATTATATTTGGCTTCTGGTGAGGCTGTCCGTACCGTCCTGCCAAGCTTTACCGAAGCTGACGGAGTCTGGAGCGGTGGTCTTCGAGACGATGAAGAAGTCGTGGTCGCTAGGTCCTTCATGCATTGCCTGACCTCTGGAGGCATGACAGACCTCTTACTCGCTCCGTACGACTTTTGCGACAAAGGGCGACTGACAGTGGCCTTCTTTCCTGAGGTGGCGATTGCTTTACCCCCGTAAGCACTTCCCTTGCTTCTGCGTTTTGCCGTCGCCTTCTTCCCTTCTCCCCTCTTTCCCTCCTCCTCCTCCTCCTCCTCCTCCTCCTCCTCCTCCTCCTCCTCTTTTTCTTCTTCTTCCTCGTCTTTGTCCTCCTGCTCCTCATACTTCGTTGCTTTCGCCTTCCGCAGACTCCTGGCGACTGCAGTGGAACTCCGTCTCAGAGCAAAAGCTTTCTCATCGGCTTCTTCATTACCAATGTTCACCCGCTTCTCGTTGTCCACCGACACCGACACTCTCCTCTTCTTCACTGCATAGATCTTTGAATGCCCATGGAGCATCCAAGGTTCTTCCTCCTGCCCTTTGCGGACCCGATACCTGTTCTCGTCTCTAATGCGCACAATTGCACTTGCTACACGCTCTTGCCATTTCCGAATGTCCTCAAAGGCCTGACAAAGAAGCAAAATCAGTCAAAAGCTCAGCTTTTCCTACAGTGTACGGCACCACTTGCCTCCTCTGCGCCTTCCCTGACAGTGTCTTCGGTCTCCCAAGTGTCCTCCTCGGGCATGTAGCCCTTCCAGCGGACGCGGTAGCGGTTCCTTCTAAAATCGATCACTTTCTCGACCTCATAAACTTCCTCGACCTCCTCGCCTTCGTCTTCGTCTGGCTCCAGCTTTTCTTCTTGTCCTGCTTGCCGCTTTTGCACGGATTGATCCATAGGCTGATGCACTCGATCGCTAATGCCTTCTAAATCGTCGTTGTCGTCATTTACGGCGTGGGCGAATTGCGAACGTCCGTCGGCGACAAATGCACTTTCCCCTTCCTTACTGTTCTCGACTTCAACGATGATAGACCCCCCTCTCTTCCTTTTCAAGGGCGGAAGCTTGGCCATTTCCTCTAGAAGATCGCCCTTGAGGACGGTCTTGCTGATATGGTGAGCTTCCCACTCCTCTTCGCACCACGCCGGCATCGAGACAGTGGCCTCCATTTCCTTGTCAACTTCGGGCGCCGCCATAGTGTGCATCGACTTGGGGGCACCGGGCTTTGTGGCCGCTGCCACGTACCGCCAACACCAGCAGAGGGCATTCTCGAAGTCGAGGACGCGCATGCCCTGCCGAAGACCTTTGCAATGTGGCGGATTCTCACCCAGCCTGGCCCAATAGCGCCACTGGTTGTCGTACAACCACTTGAGGCCGGCTTCCTCCATAGCCACAGAGTTGATCACATTGGAACCAAAGATCGCCTGTAGGTATTTTCGCGAGCCCGGTCCGCACGAGGCAAAGTTGCGGTACTTGAAGGAGACGTGGGGCGACTGATTGAGATTGACGAGCATGTTGAGAGAGAGGAAGCCACCCAATGTGGGTGCTGATTGCAGCACAGCACTAGCGTCGGTAGCGTACTCGCACGTCAGCAGCCGTTCTGGCATGCCCATTTCCATCAGGGCCTTGACGAAGCGTAGCGTCGCAGCGTAGTTGGGCATCTTTCTGCCAAACCATTGCGTTGGAGGGACAATCTGAAACGACGACGTGTACATCTTCCTCTTTGGATCCTGCTTGAGTAGGTTGAGGAAGATGTCTTCGTATCGCTCCAAGTCAAATTTGAGCCATGAAGGTGGCTCGCCCAGGGCTTCCGCAATCGCTTCATAGGTGCTGTTCACGTAGAAGCCGCAGAAAAGGAACAAGCGGACTTTGGAGGAGTCAACAACGAGCGCTCGAGGGCGTGTGTTTCATCGCTACGTCAGTATCTTCACTCACAGCAGATTTCTTCGTGACTCTGGTCCCCTTTGCCCATGATTTGCTCCCGAAAATAGATGCTCCCCCTGTCGAGCTCTCTGAAGACGTTTCCATAGACGCCTGTACGCAGTAAGACGTCGTCAGATAATTTGTCTCTGCCCAAACTTGGATTCTCTTCTCGGCGCTCGTGAACCTTGTGACGTTCGGCGCAGAAGCGAAAGAAGGTGTAGAGCCATTTGTTATCGAGAGATGTCTCGACTTGGCGATATCCTTGAGGCTCGAGAACGGCACGTTCCTTGCGACCTTGGCTCGTAGTAGTCTGAGTGAGCTCGCAAGTCGTGTCGCTAACGAAACCCTTGGTGTTGGCTTCGATTGATGTCGTAAAGGGAAGAGCGCTGCTCAGGTCGACATAGACGCCTTCTTCGTTGTCCTCAACTTCGACGAAGCAAACGTCAGCTTCTTTTTCTTCATTTTCTACCATCACTTGCTCTTTTCCCTTCTTCTTGTCTTCGGCGGTAAAGTCATCGTCCACTTCTTTCGTAAGGTTCTCGTAGGTGCTGTCTTCCCTCTGTTTGTCCACAGCAAGCTCGCCGCCGAACGTGTCACGGTGAATCTCGTCGTCGACATTGAATTCTTCAGCACAGCCGTCCTTCTGGACCTCAAGGTTACTGGCGTAAACGTCGGATGCAAGCTTTCGGCCGACGATCCCATCTTCCACTTCAGTCTCAGCCGGACTGGCCACTGCAGATGGCGAAGACATGGCGGCGATGGCACGATTAACGTCAGCGGGGGGGACAAAGCTTCGCAGGTCCTGAGCGTTAAGGCTCAATCTTCACGTGGGCATCTCGCACGGACGTCGACTTCATGGGTCTCATCAATGTTTGGTAATGTTCGGTATTGTACTGTACAGTCTTTGTCTAGGAGCTCTCTGCTCCTCCTCTTGCTCTTATTCTGCATCGCCGTCTTCGTCGACCTGCGATGCCTGGTCACTCGCATCATCTTCGTCCCCAACAGGCGTTCTCGGGCTCGTCCCTCTTCCTTGTAAGCTGTTAATGTCCTCATCCTCTTCATCCTCTGCCCTCCTTGTTCTCCGCCGTTTCTTTTGTGAAGGTCGCCTTTCGATTTCTTCCTCATCCTTTTCTTCGTTTTCATCCTCTGAATGACGTCTGCGGCGCGCGGGGCGGCTGCACAGGGATTCTTAGCAGAGCACTTCCTAAAGCAAAGCGCCCGTCGCCTCACCTTTGCACAGACGCCTCACCCACGGGCGATGGAGACCAGGTATGCTGGCAACCCCTACAAGTCGAAGCCTGACCCTCTCGTGTCGAGATGCCAATCTGTCGTTCGTAGCTGGTCTGGCAGTGCTTGTGGACGCGAACCCTGCATTCTGCGTTAGAACAGGCAACACCCTTTGGAAGTAGAAAGGAGTCAGATTTCCACCCTGTCTCCTCGCTCTTTTTCACCTCTCACGTTTGTGATGGGATCTTCGCACATGATGCACGAGAAGTAGTGTTCCGGGTAGGCGTTCTTGAGGTACACGTTGAGTTCCATCATTGAGCGCGAAGTGAGCAAATAGCGGCCCGTGTCCCTGCATTGATCAAAGACTGTGAGAAGAACATGACAATGGGTTTATAAGTTGGGGTCGCAGACTCACCTGTTGTACCTCAGCCATCCTTCCTTAACCAGAGCGCTCAGCAGCATCTCCGTCTCGGCATTCCCCAATGGTGGCTTGCACTGCCGCCCGATCTTGAGCGCTTCGGTAGACGAGAGGGAGTAAGCATCGTTGTTGGTGAAGATTCTCTCAAGGATCTTCTTCGTCACTGCAATCTCCGTCGCGGAATGGGTAGTGGCCACTTGAGCAAGCTCATCACCCTTGGCATTGACCTGACCGCGCCCTTTGTCAGCCTCTCGACACACAGGCAGACGAGAAGAAAGAGCGCATGTACTCACTATCATGATTAGATGAGCGCCTGTGAATTCGTCACGAGCTTGCCGGATCTCGAGACCAACGCTGCTGAGGTGCTTGCCGACCTCCTCTAGCAGTGTTGGAAGAGATCCAGCTTGGTAGTCGTCTGGGTATAGAGGTCTGTCAGGTGACTGTTGTCTTCAGCTGTAAAATGAAACCCGTCTCACCTCGTGTGATCTCGCAGGCCCTCTTCTGAAGTGCTTTCGCATGGGCTTGAGACACAACGCCGTGTGCGAGCATGGCCTGGAGCCAGACCCTCTGCGAGAGGGGCAGGGGCGCCATCGTCGATGAGTGCTCTGAGAACGCGGCGCGGTGCGGCGCGTCAAAGACGGAAGTGCAGTTGGAGGTGTTGGTTCTAAAATATTATTGGGCACGTGTCCTGCAGGCCCCTGTCATTTTCGCTCTCAATCTCTCTACTCCTTTGTGGCTTCAAAACACCGACCAAAGCTAGCAGGGATCTGTATCTCGACCAGGCCAGGCTCAGCTCCTCTGCGACAATGGCCGTTCCTCCGTCGCCCACACTGAGCGCGCGAACGACAGCAACGACGCTGGGCATGGCGGGCTCCAAGCTGCTTCCAGCTCAGCTCGTCACCCGATCGGACCTGCGTGCCTCGCTCGGCGCCCTTGAGTCGCTCCTCACCGCGTCGAAAGCCTACACGTCTGCGCTTTTGGCTCTTGGATCCGCCTCGTCGGAGCTCGGCGTGGCTCTGGAAGCATGCAGCCGGACCAAAGGCGCCCATCAAGTCGGATCGGGCCTGCTCGCCTCGAGCGGTATCCACTTTATGGCCTCGAACTCGCTCTCTATTCTTGCCGACGCCTGGTGGAAGGAGACGGCGATCCCGCTCCTGGAGCATCACGACCTCTACGCACAGGCGTGCGCGGACCGAGCCGCGCAGCACGAAAAGGCGCTTGCGACCAAGTCGAGGGAGCTCAACGAGGCTGAAGCGAGGAACCGGAAAGAGGCCAAAAGCAAGCACGGCAGGGACCTCAGCTCGTTCAGGAGGGCCCTCGCCGAGCTGCAAAAGAGGGTCGACGAGCTTGACGAAGAAAAGGCAAGATACTACAACGATGTCCTAGAGGGCGAAGAAGAGTGCTGGACCTTTGTTCAGGAGAAGGTGAGTGGTGTGCAGATGGGGAGAATTACAAACAAAGGAGAGCGAGGGGCTGATGTTTTGCCCTGGTGCCAGATGGTGGCCTCATTACGGAGTCAGCTTGACGTGTACGAGCGCATCTCGTCCAAGGGCCTTACCGATCCCACCCTTGAGCCGCTTCTCTCAGCAATTGCTGATCCCTTCAGCGCATACGGGCCTCCTCGGTCTGAAGATCAAATTTACAGCATCCTCGGAGGTCAGCAGAGCCTCGTAGGAACCCCTGGAATTGAGGGGCTTGCTGCCGCTCAGGGTCATTTTGACGATCAGGGCCACATTTCTGATCCATCGGGAGGCGCTGCCACCTCTTCCTCTGCGGGTCGTCTAATCATGAGCCCAAGCACGCCGAGCAAAGGCCTTTCGAGGAGCGGCGCTGTCAGTCCACCCTCGGAAGGATCGGCTGCCGTCGTGGGGCCAAACAATGGTCTTGGCATCTCCTTGGCTGCCGCCGCTACTCTTGCTCGGGCGAGCATCGGTGGTGGCGGAGGTGCAGGCTCGGGTGCAGGCGAGGCAAGCACGACGGTCTCGGCCGTCGCAGGGTCTGGCACGACGACGACGAAGCCACCTAACGAAAACAGCGACGATCTCGACCTCTTTGGTAAAGAGGGCGACGAAGAGGAGGAGGGCAGTATCTTCAGCGGGGCAGAAGAGGACGAAGAAAACAACGAGGGCGTCTTGTCACCATCGCAGTCCAAGCTTAAAGCAGCAAAGCGGCGAGAGCGAGCGATGCGGACATCGGCGGCACGGAGGCTAAAGCACGCGCTCAGCATCATCGACGAGGGCAAGACCAACAGGCAGGAGCCGGGCGATGCTGTGCAAGAGGCCGAGACCAAGTCCGGTGATGGGCAAGCCTTGGCAAAGGCGGCACCATTGACGGAAGATGCCAACGATGCCGATGCAGAAGCAGAGCAGGAGCAAGACACAAGCGGCGACGAGCGCCGCAAAGTCGGCCAGGGAGGTGACAGTGCTGCACCAGCACCTGCGGCTACGGCAGATGGAGTAGCAAGGGGATGACTTTTTGCTTCTTCGAATGAGGACGGACACTCTGCTTGTTGATGGATTCCTCATGTAACATTAAACCTCTATCTATTATACCTGTACAAGTGGAACAGCTGGATATGCAGAACCCCCACCTGGACAGTCACTAAGATCTTCGACGCGCATGAGCCTTCTTTAAATTCGCACTCCACTTAGCGTCGCATTGGAGCGACGGCGGCCGGTTGCGATTAACCGGCCTCTTCGGCGGGCCGGTGAGCTTCTATGCATTGCCCCACTCGACTGTTTTGATCACCATCATCCAATCCAACAATGCCCCGCCAAGCTAACAAGATCTACACGTCACCGTGGGGCGATCATGCCAAGGTCGAGCCCGGGTCGGCATGGGACTATGTCTGCGGCTATCCGACTCACAGCGACTGCCTCGAAGACAAGCATCCAAAGCTCGCCCTTCACGACCTGGTCACGGACGAGAAGTGGTCGTGAGTGGAAGGTCAAGGGGGGAGCTTTTCATGAGTCGTTAGGTTCGCACTCTGAACATGTGCGGCGGGCCTGAACGTGGATACGGTCATGTCAGGTATGGCGATATGCGCGACTGGACCACATGTATCGCCGCGGCACTTCTCAATGGCAAGCTTGGACTCAAGCCAGGCGACCGCGTGTGAGTACCTGTGGCGACAACGCATGCATGCTTGATTCGCAAGGGGCTGCCCAGAAATGCTCACATGACGAATCTCCACCCAGGTTGCTCTCGCATCCATCCGGCCCCATCTTTCTTATCCTTCTCTTTGCCTGCCTCCGAGCACAGCTTATTCCTGGACTCGCCAATCCGGCCTACACGCCCAAGGAGTTCCTGCACGGTTTCAAGACCATTGAGGCAAAGGCTGTCCTTCGCCCAAAAGCGCTGGCCGACGCATTCAAAGAAGCGGGCATCTCCGATGACATCTCCGTCGACACCACTTGGCCGCCAAATGAGAGATCTAAGGCCCAGGTGTGGGACTTGGCGAGGGGCGATGTCGCCAAGGCCAATAAGATTCTCGCAGACAAGGGCGCAGATAGGCCAGTGGATTGGAAGAAGACGGCGGGCATTTTCTTCAGGTTGAGTGTGCTGGTCTCCCGGCTCGCACGCAGTGTTTCCCCAGTTCTGATTGTTTGTCGGCTCGTCCTCGTAGCTCCGGCACAACGGGTCTGCCCAAGGCAGTGTGCATCTCGCACAGCAACCTCTTAAATGAGTTCAAGTCCTATGAACACGTTCCGGATTTCGACACAGACCCTTACCAACCGCACTATGTTGCTCTTCCTGTGAGTGTCCCTCCTGCCTCTGAAGTCGCAGAGCGCAGCTAAGGTCGTCTGTGCACAGCTCTTTCACGTCGCCGGTCTCCTCTCGTGGCTCTTTGCGGGCATAATGGGTCGGCCGGTGCTTTTCTCGTACAAGCAGCCCCTGGATCCACAATTGCTCATGAAGCACTTTGACCAGTCTGGCGCCGTACAGATGATGGTCGTGCCCCCGCTGCTCCTCGGCATCACGAAAATGAAGCTCATGACGGACAAGACACATCCGCATGTCCGGTTCCTTATTGCGGGCGCCGCGCCTTTGGGGCCAGACCTGCACAAGGAGTCGATGGCCCTCTTTGGAGGGAAGCCAATTATCCAAGTCTGGGGTATGTCCGAGACTACAGGGGCGGCAACGAAGGCGTCGCCTGTCGAAGAGATTGTTGTCGGCAGCTGCGGGAAAATCATGCCGAGCGTAGAGATGCGTATCGTTGATGAGGAGGAAAAGGATGTTGAAGACGGCCAACCGGGCGAGGTTTGGATCCGAGGAGAAGTACGTGCTCGCCTTTACCAACTTTGTTTGCCCACTGGGTGTGCTAGACTAACCTTTCTCTTCAACGACAGATCAACATGGTTGGCTACCTCAACAACCCCGAAGCAACACGGGAGATGATTACCGAAGATGGCTGGCTAAAGACCGGCGACATAGGTTACGTGGGCCCCGACGGCGATTCGCTGCACCTCGTTGACCGGAAAAAAGAGCTGATCAAATTCCGTGGCTACCAAGTTGCTCCTGCCGAGCTGGAAGACTTGATTCAGGGCCATCCGGATATTGCCGACGTCGGCGTCGTGGGCGTCAAGGACAGCAACGGCACGGACGAGCTTCCGAGAGCGTACTGCGTCTTGGGTCCCAACGCAAAGGACAAGAAGAAGGAGGATCTCGCAAAGGAAATAGTGTCCTTTGTCAAGTCCAAAGTCAGCTCGCAGAAGCAGCTGCGTGGTGGCGTTGTCTTCATCGATGCCATTCCAAAGAAGTGAGAATGAATTCGACTTCCCCTATTTTGGCAACGGCAGTGGGCTGATGATTACCCCTCTGTGTCGGCTCAGCCCAAGCGGAAAGGTGAGAGGACCAGAACAACACAGACATGCGCAGGAGCTGACTTCGCTGTCCTTGCGACAGATTCTACGCAAAGACCTTCGCGCACTCAGCGCGAACGACCAAGCAAAGCCGAAGCCGAAGCTGTAGAAGGAAACGTAGTTGCTGCTTGTACCTTTCCTATATTCTTGCTTCGACGCACTGCCGGGTTCTGACTCCTAAAATGAGATGCACCCGATCAAATATCAAGCTCGTACGGCTTTCTCTTCCTTTCTCGTGCGCCATCACGGGGGGGGGGGGGGGGGGGGGGGGGGGGGGGGGGGGGGATCGACGCAGCCAAGATCTCGTGCGCTAGCTCCCAATCGATCAAATCTGGTTCGGTGGAGCGATGGGACGCGGAAACAACAGGAGGCTAAGATCTAATTGGACCCTGGGTCATCTGCGCGGGTGCAGGGCGCTTCTGCTGCGAGTGGACCCGAGCACCGTCCGTATTGGCCCAACTTGGCTCGGACTACTCTGCCTTAGGTACTCGCTCCTTCTCGTTTCGCTTGGGCTTGGTGCAGAGGGCTCACCACCCTTTCTCATTTTATTTCCATGGACCCCAATTCTGCTCGCAAGGTTTTATTGCATCGGATGGTGGGTGCGTTTTGGTTTCATTTTCGTGCGTCTCTGGCCGTCTCTGGCCCGAGAAAGTCATGTAATTGGCCCGATTCATGCCCAAGTGGAGGGAAGGAACGTTGAGAGAAAAGAGAGAGAAAAAAGGATCGTTCATATATGGTGTGCCGTGGCGATTAGTTCTCGGGCGCGCGGCCCGTGGAATCGGTAATCAGGAACTTCGTCTGTTGCAGAGTAAGGATTCGGGCTCGGCATGAATGCAAGATGATTGATACAGCTGCGTGATGGTACATAAAGGCAACTACCAGGCGTACGTGACGCTGCCGACCTTGCCTGGCAGGTCCATCATCCTGAGCTCAAGATCTCGCCGTGCAAGTCCTTCACTCCTCTCCTTTTATATTTCCGCCTGCGCCTTTCGCATTTTGGGTTGCATCGGGCAATCAATCTAACGCACCAAGGCGAGATCCACGGTCGGGCCTTTTTCCCGTTCGCGCATTTTTACGGTTTGCCCGTCAGACCCTGAGACCAGGCAGTGTCTACACACCGATGCTGACTACGACAACGACGTCAACGTCGACGAGAGCCCTTCACCACGAGTCGCTCCGGCCACGCTTCTCCAGATATGGCGGCGGCGGCGGCGGAAGCCCACCCAGTCATTCGCCTTCGCCCTTGCATGAGGCGGCACAGTTGCCACCTCATCGGCTCCAGTATGCGAGAAAGAATGTGTCGAGGAAAATGTCCATCAAGCACAAAACGTTGGGATGGATGGTGATCGATTCGGCCTGGAAAGTCTGGATGCGCTTCATTAGCGTCTGGGGTCTTGGCGTCATGGAGCCGTGGGAGCAGGCAGTGACGAGTGGGTTGCTTTTTTTTTCCCAAGTTTGCCCACTTGCAGGGTCCGCTGACTGAAGTCTGCTTCCAAGTCGTCTTCTACGCAACATTATTGTTCCTTTTTCTTATTGCCATGGTGCAATTGCCTTCCTACGTCTCTTTTGCAGTCCAAAGACTGTGCTTCTACGTCACGGGTCATGATCGTGCGAAGCAGGCGGCTGCGTCGACCTGGGATGGGGGACAGCAACAGCAAACATTACCATTCGAACCACCACGGGTATTGCGAGGTCCAGCTGGTGCGATGAACTGATTTAGAGCCGCCTTCTTCCGTTGCCATGTATACCTGCGATGCTCATTCACATTTACAAGTCCCAATCTTCATCGCCCGCTTCCTGTGCATATTCTTCGTCGGTTCCCATCCCTTCCTCTGCATCATGCCCTGTGGCTCCTTCCTCCTCGTACGCGCTGAGCAACTCCTCTAGCCTCTCACGGATCTCCATCAGGCCATCCCGCCCGCCGAGCAAGCCCTCGCTCTCGTCGTTCGCTGCTTGTCCTGCGGCTGTGCCTCGCGTTCCGCCAATCCCAAAGGCCGAGAGCGGAGCGTGACCTCTGATCAAGGTGCGATCGACGAAAGCTTTTGCAGGTCGAAGCGTATTGGACGTTGAAGGCGTCGTCCGAAGCGTCGTCGCCATCGACACCTTGTCAACCCTTCTCGTCTTGACTTGGCTCGATGCCATCATCCTTCCCTGGCTCGTAACGTTTCTGCCAAATATCTGGGGGAATGCCGCTGAGCGCACATTGAAGCCCAAGGGCACGAAGCTGGCCTTTGTGAGAGGTTCATCGATGGTCTCTCCGTTGGACAGATACCTTTCCAAGGCCTCTTTCGTAGGTGTTTTCGCCAGCATATCGTCATCCCTTGCGACAGCATGATTCGCAAAGTCCGTTGACGAAAGACTTTGGCCCTCTTGCTCCTTGAATGAGAAGTTGGCGTTGTACCGTCGAATCTGCTGAGCACCCCTCTCGGCTCGTTCCTGGGGCGACAGATGCTCAGGGCCTCGTTTAGATGGCCTGGAACCGTAGCCCCTCGATGCTAGCAGAGCTTCGATGGGGTCCATCTTGTTTGAGCTTTCCATAACTATTGGTGCTAAGGGCGGCGTAGGGAGGCAACCGGAGAGCGAGGCAATCGGCGTGTCATGCCGCCAATTGAGACGTGATATCATCGTCGAGGTTGGTTCTCGCCCTTTCCTCAGTCTGATGTGACGAGGAAGTCGATCAGCAATCCCTATCAACGGCGAAAAGGATAGACGAATGCACAGCCTACCTTGAAAGAAGCGTTGCCGTGTCCATATTAGCAGCGAACAGTGCACCAGCATTTCTCGGGTCGGTCCAATCGGCATGCTTCGTAAAGGGAGAGTCTGATACTTGGCTGAGAGATGAAGGAAGATGGAGCGGGACGAAGAGGCTGGCATGCGACAAAGACCACAGGGAGAGTATCTGGTTGGTCCTTCTCAATTTCGACAGCCTGGCCCTCTCGGCGTCCTCCCCGACGGCTTCGAAGTCAACTTCACCCCATTGCGCTGCCCAGGCAACCACGGGTGTTTTCGGATACTCGTCTTGCAGTACTTCGAGGGTTGCGTGCGCGAGGCCAGAGAAGCCGTCAGAGCTCGACGAGACTAGGTTAAATGTCTGGAGCAGGTCGCTGTTCTCGGCAAAGAAGCGCAGCGACTCGTCAACAGCTGAAGAGTCGCGCTCCATTTCTCGGGCAAGTGACCAGCCAGCTTCAAAGGAGTCGAGCGGAGCGAAGCCTTGGTGCCGGTCTGCACCCATCGGACCGAGCGCACCGGCAGCTCCATGCATCTGGGGTAAGGTCACGATGCTTCGCGGATGGTGAGGATTGTGCGCATATGCGAAAGGAGGCAGCCTTCGTCCCGGTGCTTGTCTTTTCACCGGCACCGCGGCTAATGTCGAAGGCTCTGGTGTGGTGTCTTTTGTTTCTACTCTTTGCTCATACTCATAATCATCATCTGTGTCGTCCGCCTCCTCATCGTCCACCTCCTCCGCATAAACCGCCCGGCGAACTCTTCCACTAGTACGAAAAACCTCAGCGGGACGAGACCTGATGCGGCTTCAACCTTCAGTCTCTTGACTCCAAGAGAAATTCACGAACTGCTCACCAAGCGAGCAAGCCTTCCTTGGGCGCATTGGCTGCTCGGAGAACCTCCTCATCGTATACGCCATCTTCTGGCGCTAGTTGGTCTCTTCGATTTTCCTCGTCATCATCATCTTCGAACACAACATCGTACGCTCCCCATCTCGTGCCCAGCTCCTCCTTGAAGGCACAGACGATCTCCCTGGGGAAGAAGGTGCTCTCACCGCGTCGCGTGCCCACCCCCTCTTGGAAGTCGACGTCGGCATCGAGCGTTGGCTCGCTTGCCTCCTCGCCTTCGTCTGGCGCCGAGTATTGAAAGTGTGACGACTGCTGATTGAAGAAGTTGGTGGAGATGTGAAGCGGAAGCGCTCCAAATGTGAGATGAATCGTCTCCTTTTGCTGCAGCGTCATCGTCCTAGGCGTCCCTCGACACTGGAGGGCTACTCCAGTCGCGGCCATCCAGACTAGAAGCTTAAAAAAAAAGTTGCTGACATAAGCCGCTGTTGAAGTCTGAAAAAGCATCGGCTGCCTCTTCTTCGACTTCGTTTCTCCCCTCCCGTCTTCGACGCACCAGAGATGCTGGCACCGACGCAGGTTCTGCGGGCACGTTCAGCTTGGAAAGGTTCGTCGGTTGCCTTATGGTAAATCTTAGCGACTCTTGCTGATGACCTCATTGCTGCAACAGGGCCGTTCTTTGTCGCCTTTCCCAACCTGGCTCAAGCCCTCAAGAACAACACGCCGATACGGACAAATGCTCGGGCCTCGACCATCCTGCCGAACTTCGTTGGGTGCGTACCTGACCGTCTCGCACCTCCCTTCTTCTTTTCGATGGAGAAAAAAGGATGCTGACGTGCTTTTTTTGTGCGAGCAGGCTCAAGTTCCTCATTCACAATGGCAAAAATCACGTTCCAATCACTGTGACCGAAGAAATGGTGGGCCACAAGCTGGGCGAGTTTGCACCCACACGGAAGCGCTTCAGTTATCGGCAGACCAAAAACAAGTGATCTCACAGCACAGCGCGACGATGCTCGTAAGATGGGAAGCCGCAGCGATGGGAGGTCAATGTATTTGTATTATCCAACGTGGACAAGAATGACTATTGCTTGCTCTACGACTAATACTACTACAGATGGGGCAAAGGTCGTCAGGACGATCCAATGTCTGCATTGAGGAAGATAAAAGGTCAGCTTGCTGCACCAGACATCTGGAAAGGGAGGTAGAACGCTACTCACACTGCTCGCGCAGCGCTCTTTTCCTAGCCTGAAGGATGAATGCCTCGGTCTTTGCTCGGTCTGGCACCTCGGGCATCTGAATCTCCCTGGCATCAAGCACGCTAAGCATAGCCGCTGCTCTCGCAGCATCTCCCGTGGCCTTTGGCGCTGCTCTGCCATCCAGCATCTCTTCATCGTCTCCTCCTTGCCCTTCTTCCTCCTCTTCCTCCTCTTCCCCCTCATCGCCTTCCCTTGTATCCTCATGAGCATCCCCATCTTGGCCTTTTGATTTCTTTGACTTCTTAGCTTGCTTCGGCGCTTTCCTCTTGCCTTTTGGTGCCTTAGGTGTATTCTGCGGGGCCATGCTCCCCTCTTCCTGGATCTCCTTCAGACTTTTTGGCTTTGTTCTCGGGAAAGCTGGGAAAGCCGCCTCTTGCCCTTCACCATCGGCCGCCAGATCCTCCTTAATCTCTTGCCAGCCATCCCGCCACGCAGCTTCCTCGGCAGCAGCTTCGCTTGCAAGCACCTGACCGTCGTCCTCATCGTGGTCACCGTAGTACCAAGCAGGCTGATTGGCGAAGCGTCGATATTTTTGACTCTTATACGACTCTATCTCCTCTTCTTGCTCCGCTGGGGTACGAAGAGTCAGCTACATTCGACAGCTTGTTCGCGATTCAGTGAAAGAAGGAAGCTTACCGGTTCGTGAAAGAAGCTCCTTGACGCCCGGCAAGTCTTTGGCTCGACCAAAGTACCTGTACGTGCGGTCCTTGCAGGTCAGCCTTCTCAAGTCTCTTCCACGGGGTGCTGGGCCTGCCTTTGACGACTCACTTGTACCCTCGACTCCCTGGAACCTCCTTTCCAGAGTCATCAAACATCCTTGTTCCCCGCTTGTAGTTTGCTCCGCCCAGCGCCAAAATCTGATTCTCCCAATGGCTCTTTTCTCGAATGAGCTTGTTGATCTCATCGTTGATGTCTCGCACCTCAAAGTCGGAGAGGTTGACTATTTGTCTCCAAACACTGTCAGCTCCCTGTCACAGGCCGTGCAGCAGTAGGAACGAGAAAAAGGGCTGTACTCACAGTCCTGGATCTTGGACACCTTTCTCGAGATCTCGCGCAAGACCTCGGACCGCCACTTTTCGCAATCGCGTAGGTTTGTCACGCTGCTCGCCATCCGAGGCCTTCGGTCCGACGTACGCGCGAGCCCTAGCTCGGCGGCCTGCGCCTGCCGGAACCGGTAGAGGGTCGACTGCGCCTTTTCCTGGTTCCTCGCCATCGCTTTTCAGTCGGTAATCGGGTCGACAACTGCTGGTGCGTTGAATCGTTTTGCGGCGGATGGAGGTTAGAGCGCTCAGATATAAAATCACGTGTCGAACTGCTCCCCTCCATCTCGCGAAGAACAGACGGCATCGAGAAGGAAGTCGCAACGACCCCGACAGCTACACACTGCCGCAATGTCGTCTACAGAAGCAGCACCAGCATCAACACTGTCCGAGAATGGTGGCGACAGCAGCAGCAGCAAGGTAGAAGTGACAAAATCGGGGATCCCCAAGGCGCCCTTCATTACCGATGTCGTTGCGCACCTTGGGGGTCCCGACGAGCCTGTGGAGCCGCATCTTCGCAAATTCCAAGAGACGATGCAAAAGTACAAGCTTATGGAAACGGACCGATTCCAGCGCAAGCGTGCCCTCGAGGAAAAGGTGCCAGACATCAAGAAGACGCTGGACATGGTGATGCTGCTCAAGGAGAAGAAGGTGAGGAAGTCTGGCGTTGCTCTCTCTCTCTATCTCCCTTCTCTCAATGCAACAGCAGCTGAGATGCATATCGGGCGTGAGAGCAGGAAGCTGAAGAGGCGCTCGATACGCACTTTGAACTCAACGACACGCTCTATGCAAAGGCGACGATTCCGCCCGTAGAGACGGTCCATCTTTGGCTTGGGGTGAGTGGTACCCCCCCCCCTTCCCTTTTCTTTTTTCCTTCGAGCCTCTGAACGAGACACTTCTTACAGGCAAATGTCATGCTGGCCTACCCGCTTGAAGAAGCAATTGCGCTCCTGAGTGCGCGCCTCGAGGGGTCAGAAAAGAGTCTGGTGACGCTACGTGAGGATCTCGATTTCCTCCGCGATCAGATCACCACTATGGAGGTCAACACGGCGAGGATGCACAATTGGGACGTCAAGCGGAGACGTGAGATGTGAGTCCCGTTGCTGCTACAGTGAGCGACAGAGTCGTCACAGGGGCGAAAGCGCTCACAGTGCCTTCACTTTCGCAGCCGCCTCAAGTCGGAAAAGGAGACCAGGGGCTGAGCAACCTGTCCCATGCCATCATTGTACTACTAATCAGTCATTCTCTTCTCTGCACCTTCTTCTCTATCAACCCAATTGCCTCTCCATCCTCGCTCGGTCTCTTTGCTAAGATCGGCTCCTGGGCGTTGGCGAGCTCGTCCATGTCTACCTCTTCCGCCGTCACGTCGTCTCCTTTCGTCTGCTGTTTTGCCTGAGGCCCTGCCTCTTTCGCGTCGTCGAAGCCGTCAATGTCGTCGTCATCTTCGTCATCTTCGCTTCTCTGGCCCCTGAATCTAAGCCTGCCCCATCTCGCATGGACTCGCGTCTTCGCCTCTCTATACCTCTGGTGCCAGTCCTGCCAGGCCCTCTCGACCCTCGCTCGTGTCTTGGTCGCGTCCTCGCCCTGCGCTGCCCAGAAGGCTCGGACCCTCGTGTCCCTCGTTTCGTCCTCTTCGTGCTCCTTTTCCCGCAGCCTCTGCACCTCTTCCGACAGCGGTTTCCTGTCCGCTTTCTTCACTCTCTTCTCCGACTCAAGGCCACCATCCTTGACTCGGGCCCGCATCATATCGTCCAATGTGCCCTTCATTTCCACGCCTGCAGCCTCAGCGGCGACGAGGACGGAATCGCCCTGTTCTGTGGGCAAGACTGATTTCTTGAACACGCACCGCGCGACGCCAGCGCCGAGAAGCAGCTTGAAGCATTCGTTGCACGGCGGAAAGGAGATGTAGACGGTGACGCCCGCGAGACTGACACCGCGTCGGGCACTGCGAGAGATGGCGAGCGCCTCTGCATGAATCTCGGGCACAGCACCGCGTGTCTTGGCGTTGCAGCGCGCATACAAAAGCGGTGTGTTGTTGGCATATGCCCTGATGCGCGAGCTTATGTGCGGCTGGCACGACGAGGGCGAGGGGGAGCTGGGATCACCCGTGGCTGGCGGTGCCACAAAGATGGTGCCCATGTGGCCCTTTTTGGAGAACGAGTGACGGGCGAGGATCGAGACCCAGGTCAGCATGTTCTCGTCCTCGCTGAGGCTCGGGTCGAATTCGTAGGGCGGCAAGGGCAGCGGTTCCGAAAGCGTACTCAGCGGCTCCGATTCGAGTGATGTCTCAGCAGGAGCTGTTGAAGAAGACGACTGCTCAGCCATTGCGGGCCTCGGCAGTGCCGATTTTGGTGTTGCTGCTGCTGCCCCCGCCTCCTCCATAGTAAAGTCACACCTGCTGCTGAGAAGAAAGTCGAGCGGCCTTGACTGCCCAAAAAAGTTGAGAATATAAAATGGAGGTGTCCAAATTTACTTTCCTATCACGTGTGGACCGCGCCCGGCCGGGGGGCTCGGACCTCAGCAGTTGCGATGGGACATGCACTAGGGAGTGTTGCCATCACACACTCCTACGACGCTTCATCACACAGGTGAGACGAGAGTATGTCGGCGGAACAAGAGGCAGGCCAAGCAGCTGCGGGATCGATGGACGTGGACGTAGAGTCGTCCAAGAAGGGCACGATGGACATTGACGCCGGTGGCAACGGAAAGAAGGCCCCTCGCTTCCAGGTCAAGAAGGTAATTGATCTGTCCGACGCTTCTGCCACTATCACGTTTGAGGAGCTCACGCTTCCTACCTCTCAACAGTGGAACAGCGTTTGTCTTTGGAGCTGGGACATCGTTGTGGACAATGTGAGCTGCTGCGACGGCCTTGTCCCACGAAGACGACGAATGTTTTGCTAACTTTCTCTTGATCCCAGTGCGCGATTTGCCGAAACCACATCATGGACCTATGCATCGAGTGCCAGGCTAACCAAGGAAGCGCTACCACGGAGGAGTGCACCGTCGCATGGGGTCAGTGCAACGTGAGTAGTGCTCTCATTTCTTTTCTCGACCAATGCCGCCGTGGTCTGACGCATGCATCGCCCAGCACGCCTTCCACTTCCACTGCATCTCGCGCTGGCTCAAGACGAGGCAGGTCTGCCCCTTGGACAACAGGGAGTGAGTTGTATTGTCCATATCGTCATGACAGAACTGAATGAACCACTGACATCTGGCCTCGTTGCAGATGGGAATTGCAGAAGTACGGAAGATGAAGACCTTGACACATCGTGACTTCTTCCCCCCCTTGTCACCAGCCACCCACACATACATGTATCTCTAGCCTCGCCCTTCTCAAAGATTTCGCTTCACGCCAGTCACTCGTTCGAGAAGGAAAGAAGCAAATCGCCACAAAGATTTCATGCTTATTCAATGCGAACGATGCGCACGGTCCCATCTGCGCCAGCACTCGCGAGCATCTTGCCCGGCTCGAGTTCCCATGCCTCCAGGGGCTGCCATGCTAGCTCATTGACGACCTCTGTATGGTGTTGCGCCAATCTGAGCGCCTCTTTCCAGCCCGAATTTCCGCTTTCGTCCAATGGGAGCAGGACGGCCACGTCGCCCGATTCGAGGCCGACCGCGAGCTTGGCGCCTTGGCCAAAGGCGAGCGCAGTGACGGCGTGCGAAAACTTGATCGTCTCCGCCAACCGAAAGGGCTTTTCGTTTCCAGGAGAAGTCTCTCTGTGCCAGATCTTGACCTGTCGATCCCTCGAGGCCGTGGCGAACATGTCCCCATTGAGGGCCCAGGCCGCGTCGTAGATGATCCTCGAATGTGCCTCTTCTTCCACCTGCACCAGCTTATACTTCTCCCCTTGATCATCTCTTGAGTCCCTCTCGTACAGCCTCCAGGATCGGTCGCGGCTTGCTGTCAAGAGATTCCGCCCAGCAGGATTGCCCAGACTGAACCTCACGCTCGTTGCGCCCAACTGGTGCCCCGTGAGGACCTGCACCTCCTTGAATCTCTGTGTTGTATCAAAGATCCTCACGGCCGCCTGCTCCTCGGTCCTTGCATTAGCCGAGGTTGCAATGAGCCCATCTGCTGCATCGATCGAAAGCAGTTCGAGCGAGTGCCCGTACACCTTCTCGACCTCACTCCAGAGGGATGAGAGGTGGAGCGTCTCTTCCGTTGGGGGCTTGCTGAGCTCGAGGGAGATGGAGCGCTGCGACTTGCCCACCGCCTGACCCGATTCGGAGGGTGGCTCATCTTCCAACAGCGCGCCACTGTCGTACACGGCCCGATTCGAAAGTCCCAGTGGTGGGACCGATGCTCCCACCGGTCTCCTCGTCCGTTTTGAACCGTCAAAGTCGTCCTCGTCCTTCCCTGCATTCTCTTTTCCCGCTTGTCCCTTCTTTGCGAGCCATTCGCGAATATACGAGCTGCCGACTTTGGCCGCTGCGAGTTCCGCCGCGTCCTTTCCCTTCACCTCTGTCTCGCCACCTGAACCGAGGACACCAATCGAAAGCCGGCTGAGCGCCTTGAGTCCCTTCTCAGCTCGGACCTTGTCTATGTAGTCGCCCCCGCTCACGGTCTCGTCGGTCAGGATAATCGCCTGCAGGTCCTCTTCTGTTCCCGCGGGTCCCGCCACGTCAGTCAGCTTTGAGACATCGCGCTTGACTGCCCCGGAAGGATTGTACGCGCGACCAAAGAGCTCTAGAAATGCATCGACGCGCCTCATTCGCTCGTCGAGCGATTCCAGGATCTCGGCATACTTCTTCTTCGTGAGCATCGAATCATCCGTCACGGCGGCGATGATGCGCTCCGTCGCCGTCATGGCAGCCATGCTGAGCAAGATCTTATGGCCCGCATGGAGGTGATCAAAGGTTCCGCCCATGGCGATGTTGCGGTGCTGCGGTAAGCTGGCCGAATCCTCATGAGTCGGGGCTGGAGAAGGCGAGGAGCTCGGAAGAATCCCATGTACACGCTCTCGAGAAATCTTTGTTGTATCGAGAACACTTGCAGGCGGCAACGATGACGGTTCTATGCAGAGGAAAGGAGAGAAAAATTAGGATGGGCCTTAGAACCAAACGGTGCACTGAATCAATTCACTTACCGTCAACAAGCCAGACACTGGAAATGCCTCCGCTGATCTTGTCGTCCAAGCATGCTTGTGCAAATTCGTCAGCCACGCACAGAACGTCGACGTCGGTCTGCAGGCGCTGCCTCTGCACGGCCACACCCCAAGCCTGAGCGTAACTCCACTTCAGGAAAGCTTCAGCATCCTCAAAGGACAATGCAGGTGGCCCTTCTCCTCTTCCACTTCGCCTGCTGAAGACAGGCGAGATGGCCAGGACCGAGACTCGACGAGGCGGATCACAACAACAGGCATGCAGCGTTGCTTCTCGAACAGGCCGTGCGAGGTGAGCAGGGTTACGCAGATGCCCCAGCGTCGGTAGGTACACCGCGACGACAACCTCACCCTCTGCTCCTTGACTTCTGAAGGAACAGGTGACGGTGGCCAGATTGACGGCGCTATCAACAAATCCTTGGGGTGCCTCGAAGACCCGCACAATCTTCTCGTCACCTGCGCTCGCGAATATTAATCGAGAAAGCCACGAAAGGCCGACGATTTCGTAGCCGTGTGTTTGAGGACGAGCAATTTCATGCCATGAACTTTGCCCTTTCGCATTTTCGTCATCCCGCCTTTGTGATCCATGCTGCTTCGAAGTCGACAACATGGGGTTTGGCAGACGCTCACGGAACCGACCATGGAGCCTCGTCGTCTTGTCGAAGCCCCCAGAGATGAGGTAGTCTCCGCGCGGTTCCCATCGCACGCTCGAAGCGGAGGCAAAGTGTCCACCTTTGGCAGGGCGTGGCTGCCAGTCCGAGACAGAACCCCCTTTCTCCTTTGACCAGATGTGGATAGCTCCACCGTAGCCATGTGCCATGACTGCAGGGTTTTCCGATGTCGCTTGCGGCTTCCATGCAGCACCATACATGCCATTGGCAGCGCTGCCAGTTCCTCCTAGCTCGCCAAATCGATGAGCTGCCACCCAGATGTCGTCCTTTGTCGCCTTGGTGTCCAGCTCGGCTTCTTCAAAAGAAGGGAAACGTCCCGAAGTCAAAGAGGAAGAAGAAGAAGAGAGCGACGAGGAAGGTGTCCATAGGATAATAGAATTATCGGCACTGGATGTCAACAGGGCTGCTGCTTGTTCTCGCCTGGCGCAATCTGGCGGTGCCCATCGGAGGCCAGTAACCCACCCCTCGTGCCCAAAGAGGAGAGCGTCCAGCTTTACTTGCCATCGCTTGCTGTCGCCAGAGAAGAACGTCTGTGCGCGGGTCGTGATGTTGGCCTCGTCTCGGTCCTCTTGTCGCTGCGTGCCTTCGATTTCAGATGCCAGCCGGTCGAACTCGTCCTGATCCGGCCTTGGCACCTCTGGTCGAATCGCCTCGGACCCCTCATCTGTGGCTTGCAAGCGCCAGAGTCGAACAGTGCCGTCTTGCGAGGCGGATGCGAGCATCATTGTGGGCCTCGAAGAAGGGGTCAGGCTCGATGTGCAGAAGTCGAGCGATCGGACCCAGTCCGTGTGGCCCGAGAGACTGAAGAGGGGCTTGAACGAGGATGGCTTGTCTGATCCTAGCCAGAGGTCGATCTTGGAGTGGGTGCCAGCGATGGCCATCAGGACCTGGTCTCCTTTGCCGGGCATCCTCACGAGGGCGATGTCAAGGGGCAGAACCTCGGTACGGGCCTGCGAGCCGATGTTTCCAATGGATAGCGTCTGGAGCAGCTCGAGGCCATCGCCTGACTGCAAAGAGCTCCACACACGGACGACGCCATCGGAAGAGGCCGACACGAAGAGGTATTTCGCCGCCCCTGCTCCACTGTCTACGTGATCGCCAATCGTGGGTCGCAACACGCCGAGGGCTCGAATGGGTGCCAAGTTCTTCGACGAAGAAGCATCAGATTTGACCTTGGCCTTTACGCTCGTTGCTGGGCCAGCTACTCCCGCCGCCCCACTCTCGCTTCCGCTGTGGCTGTCATCGTTGGCCCACGTCTTGGCCAACTTCCACCCAAGTGCGTTGTCTGCAACCACGAGATGGATGTGGCCGTCCGAGGAGCCAGCAAGGATGGCTGGGTCTGCATGCGCATCTGAAGTAGAGGAGAAAGGATGCGAATACTTGAGCACAGTCAGGTCGCCCCTTGGGGTGGGGACCAGGTGGGTGGGAGGGGGATGAGCGGAGTCGAGGTGGGTCGACGTTGCGATGCTCCGGTGCGTCGCATAGACGAGCGTCTCTGTTCCTCTAGCCACCGCCCAGTCTGCGATGTGAGAGACGCGGTTGGCTGATGAAGCAGCATAGACGCTCGTCGCTCTGAGCTGTCCCTCCACCATCGCTCGTCGGTCAAGTGAGCAAGGTGGCTGCTTTCTACACTAGGCGCTACAGCCTGGAAAGTCAACGACGAGCGCTTCGCGCAAATTTCGAATCCCGAATCCCGTCTTTTGCCAAGTAGTAGTAGTAGTAGTAGCAGTGTTGTCTTTTTGACGGGAGATCCGACCAAGATCCAGGTGCATCTTGAGCTTTGCTCAGCAGGATAGTACGCATGACAGCAAAGCGTGGCAGCCCAATAGGGTCAGCACAATGACCAAGTCCATCGTTTAGCAGATCTGCCTTCATTCCAAGCGGCGACGAAGGACGCACAGACCGTCGCTTCGTGCTGTGCAAACAGCATCCTCCGGCCCGTTAGCGCAGGTCCGACCACGAAAAGGTCCGCTCAGACCACAGTTGTCGGACTTGTGAGCTGCACTTCCAGCCATCCGTACTATTCTGGTCTTCCTCCATAGCGACTTTGCCATTCCGTCTCTCGCTTTGTTCATCGTCTGATCTATTCTGAGCACGTATCGATCTCTCTCTGCCCAATTTTTTACTTTTATTTTTCGACTCGAGGCCCATTATTTGGTCTCAGCACAAAGCGGCCTGGATCTGTCTTCTGCATGTCACACGATGCGTTCACGGACGCTTCTGATCTGCGCCGCTAAAAATGGAAAAGAAAACCCGAAATTTGACACTTGAAAGAGAAAACAACAAGAGCGTTTGGCTTGGCATTTGTCAGAGGACGACGACGAAAAGGGGCAGCCTGGACCGATGACGATGGGAGAGGTCGTTGAGAACGGGACGCTTCCCCATGGAGAAGCCGAAGCGGCTGCCGACAAGGAATATAGAAAGGCGTTTGCCGAACCCGATGCGGCTCTGCAAAAGGGGCAAGAGGAGCGTGGCGAGGTCAAAGAGGTCGACACGCACGAGCTCCAAGAGCCGCTCTCGAGGCTCTCCGTCGTCGTCAGGCGCCATCGACTGGGTGTGGACCCGTACACGGCGGCAATCAGTGAAGAAGCCGACCTGGCGGACCACCACGTGTTGACGCTGATGAGCAGGGCCACACGGCTTGGCGCCGCTACGATCAACGCAGGCGCAAAGTCGCTCGGCATCACCCAGCTCACCGACGAGGCAGACCGGAACAAAGTAAGGTCAGCGTATCCCAAGGGTGACGGCTCGTCGATCCGCACCATCGCACATGTTCCCCAGTGGGCCAAGCGGGTGGCCAAGCGGAGGGTGAGGGAGTCGACGAGCTACGTGCCGCTCCTCACCTTTCGCAACCCTTGGCCGAGCTTCAAGTCGCCCGGCCTGTTTGAGGCGTGGCACGGCGGCCTTCGGTGGGGCCTTCCGAGGGGCTACGAGGAAGGCAATCACTCCAGCTATCGAGGGCGGGGCAAGAGGACGGGCGCACTGCCGCGAGACGATGACATCGAGAACGTCATCGTGGTCAAACCAGCCTTTGCTACGGCCGAAACGGGCCAAGAGGATGACAGCAGTGGGGTCCAAGCGGAGGTTCAAAGTGACAGCGTGCGGGTCACCTGGCTTGGTCATGCCACCACGCTGGTCCAGTTTCCAGGCCCAGGCGGGCTCAACGTCCTCTTTGATCCCATCTTTGTCTCGCGGGCCAGCCCCAGCCAGGCAGCCGGTCCCATTCGATACACCGAGCCACCGTGCTCGATCGATGAGCTGCCACGGATCGACGTCGTCTGCATTTCCCATAACCACTACGATCACCTGAGCGCAGACTGCATGCGCCAGTTTCGAGAGCGCGAGATGGAGCGCCAGTCGCACGCGCACCAGCAGCCACAATCATCACCACCATCGACGCCGGGCGAGAGCGGCAGTGAAGAGGAGGACAAGCCTGATGAGAAGGAAGGAGAGACGACTGACAGCGGAAGCGGGGACAGACGAGCCAAGTCCAAAGATGCGGACAGCGGGGGCAGCAAGGATAAAGAAAAGAAGAAGAAGAAGAAGAAGAAGTCCACCAAAGGCCTCAAGCGGGCGACAGGACTCAAGGTCCTCTGTGGCCTGGGAAATGTGGGCTTCTTCAAGGACATTGGCTTCCAAGAGGACGAGGTCATCGAGTGCGACTGGTGGGACGAAGTCAGCTTCAGGCCTGCCGAGCACAAGGCCATCAAAGCGACCCATTCCTCCGCTTCGTCGCCTCCTCAGCCATCACAAAGCCCACCGGCGCTTCGCATCGTCTGCACCCCCGCCCAGCACGGGTCCGGACGCTCCGCCTCTGATCAGAATGTAACGCTATGGGCCTCTTGGCTGCTCATTCACGGAGAATCCAGCACGGCGAGTGGCGGCGCAGAAGACGAAGCGAGCGGCTTCCGCGTCTTTTTCGCCGGCGACACTGGCCTGCGAGCCCACAACTCGTCGCGCAAGCGTCGCAGCCACTTTCCCGCCTGTCCCGCCTTTGAAGAGGTTGCCCGCAAGTACAGCGTGCCCCAGCTCCTCTTGCTTCCCATCTCGGTCGGCAGCAGCCTGAGCTTCTTTAGGAGCTGGGATCCCTTTCCTCGGCGCTTCAGTCCCTTTCCGAGAGTCGAGGCCGCCATGACGAGCGCGATTCACATGGATGCCGAGGATGCAGCAGACTGTCACGTCATCATGAGTCTTGCCGAGCAAGCGAGCAAGAGCGTGAGCCCGGCTGAGGCGCGCGCAGAAGACGGCGATGAAAAAGAGGAGCAGGAAAAGGCAAAGATTGCGCAGGCCAAGAAAGCTCGGCGCGGCATCGAAAAGAGGGGCATCACTTCCCTCGCCGTTCATTGTCAGTCTTGCCTCTCTCTTTTCTGCGAGGGTGTTCTTTACTTCTGAGGAGTACTTTGCTGACAGGATGGCCATCTGGATCCGCAGATGGGACGTTCGTGCGAAACGAGACACAGACGCACGAAGATGTTCGAACGCTCCGACATGCCTGCCAGGAGCGGGGCATTGCTTTTTTGAGGTCCAAAGATGGCCTGTACGACACCAAGGCTGGAGGTGACAAGGGCAGGTTCTTGGTCTCGAACCAAGGCGAGACTGTCGTTGTTCCTATGCAGTAAAGAGGCGCCAAGGAGCTGGCCGAAGAGCTGGCCGAGGAGCCTCTTCTGCGCCAGGGCAAGATCCGAAATACTCCACACGAAGTATCAACATAGCATACCTAGGTTCACTAATCAAATAGATAGCAGTGAATTTCTCTCTATTATTATCATCATCATCATGTGTGGAACCACCCTGCTAAGGGAACTCTCTCCAGCTGCATGGAATGAGGTTGCAAGTCGAGGCAATGGAGAGAACAGCGCAGCGCTCGAGCATGTGTATGCGCAGATGCTAGAGGGAAGCTCCCTTCTTGTCTGGGTCTCTGTCATCTCCCCCGTGCACGTCGAGTTTGCCAAGGGCCTTTGCCAGATCGTCCTCTGGCGTCTCCCCCTTGATCTCGTCTGCAACCTCCCTTGCCACATCGTCTGCCTTTTCCCTTGCTTTTTCGAGCTTCTCGTCGCCCTCTGTTCCCGCTTCTTCTTCTCGCCCTTCTTTTCCTTCTCCTTCCCCTTCTCCTTCTCCTTCCCCTTCTCCTTCCCCTTCTCCTTCCCCTTCTCCTTCCCCTTCTCCTTCCCCTTCTCCTTCCCCTTCTCCTTCTCCTCCCTCACGGGCGGCAGCCTTGTCCGAGCTCTGGCTTGCCGTGGCCCGCTCGTCGTGCTCATCGGGTGCGAGCTTCTCGATCATTTCCCGGTGCAGACGGCTGAGCTCCTCGCCCCACCCCGCCCCCTCGGCCAGCATCTGGACGCCCTGGTCCGTCTTGCGCTCCATGAACAAATCCCGGATCCTCTCCTTTTCGTGCTGGTGCGCCCTGGGCAGCGTCCACCCCTCAAAGTCGAATCCGGTCTCGTTGAGCAGGCTGGGATGGCCGCCGCCTGCCGCAAGGCCGGCAATCTCGCCGACGCGCTCGAGGTTGAGCAGGACGCGGGGACAGTCTGGCGCGACGCGGTCGACGAGGCTTGCAAACGGCTGCACCTGTAGCGAGGTGCCCATGACGAGGAGCAGGTCGGCCTTTTTCAGATCGCCCAGGCGGTCAAAGAAGCGCTTGGGAAGGCCCTCGCCGAAAAAGACAATGTCGGGCTTGACGAGTCCACCCGCGCCTGTCTTTCTGCGAGCGGGGCACCGCGGCTCTCGGCAGCGGGCAACGTGGCCGCCGAGGCACTGCTCCCGCATCCAGGCGCTGTCCACCTGGGCTTGGCAAGTGGTGCAGCGGGCGGTAGCAAAGGAGCCGTGCGCCTCAACGATGCGGTCCGGAGGCAGTCCGGCCAGCCTCTCGAGCGTATCGACTTGACGACACAAGTCAATTTCGTTAGCTTCTTCTCACTACAAGTTCTCTCGCCGTTCCTGGCCGCCTACCGAGAGGGCAGCCAAGCCGGGATACTTGGCTGGGAAAGAAAAGAAAAGAAAAGAAAAGAAAAACTCACTGTTCTGAGTAAAAACTCTTAAGAGTTGCTTCTTTTGGTCCAAAAGCGTCAGGAAGGTATGGGTCAGCGTCGGCTGGAAATTGCCGGGATAGAGCTCCTTCGAGAGGGCAAAGAAAGCTGTTGAAGGACATCACCATACGATTAGCTTGCATGCCAGCGCCTTTGGCAAAAAAAGGGGAGAGAGATCGAGATCGAGGATAAGGGGGGAGACAGGCAGGGAGCACACCTTCAGGCTTGCGTTGGAAATATTGGATGTCGAAGATGGCCTCTGGGTAGGGCAGATTGTACTTTTCCAGATTGGCATACAGGCCAGTCTCGGGCGAGCGGAAATCAGGGATGCCCGACGAGGTGCTGATGCCTGCGCCGGCGAGGACGACGATATTCTTTGCGCGGCTCGAGCTCAGTAGCTCGCAAACCGAAGCCACCGTCGGGGTGCCCTTCTGCGTCGGGCCCCACGGAGAGGGTGACGAGGAAGACGAGGGTGAGGAAGAGGACGAGGACGAGGAAGGCGACATCGTAAGGACGTTCCACAGCCGAGGCAACAATGGCATCGAGAGCAAGAACCTAAAGATGATGTCTTGTGCCTCGCTCCTCTTCCTCCACCTCGCAGTGGATCGCTGATAATTAGCGCGCGCTGCTACAAAGTCAAACGAGACAAAGAAGTCAAACGAGACAAAGAAAAGAGATATATTGGCTTTCGACGATGATGACGAGGACAAAGAGAATAACCGTACAAGGCCGAGAAGGCGAAAGTTCGTGATTTGGTCAGGTAGACCAGCCAATGAGGGCGACCCAGCCAGTGAGGGCGATGAGATGCGACGAAATGCGACGAGATGCGACGGGGTGTGTGATATAAAAAGAGAGAAAAGAGAAAGAGAGAGAGAGAGGACAAGGGGAGAGAGAGACAGAGAGAGAGAGGTGGGTGAAGCGTAAAAGTGTCCATTAATATGATATCGGTGACTGAAAGGGGGGTCAGATCCAAAAGAGCTCGAGGACAGAGTCGTTCTCCGTCTCGCTGGCCGCTCTACGGACATAAGTCTGACGGAAGACGCCGTCTGCCTCGTCGCCGCTGCCTTCTAGTCTGTAGGTAAAGCGATCGACGCCCTCGACGAGCGGGTCTCGCAGAGGGGGCAGAGAGTGGTCGAAGATGCTCTCTGGGAACGTTGCCCAAGTCCGTTCTGTCCTTGCCATGTCGGGAAAGACGCCGACGGCGTAGCGGACGATGCTGAAGCCCAGGTGAAGCGTCGTGAATGCATAGCCAGCCACGGGCCGCGTGAACTTCCATCGCTGAAAGAGGCAAGAGCCCCCACAGAGCTTGCCGGCCTTTGTTGTCCTCAGCACGTCGTGGGGCGACCAGGACCGGTAGTGGTGGAAGCTGATGGGTGGGCTGGGACCTTCGAGGATGCCCGCAGTGTCTCCAAGCAGGTCCACCTGGTGGATGTCGGTCTCCATCGAGAGTTTGGTGGCAGTGTGAAAATAGATGCACTTGGCCAGCCTGAGATCGCCAGGTGTGTTTGGGTCGGGCGAGAGAATGCCCTGGCAGTGCGGATAGTTCCAGTGCATCTTCTCGAGCAAGGGCACCGAGAGCGAGACACCGGCGCCACCAAAGGCATAGATGCCCGGGCCTCGCATCTGGCGAAAGTCCTCCGAGACTCCGCCGACGTAGTGCTCGCGCCCTGCGTCGTACTTGTCTAGCATCTGGACGAAGCGACGGAGGGAAAAGTAGTGGGTGTCGTCATCGAGGAAGGTGACCCACCTCGTGGCACTGTCTGCGTGGATGTAAAAGGCCTCGACAAGTTTAAAGTAGTTCTTCAGGTATGGCTCGTTGGACAGGAGCACGACGGCATCGATGCCTAGCGCCTCGAACATCTCTTGGAGCTGGGCAACCTTGTCGCTGTCGGGGACGATGCTGATCAGACGGGCGCCGGTGTGGGCGAGCCACGTGGCCATCGTGGGCGCCAGCTCGAGCAGGCGCTCGGCGGTGGATGCGACACCAAACATGAGGTGCCGGGCGTCGACGGGGTTGAAGTTCTGTTTGGTGTAGAGCGACAGGGTCTCGTCGAAGCAGTGCTGCAGCTCGACCTTCTGGTGCGACGTGTTCTTGGGTGTCGCTCGAAGCCTAGTGCTCTGGCTTGATTCGCGAAGCTCTCCCTTGTCTGCCTCGCCTGTGTCGGTCGATTTGCTGTCGTCGGGCACTTCGTCGCCATCAAGTGAGCCTGCATCGTGATCCTTGCCGCCGCCCGTTGTCGACGTCCCCGCCGCCGTGGTTGTCCCCGCCGAGCCGTCGCTGCCGTGACCCATGACGAGGGAGCGCGCATTGACGAGGTCGACGCCTTCCACCTGCTTGAATAGCCCTTCGCCTACTTCCTCAATCAGCTGAGGATCCCTCGACTTCGAATGGGGACCTTCCTCGTAGGGCCTCTGTCTGACGTATCGTCGTGCGTAGCTGATCGAGGCCGTCAAATTCAGGTGGGCCAGCGTCTTGGGGTCCAGCTGGCATCTGTCCTCTGGCTCCTGCACGCCGGGATGGTAGCCGTCCGAGGGACCGTTGCCGGCGCCAAAGATGTGGTAGGGCAGTTGCTTGATGCTCCTGCTGCCGTGCTGCCCCTCTCGTCCCGAGGTGATTGTGCCAATGAAGATAAAGGAGCCCACGATGGCCAACGCTAGGAGAACCCAGAAGCGACTCCGCCCGTGCACCTTGGCCTTGTGCGGTGCTCCTCCGAATGGAAGGGGCAAGTAGCCGTCGCGCCGATTCGTACCAAGCATGACGTTGCTCCTCGTCGTCAGGATCCAGTGCTAGAGGCGGGGATGGCGGGACGGCAGGAAAGGCAGGATGGCAGGATGGCAAGATGGCAGGATGGCCAGGTGGCGGGAAGGCGGGAAGGCAGGCGCGGGGCGGGCGCAGAGCTTCGCTGCTGCTTATGTGATATCGCTGATGGCGCTGATGGCGCTGACGGACGGAGATGGCAGAGATGATGACGATGGGAAAGGGGTAAAGGAAGGCTTGCTCGGAGTGTAGAGGCACTGACGGATCGACCGACCATTTCCGGGAAAAAACCACGGTGCAGCAGCTACAAATTCGAAGCGCGCCCTCACGTCACGGCGCTCTGTCTTTTTGGCTGCCCGGCCACGTACACTACACTACACTACTACATTATCGCTTTTTGATTTGACAGTTGTGCAAAAAATGGTTTGCAAGGCAAGACACCAGAACTGTGGTTTTTTCCTTTCTGAACTTTCACCGAGAATTCGAATTTAAATTTCCCCGGCCTTTTGCGTGCTCTCTCCCCCTTTTCCCATGGTGGGCGTCCAGCTCGTTGGAACGAGAATAGTAACAAGTTGCACCAGTAGCAGCAGTAAGTACTAGTTGAGTAGTAGTATCCGTGGTGCAGAACGAAACAAGCAGTAGTAGTAGTAGTGTGTGCACCTTGCACCTGTCTCACCAACAGACAGCGGTGTCATAAAAATTATGGGAGCTAATCTGAAGGGTGTCCAGTGAAGAGGGTTTTGACAGGATCGTCCCTTCCCTATCGGATTTTTGTCCATTCGGAGCCCCAAAGCCCCAATGATAATATAGTCAGGTGGGCCCTTCCAGAGTTTTGAAACACTTGGTGAGGCAGCTGCGCGAGACAGACCTGGGTAGCTAGTAGTGACGGTCGCCGATTCGTAAACGCAAAGTCCTTCTTCTAGGAACCAGCGCTACGAGATCAGGCGGCGGGTTCTCAAAGCAGTACAGCCATCGGCATCGCGGAGCTCGTGTCGTGGACTGTTCTTCACTTCTTCACTTGCCACGTGTGGCAGAAAGAGCCACGCGAGAGAATGCGACTCGCTCATTGCCATTCTACGCCACGTGCCTCGCGTGCCTCGCTCGACATGAAAATTTAAGCTCATCAGCTGCAAGGGCTTCCCACTCCTTGCAGCTCCACTCTATCCCCCACCCTACATACAGTATCAAATTTACGTAGTGTAGTGTAATTTGCGTCCTAGGTTTCTTCTTTCTTGTCGAATTGGATGAAACAATGTGACACTAGACGACAGTTACCATGTCTGTAATACAGCATGGTAGCGTAGTTGAGTAGTGCGCGGTAGTAGTAGAACCGAAAATCGGCGTCTAAGCAGCTACGCTTCCCAAGCACGGCCTACAATATAATGCCAGCTGGTAGTAGTAGTGCTTGTAGTGTAGTAGTAGTAGCAGTAGTAGTAGTAGTAGTAGAAGTGCTTCTCTGCGATTGCATTCGAGCTGCGAAGTAAAATAGATCGGCAGCGTAGCGTCAGGCTCAACAATGGCGCTACTGCCAGACTTGCTGCATACACCTTCTATCTTTTCCGAGGTTTCATTCACCTGTGTGTGCGCGCTCTCTCTACAGGTTTTCTAGTGGAACCCCTCTCGGCCCAGTCTTTCCGCTCACTCCTCCATCGTATCGTCACCATGACAGACGCCCTGTCTCCCAGTGGCCGTGTCACCCCGTCGCTGCTCTCAAAGCTGCGGCGAAGGTCTACTTCGACGCCGCAGTTGCCGCCGTTGGAGCTGGGCGAGGAGAGAAGCAGAGATTCTTCTCGCATGTCGATGTGGTCCCGAGCGCTTCGAACTTCGGTGGGCGAGATGGAGCGGTCCGCTTCGGGTGGGCAGACTGCTCGGCCGCCTCCTCCCAGCGCCTTTGATCCACATCGTAACCTATTCACCCCATTGCAGCAGCAGCAGCAGCAGCAGCAGCAGCATGGCAACGGCCCCAACATCTCTCGACGTCGCAGCAGCCTGGAACGTGGGAATTATAACAAGCGGCCCGTGGCAGCACAGACGCCGCCCCCCGGTGCGTCCCATCACATCAAGGCGTCAGGTTCCTCTGCCTCCATCAGTCCAGCTTCGGCGGTACCGAGCATGACCTTTTCTCAGTCTCGCAGCAGCATCCGTTCTATCCAAGCTGGCGGTGATCACGACGAGGACGCTGACCACGACGGCTTCTTCACGCCTCCTCCAGGCCATTCACCTGTCAGGGTGCATGCAATGAGCAGCAGCAGAGATTTGCTATCACCGGAAACAGCAATGAGCGTTTTTTCTCAAGACGAAAACTACAGTGATGCAAACGAATCGGTGCCAATAGGCAGTGGCGGTGGCGGCGGTGGTGGATTCTATCAGCGCATGCGTAATGCAGCCAGTGCATCCAACCTGGGCAAGCAGATGGGATGGCAATCGAGGGATTCAGTCACGGCGATAGGTCACGACGCCGCAGAGCAAGGGGATCAAGACACGTTCCTCCCAAACTTTGACGACGATAGTGACGAGGACGATAGGGTTCGTAGCGGGCGGGCTCCAGCTCGATCTCCTGGCCCTTCTCCTATCGGCGAAGGAAAAAAAAGTGCAATTGTGCCCCGGCAGAAGAATAAGCCTGCCTCACACAAAGTCAAGGCAACGGACTATGGGCGATTCCGCACCGCCGAAGAAAGAGCAAGCATGGATTTGCAGCAACGAAGAGAGGCTGAGAGGGCACATAGAGATGCGGCAGGCCACGGCCAGAGTCAGCATCCGCCGCAACAACGGCCCTCGCGCTCGACTTTACGCGGCTTGTACAGTAATTTGCTCAAGAAGGCAGACGACGAGGGCCAAAAGCCAGACGAAAGTCTCTGGGAGAGGGAGCGTCGCCTCGATGAAAAGAGGCAGACAGAAGAAGCAAAGAAGAGAAAGGCAGAGGAAAAGGCAAAGGAACTCATGGCCGAATTTTCATTGGAAAAGAAGAAACCGGTAAAGAAGGACAAGGGGAAAGGAAAAGAGGGCACCGGCTCGTCGTCTTCGCTGGATTCTTCCAGAGAGGCAACCCTGGCGTCACCTGACAGCCCAAAGCGCAGATTTGCCGAAGCGGAATACCAAGCCAATTTCTCCCCGAACAGAGCGAGGTCGGGATCGGACACGTCGGCCTTTTCTTCGGTGAGCGAGCAACGAAATCGCCAAGCCCGGCGGCCTAAGACGAGTAGCGTTGGCGTCCACAGCGGGAGCAACGCGTACGAGAATCGGCGTCGAGCGCTCTCGTCTACGGCCTTCGACGACTCCTTCATTCGAATGGGCTCCGAAACGAGCAGTAACACCAGTCATTCTAGGGAAGCTTCGGACGTCTCTTCGGCTGCTTCACGCAGCATTCGCTGGGAAGATGCCGACTCGTCGTTTTTGCCGATCTCCACCGCCACCTTATCGACGAAAGGTAAAAAGAGCGGCTCTCAGCTCTCGGGCAAGCCCAACGAGCAGCGAAGCAATCGCAAACCTCTGCCGTCGATCATGATGCACCGACCGGCATCACCCACACCCTCGGAAAAGCTTCTCCAGAGGGAAGCCGAGAATGCACTTGGCCTCAGCAACAAGTCCCACGCGCCAAGTAGTGGGGAAGCATTGTCGCTATCCCAGGTATCGTCTGAAAGTGATCATCAGACTCCGGTCCGGCAGCAGGAACAGGACGAGGAATACAACGACCATCACCATCCATTTGCCCTGGACGCAAATGCGAGTGGAACAGCAATTGGGGTGTCTGGCCAGATTAGGTCGTCGCCTGTCCAAGTGCAGCTCTCGAGTCTGCCTCCCCTCACTACGATGGTCGACGACTGTCTCTCGATGGCCTGGCACACGAGCGGGGATGACCCCTGGCAAGGCGTCAAGGCCAAACCGCTCACTGCTTCCTCGTCCAAGGACGTCGTGCCAAAGAGCTGGGCCTCCTATATCAAGGCGTATTCGAAGGGCGAGTTGGACCTTAGCAATCCACCGGCGCCTCGATCAGCGCCCCTTGTCAAGCGAGCCAGACCTAGGGCTTCCCCTAACCCCAACGCAGGCACGCCCTCGTTCTCTTCGCCTAGCCCTTCTGCTCGTCCCCTGAATCATCAAAGCAGCAACAACTCAATCGCCTCTGCTTTTGAGTTGCCAACAGCGACGAACAAGGGCATCGGTCTTGACTTTGGAACGTCTAAGTCCCGTGACCGCGACGTAGGAAGCAGAGCGACCCTTCGCTCGCCCAGCTGCGATGCTCTCTTTTCCTACTCGCCATCGTCATCTCCGACCAGCTGGATGCCAACACCATCGACGGCCACCAAGGGGACTAGCCCTCGGTTCGCAACGGCGAGCCCCAAAAGTCCAAAGTTTAATCTGCGGAAGACAAAGTCCAGAGAGATGTTGAGGATGCCGGAAGAGGATGTCGAAGAAATTCGAACGCAGGCAGAAGAAATCTCCGCCGTCGGTGGCATGGGCGACATCAGAGCGCCGAGACCTGCTTGGGAAGCCAAGCGGAACCACGCAGCAAAAGAGCTTCTCGACGCCTACCGTCGAGAAAGTCATCAAGGTGGTGGTCACAGCGCTTCTTTTACATCGCGGAGGCCGAATGCTCGACTTGAGGCCATAGTGGAAAGACTGGCCGTCTCGATGGGCTGTTCCTATGCCGGCGTGCAGCTTCTCCTGTCCGACGAAGCCATCGTCTTGGCCAGCAGCGGCCTTGACGAAGGGGCCAGGGCAAGCCTCGAGGTGTTTTCGACGCCGCGCATCGACTCGTTCGGTGAAGCGGATCAGGCCTTTCGCCCCACAGACTCCTTGCTGAAAGGTCAGAAGCTCTGGAGGGACCGAACCCTGGATGCACACACGATTCTCTGTCGTAACGCCACGCCGCTTGTCATCGAAGACCTGTCTCAGGACTGGCGATTCGATGCTAGGGAGGCTGCAGACATACGCTTCTACGCTGGCGTTTCTGTCCTCTCTTCCAACGGCCTGCCTGTCGGAACGGTCAGTGTGACGGACGCGAGATCAAAGAAGGATTCTTTCTCGAAGGACGCTCGCGACAAGCTCGCAGAGGCAGCAAGGGAAGTGGCCAAGGAGTTGCAGAGGTTGCAACGCCAAGCCATGGTTGCGACTTTGGCCCATCTCGATGAGAGTCTTGCGAGGTGGACAGGCCTGCCAAACGGAATGAACGTTCAAGCATCGCCATCTGACACTGCTGCACGGGGTATCGAAGCCGTCCTCGAGAAGTCCAATGGCAGCAACAATCACTTGCTAGCAGTTTCTTCGCTGGCCCAGAGAAGGGGTGCAAGAGTACCTACGACGTTGAACGTGCCCGCTTCGCCAGCCGTTGATTTTGGCTTTGACCGTGACGACAATTTGACACCCACTTCGCAAAGCGCACTCGAAGCACGTCTGTCAAGTGCTCTTACAACGATTGTTCGCTCGGTGCCAAATATCGACCTGGCCTACGTCGCAAGGGTGTGCTCGCACCCGCTCGACTGCCATGTGATCACTTCGAGACAGTCTGGCATGTTTGGCACAGGATGTGACAATGAGCTCGAGCTGGACGCAGAGATGCATCTCTGTGCTCTCGCAGCTTCCAAGGTCGGGCTACGGTTTGATCGTGAGGCCGACAAAGTGGCGCGCCTCTTGGGCTTGGACCTCGCCAAGCAGCAAGAGCTGCCCACAAAGGAAGAGCATACAAAAGGCATTCTTGTCGATTCGGCCAGTGCGACAACCTCCGAGGATGAAGAGCACCATCATCAACACGTCTTGGGACCTGCAGCAGCCCAAGATACCGCCCTCGTCCGGCCTCTGCAATCGGCCGTGGTTGTCGGCTGCGGTCTCAAGGAGGGTGGTAGAGCGCACCGAGGAACCGAGGGCTGGGTTCTTAGCGTTGCCTCAAGATCATCCGACCCTCTGGGCCCGGAAGTGAATTTGTATCTGCTTCGCTTCGCTACCCTCTTGGCATCGCTCCTCCTCGAGAGCCCTCAGTCCCCAGCGACGCCCAAGCGTTCGCTGACACCCATCAATACAAGACCGTCGTTTCCGCCACGGAGCACTTCGCCTATCGTGAGGAGCTCAAGGAACGGAAAGTACATTCATGGAGGTCCCGCTTCTCCACCACCCAATGCGCCCCTGCCGCTCTTGCCAGTGTCGCCATCCAAGATGAATGCACCGCTTCCAAGCCCTCCGCTGACTGCTGCGCTTCCTGCAACTTCGGATGGGGCCAGCGCTTCGTCGAAGCAGCCATCGCCTCTTCGTCAGAGATCATCGACAAATGTTTCGAATGCATCGAGCTCAAGAGGCTCAAGTGCCTCGACAAATGATGACCTGGAAATCATTGAGAGCGAAGATGGCCATGCGAATTTCTCGTTCCTTCGCATTGGAAAAGGAATGTCGCAGGAGGCCGTCGTGCGTGCTTGACACGTCCTTCACTTCGCTCCGTCCTCACATTCAAGGCAGCAATCACTCAATGCTTACACGCTTATTTCGCATGCACATTGTGCCTCTCCCTCGCTCTGCCAGTCCATGCGCTTCTTTTCTGTCTTCTTCTTTTGCCTCCTTCGCTTCAGATTGTACAGTACCTATCTTTTCTTCTCATTTGTCCCTTTTTGCTTTGGCTTGCAATCGTTCACAATTCGTCAATCATCGAACATCCATGACACTGATACAGATTGAACAAGACGCGCTCGTGGTACAACGTCATCGCGATACAGACAGGCCTCTGACTAATAATTCTGACGGGCGGCGACGGCATCGAGCATCTCCTTCTTTGGCGGCTCATCTCCCCGTGCAAAAACGTAACCTCCCTCGAGGGCCTGATGGTAGGTCTGAGGTTGCCATTTTTGGAGCCAAGGGTGTAGAAGCACGTCGCGCAGTGGAAGCCGTCTCTTTGGTTCCTTCTGTAGGAGCTGTGGCAAGAGTGTATCAGCAGGAAGACGAGGATCTGAAGTGCGAGGAGAAACAGGACTGACTCGCTTAATGAGGTCGCCAGCATCACGAGGGAACGCTGACGGTATCTCAAAGTTGACGGCTACAATCCTTTTGTTGGTCGCTTTTCGAGTCCTCAGATCAGTACTCGGTCGTTTGGCTAGCGACAGATACGATGCTCACATTGGGTGCTCGTCGACTCGAACGGGGGGACTCCGAGCAGGAACTCATAAATGAGCACGCCCAGCGACCACAAGTCCACCGTCTCATCATACTGCATGTGTTCGACGATTTCCGGGGGCAGGTAGTCCAGCGTGCCGCACATAGTCGTCCGGCGATGGCTGGGAGCATGCACCGACCAGCCGAAGTCGGCAATCTTGAGATCGTCCTTGAGGGAGAGGAGCAAATTTTCTGGCTTGATGTCGCGGTGGATGACGTTCTTGTAGTGAAGATAAGCAAGCGCGTCCGTCATCTGGGCCACGTACTGTGAACAGGCGAAGCCATCAGCAACGAGCACAAGAGCGGGGGAGTGAAGTGCAAAGCTCGCACCTTTGCCGCTTTCGGCTCTTCCCATCGCCCGCCAGGAAGTTTCGACATGATCTTGTACATCTCGCCTTTTGCAGCAAACTCCAGCATCATAAAGATTCTGCCCTCGTCGTGAAAGTAACCGTGTAGCCTCAAAACGTGAGGATGTCTGTGCAAGCAACTTCAGCAGGCAGATCTTGTTGGGGGACCTGGGAGACAAACACCTCACCTCAGGTTCATCTGCACCTCGATTTCTCGCCTGACTTGCTTGATCACATTATTTTCTCTCACCTCGCGCTTGTAGAGCGTCTTGAGGGCAATGACGTATCCGCCTTTCTTGGGGTCTCCACCAATTGGCTCCTTTGTCCGCGCGACAAACACCCTTCCAAAGCGGCCTTTTCCGAGCGGGTGACCAAGCTCAAAGTCGTTGAGCGTCCAAGCCTTAGGAGGTGCTGCCGAGAGCCTTAGACACGGTAGGCGTCAATCGAGAGTCCTCCGCTCAGGACAGCGCTAGACTGGCACTCACCTCTGGGCATCAAAATCAAGAAGGCCACCCGCAAATTCGCCGGTTCTTCTTCCGCGCCTCTCGTCTCGCTCGAGCGAGCCATCGTACTTGCCTATGTCGAATGAAGCGGATGGCGGTGGAATCGCTACAGCAGTAATTCCGGACGTCGGCGGCGGCGGCGGCGGCGGCGGCTGTTGTTTTTGTTGCTTATAATCGCATGCGCCGCTCACTGTTCGAGCAATCGGGCCAGCACCGCTTGTGGTACGGCTGCTCGGCCCGGCGCCCCCCAAGCTTACCTTGACAGACGAGGGCCCTGCCTGCCCCTGCGCCCCTTCGCCGCTTGACAAGGGCTGGATTTGAATGCTGCCCATTGCAAGCTTCGTGAGCGGACCTCTTGACGAGGTCACCTGCTCCATCGATGCACTTTTGCTGGTGGTTGCATCAATACTGGAAGTAACCGGATGCCTGCTGAGTCGGCTCGAGGGAGCTGTGCCGCTGCTGTCGGTGAGATTGTTCTTGCTGCTGATCTTGTTGTTGTTGACGTTGTCGTGGGTGATGTTGTTGCTGTGGTTATTGAAGCCGCCACCGCTACCCGCCTTCACCGATATTGAAATCTTCGTCTTTGGTCTGAAGCCCGCACTGCCTCCCGCAGCTCCCAAATACGACTTCTCATCCCCGATCGTCATCCTCGAGAGGGCGGCGGCTGCATTCTCGTCCGTCATTGTCTGCGACGCTTAGATGCTGGATCTTTGTGCACGTCTACAGAAAAGACACGTACGTTTCGTCCGCGTGCCCCAGCAACGAGCTTCGACGCTATGACTTCGCTTTGACTGGGCCGGACGTCGTTCTTTCGATGGCGTGGGCTGGCCGGTGTACCTTTCTAATATTATTTTGGGCAGGGGAATAAACAGCCAACTTAGGTGCCCTTGAGAGGTCGCGTTATGCACGCTTTGTCGTCCGCGCTGCGGGGCGGACAAGGTAGGGGCGTTGTCTTCAGGTGACGTTGTCTGGGTTCCGACGGATAGAGAGAAAGAGCCTTTGGACGGAGTGGGCCTTACTTGTGAGTCCAGCTTCCTGAAGAGAGTAGCAAGTGAACAAAGCAACGCGTGCGGGTCCGTAAAAGAAAAAGGTGGCAGTCCGAAATAATATTCCACCGCGCCGCATCACGTGTTCCCACGCCGGTCCCCTCACGGTACCATTGGCTCCACCTTGGACAGCTAGCCCTGGACCGCTGTAGGATGTGCTTCCCAGATAGTGACCACCATCTTCTCAGAAAGTTCAGATCTCAGAAAGATGGCTGAGAAGCGCGAGAGGGACATAGAGGTCCTCATTACTGGCTTTGGCGTGAGTGCTATACAATCATAGCTGCGGAACTGAATGTAGGGAAAGGGGCTGACAGGAAAGGTGGGAAGCCATTTCTCAAATTTTCGGAGAATCCATCCTGGCTCGCGATCAAGGATCTGCACGACAGCTACCTCGAGCCGTTGGCGTTGCCTTGTGGCGCACAGGCAGGTACAAGAGGGCGGATCCACATACAGACGCTCCAGACGTCAGTCTGCTATTCCCACGTTCTCGACCTCGTTCCACGCATTCACCGACAAGCAAAGCCGGCAGGAAGGGTGCACCGCCCCTTTCTCGACCCTCTTGGTGAAAAGCCCGATGAGTCAGGCCGAGGGCCGCAGGGAAACGGTCGTTCCTTTCCGGAAGGTTACAACGTTCAGCTGCCAAGCGAGGGCCGCGCAGCATTTGACATTGTCATCCACGTCGGCGTAGGCCGACCAGGGAACATCGCAATCGAGAAGGTAGGGCATAAGCGAGGCTACGCAAAGCCAGACGTCAAGGGCGAGCTGGCGCCGCCGGCAACGGACCAGCACAGAAATATGCTCCCTAGCGGACCCACCGAGGCCGAACGAGCCGAACACGACAATTTCCTGAAAGCGGGCGTGGCGCCCACCGAAACCACTGGGACGTCGATTGTTCGCGGATTCGGAGAAGGGTTCGAACAATTCCCGGAAGAGCAGGTCAACGACGTCGACGTCTCTGCCTTGGTCGACTGGTTGGTCAAGGAGAAAGGCCTCGAAAACGTTCGCGAATCGCGAGACGCCGGTCGATTTCTGTGCGACTTTATTGTGAGCAGCACATGCATTTCCCCTCCTCCTAACCTGTCTCAGGACCGAATCCTTCTCTAATGTGACGGGTCGTTGCAGTACTATTGCTCCCTGTCCGAAGCGCAAAGGTCAGCAAACTCCGAAGGAGAAAAAACGACGGTTCTCTTCGTTCACGTTCCCCCCACCGGCGAACCGCACGGGACATTAGATGCTCAAGAGACTGTCACATCCATCACCTCTTGGCTGGCTTCTTTCAGACATCATCGACGTTGAGTGGGCATAGACTATCGCAACTCTGCTGTGCACAATGCTTGAACAAATACCACATTGCTCTTCTGCCTGCCCTCATCGGACTGTCCTTCTCTTTTACTGGTTCTTCTTGGCCGCTGATGGCCTGGCTTTTTGGCCAAGCTGATCAGGCGTCTCGATGCTCGAGAGAAGCTGCGTGGCGTAGAACGCGATTGGCGTCAAAAGGAAGGCAACGACGAGGATGCCCACGAGGAGGCCAGTCGAGAAGAACTGATACCGATGGAAGAGACCCAGCTTGTCGTCCACAACGGCGCCCGTTCCATCGTCCTTGGCGGCCTCTTCGAGTGCCCTTCTCGTCCAGCTGCGTGATTGGGGCGATGAGAGGTCAGACGAGACGAAGACGAGAGAATTCGGGTGTGTGCGCATGAACGCCTCGAGGTCGTGGTTGAACAGAGCCTCGAGGTGAAGCAGATCGGCTTTGTAGGAAAGGAATGTCTTCTGCCCTGTCTGCAGCGAAGCGAGGTCCGCATTCGACGTCGAGGTCCACGCTCCACGCCGCGCCGAGGAGCACATACGAAGGACATGGTGGCGCAGCTCGCTGGCAAAGTCACCATGCGACTTTGAAACGTGCTGAAAGGCCATTTGCGAGGGTGCTTCAAGCGTGCGACGTTTCAATGATGAGTTAGAAGGGAGAGCCTTCATGCTGCTCGACGTGAGCTGTTTTGCGCACGAGTCGCATAGTCAGCGGGACTGCGAATCTGAAGCTAGCTAATGGGACAGAACTACGCACCCCGCCAATCTCGAACATGAAGATACCGTCAAGACCGCAAATGCTCTTGTCTTTTGCAGTGTACGAGACGATGTTCTCTGGCGTCGTAAGGCGAACACCAGAGGCTTGCGATGACCCATGCAGTTGCTGAGCCCTGACGCAGGGGGCAGTGTCCTGGGTACATAGCATCATGACGGGTAGGGTGTCCTCAAAACCACCGCGCACCCCTTGAAGGAGAGCTAGTCCTGCTCCGACGAGCGCCGTGCCTAGTCTTGTGGAAAGGCGCATTTCAAAAAAGGTTGTCGTCGTCGTCGGAACCTCAAAAGCAAGCGCACAGTGGAAAGGTAGAATGGAGGGGTTCTCCTGAGACACGTGTGCATAGGCTTTTCGTCATGACAAAAAAAGTGTGCCCTAAAGCCCGCTACTGGGTGAGCGGAATTGTGAGTGTTTTTTGATGGGTCAGGATTCTGGGCCAAGGAGAGGAGACCATCACTATAGAGTATCGTGGATGTATGGAACGGGACAGATCTTAGGCCCGCCGAGATATACGCCGAAGTAAGCTGAGGTTCCGTGCCTAGTGTCAGCTTGAGAGATGTAGAAATGGCCACGTCTTCAACGCACTACCCTCGTGAGCTTCGGCTCCATAGAATGTGAGGGAGTCGGAACATCGAGGATCCTCCTGACCCGAGCATTTAACGACCTTGTTACCGTTGGCCTGAAAATGCGACTCGCGATGAGCATGTGAAAGAGGTTGAAACACTCAGCGCCTACCGGGTTGATCCAAATCTCGCCGTCTGAATGCCAATAGCCAAATATGTTTTTGACGGGGATTCTCAGTGGAAGATGAGGGATAATGTCGTTGCCGTTGACCACTCTTGAAAAGAACCCTCCCTCTCTGCGTGCGGCCTTCTGATCGACTGCATCCGCAAGATGGTAGTTCCCTACGCGAGGCATGCCGTAGGTGATGCCCCTGATGACCTTGTCAGGGTGGCGGCAGTGGACGTAGAGATATTCCAGAGCGGCGAGACTGTCAGGTGAAAAGTGAGCGCTATAAGTACCTCCCGTCACGAAGTGGACCGCATCCTAGCAACTTACGCCCCGCCGAGAGAGTGACCCACAACAACGATGGGCGCCATGGGATGAAGCCTGACCTGTGCATCGACGCTAGCTGAGATGTTGATGCTGCTGGCAAGCCAAGCTTTTTGAAAGCCGTCATGAACCAAAGCGGGTATACTGATGCCGCAATCGCGAAGTAGCGCGCCAGTAGGCACGAGCGCAAGGTCAACATCGTTGGCAATCGAAGAAACGTCGGACGTGTTGGTTCCTTGGTAGGAAATGATGATGCCATCGACCTTGCTGTAGGCTACATATGCGAAGGGGACGCTGCGGCCGTCGCCTTCGCGGAAGACAACCGTAGCATTGCCGACGTGCTGGCCAAGTTTGGGATGACAAGCAGCTGCCTGAGCGTATTGGGCCGCGCGGAAGTACTGTGGGAAGTCGGATAATGGTGTCTGGCGGCGATGAGGTGTGTGGCTGCTGACGAAGGAGGTCAGCGCTACGATTGCAATGACAAGTGTGGGGAAAGTGTTGTGGAAGAGCTTCATGGGTCAGTCTTTGTCGTCGTTCAATTCGGCTTGAAGAGGAAGGAGGGACTTGTTAACATAGACACAGCGATGGTTCTCTCTTTATATGTCGTTGGCATCTTTGCAGGCCGGATAAGCAAGGTTGCAAGGACGCTCTCTGTTTTGATCGATTTGGATCCTCTATATACAGTATGTTGTTCTGAGTTGCCGTGGAGTACGGTTCAAATTCATGGCCGGTCACTGTAGCAGCATGAGCATACAAATAAAAAAAGCATATTCACTCCATGCATGTACGCTACGAGTGGGCCTTGAACGAGTGAGCCTAGGTCAGAGTATGCCTGCCCAAAGTGAGGCTTCATCGCGACTCTCTCCAAGCCGTGACAGCATGACGCCCCCCATTCTCCTTAGCAGCACGTGCCGGAACACGTCGGTCTGGTCCGTGTTTCTAATTTTTTTTATCTATTTTCTCAGCCGGTGTTTTGGGCTTGACAAGCCGCCGTTGCTTCGCTCCCAGTCCGCTTGCGGCTCGTCGGTGCGATGGTCTTCAGCTCGCTCCGGCAAAGTGTCGAGCTCAGTCCGACGAAGAGACAAGCAAGGGGCACAACATCAACACCGATACCGACATCGACGCCAATCCCGGCACCCGAATTGATTTGTTACCTCGACACGCCGACCAAGTCACAGGGTGGCGACGATGCCGAGGCAGGACCAGTGCCGCGGCAACTTCAGGAGGAGGAAGAGGAGAAGGAACAAGAGCAGAAGCCGGAAATTTATGGCCATCTAGTCATGCTCGACGAGGAAGAGGAGTACAGATATCCGATGACAAAGCTCAGGACGACAATGGGAAGGTGAGTGTCGTCGTGGCAATTAAGAGCAAATTCCGCTCACTGGCTCTCCACCTAGGTCCAATGACAACGACGTGCGCTTCATGAGCGCAGAGTGCTCTCGAAGACACTGCTGGATCCAGTTTGAAGAGGAGCCAGAGCTTTCGAGGACGGTGAGCATGTCTTCATCACCGTACTTGCTTCAGCCAGTCTGACCTTCAAGAGCTTTCGGCCAGGCTCATCTCCACATCAAGAACGCAAAGGGATTGAGGCTCAACGGCCAGCGCTTGTCAAGATTAGGTACCGATGACGCCTCACAAGGAGTCCATCGTCTCGCAGAGGGCGATGTGCTGCAAGTCTTTCACCATTCGTTCCGCGTTCAATTTTCAGTTGGGAAAAGGGATCAATACCAAGCGCGGTCAACGCTCCCAGACACACCGGTGGCTGAAAGTATGCGAGATCCAAGTCCTAGCCGCGTCAAGGGGGCATCTCGCTCTAACGATCAGATGTCGCAGAGAGGGGCAGCGACAGGTGCCGACGGTGAGGTCGAATGCAATACGATGAAAGACGGAGGAGCAGACTCGAGGGGCAAAGAGGACGGGGAGTCGTGTTCACCACAGAAGAGGGCGAAAGCAAGCAGCAGACCAATCTTCCGCTTGCCTCCGCAGAACCCCTCAGCCAACCTCGCCTCTAGAGGTAGGCAAAGCATTGCCGTTCTATACACTCCGCCCACCGGAAAGCAATCGACGAGCCGGGAGAAAGTCGCACCCCAAACAGAGCCCAGAAAGGCGAGGCCAGGCTTTGACCAGGCGCTACGCACCGGCCCAGTCTTGGGTACATCCTCTTCGGCAAGGAGCGGCTTGACTCCGATGATGGAGGAAATGGCCGGCGAGCAGAAAAGAGACGAATCCGACTCTGACGATGAGGAGGAGGCAATCGAGAGGGACCTCTTTGCTCCGGGAAACGCAGCTGCCGTGCAGTCTGAAAAGAGACTAAGTCCTGTCAGTGTTGAGGCCGATGAAAACTTCGACGCCGTCCAAGAGGACTCTCAGACGCAGGCAAGGATGCCTCAGAAGGAAGAGGGGGAGGCGGAGGCGGACGAGGACGAGGAGGAACACCAGCAGCAACACCAGCAGCAGCAGCAGCGTCAACAGCAGAATCGTCAGCAGCATACGGCTATGGAGCAAGGCGTAGTCTCAAAGGAAAGAAGAGAAGAAGAGGCGCAAACAAAGAGTACCAGGCGAAGATCTAGTTTCATCGGCCTGGCAGGGGCAGCGCTTGCCGGCCTCTTCACGAGTGAAGGCAGAGACGAGGCGCAAAGGACCAAGAATGAGCAAGACGATGATGATATCGATGGGTCTTTGGACGAGGAGGAAGTATCCTCGAGGCCACCTAGGCCCGTGACGCCCCCACAGCACATCGAAGAGCGAATGTCTTCGCCACTTTCCCCTCCCTTGGCTCTGACGATGGAGGTAACGCCGCCGCTCGACGACTGGGGCATGCCTCGCCTTCCCCGGAGTGCAAGCTCGCCCGGTCGTCTTTCGCCGTCGAAGCGAAAGGTGAGCTTGCGTACCGCGACGCTGCTTCGCTCCAGCCAGCCTTACTACGAGCGCGAGATTGCCATGCTTCGTACGCCGCCGCCTTCTCCCCTTGCGATCGCTGCCTCTGCCACGTCACCCTCGTTTGGCTCCGCAATGGCTTCGTTGCAACGGCTCGTCGAGGTGGAGAGCCTGAATAGCGACAACGACGGAACTCACAAAGAAAAGAAGCTCGCTGATGCAGGGGAGAAAAGGCAGCAGGAAGAGAGACAGGTCATCATGGCACCTGTCGAGGAAGAAGAAGATGAGGGAGATGAGGACGAGGTGAATAGGAGCCTGAGCCTGGTCGACGGCGACGGCGACGTATGCATGCAAGAAGTCGAGCTCCCTCGAGCCAGACTCAGTGCTTCCATCTCGGACTCTGCCCTCTTTGGCCAATTCTCGGCATCTACAGCCTCATCGACCTCGTTGGGACGAGTAAAACCTCGGATGAGTACGCCGCAGCTGCACATTTCCAAAGCGGGAGTCACCAAGGGGATTATGCTGGCTGCTTCCGAACCTGCCGCCGCCGCTGAAAGGACGGCAAAGGGCAGGAAATCTTTGCCAGCGAAACTGCTCAGTAGTCAAATGGCACAGGACAGAGGAGGTTCTCGACAGGAGAACCAAGCTGAGCAGCCTCTGGCGGTACGTGCTCAAGACCAAGTATGTGCAGAAGAGCAAGCCGGGCAAGCAGGTTCCGACGGCGATGCCAATGAGGAAGCGGGAATGCCAAGGTATGGGCAATTGCGTCAAATGATGGAAAAGGATCCTGAGTTGGCCGCTTTGTTGAGCGGCATTGGTTCCAGTCCCGAGAAATCGTCCTCGTCACAGCATTATGACACAAATCCAACGACTTCAGCTACCATCGGCATCCGAGTGATGCATGTGAGAGACGAGTCACTGGCTAGGGTCCTGGACGACGGACAGGCCATCGACGAGAATCGCGACAAAAATATTTCGCAAGAGCCTTGCTCTCCACGCTTCTGCGTTTCCGAACAATTCGGCAAGCTCTCCAACCTTGACGTGCTTCAAGAGGACGAGAAAGAGAAAGAACCTGTAATCACTTTGGTGGCAGCTCGACAGACGAACGAAGCGGGGGAAGACACGGCAAAGCTGTCTCTCTTTATCGCAGAAGCACGAGAGGAGACAAAGCCGGAACTCTCAGTGCCGGGGACTGGGAAGGAAATGATTAACGAAGATCAAGAGAGTCGCCTTGGCGAAGTCAATGAGGCAGATGGCCAAATCGAAGCTTTCGTCACGACAAAGGCAGCTGGTGTTCACGACGAGAAGTCCAAGGGACAGGATAAGGAGCAAGTTGCTGCAGAAAATCTAGAAGAGGAAGGCGTCCGACAAATCGAGGAGTCTGTGCACGACGAAAGCAAGCAGCTCGGCGATCGGCGCAGTGGGTCAATGAATGTAGAGTGTCCCATCAAGACGATAGGCTCGCCAGGGTCAGAGACGACCCAAACAGGCGACATCGACACCCCGCAAAGGCCTTCCCCTACGGCGGGACATGTTACCCAGCTTGAGCCAGCAAATTTGACCCAACCAGTTGCTGAGAAGGACGAGAACCCCAAGGTTGATACCTCAGAGCAAACTATGCAACGCCCAGAGGTGACAAAGAGTATAGTGCGCGGAGCGCGTGCGGCAAAACTCGCTGCTCTGGCCGCAGTCAGCAGTCGTTCGGTTTTAGTTCCAGAGGTTGAGGCTGTCGCTCCGCGAAGCGAGGCTACAGCAGATCGAGGGCAGAGCATCGGAACAACGACCACACTTGAGCAAGGTCTAATCAGCGGGAGCCGAGAAGAAGGGAAGGAAGCTCGATTATTGCCTTCGCTCTCGACTAAGCGGACTAAAGAGATCAGATCTGCAACGATCAAGGCCACCATAGCGTCGCAGAAAACTTTGAAAACGGCTGCAAGCAGACCCACAAGAGCAACGGCCAACCTGTCTGTAACGTCAGGCGACCACAGAAACGAAGAGAGCGACGGCCCAGCTTTAACGAGCAATGTAGTCGCATTGCGAAAGACGACTCGAGCGACAGCTGCAAAGGCAAAGGAGACCATCAAATCTGCATCTTCTCCCATCAAGGCAACAGAATCTCAAACGAAGGGCACAAGAATGAAAAAAGCGGTACTCAGTGAAGGATCCAATAATCTACCTTCGAATCAAGTCACCAACGCAAACGAAGGATCAGAGACTGGGTTGCCGACGAACAAACCGATTAAAGGCACCAGACTTCAGACAAAGTCTGGAGCAGCTTCTTCACGTGGTGGTGCGAGGATGTTGGGAGTCTCTTCCTCCGCTGTCTCTACTGCCTCTCAAGACGATGATCGGCCTATGCCAGCAAGTGACCCCGGGCCTACGACCTTCTCGAGCAGCACAAGGAGGACAACAAGAAGTCGTGCTGCTGCTGCCGCCGCTGCCGCCGCTGCCGCCACTGGCGCTGCGCGAAAGTGACCTCCTATTCATCCGGTTCCCCAAGCCAATTCTCCTCTTTTCAACCTGCTGCTCTATAACGTCGCAATGACAGATCAGCTCACGTCTCCTATGACAATGTTTGCTTCCATTGAGGGAGCCTTAGAGATTTTAGGCGACTGAAATGGCTGATTATCCAACAAAGCAATAAGTGGAGAATAGGACTCGACACCACCCTCATTTTTTATTTCCCTTAAAAAAATTTTTTTTAAGGACCGTCGCGCGTTGCTCTGTTCCCCTGCTACCCTCTCGAGGAAGCTGGACGTACAAGTCAGGCCCGCTCTTTCCAACATCTTCCTTCTCTTTGTCCACTAGGACCCAGGCAACGTCACCTGAAGACGACGCCTGTACCTCGTCTGCTTAGCTACGTGGACGACATCATGTGTATCACGTGACTTCTCGAGGGGTGAACCCGGCCAAAAAAAACAGATTTAAACAAGAGAAGGAAGAAAGAACAACGAGGAGCAGCAGGTGTGATGACGACAGCCCCGCCGCTGTCTGCGCCCGATGCGGCCATCATCAACCATGTCGTTCCGCTGGATGAGACGGTGCTGAACAGCACCTCGAGAGCCTCTGGTATCTCCATTACGGAGCTCTACGATCTCAATTCAGTCGTCGAGACGATCGTCCCAGCAGCTGCAAGTGAGCCAAGATTCCGTCGAGTAGCGCTCCAATTGCCCGATGAGCTCCTGTGCGACGCGAGTGCGATCTTTTGGGAGCTCCAGCGACGCATCAAACAGGCTTTGTCAGCCTCGACCTCTTCGAACCTGGCTCGTTCACCCGAATTATTTGTCTTGGCCGACACGTCTTATGGGAATTGTTGCGTCGACGAAGTCGCTGCGAGCCACGTCGATGCAGATCTCGTTGTCCATTTCGGCCATGCCTGTCTGAGCCCTACAGCAAGGCTGCCTGTCCTGTACGTCTTCAGCAGGCTACCGATTGACGTCCGACATGCGGCCAAGGAACTCATGCGGGCTGTTGAGGAAGAGGAGGGAAGCAAGAACGTGGTATTGATGTATGATATCGCTTACGAGCATGCGGCGCCTGAAGTCTTTGAGCTTTTGCGCTGTGGAAAGGAGCCGGCCGACCGATTCGTGCTGGCAATGCTCGACAAGCACTCAAATTTTACGAGGCATGCTTCCCCAAACCCGACCGGATGGGGAGGGGACGGGGTCTTGGAAGAGGGAATGGAGCGCATCAAGCTCGAGGAGAGGAACTGTGGTCATGATGGTTGCAGCACAGACAGATGCGCTTCGTCTTTGCACTCAGCGACATCAAGTAGCTCACCGTCAAATCACAAATTTATCCTTCCTCCTCATATCGACGTCTCCCACTCTCTGGTCCTCTATCTAGGCGGAGAATCCCTTGCCTTGACCAACCTCCTTCTCCACCTGGGGCCCTCGACTTCAGTTCATAGCTACGATCCGTTGCAGGACCGCCTTCGCGTAGAAACCGGCGCAACGAATAAACTCCTTATGCGCCGCTACGCCGCTGTACAAAGGGCCCGTGATGCCTCGGTGGTCGCTCTCGTCGTGGGCACATTGGGCGTCCATTCCTATCTTCCTCTGCTCGCCTCCCTCAAAGAGCTTCTGACGAAGAAGCACGGCCGCAAAGTGTACACAATCTCCGTTGGGAAGCTCTCTCCGGCCAAGTTGGCCAACTTTCAAGAGGTCGACATCTTCGTCCTCGTTGCATGTCCAGAGAATTCGTTAGTCGAGCTCAAAGGGACTGGGAAGGACTATTACAAGCCTATTGTGACGCCTTGGGAGATGCAGATTGCGCTGGACGGCGGGAGAGGCTGGTCGGGCGAGTACATCCTGGAGCTGGGCAAGGTCCTCGAGGAGGGTGAGAGGCAAAAGCAAGGAGCTGACGACGCAGAGGGAGAAGACGAGCCGCACTTCTCTCTCGTCACTGGGGGCTTCGTCTCTCGGCGACATCGACCAAACATGGAAGGGGAGAGCGAAGAGCAGCAGGCAGGAACCGTCGCACTTCGGTCGAACGATGGGATTGTAACGAAGATCATGGACAGCGCCGGTGGGGCGCATGTAGCTGGCCGGTCGTGGAGAGGTCTCGAGCAGAGGCTGGGCATGGATGAGCCCGCGAAGCTGGAAGTCGGACGGGCGGGTATCGCACAGGGGTACGCCGATGGCGATGAGGCTCGTCACGAAGGGGCGACCAATTGAGAAGCAGCACGATATGCCTCCCATCCGTCCATTCTCTTGCATTCATCGCGGTCGACGACCAAGCACCCGACAACATCTGCATTGTAACACTAATCCCATTCAAAGAAAGCTTGATTGACTTGCTCGAGAGGGAAGGAAGAGGCTGATTTACTATTACAAGATGTGACGTAGCAGGAAAGGAAAGCAAGTCTATTCCTTCGACACCTTTTGGGCCAGAGTGATCTTGTCTCCCAAGCTAAGCGCGATGCCCTGCGTTTTCGACCTGATGCGGACGTGGCCTTGAATTGTTCCGTCTTCGAGCTCCTCGATGCTCAGATTTGCCAAAGCATCTTCGCCAAAGAGCGATCGCGCATAGAGATTTGCCGAGAGAAAGCCGCACTCGCCTGCCAGAGACGCCTCAGGAGTGAGACAAGCCATATTTGTCGACTTCATAATGTGGGCCAAGTACGCTCGCAGCCCGCTGATGTTCGTATTGACGCTGACCTTGTTCTCCCACTCGAACTCGGTCCACATGCTGCGGAACTGACTTTCCGTGCATGTGGCAGGGTTGATATAGTCCATGATGTCGATGTGGATGTCATTGAGAACGACGCATTTAGCCTCACCGCTCAGCGCTGTGCCTGTGCCCGCTGCACCCTCGTAGGTGATGTTGCCGAAAATGACGCCCGTCTCAGTCGAAGAAACCTTGATGGTTGCCTTGATCGATTGGAACGAGTAGGGAGCCAAAGTGTGGCTCGATGGCCTTTCAACGAGCTTGAGGTCGCCCAAGGTTGCAAATTCAATCGTTAGGTTCTGCAACGTCTCGGAAGACTGATTGACAACGAGGACATCGAGAAGGATGTCGAATTGATGGACGTTGACGTAAGCCTCTGCGTAGACGGCGTCTGAAAACCCGGTCAACTGCACAACCCTCTGGAGCTTCGAGATGAAGTCGTCCTTGGTCTGCGAGGATGAGCCAGTGGCTTTCGTCAGCTCGGCCTCGTAGTCTTCCACACCCATTTCAGCTCCTGGCGCGCCTGCAGCTGTCTTTTTCGACAATTGTCGGAAACTTATGAGGTCGTCCGGTTGTACCTTGATCAATCTGGATGCTTGCTGCGCCTTTTCTGCCGCCTTGCGCTCCTCGGCGGCGACCATTTTGGCATATGCCTGCTTCGTATCATTCAAGAAGACATCGACTGCATCCACATCTTTGCCCGCCACATCCTCTTCCGTTGCCGCCGTCGCCAGCGTCTGGACGCATGTCATGATTCGCTCGACGGAATCCTCATCGATGGGTGCCTGGGCAAATTTAGACTGACCCACCCGGACGACGCTCGTCATGATGAGCATGGCTTCGGCCCGCATCGCGTTCTTAGCTCCGGCTTCGCTGCTGAGCTCTGAGAAGCGCAAGACAATTTTGGTCAACGTAGAGGCCAAGACGGTTGCCGTGTAAAAGTCGCCGAGGAGAATGAGCGATCGCAACGGAGGCTTGGAGGCGTTCTTGACGGCTTCGAGTCTAGCGCTGGCATTTGCCTCGGACGAGAAGGCAGTCTCGGTGGCATACGTGCCGTCGGCCCGGACACGGCTGACGACTTTGGGAGCCGCCTCATCCTTTTGCTTTCTCGTTTCCTCTTCACCGTCTGCACTCTCGGCCTGTTCTAACAACCTCTCTTCGGCCGCAAGGATTGGGACCTCACCCACAACCTTGCGAATCTGCTGCATGGCCTCTTGAACGTCCTCAATGCTCTCGCAGTACTCTCCAACGATCCACAACGCTCCGCGGAAGACCTTGCCGGATTTGATGTCTCCGAACGTCCTCAAGAGTTTTTCTAATATGCTCGAGCGCAGGTCGGGGAATTTCTCGACAACCTCGCGAACAAAACTAATGACGTCGACTGCACTTGGATTAGATGAGTCCCCGAGAAACTCCATAAGGACATGAACGACGTTGGCGGCCACCTCGCTAAACTTGATGGCGCAGGTGTGGATCGACTGAATCAGCAGCTGGCGGTACTCGATGTTTTTGTCAAAGCCGCTTGAGCCGTCAACGGTCTTCATAAGCTCCTTCTTGAGCAAAAGAACAACCTCCTCGATGTTACGGGACGATACCATTTCCAAAGCAATGGCCAGTGCCTTTTTCTTGACGTCCATGTCTGGACTCGAAAGCACCCGGAGGAGGTCCATGACGAGGGGATCGATGACGTGCTCGTGTCGCGACCGCAGAGCGTCAAGACGGGAGAGGACAATGAGCTTGACATTGTTGTCCGATTCCTTCGCGACAAGGTCGATAAGTGCCGATGCTGTGGCTTTTATGGCTGCCGCGTTTTGGGTGAGGGAGGTGAGCGTAATCGCGGCCTCGTACTTGACGGCATGCGACGACGCGGAGAGGAGCTCGGAAATGGCGCGAATGTATTTTGTCCGGTGCGGGCTGTCTGCCTTGCACTTCTTTCGGATCAGTTCAATGACAGCCAGCTGCATGAGCTCGTCCATAGCTGGTATGGCCTCGTACTGGCTCAAGAGGTACTCGATGGCTTTGTCGGGCGAAGCATTGCACAACAGCACAAAGGCGTTTCGCTTGCACGTTGCGTCCTGTTCGGCGGCCAGAAACGTCTCCATGAGTTCCGGGGCGTCGCTGAGCATTGCCTCGTGGCGCTGGTAGATCTGGGCGACGCAGAAAACGGCATTCTTGCGCACGTAGGAATGGCGATGCTCGAGGCAGGACCGGACAGATGGTATCAATGCCTCGAGGAGCTCGGGCTCCTTTATTTTCTGCAGAAAGCGAAGCGTCGAACCTCGGATGTACTCGTTTGGGTGTTGCTTTCGGATTGAAAGAGGGATTAGCCAAGGCACACCCCAAGCTTGCGATCGGAGCATCTGTCTCACCAGGTCATTCCGAATCGCGTTGACGACAAGGATCATCTCCTGCTTGAGCTTGCCTTGGTCATCGTATTTGGGGCAGACTTCCCAATAGAAGTGAAGCATCTTTTTCAGCTGCTTGTTCTTGCTCGGAAGGACGTATTGGATGATAGGCATTAGCAAGCTCGGCTGCGAGGAGCCATTGAGGGTCGCGATGATGATGCGGCGAAGCGTTTCAAGCTTAGTTTCATCATCGGCGCGCTGGAGAATCTGGCGGAGTTCCGAAGGCTGAAGCTCCCCGCCATCATCGAGGGGAGCGACGACTGTATATGCCGTCGCGTCCATTGCTGGGCTGTTGGTGTTGTCTATGTGTGATGGAGGATGGTTCAGGTGTGTGCGCATCACGCTTGCCAACGGTGCAAGCTTCCCAAGGTGGGACACGTGCGAGGGGGTAGATTATGTAAGCAAATGCTCACAATTTAGGCTTTCTGGCCAAGGATCGTTTTCTTCCTGAGGGTACAGCAACCAATGCTTCGGAGGGGCATTGTTTCGACGAGGCTACACCTAGCCGTCTCCAGCGCACTTCCGGCGCGACAATTCAGCAGCCATGTCTCAGTCAAGGCCGCATTACACTGTGCGCGAAACGTGTGTTCCCCACCGGTGATCTCTACGGTGATCTCTCGCGCATTCACGTACTCCTCAAGCAAGGGCAAAGCGGCACTGAGAGACGATGACGTTGAGAGCGAGGATGTTGCAATCACCCTTCTCGAAGTGCTTATGAAGAAGCGAGAGCTTCTCATGGCAAGAGTCTCTGATGTTGCTACTGTTCCGTCGACGTCTGCCAGTGACGCTTCTCTGGGGCGGGAGCTGAGCGACCTCAGTGGTCTTCACCACCTCTGGACTCGATGGACTGATTTACAAAAAGTGAGTCAGCCGCGTCACCTCTCCAGAGCTTTAGACGAGCTTGTTCTAATCCCGTGACCAGTCGATTGCCAACATCCTTCGTCTGACGTCGCCGGAACATGAGCCCGACGAAGAGATGCGCAATCTGGCCCTCGAGGAAGCTTCTACTGTGCTTTTGCAACTAGATGCCCTCCGCTCTGAGATTCGTCAAGCACTTCTCTCGGATTCCTCCTCGTCTGACAATCTAGACGCCATCGTCGAGGTCCGACCTGGCGTGGGCGGGCAGGAATCGTCGCTCTTCACGGGAGAAGTGGCGCGAATGTACATGCGGTATTGCGAGGGTCTTTCGACGGATGGTACGCCGTGGCAAGTGGAGACGCTCTCGTCGACTTCCGCCGAAGCAAGCGGAGGCGATGCTGGAAATGCCTTTAAAGAAGTCATCTTGTCCGTTAAGGGCCGAGGAGCATACGCAGCACTGCAGAATGAAGCCGGCGTTCACCGGGTGCAGCGGATTCCTGTGACGCAAAGCACTGGGAAATTGCAGAGCAGCACCATTGCCGTCGTTGTGTTGCCCGGCGGTGGAGACGAGAGCGGCGGGAAGGGTGCAGATGACGTCGTAGACCCAAAAGACGTAAAGACCGAAGTCATGCGGAGCAGAGGGGCAGGTGGGCAGCACGTCAACAAGACGGAGAGCGCCATCCGGCTGACGCACGAACCGACGGGCATCACGGTGAGCATGCAAGATAGCCGGAGCCAGCATCAGAATCGGACAAAGGCGTGGGCGGTGCTGCGTGCTCGATTGCTGGACCGCAAGATGCGAGAGGAAGCGTCGAGCAATCGAGAGGCGCGGAGGAATCAGGTGTCTGGCATGGATCGCAGCGATCGAATCCGGACATACAACTTTCCGCAAGATCGCGTCACTGATCATCGGGTGCCCTTCTCCATCAGTGGCATTGACACGGTGATGGAGGGCAGCGACGAAGGTTTGGGCTACCTCTTGGATGTGTGCAGGCGCCATCGGCAAAAGCTGAGGCTCGAGGCACTCCTCGTAGAAGTCAAAGAGGACTTGGCCCAGCTGCAGAAACAGCAATAGAATAATAGAGGCACCCCGCAGCAACATCATTGCTTGTACTTTACTGTACAGTACTGCACTGCATTTGGCTACGCTGCACTTGAAATACAGCCCACCTCTTCCATCATTTGCACCGATTCAAAGAGATGCTTCTTGCGGAATGAACGAGAGAGCGGAAGAAGAGGCTCTACATCCAAAGGTCCATCATGTCTCTTGTATTGGATGATGAAGAAGAGATTGAAAAGATGGGTATGATGACGATGGACTACTTGATCGATCTAAATCTGTCAGTGGCTGCGATGAGGCCTGCCTCGTTGAAGCCTGTCAGTCAACAAACAATCTTACAGCAGTCTGTCCTGGCACACTCACGGTCCATGATGCCCGGCTCTGCGGAGCCGTGGCCGGCGTCGGGAACGAGATGGAAGTGGGCCTCGGGCCACTGCTTGTGAAGCTCGTAAGCCGTCTTTGCGGGGCATGGCATGTCGTAGCGACCCTGAACGATGACGGCGGGAATGTTTCGGATCCTATCGACGTTGTCCTTTCGGAGTAGCTGTCCATCCTCGAGCCAGCCTGCATTGTTGAAATAGTGGCATTCGATGCGGGCAAATGCCAGGGCAAATTTCTCATCCTCGCCGCGCTTGACGGAAGCCTCGTCGACGTAGAGCTTTGAAGTAGCCATTTCCCACGTCGTCCAGGCCTTTGCTGCTGCTAATTGCACCTTTTCATCGTCGCTTGTCAGACGGCTGTAGTAGGCCTTCATGAGGTCACCCTGCTCCTCTGCTGGTATCGCCGCGCGGTACGGCTCATCCATCTCGGGAAATAGGTTCGAGGCGCCCTCCTGGTAGAACCAGAGGAGCTCGCTCTTGCGAAGAGTAAAGATTCCCCGGAGCACCAGTGCACTGACGCTCTCAGCATGTTTCTGGGCATAGGCCAGGGCGAGGGTGCTGCCCCAGCTACCTCCAAAGACATGCCACTTTGTCACGCCCAGCTTTTCTCGCAGCCTCTCAATGTCGCCGACGAGGTCCCACGTCGTGTTCTTTTCCAGATTCGAGTGGGGCGTGGAGCGGCCGGCGCCACGCTGGTCAAAGAGAACGATGCGGTAGTGGGCAGGGTCGAACCAACGACGATCATCGGAGGAGCAGCCCCCACCGGGCCCTCCGTGGAGAAAGACGACGGGGTAGCCGTCCCGCTTTCCAGACTGCTCCCAGTAGATGCTGTGGTGATCCACGTCGAGGAAACCCGTCTCAAATGGTTCGATCTTGGGATAGTGACGACGCAGGTTGGCTTTTGCGGGCTGCAAAGCGCGAGCACTCGGACGGTAGTCAATTGCACTTCCTTCGCTGGTGTCTGGCTCATCCTGTTTTGCTTCATCTCTCTTCTTGTTCTTGCCACTATTGTTCTTTCCACGTTCCACATTTGCCGCGCCCGCCTGTTGCTGCTGATGTTGCTGTTGCTGAGGGCTGCGTGCGAAAAGGAAGCTCAACCGACTCTTGAGCTTTGATCCGACGCTGTTCGGAGGAGGCGACGAGGCGCCCTGCTTTCCTGTGACCTGTGTCGAAGCTGACATGTTTGTTTGAGATCGAGGGCGCTGCTTGCAGCGAGCGGAACGGCTGTGAGAGATGACAGAGGCGACGAGATTCAAGAACAGAGGGGAGAAGAGACCTCTTAGCTGGCTTCAATTGTGCGACCCGTGCGCGCCCAAATTGGAAAATCCAATACGATCAGTGTGAAACACGCGCGCGTTCTTTCGCGGCTAAGTCTGAGAAATCAACGCCCGTCATTGACGATTGATGCTAATGCATCGACATGGCCGCTGCAGACACGCGCGAGCCAGGTGTGCCGTCAAAGAAGCTTGCAAGGTGTGCTTCTCGCCCTCTCTCACGGCATGGTCATGAGCTGACGGGCTGTAGACGGGCCCTTTGACCGATAGAAGACGTGCGAGGAGCTGGCCCAGAGCGCACTCGACAAGGCCAGGGGACAAAGAGCTTCGTCCGGCTCCTCTTTCATCATCGATGCTCAATCGCTGAGGTGAGTCTCTTGCGTGAATCGGTGCCCCCTAGAAAGCGACAAAAGTGATTGAAGCTGTTCCGCGCCCCAACACAGCTATCGCTTCACCTTGAGCCATGCGTCAAACCTGGCTAGTGATGCCCGCCAGGCCATCTTTAAGCTTCTCACGGCGAACATGCAGCCTCTGTAAGTCTTAATCGCAGTCAGACCCATCACACAAGTGGTCTTATGAAGGCCGGCTCATTCTTTCGCCAGTTACGGAGCCTCATCGGCGGGTTGGGACCCCATCGGAAAGGAACAAGAGCTCTTTGACGACGCCTCGCGCTTCATCTTGGTTCATCGCGCCGATTCTTCTTTTGACGACCTCGCCGCCTTTCTCATGTTTCGCTTTGACGTCGAAGAGTGTTCAGTAAATGACGAGCTCGCGAGATTTGCGTCCATCCCGCCAACTCAAAGTCCAGACGGAGGGCAAGCACGGCAAGCACGGCAAAGGCCGCCAGATGGTTGTGCTGACGAAGGTGACAAATGTTTCCGAGACAACAGCGACGATGAGAGCAACAAGGGCATAGACATGGACGCAGATGAGGATCTCGAAATTGAAGTGGCCTACCTCTATGAGGTGCAGGTCAGCGCCCGGCATCAGCGCATCGGCCTCGGTGCAAAGCTGGTCCAGGCGCTAGAAGACATGGCGGGCGAAGCAGGGATGGCAAAAGTTGTCTTGACCGTCTTTCTCGCCAACAAAGACGCCGTGTCCTTCTATAAGCGGCTGAAGTCAGTATCAGAAGCGAGCCGTGCAAGGTGGTGGCAGAGGCGCTGACGTGGCTCAGTTGCTACACACAGGTATAAGATCGATCAAATCAGCCCAAGCATCGTCCTGGGGCCCAAAGAAGCAAAGCAACAAGGCTTCGATTACCACATCATGAGCAAGTCTCTGAGAATGTCTCTTTTCGTAGCTAAGTCGTAGCCTTCGGAAAAAGACGGAAGGTGATCAGAATGACTTTTTTCAATTGAGTGGCTTGCTTGAATGGGGAGAACAAAAATGGGCCGTTGTCACAGTGGTGATGTGCTTACACGAGGTTGTTCGCCTGGGGAGAGACAAGTGGTGGAGAAGAGCGCTATGAACAAGGTCACTTTTATCAAGCGATTATGAAGTGCCAAGGCACACAGCCTTAGATTTGCCAATCGTATCCAGCTCAGCGCCTCTTTTCGCCAGGGACGACTGGATCGGGGCGCACGACGGCGCCCGCACTGGAAGGGGAAACGAAGGACGTCGTGTAGCCTTGGGCCAGCTGTGACTGGTGGCCGAGGGCGACGGTGATGTAGTCACTCCCCACAGGAGCTTCAGAAGTGCCAAGAATGTCTGTGGACCCATTGGGTGCGGGCCACTGGACAAGTTGAAAGCCCGTCGGAACAAGGTACAGAATTGGTCGCTGCTGAGGACCCAGCGGGAATGCCTGCGTCGGCACCGCAGGTTGCTGTGATCCGCATCCGCTTGTGCTGCTTGGCGACAAGGCGCAGATGATCTGAGGCTGATGAATGTGCGGCAGCTCGTGCCGATCTGACTGGTAAGTAGGACCGTAATCGATGGCGATATTTTTCGCTGGATGGGTGATGGGAAGCATTGTGGCTGCGCTTGCCTTGCTAATGGTGGGTGGGGCACGTGAAGACAGCGGAGCTGACTCTCGAGGCTGTATTGAGGTCTCGCCGATGGAGATGGTCTTCTCAGCGGGGCACGAGTCGTTCATGCTTGTCTTGTCGGCGGTGGACACGGCGAATTTGATCTCTTTCATTTCGTCACCTGCTGCGCTCGAGTCGTCCTTGTCGGCCACGGAAGCGCTGTGACGGGCATTGTTGAGATTTGAGTCTCTGACGATCTCGGTGTTGTAGCGTTGGGACTCGGCTTGGTCCAGAGGAGAGACGTTGTCATCACTCCATGGACTCGGGTCCTCGTCACCTTCTTTTCCGTATCCGCCGCTGTGGTGCTCTTGTAGGGGCTTTTCGCTGTCTTTGGGACCGTCACTCCTGATTGTGACCTTTTCATGTAGTGCCTCGTGCAATGCCTCTATCTGGTCTTGTATGTGAGGGGAGGTGTCGCGCGGGATAGGATCGTAGCCTTGCTGACGAGGAGACTGGCTTGGCGCGATAGGGGAGATGGGTGGCTCCTGATGCACTGGCGGTGGTGCTCCCCACCGCCGCATAGGTCGATCGTCTGCTCGGGTTGCATTGACATCCGAGACGTCGAGGACGCCGTAATAGCTTCTTGCTTGTGATTCTTCATCGTAACGTACCGTCACGATGGGCTGGCGAAGGAGACGGGTGTCGTCACGACCTTGGCCATTGTTGTTACCAGCGCCAAATTGGCCGTGGCTGTCGTAGCGGGCTTCGTCTATGTGGCTCAAATCTTCCTCGTGGCTGCCCTCTTGGTGATGATGCTTGTTACCGCCAATTCCGTCATACTGATCGCAGTCGCCTTCTGTGCGCTGATCGTGCTCAGAGGCACTCACGGGTGCCAGGCGATGGGAGGAAATGTGGTCCTTGGATGGCCCTGAAGAGTCGTTTCCTGCGTGCGGCTCGACGGGGTCATCATCCCATCCATGATCGTCCATTCTGCAACGAAAATGTATATTGAGACGCCTTGGATCTGAGAGACGTCGTCCTTCTATGCAGTCTCACAATGTACTTTTGGTCGTTGGTCTTGTTCAGTCGGAAGGAGCAGAGCTGGAACGAAGAAGGCGGCGACGTTGTCAAGGGACTAATAGCTGAGGGACGTTGCTGAGAGGTCCGAAAGGGAAGAGACTAATTCGCCAACTGGCTCTGGTCGGGCTAAGGAACGCTATTTGTACTGTATCGTACTACTGTACATTTCAGGGTCAGGGCAAGAGGAAGCGGACGGACAGCGGCGTCACCTCGCTTAGAACATGCTGTCGTATTGGGCTAGAGGTGGAAGGCAGAGTAATGGCATTAGGAATACAAATGGTACACTGCCAGTAGTAGTACTATTGCTGCTGCTGCCGCCGCCGCCGCCGCTGCAGCTGCTGCTATCATTACCATTGCGTGCTAGGTACTGCTCCTGTTACTCGAGAGTAGTAATGACTATATATGTTCTGATGTGTAGCGACGGACCGCAAGCGCTCATTAGGCGCTCAGTCTACAGCCTTGCTTGCTCTCCGCAGCACGCACTCGGAGCCAGCTATTACTCAGCACGTACTGCTACTGTACTGCTGCTAGAGTGCTTTTGAGTACCGCACCAATGTCTGCATTGCTGCGACAACGACGATGACGACGACGGCGACCACAACCACTCAAGGCTCTATCACCACTATGTCTCGTCCCGGCCTAGCGATGCTGGACAAGGCCGTCGCCTGTGTTCGAGTACTTCTGTTCACTCGCTCTCGTGGCCGCTCTGTCTGCGTCGTCATTGTCTCCGGACCGGGAACGGGACGCGCTGTGCTTCTCTAAAAACAAAGACCTCTCGATATATCCCTCGATCTATCCTAATCTGACAATGTTCAATATTATATTTCCACAGTCTAGGCACCGGTGCCGAAGCCACGACAAGCAGTGTGGAAGCGGCCGTGTGTGCGTGCCAGCTGCTTTGCTTCACGTACCAAGCACGAACGACGCGGCCTAGCATCGCATATGCTCTGCTGGACGGACACCACCTGGCTTGGCGCGCAAGGAAGAAAGCCTTGGCTCAGAACTAAATCGCAGACTTATTGTCGGCTTTCTTTTCTATCTGATGATAAGTTTGCCCACGCCTCGCCCTCCACTCCGCAAGCGGCGTGCTCGTAACGTTCACTTTTCTTCCTCACCGACGCTCGATAATATCCACGTTCCGTACAGCCGGCCACCAACGGAGCGAGTCGCCCCCCCCCCCTGATTCGGCTTTGGCTCATCAAACTCACTCACCACGCCTGAGCAACACCCCATGGCTGTCTCTCTGGTCGTCGACGACACGAGCTTGGTGCTGCTGCTTGCAATCATTGTCCTGCTCTCGGCTTCCATTTGGATCAGCCGCGCCTACCAGCCTCTCATTCACCCTCTGATCCTCTCGAGGCAAGCCGATGTCTCGCAGGTCCGGCACAAGGGCCAATCTGCCATCTACCGCAATGCCAACGCTCCTGTCGGCTTTGAGCTTGCCGCCCGGCCGAGGCGGGGAATCAACGACGTAAGAGACATTGTCCAGCAGGGAATCGCCAGCCAGCACTGGTCCTTTGACGCACCGCGGCGCCTGTACGGTCAGACGAGGAGCAACGCCGACTTTGTTCGCGAGTCGACATCATTTGGACAGGGACTGGCCGCCCTTGCCGGCCTCGCTTCCACCTCGAACCTGTGCCTGGCTGTATGCGTCGAGAGGGACTCGCTGCAGAGCCTCGAGGCTGTCCTGTCGGGCTGCCTCCAGGATGTCCAGGGCCAGAGATACATTCCCATCGTCGTTGCTCCTGCCTATGCGTCGCACGACGAGGCGCCCAGCAACCTGCCGGCCTCGTCTTCTGCCACGGCCCTCTCGGCCATCTTCACCACCCGATCTGCCTTGGAAAGGGCTCTCGATCTGGCCCTCGTCGACCCTTCGACAATCGTCGTTGTGCCCGGCGCAGACGATGTAGTAGAAGCGCGCAAGTTGACCAACAATAGCGTCGTCGCCTTCGCAGATGTTCTTGCCGCCGCCGCCGCCGCCGCCGCCACCCATTCATCGAAGCAGGGCGAGCACATGGACAAGGACACCAGCGGAGAGCAGGACTCGGTGCAGTCCATCTACTGGACTGGCAAGATGGCCGGCTGGATCGAAGTCACTCACAGCAGCCTGCTCTCTGGCCTCACTGCCCAGCTTGGCTTCTACCCCGCCGATGCCATCCCTACTTTTCACTCCCACGTCTTTGTTGAGCAGCCGTCCTCTCTCGACGACCCTGCCTCGCTCCGCCTGGGCGCCGCCTCGACGCCTGCCGGTCTCGCATTGGCACTCGTCACTCTCTACACGGGTGCTTCGCTCACAGTCGGCCTCCTCACTTCGAGTCTGTCGGACCGCAGCCCGCTGGCGAGCGAGCAGGTGCTGCAGGCCAAGCCGGACATGATCTACGCCTCACCCACGGGAGCTTCTGCCCTGGCCGCGGTCCTGTCGAAGGCGACAAGACGCAGCTCCCTGTCCCGTGCTGCCATTCACGCCAAGCTGGCCGCCCTCCGTCACGGTGCTCTCTCCAACGATGGCCTCGGAGACCGCCTCGTGTTTGCAAAATCGAGGGAGCAGGCTGGATGCAGCCAGCTCAAGTCGCTCATCATCGTCGGCGAAGGGCCCGTGGTGCCGCAGGCACTCCTCGACAATCTGCGTCTCCAGCTCGGTTGCCCCGTCATGCAGTCTTACCTGCCCCTTGGCCACCTACTCGTACACGGATCCCACATCACCGCCGGTGTCAGGCCACAAGATCCTTTGAACAGAGTCGCTGCCCTCACTGCTCCCATCGCGACGACCCATGCCCTCGATCTGCAGGCCTTTGCCAGCGATGATCGTCACCGTCCCTTGCCTGCTCACTCCGGTCCACCCAGCGTCGCCCTCGAGGTCAAGCTCGTCGAGACGGCAAAGGCAAAGAGCTTGCGAGTCGTCTCCGACGTCGGTTCTTCCAACGCCGCTGGAACACATGCTGGCCAAGCCCAAGACCCAGTGGGAGAGGTGCGTTGCCATTCTGGACTACCCGTGTGGTCCCTTTCTTGACGTCGCATTCTCTCCTCTGATTTTTTCCAATTTTCCATGACAGATCTTCGTCCGTGGCCCCTGTCTGACAGGGCACACAGATGCCTCCTCCTGGTGCGCCACTGGCGACGTTGGAACATTTCGGTCCAACGGTACCCTTGTCGTCCTGCGCAACATCGCCGCCTCTGAGATGGTGGATGTACCCGCGTTCTCTGCCAAACAATCGCCAGCCAAGAGGGCCGCGCGAACAACTCCTCATGCCCTCACGACCCTCATGACGGCCCTCTGTCTCTTCTTGTCCTGTGTTGGAACCGTTGCTGCCCTCGCTCCTTCCAGTCGATCGCTTCACGCAAAGAGGGACGGGGCAAGCCCGAATGATACTCTTGTTGACACTGCCATCATGGGCATGCTCTCGAGCCAGCGAGCCTCATGGGAGCATGGTGTCGCCCAAACTGCGCTGTTGGAGATGCGAGCGGGCCAGTGGAGCGTCTTTGCAGGAGGCGACAACGGCGCACCGTACCGGCCTGGCCAGCTCCGACCTCAAGCTGCGGGCCTCTCGCCTTTGATCGTCAGCATGAGCTACAACTCCGTCCGCGCCCAAGACCGTCTCGGCAAGCTCTGTGCGCGCGTCACAGGCGACGAGAATGCCACCGAAGGCTCAGCGCTGGACCCCGCGTCGTGCGGTGATGGTGTCCTCATGGCTGCCTTTGCCAGCGGCGAGATCAGCGAGACGACGGCCGCCGCGCAGGGTTTCTGGATCAGCGCAGCAAGCAACATGCTCGATTATCTGCTCTACAACGCTCCCAAAGCTCCGAATGGCGCCATCTCACATCGATCAACGGGAGTCGTCTACTGGAGTGGTGAGTTTTGGTGAGCGCAGAGATGCCTTCCTCTGCCCTGCTCCGGAGCAAGACAATCTCCGGCCTTGGCAAACACAGTCTCATCAGAGGATCAAATGGCACTATAAAGAAGAAAAGTCTTTGCGAGAATGAGAATCGTTTCGACTTTGTGGATCGTGATGCGCGGGTGATCACAAGTGGTGCTGTGGTGATGCTGACTATCACAATCTCCTCTTTTTCGTCCTCCTATCTTTTCTTTCTCACTCTTCCGAACGCCCTCGCACTCACTCACCTCTTCCAAACGCTCCCTCGCCTCTCGCTCCGCTCCTCGACTCGACGACGACGACTCGATCCGGCTTCATCTCGACTCCACGACCCATCCTCGGCTCCATCGTCTGTCTGCCTTGCTGCCCTTGGAAAAAGATGGCATCTTTATGGGCCCTCCTTTCCTGGCCCTGTATGGACTCATGACAAACAATCAGACGCTTCTCCAGATGGCTTTCGACCAGTGCAGACTGTGAGGTCGTTGCGTCTCTCTTGACTACGCTGAGTCGCGGTGTGCTGAACCGATATCCTCACTACCGACCGAACAGGTATCGCGATGCGCTCCGCATCCCATCTGGCGATGCCCAGGGCTTGCTTCGGCACATCGTCAACGCAACCGGAACTGAGGGTAACGACCCAGGTGCTTGGTAAGTCCAAGAAGCCTCCCTCTTGATTGCCCCACTCTCCTCTCCATTCACACAACACCCAACAGGCTGACAGGGCTAGGATGGGCGAGCGCTGGCATGCTCCGCGTCCTTGCCACCATCACGCAATCCTCCTTCAATACGCAAATGGCAGACCAAACGGCCAACCTCGTCTCGTGGGTAGAGGAGATTCTCGACGGTGCTTACAAGTTTGCCAACCCGCTGATGCGCAACTACGTCAATGACTCCGGTGAGTTGATTGGCCCTTCACCATCATGCGACCTCGGTGATTAGGGTGTTGCGTGGAAACGAGACACCGACTCTTATTCTGGCTGCAACCCACAGATGCTTTCTACGACATTGCCGGTTCGTCGCTGGTGGCTTACAGCACTTATCGGCTTGCCAGTATCGCACCTGACTCTGGCGCAACCGCGCATGTAGCAGGGGCAGAGGCAATCTACAACACCGTCAAGAGCCAGCTCTCGCCTTTTGGCTTCTTCACGCCACCTTTGCAAGTCGTTGATGCTCTCTCTTTCACCTCTCCTGGCGATACTTCGCCAGAGTCGCTCGCTTTTGTCGTCCTGCTCGAGGCGGCAAGGAGGGACCACGATCAGAAGAACGTGACGAGCTTGCGTGGTCCATCGTCTGCGTCGACGTCGAGCAAGGATGGCGCGGTTGCCAAGGAGCAACGTCTGCACCTCGTTCTGACGGGAACCGCGCTGGCGTCGGTGGTCTCATTGCTCGTGTCGCTGCTGTGAGATCCACTCGAACTCGATCCGTCCCCGTTCAAGCCAATGCCCCCCTGCCCTCGCCTTTGCTTTCATCCTGCTCTTTGCCTTTCGCTGTATGAATACAACTTCCCTACTCCTACCCCTCAACACTTTCCTCACCCTCGGGACTCTGTATACATCTTCATACAGGCTGTATTAGCTAGGACAATACATCCTAATGGATTCGATTTTGCACCCCCGTTACCTCGCACTGAGCTGCCCTCGTAGTCTCCTGTACGTTGCTGTTAGTTGCTCATTCATATCGCCTCAAGCTGTGGTGAGCCTAGAAGAGGTCATCGCCCGAGTCGCTGAAGAAGCCCGAGTATGTCAAGACTATTATCCGTCGCTGCATGAGCACAAAGGTCGCGACTGTCTCGAGGGGGTGCACGGCCACTTACTGGTCCCATAGACGAGAGCCCCGCCAACGATACTCATGAGCCCCGCCGTCTCATGGATTACGCCCGCATGGGCCAGGGTGATGGGAAGGGCGAAGCCCATGACGACGGTACCGCTCGTGAGCCAGTTGCCAAAGTCAACATAGGCGCTGTTGTAGTCTGCGCTAAAGTCATCTTGGCCTGCGCACCGAGTGCAGAGAGCGTTGGGCAGAGGAGCAAAGACGAAGGTGAGAGCGACAAGGAGAGGAAGCCAATTGGCGAAGAGGGCGCACGAGAGGATGACGAGGAGGAACCCGAGGGCAAGGACGAAAGAAAGAAGAATGATAGCTAAGCAGGGGAAGAGTAGGGTGGGTGGTGAAAAGGGGGGGGGGGGGGTGCGCGGCTCGTCAGCTCCCTTACGGCGCTGTTGGCAGGAGAAGCGGACTCGGCTCACTTTTGAGCCCTGCAGCCATCTTGAAATCGTACCGCCAAGGGCAAGTGGCCGGCTTAGCCAGTCAGAAGCAGCGAGGAGTATGGCGGCAGCGAGGCGCGGCGATTGGGGTGGATGGAGGTGAGCTCAACTTAGACCAAAAGAAGAAGTTGATAAGAAACTGTGGAGATGAGCGAGGGCCCTTCACAACGCACGCGTCGCCCGCCACTTTCCTTCTGGCTCTTCGTCAGTCCACACAGCCAGAGCAGGAGATCTCCGATACATTCCTACGGTGCTCGTGGACGCCTCTCAGATGCAGCAGATGCCTACCACAGATGTTGCTCGACCGATAGCTCCCAACGCATCCCATTCGTTCTATCGAGCTCACAATCAATACATCTTCACGCTCCAACTAGAATTTCTCTCGTCGCTCGCTTCGCCTTCATACCTGACACATCTATCCCGTACGCCGTGTCCGTCGACTAACGACCTGCTCCCTCTCACGTCCAGCCCGGTTTTTCTTCGGTACGTCGCTCACCTTCTCGCTGTATGGCGCGACGACGAGCGCCTGGCCAAGTTTGTGAGGCATCCGCACTGCTTCTTATTTGCCGAGGCACTCGTAAAGAGCAAGTTCTTTCGTGACGTCGTTGTCAGGGACGAAGGATGGGAGGCCAAAGCCAGCATGGAAATGGTCAAGGCCTGGGCTAAGGGCACTGAGCCTGCCTCGAGGGAGGAAGAAAGCAACGAAGCACAGCGGGAGACCTGAGGGAGACAATGTGAACGGATCTCCGACGCCAAGAAAACTGCTCCAAGCTGAGCATGGCAACAGCGAAAGAGAACAAAGAGGAGAAGCTCCTGACATACATTTCCAGCACATCATGGTCAGTTCTTCATGTCAGCTGAGCTCTTGTGGGGAGAACTGAATTGGGAATTCTGTGCCCGTATTCCTCTGCAGTACTTGTACAGGTCTCCCCATTCGGTCAAAATCGTTTTTTTTTCTCATTTGATCAAGCCTCTCTAAGAGACACGACAATTACGGTAGCGTGACCGTGACTTGCCTGACATCGACATCGTCAACATCTACAGAAATGATCGTGGCGTTGATGGTTGCATCGAAATCCCATCTGGCCGAGTCATCGGTGGATGGAGACGGGGGAGCACCTTTGGCAACACCGATGGACAAGCCCTTCTGGGCACGTTCGGCCTCGTCGACCTCGTGCCAGACGTATAGTGTCAACTTGTCTCCGATGTCTGCTTTTGTCCTTTGCAGATCGTACTTGGAATGGACAAGCGTCAGGGTGATGGTCCGGACGTCTCCTGTACGCTGCTGTTCGACACGAATGTGTCGATAATCGGACTTGGCCTCTGACTCCCTATCGAGATCAAACTGAGGCAGATGGGATGGAGCAGATGCCCTCGAGATGCCATCGTCGAGATACATGTCGTAAGACGTCTTGGGCCTGCCATCGCTGATCGGGTAGCAATGGAGCGTGATGGGATTTGGCCGGAGCTGGCGCACATAGCTCTCGATCTGGATTGTGGGGATTATCGCGCCCTCGCGCACAAAGGTGGGAAGGAGATAGGGAAGGTGACCGACGTCGCCAAGGACGTACCGGTCGATGCTGGTAATGTACTCAAAGACTTGGCCTCCGGGCCGAGCACCGGACAAAGGAGCCCAGTTGCTTGTCAGGGGACCAAGATCGCCGCTAGACAAGAGGTGAAGGTTGAAGTCAAAGTAGCGGCTCGAGCGAGGCAAGTATACGTCAAAGTCCGACTTGGCAAAGGTGGCCAGCTCTTGCTGCGAATGGACGACGGGTGCGACGAAGAGATCGTTTCCGATGACGAACTGCTCTGAGAGGAAATTCTGGTGGTCATTGCACAGGCTCAGATCCCAAGGATCCGTAGCGAGCATGGAGCGCGCGATGGGCTTCCCATCGAAGAGGCTTCCAAAGAGCTGGTCGTAAAGGAGCTGCATGAGAGTGTAACGAAGCGTAATAAAGTAGCTTTGTCGACGTTGTGTAGCGTCAGTGGCTCTGCCTCTTCGGGATTGGGGCGAACGTGAGGGTGAAAACGCCCTCGCAAGAAGATTGTGGATGATTCACTCACCGACATATGGGCAGTACGGCTCGGTAGAGAGGCGCCTGATCGCCCATGTTCGCGGCGTACTCGTAGTACCCGTACGGTTCCTGGAACAGCTTTGCGCCCGGCTTGCCCATGTAGTGATTTCTAAACCATGGAAGAAGGGAATTGGCCAAGGTCCATCGGATCAGAAGCTGAGGGTCGGCCCACTGCGAAGTCCACGGGAATCTCTCGAAGCCGCCGACGTCTGCCCCCGCCAGAATCGTACCGCCAATGCCACAGCTGAGAACCTGTTGAAGCATGATTCTCAAAAAGTCCCACGAAGATGTCGTGTCGCCCGTCCAGAGGGCCGCAAAGCGGTGCGCGCCTGTGAAAGAACCTCTGCCGACGATGAAGTTTCGCAGGTCCCGCCGGCTCGATTGGCGCTGAAGGCCGTGATATGTGGCCTTATGGAGATTGTAGGAGTACAGGTTCTGGATCTTGACGGCCGCCGAGAGTATACCCTCCTGTTGACGACCGCTGGTGGAATCGTCCGAGAGCAAGAGTCGAAAGGGAAAAGACTTCATGTCGCCAGCACCCGTTCGGATGCACGGCGTCGTCATATCTTGCCAGACCATTTCCAGGCCGTCATCAAGTAGATCCTTGTATTGACGCCCCCACCAGTCGCGCACGGCCTTGCGTCCAAAATCTGGATAGACGCCATCCGTGCCGAGATTTTCGCCGTAACTGACGCCGCCTCGAAAGGCCGAAGCCCCATCGTTGTAGTTGTCGATCGATGCAGGAGCCCACTTGTGTTCTTGACCTCCTTCTGGTACGAGGCAAGTTGTTTGCTTCAGCTCGTGCATTCTGCAAATCCCAGCCATGTGAGGACCAACTCACCCCAGTAGGCGTAGACGGGCGGATTGCTGGGAGCATTCCATCGATGGTCTTTAACGAAGACGTTGAGCTTGAGGCCCTCATCGAGGGTTCGATATTGCTGTCGCGCTTGGCTCCCGTTCTCCCAATAATTCCTCTTGTCATTGTCCACCGAGGCGATTACAGGCGTGATGTTGGTGCTGCACTTGACCCCGAGACTCTTGAGATGAGTGAACATGCCCTTGGCGTCTTTGAATTTGCCATTGGGACCCTGATCCATCGTGAAGGTTCTGTAATGATCTTGCAGATCAACGTCGATGTGTGCCCCATCAAGGGGAATGCCGTACCGACGGTGTTTTTCGACAGCGTCGATGACTTTCTGACGGGTGTCCCAGCCGTAGCAGCCTGTGTCAAAGTTGCTTGAGCGCTTGCGGAGTGTGATCGCGTGATTGTCAGAGACTCAGTGCACGCACCCTGATGGTAGCCCAGAACATATCTGGGAAAGAGCTTTGTCCGTCCCACGGTGCTTGCGTGCGCGAAGCAGGCACCTGCTAAGTCATCAGCGCAATTGATATGAACTTCGAGGTCTCCAAATCGGCTTCCAACACGTTGTACAGCCGCGTGTTTCGTCGCAACATCGACGAGAATCTGAGAATAGTCGTCAACAAAGGTGCCCACGGCCGACTTGTACCCTGCGACGCCATCGACCTCGACCCAGAAAGGGTCGCTATGGTACATGGGCTCGCGAGGATCAATGGCCTGCTGGCCATACACGGCAGAGTAGCCCATATTGTCGTAGTTGAAGTTATTGAGCATCTGTTTTTCCTTGAAGAGCGACAGACCACCCTGCTCTCCATAGCCCAAAGATTTGCCGCGCTTTGTCACGCCAAAGCATACAGCATAGTTTCCCTCGGGATCCTTGCGAGCCAAGAGTGGCGGGACCGTCGACCCATCGGTGGCCGATGTCGTAGACCAGACGCAGGCCCACTTGGACGCTCCTTGCGTCTGACCAGGCGCCACGTTCTGCCCCACATTCCGCCATGCCTCGAGCGAGAAGTCAGCCAAGCGAACAATAATCTTCATCGTTTCTAGTCCGTCTCTTCGTACGCTCCATTCGAAGCGAGCGTCGTCATGGTCCTGTGCGAGGTCTTGACCGACAGCAGTGAGCTTGTAATCTTCATCTTGTTGCAACCTCGCACGAAGTTCTCCCAGGCTGTCCATGACGATCGAGGGTGAGAGCCTCATGCTGTACTGCGAGGCTTTCCTGGAGATGATGGAGGAAGAAGAAGAAGAAGAAGAAGAAGAAGAAGAAGAAGAAGAAGAAGAAGAAGAAGAAGAGGAGGAGGAGGAGGAGGAGGAGGAGGAGGAGGAGAAAGTGCCACATTCTTGTCAGCACCAAGGAAAAGAGCTGATAGCAAGAGGTGACCGAGAGCACACCCACGTCTTGGCGGGACCCCAACGGATGCGAAAGGTGTCGAATCGAATGAGCTCGATGAGGAGTAAGCTCGTGTCCGTCAGCGTCACCTCGAGCGTTAGGGCATCGTCTGGCGAGACCTGAACACCCTTTAAGGGTCCTGTGACGGGCGAGTAAGGGGCCATCATCCCGTCGAAGTAGGGTGTCGACTGGTCGACATGGCTCGGATCCGGCACGGTATCGAAGCCTGCAAAGAAGTCCTCGACCTTCCAGAATTTGTATATGGCCCCGTCCTCTTCATAGCCAACTCTCGTCGGCTGCTCCAGCGAGTCAGGCAGAAACACACGACCACTCATCCTTCTGTGAGTGTATTGTCGCTGACAAGAGCGACGGACAGACACACGTAGCTGTCTTGCCCCCACTCTTCTTTATATGCTGTATCATCACCAGCTCTTGCCTCGTTCTTCCGTCGGATTACTCCACAGCGGCCTTTTGCAGGTGAGCTGTATTATTGTGTGGCTTTGGACCGATCATTATTCCTACGATGCACTTGTAGACACTTGCTACAACTCCGACCTACTACTCTTAGTCAACTACTACACTAGCTACTAATTTTCTGAGTGAACATGCAGTGAGAACCATCCCGAACGCAAGACAAAAAAAAGCCTCCTAACTCTAATTCTCCCGTCATGCGTCCTCATCGGTCCGAAGCGCCATCATTTTGACCGTTGCGCTCTGCTTTCCTTTTTCGGCCAACATTCGGATCCGCTGGTGGCCCGTCAGCTGTAAGAGTCGTCCACTACTCGAGGGCTTCCGAAACTTTCAGGCGCCCGTGCGCTTGATCAAGTGAACCGGACTTAAGAAATCCTTGATCGAGTCATACAGCCACGTGGCTGAACCACGTGCCAGACCTTCTGCGGCACCAGCTATTCCTCCGGCGCCCAATGTGTATCACATTATTGACGACCACCACCCGCCACCTCGAAGAAATCAGTCAAGATGGGAAGGAGGCCAGCTCGCTGCTACCGGTATGTCTCGGTTGCTGTTTGATCTGATGAGGTTGCTATGCTGATGCACGGTTCTGCCTAAAGGTACTGCAAGAACAAGCCGTTCCCCAAATCGAGGTACAACCGTGGTGTCCCCGACCCAAAGGTGAGCATTGGCTTCGAGTATCTGACTTTCATCAGAGCGACGGTAGTTTTCAGTTAGCTGGACGAAAAGGGGTGGGGGAAAGAAAAAGTATGGTAACTGTGGAATGGTTGGCGTTTTCGCAGCCATTTCACCAGAGTAACGGTGGCAAGGGGACCACAGCCGGACTTAAGGATGGGTGCCATGGTGGGCTTGAGAGCTTCGGCAGTCAGACATCGCTTAAAGTGGCATAGATACCGGAGAGGAGAGGGGAATAAAGAATCTCGAGAGTAGAGACACATGGCTTCGAATAGACTTGCTGACAATCAATGTTCTTTCAGATCCGCATCTTTGACCTCGGCCGCAAGAAGGCAAGCGTTGACGACTTCCCCTTCTGCTGCCACCTTGTCTGTGACGAGCACCAGCAGATCACCTCGGAGGCACTCGAAGCTGCTCGCATTTGCGCCAACAAGTACATCACCAAGACTTCGGGCAAGGATTCGTTCCACCTCCGTGTCCGTGTCCACCCTTTCCACGTCATCCGTATCAACAAGATGCTTTCGTGCGCTGGTGCCGACAGGCTCCAGACGGGCATGCGTGGTGCCTACGGCAAGCCGTACGACACCGTGGCCCGAGTCGACATCGGCCAAGTCCTCCTCTCTGTCCGCACTAGGGAGAACAACCGTGCGGTCGTCATGGAGGCTCTTCGCCGCTCCCGTTACAAGTTCGCTGGCCGTCAAAAGATCATCGTCTCCAAGCGCTGGGGCTTCACCAATATGATGAAGGACGAGTACAAGCAGGCGAAGGATGAAAACAAGATCCTCAAGGACGGCTGCTACCTTCAGTACATCAACAACCACGGTCATCTCGAGGAGAACCTTCGGCTCCAAGCCCGCATTGCTGCCCAGAAGTAATCGACCTCTGGACATAAGGCTTCCTCTCTGTAATATGATCATTTGGTTGTTGCTCTTCTACAGGGATCAGAACTTTTTGACTCTTTGCTCACCTATTCATTAAACGTGCCATGATCTTTTCATATCCTCAAGTCTCCCAACGGTGCTTATGTCCGCAGCTGCAATTGGGCTGGATCTGAAGAACGGCATTATTGAGGTTGTAAGCTCCTCCTGAAGCAGCGTGCCACAGCATGAGTGTTGGTCCCAAGGGTGTCGCGAACGATTGAATTGGGGATTCGATGCCTGCGTCTCCACAACTCAACGATGCAGTGCACAGGGAGTCAGCCGTCTTCAATTTGGCTGCTGTTGCTCTCCCATCAATTATTATTCTCTACCGACGTCATTCTTTGAGTCGGAGGCCGACTCCGTACTACTGGCCACAAAGCTGCGATTCACTCGTGGACGTTGTCGCAGCAAGCCAACTTCAAGAGACTTTCAAACAAATGACAAGGCAGTGAGGTGCGAAACGCCTGAACGAAAAAGGAGATGTGCCCTGGCGCGAACTTAATGAATGTTCTCCTCGTCGAAGAATTTAATAAAGATTCTCACTGGCATCACACCACTACACTAACATTGTAACATTGTGGCAGACCTTCATTTCAATTTCAATAGACACAACCAGCACAGCGAAAAAGAGGACGCAATGGGATCTATTCTTAACAAATATGGCAAATTGCGGCCGGCGGGTCGTGCGGTGCACTTGTCTTTAGCAAGCAATCGATGCCGAACCGGCTTCTGAAGCACCACACTTACAGACAAGTGCGATCGTGTCGTCCCGGACAGCCTATCCCAAACGGGGCGCCAAGGGGCTTTTCGAAGACTTGTCTTGAGCCACCTTGTCTGCTTGGCAAAATAGTTAGGAGTACCTAGATCAGCGAGGAAGGATGTGTATAAGTACTGGTGCGTGCAACGCTCTTTCCGACCTTGCCCAGCTGGCGCTGCAAGATGACTTGCACACCGCAGATCCGAGCGAAGCGCTTTGGTCGTTAAATGAACGGTACGGATAGTTTATTGCTAAATTCGGCACACAAATAGCTACTCTCGCTTTAGCAAGATCCATTCGTCCTCGTCCTCCTCCCCCTCCTTGCGAGGTTTGTCGGCCGGAGTATTTGAGGCGAGTGTTGGGCAGATTCTAGCAGCTCGTTCAAGTTCAATACTATATAAGGCGAGTATTGGGGAGATAGGTCTGTGAGCTATATCCGAGTATCGGTTCAGAAGGAGAGCAAACTAACGTCTGTTAACGCCCGCCCGCCCGCCCTACCATGCGTGCATATCCATCCCTACTGCTACTGGTAGTAGCTATCACATTCCTCTCCACGATTCAGGCCAGTACATCGAGCTCAGCATCAAGATCACGTATTGCACTTCTGCACGGCCAGCGAGCCGTACAACAAGCAAAGATGGTAGGCAGGGGCCGCCACCTCTGCAACAGGGGCAAGGACCTGGAGCGACCTGTGGCGGCCGTGTATCGAGGCCCGATTGCCTGCGATGGGTGCTCTGAAAGCGTGGCAGAGTTGCTGAGGAAGTCACCGGCCAACTTCAGGGTCCACTATCTTGGTCCCACCGAGACTCATGACATCAATGCGCAAACCCTGAACCACCTCGATCTTTTCGCCTGGCCCGGCGGTGGTGGTGAGCATTTTGAGTCCCCCCCTCTCCCCTACGTTCACATCTGCAGACTTGCCACCATGTCTAAATGCTGATGCGGAGCATTCTCGACAGACGACCAAGACGCCGATTACTTAAAGGTGGCACATTATACCAAGGAAATTCAGGAGTTCGTCAGAAATGGTGGCCGGTACGCGGGCTTCTGCATGGGTGCCTTCCTTGCGCAGGGGCAAGGCAGCAATCAAACCTTCTTTCAACTCTTGCCTCGAGGGAGCTACGTCTCTTCGGAGAGGTTCGAGAAGGGGGCACAGATCAAGGGTGATGAAGATACGATCATCTTGACCGACTGGACCTTCCACACTGGGCCGAAACGCGGCACAAGCGAGGACAATCGATGGCAATAGTGAGCTGACTGCCTGCATAGACGGTCATTAGCCGCACAATTTCTCAAAGACTCATGACAGTTTCCAAGATGGGGGTCAAATCCACCTCGACGAGAGCACGCTACCCGTTGGCGCTTTTGTCCTCGGTCGCTATACGTGAGCAGAAGGCGCCTGCAGAAGATGCCGCTAGAGGACGCCTTCGAAGAAACACATGATTGACAACAGGCCTTATGTTTCCTGATGCAGATACACGGGCGATCCTTGCTCCGTCATTGTCCCTTACGGTGCGGGCTACGTAGGACTCGTGGGCGTTCATCCAGAAGCAGACAAGAGCTGGTACGAAGACTGGCACGGTCACAATCCACAAGGTATCAAATTTGACATTGGCCATGATTTCGTCCAAAGCCTCTGGCAGGCGGAACACATCATCGAAGGGGAGCTTGCCCATAAAATGGGTGAAAGCAGCAAAACGACGACCTTATCTGTTGATGCCAGCCAGCAGACTAGGACATGAGAGTATCACCCGAAGCGTCAGTCCGGCCTGTTAAGTTCCAGTGACGAGCTCCGTTATATTAGCATTTCTCTTCCCGGTAGGTGCGCCGAATTAAGAAGAAATTGGAACCCTTCGCTTACAGTCCGGGCTCTCCTCAATAGCTCTATTTCCTCCCTTGACCATGTACAAATTGTCCGCTCTTGAGTATTCTCGCACTAGCCTTGACCTCATCGATCGCACCCTGTGGAACAGTGACTGCTTTGACGGTGACGTTGGTAAAGATACTCTCGAGCATCCTCTCACATCGCCTGACCATGTAGTCCACCGCTGCAAAGTCCCGGCGAGACACTCCACCACCCATAGATGGATGTTTGAAGAAGTGGCGAAGGTAGAGGAGGAATGCAGGCTGTGAGCCCTGCCATGAGAGAGATTAAATGCAAGAGAAAATCAGAGGGGCGGTGAAGCAAAAAAGTTGGCAGCACCCACCTCGGGCTTGTCACGGATGGATCGAAGCCCTTTGCGGTAGAGAGACATGACCTGTCGCTGACTCGGCGTCAGTCGCGGTGGCATACTCCTGTGCGCTGAAGGTGGCGCCGGCTCTCAAGGAAGAAGAAAAGAAGGAGGTAGTAGTAGAAGATGTAGTACTGGTCCTAGATGCCCAACGCGACTTCCTGCGTTTGTGGAGGGACGGCTGCTCTCTTCTTATTTTTATTTTTTATTTTTTATTTTTTATTTGGGTTACGCGCCGAGTGACCAAGCTTGCCGAACACAATCCCTCTTTCCTCCTCGACTCTGGCCCCATAAGAGCTCCAGGCTTCTCGCTACGCGCGACAACAGGCCGAGTGGCGATGGTAGACCGGCCAAAGAGGGCAGCCAAATCTTCAGGGACGGGTGCTCGCATTGATGCGGAGAAGGCTGTTCGTGCGAAGCCATCGACACAGAGCAGGCTAGGAGGCTGTAGCAGCCCCAAAGCGGAGAGAGGCATGAAAGGGGCCAGGATGAGACCTGGTAATAGACAGCTGCCGCATTCAGACGAATCTGCAACCAAGGAGGAAGAAGGCAAAGGCGGCATTCAAGACGAGGTGGAGCAGCGGGATGACGATGACGTTGATGTTCGCGGAGAGCTACCCTGGCGAGATCCATTCGACCATGTTCGCGAAGAATACTTCGTTCACTCCTTTGACTATGATCACGTTGGCCTGGGCGGTAGTGACGGAAATCCGAGTGTCTGGATCGAGCCATCAACGCGGCCAGCAGCAGCAGCATCTCCGGCCTTTGTGGCAAAGACTCCGCTGTCCGCGAGCCCGCTACCTGCAAGCGCTCATCTTCTGCAAATACCGAGCGCTTCTGGCGTAGATGGAATCGTGAATCGAAGGAAACAAGGGAGCGAACTTGGTTCCACGCAGTCCAACGACAGAAGATGGCAAAAGAAAAAGGAGGTAGTGGGCGAGCGAACGCAATGTTCCGAGGAAGGGGCCAAAGGAGACTCCAAGTCAGCAACGACTATAGCAGCGACGATAGATGTCGAAGAACATTCTCCCTCATCGTCATTGCGCCACATTTCTCCGCACTTGACAAATCCTGACTCGTCAACGCTGAATGGATCGGATACATTACCCTTTACCGCCCATCCGTCCAGACCTGACGCAGAATTCCTCAATCCGTCTCTTCGAGATAACCTTTTCCGAGGAGCGCTCGAGAGCGATGAGGAGAATAGCGACATTGCGAACGACATCATCCGTCCTTTCACTGAGCCCGAACCATTCGCTTACGTTCTAGATCGTCCAAGGGAGAATGCGAAGAACAGGCAGAGCACGCTTTACTCAAGGCAACCCGATCGTATCGAAAGAGCCCTAGGAGTAGTAAGGGGCAGAGAGAAGGGGACTGTCAAGGAAGAGGCTTTGGACAGTGCAGGTAGGAAAAAGCGAAAGGGTGATGGGAGCGAGGACCAGAGGAAGACCGGTCAAATCAAGCACACGAAGAACTACAATAAGCACCTGAAGGGTATTCCTTCTGGCAATAACGAAGGCGACAAAGATGACATTGATGAACAGGACGACTTGGCGCAAGATCTCAATCAGGACGCTTTTGTCCGGTCGACAGGTGGGGCAAGGGAAAGAATGCGAAGGGCTAGACTTTTGGCAAGATTCAGAAAGAAGAGGGAGGAAGTTGCTGATGGATTGGTGCGTGAAATGGAGTCTCACAATGGTAGCGAAGCCGGCACGTCGACTTCGTGCTCAGACGACGATTCTACGTCATCTGGACCGTCATCAAACGCGTCCTTATCCGACCATCTCATCGCAGAAGATTTTGAGGCCGAAGATGCCAGCAAACACCCTGCACAGCGTCTCGCCAAAAGTGCTAGCTCTTCAGGAGGCAAGCGCAGAGGCTCACCACCACATAGCCAAGTCGCGACGGTGACGTCGACATCGACGTCTGAAGCACTGATTGCACTAGGCCTAGGGCCGCGATTGACGCTGCGGAACCAGTGCGACGAATGGGTTCGATGGATGGCCTCACAAATCCTCGACAGCTTCGAGGGCATTTCCAGGGACAGGAGGAAAGCTCTCACGCAGTCAAGGTGGGAGCTGAAAGACAAGATGAAGGAGGACTCGAATCAAATTCTCTCTCAGGACATGGTGAGTATTTTGAGCAGAACGTTCCCTCACACTCCTTGTGCTGGCCTTGACCTATATATCTATTCGCAGCGGCGTCAGTTCACCTGGTACCTTAAACGCTATCCCTTTTTCGAGCGAAGACCTGTTCGTGCGAAGGACCGGAGACACACAGTGGGCTGTGCGGCTTGCCATCGTAAGAGCCAGGTATGCGACTCGCAATTTTTATTTTGGGGTCCTCTATACCACGACGAGAGCCTCGAGAGGCGGGGTAGTAGCGATTCTTCGTCTTCAGATCGGTCGACGGGGGCTGAAGATGAGCGCCATCAAGCACGCGATGAGCATGGTGAGCTTTGCGATGCGATCACTCATGTAGGCCGTCCTCACGAGCACTAACTTTTACGTTGTCAACGATAGATACCCAGGTTTTCTTCCTCGGTTCGCACTGTGCGAGGAGGGCTGCTATTCTTCACAGATACGCGCATTGGGAACACAGAGCCATGCGCGAACTGTCTAAGCTGCCGATCGTAAAGGAGAGCCGCAAAGCGATACGAGAGGCCGAAAGGAGGAGCAATAGCGGCTCATATGGACGCATTGCAAGCCGAGCTATCGAAGAAGCCGTGACGCAATACGCTGGCCAGTTGGAAAGACGGCTGAAAAAATTACGCGAGATGCGTGACGGCTTCCTGTTTGGAGGTAGTAGAGCAGACCACGCTTATGAACGATGGGACGATTGACAGAGCCATGACTTCCTTGCAAAGTTGATAAATACTACTAAAGATCATGTCGACATCATCACTTGTTTACTGTCACGCACTTAAGGAGTGTTGATGCTTGCAATTGCAGTGACTGAATTCGACAAATCGTGACATATTCACATGTGCATATGGTGTGAATTATGCGTCAGACTCAGGACAAGAAACGACAGGAACCAGAACTACTTGATTCAACTGAGCAATATACAGTATGTGGAGCTCATCGTACCAGAAGACCGCGTCTGCGGCCTGAGAGGGTTAAGCATGTCGTCCGGTAAGAGTATGCGTCTGCGTTTCAAGGGTGAAAAGGTGAGCATAGCGATGTGAGACAGCGACAGTGCCCCGATGGGCGGAAGCTGACCGCTACCACAACATTGCCTAAATCGAGAAGAAGCAAAAAAGGAAGAGGACCGATGACGAAAAACGGAGGAAGAAGAGAAAGAAAAGCACCAATGACGATGACGAGTCAGACGCCGACGCATACGGAGGCAACGAGCAAGGTGAGGGCGCTACGCCGAACGTTCCCTAGGAAGCAGCTGTTATCTAACGGCTTAGACTTAGCCTGGGTCGAAGTCGAGAAGGTAACGGACCTCGCAGGGCCTGCTTTCCTTGTCCAACGTTCCTTCACCCCTTCCGCGCATGCCTCAGAGGGTGATGCCTTCTGCCTAGCTCTCAACTCAACACTGCAGCGCGTTGATGCCCAGCGCGTACAGGCGGCCGAACAATTGAGCAAGGAAGACGCCCTCTTAAAAGCTGACGACGAGCTTCAAGATGCGGAAGTTGTTCAGCTGGAGGTCGCCGATGAGCAGCAGTTGGAACCGCGAGACGTGATGCAAGTCTGGGTCGCCACACGGATTCTAGACACACCAGCAGAAGCACCTCGATATACACTTCGATCCGCAGAGGGCAAATTTCTTGCAGCTGAGCGTAGTGGTTCCGTTGGCGCCTCGTCAGAAGCCAGAGGACCGCAAGAAGAGTGGACACTGGTCAAGAGTCCTGACCTCCCGGGTTTCCATCTTCGGAGCTTTCATGGAAAGTATTTGACATTTGACCACCTAGCGGGTGGCAAGGTCGCTGTGAGGGCAGATTTCGAACCTCCAACGGACGAACGTGAGGGAGAAACTACTTCTTCAATTTGTGTAAAGGTTCAGTGGAAGTTTCGTCACGAAGCCAGGAAGCGGGAATCCGGACGAAAGCCAGTCCTTGGCAAAGATCGTGCTCCTGCCGTCAGGACATGAGTGCTGTATAGTCGAAGATATCTGAAGCACGATAACGTAGCTTTGCAGTCCTTACAGCACGAACTTGATCAGCAGGATATTGAGGTGCCACGCATTGTACAACTTGATTTGGCATTGATGACGAGAAACTTCTTCTACCCTGGCACGGCCAAGTCACCGAAGGCAGCGAAGCCTGAAAGCCCGAAATATGGATGACTTTCGAGCATGCGTTCGCCCTTGAAGCCTCGGCAGACAACGAAGTGCTCCATGCTACTCTTCCTGCTACTCCTCGGCTTGACGATGTCCACATGCTCGAACAAAGTTCGAAGCTGGCAGGCTAAGGCACTGCTTGTGTCTTGTTGGTCTCCTCGGCGACAAAAGATCTTAGCGATAAAAGTTCCGCCTATGCAGAGCAAACGAACTGTGATTGTCAAGGCGGAGACCAGGAGCTGGGATTGAAGGTACTCGTCGAGTGTATGAAGTCCGGTCACATCGGGAGCTCCATCGCACACGATCAACTGCGCCTCGGCTCTGTTTGCGGTACTACCGCTCCCCGCAAGGGCTCGAATGACGGCTTCAGCTGTCTGACCCGAGGTGATATCGCCAGTGATCTGTTTGACACCCTCAAGAGGCGCCATTGCTTGCAAATCGACGGCCACGATTCGGGAGCCCGATTTTGATAATGCTTTGGACAGAACCTGAGACCAAGACCCGGGGGCAGCACAGAGGTCGATCACCCTCGATGGCTTTTCGTCTAAGAATCCGTAAATTTCATTGAGGTGGATGAGCTAATGGAAGTGTCAACGTCTGTACGCGGTCAGGAGCTTGTGAAGACGAACCTTGTAGGCCGATCGAGCACGAAAGCCTTCAGCTTTACACAAGCGATAGTATATGTCTCGCTTGTCTTTAGAAGATGCCCCCATCCTTCTACAGGTCGCAGTCGGTGGACTTGAGTAATATTCACCTTTTTTCCAGCCAAATTGGATTTTGCGGGATTCGGCATTGGCGCTTTCGTCCGTGTTGCGCATCTAAGCGTGTCTAGTCTCATCCTCAATGCTTCTCTGACCTTGCAGATTTGCACATGCAAGTGAGGCGATCAGGATACCTCTTATCGTTCACAAAGCGCGAGAAGCACGATCTACAATGTATCTAATTCAGGCATCCTCCACGTTTTCTTGAGCTTCGTCGATACCAAATCTACGCTTGCACATAGCCACTTCTTCTGCGTCGCCCGTATTCTTGGTTAAATCATCGGAAATCTTGACCGCATTTCGTCCATTGATGCTTCGAAGCTTGATGACCATGTTGAGCGCCTTTGACTTGCCACGTTGACTCTTGAGGATGGACACGTCGTCGATATCCGCTTCGTGCGATGAGGTTGGGCCTTCCATTTGACACTGAAAATCATTGGTAAAGTCGGTTCCGACACCGAAGGAGCAACCAATGCCAATTGCATTTGAGAACTTTGCCAGGTTGATGCACTTCTCGACGTTGAGGCCTGGAGGAACATCCCCAGCGTGAGTGATCAAGGTATTGTGGAAAAGAAGGAAATGAGAAGATACCAACTGTCTGAGAAGATGACCACCTTCTCCTTTGGATCGACGCCGAGACCCTCGTAGACATTTTTTGCGTTTGTAGCAAAAAGCTTGCTATCTCCTGAATCTTGTCTCAACCCTTTCCATCTCTTCGCTATCTCCCTGCCTTTCTGGCTGCTGAGGAGGTCGTCGAAGAAGACGCGCGTGCTGAAAGTGTCGGTCAGGGCGATTGTGAGATCATGCGCCGGACTTCCAGGCTCAAAACTCGGCGGCGAATAGACGGCATCCCATGCTTCCAGAGAGCGCAAATTGGCACGATCGTACCCTTCGAGAGCCGCGATAGCCATCGTCCATTCATGCGCCACGGTCCCGACGGGTGCTAGATTGAACATCCTAGCAAAGTGAACGTTAGACGTGCCGACCACCTTTCCCTTGCCGTCGGACTCGAGCGCCTCCTTTTCGCCCTGCATGAGACCTTGCATGACAGTCTTGTGTGTCAGGTAGGATCTGCGTCGTCTGGTGCCAAATTCAGAGAATCGGATACCGGCGCCGACGAGCTTGCGCGCCTTGTCGGCTGCCAATGCCCGTTGGCCAACAAGTGACCATTTCTTCTCCACGAAAAGAAAGTACATTTCGCTGACGATAGCCATCAGCGGAACTTCATATAAGATAACTTCGCACCAATTTCCTTGAGCGACCAGCTCCAGTTGACCCCATTCCACACTGCCCATGCCATCGCAGTCGGGGTCGGGGACAAAGCTGGCCGTTACTTGATCTTGGGGTCGGAATCGGAATGAGGACAAAAAGGAGAGGTAGGCTGGTTGTAGGTACGGACAGGTCTTCTTCAACCATTCCAGCTCCTCTGTAGTCAGGTACAGCTCCGACAGGGCTAAGACATTGAAAGTGCGACTGAGTGAGCGAATCAGAAGAAATACAAGCCTTTGTCTCACCATTAATATGCTCTCGAATTCGATCTACGCATTCCCTAGTGAACTTCATGTCTTTTGATCGATTGGTAAATTGGTCTGGAGGAGCATCAGTTGGAGCACTAAAGCTGTGTGCCCGGTAGCGCCGTGACAACACCTACATGTGACTTGAGCTTCCTTGTAGTGCTTAAGCACGGCCTGCTGCATCGTCAGTTTCTGTCGAGGTGAACGTCAGGTGCCGACCAAAAACAAGACTCAAGAGATCCAGCCTACTCACGTACAAGTCCGTGTCCAAAATGGACCTCACAGGCCCTGACTCGTCCACCATGAGGTGTTGCGCCATTTGCTCGTCGTGATCTCGTTGCTGTGCGACGTGGTCCGGGCGTTATTCACTTGAGATTTTCACTCGAACACGTGCGTCGTTGCGCTCAGGCCTCCACTTTTACCCTTGCCCAGATATTCTTGTGAGCAGTGTGACCGGGAGTCAGAAGCGTAAATCCATCGACAGTCTCTGGACGAGCATGCAAATTTCCCGAGCAATGAGCTCTCGTGCCATTCGCTGATACGCACTGTGAGAGCTTGCGATGATGTGCATTCTAAAGCAACCCTTCATTCGGCTGTCGGTATGCCTTTTGTCTGCAATAGAACAGACGCGGTACTTGCTGTTGCAGCTGAGGTATTGCTCGACTCTGTGCTCAATGGCTGACGGTGTCGAGACCAACCCAGCGTGAATGTTGTCAGCGGCTCTGATGGCCTCAACGTTCCAGTGCATCTTCTCTTCATGGAAGTGATGATGGAGACATCAACTCAAAGTGCGGTTTTTTATTCTCGATCCACATTGCCGTGACTGACCTAAATACGCAGATCTGCTAACTACTAACTAGGTCACAGCGACAATTCTGCAATTTTAGCTTTTCATCAATGATGCAGCAAGAAAAAAAAACTGTTCATTCACGCGATTTAAGGGTTGTCCAAGATGAAAATTACTCAAAAAATGATTAAGTTAGGACAAAAAAACATAACAGTCCTCGAAATATCCTTTTAGATAGAAGAAATAGAGGAATTTTCGCCAACACTGTTGACCCAGGGCCCCAAAATAGCCAATATCAGGAATAGGAGTGATGTCTGTGTAACGTCGACAGGACGGCTTTGGCCTCAGTCACACCAAGTTGCCCAACCTGATGTCTGTAAATCTTCTATGAGCATGTCAGGGTTCATACTCTCTGTCGGAGCTTCTAACAAATCATCTCAAAAGCACCATCTCTCCTCGAGCGGTTCCGAGTCAAAGTTGAGCCACTCTGATGCATGAATTTGGTAGACCCTGTCTCGAGCCTTTTGTGGTGCAGAGAGAGCGGACGGAAGAGGTACATGTGATCAGGTCTATCAAGTTGCACACACCGAATGACGAGATCATTTACAGTCTCCGACACTCAAGCATCGAAATGGTTTGCGAAGATACTGAGATGGATTGCACTTATGCAGCATTAAGCTAGTCTTACATTCATTCAGTCCGGGATTCACTCTCCCTTCCCACTTCTCGCCTTTCTATCTTCTACAATTTTCTGTAGTGCATCGTCGACAGCTTCCTGCACAGCCTTCTGGCCGCCTGGCGGTTGAGACTCGGCCTTTGCCGGATCAAAGAGCGTTCTAGTAACTGTCATGAGCTCGTGGAGCTGGTAGAGCTGCTCCTCGGACAACTTCTCTCGCTGCTGTCAGCCTATCAAAGCATGAGCGAGCCGCACCTTTTCAATCACCTTTTCGAATTGTGCCGTATCGATCTTTCTGCCTTTGTATCCTTGTCCATCTTTCTCGATCCCATCAAGGTAGAGCTTCCATTGGGTCAAGAAGCCAACTATTTGAAGCGGATTCTCGATTGATCTGTGCCGCCGGAATTCGTCCTTGACGTATGTATCTCCCAGGGTCCGCATCTCGAGGTTCGGGAGGCTTCGGTGTGCGCGAAGCAAGCGGCGGTATAGCGGTAGCGGTGGTAAGAGAGATGCAGCTGCAAGACCTACATCGCGCGAAGAAGTGCTGGCCGGAGACGCAAGGCGTGTCAGTGAGGAATACATGGAAGTGATGAAAGTGATCTACGACTGTGCAGCTTGGACGGCAGCTTACAAATTTTAAGCCTCAAGATTGTTAGTCTAGTAATGGCTTTTATTTGTCTGATAATAGAGGGTTCACAGCGATCCTAAAATAGAGGTGCACCACGACGCCTCACCCACACAATGAACAGCCAATGGTGCAAAGTTTGCGATCCGAATTGGACAAGTAGCATACATCGAGGAGGGGCGCTCTGATTAATCCGGCCATTCTGCGAGCGCCCATAGCGAACGTCGGCAATCATCTAAAGGGGGCCCATCTAAGGAGTACATAGGTTTGGCACGAGTTAGAACTAAATGCCCAGCTCAAAAGCAGGCTTCTTTGGTGAGAAGTCCATGCCGACCTTGGCTCCCAGACGCTTCAGAGCTGTGAAGCCTGGTCCGTCAGCTGCTGGCAAATTGTTCCAAATCAACCTTTGCGGCAAATTTAGAATGTCCGTCAGCCATCGACCTCAAGAGCGAAGAAAGGGAAGAAGGCAGTACTCACGTAATGACGAGCAGATAGATGAAAGCCCAGAAGGTGACCTCGACTCGATGCTGTCCGGCATCCTCTTCGCTCGTCGCTGCCCCTTCGTCCCTCTTGCTCTTGATTTTCCTTCCCGTCAAACTAAATCGAAGGTAGGTCGTGCCGATGATGCCGCCAATGGCGAGGCCCTGGAGCGCGGGTATGAGAAGTCCTTCGACAAACGTGTCCATACCGTCGGTCCACAGCCCCATGCGCTTGAGGATCATGTACGCCACGTAGACAGGAATAATGATATGTGGCATGAGTGTGGTGAAGTGGAATCCGCCATGGCGAATCGTTTCGGAGAGAAAGCGAAACAGCCGAAATTGACCTTTGACTTCGGCGCCTGGTTCGGGATAAGGGCGGAAAGTGGGCTTCGACATGGCGATCAAGGCTGGCCAAGCGATATGAGCCGGAAGGGCGACAGCCGAAAAGCAAGAAGGTTCAGCTCTTTTCTTCGGGCGTGAGCGCGTAGAGGAGAGGGAAAAGAAGAAGGTTGACAACACTAAGTAGAAAAGCAAGAGTGAGGCTGAGTGGGGCTGGACTGCTTGTTGAAAGTTGCCCTTTTGCTCATCCCCGCTTTTGGAGATTTTCCCTTGGAGTTCGCTCAGCGAGGTCAATTTTCACGCGTCGTTGGCGCGAAGGCATTTGCTTGAGTTGGCTTCCGGGAGCACAGACTACTGCTCTACTGCTCTACTACACGGCTGCATCTACACTATCACCAGAATGGAGGACTAGCAAAGTCTTAAGATGACAGAGATACTCACGAGAAACAGGCTCAGGTAGAAGTTCAAGCGAAATGACATGGCGAAGTCCAAGGCAGGGGGAAACTCGCTCATAGACGCCGCAGAGATTGTGTTCGCGCATGCCCCAACCGACGCTCACCGGCTTTGCCCTTTCCTCCGCTTCGGCTGCTGGGTTGTGTCTTTCCTCTCATTTGCGCGCCCTTCTGTGCTAGAAGATTGGACGAAGTCGATGTTGGACCGTTTGCCAAGGCCTTTTCTAGCCTCGGCCGCATCGTGTTTAGCCCGTTGTAGCTGAGCGATGTGAGTCTTCCCACCCTGCATTTGAAGCTCTCGTCTTGCCGGCGTGCTTGCAGGCCATATCAAGTCTGAGTCGGTTGCATCGTTGTCTTCCTTGTAGTCTACCTTACCGGCCATGACCGGATAAGCGCTTGCTGTCTCATCAACGGCGACCCAGTCGACGAGTTTGGCGTATATGTGTGGATTGCGAAAAGCTCGATTGCGCGAGAGCGAAGCATTGAAGTGCATCCCTTGAGCCTTGAGCGTGTGGAAATGCGCCAGCTTGGCCTGCAGAGCACTCGTCATTTGCCGCGGAGACAGACTGAGATCGTCTGAAGCCTCCCACTCACCTGGAGTGATGCATCTACCTGGCCCTCCTTGTCCTTGTCTAAGCCCCATTCGTTGTCAGGAGGGCCACTGGGGAGCCTCCGAGGGAGGGGCGCGAGCGAAGAAAGACATGTGGCCGCAGCAGAGCGGGCCCTATCTTCGTAGACGCTCCGGACACCAGCTGTCCCTCTGTGGCCTGCCTCCGGTGTCATTCTTCTATGTCGCGTTTACTGTCCGTTGTTTGAAGTGCTTTTCGTGTTTGCCCTAGCTGATGACGCTTCGTTCGAAAATTGGGCTGGCCGATGGCGTCACCGCGCAGAGGAGATACAGAGGAACTCAAATAAACGTGCCCTACCTGGCACCCTTCCTTCATTCCGCCACCACCTGTATCGATCTTCACCTCTCTTTCCATCCACCTCGATAGCCCATCCATCAGCATGTCCTCTGCTCAGAATCTCCAGGACCAGGCAAGCCAGGCGGCTGCCGACGCTCAGAAGACGGCTTCCAATGCCGCAACCGAGGCGCAGAAGCAGGGCCAGGTGGGTAATTTCGAGGCAGGTCTGGCGTGATTCGCTTTCACTTACTCTTTTCTTTTGTTCTACAGAGTCTCTATGAACAGGGAACGAAGCTCGCCAGCGACACTCTCGCATACGCTCAGCAACAAGCGCAGGGCATCTTGGGTGGCGCTCAGAAGGGTGCTCAGGACGCTGGCAACCAAGCCTCTCAGGCTGTCGATCAAGCTTCCAAGGCTGCCGACCAGGCGGGCAAAGACGCCTCCAACATTGCCAACAGCGCTAGCAAAGAGGTGAGTCACCAGCACTCTCCTTTCTCTGAACCGAGCCCTGACGAGCCACCGCTTTATTTGTAGGGTTCTCAACAGGCTCAGCAAGCTCAGCAGTCGCTTGGCGACCTCGCTCAACAGGCTAGGGAGTTGGTCGGAAACGTACTAAACCAGGCCAATGAGTACATCAAGGTGAGGAGACAGCCTTGTGACCCTGCCGTTGTTGAACCGCTGCTCATTTCGAAAATGTTGTGCCCAGCCCCAAGAAGCCAGCGACCAGGCGCAGTCTTATGTTGACCAAGCCCGCAACACTGCCTCCAACGTCGTTGACCAGGCCGCCGGCATCATTAGCGGCGCTCAAAAGGATGCATCGAATGCTGCCTCGGACGTGTCCAAGCAAGCCGGCCAGGCTGCCGGCCAGGTTCAAGAACAGACCAATTCTGCTGCCGCTCAGGCCAAGGGAGCGGTCCAAGGCGCGACCGGGGCTGGCAAGTAAAGGGCGCAATGACGGTTCCGTCTGCGATACCCACCTTCTTTCTATTTCTCATCTCTTGATGTGCTAGGAGCGGATGTAGATGTCTTCAACCAGCCTCATGAAATTTGCAGCGCTTCCCAAATAACATCTTCAACAAGCCTCCTGAAATTTGCAACGCTTCCCAGATTTTGTTATTTTACGAAGTGTTGATTACTGTCACTTCGAGAGGATTTCTAGCATGGGCTTGAGATGTATTCTGCTTCAATGCCTGACTGCTTCAGCAAACGGTAAGAGGACCGAGGCGAAATGAAGAGCACTAGGCGTCTTTGAGGCCCAATGCATCTCTCGCGAACAACTTGAACGCCCTCGCGCGATGGCTCAGGGCGCTTTGCGCTCCGGGCGCCCAGCCATGTTTTTCTTCAGCGCTCAGCTCTCCAAATGTCTTTCCTTGGCATATCTCGTCGTCCGGTTGAAAGCAAGCATCGTATCCGAATCCATTGTTTCCCCTCGGCGGCCAGACAATATGTCCGTGAACTTCTCCTCGAAACTCCGTTGTCGTAGACCCATCAGGGTCAGCGAGGCTGAGGACGGCGACGAATTTTGCTCGGCGCTGCTCAGGCCTTATCAAGCCCTTGGCGTTGAGCTGATCATTGACGTCTTCCATCGCCTTTGCAAAATCTTTCGAAGGGCCTGCCCAGCGTGCCGAGTAGATGCCGGGCGCACCCTCGAGGCCATCGACGCAGAGACCCGAGTCGTCCGAGAGGCTCGCGACCTTGGCAACCCTAGCTGCTGCAAGCGATTTAATCTGGGCATTGGCTTCGAAAGTCGTTCCCGTCTCTTCGGGCTCCTCGAGGTTCGCATCTCCAGCAGAGAGCACCTGGAACCCGAGAGGATGAAGAAGCTGCCTGAATTCGCGAAGCTTGCCGGCGTTGTGGGTCGCGATGAGCAAAGGGCCGGGCGGGCTGACAAGTGCCGTCATCTTCGTCGTTCCCTCTATCCGATGGGGGGTAGAGAGTGACCAAAGCAAATGTTGCGCTGATTTACACTGAGCAGTCGTAACTGAAAAGGAAAAGAATCATCCCTTCATCATGATTAAAACCATTTAGTTTAAATCGTGCTAACGCGCTTGACAAGCAGTGCATCCCTTTTGACCGTGACGTTTTCGGCCCTCTGAGGCCGGCTGCAAAGAGCGGGCGCCGACTATGAGCTTCATATACAGTGCTCCTTATGGATCCGCCCTGACGACAGTAGGGAGGGCCTCGTCGGTCAGAAAGCTCATCCGCCGAGAGAGGGACTACGACGTGGGCTCACAAGATAATAACCGAGGAAGCAAAGAGCAGGCGGGCTACTGTATGAAGTTCTTCTTCTAAATGATCGCTTTACAAAGTCTGTAGCAAGCAGTGGCTAATCTCCAGCTCGTATATGTAAGCTACGTTGGCTCTTAGCCTCTGTCGGTAAGGGGTAGCATTCATCGAAGGTGACGGAGACGCCATCACACACGCACCTTGCACAATGTGAGCATTCTCACCGAATCATCTCTTCAAGCGACCCTAGGCTTGGAAAGACGGAGCAGGGGCAAGGAGCCTTTGGCAATTGGTTAGTGTGTGTGGTCCGCATTACTTTACATGTGGTGCTGCATAATGGACGTCATCGCTGGCTGCTTCACTTCGAGTTCCACGACTGTTCGGCCCGCGCTGCCCTTCTCGCGTCGACTTCGTTGAGAATACGCAGACCGCCGGGTAGACGAGCGATTCGGCGCACTTGCTCCTCTTGCTCACGAGTGAGATCCGATTCGGTACGGATGACTGTTCCAATGGACCTATGCAGACTTATTGTGAGCCCCGCTGCATGTATTCGTCGCCCTGAGGAGCACGACTCAGCCAACTCACATGAAGAAACTGTCCTCGGTCAAGTTAGACATAACTTCAATTAGCCTGTCGCTTCGGCAGCAAATCCCAGCCTGTCTTTCGACTTTACCCAAATGTAGCTCCAGAAGTTGCCATGTACTTTCCAAGCAGCCTCAGCGGTCCATCCGGTCCTGCCCCACCTCGAAGGACCTGGAGCGAACCACCGATGAACCCGATAGCTAGCCCTACTCCCGTGCCCATCGCGGCTCCCATCATCACTTGATATTTGACGAAGCGTCAGCATTTTGTTCTGCCCAAAGCATCGTTGGCTTACGTTTTTGAAAGATGGAAGGCTGCTGAGGCATCTGAATTGTCGACACAGTCGCCATAGCTGATCTAACTTTTCCGGGGGGATGGTAATCGTGCAAGCGAGGGAGCGAGGAAGCTGCTAGGAGGGAGAAGAACGGGACTCGGGAGTATTCTCAAGCTTTATTTGCGCGTCTGCATCTTCAATGTCTACACGCCAAACGCCACCATTGCCAAGTGTCCTGTCTGCTGAGTCGAGGGTGGGGAAAGAGAAGCGGCTCCAGCGAGACACGATCACCGAGCCCGCACGCCTCTTGATCGGCTATTCACAATGTCCAGAAGGGGTGCTCACACCTCGTTGCGCGGTCGAAGTTCGGCGAATTCAGCAGCAAGCGCCGGGCTCGCTCGACAAACCTCGTCGACAAACCCTGTCAATCGAGCTACGAGCGCCGGTGGAAGTGGTCTTCCTTTTGTCGGAGGAGCGGCTTCGATCACCAATGGTTCAAGATCAAAGCAGATGAACGACCCCAGCAGGCGTATCTCTGAATACTCGGTGAGCAGAAGAGGCAGCCACAGGTTGGAAGTACTTTCTGACCTATTTCTTCCTTCCATTAGTCGCCGGACGACAAGTGTCCACAATGCCGGACCGATCGCTTCTTGAACCCTAAGCTTCGGCTGCTCGTTTCACCCTGCTACCACAAGATGTGAGTTGCAAGCGTGTCGTCTACACTGCCATTGCTTCCGACCCCTGCTGACCATACGATGATGTCGAAACGTCAAGGTGTGAATCCTGCATCGATCGTATCTTCTCCCTTGGACCAGCTCCTTGTCCCGAATGCGGGAGAAACTGTCGAAAGAACCAATTCGGCGGTCAAAGATTTCAGGATCTAAACGTTGAACGCGAGGTCGACATTCGCTCGACGATTGGGAGACTATTCAACAAGCGAGAAGAAGACTTCGACGATCTAAAGGCGTACAATGATTATCTCGAGGAAGCAGAGAGTCTCAGTGGGTTGAATTGAATGCTTTACTGGATTTCTCGACGCTGACAGGTCTGAGAGCACACAGTGTTCAATCTCATCAATGATATCGATCTCCAAGAGACCAACGCCCGCATCGAAAGGTATGAACAGACGAATCGCAACAACATTGCTACCAACGTCAAATCTGCCGTCGCCGAATCGGAGGCCGCTCGAGTTCGGGAGGAAGAGGATAAGTCGGCTCGACAAGCCAAAGCTTCTCGTCGCCGTGAGCGAGAGGCGCGTGAGCGTGTCGAAAAGGAGCAGGAGGAGCGCGAACTCGTCGAAGCTTTAGCAGGCCGTGGTGGCCTTTCGGTCGAGAGTGTCATGCAAAGGCAGGGAGCAAATGCAAAAAGGAGAGAAGAAGCCAAAGAGCAAGAGGAAAGGGCAGAGGAGGAGGCCGAGAGGCGCAGAGAATTGGCTTCGGGCATCGTTAGGTCAGCTGCTCGAGGTCATGACAAGAGGAAAGCACAGGGAGAGGATGACGCAAGCTTGCCCATGTGGACGATTGAAATGGCCTACGACTTTGAAGGCCCTTTGGCCGCTCTCACAGATGCCAGCGGTCTTTTCGATGTGCGCACACAATCGCACCTGCGGACAACCAATGGTGCTATCGAGCTCGGCTACCTTGATCCATGGACTCGGCCTTCCTTTTCCGACATGGCAGATCACCTTCGCGCAGGAGGCTGGGACTCTGCCCAGGGCTGGAGCCGCTCTCTGCGCTCTGCCAGTGAAGTAATGGGACTCATGCCCCGGGCTTGAAGCCAATCAGTCAGAAGCCGACACACATGTATAATATCATATTCCACCAACACATTTGTCACTAGCCTTCGTCCTTGGCCCCAAGACGGGTCTTGCGAGCATACCTGGATGCTAGCTCCTTGTCAACATCTGCTTCGTCGCGCCGAACTTCATCGGCGAGAGCATCGTCTGCTTTAGATGCGTACAAGCCGGCCAAAAGGACGAGGTGGGAGAAGAGAAGGACTAGAGAAGACTCTGTGGTCGACGGAAACGTGTTCCAAGTCCATTCGATGGCGATGGGCAGAAGGATGCTGCAGCCAGCGTTAATTTTCCCGGAAGCAGATAATTGTCCAATGCGTGTGCGTAGCTCACCGAATGACATTGGGAAGCCTGGCCAGGTAGACGAGGATTGCCAACTGGTGCGCGTACCAAGAATAAAATTGATAGTGCAAGCTGCGGGCAAAGGCGATGCCGATGAGATTGCTAGTGAAAAGCGTTGTGACAATAGCTGCATAGTCACATAGTCAGTACCTTGCTCGAAAGCAGTCCCTCCTGCACCTGTGTTGCTTACCACGCGCACTAGGGGCCTTGACGCCTTTCGGAGTTCCATTGACGTGGCCCGTGAGCCATCTGAGACCATTGGAGCTGATACCCGTCCATCGGGTCGAGCACCACAGAGTGAGAAGGCCCAGGTGAAGCGAGAGGAGCCCAGCCGAAAAACGCTTGTCGAGAAACATCTTTTCATCGACGAATCGGAGGTTGACTGTCCACTTGTAGAGAAATTCTCGCGAAAGGTCGAATGCCGACGAGAGGTATGAACGAGGATCTCGCATAAGAAATGGCGCTGCTAGAAGGGCCTAATGGTTTGCTGCGCTTAGTATCTCGCCACAGGATAAAGATGTCCGCAACAATCTACTTCTCACCTGGACCGAGGCGACTACGATGCCTTCAACAAGGGACCTCCTGAGGCCCAAGGCGCGGTAGTAGATTGTGCACATGGCTGGCGCGAAAAGGAGGATATTCATCTTGACTCCTAGAGCCAAGCTGTAAAGAACGCTGGCAGAAGACCATTTCCGGCGGCACATGAGCCAAACACCGATGTAGAAGAAGAACATGGCCCAGCAATCGTTGAAGAGGCGCAGAACGTAGATGGAGTGAAGGCGTTTCGAAAAGACGAGGAGCGGTAGCACCACTGGCGGAATTCGAGCTTCTCGATAGATGGCCATTACGACAACCTCGGTGATCAGATAGAGAGTAAGGTAGGCCATTTGCGCCACCCGAATGTCTTCGCCTCCCCGAGTCAGCCGGAACAGCGCAGATGACAGGTAAAGATGAAGGGCAGGGTAGCTGGCACGAGCACCTCTTTGGTCAGGTGAATTCGTTGTGATCACAGACTTTCGCAAGCAAAAACTTACACGCAAGGACCAGTGTCACCGGAGATGAGATGATAAACTCTTTGTCCCTTTGCATAGATCGCGGCCTGCTGCATGTAAGTCGAAAAGTCGATTTCGGTATCTGCGGACGCAAGCGGTGGCCAATCAGCTCCTCAGGCCCCTGAAGTTCGCTACCAACTCACGTACACTTGACTGCTAAGACTATAATCAGGGTCAATACCGCGTCAATGACGAGTAAAAGCGTCGCAGGCACCCAGAAGAAGCGCTGCGTCCAAAGGGTTCGGGTAAGGATTCTCTTGAGCCAAGTCAATGGCATCTCATCGTCTTCCTCCGATAGAAATCTCCTGTAGCTTCCAGGTGTGTCGACAGTCAGAATCTCACGACCATCGCCATGGCGCTCTCTAACGCGCACTCCCGTGCCGGAGAGCGCTTGTGCTCGCGCCGTAGCCATCCTCGACGTTGTGAGGAGAGATCTCTTCCAGCTCGGTCAACACAGAATAAGCTTAAATCGATCTTGTCAGGCCACGTGTTCGAAGGACTGCCAAAGAAGCCAACCTCAGCGCTCTGGTTCGCGGAGGAAAAAAGAGCGCTTTGTGGGGGCCTATTATCGGGGTCTAGTCCATTTCATCGTCTCACGTCATAGGATGTATGGCAAAACCAGGGTCGAACAGTCTTTCTCCTCCGATGCGTGTAAATTGGGAGGAACAAATTCTTTTGACGAAGCATGGAAGAAGGAGAGCAACACGTCTCCTGTTTTCTCTCCACATTGCCTGCAAACGTTTGGTCCCGCCCACGACCCGCTATATTCTAAATCCATCCTCGTTGCGGTTCACTCGACAACGAACGGGCCTAGAGCCCCGCGATCCAGAATCATGACCCTCATCGACGCCCTCGCAGCGTTACAAGAAGGCGCCCTTCCCACTAATCAGCAGACGATCGCCTTTCTTAGAAGCCTAGCCCCTCCGCCTTCAGAGAGGGGCGATGGTACAAAACAGACCAGCCGTCTTGTCGGGGACCTGCAGACTGTCCTGGACGACCTCATAGTCCTGATCAAGGAACGTAATGGTGACGAAGAGCTTCAAGAATTTCTCTGGAGGACAGGCGGTGTGGCTGGACAAATTGGACAAGACGGCCTCAGAATTCGGTTCGGCAAAGATGAAGAAGCAAAGCGGAGGACAAAGGAGGACAAGAAAAAGAAGAAGACGAAGCCGTCCTTGAAGGAAAGAGCGCGCAAGACCGAAGCCACGATGAAGTCTAATGCAACCACGGCTGTTCACCACCTCCGGGCGCTAACCAAACTACTTGTCGTTCAACCCGAACTTCGTCACATCATCGCCGACTTCGGATATATGTTCGCAGAAGTGGTGGACAAGTCAACTGGGCAGTCGATTGCCGAAGCTCGCCAGGAATTTGGCCAGGTCAAGAGTACCACGGGAACCATGCAGAGCATCACTGACAGAGCTTTCGCCGCCTCCCAAGCGCAAAAAGTACAAACCCGAGACGTAGTCAGCAATTTGGGCAGTGCACCAGCAAAAGGAGAGGGCAGTAGTGGAGCAGCTAAGGCTGCAGACCTCGATGAAGGAGCCAAAGACGGTACCGTCGTGATGCAAAATCTCTCATCATTGCGCGAACAGCTTTCGGCCACACTGTCGGGACCCGAGATCTCCCTCGAAGCAATTCGCGACGAGCTCGCCAACGGACACTCTTTCCCTTCTTTACAACAACTTCGAACAGGGGCGTTGACCTCGGCCGGAAAAGCGGCGGTGGGCTGGCACGACGTTGAGAAAGTGCAACCAAGGGCAAACGATGATGCTCCTGTACCTTTTAGCGAGATTGAGAATGGGCTCATGCCAACAGATCTGGTCGATGCGGCACAGATGGTAGCAGTCGGAAGCAAGAGATTTCATTTGGCACCAGGCGCAACTCGAGATCTCGCACAGCAGTCCAGAGACAATGTCGTAAAGAATTTTAGCGAGGCATGGACCGAGGAGAGGCAGCGTCGGATGCTGAATCGACTCAAGAAGCTCTGCATCGACTGTCAGTCCAGCAAAGACTACAAAGAAGCCTTGGTGTGGTTCATCGACTGTATCGAGAAGCTCGCCACGACCATGGAGTCTAAAATGGAGATGCCGCACACGACCATGGACGTCGCTCTTAGCGAAGCTTCGGAGCCCTTGATCCAATTGCTCGAAAACGTGAGTTGATTCCCCGCTATGAGTTCCTACTGCTCGAATTGCATAGCCTCTCTTTTCTCTTCTGACTTTTCTAAACCAATTCAATAGTTCTCTAATGGCCAGTCGCTTCGCTCGATCCTACAGACGATTCGAGCGCTGTCCTTTGGGGCGAAGGAGGACCCCAACATTGCAGCATTCTGGAAGGATGCCGATGCTCATTTACGTCGATGTCTGCTCGAGGATGGCTACGTTTTGCTTGTGGAAGCCGAAAAAGGAACTCGAGATCTCATCGAACGATTCCGCACGCTTGAGCAGGACTACCGTCGCCGCATATCTCAGCTCGTTGGCGAAGTGAAGGCTTTTGTGGAGTCGATTCGCAACGACGTTCTGTTGCTCAAGGTCCTCAACGACATCAAACAAGTCAGCAAAGATCTCTTTGTGGGAAAAGATGGCAAGCTACTTCCCAGCAAGCAGCTGTGGTATGAGCTGAGAAGCGTCATTCTACCTGCGCTCCTCGAGAAATTTGGTATCTTACCGGTTCCACGCATCAAATACCTTCATCCCGACTTTGACATTGTCATCGAGAATGTCGCCTTGGAGCTTAAACACCTTTTGCCTAACATTCTCGACGTCAAGATGACCAACGATGTTCACTTCGACTTCGAAAAGATTAAGTCGTCGACACACGAGCATTCGCTCAAGATCAAGTTCAAGGGCATGTCGTTGCGTGTTCATCAATTGGCCTTCGCCCTCACATCGCGTCTCGGTTTCACCTTTCACGATCGAGGCATCGCTGACCTACTGGTGGCCAACTTTGGCCTGTCCATCTATCTCGACGTTCCCAAAGACCCCGGCCCCCACTATTTCATCGTGAGAAAGGTCAAGGTCAAGCTACCGACACTGCAGCTCAAGGTTCACAAAAGCAATCACCGGATCCTCCACGCCATGGCCGGCGCCTTGGCAAGCAGCTACCTGACGAAGCTCATTCGTGAGTGACACTCACTAACCTCGAGCCTTGCCCTTGTGCGGCCCACGCTCATCTAATTTCTCATTTGATCCTTCTCAAAGTTCGCCACTTCATCGCAGAGGGAGTAACCCTTGGCCTCAAACAACTCGACGTTCAGCTCATGGCTGCGCGCCTTAGCAAGGACGGTGAAGAGGGCAAACTTGACCTCGTCGAGGTCAGGCGCCAGCTAGCAGAGCTGCGCGACTTGCTAAAAAAGTACCACGAACAGGCCGGCACTCTGGAGATTGACTTCAAGGGCATCAAAGGCGCCGATATCAAGGGCGTGGGTAGGTCAATCGAGGAATCGCATGCCGTCAAGTGGGTAAAAAAGCAAGTGGACGAGACGGGACGCAAAGAAATCGTGAGGAACCAGTGGAGGAGCAATGCTTTCGACATCGAGGGTACAGACACGATTCACTCGCCGCCACCCGGGGCCAGCCAAGCTGCGAGAGAAGCCAAGAAGAAACCGGAGGGCAGCACGACTGAAACAACGGTTAGAAAGGCAGACAAAGAGCTGCAGGCAGTGGCGGCACAGGAGGAACCAAGGAGAGCGCAGCTGCAAGTGCCTCAATCAATGGACAGTGAAGTGGGGAAGATGGCGGTGAGGTCAAAAGATCGAAACGGCCAAATTGCAAAGCTAGAAGAGGCGACCGAAAGACACTAATCTTGTGACCCCTCAACCCTGTTGAGACCCTATAAATTGTGATGGACGGGTACGGACCACGAGTAATACAGACGACTTTATTGTAGCTAGCCAGCCTACAAGAGCGTCGTTGAAGGGTAGTCACAGAATACTGTCTCCGACTTTCTACTCGATGACCGCCAGCTGCTCTCTTCAAAACAAGGAGATCAACATTGCCATCACTGGTCAGGAACGTCAGACGTATTCGCCTGATTGAGAATACCACCTTGGTACCCTCCAGCACCGCTCTCTGTGCCGAGGGAACGGCCTGCAGTATCTAGGAGTTCCTCGGGGCGGCGATTGGCAGACGACACAATCGAGTTTTGAGCCTGCTGAGGGTTCGATGTGCCCGCAGAATTGCGGGCGAGGTTGCGAAGGTCGGCTAAAGTGCAGCGTCAGCACTGTCCCGCCTTCAAAGTTCGCCAGCTTAGGAACGCTGAATCACTCACGCTGGTGAGAAGCCCACTCCGAATTCTTACTGTCCTGCGCCTGCTCCCTCTGTTGGAAGCTTGGAGTGTCGCCCATGCCTTTTTCAAAGCCGGACTGCTGTCCAAAACCAAGCTCGCCGGCTCCCTGGGTTCCCTGGCCAGCGTCAATAGCAGGCAACAACTCGCCTTCTCGCGTCGCTTGAGCACGCTCGCGGCGAGCATCTTGTTCGGCTCCAATCTCGGTACCCAAAGCCTCCGAACCACCGATGGCAGCACCACCGTCCTTGTTGGGCCCAGCTCTACCGCCTGGCAAAGTTCTCGAATGCTTGTCCTTCTCGTACTCGGCTAGAGAGCTTGGTGCGGCTTCGGAGCGAGTCATCTTTGCGTTCTGTGTTTCTTATGGAGGGTGGGAAGATGGATCTCACGGTGGGAGTTGAAGACAAAGAAGGAATGAGCCGTGAACTTTTTCATTTCGCGAATGCGCTCACGCAGCGGTAGCTATCTCTGCTTCTCAGTGGCCCACATCTCGCGTCGATGTCATTAGCGTGGAGAAGGACCCTGCCCTTTCCTCCAGCTTGACGTAGGCAGGAAGAACGCAACCAAACTACCTACCGGTAATTTAAGAAAGTCTCCACGTGCAACAACGCGCGACAGCATCCAACACCCCTCCAGAAGCAAATGTCAACAGACGTGCTGTGTCACTTCGATCGCAGCAGTAGGATGCAGTGGTGTAGTACATTTATGTAGATATGGTGTAGCAATCCGATTAGTATAGAAACAGATTTTAGTAGTAGTACAAGCCGGGAGGGCAGAGAGAGAGGAAGAGAGAGGCCGATAGAATCGAGATAGATGACTTGACCCGAGATGTTCAACATGCTATAGTCTTTTCCTTTTACACCATCTCGCCTTCGCTTCCGTCCTTTCTCTTCTCCCTCCTCCCTCTCTCTCTTTCAGGCCAGGTGCCTTGCCGCTCTTTCATCGTGACCAGACACCCTTGAAGGGCAGGTCGACTTCATCAACCCGACGCCGCTGGTCGGCAGTCTTATCACTTTCTTTGACCGTCACTGCGAATCGTGGAAGTCACTTCAGCAATGCGTCTCCTTCCCCGTGCGACAGGCGATCTCACGTCTTTGGCAACTGGTTTGTCTCTCGTCATTGCCAACTACAAGCCCACACCACAGCTACCCACCGCCAATGACACAGGTTCGTCTGGGTCACAAGAGTTGCTACCATCGTCGCAGGGCAATCATTTCCAGGTGCAGACACCTCAGATGATGGCTTCGCAGCCTCAACGGCCAGAGGACGAGTGGGGCTTGCCCTCGGTGCTCTACGTACCCCAAACGTCAAAGGTCGACACCGAGACAAGCGGTGCAAGCTCCTTCGCAGCGAATGGAAAGACCGTAGGTGCGGGCAATTGTCCAGTCCAAAGCGCCTACACACCCCAAGGTGGTTGGGACAAGCTGCCGCCGCCCGTCTACCCAGCCTTTGACCCCGTCATGGCCAATGTCTACCGATATCGTCAGCAGCAAGGCGTGGACTTGGGTGCTTGGTGAGCAAGCAAGACATGGTCATAACATATCTCCCGAAGAAAAGGCGCTGATCCTGCTTCTCTCTAAGGTTTGTCCAAGAGGCATGGATGTCTGGGTCTCTCTTTTCGTGCGCGACTGGCGGCAAGTCGGCAGAATACGACGTTCTCGATGGTTTTGGCCAGAGCCAGCAGGGCGTTAGCAGCGCCAAGGCATTCATGGAAAAGCACTGGGTGAGTGGGTGTTATCGGCAAATGCAATTGGCCCTTCTGAATCTTGATATTTCACCTCTCAACAGGACACTTGGATCACGGAGGCCGACTTTCAGAAGATGGCTGGCATGGGCATCAATACGGTCAGGCTACCCATCGGCTATTGGTCCGCCGGGCCTTACTTCACTCACGATTCTCCCTTCTCGGCCTACTCCAACGTGTACGAGTACTCTTGGCGCTACGTGGCCAGGGCCATCAATTGGGCAGCCAAGTACAACATCGGCGTCCTCGTGGATCTGCACGCCGCCTATGGTTCTCAGAACGGCCAAGCTCATTCCGGTTTGAGCGACGGCAACATCGAGTTTTACAACGACTTCAACATGAACCTCACCACCGAACTGCTTGTTTGGCTTGCCCATGAGATCTCAAACGTAACCAATGTTGTCGGTATTCAGCTGCTCAACGAACCCCAAGACCGCACGAGTCTCTGGCCTTGGTACACAAAGACCATGGACGCCATGCGCAACGCATCCGACAGCTCCGCAACGGTGCCCCTCTACTTTCATGACGCCTTCAACCTCAACAAGGGGGCCTCTTTTGTCTCGAAGCGATCCGACTTTGTCGTTCAGGACCACCATTCCTACTACGTCTATACGGCTGCAGACACCAAGCTCTCGGCCAAGGGGCATACGAAGGCCATCAATGGCCAAATTCAGCAGTGGATGGCCACCGAGTCGGATGTCGCCAGGCGCAACCTGGTCGTTGGCGAGTGGTCGTGCGCGCTGAATCCAGCCTCGCTTACCAAATCCACCAACAAGAGCAAGGACCAGAGGGACTTCTGCAACGCACAGCTCGACGTTTATGGTGATACGGCATCTGGCTTCATGTTCTGGAGCTGGAAAATGGAGAATTGTCAAGACAACGGCGGCTGGTGCTTTCAACAAGCTGCTGGTAACTCTTTGCCGAGCACATTTGACTCGTGGGGCCTCGAAAACGTCACGGCAAAGTTTTTTGCCGTTTCGAATGCCTCTACTCAAACCAACGTAGATGTCTTGACGAGGATCGAACAGATTGCACTTCCAGCACAAAACGGCGCAAAGAACGTCACTTCGACCTTGGCCAATGTCACCAATCATGCAATTATCGCAGCTCAAGATCACGGCGCTCGGATCGGCATGGTGGAAAAGCCGTTGGTGGGCCAACGGCGAGGAGCAGATCGGCAATCGTTCTGGCAGGCTGGAGGAAGCTATGCCAGTCGAGCTCGCCTCGCGGTGACTTCGCCAAAGAGGGATGCGGCGACGAAGGCAATGCCTGCGAACTCGGCGACATCAGCGGCATCCGCAGCTTCCGCAGCTGGATTCAATGACGGCTTCAAGTCGGCTCGCTTTTTCGCCGCCAAGGGCAATCTTTCACGTCTGGGCTTCGCTCAACAATACATGACGGACTCGTGGGCCGCCCGACTGAGCAACTCGCAATCCAAACTTTCGCTGCAAGCAAACAATTCTGACCAATATCTCGCTCAGTTTAAAGCGGGACTGCTCGCAGCCGAAGCCGAAATTGCCAGGGCCATCCTGACAACTTAGTGGACGCCCCGTTCGTATGATGTAATGTAGATTGACCTTCCATCGAACAGCATCGTCTTGCTTGCCACTCTCGCTCGCCTATCATTGCTGGTGATGCGTTCGAGATCTTATAGAATACTGACGTCGGCCAACACACGGCCTTCCTTTTGAAGCTTCATGGTGCCTTCCCAAAATGCCCGCGGCGTTGCGCCAAGACGTTCACACTGTCGTGAGCCGCACTTCTTGCTTAGGATAGAAAATACCGATAAACAAGAGTGGCAAAAGAATGTGGAGGCTGAGGGACATTTTAAGCTCCTGACACGTGACGGTTGGACGCATTAAGGAGGCCCGAGGCGACACGCCGGCATGACCTGAACACGTTCACTCGGGGCTGTCAACACTCTTCACTCCCTCTTATCGCCATCGTCGCCACCACCCTCTATACGCAACCATAGCGGCGACACGAGATTTATTTCAAGTCAGATCGCCCCCCTCATACCCTTCTGTGCGGCATCGTGTCTGCTCAGCGACCTTTCGAGATCTCCGCTCAACCGCGTTCTCCATCACTAGGCCTTCTTTCTCCTCGCAGAAGATGGGGGGCATAGATGGCCTCATACCGCTGCACTCCCCATTACGGAATCATCTACTGGGACAATACTTTCTCGTTTCCATCTTTGTGCTGCACTCGACCTACCATGGGCTGGCAAATACCGTCTTCTTCGGCAGCGACCCAGCGCAGCTCAAGAAGCGAGCATGGATCCTGACCACGGTCAACGCCCTCGTCATGACGCTCGCCAGCCTCCCCTTCCTCGTTGAACTTCTGTACTCGGGATTCGATCTGCATGCAGTAAAGCCAAGGACGGAGGACATTGTAGAACCGATGAGCTGTTTCTTCGTAGCTTATCTCTTGAGGTGAGAACGGCAATTTATTCGGAGGGCAGAGCGTTTCGTCACTCATCACCTTACCTCATAGCGACCTGGGCTTGGGCTCAGTCTACTACCGCAAGCTCATCAATCTGTCTAGCGGGTGGATTCATCATTCGGCTTACACCATCCTCTTTGCTTACTGGCTCCACAAAGGATGGGGTCATATCGCTGTCATGGCCTGCATCTTCGAGGTGAGCATATGCGTGCCACACTTTGACAATTTGCATACTGAATCAGGGTATGACGATTTCCAGCTTCCCACCTTTGTGATGGGAATCGCATCGCTTCATGCACCACTTCGCTCAAACGCCCTTTTTACCGGCACATTCTTCCTAACCCGCGTCTTTTTCCACTTTGGATTACTATGCGCCACCGTGACGCCTCACGGTCGCTCAACGCCAACCATCGACGGGAGCTGGGGACCAGCCATTTCCGTTCTAGCCACCTACCCTATGCACATATGGTGGGGTTACAAGTGTGTCATGTCTGTTCAGCGAAGGATGCGCAAGCGTAAGGCCGAAGCTCGACGGCAGCGAGAAGCGCAAAAAATCGCAGACAAGGAGGGCGTATCTTATTTCTTCAGTGGCGCGGGTCAACTCCTCAACGGCCTCCCTGCTCCAGACACGAGCAGCGCCCTCAATACACCAGCGACGACGCCAGGAGCCAGCCCGACTGGAGAGCGCCAGGCCCTCTTCAGCTCGGCTCTACAGCGCGTCGCTGGTACAAGTCGTGCGCCCATCAATCTCTTCATCGGGCGCCGAATCGCGAAGGAGCCGAGATCTGCAAGTGGCGTCGCCGATGTGAAATCGACTTTCACCTTGTCCACCACAACGCCAGGTATGCGTGGTGCAGGAGGAAAGCCGGCGCAAATTCGTGCAACTCAGATGGCATCACGGCAACCGTTTACTGCCCCTGTGCCACCCCAAGGAGCGACCGATGCGGATCGCGAACCATTTTTGGCCATCAGGTCGCCTGCCGAAGCACAAGACCGGGCTCGACGATTGGTGGCCGATGCCATCCGTAAGGCTTGGTCTTCAGCCCCCGAAGCATGGCGACGCCAATTTGAAGCCGAGATGGGCGACGAGGCGATTCCTTCGCGCGCTCGCGCTGCCATGACTGGTCGTCGAAGGTCTGGCGATAGCACAGCCACTTCGGCGTCTGAGACTGATAGTGAGAGCCTCACCGCCGAGGAGAAGTCGAGGATGCAGCGAGGCAAGGCGGCAGCAAGGCGCGCATTCTTTCGCGCTCTCCGCCGAGCCATCCACGGCCGTCTTCCTGGCGATGATGAGGAGGTTGCCAGCCAGGGCATCACGGGAGCTAAGGATCGAAGGATCTTAGAGGCCATTCTCAAGCTTAGCGGTCTTCCCTTGCCCCCGGACCTCGTTGGGCAAGATTATGCTGTGCGCGAATTCCCTGTGGAAAGAGACGTTGCAGGAGGCAGAAGGAAGCGCATTGTCGGTCAGATCCGAAGGAGGATGGAAGTGGCACGCAGAGAGATTGTTGTCGTATAACGAGAGAGGGACGGGCGGTGTATACCCACTGACACTGATTTCCATTACCAATTCATCTTGTGAAGGTCTTATTCTGTGATTGTGATCTCCCCTGTACTGATCGATCAATCAATTGCTACGCTTCGACTCGCCCTTCCTCCCAATTACAAGACGTCATCTGGCTCCTTGTGATTGGCGGCGTCATCGTCGCATGGTGCAGGAATGGGCGACGCTGGATCGACGTGAGGCAATTGAAGAACTCCGATGTTGTAGTATCGAGGATGTCCATCGAAAAATTGCTGTGGAGAATTTTCATCGGGGTCAACTTAACGAGCGGATGTGCCTTTTATATCGAGGACTCACCTTCCACGAAGCGATGGACTTGACAAGAGATGGGTTGCTCGTCATAAGTATACAATGGCGTGTTTGCATCATCAGACTTCTCACCAAGACATCTTGCTGACTCAAGCCCCTCAGATCGTGCGTCAAATGGGTCTCAAAACAACCTGTGACAAACGCCCGACTGGCATCACGACCGGCAAAGAAGCTGTAGGAACCTCCAGGTCCATAGATTTGCCGTCCCGCCGAGACGTCGTAGACCCTGCCCAGGATAGAGAGCTGTTGGTCTTCTACTGAGCTCGTGCACTTATCCCACATCTAGACATTACTTGCACTCACATAAATGGGCTTGTCTGGCGATGAGCCGTCGTACTGCTTGAGCTCTTCGGGCGTGAAGACTCTATGGTCGGGCTGGATTGAAGCGCTGTGTCAACAATCTCACGTCCTCTACCTTGCGCCGCTATCTAAGCTCGTATGCTCACAGGAAAGTAGGTTGCCTTCTTCACGTATCTTCCTCTGTAACCCCAAAGAATGTCGCCGGCGATGAATTGGCCTACACCTAGAGCGAAGAAGATGGAAAAAAGAGTCCACTTCAAAATCAAATATGTGATCTTAGCTCTTGGCTTCCTCGGCTCATTTGAGACGGTGCCTGACTTGGCAAGTCGTGGGTCCGACATGACGTCCTGTACGAGTCTGGATGCATCTAATCGAAGACGACTCTCGCTTTCCTGCTGTGTTCCGTGTCTCTGCCTGACCATTCTGGGGGTGTTTGATGGTCGAGGTAGACAGCAGGTATTTGTTTGAAGCTAATCTCCGACTTTGCATGCGCTCAGACTACTACTACCACTACTCTACACTACACTACTGTAGAGTAGACAAATTAGTCTCAAAACCCAATGAAACAAGGTTGCTTGCGTGCACTCACTGACACGTTGCCGGTGAGCGCATGCAGCCTTCAAAAATTTCGCTTCGGCGCTTTTTTGGCTCCAACCACCAGCGTGGCCAGCAACAACTACAACAATACCAACAACAACAGGGATATGTGGCAACAGCCTGTGCATGACGTGCTGGTTCTTGCAGGCTAGGCTAGCTAGCCCTTGGAAAGATCGTTGTCGCAGAGGATGCTAGAAGTGGTAGTAATGTACTGTATATACTGTACAGTGTATGCAACGCGCTGGTCGAGAGATAGCTGGTTAGCTCAAGCTAGGGCGAGCGTGCCTTGATTACGTTCTGGATCGCCCAGCCTGATGACCCTTGCGCCGGGTGCATTGTTGGCATTGGTCATGTTTTGTGGCGTGATGAGGATGTACTGGATTGCGTTGGCAAGTGAGGCTTCCTTCATCATCATGCTCATGGCAATCTTACGGTTAACTGCGTCCATGAAGACATCGAATTCGTCGAGGCAGCGAATTGGACAGCCCACCGATTCCCACAATGCCAAGAGCAGGCAGATGGTCGAGAAAGACTTTTCGCCGCCCGAGAGGGCTCGCGTGTCCTTGAGACGGCTTTTGGTGAAGGCGTCGGCCGTTTGAACCTTTGTGGAACGAGGTAATGTGAGCGCAGGACTCCAGAGTCAGAATGACAGGCCTTCGCTCCGCACTCACCTTGACGACAAGCTTCTTGCTTTGGTGATCAATTTCCAATCCGCCTGAATAGCCGCGTTGACCGAGAAAGTGATTGAACTGCGTCTTGGCCCTCGTCGCGATGCTTTTGCGGAACGTGATCCACCGCTCGGAGCGCACTTGCATTGACTCATGCAGAACTTTAATCGCCTTGTCAAAATCTCCAACTTCTCCCTGAGCCTTCAAATAAGCAGCAGTTGCAGCCATGGCTTCGATCCTTGCTTGCTCGACCGAAATACCACTTTGCTGCTCGGCTCGGACGATCTGCAGCCCGACGGCGCGTACTTCCTGTGATCAAGAGTGTGTTGGTGCCTTCCTCTAGATTGAATGGCACCGAACCACTCACCATTGCGTACTCTGCTGAGGACCTCTGTGGCTGCACACGATCGCAGAATACCTCCGCGCTTCTTGTTTCCTCATTCACTCGCTGCTCCTTTCCTCTCTGGACGACTTCGAGCTCTTCCAGAATGCGGCGATTCTTTACAAGCTCGTTGGTGTAGTGAACAACGTGGCTGCTCAGCGTAGTACGCTTCTCTGCCCACATAGAAAGCTCATCCTGGATTCATGCATTGCAGTGCATTCAGTCCACCACGTCTTGGTGAAAGAAAGACGCACGACACTCACCTTAAGCCTCGCCTTCTCCTCGTCACCTGTCGCCAGACTTTCCTTGATCTCGTCCCGCCGCTCCTCCAGTGGCTTGGACTTTTCTGCTTCTTGTTCGTACCTCTCGCTCAATTTATTGAATATTTCGTCCATTTCAGCCAACACCTCTTGAGCTTCCTGCGAGGACGATTTAGGTAAGTATGAGGTGATGCATCACAAGACTGTCGAAGAAGAAAGAGACCGACCTTCTTGGCAAGCTCGAGAGCAGACACGCTAGTGGACTCGCCCTCGTGGATCTGCTCATCGATTCGCTCCATCTCGTTTGTCTTGCTGTGCCCGAGCTTGATGATAGCGGGGATGGAAAGCTAGAGAAATGTCCCTCAGGAAGTGAGCCTCTTGACAGCCAACGAGATTGCAAGAGGATCGTACAGTACCTTGATCTTTTTCCGCTCTTCCTCCAGACTCCTTCTTTTGGCGTCCAAGGTCCGGGTCTCTGCAAAAGCTTCTTGCAGCTCCTTCTCAATCAGGTTGCGCCTTTCCAGAGTTTCAGCGATTTTGTCGTCGACGTTGCTCGACAGTCGAGGGGCTCCTTGATATCGATTGAGCGTCTGAGAGTGACTGCCAGTGTTGCCTCCGTCGACTCGGAAGAAGTCGAGAGTGAAGCAGACCCTGACATTAGCTGGATTGCTTCGCATGAGGGCATCGCCATCTTCGCGTTTAGAAACAATGGCACATCGTTCGATATGCATATTGTTGATGAGCTGCCGTTTCACGAAGGCGTCGTCAAAATCTAGCACGCGCAGAATTGTGTCGATTCCGCCATCTGGCTCGCCGGCGGACCAGTCGAAGGCTTCGTCGCTTCCCATCAAGACGGGGACATGGCCACAGTCCGATCGCCGTCGCAAATCCTCAAGCACGGCTCGGTCCTGGTGGTTGGTGACGCAAAATGCGCTGAGCGTGTTGCCTATGACGCTTTCGAGCAGAGGGCCAAAGCTGATGTCTTTCAGCTTGATGTGGCTCCCGACAGGCCCTACCGGCTCCTTCTTCCAGCCTTTGTACTGCTTGATCATCCAGATCAGCTTGGGAATGTTTGCACCATATGCGCTGAGCCGATTAGCTTTGCTGGCGCGGAGCTGGCTGAGCAAAGCATCGAGCTGGGCCAAATTGGTCTGCAGCTCTTCCTGGCGAAGGTGGATCGTGTTTAATGTCTCGCCAAGTGTGCTGACTTGTGTATTAAGGTCCTCAACTTGGTCACGCGCTTCCCTTTCCTTCCTTGCTATGTCTTTGCAATCCATTTGCAGCTTCTTACGCTCTTGGTTGAGCCTTTCGCGTCTCTCGCCATCGGCGCCCTTTCTCATCTCTTCGTCAATGCGCCCCTGCAAATCGGTCATTTCGCCCTTTTTGCGTCGATACTGCTCGTTCAGCAACTCTTGCTCCTTTTTGAATTCCCTCTTCGCCGCTGCCGCAGCTTTTGTCCGGACCGTAATCTGGGACAATTCTTGCTGAAGCGGGTCGTTGCGGTCTATGATGCTCTCAAGCCTCCCCTCCGTCTGGGTGACCCCTTCCTCGGCCTTCTGGCAATCGATCTCGCTTCTCCGCAGCGCTTCTGTAATCTTGTCGCACTTTACCTTCCTCTGTTCCACCTTCTCGGCAGCACGAGCCAGTGACTGTTGCGAGACGAGCAGATGAGCGAGCTGATCCGAATGGTACTTGTCTCTGTCTTCGTCCCCGAAAGGCTGTCCCCTCTTCGGACTCACTTCTTCCTCGTCTGCCACTTGTGCCCACACCAAGAGGCCTTTGAGAGAGCGTAACTTGCTGTGCTGCTGCGTCGCTTTATCCAGCATCTCGTACCGAGTCGCGCTATCCCGAGCCCGAGCTTCGAGTTCGGGAAGAAGTTCGCGCTTACGTTGGACGACCTTTGACATCCTATCAACATTGCTCTTGATGATGTCGTGCTCCTGACTCAGTTGTGTGAGCTGTGTACCGCGAAGGAAGAAAGAGTATTTCTCCCTTGCGTCGGACGAACCAAGAAATTGGCGTGACGCATCTTGGCTAAGGACATTTAGAGGATTGTCAACCTGAATGTGGCAGTGATCACAAATGGCATCTAGTTCCTCTCGCTTGTTGGAAATGGCATTGCCGTTTGCGCTTTTCGTCTTCCACGACCCGCCGCCGTCTGCGTGGAGGCGCCTTTCGATGACGATCTTGTCTCCATACGTCTCATACTTGAAAGCATCCTGCCCCCGATTCCGGATAGTCAAAATGATGACGGCGCTAGATCTGCCTTCTTTGACAAAGCTCTTGAGGCTGCTTCCCCGCGAGGTCGCAACGGCTTTGCCCCCAAGGGCAAGCGTGATGCCCGTCAGGATGGCACTCTTTCCGCCTCAAAGAAAGAAGTTCCGGCACAGGGCATCAGCCTCTGTCAATCGAGACGCCCAAGCGGGCTAACTTTTATATCTTGACTCACTTCCATTATGGCCAATGATAAAGTTAACCTTTGGGCCAAGAGAAACGGTGAGATGGCCGTGACACATGAAGTTGATCAATTCGAGCTTCTCTAGCACACCGCTTTCGCCGACAGACTTGTGACATGGGCCAGGTCAGTCAAGGTGTCTGAGGCACTGGAAACGTCGCTGCTTACCGCATCGTTCCCTCTATTAAAACCATCCTCGTCTTCTTCGAGCTCGTCCATATCGCTGCATAGGCCCGTGTCTACCACTTGGTCCTCGACGGAGCCGCCCCTACTGTCTTCAGCTTCTGGTGAATCGTCGGCGTTCAACTTTGGATCGCTTGGGTCTTCTGCCATCGATTCTTGGGAGCTCTCAAAGGCATTATTGCTGTTTTGTAGCTGTTCCCTTCGCCAATCGCTCTGTGCTTCGGCCCTCTGCGCATCAGAGGAGTCAGAGGCGAGGACCGGCAAAGATTGCCGCCGGTCTTTGTTGCCATCGTCCAAAGATTCGGCGCTCGCGCGCTGGTAATATGCCTCTTGGTCACCATGCTGGAGCGTGACATCATCAAGGTGGCGTGCAGTGCCGTCGCTGCTTGTATACGAGTGGCTTTCATCGTCCTCAACTTTCGGGCGTTTCTAGTTCCAAGGCAGTTAGGAATTTCAACAAGACTTTAAAAGCAACTCCTGTTACTGTCACTCACCTGCGGAGAAGTGTGCTCGTGAAGGCTGACGTCTTCCCTCTCCTCCTCGGTCTGCGAATTACTGTCACTCTCGGTCCCCTTGTGCATCAGGTCTGGGTCCTTTCTTTTTAGATGTATCGACATGTCAGGAGCCAAAAGCGCAGTCAGGCCCGCGCGCGCACCTTCTTGACGTGGGGCTGCTTGTTCCTGCCTTTTGTGCTTCGTGACCAATCAGCAGATTGTACCAGAACTTCTGAAGCGCACTTGACGTTTTTCAATGATGTAAAGTGTGGACGTGTGCGACGGAATGAGCTGGCCAGGAGAAGGGAGGGGAGGAGGGAGGGGGCGGGGCGGGGAAAAGACAGAGAGGTGTTGGTTGGTTTTGGAGACAGAAACGCGACGCCAGAAGTATTTGTCACGTGTTGTACTCGTTATCGTATATACGGGATTCTCGGGCTGACAAGGTACCGGCGTCGCCATTAGATGCATGGTGGTGGACTAGGCCGAATGTTATTTTAGGTAAGAAGGGCACTTACGCTTTTCTGCGAAAAGAATCGTACGAGCAGGGCGAAAGCAGCGCACGGTGATGACAGCGCGAGCCGTAGGCGACCTGCGTCGGTACTGTTTCGATATGAAACGACTTTTCTTGACAAGCAGAGCTTGTATTCACCTTTTAATATCAATGGTAACAAGGGACTGTAAAGTGTCATGTAGATGGTCGGAAATGAATGCATTGCGATGATGAAACAATAGTACAGGACGACAAATGAACACATTAATAGGACAGGCGGAAGAGCGTGAACGTGGGCGCAGATACGAAGATGTGAGCCGATGTGAGCCGATGCAACCTTCAATGAGGCAACACCGACTACCATCGGACGTAGGTGTGCGAATGTTGCGAATTATGATCGAGAGACACGAGCGTGTGCTGGGACTGGTCAGAGCGCAAGTCCGGGTCCCTGCTGTGCTCGCCTGTTTGGTCGCAGGAAGATATAGGTGGATGGGAACGCAGGGCATGCGGACGAAAAATCTCGGGGCATTCTGTAACCGAGGTCTGCGTCTCTCCCGAAAGTCGATGATCAATCGTGCCGACATCCTGAGTCGGACCAACCACATCGTCAATCTTGCCGACGCTTCTTTGTGAACGGGAAAAGCCAGAATATGGAAGATGTTGTTGACGACCTAGAGTCAAAGGCGAGCGGGATCGAGAGCTGAACGAGGAAGGCAAGAGTACCCCAGGCACCATGCTTTGGCCTCTTGTATCCGCCGAGTCATGAAGAGGACCTGCTGCAGGTGGAGGTATGGCCATGCTTTGAAGTCCACTGCTCCCGTCGGATGCTGAATAAACATCTTCGAAATCCGCTTTCGGGATTTTCGCAGCCTCGTCCTCCTTACGTGCTTCGGATCTACTCTGTTCAAGGGCCTCCTCGCCTGCGTACGAGGCGCCATCGAGAGTACCGGGTAGGCTCAGGGTGGAGCCTTGAGGTGCAGTCTTCGGTCGTCGTCTTTTTCGAGGAGCTGGGGTTAAAGATCCTGTGACTCTCTGACTGCCACCGAGTCCATTGTTGCTACTCATCCAGCTCGAGGGAGGATGCGAAAGACCGTGTGCTGATTTGGGATTGCGAGAATCGACTTGGCGGAGCGGCGAAGTTCGAACAATGAAATTGGGTAGATCAAAGAGATTGTGCAGCCGGGCCGTCGAAAGAGGCAATCCTAGGCTCTCACGAGCCTCGATGAAGACGATAGGTAGGTGAAGTTCTTCGAAAATCTTTAAGACGATGATCAGCTCCTTGCACACCCACCCGAATTCACTGGAGAGCCACTCACATCCTCCCCGAGACCTTCGGCTAGCTCTCGACGCATGTGTCTGTGGAAGTCTTCCTCGAGCCTTTCCATGGCCACGCCAAGATACTCTGTTTCCCGCGAGTCACCGGCCATTGCACTCGAAGGACCAGGAGGAGGGCCGATGGAGAGAAATGGGTTCCGAATCCGGCGAGCGATGATCTCGCTTGCCCTTGCTTTCAGCACGCCTTCCTCGCCGCTCCTGACTGACGCTTGATCGGCATCGATTGGTGAGCATTGCTCTTTCACGTATTCGCAAACAAGCTTGACTCGGGCTGTGACCTGCTGAGGCGAATATCCGAGCGGTGGTGGTCCAAGTTTCTCGAGCACTGTGGCCGGTGGGGACGGAACTCGCTCTCCAGGTGAGCCACGAAATTCGTTGACCATGAAGGCCACCTTGGTGGCCGACTGTGAATCAACGCGCGATCCTAGTGTGTCGACGCCGGTGCTTGGCCTGCCAGCTTTTTTGTGATGGGAAGAAAGGGGCAGACGCCAACGCGAATTTACTGCCTCAACTTTCTCCGCCCTCTCGGGGTCATGACTGCCGTCATTTGTGGCAAAGACTGCCGCGGTATCTCTGTTTGTAATGCCGTCTCGATACGTCTGGCGGCTGACCGTGGTGGGGAGAGCGGCAAACGCATCTCGCAAGGAAGACGTAGAGAGGGCACGCGCACGGTGGCGTTCGCTTCGTTGGCCGACATCGACTGAAGGCTGACTCCGACTCCCGCGCCTCTCGCCGGCGCCACAGCCAACGTCGTCGTTTTCCGTGATGATTGTTTGCCCGGCGCTGCTATCGCCGCCGACATCGGCATTGTTGTCGGCATCAGCATTGCGCATGACAATCGCTTCGGGCTGGGCATGCTTGCGGAGCGCAACCTTCGTTCGCGAATGACGACCCCCGAGACTACTCAGGTTTGGCTCAGAATAATCGTTGACGTTCGAGCTGGCTTCTTGCTGAACGCTGGACAAAGACGAAGAACTGCGATTACCAAAGCCCAATTGGCCTGACAGACGAGACTTGCTCGTGGATCGTGGGATGCTTCCCGTTAGTAATCGTTGACTCGCTTTACGTAGCAAACCACCAAGTTCGGGCGAGGAGCAGGACTCTGAGGTTGGCACGGGCGCCTCGATACCTGGCTTCTGTCTTTGATGATCGACTCTCCACTCTACAATCTGCTCGGCTGCGTCGCCTTGAGGAATGACGCGGCCACCAGTACCGGGAATGGTTCTCGCCATATTTCCAGGCTGAAAGGGGCCATGGGTGGGCACTGACAAAGGTGAAGAAGGATCGCGCACATTGTCGCTAGCCATTCTTGTTGTGGGCATGATCGCTTCCTCTTGCACATCCCTCTGTATCGACGGGAGGATCGTCTTTACTGGAGTAGCCGCCGAGGGCGCAGATGATGAGATCATTTCTGCACTTGGCTTCAATGAAGTGCGGCCATTGGACTGAAGGAGTCGGAGCGGAGTGGGACGATTTTGCTGCAGCCTAGATAGGGTGGCTTGTGGTGCGTCTTTATAGCCGGGACGGGAGCGCGTCGATGCTTGTTCCGCGCTGCTAGAGGTCTCCACACGGGGCTCTGAAGACCAACCAGCCTGAGCAAACCGTTCTAGATCGACACCGTCAGGGTCAAATGCGGCGTGAGTCGCTTGACGCGTCCCTTCGCGGGGATCCGTACCTGCTCTTGCCCGCCCGCCGATGAGATATACGTTGTTATCATCATCATCGCACTTTGTCCTGGCTACCGACAGAGAAGAAAAGGGCTTTGAGGAGGACGTACAGTCGGCTGTGACGATGGCAATGCTCCTGCTCCTTGGACAACTCTCGTTGGCTTTGGGCTTGAACGACCTTGACGTCTTCGTCTCTGAGGTGTTGTCGCCACTGCCCACGGTGCCGCCACTGCCGCGCAGCCGTGTGAGAAGACCCATCGCATAGCAGTGCTTCCACCAGGGTTGCGCTCTTCTGCACTCTTCTATTCGATGGTTGGCTGCGACAAGGCAGGTGTCATGCAATGGTTGTCGTCATGGGCAACCGATATTGGCAGACGGAGGGCTGTACAGGGGTCCTGCCGGGATGGACGTCAATGAGGCAAGTGGTCGTCGCTGCGCACTCTGCTCATCGCTGCACAGCTATTGCTTGTTCGAAATCTAAAACAAGTGCTTTGCTTGACTTTGCTTGACTTCGAATTTCTATGCGCATGAGTAGCAGCGAAGAAGTTTTGGTAATGTGTGTAGGAGAAGCACTTAGCGGGAGATAGTACGTGTAATTATATTGTACTGTGCTACTCGATTTCCTTAAACCTACGTCCTCGTACAGCCAGCAGTAGCGTAGCTTTTAGTGGATTCATGCTCATGCATATCAATCGTACGTACCGGCGTGTTATTCACGAGGCGGCAAAGTCACTGTACTGAATGTTCTGGTAATAATCGAGAGCTTCGCGATCCTGCGACAACTCATTCGGCTGTCGGCCGGCGGTCTTTCTTTTTGAAAGCCACAAGAGTAAAACTTCAGACTAGCAGCAGGTTGGATGGTCATCAAGGGATGAGAATAGCGTGCGTGTTAGGAGCTGTAGTCGAGTGGACATGTGTCTTCCTGTCCTGATCCGAGCGTCACACTGTGACGACGTGTGGGCTGGTACCGTGAGCGAGGAGCCGACCAAGAGCGGGGAGGTCTTCAATCGTCGGCACTGGCTTCACATTGCTTTGATCTTGTGCTATTATTTGCGACCTTAGCGTTACCAGCTTTTTGTTCATGAGCGAGGAAGGAGTTATGTCATGCCGGACATGACGATCTGAGGGAAAGTTTTGAAGAGGGAGACCGTGAGCAGTTCAGAATTGCGAGGACGACGTCGTTTTCTTCTCCGTAGAAGAAGTCGATTCGCGATGCGGAAATCCGCGCCGGCGGATCCTTGATATCGCATTAATGATATCCACTACATATACTACCACTAATAACACTATTACCACTTTTCGAGACCGCTTCAATACCGTACCTTCCTTACCGATACGTACTACTGCTACTAGTTCTACTATTGGTAGTCTGCACAATCTGAGCTACCTACTAAAAACGTGCGATAGGCATTGCGGAATATATATTGTCAAGAACAGCTATCGACACCTTGTATGTCGCAGTTTTTGGTATTCTTAAGATCGGCAGAATTCTTGTATTCATTCGGAACAAATTTTCGTGGTCTCGTTCCTCGCATACAGACGGGTCGGTCCCTGAGCGCAGACACCCTTTGTTCGTCCCTCTTCCATTGAACGCTTCCCTCTTTGCATCCCTCTCTCACCTTCACCCATCCTGACCCCCTTTTTCTTTCGTCTTCACCGTCTTGATCTCTGACCTTCTTTCACCCAACGCCACACTCGTTTCCTCCTCTCCAATTTTTCATTCCTTTCTCCCCGTCTCCCTCTCCATTTCTCGTCTTAACACACCAGATCAAATCACACAACTACATCAAAGAGAAACAACACAACCGACCATGCGCTTTTCGACCGTTGCTCTTGCAATCACTGCCGTCTTGGCCACCTCCATCGTCGCTACGGAGGCTACCAATGAAACCATTGAAGTGGTTTCACGAGATGAAACCCACGCCCTCGGTGTCCGACACAAGAAACCGCACCACACCAAGAAGGGCTGGGAAGTTTACACAGACTGCAAGTTGACCTGGTATGGCGGAGGTCAGCTCGATGCGCCCGCTTGCGGTGGAGCTACTCCTTCGGACAGCAGCATGATTGTTGCCGTCTCGACCGATAGCCCCTTCAAATGCCATGACAAGCTTCACCTTGTGAGTTCGCCTGGCAAGTTGTTTAAAATCTCAAAAGGAGTCATAGCTTAACTTCCGCGGCCTCTCAGCATCATCAGGGCAAGATGGTCGAAGTCACGGTTGTGGATCACTGCGATGGCTGCGCACCACATCACGTTGATGCGACCAAGGGAGTCTTTTCGAAGCTGGCGAACCTCGATGATGGCGTCATTTCCGGTCTTCACATTCGCCGGATGTAAAGTGGCGACCCATTTGATTTCCCTCGTCTCTCTTCTCTCCCTCTCTTGACGCGGTCTTCATTTCCTCTCTCCTCCTCTCTTCTCCTCTCTTCCTCCTGCTGGGCAACAACTTCGTCACGGTCTTCTTCTTCGTCTCGCTCTGGCCTTCGTGTCAGTTCGGCTGCTCAGGTCTATATCTCTCGGCGTCTTCACCGGGTCAACTAAATGTACGACTGGACCGGCTTCACGCTTCGGCGCATTCGGCGCATCGGATTGATTGGCACCACGTTTCCACAAACGACGATCTAGGATCGTCCGCCCTTCCATACTTTCCAAAGTCCAATCTTCGCTTCCTTTCGTTTTCCTCCGTTCCTTTTCTTCAGTCATCATCTCAATCTGGTCGCTTACGGTCGACGAGTTGATCCTAAAGCTGAGCTTTGTGCGGTCCTCGTCGACGATCCCTCTTAGAAAATTTGAAAAAAAAAAAACACATAGATAGGTCGCGGTACCGTGCAAATGTACCGCGGTACCAGTGTACACGTACCTGTACGTTGTACGAAACCAGTCACCGTGGGTTTCTTGCTCTCTCTCATAGTTATCTCGCCGTTCTCTCCCCCTCTCTCCACCAGAACCATCTCCTCTGTCATTGTCCATGAGCCGTGCAACGCAGGTCTGTTGTTCTAGCGCTCTATTCAACGTAGTCAGCGGGTTTCCCGGATGACCTGGGACTGAAGATTTTCCACGTAACACCGGTCTCAATTCTGAGAGCGGTGAGCGACGACACCGGTGACCTTTAGAACACATGTATCGTCACCGTGTGCAAGGGCTCACACGATGAATCTGAGCTGTGCAGAGCAAGGTCGTCAACAAATGTGAGCGTTGTCAATGGCTTCAGTCTAGGTTTCAATGAGCAGAGTGAGCAATTGAAATCAATACCACGAAGGCCCAGATACTATGTGACGGGTTCATCAAGACAAAGATGGGCGACTATTCACAATTTCACCTTGGCACGCCCAACGTCACCTTCGACATCAGATCTGATCTAAGCTCGCAGGGTGGCAACAGAGCTGACACTTGCTCGCAGTCCGTCACCCTTGGTGGATGCGACTGCGACAATGCCTCTGAGACGTATATGGATTGTAGCCACGTGTGTTTGAGATGTAGATGTTTATTGCGAATCCCACGTCGAGCGAATCCACGCGTCGAATCGTAGGTCACGTTGGTAAAAACTTACAGTATTTCTATTTTTGCCCCATGCGCTGCAGGTTGCGGACGCGCTGCAGGATGCGCTTCTAGAAATGAGCGACGCAGCCCAGTTATTTGAGTCAGCGGGACCCTACTAAAGCGTTCCGCTCACGGTTCGCTCGAAACTGACCCTTTCTTTTCTTCAATTCAAGACTGAGATTTTCGGACTACTTGCGCATCTGAACCGCACCAGGTATGCGCGTAGCAAAGTCAAGCGAGCAAGTAGTAGTAGTAATATATCATTGTAGTTAGATCAGACGTACTATGCGAATTCGCGCTCGCTTGCCACTGTGCGTCGGCAATTAATCGATATGCGCTCCTGTTGTCCCCGTGACGTCCAGGCAGGCAATGACTACCTGAGGCCTTCATCGCTACTTCCCCCTCTTTTCCATATTGTTCACCTCCCCTTTTCCTCCAGCCTTGCGTCAATCCTTCACACCACACTCTTTTCGTTTGCCACACCCACACACTCTTTCTGTCGTGTCTCTTTCTTCCTCTCACCTTTTCCGTCCTCTTCTCCGTGCACTTTCGCCTACAGGCAAGATGATTTCCAAATCCTCTTCGGTCATCGTTACCCTCGCGGCCATTATGGTATCCGTCTCTGCTGCCGACAAGCCAACCTTTTCCGTCACACAGCTGCCCAACAAGTGGGAAGATGGCCAAATCGGAACAAACCAGTGCAAGCAGTGGGGATCCTCGAGCCAGAAATCAATGTGCCAAAATGTCTTCATCAACACCGTCACTGATTTTTGTCTGTGGGGACCCTATAAAGGAAAGGTGAATGCCACTTAGGCGTCCATCTACCACTGTATCCTCGGACATATTTTACTGACGACGATGAAACAAAATTGGATAATCGCAGGGGACTGTCGGAGCCCAAGAGGAACTCATGGTATCCTACTGCACGAAGTCGGGCTACGGCACGAGGCTGATTCCCGACGGAACGCTCAAGGGTGCACACTTTATCAAGACGCCCAACTTCCTCCAGGTCACTGGCTTTGGCGACTTCACGTCGATGCACATTGCAAACCATGATGAGGGCGGTGAGCTCGACCCCCATGGAGCCACTGGCGCCGGCAATCCCCCTGGCGGCCTTGTCTTTTCGCGCAATGTCAAGGGTCAAGAGGGTCAATGGGTCCAACTCAAGGAGTGGAGCAACTTCATGAGCGCCTCTGAGTTCTCCATTCGCGCCTGCTATCCTGCTCCCGATGCCCCCAGCTGGTGTCCTCACACCCTCGACGAGATGGGATCTAAGGTAAGGCCTTTGCATCTTTTCCTTTTTCTTCTCTGCTCATCATTGCGTCCCTCCATCGACAGTTCAATCACCCCGGCAAATACAGCAAGGGCTCCTTTGACAATTGCGACGCCGACTCTGGCCACTTTCCCGCTGGTGAGTCGTCTCAAAGCTTACTACTACGCCCGGCTACAGTCTTCTGTGCTGACACCGTGACGGTTTTACTTCAAAGTCTTCCACGGGAGTGAATTCAGGCAGGGGGACGCCCACACTCCGAACGGTCACAAGCCTGGAAAATCGAGCAATTGCCATGCCCACCCCACGGTCAAGAACGGTCCCGCCAAGCAGACGCCCTACCGCCGTTCGAACCCCGTTCGCGCGGATGAATACGACGCTTAGATCCGTCAACTCAAATCTCTCATACTCTGCACACATCTGTCCCCTACTCCTCAAGCTGCCGCATTTGTACGGTCGAGATCTCGGCCCCAGCTTATTGTTTTAGCTGATTACGCCAAATTTTCCTCCGCTGTTCCGTTTATTCACTGGTCGTGCACTCCCTACCCTCATACTCTCATTTGTGTGCTCTTTTGTGGCAGCATCCAATAATTGACTTCTTCTTTCCCTTGCGCGACATGCTCTCTCGAGACTATCCTTTCTACGGAATTCTGAAAACGCAGCAAGAGCTACAGAGAAGAAGAATGCTTCTTTAGTCAATCCTCTTGGAGCGATACAGGAGAATGTAGGCAACCGAGTCTTCACCGCCGCCGTCAAGCGTCATGATCTTCTCGCGGGGGACGACAGAGACCTTTTCGTCATCAAACTTATACCACTCCTGCTGCGGGGGCTTATCCAACGTCGCACGTCCGCCAGCCTCGTCCGTGGCGTCGTCTTCCTTGCGGACCCAGCTGATGTAGTGACCGGCTTCCGCGGCAGCGCCCTTGTGCGTCACGATACCCACGAGCTCGTAGAGGCCGTTGGTGTTTGCGCCCACGTCACCGCGCAAGTCTGGATCAATTGCCTCCAGCGCTTGGCGTTGCTCCTCTTCCCTCAACTTCACTTCTTCACTGTGCGTCAGGGCAGCACCGGCTGCCGCCGCCTCGGTCTTCGATGCGATCTTGTCCTCAGCCGTGTCAACAGCCATGTCGGCCGCCGGTCGTGGAGCATCGCTGCCTCCCGACGTGGCCGTGGCTAAGCCCACTTGCTCACTGGGCTTGACCGTATCACCCTGCAAAGCCTCTTCGCGACGAGCTTTGATTTTGCGACGAATCTTTGCTCGCTCATCCCTTTCCTTTTCAATCATTTTGACCTTTTCGTTGGCCGGCCCAATTTTCTTCTGGAGCTCTTCGGAGAGGAAAGGTGTAACGTCGAGGTCAAATGGGAACTTGACTTTCCTCATGATTTTTGTTTTCCTGCGCCACGATGAATGTTTGCTCTCAGAACTGGGAAAACGAGCACGTAGACACTCACTTGTTAATGTCTCTGCGCCAGTAGAAACGAACGAAGTGGGCGGTCAGGTACGCTGGTAGCCGATCGATTCGGCGAGTCTCCGAGTACTTTGCCATACGTCCCAATGTGGGCGAATCCTTCTGGATTTGCTGGTTGAGAGACTGTGGCATGCCCTTTGGTCAGCAGCATTCAATTGGTCGATTCACCCGGCCACAGAATGGTGCTCACGTCCAAGATGCCTGTCATCATTTCGTTTGTCTGTACCGAGATGTTGCACTGGAGGAGTGTAAAGGGCTCCTCGGTGATAGTTGGTTCTTCGTCAGGCGCCTCGAGGCACGATCGTCTAGGAACGGTAGTATTTCTCTGTCAGCGGAAAGATTAGAAGCAAGTCTTTGCTGGCGATCACTCACCTGATCGACATTCTGCCGGTCAGATACTGATCGACGAAACGTCCACCTGCTTCCGTCGACCCCGCTTGGTTACTTGCTGAAGGGGGTGACAGACCCTTGAGAGAGGCGTGAAGGGCCATGACAATCCTCGCCCAAGCTTCCTGCGCATCCTGCTGCGCGAAGCCGTGACCACCCTGAACCTGTTCGGCGAACTGAGGTGCTACTTGTCGGAGGATCTGTGCATCGACGATTCTTTAAGCTGCTGTGTGAAGACAAAGCTAAGTTCCTGAGACAATCAACTTACTGTAAGGAATGCATAGGGAGGAAACGCATCGCTTGTCTCGCCCATGCTCTTGAAGAGGTTGCGGAGGGAAGCTGTGATATTTGCCTCGCTATCGATGCTCCCCATACTGCCTTCGAATCTGTCGTGGAGAGATGAAAGATGAGGACAGCCTTCGAGAGATATTGCTTCTTCGATTCATGAGACATCGGAAAGGCCACTCACGCATTCAAGGCGACTTGCAGCTCAGGAATGCAGCGGAGTACTTGGAGCGTCGAGTTGAGGTAGCAAGTGTTCCCAAGATTCGTAAGCCCGGCTTTTGCTCTCGTCTGTGCACCACTCCTTCTCAGCTATGGCATTTAGCTCGGACGTAGAGAACAGGACACTTACTGCCTGGGCAATCTGAGACTCGGTCATGTCTTCCAGGAAAGTGACCGGCCCTGTCGGCGCCTTTGGCAATTCACCGGCGGAGCCAATCACCATGAAGGTCTGGCCCTTTTGTGGCAAGAGACAATAGAGGGGGAACGGAGCGAATATCAAGACATCAGAAGGAGCTCTTGTCTACTCTCGTTGATTCTTAGCACTCACTGAGCGTGCACCAATCTTTGCAAGGTCCATCTCGTCCTGCATGCGGAGCGGCCGGCAATCAGCACCCATATCCAGCCATTGGACTACTGGGCGACCCACCTTGAGCATTCCGCCCTTGACCATAACTTTTTGCCGGTCAATGGGGACACCAGTTCGTTCGTAGATGGCCTGTTTAAACGCAGTCGCAGGTTGAGATGGGTCGAGCGACACATCGTACTGCAGCACATGGCAGAGGTGAGCGGGTCAGAAAGAGAGAACATCAAGCCAACCTACCAGCTTGCCGTTGTGTTTTATCTTGACTGCCAACGTCGACATCTTTGGCATGAGGTGTTCTTTGTCGTCGTCACAGTTTGAAGACCGAGAGTGCTTGGAATAGTGCAAAGAAACGCGTCGGTCGGGGCTCACCTTCGATCACGTCGTGCATGTCGCACTTGCGAGAAAGGAAAAAGGAAAAAGAGAAATCCGTCGTCTCCAGGTCTCACCCGCCAGCAACGTCTTAAGGACACTGGTCGCCATGGACGACGATGACGACGCCTTTCTCTACGGAGACGAATCAGCGCAGGCCGAGTCGACGACTGGAGGTCTGGAGAGCAGGACACAAGACGGCCGACACGGGGCGCAGCAGCGAGGTGATGGGCAAGCAGACGAGGACGTAGACCAGGCCGCGGAAGGAGTTGCTGCCGAGGGTTACGGATCCGGTCAAAGAGAGGGGGACAAAAGGGGCAGGGCCCCAGTAGAAGAAGACGGGAATGGAGACCGGGAGGAAGATGACGAAGACGCGGAGGAAGAAGACGACGACGGGGACAGCGACTCAGTGAGTGGACGCCTGTGGAGAAGCCTTCTTCTTGTCGCGGCCAGCTGATCCGCTGCATCTCAAAGGACCTCGAGATCATCCTCGACGGCAGTGTCGCGCCTCAGCCATCCTCTGGGTATAATCAGAAACCGATCGTCCCTCAGCAACAGCAGAAACCGAGCTCCGTCCAAAAGCGTACGTTTCATCTCTCTAGGTGCTGCTCTTTTTGGCGTCCATTAATCTGATCTCCCTTCGCTGCTCATTTGCAGCCCATGCGACGTTGGCACCCGAATATATGCCCTTTGTCAGACCCGGACAAAGTACAATTGGAGGTGCTGCTGCATCTCTCTCTTCCCAGAAGCCGGCTGTCATCGACGCAGCGACGAACACAGTGGGCCCGAGACCTCTGCTGGAGACAGATTTGAGAGCAAGGGGAGGGGGCGAGGGAGGGGATCGCTTGGGTGAGGGCCCGCCTCCGACTGCACCCTCCACGGCGCCGAGACTGGACCTAGATCCAGGAGAGCAAGCGCTGCACGTGGGAGCAGAAAGCGTCGAAGGCGATGTTGGGCCGAGCATCTACCACATCGACCCCACCCAGCTCGACGAAAAACCTTGGCGAAGACCGGGCGCTGACCTTACCGACTGGTTCAACTACGGCTTTGATGAGGACAGCTGGAGACTGTATGGGGAGAAAATGATGAACCGCAATCAAGACAGAATCGCGCTTCTGGACACCAAGCGAGAGGCTATGGACAATGTGGGTCACCCATGTCCTCTGTTCTCTCTGACACAGAGATCCAGTCATACCATCCTTCTTGCTTACACACTCACTTTTCCCCTTTCAGAGCGGAGAAAGGGGTCTCCCAGGAAACGGCGAGCGCTCCAATGGGTTGAGTCATCCGTCGATGGCAAATCAGCTTGGACCGCAGCAGATGCAAGTGATGCATGCCATGATGGGCGCATCCGGACTTTCTGGCATGTCGCCCGAGATGATGATGCAATTCATGGGCATCAATCCGAACAGTATGCCGTCTCTCCCGGGATCAAACATTGGTGGTAATAACAACCACAACGGCAACAGCGGCAGCAATATTAACAACAACAATGGTCCCAGTGGAGGAGGAGGTTTCGCTCTGGGAATGCCCGGCATGTTTGGTCCTCCGCACAACGTATTCGGAGGGCCATTTGGCGGAGGCAACATGCAGAGGCCGCCTAACAACATGCCGAACAGTTCTTTCCCTCAACAGCAGCACCTCTTAGGCCAGGAGTATGGTCAAGGCCAGGGCGTGCGAGGAGGCGTAGCAAGCGCAAATGGACAAGTAAAGGGTCCTGCATCGGGCCAGTCGCCTCTGTGGCAATCTTCTGCTTCCAATAGTCCCATGCCGTCCCACGGGGGTGTCAAGAAGGAAGAAGATGGCGTCGACGATAGTGGACAGGTTCAAGGTGAGCTTCTGCCGCGACGAAGACGAGTAGCAAGAGCAGTCCGAGGAGGGGCGGGCGTGGCCACTTTTTACGGATCCTAGCTAATGGTGTTGCATTTCACCTGCAGGTCATGGTGAGGACTATTCTGGCCCCACCTACGACGATCAGAGAGAGAGAGAGAGCGGCCAGCAGCACGGATCGGATCCGAGCATGCCATTCAATGAGCAAGTCAGTCATTCCAGGGCACCAAGGGGCTTATATGCTGACAAAACACCTTGACAGGATCTCACGACGGCGTCGTATGAAATGGCTCAGATGCGATCTGGACCGAACAATTGGACTGGTAGGGGCCGAGGCACAAACATGGGCGTGACGGGGGCGCCCACTGGTCCATCGTCAGGGGCCCGGTCCATGCCTGGGTCGACTCGAGGGGGGCCGCCTCATGTCAACCTGCCAAGCAATGTACCCACCGGTCCTCGCAACCCGGCAAAGAGGTACAATGATCGAGACACTGGCGCTGGACACGCCGACAGTCTCGATTACGGAGGTGGTCATGGGGCCAGAGGAGGCGTGCCGGAGCTTGGCTACGACGACGAGGCGAGCGGCGATAGGAGGCGAAGTAGTCGCAGCCCTCCTTACTTTTCTTCATCGAGGAGGGCTAGGGACAGAGAAAGAGAGAAGGGGGATGCTGAACAGGGAGAGAGAGAGGGCCACAGAGAACGAAGGAGGACAGACGACGATGGCGACGAGTACGACGACACCAGTCGACACAGGAGACGGCGCGGAGGTGGACATCTCGACGAAGATCTCGAAGATGGAGCGTCTTTGCCCACCGTTTCGAGGAGTGGAAGAAGGAGACGAGACGAGACGAGAAGCAGAAGCGTTTCTCTCGACTACGACGACGTAGCGTCGGGCCGAAGAAGGGGCACTGCGTCGTCGAGAAGGGAAAAACGCGACCAATATGACACTATTGGTGAAGAACAGGATGGAGAAGACGATGGGGATCAAGATGACGACGACTTTGACGGGGAAAAGGAAAGTGATAATGGACGTGAACGGGTCAGGGAGCGGGAGCGTGGCAAAGACCGAAGCCAGCGGAGGGCTGAGCGACGGGCGGGCAAAGATTCAGACACTGGAGCCTCTTCATCATCCACACGACCTTACCGGAAACGTGGCGCGCCCGACGACGACGTCACTCTCCCGAGAGAATCTCGCCGACGAAAGTAGTTGGTAGTCTGTAAGACTTTTGAGGCCAGTGTTCATGCTTTCGTCCCCCGGTTAATACATGTCTCTGGCTCGGGAATATGAAATCTCTCTCATGATTCTGTCCAGACCATGGGCGTAGGTGTACATGCGTTGAAAGGGCTTTTAGTTGAGGCTTTCTCTTTTGATAGAGATTGGGGAAACTACTACGAAGCCCGAGGAGATGTGTTGTGATCGGAGAAGTGAATGTCGTCAATCGTCTACTTGCTGTCCTTCATCTCTGCGTCCTCCTCCTTCTTGCCGCTCTTGCGAGCAATGATCCGGCGACTGTTACGCCAGGGGGGGGGGAGGGTCTTGTCAGCAACGCCTCAAAAGCGATGGATCGTGTCAAAAGGGTATACATACCGGTCCTTGTCACTCTTGACTTTGGTGATGACGCAGTTGGACGGGTGGACGGGCAGCTGGACGGTGGTACCGTTGGTCTTGTCGCGCGTGACGCGGTCGACGTGGATAACCCACTTCTTGCGGTAGACCTGAACGACACGACCCTCACGGCCCTTGTTGGTGCCACGGACAATGAGAACCTCATCGTCACGGCGAACAGGGAGCGAACGGACCTGAAGAGACAAGATCAGTAAGCAATCAAGGCCCCTTTGACAGTAAGATATGTGACGATTGCCCCTCGACCATCGTCATCGCATGAGCAGCCAATGTACGACATCACCATGGCCAGCCAGCGATCAGAATCTACGAAGTGCTCCCACGAGTACTGCAAACACTCTTCCATGCGGCCCGTTGCCCCTAAATCGCACGCCTATACCCGTTTCTCGCCTTCTCTCCTCTCTATCCCCCCACAACAGACCGCCTTGAAACGTCAAGAACTCACGCCGTGCTCCTGTCGAAGCTCCTTGCTCAACGTGGAGCTCATGATCTTCCTCTTGAGGGCGCTGGGCGCCTGGAAATGGTTCCTGCGCTGAGTCCTTCGCGAAGTTGTCGCCATTTTGTCCAAGTCTTCTTGATGGTTGCGACTCAATTGGAGGTGCGAATCTGGCGGGAGGTCTCGAGCCGTCTACCTTCTGCGGCAGCAGGCTCACGTGTTCTACTGAACACTCACGTGGCTTTTTCGGCGTTAAGCTTTTTAAGCTCTATATCTCGGGCATTGTCTCCTTTCTTCCTCCACGCAACTCCAACGATTAGGTGGGAGCAACGATGGACATCGAAGGGTGGGTTCCGATCCATGAGATTGGAGAGTCAGAAAGTTGCTGATGGCTTGCTTGTGCATGTCAGGTTTCGCACGGCCGGCTACGCGGCCATCGACTCGATTTGTGATTACTACGAGTCTTTGAGAGAGCGCCCGGTCAATGCGCAGGTCCAACCGGGCTTTCTGGCCAAGTCAGTGCCAGGTGAGGGTTGCGGGGGATGAAGGGCATCTGTGCGTAGACCACACCCGGTTTATCTCACAGCGCTCTTTGGCCTCCTAGACTCTGCACCTGAAGAGGGCGAGGCGTGGGAGAAGATCGCAGACGATTACCAAAAGATCATCATGCCAGGCATCACCCATTGGTGAGCATCCACGACGGCGCTTCTTGCTTCCTTTTGGCTCATCGACGACGATACTGCGACAGGCAGCATCCTAGGTTCTTCGCCTTCTTCCCTTGCAACGTCACCTTCGAAGGAATGCTCGCGGACCTGCACACAGCGGCCATCTCTAATCCGGGCTTCAATTGGTCAGTGTCGCCTTCAGTGACGGAGCTTGAGATCATCATGTGCGATTGGGTGGCCAAAATGCTCGGCCTCTCTACCGAATTTACCTCTGCTTCGGCCTCTGGTCTTGGAGGTGGCATCATTTTGAACAGCGCCAGCGAGGTGGCCATCACAGTCGCCATCGCAGCTCGCGAGAGGGCCCTCACCCGGATCGAATCGCTCGAAGCCTGGGAGAAGGATCAAGGAGCACGAGAGCCTGTCAGTGAAGATTCGGGATCTGCACCGTTGACTGGCGAGCAAGACAAGGCGAAGACGTTGCCGCAGGGTCAAGCTTCTCAAGCGACCAGCCAATTGGCCAATTGGCGAGGAAAGACGACGAGTAGATTGGTCCTCTACGGCACCACGCAGACTCACTCGATTGCTGCTAAAGCAGCTCTGATCCTCGGCATCTCCTTTCGTGCTCTCAAGGTGTTTGCCAAAGATGAATACGCGCTGCAAGGCGAGACTCTGAAGGCGGCCATCGAGGAGGACCGTGCCGCTGGAAGGTATCCTTTCATGCTCGTGGCCACTCTGGGCACCACGAGCAGCTGCGCCATCGACAACATGACTGAAATTGCCCAAGTTGGTAAGTGTATTGGAAATATTTGACACTGTTTTCTGAAGCGAGAACATTGAAGCTAAAGACATGATCTCAACCCAGCCAAGAGTTATCCTGAGCTCTGGATCCACGTCGATTCTGCTTATGCTGGCGTTGCACTGACGCTGCCAGAGGAAAGAGCAAAGATGGACATCGCAGCCATCAATGAATGCGTCGACTCCTTCTCGACCAATCTTCACAAGTGGGGCTTGGTCCAGTTCGATTGCTCTCCGCTGCATGTCAAAGACCGAGGTGCAGTGAGTGATGATTGTGTGATCGTAAGATCTAAGTTGTCCCTTCTGATGAAGATCCTGACTTGCCTCGCAGCTGTCGCGCGCTCTTACCGTGACGCCCGAGTTTCTTAGGACCAGACACGGAGATGCAGGTGAGGGCTGCATTGTTGGCGTCTCTCTGCTCGACCAGAAAGATTGATGCCGTGCACAGGAACCGTCCTGGACCTCCGCAATATGTCGTTGTCCCTTGGCAGGCGATTTCGATCTCTCAAGGTTTGGTTTGTCCTCCGCAGCTATGGCCTGCAGGGTCTGCGTAATCATCTCCGCGGCTCGTAAGTGTCATGAGACTTGCTCGAGAATGATGACGGCCGATGACTCAACCTCTATCCCGTCAGCATCTTGCAAGCCCAATTGTTTCAGAAGCTGGTGAAGGAAGGTCAGACGCCGCTCAAGATCGTCGCCAAACCCCGATTTGCGCTCGTTGTCTTTCGTCTGGAGCCGGCGGGCGTCATTGAGAAGGACGCGCTCAACCGGGCCTTCTGGGACGCACTTGAGAAGCGTTCCAGCGAGCTCACCCTTACTCAGACCGTGTTGCCTGAGATTGGCTTCTGCATTCGATGGGTCTCGGGAAGTCTTTGGACCCGCGACTCTGACGTCGAAGCGTCCTACAAGGTCATCTGCGAATGTGCGGATGCAATTCTGTCCTCGTGAAGAAAAGGGATCCGAGGGGAAGATGGGAAGGGGAGTTGAACTATCTACAAAAACAAGTGGTCAAGATGTGCTCTTTTTAGACAGGTATAGAACATAGAAGTGCTAATGGGCAAGAACAGAAGGGATCAAGTGTCTCAAAACTCTCTTACTCCTGCATGTGAAGAGCCTCTGCTCGAGACATCGAAGTGAAGTGTATGCCAACGCGCGGAACTCAGAGTCACTAATCGTGCTTCACATCTCTGGTTGGATCGGAGTCGGTAAGTGATGCGAGTGGCAGGTTTAAACTGATTTCAGCGCCACACTAGAAAGACCAAGGTCCAGACTGCGCTCATTTGGACGCCTCTTGGTTTCACGCCGGATCATGACACATACGAGGGATGTCAAACATGCTGCAAGATCGTTGTTGACACGCTTTGACGCTGGCTTTTTTGCCCTCTGCTTCTCCCTCACCTTTTCGCTGAACAGAACTCTTGAGCCTCCCGAGGCTTCCCTTGGTTTTTCTCGAAGGATGGGCCTTAATTCAACTTCATAATGCTGCTATACTGCCATTCACAAGAGTCTGGATAAGTGCAGAGTCTTGTCGACCTGTCAAGAAATCCAAGGCGAGGGGTGTCGCTTTGAGCGGATAGGATCGATTCTGATAGGGGACGCGTTCTTGTGCAAACCAGGACGACATTTGTCCCAATAAAGTGTCGCCGATTGAAGGGACACGATCTGATACTAGCCACCGCAAGGGCTCAAGAGACCTTTACTGGTCGACAGGCTCATAGCCCCACACAAGATTTCCGCCGCAGCGAAGTTGAGGGGCTTGCGGTGGTGGCCATTTCTCGATTATTATGTTGCCAAGGTGGTACTCGAAAGCCTTGCACTCCTCCTCAGAAAATGACGCTTTGATGAACTGCATGCCTGGATTGTGGAGTAAGGATGAGAGCTGAGCGCAGCGGAAGGTAAGAATAGACGATAGTAGGTGATTTCCTCGCCAAAAAACTCACAAAGGTGGCGACCTCATTCGGCTGAATCACGCTCATGCCATTAACGACAGTGCCCTTCACTCTGGTAAAGCCGGCTTTGGCGACTTTGTCCTGGACAAAAGACAATTGACCCCAAGTGCGCATCATCGGGCTATCGCGGAAACGCTTGAAAGGAATTCCACGCCATCGCTCTTCTTCGCTTAAATTACTAGGCCGAGCTTGGACGATGAGGTGCTTTGCTTCATCAATGATGTCGTACTGATGGAAATCCTGTGGGGTGAGGAAGGCAGACAAACCACCAGGGCGCAAAACGCGGCGAATCTCGGCGAGACCTCGAGGAGGATCTGGTAGCAGCATCGGTCCGAGAAACAAAAGGATCACGTCGAATGACGAGTCAGGGAGGTCCATGTTCTAGAAGAGAGAGCAAGTCGCTTTTAGCAAAGAAGCATTGGTCCGGTCGTTACTCACGGTAGCATCAAGGACCTTGGTCTCGACCATGGAGCTCTTCCCTTTGCTGTGAACCATTTTCTGTGTGGTCTTGACCATCCCCTCTGCAAAGTCGGTGGCGAGGATCTTCATTTGCTCGTCACCGTAGCCGTCAACGAGGACGTCAACCTCAGGACCGGAGCCACAAGCCAGAACAAGGACTTGAAGAGGCTCGCGGTTGCCACTCGCCCTTCGGAGCTCATCGAAGAGTGGAAAGAGATAAGTCTTCAGAGCAGGTCGGATAATTGGCATCGTGTAGGCTACGCCAGAGGGGTCATTGTATTGATCGCCAAAGTCAGACCATAGCCGAGCTGCCGTCGAGAAGGTGCTATGGCGTGTAATGGTAGGCGTGTTGGCGGTCATTGCGGATATTCTCTCAGGTGCGCGCCTTGCTAAGCTATGGCAGTCCGCCTTTTATGTCTTGCAGCGACCAAGTTCTGTATCGATTCCTCTGCGTTGCAGAACATAAGAACAGTAGGCATTGGTCGCCAAGTGCCTGCGCGACCACTGTGGTCAGCTGACTGTCAGCTTATAGCGTCTATGCGCAACACGGTAGTCGTGTCCAAGAAAATCTTAAAAATTCAAGCACTCTATCATTGTTAAATACCCTCGACGGCGCCGGCAAAGGAGCAACAAAATGGACGAATTTGGGCCACCTAATCCTACCGGTACGACGAAGGAAGATACTTGTAAGGATTGAGCAGGTTGTCGGGGTCGAGGAGCTTCTTGAGATCCTCCATCAGGGCTACGCTCGTCTGGCTCTTGCTGTACCCGATCTTCTGGCCCTTCATCCTTCCCAGCCCATGCTCCGCCGAGATCGAACCCTTCTCCCGGCTGACCCACTCATAAATGTAGGGCTCGATCACCGACTCGATTTCAGGCGCGTACGACTCGGCGACAATGTTGATGTGAAGATTGCCATCCCCAATGTGCCCGTAACCGACGACCTCCTTAACGGGCTTGCCTTTGCCTAGCATGTCTCGTTCTTTGAAACGCCCTCGCATATCTTCGACCAACTCATTCATCTTGGGCACGGGCATTGAGAGGTCGTACTTGAAGACGCTTCCCAGCTTCCCGCATGCTTCAGGAATCGACTCCCTGAGCGCCCAAAGTGACTGAAGCTGTGTCTCATCTTGGGCAAGCACACCATCGGTGATCTGTGACGACTCCATCAGCTCTTCGAGTAGTTCAGTGAGTTTCTGGAAGAAGAGAGAGGGAGACAAGAGAGTGTATGGAGCGGAGAGGGAAAAGAAGGGAAGAGTGTGAGCGGATTACCAAAAAATGCTCGGCGGCGTACCCACCTCATCATCGTGCTCCTTTCTGCTCCCACTCGTTTCAATGAGGACGTAGAAAGGATGTCGTTCTTGAAAGGGGTCTTTGATGCTTGCTGTGGCATGGCTCTTGACCATATTGAGGCTCTGCGAATCAAAGAATTCGAAGGCTGACAAGATCTCGCCGCAATGCCTCTTGACGGTGGAAAAGACCTGCTGGACGGCCTCGAATGAGTCCACGGCAAAGACAGCTACATTTACCGCAGCTGGTCTGCGAGGCGTGACAATGGATACGGCCGTGATCAAGCCGATCGTGCCTTCGCTTCCAATAAAGAGCTGCTTAAGGTCGAAGCCAGTGTTGTCCTTGCGGAGCGTACTGAGGCCATCGAGGATGTCGCCATTCGGCAGCACCACCTCGAGGCCTAGCACATTTCCGTGAAGGCTACCATAGCGGAGAAACCTGAGTCCGCCGGCATTGGTAGCAACGTTGCCACCGATCTGGCAGCTGCCCTTTGCGCCCAAATCGAGGGGCATCATGTAGCCCTTTTCGGCAATGTGATTGTCGAGGGCCTCGAGGATGCAGCCGGCATCGGCGACAAGGGTGCCGGAAACTTCGTCAAATGACCGAATGTTGTTCAGGGAACCCAGGTTAACGATGACTTCGTCTCGCACGGGAACTCCTCCACCAACGAGGCCAGTGTTCCCGCCTTGAGGCACTATGGCGAGCTTGCGCTGGTGGCAGTATCGCATGATCTCCGAGACCTCCTTTGTCGACTTGGGCTTGAGGACGCATGCAGAGCGACCGTGGTACTTGTTCATCCAATCCTTGTTAAAAACGTCGAGCTCCGATGCATCAACGGGCTTGGGCATCCTTGACGACGTGGAAGACGTCGCGAGCGTTGTCAGTAGCGATGTTTCAGGTGTTGAGAGAATCGATGCAAAATGTTCAATGTCGTCCTGAGTTAGTTGACTGTGCGACGGGTGCTGAGCAGGAGTAGTCGTGGCGAGCGATCTCCTGCCTACCGGTGCTGTGGGTGTCATCTTTCCGTCTGATCTTCTTCTTGCTGGCTGTCTGGAGGTGGTATGAAACAGAGACGACGTCGCCACTGCAGTTGACGCCAAGCCGTGAAAATGCCCAGGAGCACGGTGGACTGGCCGCGCCATCGCAGCGGCCCGGGACAATCCAATCCGAGGTAGAGGCATCTTCGACTGGGGGAAACTGGCCACCCTTAAGTAGCGCAAAAAAAAAAGAGGGTGGAGCGAGCGAGACCTCAAACCATTTCATATATGTGTCACGAATCCCACGTGGAGTGACAAAGATCTTTTCTATTTCCAGATTGAAGCTATGAGTCGTGAAGAAAGGGCAAGAGGCATCAGAGGTGGGACTTGATTAGATGCTGGGTGATGACGGCGTGTGCCAAACAGGGGACAAGCCAGAGCGAGGACCAGCAAAGGTGCTGATCAAGCCAGATGGCTCCTGCGTTCAAGCAGTAGCACAGGTATTCGCCTCGTCGTCAGGCGGAGGCTGGGCTAGTCTATCCCTTGAGCTTGAAGAGAACCAGACCAAAGAGCGCAACCGAATAACCGCCAATCTGGAGCCAAGTGACGACGGAGTTGAAGAGAACGACGCTGCCCATGATGAGGAGGATGTCCTTGATGACGCCGCAGAGGGTCAGGACGAGTGACGAGGCGGCACCGATGAGGAAGACAGCCGTGATATTGAGGCAGAAAGCCGCGGCGGCATTGGTCAAGAGGACGAAGGGGCCAATCCGGTGGAGGTCGAGGAAAGGCTCGAAGCCTTCCCAGAAGATGAGGAGAACAAAGTTAATGGCGGCGCAAACTGGGGCGAAGTAGTGAAGCGAAACGAGGGGATCCATCTTGAGGCCTTGGAGCAGCACCTGGATCATGACGAGGCGCGATGACTCGAAGGCGATGGCCATGACTTGGTAGAGGAAGCCAGACATCACGAAGTCCACTTCACCGTACGATGCAGTGGCTACACCGAGCGAGATGGAGAAGACGATGGCCAGGAGGGTGCCCGAGGGTTGCTTGAGGCCCATGACAAAGGAGATGAGAAGGACTGCAACGGGCATGAAAGCCTGAAAGAAGGGAGAGAGAGCACAAGCCAGAGTACTAAGCATTCGTTTCCGTGCCTACTTTTGCAGCCAACTTTACTCACCTTGAGCATCTGAATGAAGCTGACTGAAAGAGTCAGGTAGGCCATGTTGGACGTAACGAGCGAGGCAGAAAAGAGGGCACCAATTGGCAAGATGTTCTTGTACCAACGCTCTGGCGTCATCTCAACATTGGCCAGTCCGTCCATGAGGTGAGTGTAACGGGCAAGCAACCTGGTACCGACGGTCGAGAAAGCCATGTGGAAGGTGGTGAGGAAGACGGGGTACTGGAAATTAAGGCCAGTCTTGTCATCAAGAACGTACTGTGGACGGAAGAAGATTTCTGTCAGCACCGTAGCAGCTTTTGGCGGTGCGAGATATCCTCACTTTGTTGTATACTGGATTTTGGTTGAAAAGACAAGAGGAGGAATAGAGTAAACTTGTGAGCGGCGGATAGCTCCTACTATGACTGACGCCACCGAGGGACACCCACCGATGACTGTTCCGCTGAGGAAGATCCAGAGTATGATAATAACGGCAGGATGAACCTTCTTGTCCTGCTGCTTAGCATTCGTGCCACCGGGAAGCGATGGGCCGTGGCTGTTCGACGAAGCCAAGTGCGAGGGGCGAGAAGGCGAGGCATGCCCAGCAATAGGGTCGTGCTTCTCGTCGATGCCATGCGACTGCATCGGCAGGGAGGTGTGGTCCTTGGACATCTTTGACGACGGCTCTCAGCGATCGGTGCTGGCTGTTGTCAGGCGAGGTGGGTAATGGCAACGGGGAGAGCGGGCCAAGTTGGTCGTGAACTGCACGAAAGTTGAACGATGACCGCGACCAGAAAATAAAAGACCGCTCGGCCCTCGTGCCTCTAATTTTTATTTTTATTTTCTCCTTTGGACAAGTTTCAAATCCTCAATTTTTCGCATTCGCGCGTGCGCGCGCTGGCTATCCGCCCTGTCAAACGTCGCCAGCTCCTGTCTTCATCGCCTCGCTTATAATATTAGGTCGAGCTTCTTGTCTCCCTTTCCCCGCCTCTCCTGCCTATCAATTTTTATTTATTGTTTTGTTTCCAAATAAAGAAAAAGAGATGGTATTGCTCTCCGGCTCTCGCGGACAATCGGCCCTGAGAGTGGACCCTGGCCTGCTGCCATTCACTGTTTACTACTACAACTGCTGCTGCAACAACTACTACTGCTGCAACTACTACTACTACGACTGCTACTACACCACTACTAAGGCGGTGGAGACGAGACAATTACAAGAAACTTATCAGGAGCACGACAGATCGGGTGAGAAGCTGCCTCCTTTGACTTATTGCGAGCTCCACGCTGCCTTCGTTCTAGACGACACGCACAGAACGTCCTGACCGACCGCCGGAACTCCTAGAGCCAGCACAAATTTAGAAGGCACCACATGCGTTGTCGGGCTGGATCGCGCTATCCCGATCCTCGGGCGTTGGCGCCAGGAAGCTCATAATATAATCACCCTTGCTCGGGCACGCGAGCTGAATGCTTTCTCCAATACAATGCATGCAGCCAGGGCAGTCGGCCACCAGCACATGCCGGCGGCACGCACAGGCACACGCGTGCTCGAAATCGAGCCTACGCAGAGCTGATTAAAAGAAAGAGCGACCTCATGTCGAATTTTGAAGCTGACATTTGAATCCTTTGCAAGGAGCTAGAAAGTTTCCTCGAGGTCACATTTCCTCGTTGGCGTCCCTGTCAATGGTTCATGTCTACATCTTGCCTCTTATCGACCCTCACAATCCCACTCTCCTTTCACGCCTCGACCCCTTCTGTCTTTCTGTCTCTCCTCTCTCTCTCTCTTTTCTCAGTGCCCGGGACTTGTTTGCCCATCGTAGCATTGACAGTGCTTCCTGGCGAAGCACATCTTTGCACCTCTTGACTTTGCTTGCGGACTGGGTCTTCATAAAGGTCCCCCTCGTACACCAACAACTATCATTTACACGGACACGATGCAGCTTCTACTTCTGTGTATGACAGCGTTGCTGCTGTTGACGAGCGCCAACGGGCTTGACGCTCGCACAAAGAACGCAGCAAAATCAAACTCGTACACACCGCCTCCGCCGCCCCAGGGTGGTCGTATCGTCAGCTTCAGGCCCAGCAAACAGACGAAAGCCAGCGTGCCAGTCTTTGCAAATAGCCTCTTCAAGACCAAGGGCACCAGCAATGCTAAACGCGGTGAGTTTTGTGTCACCCTACCTCTCGATGTGACAAGTATGTCTAACCGTGAACACAATCGAAGGTGTCATTGGTCTGACGGGCAAGGGGCGCGATGGCTCGCAGACATTTCCGGACATTGTGAGCATTGCATGTTGCTGCTATTTTCTTTGCCCGATGCTCATAGGAGATGAAACGAAGTACCAAGTGGTGGCCGACCACCACGCTCTAGCCGTTCCCAACTTCTACGAAGCACGCGACCGAGGACAGTCCACAACGGACGGTGTTCATGCTAGCTACGTGAGCGAAGATTGTTTGAGATGAGCAGGATGGCCGACTCACACCTTGTGATCAGTTGAATGCCACTCGTGACATGGTATGGCCCGAGAAAAGTGTCGGTTCTTGGGTCACAGGCGAGGACGCCGCCGAAGGAGGTCTCGGCAACGACTACGATCTCGCCGGTGCCCAGATCTCATCTTACGATGTCATCGACCAACTGGTGCGCCTCTACTCGGACAAGTCCATTTACCCCAATATGCAAGGCGAGCATAGCGAGAACTCAGACTCGTCAAAGTCTCGCTCTGCGTGACACTGACCCAACTTTCGTCACTTCTTGATAGATATTGTTGTTGCCGGTCATTCCGCGGGCGGCAAGACGACCGTAAGCTACTCTTATATTTCTGACGAAACACCCGAAGGTATCAGAGTTCGCTACGTCCACCTCAATTCTCCTTCGAGCATTTTCAGCGAGAGTCACCGGCCGCTGTCGACATCCTCGTGTTCGTCCTATCAGTCTTGGCCTTATGGACCTCAGGGCCAGCAACCTCGCTACGTTTCGAGTCGACTTCAGGCCGCCACTTTCGCGCGTTGGGTCTCGAGAGACGTCGTTCGTGTAACGGGCAACGCCGACACACAGACGCAGGGCGACGACTCTGACTGTGGCGCGACCGTTCAGGGTGGTCGCGATCGCTTATCCCGGAACTACGGGGCCTGGGTATATGAGAACATGCTCGCAGGCACAAAGACGGACTTGTCCGAATTCAAAGCTTACAAGCAGCTGGTGAGCCTAGTCTTATGTGTTCGATGTGATTTGGTCGCGGGCTCGCTTATCAAGATGATTGCTTCTTCTGCAGCAAAAGTCCGGCTTGAAGAGTCAAAATGTTGGGGTCTTCAACAAGCGCCTCGCCATCGTTGACGGCGTCGGGCATGATTCGACAAAGATGTGAGTCAGACAATACATCTCAACCGCGTTTGATGCGTTCCAGCTGATGTAATTTGCACTCGTTCTGCTCTTAACAAAAGGTTTGCTTCAAGAATCGGGAGGCAGTCAATCCTTGATGATCACATTGACCAGGGTCCGCTTCCTACCAAGCAGTGACTTAGAGCCTGGGTTTCGGCATACTATCCCTCCTTTGCGCAGCGATTTCTCGACCTTGTTCTATTCTTTCCCTCTTCTTCTTTTCGCCTTCTCTCTCTTTGCCCTTGGCATCTCTGTACCTTGCGTTTTCTATCGTGTAATGGATTGTGATCCCCCTTTCAACGGGATCGGTCGGTGCGGAGGCTGTCGCATACCGTAACCAAAAAAGGGCGGCCACGCGTGCGCAAAAGCACGTGAGGCCATTTTTGAGATTCTTCCTTCCAAGCTGCCGATGGCGACAAATGGTGAGGACCACACGACTGAGGCTATGTGGCAGGCTACGCTGAGGCACGCAGCCACATCAGGCGCTGTGCTCTCACCGAGACAGACGTTTGGGAGAGCTACAGCCGGGAGTGGCGTGCGGACACTGAGTGGGACGGCTGCAACCGCGGCGAGACTTGCATCTTCTTCGCAAGTCGTCGTGGGTGTCAACAATGGCCCCTTCCCTGTGTCCACCTCTGTTCCCTCGCCGCCTTCCTCGCCGTCGGTCTTGGGCGCATCTGAACAGGCTGCGGCACTTCTGGGGCCCATTTCTCGACGAGAACGGCGAGCAGCGCAAAAGGAACGACGAAAAGAGGCACTGAAACGCAAGGCCGGCCAATCCATCTTTGCGCGCATGGGTGTCAGTTCCGAGAAGGTCTCGCCATACGTGCGGAAGGATCGACAATTCAAGACATTTAAGCCTCTGACGCCCTCGTTGCGGTGGGTACGGACAGCATTGAATCCGCATCTGCACAAGGGCGGACCAGAGCGAGGTCTTACGGTGGCAAAGCGAGCAAAAGGAGGAAGGAACCACCACGGTCGTCTGACAGTGCGGGGCGTGGGCGGAGGACATCGAAGGAGAATCAGGATGGTCGATTTCGAGAGATCAAAGCCAGGCGAACAGAAGGTTCTGCGGATTGAATACGATCCAGGCAGATCCGCACACATTGCCCTCATAGAGCACCAGTCGACCAAGGTAAAGAGCTACATCCTTGCGCCTGAAGGTCTCCGGGAGGGCGATGTAGTGCAGAGCTACCGACACTATGCATTGGGGCAGTCGGACGCCGTCGGTTCGGGGGACCTCGCAGACAGTGGCAACAGTGCAAACTCTTCGTTGAACTTGGGCATCTTCCGAACAAAGGCTATCAAGCCGGGAAACGTTCTTCCGCTCAAGATGATCCCCATCGGCACGACGATTCACGCCATCTCCCTCATGCCAGAAGGGCCTGCCAAGCTGGTTCGTTCGGCTGGCGCCTACGGTCAGCTGGTCGCATTTGTCAACCGATCCAAGGCAAAGCCGACGGCTGCTTCGGCCGATGATGATGCCAACCCTTCTCCCGAAGCACTGATGTTGGAAGAACGGGCGGAAGCCGAGGCTGCGGCCTCGTCATCGGCCCCAAAGACACATGCACAGGTCAAGCTGCAATCGGGCGAAGTGCGCCTCGTCCTCGCTGGATGCTGCGCGACCATTGGCAGGGTGAGCAACGCTGACCACGAACATGAGCGGCTGGGCAAGGCCGGAAGAAGTCGATGGCTGGGCAGGAGGCCCAAGGTGCGAGGTGTGGCCATGAATGCCGTCGATCACCCTCACGGTGGTGGTCGAGGAAAATCCAAGTCAAACATGGTGAGAATGTCCCCTCTTGTTTCGGTGAAGAGCCGTTTTCTGACAAGCGTCACCCCACGTACAGCACCCGCGGTCGATCTACGGCCAAAAGACAAAGGGACCCAGGACAAGAAAGCCCGGTACAAAGAATGGCAACCAGATGGTCGTTCGCGAACGTCCCCGCCGCAACGGGAAGCGAGCGGGCAAGCCTTGAACACATCCCTCATCACTCTCCAGAGGGTACGATGTAGTCGCTCATAGCAATGATGATGGATAGAGATGTCTTGATGCGACACTAGAATAACAGGGGGCAAAGTTTAAGAGAGAAAAGTAGCCTTTCCTTATGGCTTGAAAGGGGCCCTGTGTTGCAGACGTCTTCTGCTTGACGTCACTGAGCCTATTCTGTGCGCCGCTTGGATGGCTACTGAACTGCTGCTGTTGCTGCTGCTGTCTTCTCGATTGTTGCGAGTAGATGGCGCGGCGTCTGCCTTTTTGGCGAGAAGAGCCCTTGACCGGATCTCGCTTCTGCGTGCGGCCCGGATCACCTTGTCGGTTCTCGACAGCTTGGCCGTGGACGCCAAGGAGCTCGTCGCGACAGAGCTCATGGATCGAATCTTGCCCACTGGTTTCCCCGTCGTCTTGGAAGCAGTGGAAGCAGGTGCCGGAGAGGCGCGGTAACTGTCGCTCATGTTGCAAGACGGTAGGACGCCTTCGGCTTCTTTCTTGAACTGCATCGTCGCTCGGTCCGGGTGTGCGGATACGGCCAAGCCATTCTTCAGGGGCGAAGGTGTCAAGTCTGTGCTTTTTGGAAAAGCGACTGCACGAGTCAAAGGGACGGGAGATTGGCGGCTGGCAGCATCGTTGACCCTCGATCGGACCGGGCTTGGTACCATGGTCCACCCGTTCTTGGTGGGTGGCGACTGAACGCTGGCTAGTGACTGAGAAGGTGAAGAGGGCATCTCGGACATGGAATGCTCTCTTTCAGAGCGACCCTTGAGAAGGAACGCTGTCTTTCTTATCGCCAGTGACGGCAAGGATGGCAAAGAGGTCTTCTCCCTGATTGATGTGCCTGTGGCAGGAGCAGCCGACACCTTTGCCGACGTCGTCGATGTGATGCCCAACACGGGCTTCCTGGCATTCTTGATCGCTGTAGTGGCCGCCGAAGCACCAATGATGGCAGTGGGATGGGCGACGCTCCTTCCTACATCGCGAGCCAGGCCCTTGGCAGCGCCCACGACGCGGTTGCCTACCTGCGAAGCGATGCTGAACGGTTTTCTCTTCTGTTGCGAAGAGGAAGCGCCTGGACCTTGGCTCTTTCGCTTCTGCCTGGCCAGCTCGAGCCTCCGCCGATTGATCTCTCTTTCCTCTTCCGTCCTTGCTGAACGTCCCGTACCGCTGTCTTGCGCCATGCGAACGCGCTTGGGCGAAGGCGACTGGGCCTCGGCGGCTGACGAGTTCGCCGAAGCAACGCGCCTCTTTGCGGCGTAGTGATTGGCGATGCTGTCCATGTTACCGAAGGAGCGCTCGTGCTGTTCGGTGAAACGATCGCCTTTGCCCGAAGCCAGCTTGCGAATGGGATCAATCCCAGACGATGTCGAGGAGCCTGGCACGGCAATAGACCAGATCCCTTGGGATGGCAGCTGGGGAGCGATTGACCGGCCTGCCTTTGCCAGCCGAGCATTCATTTCGGCCAGGACTTTGGCAGCAGCGTCAGAAAAAGAAGAGGAGGAAACGCCCTTGGGGTTCCTGGAGGGGGGCCCACTTCTTCCGTCATCTTCGTCGTCGTCGTCGTCGTTGCAATTGCGAGCTTCTGTAAGGATGGGGTAAATGCGCGGCACGGTGGGCGTCGTCGTGGTGATATCATCCGTGCTCCTCGGGGCGCCTCGCGACGGTCGAGGCTTGGTGATGCGTTGGGGCAACTGCATGTCTCCTTTGGGTGGACTGTCTGTGTCGAAGTCCACGGTCTGGCCAATGAGGCGGATGGACTGCTTAAAGGGACTGTCTCCGAGGTCTTCCAGTGCCACATTGTTCCATGGCTGCCTCTCTCCCTCTCTTGGTCGCTCCTGCTCCTTTTCCTGCGTTTGCTGCTCATCGTCGTCTTGGACGCTTCTCTTGCCCAAGTGCGTCGCCTGGTCGTGCTTAGGCGAGGCCGTTCTACCGAACAGCCCCCGCATGCTTCCCGTCAGCGACCGAAGAGGACTCTCTGTGTGATGCAGCGAGGGCCGCTTTGCCTTTGGCGTGGCTCGTTCTTGGATCATGTTGGCCAGCGATCCTAACTCACTCAGGGAAGTCGCTTCATCGTGGCACGGACTTCTCCTCGCGCTCTCTCCCGAGACCAATGCGCTGTTGACGGAGCTCTGGGTGATAACGGTGGCCGCAATATCCTCCTTGTCCTCCTTGTCCTCCTTGTCCTCCTTGTCCTCCTTGTCCTCCTTGTCCTCCTTGTCCTCCTTGTCCTCCTTGTCCTCCTTGTCCTTCTTCCCTTCCATCTTCGCGTTGATGCTGGCGTGTCCTTTGGAGAGCTCCACATCGACGGCTTGGCTCTTTGCATTGCTGTCAGCGACGGCCAGGCTCTCTCTTGTAATTGAAGGTCCTTCTTTTGGGGTCCATGCCTCCTCGTTTTCGTCATTGGCTGGCACTTCACCCCCGGCCGGCTTCACAGTCCCGCTCGTCGATCTCATGGTGCGTCGCGTGGCCATAGCTGACCTAGCAGTGTCCGCCTCTTCTTTCGCTTCTGCTCCTCGCCTCGGGCTCGCACCCTGGCTGTCTGATCGAACGGCAGATCGAGAGGATGCGGCAGTCGCTCGTCGATTGCGCCCACCTCTGACCACTGCCTTCGTCGTTGTCATTGTCGTTGTCGCTGTCGCTATCGTCGTCGTCGTCATCGATGCCGACGGTCGCAGCACGACAAGCTTGCCCTGTGTCGGCCCGTCCTCGCTGACTTTATTGGCGGCAAAGTCTTGCAGCCTGGCAACCATATCGACGTTCTGCGAGGAGGGCAGGTGGAGTAACAGGGTCAGCTGAACGAAGGAGGGATCCAAGGGTGGTCACACGCATTCACCTTTCCGTTTGCCTTGAGTCCCAGCCTCCCACAGAGGCTCACGAGCTGCTGCCGCTTGAGGCAGTGGAGTGCATCGGGGTGCAGCAGGATCTCGTCGTCCTGGCCACTACTGCTGCTGGTGCTGCTACTGCTATTGTTGGAAGTATTCTTCATGGTAAAATATTGGCGGTCCTCGCAGATGTCGGATCCACAGGCTTGTGCCCCTCTCAATGTGCTAGGTCGTTGTCGTCGTCTTTCCCGTCTTGCTGTCTCCTTTTGTTTGTCCTGTCTGGAAGAGCTAGCGCTGCAGTGTTGTAGAACGTCGTTGAGCGAGCCAACACTACTACTACTTTTTTTTTCCTGCAGGTCCGCGCGCACAGACGTCTAACTTGATCAACCGCGTCTCAACACGTGGATTCGAAAAGAGCAGCAGTAGGGCCACGGCTGCACAATCAGATTGGCATAGGAGGAGGGTACAAGCGCCGGGGAAGCCCTGCCAAGCTCAATGTCCATCGCATGGCTGGCAGGCAGGTTATCCTTCCAAGACTTAATCCTGCTGCGTCGCCGGATGGTGTGGTGATGCGAGGAATCCAAGCTGCACGGCACGGCCGTGGCTTTCCTCCACTGCCTTGTTTTAGAGCCCGTTCACTACTACAAGTGGTATAAGTAAAGTAGCACGGCTAGCCAGTTGGAGTTGAAAAGAGAAGAAAGTTTTGGCTGTAAATTGCCCGGCGGATAGAAGAAAGGGTAGGGGGCGATTGCTCGCTCACACGGAAACCACCATCGTGCCCTTCCTTCCGCGTGCACGCACTCGTGTGCATCCGGATCCAAGAGACGGGCGTGGCGCCAGCGTTTGAGAGAGGCGCGGATGTCGTACGAGGTTGCAGGCTGGCTCCGCCCGCCTCCCGAGGCGACGAGAGCGACAAGACAGCGGCATCGGCATGTCGCCGCGGGGGTTCCTTCAAGGCCGGCCCTCTTGGCACTCTCGCCCTTGGAGGGCGCAGGCGAGAGCGAGAGAGGGCCGCCTCCTTTCCAGCTCAGCAGGGCCTCCAAGGACATTGCCTTTGGTTCTGTGAGTCGTTGAAGCGCGACGCATGACCGAAGCGGGCGAGAAAGAGCAAAGGCTGATTGATGGCGTGAACCCTTGCTCTTGGGTCCAGATTGCTGGAATGGTGTCCAAAGTGTTTGAGCATCCCTTGTGAGTCTGTCGCCACCCCTAGACCCCTGCATGCCACTCGACGATAGCGTCCAAGGGCTGACTCGCGCTACTCAATGTCCAATGACAGCGACCTGGTCAAAGTGCGCTTGCAGACGCAATCCGCAGAGGAGCCCATGTATCGGGGGGCTTTCGACTGCTTCCGGCAGACGTATCTCAAGGAAGGCGCAAGGGGCCTCTTTCGGGTAAGTTGCTTCTACCATCCACTTTTCCTCACATGCCTCCCTCCTGTATGCACCCATCGCGCATCTCACGCCCCATGACGCGCCACCCCCGCCACAGGGCCTCTCGATGCCAATCTTTGGTGCAACATTGGAGAATGCGACGCTCTTCTTCACCTACAACTTTGTCCAGGGCCAGCTCCGCCATGCGTCGGGCATGAGCGTGCCGCGGTCGTCCGACGACCAACAGGCCAGCGGCGGCGGCGGCGGCGGCGGCGGCGCTTCGACGTCGTCACTGGACGCCGACGCTGAAAACCCACTGCCGATGAGCTACCTCGCCGTTGCTGCTGCCGCGGCTGGATCGGCGACGAGCCTCGTCTTGACTCCCGTCGAGCTCATCAAGTGCAAGATGCAGGTCCAGATGGTCGCGAGGGAGCTCGAGGTGGTGGCTGCTGCCTCTGCTGCTGCTGCGTCATCAAGCACGGCTTCTTCGTCTCTGGCTTCGCCCAGTGCTACAGTATCAGCAACGGCACCCGGCCAAGCATTGAGTTCTGCCTCTTTTCGAGGCCTAGATGGTCCCGTGAGCCTGTTCATGCGTACGATCCGCGCCGACGGACTCAGGGGTCTCTGGCTTGGCCAGACAGGCACGCTGCTCCGCGAGACGGGCGGCGGCATCGCCTGGTTCCTCGGTTTTGAATGGGCGTGCCGGACGCTCATCACAAGGAAGAGGAAGCTGTGGGGGCGCAACGGTGTCACAAAAAAGGACCTCACCAGCTTGGAGCTCATCGGGGCGGGCGCATTGGCCGGCATCAGCTACAACGTCGTCTTGTTCCCGGTGAGTGCCTGCCACTACCCCTCGTCTTCTTTTGTCTCTGACTTTTCCTCACTCTTGTCTTGCCTCACTTTTCCCTCCAGGCCGACTCGGTCAAGTCGACTATGCAGACCGAGCAGGAGCTTCGTGGTCACCAGCCCGGCTTTAAACGATCCGGCTTCTTCCAGACGTTCCGCCACATCTATGCGACACGGGGTCTCCGAGGTCTCTATGCTGGATGCGCAGTGACCTGTATGCGCAGCGCGCCCAGCAGCGCTCTGATTTTGTGAGTCCTCCTCCTTCTTCCCCCCTCCTTGCTACCGTCGGCCTTCCAACTGGGCCAAGACAAGCTTTGGGCAGCGGCAGCTGACCGTGTCCAAACAGCCTCATGTACAACAAACTCGAAGCACTGGCCGACAAGCATGGGATATGATATAGAAGTCGCTCCATGGCACTGCACAGCAATTTACATTCATATTTGCAAATATACATTATTACAAGGGAGTACTGTAGAGATTCGATGATCGCAAGGCGAGGTAAGTGGTTGCGACGAGGGGCGTCAAGAGGCAGAGAGCAAGCACGGCGCCTGCCTCTTTCATCAGTGCAAAGTAGTCGTCTCGCATCCGTTGGCCCTCGGCAATGTCCAAGTGGACGTGGCTGGCGTCTTCCCACGAGATCTTTTGCTCGCCCCGGAGCTCGTATGTGGTTCTCTTTCCCCCCTTTCCCGGCACCATGCCTGCCATGGTGAAATCCGTCAGACGCCTCAGGACCTCCTTGGCATTGTGCCTTAGAGCCGAGCCCCACGCCCTGCGGGGATAGTACCTGGCAAAGAGCGGGGGCTGGGCCAGGACAAAGAGCTGGAGACGCATGGCCCAGTACTGCCTCGTCGTCATGCCGGGCAGCTCCACGGCGCTGGCGAGGGCATCGCCGAGAAGATGGCGAGCGATGGCGCAGTGCGACCCAAACGACATGCCCCGCGGTGGACGTTCGGCAATCGAGTAGAGGAGGGGCAGCGCAGGGCCACGCATTCCCCCCTTTAGGTATCGCCCCACGTCTTGCCGCCGACGCACGCTGGGCGGGAGGGGGGCAGGCGCCGGCATCCTCTTGCGCGCAGTGACGGGCAAGAAGTGGTGCGAGGCGACCGAGGCAAAGAAACGCTCTGCCGAATCAACATCGCGGAAGCATCGACGCAGCAGCCGCGGCTCGATGCCCATGTAGTAGCCGACGTGGCGCCAGAGGGCGACGTAGTCTTGGCGCTCCTGCTGCGTTGGATTGAGACCCATGCGCTGCAGCGACCAGAGCGGGGCGGTGGAGAAGGAGCACAGGGTAGCGAGGAGATCCTCCTGGTTGATGGGCACGCCCGCTGTCGAGACATCGTACGACGAGGCGAGATTGCCCTTGGTCAGCCTCCTGCGGACCATGGCATGGATGAAGCGCACGCGAGTGGCCGAGAGCCAGCCTGCGCCACTCCGGGAGAGCACGTCGACGGCGTCGGTCTGCTGCTGCCGCCTCGTCGTCGAGGGCGTCGAAAGCGAGTCGTCGCTGTCCATGACATCGAGGACGAACTGCGACGTTTCGAGGAGCCGCTTGAACGTTCGTTCAGCCGCCGCTTCCGAGGGCACCTGCCCCTCTTCGCCGCTCTTTGACGAGGGCTGAAAGTACATGGGGTGCCGCCGACGCTCCTCTTCCTCGTTGGCCACGGCTTGGGCCACCGTCTCGATGCCGAAGCCTAGCCGTTCGTCTGCATTCTTCGGCTTGCTTGCCCGCCTTTCCTTGCTGGGCGGTACCAGATAGCCCGTGGCACGCAGCACCGTCATGATCCTTGGACTGGCAAACCCACCGGCGAGGCCGGCATGGAGCATTGCGATGAGGAGCGGGGGACCGTACCGGTAAAACATCTCCTTGCCACGCTTCAGCACCCTCGCCTCCTCCTCCAGCTCAGCCGGCGTCGGAACATGATCCTCCTCGTCCTCCTCTTCTGCATCGTCAAAGTCGATGCTGTTGATGGCCGCATGCACCTCCTCGAAGCCACCCTTGGCAATTTTGAGGCCATTCTCTCTGTACCACTCGACACTCACGGCGCCGCAGCCCCTCGGCGGTCTCCGGTCGATGGACTTCCAGAAGCGCCTCAGCGTCTCGTCGTCTTCCTCTTCCTTCTCCTGCTCTCCATCGGTATTGCTGTTCTCCTCCTTCCCTGACTTGGTCAACGACTCCACCACGGCCTGGAGGGGATCGCGCCGATCAGGCGACGGTGCACGACGAGCGAGGGCGTCAAGGACCTCATCGGCTGGCTTGTCGGATCGATCCCTCCACCTTGATGACCATGATGACAAAGATGTTGATGATGAAGATCAGCGACCGCGACTGCCATTGTGTGCCACAGCACAGAAAGGGCTCACCTCTCGAGTACCGTCAGGTCGATGCAGTCCTCGTCCCACACGACGACCCTGTCCCAGATGCGGACAATGTCTCCCTTGGCAGGCCGGTCGCCCTTGACCCAATCGTACTCGTCGTCGTCGCGAATCTGAGCTGCGAGCTTGCTCGGCGTGACGCCCCTCTCCCTGGCCAGCTGCGTCCACGCCCACCTTGCCCGAAGGCGGGACAGAGGAGAAAGGACCGAAGAGCGGGGGTGAGGACAGTCTCGACCCTTGGACGAAGGAAGCAGCAGAACCACGACGTCTGGCTCGCCGGGTACCATGTTCAAGTGGCACGCCTGATACAGACCCCACGCAATGAGACCGACCGCCGACGAGCCTGCGAGCAGCCACAGCATCGGGGCGGGAGATGTCAGCGTCATTGTCATCGTTGGTGGCGATGACAATGCTCTACCCCACCCTGGGTCCGGCCTTTTTTATATTGTAAGGTAAGCGAGACCGGCAAACGGCGGCAAGCTCCCCCTGGGTCCCTAACCCATAGTGTGTGTCCCTAGCGGGTGGAACAAAAATAAATACCCGAGTCCCGACCAGGCCAGTGAAGCTTCGAAGAGGACATGAAGAGAGCGAGCCCGAATCCCGACAAGAAGCAGCTGCCTGCTTCTTCGTTCGACCTCTGGTCCGTGCCCAGCGTCCGTCAGCGTCAACTCTTCCTTCGTTGAGGCAAACTCTTGCCGGTCTAACTTGCCGCGGGTCGACAAAGACGATGCCGCCGATTCCGTTCCAACCGTCGCACAAGTCGCCCTTCAAGAGCACCCTGTCCACGTCCCAGCAGGGACGCAGACGCTCCGACCAGACCCAGGCCCTGACGGGCCCGGCAACTAGCCAGGGCCACGAGGGACCACCGAGCAGCATCGACCCTGCACTGCTGAATCCTGATGACTGGACGCTTCTCGCAGAGGGCGCAAAGAATCTCTTGCTGCGGTACAAGGGCCCAAGTCGATTCCCGTTTGTACACAGCTCTTCCACGGGGACAGGCGACGAAGCGAGAGTTGCGCTGAGAATTCCTAAGCGAGACAGAGGGTCGTCGTCATCATCATCTTCGTCATCAACAGCAGCTAAGAAGACGGATAGCGAAGAAGATGATGGCAGCCTAGACGCACTACAATGGAGGCGCACAGTCATTGAACCGCTTCTGGCTCCCCTGTCGATGTCATCCCTTCTTCCACCGCTCTTTCCCGTCGTCGTTGCGGGCGACGAGCAGCGGGCCAAACTCCGAGCCTTTCTCGACGTCATGGCGTCGAGAATCGAGGTGCTGCGAAAGATGGAGAGGCGCAAAGCCTCGGGCATTGATACCGGGGACCAAGCTCTCGACTGTATCTGGGCGACGCAGGACCTGAGCGCAGGGAACCACCGTGGAGACGTCTATGCATTTGAGATTAAGGTGCGGTGCCTACTTACCAAGCGTCCCAGGATTTCTCATTTAGCTGACCGAGACTTTTTCATTCGCTACAGCCCAAGTGCGGCTTCAGACCCCAAGGCAAAAATCTTTCGGACGAGAGCCGAGCACCCAAGACGCAGCATTCTCGCTACAAGATGCACCGGATCCTCAAGCAGGCAAAGGGAGGGGACAAGAAGCCCTTTTCGAGGCAAGAGTGGGAGGGTCTCTTTGATCCTTTGGACCTGTTTAGTGGCCAATCTGCGCGGGTGGATCGCGCCATCGAGTCGCTGTGGTCGGACTGGAAGCAGCCCTCGAGAACGGAGGAGAGGACTAACCTGTGCGTCTTTCGAAACGGCGTGGCACTGCAGCCGGAGCAATTACAGCAGCAGCAGCAGCAGCAGCACAACGTCCTCTTCTCTCACTTTCGGCAGATTGTTAAGAGCGCGGCTGTCGAGCGCGTTCTCAAGCACCTTGTCGAGCTCCAGCACGTATTTGATCAGAGCGACATTGAGGGAGTCGCGAAAAGGTGGCAAGAGGAGATCGGGACGCCGTTTGGCGTGGGAACCGAGCACGGCCCCGCAGCTGAGGTGATGAGGGCCGCCTCGCTGGCGGAATATGCCGAGGCTGTCCAGCGTGGACTCCACCGTCTGTCCACGCCAGGAGGGCAACCAGCGTCAGGATCCTCGTCGACGACAGCGACGAGTCTCAGGCAAGACATTGTGGACCTGCTCCTGTCGGCCATGTGGAAGGACTGCAGCCTGTTCTTGCGCTCGGACGAGGGGTCAGGCGAGTTAAAGGTACATCTGGTCGATTTAGACCCGAAAAGCATCGAGAAGCTCCGACACTGGAAGCAGCTCGATGAGGATGTCGTTGCTGCCTACAAAGCTTGGTCAGAATCACTTGCTGCGTGAGTGGCAAAAAGCATGATAACACAGCAGCAGGGTGTATGTACTGTAGATATGATGAAATGGAGCAACATTCTTGGATACAGCACAGAGAGTTGTTACGACGGTGCCAACCGCAAGGACGCCTCGGCACCCAGCAGGCTCTTGTCGATGGCCAGAGCGCCGCTGTGCCATCCCGCAAAGGCAAGGTCAAAGACAAACTTGGTCTCTCCACCCCGCTCAGCGTCTACGGCCCCGGATGCGCCGAGATCCGGGCTGCTGGAGCCGACTTCGAGTCCTCGAAAGCCGAAGCGGACCGGTGTGGGCTGCCGTGTGGGTCCGAGCGGGAGCACTCGCTGCTTGAGCCGTTTTCTCCAGAAGTCGTGCATCCTGAGCCTCTCCCCTCTTGGCCCCTCCTCTCGCTCCGTCTCGCTGTTGCGCTGCTGTTGCTGCTGCCGAATGCGATTCTCGAGGATTGTGTGTGCCTCTTCTTCTTCTGCCTCGTCCCTGGTTCTTGGGATTTGAGCAGGTACGGAAAACACATCATTGTTCTCCTCGTTGTCGCTCCGTGGCGGAGGAGAGACCAGCCACCTCGAGCTTTGACGCAGCCTCGAAAAGATGCCAGTGCCGCGCGAGGCAGCAGATGCCCTCGATGAGGCAGCCGCAGCTGCGGCAGCCGAATCCCCAACAAAGGGAGAAGGAGGAGTAGCGAATTGGCCAGAGATGAGCGACGGCGCATTGCGATGATGTGGAATCGAGTCCCACGTCCCCAGGGCCCCATTCGACCATGCGCCCCAGGCCAGCACCCTGCCGTCTCTCGTCAGGGCGCCCGTGTGCCAATCGCCATGAGTCTGCCGGGAGAGATCCAATGAGTAGGTACTTTTCAGATGCTGCTCTTCTTTTCAAACCAAGCAAAGGAGAGCAACTCACCACCTTGATGACCTCCTGACCCTGCAGCCTGGCATGCACCACGGGCCGACTCTCTGCTGTCGCATCGCTGGAACCCAGGAGGACAATGCCCTTGGGTTTGTCGCCGCCCTCTTTGCTGCTCTGCCCTTCGTACTGCTCGCCAGAGTCTGGCGCATACACGGCAAAGGAACGAAACTGGGCCGTAATGTGCGTGATTTTCGTCTTGTCGTCGACGAGATGCTTGAATCTCTCCATGTTCCAAATGTTCCTTTGACCTCGTCCAGCTCCAATTGCGTTGAAACCATCGTCTCCTTCTTCTTCCTCGTCGCTCCCACTGGCATCCTCGTCGCCGCTGTCGACCTCTGAGACTGCACCGGCGCCTGAAACTCGAATGTCTTTTGGGATGCAAAAGTTGGGCAGAAGCTTCCACTCGAGCCGGAAGCTCTGGGTAACGACGAGATTGCGCAGCTGGTCCGGATCCCTCCTCGACGTCAAGTAGAGGTGGTAGACTTTTCCCGAGTGTGAGAGGGCAACGATGAAGTTTTCCCCGGCGGCCACCTTGACGATTTGCTCGGGGATATGCGGGAGTGCGACGACGGGCAGATCGAGAACGCCGTTGGCCGCTTCGTCGTCGGGGGCCGCAGCCCAGTCCATGTCCCAAAGGACGAGATGCGTCTGCGCTCCTGCCAACTCTTCGTCTCCCGGATCGTCTTGCTGGTGGACGACATCATCGAACTGCCCCGCGCGACGGGGCGTCTCACGGATCAGGGCCACCGTGAAGTCCCAGCCCGCTTCTACCTGAAGCATCTTGAAAGTGGAAGAGGGAGTTGAGGATGACGCTTGTCCTGCAAGACCAGCCTTGACGACCAATGACTGGATGGTGAGGCAGTGGACCTGGTCCCAGGTATCCCACCACTGCCAGATGTCGCCGTCGCGCGTCTGCGCCACCAATGAGCTCCTGCCTACTGAGAGCGTCTTTGCCCTTGCACTGCCCATATCCAGCAGCGTTGGGTGAGGAAAGGTGCGATAAGCGCCGTCTGATGCGGTTTCTTCTCGCTCGTTTGCGCTACCCCAAGCCAGGATACGACCCTCTGTGGTGAGAGCGAAGAAGGACCAGCCGCCTGCATGGAGCTGAACTGGCACGCCCACCTCGCCCTCTGGTGCTCCGTCTGACAGTTGCCCATTCGAGAATTGATGTGGCGAAGTGACATCGAGCTTGATGGGAAAGGCGATGCCATTGCACTTCTGCCTGAGAGCGCGGATGTGGTCCTCTCCCTGCCAGGCGCTTCCCAATCGGTGATTCCTGGTATCGCCCCAGACATAGACCTCTGGATTGCTCAGTCCCTTGTAGAGGTCCTGCCAGCCAGTCTGGCGTGCGGTGGCCGTCGAGACGGGGAAGTGGTAATCGTCTGCGATGAGGCGACGCCACAGGACCTGATCGTCGACGACGGCGCGCAGCTCTCTGCTGACGAGTCTCAGCCGGACAAGGGAGCGGAGATCAAGGCGAGGGAGCACATTGTCGACGAGAAGCTGGTAGGGAAGCGAAAAGAGACCGCTTTCCATCTTGCTCTCTGCTCCCCTCCGCGTCTAGACTGGCTTTGTTGGTGAGAGAGAACGGAAGAGAGAGAGAGAGTGTGTGTGTCTGTGGGTCCGAGCCAGAGAGACAAGGACGAGATGTGCAATCTGAGCTTTGAGGCTGAAGGAAAGCGCAGACTTGGTCCGTGCATGCCCCTCTCCCCTCTTTTCCACGAGGTCAGCTCTCACTGACCGCTCCTTTGCCCATGCGCTGCCTTCATTCACAGCTTGGACCCCATTCGCCGTCGTGATCCCAAAGCAGCATTTTGATCATGCTAAGTTAGAGCTGCCCTCGAGAGGAAGAAGTAGTAGCAGCAGAAGAAGACGAGAGAGTGCTTGAAGCGCCTTCCCATATGAGGAGCCCCGACCAATAAGGAGGACCGCGTTTGTCCCATGACCGAATCGGCCGACTGATTTTCCAATAACCTGCTTCCCGGCTTGTGAGAGACTCAAAAAAAAGTCAAATTTTCGCAGGAAGAAAAAAAAGGGCAGCCCTCGACGTGTGACTAGGCCGCACTACGACGACGCCGACGACGACGAAGACGACAACGACGATGGTTGCTGCTCGACGGTTGCCCATGGCCATGCCGTCGCTGCTCGCGCGACGTGCGATGCCATCAACTGCCAGGCTTGGACTGCAGCAGCAGCAGCAGCAGCAGCTTGGACTTCACACGACGGCCCGTTGGCTCGCGCGACCGCCGCCAGGCGAGCTGAACCGGCACAGCCGCAAGGTGACGCTGCCAAAGGACCAGGGCGCGTCGCAGGCCATGCTCTACGCCACGCCCTCGATCGAGACGGACGAGGACCTGACGAGGGCGATGGTGGGCGTCGCCTCGGTCTGGTACGAGGGCAACCCCTGCAACGCCCACCTGCTCAAGGTTGGCCAGCGCATCAAGCAGAGCGTGCACGACGCCGGTCTCACGGGCTACCAGTTTGGCACCGTGGGTGTCAGTGACGGCATCTCGATGGGCACCGATGCGATGTCCTACTCGCTGCCCTCGCGCGACCTGATTGCCGACTCGGTCGAGAGCGCGGCCGGCGGACACTGGCTCGACGGCATGGTCGTCGTCCCCGGCTGCGACAAGAACATGCCGGGTGTGCTCATCGCCCTGGGTCGCCTCAACCGGCCGGGTATCATGGTCTACGGCGGCACCATCCGGCCAGGGTCCTGCGCGAGCATCCCGGGCACGCTCGACATTGTCAGCGCCTTCCAGAGCTACGGCCAGTACCTTGCCGAGGGAGGCACGCCCGACGCCGAAAAGAAGCGCTACGACACGATCCGCAACGCCTGCCCCGGTGCAGGCGCATGCGGCGGCATGTACACGGCCAACACGATTGCCTCGTGCGCAGAGGTGATGGGCATGACGCTGCCCGGCTCCTCGAGCTTCCCGGCCGAGTACCAGGAGAAGATCGACGAGTGTGCGACGGTGGGCCCAGCGATGCGCAACCTGCTCGAGCTGAACCTCAAGCCGCGCGACATTATGACAAAGGGCGCATTTGAAGACGCCATGGTGCTCACCATGGTCCTGGGCGGCAGCACCAATGCAGTTCTGCATCTGCTTGCCATTGCTCACAGCGTCGGCGTCGAGCTGACCATCGACGACTTCCAGCGCGTGAGCGATGCGACACCGTTCTTGGCCGATCTCAAGCCGAGCGGCAAGTACGTGATGGAGGATGTGTACAAGATCCTGGGCGGCATTCCCACCGTGGTGCAGTACCTCATCGAACGGGGCCTCATCAAGGGCGAGCACCTCACCGTGACGGGCAAGACGCTGGCCGAGAACTGCGACCGATGGACGCACGAGCGCGGCAAGCTGTCGGCCAACCAGGACGTGCTGCGACCGCTAGAGAAGCCGCTGAAGCCGACGGGTCACATTCGCATCCTCAAGGGCAACCTCGCGCCCGGTGGTGCCGTTGCCAAGATTACGGGCAAGGAGGGCCTGCACTTTACGGGCAAGGCCCGCGTATTTGACACCGAGGATGCCATGGTGGCCGCCGTCGAGCGGGGCGAGATCAAAAAGGGAGAAAAGACGGTGATTGTGCTGCGCTACAAGGGCCCCAAGGGCGGGCCGGGCATGCCCGAGATGCTCAAGCCGACGAGCCTCATCATGGGCGCCGGCCTGGGCATGGACGTCGCCTGCCTCACCGACGGCCGTTTCAGCGGCGGCTCCCACGGCTTTGTCATTGGCCACGTCGTGCCCGAGGCCCAGGTCGGTGGGCCCATTGCCCTCGTGCGCGACGGCGACGTGATTGCCATTGACGCAGAGACCAACACCCTCGAGGTCGTCGGCGTCTCCGACGACGAGCTCGCCGAGCGACGCCGCCACTGGACGCCGCTGCCCGTCAAGCCAACGCAGGGCACCCTGCTCAAGTACGTGCGCGATGTCAGCGATGCCAGCAACGGCTGTGTGACGGACCTGTGATTTCCCTCCTCCTTTCACCCTTGTACTCTGTCCTCTCTTCTTTCTCTTTCTCTCATCTTTCTCTTTTCACTTTGGCAATTTGATAGAAAAGGCTGCATTCACTGCTACCACCGTCACTGCTACTGCTGCTACTACTACTACTACTACTACTACTACTACTACTACTACTCCTACGAGGGTGTTTGAGGGCAAGATTGATAATCACACCTTGATGGTGTATGCGCCGGGCACCTTCCAGTCGTCGAACCTAAAGTCAGCGCCCCACTGTGAGAGATGCAGGAGAAAGAGAGAGAGAGAAAGAGAGATGGGTCAGCAAGGGGAAGAGGAGCATAAGGAGGATTCAGACGACGCACAGCAGGCATACCAAAGCGCTTCTGCTTGCCAGATCCCTGGTAGATCTCGTTGAGCTTGCGCATGTCGTCTTCGTCGAGGGCGACAAAGGTTGCGTTGCTCTCGATCCGGCTCGGCGTCACGCTCTTTGGCAGCACGGCGACGCCCCGCTGGGCGCCCCAGGAAATGACGACTTGGGCCGGGTCGCAGCCCTTGCTCTTTGCAATCGCCTGCACCGCGTCCTCCTGCAGCAGCGGGCTGCCCGTCGAGCCGAGGGGCGAGTAGGCCTCGCAGACGATGCCCTTGGCCTGGCAGAAGCGGACGAGGTCGTGCTGAGGCAGGTAGGGGTGCAGCTCAATCTGGTTGGCGGCGGGCACGACCTTGACCTTGGGGAGCAGCTCCTCGAGCAGGGCCTGCGAGGCATTGGAGATGCCAATCGCCTTTGCCTTGCCAGACTCGTACACCTTTTCCATGTCGGCCCACGTCTCGCTCAGCTTGCGTTCCTGGTCGAGCATCCGCTTGCCGTTCTCGTCCACGGGAATCTTCTCCTCGCCTCGGACCACGAGGGGGACAGGCCAGTGAATCTGAACGCATACATACTCGATCAGTGGTCCGACTCTATGTGATGTGAGTGACAGGCAAAGGCAAAGGACAACACGCACCAGGAGCAGGTCGACATAGTCGAGGCCAAGCTTCTTGAGCGAGTCGTCGAGGCCCTCTTCGACGCGGCGGTGGTAGGTGCCCCAGATCTTTGTGGTGATGAAGATGTCCTTGCGCGGCACGCCAGAGTTGCGGATGCCCACGGCCACCTCCTGCTCGTTGCCGTACATCCAGGCGCAGTCAATCTGCCAAGGTATCGGCGGATTAGTCTTGTTTGGACAGCGTATTCAAAAGGTGAAAGGGCCTCGTCTCCTCTACTCACATGCCTGTAGCCTGCCTTGAGGGCGGCCTCGACGGCCTTTTCAACCTGGCCAGCAGGGCTCTGCCACGTTCCAAAGCCAAGCACAGGAATCTCGTTGCCCGTGTTAAGCTTCAGCGTCTTGGTGCCCGCTGGGACAGAGGAGTAGGTGCTTGCCATGTTTGTTACTTAATTGGGGAAGTGAAGGAAGAGGAAGAGGAAGAGGAAGGGAAGGAGGAAGGGTGGGGGAGGGGGGAAGAAGGAGCGTCTTGATTTATGGCCGCCCGTGGCCCTCTCTCTCCCCCGCGTTGATGTCCACGTCCACAGTCGGACCGAGCGCGTGCCTGCCTGGGTGTGCCATTGCAGTAGTCAACCCATCGGAATCCAACTTGGGAAGAAGAGGAAGAAGAAAAGCCACGCGTCTCCCAGCTCAGCTCAAGGAATCAATATTAACAAAGGGAAGCGAACAAAGTGACACAACGCTGAGGGAAGCAAGCGAAGCAAGCCAGACTCGACAAGGAGCAAGATCGAGACGGCCATGTCAAGCTCGCAGGAGGGCGGTACCGGTACCAAAGGGTCGGCAAAGGCAGCGGGCGGTCCCTCTGAGGGCATGTTCCAGAGACGCTTTCCCAGGCTCAGTGCCACCTTTGCCCGCTACCAGTCGAGCAGGTTGGGGCGCATTGGCGCGACGGCGTGGACACGGAGAAGGCCCATCTTCTTTGGCCTGGCCATCACCTATGGCGTCTTCAACTACGCCGTCATTCGCTCAGAGGCATAGTGGGTTGTCTCCTCTTTTCAGGTGGGAAGCCAGGCAGAATCATTGACGCTGATCCCTCCCCCCTCTCTCTCTCTCTCTCTCCACACCTCATCTCCCAGTGTTCGCGATTATATTCACCCAGATGTGAGTAGTGGTGGTAGTGGTCGTGCTTTCTTCCCTTGACTGGGGCTGACATGCGGTTTCGCAGACATGGCTCGTCCTCAAAGTCTACCCAGGCTCCATCGTCGAATGCCGCTCGGCACCCAACCTGGCTGCGCTCCTTAACTCGCCCAGCAGTGGCGAAGATGCACCGCGGGTGATGGAGCTCTTTGAGCTGACACGGGCCCTCAAGCTTGCCCAGGCCGACACTCGCGTCAGGGGCCTCTTTGCCGACTTCTCTGGCCTCCATGTCCCTTCGAATGTGACGCCCGAGTCGCTGGGAATGGGCCAGCTCGAGGAGCTCGTCCAGGCTGTGCACGAGTTCAAGCTGGCCAAGAACGAGCAAATGGCTGCGCTGGCCGAGGCTGAGCGTGCCATCACTGCCAGCGACGACAACGGAGAACTACAGCTTGCCAAGAAGGCTGGGGCTGGAGTGCAGCAGCAGCAGCAGCAGAAGGATGGCCCAGATGAACGTGAGCAGCGGGCGACCGCAGCAGAAGAGGCCAATGTCGTAAAAGGAGTCCTGGCAACGGCAGGAGAGGACGGCAAGGCAGAAGAAAGCACAGACACGCTGCCGACGACGATCGCTTGGGCAGACTCGTTTGACAGCCAGGGTGCCTATCTGCTGGCCAGCGCATTCGACCACGTCTACCTCCAGCCAAGTGGCGAGGTGCCGCTGACGGGTGTGGCAGCCCAGCTTCCCTTTGTCAAGCGTGCCCTCGACTGGCTCGGCATAAAGGTCCACGCAGAGGCCAGGAGAGAGTACAAGTCAATGGTGAGCCAAATTTCTCATCGCATCGCATAGCAACAGAACAGTCGTCTTACCCTACCCTTTCCTACTTCAACGAGCAGATCTCGACCTTTACCCAGAGCGAGTCGCTGCCACCGGCGCAGCTCGACAATGAAGCACACCTGTTGGGCGAGCTGAGCAAGAGCCTGGCCTACGCCATTGGCGTCAACCGCTTTCCACACATGGATCCCGACGAGGCAGCCGACTTGGTCGCCGACCTTACGAAACGCGGGCCTTTTTCCGCCAAGGAGGCCGCCGAGCTGGGCCTCATCACTGGCGTGCGCTACAAGCGCGAGATCGTCCGCCTCTTTGGCGAGGAACCGCACCTGCGCAGCGTCGCCTCGTACAGCCGCATCTACGACAAGGTGCTCGACAAGACGCTCAGCGACGACGAGAAGACGGCCGTCGCCGTCGTGTACCTCCGAGGCACCATTTCCAATGCTCCCGGCGACTTTTCGGCATCGTCGTGCATCCGCGGGCTCAAGGAGGCAGGCGAAGACGAAGAGATAGGCGCCATTGTCCTCCGCATCGACTCGGGCGGCGGCGACGTCGTGGCTAGCGACTCGATCTGGGATGCCGTCAAGCGCGTTCAGGAAGACTATGGAAAGCCTGTGATCGCCTCCTTTGGCAACGCCAGCGCTTCCGGTGGCTACTACGCTGCTGCGGGTGCCGATGCCATCCTCGCCAACGAGTCGACCATCACGGGCTCCATCGGCGTCGCCAGTCTCCGCCCGACGGTCACGCGCACCTTTTTCGACCGGCTCGGTGTCACGATGCAGACGATCTACACCGGCTCCAAGCAGCAGAGCTCCCTCCACGAGCTCGAGCCTGAGCAGAAGGAGAGGCAGTCCAAGCACATCGACGAGACCTACGACTCCTTTCTGGTGAGTTTGACCGACCAGCATACAGGTCAAAGAAATGGATAAGCTGGGGCTGTTGGCTGACAGGAGAGGCAAATGCTTAGGACAAGGTCTGCGAAGGACGCAAGATTTCCAAGGACGTCATCGAAGAGCTCGCTGGAGGAAGAGTGTGGACCGGCCTTTCGGCTTGGGAGAAATGCAACCCAGACCATGGCCACGGCGACGCAGCAAAGGCGGTAGACGGCGAAGAGAGTATAGATAAAGACAAGGACAAAGAGGAGAAGGGAAAGAAGACGGCAAAGCAGGGAGAACGGGCAGGAAAAGTCCATGAAAATGGTATCAAGGCCATCAGCCTTACGAGTCGGTGGCTGACCCGAGAAGTGACGAGGAACGGCGAGATGTCGACCTACCGCATCTACCAACAACCTTCCACGGATGGCAAGAACGAGGAGGAGCAGGATGGCCAGGGCTGGGCTCAAGGTGCATCGGGTGAAATCGACACAACGAGCGATGACGAAGAGACGCAAGAGGCCATCCGCGAATTCAGCATGGCCGCTGCAAATTCGAATGAGGAAGAAGTCGCGACACAACAGCAGCAAGTTGTCGCCCACTCGCCTATGGAACAGGGCGAGAAAGCATCCTCGGTAGATGAGGAGGAGGAGTGGCTATCCCTTCTTGCTGCCGCTGCACACGAAGAAGCTGCGAATTCATCTTCCATCGTCCAAAACGGAAAGGCGAGCAATGCGCGAGAAAAAGCAGAGGAGCCGCTGGGACCCTATGGCCGAGGTCTGATCGACTCAATTGGCGGCCTCTGGTCAGCAGGGTGCATGGCCATGTCGATGGCGTTCCAGCGCGAGGTGGAGGAGCTGATCAGGTCTGGCATGACGATGGAACAAGCGGGCGCGGCCGTGCGGCCAGGATGCCGACGAGACGTAGACGAGAAGGGTAACGTATCGCTCTCGAGCGACCTCCAACTGGTGCGCTACCCGAGGGAACGGACATTCCGAGAGCGCATCCGAAAGATCAACCGGGAAGGGGACAAACCCAACCTGAGCATGGGCCTCGGCTACCTTTTGCCCTCGATGGATGCCATCAGGGTCGAGCTGGGCAGCATGGCTGCAAGGGCCGCCGTGAGAATTCTTGCCTCGACGTGGACGGACCCGCAGATGGTGCAGCATCTCATCGCACAGGTGCAGAAAGAAGGGGGGTTGGGACAAGCTAGAATGAAGGCCGAGTACGAATACAGCGGCATCAGTACTGGAATCTAAGCAGTAGTAGTAGCGCGCAGTGTGCTTCATTCATCATTGTAGAATGCTCTTTTGACAACAATTTCACATCTCAGCTGCAAGACTTGCACAGAGGAGGCTCGCCGACGACTGTAGGAGGCTTCTTGCTCCTCTTCGTCCTTCGAATCTTTGAAAGTGTGTGAAGAGAACTGGGAGAGCATGCATCCCCCGGCGAATCCCTTTCGACGACTGAGAGGCGAGGGAGTCAAGTACTCTAATTCAGAGACGCGCCACGTGGTCGAGTATGTTCATCCTCGCTCATTTTTCTCAAAGTTCACCTCGTCGACGAGGCTTCTTCCGGCAGTGCATCTTAGGTCCTACTGGTCCCTGCCGTACTCTTCTGTGGAGAACAACACACAGGATTTCGGGGAAAGCATGGCCGCCAAGAGCAAAGCAAGGTGAGCTCGCCCCCTACTTACCTTTCTTTTTCTCTGCCCACAGCAAATTGACTGTATCCCGATCCACCTTCTCAACTTTCCCCTTTCTTGTCTACTTCTTGTCGTTGAACAGAGTGATCATCGCCCGGCTCGTTTCGACGGCAGGTACGGGCTACATCTACACGACCCGGCGGCTCCGCCTTGCGGACCGCCTGTCAATGATCAAGTACGACCCCAGAGGTGAGTCACCCTTGATGCCCCACCCCCCTTTCGATTCGGGCATGCGCTGCGCGGGCACCGAGTATATGCTGCAGGTGCAAGAAAAGATCACTGATGCCCTTTTTGTTCACGGTGGACAGTCCGAAGACATGTCTTGTTTCAAGAGACGAAGGGTTCAAAGTAGGCGAGAGGGGCGATGCAGAGGAATCTGGGACGCAAGACCGGGGATGCAAGACCGGGTCTGCCGCGCGCGATGCCATGAAGTGATGGAGACGAGGAGAGGATGAGGAAAGAAGAGGAGTCGCCTCGAGGAAGAGGGGAGGACTGGGCATTCCCTGTACCATAGAGTTTCTTTTTACAAACATTTAGTCTCTTTGCCATCATCTTGACTTGCCATCATCTTCACCGGGCCTCAAATACGAGAAGAAGAGAAAGAAATCACCACGCGTGCTGAATGTCGATGTCGGAAAAAAAGCAGAGAGCAAGCATGCTCTCTCTACACACGACGACGACGAGATGACGACTGAAGCGCGCTCGCTCTCCACAATGCACAGACAGGGACAGGCGCCGAGGAATTGGGTCTGCAGACAATAGAGCAGGAGAAGCAGAGGCGCACCTGGCAAGACTGACAGGCCAAGCAGGCACAAATACAGATGTCTAGTTGTACTGCACTTTAGTTTCACATGTATCTGGGCAGAGCTGAGATGAATAAGGTAACAATAGTGATGTTTACAAAGCATGCAAGGCCAGGAAGGAGAGATGGTGAGCTGTCGGTCGCTGTCTCTGCTCACAACCTGTCCTTTGCTGCTCCTTCATCTTTTGTTGTGGACTCGGACCCACTAAAGGCCAGGTCCTTTTCGAGGTCTTTGATGGGCGCCTCTTCCGATGCGCCCTGGCCCGCCGCAGGTCCCTCGGCGGCCATGATGGCAACAGCATCCGCCCGTCCGGACGCTGCCTCAATGTCCCCAGGCTTCTGTCCACTTTTCTCAGCATCGTTGTGATTGACTGTCTTGCGGTTGAGGCTGTACCCTTTCATGCCCAACGTAGCCAAGAAGCCGATGCCCACGATGGGCGTAAAGATGATCCACACGAGCCGGAGGGCCTGCGCGTAGGCGTCAATCACCTCCGTTCTGAGATCGGCCGGTTGGATGTGTACGAGGTCCCTCAGATTCGATGACGGGTTGTTTCCGGGTACATTGTAGCCTGAAATCTTGGCAATGCGCTGGAGCACGTTGGAATTGAAGATGCTGCCGGCCACGGTGATGCCGATTGTGCCAGACGCATTGCGGGTCAAGGCCATGGCCGATGTCGATGTCGCCATCTGCGACGCAGGCATCGCGGCCGTCAATGCAATGAGGGGCGTCTGAAAGATGCACCCGAGTCCAATGGCGGGAATGAGAATGTAGATCTCCTGAAGCGCCGTCGACGTGTTGGCGTCAAGCATTGTCATGAGGCCCATGCCGAGCGTGTAGATCGCATACGACACCCAAAGAACAGGGCGGTAGGCCTTTGTTTTTGTTACAATAAGGCCGCTCAGCACTGATGTGACCGACGCGACGAGGGAGAAGGGAAGCATTTGAACGGCAGACATTGTCGACGTCGAGCCGTGGATACTGCAAAGAGGGATGAGGCAGTCATCGTCAGCAATGGAGCTCCTCTGAAGAGGATAGGATGTGATACGCACGCCTGGAAATAGACGGGGAGCATGTAGGTCATGGCGAAAAAAGGCGCACCGTGGCAGAAGACAAGGACAAGGACGAGGAGCGTGGTTCTCGTCCGGAAAAGCCTCGGCGGGATGATAGCCTTGACGTGCGGCCAGCGCTTTTCGGCGTAGAACTCCCAGGCGACAAAGATGGGAAAGAAGGCGCCTCCGACGGCGATGAGAATGGCCGTCTTGGGCGCATTGAAGCCGTCCGTCTCTGCGGAAGCGAAGCCAAGAAGGAAAACGACGATGGCAATGAGGATAAGAAGGTAACCGATCTTGTCGAACTCGCGCCAATATTGGCGGAGCGAGCGTGGGGGCGTCGGATTAAGGTGGAGATGAAAGAAGAGAATGGCAAAGGCCAACCCACCGATGGGAAGGTTGATGAAGAAGCACCAGCGCCAGCTCGTGTTGTCCGCAATGGCACCGCCGATGATGGGACCCGTGACGGAAGCCAATCCCCACGTTGTTCCAAAGAGACCCGCAAATGTGCCACGCTTGTTCAACGGCACCAAATCACCAACAAGGATGTTGGTGAGGCCAACGACACCACCGGCTCCAACGCCCTGGAGGCCTCTGCAGATGTTGAGCCACGTCATGTTCTGCGCCGCGCCGCACAGAGCCGAGCCGAGGAGGAAGACGGTGATGGCGAACCAGAGAACCGGCTTGCGACCCGTCAGGTCCGACAGACGACCGTAGCAAGGAATTGTCGCCGTTGCAGTGAGCATGTATGAGCTGCCGACCCATGAGTAGGAGCTTGGTCCCGAGTGTAGCTTGGCGGCGATCGTAGGAAGCGCAGTTGAGACAATTGTCTGGTCCATTGCCGTGCTGATCAATTTCCGGGCCGTGAATATCAGTAATCCCTCAGGTGCCTAAATAGACAGTCACAGAAGGCTGCTTCACTCACAGGTACACGGAGAACATCAAACCCGAAAACACGATCCAGAGGTTGTTCTTTGGGATGACGTGCTCCGTCTCTTGCAGCCAATGCGTCGCCTTTGGCTGTTGAGCTTTCGAAGAGTCATCACCGCCGTGGCTGTCACCTTGTCCACGCTCGAGCCGGCCTACGACGTCGACACCCCCATCGTCGCGAGAGGCAGCTATGGCATCCTTTTTCTGTTCGTCGTCTTCGCTACCAGCCGTTACGGTTCTTGTGGGCGAGGGTGGTGTTGTTGTGTTGTTGTTGTCAAAGGTCGTCGATGCAGTCACGCCTTCGTGAGAGTGGCGAGAGCTTGAGGGCTTTGTCATGATGGATTGGTGCAGGTCGCAGTTGCGAGACAAGAGAAAGCTGCTCTTCTTATGCAAGTGCTGGGCAACTGCAGAGACGAACGATACGGAAAGAAAATTGAGAAGATAAAAGAATCGAGTGTGAAGCGGATACGGACGCCCCGACAGAGAATAGTCCTTTGGTCAGCCAGAGAGAACGAGTAGACGGCAGTGGTCGGTACCACTTCGGGGGGACGAGCAAAGGTCAGCGTTTGCGTGGTCGTCCTCAACGCCGAAACAAGAGCACGAGAAAAGGAGCGAGTGCGTGTCCGATCTCGGATCAGCGTTGAGGAAAAGGCCTGGGTGGGGGATGAGTCATGGAGTCTATCAGCAGGACTAGTAGTAGAGGACCCTCCTCTTCGCAGTTGTTATTCGGATATACAGTACATCTCTTCCCGCATCTGCTGCTCATGATTTTAACTTTCTCCCATTTCCCGCATCGCTGGGTGCGGTTCTAAGGAATTTTTCTCAAATTTTTCCAGGCTACGCTGCCGTTGCATCGGCGGAGATGCCGCGGGGCGCTTCACCACTTTTCTCTACGAGAAAGCGCCGAGCGCGTAGAGGGCGCCCACCGAAGACCCGACCATCAACAAGGGGCTTGCAAGTCAACTACATCCAATGACGCGACTGAGCATGGAAGGCAGTGTGCAACCTGCACGAGAGAAGCGACGATGGGAGGAAGCAGCGTGGGTAGGCTCGGGAGGATAAAAGGCGGGGTTCAGGCGACACACGGCTTTGTACGGCCGATAAGATGAAAGTGCCCCCCACCCCTCCCGAACATTTGGTGGCAGACAAGGTGCATAACATTATTACAACGGAGATCAACGGTTTTTGGCAGCCTGCATGCTCCTCTTGAATTTGTTCATCCTGGTCATGACGGAGTAGAGTGCGCGAGCAAGATCAAGGTCAGCGTGTTGAGACGTAGTAAGAGACCAAGGTTCAGAACTCACTTTTGCCGATTGGCCAAACGCGCCGCTTGGGAGTCATCGGGTTCGGCGTGGGACGAAGATGGGACAGGAGCAAAGCGGAAGCTGTTGCCCGTCACGGCCTCGGGAATTCGTACACGTTGGCTCTGCTGCGAGGCACTCTGACCCTTCGCTTGGCTGGCTGCCAGCTGTTGACGGAACGCGGCGCTCCGGTACGGGTCGACTTGGAACTCTCGGATCTTCTGCTGCCTGTCCCTGTACGACGATGATCTTTTGAGGATGGGTCGCGACCACGTTTCTGCGAGGAGGATTGAGCTTCAGGCCTCAGAATATCCGTTAGATGCCCGCTCACCAATCAGGCGATCGCAGATCCTCGCCACGTTCTTGTCTACCCGGTCGCATTCGGTGTAGAAGCGGACCAGCTTGCCCAGGCCACTCATCTTGAGCGAAGTCGTGTCGATGTACATCTTCTCTAGCAGCGGAAAGAGGGCGCGCTGAATATTGAGTGAAGGCAGTGACTTGTCGGGAAGCGGGTCTAGCCACATGCGAACCGCCTCGAGAAGGTTGTTGTCGAGGATGGCTTGCTGGTATCCGGTTCTGTAGGTTCAGGGATTCGACTGCATTAATATCAAGGGACGAGAGCGATCAAGAGTCAGAGACAGGATCGCAGAGTTCTGCTCACTTCTGTAGCGTGTCGACTGCCTCTTTGAGCATGCGCAACTTGGCCGTGGCTGGTTTCTTGAGCTCGTTTGCCTCGCGGTCCTCGTCGGCAGCGTTGATCATGGCATCACGCATATGCACAATCTCGTCGTCGGCCACTCGCTCCAAGTCCTACAGGGAAGGAGACCTTTATGAGACTTGCAATGAGGCCAGTGCACTCGAGCGATGCTACTCACTGTTTCGTCAGCCTTCTTCTTTGGTCGTCTCTTGGGTCCCTTTGCCGCCGCATCGATGCGGGCCAAGAGATCCCTCCTGCGCCGGTCCTCTTCGGTCTCTGGTCGAAGCTCCCCTAGTGCATCCTCTCCAATTTCACCGTCTCCCCCCTTCCTCTTCTTTTTCTTCTTCCTATAGCACTCTCTTATCAGAGGCAAAATCACAATAAAAGGTCATGGCCGACGTAAAGCTTAACTTACTTGAGGTGCTCTTGACTCCGCTCGACAGGATCTGCGTCATCGTCATCGAGCGGATCGGCTGCCGTCTCAGCCTCGTCCTCTTCTGCGTGCCTCTTCTTCGAGGAGCTTTCACCTTCGTCCGCACTATTGGGCCCCGAGTCTGCGCCGCTCCCAAACATGTCCTCGAGTGCTCCACCTCCAACAGCGGCATCAGCAGGCGAAGCGCCCTCGCTGCCGTTTGCAGGCTGTTGAAGGACGACCTCTCCTCCGTTGATGTCTGAACCACCATCGTTGTCCCCGGCGGCAGCTGCTGGCGTTGCGATGCTGTCGTCCACTTGGGGCTGCGCCGGCACAGCTTCCTCCTTGATGACATTAGATCCAAGGAGACGATCAGCATGCCGTTCTTCAGGCCTATCCTCTTCTCCTTGGGCTCACCTCCATTTTCTTTGGTCGAGTCGTGGTAGCTTTGGAGTGAGATTTTGGCAGCAAGCCTTCGTGCAGCTCGTTGAAATTCACGTGTGGAGTCGCGTCGAAAAGACACTTTCTCCATGCTCCGTCACGGTAGGCCAAGGTGGGCCAGGCGCGCATGGTCCGGTCCAAGTGAGGGGAAGAGACGCTTCGGCATGGCAGTGGCAGCTGCCAAGCTGGTCGATAAAAAAACCTACTACTTGGTATATAAGCTTCCACTGTGTGGACCGCCACCCAGCGCTTCTACATCGCATCGCCATGTCGGATCAGGTAGAACAGCTGCAGCCAAGTGTTACAGAAGTGAAGAGAGAGGAGCTGTCTTCGCCCTTTCGACTCCCCACGCGAGACCTGGACGATGTGGCACTCCCTCCCATGCAGCCGATGGTGTCCAATGCTCAGCACAGGGGCCAGACCCGGCTGAAGTTGCCGGTGATGGAACCCAAACACGATCCCTTTCCAGCTCGCTCCCAAGACACTCCATTTGTCCTGCCGCGTTCTTACAAGCCTCCTGGCCCCCTGCCTTTGTCTATCCCTTTCTCGGTGCTGGGCGAGAGCAAACAACAACCAAAGGTTCTGCCAAAGATTCGATATGAGCTTCCGCCACCCACCTACGCTCCGGAATCTGAGACTCTCCGCCACCGTGTCTCACAGCAGCAGCAGCTATACACCAGTCCTCCAAAGGGAGATGTTCGCAATAAGGAATGCAGCAACAAGCGTCGTCGTCACAGCAGGGCGAAGGATGAGGAAGACAGTCATATTAACAGTTGTCGTGCCACCGAGCAGCAGCTACAGTACCAAAGAAACCTGCAGCAGCATCAGCGACAGCTTGTCTGGTATGGGCCCGGCCGTGCAGAGTGAGTCCTGGCCCTATTACGGCCGTCGTCGGTATTGATGGCTCACACGTTCAAGCATGCAGCACCCTGATAGGAGAAGTGGTGACGATTGAAAACTACGGCTCTATCCAGTCAAGTGACCTCGTCAGAGACATCGAGAGGGCCGTGGCTGCCGGGTGAGAGCTGTCTGCCCTTAATGGTTTCATCTGATGTAGAGGCCTTGTCGCTCACGCAAATAGACCTTGATGCACAGATGCAAGGTAAAGATCAACAATTACGGGACCATCAAGTGAAGCCCGGCCGGTTCAACCTCCCACGAAGGAACGCTCCGCAGGGCACCGGCCTCATCATTCCTCTCGACCCTTCTTTATCCGTCTCTTCTAGGTTACAGGAATACCACTGATACTCCAAACACTGACTCTCTCCACGACCATCAGAACAGTCACAAATCCAAGCCGATTATTTTCAATCATCTCTACTGCGGACCTCACATTTACCATGTTGACCCAATTAAGAAATACAAGTAGGCGATTCAACGCTTCTTGAGAGCGGCAAAGCGCTTCTCGAGATCGTCCAATCGGGCCTTTTCCTCATCCTGTGGTTGCCCCTTTTCTTTGCTTGCCAGTGTTTTGCTCTGCCCGTCTGCCCCTGAGACAGTGCCGAGGGCACTGGCAATGTCGGCGTCTGACTTTGTCGCAGCAGAGGCTTGCCCCTCTTTGGACAGCTGGACGGCGGGCAATGGCCCATCGGCAGCCGCATGTGGCTTAGGATCGGGCTCGGCCTTCGACGGATCAGAGGTCAGCATGGCATGGTCATGTTCAGATGAGAAAAGTTGCTCTTCGCAAGCTCAGACTCACAAGCACATCATCAGCGATTTCGGCGTCTTTGCTGAGGTAGGGCGAAGAGAAGGGCACGTCGTAGACCTTGCAGACTAATGAGGCAGATGGAGCTGAGATCAGCTCTTCTGCCACCAATGTAAGCCTTAAAGGCGCACTCACTCTCGGCAATGTACATGTCGACGAGCTCCTTGCTGGGCGTCTCGACCTTGAGCCTGCTGATGACTCGATCGCCCACGCAGTTGTCCGTGTTTTCCATGGCCGCCAAGGCAAAGTCTCGACCGTACTTTGTCATGAGCATCTCGCGCAGTGCGTGCATCTCGCGCAGCTCGATTCGCGGCGCGGCATGGATGATAGCACACAGAGGCTCCTTGATGGAAGGATCGGGTTCGCGGCTGTTCATCTCCAGGAGCGCAAATCGGGCAATGAGCGTCTCAGTGTAGAGCTCCATGATCTCGAGCAGCTCAACGTGGATCTGCATAGAAAGGATCGTCATCAAAGGGGTGTCGTTGGGGCGGCAGGGAAGAAGCTTGCAGACTTACGTCCTCGCCGATGAGCCCCTCGGTCTTGATCCTGGCCGTCTCGATCTTGCCTCGCTCGACCAAAGACGCAATCTCTCTTCGATCCTTTTTCGCAATCGCGTTCTTCTTCTCCTGGAGCAGGCTGCATCGCTGCGAGCTCAGCTTCAGCTGCACCTTTGTCTTTGGTCCATTCCACGGAGCCATCCTGTCACTTTCGTTGTCGTCGTGAAGGAATGTGGCTGGTGCTGACCCTTTTCTGGCGAGCCAAGGAGATTATCTAAGGCTACGGCTACCAGGCCTTCCTCTACGCCAAGCCAGCAGTAAAATCGAGTCGACGCTGCAAGTTTCGCGAGTTGTGTTAGTGCAGTCATGAAGTCAGAGCGCAGCGCAGGTGTCCTTGCGCCTATCCTGCCGCAATTTCTCCTTCTGTAATCCGAAATTCCCTCAAAGGGCGATCATGCCCTCTGAAACAAGCCCAAGCTCACCTTGAATACGCAGCAGTAGGTCTTGTGGCCGAGGAGGAAGAAAGATAGCTTCGTTGCTAGCCAGAAGAAGGTTCACGTGGAGGTGAGAGAGGCTGGTGGAGCCTCCGCTCACGTCAGTACAGTGCAGAGTGCGTGGCCTAGGCGCGAGAAGTCGCGTCAAAAGTCAAATGGGTCCGGGGGGTCGTGTTGAGAGTAGGAAATTTATGTGTTGGTTCTCCTCCTCTCCTTCATAAAGTAAGCATTCGACGGCACTCCCCACTTGATTCCTGTCTAGACGCCGACCTCTCCAACATTGCACGCTCGTATTCAAGGGGCTGTGTCGTTCTCGATTTGCATTCGGAACGGAGTAGGAGCCTGCTTCCAGCACAAGTGAGGCTGGACTAAAACAAAAAAAGCGCAGCAAGAGCGCAGGCAGAGACGGGTCCAATTGAGGCCTCTGGCGTGGTAGTGTGAGGGATGGTAAACGATGGAAAGAGACCGACACCGCCCGAGGCGTCTGCAGCGGCTTCACAAAGGCAGCTCCGTCGACGAGATGCGCCAAAGGCCCCCTATCGTCCCCGCCCTGCGCTGACCTCGAGCGCTCGGGGCAGGAGCAATGCCGAGGCGAGACGCGAAAGGGAGCTGGCAGCCAATGCGGCATTTGTAGAGGCAAATGCACTTGCAGAGACCACCCTATTGGCAACGCGTAATCGCAAGTCAACGACACCATCGTCGTCGACGCTGATAGACAATACTCAAGAGGCAGAAGGAGCCGGTCGTCGAGCTGTGCGAAGGAACGCGCTGCGCGATCAGGCAAGGGAGCAGCAACAGGAACAGGCAGATTCATCATCCCAGCAGCTGGTCAGCTCTCCCTGCTCGCCCGAGCAGGCGATATACAACTCTCACGCCGACGGCGAATCGGCGCCTGTCGGCCGCCGGATAATGTCCCCTTCGCCTGCTAGCTCGTCTCTAGCGTCGCATTCAGACCTCATCTCGCAACCCCACAATCCTGCCCTTCTTGAACAGCTTCAAGGAAGCACGGCTAGCCAGCTGGAAGTCGAGGCCACCACGACGAGCACAACAGCTCTCGTGACAGCGCAGGGTGAATGCATCAGTGCCGGGGTGATGTCGAGCGAGGGGCGACCGGAAATCGGGTCGCAGGGCGGCGCACAACCTCAAGCGACCGACCACGGTCCCAGGCAGAACAAGGCCTATGGCCTAGATCAACCGGATCCGATCTCTCACGCTGATGTGAGGGAACCAGATGACGGAAACATATTGGACGAAGGCTCTTTGTCGCGTCAAGGAACGCACTCTAGCCAGGAGACTCAAACGACTATTACCAACCATATGGTCAAAATCCCTTCTGACGGACTCGCAGAAAGTGGAAAAGGGATCGCAGAGCTTGGCAAGTCGACCGAGCTTTCGCCAGCTGCACAAAAAGAATATAGCTCCCCAGAGGAACAAGCGCTCCAGGACTTGGAAATGGCAGACGCGACGCTCGTCTACGACGGCGAACATAACGAAAGTGCACCTTCCGACCACACTGCGGTTCAGATAGACGCTGGCGACGACACGTTGGTGGATGCTGAACCCCAGCAGGAAGCGACCCTGGAAAGGAAATCCGAAGTAGTCGAAAATTTGTTGGACAAGGTGCTCGACGATGTGGTCTCAAGAAAGCAATGCGACAGCGCGACAGGAACTGCCACATTGCCCAATCTTGGCTCCTGTGAGGAAATGGTGGACGAGAACGAGGCGAGACTGCAGAGCGGTGCAGGGCAAGGGCCGGAAGGACCCAATGGTATGAGCATTGACACAGAGCAAATTGAGACCAGAGCAGAAGCGGCAGGTGCCTTAGAGCGGACGGAAATCGACCAGAATCGGGGCCAAGCGATGCTTCCAGAAACCAATGGTCAATCAACGGAAACATCAAAGAGAGGCAACGAAAGTCTTTCCTCGCCAACAACCCCCTCAAAGGCAGCACGAATCTCGTTCTCCGACGATGAGTTTGACGACGACGATGATTTCCTCGAGCAACTCGCCGACCATGAGCTCGACTTGGACAGCCACCTCGTGCAGACAGCGACGCCAGACGTTACTCAGACCTCACATGCATGGAACGAAGGTGATTGCGAATCCTCTCCACCGCAGCAGAAACCTCCTCCGACCGATGGATTTGTATGGGGCCGCGGACAGGCTGCAAAAAAGCCAAACGCTGAGGCCCTCCGTCGGTGGGAGAAACTTATCGATGATTCAGGCGAAGTGAACACACGTCTGGCAGCAGAAAGTGCGAGCCAAAGGCCACCACAGTCGCAGCAGCACCCGTCCACACCGATCCCCCAGCGGACCTTGTTACCCTCAACTCCAAGGCCAACCGAGCCTATAGAAGTCGCCGAGTCGAGCAGCCGTCTGCCTCTTACGCCGTTGCAAGGCAATACCCCAGCAGCGCCGCAACATGAGCCTACCAAGGAAGTACCAGCCGTCCTCTCTTTGGACAATCGTGCGCACGACGACGATGAGGTCCAAGTGCCGAGACCACCTGCTCAGAGGCCATCGTCTGCCTACGAGCCGGCCAATGTCGCGACGCCGGCGTCTAAAGCGATGATATTCAGTCAGTCACCAGGAGCGAGTCGAGCGAGCTTAGGCACAGGAAGAGCTCCCGCACGTCTCGGTACACGAGGAAGGTTCTCGACGCCGATGACGACAAGCCAGGCGAGCAAAACCGTAGCCCAAACAATTGGCGGCCGCGCGAACAGCACCCCTACAAGGCTCTCGTTTGCATCAACGCCTAGGCGTCCTTCAGGTTTCAAGACTCCCTTCAAGGACGGTGTCACACCTGCTCGTGCGTCCGAAACGTCGTCACCCTCGCGTCTTGCTGCGACGAATCGCTTCGCCGTGCCTCTGGCCAACTCCAGGCCGCACGCCTCCATTGTCGATGAATCTGGTGCCAATCGAGTCGGCTCCTCGTCTCAGGCTCGCCTTGCACCCTTTGGTTTACCCGATTATAGGCCCGTCTTTGCTCTCCATTGCAATGAGCCTCGCAAAAGCATGAGAGAGTATCCGCTCTCACCCGAGGACAAGGGCCTTTCGGCGTGGATGAGAGACGCCAACTCTCCCGAAGAATTCAAGATGATTCTGAACGGCCAAGACGACCCGGCAAGATTTCACTTCGAGGACCTCGGGGCACCCAAAGGCCAGAAAGCTTTGTGCAAGATGCTCGATTCGCTCGGCACTGTAGAGGTGGGAAAGCGATGGGTCGACAACCACTATAGGCTCATCCTTTGGAAGCTGGCAGCCTTGGTACGTTCCTCGCCCGACGAAGGATGGCGTTTCAGCTGGATGGAGGTGTGCAGACAGATGAAATACCGGTGAGTCTGGACTCAGGGCGCTGCGAGGTCCTCCGAGATGCTAATCTCCAGCTTGCAGTTACGAACGTGAGATCAATCGTGCTCATCGATCGGCCATCAAGCGAATCCAAGAGCGTGACTCGGCAGCTGGGCGTCCGATGGTTCTGTGTGTCTATAAGGTGCCCCGACCGCTTTTATTTGAGTCAGAGATAGACGATAAAGGAAACGAAGGGAAGCCATCCCTGGAGATGACACCATTGGAGCTCACCGACGGATGGTATATCATCAAGTCTACCTTTGATGAGCCTATCTTGAGGGCCATTCAGCGTGGCAAGATCAAGAGAGGTTCCAAACTCGCCATCTTTGGCGCCAGGGTGGGTCGTCGCAATGACTTGCTGACTGAGTCCTCATTCGGCTAACAAATTTCTGGCAGCTTGATTCTATCTCGGAAGCAAAGGACGTTCTCGATGCTTTCAATAGCTCCTCGCTGTGCATCACAGGCAATGGTAGCAAGTTGGCCAGGTGGGACGCACGGCTGGGTTTTACAAAGCACCCGTTCGTCTCGACGATCCGCTCCCTCAATGCCGATGGTGGCCTCGTACCGATGATGGATCTCGTCGCAACGCGTATCTACCCGATGGCATACATCGAGGAACATATGTTGAAAAGGAATGATGGGCTCAGCGACGCCCACAACGAGGAAGATGAGAGAGCGCTAGAAGCGAAGTGGATGGAGGACAGGGAGAAAGCTAAGCACGCTGTAGCGCGCGAGATGGGGGAAGATCTGAGCAAATTAGAGAGGGTCGTCCGGATCCTCGAGGACGAGCTCGAGTCGTTTGAGGACAAGATTATGGTGTCTGGTGAGTCATCTTTCCTTCAGTCTTTCCATTTGCCTGTCCCATCTCATGTACGTCACTTTCAGCGAGCGCAGAGGAGTGCGAGGGAATCCTGGACGCGATGCTCGAGTCTTCGACGCCTGCGAGCTACGTCAAAGTGCCTCACACGATTCCAACCCTTACGTCCTTGGCACACGAGCGCTACCGCCGTGCCATCCATCTACACGAGTACGAGATGGAGCAGGAGACGGACAAGATCTGTCCACCTCGCAAGGTCAGGAGCTTTCGCCTCATCCGCTTCAGGGACGTGCAGCCCTGCGATGTGGCAATCAAGCTCGAAAGTGGTGGAGGTTCTGAAGAGACAAGGAAGCCGCCTGTGGAGCTTGGTCAGGGCCTAAGCGAAAAAAGGTCGGCGTGCAGGAGGAGCCTGCTTCTGCATGTCTGGGACGTCGACAAGATGCAGGGCGGCAAAAATGCCTTTGTCGTCGGACAGAAGTACCGAGTCTCCAACCTGTCGCCGACGCAGAGGGGCGCTTGGGTGGGGGGACCAAATGCAGAGACCGACGTCTATCTGACGACGAGGAGGGACACAAAGTGGACCAAGCTGACGTAGGCCATCGTACACCACTTACATGAGACGCAGCCTGGGAGCATACCATAAAATAGTCATCCCTACTGTCATCAATACCAGATTCAATCTACATCATCCATCATCAGAGTCATCCTAGATAAACACCATCAACATCGTTGTCGTCACTTCATCTTGAATGACATTTCCAATGAGATGCCGATCTACATGAGCAGCTTTGCCAGCGAGCCGAGGCCACCCGATTGGCCGCCGCCGATCATGCCCGAGACCTGGTTCTTGATCAGGAGCTTCATGACTGCCTGTCCGGCCGTCTGCATGGCGTCCTGCTTGTCGCCAGAGGCCTGGCCGTTCTGCTGCTTCTGGTCAAAGAGCTGGCCGGCCTGCGACATGGCCGCTCCGATGAGCTTCGACTGGAAGTCACCTCCACCCTGGCCGCCGCCACCGGATCCGCCGAGGACGTTCTTGATGGCGCCCAGCGCAGCAGCGTTGCCGATCTCGCTCGAGTGGGCCGTCTCGTTCGAGTTCTGGACCTTGTCGTGGTGCTGGAGAAGCGTGTTCTCGTCGATGTTGCCGTCCATGTTGCCCTGGTTGTTCTTGAGGAACGAAGCGGCGCTGTTGAACAGTGAAGCGTCCTGCTGCTGACCGTTGCCGTGGTTCTGAGCGTTCGAGATGAGCGACTGCACCGAGCCAATGTCGAAGCCCTGGTTGCCGCCGCCGCCGCCCTGTTGCTGCTGCTGCTGCTGGTTGTCTCCACCGCCCTGGTTGGCGAGGAACTGCTTGCCGGCGTTCATGAGCTGGTCCTAATTGAATCATTTGCGTCAGCTTGCAGTGATTCTAAATTATGGACACCGTCTGTCCTCACCATTTTCTGATTGCTGCGAAGGTATTCGTGATGAAAGGGGGGAGATTGTAGCAGGGAAGATGTTGTGGCGCTGGTGAAGAGTGAGGAAGATCGTAGAAAAGAGGCGATCCGTGCGAAGGGGTAAGCGAGGTCGTGCCTTGCTTCGTCCGCTGCGCCTGCACGGGCACGGCAGAGGCAGTGAGTTGGCCTGTGCGCAAGCCGGAAGGCCGAGCCAATTCTTCGACGTGTCCTTACGTCAAGGACTAGCTTCTAAAATGTGCCGTGCTTCCATTCCTTCCAGAATACCTCTAGGTCGAGATCTCATGGTCGTCCAGATCTTCGTCTGCTGAAGAACCATGCGCTCGAGTGCGGTGTCAAAGTCGTCCCCATGTAATAATGGCGAGAGGACAGATGTGGCAACAGCTCCATCGCTAGTCCTGCCTGGCGTTCTTACCAACCGCGGAGATGAACGGCGATTGCGGCTGCGAGACGCGCCACCGACTTTCCTGAGACCACTTAAAGCTCGCGGTGTTCACCGTCATAACCTTTCTTCCTCCTGCTACCCAAATGGGAGCGAAGATGTTTCTTAGTAACCCCCGACAGTGGTGCACAAATGGCGGATTTTTCCCGGGGCAGCGGTCGCGATGGCAGCCCGACGTTGATATGCCTGACCAAACGGGTAGAATCATCCTCGTGACGGGTGCCAATGCTGGCATCGGCTATGTCAGCCTTGGCCCTCTCCTCAGGCGTGGTGCTACAGTACTTGGGCTCTGCAGAAATCGCAAGAAGAGCGAGGAGGCGTTCGGCAACTTGCAAAAGGAGCTAGGAGACGACAACAGGGGTTCGCTCAAGCTCATCGAATGCGATCTGGCAGATCTACATTCGATCAAGCTGGCAGTCGAGCAGATCAAGCAGCTGGTCGATAGAGTTGATGTCCTCTTTGCGAGTGCTGGGGTGCACGAGGTGCGCACCAAGACGAAGCAAGGCCACGAGGCCCACTTTGGCGTCAACGTCTTGGGCCATTACTACCTCATTACGCTTCTCGAGGATCACTTGGTCCAGTCTGTGCAAAGGTCACCAAGAGGTACCACGCGCGTCGTCATCACGTCCAGTTCCGCCTACTTTCTCAACACGCCGGTCGCCCTCCAAGGGAATTGGAACCCCTCGGACTCTGCTCTGGACGAAAAATTCTCGCTCGACGAACTGTATGCGCGATCCAAGGTGGGCAATCTTCATTTAACACGCAAGCTCTCTCAGCTCTGGCGCAGTCGAGGCATCATTGTCTGCAGCGTGCATCCTGGAAATTTTGGCACGTCAGACCAGCGCGACAGCGCAACAGGGTTGCTCGAAAGGCTCGTCTTCAAGCTGCTCCTCTGGCCGCCAGAATACAGCGCCATCAATCAGCTCTTTGCTGGCATGGCTCAGCGCACAGACACGGAAGAGCAGCTTGCAGACAAGCTCCACGATGCACACATCGTTCCATGGGCTCGATTCGGGACAGTATATGAGCAGTGGCTTCGGGAAGACATGGTCGAGAAGACATGGAAGTGGTGCAGCGACAGCATCAACAAGGATGGGATGGAAGCAAGGCAGATTTCGTAGAAGCAGAGCCGAGTCCTTGCAATTTCTATCCTCTAGGACACGCACTCTTCGACAATGAACATCTTGAGCAAACTGCGATCCGCAAACTGCTCCTCGTCATCTGTGATCACCCTCGAGACTTCCGGCTCCTGGTAGATGGCCATTGTCTTTTGTACATCTTCAAGCGTCTTGAACTTCAGAATTGAGAGGCAGTCGAAGTCGAGGTATTCCTTCTGGCCCTGTCCCGCTGCTGCAATGGGGTCGACGAGGTTGGCACGACGATCATGGTAGTTGCGTGCATAGTAAAGCACAGGAGAAGCGTCGCTGTGACTGAAAATTAGCTTGTGAAGGAGGGGGACGTGCTTGGTCTCGTAATACGCCTTGAAGTCCTCGAGGCTCATCGAGGGCTTCTTACTGACGTAGATGAAGACGCTCGCCATGCTGGGCTTGTCTGTGACTGGTCACAGGGTTGAAGACAAGTGTGGGGACAATTAATGGGTCACTCGTCCTGGGGTCGAGAGCCGTTCTTTATAATTCGCAGGACGGATGCTCTTGTTGCTGTCAATAGATCCGTGGGAACGTTGTCCAAATCGTGAGTCCTCAAGAAAGACCGGAAATAAGCACGCATGACGAGTTGGATTCCGATGAGAGTACCACTCCCGATTTTTGACCAAGCTAAAAAAAAAGCGAGGCTCGTGCAGGCGTCGTTTAAATCTGAAAATCTATCCTCGAGAGATCATACAGCTGAACCGCTTTGCACTCTGGTCGAAGACGCTCTAGCGCAAGGGCCTTACTCTTATGTTAGAGCTGCCATGACATGGGCTGAAGTAAAGTGGGTGATGAAAACAGAGCATTTGGTGTTGATGAAGCATGAACTAGAATACAAAGGAGAGAGCTCACGACGAGCCTTCAGAGAGAAAGCGTTGGGCCCAGGACAAGACGTCAAAATCAGCCGAAAAGGCCACCTGGTCGCCCCACACTTCGCTGTAATTCTGCCCATTGGTGAAGCCGGCTGCCGTGACTGGAGCGCAGGGAGAGCCGGCACTGAAAGAGCTGTCCGACAGGAATGAAGAGGCAGCAGAAGATGTGGCTGAACGCGTCCCGTTGTTTGTGGTATTAGGCGCCGAAGCCGAAGCTGACGATGCGCTGCTTTGGTAGTTCGGACTCAATCCAAAAAAGACAGACGAAGGCGAGAGGAGGAAGGGCGCATCTTGGTTGGAGGCTACAGTGGCGGCAGCAGCTTGTTCCGCTGATGGAATAGCGCCTCGCCGAGCATCGCCCTCTCCCACGTCGAAGTAAGGATTGTGCTTTCCTGCCTCGGCTTGCGGGGACATCTGCTGCTGCCGTTGCTGGGAGTCTTCCGTCAAGGTCGAAGGTTCATGCTGAGCATACATCTCCTGATCATGCAGCTCGCGATACCGAGCGAGGGCGTGAAGGTGCTCCCGCATGCCATATCGTCGGAGCAGCCATTCGAGATAGGCACCGAAGTGGCACGCTACTGCTTTCCTTCGACTTTTGGACTTGCGGTAGCCGGCCTTCATAAAGAGGATGGCGACACCCTCAGCCTGCTTGATCAATCGCTCGACGTCGATCCATGCGAATTGATTATGCAGCGAGGTAAGCTTGATGGCCATGACTGCGACATAGGTCCCAATCATGAAGATGGAATTGTGGCTAAAGCGGAGTTTGTTGACGTCGGCCGTATTCAGTTGTGTGAGATAGCTGAGCGTGGCTTCGTATAGGCCGCAGATGGCTGGTGAGACGGTGCGAATGTCGCCAGAGCTGCTCTGGAGAGGCATAGAGAAGAGCAAGACCTTGACGTGGGAACAGTAGACTAGCATCAATGATCAGTCTCGGTGGAGTCAGCGCAATAGACTTGATCGCAGAAGAAAGAAGTACGTACGCTTGAGACGGTGGGTGCGGTCCATGTCTGTCTTGGCATCGTTCCAGCTGTCGTACCAAGCCTTGAGCTCATCCTCGACCTTGGCCAGGAAGAAGTCGAGGTCCTCTCTGCAGAGGCCTTGATTAGGCGGTGGCTGCTTGGCCGACAACCGGTTGAACATGCTTCGACAACTCCAGTAGAGCCTCCTCAAGTTGACGTGGGCCACCATGGCGGTGTCGCCCTTGATCTTGAGCGGGCTCTTGTGCCAATCCACGAGGTCTTCAATCACGCCCTCTGTCGTCAGACAGGGCCGTCGACCTGCCCCCAGCGCCAGCGATCTCTCTGCAAGCCAAACATTGACCCATGTTCTGCGCAAGTAAGAGAAGTGGCACATGTCAGCATCCAAGATGGGAAAAGGGCGCAGACTATGCGTCATCCCAAGCTTACCTTTCCTGTGCCCGGTAGTGGCGCTGGACCCGCTCATCGACTGAGCCAATGGCTTTGCTGATGATGCGCGAGTTGAGATCGAGCTCCGTGGCGATGCGAATTGCCTGGCCAATGAGCTGCCAAGAGCGGTCGTCGTAGATGTACTGGTCGGAGGTAAAGAAGCACGAGTTCAGGCAAAGGCCCAAAACGATCTCCGTAGACCGAAAGCCTTTGCGGATGATGGCCGGCATTATGCCATGAAAGAGGTGGTTCTCGAGGTCCTCACTGAGCGCATCGCTCTGTGTAATGAGCTCCTCGGCCGCCTCCATCCTCGCTGCGATGAGGTAGATTGTCGTCGAAAGAAAGGGGTGTCGAGAGACATAGTCAAAGGTGTGCAGGTCCGGGTCGAGAAGGGTATCGATCTTGTCACGAAAGGCGCAAAAGAGAGTGCTGGCTTGGCTCTGCGTCACGATGCCAACGGTGACCGGGCTATAGTCAGCCACGGGCTCGTACCGAGGCTGGTAGAGCCCAGCAGAGAACAAGGTTCGCCATCGCGCCAAGTCGCTCGCCTCGACCGCTTGCGCCATCGACGTCGAAGAGGCCTGCTGGGCACGCGATGCTGGTGAGTTGGCAACCGAGAACATTGTTTGCTGCTCGACTTCGTTCGACGCTTGAAACAGCAGCTTGAATGGGTTTGACAGTGACGGAAGACCAGGGTCCGTGACTGGTGTGGCCGGCGTCGTTGCCGACGCGATCGTGGTTGCGGCATTCGAATGGGGTGACGCGGAAGGGGCCGAGGCCTTGAAGCTCGTTCGTGACCGTGACGATGGTGGCGGTGACTTGCGCTGGGGCGATTGTCGAGGAGATGAGGGCGTGGAAGATATTGTGGGAGGTGTGCGCACGCCCCGGAGGTCCTTTGGCACGAAATGGCGCTTGCTGATCCTCCTCTCGCATTCGAATCCTTTGCGAGCGCATCGTCGACAGGGCTGCTGAGGTCCGTCACCGGGCGCAAAGGAACACTTGACCTTGCTTTCCCGACACGCGCGACACGATATGAGCCGCGTCTCGGTGGCCGGGGGAAGCACTCGCGGCATCCTTTCTTATGCTGCTACTGCTACTGCCGCTACAAATACTACAGCTTCGGCTGCTGCTGCTACAACTACTAGCAGCGCCGCAAGCAGACCTATGGAGAGGTTTCCGGTCCTATCTGAAAACGAGTCCTCTCAGCTGTACATTCGTGAGCCGATGGGGAGGAGAGGAAGGCAGAGAGGACGGGCGACCGAGGGGACTGAAGTCCGTTGCACCGAGCCTTGAGGTCCGATCTTACGGCGTGCATTCAAATTTGCATTACCGCGGATTTTATTATTGCATTCAAGTCTGAATAGAGAAAATTTAAGTTTGTTCCATTCAAGAATATAAGGACAGCGAAGACCGACGTCCGAAAGATCGGGCGTAGTCACAACACTACTCTCGAAGCTGGGCCACGGACCACGGACTGGCAATTGTTGTCCGACAGTAGAACTGATAGTGATATGGAGCCATGAGGAGGTATATAAGCTTCTCGGAGATGAATGCGACATTCAGACACTCTCTCTCGAGATATCAGGCCACCATTCAGGAGAGGAAAGCTTTGCACGATGCCTGTCCCCCCGGCTGACCTTTTCAACAACGCTTCCACATCAACGGCTCCCACAACAGCCCTGGAGCTGGATCTGGAGAAGCCGCTCACTGTCACTCGTGACTCTTTCCTGCAGGGTGAGCCCAACACCATGTTTCTGTCTGCCTGCTCTCTCTTGCTGATGACCATCAATATCATCTCCTCGCAGGCCAAATCAAGGTCGACAAGGGGCTCCTCGAGCAAGAAGACGTCTACATCGAAATTACCCTGTGCCGCAACCACGAAAAGTGGAATTACCGCCGCGACGGGCCGTCATACCCATATTGGACGGTGGACCTGAAGAGTAAAGCCATCATCAAGACATTGTGGAGGGCGAGAGATGGAGTGTTGGTACATTCGCATCGGCCGCAATTGAAGCACACGGCCGACGAAGGATCTCGGCCGCTCGTTTCACCACTCGCACTTGCACCATCATGCCCTGACGAGGAGGACCCCGACTGCAGCAAGGCGCACTTTGCGCTGTTGCTCGACGGCGGAGCACTCGAGTGCGAAGAGCTGGAGCATACCTGGACCAAGCCTGTGGAGCGGGAGATCCTCGTTCTTTCCGTTTGCCTCCGTAAAGCATCAGCTAGGCTCTCGATGCTTGGTTGTGATCAAGTGTGGAGCAACCTCTTCAAAGCAGGACAACGAGCGCGAAGCCAAGATTTGCGACCGGTGAAGACAAAGTACATCAACCGAGCACAGGCGAGGAGCGTCGTCTTCGTCCCCGCCAAAGCATGTTGCGATCAGCTGGTGAGTCGTCCCCCACTCCGGGAAAAGCTTGCGAGGCCCTTTGCTGATGTATGTCCCGACAACTAGCCCACGCCCTACAGTCACTACCGACGAGACATCTTGCTCTGAAAAGCACAGCTTCTTCTCTCTTAGCCACCGATTCGCTTCCTGTTGTAACAATACTAAGCTCGAGCCCATTGGGTAGCCAAATTTTTCATTTCTTTGTCTGCTCAGGAACAGCCGGAAGCGGTTTGCTGATCTCGACTAGGCTTGCCCGAAAATTTTGACGTCTCCACCCTGAAACTTTGAAAAATCGTCCGCCGGAAAAGGTCACAAGTGCAGGGCTGCACTTCGGGCGAGTTTCCTCCCCGAAGCTGCCGGAAAGATGAATTCGAGATCTTCGTGCAGTTTGGCTGCTACTGCTTCCCCGAGCGGGAAAAAAAAAGAAGCACGAACAGAGTATAAGAAGCTGAGAAAAGATCCGGGGGAAATCGAAACCCATCATCACTAGACAATCATCCACCTTCACTTTCGAATCCTCTCGCTCCTCAGACAGCTTCCCGCCCAAATGAAGACGACGACCTCCCAACTGTCGCTGGCCTTTGTTGCCGCCCTCGCTGCCATGGAGATGGTGGCAGCAGCCGGTCCGCTGCCCACCCCCGCAGCTGCCAGGCCTGTGAGTTACATGAGTGGTTTTTGACAAGAGGCCCCACGGCACACTGACTCGCGAGAGCCTTGCTTCGACAGGACATGCAACGCAGGCAGCTCGACCCCTTCGTCTTGAGCTCCGTCTTGGCCAACTCGGCCGCAAACGCGGACCTCAGCTCCTACTACGATGCTGTGGGCAAGCTGCTGACAGACTCTTCTGCGCTGTCCGACTACGAGGCCATGACGACATCGATTGAGTCGAGCGTCGTCTCTGACTTTGCCGCACAGCACGGCGGCAGCTCGTCGCTGGCCTCGTCGCTGGCCTCTTCCGTCTTTGCCGGCATTGTCTCCGACGCTAGCTCCCGGCAAGCCGCAGGCACTGCTACGACCACCTCCGGCAGCGGCGCTTCGTCCACCTCGCAGTCATCCAGCGGACAAACTAGTACCAGCTCGTCGAGCAACAGCAACGGTGCGAGCGCTCTGCCCTTTGGCTCCGTGGCTCTCACCAGCGCCTCTCTCGTTGCCGCGGTCGCCTTCTACCTCTTCTGAAGTGTCTCTGCTTCTATACCTCGTTTCTTTTGCTTTTTACTGCTCAATCGATACGCACTTCTTTGGCTGTGTTTGCTCAGATTGTCGGGGGTCTACCATTCTTCGTTGCGGAGAAGTGATGCGCTCCCGCACTGCCGTATTATGGACGAGTGGGTGGACAACTCTCCCTTCAACGATGCTCAGGCATGCTGCGGATTGGGACCGCGGGTGTGCGGATGTGACAAAGAAAAGGCAATCCTCTCCTTTACCTTCGCAAAAGAAAGCGCTGTTCCATCCACAATCAGGAGCAGCGAGTGCCCTAACCGGTTGCTCAACCCGGATCAATAACGGCGTCGACTTTTTCGTTCTTATTTTTAGTTTCTAACTTTTTTTTCTAGTTTCATCCATCTCAATCTCAGTTTGAACTTCCCTCCTATCTCACCATCATCCGCCCCGCCAGGAGGTGCTGACAAGATGACGACGGACTCGAGCGAGGACTACTTTGGCATCCTGGGCGTGTCGCCCGATGCGACGGATGCCGAGATCAAGAAGGCCTACCACAAGCTCAGTCTGTCCCTGCACCCGGACAAGGCGCGCGACGTGGAGCCGGCCGTGGCGGTGGCGCGCTTCCAGGAGATGAAGCTTGCCTATGAGGTCCTCATGGATCCGGCTACTCGGCTCGCAGCCGCAGAGAGACAGAAAGTCGACCGTGCGCGAAAGGAGCGGCGGAGCGCATACGAAGGCAAGCGCAAGGAGATGGCCGACGAACTGGAGCGGCGGGAGGAGGAGGACAGGGTGAAGCGAAAGAAGCAGGGGGATGCGCAGAGGGACATGCAGAGGACGCTTGAGAAGCTTAGGGAAGAAGGGAGAAGATTAAGAGAGGAAAAGGAGAGAAAGATGAGGCAAGAAGAGGAAGGACCGAGAAGAGAGCGGAAGCAAGAGGAAGAACGGGAGCGGATAGCGATGCTCGAGGAGCAAAAGAGGCAACAAGAGCTTCGAGAAAGTGAGCCAGCACTAGGTGAGCTTGTTCCTGTCTCGATAATTCCAGCCTGGAGACCTTGCTGACGAACTCTCGTTTTTCTTCTCGCAGGGCCCCTTGACCTGACTGTCACAGTAAAGTTCCCCTCGGAGCAGTACGTCGATCTCTGCCGAGAAGGCGAAGGCGGAGGCGGGCTCGAGTCGAGATTGGCACAGGCTCTGCAAGTACGCTTTGGCCCACTTGATTCGCTGCTGGCCAATGCTCCTAAAATGCGCAAGTCGGGCAAGATGGCCAGCGAAGCGTCGGCGCACGCCACCTTCAAAACGCTCGATGCCGCCTTTGCGGCCGTGCGGGCAGGCAGCCAGCTTCGGGCTGGCACGCCAACTGGCGAGGCCAAATGCCTGCAAGATGTGTGGATTGGCTGGGCAGCGGGCGTAGCAAAGGGCAAGCATGAACAAGAGGCAGGCGGAGTTGCTCAGCCGCCGCCGCAGGGGTCAATGCCAGGCGAGCCAGCGAGGATTACTTGGCTCCGACAGCGAGGGCTCCTTTCAGGCCAAGCAAGTAGTGAAGCATCACCGGATGTGAAAGTGGGATCCGACGCAACCAGAGGCGATCCCGTGCAGAGCAACGGCAAGGCCGATGAAGATGACATTCTCGGTCGCATGATGGCCTCTTCGAAATCGGCCGTCAACAGCGGCGACAACAACAACGCTGCGCCTCCCAAGTTTTCATTCACTACGTCCTCCCTCAACAGCCCGGCTTCTGCACCTCACACTTCTCAGGGCAACAGCGGCGCTGCAGTCGACTTTGAAAGCGCTACTCTGGAGAGGATGCGAGAGGCCGAGCGAAGGCGCGTCGAAGAAGCCATTCGCAAGGCCGATGAAGAGGCTCTGTCCTAGCCTTATTGCGCTCATAACACAACATGTAACATTACTTGTCATCACAACACAACAGACCCAGGGTCCATCATCACTCTGTACAATATCAGTAGCACCTTTCAATGATCTATACCACATCCTGCCTATCTTTGATGGCTTTCATTGAGCGCATGCACGTGACATGCGAGCATTGGAAGAAAGTGTTGCACCGCGACGACGACGGCGGACGCTGCCCCTCTCCCTTTAACCTCCATCTCCCACGACACTGGGGTTCACAAACCGGAAGAGCTTCAACAAAGAGTTCGACGGGCAGGATGTCAGGAGCTGCGTCGAGCAAGGGTAAATCCGCCGGCACGACACCGGCTGCGGGTGCGGGTGCGGCGCGGGAAGTGATCCAGGACTGGGCCGATGGCGAAGGGGGATACACGTTTGAGAGGGGAAGAATGGAGGCGGCCGTCCGGAGCATCTGCTTTGATCGGCCCGCCACGTTCAAGCCGCCTGCCCCCGCTGGCACTGGTGCAGGTGCAGGTGCAGGTGCAGGTGCTGGAGCTGCTGCGAAGCCGGCAGCGGGAAGCGTCAAGCTCAACAAGGATGATGTCGAGTTGATTGTGAGTGCCTGCAACGTTTCTTGCACGTATACACAAAGAGAGCTGATGACGCTACCTCATTCTCACAGACGAGGGACCTTTTGATACCCAAACACGAGGCCGAAAGGGCACTGACTCAGAACGAGGGCAACTTGACAGAGGCACTCAAGAGTCTCTTGACGCCCGCTTCCTCTTAAACCGGTCCATGACAACCTACCAGCCCGCATGGCAACTGCGAGACAGTCCTCTCGCCGATCGAGTGAATGCTATATGATTTACACGCAAGAAGAAAAAGGGGAAAGGCGACATGAGGATCAGGTGAAGAGCTTGTTGACTGATGTGGAGCCATCTTGCTGGCGACGGAGGACCTTGCTGACGGCCAGCTCAAAGTCTTCCTGACTGACGTGCTGCCTCCTCTCTCTGAGCGCATACATGCCGGCCTCTGTGCAGATGCCGCGAACCTCTGCGCCCGAGCATTGTCCCATCTTCTCTGCCAGTGCCCTAAGGTTGATGCCTCGCTGCAGCGACATCTTCCGCGAGTGAATGCGAAGAATCGAGACGCGGGCCTCCGGTCCTGGAGGTGGGAACTCGATTTTCCGATCGATGCGTCCCGGTCGCAGAAGCGCACTGTCCAAGATGTCGATTCGGTTTGTTGCCATGATGACTTTGATGTTCTTGGTACCCTCGAAGCCGTCGAGCTGGTTCAGGAGCTCGAGCATCGTCCTCTGCACTTCGGAGTCGCCGCCGCCACTGCCACTCTCGCCACGAGACGAGCCAATGCTGTCAATCTCGTCCATGAAGATGATCGACGGAGCGTGCTCTCGGGCCATCACGAAAAGCTCACGAACCATTCTGAGTGAAAGGGAGTCAGTGTTGACTGACCAATCGAGCTCACAAATCTGGAAGGATGACTCACCGACTTCCCTCGCCGATGTACTTTTGTACGAGCTCGGAGCCACTGACTCTGATGAAGCGGCAGTCGGTATGATGCGCCACGGCTCTCGCCAGAAGAGTCTTTCCAGTGCCGGGCGGACCGTAGAGAAGGACACCCTTCGGCTGTGCAATGCCTAGACTCTCAAACAACTCCGGATGCTTCACGGGAAGCTCAATAACTTCCTTGATCTCTTTGATCTGGCGATCGAGACCTCCGACCATTTCGTAGGTCGAGTCTGGCACCTTTTCAACCATCATGAGCGAGACGAGGGGGTCGATCTTGTTTGGGAGGATCTTGTGCAGGGTGTATGAGTCAGATCGTAGAGCGACCCTAAGCGAGGGCGTGAGCGACGTCACATCAATGTCCTGCGCAAAGTCGACAACTGCAATGGCAGATGTGCCGTCAGCAGTCTCTTCCCTTTGCTGGTATGCGCGCCAGACCCTCACCATATTTCCCCTCTGGTTGAACCTTGACGAGGACCTTCTTCTTTCCCATCACCTTGACAACTTCTCCGACGTAGCTGCCAGGCTCCTGCAGAAGCTGCAGCTCTTCCCTCAGCAGTCTGACCCGCGCGTTCAGGGTATTCCTCTGAGCCTCGAGACGTCGCAGGTTCTGCGTACGTTCATTGATGAGGAGCTCATAAGCCTGAATCTTGTTCTGGTAGAAGCTCTGGATGCCCAAGGCCTGAGATGCAACGCCTTGGTTCGCCTGGCTGCTGTTCGTCGCCACTTGCGATGGCGGTGCCACTGCTGTTGTCGCCATCGTTGCACAGAATCGTCGTCGTTACGAGGATCGATGTGCTGTGGCGATGGTAGCAATCGAGAGCAGGACCGACCCAAGACGGCCGCGTGTCCTACAAGCCAAATAGACACGTGACTCTGTGCTCCACTCTGCTTTTGATGTGTTGCTCTCCGCGTAACATTAAATTTTGGCGCCTACTGGCTCACGCTGACCGGCTCGCACTGAGGCTTTCGACCGAAAGCTAGTGTAGGCAAGGAAAAGTGACATCCTTCCCCTAGCTGCTGGAAGGCTAGACAGGAGTGCGGTGTGGTCTGTTGCGGGCACTTCATCACTGTCAGAAGCTGGACAAGGAGGAGTAGTGCGCAGTAGATTCCGACTTTCTCTTCTCTCAAGGTCATCCCCTCCTCGACATCACGTCACCAGCCCAAGTGACTGTAGAAGAGCGCTCCTAAGGAAATCAACGGTGTGGTCTGTGACAACGTCCAAGCTAGTGTTACCAAGTCAAAGGCAAATCGTAGCCATTTCAGCAGGCTAGGTGCGTAGGGTAACATGTATGCATCAGCAGGCAGCGTCGCAGATTGAGAACGACGATTTGTTGGCACTGTGCCTGCGTTGATATACTCCAATCGAGGCCAAAATTTCAAGCCACGAAGCAGATTGTCTGCCAGCGGTCTTGCCAGGTGATTCTTACTGGTTTCTCTTTGCCCGCACAGCTAGGTGCGACCGTCCCCCATTCCATTGAGCTTGGTTCTCTCACTTCCTGCTGAGGCGAAGCGAACATCATATCTCATCCAGACAACACCATCAGAACGAGCTCATCAAAGACCTTTCCCTCTTCCATCCCTTCTTGTCACCCACACAATTTCCCTCTGTCACCTTCTCACATCCTCACAGGTACTATTCTCCCCTCCCTTCCTCCTTCAAATCTCTTTCCGGATCCATATTCCTCTTGGCCCTCTTCAGTCTTCACTGGCCTTCAGATAAGAATGAAGCGGCCAATTCAGCCCCCAAAGGAGCTTTCCCTTGGCTTGGTACCACCTAGAGAACCAAGCAGCCCTTCCACCAACCCAACGACACCGGTCAATCGTACCTTTGGAATAGACTCCAATCCTTCATTCGCCACCGCAGTTGTCTCCCCCGGCTCCGACGAGATACAGGCAGCCCGAGCGCGTGCCCGGTCCCGTAGCGAGGCAAGATTGTACAAGATCGAAGTGCCGGCTGGCAAAGGGGAAGTTAGTGAGCATGGACGTGCTCATGTTGTCGAAGGGCTGGGCGACCTTGTGGGAGACTCAGAGCAGCCTGACGTTTCGCCCAGCGAAGCTTCGGCCAACGGTGAGATGTTCGCCCTGCAAACGTATCATTGCCCCTTTCTGAGCGCTGACTCTTGACACCGAAGACTCGCCATCTTTGTTGAGGAGGAGTCGCATTCTCTCTGCCAATATTACCGTTGCGACCGTCACCTGCCATCTTGAAAGTACGAACGACAAGGTTGCTTCGACTGCTCGTCAAGAGAATACTGCTCTTGTGAGGGTTTCACCCCTGAAGGCCGACGAAAGAAAACTGTCAGTCTTTACAGGAGGCAGGCCTCGAGCTAGTACCTTGGCAGCTCCTAGCACCAAAGCTTTGCGACACTCGGCCCACGCACATCATTTGGAGAGGACCGCTTCTTTCCTCCACCACCACCACCACCACGACTATCAGCTTCAGCATCCGCAACAGCAGGTGCAACGGAGCTCAGAAGCTCAGATCAGCGACAGCCATCAGAGATCGATCCGCGAGATTGGCCGTAGATTAACCGTACAGGTCAATGCTGCTCCCACCGTGGCTTCGACTCGACCTGCATCGGCCGTGGACAGTATGGGCAAGCCTATGTTCAAAAGCGAGCTGAACAAGCCTGACGATGGATCTCAAGATAGCTCGAAGGGGTCTCGACGCCAGGAGAGGGAGAGGTACGAAACCAGCCAATCTTCGAATCGCTCGATCCGGGATGACGACGGCGACATCACTGCATCCTTCGAAACAACCATCAACACTCTTTTTGACTTCAACCATGTCACTGGGCACGAGACATTTGACACTTCGATCGCTAGCTTCGCTCCATCTGACAAGAATGCCGAATTTAGTGATGATGGCACTGAGGAGGACGACATATTTCTCACAACAACGGACGGAGTGCTCCCTTTTCTTGGCCACGACAGGGAAGAATCCGAGCTCTCGGTCAATAAGCCTGTAGGAGCGAAGCGACCAGCACCGGCCAGTGTCCGGCCGAGGACCGGCTCTGATGCTTATCAATACCCACTTTCGGTCTCTTCAGACGTGTTTGGGCCCACCACACCTGTCTTTAGTGCTGCTCTCCCGAGCTCGGGCCTATCTTCTCAGCACCAGCGTCAAAACGATTGTCCAAATCAAGCCGCCGTCTCTTTCGCTTCCCTGCGTCGCATGACCATAGCAGCGGAGCCACGCCATCTACGTCAGCAGGCAGAAAACGACGAGGCCGAAAAGGCACCTAGCTTGGCAAAACGCCGCCATGCCGACACCATCACCACCAGGCTCTCCGAAGAGCAATGTGAAGCCTTTCAAGAACTCATTCAAGGTACGGTCAGGAGGCCTTTACAAATTTCTAAAAGCAGTCTGCCCGATGTACCCAAGACGAGCCTGGCCAGTATCGGCGCAGCGCTCGAGTATCAACGCTCTTCGCCCTCGGGACGGCGTTACGCCAGCGATACTCTACCATGTGATCTCTGTGGTGGTGTGGCAAAGCGTCTTACGACCATTGAGCCTTGTGGCCATCAAGCATGTTCTGTCTGCTGCCAATCTGGACTCAATCAAGTCACGGCTACGCCTCCCCGTCCTCACACATGTGCCGCCTGCCACCAACCAGTTTCTGGTATCACATTGCACAAGGATCACCGCCGCCAGCTCTCTGAGATACGCGGAGGACTCTTTCGGATCGATGAGTCTCCCGGCCAGACTCGCCCCGAGACACCCGATCATGAGAAAGAAAAGAGGATGTCACTTCAGTCGACGCCCAGCAGCGCCACAAGATCATCCTCGAGCTTTGAGAGTCACCTCGCCTCTACTTCCCCTTCCATCGTGAGTACTTTATCGGCTCGGCCTATTCTCTTATGTGCGCTCATCTTTAGCAGACTCGAGATGCCGAAACTGGCCTGGCTAGCCCCGCTATTCTGTCGTCGAAAGTCATAGCAGACAGAGCTCCTGTAATTTGCTCCAGCTCCCCGAAAAAGACGCGAAAGGGTTTTATGGACCCACTCAAGACCAACATCAGTTCGTCCGATGCCGCGGCAAGGGTGGTAGACCTGGACCACAATCTCGTGGTACCGACTTCGTCTGACCATCTCCTCGCTGAAGATGCACCTTTCTTTGCCCGCGACTACGTCGATCAGAACCGGGGTGGAAGGGATCAGCAGTGGCACCGGCGCCGACGTTCTCCTCGCAAGCAGAGCAAAACTGAGGGTGGAGCTAGAAGCAAAGACCGCGCTGGTGTTGAGACGTATCAGGGAACGTTCGTCGTTCGTGTAGATAACATTCCCTGGACGGTTGCCCACAATCATGTCGTCGCATGGCTTTCGGACGAAGCTGACGAAATCTTACCAGATCCCGACTTGGTGGCTCAGGCGATTCATGTACCTGTTGATCTGCAAACAGGCAAGACGGCTAACTGCTGCTTCATCGAGTGCAGAGGAAAGGAGGAAGCCATGCGCCTTGTCCGTCATCGCAACAACACCAGGCTCCTGGGTCGACCAGTGTGCCTCATCCTCACTACCTACAGCGACTTGCTAGACGAAATATTTCCGTCTCGCACGGCATCGAGCTCACGAGACGATTGCGATTGCGTGTTTTTCACGCCCGCCGAACTTCAACAGCTTGTTTATCTTCTCACGAACGGTGGTGCACAACTCAAGAGTCCAGCCAAGGTCGTTGAGCTGACGACGAGCATGGTACGTCTGGCTCCCCCCGACATGGACCCCAAGCTTCGCTATCTGCTTTGGATCCGTACGAAGGAGATCGTCTGCCTTGCTGTCCGGGCGGCAAACGAGCTGAAGCCGTTGCGGGAAGCAATGGACCGGCTATTACTTGCCTGCAGCAACTCTTCGAGCTTCACGGTCGCACAGCGCATCGATCTGTTGAGCACCGCTCGCGATACATTAGATCTTCTCAGGACTATGAACGAAGTGGCCATGTCCATCGGTGACGGTGCACCGGGGTCGGGATCGGCTGTCTCGCAACACTATCTACCAGAAGCGGCACAGCTTGCCTATGCAACTCATCGAGCCAGTTTTCCTGAGCAGATGTCACCGAATGCGCTTGGGCAGATCCTTCAGTTCCACAAAGACGGGCAGCGGGGCCTCGAAGCCGGCCATGAGGTGTTTTGCTATCCCCATACGACGGATCTCGACCCATACGTCTCCTCCGCACCCGTCAGCAATTACCAACGGGCAAGCCTAAATTGGCCAACTTCCCCGCTTTCCCCGCTTTCCAGCCGCAGTAGTGTTCAATCTGGTGACCAGCAGCAGGTCAAACGCAAGGCGAGCCGCAACTTGAGTGAGGCCGACTTGGTCCCATATCTCGCACCGGGCGGTGCCGCTCACAGGGAGCTGGAGAAGTGGGGAGTTCCTAACAACGACAAAGCCAACAGACCCTCCTCATACGGCCGTCTGGCAAGGAACGTCGCGCAGGCCTTGGCAGAAAAGGATCTCGAGCGTCATCGCCGCCAAGGAATGTCACAGTAGTCGCACTATGTGAGTGCTGACCATCAGCTTCGGCCTCTCACCGCCTTCTCTTCTTTTACTCCCTATTAGCAAGCATCATACACGGAGCCAATAATCGGAATCAACTCATAGCACAGCACGAAAAGGAATCTACAGCACGCATCTGTGGCTTACTCCTACAATTCGCAAGCTCGTTTCAGCATCTTCACCAAAAAAAAATCCCAATCCAAAACGTAGTTTCTTCCGTCTTCATCATACTGTAGCCAGTCCTCAAGAAGTAGTCATTCTACAGGAAAAGCAATAAAAGTAGATCAGAATTTTCACCTTACCTCACTTCCCCTGTCGCCCAGAAAGCGAGAACATTGCCTTGTCTTTCATTCCGATGAAACAGGCGAGCTAAACATTGTTCCTGATTGTGGCTTCACTTCTCGACGGCCGGAGAAATAGTGATCGGTGTTCACTTCGCATTACACAAGAGTAGGGAGCAGGAGGTTCAATACAGAGCTGATTGTTCAACTTAATTAATATATCGGCTGATAATGAAGAGTCCGACTGCTACTCGGGGCCCCCGGCCGACCCCGTGATTGGACAATGATCGGGAAAGACGCCAGACTTCTTGCTTGGATTTCCCGGCCAGGTTGGGAACTTGACTGCATTCCGGGAGAGCATACCGCCAAAGGCCAGGGAAACGAGCAGGACCATAAAGGCAACACCGCCATCCAGCGCAGCACCAATAACGGGGAGTTGGCGATGGTAGAAGCGAGCGTGTCGGAGCTTGAGGTAGAGACACGAAAAAGCACCGACGAGCACACGCGTGAAGAGACCGTTTGTGTGGTGACTGATGGGATACCCTGTCTCCTGTTGTATGAAATGTGTTTGGTTTGTTTACCGGCTCTGTCAGTGCCCAAATGTAGTTGGGAGAGGTGGCAGGCAAACGCACAAATATGAGAATGGACATGTGGAAGTCCTTTGTAAGATCGAAGCTGCCGATGCGAGGAACAACCTTGGTGAGGAGAAACCAGGCCGCAGAGAGACCGATACCGATCAAGAAGCCCATTGGCACAAAGAAGTACCCATCGGGACCGTATGTTTTCCTGGTGAGGGACCAAGAAAAGGCTTCTTGGTTCTATGTCGTGTGTCGCGGAAGTCAGATTTCGTCGAGAAAAGTGGGAAAGCAGGAAAGCACCCCGATAGAGCCCAAAGGTTGCCAACTTACCACAAGCTGAAATTGAATGCCGGACCACATCAACGTCCCAGTGTCGGACAACAGCGTCTCTCGCTGTCTGCTAACAATCGCGAACATAATTGGGAGCTCGATGGCGGCAGAAATGGCTATCCCAAAGAGGATAGCAGTAAAGACGACTCGCGGTGGGACACGCAGATAGGCGCCCATTTTGAAATGTGAGGCAAGGACAAGGCACTGGCTCATGACGGCGGTGCATGTTGCCGAAAAGTAGGCAGTCGCGAGCGGGTGACCTGGCTGGAGGATTGCCCCAAAGACCATCTTTGCGATGGGACCGATGTAGCATGTCCCGCCGGTCCTAGCCTTGAGCACGCCAACGACGGGGGAAAGAAAACCGCCGAGAATGACTCCAACAAGGTACGAGGTGAATTTCAACGTCGTATTACCGCGAACGCAAAGGACCGTTCCCGAGGTGAAGGCGATGGAGAGGGTAAAGAGGTACCAGAGGATAGGAACGGACTGGTAGCGTTGCATGGCGATGAAGTGTTCGCATTCCTCTTCTAAGGATCTTGGCTCTTCGAAACGTGAAGTGTCCATGCTTCTTTTATCGGTTTCCGAAAATCTTCTTTCGCCATCCTCGTGCGGCTGTCCTCGTCGTTCCAACGTGATTGCGTCGGTTTCTTGCGCTCTTTCAAGCTGAGCAGAACCCTCATTCTCATCCCTTTTTCTTTCCTCAACCATGCTTGGTTCCAGAATGCCCTTTCTCTTCCAATTGCGAATGGCGCCGACAGCTTTTATATGCTTGTTCCATCGCCCTTGCAGACCATCGGGGCTTCTGTCATCGCTTCTGATGACTATCTCCCCGGTCTCTGAAACTTGCTGCCTCTCATTGCTGCAAGTTCCCGATCCACTTCGCCTGAAGTTGCGCTTGAAGCCGAACTTCATAGATCGATAGATATCCTTCCCCCAAAAGAGTATCGTCCACGTTAGCATTGCACCGACCTTATCACGGAGTAAGACGGTCAGCTCTTTGTTAATTTGCCTCGCCAAAAATTCAACCTACACTTGCCGTCTGCGTAAAGAACTTGAAGGTGCTCGTGATCGGTAGCTTTGGGTTCCCCTTGACTGCGATCTTTGCCTCATCCAAGACGCTCTGTGTCAGGACGCTGTCGATTTTGTATGGCTTCCCATTGGGCAGGAACATATTCGTGGAGAGAAATGGAAACGTTTTTGCCTGGAAAACGTTGGCGTAGTAGAGAGACGATGCAAAAATGATGCAGAGCGCTGCACCAATCCAGGCAGGGAGAAGACCCTGGAGCGGTACGACCAACGGGGCAGTCGTCTTTATCGCAAATGATTCTTTAGTCACTGTGGAGAACGCTTTTTGCGAGAAGCACTTACGATGTACTGCCAATCGAACGTGAGCGCCAGGAGGCCGAGCCCTTCGTTGATATTTGCGCTTCCGAACAGGTTGGTGAAAGTCGATTTCAACCCCTTTGACTTATTGCTGCCCTTTCCAAGCGCCAAGCAAGGGATCGAGAAGGCCGCAAGGGTAGGGAAAATGAAGAGAGGCAGCACCTCGTAGCAGAATACGGCGAGAAGGAGGAGCCAGAAGAGGCGAAATCGCTTTGACGAGGCCGGATCGAAGTGCAACATTTGCATAAAGTTGATTGTGGGCAGCAGCTCGTACCAGACAGCCAAGGGCGAGTCCACAAGGATAGGGCTGAAGAGCCCGGCGAGACTCAAGCCAAGTAGCGTCGTGCCTATGGTGCAGAAGATGACATCGATGGGCGATAGCGGGTTTTCAACTTCATAGTAGAGCTGTTCAGAGGCATCGTGATCAGTGTCTCCTCCTTATAGCTGAGTATTTCACAAACGCGTGAACTGACCTTGTGGACAATGAACGGATTGAACACCTCGTTGACCCGGCAGCTGGAAACGATGGCAATGACTGCGTGCTCCTTGATGGTGAAAGGTCCAGGATTGACAAAGTGGACGACCTTCTGCCACTTTGTCAAGCAGCGATGCTGGTCGACCCGGCCCTCATCGACAGGGACAGACGGAAGCCATTTTGCCCAGGCAGTCCCAATGATGTAAGACAGGATCTGAATGACGGAACCACTGAGATTTAGAGAACCGCTCTGCCTGAAGAGTGTGATGGCGGAAATTGTGCTGCCAAGGACGCATGCGATCAGGCTCAGAAGGACGCTTCGAAAAGTGACGCTTAGTGTATCGACATCGTCAGCGTACGAACGCACGTAACCGTCGTCCTTTTCCACTTTCTTCTTGGCGGCCTCTGTGCCTCCATCTCCAGCGCCATCGAGTATCATGTCGTTGCGTTCGCCAGTGTCTTTTCTGTACCGCGGGCAAAGTCAGAGCGTGAGGGAAGTAGAGCTTATGTAGGGTGATGAGCCTTCGAAGATACAGCCAGCAAGCTTTTTACCCACTTCCGGTGCGAAGACCGCCTTGCTCCGTTGCTGACTTTCGCATCGATCTCCGACCACCTCACCGCTCTTGGCTTTCCCTGTACTGTACATCGTCGCCCTGTTGTTCGATAAGACAGGGGTGAACCCTCGCTCATCAAGTGAAGGCGTCTGCCGCCGCAGAAGCTTCATTGCCCGGGACCCACTCTCTGAAAGAACACGGTCTCACGCATTCTTCGCTCTCAGACGAACAGAATTCAGCCCACGCATTCCGATCAGCGAGGTCTGACCCCACCGGCGCCCCGTTTTCCCATGTCTTTTCGAAGCAGAGATTTATCTGGCCGCTTCCTGAAATTAGGTGTTCACTCCCACACAACCGTAGAGGGGGAAAGGCGGAAAGAAGCTGAGATTTCTTGGACGGCTCTGCGCCCTTGCGAGAATTTTGGGGGGGACAGCAGAGGGCCAGGCCAGTGAGCAAGCTTTTTCCTACCAAGAGTCGAATAGTGAAGCGCGCTTATTGATGTTAGGGTGACTGAGGGAGAGAAAAAGAAGTGAAGTAGCGAGGCGCGAGAGTCTGAGAGAAACATCTAAAGGCGAAAGTGATGAGAGCCATTGGCTCGGCTGAAGTGCCGAATTTTGGTGATTGAATGGAGAGGAAAGGGAGAGAAGGCTGTGTCGGTCAAGCGTTTCACGCCGTGCCGTTCCAACTGGGTATGTGATGATGAGGTGATGAAAAATGATGAAATTGATGCTGTTCTCGTTAGGGTCTGTGACTGCTGTTCATTGCTTCTGACCAGCGACGAGCTCGACCTTCTCCTTCAGGCAGTCTGGGTAAGAGTTGATGAGGTGGGCCAGCGACCGCAGGTCCTCCGAGTCGAGAAGCGTAATGGTGATCTTGGGTGCCCCTTTGATGCCGAAAATCTTGATCTTTTTGTAGAGCTGGTCGCCCACTTTTTGCTTCTGATCCTGGATCGGCTTGTCCTGCAAGCCATCAATGAAGGCATCGGTGCTTTTGACGACCTCTGGGTCTGCCTTCGGAAGAGGCAGGCCAGGCGACGCGGCCGACGCTGGCTCTGTCGCCAGGCGGATGATCTCCTTTGCCGGCAATCGCGCCAGGCTCGCCAAAGTGTGGTGCGCTGCCGGTGACTTTTCTGTTGACTTCGATGCTACCGCCGCTGCTGAAGCTCCGTTGCCATTTGTAGCATTTGACGGGCTCTCATCTTCGTCGGTGATGTCGAGGATGTCCTTGGCTTCGTCGACTTTTTGACGGAGGAAATCCGGGTTGAAGAGAGCCATTGCCCGGTCCTTCTTAGACAGTGAGACGATCATGTCTGTAACATCCTCGACGGGCGCACCAGCCGACATGATGCCGCTGACAGCTTTGAGGATCCGCTCTCTCTCCTTGGCGGACGCAGGGGCCGCCGAATTGATGGAGATGTTGTCCGCCGCCGACGCCACTCCAGATCCGGGCGTCGGCACCGACAGGGTAGCCGCTCCACCAGCCACGCCGCTGTCACTTGTCGAAGACAGTGTCACGCCAGAAGTCTGCAGGTCGCTCACCCGCTTGATAAGATCTGGCGGGTTGTTAAGAGCTTCGACAGCATCGGGCAGTCTGAGCTTGCAAAGCTCTGTCACCAGCCCCTCCACGTCGTCCTGATCGATACCAGGCAGCTGGGCAACTCTCCGGCTGAACTCGCCCCTCACAATGTCGTTACGCACACTCCCGCTCATGGCTCTCAGCTGATCGGCGTCAACAGTAGAGCTGTTGCCTTCGATGGCCGCCTTGAAGTACGAGTTGCTTCCTCTCTTTTCCCGCTTCTCCATCGCCGGACTCTTCGTCCCCGGGCTTGGCGTGGGTGAGCCCTCGTCTGAGAGATGCGGCGACGCAGATGAGTTGCGGTACTGCGTTCCAAACTTGTGCGACAGCTTGTCCTGGCGCACACGCTTGGGCTCGTGCAACCTGACTGTCATGAGCTTGGAACCCTGCATGGTGTTGTTCATGGCATTGAGGGCCTTTGCCGCGTCGTCTGGGTTCGTGTAGCTGACGAAGCCGAACTCGCGGCTCACGCCTTGGTCGTCGCGCATGACACGGGCCGAGACGATGCGGCCGAAGGTCTTGAACATGGTGAAGAGATCGTTTGAGTCGAGCGCTGGATCAAGATTCTTGCAAAAGAGGTTGCAAGGGTCGATGTAGGTGGCTGCACTCGCCGAGTACTGCAGATTGGTACCCGGCACGGCCACAATGGGACCAGGCTGCTGCTGCTGTGCCGACGAGAGCGACGAAGGGGAACCCAAGGGCGGCTGGAAGGCTGGCGCAGTCGCATTCATACCTCTGCCGTTGCCGTTGCCGGCGCCCGCACCAAAGGAAGGGACAAAAGGTTGGGCAGCGGGACTGAATTCCTGGTGGTTGCCTCCGTTTGGCCGTCTTGCCACATTATCAATCGACACGCTGATCGTCTTTCCTTCAATCTCGGCACAGTGCATCTCCGCCTGGGCCTTTGCTGCATCTTCCTCGCTGTAGTAGACTACGAGGGCCATTCCGCGGAAGCCAGTGACGTGGCCTGTGGGGTTTGTCAGGATCCTCTGCGCTTGCGCCAGGGCGCCGTAGGGCCGGAAGAGTTCGTAGACATCGGCATCCTCGGTGCCGTGGGGCAGCTGCTTGATAAGCCGAGGTTTGGCCTGCGCCGTTGGGTCTGCGCCGTCCTCCTCTTTTGAGATGGACAATTTTGGGTTTCTGATAGTCGCATATGCTTTCTCGGCTGAAAAAGAACAAGGGAGAAATGATTCAGCAAAGCTCTGCCGAGAAGAAGGGCTCGAGCAAGTAGTACACACCTTTGTCCAGCGTTTGGAACTCAACTGTCCCTGACGCCCTCGCGCCCTCCTCAACTTGACGAGCGATGTTGAGCCTGAGACAATGGAACCGACTCAGCATGGGCACTTTCGAAAAGAGACGTAAGAGGGAGAGAGACTCGACTCACCTGACAGGAAGGCACGCAGCAAAGACACTGCTCGCAAGCTCCTTGTCTGTGACGTTGGGGTCGAGGCCGGAAACGTAGAGCAGGGGCTCTTTGAGGAACGGGTTGGGAGGGAGCGGTTCCGAGGCCTGTTCGTCTGCGTCGCTGTGGTCCAGAGGACCGGAGCCGTTGGAGTAGGAAGCTGGCTCGTCCTCCTGGGCCTTTGGCGCATACTTTGACTCCGAGGCCATCTTCGCGGTTCCCTGCTTGGAAATTCTCTGCGAAGTGACTGTGTGTATCGAATGAAGAGGGAAAAGGAAAAGGGAATGAGAGGAGGGGGGAGAGAGACAGACGACGAGAGGAGCTAGGGAGTGGAAGGGAAGAGGGCTAACAAACAGGACGTTTTAATTTTTGCCTCTGACCAAAGGAACAGGCGAAAGAAAAAAAAAAAGAAGGGAAGAAAACGTGAGCTCCTTGCCCACGCGCGCGAAGGCGGCGGCGTTGCACTTTAAAAGTTGTGGAAGGTCCGTCATATACGGTCCCATCGCGGGCTTCTGTCGTGTGCCTCGAACCCCCTCTCCGCCTTCTGCCGTCACCTTACAGGATGCCGCGGCACAGCAAGAACAACACGGCCTCTGGCCACTTTACAAAGGCCGAGTTCGAGATGCTGCGCGATGTCTGGGGCAGCCAGCGTGCCCGACTGGGAGCCGAGTCGATGCGGCACTATGACCAGTGCGCGCTGTGCCTGCACACCGTCGAGCAGCCCGTGTGCTGCAGCAAGGGACATCTCTTCTGCAAAGAGTGCATCCTCACGAACCTCGTCGAGCAGAAGCGAGATATTGCCGCGCTCAAGGCGACGCTGGCGAGGCTCGACCGGGAGCAAGAGGAGGAAAAGGCCAGGGCGAGACAAGTGGCCATTGAGCGCGTCCAGCGCGACTTTGAACAGATCCACTCGGGCGTCGGGAGAACGGAGAGGGGCCGGGAAAGAGGCGCAAGGAGTAGCGCAAGTCCGCCTCCGAGAACGAGGAACCGATCGGCATCGCCGCGTGGCGACGAGGGCGAAGGGGGTCTGGCTTCGTCACTCGCCAAGCGCATCTCGTCGCAGACCGAACGGGCCATCGCTGCAGCGTTGGCCGAGGTTGAGGCAGAGCAGCTCGCCAAGCGCAAGGCTTCCATCCCCTCCTACTGGCTCCCTTCCCTCACGCCAACATCTCACACGGACGCAAAGCAGCGGAGCAAAGACGTTGTTGCGCAGGCAAAGAACATCGAGGGCACTCGCTGCTTCGTCGCAGACAAGCTCGGGCACGACGTCAGCATCAAGAACCTCGTCGACGTTAAGTTTGTCAAGGCTGAAACCCAAGCTGAGGGAGAGGGGAATCCAAAAGTAGTCTGTCCAAGCTGCAAAAAGACGCTGGGGGATGTAACGAGGCTCGTTGGTGAGTGTCCACTCCCTTTCGTGAGCCAATGCCGAAAAGTACAGTACTAACACTACATGCTCGGCCAGCACTCCGACGATGTGGCCACGTATTTTGCAAGTCCTGCGTCGACACGCTCATACTGCCCTCCCTGAAAGACGCAAAGGAAGGACGGACATCGTGCTTGGAATGCAACAAGGCCGTCAAGGACGGACAGCGGGACCTCATCGATCTGCAGCGCGAGGGCACAGGCTTTGCAGCGGCCGGCACTCTCGACACAAAGGTCAAGGGTGTTTCCTTCCAAGGTTGAGTCATACGCTGCTGGCATCGAGTGAACAGAAAGCATCCAATTGTACTTCTATAATGATTGTCACATGTGCTTGTGAGAGAGAAAGAGCTCAAGCTAGTCTATGTTGGAAAGAGAGAGAGAGTAAGACGAGGAGCAGATTGCAGAAGAGGGGAAAAAACAAAAGCAGTTGCTCAGAGGGTGTTGTCCCCTTCTTCCATGGGAACCTCCTGGATACCTGCCATTTCGGCCAAAGCATCTATGACCTTCTGCGGTTCGTCGACGTGCCAGTGGGCCAATGTCTTTTTACCATTGGCCCCGATGGTCGTGGTGAAGATGGCGTCGGGTCGGAGCTTGAGCAGTTTCGGCGAGCCCATTGGCGTCGCAGCAGAGAGGGGCGCGGGTGGCGAGACGACCAGAGGCTGTTGATGGTGAGTAGCAGTGGGAGGCGTGCCCGGCGAGTTGGGACCAATCAGACCCAGCTTGTTCCCTCCTCCTGGCGCCAGCTTGGCCTCCTCGTGATGCGCCTCAGCCAGCTTCTTGGAGAGCTCCGGGCCCGGCGAGTCGAGCGAGTCATTGGCCGATGTGCTCGGACTATCGCTCCCAGGGAAGTTGGGCGAGAGGTTGCACAGCGTCCTGAACATGTCTTCGTCCGTGCGATCGTCACCGGCACAGAAGACGAGCTCGGTATCGGCGTGATGGTACAGGATCCTCTTGACGATTTCGCCCTTGTTGACAGCCAGAGGCCTACACTCGAGATTCTTCTTCCCGACGAGGACCTCGATTGCGAGGCCCTGCTGCGCGACGAGGTTGTCCAGATGGGCCTGGCACTCCTTGGCCTGGAACACGCCGTAGTCCGGATCAGCATTCCGATAGTGCCAGGTGATGGATGATTTCTTCATCTCGATGTTGGCGCCGGACGTGCGCTCAGTAAAGTACTCGAACACACCCTTGATGTCGTTCATCCAGCTCATGTCGAGTTCCTTTGTCAGGTTGATCCACGTCTTGCTGCCCGGTTCGCGCATGTATCCACCATGCTCTGCAGAGAAGCCCATCCGCTCAAAGTGGCCAAGGTGCTTGGAGAGGAACGTTTCGTCACGGCCCGAGATGACGTAGACGATGTTGCGCTCGTCACTCGTGAGCTTTTGCAACGCTTCAAGCAGTTTCTTCGATGGCAGGGCCGCCTCGGGATCCTTGACTATGGGCGTCAGCGTCCCATCGTAGTCGAGCAGAAACATCCTCTTGCCGGCCTCTTTGTAGCGCTGGACGAGGAGCGAGCGGTTGAGTGGCGGGGTGAAATGAGCAGACTGCTCGCCCAGAATGCGTTGAACCAGAAGCTTGACCAGCGATGCAGCCCAGGTGTGCGACGTGTGCGAGACGACCTGGTGGTAGAGGTCATCGTGCCTCGATTCTCGCTCTTCGTGGGGCATCTTGAGGGCGTAGTTGATGGCCTTTGCGCAGCTGAACGTGGCCCAAGGATTGATCTGGATCGCCGACCGCAGGCGGCCTGCACTTCCCGTAAACTCGCTGAGCAGGAGGGGTGCTTTGCTTCCGAGCATGTGCTGCGCCACCACGTACTCCATCGTCGAGGCCGTCATGCCATCGCGGAGCGAGCTGACAATGGCCAAATCGGCGACGCTCAGGAGCGCAAAGTACTCGTCTCGCTCAATGATCTGGTGGTAGTGGTGGACAGGGGTGAAGCTCAAGCTGCCAAATTCGCCATTGATGTGGCTGACGAGCTCCGAGACCTGCCGCTCGAGAATGGGAGAATCGTTGAGCGAGGGAGCCGTGACCTGGATGAGGACGACATTGTCTCGCCATTCGGGAAACTCCTCGAGGAGCTTGTGGAACGCCTGCAGCTTCTGGATCACACCGCGGACAACGTCGAGCTTGTCGCGGCCGACGATGACCTTCTTACCCCGGTACATTTCCCGGATCGCCTCGATCTTTGGCATGACGCCTGGTGATGTGCAGTCCTTTGCAATCTTGGCCGCGTCGATACCAATGGGATTGTAGGCCACGTTGGTGACGTGACCGGTCGTCGACTCGACACTATTGGCCGAGGACTCCAAGCCGCAGACTCGAATGCACGATGAGAGAAAGTGACGCGAGTACGAAAAGGCCTGAAAGCAGGCCAGGTCAGCGCCGAGCATACCCTCGATGATCTCGCCGCGCTGAGGCAGACAGCGGAAAATCTCGCTCGAGGGAAAGGGTGCGTGGATGAAGAGGCCGATGTGGGCGTCAGGCACGAGCTTGCGGAGCATCTGCGGCACAAGGAGCAGATGGTAGTCGTGCACCCACACCAGATCGCCAGGCCGATACTGCTCTGCAACACGCTGGGCGTAAGCCTCGTTTGCGGCCACGTAGGCCTCCCAGCTGTAGTCGTCCCACACACGCCGGTCACCGGGCACGTCCTGCCAGAGGAGGTAGTGGAACAGAGGCCAGAGGTGCGTCTTGCAGTAGCCCTCGTAGTGGCCGTGCGCGACGGCATTGTCGAGCCAGACAGGGACGTACTTGATCCCGTGAGCCGTGATGGGCTCGCCATTGGCGTCGTTGCGACCGGCTGCGTCTTTGTCGTTCACCCCGCTCTGGATCGGCTCTGCACCGTTCATCAGCGGGGTTGGCACCCGGCTCATCCTCGTTTCCCCTCCGTCGGCCTTTGGCGTCGTAGAAGACTGGCCGTCGGCAGCACGTGCGGTCACGGGTGCGTCTTGGGCCGCCCAGTTGCGAGCATCGTCGAGGCTGCTGAGGACGTCTTCGATCTGCCTGCGCTCCTCGTCTGTCGTCTGGCTGGCGTCCTTGCGCTCGTCGTTGAGGGCCTGGGCGGCAAAGTGGATGTCACCGGGCCAGCCGACAAAGGTCTGTGCATGGGTGGCGCAGAGACTGCGAATACCGCTGTTGAGGGCAGTGTGACCCCGTCGAGGAGCAAGGACCCACTGGGGTGGCGGCGGCGGCGGTGGCGGAGGCGAGCCCGTCACGAGTTTTCTTGGCGTCCGCATCGGCGAATTCTCATCCGAGACGGCGCTGAACCGGTTGTCGGTGCTCGTGAAGCTGAGGTGTCTCCCACTTGCCTCGGACCACGTCGAGTTCCTGCGCGAGCCGACGGGTGTAAAACGGTCAGGAGCAGCACTGTCGCTCTCGTCGTCTTCTTCGTCGACGACGGGTGTCATCATCCAGGCGCGTCTGCCTGCGCGCATCTTGCTCCGTGCCTGGTTCTCCGCCAGCCTCTTCTCCATGTCCGTCGTGTCGCTCATTCCCTCGAGAAAGGAGCCCTTGCGTGGACCGTGCTGCGAGTCGGTCTCGTTGCCTCCACCGGCCTCTGCTGCGAGAGCGGCCTGGCGGGCCGCCTTTCGCGCACGCGCGGCTGCAGCCATGGCCGCGACGCTGGCTGTGGCGGCAACCTTCTCCTCGCGCTTTCGCTCAAAGTCGACCTCGGCAAGCGCGCGAATGACAAAAGGAATGTAGTGGCTGACGTGGATGATGCGACCCGAAAGCGCCTCTCCAGGATGCCGTGCTGCAAACTCTGCCTCGTATTCGGCCACCTGCTCTCGGATCTCGGCCAACGTGGGAAACTCAGTCGTGGCGCCCAGGTCGCCAGTCGCAGCCGTGCCAATGCATGTGCCTCCGATGCCGTCGGCGCCACCAGAGGCTCGGTTGACCTTGGCTTCTTCCTCGGCGTAGCTCTCGTTCCACTCGGCCGTCGCTGGCTTGGGCAAGCCGTTGCTCATGGTTCTGTTCTTCATGCTCTTGGTGAACCGGCTGGCCGCAGAGGCAGCAATCAGGTCCGCTTCGAGGTTGTTGTTCTGCGCTCTCTTCAGCACGTTGGCCGCTTCCTCCTCGCCTTCCACACCGCGCCGTCCGCCACCGCCTGCTGGCCCGCCCTTTTGGTCAGCGCCGGCCTTGTCGCCTCCTGCAGAATCCTGCCTGCTGCTTTCAATCTCGCCATTGAGCATCTTCGCCCCGCCCTGGCTCCCCGCTCCTTGGCCGCTCCTGCTCTTCGCCATATCTGCAGCCTGTGCAAAGGCGCTTTCAAACGAGACTGGTGGCTCCTCGCTGTAGACGGCCGGCGATAATGGCTCGGTCCTTCTGCCCGGCAGGCTGTCCGTTGGCGACGTACCCGACATCTTGCACAGACGAAGTCGCTGGTGTTGCTGCTCCTTCTGGGTCTCGGTCTCGGTCTCGGTCTCGGTCGAGCCCCCGCGCGAGGACGACGAGGAAGACGAGCGGCGAGCGAGGGCTGCGCAGAGGTACGACACGCTAGAACTTTGGACTCGACGAGGAGAGAGGCCAAATGCGCGCCCGTTCCGAACGTCGACGGCGTCGACTGAAGCTCCGTAGAGGCCCTCCTCCTCGTGCAGGCCTGTCATTGTCATCGTGGCCAGTCAGTATCCAGTACATATGCACACCTCGCTGAGGAAGAAAGACGATTGGGGAGAGAGGAAGAATACAAAGCAGAGCGAAAGAAAAGGGTTCACAAGCTTTGGAGCGCCGACGATCCGATGAGCTAGCTGACCCTTCTTGTCGCAACTCACCTATTGGCCTGTGCTGACCCTAGCTGGCGGGGGGCGGCGAGGGACTCTTGCCAATTTCGCCGACTGAAAATTGGGCGCCCAAAGAAAGACGGAGGGAGTGTGTGCGTGTCCCTCTCTATGTGTTCGAGGAGTCTTTGATGGTGGTTGGTGAGATTGCGTCCCTTCTTTGACACCTAGAGAGGCCCAAATTTGCGATTCAACTCGACAAAGAAAGAAACGAGCGTTGAATGTGCGTGCGTGCGTACGCGCGCGCGCGCACAGATTCTGATTCGGGTCAGGCAAGCGCAAATTGGTCTGGCATGGATTTCCAATGTCGCTTCGCGAGCCATCTCAACCTGTTGCAATCTGCTATCTTCTATTCTGTATTTTTCACCTTCATCGACGACTTCATGTGGAGGTGTGAGTGAATCTGGAAGTGTGCATCCAAAACGCTCCCGGCGCCTCCGAAATTGGACAAACAACGCCAGGCGATAGAAGTCACATATATTCGCTAGCAAGCTACAATTGATCGCAGATCAGTCAGAGGGAAGCGGAGGGGGGAATGGGGCTAAGCTGAGCGACGGCGATGTTGTTACAGATACAAAGACGCTTCAATTAGAAGAATTTCAATGAGGACTTCGGTGGATGACTAGACGATAGCGTTCGGGCATTTCGAGCAATGCCCGCGCCCTTTCAGCAGTCTCGGAGCTGTCGGCGGATGAAGTGGCCTCGTCGACAAGACGGCGAAGGGCCAGGCACGGGGGCGGAGGACCAACGCTGATGTCAAGGATGCTTGTGGCCATAGGTGGTGCGAACTTCAGCGAGCAGACAGAGACCTGGCTCGCATCCAGCTCGGCGTCCAGGCGGTCGGAAGAAGACTCTTCCGAACCATCTCCTCCTTTAGGACGATGCTCGACTCCTCTGACACCGACAGCGGTCCCATTGAGGTGTGCTGTGACGAGCCATTTGTCCTTGGCCTTCGACGCACCCTCATCCATTCCGTCGTCGGCGCCATGGCTGCTGGTGTTTTCCTTCTTGTCCACGATGGCCCTCACGAGAAAACGCACGCTGAGTGTCTGGGCATCTCGGGGCAGCGCTACGACGTGCTGCCGCGTAACAAGATTGCTGAGCGACAGCTTCATCTCGACATTTTTGCTTGCGCTTCGGGCCTCGACTGCCAGTGTTGGTGCCACAGGAGGTCTTCGAACACCTGCAACAGCAAAGGGTCGCAAGGGGTCCGGTGGGGGGTCGCCTGAAAGCTTCTTGCTCGAGATCTGGTTGGACGTTGGCGCCGGCCGCGAGGCTCCCGGTCCTGTGAGGTGCGGAAGTGGCGGCCTGGCAAACGGCGATGAGGTGGATCCAGGGCTGCCTGCGGGAGCCGGAGTAGCAACAGAGGGCCGCTGACCGTAGTAGGTCTGCGAAGGCGAGGCAAAGTAGCCGTTTCCGCTTGGCCCAGCGGTGCCTGGCGTCGAGTACTGGCTCGACGACCATTGGGCTGGCGAGGGACCGGCTTGGGGCCGCTGCATCGCAAAGGGCGTTGAGACATGTCCCGATGGTGGATAGGGGCCGGCGCCATTTTGAACGGGCCTTGCTCCTTGGACGCCATTTGCCATTGGGTACGGAGACATCGGTTGTGGGTTGGGGGGTGCTGGCGGCATGTGTCGGACAGGTGACTCCAGACCAACATTTAGGCCAAGACCGTGCTGCTGGCTCATCGGCGAGGAAGAGCCTGGGGACTGGCCAGGCGGCACAGCAAGGTGCATGGACGAGGGCGTGTGGTGCATGGGAGGCCTCGACGGCGTCTCTGGGCTCATTGATGTATCGCCCGGCAAGCTGTTGTCTGCCAGTTGCTGAGCACGCCGTTCCATCTGGATCCTGTATGCAGCTGCCTGCGCAGGAATGGTGCTGTTGGCCGCCAGCTCAATGGGCAAGGCAGACTGTCGAAGATCATCAGGCTCCATGGTGAAGCCATCGGCGATCAGAGTGGGTACCACCGTCTTCTCGATGTGGTCTCGCATCTCCTGAGCCTCGCACCAGACAAAGGAGCCTTCCTCGTTAAAGTACTGGGCATTGTCGAGCATCAGCCGAAAGCTGGAGATAAAGGCATGTGGGTTGACGTAGTCCTTTGCCAGCGTCTTTTCCTCAATCTGACGCATGCAAATCGGCTGGAGGATTACCCTGTAGTAGTCTGGATATTCTCTCTTGGGCGGTAGCTCCCAAAACGCATCGCTGAGGTGAGTGCCTCTCGAGCTTAGCTTCGACTTGATCTCGAAGAAGATGTGCCGAAGTGTCGACTTGAGCCTCTTTCCTCGAGGCCCTGGCCGCTTGCGACGGTCGAACTTGCCTGAGAGCGTCAAATTGGAGCGATCTCCGCTGCCGAGATCCATGGGGGTACTGCTTGAGGCGTCTCGCTTCTTGTAGGGCTTGCGGCCTGCACGCCGTTTACTGCCTCCGTATTCGCCTCCGTCGTCCTGGTCGCCTCCGTCGTCTGCATCCTCGTCTTGTTCTTCTTCTTCTTCGTCCTCTTCCATTGCGGCTGCAGCATCGTTGCCGTCTTCGATCTCCCTCGCCGTCGTCCTCGGTGTGTTGCTGCCGCTCACCATTTGGTTACGCTGATGCGCAATTGACGAATCGTCGTCCTCCTCGAGCGGCAGGTCACCTGATTTTTTGTATCTCAGCACGACGGCATCGTCATCGTACTCGAGTCGAGCCCTAGCACTTGGCTTTTCATTTCGTGCCAGGGCGGCCGACTGTTGCTGTAGTGGAGGGTCGCTTTGTAGAGTGCCACCCAGCGAGGGCGATGCGTCGCCTGCCTGGACGAGATCGACATAAGCCTCCTTGATGATGCTGTGCATCACTCGCGCCTTTTCGTAGATCTCGCTGCCGCTCTGATTGTACTTCTTGGCGTTGCGGCACACGACCTCGCAGTCCCCGCGGCACTCGTCGAGGGAAGTGTACTCGCGCGCCTGAAGCCGTCTGCGAATTTGCTCGAGCGACGTGGGCTTCTTGATCAGCTCGTAGTAGTCTGGATAGTCGTGCGGCGATGGCAGGGCGAGAAAAGGAATGCAGAGCGGCGTCTTGTCTCTGTCATTCACAAGTAAGGGACGGAACGTGCACACGCGCGCGGGCGGACGAGGTCAGTAACGCAAAGGTTTGCAGTTGCGATGAACAGAGCACCACGACTTTCACTACTCACACCTCATCGATGCGATTGATGATCACATCGAGGAGCTTGAAGCCTAGGCGAGAGGCCTCCTCCCTCGCTGCGGCCGAGTCAGCCGGTGCCGCGCTCCCGCTCCCGCTGGCCCGTCCCAGAGCCGGTGACGAGGCGAGTCGCGCCGCCGGTAAGCCATGCTGATGCGCCTCTGACTCGACCTTGATGCGCTTGCGAGTGCCTGCTATAATCTGAGGGACGCCGGAAAGAGACAGACAGACAGTGAGCTTCCCCTCCTCCCTGCTAGGCCGCACCTGGATCTGCTCGGGTTTTTTATTTTTTTCCAATATCCAACCAACACTGGAAGGCGTCTTTGCCTCACGACCAACGCGAGCAAGCGCATCCAATTTACTCACATTGTCCGAAGACAGGCCCGCGACATGGCCCTTTGGTGGTGCCATGATCGGCTCACAGGCCCGGATCTCAGTACCGCCGGAGTAGGTCGAGAGAAAGTTGGTTGGATGCGCGAGAACCCTCCTCTGACTTGCAATGGCGATGAATCTAGTCGTCACACGTCGGCGCGCGTCTGTGGCAGGCGCTCGCTCTTCTTTCTGACCACTGCTATCGAATTCCTGCCCAGGCCTTAAAGAATACAAGCCGCGATTTCTGTAGCCACGTTAGCCACGTTTTGGAAACGTATTGTAAAGATCTCCTTTTTGTTTTAAGCTACACGCACGTGCACGTGCACGGCCCGGACCCCTCGCCCTGCTCACAGGACGGCGTTTCGAGACCACAGCCACGACCCAAGGGCGTTCGTTACAACCGCGACGAGAAGCTCACAGAACAAAGCCCACCTCGGCAGCAAGAACATCCTTCTTCGTCGACTATGGCTGGTGGGTAGCCTGATAGAGAGCCACTGTACCCGGCACACACAGAATCTGACGCTGCCATCGCGCGGACAGACCCATTCGCAGATCGAAACGCGCTCGACGCCAACCCATTCGCAGACCCCTCCGTCCAAGGCGCGCTCTCGTCCTCGAATCGCGCCTACGATGACTACGACGCCAAGTCCTTCGACGCTGGCGACGCAGACTCGGGGCTTAACACCCCTCGAGGCCAGGTTCCTACGCTGGACAATGATGCAGCGTCCTCCTCCAGGTACCAAGACCTGCAGAGGAGGGAGGCCGAGCTGCAGGCGCGTGAGAGGGAACTCCAGCAGCGCGCAGAGCACATTCAGAAGCATGGGCGAAACAATTGGCCTTTCTGTGAGTCTGAAGAGCAGGTTCTCTCCTTCTCTTTTCGACGCCCGAAACGGCAGCTAACGACAGGGATGCGCAGTCATGCCGATCATCTACCATGACATCGACGCCGAGATTCCACCTGACAGTCGAGAGGCCATGCAACACATCTACATCCTCTGGCTAGTGTTGGTCGGAACTTTGATCGTCAACCTCGTCGCCTGTGTCTTCCTTCTGATCCAGGGCAGCAGCGACGGGATCAAGGACATGATTACCGGCATCGTGTACCTCCCCGTCATCACTGCCCTCAGCTTCCTGCTGTGGTACCGACCGATCTACAATGGCTTTATGAAGGAGCACTCCCTTTTCTACTATGTCTTCTTCCTTTTCGCTGGATTTCACCTCGCCTTCAGTGTCTACGCCTTTCTCGGCATTCCCTCAACGGGTTCTGCGGGTCTGCTCAACACGATCCAGAGTTTCGCGAGTCATCGATGTGAGTCTTTTCTTCTTTGACTTGCTCCATCAAATGAGCAGGTAGCCCGAACTTCAAAGCTGACCCGTTGTTCCTTTTCATATTAGTGGTTGCTGCCATCCTCGGCGTCTTTGTTACGGTTGGGTTCGCATTCCAGGGCCTCGGGCTCGCGTGGTACTACAAACAGGTACGTTGGGGATTTCCAATCCAATTTTTCCCTATGTCTTGTGGTCTAAGGTTCACTGTCTTGCCTTTCTTCAAGATCTGGAAGCACAACCACGAACGTGAGTCGCCAAAGCGCATTCACACGAACGATGGAGCGCTTTACTGAACCAAAGTTTCTCCTCATAAACAGAGGGGCACACGTTTGCCCAAGCCAAGGCCGAGCTCGCAAGCCACGGTGCTCGAGCATACTTCACCCGTGGCAGTCAAGTCTAATCGGTGACGGTGCGGGCGGTCGTCACGATAATGTTGATGCGGCGAAAAAGAGGCTCTGTTTTACTATCTGTGCTTTTACGCGACTCTTTTTTTGCAACGATGATGGCTACGACGATATCAATGCTGTTGCTGCCACTGCTGCTCTAGGCCCTCGGGATCGGGAGGAAGAAGCCAAGGTGTTTCGATAAGAAAGCCAGAAGGGATGTGCAATCCCGACGCTGCTCATCGGAGGATCTGGCGACCGGGATGGTCCGCCGGGTCGAGGCCTCGTGTATTGGCAGGTGGCACAAGCCATGTAAGAGAATTGGTTTGGGCAGGCGGATAAGCGCGCACTGCCTTTGCAATTGACTCTCCCTTTTTTGGGAACGCGAAATCAAATTTAGATAAAATAACACGACCGGGGATAGGCTGGGCGGCTTTGACGAAAGCGAATGAGTTGTCTGTCGGTTCGCTTGCCGCCTCGTTTTGGCACCCCTCTCCGCTCCCTACCTGCGTGCTCTGTCCGCTTTCTGCGTTATCGACTCTCGAGTTTTCAAGTTGACAAGTTGAACGTGCTCAGCACGGGATCAAGAAGGGAAAAGAACAGCTCGGGCCATCTCGTTGCTGGTCGCAAGGTCAAGCGTCGGTACGGAAGGGGGCCGGATAGGATACACGCACCTTTTCCGTCCGAGACACTGTAGTCCAAACTTTTCCGTCATCGGTTTGAATTTCAGCAGCAGCATCCAAACCAGCCAGCCAGCCAGCCAGCCAGGCCCTTTAGTCTAATATTTTTTTTTTCTATTTTTTCTCTTTTCGTCCCTTGCCCGCGCGCGCCCCACGCAGTCAGTCAGATCCAAGTTCAGCCTTTCGCCGCGAGGTCCTCTACACACAACGATTGAAGGAGAGATCGACGGACGGACGGCTTTCTCTTCGCTGTCAACCACCACCCCAAGTCGATCGACCTTATCGACAGGGAGGCGCGAGATCGAGGAGAGAGCGAGCGAGCAACAGAGACAGGCCTATCGAGCCCTCCGCTGTCATTGCCCCGAGCCCTAGCCACCTAGTTCGATCATAATACCCACCCCCTCCGCTCAATCTCCTCTCGACCAGTACACATAGCCACCAACAATGTCGTACCACCGCGATCCTCACTGAGTCGACGTAAACGACCTCGGGCTGCCAAACGCATCGCCCGCCCTCCTCATCATCATCAAAGTCAATTTTGCTCACAAACAGGCATACGGATAGCAGCGCACCCAACGCAACAACTCCAGAGAACAGTCCAGGCCAAGAGGAAGCCGGCCTAAATCGAGTACAGAGCACACGCTGGTCGTCGTTGCTGCACTCGCAAGAGAATCTCTCTCAAATAAAACACTAGCACAAAGATACAAATGTCGGCACCAGTGCCAATCGAGGCATATATGCCAGCCGGAAAGGAGCGAGAAACGGAATCGTCCGACGCCGAGCATGTTGACCTCCAAGCGCAGTCTGAAAGCGAGACGACTTCAGACACAATAAGGCAGGAGGAGGACGATGTTCGGATAGCAATGTCCGGGGACGAGGACAAGGAAGACGAGGAAGAAGCCCTGGCAGAAAATCTATCGCCACCTCCGAGGCCTGTGGCATGTCTGCGCGCCCCATGCCTCAAAAAGACGGCGACTTTGGCAGGAGGTTGTCTCACCTCCGGACGAGAGTCGCCCATGCCATCCTCTTCAGCCAGCAGTCTCTCAAGCAGCCCCGAGTCACAGCAGCAAGAGTCGACTACGATCTCCTTTAGTTCCTTTGCCGCGCCGCGGTCCCTCCCGGCTGCAATGCCTAAGCGGCAGGTGCATTTCGACGCCGCACCACCCGAGGCAGGTCTCACACATTCAGGCGACCGGTACGACCGTCGACCGATCGAGTGCACTCAGGGCGGCTCGGCTTTTGATCTCAGCCTCCCGCCCCGGGGTGCGCTGGCACAGTATGCTGAGAGCGAGGCCAGCGACGACGCGGGCGAGGATGGCGACGAGGACGAGGAGGGAGAATTGAGCAAAGGCTTGGCAGGTCGGCTGGCTCGGTGGTCCAAGCTCAAGAACGGTCAGGTGATTGCATCGAGCAAGAGCAGCGTCGCCGCCGCTTCTTCTGCTGCGACCGGCGCCACAACGACGTCAGCAACGAGCGAAAACGCCTGCTCGGTTCCTGTCCACGGCATCCGCTCCTTTGGCGGGCTAGCGGGTCAGAGCGGCGTGGCTGAGGAAGAGGCAGTATGGTCCAGCAAAAAGAGCGTTCTGCGGGACGAGGGTGACGACGACCTTGACGACGACGAGTACGAAGCGAGAGACGAGGCATTCAGAAGGGCAGTCAGCGCCGCTCTGTCCAAGTCTCCCAACGCGACACCGATGCCGAGCCCGAGGGTGCGACCTCGTTGGGAGTGCGTGACCTCGTACTTTGAAGATGCTCAGTCAAACAGCGCAGATTCGCAATGCCCGGCAGCAGAAAACTCGTCGTCGGCACCTGTTTCTCCTCAATCGGAGAAGGCCGAGGCATCGTCGCCCTTCTCAGAGGACGGGAGCAAGTCGTCGCCACCAACATCACCCTCTCTAGTCTCCGAGGTGCGGGAAGAGGAGGACAGCCACCAGGACGAAAGTGCAGAGAAGGGAGAGAATGAGCAGACGGCAGTGACCGATGTGAATGGCGAAGGCATGCCCACACCCAAGCCTCAGTCGAAGGCTGTTCTCGACGGAAAAGTCCAGGACAACCCGTCGCCACCGAGGGAGTCGGCACAGCTTCCTGTCTCACCCAACCCTTCGTCGCTAGACGGCAGGACGAGCCTGGGCGGCGGCAGCAGCAGCCGCAGCAGCAGTGCAAGCAACCATCCTTACTCGTCGCCCATGTCAAGCCGATGCTCCAGCACAGACGCTTGGAGCAGCAGCCAAGGCAACTGTTCCACCGACGACGTATTTGTATCTGCCTTCTCGGAAGCGGTCATGAACCGACCGAGCTTGAGCACCGACAATCTGAGGCTAGCCTCGTTATCGTCCAACGCTGCTGCCCCATCAAAGGTGCACCTCTCGGCACCGTCGGGCCGCGACCTCGATGGCGATCTAGATGCAGAGCACGAGCGTGGAGCAACGTCATCCGGCAGCGGTAGCGGTGGGCCCGGTTGGATGAGCAGCTGTTGCACCTCTCCCGAGCTGAACCCAGTCGATGTGGACGACGTCAGCGGGCGCGAAGGAATGGCTTCAAGTTTGACGGCTAAAGCACAATTGCTGCAGGCGTCTCCTGAGAGGCAAGGTTTGACATTTAACGGTATCGCGTCGCTCATACAGCCCTTGCGTCTCCAGGACCGCGAAGCGCTGAGCGATTCGAGCAGCGGCGAAGTCGAGCAGAAGCGGCGCTCGTGCCTACTCAGCCGCCCTCGCTTCGGCATCAAAGCAGCGTCGTGCCCCAACTCTGGTCATTGCTCGCCTCGCGTCCAGTCGAGCGACGAGCACGACAGCGAGCACCAACCCGGCGAAGACGACGAGGCTGCAGCGGCCGCCTCTTTTTTCTTCAGAAGCAGTAGCGGAGCTTCCAAGCTGGCGCGCAACGGGAGCAGGACGAAGAAGACGAGACGGTGCGCCTCTTCGTCCTCTTCAAATGGCTGCGAGTCCGAGGATCAGGCCGGCGAGGCCAATACCACTCGCCGCTCACCAAGGCCGACTGGGGCGCCAAGGAGCAAGAGCATGTCTTGCGCATCCATGTCTGCCTCTGGAAGCCCCCGGGTCAGGCGCACTAGCCAGCTCTCCAGTGTGGCCATGGCAAAGACGGACAGCAGTCACTTTGCGTCCGATGAGATTGAAGATGAAGGAGCGCTGGGCGGCTTCTGAGCTATTACAAATCTCTTTCTTCCTCTCTCTCTTTTTCGTCCTTCCCTCGCCTATTCACTCATTTTTTTTTCACTCAATCACTCTCACTCCCCCCTGTGTAAGACTATCTTCTCACTTTCCCTGTCTCAGTCCCGCTAGCACGAGCATACTCCAACAATCATCTGTCTCGGCCCTTCCACTTCCCTCCCTCTCTCCTTCCGTCCTTACTCTCTTCTTTGCTGTTCCCAGTCGCCCACTCAGCATACCGCTAATCACATCATAGGCTCTTCGTCACTTCTGAACCATGACCCCCGAGAGAGAGAGCAGAGGAGAAAAAGAGACGAAAGGGAAAATGTTGCGGCGCGAAGCGGGAATGCGAGCGGGAGGGAAGCGCGTGCACGGGTGGAAGCCATTACGACGTCGTCTGTCGCTCTCAGCTGCTTTTGTTTCTTCTGATCAGTGGACACCGTGACTGCGAGCAAGAACCACGAGTACATGCGCAGCTTCTTCTTGTCTGCTCACGCAAAGGAATACAAGAGCAGAAAGGAGAGGTCGCAAGGTCCACGTGAAGCCACACCCAGTCAGTCAACTAAAGTCGCCCTAGCTCTAGCCCAAGCTTGGGGACGAGGCATTTGACCGATTTTTAAACTCGACCTGCAGACAAGCTCTTGCCTCGGCAGAATTCCTGTTCAGTCGACGATCGATCTGCGGTCGGACGACGACGACGACGACGAGAAAGACAACGGCAGCGAAAGATGCCGGGGCTTCAGGGTGCGCTGCAGGTCGTGACACATAGCCTTCCCTTGCCCATCCAGCAGCTCGGCACCGCCATCCTGGGCGAGGTGAGTCGTCGAGAGCTGCACCATTTTCCTTCCTTCGTAACGAGGGAAGCTCTCTCTCGAGTCTCTCACACACACCCTGACCATCCATGTGTCCTGACAGACATGCTACACGACCCTGATCCACGATGTGTCGCCGACATCGGCCTGTCTGCGCCTCTTTCTCTCCAAGGGCCTGGGCCTGGGCATCATTCTCTTTGGCTCGATTCTCAAGCTCCCGCAGATTGTCAAGATCGTCCGGGCCTCGTCTGGCCGCGGCATCAGCCTGGCCATGTATAGCCTCGAGGTAGTTGCCTACACAATTTCGCTCGCCTACGCTTACCGCCGGCGGCTGCCATTCAGCACGTATGGCGAGAATGCCAGCCTGACGGTGCAAAACATGGCCATCACGCTCCTGCTTCTCTACTATGCGCCGGCGCCCAACCACCTCGTCCGCTTCCTTCCCTTGGGCCCGTCGGTGCAGCACCGGATCCGACTGCGCTTCTCGGCCGCTGCCACTGCCGACGATGCGCGCCGCCTCGACGTGGCGCTCGCCGGCACGCTCATGGTCCTCTGCTCCTTTATCCTCTTCCACCCTACGCTCCTCGCCATGCCCCTCCTCTCGCTGCTCCAGGCCACGACGATTCCCGTGAGCCTGCTGAGCAAAGTGCCGCAGATGCAGACGCTCCACGCCTCGCGCGACCCGGGCCAGCTCTCGTCGATTGTCGTCTTTGCCCAGCTGGCGGGAACGCTCGCGCGCGTCTACACGACGCGCACAGAGACCGACGACGCCCTGCTGCTGTGGGGATTTGGCCTCGCGAGCATCTTCAACGCCGTCATTGCCGCCCAGTACATCTACTACTCCAATGGTGGCGGTCGGCGCCCCTCGACGGCTGCCTCGAGGTCGTCCATCCTGCCGTCGCTGTACAGCGCCAGAAAGGAAAAGGCCGACGACGACGACAGTGACGCCTATGACGAAGCTGGTAGCGTCCTGAGAGAAAAGGAAATGTTCAACGGCAGTGCCGCGGCGGCGGCGACGACAATCGAGATTGCCATTGACCGAGGGCCCTCCTCGCCGGCGCCGCCGATGCCGACACCGACACCACACGCGGCGTGGAGGGACGCGCCACGGCGAGACGATCACAAGAAGAGCAGATTGGATTGAAGCAGAATGGATTGAGAAGGCGCAAAGAAACATGTAATCTGTACTACTACTATCACTCCTGCCTGGGGCTAAAGCAAGCAATTGGAGAGCCACCTTGACCACACACACACACACTCTCTCTCTCTCTAGAAACCCGGGGTGAATGCATCATGGCTTGGCCACGACCGAGAGGCCAGCAGCCCTCTCGAGGCCGCGCTCGAGCTCAATGGCCTGGGCAAGATCGACGTCGAGCATGGCCTGCTTGTCCTTGGCCAGGGGCTGCAGAGGCCTGCGCGGGGCGCCCACGTCGGTGTACCACCGGCCGAGGACCCACTTTGTGCCCGAGATGCCCGTCTTTGCGAGGGCCCAGTCGGCCCTGCTGACGACGTCGGACAGCTTCTGCACCTCGGCGAGCGCCTGCACCGTGGGCGCCTGCTGGTAGGCGACAATGGACTCGTAGAGCTGGACAGTGAGGCGCGGAAGCAGATTCGCCGTGCCGGCAATGGCGCCCGTCATGCCGGCCATCATGCCGGGAAAGAGAATGTCGGCAAAGCCGGGAAAGACGTGGAACGGCGTCCGGCCAGCGACCTTTTTGCTGCTGGCCAGGCGTGCACCCTTGCCGATGCCGCCGCATGTGAGCTGGAGTGGGTTTTACTGACTTGTCAGCATGTCGTATTTTGAGAGTAGCAAAGAAAGGAAGCCGGGAACAGAGAAATGGCTCACCTTTGCGCCGCAAATGTTTGGGTGCGCAGCAATGTCCTCGAGCAGGTCCGAGTCGAGATCGATGCCTGCCGACGCCGCGGGAAAGTTGTAGATCATGACGGGCAGCGGGCTCTTGTCTGCCGTCTCCCTGTAGCGATTGTGTGAGTTGATCAACGTTGGGCACTTATCACAAGAGAGAGAGAGAGAGAGAGGGAAATGGCACTCACCAGAAAAACTCCTTGAGGGCCTTGGTGTCCTTTGCAATTGCGCCCGAAAAGTAGCCGGGCGAGATGACGAGGACACCGTCGGCGCCGGCCCGCTTGGCATCGCGGCACAGCTCGACCGTCTCGCGGAGGGAGCCACCGCCGGTGCCGGCAATGACGGGACACTCGACGCCCTCGGCGACGAGGGCCTTGCGGACGGTGGCGACAATCTCGTAGCGCTCCTCGCGCGTGAGCTGCGAGGCCTCGCCGGTGGAGCCGCCGACGACGAGGCCAACGTTGGCGCGGGCAAGGCGAAGCGCGTGCTGGGCCAGCGTGGGCAGGTCCAGCGTCTCGTCGGAGTGCAGGGGCGTGGGAATCGGAGCGTAGATGCCGCCGCGCAACGGCTGGCTCGCGTACACGAGCCCGTTTGACGTCGTCATGGCTGCCTGTGTCTGTGTCGTGGACAAGGGGTTTGAGAACAGAGGAGAAGGGGAAAGAGAGAGGATGAGAGGGAGAGGGAGAGGGAGAGGGAGAGGGAGAGGAAAGAAATGGCTTGGGGGAGAAGGGGGAGAGCGAAAGAAGGCGTTATAACAGAGGAGGGGTGGGGAGAGATAGAGTCCCCCACGCACAACGCGCGGTGAGGACGTGGGGGAAGGCAGAGAAGTCGTATCAAGCTTTCAAAAAAATAGCCAGGTGCGCGCCTCCCTCCCCACTCTCTTTTTCCTTTACTAAGTGAATTGCAAAAAGTAGGTACCCCCGCCGCTCAGCCCGCGAGTGCCATGCCCCGTGGAACAAGTCCGTCGGACAGCCAAGTTGAGGGCGTCCAGTACGGTGTCAAAAACACATGTCCAGACCGATATTCCCACGGGCGTTATATTCACCCTCTTCCCATCTGTCAATGTGTGGGCCCAAAGACGTCCACGTCTGGTCTCTTCCTCTGTTCGTCCGGCAGGGCGGACACAGTTCCAGAAGGCAGATGGCTGATGCCCCCGCCTCAGTCGCCAGTGATGCCGACAAACAGTGTCTAAGTCTGAGAGCAGCAGGTCTCGCAGCGCGAGCAAGGGATCGGATCCGAGAGCTGGTATTGCATTAGACAAGAAGTCATTGTCATAGAAGGCTAATGAGGAGGAGTCCGCCGAGTAGCAACGGAGCTCCTGCGAGAAGGCTGAGATTCGCGGCGATGGGTCGTGCCACGCCAGACGTGCCCGTGGCGCCGCCTGAGCCAGAGATCGCGCTCGCTGGCACAGAGGCCGATGTGGTGCCGCTTGAGGCGCCCTGCGTCATCGTTGTTGAGGGGCTTTGACCATCGCTGCTGCTGCTGCTGCTGCTGCTGCCCTTGTTACTCGAAGTGGGAGCCGATGACGAGGCGCTGCTGCTGCTGCTGCTCTCGGGGGAAGAGGAAGAGGAGGCGGAGGACAAGCACGATGTCGTGTCCGACTGTCCGACGCGGAGCACCGGCGATGTGGCTGTGCTGCGCTCGTCGGTGACCTGCACTTCGACCTCTTGGCCCGCGGGCACGGTGATGAGGTCCCAGGTTATCGAGAAGGTCTTGTCAGGCTGAGTCTGGAAAGTGTGGAAGACGCGGCTGTGGTCATCTGGACGACGGCGCCAGCATCAGCGCATGGGTTGAGCATCATGAATGCGCGCGGAGAGGGAGACCAGGACTCACCAGCGGCAATGATGGACACGTTGGTCTTGCCCACGCTCGAAGACCAGAGGAGCTGGGTGAGGCCACAGGTGACGAGTGGCTGCGACGGATAGCCGACCTGAAGTGGCTGCTGCTGTGCAGCGGCCTGCGTGGCAAGGATGCCCGCGACCACTGCCAGGAGCAGGACGGCGAGATGCATCGAGGACGAGGCCAGATGGCCCTTGAGCGAGAGTCTGAGAGACGTGGATGCTGAGGGATGTGTTTTGTGGAGAGGCAGGTGGGGAATGGCAGCAGGGTGAGCTTAAATTGGGCAAAGCAGCCCGCTTTTTTGACAGGGCTCTTTTTCTGCTGAGTTCATCTGGTGCTCCGGTTGAGCCTCCCTTCAGTCGCTTCATGGCTGCGTTAGAGGAATTGGAATTGTGTCACTGTGTATCTAGCTCGCTTCATTGCGGGCTTCTCACAAGCTTCGATGGAAGAAAGGCATGGTAGTTGCATAGCATACGTACGGTAAGATACATCGAAGCAGCCAGATTATTTATTTAGCGAAGAAAGGCCTCCCTTTTCTGATTTTTTCCTGCCTCCACCGGAGCAACGGATCGGACCATCAGCACGTCTCAATACAAGATGTCGACGACGGGCTTTGGGGACATCGACTGGTCCGGGACAGCGCTGCTCCTGATTGACATCCAGGAGGACTTTATCTCTGGCTCGCTGGCCGTGCCTACTGCCGAGGAGATCTTCCCGCCGCTGATCTCGCTCCTTGAGTCGACTTCCTCGCACGATGCTCCTCCCTTGACGTTTCTCACGCAGGACTACCACCCGGCGGACCACGTCTCCTTTGCGTCGTCGCACGCGGGCGCCAAGCCCTTTACGACAATCGAGGTGCCGCACCCGAGCCTGGCGGACAAGACGATGGAGCAGGTCCTGTGGCCCGACCACTGCGTGCAGTCGACGTCGGGCGCGGACATTGACGCGCGCATCCTCGGCGCCCTCGAGGGACGAGGAAACGTCGTGCAAAAGGGCACGCAAAAGAACGTCGACTGCTACTCTGGCTTTGCGTGGGTAATCTCCCTGGCCCACTAGTCCCTTTGCTGCCTACAACTTTTGCCAAAGGGGGGAATAGAAGCTGACTTGTGCAACGAACGACAGCTCAAACGACTACGTGAGCTTCACCGATCTGGCCCGCCGTCTCTTCTCATCTCAACCAGCCCCCGGAATGGCGCCGGTCCACACCGTCGTCGTCGCCGGCCTCGCCACGGGCTACTGCGTCCGCGCAACGGCCATCGACGCCTGCAAGTATCATCTGCGCACCATCGTCCTTACCGACTGCATCCGCGGCACCGATGCTGCCTCGACGGAGCAGGCCATGCGCGATATGGAGCAATTTGGCGCCGAGTTTGCAGAGACGACGACCCTCGCTAGCACTCTGTCTCGGCGATGAGCAGCTTGACGCGCTGCCTAATGGAATTCTCATCGGACATGTACACAGATAGGCACCAGACTGAAATCGAGACTCGGATGAGAAAGGCCACAGGGCTACATGCGATCAGTCTCCTTCCCCAGATCTCCTTTGTCACTTTACAGGCTTCTTCTCGCCTTTTGCATTTTCTGATTTGTGGACTAGACTTACACCGAGCACCAGGAGACAAAAACGACAAGCTTGGTCTGTCCACGCTCGCACGAGGACGAGGACGACTTGCCCTTCTTTGTTTCCCCTTCCTTTTGACTCCTTTTACCCTTTCTCACTTGCCATCCCACGCCCCTCTCCTCGCAATAGCTCTTTGAAGGTGGAAGGGGAAGCAAGGTCCCGCCTCACTTCTTCGAGCTGCCAGACCGTGTGGACCTTGGCCTAGGGCTCGTGGGCCGGCTTCCCTTCTTGAGGTGGTGCTCGGGGATCCAGTCCTCGTCGTAGCCCGCCTGTCCGGGGACCTTGACGCCCGAAGCGGAAGCCTTTGACGGCGAAGGCGGCGAAGCAGCCGAGGAAGAGGCGGCTGCACTGCGCTCTTTGCGCTTGCTGATCGTCTTGCTGCCCGGGTAGTTCTGCGAGGCCCACCAGATGGCTGTCCCGACGATGCCCGCCAGGATGGCGTAGAGGGAGAGACTAGCAGAGGTAGAGGCAGCAAAAGTCAGCAAAGCAATGGCATTTTTCCCTCCTGCGTGCTGCCTGCCGCTCGCCACTCACGCCTGGAGATCGAACCAGCTCTTTGCAGGCTCGACGACAGTGACGGTGCCCGTGTAGGCGTGGAGATTGTGCTTCTTGCCCGTCTGCTGGTCGTTGACAATGAGTCGGAACTCGACGCCGAGCTCCTGGGGCTTGAACTCGGGGTAGAAGTCGTACGGCACCTGCAGTGGCTTGCCGTCGACAGGCTTGATTGGCAGGGACTTGTACTTTGTCTCGGTCATCTAGCGGGAGTCTGGCCTCAGCTGGTGTTTCCTGGGTGAACGTTGGCGGGTAACTCACATTTCTCATGACATAGCCTCGCTTTCCGATCTTGTCGCGGTTCAGGAAGGCACCCTTGATGCCCTCGAGCGTCAAGATGCGGTCCTCGGACCGAGGAGGCGTGACCGAGAAGACGACGCGATTCGCCTGGCCGTTGGAGACGCGGTTAAAGGCATTGTTGGGGAACGTCGTCTGGATGTTGAGGTCCGGGGTGTCGTTGGCCTGCGCCGAGGCGAGACTGGCAATGACGCCGAGGATGCTCAGCAGCGACAAAAGGAGCTTCATCGTCGGTGTCGTGCGTGGAGAAAGAAGAGAGAGAGAGAGTGTCAGTTGTGTCGGGGCAGACGCCGTCTCAATCTTCTTGCTGGTTCTCGGCTCGCCCTTAATTTCTCGCGTGGGCCTGGGCGCGGCCCTCCACTTCTTCGACGCTCTGTTGCCGCCCACTTCTGAGCAGCACAACCTCGATCACACAAAGACGTTATGATCATGAACTTCATGAATTTGCGGCCATCGTTGACGCAGCTGTTTTGTACACAAGCTCTAGCGGTGCTTATATGAAAGAAAGGCAGCACTTCCCCTTACATCGCCCTTGTTCCACCGTCGACAAGAATGTCGGTGCCCGTGACATAGCGGGAGTCGTCGCCCGCCAAGAAGTTGCACACGCCCTGGAGATCTTCGACCTCGGCCAGCCTTTTTACCATCGTCTCGTTGCCTGCCCACTTCTTCTGTATGTCGGGATAGGCATTGGTCATGTCCGTACGGACGTAGCCGGGCGAGATGCTGTTGACGCGTATGCCGTGTTTGGCCAGCTCAAACGCGAGGGGCGGGGCCATGGCCTTGACAGCGCCCTTTGTAGCGCAGTAGGCCGACGAGCCCTGCAGCGGCACGCACTGGTGGCTCGCAATCGAAGCGATGAGGATGATGGACTTGCTGCTGCTGCTCTTCGCTTGCCTCTCTTCGCCCTCGTGCGTTGGTGGTGGTGGCAGGCGGATCATGATACGGGCGCAGGCCTGTGCGAGGTAGTAGACGCCCAGCGCGTTGACGTTGAAGAGCTCCTGTGCCTGCTCAGGCGTCGTGTCGAGGAATGGCACGTTCTTGTTGATGCCGGCATTCGCCACGCAGATGTCCAGCCGCTTGCCTCCCAGCTCCTTGAAGGCGGCCTCGACGGCGTGGGATACGTCCTTGGCATCGCTCACATCGCAACGGACGTAGCACGTAGCCACTTTGAAGTCGTCTGCTATACTGGCAAACGACGCCTCAGGGGGGATTACGTCAAGATTGGCAATAGAACAGCCATTGCGAGCAAGGCCACGCGCCAGGGCGCAGCCAACGCCGCGCGAGGCTCCTGTGACGCCGCCTTTTAGCGTCGAGCTTGAGTGAGGTATAACTTGCAGACTCACCTGAGATGATTGCCACTTTTCCTTGGAGAGAGCTCATGGGTGCTGAACTAGAGATGATGGTGTGACTTACGAGCAAGCAATGAGTGTACGCAAAGGCGGCACCTCGGGCATCCACTTCCTGGAGCGGAGCCGCGCAAGTCTCCATGAAACACAAGTCAGCAGCGGAGTTTCTTCTTAGTCCACTCAATGTGCAAAGGTCAGCATGGAGACCGATATTCCTCCGGTCAGGCTGATGCGGGTCAAAAAGTGAAGGGAAACAGGGACGACGGCCCCCCCCCCCTCCTACTCTTTCCGGTCCTGTAGTGGGGCATCGCGAGGGCCTCTACTACACGCCACTTTGCACCGAGAAGTTCTTGAGCCCCGGAGGAGGCATTTAAAACCAGCATTACTCCTTTGCTGCCCATCTCTCCTCCATCCATCTCTTGGTCCTTGATACATTGCCCTCAACGGTCGGCGCCGCTACTTGCAGGACCATTACCTGCACCGTCAGCTCAAAGCGGTTCCTGCGAAAAGTCCACGCACGCACGATGAGAGTGCGTCTGGTCATTACACTCGCTCTCGCACTCTTCTTTCTCCAAACATGCCAATCTCATCGGATGAGACCCAATGAATTCGTAAGTTTTTCGAGCCTTACAGTGTGAAAGAAGATGCTGAAGCTTTCTTTGAGACTACAGGACAGAGTCACGTACACCATTGTCGCGACTACCGTCGTCGTCTTTCTTTTGGCCGTATTGTACCGAGACTGGCTCGTATGGAAGGAGATCTTGGACCCGCAGTGTTTACGCCGAGGAAATCTCGATCCACAAATGCGCAACATCTGCAAGGAGAAGAATGCCCAGGTTATGCGAAGGATCGGAGGAATGATAGAGAGAGCAGGGAAGTATCATCGCGAAAACTTACGTAAAAAAGCCAACAAGCGGAAAAACGAGAAGCTCAAGTGGCAACCTGATAAAAGATTTGGCAAGCGAGGCATGCCTTCGACAAGTGTAGCATGGCCACACGAAGATGTATTCTTGGAGGACCAAGGACGAGCGAAACTGCAGATCATGGAAGATGCAGCGATGGATATTGGCCCTATGAACTCGGAATTAGAAGGCTGTATCCACGAGAAAGTTGACGACGCAACACTGACAGCGATTGGCGATATGATCGAAAAGACCGATGGCAAAGCTTTTGAGGGACTCGAACCGGAAACGACCGACTTCGATACCTTCAAGACCACGTTGCTAGACAGAGGGCCTCAACTAGAGCGTTACATGCAACTCTTTCTTCAGAGCGGCCTGGGCCGTTGTCTCCACAGTCTCCAGTAAGATGAAGTTCTGGGCGCTCGGTGTACCCGCAGCCGTTGACGAAGTTGAGAAAGTATCGTCCGCCGAGCTGATCACTTCTTTCGGAGCGGTTGAGCGTCAGCGAGGACCTCGACTGGGAGCAATGTAGCTTGCCCAGGCCGCCCCCTGAGAACTTAAGTGACTCCGGCCCCACATGCTGTGTCGACGGCATAGCTGTCGATGCTCCCGATCGATTAGACGACAAAAAGCAAAAGATGTAATTAGACAGAGAGAAAGGAGCCTTACAAGAGAGTGTGATAGAGGGTTGTGGCAAGCGCTCAGACCCCCGGACGCCTCAACGGTAGAAAAATTACCAAAGTAGAAATGCACCGTTTCCTCACTTCACACCTCCTTTCGGACTATGTGAAATTTGCTTTGGACGAATGTGGCTTCCCTGGCCAGGCTGATGTGGGTCAAAACATGTAAGAAGAAATCGGGCAACGCCCCTGCTCTAGAGTAGGGCATCGCTGATTCAGCAGCTGTATCATGACAAACACGCAATTGTTGACGAGAGCCTTCATTGCGCGCCATTTGTGCGCCGAGACGTCCTTGAGCCCCGAAAGAGGTACTCAAAACAGCGCCTTCCTCCCGCTGCGTCTCTTTTCTCATCTCTACATCCTTGCCTTGCCCTGAACAACAATCTTCGCAGCTTACAAGGCCATTCACTCAATCGTCAACACTAAGGCGGCCTCTGTAACATACTTCAGCTCGCACGATGAAGTTGCGCTTGCTCATTACCCTCTTCCTGGCGCTCTCTCTCTTCCATGAGTGCGAGGGCTTTCGTTATCGACGTGATACAGACGACATCGTGAGTATTTCGAGCTTTGCAGAGTATTTTTATTTCTTGGCTGAGGAGCATTAAGACACATAGGGGAGATTCGTACAAAATACTTACCTGACCTGTCTCGTCATTATTTTTGTGGCCGCCCTTTATTACGATTGAAGGGTATGGAAGATGGATCTGAACCCGATATGCTGGAACAACTTCAGCCTCGATCCCCTAACGTACGCCAGATGCGAAATCAGTAGAGCGAGGGTCAAGAGGAAATTCGTAAAGCTTTTGGAGAAAGTGCTAGACTCTTTTGCCAAGCGAAATACATCGTCGATGAATGGCTTTGGGCCTCAAGAAAACGTGCTCGTGGAAAACCAAGGACGAGCGAAACTGCAGGTCATGGATGATGCTGTCGTGGATATTGGCCCTATGAACAATGTTTTGCAAAGCTGCATACACAAGAAGATTGACGACGCAACTCTGACAGCGATTCGCGATATGATCGAAAAAAACCATGGCAAAGAGTTTCAGGGGCTCAACCCGGAAACAACGAACTTCGACACCTTTAAGAAGACATTGTTCGGCAGAGGGCCTCAACTGGTGCCTTACATGCAACTATTCCTTCAGAGCGGCCTAGGCCGTTGCCTCCTCAGCCTCCAGTAGCCTAGCTAGCAGCGCTCTTCCTGTATGTTTCTCATCTGTAAAGTCGTTCTCAGTCCTGTCGTCGTGTGATACGGTCTTGGTATCGCTCACATCGCCGTAGATGTTGCACTTGGCCACTTTGAAATCGTCTGCAATCGAGGAGAACGAGACCCTCGGGTGAGAATGACGAGATCGGCAATGGCACAGCCACTGCGAGCAACGCCGCACGCCAGGGCGCAGCCAACGCTGAGCGAGGCTCCTGTGACGCCTTTCAGCGTCCAGCTTGAGTGAGTTTTAACGTGTAGACTCACCTGAGATGACAACGACTTGTACTTTGAGAGGCTATTGTTGAGTTACGAGCAGTGCTCGCAACGACGGCGCCTCGGGCATCCGTTTCTTGAGCGCAGCAAAATACCAGGAGCGGGGTCCCTTCCTTTTCCATTTCAATCTGCACAAGTCGTCTTGAAGAAAACTTTTCCTTCGGCTGGGTTGATGTGGGTCACAACGTGAGAGAAAAAAGAGGTGACGCCTATACTCTAGAGTGGGGCATCACTGATTCAGCAGCTGTAGTCACGACAAACAGGCAATTGTTGAAAAGGACCTTTACTGCGCGCCCTCTTTGCGCCGAGAACTTCTTGAGCCCCGGAGAGGCCAGTCAAAAGCACCGTCTTTTTTCTGCTGCTGCGTCTCTTATCTCATCTCTCCCTCCCTGAAGACTAGCTCTCGAAAGTTGTCCCCGCAGCTAACGAGGTCATTCACTTGATCGTCGGCACTAAGGCGACCTCTGTGAAAACTTTCAGCTCACACGATGAAGGTGCACCTGCTCATTACACTCGCTCTGGCACTTTTCTTTCTCCAAGGTTGCGACAGTGTTCGCAACAACGGAGATTACACCGTGAGTTCTTAAAAGCCTTACAAACTTCAATCCTTGCTGAAGAATACAGGGTGAGATCTTATACGCTGCTTACGTAGCTGCGCTCTCCACCATTTTCTTGGCCATACTATACCAGAGCTGGTATGAATGGAGGCTCAATCCAGATCTCCAGTGCTCGACGGCCGCCGAGCTCGATCCAGGACGAATGTTGCTCTGCCTGCGGAATCGGGAAAGATTCTTTGGATTTCTCGAAGTTGCTTTACAGGTGATACGTCGATTTATTGAAAAGCGAGGGACGACTTCGAATAATATTGTTGGGTCTCACGAAGATGTCTTGGTGAAACATGGAAACAGCGTACAGCTGCAATTCATGGGACACACGATAGCGAATTTCGGCCCCGAGAATAGGGTACTGCAACAATGTATCCACGAAAAAGTTGAAAACGCAACTCTGTCAGCGATTGGCGACATGATCGAAAAGACCGATGGCAAAGCTTTTGAGGGACTCGACCCAGAAACGACCAATTTCGACACCTTTAAGAACACAATGCTAAGCAGAGAGCCTAAACTGGGCCCTTACATGCAACTCTTTCTTCAGAGCGGCCTAGGCCGTTGCCTCCTCAGCCTCCAGTAGCCTAGCTAGCAGCGCTCTTCCTGTATGTTTCTCATCTGTAAAGTCGTTCTCAGTCCTGTCGTCGTGTGATACGGTCTTGGTATCGCTCACATCGCCGTAGATGTTGCACTTGGCCACTTTGAAATCGTCTGCAATCGAGGAGAACGAGACCCTCGGGTGAGAATGACGAGATCGGCAATGGCACAGCCACTGCGAGCAACGCCGCACGTCAAGGCGCTGCCAACGCCGCGCAGAGCTCCTTTCACGTCTCTCAGCTTTGATATTGAGCAAGGTGTAATGCAAAGACCCCCCATAGATGACTGCCACTTTCCTTGGACAGAGCTCATGAGTATTGTTGCAGAGGGAGTGTGACTTACAAGCAGGGGAAGAGTGCACGCAACGACGGCTTCTCGGGCATCCGCTCCTAGGGCGGATGAAAATCTCAGCAGCGGAGTCCCTTTTTACACACTCTATCTGCACGATGGGCTTGAAGAGCATTTTCTCTCCGGCCGGGCTGATTTGTATCAACATGTGAGAGAAGAAAAGGGGCGACGCCCATACCCTAGAGTAGGGCATCGCTGATTCAGCAGCTGTTGTCATGATAAACACGCATATGTTGACGAGAGCCTTTACTGCGCGCCTCGGTGCGCCGAGAAGATCTTGAGCCCCGGATGAGGCAGTCAAAAGCAGCGTACTTTTTCTGCTGCGACTCTATTCTACCCTCCTCCAACAATCTCTCGTATCTTGGCCTCAAGCATTTCTTCAGCTTACGACCCGTTTACTTTACCATCAAACCTACAATGAAGGTGCGCTTGCTCGTTTTCCTCGCTCTGGCACTTCTTTTTCTCCAGGGATGCGACGGTGTTGGCAACCTTCGGGCTTTCGCCGTGAGTTCTCAAAGCTATACGACTCTGAGTTCTTGCTGAGAAGTATTACGAACACACAGGATGATGGCGTACTCACTGCTTTCGCGGCCGTCATTTCCATAATTTATTTGGCCATATTATATCAAACTTGGTCCGAATGGAAGCTCGATCCAAATCTTCAGTGCTCGACAGCCACCAAACTCGATCCAGGGCAAATGGCGCTTTGCATGCAGAATCGGGACAGGTTCCTCAAATGGCTCGCGAGGGCCATAGATTGGGTTGTGAAATTACTTCCCAAGCGAGGGCTGGCATCGAACGGCGTCGTTGGGCGCCATGAAGATGTTCTGGTGGAACATGGAAACAGCATGCAGCTACAGTTCATGGGATATACGATCATGGATTTCGGCTCCAAGAGCAGGGTGCTGCAACCCTGCATCAACAATAAAGTTGAAGACGCAATTCTGACAGCGATTCGCGATATGATCGAAAACACCCATGGCGAGGCATTTCGGGGACTCGACCCAACAACGACCAACTTCGAAGAGTTCACGGAGAAGGTATCAGAAAGGACCGCTCTACTGCAGCCATACCATGAACTATTCCTTCAGAGCAGCCTAGGAAGTTGTCTTCGCAGCGTACAGTAGTTGCCTGGCTAGCAGCGCTCTTCCTGTATGCCCCATATGTTTTCGCTCCCAATTCTGTCGTAACAATTCTAGTCAATTTCTTCTTGTGGTCACACACTCGGTGATGAAGTCTCTTCAGTGCACGCGTTGGGAGCGACGCCCGACCTGCGAGCCTGTCCGATCGGAGCGCTCAGGAATGACGAAAAATATGTCACAGCGGCCCACAATTGACCTATTACACGTGTCTGTGTCGATCGACCAATCACAGCTCATCTAAAAGTCAAGCGCGCTGCCGGACTTGACCGACTAACGGTATTTAGCTAAGACGCTGTCTTTGGGCCTCCCTACAGAGCCGGGCGCCTGCTTGCCACCTTTGCTTATTCCACCAACGTCCCTGTCCCTACCCCCACCACTTCTGGCAGCCCCTCTGGTCAATATGTCCTTCCTGGCATCGACCTCGCTGCGCTCGATGAGGGCATCGGCCTCGACGTCGAGCAGCACCCTCGCCTCGGCAGCCGCAAAGTCGTTCTCGACGTCTTCGGCCCGCTCCCTTGCCACGCCCGCCGAGGTGCAAGCAGGCTCTGCCCCCTCCAAGCCGCAGAACTTCAAGGACTTCAAGATCTACCGCTGGAACCCAGATGAGCCGGCAAAGAAGCCGCACCTGCAGACGTACAAGGTCGACCTCAATGCCTGCGGCCCCATGGTCCTCGATGCTCTCATCAAGATCAAGAACGAAATGGACTCGACGCTGACGTTCCGGCGGTCGTGCAGGGAAGGCATCTGCGGGTCCTGCGCCATGAACATTGACGGTGTCAACACGCTCGCGTGCCTTTGCCGGATTGAGAAGCAGGGAGACTCGAAGATCTACCCATTGCCCCACAGTGAGTTTTTTTCCTTCTATTTGCTCTGCCGGTGTACGACACATGTTGATAGGTGGACATGCCTTTTGCTGACGCTGCCGCCGCTTGCTTGCTTCTTCCTCCCGCCAGTGTACATTGTCAAGGATCTCATTCCGGACATGACGCAGTTCTACAAGCAGTACCGCTCCATCGAGCCCTTCCTCAAGGCCAAGGACATGCCAGCCGACGGCAAGGAGCACCTGCAGAGCCCCGAGGAGCGCCGCAGGTTAGACGGTCTGTACGAGTGCATCCTCTGCGCCTGCTGCAGCACCTCGTGCCCCTCGTACTGGTGGAACCAGGACGAGTACTTGGGCCCAGCCGTGCTGATGCAGGCCTACCGCTGGATCGCAGACTCGAGGGACTCGTTTGGCCTCGAGCGAAAGGAGAAGCTGGAGAACACCTTCAGCCTGTACCGGTGCCACACCATTCTCAACTGCTCGCGCACATGTCCAAAGGGCCTCAACCCGGCCCAGGCCATTGCGCAGATCAAAAAGGAAATGGCCCTCGGCGAGCCCGCCAGCGCCGCCCAACGACCCATCATGGAGACGGGCCACAACCAGCACGGCTAGACACTAGTCGATCCTCTATATTCAATCGAGATGCGGTGTTTCTTCCACAATCCAATTTGTCCTTGTACACGATGAGTCTTTTCGTACATTTGCACGTTGCTGGTGTTTCTGGCCTGGTCTGGTGCTTGCTATGGTACAGTACTGTGCACGATCGTCTACTCTAGCCCGTCCTCGTCGCTGGCTAGCGGTGCGATCAACATGTCGACGAAGCCGTTTCTGGTCAGCTCCTCTTCCACGGGCACGCGCTCGTCAGTGCTCGGAGGGAAAATGCACTGGATCGACATGACTCCGTTGGGCTGAAGGCGAATCGACGTCTTGCTTGCCGTGGAGAGGGCCGTGTATGCGTGAGCAAAGTACTTGAAGTGGTAGCTGGGACCCAGAAAAACTTGTGAGCTAGGTTCAGAGGGAGAGGCAGAGTAAAGAGCGCTCCGCTCCACGACTTACTTTGCCTTTGTATCGATGTCGGCCTCAAAGGTCGTGAAGAGCTGCTCGCTGAGTGGTTTCGCCGCATCGAAGGGCAGCTGCACCTCTGCTGAGCCGGCGTCCCCCTCGGCCGTCAGTCTCATCATTCGAACAATGTCACAGTCTGGGTCGCCCAGTTGGACAGCGCTGCTGCGAGCCATGGCAACACCCGAAGACTCTACGACCGTATCGTCTTCGCTCGGCAGGTGGCCATTGCCATCTCGTGCAGTTGTCGTCGTTTGGATGCCCCGCCGCTTTGCGTGCGGACGCTTGACGGCGATTGGGAATCGGGGAAAGAAGCCAACTTCGATTGACCTGGATGAGGGATCGATGCTTCGTATCGCTTCAGCAAATTCCTTGGACTAGACATTGGAGGTCAGCATTGCTAATTGCAGGAAGAGGTGAAGAAAAGGTGTGACCCACCTCCAGGACCACCCTGACAATCTTGTCCTCATCTGAGAAGCCGACTTCATCTCCCTCCTGTGGCTCGTTCGTCACCAGCTTACAGGTCGTCACTCTCTTGCCCTCGTCGAGTCTGTGGTGGTTCAGCCGCACAATTCGGTCAGCAAAGCCTTGAAAGAGAGATGAAGGGTCATACGAGGAGTCAACTCACTGGATCATAAAGGGGCTGCCTTGACCATCATAGACAATCTTGACGGCAGTCTTTGGAGACGACCCAGCGCCGTTGGACAGGGCGCTCCTTGATCTGCCTTCGCTTTGATAGCCTCCATAACCTCCTCTTCGGTTGCTGGCGCCGTCGTCAAGGAACGGGTCATCATCGTCTCTGTCGTAGGGCTGCCTCGGTGGGACGCCATTCCGGGAGAACGATGTCGAAGACATGCTGCTCGTGCCGCCGCCGTACATGTCGAGACAGATGAGGAGATCGCGAAGCGACAGCACGACGACCTTGGTCCGTATTTGCGCTGGGCTTTCGTCCTCCTCTTCCTCTGAGTCATCGTCGTCGAGCGCGCCTGGCCCATCGAGAAGCTCCTCATTGACGTCATATGCGTCGAAGAGATTCGCGTTGATGAAGGCTTTTGCTTGCATGTTGTTGTGGTCCATGTCCGTCCGGAATATGAGGCCCGTCGAGGAGATGATGACGTCGGCCACCTTTCAGTGACCATCACGGCTGTCAACACGAAATTGACCAGCGACGGGCTCTTGACGCTGATGCGCGTTGCTCACCTTTGAAATCTCAATCGACCTCAGCATGCGCGACAGGATCGTCGCATCTCGGATCGTCGCGCTCAAGCATGGCTGCAGAGGTCACTCAGACTCAGCCTCTCTCTAAGGCAAACAGCGATGGCACCGCCGCCAGCTCACCTTCTCAAAGCGACCTCTCCTTGCCGTCATGCCTCGGGAATACTACCTATGGTGCACCGCACAGCACTTTATGTAGTCTAAAACCTGGATCTCTTTGGTTCCCCCACTTTAAAAATATTTTTCTCGCGGACAGCAGGCAAACGCGAAGAACGCCGCTCCACCAAGACCGCCCGTCTCGTCTTCTCTGCCCGATCGCTGGACGGCCCCGTCGCTGCTCTCTCCTCTTCCTTGCCGACCTTTCTCGCCCTATTGATAGGCAAGAGCGACCATGGCGGCGGCAATCCAGAGACTCATCCAGGCCTCGAGCGCGACGCTGCCTCGGCAGATGGCCAGCGCGGGCTTCCTCTTTGCGACGTGAGTCTCTCTTTCCATCCCAGCCTCCCTACCATTCCTCACTAAAGTCTCTCCCTCTCTCTTTGTGCTCCACAGCGGCGACGTGATCGCACAGCAGGTCATCGAGAAGCGCGGCAAACAGCACGACCTTGTCCGCACTGCACGTCTCACAGCGTATGGCTCCCTCATCTTCTCGCCCATTGCCGCCATGTGGTTTGGCAAGGTTCTCGAACGAGTGCCCTTCAAGGGCCGCGCGGGCGTCGTGGCCAAAGTCGTCCTCGACCAGAGCCTGGCTGCTCCGGCGCTGCTCGGCGTCTTTTTCACCGCAACGACACTCATGGAGGGCAAGGGCATCGAGGACGTCAAAAAGAAGCTCGAGACCGTGAGTTGTCTCCTTTGCTGCCCTTGAGAGCTATGAGGTGTGTAAAACTGACGGCATGGCTCGGCGGGGGCACAGTCGTACTGGAGCACACTCAAGACGTCGTGGTGCGTCTGGATCCCTGTTCAAACAATCAACATGGCCTTTGTCCCGCCTGCACAGCGCCTTCTCTTTGTGTGAGTGGTGAAAAAAACCGCGCTCTTGTCTTTCGCAGCGTCGTCGCGTCTTGCTTATCTCTGCGATTGGAAAATCATGCAGCAACGTCGTCTCAATCGCCTGGAACACCTTCCTGGCCCTCGTCGCCGGCGGCGGAGGGAGTCAGGAGCAAAAGAGCGACGCCGTCGAGCTTCCCTCGATGGGCAGCGGCTCTTCCCCCTCGCGCAACATCAATGCGCTCCAGCACGAGCTGCGCGAGATCAAGACAGACAAGCAGCATTGAGCCTCTCTCTCTTCCCCTCATATCATGCAAAATGGCAGAGCATCAAATAGAACAATGACATATAGAACGGGGGAGACAACGCGGGCTGAAGCGCGCCCTTGGATACACCAACAAACGAAAGACAAAAAAGGAATGAGAAACCAAAGGGGGGTAAACAGCGCAGATTAGATGCCGTTTGGCTGCGCCTGTTGCTGCTGAGCTTGCTGCTGCTGTGCCTGCTGCTTGGAGCTCGACTCTTTGAGTGCCAAGAGCTGGCGGCTTCGGAAAGACTCGTAGTGCGTGGCCGAGGTGGTCTCGATGAGGTCCTGGAGGTGCGAGCGGGTGAGGAAGTTCCTCAGGAACACAAACTCGCAGTGGTTCTCGTTTTCCACATTGACGACGCCGTACCGGTTCTTGCGGCCTCGCACCTGCTTGCCGTCAATAACAACTGTCCTCTCGCTTCCGACGACAGCAAAGGGGATGAGTGACTGGATCATCGTGTTAGTTTTATTGGTCATTGAGGAAGGCCAGACTAGGTGATACCCACCCTGATCCGGTCGTTGAGCTCCCGCTCGTCCTCCTCGTGCTCTTCGTCGTCAAAGGGGTACAGACGAATGTTGTTGTACTGCATCTCGGCGCGGATCCGCTCCTTGAACAGGTCCCTCTCCTCGAGCGTCAGGCTGTCGCTCTTGGCGATGACGGGCACGACATTAACCACGTCCGAGAGCTTCTTCATCACAGTCACGTCAATCGGTCGGAGGCCGTGTCCAGTTCTGTCATGGAGTCGATCAGTAAGAAACCGAACGCAACGTGTAGCCGCTGACTCTTGTTCCACTCACGGGTTGATGAAAAAGAGGCAGCAGTGGATTCGGGTGTCGGTGATGTATCGGTCGCGCATGGCCGTCAGCTCCTTTCGGAGGTAGGCGCTGTGCTGGTCCTTGATGTACTTGATGATTGGGTCCCAGCAGTTCTCATTGTTGACCTGGTCGCCATATCCGGGTGTGTCGACAATGTTCAACCGAAGCTTGACGCCGTTTTCCACAATCACTGTTCCGCAGAGACTCGCGTTTAGGCCCCCTTCCTTCTCTCTCTCTCTATCAGAAGGCCGTATTTTTCACTCACAGTGGCTGACGGGGTGGATCTCCGTCGTCGAGCGGGGCGTCTCGTAGGCCTCGAGCCGTCCCTTTGAGTCGATGAGGTGCGATGCAAAGAGGGTGTTGATGAGCGTCGACTTGCCCAGGCCCGTCTGGCCGACGACCATGACGTTGAACTGGAAGCCGCGCTTGAGCAGCTTCTGCTCGATCTGGCCGGGCAGGCTGTCGAAGCCGACGTACGACGAGAGCGGCGTGGGTTGAATCGCCGAAGCCATCTTTTGTGTGCTAAGCGTTAGGGAAAGGGGAAGGAAGGGCGATCGGTCGGGGAAAGGGTTTTTGGGTATTGTCAGATGGCTGAAAGGAAGGAATTAGCCAGCGCGACTGGCTAGCGCTTCGTCGCGCAAATACAGAAATACACCTTCTTGTCAATAACAAATTTAAGCTCATTCTGTTTCTCATTCGACATTAACAACGCTAACATCAACTCCACGTGGTCCGTCATTCTCTCATTCATGTCTTGGGTCACTCGAGTGAGTCTTTTGATTGATTGTCCTCCAATTGGCACAATACGAACGATACAACTACAACTAGTGAATGAAGCCACTTCACCAGAACGAACACCAACCGATAAAGGCCCCACAGAGATTCTCGAGGCTTGTCGCCTCCTGCACCAGCCTCTGGATCTGGTCCGGCACGCTGAGCTGCACCTCTGGATCGAAATCTCGCCCGTTGAGCTTGGCCCTGATCCTCTCCACCACCTCCAGTGCGCGCTTGTTTCTTACGTCGCCCGCACTGCTCAATCGGTGATGGCCTGCCACCTCGTGCTCGCTCGCATCGGGCGCCTTCTGTTCCACGGACGTGTCGTCCGTGACGAGCCTCCAGCTGATCAAGGGGTCGTGGACAAATGCCTCGAGCAGGGCAAGGACCGACTCCTTGTTGTCTCGCAGAACGCGCATGACAATCTCGCTCGTGATCTTGAACGTGCCCTTGATGCCACCCACCTCCATTGCTTGCACGAGCATCCTCGTGAGCCTGAAGGGGACCTTTTCTGGGAACTTTGGTCGGCTGCAGGCCACTTCGAAACAGTCGCCAAAGTCGATATGGATGATCTGGCCCGTAAGACGGTCCAGCAGAAGGTTGCTCGGATGTCGGTCACCGAGACCCAAAATGTAACCAGCGACAGAAGATGTGGCCAGGGATCGAGTGTAAGCTGTTCGACGCTCCAGCCACGCCTCTGAGTTCCTCGACTTGAGCCAAAGGACACGGTACAGATCCTGGCCCGAGGTGTTGTCGAGCGCGTACTCAAACACCTCGACCTTGTTCATCAGAGGCATGTTGTCATAGTCGGGTGCCATCTGCAGCATGAGGCGGTGCTCGAGATTGAGGAGAATTTTGTGCTGCTCGCGGTATTCCTTGATGAGGACATGGAGCGTGTCGGTATTCTCCACCCATCCAATCATGCCCGTGTTGGGCGAAAGTGGGATCACGGCGTAACGGCGGATCTCGAGGCGGCGCTTGTACGACTCCGAATCGATGGACAGGAGCGTATTGACTAGGCCGAACAGCTGCATGACACGCTCGTCTTGCCGCAGGTCTTCGTGACCCTTGAGAAGGTACTGATAGATGCGACCGTCGCTGCCCCGCATCTTGAGACGCCGAGGCCGCTGTTTAGACGCAATGACGAGTACGATCTGCTCAAAGTTGCCGATGCGCACCACGGGCTGACCCGACTGGTAGGTGCCCGGCACGGCCAGCTCCAAGTCGCGCATCGCCAGGAGCTGCGGGGACACGTACTGCAGGTCGAGCTGCACCGAGTTCGTCGAAGGAAGCTGCTTGCTGATGCGTCGGAACACGTGGTAGTAGATGTCCCAAGCCTGGTTCAAGTCGGCAATCTCGCCATGCTGCCGGTACCTCCTGCCACACTCGCGTGCATCTGCCAGGTCACGGCCGTACGTCTGTGCAAACGACGTCTCTCTGAGCGTCTCCGGGCCCTTCTCCAGCGCTTCGTGCAAGGGCTCCAACGTCGCAAACATGGCGTCGATGTTGTGGTCGGTAAAGTAGAGACGCGATGCCTCCTCGAGCCCTTCGTGCCAGAGCTCGTGCCAGAGAATAGCGACGCGGATCAGCTCATTGGAGACCAGCAGGGCCTGCTCGACGAGCAAGGGACTGTGCTCTCTGACGTTGTCCATGATGCCCATCGCGGCTTGAATGCGCATGTGGCTCGGCGATTTCGCAGCGACGGTCAACGAGTAGACGAGAGCCTGAGGGTGCGCTGCGCCAATATCGGACAGGAGCTCGTTGATGAGTCTGCGCACCTTTGGGCTGGGCGCCGTGATTCTGGCGATGATTTGCGGAATCACCTCGAGCCACGTATCGATGACGACTGTACCGAAGCCCTCCCTTACGGCCTCTGCGACGCTCTCGACGTACCCAAACTTGAACCAGAGCGTGAGGAGGCGCAGCGTGTCCTGCAACGAGTTGCCGCTGGCCAGGGCAATCGAACGGAAGAAGCCCTGGACAGAGGGCACGATACTTGCCGCGATCATCTTGGCAGGCACATTGTCCCCCATTCGCTCGTGGTGCGAAATGACGTCGAAATTGGCCAGCGCCCAGGCGTGCCAGGCCTTGTACCAGTACTTGTCCAGCTCCGTGGCGCGGCGGTACGAATCGATGACGTCGCAGCGGTCGTCGGTGACCCAGTCCTCATTGAGAGCCGACTGCCACTCACCCTGCTTGAAGTAGCAGCGTGCCAGGAGCCTGGCGAACTCTTCGAGGCGCGGTGACGATCGCCAGTCCTGTGGCAGGGGGTTCCCGTGCTCGTCGACGGCGTGCAAACCAAGGTCCTCCGCGAGATTCAGCGTAAAGTCGCGCAGATAGTCCAAGCTCTCGACCCTTGCCCCATTGGCCCACATGAATTTGAGGTGAGCGTAGATGACCTGAGGCGGCGCCTTTGGTCCCAGCGGCGACTGCTGGTGGTCTTGTCCGAGCTCGGCGCTCTGGTCCGGTCCAAGCAGGGAATTGAGCGTCTTTTCGGCCAGGACCATGCGGCCTGACTTGCGACAAAGATTGGCAAATTTGATCCAGGTCGTCGTGTCTTCGGCTGGCGTCAGGACGATGCTTCGAACAGACAGGATGCGCTGCCAGACTTCAACGTCCGGCTGGCAGCCCTTGAGACGCTTCATCCACGTCGACCGAATTGTCGCCTGTCGATCAGGCTGGTCCCAGTAGTCGAGCTTGTAGGCCAAGGCCTCTTCCAGCTCCGAAAGCATCTGTGCCCTCACCATGAGGTCGTACGCTCGGCCGTAGCTCTCGCTGAGAAGGTTCGTCAGCTCTTGGTCGATCGAGTCTCTGGCCTTGGCAATGTGCTTGGCCGACAGGTATCGATTCTTGCGGTCGGCATAGAAGATGGCCTTGAAGTAGTCCTTGCTCTCGTCCTGGCGAATGGCCGAGATGAACTCTTCAATCTCGGACCATTTGTTGAGCGCCACGGCGGCCGCCGCTGCGAGAGGAGCCATCATTCTGCGCTCCTGCTCGACAGCCGCCGCCTGCTTCGAATAGTCGTTCCACCGCTGCCGGACAAGCTCCAAGAGATAATCCCACTCGCCAAGCGCATGCAGGCATCGCATCTGGCCGTACCTCGTCTCCCAGCTCTCTCCTTCGGCCTCGAGCCTCCGCGTGTAAGCAACAAGGGCCTCTTCCCACCGGTGCAACTTCTCCAGCCATTCGGACGATGACTGGGAGCTATTGTCCGTCAGCCCGTGTTCTCGGGCGTACGTCAGGGCTCCAAAGGCAGCATCGGACTGCTGCAGCTTGGTGTTGATGTCAATAAGATCCACAATGATCTGCGCCGACGACGAGTCCGAGAGGAACTCTGCCTCCTTGTAGTGCAGAGCCTTGGCGTACGAGTGGAACTTCAGCGCACGATCGCCCAGGAGGCGGATGTTGATGGGAAGTGCCTTGTCGTCGTGCTCCATGAACTCGGCCAGGTTGAGGAGAGCATGGATGACCGAATCGGGGATATCAGGAGCATCAAAGGCCAGCTCAAGGTTCTTGACGAGGTCGTCTCGGTAGGCATCAAAGAGCTCGGTCCAGCAAGAGACAAAGGCGGCATTGAAAAGGTCGTGGGCCAGCGGCGAGTGGATGTCAGCCAGGGCTCGGCAAGCACGGAGCGCATGCGAAGGCGACTCGCGCATGAACTCAACGGCCATGCGCCGCAGCCATTCCTTCCACTCGTCGCTCGAAGAGACTTTCGACGTGTCCCACGCCTGCTTGAGATGCTGCTGGTTGACAGCCATCTTTGTTGCTTCTGCCAAGGGCGCATCGTCGGCCTTGTCGTCTACGGTGCCATCGACGGGCGCAATGTCTTGGGGCAGCCTCTCGCCGTTGAGGAGCTTGGTCACGAGCTGGTGGTATTTTGTCGAATGGATGTTGTTCTGCGTGAGCACCTTGCTCACCACAGGCACAAATGTCGCATACGAGGGTCCCAGCTGGAATGCCAAGGCTGATAGCGTCTCCATGGCCGCATTGCGCAGGTCGGCATTGGCTGTCGCTGATCCAGCATTAGGGCTATGCAGCACTCGGACCAGAGGATGAATAACCCGCGAGGCATGGTCACAGAAGTTGACCTTTGCCGTCAGCTGGCCCACCGCGACGATGGCTTGCTTGCGGAGCGTAACAGAAGCGTCCTTGCGCTCAAATAGTCTCACAATGACAGGCAAGACCAGATGGAGGTACTCGTCGATGGCGCCGCCAAAGACACAGAAGGCGTGGAGAATGCGCAAGATGGTTGGCTGTCGCTTCATCGTCACTTCGCCCTCGAGCGTCTGGAGCATGTTGGGGAGCAGGATGGGCACAAATGTCTTGAACTCGCCCTCGAGAGCCTTTGCGACGGCCTCGACGAGCGTGACAATCGTCAGCTGCACGTTCGAATTCGGATTCCACATGTCATGGACCAGGTCGAAGATATCGCGGAGGTAGTTGCGGACGTGCTGCTTGATGATCGAGATGAGGATGGCCAGCTGCTGGTAGTAGAACTCAGAGAGGCCGGTAGTGCAGGTTCGAATGACACGGAGGAAGGCGGGTATGATCTGCGGCAGGAAGTTGACGCACTTGAGACCCTGCGTCTTAAACATGTACATGATTGCTTCGATGACGGCGTGGTGGTGCAGGGCGAGTGATGAGTCCTTGAGGATGCCGATGAGGGCATCGATGGCCACATTCTGAAAGTACTCGTCCGACGAGGTTCCGACAGCCATGGCTAGTTCGAAGAGATCGGTACCGCCTCCGATGTTGACATCGGCACTTCCCTCTTCGCCCGGCGCCTCGAGGAGCTTGTATCTGTAAGGATCCAAGGCACCCAGGGTGCCCATCACCCGAATCGTCTCGCGCCGTACATGAGGCGTCGCCTCGGCCCTGAGTATCTTGACAAAGGTGCCAAGCAGAGATCGGTATTTGAGGTAAGGCTCCACGACATTGCCCGTGTTGGACGCTACGAGACCCAATGTTTTGAGTGCTGCATTCCGCTTGAGCATGGGAGCCTGCGCGGAAGGGGCGACAGAGAGCTGCTCGATCGTGAGCTTGAGGAGTTCGCCTGCGTGTGGCGACAGGTCCTCGCCTCCGACTTTAGCGAGCTCGCCGAGGCATTCCATGACCTTGGACGCCACGGACGGATTGGCATCGTCTGCACGAGGGAGCATGACCTCTAGCATCGAGAGAGCATAGGATTTGACGAGACGCTGGGACGCTTTGACGACGCCCGTCAGAAGCTTGGCAGCTTCTTCCTTGTTTCTTGTCGCCGTCGAGTACTCGAGCTCCGTGAGCAGCTGGATCAGGGCCTTGCGCAGCGATGGCATGACATAGGCTGGGTTCTGCTGAGCCAGACGGCCGATGATGGATATGGCCACCTCTCGAACGCGGAACTCTTCGTCGTTCAGGGCAATGAAGAGCGAGCGAACATACTCTGCCTGAGCAAGGTGCTTGTCGAAACGCTCGTGAAGGTTCTCGAGCACCGTCAAGCGCAAACGCGGGTCTGGATCGGCGATGCCCACTGTCATGAGCTTGTCGAGAACGTCGTTGACGACCTCGATGGCATGCATGCTCGTCTGGAAGCAGATGGGGTCCTGCATGAAGAGCTTCGCGCATGTGACCGCTGCTGCCTCGCGCACCACGGCGTGGTCGTTTTCAAAGTACGGCAATGTGCAGTTGCGGACGAATTCGTTGAGGATGTGGCCACTGAAGTCGAACTCGCCCAACGTCTTGAGAGCCACAGTGATGGTCTCGACACTTCGTCCCTCGGCGCCGACCGAAGCATTCACGTCTCTTGTCGCTGCCGCCACTGCTGCAGATGTGCCGTTGGATGCAGTTGCTCTGACACCGAGGTAGGGTGCTCCCAACGGTCTATACGGCTGCTCGATGAGAATCTTTGAGAGCAAGTCGAGGAGGCGACCCTGCACGACGCGCAACAGCGGTTGCACCGACCGTACGATCCTCCCCAAGGCCTGAACGAGCGAGGTGCTGAGACCGCAGGCGAACATGAGGTCGAGAAGCTCGTGCATGTACTTTGTCAAGTGAGGCCCCACGGCCATGGCCAGGTAGCCGATGCAGAAAAAGATGGGCGCCTCGGGCATGGGGTTCTTTTTGCCCTTGGACTGCAGCCCCTCCTTGACACAGGCAAGGATCTGTTCGATGTAGGGCTTCATACGATTGCCCATAGCTGCTGCAACGAGGCCGATCGACTCGAAGGTCTGGGCAACGAATTCGCGCGTTGACCGGTCCTTGTCCTTGCGCAGCTGATCAGTGAGGAGGGCCATGACGCCTGGCAGATGCTGATCACCAAAGTATGTCGGGTCATAGGTTGCCAGCACAGGGACGAGGTTGGTAATAGTGCGCTTGATGAGCGGGTCCCGATGCTTGTGTAGATGGAAGACGAGGGCGCAGATGGTGTGAAATCGGCTCCTCATGAACTGGCTCAGAGGTCAGCAAGAGCAAAGCAGTCAAGCAAGCGGGTCGGCCTACTCACGGTATTTGAGTGCTGGAGCAGCTCCAAGATAGCCAAGAGGCTTCCGTGGACCGTCTCTACAGCCTGTGTCTTGAGACCCTTCTCTGCTTCCTGGTAGATGGTCTCGTACGAATGCACGCCCATCTGCTTCTCGCGCGAGGAGACAATGCCCAGACAGGCGCCCATTGCCTCGGCCGCACCTTCCCTGACGAGCACCCTCGTGTCGCGCAAGGCGACCCAAATTCGATCAAAGACGCGCCCGACGTAGGCGTGGAAGAGATTGGGTACGTTTCTCGCCATCTCCTTGATGATGAGCACCGCCGCATACCTTCCCGACTCATTTCGATCCCCGGCTATAATGATTGCTCGCAGTGGTGAGCTCACAAGTTAAGGCATGCACAGAAAGCGATAAGCTTACCCTGAAGGAAGTCGAGGGCTCTGAGCACCTCGAATTCGATGAACTGCTCGCCAAGCGACGTCGAACCCTTTTTGCAGACGAGGCCCAACGCCTTGCTGGCGGCGATCATGACAGTGGCATCGTTGCACGGCAAGTTGGGCTTCAGGTACTGATAGAAGCGATAGAGCCTTGCGCTGTTGTCCTCGGTCTCTGTGCCCACGAGGGCATCGATGGCGGCGATGCCACCGAGCTTTTCGTAGTTGTGAGGGCTGTGTGCCAAGCCGAAGATGTGGCGATTAAGGTCGTTGTTGAAGTTGTTCAAGAGGTCGCCCTTGAGCTCCGACGAGACGTAGTCGACGTAGGACTTGAGCTCGTCAGCAGCCTGCTGCCTCGATGCCTCATGCTTGCTTTTGAGCTGTTCAATCTTTCGGCGTAGAGCCTCCTGTTGCTGCTCTGCAAAGGCGGCCATGCCAGTCGCAGCCACCAGGTTGGGCGCGGGGCCCGTGGCTGGCATTTTCTTCTCTCTCTCTCTGTGTCAGACTGGCTCCCGCCCAGAGACGTTTCCTTGGTCTGGTGGCCGTCCTCGTCGATGTCCGTCGCCTCTTGTCGCTAAGCCAAATTGCTTCAAGTTGCGATGGCCCGTTCTCCATTTTTTACTACACGTGGGCGAAAAAAGGTCCGAGCGAAGGCGCGCACCCTCGCTCGCGGTTCTTCCCATGGGCTAATCGAGACTCTCATCTTTGCAACCGTCCCCTGCCGTTGCTCCTGCTGCTACACCATGGCGAGCCTGTCGTCGTCGTTGCAAGGGCTAGGAGGAGGAGGTCGCCGTGCCCTCGGCGGCCTCCATCGCCCGACAGTGCTAGCGAGCAGGAGTGCACTCACAAGCCAGCAGGTCGCGACGCCCTGCAGGACGCTGTTCACCCGCCCCAAGCCGAAGTCTTCCGTACGGTCACTTGTCACCGTGACGTTGCTCGGCTTCGCGGCTACCTTTGGCGTTGCCTATCATCTCGACTCGCGCTCCGCTATTCACCGATGGTTCGCTATTCCCGTCTTGCAGGCTTTTACAGACCCGGAAACGGCGCAGAAGCTGGCCGTCAAGCTCCTCTCGCTCGGAGTCATGCCGAGAGATATGGTCGAAGACGATGCACTGCTCGAGACCGAGGTCAGTGTCGATGTCCATCTTTTCGAATAGCTGTCGAGGGGCTGCTATGCTGATGCACTTTCACTAGGTCGCCGGACTGAAGCTCAGTAACCCCATCGGTCTTGCCGCCGGGTTTGACAAGCAGGCCGAGGCCATCGATGGCCTCTTGAATCTGGGCTTTGGCATCGTCGAGGTTGGCAGTGTCACTCCGGAGCCTCAGGTGAGCCTGTCACACTAAGTTCGGATCGGTAACAGGACCAAAGACTGATTGCCGCAACTTTCAGCCGGGCAACGAGCAGCCGCGCTACTTCCGTCTGACCCAGGACCGCGGCGCCATCAACCGCTTTGGCTTCAACTCGGATGGCCACCAAGCTGTCCTCGCTCGTCTGCACCACCGCATTCAGCAGTGGGTTCTGGGACAGTCGACTCTGGCCCAGTCGAGGGTGCCGCTGCCGGACTCTTCGTCAGACGAAGCCCAGCTGCTGGCCCGGACAGAAGCGGGCATCGCAGCCGTGCTCGAGAGAGACGAGGTGCCACGGTCGCTGCGACCAGGCCAACTCCTCTTTGTCAACCTGGGCAAGAACAAGACGAGCGAAGAAGCCAGCGTCGACGACTATGTCAAAGGTGTCAAGACATTGGGCCAGTACGCCGACGCTGTCGTCGTCAACGTCAGCTCGCCCAACACGCCTGGGCTGCGTGGCCTGCAGCGACGAGGCATCCTCCAGGAACTTATGACCAATGTTGTTCGTGCCAGGGATGCTCTCCCTCCGCGGGGCCAGGGCCGCAACCTGCCGATCCTTGTCAAGATTGCACCCGATCTCGACCAGGCGCAGCTGCACGACATTGCTGATGCCGCCCTCGCCAGCGGCATCGACGGTCTCATCGTGTCCAACACGACGGTGCAACGGCCAAAGACGCTCCTCTCCTCACCCGACCTCACAAACGAGAAGGGCGGTCTCTCGGGCGCACCGCTCAAACCGTTGGCACTGCAGGCCCTGACGACGGTTCGTGCAAGGGTGGGCGACAAGATTGCCCTGATTGGCTGCGGCGGTATCCACAGTGGCGCAGACGCCCTCGACTTTGCCAAGGCGGGCGCCAGCGCGATTGAGCTCTACACATCCTTTGGCTACGAGGGTGTGGGCCACCCGCGGCGCGTCAAGGACGAGCTGAGTGCGCTTCTCAGGGAGCAGGGCACGACATGGAAGCAGGTTGTTGGTACAGGCCTGGAGCAGGGCGGGACAAAGCCAAAGGTGCCGAGCAACGAAAAGGAAGCAACGAGGAGCGGTGGGGCAGCCGAGAGGATGGGCGAGGCCGTGGCCAGTGTCAAGAGCGAGCTCGAGGGCCTGAGGCGCTCGCTCGGCATGCCAGAAGAGGACAAGAAGCGGACCGCCGCTCCCTTCTTCCAGCCCGATCCAAACGACAAGGAGTACGTGGGCCTGCTCGACAAGGTGCACGCTGCTCTCGGCCGCAGCGAGGGCGGAAGGGATGACAAGCCAGTGGCAAAGACGTTTGAGGCCGACGACATGACGCGGGCAGAGGCCCTCCGAGCGAGACTTGGCGCCGCGCTGCGCGACCCGAGCGTGCCCGCGAGCCAGACGCTTCTTGGCACGGGCGCGCAAGCGACGACGACGACGATGCCTCCGCAGAGCGGGCGCATCGAGGCTGACGGTCTGACCCAGATTACACCGAGATCGAGCGGCAGCAACTTGACTGCCTATGCAGAGGGAAGGGTCGGCATGGGCGGCAAGGCCGAATTCAACAAAGCTGACCGACAGAGGGTTGTGTAGACTGAAGTTCATTCCCACAATAGCAATACAAGGAGTGTGCAATACAAGGAGTGGTAGCAGCAGCAGCAGAAGTAGCAGTGCCAGTGATAAGGTAGAAAGCAGCGTCGTGAAAAGGACAGGGACGCGCTCGTTGACTTGACGGTGATCTTCTGTTCGAGGGGCGACAGAGATGGCCCAAAGGAAAAAAATAAAAACAAAAACAAAAACAAAGCTCATCTCTTCTCGCCCAGCCTGTTTGTTCAGCGATCTCCACCAACTAGCTGCAACCCGAATTGGCCGACTGGCGCGCCATATCGACAGGAAAAACAACCGCGATCAGAGAAAGCTGCCCGCTTTTCTGGCCCTTGGCGGTGCAACAGAAGGACACATCAGCTGCCAAGGAAAGCTTAGATTGCTGCCTTTTGTAGGCTCCGAACCCGGATCCTCGGTGCTGGGGAGACGCGCCGCGAGAGACGGTGCGTGGGGAGAAAAAAAAAATAGAACGGGTTCAAAGTGTTCTTTGGGTTCCAGCTCGTGCGAGGCGTCTTGGTATAGAATCGACGTCAAACATAGAGTGAAGATCTCTCGGGCCATAGCCACCACAGACGATAGAACGATGAGGCCGTAGTCGACCAGAACGCCTCGGAATATACCACCATGTCGTCGAATCCTCCGGCGAAGCGCAAGGTGAGAAAAGCCTTGCTACAAGAAAAAAAGGACCCGATGCTGACGTGAGATGAGCGAGCAACAGGTCATGGGCCGCATCGACTTGGATGGGGCTCAGACGCCTTCGCCGAAGGCTGTTCCCCACATCGGCAAGGGCAGTGGCGGCATGGGCCCAATGAATGCTGCCCGATCGCCCATCTCGTCGCCGCCGCTGAGTAGGGCTACTACTTCGTCTCACGTACGGGCCAAGGTCGACATGTCTTCGTTGGGGGGTGTCTCAGCGCTGGCCGCCTCTTCATCGGCCAATGCACCACCCATTCATGCAGGCACTGGCAGTGTCGTGAGAAGCCGCCCGCCGAGCTCGGCCTCTGCTGCGTCGTCCACAGTCAACGGCGTAGGCAGGGCTACATCGCCCGCCCTCATCGTTCGTGCAGGGCCCTTCTCCCCGCATACACCGCGGGCAGCCCTGACGACACGGCCAGGCAGCCCGTCAAAGCTTCGGTCAGAAGACGAGGGCTCAGCCGCGCTGCGAAGACCGAGGCTTCGGACGCAGAGCACAGACATGACGCCGCCCGCAGCCAGGATTGCCGGGTCCACTTCCTCGTCGGCCCAGGATACCACGCCTCGATCAAGCCAATACCTCGCTGCAGCGCCTCATCTGGCACAGAATGGTGTCGCGGCCAGGCATGGGAGGGCCCATTCGACCCACGTTGGAGGCGCATCGCCGACGATGATGACAGCAAAGACGAAGGTGGCATCGCTGCAATCGCCACCACCACCAACACAACAACAGCAGCAACAACAACTATTGCAGAGGCGATCTCCATCGCCCGCATCTTCCACCGCATCGTCTGCAAGCAAGTCACCGACGATCGCATCAGCAGCAATGCAGCACGGCCACCCACTGAGGATGGCCAGCGATGATTCGACCGCCTCATCGCTGGATAGGCGAACGTCGTACGGGAGCTCCTCCGTCTCGGCTTCCCGGCCATCGAGCAATCTTCAGACGCCATCGGCATCGTCCTCTCCACCAGCAACGCTGTCCACATCAACACCGCGGACAGTGCCCGGCATCAATGCGCGGTCACGGCCTCCTCTCCTCAACACCTGGAGCAGCCAGTCGGGGTCTGCGAGCACCTCGGAGCCCGTTACGCCTGCTCTCTTGTCACCAGGTGCCTCAGTTGCCACTATGTCACTACATCATCGAAACACTTCTTCAACTCAACAGCACCAAACGTCCTTCAACTTCTATCCGACGACACCGTCTGCCGACTCGGGCCACGTCATCTCGCCCTCGATCGAGTCCAGCGTCGCTTCGCCCCCGCTGGACCCAGCCGAGAGCGAGGCGGCATCCGAGGCTAAACGGAACCGCAAGATTCTCGACCTCGAAATCACAAACAAGAGCTTGCTTGCCATCAATGCCGGGCTCGAAGTGAGCAAGCTCAAGCAGGCCAGAGAGATTCGCGAGCTCAAGCGACGGCTTCGTGAGGCCATTTCTGGCGGCGTCGGTGGTGGTCTTGGCAGAGCTATGGGACTCGGCGCTGAAGGCGGGCTAGGACTTGGCTCAGGTGAGGAAGAAGAGGAAGAAGAAGATGATGATGAGGAGGACGACGAAGAAGACGAAGTGGTGTTCAAGGAGGACGAGGAGCTCGAGGCGGCGCATTCAAGGTGCAAGGGCCTGATTGACGCCATGGTGCAGCGGGCACGCGAGAGCATCCTCCTCAAGGTCGAACTGCCCCCCGAGGTCGTCGCTGCCGCGGCTGACAGCGGGGGAGAGGCAAAGGCGGGCAACCGTGTCCTGCATCCGGCTGAGATTGAGCAGCTCGAAAAGGAGCGGGAGGGCGAGGACGGTCAGGAAGAGGAAGAGGATGACGACGACGATGATGACGAAGAAGAAGAAGACACGAGCAGGATGGAAGGCAGCCATGATACCGCCAGGCCCGAGGAGGACTCGTTTGACAAGGCCGTTCACCTGTGGTCGTCGACGGAGGAGGACAAGACAGAAGAAGGAACAGAGCAGGGCGTTGTTTGATTGATTTGAATGGCCTGTGCCATGCGACCACACCCACCACTCCCCCCATCCCCACCCATACCACAGACACTCTTCGCTTTCTTTCTATTCCCTTTCCCTCCCAGGGGATCCTATTGATACCAGCAGATTATATTTGTATTACATACACACTCCCCAATCTCACCGCTTCCGTGTGCCTCCGTGCTGCTCCTCCTTGAGCCGGTTGATGAGCACGCCTGCGCATGCAACGAGGGCGTCCCTCTCCTCGCGCTCGGCAAATGCACAGCCAGCCCACCGAATCTTGACGTCGGGCCCGACGAGAAAGGAGTAGCCGACGTGCTTGTTGCTGAGCCCGAGGTCGGGCCGCTCCATCTCCATGTTCTGGTTCGAGAGCAGGTAGGTCGACTGGAGCGCCTCTGGGATGCTCTTTCGCAGGCTGGAGAGAAAGAGACCGACGAGGTACGCCTTGAGGCTGTTTTCTTGCAGGTTGATCTGGACCCATTGGAAGTGTCCGCTGGTTTTTCGACTGCTGCTGCTACTACTATTCCCTGCGCTGCCTGCGAGGCCGGGATAGTAGAGAGGCAGGAGGGCCTCTGCAAAGGACTTGGCGTGCTGCTCCGACACCTGGCTGCCCATGATGCTCACGAGCGAGACTCTGCCCTGGAGCATGTCCGTCGTGTGCACGCTGGCCTTGTCCGAGAGCCGGGTGCCCTGGACGTCGGGAAAGAAGCGTGCGCGGTCCTGGCGGATCAGCGTCGCGGGCGCGCGCCACGTCTTGCCGCCATGGCTCTGCATGGCGTGAAAATCGTGAAAGTACCCACGCGTGGCTTGCTGTACGATGATCTTGCGCTTCTCCATCCGACGGTCATAGTCGAGCGCCATCTCGCGCCGCTCGGCCCAGGTGCGCTTCTTGGACGACGGCGCCTGTGCGACGCCAAGTGGCCGCGCAAGCAGGGGCAGCGGCTTCCGGTCCTTTTCGGCATACACTTGCGAGAGCGACGTGGTGAACGACGGCGGTGGCTCGTCACCGCCCTCTGACAGGGGCCCTGCATCGGAGCGTGGCGGTGCGGGCGACGGAGCCTTGGAAGAAGAAGAGGCTGAGGAAGAGGTAGAAGCTTCCTTTGAGCTCGGTGGTAGACCATCGGCAAGACGGCTCGGCGAGGCGTGCAGCAGACGGCGAGACGAGGACGCTGCAGCGCACTTTATCCCGGCATGGCCCGCGTCAAGCTTCAGCGCTCTGAAGCTTGAGGTTGCAGCCCGCATGCTTTGCATCCTTGTGTCTCAGCTTGTCGTGTCGTCGTCGACCACGACAAAATGGATGGGAAGGAAAGCAGCGATCAGGCTAAAAAGAGAGAAGAAACAAAAACTCAAAATCGCCGACTTTCTCAAAGACGCGCGCGCTTTCTTTCTCAGGCTTCCTCTTCCCATCTCATTGCCCTCGTAGCAATGGCAATATGATGGTCGTGCTCGACTTCACGTCAAGCCCACTCAGACTTCAGACTGTTCAAATGCTGATTGGTGGAGTGACAGGCGACTGATGATTTCGCAAGGGATATGCAGGAAGAGCAATTCACCTGCTAAAGTCGTAGACCTGGGAAGAGGACGGGTAGAATCAGAGGATGGTTCCGCACAGCAGACTTCAGAGTTGCCCACCTTCTTGCCATAGTATCCGAGCGCAAGGGTGCTCGCAGCAGAAAGGCCAGCGGGGACAGGTCCCTTGGCGACACGGGGCAGGCTGCTGGCGAGCAAGATGGCGCTCGCAGCCGCGGCGACCTCGTAGCCATAGTCGTGGCCCTGACGAATCCGGTAGCCTGCAGTGGCGTACAGTGCACCGACACCAAGACCGGCCACGATGGAGGGGACACTGCGTGTCTTGGCAAAGCCGATGGCGCCGCCAACGGCGCACAGCGCAGCCATGGTGAAAGCTATCGAGCGTGAATCAGCGAGCTGCAGGGCGCAAGCAAATGGGCGCAGTAGCAATCCTGCATACCTGGGTGTTCAGACTGAACACATTGAGAGATCAGCTCAGGGTCCTTCGTCTCGTCTCCTCGACATGTAAGAGCTGTCTGTACCACTCACCATCTTGAGTGGTTGCAACGTAAGGTAGTCTTGCACGTCGGTTGGTGCGCACGACGTCGACTACCGGTACTGCTTGCCTGGCCCATGCGAAGAAGCTCACGTGAGAAAGATAAATTCCACGTGTTGAAATCTGATGGCGGAAAAAGACCAGCTCTGCGGATGCAGCAAGACTGAAAAAGTGCCTACGGACGGGTTGAGCCGGCTTCGCCTGGGCGGGCGCCAGCAGCTAGGCGAGCGAGGGCCTGCCGTCACGTTTCTTCTCTTTCCTTCGCTTCTCCCTTTGCCTCTTTCTCCTTTCCCGTCCTCCCTTCTCCTTCCCTGTAGCCCCCCTTCACCATGCAGGTTCCTTTCCGCGCTGCTCTGCGCACCGCCTCGCGCGTGTCGCCAGCATCGGCTCTCCGGCCCCAGGTGGCTCGGTCGGCGGCCGCCTTCCAGCCTCGCCCCTTCTCGTCCTCGGCTAGCCTCTCGGCCCTCCACGGTCAGATCCAGGCCGTCGTTGGCCCAGTCGTCGACTGCCACTTCCCCGACGCTGACAAGCTCCCCGCTATTCTCAACGCCATCGACGTTGACCTGCCCGAGGGATCGTCGCGCCTCGTTCTCGAGGTCGCTCAGCACCTGGGTGAAAACACGGTCCGGTAAGTTGCGATAGAGGAAGAAAGAAAAAAAAATCAAGAACACGCACAAGCATGCTCACATGGGTCTCGCTGCTTTGACAGAACCATTGCCATGGACGGTACCGAGGGTCTCGTCCGTGGACAGAAGGTCACCGACTCGGGCCTGCCCATCCAGATCCCCGTCGGCCCTGGCACGCTCGGCCGTATCATGAACGTCATCGGTGACGGCATCGACGAGCGCGGACCCATCAAGGGCAAGAAATTCGCGCCCATCCACGCCGAGCCCCCGGAGTTCATCGAGCAGTCGACCGAGGCCGAGGTTCTCGAGACGGGTATCAAGGTCGTCGACCTCCTCGCCCCCTACGCCCGTGGTGGAAAGATTGGTCTGTTCGGTGGTGCCGGTGTCGGCAAGACTGTGCTCATTCAGGAGCTCATCAACAACATCGCCAAGGCCCACGGTGGTGTCTCGGTCTTCACCGGTGTCGGCGAGCGCACGCGTGAGGGAAATGACCTGTACCACGAAATGATCGAGACGGGTGTCATCAACCTCGATGGCGAGTCCAAGGTCGCCCTCGTGTTCGGTCAGATGAACGAGCCCCCGGGAGCCCGTGCCCGTGTCGCCCTGACTGGTCTCACCATCGCCGAGTACTTCCGTGACGAGGAGGGACAGGACGTGCTTCTCTTCATCGACAACATTTTCCGCTTCACCCAGGCCGGTTCCGAGACGTCGGCTCTCCTCGGTCGTATTCCCTCGGCTGTCGGTTACCAGCCCACGCTTTCGACTGACATGGGTGCCATGCAGGGTGAGTTTTTCGAATTGTCTACCGTGGTACAGTCTTTTCTCCCTTTTCACTGTTGCTGACTTTCCCCTCCTCGGTTCAGAGCGAATTACCACGACCAAGAAGGGATCCATTACCTCGGTCCAGGCCGTCTACGTGCCCGCCGATGACTTGACTGACCCTGCCCCCGCCACCACCTTCGCCCACCTGGACGCCACCACCTCGCTCTCGCGTGGTATTGCCGAGCTGGGTATCTACCCCGCCGTCGACCCCCTCGACTCCAAGTCGCGAATGCTTGACCCCGCGATCGTCGGCCACGAGCACTACAACGTCGCCACGGGCGTCCAGAAGCTGCTCCAGGACTACAAGTCGCTCCAGGACATCATTGCCATTCTGGGTATGGACGAGCTGAGCGAGGAGGACAAGCTCACCGTCGAGAGGGCCCGAAAGATGCAGAGGTTCATGAGCCAGCCTTTCGCCGTCGCCCAGGTCTTCACGGGTATCGAGGGCCGCCTCGTCTCGCTCAAGGACACTGTCCAGGCGTGCAAGGAGATCCTTGCCGGCCAGCACGATTCGCTGCCCGAGGGTGCCTTCTACATGGTTGGTGGCATTGACGAGGCCAAGGAGAAGGCCCAGAAGATTGCCTCGGGCAACTAAATGTCGTTAGATACAAAACAACCACACACACACACTCAATTGACTTGGACGAAATGTTAACATAAGCAAGGAGGTTGTACCGTACCGTTCTGATCTGTGCGTGCCTGTTGTGTTTTGTGACATCGAAGCGGAGATCGCATCGGATGAAGAAGACCGAGGAGGGCTGGGCTTGCACTGCTTTTGTTTCTCACGTGTGGTGTTTTTCTAAGAAAGAGCCCAAACAAGCTCTAGCTGCTCGCTCGTTCGCGTTTTTACCCAGACAAGGCGCGCGGCGGAAAAAGGGATCGAGGACCACACACACACGACCAGGAACCATGGTGTCTACCCGGAGCGACTCGTCGGCATCTTCGTCCATGACGGCCAGCTCGCCCGTGCCCTCGTCTCTGTCGGCGCTGAACCCGCCGCCGAGGTCGTCGGCTTCCACCTCCAACGGCCATGCCGCTGCGAGCCACACGGCGGCTGGTACAGACGCTGCGTCACAGAAAAAGGCCGCCGCTGACAGTCGACCCTCGTTTGGGATGCGCGCCCGGTCGGCATCGCTCCAGAAGGGCGCGGCCGTGCTCAAGGCTCTGGCGCGTGCGCCAGAGGATCCAGATTACGAAGTCGATGATGAAGACGGGACAGGGGCGGACAAGAACGAAAGAGACAGTGGCTACGCAGATGAGGTGGGCGAGGCCGACGTGGGTCGCGTGCCGGGGCCCGGGAACGGCAGGGCAATGACAGACAAGGAAGACGAGGAGGAGGCTGGGCTCAGCGAGGAGGCCAAGCAGGCCGGGAGAGCGAACCGCGAGGGGCTCAGACGGCGCGGTGAACAGAGGCAGGTGGAGAAGCTCGTGGGGAAACGATCCAAGTCGTCCACCTCGTCGATTCCCAAGAGGCCATCGGCCTCCAAGACGGGCAGCCACCAGTCGTCAAAGTCATGGGAGATTCCCCGCAAGATCTTTCACAGCAGCATTGGTTTCCTCGTCCTCTATCTATACCTGAGCCACACGGATCTGAGCCTCATCGTGCGCAACCTCGCCATCTTCCTGGGCATCGTCATCACGGCCGATGTGCTCCGGCTCAACATTCCCTGGTTCGAGGGCGTGTACGAAAAGGTGCTCGGGTTTCTCATGCGAGAGGCCGAAAAGGAAAAGGTCAACGGAGTCGTCTGGTACCTCGTCGGCGTCATTACATGCTTGCACTTGTACCCGGCGGACATCGCCTGCGTTTCGATCATGATGTGAGTTGCAGCCGAAGTTGCGTAGAAGGTATAGCGACTGACACATGATCACGACGAGCAGTCTCTCATGGGCCGACACATCTGCCTCCGTCTTTGGGCGTCTCTATGGCTCCAAGACGCCCCCACTTCCGTCGCCACCTTTTGCGACCCGCAAGAGCACCGCGGGTTTCCTTGCTGCCATCGTCGCAGGCACCTTGACCGCCGCCGTCTTTTGGGCAACGCCCATCGCGTCTTCGGGCATGCGAGCCGAGGGGCTCTCCATCGCCCATGATCCTACTGCCTCGGTGCGGCACGCCGTCCTGGGCACCTCTATCGCGCCTGGAAAGACCGGCACAGGGTGGACAGGGTGGGACTGGGGCTTCCGGCCCTCTGCCCCGGAGAAGTTCCTCGCCTTTTCTTCCTCTTCGCTGCGTGCTGGCGGGCTCAGCAGAATCATTCCTAAAAACATCGGCGCGTCAACGAGCGGCGTCATGGCTCTGCCCATTCCTCTCCTCTGCCTCGCCAGCGGCATTGTTGCAGGTGTGGCGGAGGGCTTGGAGCTGGGCGGCGTGGACGACAATCTCAGCCTTCCCATCCTCAGTGCCATGGGCATCCATGCCACACTCGTCTCGTGGGGTTGGTTCGCGTCAACCTTCCTTCGATGACGACATACACCATCTCCCCTCACACAACCACAAGAAACAGTCTTAACAGATTCTCTCTTCTTACCCTTTTCGTACCTCCTTGGAAGACAAACACTTCCTAACAAGTTCTTTACCCCTTCTTTCCTCTGCACACCTCGGCGCGAGCGCCTTTCCTCTTCTTCTTCCTTTCCTTTCAATTTGTGCGCGATAGAATCTTCCTATCCAAGAAGAACAAATGATGAAACCAAAAGACATTTGCCCCCATCCCCTCGATGGTTACTTTGCCTCGAGGTCTTTCCAGAATGCTGCTGGTTCCTTGCCCTGCTTGACGGTGGCCAATGGCGTAAGGTGGGCCTGCGCTTCGACCTGCTGATCTTCGAGGCTGCGCACATAGGCTTGCCCGACCTTGATCCACATTGCTATTTTTCATGGAACGCACAAGGGTAAGTACTATGGAAGGGACAGATACGATGGAGAAGGGAATATAGAAGGACTCACATTTCTCGGCTTTGCTCGCTTGAGAGCCTTGCCAGACCCAAATCTTTTCCAGAGAGAAACGATGGTGAGCTGAAATGGGAATTCAGAAGGGAACATGACAAAGCGACTCACATGCAGGCCCGTGTCCACTTCAATTACACATCGTCACAAGCAGTGTCTCGCAATTGTCAGAGAAGCCCCCTAAAAAGCATAGATGTAACAGAGACAAAGACTCACAGAGGAAGACGTCGTTGCCGTCAAGGTCAGATCGCTGGATCTCGTTACCGTTCCTGACGAGATCGAACAGAAGCTGGCCGCTTGCATCGCTAAGTCTATACAGCCTCCGAGGTCGCCTAAGAGCAGAGTCAGAAGCCAAGGCCGATGTCGCACTGGTAGGATGGGGCGTCTGGGAGGTTGTGATGGGAGGTGTGTTGACGTCGCCGCCAAGCTGCTCGATGATGAGGTGCGAGCGGGAGTCGGTTTGTGCTGTTAGGGGCGCTTGTGAGTATGTGCGCGATGGCTTTAGAAAGGACAAAGGGGATCGACATACCCAGGACCTCGGTGTCAATCTTCTTCTCCAAGGTCATATCATGTACAACCTCTGCTGCCTTTGCCTTTTCGATCCTGTAGTTGTGTAAAGGTCAGCGCACAAGCCTTACTTTCCCAGCCGCAGAAGAGACAAGAGGCTCACGGACTGCATTTGCGGCCCTGCCAGACCCAGATCTTCTCGCCTTGGTCGATAATGAAGACGTCGTCTTCGTCGAGGCTCTTCCATGTCGGCTCTACCTCGTAAACCATCGTTGCTGTCCTGCCCGATGGCGTCTGACCTTGGGGAGCCTTGACGACGCGGAAAAGTCGAAGAACACTCTCCGGCTTCTTTGCCTCAACATGAGTGAAGCCAGATCGCACACCCCCAGACAGGATTGTGATTCTTGGGAACAGACGGAGAAAGTCGCTCGAGGGCTGAGCCTGCAACTCTCGATGCTGCGTCGCCGCACCCTTGAGAAACTCGTCGAGCTCCACCGTCTTGTAGGCTGCGGTGCCTGCTTCGTCCTGCGAAGTCTTGCTGCCAAGCCAGAAGAAAATGTCGTGGGAGAGCTCTTCTTGTTGGCCGACCTTGTAGGATCGGAGGACGATGTAGCTGTCCCCTTCGTAAAAGTCGCCAACCCTCTGACGAGGCCAGGGCACCACTTGAAAGTCTTCGATGCGCCAGACAAAGAGGCCATCGACTTTGCCGATGGTACCGTTATTCCATGCCGGCTCGGTCGAGGCAGACTATCAAGCTGTTTATTAAGCAAGCAAGGAGTGGTGAAATCAGGAGGGGAGCTCACCTTGTATTTGACCTTATGGTCGAGGTCTGAGCCGATCAGCTCGACGTTGCTGTCCTTGACGCTGCAAGCGCGAGCCATTCTTTGAGTATTTACGAAGGCATACTCTTCGTCCTTTCTCACTCACTCGTACGTCTTGAGATGTGTAAGTCCTTCGTGAGGGGTCGTCATTGCGCTGGATCGAGGTTTCGAGGTGTCGAAGTGGTGAGGTGAGAAGACACCAGGCTGGCTGCACGGACCGCCAAAAAGTAAGTTCTCGTGTTCCCGAGGGGCCAAAATTGCACAGCCCTAAGTCTTATTTCACAGCACACACGCAAAGAATGGTCAAACTGGACGCCAAAAATAGGTCTTACTGGGATTCGAACCCAGGTTGTTGGTAGATGAGCCTTACTGTGTTTTTGTTTCAAAAACCAACGTCTTAAACCGCTGGACGATAAGACCCTCATCGCGGATAATCTGCACCTCGTGCTGTATGTATACTTGCGAGCTTTTGTGGACGCTTTGTTTGCCAAGCCACGACTTGAGTTGGTCTTTTTGGAAACAGAGAGTTTAAAAAATTAGGGGGCCAAAAGGCAGTGCTCTCGGCGGCATTGCGCGCGACATCAAGGCGTGTCGCTTGTTCCATTCTTCCTTCCATCACTATCATCACCCTATCAACACCCTATCAACACCCAACAAGAACACAACGAAAACACAGCTGTCCTTTTGAAACACCCGGATAGTCTTGGATAGAACATGGCGCCGGCGCCTGCATCTCCCCTCTTCGACGAAATGTCGTCGTCGGCGTCTTTGTTATTGGCAAAGCGCGCCGACGAATCGCGAATCGACCCAACGGCCGACCAGAGGACGCTCATCATCGTCGCGTGCGTCTATGCCGTCGTGATCGTGCTCTTGTGGAACATCCCCTACCTCAAGATGATCATCTACCCATTCAAGCTCCTCACCGTCGGCTTTCACGAGTTCGGACACGCGTTCATGGGTGTGCTGACGTGCGCACACATTGAATCGATCCATCTTGACCCCAACGAGGGCGGCGCGACCCGCATGCGAGGCGGAATTCCCTGGCTGACGCTACCCGCCGGCTACCTCGGCTCGTCGCTGATTGGGGCCGCCATGATTGCCACGTCTTTCGACATTCGGGCCGCAAAGGTCATGACTCTCATCATTGCCGTCTTCTTCCTCCTGACCCTGTGGTGGGCGAGAAAGGATTGGCTCACATGGGTCCTCTTGCTCTGCATGGCTGGCTTGATTGTCGCTTTCTGGTTCATCGCCCACGGCGTCGCTCTCCAGTACCTCGTCCTCTTCATCGGTGTCATGTCGTGCTTGTACTCTGGTGAGTGAATGCCCGCTCCCACGCCTTACTTTCCCTTCCTCTCTCCCTCTCGATCAGACGACGCTGACATTTCTTGCCCACGAACCAGTGTGGGACATCTGCGACGATCTCATCTTCCGCAAAGTCAACGAGTCCGATGCCACGGCCTTTGCCAAGGTCGTCGGCTGCTGCCCTCCGCAGGTCTGGGGCGTCTTCTGGCTCGCCATCTCCCTCGTCTTTTTCGCAGCGGGCATCATCATCGGAATCGTGAGTTGTCTTGCTGCGCGTTTTCTTGTCTCTCAGAAAGGTCAGATTGCTCACCCGCTCTCGATTCTCTCCATCAGGTCGCCTTCAAGACGCCGCTCAAGCAGCAGCAGGCCGACAAGTTCCTTGACACTTAAAGCGGCCTCTCTTGTCCCTAAGAAAGAGAGGATCGATATTTACCCCATGTATCACAACAGAACAGCAAAGACTTCATCAGATCGGACAATTTACATTCATCTCTTCTTCGCATCCCAGCTCTGCATCAAGCAAGGCGTGGTGACTCTATTCTGGTGCCTGAAACAGCGGCTTGAAACAATAAGGATAGGCGGTGTCATTTTTGTGTTGTAGGACTATACGATGGTCATGGACAGCGTACGAGATGATGGAATGGACATAGTACAAAAGGAACGCTTGCGCTTTTCGTCTGCTCTTCTCTTCTCCTCTGTTTGGCGCCCGTCGCCCTGCTTCACTTTTCGTCGGTCTCGATCTCTTCAATTCATTCACACACACTCTCCTTTCTCGTCTGAGCTTCGAAGCTCCGGCGCTCAAGTCCGGAGCGCTTATGCGGAGGGGCAGTCCGCACGGATGCTGTCAAGGAAAATGGGTGAGCTAGTGAGCGGCAGAAGAAGTATTGCTAGGATAACCCACTGGTCCGCCGAGCCGCAGTTGTAGCAGGCACGCTGGCTAGGCTTGGAGCACTCGCGGGACTGACGGAGGAAGGACAGGTCAGCTCCACAGCCGGGCTCGTTGTATTTGCGTGTCAAGCACTTACAATGTGTCCCGCCTCGCCACAGTTCTGTGAATGTCACCGTTAGCTGACGCACGGAGGATTACACTAAGGATTTGGACTCACGTAGCACTTCTGGCCGCTGCCTCCAAAGGCACCGCCACCGCCTCCACCGCCCTGAGGGCAGTCCCGGCTCAGGTGGCCGACCTCGTTGCACGTCTGAAGCAGGGAGAGAGCCAATGGTCTGAGCAGATGTGCAATATAAGTAGGTACGGTGTTCTTCATCGACTCACGTAGCAAGCACGTCCACCACCGCCACCACGGCTGTTTCCACCGAAGGCAGCGTAGCCGCCAGTGGGGCAGTCGCGCGAGAGATGTCCCGCTGTAAGGTAAGGATAGGGATCAGGGCGGTGCGATCAATTATCCAAGTAAACAAGTCCCACTCACGCTCGCCACAGTTGTAGCACGAGCGGCCGCCGCCAGTTCCACTAGCTCCGAAGGCACCGGCGTCGGGGCAGTCGCGCGACTAATGTCAAAGGGTTTAGCCGACAGCTGAAAGATGAACAAGGTGGAATTTCGCTCCAACTCACAATGTGGCCGGCTTGGCCGCACTTGTAGCAGGTCCTCGCACCGCCTCCAGCACCGCCGCTGGGCGCCTGGTCGCAGTCCCTGGACTACAGGTCAAGAGAGACGGAGGTCAGCTCCCTCTTCTTGTCATCCTGTCATTTCACCGCTTTTTTACTCACCATATGACCCGGCTGTCCGCAGTCTAGTCGCGCAGTATGTCAGCTCAACGCATCTCCGAAGAGCCAAGGCACTCAGCACCCAAGAACTTACTGTAGCTGTAGTAAGGCATATGTCAGCTCACCTCTCGTGGCCGCAAAGTTCAAATGGAACTCACCAGGTAGGCCCAGCGCTGCTGGGGCCATTCGGGCAGTCGGCAGCCCTGTGTCCCTCTGATCAAAACATCCCCAAGAGCAGAAGGGTCCTTGTCAGCCACGCCGCCGACAAGCACAAAGAAAGTTCCAAAGCCGCCCGCGCCTCCTGGTTCACACACGAGATGGAGGCGCAGGCAATGACGCTCAGAGATGGAGAGAGAGACACTCACCCTGGTTGCACGAGTAGCAGGCATTGGACCTGCCGTTGGATTGGAACTGTGTGGGCAACAAGGAAAAAAGGGAGGGCAAGGCGTCACACGACATCAAGGGCGCAGGCGTAAGCAAGCGCGCCCGTCTTCAATGCATCTGGCACTCATTCGAGTCTGTAAGCTCCGGCTGATGCTCACAGCCATGTTTTGATTCAGTCTTGCTTTGTGGTAAAGAACGACGATTGATATGTTCTTGCGATTCGGTGTATTCCGATTCGAGCGGGGTCGAAGAAAATGGGAAGAAAGGTGGGTGGTGGGATGTTCTAAAACAAAGCGCGCGACGGCGGTCGACTGCCTGCACGTCGAAAAAAAAAGACACGGGAAAAGTTTTCTTTTCACACGTGTGCGCGCTTGCTTCACCGCCACCTCTGCCCACCGCCCTGCGCCGCCGTGCGCCTTGGACAAGAGACCAAGGTTGCTGGGCGCGCAGCAGGCGATGGCTACTGTGATGAGGGCGCACACGCCGTCTTCTTGGCTACTCTCCCTTTGCTAGGCTACATAAAGAGCTCTGAATCGCACGAAATTCCACTTTCCTTCAGCTGTGCTCACCTCTCCTTCTCCTCCCTTGGCCCTCTCGTTCCCCTTCTCATTTCGTTCCCGTGCGGCTGGTCCGCACACTTCCTGCCGACTCGACATTCACTTTCATATTTCTTTCTTTTAAAGTCTCAAGATGCAGATCACGAGGCCGTTCGTATTGCTGCTCGCCATCGCGATTGGCTCCGTTTCCCAGGCCAGCGGCGCTCCCACGGTTCGGTGAGTAGGATTTATGGCGATTCTCGCCAGACTCGCATGTTCACACACTTTGCCATTTGCACAGGCCTCTGACCCGAAGACAAGAAGTCGAGCTGGAACTTGGCGATGGGCAAATGATTGAGGTCGATACGGCTACAGATATGCCCCGGATCACAATCACCGACGATGACGGCGAAATTGTTCAGAGCTACAGCGGTGGAGGGTCGCTGCGCAAGCCGACAGCTCCGACATGCAGCGTTGATGACCTCCTTGTCCCTTGCGAAAGTTTGCTCGCGGGTAGCGACGCATCCACCTTCGTCCACGGCGGTGTTAACGAAAACAACTTCGATTACGGTGCCGGAGAGCTCGGCGAAGGCCTTCGCCACGATCCTCTCCTTGGTTTATCTCAAGCATATGACATTTCGTCGCAGGCAGACGTCTCCTTCGGATCTTCAATACAGGTACCTTCTCCCCCTTCGATAGGGACCTACAAAGCACCGATGATTGGAGGCGGGCAATTTCACGATGGCACCTTTACGCCCTTACAAATGACTGGGCCTCAGCCGACCAACAACGTCATCGCACCTCCTCGACCTCCTCTCACCTACAGCTCTCAACCAATGGGACCAGAACCTCATGCGCCTCCGCCTGCTGTGGCTCCTCCCGCAATCCAGAATCAGACACTGCCACTGTCGAATCCGGACAACGGCATCATTTTGACACAAAGCAACGGTGTGCAAGGTACTGTCAACAACACGGTCCCTCCTCAGCAGCTGCCAGAGAACATGGGCAAAGGACCCGAACAAGCAGACGACAAGAAGCCCGGGGAACTGAAGCCCGAAGACAGCAAGCCAGAAGAGGGACCAAAGCCGGAGGAACCCAAGCCAGAGGGGCCCAAACCTGAAGGAAGCAAGCCCGAAGAGAAGAAACCGGACGAACCCAAGCCAGAAGAGAAGAAACCCGACGAACCCAAGCCAGAAGAGAAGAAACCCGACGAACCCAAGCCCGATGACAAGAAGCCGGACGAGCCCAAGCCCGACGACAAGAAGCCCGAGGGGAATGATCCCGACGAAAAGAAGGGCGTCGGGGCACCTCCGCCTCCCCCACCTCCTCCCCCGCCGCCGCCACCACCACCGGCCACAGCACCCCCTGCCGAAAAGAAACAAAAACGCAGCATAGCGACTGGCCAGGACGGCAGCGCTCGCCCCAGCTTTTTCCGACGATGGTTGCCCAGTGACTTCTCCTCGGATTATGTCAACCGCGACTACATTTCTCGAGGATTTTTCGGACGGCGCGACTTGGAACCTCGCTGCGCGGAGTGTGATGCCAAGAAAGCAAAGCAGGAAGCGCTGACAGTAGGAGGTGCAGGAACAGGCAGCAACCTCAAGCACGACGAGCCAAAAGTCACGGAGCAATGGCCGATGGAGACAACCAGCAACCAGAATAATGTTGCGCTGGACGCCAGCAGGGCGACGGACAAGGTCTTCCCCTACCTTGCTGTGTCCAAGGCTCCCAAGGAGTTGGCTCTGGCAACCCAACCGTTGGTCAACACCGTCAAGAATGCAGATGGCGCCAGCCACATTACGGCCATCATTGAGCCCATTGTGATTCCTGTCCCCGAAAAAGCATTCGACGAGCTCGGTGGCGGCGCTTATGTCCTTCACACGCCCGGAGACTCGCTCGACGAGGCGATTAAGAATGCCTCTCTGTCGCTCAACAACGCCTCTTTGACCCTCAACAACGCCGCACAGAAGACCATCGACGACACCAAACTTGCGGCTAGTCAGTTTAGTGCAGCTGCGCTCAACAATGCCGACTTCAGAGGGAGCGGAGATGTCGGCGTCGGGGAGGAGGAGGAGCTCAAGGAGCCCAAGGGCAAGAAGCAAATTGGCGCAATACCCCCGGTGCCTGGCCATCGCAAGCGCTTTATCTACAAGAGGTCGCCAGCGCTGGGTGGCGCGAGCGACAGCACCGGCAACGCCGACTCGTCTACGCCGTTGGAGCGAGGTCTACAGAAGCGAATCGGGGACACGGATATGCCCAAGGATGACAAGGACAAGAGGGAGATGGATGGAGAGACCCCAGAGCCAGGTCCAAGCAAGCGCTTCATCTACAAGAGGTCGCCAGCGCTGGGTGGCGAGGGCAGCAGTGGCACCGGCGGCGCACCTATGCCGTCGGAACGAAGTCTTGGAAATTGGATGGAGGATGTGGAGCCTCAGGGGCCCAAGGATAAAAGGGGCGCGGGGCAGACGGGCGATGACCCCAGGGGGCCTCGTCAAAGCAAGCGCTCCATCTACAAGAGGTCACCAGCGCTGGGCGACGCGAGCGACAGCAGCGGCAACACCCGCTCATCCACGCCGTTGGAAAGGAGTCTGGAGAAGCGGATCGGGCAGGTGGAGGAGCCAAAGGGGCCCAAGGATAAAAGAGACCCGGGACAGGGTGACAATGACTCCACGGGGCCAGACCCAAGCAAGCGCTCCATCTACAAGAGGTCGCCACAAAGCGAGGGCACCCGCACCGGCCCATCTTCGCCGGTGGAACGAAGTCTGGAGAAGCGAGTTGGGGAGTTGGAGGGGCCCAAGGGGCCCAAGGACAAAAGAGGCGCGGGGCAGGGGGACGATGACTCCACGGGGCCTAGCGAAAGCAAGCGCTCCATCTACAAGAGATCGCCACAAAGCGAGGGCACCCGCCCCGGCTCACTCCCGCCGTTGGGACGAAGTCTGGAGAAGCGGGTCAGGGAGTTGGAGGAGCCCAGGCATGAAAGGGAAAAGAGGCACACGGAAGATCCCCCCAGGGCGCCTAGCGAAAGCAAGCGCCTCATCAACAAGAGGTCGCCACAAGGCGAGGGCGCCGGCTTCGGCTCACTCTCGCCTTTGAAACGAAGTCTGGAAGAGGCGGTAGGCGAGAGACGACATGCCCGACGACACTTCATTACACGCAGGTCGGAGATCCGTTCGCGCGCCGTGGCACCTAGTCCTGCCCCAGGTTGGTATCGTAGAGATAATGCTCAGGACGATCACGACGACCTCTTCAGGCATGGTCCTGCTGTTCCTCTCAACGTGACAAAATCAGCGACTGCTAAGGGGGCCAAGGGTGGGAAGAAGGTGTTGGGCGACGATGACATGGATGGGGATGGGGTCCATGATGATCTCGACGATAGGTACCAGGGCTATCTGCCTATTGCTAACAAGAGCGTAACGCAGTATGTCCCTCCCAGCAGTAAGTGTTGTACAATAGTCGTCGTGGAGAGTCGTGGCCTCTTTTCTCTTTTTACTTTCTCCAGTTCTTTCCATGGCTGTCTGCCGAGCTTCTTCGCTGACCATCAATCTCAACATCAGCCTCGAGCGTCGGAAGGACGAACATGACCAACAACGGCAGCGGCAAGCTCGTCTACGGTCACAAGGTCACAGCCAATGGAGGCACCACAACTTTCGCTCGGGCGGCCATCACGTCAACAGTCCTTGCTGCCCTTATCGGCATTGGTGTCTTTGCGCTGCTGTAGACAAGAGCCAATTCCAATATGAGAAGAATGTTCACTCTCGCCCTGTCGACTGCACTGTGCTGCGTGTAATTTGTTCAGATCGGCTGATCGGCCAAGCCATTAGACTAATCTGCACCCTTACATTCGTGCAGGTGGAGGTACCTGTCTTTGACATCATAGCTTCGAGGCCCGTATCGCATTGCGCTATTAGTTTTGCCGCTCTTGGGCCTCTCCGTGTGCAAAGGCCCTGATCTCTTCTCTTCCCTCACGTCCTTGATCATTCCTCACAAGTGGATCAACGATTGAGAGAAGAGCATGGCCACAGACACAGGAGAGCAAGAGGCGGGGGCGCAGCCGCCTGTGCAGTCATCGCTGACGGCCAAAGTGCTCGGAGATGCCTCTGCCCACGCCGAGGCGGACCCTGAACAGGTCGAAGGTTCACGCAAGGACCTGCCCAAGGCCGAAGTGGTGCCTGAGCACGTCAAAGCCATCCCTGCCGCCAATGCCGACGAGGTCCCGCGTGTGGCCGATGGAGACGAGGAGCGCGCGACCGATCCTGGCGTGACGGACCTGGGCTGGTCAGAGGACCCCAAGATTCCCATTCCTGTCCTGCACGGCCTGAAGAACGAGGACGTATGGCAGCTGGTCCGGCGCTTCAATAAGCAAGTCTACCATCTGAAGGCGCTCAAGCCCGACGAAGAGCCACAGGGCGGCATCGACCTCAACATTGCCGACAAGGACGAGTTCACGCCCGACAAGCTCCGTTCCACCCTCGAGCGCCTCTACATGACAATCGGCCTTGGCATGGCAGCTTTCTTCAAGCACATCGCGAGGATCCGATCGTGGAAAGAATACAAGCGCACGATCTTCTTCCTCGCCCTCTATTCGGTGGCCTGGTTGCTCAACTACCCCATGACGCTCCTCTTCACGCTCCTTACGGTGCTTCTGGCCAGCCCACGCGGGAGGCGTATCCTCTTTCCCCCTGCACCGTTGGCGGCCATCTCGGCCAAGACGGGTGCGGCAAGGGTTCCCAAGGCTGGGCACCTGGGAAGTGAGAGCCTGACAGGCGCTGCGGAGAGCTACAAGGGAGAGGCCGTCGAGCAAGAGGCGTCCAACATTGTCGGTTCCGTCGCACACATGGCTGTCAGCACAGCTATCGGAAACGATTCCTCAAAAGTCCAGCAGCATGTGACCGACGACGATGACGACGATGACGGTGATGGCGCCGAAGACGAGAAGAGGAGCCCTGCAAAGCGAGAAGAGGAGGCCACGCCAGATCCGGCCGATATGGCCTTGGCGTCGAAGGATGCCCAGTCCAAGGTCAAGGGCGACAAAAAGCACGCTGACAACCAGAAGGACCACTCTGCCGATGCCGTACACCAATCCGTGTGGGAGGGCGCCCAGCCACTGCTTCACGCCCTCGAGGATGTGGCTGACACCTGGGAACGCTTCGGTAATGCGCTGTCACCCACGCCTCCCTTTGCGCAGCACCGGCCCCGGCTCTTTATTGCAGGCGCAGTCGCTGTGCCACTTCTTCTGGCCAGCTTGGTCGTGACCAACACGATGGTGTACAGGGGCACGACTTTTGGCTTGGGTTTTGCCTTTTTCGGACAGCCCCTCTTTGACCGGCTCAAAATCTCGGACGTGCGCAAGTGGCTCGATGAGAAGGTGCCTGACTGGCCTCGCTACCTCGAGCTCCGCAACTCGCTTCTCAAGGGTGTGCCCACGGATGCACAGCTGACGATGACACTCCTTCGCATTGGAGAAGCCAACAAGTCTCCCCTTCCACCCCCTCCGCCCGCTGTAAATGCACCGGTGCCGACGGCCAAAGAGGGACACGATATGTCGGAAGACGTCCCTCCCGAATACGAAGACGAGCTCAAGAAGGACCACGACGAGCAGCAGCAGCAGCAGCAACAACAAGAGGGTGCTGGAAAAGCGGTGCCCGACGAGTCATCCAAGAAAAAGAAGCCGTCCAGGCTACTGGGCTTCTTCAAGGGAACCGTCAAGGCCGGCACGAACACGGTTCTGGGCACCAATGCCGTCAAGGCCGAGGCTTTGCGGCTGGAAAATGCGCGCCGCAAAAAGGGTGTAGTGAAAAAGGATGTCTCGAGGGAGGCCGTCGGCGATGGTCCCACTTCCTTCCACGCGAGGCATCACGGTAAAAAGGGTCTCGTGCTGATCAGCACCACGAGTACGACACCCTGCGTGTCCTTTGAAAAGGCGTGGCCCGCCACGGCGAAAGCTGCACATGCGGCCTATGAAAAGGCCCTCGAGCAGTCACAGGACAAGGACGACGGAGAGGACGGAGAAACGCAGATGGTCAAGACGCTGAGGGAGACCGCCGAAAAGGCCCGTCCGACTGCGCACTTCAGCATCCTCGTCGATGACATTGTCTCGCTCAAGAAGCTGGGCGGCCTCGGGTGGAAGACGAAGCTCGTCGTTGGGTGGGCCCTGGAGTCTCAGGTCGCAGACGGCCTCGAGATTGAGACGACGGACGGAAAGAAACACGTCGTCACAGCGATGCCCAGGCGCGACGAGGTGTTTAACCGTCTTGCCAGCTTGGGAAAGGCTCACCAATGGGAGGCCTGGTGAATAATGTCCTTCTTGTGCAGATCCTTCCCTCTCTTTGCTTCTCAGCACATACTTTCGTTTGCAATTTCGTATTTTCGCATTTGTGCAATAGATGTGTTTTACAGACCGTCAGCCGCTGAATAGGTGTCAGCAATGACGATGCGCCAGAGCTTGGCAACGAGGGGCGGCGCTTCTTCCTCGAGGACCTGGAGCGAGCCCATTCTGATTAGCGAGGGTGTGGACCTAAGCTCGAGACTCGATGCACTCACTGGCTCAATGATGTTGACGAGGTCTCTCGATGTCGGCCTATTTCTCAGCTTCTTGACCAGCTCATCGACCATGTCCGGCACCGGCTCTCCCACGCTCTCAGTGATACCCTCATCGAGGAGCTTGCGATAGCTTCTCTCGACGGCGAGCTCATCAATGTGGTCCCATTTCGGCACCAATGCAAGGAGCTCGTTTTGGTCGGATGGAAGTCCCTCTTCCAACTTCGTACGTTTCTCTTGCCGAAGCGCGTCTTCCCGTTGCTGCTTCGAGATGTCGTCGTCGAGTTCAATCTTGGCCAGCCGACTTCGTCGTTTTCTGCCCTCTTCATCTTCGTCTTCTGCCTCGCCAAGCACGCCGGTCGTGGGTGCCGCCAAACCAGGACCTGGACCCGCGTTGGATGCACCGTCGAGCGCGGCAATTTTGTTGAGCTTGAGAGGTGCATGTGTCGTCGCGCCTGGCACAAGGATACCCGCAGCACGCTGTTGTTCCGCCAGCTCGGCCATCTCCTTCGCCTGCCTCTCGAGGAATCTTTCAGCCTCTATCCTTGCTTGTTCCTTTTCCTCTTCCTCCAACTTGGCGTCCTCCTCGTCCGCCTTGTTCTCTCGATCTCTGAGAGACGCTCTCATCCTCCTCCAGCGCGATCGGTCCGCGTAGAACATGTCCTGCGCCTCCTCCTTCTCCTGGTCCCACTCCGACAGGATCTTGCCAAGATGGCTTGCCTCCTTCTCTCTGCGCGCCTCTTCCGCCCTTTCTTTGCCCAACTCCCGCTCCCAGTGGCTCAGTCGCTGCCTTTCATGGTTGAGGTATCTTCGTTCGCTCTCCGCGCCCGCCCGCGCCGTCTCTTCCTTCTCTCGCTCTTTCCGCCGGGCCTCTTCGCGTTCGTCGCGTTCGTCCGGCCCGAGATTCCTCTCCTCGTCTCGATAATGCTGCTGGGACGAAGATGCGCCTACGAAGTCGACCGGTCTCAGGTAGCTCTGCTTGTCATTTGGCCCGCCCATGGACGAGTCCCCGCGCCCATTGGCGGCACCAGGGTCCCCTGCACCAGCCGGTCGCATCTTCTCCATCTTCTGGATCCTCTCCATCCGCTTTTTTTCCTCCTCTCGTGCCGCACTGGCCTGCCTGAACTTGTCGATCTCGCTCAGCACGCTGCCTCGATGCTCTTCAGGAAGCTCCTCGGGAGGCAGGTCTTTGAGGTGCGACGGCACGTCGTACGACGGCTTGGCTTCGGCCATGTGTGAATTGGCTGGGTCGGCCATCTGCGCAAGGATCGATTCGACCGATGCCCGTGCAGTCTGCTCCATCGACTCATCGCTCTGTACCAATTAGAAGCATCAGCAATTGCTCTTTTTCCCCCTCCTGAACCCCTTTGCTGAACTGGAAACCCACATCAGTCTGCACGCGTTCCTGTTCGTACTTGTCCAGGAACTGCCTCGTCTTCTCGTCCGCTCGGACAGTCAGCTTCTTCTTAGCGGCAGGATTGTCGACATTGGCTGCGCCTTGAGGCGGGAGCTCTTGACCAGTAAGCACCGCCAGGGCCCTCAGCACCGATTCTGGGTCGACAAATTCGGCGAACCCAAACGAAGCATTAACTCTTTTGAGCGACCTCAGCTGCCCGCAGGCCTGTGTTTCACTCGCGCATCAGTAACACTGGATCGAAGAGGGGCACTCATAGGCTACGCACCTGAAGAAGCTGATGGAGCCACATGTCGGACACGCCCGCGGAGATGGTGCCGATGAACAGGGTTGTATGCGCTGGGACACCGCCAGCGCTGCTCGGCATTGGACCAGCGGGGAGCTGGCCTTGTCCGCCTCCCATCATCATCGGCGGAGGTGGTCCTGAGGGTGAGCCAGCGCCCATCCCCATGTTCATCATATGGGGAGGAGGAGGAGCCCCATTTGGAGGCATCATCATCCCTCCTGCTGGAGGAGGTCCCCCGTATCCACCCATATTCGGTGGTGACTGAAATTGCTGCTGAGGAGGCGGGCCACCATACTGTGGCGGCACCTGTCCTCCTGCTCCGATGCCAGCTCGTTGAGGTGGGGGTCTAGGCGGCAAGGGCGCCATGTTCGGGTTGCCGGCATTCTGCCAATGCTGCCGGCCTGGGCCCGCTCCTCCCCCTGCTCCTCCTCCGCCGTTGTACATCTTCTAGCTCCCCGGCCTTGTCCACTGGAACTCGACAATGTCGCCTCGTCCCTTTGTGTCTCAATTGCTGCGAGTCGCCAGGCTAGAGGTGGAAGGAAAGAGTGGCAGTGGATGTCGAAGGTTGTGGCCGACTCTGTCAGCTGCACGTGAAGAGGATCCATTTTTTCTTTCTTTATTTTAGCAGTGCCTAGATTTGGGCAACAGCCGCTCATTGCCCCGTCTGGGCTTGTTTCTTGATCTTGTCGTGAGAATCGAGAGATTTCTTTCCAGCCAGCCTCTCGATCTGAAGACAATCATGTGCGTCTTGTGAGCGGATTGTCCGAAATCTCAAGGTCTGTCGCCTCTGCTTGCTTTGAAGACCTTGGGCAAATAGCAAGAGTCGTGAGTACCTCAATGGAAATTCTGAAAAGCGCGGGTTTGGCATACACTGGTTCGATTAGGAGCACGGAATTAAGGATCTGTGGAGGGAAGACGGTGCAACGAAGCACGGGTAGGCAGAGTGGTCATTCAAACACGCTTCCAACAACCTTTACCATCATAAGCAACATCCCCAGCAATGTCGTTCTCTTTGGCCGGTAAGCAATTCATCATCACGGGCGCTTCGCGCGGCATCGGTGCCGAAATTGCCTCGGCGGCCGCCGCCAACGGAGCCAAGGCCCTTGTGCTCGGGTACCAGTCCAATCGCGAATCAGTGGACAAGGTTATCAGCAAGCTCCAATCAGACAAGGCCACCTCGTCCACAGCTGTCCATGCCGTTCAAGGAAATCTTGTCGACCAGAAGTCCTGCTCCCAATTCATTGAGGCGGCCCTGAGTAAGTTGGAGGGCGGCAAAGTGGATGGCTTGATCCTGAGCGCTGGCGTCATGGATATGGTGTCCTTGGCCGACTCTACCGATGAGAACCTCGCTCGCCACTTTGGTAAGTGTGACTTCGACCGTGTGGGAATCGCAAGCAAAGTCCTCTCAGTCACTTACTCCCTTTCCCTCTCCAGACACCAACGTCAAGGGCACGCTGTTCACCATTCAAGCTGCTTTGCCCCACATTGTCAACGACGGCCGCATCGTCACCTTCAGCACGTCCGTCACCGTCTCGCCGCAGGCACTCGGACCAGGCTACCTGCAGTACACCATGTGCAAAGCAGCCATCGAGCAAATGGTCAGGGTCCTGCAGCGTGACCCGACGGTAGGCGGACCGGATCGCCGCATTGGAATCAATTGCGTCGCTCCAGGAGCTACAGCCACCGACCTCTTCCTCAACGGAAAGTCGGACGAGTTGATCAAGAAGATTGGCAGCCTGATGCCAGAAGGGCGCATCGGCCAGCCCGACGAGGTGGCACAAGCCGTCCTTTTCCTCTTGACGCCAGCGTCAAACTGGGTCAAGGGACAGCTGCTTCGCATTAATGGCGCACAGACGCTGTAAAGCCGGCACGCCGTGTGGTTTTGTCAATGACCAATCTATCTGGGTCCTTTCCGATTTCCCTCTTTGCGAAAATTTTAAATTTTTTGGTTCACTCCACTGCATCTTCCTGACCATTCCTGTTCGGTCGAAAGGTAAAAGTGTGGCGGAGGATGGAAGAGGGTCCGTCGCTGAGCAGCGCCCCTTCCTACGCTGGGGCGTGGACGAAGCTCGTCGGAAAAGGGCGCCAGGGCGGGCGGCTGCTTGAGCCATGGCTGGAGACGCACATCGTCTCGACGATGGGCTTTGCCCAAATGACGCCGGTCCAGGCCAGCACCATTCCTCAGTTCCTCTCTCATCGAGACGTCATCGTGGAGGCGGTCACGGGCTCCGGCAAGACGCTGGCATACGTCATCCCGACTCTGCAGATGCTCATTCGGAGGTGTGAGAGCCGTTCCGCCGTTGATGAGGAGATCGAAGGAGACAATGATGGAGAGATTGTTAGGACACGGAAACGGTCGTACAGGAAGGGTCAGGTGGGCGCTCTCGTCATCTGTCCGACACGAGAGCTGGCGCAGCAGGTCCATGGCGTCGTCAGTGACTTTTTGGCATTGCAACCAGGGGCAAAGCCAGTTGGTGAAGGAGAGGACGGGGAAGGCCAGGAAGAGAGCGGTGAGGCGGAGGAGGAGCCGATGATTTCTGGTGCTCTCCTGGCCATCGGAGGGACCAAATCGTCGCCAGCACACGATTACAAGCGATTCAAAGACGAAGGTGCAGACATCATCATCGGAACACCGGGAAGGGTGCAAGAGCTCCTCGAGAGGCCTGGCGTTGATGTCAAGGAGCTCGAGGTGTTGGTCCTTGACGAGGCCGATCGGTGAGTTCTTCATTCACAGTCGTCCTCTTTCCTTAGGCCGATCTTACTGATCGGACCACTGCAGCCTGCTGGACCTGGGATTCGCACCTCAAGTCACCTCCATTCTTCGAATGCTGCCCAAGCAGCGCCGGACAGGCCTCTTTTCGGCCACGATGACCGACGGCCTCACCGAGCTGGCTCGCGTCGGCCTGCGCAATCCTGTCCGCGTCGTTGTCAAGGTCGAGTCGCGCAACATCGCCTCTTCCAGTAGCAGCAACGACAAAAGGATGCCTGCATCTCTGCAGAACTTCTATCTCGTGTCCAGAACACAGGACAAGCTGGCTCAGCTCTTGCGGCTCCTGACTCGTGAGGCTTCGACTTCCAATGGCGGACAGCCAGCGATGAGGAAGGCAATCGTCTACTTTGCGACATGCGCCCAGGTCAACTACTTCTACAAGATCCTCACTCGCTTACAGGAAGAGGATCCAGACAGCTGCCCACTGCCGTCGAGCCTCAGGTTGTACTCGCTACACGGCAAGCAAACGCCCGCTCGCCGTACCGCCACTTTCGAAGCATTTGTCAATGCCAACCCCGTCGGCTCTTCCCCCCCCTCCTCTTTTTCAGCCGGATCGCAAGAGGCTGCCTCGATCCTCTTTTGCACCGACGTGGCCGCTCGCGGCCTGGACCTGCCCGATGTGGACCTGGTCGTCCAGTTCGATGCGCCGACGGACCCAAAGAGCTTTTCGCACCGATGTGGCAGGACTGCGCGCGCGGGCCGGCACGGCAAGGCCATCGTGCTCCTCAGCGCTGGCCGAGAGGAGGAGTACGTGGCCTTTTTGAAGGTGCGCAAGTGCCCCGTCCGCTTTCATCCTGCGTTGCTCGAAGACGGACAAGCAGCAGCAGCAGCAGCAGCAGATGCAACCGCCGGAGCAAAGGAGGAGGGTCAGGAGGAGCAGCCGCTGGGAGAGGATGAGGGTGCGACTCATCTGACGCAGAGTATGCAAAGGGCCATCCGCGCCGATCGAGACTTGTACGACTGGTCGATGCGTGCCTTTGTCTCGTTTGTGCGCTCGTACGGCAAGCATGAAGCCAGCTTTATTTTCCGACCGCAAGACCTGGACCTTGCTGCACTCTCCAGGGCCTTTGGCCTGCTGAGGCTGCCGAGGATGCCAGAGACGCGCGGGCTGACCGACGGGCAGGAGGAAGTCGACCTCTCGACGCTGGCATACAAGGACGAGAAGCGGGAGAAGCAGCGGCTGGAGTCGCTGCAAAGGGAGCAAAAGGAGGCGGAGGAACGGGGCAAGGGACAGGAGCTGACGAGGAAGAAGAAGATGCGAGGGGCAAAGGCGTCGGAGGAGGCTTGGAGCGACCAGAAGAAGAGAAAGGAGAGGAAAGAGGAGAGGAAGGAGAAGAAGATCAAGAGGAGAAAGGCCATCAGGGCCGCTGCAATCGCGCAGCCGACAGAGTCAGGAGAAGAAGCAAACGAGAAAGCAGTGGCAGAAGGCCAGGAAGAAGAGGACGATTGGATTGCGGAAGAAAGAGAGACAAAGCGGCAAAAGAAGCAGGCAGAGGGCCACTTCTCCAACGTCGACTTTGAAGGCTTATGAGGAAAGAGCTCCCACCACTTGTATCACTAGCAGTCATCAACCGACGCATTCATAGATCACCAGACATTTGTTTGCGTAAGAAGAGAACAGAAAAAGGCCAGACTACTTTACAAGAGGAAGAGAAGGGATGTGTGAAAGACAAAGATCAGAGAAACTTTTTCATGGCTTCCACGAGCTCGTTTCCAGCCTTGGCAAAGTCGACCTCTGAGATCCTCGTGACACTGTACCTCACCCTCTCCTGGTCCTGGAAGGTGTCCATCTTGGCGCGGCAGTTGAACATGTACATCTTGTTTGCCGCCTTGGTGAGGACCTGGTTGTACTTTGCCTCGCCGTCGTCCTCGTTGCGCAGCTGCTCGAGCTGCTCGGCCTTCATGCCGACGATTTGCTCGCCCACGTCGTTGAAGCTGTTGATCCACAGCTGGCCAGTGTAGTCCTGAACGTTGGCAGAGAGCATGTACCGGTAGTCCGGCGCCTCGTAGCTGCGGTTGCACCTCTCGCATCGCCAGTTGCCCTCGCTCTCGCACACGACCTTCTTCTGGCACTTTTCGCCGGGCCCCTTCTCACCGGGGCACGCCGTGTAGTACAGGTTCTCGTTGCGGATGTAGACGAGTGTGGCGCGCATGTTAAAGTAGTCGGCCTTTCCTTCTGGCTTGGTGCCCAGGCCCAGGTCCTTGACCTCGCCGATCGTCTTGCGCTCCTTGGGGTCGGAGCTGTTTGCCCCAACAGTCGAGTTGCCCAGCATAGCACTCGAGTACGACTTGAAGGCCTGCTTGCTCGAGAGGGCCACTCCTTCGTCGTCGTACCAGCCGCGCAAGCTGTGTGCTTCGGGCAGGTCTGGGTTGACCATCATGCTGGAGCTCGACGTCATGCTCAGACTGCGTCCGCCAAAGTCGCCCACGCTGATGTTCTTGAACGCAACGACGGGCCGATCGTCCATGCCTGCGCCAACGTGTCCCTTGTCCGTGCCGTACGTCATGGCTGTCTTTCCCCAAAGGGTGAGACGAACAGACATGCCAGTCTGGTCGACAAAGACGAGTTCCCTCTTTTGCACGGGCTTCTGCGACGCCTTTGAGATAATCTCACCCAGCTCGCCCACGCTGTCGACGATTCCGACCACGTCGCAGGTCTGTTTGGGCTCAACGGAGTCGAGCTGATCGAGAGGCACAAAGTTGTACTTGACCTCTGGTACGTCGCCCACGTCGTCATCCTTGCACTCGAACACCTCCGAGTCCTTTTCAAACGTAATTTCGTACTCGTTGTTCACGGTAGAGAACTGCTTCTTGGCAATGTTGACCTTGGCCTTGCTGATGTAGTAGACCCTGTTCTCGATGAAGAGGGGGTAGAGCTTGTCGACGGCATCGTTGAAGCCCGTGGCCTTGATCTCGCCCGTCTCATCGAGGAGGTTGACGCTGAAGAGCTTCCCGTCGCCGCGCGCGTTGCTCCAGTACTTGATCTCGGACTTGCTCGTGACGCGTGCCTTGATCGTCCACTTGTTCTGGTACGGAGACAGGCCTTCGATGGGGTAGACGGGGTTTTTGTTGATGCTGCCATCACCGCCAGCTCGGACGCCAGCGGTGGGCGCCCTGCGTGCAGGCATCGCGCCTGCGTTGGCGCGAGGAGCTGGGCTCGTGCCTGCGCCGCCCTCCGTCTTGACAGCTGGAGCGGCGCGCTGCTCGTAGCTCTTTGGGTCGCCGACGCGATCGGCGATAGTGGTATCGACCACCTCAACGTCGAGGAGAATGATGATCTTGCGATCCTGGATCGTGTTGGGGGCGTACGACTTGATCTTGATGAGGCAATTCCTTGCCAGGCCGTCATTTTCGACGAGCCCCTTGAGCTGAGTGGCCAGCATGGCTGCGGTGCCTCTCCAGAGTCAGCTTCCTGCATCCTTCCTCTTCTCTGCTCAGGAAACACGCAAAGACTGAAACTCACACTGGGCATAGTGTTCGCCATCGCTGAGGATGAGGCGGTACCGGTCGCTGGCCCCTTCCTTGGTGGCCTTGATCATCTTGACTGTGAGCACCTGGCAAATTGGCTGAAAGTCGACATTCTTTTCCGAGTCATCGAGCATGCGCGAGACGCATCCCTCAGTCAGTTGTCCCGCCATGCTGTTTGTGAAGAAGGAGCTTGCGAGCTGGTGAGAGGAGGAAGAAGAGAAAGAGGAAGAGGGAGAGGCGAAAGATGGTGGTGAAAGTAGTTGCTCAGCGTCGCCCGCCACTTTGCTTCCAATTCTCGCGTCGCGTTCGGCGAGCGAAAAGTGTTATTTGTGAATATTTCCACGTGGGGCAGTGACAAGGGCGCACACTCGACTTTCCGTCAGTCGGAGGAAGAAGAAGCCTGGATGCCTGTCCGCGCCCATTGACCGCTGGAGATCGAGCGAGCAGCGATGGATGAAGAGGAGCAGATGCGAGAGCGACGCTCTTCCTCGCCTCCCTACAGCCCCAAAGGCGATCGATCTCCTCGCCGCAGCCGCAGTCGCAGCCGGAGCCCGCTCTCGTCACGCTCACGCTCGCGCTCGCGCTCGCATTCGCGCTCCCCCGGTCCCTCGCAGCAGCAACACCACCACCACTCGCACCCCCATCGTCCTCACCTCGCCGACCGGACCGCCCTTCGCATCTCGGGCCTAACGCGGCCCATCGTCGAGGAGCACCTCGACGCCATCTTTTCGAGCTACGGCAAGCTGGCGCACGTCTTTCTGCCGCGCTTTGCTCGCTCGGGCGAGAACCGCGGCGTGGGCTACGTCGACTTTAGCTCGGTGCGCGGCGCCCAGCTCGCCGAGGCCAACATGGACGGCGGTCAGATCGATGGGGCGATTGTGCGTGTCGAGCTCGTCGACGTCGAGGACATCAGGAGGGCAGCAGCAGGCTCGCGAGCGTACGAGGAGAGGGAGAGGGAGAAGGGGAAGGAGAGGGGAGCGAGGAGATGGAGCGGCTACGATGCTGCGGCGCGATACGATCGGCCGACCAGGAGGGAGGGCTATGGTCAGCGGCCACCACCACCGCCACCACGATCGCGTTCGCCTGTCAGTCGAAAGAGGCGTAGCAGCCCGAGTCCCCCACCGTCTGATCGGAGCCGGAGCCCAAGCCCCCGTAGAGCAAGAAGTCGTAGCCGGGATCGAGATCAGGACCGCATCATGAGCACCTCGAGGTCGAGCAGGGGCAGGAGCAGGGGCAGGAGCAGGGGCAGGAGCAGGAGCAGGAGCAGGAGCAGGAGTGGCAGTAGAAGTCGCAGTCCGGTGCGATGATAATGACACAGCAATTATACAATTGAGTCTTTGTGCGATGAGAATCACAGAAACATTGGGTGTGGGGGCCTGTACTGTTACAAAACCTGAAACAAGAAGGGGGGAATTCAATAGCTGATTTCAGTCGTCATGGGCCAGCTCGGCGGCACCACTGTGGACACGAGCGTGCTCGAGCAGCCACCGCTGTCCCTGTGCCGATCGTGGGTCCAGCGGCGGTTCGACCTCGTCGCCGTGTGCCGAGGCCTCCTTCGTAAAGCTGCCCTCGGTCATCCACTCCTCATCCCACGCTTCCCACGCCGTGGCACGCTTGGCAGCGTCTCGCCTGAGCAGTCGTCCGACCATGTGCTTGGCACGAGGTGTGACCAGGCGATTGTTTGGCGCAAAGCCACCTGCTTGCTCGCCTGGCGACACGTCGAGCGACTGGTCGTTGTCGCGAGCCGGCCACCGGAGGTCGCCCTTTGCGATGCGGAGGAGGTGCGTCTTCCTGGCCTTGGCATCCCTTTCGACGCCCTGACCTTCACGGCCCACGCCGCCGGTCGTGGTCGTCGAAGACGTGGTGTCTTCCAAGAAAGGCAGGCATCCCGTCAGAAGCGCATATAGGACCACACCCATAGCCCACGCGTCTGTCTTGCGCCCGTCGTAGCGCTTGCCGATGATGAGCTCCGGCGCCGCATACTCTTCTGAGCCACACCGCGTCTCGAGCAAGGGCGAGTTGGGATCGATGAAACGCGAGAGCCCAAAATCGGTGAGCTTGAGCAGCGGACCAGCACCCAGCGTGGACGGCCTCAGGTCCGTGCTGAACAGGTCATAAGTGAGGATGATGTCTAGGGTTCCAGGCGTCAGTATCTATCTCTGCATCTCCCATTCCAGTATCATTTGAAGATGCTCACTCTCCAATTTAATGTCGCGATGGACGAGATTGATGGCATGCATCCACCCAACGGCATTGGCCAACTCGCCAAATAGGCGGCGTACAAGCCACTCGCGCTTGGCGAGCTCGAGCGAGTGGTTGGCCAGCAGTTCAAACAGCTCGCCGCCGCCGACGCGCTCCAAGACGAGGTTGTGGTGCCGGGGCGTGGAGAAGGACGAGATGAAGCGGACAATGCTGGGATGCACGATGTGCTTGAGCACCTCCACCTCTCTGACCCAGCTGACCTTCATACGCTCATTCTGCATGCACGGCGCTCGTTCGAGCATCTTGAGCGCGACCAGATCTCTGCTCACGCTCACGCTGCTCCTCTTGCCGGTAGAGCCGTTGCTTGGCGGAAGAGGTGGTGGTGTGCCAGCCTTGCGCGCAGCCAACACCACCCGGCTGAATGCACCCACCCCAAGCGTCCGCTCGACACTGTACGGACCAATGATGCCGCGTACTTCATCTTCTTCTTCCTCGGTCGCTTCGGCCTCGCTCACAGCAGCCTTGGCTGCACCGATGAGACCCGCTTGGTCCCTCGCGCTATCTCTCCTCACCGCAGCCTCCCCAGCCGAGGTCACCGAGGCGGGGCCATTGGCAGGCACATCCTTGATAGTCGATGACGCCAATGGCTCCTTCACAAACAGGGCTCCCGCGCTCTTGACAGCCTCCACTGAGGGCAGAAAGCTGCTGCCCGTCGCATTCTCCGATGGTCCATGGACATGGCGGGTTGAAGACGTGCCTCTCGACCTCGACGATCTCCCCACCTGGCCTCCTCGTCCGTCACGGCTCCAGGAGGAAGAGACTTCAATCGTAGGAGATGGCGGCGTATGCAGCTCCACAGTCGGCGCTTGCGAGGGCAGCAGCGAAGGCGCGTCTCCAATGGCGGAAGGAAGCGCCGAGATGGAGTCAAAGGCACGGACCGGGACAGGCCTACCGCTGCTGAACGGCGCACGCAAGCCGTGAATGTCTCCATCGCTTGGTGCTGAAGGATATCTGGAAGAAACTTGCTGGTCGTGCAATCTCGAGGCCGACGAAGACGGCGGAGGCTCCCGCTTCTGGCTGGCAGGCGAGCCTAGGTATCCTGCACTCATGGGCGACGCAACCACATCGGTCTCTTGTTCTCTTTCATTCGCCGAATGCGACTGTGTTGTCGGAGCAGAAGAGATGGACCAGCTGGCGCCAAAGAAATTCGACGTCTTGGAGGATGTCGAGGACGACGACGGGCCAGACGAGGCAGACGTCGACGAAGAGGCACCACGCCGCCATGCCTCTTGCTTCGGGGGGCTCGAAGATGAAGATGCTGCATCGTCCTGTCGAGGATATTGCTGCTGCTGCTGCTGCTGCGCTTGTCCTCGAGCAGGGGAGAGCGTCACCGAAGACGACTCAGAGTTGGGCTCGAGGCCCAACGTCGAAGTTTGCGAAGGAAGTGAGGGCAACGACGTCATGTGGGCAATAGAGTCGTCGGAGAGTGAGACGTCAAAATTGGACAAGCTGCCATTGAGGCTACCCGACGACGACACCTGCTGCTGGTTCGTCTCTACAAAACTACCACCACCGCCACCGCGTCCTCCTCCTGCTCCTGACGACGACGATCCAGTAGAAGAGGCGGCCCTTCTCCGTCTCGCAAATGCAGCGTCGAAGGGACCTGCCGCCGAAAGATAGTTGCCCCCGCTGTGCCCGTCTGCTGTCGCAAGCATCTCGACTGTCTCGCCGCCGCCATGATCGCCCGCCATAATGCCAGGACTGGGCAGTGGTGTGATGGGTTTTCCTTCAAAATCGTCCCACCGCCTCGCTGCTCCTCCCGGCCCCATGTGCGTCCAAGAGGATGTCGAGCTGTTAGATGCGTGCCTCGTAAGGCCATTCTGATCAGTGCCTGTCAACAAGCCCGTCGAACCTAGTGTCGACGGCAGAACGGGCGCCAGAGAGTCGGAAGAGCCAAAGAAGGCCGCCGTCTTGGATGTCGACGATGATGAAGAGTCCTTTTTAGCATGCCTCGTCGATTGATACCGCGCCATCGTCTCGTCGTGTGCGCTCGATGAGTCTGAGAGGGCCGCAGACAAGACGGGGATCGTATGAGACTGCTGAGATGTGAACTCGGTCGCGATGGGCGGGAGCATCTGGTGCGAGCCTCGTCGGCCCTGCATCGCCGTCGAAGAAGTCGGCGAGCCAAGCGAGTCCATAACTGTCGGTGTCAGCGTCGGCGGAACGACCGATGACGAAGATGGGTCGACCATGGTTGCTACCAGCTTGCGCCTCTATTTGCAGCCGGCGTGAAGAGCTCAAGAAAAGGGAGGCACGAGGAGCAAGTTAAGGCTGTGCCGTCGTTTCGCACGCCTTCTTCGCAGCCCAGCTTGTCGCCTTGCTCCTTCGCTCCTGACGAAGCTCCGACTCCTTTAGTGGTGCCGCACGCGCGCCAGCACGCCTACACGCCTCTACAGACACCGCCGATCAAGAATTGATCTTGAAGGATTACTGAGAGGCACGCTGTCGGAATAGGCAATAAACCTTGTCGCGGATGGATCTAGGCGCCTGTTTTAGCCGCACCCGTGTGCGCCCTTGTGCGCCCTACTTTGGGCCTCCTGTTCCGGGTCTGTGTTTGGTGCCTCTTCCCCTGCCTACGTCGTGTTCACCTTTCCCTTCTGGGCCGCTGAAATAATATCGAGGGAGCGAGAGCGCGCACGCGCGATGTGTGGTGGATTGGTAACAAGTCACGCAGGTTGCGCGCCGCACGTCCCTCACACCCTCGGTCTCCCGGCCGCGAGCGAGCAGTCAATCCCCTCTGAGCGCCTCTCTTTGCCTCTCTCTCTATTTCGCACTACTTAGCGCGTTTCGACTCTCTCTTTCTCGCGTGGTCAAAGACGGACGTGTAATTTCCTTTTTTTTTTCCTCTGTGATGCGATGCAGTGACAGAACAAATGCGCAGAGATCAGATGCGCGCTGCGCTGCACTGCACCTCTTCGGCCTCTTCGCCGTTTCTTCTCGTCTTTTTGACACACACAGAGAGACATGCCATGGGCTTTTCTTGTGTGTCGGCAATACGAGAGAGGGCGCGCACCTTGGGATAAGAGTAGCAATGCCAAGATCGAAAAAAGAAAAGAAAAAAAAATGTTTCTTCTTCTTGAGAGCAAAGGCCTGTCTCCGGCGCCCTCGGCCCATCGTGGTCCAGCCAGTGACCTTTGTTCAACGCCCATATTAGCTCCCACTCACACGCCCTCTCGTGTGTTCGTTTACCAGATAAGACGTACGGCTATCAGTCTTGAAGAAGAACACAAAGAACGAAACCCAAGATTGGACTGTCGAACATATTAAAATTTAGAAGGGCTTGTGCGCAAAGAAAGAAAGCTGCATGGAAAGTTAGGGCAAGCGGCCCCGAGGACTGCAATTTCTTCCCTGTTGCTGTTTCTGTTTTGGGTGACGATAAACTTGGGGCCGCGAAACCAATTTCTGCACCGGTCTCATCCAACCGCTCTCCCTATCCTGTCCGATGATAACCGGACATGGCGGGAACAATGGCCTCGACCAAAGATAACGAGTCCAACGGCCGCGCTCTCCGCACCATGTTTTACTACTTCTGCACTGTAATAGAGGGATATCGATTTGAACAAACTCGACGAAGCAGAGGACGATGGATCGCTTCAACAAATGGACAGAGAAGAACGCGGAGAAATTAGGCCACAGAGAAGGATGCAAAAGAATGAGGAGAAAGGGGATGATGAAGAAGAAGAAGGAGAGAAGACAGGAATATGCTAACGTTCAGCCTAGTGCATTGCTGTTGCTGCTGCTGCTGCTGCTAGTGGCCCGCTTGAAGAACTTTGCCACCTTGCCGCCTGGCTGGTGGGGAGAGTGGGAGCTGCTGTTGGTTGAGGAGGAAGATGGGGCGGTGCCATCGACGGTGCCCGAGGGTGACTGGCTGCCTCTGCGCCGTCCTTGCTTGTTGTCAAGACCGTACGATGACGCACTAACACCGTAGAACGAAGAGGTGGCTGGCATGCTCGGGTCCACCATCTCAGCTCCGTGCCTCGTCGCATCCCGGTCTTTGCCCTTGGAAGCGCCTGATGTCCGGTTGGACGTCGATGGTGTCATCAAGTCTTCTCCCTCATCTTCGAGGGCATGACCGTGCAAAAGTTGGCTTGCCGGCGGGCTGTTGCCCTGAGCAGGCGTCATGTAGATGTCTGCCGCGCTGTCCCGGTGCTCTATAGACGATGACTGGTTGGGGTAGTGGTGGTAGTAGGAGGCCGCCGAGCTCGTCGAGCTCTCGCGGCGGTCGTTGATCATGCGTGCGCTGAGTTGGCTCTGCTGCGATGGCCTCCGGGACGACGACGAGGGACTCCCGCCCTTGACCATCGAAGCCGTCAAGCTGGGCATCCTCCGGTCTGCCGATGCAACGCCATTGAGCGAGTGTCCCTGCCCGGGCGGATCCATGGCGCGAACGGCGCTCCGAGGCGGCGGGGGCGCTTCGGCAAGCGTCGAAAGAAAGTGCTGGTTCATGGGGGTGTGCGAGTCTGCAAAGCCAGGCGAGGCGGCCATGCCGTCCAAAATTTGGCCTTGCGATGGCCGGCTCGCAATCTCAATGGGGTTTGACACTGCTCTCGAGCTCGGTGATCGGTGACGGTGACGGCTAGAACCCATGACTTCCTCTGGCTCCATGTCCTCGTCGCGCTCGTCGGGCGCCAGCCCTGGCGAGTCGGGTGGCGGCGTGACGACATTTCGCAGGCCTGAGCCAGACAGCGGGGTCGGTGCATGCGAAGAGGACTGCAGAGGTGCAGCAGGGGCGACAACGGTAGATGCGGAAACGGCAGTGTCCGGCCGGGCTGGCTCCTGGTGCCTGCGTGGGGATCGTTGTTGCCGCTGCGAGGCCTGACGGCTGTGATTGCTGTCGGCAGATGTCTGGTCAATGCTACGCCTTTGCGACACCGATCGTCGTGAGCCCGAGCTGGCAGGCGCCATCGATGAGGAGATCTCGTTGGCTTCAGCAGTGGCTATCAGCACGGCAGCTGCTTGCGAGTCGGGCTGTGGGGCCACCGCTGCCGCGACGGCTGCTGGCTGCTCCTCGGTACTTGTCTCGACTGGATTTTCGGCCGCAGAGGCGGCCTCGGCCTCCTTAAGCAGGGCTGCCTGCCACGCCTCGTCCTCTTCGACGTCAGCTTCCAGGTCGGCAAACGTGCGACAGAGCGGGCACGAGAAGCCCGGGTGGTGCATGAGGAGAAGGGGACGGATGCACTTGTAGTGGAAGACGTGAGAGCACGGGGCAATGAAGAGAGCCTGGCACACGGTGACGGAAAAGAGACAGATGCAGCAGTCCGTCACGTTCATCGACTGTCGGTTCGTCGGAAGCGCGGCAGCCTTGCCCGAGCCTGTGCTCGCACCACCGGCAGAGGCGCCCAGGGGTGAGCCTTGGAGCGCCCTGAGCTGTCGGAGGGCATTGACGTTGAACTGGTTGGCGCCCCGCTGCCAGCCACGGTTCAGCTCGACCCTCATCTTGACGCAGCGGTAGATCTCTTCTGTGCCACCTTGGTAGTCGACGCCGAGCTGCACGACATCGCCGTCTTTGATCTGGTGGGGCTTGCTCTCGAGATTGGGAGCCGAGAGGCGAATGTGGTTGAGGAATGTGCCCGAACTCGACTTCGTGTCTCGAATGAAGAACTGTGGTGCGATGTATGCATGGTGAGAACACATAATTTCAAGACGGATTCTAACACATCGTCACTCACCTTGCCACCGGCTTCGCACCAGACCTCGGCATGGCCACGGCTGACGACTTTGCTCTTGAAAGCGATCCGGCCAGAATCGACCCTGCCACCGCCACCGCCGGCAGCCGCTGGGATGGCGCCACCCCTTGCGACGGGTGCAGTTCCTCCTCCTATCCCGGCACCTACCGAGGAGGGAGCTGCTGTCCCAGCCGCGCCTGATGACGGATTGGCACTGCCTCCTGCGACGGTACTCCCCGCGCCGTTGATGCCTGCGCCGCTCGACCACAGCAGTGAAGAGTTGCCAGCATTTTCACCACTGGCTGCCACGGCTGCGCCGCCCCGATCGGTGAAGCGACCAATCTTGACGGCGGCTGCGCCCTCGCCCATCTCCCTTTCGATGGGCTCGAAATGGAGCGAACGGGTGGCCTCGAGATGAGGGACCAACCGTAGCCGGTGGGTCGCCGTTGCCGGGACATTGGACGAGGATGAGGAGGAGACGACGGCTGCCCTTGCACCACCACTGCCGCCAGGCGACACATCACCGGACACAGCGGGCGCCTCGACACTGCGCTCGTCTGCACCAGAAGCGCTTTGTTGTGGCGACGAGGTGCCCAGCGATCCGTTTGGCAGGACGGCGAGCGTGGCGGAGGCTGGCAGGCCGCCGGCAGCAGTCCCGGACCCCACAGCGACATCTTGGTTGTCGGCGTTCAGCGAGACACGAGGCAGATGATCGCTCGTCTGCCCAGCGCCGCGCGACTGTTGCTGCGAAAGCGGGGGCTGGATCTGCAGAGACGCCGGGTCTGCCCGTGCCCGTGCCTCTTCGACCGCCTGCATGTTCTTGCTGGCACCCTGGCTGTACCGTCGGAACATTCTCCCAATCGGGTTGCTCGAAGATCGTTCGCCACCCTGGCTGCTGCCACTGCGTATCATCGAAGGCACGGCGCCTCCAAAGAAGCTTGGCGACCCCCGTCCCTCGGTTGTCTGGGGCCGGGTTACCGACGCGGATGAGTTCGAAGCGGGGACCTGTGGCCTCGAGGGAAACGAGATGCGGGAGCTGCTGGAGTCAGGGATGTTGTATACCTGCGATGAGGAGCTGCTCCGTGGCAGGCCGTACGCTGTCCTCGGGATTCCCAGCCGGCTGAGAACGCCCGTGTTGCTACCACCGTTGGCGTTGCTCGTCTCTTGGTCGGGCGAGGCAGGGAGCGAGTCGACCAGATCTTCGGTCGAGTCGAGACCGAGCTGCTGCTGCAGTTGCTGCTGCTGTGAAGCGCCAGACGCTCCGCCCCCTCCAGACGTGCGAGGGCGTCGGCCGAAGTGCCGTTCCAGGAACGAGGAGCTGGTGGGATTGGGATTGGAAAAGAAGCCACTGCCGTTGCGTTGGCTGGACATGAGACCGTTGGGCGTCGTGGGCTGAGATGAGCCATCTGCTACCATGGCACCGCTTGTGAGATTACCCGCGGCAGAGGAGAATGAATGCGACGTGCGATGGTGCGGCCGCGAGGTCGAAGACAGCGGCATTTTCGTCTGCCTCGCTGGCTACTGCAAGGTGGATCGAGAAAGTGATGTCGCTTGATGGTTCTCTTTCCTTCCATATACATGCGCTTTTCTCTTTCTCTCCCTTGTTGTCACTGCCTCGGCTGCCGCATGAATAGGCACCACCAGTAGTGTGATCGGTTTTGCCCCTATGCAGGCGAGCGAGCGTTGCCGCGGATCGCCAAGATAAGTACTCGACCACTCGTCTCCCTCTCCGGCGGTGTCGACCACTCGATGACCCGTCGCTGTCAAGGTCGCCGCCGTCGGAGTAGAGAGGCCGTCGAGCGTACCTCTGCGTCAAAGGTATCTCGGATTAAGTGGCAGGAGCTGGCTGGTAGCGCTCGCCCTCTTGAACTAAAGAAAGACCGCAAGGCGCGAGCCTAGTGAACGAGCCGCCTCTTGTCTCTCAATCCGGCTGGAATTAGCGATGGAGCGATTTGACAGAATAGACGTCACGCGAGTTTCAAAAGGGCCAATTCTTCTAATGTGGCCATTTGGCGCGGTTTGCCGGCCTAATGATGCCGCCCGCACCAGGGACGAGGCATGTACCGCTGCTTGTGCTATTGTTGCAGCCATAAATCATCAGCGGCCCGCCCTCTTCTGGGTCAGAAAGAGGGTTAGAGTCTCACTCTCGCTATATCGACTGGCCAGGCTTCAAGCCCGTGCTTGATTATGATTAAGATTCAGCTTTGTGTGCCGTCGGACGTCATTGATCATGTCGGGGAGCCTGGAAGAACCTTGATCGTTCTCGGGCTTTGCTCTGCCATGCCACTCTCGACTCTGGCTGACATCTTGGTTGCTTGCCGGTACAAATAAGGTAGAGTCTTCTATAGCTTGCAAGGCTTCGAGCTGCGGGACCGAAAAGGCTGCTCTGTGTCCGCATGGCTTACAATGATATTCGATCTGAAGAGTCGTCCACAAATCCCCTAAGCTTATCCTTGGAAGCCATCTCAATGTTCTTCAAGAAAAACAAACATGCTCAAGACATCTCCTTCGCAACAAGGCTCTCGAACTGCGACAGACAAGAGTGTGATTCATGGTGAGCCGCGCACACGTGACCGCGTCCGTCTCTCGACGCGACCCCCTCTCCGTGAGGAAACTGGACCGTGCGCCCGGGCATCTGGGCAGTCTTGCTTTAATTGTCGCTTTGTTTAGGGGTCGCTGCAAAGCAACCAAGCTAGGGCCAGGGGAATAGGCATTCTTGCTTCTCACTTCTCTTGGTCTCTATTTTTTCTCTCGAACGAACGCACATTACGGGGCGGCAATCACGCACGCACGCACGCACACAGCGCAGCGCACCGCATCGCTCGCCGGTTTCGCCCAGCACTACTACTAGCAACTGCTGCGTCGAGCTCACAAAGGGCGCAGATCAGCTGAGCCGTCTCTCGTCTGGACGAGACACTCGTTGGAACTCCCGTGACACGCGCGGAGTCACCCGAAGCAAGCAAGCAAGCAACGTCGTTGCAGCGAGAGGGGAGCGGTCAAGGAGATGGCCAACGTCGTTCGCACCAAGTCGACCCGCCCTGGCGATGGGTCCGCCGCTCCAGGGCCCTCTCGGCTCGGCGCTCTGCCTCGCCCAGGGGGTGCGGCGGCTGACGCAGCGGCAGCCGCCGAGTTCGCCAGCAAAAAGTACGTGTGGATCCCCGACAAAGACAGCGGGTACCTCTCCGCGTGGGTCGTGCGGGAAGAGGAGGGTGGCGACGTCAGCGTGTGCAGTCTGAGCGATGGCCAGGTGAGTCTTGCCTTTCTTCTCCTTGGAAAGGAAACCTGGCTGACCGGAGGAGACGGCGCCTACAGATGCGCAAGGTGGCCACCGATGACCTCAGCAAGATGAACCCGCCCAAGTTCGAAAAGGCAGAGGACATCGCCGACCTGACGTTTCTCAATGAAGCTAGCGTCGTGCACAACCTGCGCCAGCGTTACTTCAGCGGCCTCATCTATACCTACTCGGGTCTTTTCCTCGTCGCAGTGAACCCTTACCACCCGCTGCCCATCTACACCGATGCCATCGTGGCCGCATACAAGGGCCGGCGGCGAGAGGAGAACGCGCCTCACGTCTATGCGCTTGCGGACGGCGCCATGCGCAACATGCTCGAGGCCAGGGAGAACCAGAGCCTGCTCATCACGGGCGAGTCGGGTGCAGGAAAGACGGAGAACACCAAAAAGGTCATCCAGTACCTTGCTGCCGTCGCCCTCGATCCAGCCGGCAACAATGGCGCGTCGACGCCAAACGCTAATGGGGCAGGGCCATCGACGCTGACGCGGACACCGAGCTCCCGACACGTCATGGACCAGCTCCGGGGCGTCGAAGGGCTTGCGTCGAAGCGGCTCGGCCTCCTCGAAAGGCAGATCCTCCAGGCCAACCCGATCCTGGAGGCGTTTGGCAATGCGCAGACGATCCGCAACAACAACTCGAGTCGATTCGGCAAGTTTGTCCGCATCGAGTTCACCTCGGGGGGATCCATCGCCGGCGCAAACATCGACTGGTACCTTCTCGAGAAGAGCAGGGTGACAAATCGCAGCGAAAAGGAGCGAAGCTTCCACATCTTCTACCAGCTCTTGCGCGGCGACGACGAGAAGCTCAAGTGTGAGTTGATGTTTCTGTGTTTCGCTGAGAAGAGTATCTCCAACTGATGAACGAGAGCACTCGTGTAGCCAAGCTGCTCCTGACGAGCTCGCCCGACGACTACGGCTACCTCAAGCACTCGCGCAAGCACGTCGAGGGCATTGATGACACCCAGGAGTGGCACGCCCTCCTCGAGGCGCTCACCGTCGTTGGCTTCACGCCAGAGGAGCAGCAGAACCTTTTCCGAGTTGTGGCAGCGATCCTTCAGATCGGAAATATTGAGCTGGCCGACGACCGATCGGAGCAGGCACGCATCACCAACGCCGCGCAGGTGGAAAAGGTGTGCCACGTCCTCGGTCTGCCCGAGCAGGAGCTGTCCAAGGCCCTTCTGCGGCCACGGGTCAAGGCTGGCCGAGAGTGGGTGACCCAGTCCAGGACAAGACGGCAGGTCATCGACGAGATGGCAGCCCTGTGCAAGACGCTGTACGAAAAGACTTTCTCCCACATCGTCGAGCGCATCAACCGCGCTCTCGACCGGCCCACCAGCAAGAGCACCTTTATTGGCGTGCTCGACATTGCTGGTTTTGAGATCTTTGAGACCAATTCGTTTGAGCAGCTCTGCATCAACTACACCAACGAGAAGCTCCAGCAGTTCTTCAACCACCACATGTTCGTCCTCGAGCAGGAAGAGTACGCGAGAGAAAACATCGAGTGGGACTTTGTCAACTTCGGCCTCGACCTGCAGCCCACCATCGACCTGATCGAATCGACGAGCCCGATTGGCATTCTGTCGTGCCTCGACGAGGAGTGCATCATGCCCAAGGCGACTGACCTCACCTTTACCGAGAAGCTCGACCGCCAGTGGTCCACCAACAAGGACGGTACTGCAAAGGACACGGCTGGCGAGGAGCTGGCACGGGAGCGCGGCGTCGCCCATGGCTCGACAAAGTATGCGCCCACACGCTTTGCCCAAGGCTTCACCATCAAGCACTATGCCGGTGATGTCGAGTATCGCACCGATGGCTGGCTCGACAAGAACAAAGACCCGCTCAACGACAACCTGACCCGCGTCATGTCCGAGTCTACCGACCGCTTCGTCGCCGGCCTCTTTGCCGAGTATGCCGTCGACGACGACGCCGGAGCTGTTGGTGGCCCCGGCACAGTGGCGCCGCCAAAGCGGAGGATCAAGCGGGGCGCATTCAGGACAGTGGGACAGCGACACAAGGAGCAGCTCACCTCGCTCATGTCGCAGCTCGGCTCGACGCAGCCCCACTTTGTGCGCTGCATCGTGCCCAACCCGGACAAGAAGCCGGGCAAGATGGACGTGCCCCTCGTCCTCGAGCAGCTGCGGTGCAATGGTGTCCTCGAGGGCATCCGAATCGCTCGTCTGGGCTACCCCAACAGGCTTCCCTTTACCGAGTTTAGGAATCGCTACGAGGTCCTCACACCGGGCATCATTCCCAAGGGCTACATGGACGGACGCAAGGCGTGCCAGCGCATGGTTGAGGCCCTCGAGATGGACCGTGCCTCGTTCAAGGTCGGCCTGACCAAGATCTTCTTCAAGGCTGGCATTCTCGCTGAGCTCGAAGAGAAGCGAGATGCGCACCTGTACGACATCTTTGCGCGCTTCCAGGGCGCCTGCCGCATGTTCACAGCCCGGCGCCAGATGAAAAAGATCCTCAACCGGGCTTCTGCTGTGCGGACGATCCAGCGCAACGCCAGGCTCTACGTCCAGCTGCGCGAGTGGCCCTGGTGGCAGCTGTACAGCAAGGTGCGGCCGCTGCTCAAGGCTACGCGCCACGACGAGGAGCTCAAGCGAAAGCAGCTCGAGCTCGCCATGGTCACGGAGCGTGCAGAGCGGGACCAAAAGGAGCGCGAGGCCCTCGAGGCGCTGCGCTTCAAGCTCGAAAATGACAAGAAAAAGGTCGAGTCGGAGCTCGAGTCGGAGCGTGCCCTCCTCGTCGACAAGGATCAGCTCCTGGCGCGGTCAAAGGAGCGCGAGTCGGCCCTGGAAGAGGACCTGGCTGCGATGCAGGCCGATGTCGACCAGCTCGACAACCAGCTCGAGCGTGCGATTGCTGGTCAGCGAGCCGCCGAGCAGGCTCGTGACGAGCTCAAAGTCGCCTTTGACGCCGCGGCAGAGCACCTCATCCGGCTCGAGGCCGAGCAGCAGCAGTGGCAGACAAAGGAGACGACGCTCATGGCCAATGTGGGCCAGCACACCGACGAGCTCGACCGGCTCAAGGCCGAGAAGCAGGCGCTGTCCTCGGAAAAGTCGGAGCTGAACCTCAAGCTGCGGGAAAAGGAGCAAGACCTCGAACGGTCCCAGAAGAGGCTCTCAGCGGCTGTGGCAGAGGTCGAGAACAAGCTCAAGCAGGAGATCAAGGCGCGAGAGGCTGACAAGTCTCGTCTGGCCGAGATTGAGGACAGGAGCCGGCAGTCGTCGCATCAGCTCTCGGAGCTTGCCAGGGCTTCGACTGAGCACGAGGAGAAGCTCAAGAAGAAGGAGGCAGAGGTCGCTGCTGCCGCTGCTGCCGCTGCTTCAGCGACCAAGGAGCGCGACTCGATGACGAAGCAGATCAGCACACTCCAGGTCCGCGTCGAGACACTCCTGGGCGACCTCCGATCGGCCCGGAGCGAGGGTCATCGCAACGTCGAGGCGAACGCGCAGCTGCAGAAGGAGCTCGACGAGACGCGCAAGCTCATGGAGGCAAAGAGCTCCGAGGACTCGAAGCAGAAGGAGGTGCAGAGGATGAAGGAGCAGGAGCTCCAGTCGCTCCGCCAGCAGATGACAGCACTGCAGTCGGACCTGCAAAAGGCGAAGCACTCGTCGTTGGAAGAGTTCAACTCGCTCAAGGTCCAGGCGGACGCATCCAAGAAGCAGCACGAAGACCTGTCGCGAAGCCATGCTGAGCTCAAGTCGAAGCTGAGTGCGAACGAGCGAAGGATGGTGGAGCTGCAGGCTGCGACTACGGCTGCCGAGATGGCCAAGCGAGCGGCCGAGGGTGAGCTCACCACGCTTCGAGAGCGTATGAGCGGCGCAGAAAAGTCCGTTCTCGAGGCGAAGAGCGCAAAGGACGCGACAGAGAAGCAGCTAGCCGCGGCCAATGCCAAGTTCCAGGATCTCGAAGACGCTCACCTGGAGCTTGAACGAGGCCAGTCTGCCTGGAAGCTGAAGCATGACCAGGCGACGATGGAACTTTCTGCTGAGTCCAAGAGGCGCGAGCTCCTCGAGAGCGCTGCGAGACAGCACGAGAGGACGGCACAGACGCTCACTCAGCAACACGGCGTCAAGGACAAGGAACTGGCGCGCCTCAAGGAGGAGCTGGCCGAGACGCAGGCGGAGCTGAAGAAGACGCAGAGCATGACGAACAAGACAATCGTCGAGCACGTCCATGTCCTCGAAGAAGCCAAGAAGTACACGGACCGGCAGCTGGCAGACGCACAGGCCAAGCTGCAGGAGCTTGCGCACTACACCAAGACGCTGGAGAAGAGCAAGGCGAGGCTGGCAAACGAGAACGAAGACCTCGGGAGGGAGAACCAGCGGCTGCAGCACGAGTCGCGCTCGGCGGGACGCGACATCACGTCGATGGCCAATGTCGCACCGACGGGCCACCACGACTCTAAGGCGATGAAGTCGCTCGAGGCGAAGGTGTCGGAGTTGCAGACGTCGCTGAGGGACGCCAGGCGGGAAAGGGACGAGGCGCAGTCGAACGCGCGCCGCAAGGACCTGCAGCTCGACGAGACGCTCTCGCGCACGAGGCAGCAGTTCGAGACCCGCATCGTCGAGCTCGAGAGGGAGCTGCGGGGCAGCCAGAATGCTCGCAGCACCACGTTCCAAAACCTGCAGGAGCTCGTCGAGAAGTCTGCCGAGCGGAGCGGGGGCGCGGACGACCTCAATTTCCGCAGGAGGCTTCTTGAAGAGCTCCGAGCGGGCAACGATGAGCTCGAGGTGGACATTGCTCAGAAGGCTGACATGCTCCGGAGTCACAAGGTCAACGGCAACGCGTCTACGCCATCGTCAAAGAGGGACAGCAAGCCCCTTTACACCTTTGGCAACATTGCTCCTAGTGGGCGGGGCCTGGGTAGCAACGTGGCCGCCAAGCGTGCATCGCTGGACCCCGCCTCCCCTACTAATAACACCAATGGTTTCCACCCGGCAGACGCCTCCAGCAAAAAGGCAGTCGAGCTCCAGAAGCAGCTCGATGCGCTCGAGGTGCAGTTCCAGACGGGCATGCGCGTGCGGCAGCATCTTGAGGCGACGCTGCGCGATGTCATGGCCGACATGGAGACGCAAGGCGGCCAACGCTTCTCGCTCGATGCGGCCCGGCGCAAGCTCTCGCTGGAGAACCAGCGGCTGCAGGCGCTGCTCGTCGATGAGGAAGAGGCACGCAAGAGTGCCGAGCTGGCCCTGCTCAGCGGCGAGGCGTCGATGCGAAAAGACTTTTCGAACCGGCTCGCCAAGCTGTCGGGCCCTTCGCGCGACGACGAGATGCGCAGGGCACTGATTGCCGAGCAGAGGACTGCGACGGCTGAGCTGGCACGGATGCAGGAGTCGGTCGCCTCGATGCGCAGGTCCAACACCAACCTCGAGAATGCCCTGGCAGAGACGCGGCAGCGCCTGGAGCGAGAGTCGATTGCCAAGAACGAGGAGCTGGGCGAGAAGCGCCGGCTGCAGACTGCGCTGCAGGAGCTCCAGATCAACTCGGCCTCGTCCTCGCACACCGTCGCCGAGGCAAAGGATGCCGCGCAGCACTACAAGGCCAAGGCGGAAGAGTACCGGTCGCAGATTGACAATCTGTCGATGGAGAGGCTCAAGGCGCAAAAAGCAGAGTCGCTGGCCAAACTCAGCCTTTCGGACAGCGAGAGGGCGCTGGCGGACAGCGTGCGGGAGAGGAAGGCGTGCGAGGAAATCATCGAGGACCTCGAGAGCCAGCTAAGGGAGGCCAGCCTCCGGCTCCGGCAGGGCGGCCAGGACTGGAACGAGGTCGAGGCGATGCGGAGGCGCATGGCCGACGAGTTCGACGCGGAGCGTGGCCGGTACCGCTCCGACCTTGCGCAGCGAGAGGAGCTCATCGAGAGCTCCCGCAGACGGTTCCAGCAGGAACTCGACGCCGTTGCGGCCGAAATCGACGCGCATCGGTCCGCGGTGGCGCAGCTGCGCGAAGAGAACCGGAATCTGCGCGTGGCCCAGGAGGAGCTCGAGATGCAGCTCGATGATGGTGCTCACTCGATGGGCGGCTGGCAGAAGGAGAAGAACCTGCTCGAGGCGCGCATCGGAGATCTGCAGAAGGCCTACCAGGACTCGCTGAGCGCGCAGAGAGAGGGGCAGGCGCAGTCGATGGCCTTGCTCGAGCAGATCAGGGACCAGCGTGTGGCGCTGGACGAGTCCGAGATGAAGTACAGTCAGCTTCAGGCTCAGTACAACAGCGTCGTCAACGAGGCCGGCGCAGACGAGGATGTGATCAACTCGCTGGAGAGGGCCGTGGAGCGGTACCGGACGCAGGCGCAGATGCACTTTGAAAACTGGAAGCAGAGTACCGAGGAGCTCCAAACGCAGACGAAGCAGCTTCGGTCACAGGCCACGCTCCGCAGGCCAGGGTCGATCCCGCCAGAGAGTGTTGGCAGCCCGTCGAGGATGAGCTTCCGGTCCTAAGGTTTCTTTCACCCCTTTTTCGCGATGACATGTGTACACAATCTCTCTTTTGTTTATTCTTTCTCCTGTTCTTCCTTGCTTTTCTCTCAAACGACGTCTCGCTCTCGGTCCCAGCCCTAGTACCTCGATCTTATACAGTTTCTTGCACTTTCCGGTGATGAATCGTAATGAAGAAAACGGCCCAGCCTCTCTCTCTACTACTATGTGCGCTTTCTGTGCTTGCCAGTCAAAAGTAACTTTTGGCACTAAAGCCGGACTGACTCCTTCCCCCAATGCGCGATCTGGCCCGTGCGGCTATTTGACGTAAGCGTCTTTATAGCCATGTCCGGACGTCTCTTCTTCTCTCCACGCGCCCAAAGTGGGGAGAGCAGCAGAGAGCACGGAGAGGAGGGCCATGGTGTCGACGAGGCCACGGAGGAGCGCGACGGCCACGAGTGCCGGCACGCCAAAGAGCTCGCCCCGGTCCGCAAACGGCACGCCGCGATCGACGGGCCGAGCGACACCGACCAAGGCGAAGACCAAGGCGGCGCCGACGCCGACGCGCTCGGAGCGCAAGAGGCGCGCGTCGCCGGCGATCATATACAAGGACGACCTGGAATCGGAGGAGGAGGAGACGCCATCGGTGGACGAGGACGATAGCGAGGACGAATACAGGGACGAGGAGGGCGGCAAGGGGGGCGACGAGGAGGAAGAGGACGACGAAGAGGACGAGGAGGAAGAGGAGGACGAGGACGAGGAAGCTGAGGACGACAACGAAGAGCAAAAGACCAAGTCAAAGGCAAAACCACAAAAGAGGCGGAAGACGGACGATGATGGGATGACAGAAGTCATTGAAGTCGTCTCTGCGCCCAGGGAAAAGTGTGAGTTCCGCCGAGCCTGAGGGGATGAGTGCATGGCCCGTGCTGATGCAGGGAAGAATACATCAGTGCCCAAGGGCAGGGTGTCGACGCATCTCGTGGGGTTTTTGAAGAACCTGCAGGATCCTGCCAAGAATGACCGGGACTGGTTCGCGAGGCACAAGAATGTGAGTGCAATTCCGTGGCCGGGAAAGACGACTTGCTTGATGACTGACGTGAGGTAATGGTATGGACAGATCTACGATGTAAGCAGACACTCAGAAGACCCATGAACGAGAACGAATACTGACTCGCTTTATACCAGTACATTCACGCCAATTGGCTCCAGTTCGTCGAAGCGGCAAACGAAGAGTTTATGGAGCATGTCGATGATACGATCCCGTGGCTTCCACCCAAGGTCAGTCAGCCTTTGGTCCTTCCTACGAGCCTGACTCTGATGTTGAGGGTACTGGACAGGACCTAATTGAAAGGATTTATCGCGACGTCCGCTTTTCAAATGACAAGACGCCATACAAGACACATCTCTCCATGTGCCTCTCTCGCAATGGTCGGAAAGTGAGTCTAGCCTCCCTCTTGCTTCTCTTCAATCGTCCGACGCAGACCTCCTCCAGGGCAACTTTGCAAAATACTACCTCTCCGTGTCACCGGGGAAGTCGAGCCTGAACGCTGGCTTCTATGAGCCCTCAAAGGAGGAGCTTCAGACGATCCGCAATCACATCTTGACCAACTCGGCACATGGCTTGGCGCTCCGCGGGCTTGTGGAAGACAAGCAATTCTGCAAGTACTTTGGCAGCCCACCGAAAAAGGGCGCAAAGCCCGGGGGCACAAGAGCGTCACTCTGGAACTCGTTTGATGAGCTCAAAAAGGCACCGAAGGGCTACCCCTCGGACCACGACGATATCGCGTGGTTGCGCTTGAAACACTTCACTGTGTCGCACAAGTAAGAGACGGGCTTCTTCTCCTTGCGATCTACCGGACACTGAAAGCTATCACTGGGCAGATTCAAAGATGAAGATGTGGTGAGCGAAGACTTCATGTCAAAGCTCTTGGACGTCGCAAGAGCTGCCAAGCCGCTCGTAGACTTGTGAGTTCGCTCGTTGCTATCTCGGTAACGATGGCGGTCAATCCAGAAACTGACCGCGCAGTCGTACAGAATGAACGAAATATTCCACGGCGCTGACCCTGAACCAAATACTGAGGTTGAATAGTTGTGAATCATTGCGTTTTCGGAATCGCAATCTGCCGTCAGGCCGATGTGCAAGGAGGCATTCTAATTGCAGCGAAGTCTGAGGATCTGACAGAGTCGAGCAAGTAAACCTAGCACTTGCAATAAGTGTGGTGAAGCTAGGGGGTAGGTCCATGAGGGGGCGTGAGGAGCGAAAAGGCTGGCACCACAAGGACTTGACACTGCCAAGGAGAAAGAGGGACTTGAATGCGAAAGAATCATTCGAGGCAGTTGGTCAATAATCTGCTCTCCATCGCCTCTCAGCAAAATCCTGAAGGAGGGATGTTTTGACAAGCACTTGTCCGAGTGCCACCAAAGATTTTTATACGGCCCCAGTCCCAGCCCCTGCAGGCTCCAACGGCACAGACGATGTAGATCTGCGTGGCACGCGCCGTCACGGTTCCTGTTACGTCCCAAATATGGAGGCCACTGATGGGGACGCCTCCTGTGGGCCGCCCGCTAGGGGTTCCGCCATGGTAGTCCTGCTCAATGGCGATGCCGTACTGATAGATGTTGGTCAAATGGACGTTGGTGAAGTGCACGTTGTTGACAAAGCCCGTCGCACCGACGATAGTTTTGACCCTCACGCCGTTCTCGGAATTGATAACGTATGAATCACTGACATAGACGCCATTGACCGTATTAACGGACCGCCCTCCGACGGACCCAACCGAGATGCCATGACCACCCGAGCATGTGTTGCCCCTAAAGTATATATCCGAGCCGGAATTGACGGCCAAGCAGTCGTCCTGATTTACCACGTTGGAGTTGGAAATGGTGACGTTGGTGCTCGAGCCGACGTCAAAGCCGTCAGTGTTTAGTGCACCTTGTTTGAACCCGGCCGTGTTATCGATGGTTATGTGGTCGACGAAGAGACGATGGCAGTCAAAGATTGAGAAGACTGTCAGGTTTCTCGATCAGCAACAATCTAGAAAGAGTAGAAGCGAAGAGGGGCCGGCTTGTCTCACCTTGGGCTGGAGTATTTATGATATTGAGCCAGGTGATCTTGGCATCGTGCATCTGGTAGGCAGAGAATGTTGTGGGTTTCTTCTTGCCGAAGTCGCCTGATCATTTGATCATCTCCCAGTGAGCTTACTGTCTCGAATTACATTGGGAAAGGAGACGGAAGTCAACATCTAACCTTTATAGTCCCACCAGCCCGCTCCGCCGGCATTGATAACATGGCCCCGAGCGCCGGTCACGGTGATAGGGCCACTAGCGTAGATGAGTGGTCCCCCCCATACCTGGTAACCGAACGTGGTCTTGCCAGCAAACGTGATGGTGGTGCCTGCACTGACTTTGGACAGATCGAGCGTGTTGCCGGCAGGGACGAACATGTCCTGGAGAATGATCGAAGTACAGGGGCCCTTGTTGGCGGCTGTGAAGACGTGGTACGAGGTAAAGGTGCAGATAGCTCCCGAGACCATCAAGAAGACACAGTTTGAAAGGGCGAAAGCAAGCGCAATCGGTAGCCGAAGGTGGGTGATGGGTCGCATGGTGCTACTGCTTTTCGTTGTGTGTCCATTCTCGTCCCCGACAGCGTCTTATATACCTTTTTCCTCCTGCCAAGCTTCATGCGGTACTCCGCGGTGGAGAGGGACCTCTTAGCCACCCGGCACCTTCCTGCTGAAGGAGAAGTATTAAGGATGGTACCCAAAAGATCAGTACACTTCCGCATCTTCCCAGGAACACTTTCCGTACCAGAAACACGGTATGTGCTGTAAGCTAGTGCCGATCTACTGCGTGCTGTACCAGAGACTCGTGCGACGAGGTAACGTTGCTTGCGAAAAGCGGCAGCGGTTGGCCATGGTGGTGGCGCGCTTGCGCGTACTCCGCCCGTTCCTGAAGAGCGGGGGACAGGAGCGTACGGTGGATACATGCTCAACCCAGACTTTCAAACAGCAAACATGGTTGCTTGTAAGTCTCAAGAGAGTCTCAGCCAGGGTAGTGAGGCTCGCACGACTTGCAACGCACTGCTCGAAGTGCAGAACCCTAGGTTGTTCAAATGATCACAGACCGATATAAGCGTGCAGCATTGCCATCCACAGCCCTGTTGAGAATTGTTGCACTCAAACAAGACTTGGGGACCTTTTGTTCCTGGAAGACTGAGTCCAAAGCCAACATGTTGTCCGCTCTAGTGCTCAAAGTCCTGGGGAGCTGCTCGTGGAATGCCGCGATCACTACTTTTTCTCTCACACACCGATAAGAGCCGGCTCTCTCTGCTTGATGTAGCAGCGGTTATTTTCGGCTGAGCGGCCCGTCACTTCCGAGAAGAAGAGGAACTTTCAAGCTTGTACTGGGAGAGAAGTCGTGGTAGAAAAAGAGAGCAACCTTTGACATGAAATCTTTTCCCCTCTTATCCTCTCGCCCCGGCCCCTACCCTGAAGATAAGGAGGAAAAGAAAAGGAGCAGGAAGAGAAAATCCGACACGCCGTTATTTAGACAGTAGTCCGCTCTTTTCTTGAGCTAGCTGACGACCAGGCAATAAAGCTCTTTGTACTCTCTCGTTGACGTACTGGCCTATCATCGAGACAGACAGCCCCTTTTCGACAAGACACACAAGGAGGAAGCCATGGTGATGTACAGGAAGGTGCTGCACCTGTGCAGAACAGGAAGCGGGTCTCGAATTTCTACCTATATTTCAATGACAGCGGTGCTGCGAGTCCAAGGTGCGTGGAAGAGGCCGCTGGCAGCAGCGAACGATCGCAATCTGCAGGCAACACTGGAAAAGTTGATGTCGTCGACACTTGTCCGATTCTCGTGAGCTGGTCTTGTTCGAGTCTTGCTCGCTGATCATGTGCTGGCCCTAAAAATAACAAGAGACCACAAAAGCGGAGGAGACACAAAAAGCGAGCAAGCGGAGCATTCAGAGTCGGTGGAATGGGCACCGGAGGTGAGTGTGTAGGAAAAGCGGCGGTCACAATGGCAGCGGAGGTAGCGGAGAGACAAAGCCGTCGCGGGAGGTCCGAGTCATCTATTGCTTTTATGATGATTAAACCAGGAGTCCGACTGTATAAGAGGACGGCACTCTCGCTGTATTCTTTCTCGTCTCTTCATCACTCTCTTTCCACACCCTCTTCGCTTTCTACAGCGAGACACACACTTGCGAGCATGAAGGTGCCAGGTATCTCCCTTCTCGTCTTCCTTGCGTGCACTGCTTCCATCAGTGCCCTCTCAACGTTGCCTTCGGGCACCCTCGTGGTGAGCAAATCGCCCAGTCCAGGGCAGTACGAATCGATCATGAAAGCTGTCAAAGCATTGTCAACAACAAGCACCGCCAAGCAGACAATTTACATCAAAAAAGGCGAATACAAAGAACAAGTCGTCATTCCGCTCCTTCGCTCACCGCTCTCCATCTACGGAGAGACGAGCACGCCGCTGACGTACAAAGGCAACACGGTCAACATCAAGCACAGCGCTGGTCAGTCCGACGGGTTTAATAACGATCAGACGGGCACGCTTCGCGTCTTGACGCCAAACTTTTCCCTCTACAACGTCAACGTATACAATCAGAAGGGCAAAGGAACTCAAGCCGTCGCCTTGAGCGCTCAAAAGGAGAACCAGGGCTACTACGGCGTCTCCATTATCGGCTACCAGGACACGCTCCTGGCTCAGAAGGGTGCTCAGTTCTACGCCAAGAGCTACATCGAAGGCGCCGTTGATTTCATGTTCGGCGACGCCAGGGCTGTGTTCTACGACTGCGATATTGGCGTTTCGGCCGGCGGAGGTTACGTCCTTGCCAACGGACGCAACACTTCTGACCTGACATCCTTGTTCCTCGTCGACAAGTGCCGCATTCATGCCGCCGAGAAGCATTCGGTCGAAGAGAAAACCGTGTATCTTGGTCGTCCTTGGGGAACCCACTCGACGGCCCTCGTGCAGAGAACAGACCTTGGCAAAATCATCAACCCCAAGGGCTGGAGTGAGTGGAGCAAGACCGATCAGCACACGGACAACGCCATACTGGCCGAGCTTGACAACACAGGCGAAGGCGCTTCGGGCGAGAGGGCTTCTTTTGCCAAGAAGCTTAGATCATATGTGCCCTTTGAGACTGTACTGGGTCCTTCTTATAGGGACTGGGTAGACAGCGCTTACGTCGCCAGCTAGATGGGAGCAGACACGGCCATGCTCTTGTAGCATTCCTCTACTTCTTCCTTCTACTCCATACTATCATCACATCTTGCCTGTCTCCTTGCGCCAACGATCGCAATACACATTCGTGACAGGCAAATTGTGAGACGCAGCACCTGAAGCGTGGACGAGCGCGCGGGCGGGCAGGCGGGCCGTCCTCACTACTACTTTTGACACTTTTGTCCCGAAGAGTGGCGGTGGGCGGAGCCACAAAAATAAATCGGAATTCATTGGCAGGTTTCTTTTCTCCGATTTGGCACTTCACAGAACAGAACAGGACATTGCCGCCCGCGCCGCGGTATTCAGGCCTTGGACCGCACCGACAGCTCTCCCTCTGCCTTTCGGAGCTGATGATACAAGCAGGACTCAGCCGCCGCATGTGATGCTTGCCCTAGCGTAGTACGGTAGTAATATGAACATAGACCGCTTCCTCTCCTGTCCTTGACGCGGGGGAAAGGAAGACGCAAAGACGTGGGGGAAAGAAAGGAGGCCGCTTCGCGGTGAGGAGCGCGGCGTTGACCCCTCTTTTGTGGGACCACTCCTTTACTCCTTTTCTTGGACCGCACACCTCCCCATCTACCAGCTATGAAGTTCTTGGTCACGGCAATCGCAGCCAGTTTCATTGCCGCCCTTGCCGCGGTCAGGTGCGCCGCCGGCCAAGCCCAAGGTACAGCGACGACAAAGACGTGCGTCGTACCGTCACACAACGACTCCAAGACCGACGACAGCGACTCGATCCTGTCGGCCTTGCGGAGCTGCAACAATGGCGTGGGCGGCCGCGTCCTCTTCTCGCCCGACGTTACCTATACGGTCGCGAAGGCCATGGACCTGACTTTTCTAAGGGACATTCACGTCGAGATTGCCGGCACAATTCTCTTCACCGACGACACCGACTACTGGCAGGCCAATGCCTTTCCGCTGGGATTCCAGAATGCCACGTCCTTTTTCAAACTTGGCGGCTCGGGCGTCGAGGTGTCTGGCGGCGGCACGCTGGACGGCAACGGGCAGGTGTGGTACGACCTGTACGCGCGCGACATTTACGCAAAGCGGCCCGTTCTCGTCGCCCTCGATGGCTTGCACAACTCGACCATTCGCGATCTCCACCTGGTCAACAGCCCCTTTTGGTTCCACCTCGTGGCCAACAGCACTGACATCACTTTTTCCGGCATCACCATCGACGTCGCGTCGACGTCGTCGAACCCGGCCAAGAACGGGGACGGGTGGGACACGTACCGGAGCTCGCACATCACCATTCGGGATTCCCAGATCCACAACTCGGACGACTGCGTGAGCTTCAAGCCCAACTCGACATTCATCACGGTCAAAAACCTCGTCTGCGTGGGTTCTCACGGTGTCTCGGTCGGCTCGCTGGGCCAGTACCCGGGCGAGACGGACATCGTTGAGCACATCTACGTGCACAACGTGACCATGATTGACACGACGTATGGCGCCAGGATCAAGACGTGGCCCGGCCTCGCGTCCGAGCTCAGCGGCGAGCTGCAGGGCGGCGGCGGACTGGGACGGGTGCACAACATTACCTACAAATCAATGCACGTCCACAATGTCACCTCCCTCGTCCTCATCGACCAGTGCTACGGCCAGAGCAACGCGACGCTCTGCGAGGAGAACCCGGTGAGCACTCACCGCTGGCCTCGCACAAGCCCAGGCCTTGCTGACGCGCTCCATGACCTCCTCGTGGAAAGTCCAACATCACCATCTCTGGCATCAACGTGAGCAATGTGTTGCCCTTTTGATGCTCTGCTCCATGACGGGGCGCCCACCCCTCCCCACCCCAACGAGCTAGTTCCATGGTCATGTTCTATTTTACCCCGCGCGAGAGGAACTTCTTTGGAAATAAAGATCTTCTGTGCTGCACGTCGGCGCTCTTCGGCCGTGCAAGCGCTGACTAAATGCGCGCCCGGACCCTGTTTCTGTCGCACACTTTTTGTCTTTGGCCTTGGCTGTCACATTTCACCACCCCGACCCGATCTGAGAGCTGAGTGTGCGTGCTACTCGCGCGCAAAGGTAGGAAGACGATGCTTCGGAGATCGTGCGCCGATGCCAGCGCGCGGTATCGTCTTGCCGCGCGGCTGTTGCATTCGTCGGGCGTGCAGCCGGAGCCGCCGCGGCAGGCCGAGCCGCGCAACATCTTCCAAGAGGCCGCAGAAGAAGCGGAGGAAGAGGCGCGCGACGGCGCAGCGGATGTTCGAGGTCGGAGCGCACTCCAAGAGGCTCGAGCGCGACTGGCAGAGGAGCCCGCATGGACTGGCGATGGTGAGTCTTGAAGGCGTCCCAGCTCTCAGGTGGAGATAGAGAGAGAGAGAGAAGCTGAAAGATGAGAAACGAGGAAAGAACGAGTGCAGGACACGATCCTGCGTATGCTCATGGACAAGCACCAGCCGCTGCGCGTCAAGGGCGCTTCGGGCTCCCAGCACCCCTCCGATGCCAAGCTGGCGTCGGTGCAGCGGCCGACGGTCGACCTTGGCGTCCGGGGCAGCCTCGCAGGCGGGCCCGTGGGCGACACAGAGGTGCGCGCACTCGCCGATGCGTCGTCGGTCCAGCCGGCATCCCCAGGCAGCAGCCAGGAGGGCATAGACGGCGACGGGCGGAGGCTGGCAAAGACACCCGCGGACAAGCCCTGGCTGGCCGTCTATGTCAATCCCTTCACGGGCGCCACGTCTGGCGGCGCCGCCTCGCAGCCGTCAGTCTACTACGGCAAGAACCTCGCGGCGATGAGCAGCATGCTGAAAAAGGGCCGTGCCGCCACGGCAGCGACGGCGCGCGCCAAGGACCGGCTCAAGCTCGCGGGCATCCGGACGGACCAGCTGCCGCTCGACGACAGCGGCAAGATGCGCGCGATCCGCGAGGGCGCCCGCAAGTGGGAGCGCGCGGGCCGGATGCGCGGCGTCAAGGAGGAGGCCATGGCCTACCGGCGACGGCGCGAGGAGATGCTGCTGACAGGCCAGATGACCGAAGCAGAGCTTGAGGCAGCCGAAGAAGCAGCAGCGGTGGCGTCGGCGGCAGCCGAGGAGGAAGATGAGCAGCATGCAATCCTGCAGGAGGGCCAGGAAGGGCCGCGACCGTCGTCCACGTCCGGCTCCAAGCCGGGCGAGGCTGTCATTGCCATGTCTGGCGGCCGCGGCTGGACATCGCTGGCCAACGAAAAAATCGAGGAGGCCATGAAGACCGACTACTTTAGACGCAACCCGCTCCGAGGAAAGCCCCTCACGAGGGACACGCACGAGATGAACCCCTTTCTGGGCAGGGAGGAGCGCATCATGAACCGGCTCATCCAGAGGCAAGGCGCTGCGCCGCCATACGTCGAGCTGAACGCCCTGCTCGAGTCCGAGATGAATGGCTTCCGGAGCCGCCTGCGGGACAGCTGGGTCAGGCGGGCCAGCCGCATCATTCTGGCCACGGACCATCTTCGCCGTGGGCTCGAGCCCTTTTCGAGCGCGACGGCCGCCGCGATGGCGGGGAATGGCAATGGCAATGATGCAGTAGCGAAAGCGGCACCGGCGTCGAGCAGCCAGGGAGAGGAGAGGCTCGTCGAGCTGGCCAAGCGGTACCGTGATCCAGAGTGGATCGAGCGGGAGCGGGCATTCCACGATACATGCATCGCCGAGCTCAACAACGTCGTGCGGCGCTACAACATCGTCGCGCCCCCCAGCGTGCGAAGGGGGCTCGTCGATCGGCAGCGGGAGCTCGAGCGGCTCTTTGTCGACGCGCACATAGATCTGGCCTTGGCTGTCAGCGATGGTCTGAGCAGGATGCGGTCGGGGACATCCACTAGTGTCTTGGATTCGGTGGTCGCTGCAAAGAGGAGAAAGACCGTTTCAACGTCGTGGTGGTCCTCGCCGTCTTCGTACGCCGACATCACCCCTCTGGACGGGCGGGGCGGCGGCGGCAGCAGCAGCAGCAGACGTCGGGGGGAGCCATCAGCCGGAGACGACCGCGTTGGGTCCTCGACAGATCTCAACGGTGGATTCCACGGCTCCACTCGATCCTCGAGAATTCCAAGCAAAGCCTTTCTTATGGCAGCCCATCTCGTTCGAAGGGCTCGCGACTGGGTCGCAGGGGCTCGGTGACGAGGCATAGGAGGCAAATGAGATGCTGTAGAATATAGTAGACGTAATAGATACATGCAAAAAAAGAGAAAAAGAGTCCGTGCCTATGTCTCCAATCAATGCTGCTCCTGCCTCGCCTTGAGGTCCTCGAGGACACGGATCATGGCATCCCGTTCTGCGGCCGGCATGGCCAGCAGATCCTCGACGCGCAGCTTTGACAGGCTGTGCCGCTCGCCATCCCCCGTCAAGAGAGAGACCCGCTGCTGCTGCCGCGTTGAGGCCGACGTTGAGGGCAGACGGCCATTGGCAGGGGCCTTTCGGATGGGCGAAGAAGAGGACAAGAAGAGACCAGCTGTAGACACCGAGAGGGAGGAGGACCTCGCTGCCCTGATACCGTCGCTGCTGCTCGCCATCCTCGATCTCCGCTCCTCTTCCTCCTGCATGATGCGTGCTGTGTAGGCTTCCTCGTCTGGCAGCGACGAAAAGTCGTCGTCGTCGTCGTCCCCAAAATCTCCCAGGGCCTGCTCGACGCGATGATGGTCCTCGTCGTGATTGTCATTTGACGAAAACGAGGAGGATGTGGGTGGAATTGCCCGAATGGCCTTGGACGGCCCTCCACTGCTGTCTCTGCCGCTGACTCGTCGACTGCCTCGGTCGAGGCCCTTTGCCAGCTCCAAGAGGTGCGCAGACGTGTCTGAAGCCTCGTCCTCTAGGCTCACCCAATTGCGTGAGGGCGACGCTGCAGCAGGCTGTGCTTTCGAAGACGTTCTCGAAATTAGGGTGTGCACGATTCCATCAGGCCCAATGACGCCCGTGATGGGGCTTCCATTGAGGCTCATCCACTGCACCTGCTCGCCTGCGCGCGCTGCGCGTGGTCGGGCGCCCATTGGAGTAGGGGGAAGCTTCGGAATCCCACTCGATCGTCCTGCAATGACCGAAGGCTCCAATCTGGGAGCAAACGTCGCCGCTGATGGTGGCCGAACCTTGGACGGAGACATAGATCCGGCGGCAATATCGTTAATCTGCCGCATTGCCAATGTCAGCTGGGTTCGCTCAGGTAAACATGAGGCAAGGGCTACGCACCATCTGCTTTTGCTTGCCTTTGGCCTTTGGCCTCGGACCCGTCTTGGCTTTCGCAGAAGCGGTCATCTTCTGCCTCGTCTTGGATGTCGCGGGCTCTTCGCTTGCCTCTTTTCGCTTCCGTTGCAGCTCTTCGACCTCCTCGTGCTCTTCTTGCGCTTTTCTGGCCCGGCTCGCCAGGAAAGCGGCCTTGGACTGAACAGCCTGGACGCTGCCTTGGAATTGGTTCACAAAGTCATGCATCGAAAGAAGCCGGACGGCGCGCGGCAGCTTGCCAATCTTGATCGTCATCATTTGTGTTCTTGAAGAATTGACGCTGCTGTCCAGCAACCGCAGTGCTGTCCTCAGCCGATTCTCCACTAGAAGATGGCAAGACAGAGTTTCAGCGTTCCGTTCACTGTTGAGCATGCACGAACAGGCTACCCACCTTCTAAATCGTAGTTGTCGAGGAAGCTTCGGATCTGCTCCTCTGGCATCCCTCTTTGCCTTGGCTTCGATGGTGACGAAAAGTATTTCGCAGGGGAGGATGCCTTCTTCGGACTGCTGCTCGTTTTCTCCTTCTTCTTCGGGCTGCTGCTTGACTTGTCCTTCTTCTTGGGCGTGCTGTGCATCTTGTCGGTCGAGTCTTTCTTTGGACTTGCGATTGCATCGACGCTGCTGCCTTCCCCGCTGTTGATGTGTCGCTTGCTTGCCTGCAGTGGCGCGACGCTGTTGACCCTTGCCTCCACCACCTCGTCCTCGTGGACCTCTTCGACAACCGTGTCTGGCTCCGTCACATCCTTCTTCTTTCCTTTTCCCTTTGCCTTCCCTTTTGGCTTCGAGGCTTGTTTCTCTTCTGGAATGGCCGGGGCCGCCTCTAATTTGAATGAGGAAGAAGAGCCGACTGCCTCGCCAGCCTTCGACTTCTTGGCCCAGCCCCTCGCGCCCCTCTCATCGTGTTTGGCGATCAGTCTGTCCAAGTCCTTGTCATCATCGGCCAAAGACGCATTTGCTTTCGTCTTTGCCGATCGTGACGAAACAGACCTCGCGGGCGCCACCGACGCCGTTGTCGCTCCTCTCGCCATGGAGAATCGTGGTCGATGGTGTGTTGGATGGAATTTGGTGTTGGTTTGCCCAAGCCCTAGTTAGACGCGCTCCCCCTCTTTTGGCGCGAAAGATTCAAGTCGGGTGTTTTGGCACGTGCTCCGGCGCGAGCGGTGGAGCAACACTCTCTGCGCCGTGTTCTGATTAAATTCCTCTCGACGCCCACTCGACTCATTGATCATGAAGAGCGAAAGGGGGATCGACGATGAGGGAGTCTCAAGATGCACGCTCGTTCCGAAAGCTGTATTACGGCCTCTTCCCTCGGGCGCCTGAGGATTTGGTATGTGTTGGTGCATGCCACCACAAGTCAGGACCAATGTTGACAAGATGCTGCAGCTCTCCAATTATACCCACCTGCGCACCCTCGTCTCGCAAAAGCAGTCCAAAGGCGATGTGCAGATCGATCTTATGCGGTCGATTCTAGGCCCCACTTCGCGTGGTTATGGTGGAATGCAGGTCGTGCTCAAGTCTATTGCCATTACGCCTCGCACATCGGCAAAGGCCCTACGTGAGGCTGCCATACATCGGGCCGTCTCACTGAGTTGGACAAGCGAGGCCAGAGTGCTTCCGCTTCTTTCTCATTTCATCACACACGTGCTTCCAGGAGCAGGAGATGATAAGGACGAGGCGAGTAGCTCCTCTTCGTCATCGAACGGCAAGCGCACGTCGGCGCCTCGTGCTACATCTACCTTTCTCGTCCTCGTCTTTCCTTTCCTGGAGCGAGGCACGCTCTTTGACTGCGTTGCAAAGAAGATGACAAGCCAGCTTCGGAGGCAGAAGATAGGGGAAGATGAGCTTCGATGGGTCATCGTCGAGGCGGCCTTGGCTCTCCAGCGATGTCATGAACGAGGTGTAGTCCATCGGGACGTCAAAGCGGAAAACATCCTTGTCGACACCCTTCACGGGACACCAAAGCTGGTGAGCCTTGTAATCAAATCCATTTTGACGGTAACGGCTCATTCCTTAGTCTGCCTCAGAGACTGGCGGACTTCGGCATGTCTATTTGGATCGATGAGACGAGAGAAAGCGAGGGCAAAGCCGTCGGGGACCAAGCCGACAGCACCCTGTGCGGGACCTGGGACTACCTCAGTCCGTGAGTCGGTACGCGTCAGGGCAGAGAAGATTCTTGGACCTGACAGTAGACATACGGGCACAGCGAGACTGCAACCCAAAGACGCACAGGGCCACCGTCAGACGTGTGGGCGCTCGGATGCGTCTGTGTCTGGCTCCTGACTGGTTCGACGCCTTTTGCAGATGAGAAGAGCCACGACCAGATCGTCGACCGGATTGCAGTGGGTAATTGGGAGGCCGCCCGGGCCCAGCTTCCCGACACGCTGAGCTACGAATGCCTCGACTTGTTAGAAGGAATGCTTCAAGTTGTGAGTAATCATTGTTGTCTGCCTGTGCTGTCCGGCCACTGAACGATTATTCATTCAAGGACGTCGGAGAGCGAATCACGATTCAACGAATCTTGAGGCATCCTTTTCTGAAGCCGGAGCTACCTCGGCGCGCCATAGTTGACACTGTCGATGGAGCGGTCCAACAAGCAAGGGGGGCTCGACTTCGCATGCCTAGAGCCTCTACACCACCGTCTAGAAGTGAAAGATCCAGTCTCTCCAACCCGAAGGAGCTGCAGATGAGGGTGCCTTTCGGGGAAAGGAACAGCACGACTCAAACACAAACGCCTACGTCGCTGCGCTCAGCTATGATCAAGATTCAAACAGAGTCACAAGTCGTTGACAAAGCCAAGGAAAAAGACGGCCGTCCGAGAAGGACCCCGTTCGGGGTCGTCAGGCTGCCAGCCTCTTTCTCCTCCCCATTTTCCCCACAGCGACCGGCCCTGAGGACCATCTCGCCCAGTAATCAGCCTCCAATAGAGAAGGAGAAAGATGCGAATCTCTCACAGCGGGATCGAAGTGAGGAGCAAGAGAAGGAGGCAGAGCTGGCGCTCACCCAAAGAAAGCGCGCAGATGCGTCAACGACCTGGGGCGGAGGTTTGGGGACTCGCGGAATTCCGCCACTGCGTCAGAGAACGGGAAATGAAGGACGTATGGCAATTACTCCGGAAGGAAGCGTGGCTGTTGTGACACGGATGGGGGAGCCACCACGGCAGCAAATGGCTACCTTTGTCATTGATGCAACCGGAAGCATCCTGACCGATTGTCGAAGTACGACGCCGGAAATGCACAGAGTCTCGGGAGGTCTTGACCCTTTCCTCGAAAGCATCTATGAAGGGGCCTGCAGATGGCTGGATCGCGTTCGAGCGAGGACGATCGTGGCTGCTTTTACTCTGCCACCCGATGAGAAAGAAACCAAAGATGAGGCGCTCCCGACAGCAGCTTGCCTCGTCCGAGCCAATAGAGACTTTGCCGTCTCCTGGCAAGGGACGCATGAAATTCTCCAGGGCAGTATCGAAGTCGACGTACGACGAACGACAGGCATGATAAGTATGACGACCCTATTACAGAGCTTCCCGACACCAGACGATTGCGGGAAGACTCAATCGACGGCGAAGAGGTATGCATTGCCTATCGCTTCAACACGGGATGGCTCGTGGACTTGCCCATCACTACAAGACGACGCCGATGACGAGGTCTCCAAGCGCGAGAAGCTCGCTGCCAGGAAGGCCCTGGCCTGCGCGAGAGCAGTGGACGATGTATTTGCTGGCCTGCCCTGGATGTGACCGTGCTGTATATTAATTCTTTCCGAAGCTTTGTGTCCCTATTTAATGTTCTGTGGACTTTCTGGGTCTTGGTTGCGCCACAAAGTGGAAGCAGCATATCCCGCTCCCGCGTTTCTGCAGATTCTCTCATCCGAGACACTTTAGACTACTGCTCTGTGCGCACTGAAAAACCCGATACAAGCACCCAGGCCAAGAAGTAGCTGACTATTTACTGCGAAAGTTTTCCAATTTAAGCCTCGTTCACGCCGAGAATCTTACGAATCTTACGAATCCTTGCCTGAGCCAGACCTCAAGGGTCATTCTCGTATAAAGGGCTTCAAGTCAGCCTCAGCAGATGTCCCTGTATCACCGTTTCTATCACCCGCTCGCTGCTGCTGCCGCAGACGAGTTAGAGCGATGAGAGCCGCAGCGACGACGGCGATCCTCGCCACGCTCCTTTTCGCATCGACGTCGGAAGCGGGCCGGAACTTTACGCTCCGCGACGATATCTCCGGCAATGGCTTTTTTGATGCCTTCACCTGGTGGGACTCTGCTGACCCTACCCACGGATTCGTCGACTACGTCTCCAAGTCCGACGCCCAGAAGGCTCAGCTCTCCTATGTCGACTCCACGACGGGGAGATTCGTGATGCGTGCCGACGACAGCACAGTCCTTTCGGCCGGCTCATCCACGGGCCGCAAGAGCGTGCGGATCCACAGCAAGAAGCTCATGGGGGACGGCGTCCTCATCGCTAAGGTGTCGAGGATGCCCGTTGGCTGCGCAACATGGCCGGCGCTCTGGACGAGCACGAGGGGCACTTGGCCCACGGGTGGCGAGATCGACATTGTCGAGGGTGCCAACGACCAAGGGCCAACAAATCTCGCAAGCTTGCACACGAGCAACGGCTGCTCCATTGCGGGTGGGTCTGGATACGGAAACCTTACGACCGTGGACGCAGCGACGAGAAATACGACATCTCTCACAACCGCAACTCTTAGACTGGACTCGGGCACGACAGAGAGCACGTACTGCGGGTACCAGCCCGGCTGCTCTGTGCGTTTCTCCGGCCAGAAGTCCTTTGGCAGCGAGTTCAACGATAAGTGCGTCTATCTCATAGCCAACGTTTGGCGAAACAAGATTGCTAATTTATTTCTCTTCAACAGCAATGGAGGCTTCTTTGTCATGACGCGGGATACCATCGCCGGTGGATCCGGAGTGAGTCTCTTCTGGCTCCCCTTGCTAGGATCAGGACCCAAGCTGAATTCAAAACCCTCCTTTCCACCCCAAAGATTTCCGTCTACTTCTGGCCCTCAACCACCGCTCCTCCCTCTCTCCTGACTTCGAGCCCTGCTGCACCCTACTTGCTCCTGCCCGACCTCAACACCTCCTCTTCCGCCCTCACCACCTCGTCCGAGGGCCAAGACTGGGGCGTGCCAGCGGCCCACTTCCCCAACAATGCCACGACGTGCGAAATGGACAAGCTCTACGGCCAGCACGAAATCATCATCAACCTGTCCCTCTGTGGCGACTGGGCCGGCGCGACCTTTGACTCGGTCAGCGCCTGCCAGCTGACGGGCTCGTCGTGCGAGGCATACGTCGCGCGTGAGTTGCTCTGAGCTTCTCCTCCTTCTAACGTGCGTCAAAGCTGACTTGAATGTGGGACCGCGTCTCCTTCCAGGCAATCCATCGGCCTTCACGAATGCTCGCTGGGAGATCGACTACCTGCACGTATACACCGACTCTGCCCTTCGTTCCGCTCTCCGTTCTCACCAAGGTACCCTAGTCACCGCTCTCGTCGTTTGCGTCTCTGCACTGCTCGTCTTCTTCTAGTTTCTTTAATGGGACATTCGCACATCATCACGCTCTGTTGGTCTTGTACAGTACATTGTATAATCTTGCTAGCATGGAGACGCCAGCAGCTAGAATGATAGACTCCAGTCCGAAGCACACGCGGTGTTCATTAGAGGGCAGGGTGTGCTGCTGCTGCTGCTACTCTAAGGGTCCAGGCCATTGATGTCGAGCAGCGTTTTCCAGTCCTCTTGCGCCTCCTCGCCCGGCTTGCCAGCAAATGCCTCGTCGGCGCCCACCCACTTCCAAACATCAAAGTGGTGATTGAGCCCTGCTTGCTCCTGCACGGCGTACGGCCCACCGTCTTCTGCATGCAAGCACCTCTTTCCCTCTGGCAAATGAGCCCCGCAGCAGCCTCCGGCGCGAGGCGACGGTAGAAGAAAGTAGACGGCCTTGACACGGGAATGAACGAGGGCCATGCAACACATGAGGCAGGGCTCGTGCGTGGTGAAGAGGGCAAGATTGTTGAGGAGGTACTCCTGGCCGTTGGCAAGCCGTTCTTTGTCCTGCTTGGCGTTCAGCGACGCCGTATCGGTGGACTTTTGAGGCGACGAAGACATCGTGCAGACCGATGATCGACCAGGTGGAGCAGGTGAGGAGGTGCGAGGTGTTGATCCCGTCAGACCCTGGAAGCTCGGGTGGCACGAAAGGGGAACCGACGAGGCTGACGATGACGTCGACGAGGACGACGAGGGCCTGTGGTTGATGTCTGCATTGCGTTGAAGCAAAGCCACCTTGGCATTGACCGTTGGCAGGCGATCAGCATCTCGCGCGATCCGAATGCTGGCCACACTTGTAATGGCATTCTTGACGGCGTGCTTGAGAGGGTTGCGCAAGCTCTTCCTTGTGTCGTACGAATCAACAATGATGGCATCTGGGCTTTCGCTGGATCCCGTTCGCGAGTAGGCTGGGCAGACATGAGCCCCAATCGCAAGCTCGCCGTTGGCCTTTGCCCTTCGCGCATTGTCGATGCACTTGACGAAATTTCGCCTCGCCCATTCCGTCGCATCAGGAGTCCAGGATCGTGCGTCGCCGGCCCGATCGACAACCATGTTAGGCTCAGGGCCCATGATTGTCGGAGAAGCCGGTGTCGCGGTGGGATCATATGACGGTATCTCTGGGAGCTCAGAAGGCCGAGCGATACCGAGCTTGACAGACACAGGCCAGTGTGCCTTCCACTCTTCCAATCTCTCGCGGCTTGGGGCTGGATATCTAGGGACCTGCTCGACGTATGGCTCAACCCGTTGGCCATCGTCTCCAAGCTGAGCATCGCCAAAGAGTGTCATGATCTCTTCGTGGGACCAGTCATCGACCTGCCCGATGAGGGCACATAGCTCGACCTTGCCTGTCCGAGAGTTTGTGATGCGATGGAAAGTGCGCAGATGGCGCATGGTCCCGTAAGTGTCATCGTCTACGCCCTGCCTGCGCTTTCCCCTTGGCTTGCGAACTCCCTCTCCGTCGGCCTCATCGTCGGCCTGGTCGCTTGCGATTTCAGGCTGCTCTCGCGCTTCCTCTGCGGCAGCTGCAGCTCTCTTTCTTTGACGAACCACTTCGAGGAAGGCTTCAGACTTGCGCGGTGCGATCTTGAGGATCCAGACGTCCATCAGTTCCAGGGGCATGGTGTTGGGGTCGATAGCAGCAGTGATGCGCCAGAGCGGCGCGGCATCAGGTCCGACGGGATCAGGAGGCTTGATGAGCATCTTTTCCATGTTCCCGTTTGGCAGCACGACATTGCCGGTCCTCTCGTCGCAGTCTCCGGACTGATGCCCGCCCCTACGCCTTTCTTTATCTTTGAAGTCGATACTGTCTCTGTTACCACCCACTGAAGGCTCCACCTCATTGACTACTTCCTTTTCACTCCCTTCTGCTTCGAAACCCGCGAGATTGAGGAGCTCTTCCTCTTCTCCATTGACAGCCCCCGCGATCGCCTGTGGCTCCGCCTCTTCTGCTGTCTCCCACCACATCTTCCCTGACCCATAGCTGATGCAGAGTTCCTCGCCTGCGTCCACATTCCGAGCGAGTGTGTAGCGAATCGTCTCGCTCGGCTTATCCAGACTGTACGACACATTTGGCGAATTTGGCGAGTGGTTGAACAGAGAGCCTGTCACACGACCATGACCACAAGTCAGCTTTCCTGGGTCTCGCCTCTGGGGACCTTCAGGCATGTGTCATGATCGATCGATAGACGACTCACCGATTCCAAGCGCAAGCGCCATCGTACTACCCTTGCCACTGCTCCTGCTCCAGACGTACGTGTACTCGTGCAGGAGCGTGTGCTGCCCATGCTCCTCGTACTCCTTGGCGTCAAACAGCAGCACATGGCTGACCTCCACGACCGTGCCTGCCTTGAGTGGCGTGGCGGCAAAGACGCCTCGCCCCGCAGATGCAGTCTGGCGAATCTGCAAGGTCCCAGGTTGGACGATGGACGTTCCCATGGGCACAGACGACGTCGACGCTACCTTGGATGGCAGGTACTGCACCACGTCGACGTCAGCTCCACTCCGACCAGTAGCTCCTCGCGAGCGGCTCACCAGCATCGAGGAGGGACCGCCGTTCCCATCCGGTCCCATCTCTTCGACAATCGACGGCATCTCTCCCGAGCCCGTTCCTCTCTTGGGACTGCGGACTGCGATTGAGAAGGTGTTCAACCTGCAGGTCCAGCTCCCAATTTCTTCCAAGCTAAAACCAAAAAAAAAAAACAAGGGCGCAAAAAAAAGGAAAACAGTCAGAGTCAGATGGGCAGGGCCATCTTGTCTCTCAATTTCAACCACGTGTCGTGGTGACCTTGAACCTTATATCACACCTCTCCTCCATCAGCGTAAGGACTCCCATAGCTCGCTCGACCGTCAAGGACAGACGGCGGAGAAGGGAGCAAAAAGAAAAAGAATGAACTGCAGCACCCAGGATTCCCGCGTGGTCCCCCACCGCAGTACTGACTAGGCGATACCGTGCTTAACTTCGCAGATCGGACGGGATGCGGTGCTTTCACGGTTCTATGGCCGCAGATACTTATGTAGCGTTCATGAAGGGATATGAACACAGATTGACAATGTTGTTTGCTTGGATTGCAGTATATGCTTGAACAGACTATGGATACATTTGGTTTGCTTTGTTCGACGTTATCAACCTGACCAGCTCGCTACGGGCCCCCCATCCTTGAACAGCCCTGCTCCGAATCCTCGGCTCTGCGGTGTAGTCGTCGCTGATTCGTCCTTGTCCAGCGAGTCGTGTCTCCGTACACCATGAGTTTGAAGATACCTTTCGACCTCTTCATCTGACTCGTCGCGTGATTGCTGTGCTGGCTCCGGCCAGAGTTGGGCCTGACCCTGCCCTTTGAGCTTCCTCAGCTCCTTGAAGAGGCTTGGCGGTCGCCTGAAGACATCTCTCGCCTGGTTCAATTCCTTGCTGTACTCGCGCCACGTCATGCCATTCGGAAGCGCAAATTTAGCCATCATGGACGCCATGCTCTTGTCGATCCGAGGTTGCTCGTCGGCCTCCGAAAGAGCTCGAATCTGCTTGGGACTTCGCTGGTCCTTGCGGTGCTGCGCCACGGCTCGGAGAACCTCTTGGCGGATTCCATTGATGCTTCCGAATGTTTGCATGAGCTTCAAGGCCCTCCGCGAGCCAATTCCCGCGACAGTGCGATTGAAGTCAGTGCCGCAGAGCAGGGCAAAGTCGAGCATCTTTCTTGCGCTCGCCTTGTCCGCCTCGGCCTTACTTGCTTCATCCTCGGCAGGCTGTGGAGGAAACAAGGTGAGGCGGACCTGCTTGGCATCGACGAGCTCCAGTCCTTTGGATCCGACGAGCCCGCGCAGCAGCTTGACATCGTAGAGGAGCACATCGCTGTCCTCGCTCGCGACGGCGTCGGCGTGCCCGTCACGAACGAGCATGGCCGCCATCGCTTCGGCCTCGTGAGCCCTTCCGCCGGTACGAGAGCCGTCGCCAGTCCAGAGGACAGGAATATTCAATAGACGACAAAGATCGGCACAGTCGTCGAAGATCTGAGGCGAGAGAGGCTCCGAGGAGCGGGCGTAGGCCCTTCCTAGGACCTGATTTTGGGCGGCGATCTCGGTCAGCGCCAGGGGCTCCTCAGCAGGAAGTTCGGGCGTCGTCTTGGAGAGGGCTATGGCGTCCGCCGACGTGGCCGTCACATCTCCTTCTCTGCATTGCGAAGACTCAAGGGCCGCATACAGTGTCCCCTCGAGCGCAGTCATCTTAGCTTGCGCTGGCGTCTCGGGTGGGAGCGAGACTTCGGCTTCCTCGGTGCCTTCCCTGGGTCCAGTCGAGACAGCGCTCGCTGCAGCTTGGAGATGGAGGTATTCACGCCTTGCTGAATCGATGCGCGAGGCGATGGCGATGGTCGCCGATGACTCGGCCTCCTTTACTTCGGACCAGATGCCATCGTATGGCGGCTGTCGTGCTTGCCATTCCTTTATGTCGCTCTCTGCTGCCTGGACCAGCTCCTCGAGTGGTGCAAGGTCGATGCCTTTCCAGTCGTCCTCAACGAGCAAGTCCGATGATGGCCGCACAAAGACGGCCTCGTGAAGCTTCGCGTCGTCCAAGGACACGAGAGCACCCTGGTCAATCTCGCTTTCTTCAGGTCCTGCCTCGGCCTCTTCTTCAGCTTCGTGCGTCTGGTCGGAGAAGCGGTCCAACAGAGTCGCGGTCTGCGAAACAGGGAGCGGCGCCTTGCTCTCTGACCAATGTCTCAGCAACGACGCCACTTCTGCCCGTTCCGTGTCCTTCAACGATCTCCACTGTGCCAGTGCCTGCTCCAGGTGCCCGAGCCGATCGCGTCTCAGCTTCTCGATGAGAGACCTGGTCGAGAGGCGAGTGCGCGCCTGCTTCCTCCTCGCTCGTTCACGCTGCTTCTGCGGCATTCTGGCCGATGCCGCCGGGTTGTCAAACACCATGATCGGTCTGACGTTGGCCGCCTCCAGCGCGCGCGCCAGGCGGTGTATCCCAATGAGGTGGCGGCTGGCGTGCGCGTCATCAGCAAAGTGCAACCTCTGCACAAGCAGCGTGGCATCGATGGCTAGTCTGTAGCCAGGTGGGAGCTGGCTGAGCGACGAGAGCTTCTCGATAGCGAGGGGCGCATGCTGCTTGATGAGCGGAAAGATGCCACGGATCCCCATGACCGCCTTCGTCGCCTGCATTGTCCTCCCCTCTTTCGCTACCTGTTGCTCATGCCGCAACGAGATCGTTGCCAAATCAATCAGAACCAACTAGCTGCTTACTTTTTCTACTATTGGCGCGTTTTGACGCGCATTCATTCGCATTCTCGGACAGACTTAGACCGAGGACGCTTCTGCCACACGTGAAAGCAGGCGGCTTTCGACGATCTCCACACTCTCCTCGTTCTTCTCTCTCTTCTTCCCTTCCGAACCCTTCTCCCCCTCATCGAGAATGAGCAAATCGTCGTCGCCGTCGCGGGCGCCGTCGGTGTCGGGCTCTGAGCAGAGCCTTGGAGCGCGGAGCAAGCTGCAGACGCTCGCCATCGAGACGCTCCTCTCCACGACGCTCTCGTCTGTCGCCTCGGCCCCTCCCCGCCTGCCCGTCGCAAAGAACAAGGAGCCCCTCTCGTTGCCGACAACGACGCGCAACTTCCGAGGCTTTGTCCAAAAGAGCGGTCCCATCTTTTACTTTCAGGATGCCGTCGAGGCCACGCTCATGTGGGACGATTGGCCCTGGACGGCGATGTGGATGGCCATCTGGGCCCTCGTTGCGCTCCACCCTTATCTGCTCCTGTGCGCCCCAAGTGCGATCTTGTCCATCATCCTCATCAGGACCCATCAGGCACGCTTTCCCGTCGGGCAGCCAGCTGCGGTGTCGCAGGCCAATGCAGCTGGGGACGACGATGTTCCGCTGTCACCCTCTCGTCCTCCCCCAGGCGCAAAGCAGCCGGCCGTCGAAGCGTCGGGGCTCCTGACTCCTTCACCTGCGCAGTCGCTGCGGCACGCCATGGAGAAGCCGACGAGTACGGGAGAGGGTGCAGTGCGGCCTCCGCTGGTCCCCAATCCACCGCACGAGGGCACGATCAAGTACTACGAAAATCTGAGAGACATCCAGAACATGTGAGCGGAACCTGCCGAATGCGATTCGAGTACCGTGACAAGAAGATCATGTCATTGACCCCCCTATACTTTTATCTTTTCAGGATGAAGATGGTCACGGATGGCTACGATGCTGCAGCGCCCATGGTGCCCTACCTCAACTGGTCCTCGTACCGCCGCACGCTCCTTCTCCTCCAAGCCTCGCTCGTGGCTACTGCGCTCCTCTTCTTCCTCGGCCCTTACCTTCCCATTCGACCCGTCCTGCTCCTCGCCGGCGAAGGAGCTTTTATTGCGAACCATCCCTGGCTGCAGCCTGCCGTCTCGGGTATCACGAAGCGCCTCTCTGACGAGAAGACTGCCGGTCGGACTCCGCTGGGCAGGGAGCTTCGGCGCATGGAGGCAAGGAGCAGGGCGCTCAGAGCCAAGCTTCGAATCTGGATCGAAGAGGATGGGCTCGACGACGTTGTTTGGCAAAAGGGATGGAAGGATGTCGAGATGTTTGAGTGGGTCTCTTTGCTGTCTCGCCCTGCTCCTTCCCATGGTCAGCTTGCTGATCGGTTTTTCGTGACTTTAGAAACGAGCGCTACGTCTCGCCAGACTCTCCCGGTGCCGCGGCAGGGACAGCCGGCTGGAGCGCTCACAACCTGACATTTGGCGAACGCAAGGCAAGTGTCTCTGCGATTCCTCTCTTCAACTCATGCTGACACAGGTGTCCTTTAGCCATTTACAAAGGGCGCAGACGGGTGGTCGGCCGAAGAGCTCGAAGTAGCCGGCTTCTCGCTCGACATCAGGTGAGTCGGCCTCGAGGTCATATGCATTCTTGTTGAAGAAGAATGCCAATCTCACCGCCGAGTTTCGCTCTTTCACAACAGCAGACAGGTGGCCATGGCCCTCGAACCGGGCTGGGCGTGGGTGGAGGGCGACGACTGGCGCATCGACTGGGTGGGCGTCTGGTCCGGCGTCGGCGTCGACGAGGACGGCTATGTCTACACCGACGCTGACTGGCAGAGCCCCGCGGGGTATCCGTACGGCCACAAGGACCATCCGGCCTACCCTCCCGTCCTGCCATCAGCGCCTGGCAGCGAGTCGGCGATAGCTAGCGATGACGAGGAAGACGGCGATGGCGAGGTTGGACTGACGGGAGCAGAGGTCAGACGGGCAAAGGCAGAGACACGGCGACGGAGGTGGCTCCGCCGAGCCATCTGGGTCGGACAACAGCAATGAATGAGACACAATTTCGATAGTTTCAACTCATGCTGCTCTGGCTTTAGATTGGTGCTGCAACATTAATTCCCAACTGTCCATTGACCTTTACAAGACACCTCCTCACACAGAATGAAGCGTGACGGGCTGCTCAGTGATCAATGTCCTCCCAGCCCCTGCCGACTGTCTTTGTGAGCTCGTCCTGCGTAAAGCTCTTTGTGGCCGAGTAATAGCCCGCAAAGATCTTGGCGTCAATCTCGACGTGGGCGTCGGTCGGCAGCAGGTGGTCCGGCAGCTCCTGGCGCTCGACGACCTCGATACCGTTGGAGACGAGGGCATTATACTTCATGTCGCTCATCGACATAAACTTGTCGATGCGGCCCACGCCAAGCCAGTTCAGCACGTCTGCCGGGCCGATGTTTTGGAACCGCATGTCCTAGAAGGAAGGGTCATGGCGTCAGCAGGTGGGAGGAGTAGTATGAAGAAAAAACAGGGCAGAGGAGGCTCACCTCGACACCGGCAATGTTCTGGGTGCGCTTGAAATACATGGCTGCCGAGTCGGTTCCCCTCTTCCGGGCATTGTAGACTGTGGTCATGTACAAGCCAAGATCAGATTCTTTGTCGAGGAAAGAAAAGGTAAATGAAACTCACCCAGGTACTTGGTGACCTCGCCGAGAGCCCTGCCTTCCTTCGCAAAGTAGATCACAATACCGCTGCCACCTGATTGAGACAAGAAGTCAGCAATGCACGAGAGACGCTGCGGGAGAAGACACTTGCCTCGCTGAGCAGTCTTGATAGCCTCTTCGATGCCGTACAGAAGATATGGCCGGCAGGTGCAGATGTCGGAACCAAAAATGTCGCTACCAGAGCATTCTTGTGCGACGAGGAAGTGGGCGAGTCAGCTTATGAAGAATGATGTTCGCACGCAGACCACACTCACGATCGTGCACACGGACGGTCTTCTCTTTGGTTGGGTCGCTCATGTGTTTTGGATCCCCGAAGATGTAGACGGTGACACCGGCGATAGGGGGCAAGAAGACCTTGAGGTCGTGCCGAGTGAGGAGCTCGGGGAACATGCCGCCGGTGTCTTCGAAGAGAGCTCTCCGCAGCTGTCCTTCTGGCACGCCCAGGCGATCGGCAATTCCTGGGAGGTACCAACAAGGGTCAATGGCCGCCTTCGAGCAAGCCACCTCGATACCAGGGTCGACATCATCAGGCGTGCCCGGCAGCCTCTCGGAAGGGACAACGATCTTGTTGTCAAGAGGGATGCGGCCCAGCTTGAATGCTTCGTCGATTTCTGGCATCTTGATGTGTGCCTTCGTCACAGCAATTGTAGGACGAATGTCGACTCCATCCTGGAACTCTTGGCGGAAGAGTTGAGGTGCCAAGTGTCCCCAAGGATCTAAGGCCACAATCCTGCCAGGAGTAAACCAATTTGGGTTGGGCTTAATGTCGAATGGAGGCTCCGTGTTGGTGAAGTCGGGTCGGTGGTTGGGGTTGAGCTTGCCGACGGCCACGGCCAGAGCGCGGTAGACTGGCAATCGCTGTCATGAGCGAACGGACACAAAAAGACTATGAATCTGAGAACTTACCTGAGTAAGATCCTCCATAAGCGCCGATGCTGTTCCTGATCTTGATGGAGTTGGGGTGTCTTGACGCGACGACGGGACCCCTCTCTTTCGGGTCTTGAGCATACCACTTCAGAGGCAGAGGCCTGATGCCTGCCTGTCCAGGATAGGTTGACAAGATCACTACGCACGCATTTGTTGTTAATTGAAGTCATGGAATGCGGTCCACGAGGGGTAAGCCAGACTCACCACGACTGCTGTAGTAGCTTTGCAGCTCGCTAGCCGTCTTTGTGGGGCCCGTCTCAGGCGTCTTGTCCGGGGTGTTGTTGTTTGTGTGGGGCAGCGCACCTGCATTGGAGACACCAGACTTGCTTCCCAGGATAGATGCGGCTTCGAGTGGCGGACCGAGAGGCTGCGAAGGCGGGCTCGAGGCCAAAGCGTGGCCGTTGCCAAGCGAGGAAAATTGCTCGATTGGTCGATGAACGGGCGAAAGACCAGTCGAAAGGCGACGGGTCTGGACCGAGGGAGATGAGAGCGTTGCAGCGCCATGGAGCTGATCCACCTGAAGTTGAGCAAATGGTAAGAAGTCAGTGGCTGATAGGCTCAGTCCATGCTCGATCATAGCGCGCCAAGCCAACCTTTGACTCGAGCTGGGCATTGCGCAGCTTGAGATCATTGAGCTCGCTCAAGATCTTGGCCAGCGCCTCTGTCGTAGCAGGATCGGCAGCTGACATTGTCGCTGTGGCGTTGAGCGATCTAGGACAATGTTTTGAAAAGAAAGGCTGGAAAGCTTGGTCGTGCTGGATGTCGAACGAGAGAGAGACACGCAAGATAAGCTGGGCCCTGCAAGGATATGCAGGTCGCCGCGCCAGCGCCGATTTTTGGTCCGTGCGTCGTCCCCCTTTGAGCTTGAGCCGAGCATCGAACGGAAATTCACCCGATGATTTCTGAGGGCACAGTTTAAACAGCTCAAGCTATCGTTCGCCTCTCTCAAAGGAGAGGTTGAGGGAGGGGAGTTCAGTTCATATGATTGACGGCTACTCTACATTTGCATCTTGTGGGCTCCTTTTGAGCTCAATTATCTCCTTCTCGACCTTCTTCATCTCGCTAAGTACTTGCAACAGTGTACGGTTGCCCTCGGGCGACGCACTTCCAAGGCCTTGCAACGCTCTTCCAAACTCAGTCTGGGCTCGTCGAAGCGATGGTGGAGGGAGTGCTGCAAACTGATAGAGAGCATCGTACGGCTGGATCTTTCTGGCCTTCTCCTTTGTCGCTGTTGCTGCATCGTCTTTCTTCTTCTTGTCATCATCTTTGTCCTCTTTTGACGGTTCTGCAGCGACCTGCTCAGTTCCCCTCCTTCTCCGGAGCCCGTCTTCCTTGCGCAATAGTTCCACCTCCTTTTCTCCCGCGACCTCGCCTTCTAGCGCTTCTTCTTCGATCTCCCTCTCGACGATCTTCCAGCTTCTATGCTCCTCATCCCAGCTTGTCCCCTTCCTCGCTTTCATCCTCGCGTCCCAACCATCCTCCCCGAGCCTGAATCTGCCCAGCTGCATCTTTGCTTTTCCCAAATGCAGGTGTCCTGCCCCTAGCCGCTCGTCGACGTGCTGTCCGCGAAGGACGACGTACTCATCCATCAGCTCCAGGTACCGAGCGAGGGCTTCGTCGAGGTCGTCCAGCTTCGCCTCTTGCATCTTGCTCAGCTCCGCCTCCTCATCCTTAGCGGCGTCCTCTCCCACTCGGTATGGCTCTTTTCCTGCCTCGTTGTCAGACTTTTCGACTAGTGACTGTCGAAGAGACGCTGGCATCTCTTCGAATGCGCTTGCTACCTCGTTCGGTACGTTCGAATAATTTGCTGAGACCCTTTCTTTTGCAACTCGACGCCCACCTGGTCCCAGCCGATCTTCGAGCAAGATGTCGTCTTCTTCCTCACCCTTGCCAGCTCGTGTAGCTTCTGGTAAGCTCGAAGACCCAGGAGGATGGGCTATTGAGGCCGGGAACCACCTCGCTCTGAAATGGACAAACAAGATCCATGAAAGGACGCCATTGATGAGGACGGAGATGCGATATGTGTGTCGGATCCCGTAGACGAGCGTGGCGCCTCCCACGAAGAGGAACGCAAGCCTCGTCATTGTGGCTTCGGCTGGCGATCGTGCCCTCTCGAGCACCCTGCCGCTGCTTGCAACCTGAACAACGACGAGAATGGACAGAATCCTCGAGGCATCGTGGTCCGAAGACGAAGCCAGAGGTGCGATCCAGCCATTGACGAGATTTCGCGCCCAGACAAACAAGACAGGGGCGTGCAACGGCACGATCCAGAACAAGAGATTGAGCAGAAGCAGGTGTTGGGCGTGCTGGTCCGCTCTCGCCGCTTCTTCCAGCGCAGAGCACCTTCGAAGCGGCAAAGCAGAGCGAATCGTGATGACGAGATGGACGACAAAGGCCGCAAGAACAGCGAACTGAATCGGCACGGCGGTCCAGAGGACGACGATGACGAGGGCGAACCCGACGAGCGTCGACTTCTTCAATTGCACCTTGGCTCCCTCCGTCTTTGCCTCTCCATACGAAAGTTGCAGAGGTAAGGACAGCGAAGCATCGAGCTTGCATGCTCGCGAGACTGAAGCTGCGACCCAGACGAGACCTTCGAGAACGAGCGAGACCCATAAAGCAAGCCCGCAGGCGGCGACGATGAGGAGAGGGCCGAGGATGAGGCTGAAGATGAGCGGAGAGGAGCCCAAGCCGACAAAAACATCCTGGACAGCTTGAGACGAAGCCGAGGTTGATGCTGGAAACAGATTCAAGAGCGTTTTCTGAACCACCACAGCCGTGATGGAGATGAGCCCAGAAAAGCCCATGAGGTCACTTGCGTGCCATGATAGAGCCGTCGACGGCTTGGCGAAGCTCCCTGCAGCAAAGACGAAATGAGTACTCTGACCACAAGAAGCGCACCTTCCGCCTCACGACTCACCACTCTGGTCCCATTCGTGCCAGATGAGCGAACAAAGAGAAGCGACAATAGCAAAGGGAAAGGCGACGAGAGCAGTTCTGTATCTTGAGACGAGCAGCCCGGCGCTGACCGTCCAATTGATTCGGACACGGATCCCAGCCAGCTCGTTGCAAGGATCGAGGAATCGCTGAAACACGGTACCTCTTGCTCTGCCCGGAGGCATGTAAGGTGAAGTGCTGTGCAGCGTCAGAATTTTCCGCTGTTGGGCCGCCAAATCGATAGAGGGGTAGTACTGTATGTCGCCAGTTGACAAATCCAGTGCTCGAACTAGAGGCGCTACGCTCTCAAGGCCTTCCTTTCCGCTACAAGAGCCTGCGCTGGCCGTTCGGAGGAAGTCGAGGTCATAAGCTAGCAAGGAGCTGTCCATGGACGGGATTCTGACACTGTCGGTGTCAGGTTCAAAGGAGGCAACGAGGCCCCAAACGAGGGACATGATGCCCGCTGGCTGCAAGGACAGGTTCTCCGAGACGAAGCGAGCGTCCAGTAGACCCGCGTGATCATCCTTCCTCTCGACTTCAATGCGATCAGTGGCCGTCTGTTGCAGCTGAGATGACGAGAAGTACAATTTTCGAAAGCCGACGCCGGGCAGCTCATAGCGAGCTTCAGCTTGCGGGAAAGGCTGTTCCTCGGCTGGTGACGGTGGGAAGACGAGGAACGCACTCGGAGAAACCGCCTGACAGACTGATGAAGCGCTACAGAGGCGAACCTCAACGGCCGTCTCACCACTGTCCGGGCCAAAGACATCGTCTGGTCCTACGTCGAGCGAAGTGAGCACCTGGATAGCCTGCGGCGAGGGCCCCACTCGGAAGCTCTTGACTTGCCCCTCTCCTTCCAGCTGCCTTTCCGCCTTCATGGGAGGTGCGTGCACTTCTTCGATGTTCTCGATCCCCAACGAGATGCGCCAATGCTCCCTTCGCTCCCTGAGAGACGCGCCTCGGCCAACGTCCTTGATGAAACCTCGAGCGATGCGGTAGCGCAACTGATCGCACCACATCATGGCGAGGTGATCGACACCGCTCCAAAGGCCCGCGAGACTGGCGGTGAAAGCCGAGAGAGAAGTATCGTCGCTAGTCAAACGTGCGAGTCGAAGCGAAGAGGGCTCCGAGGCGAGCTGGTTGTCGAGAACGCCGCCGCTGAGCGAGATGAGGAGCAAGCTTTCCTCGCCATTCTTGTCAGCATTGTTGGCCATATCCCAGGCTTTTCGATTTACACGTGTGTATACACCCTCAACTCCGACGTCGAGAGGGACGGGCGGGTAGGCATGTGGGCTGGAGAGGGTGACGATGGTGTCGACACTTCCCTCGGGGTGATTGTCCTTGTCCAGCATCAAGCGTGCCACGAGGCCTCCCATGCTGTGTCCCAGGACAGCAACTTTGACCGGACTGGATCTGGTGGCGTAGACCTGGTTCACGAGGTATTGAATGACCTCGTTGAGGTACGTTGCCTGCTCGTCCATGGTGCCGCCGTGGAATGCGGAAAAGTCCTCGTTGAAGTCGACCGTCCACCAGTCGAGCTCTTCTTCATGCTGCCGAGCTCTATGCTGGTGGTGCGAGGAGCTGGCCACACTGCGAACCTGTCCGTAGCTACCTGCGTTGCCTGGCACAAAAAGCGCCGGGCGGCCCTTTGGGAGATCCTCATCGGGGCTACGGTGCAGATCAGGTGGCCGTTCCCGGTAGAGGAGTAAGCGGTATTTCTTGTCGAGGCCCGAGGGAGACGGAGGTGTATGGACGACATAAGACGGCCACATGCGCGACATTCGGCAGCGCTGCTCCAGCTCCAGCGAGCGGGGCAGTGAGAGGAAAGAAAGCCCGATCCGACCCAGGATAGCGAGGGAGAGCAGCAGCAGGCACGCCGACGACAGGAGGAGCGGTCGGCTGGTCCAGATTGATCTCCGTCTGCCACTCGCATCGGCAGCCGCGGCAGGCCTTGCCGTTCTGCGCCTGAAAGGGCTAGGCCACATCTCTACTTCCTCTTCCTTCTCCTCCCTCTAACGTCGGTGGTTGCGCAGCTTGTTGAGAAGGACAGTCTTCCGTCCGTGCGCACGAAAAGAAGCAATTCCACGTGTTTCAGCTGAGCTTTGTTTCTTCCCTTTCTTCTCCACCTCGCACTCTTTCTTTTCCATTCCCTTGCTTGAATCTGGCAGAGTCGGAGTGACCATGAGCTCCTCGCAAGCGGGCTCATCGAAGCCCTCGTCTGTCGAGGCGAACTTGAAGAAAGCCCTTGAGCTCAAGGAGGAGGGCAACCGCCTCTATGCCGAGGCGGCAAACGACGCCGATGCGCTCCTTGCCGCGCTCCGTTGCTGGCACACGGCCCTCCTGCATTGCGCAGGCATCAACTCGTTTGCCAGCATGTATGGCGCCAAGTCGACGCCCGGCCAGGACAAACGCGCACAGGACTTGACCGTTGCGCTGCGTCTGAATCTCGCAGGTGAGCGTCACAGAGAATCTCACCCCTTCGTCTGCGCTGGGCGCGGGTGCGTAAGCGAGAGCTGACTGGGGACACTTCGGAAACAGCATGCTACATCAAGGAGGCCAAGTACGACAAGGCAATCTATGCCACGACAAAGGTCCTCGAGACCGACGACAAGAATCTAAAGGCTCTCTATCGACGCTCCCTCGCGCGCCTCCGCACCGGCGACCTGCAGCGCGCGGCCCAGGACCTGGATCTGGCCCTCGAGCAGTCGCCGAGGGACCCCAGCATCCGTCGGCTGGCTGCTGAACTCGTCGAGAAGGAGCAGGACCGTATCGGCAGGCAGGGCGAGGAGGAAGCGCGAAAGGCCGACGAAGAGGAAAGGAAAAAGAGAAGCGAGGAGGAGGCCAAGCGGCACGACAGCCTTCGCGAGAAAGAGCAGAGCCAGCCAGCGTCATGATGGTCCAAGGGTAGCCCGGGCAACAAGATCATGGTCGAGGGAAAACCTTTAGCAAGAAAGCAAAGCAATGATGTATTTGTAGTTGTACAATGATGATGATAATAAAGAATCTCACGCGAAATGGATCAGGTCCAGGCTCGCTGCTCGACACACGCCGCCATCGATGTTGCGGACGATGACAAGCTTGTCGAGAGGAATCGGGTTTCTCTGCTTCTCCATTCCCGCCTCCTTCTCCGTAACTGCTTGGCCCCTTGCTACATCCCTCTTTACAAGGTCGAGCCACGCGATGAGGCTGATACTGGCAATCGCCTGCCCTCTGCCTCTCGACAGCGAGTAATCGCCCGTCGTTACGGCGCCCACCAGCGTATCCTTTGCCGCACGTTTCGACTCCAGGCGATGAAGCTCCACCTCATCGCGTTGCTCCTTTTGCTTCTCGACGGCCTCCAGCGTCTCTCGCCAGTGAACAGCGTCCCTCTCTCGGAGATGGTGAATCTCGGCAAAGGGCCCAAAGGCACCCTTTCGGCACGCGGTGACGCGAACGCACACGAGCACTCGTGAAATGTCATGGCCAAAGTCAAGCCTGACTGCATCTTCACCGCCAGACACGTAGCGTTCGACGAGCTTGCCCATGTCGACGACTGGGCTTCCTTGAAGCTGATCAACCTGCTCTCCTGTTCCCGTTCGAGAACCAAGCTGTGCCGAAGACGAAGTGGCAAGCATCCACGGTGCTCTCCTCTTCCTTTTATCTTCTTCGCCTCGGGACCGCTCGAAGCGGCTCCCATTGGCCACGCATGTCTCCCATAGTTCCCTTCCTCCCCACGGGAATCGGATCCCTGCCCGGTCGTAGTTGACGCGCTTCGCCGGCGGTCTCCGGCTCCATTCGGCCTGCGCTCTACTAGCCTCCTCATCCTGGATGAACCGGCCTGCTGCTGTACCCGTCCAGTCATGCGGATAGCAAGGCGAGCCAGAGTCAAGCTGAATCGAGCGAGCCTGGACCTGCCCAATCACACGAACCGTGCCAGGATCGCCGTGGGCCAACGAAAGCCAGAACGGGCGGCCCCAGCCTCGAGGGACGATCAGAGTGAAGCGGCTCTGTGCGCCGCAGAGCACGACCACGGGTACGACATCGTCGCTTGAGCTTGGGAGCAGTCTGGAGCCAGGCACAACGAGCTGTAACGGGAAAGAGAAAAGCTTGAGCAGTGAGACATCATGACCCTCTCCCCGTCACAAAGACAAAAGATGACTCACGTGTGCTCGGCGGCTGTCAATTTCGCCCTTTGTGTAGGTCGGCAGCATTGCCCCGTGGGTGAAGAGCCTTCCTCTCGCCAGGGTTGGGTCACCAACCACGGTGCTCTTCTTCACTTTCCCGGCACCCTCTCGCCGCACATCGCCTACGGCCCTCTTCTTAGGAGGGTAGCTGAGCCGGGGATCGTGAACATCGAAAGCCATGACGGTGCCTGACTCGATCTTGGGGTGTCGCGATGCGAGCACATCGTAGGCCTACAACAACAGGTGTGGGTCAGTCATCTGCGAGACGTCCCATGGTCAGTGACGCAACGCACCTCCTTCTTAACTTTGTCCGTTGACTTCGGCAATCTCAAAACAGAGGCCAACAGAGGCCCGGCTTGAGGACCGGCAATCTCAAAGGTATTGAAGCCCTCAAGCTTCGCTGCCGCACGCTGTATCGCAGCCAGAAAGGCAGCCGCCGTCCTCTTGCTTCCCGGAGCAATCGCCTGGCTGCCATGTCGGCGACCTTTTGCGCCAGAGCCGGCCGAGATGACTGGACTGGGAATCGCATTGAGGCGAGTGACCTGAAGGTGCCCCACCATCTTCCCTTCCACCTTTACCTCGGACTTTGTCGTTTGACAAGCGCGCTTGACTCTGCCGAAGAGCATGTCGATGTTGGCAGGGTGCGTCTTGAGGAGGGCTCGCCGCGGTTTTCGGTCTTGCTCCGGGATCCACATCACCTGGACGGGCGCTTGAGCGGCCGGCAGAGAAGACATCGACGTCTGCTTGCCTCGCTCCTCGTTGCTGAAGCTCATCATCGTTGTCTCGCAATACTTCGTGCCTGGGCCCCAGATGCTTGGCTGCCAGCCATCGAGGATGCCCGCAGCTGCCAGAGCTCTTCCCAACGCCTCCTCAGCGGGCATCTCGCCTTCCTCCGCTAACGAGTCGATCCGGATCCATGATTCGTAGCTGCGATCCATGACAGTAGCACGCGCCTTCTGCGCCCGCCAGCTGGCACGATGCGACTTGAGGCTCGGCTCCTCGGCCAGGCTGAAACCCCACCGGGAAAGAGTGGGCGACGGCAAAGTACCCCTCGGACCAAAGACTTTAGGGCGCAGCGAACTCATGCGAAAGCGCTTAGCGTGCCAAAGATGTGTTTCGAGCCACGCATTTGCTCGTCTTGCCACGCCAGCACGGCCGTATGCACCTGTCTTACCCTTTCTGGCGCTCCTCAAGGCCCGTAGCACCAGCTCGGTATGGCGACGCGTCTCGACTCGGCGAGGATACGCGCCCAGGCTGCTTCGCCCCTTTGCTGACCTCCGGTGTCGAGACTCTGCCCTCGATCTTGGCTCCGTCTTGCTGGCTCGGAGCTCAGCGCGGCCTTTGCTGCGGAGTCGCTTGGGAAGCGCGAGCAAGTTGTGCGAGGCATTGCGGCGCCGTGCATGTCTTGGTAGCATCTGCCATGCCCGCACGTTAGACCCCTCCTTGGATGCTGCTCGGGCCATTGCAGCTCTGAGCGAAGCGATCTCCTGGGCATGTGCCTCGAGAGTTGAGTCGACGCCGAGCTGTCCGGGCAGGTCTGGTCCTCGCCGCTTCTTCTCATCGTTGTTGCCCACTTTGATCACTCGCGACTTTCGCTTCTTTTCCAAGAGCCGCACTTTCTTGTTCTTCTCCGGACCCTCCTTACTACCTGCTGCAGCACTACCGCCTTCGCCGTCGCCCGGCTTTCTCTTGATGCCGGCGGCCATCATCGTCCGGGATTAGTCGCTCTCATCGATGTCTCTCGATGGAAAAACCAGTCAGTCTAATTTTTTATTTGAGGTTTTTTTTTTCTTTCTCCACTTTTCCCGCGTGGCGCTGGGCGCTCGAGGGCGTTGTAGGACGAGAGACCTTCGCGCTGTCTGCCACGGCTCCGCACCAACAGACCTATCCCAAGCTTTACTTCCTCCTTTGTGACACTTTCCCCTCATTTGAGTCTTTGATGCACGATGAAGAGATCTGATTCGGCCTCCGGAACCGCCTCTGCATCCGATAAACGGGCCCGTGTGGAGATAGAGTATCCCCACGAGAAAATTCTCGAGGTGCTACGCATTGGCAAACAGCTTGACGATTCACTAGGAAGCGGCGAAGGGGTACAACACGCAACGTCGACCGCAGCGGTTCTTCTTGATAAAGTCCAGTCACTGTTACGGGAATGGCAAGGAGCCTTCAGGCTGTCTGAGGCTGAGAGCTTCGATGTCATCGGTAAAGACTGACTGCTCTCTGCTGCGCACGCGCATATATTCTGACATCTGGGCACTTTTCTGTAGGCACTCAGCTGTGGAACTCGTCGCAGACTCTACAGAACGACCAGTTCGGTGATGAGCAGCGCTTGCAGCTCGTAGCAAATAGTTGAGTGAAATTTGTGTCTCACACTGTAGCAAGCCAATGTAGTGTTTCTCCTTCAGTCCGCTATGCAGCTGCTCTCCTCGTTCAAGCCGCCTCGTTGGACGACCAAAGCGAATTTGGTAAGACCTACCTAGCTCCGAGAGATCAATATGTGCTATACAAACCTTGTTGCCCTTCATAGTCGAGCAGAAATGTTTTATGGTTCTGTCAATGGCCGCAAGCGCTTCAGCTCTTGCCAACCGACAGGAAGACGCCAGAGCGCTCTTAGAGGAGGCCGCCAAAGTGACTAGGCTTCTCGTGTCAGCGCACCTTTCGCTAACTTTTCGCTCCCACAGTACGAAGGCAAGATCTCTAATCGTCAAAATCAAGAAGTCACAGCACAGGCGATGAATGCTCTTGTCATCTACTATCTTGCTCGCTTCCGTTACGAGCGTGTGAGTTGCACTTGGTGGATTAGCTTGACCTTCAACTCTCATTGAATCATGGGACTGTCTCTCAGTGCGGTCGTGACGAAGACGGCCAACAATTAGCTGAATACGCTCTCGATAGGGCAAGCGGTAAGTCATGACCTCCGTCATCCGCGACAGAGGCTAATGTTGTCATCTCTAAGAACATTTTCTCAACAGTGATAATGATCTACAGGTAGTTTCTTCTGGTGAGAATCGTTCCTTTGTGCTGAAGTATCTTTCAGCTTGGCATAGAATTGTCGACTTGCTTTATCGAACATGGTGCAACGCTGCTCGAACAAGCCCTTGTCCAGAAGGGCGAGAAAGGCGAAATGTCGAGAAGGGGCGTCGATCCGGCCGTCAAATACCTCCGCGGAAGTACTACAATCCTGGATCGGTTGGACAACAGATCGAAGTTGCGCGCTCTGTTACAAGTTAGTGGAGTGGGCCTTTCGAGAATCGATGTAGAGCCTGAGACGACATTTGAACAGTGCGAAGGCCTTCGAAAGCTCGGTCAGTGGACATTCTTTTCGGTTTCCATGCATGGCTGATGGTTGAATCCCACAGCGAGAGCCTTATTTGAGCGTCAAGACGAACAGAGAGAAGACCTCTCAGCCGCCGAGGCAGCATTGAGTGCTCTCTATAGTCTCTACGAGCAGATTAACGACCCTAGAGGGCTTGACGAGGTGAATAGATTGCTGACATGTAAACATGTTCCAGGCTGACAGTCCCTACACAGCGACCTTTGCTTCTGCGTCTCAGCATCATGCAGTCTAGAGGCGTTTCGGACCCCGACATGCTCAAAGAGTTGGAAGTGACGCTTGCACGTATCTCCGTTACGGAAAAGGCACTCGATAGCATCGCAGACTTGATCCGGGCAAGAAAATTCAACGAGTGGGTCCTTTGTAAGGTACAGCTCTAGAAAAGCAACTCTGATCCATACAAATCACAGAGGATTTTCAGCGACCGCTATGAATATGGTCATGGAGCGCCTTCTCAAGGAAAAGTTGACAAAAAGATTGGTGCCGAAGCTCACGCTTATTGCTTTGAATGCGCTACTCAGCGGAGAAACCAAGATCGCGATACAGCTCGGAAAGTTTTTTGATCGTGAGTCTTTCGTCGGCCAAGAATGCTGAAGCGCAATTGACCTCGCCCGATAGTCATTGTCGAAGATGCAGAAGTGGAGATCTCTGAAAGCGAAGCAGGCTCTTGGCAATTAGTCAGTAGCAATCATAGCGAGAACGAGATGGGCATCACTCAAGCTTGAGACATGTTCTCAAGATCCTGTGGCAGAACGGGGATCAGCGACTGGACGGCTCCAATCATTTCGAGGCTTTGCGCATCTTCGAGCTGGCGATTCACAAGCTCTTTGCTAAATTCTTAGCAAACTCTACAAAGATTCGCAGGTGAGAGCACGAAAGTGGAACGGAGCCGGTGAAGCTGCTCAACACCTACCCGTAGAAAGGTGGCCTTGATCTATATTCAACAGGGCGAGCTTGGAAGCGCGGAAGAGGCTCTTGCATTATGCCAAAGCCAGTACAAGGTCGAAGCTTTGCATCAAATCCTCCTCTTCATCATCTTTGTCCGTCGAAGGGACGAAGAAAAGGCTCTGTCCTCAATAGAATCGATTTGTAGCGCTACCGACTTTCAAAGCACAATGCTTCCGCTTGTAAGCCCTTGAAGAGTGTCTGAGTGAATTGGTAGCTGACCCCTCTCGCAGATTGTGACTGAGGCAAAGAATGCAGAGATGGAAAGCGCGATCTTGCAAGGCCTTCACAAAATCTCGATCTTGCTCGGGCAAGACGAAGCGCTTGCCAAATTAGTTGATGCTGCTGCAATCGGGAGGTGAGTCTTTCGTTCTGACGCTGATAATCGCCAGCTCATGTTGCCTCAGGAGCATTGTCATGTTTCTTATAAAGGAAGGGGAAGCAGACCAGCTGGAGTAGGTAACGTACAGAAAGAGAGAGGGTTACAGCTCATAATTTAACTTCTACAGCTCACACGGCATCGAAGTCTTGCTGCAGAGCCTCGAGACCAGTGAGAGACAACAATTCCGGTCCGAAGACCGTTCTTGACTGATGACAGCTTCAAAAGGCCAAGCTGCATTTTCCCGATGTGTCTCGGCTCAGGTCTCAGACGAGTGTCAGAAGCGAACGATCGAGGAGATAGAATGGCTAGCAAAGACAGGTGTGCTATTCAACGTCGGTAGAAACGTTTGTAGGTGGCTGATGTGCATGTTTCTGTGTTCCAGTCTATTGTGCTGCCATTCAACGAAGCGAAAGCCTTCCGCCAGTCATCTTCAGGCAACTTTTTGACCACGTTCAGAAGGTGACCGTTCTAGCACCTTAATAATCATACTGCGCTGATACAGAGCCAGCGCCTCAGCTCTGCGAGACCCGCCGCTGTTTTGAAGCACAATTTCCGAACCTCGATATGAAGAAGATAGAGCAAGGCACAATACTGTGCCTTCTCGTCGGCCACGTTCAAATTGCTCGCTCCATCGCGGAAGAAGGGGAGACAGTGAGTCGATTGCAGCATCGCGTTAGAGAACGAGAACAAAAGGCTGAGGTCCGCGTCGTAGAGGCGGGCAGCATGGAGAAAAGTCTCGGAGTTTTGCGACAAGGCAAGCCTTATCGTTGCTGAGGCGCAAGACGATGTAGAGAGCAGAGACGAATTGCCTGTGCGTGTCTACCTCGTGCTCTCCTGGTTCGAGACTGACATGCATGGGGCACACCAAAGCAAGCCTTGATGTTGCTTGTTGTCAAGTGCCTCACAGAGCTCGAGGATTGGTCAACGGTCGGGAGCATGATGCAAGTGAGGAGACATCCACGACCTGTGGAAAGGAATTTGCTGAAGCGTATCTTCCGTGTGTGCAGAGCGCAGGCGAGCACACTACAAATGAGCTCTGGGAGGGTCTCATCAGAATCATCTCTTCAAATCAAGGGACGCCTCCCGAGCTTACCAGGATGTCAATCGAAGCGAGTTCACTCTTGCTATGATCTAATGCAGCGACAGATTGGAATGACTGACCTCTCTGACCTAGATGCTCTTGGAGCATCTCTGGCAGAGCAATATCGACCAGGAAGGCCGAGTACTCACGACCCTCGATGGTCCAAAGATGGCCTACTGGTTTCGCACCCTGCTCGTCTGCTCCTTTGACTTACCGCACGGCCAGGAGCGGACGGACAAGGTGGCGGAAATCTTCAAGCTGGTGTCCGATATCGTTGCCGAGGTGAACAAGGCCATTGAGCGAAATAAGGAGGAGACAGAAGGTCAAGGCCCAGATGACGCTGGACCAAAGGCGCTGCCTTTGGACGAAACCCACTGGTTTTGCGTGCAGGCGGTCAGTAGTCTTTCCTGCATCGCCAAAAAAGAAAGATTAGCTGACGCCACCTTCGGCAGTGGAATACTGGTCTCGAGTACAAGGAGTGAGTGTGGTCTTCATCAATATTGAGCCAACGACGCTGAAATTTGCACTACGAAATCTGCAATGCTAGCAACGGAGACGTTGAAACTGGCAAGAACTTGTGCAAGCACGCCATCAAGATTGCAGGGGCAGAGCCAGGTTGCGCTGCGCGGTGCAAGATTTTCATGACCCAGTTCAGGTGAGAGAGAGACAGGAAGCAGGGAGGAATCTGAGGAGATCGTCACACTCTTCTCCTCAGCGTCATTTTTGAGCAGAAAGCAGTGGCAAGCGTGGCGTCCACGATACTGAGCGACGATTGAGACCGCACATCGCGAAGAACGAAACGTATAGGAGCCCCAGGAACTACTGCTTCCAAAGAGCCCAATGTAGAAGAAGACTCTCATCTCACAATACGATCTAGAATAGCCATTTTGGATTGGGTTCGTAGCATGATTTTGATGACATGAAACGTGAAAGGGAGCTGGATTCCCTTTTGGTCCAGGATCTCCCCTCCGACATCCCGCTGACCCGGCCACTCCTTCGGCGCCTACGCCCTGTCGTAGACGCGTTGGGAATGAAGAAGGGCGAAGGATGACGAGACGAAAAGAGGGGAGACTGGGAAAAAAAATGATGCCGTCACGAAGGACGACAAATGAGAGAGTACACAAATTGGTTGGTTTAAGAGCACAGGGTCGACCGAGTTCGATAGTTGAGGGTGATGAGGTGAGAGCGAGAGAGGAGAGACAAACGAGAGCAAGGCGATGGCGGCGCAAGATAGCCGCTTAACCGTGCTTAGAGCTACGCGAACGGAGCTGACGGACGTAGTGCTCGAGCTCGTGACCCTCGAGGATGTATCCATCGGCGCGACCGCTCTGGCCTGGCCTCGAGCCTAGTGATAAAGGATGAATGTCAGTATGTTGCTGTGAGAGATAACGAGCCAGCCAACTCACTGATGCAGGCGTACAGCCTACCGCTGCCGAACTGCTGCTCGACGAGAGGGTCAAGGCCGCTGGTCTTCTGCCTGTTCTCGAGCTTCTTGGTAACGTGGTAGCTCTTCTTCTGGGCCTCAACCTCCTCGGCAGCACCCTGGCCGGCAGCACGACGCTTCGTCGTGACGGGCTTGCCGTAGTGCTTCTCGAAAGCGACACGGAAGGGAGTGGCATCGATCTGGATGATGGCGTTCTTCACCAGGGTGTTGGTCCGCACAAGCTCGTTGTTCGAGGCGTTGAAGACGACACCGAGGATACGAGACTTGGACGTGATGTTCTCCGAGCCCCAAGCGAAGTTGCCGCTATTCCAGATGTCAGCATCACTCTCATCTCTAATCTGCAAACCCTCGTTGGATCTGGCTTTGTGTAGATTCCCCTCCTTATCGTCGTCCCAATTCCACGCCCGTCAACCACCTGCGACGGTCGCTCGTCCTGTCCTCGACCACAGGCACCCTCTCCTATTAACCTCATGCATTACACCTCTTCCCAGAGAGCGATTTGTCGTCCATGCCCGCATCCGATCCCCTATACGATTGACCCCCTGCGTCCAGCCAACCAGTCCAACGAGGGCGAAGCTCACGAAACTCACCTCTCGAGCCTCAGAGCCCTGTACTTGAGGTTGCCACCCCTGACACGGACGGCATGGATCCTCTTGCCTCCAATCCTCGTGTTGGCGGCCTGGCGACCCTTCTCGTGGCTACGCTTCTTCTTGTAGTCCTTGGGGCGAGCGCCCGAGGCGGACCTCTTGTGACGCGAATCACGAGTAATACCCATCTTGTGTCTGTGTGTTGTCGACGACGGCGAAAGAGGGCGGCGGAGAGGAAACGAGGTCGGCGGCGGTCGTTGTCCTTGACGTCGTTTGGCGAATGAAGAATCTCAAAAGCAGCAGTCAATGTCTGCTTTGGCCCTTCCCTCTGCCCCTCCCATTCGTCTGGTTCACGTGCATTAAATCTTTTTGGCTGCGGTCTTGATCGCGTGGCGAGAAATTCGCACGGGCCATATATTTTCCGTCTTTAAGGTTTCGATCCACTCCTCACCATGGCTGTCAATTGGACGGGAGGGAACAAGTTGGTGACCCCCCTGCCGACTTGAGTAGCAGCGTCTATTCTGATCATGTATTCTTTGCCAGGCACATACCCAATGCTAAGGCCCGTGGCTACTACGTGCAACCGTACGTGAGCGCTCGAAGAGGCCTCCCGCCTACGTTGGTCGATCGCACTGCAGCCGTTCCTACTTCTTTCTATGACTCTCTGTCACTCACTGCCGAGCAGGACGATGACTGTTCCCTAGACAAGCTTCGGTGTAGCGTCGACCTTGAACAGGCGAGACAGAGTCTCTTGAAGCGGCCAAACTGGACTGCCTTCCCCTCAGCGGCCCCTCGCATTCGCGACCATCGCCCTCGAAAGCGCGGCTCGCGGAACAACGCATCCGCGCGGCTTCGAAGTGGCAGGGGTGACAAGTCGTTTTTCTCAAACTCTCCCGATCAGTCTCTCACTTCGTCGCCTGAGAAGAAACGCTTGTCTCTCTCCTTCTCCGGCCCTAGGTCTCCGTTCACTTCCAGCGACGCGCTTTCTCACCGGCACTCTTCATCACGGGGAGCAGCAAAAGCATCGAGCCCAAAGCGTCTTTCTACTCCTCCGTCGCACGCAAAGGCGTCGTCGAACAGCAAAGCTCCGAGAAAGCTCACGAAAGGAAGCTCTCATGTCTCATCCCCAGTTCCACATCTTTCAGCGTCCCATTGTCACGACCAGTGATTAACACCAGCACTGTTTCCACTCTACTTCTTGAGCCCTTGTGCCGAAGAGGCAATCTCATCCGTCTTTGCTGCGCATATGAAATCATTCTCGTGAAGCTTTTGTCCGCCGAATGAATCAGTCAGCTTCTTCCCCGCCTCTCTCTCTCTACCCCGTTCTTCGGACTCACCCCGTTGATCGCGTGCGTCCACCAAAGCACAGTCACCTATCCAAAATCCATGTCCGTCCAAACTTGAGCTCTCTTTGCCTCACAGAAGCTATCAGTCCAGCCCCACAGACTCACCTTCCCCCACTCTGTGATCAGGGCCGGATGGTGCTTCTCGACCTCGGCGACCTCATTCCCGACCCGCTGCGCAAACGCCTGGGCCGTCTTGAAATTTCTAAAGCGAAACGCCCGTCGGAGCACATCGACTCCTGGCGGCGAGAAGGGCTCGAAGCTGCCGATCTGCCATGGCTCTGCCGAAAGGTCCGGAGTGTTGCCGAGCTGCGCGAGGAGAGAGGCGTAGGACGTAGAAGCGACGGGCTCCGACGATGCGTTGCAGGCCTTGCACGACGAGGAAGCTAGGCCAGGCGACGAGGGCGACGACGATGACGACGCCATCCTTGCTTGCTGCCGCAGTGGTGGTACCAGGATCCGTGGTGATGCTGCAAAGGGATGTGACACTGCTCTCAAAGCTGTCGCCATAAGTCGCCTTCAGACCGCGCTGATTCTGGTTAGAGGTCAAGTTCTGAGTGGAGGTGTCGCGCGCTCGAGCCAGTCAAAGACTCTAAAGTAGGAAGAACTTGACATTTCTGAAAAGAAGGCAAGGTACAAGTGGTGAGACGGACATCTTGAAAAGAGGGTGATGATATCGTGCGATGGAGGAAGAACATCCAAGATAAGTTAAGGCTATGGACAAGAAGAATGTGATTAGGTAAAGATAGTCTAGCTTGCGGTGCCGTTTCCGTTGACGTAGCTATGGTTGCTCAAAGCCAGATCAGCCTTGTCGAGATCGCCGGCCGAAAGCGTCTTGGGCCCAAGTAGACCAGGCGTGCTCGCCCCGCTCATGCTTCCCACGGACGTCCCACGGTTCCTCGTCTTGAGGACAAGAGGAAGGCGGAAGCCCTCCTCATCTTCATCCTGCTGATTGATCGCCTGCCAGAACGACGAGCCTCGGTAGTCGCTCGTGCTGAGACCTTGCATGTCCTGTGACGAAGTAGGTGAGCTCGACAGTAGGGCCAAAACAAAAGAGAAGGCCACCTCACCTCTGCAAGTGTGCCAAAGTCGCCCGGGGTTCTGACGCCGCCAAAGCGGGGCGAGCCGGGCATGGAAAGGGGCGGGGGAACCTTTGCGCTTTCATCAAAGTAGCCTGCCTCGTCTTCTTCATCGTCTTCAAAGGAGTCGGGGTAGGCGCGGCGCAGAGCGAGCTGGCGAGCCTTTGCATATTCAACGCCCAAGCTCTTCCAGTCGAGGAGATCGCTGAGCCTCTCGCAGCGGTTGCGCTGGTTGATGCGCTGCCGCCTCGTCTTGTTGCAGAAGTCAACCATGTAGTCGGTCAGCTGGTTGACGCTGTCCTCGACGCTCTTCATGCGGCGGTCGACGATGTAGAGACCGTAGTCGGATGTGTTCTCGAGCGTCTCTTCGAGGAAGCATCCCACGCCCGACAGGTTCGTCGTGATCGAAGGGATGCCCATGACGGTGCACTCGGCGGGCGTGTAACCCCAGGGCTCGTAATAGGAGGGAAAGACACCCAAGTGGCAGCCTCGGACAAACTCCTCGTAGTCCAGGCCCAAGATGGGGTTGTTGGCGTTGAGGAATTCGGGGTGGAAGACAATCTTGACACGATCCGTAGATCGGTTGAACAGCTGTACTCGTCGAATTTGGTTGAGGATGGGGTCGTTTGCATCGTCGGCCATGTTGTGCGTCGTGACGGGGGGCAGAGAATTGCGCTTGAGGGCAAAGATACGCCGCTTGAGCAGAATCTTGTCTTCCTCCGACAACAGTGTCATGGGGTCGACAATATCCATTCCGCCTTCGCCAGCGTACCTGGCCGTCCGCTCAAACAGCCTCTCACCAATGCGCTTCTGAATCTCGTCGACGGTGTCGCGAAGCTGCTTGGTGACGGCCTGACCTTTGAGCGCTTCAATGGTGTATGAGTTGGTGGCTGCCGGCATGATGATAAAAGCAACGACGGTGGTCTTGCTCTTGGCTTGCTGAAGCCGGTAGTTGAGTCTGGCGAGCGACTCAATGAACATGTCGACGCCCTTGTTGCGGTACTCGTAACGTCCCGCCGTGAAGAAGTAGAGAGTGTTCTCGAGGTCAAAGTCATAGTGACCGTAGAAGTGACCCTTGATAAACTCGTTGATCTTTGCCTTGCTCAACGCATGCAGATTCTGGAACTCGTGCATGGCCGAGAACTTGACAACGTTGAGGCCGTTGGGGAGGACGCCATCGGGCTTGCGTTTGAGCAGATGCTCGCTCTCATAAGCGGTGATGTGCGACACAGTGGTGAAGACGTCAGCACAGTGGGCAGCAGATCTCTCGATGCAGTACCGGTGGTAGATGCCTCGCTTGCCCGCCTCGTGGTCCACGTCGAAGTATTGGAGATTGTTGTAAAAGTCGACGCTTCCAGCACACAGGTAGCGGCCGAGAAGGGTGGCGTGGGTCGTGAAGATCGTCGTCACATCGATGCGCCGCTTACGGCACAGGGGAATGGCAAGGCCGGCTTGCCATTCGTGAAAGTGGGCAATGATGGCCCGGCGGCGCTCGTGAATGGAGTATTCTCCAAGGAACCACGCCACGAGATAGCCAAAGATGAGCGTCTCGTTGGTCTCGTGGTCGCTTGGAGGCGTGGGGATACCGGCCAAGTTCCACAAGTCGCCCTTCCACTCGTCCATGCGGTGGTACATAGACCCAGTGTCGAAGAGGAGCACCTTTGGCGCGCGTTCGATAAGCCAGCGTCCGTACAGGAATTTGACGCCGCGATCCCTCATGCTGTCGAGCGTCTTCTTCATGGCCGGATCCTCTGGCTCCATGGCTTCTACCTCCATGGGCGCCGTCTTGTACGACAGAGGGCCGATGAGGCAGTAACGGCTCCCATATTCCTGCGCGGTCACGGGCGCCTTTGTCTTGATAACTGTGTAGATGCCGCCCACTGCGATGATGAAGTCAGCAAGTCAGCCTAAGACCTAAATCAAACCTGATGGCAGGGCACTCACCCTTGTTGGCCACCTCCCAGGCACACTCAAAGAGGAGGGGGTTGTGGACATCTCTGCCCCGTCCGTCCTGCGACATCTGCGACATGATGTCTGGCTCTGGACTATGATGCTGGGTCGAGAGATAGGCGTCTAATTTGCCTTCGAAGGAAGAAGAAGGGAGAGAGGAGAGAGGGTCAAATGTGGGGAAAACGACGGCGCCGCAAAGGCAGAAGGGAGAGGAGAAGGGACAATCAAAAGTTAGTTCTGCCGCGGCAGGATTGCAAAGCCTAGAACATGAATGAATACAACACACCTATTCCCTTCGACTGTTGATGATCACACCTGCTTTGCGAGCCGTGCTAAGCCTTGCGAGAGTGTCGATGCTGCTTTCGCAAGTAGAGGCGAAAGGGGCAGGAGGGCACGAAGGGGAGCAACGGGGAAAGGCTGGTGGATGTGTGGGAAAAGGAAGGTCTGGTGAGCCTTAGCTGGCGGGCGGAGTTCGCGATGCGGTCGAGCCCACCCATTCGCTTGTGGAGCAGCCACTTCCTTAGCCGCGTAGTAAAGTCTTTAGATTTTGTATTCGGCTTGTCAGAAAGCGTTCCTGCCTGTCGTCATTATATCGAAATTGGAGCAGGCTAGCAAATGCGCCCGAGATTTTTTGTAATTGAGCTTTCGTCGTCTGGGGAAAATTCACCGTTGCTCAACCTCTCATGAAAGGCTAGGCGCCGCCAAAAGCATACCTTTTAAGCACCAAGAGCGACGCCGCGCAGCATAGCTAGGAAGAGATGCTTTGACCGGAGCCTACATTGCCGAGACTCACCGGGCTCTACCAAGTCTATTTACAAGTGTGCCGATAAATTGATCGGTCATCGCCGATACTTCATCTCACTGCAACTCTTGGTATAGCACTCAGAGAAGGCCCTTATTCTTGGTTCTGGCCTGTAAAGCGAGGAGAGACATTCCGAATTCTTGTTCCCAGGTCAAAGAACTCTGTACGAACAAGGTGAATGTTTTTCGCGCAGAAGCCAATTCGGCCGAGATCCTAGCCCGGTCTGAGAGTCTCCACGCTGGCTTGAGCTTCGTCTAAACTATTCCATTCGCTATCAAATCATGGTCCATCTCAAGAAGGCTCTCGGGGCGGTGGCTGCCGCTTTCATGTTTGCACCTTCGGTCAATGCACAGGCCAAAATCACGCACCAAGTGAGTGATCTTGGGCCACCTATCTTGTTTTGGCTCCATTTGCTGAAAACGGCATCTGGTAGGTCTACTTTGACATCACCCACGGCGGCAAGGATGTGGGCCGGATCACGATGGGCCTTTACGGAGACGTGGTGCCCAAGACGGTGAGTGGTCTTCCTTTGGTCTCAGGCCAGGACGAAGAAGGGGAGTCTCGGCGCTGACTTTGGACCTTACACTCATCAGGTCGACAACTTTAGGAAGCTCGCTACTGGCGAGATGGGCTTCGGCTACCAGGGTAGCTCGTTCCACCGTGTCATTGAGGACTTCATGTGAATCATTTCTCCAGCCTTCTCTGAAGGTGCCCTTCATCTGACGAGCCCTTCTGGCTTCCCTTAGGATTCAAGGTGGTGATTTCACCTCTGGCGATGGCCGAGGCGGAAAGTCGATTTATGGCGAGCGGTTCCCCGACGAGAACTTCTCGCTCAAGCACGAGGGCCCCGGCACATTGTCGATGGCCAATGCTGGCAAGGACACCAACGGAAGCCAATTCTTCATCGTGAGCTTCTTCCCTCTGCTTACTCGTCCTCGCGGGCTTACGCAGTAGCTTTCCACAGTGCACCGTCAAGACTTCCTGGCTCGATGGCAGGCACGTCGGTGAGTCTGACGCAAAGAGGAGCTTGTCTTCAACTTCTGATCATGTTTCCTGTCTGCGCCACAGTCTTTGGAAAGGTAGTCGACGGAATGGACGTGGTCCGCTACATCGAGAAGGTGCCCAAGGGCTACGGGGACCGGCCCGTCGAGGCAGCAACGATCAAGGCCAGTGGCGAGCTCCCAGTCGCCGAACATGTGAGGGATGAGCTTTGAGTTTCGCTTTGCTCTTGTCAGAGGACCTTTCTCTGGGCGGACGGGTGTCATTCTTCACAAAAGGAGAGAACGTGGGCAAGAGGTTCAGACGTCTCCCTTCCGGACCTTTGACCTTTCCTACCTTCTCTCTCTCTTTCTCCCACTTCTTCCCAACCCTGTTTCGGCCCTCCTTCTTCGTTTCCCTTGTCTACTTGATCTGATAAAGAAAAATGTCAACCCTCTCTCCCTCGCTTTTCTCCCGTGTGTCTAGGTTGCCCAAGTCAGCGGGCCCGACCCTGCGCCTCTTCCGGCAAAAGCCCCGGCAGAGACCCCTTCCAAGGACACCAACGTCGTCATCCTGCCCCCTTCGGTCGCCGATGCCATCCTGTCCAAGCAAAAGGCGGCCAAGCACAGCCAGCAGCAGGCCGCGCTCGAAAAGCAGCCCACGCACCAGAGCTCGACGCTGCTCTTCCTCTTTGGCTTCTTTGGCCTCATCATCCTCGGGAGCTACCTCGTTCACCGGGCCGGCGGACCTAAGGCCGTCGAGATGGCGTTTGACCGAAGATGGGCCCAGTTCAAAGACACCATCTTTCGACGGAGAGGGGATGGGACAGGCCAGCGGGGACGTTACTCAATGGTCGAATCTGGTCTCCCTCGATAGAATGGTCTTTCTTCTGTTTCTTTCATCTTCCTTCATCTCCACTCTCCATCTCTCATAATCTCCTTGTAATCTTCCCTCCGTGCTCACTCTTCGGTCGTCTCTTCCCCCAATGGTTATGGTGCTACAAGATCATATGCCAGATCGTATGTGGGACGGGTGCCATAGGAACAATGTGTATGAGTGTGTGGATGTGGGATGCGGAGCTGCTTGACGCAAGCCCTGCTTTTTTCGTTTCCTTTTGACAATGACGAAGACCTTAAGCCTCGGTCATCTCACGAAGACGACGGATGGTGCTGTTGGGCGTCGATGTCAGCACATGCAGACGACACAAGACTTGCTTCAGGAGCGGCAGTAAGACAAAACTCACCTGCGAACAGTCGCCGCGGCAGTCGTCGAAACGGTCCAGGCACCACCAGCAATGACCTTGTTGCAGCTCCTGCACTCCCAGATGCCGACAGCCTTGCGCTTGACGCTGTCCTTGCCGCAGAAGGTGCAGGTGTATCGGCTGTGCTGCGAGATCTCGATCTTCTTGATCTGACGACGGAGCGACGAACCGTATCGGACGCCGTACTTTCCTGTTGGGGTCGAAAGGAGAGACACTGTCAGCATTCATTCATCTCTCTCTTCTCTCGACATCTCTTCAGCCTTGTGCCATCATCCTCTCCCATCTCAAGAGTCTTGCCCCATTCAGCATCCTCGTTTCCAAGACTCCCTGGTACACCCCCGCAGATGGTTTCCTCTTCCCACTCGTCCATTCGCCTGAGCCGACAGCACTCTCACGGTCCCACGTCGAGTCGTCCTCTCTTCGCAAACCACCTGGCCTCCTTTGAGTAACCTGAAGCTTTTCCCTTCCTGCGCCGCATCCCCTTTCTCCCTTGCATCACCCATCCCACAGCGACATAACCCCTGTGCCCTCTCCGCACCACGACCGAGACGAGACGAGATACCCACCGGTGATACCGGCCTTGACCGTTCGCTTAGCCATCTTATCCTACGTTGTCCTTCGAAAGGGGGTTGGTGATAGGGTAAAGGAGGAACTTCCAGGCGTCGATTGAGACTCTCAGAGAAACGCGCGCAACTCTTGCTACAATTTGGAATTTTAGTTTTCAAATACTTGTAATTGAAACACTTCAAAATAATAGTTGCTTGAGCCGCAGCTAACTAAGTCACATGACCTCGTTTCGACCGCTCTCATGAGACAGGCACCGTGACGGCAGAGAGCTCTTCGCAAAGTCAAGGTGTCTCATTGCGTCAGCGAGAGGGGGAAATTACATATCTTGTTGTTGCTGTTGCTGCTGCTGCTGCCGTTCAAGGAAAGCCGTGTTGAGTTTTCTCGCAGCCATCTCTAGGAATGCCCTCCGTTCGTCAGTCTTGGGGAGCATGGTAGAGGAGCTTTGAATCGACTGTTGAAAGAATGGGACAGGTCAGAGCGAGCTTGAAGGAGAGGCGAAGGGGAGTGACTCACAATGATGATCTCTTCAAGTCGCTGCAGGATCTTCTGGATGGCCTTGGAGCCTTCTCTGACGAGTGGGGCCGTCTCGTGTGCAACCGAGGGAGGTGGTGGACCGACGGAACCTGATCGAATCGATGATGAGATGCCCCTCTTGTACCGTGAGGCGTCCGCATCAAGGTTGGCCGCTGATGCTGCCGAGCGCACAGCCGAAGAGGGCAGAGAGAGGTAGTAATCGAAGTGACGGTAAAGCAGGACGAGCATCATCTCGATTGCGTCGAGCGCAGTCATGGCAGACGATTTGAGAGCGAGCTTTCTCGCCTTGAGCTCCCTCAGGGCGAGGCTCTGTCTCTTGGCCGGTCCGAGCTCGTCTGGCAAGTCGTCGTTGCCCAGGGCATCGCGAACAATCTCGTCCCATTCGTCCAGACGAACGTTGTCAGCATTGTTGAGCATGCTCTGGGCCGTCTCCATGGAAACCAGCGTCCGGCTCAGCATCGTAAGCTGTTCCTCGAGCGCGGCCAGAGCAATTCCAAGGCTGGGCACAGCCGTCGACCGGTGATGTGCACTTCCGAGGCCGTACCTTCCTGAAGTCGTCGAAGCGCCGAGTCCTACACTCTCGCCGAGGTCGTCAGGCCCCGCAAAGAGCGAAGACTTGCCAGCAGGAACAAAGAGCGACGAGGTGAAGCAGGGCCGCACTAGAGGCACCGCCGTGTCGAATGATGTGCTCCCTGTCGATCTCCCGTGCGCCTCGCTGGCCTGCTCCAGGTAGCTGAGCATGGTTGAAACAAGCCTCGAGACGGTTCGCGTTGCCTCCAGGTCGAAGACACTCTCCGCATCGGCCCCTCCATCTTGGCCCTGACCAGGACCAAGAAGTACGCGCGTGGCGTCCTCCTCCTCTGACTCGGTATGCGGGAGCACCCTCGACCTCCAGCTGGCCGTGCACAGGAAAGAGGCAGCAAGCGCCAGCGTTGAGGCGTGGAAGCTAGACAAGGGATTCGGCGGCGACAGCGCGTCGTCATCGATCGAGGGCAGGACAAAGACGAGGATCGCAACGATAAGTTGCGATTGGCCAATCGCAGCAAGAGTGGTCGCATCCTGGATCGGTGCCTTGAGAGTCGTCAACAGTGTCCCTCGATGCGCCTCGAGGAAGGAGAGGGCCTGACGAGGAGCGCTGTGGAGCGAAGAGGAGTTGCGAACGAATTTTGACAAGGCAGACTGGCGAGAGACCGCCGCGGCACTCGAAAGGATGCTCACGGAGAGTTGCAGGACAGGTCCCAGCAGCGCTTCGTATCGCTCCACGGCTGCAGGCAAGAAGCTATCGAGATCGACAAACTCTTGGTCATCCTCGGGTCTGGCGGCCAGGAAGTCGGCCTGAGTGAGAATGTCAAAGATGCGAGCCTCAACGAGCCGGTCAGAGCCGTCGCGAGTGAGCGCGAGCCGGTTGAAGAAAGCCATCTGCGCCTCGTAGACGTAGAGCGCATTCAGGCTCGTCGGGTCTGGTCGAAGCACGTCTTGAAGGGACAGGTCCATCTCGCGAATGTTGGCCACAAAGCTCTTGAGGAACCCTTGCCTGCTCAGCAGCTCCACTGTCCTGCTGGTCTTTGTCGACTCGCTCGAGGGCGACTCTAGTGCGCACAGGCGGTCCAGCAGCGTAAACGCCACGGTCCTCCAGACATCAGCAGCGTCGAGCGCGTCCCTAGCAATGATGGGGACTAGACGATCAAGGCTAGAGGCGAGTAGCGCCCTCGACTTTGAAACGAGGGCCGAAGATGTTCCCGAGCGGGCACCTGTTCTGCTGATTGTCGAGAAGCCCGCCAAGGATGCCGAGTCGTCCATGTCGCCATCGACGAGGGACGCAGTCATCGTGGCGCCGTCGTCGAAAGCATCGTCAGAAGACTTTGGCGGCGACTTGACGAGCTGGAGGTAGTTGATCAACGCCGAGTAGAGATTGCCGCGCGCAAGGACAGAGGTGCCCGGGCGGATGAGCGCCGAGATGAGGACTCGAAGGACCGACACCAGGCGATCGAAGGGCAGGTCATCGACGTCGTCAAGGTCCAGAATGGCGGCTGCTGCCAGGCTGTTGCGGTGGTGACGAAGCTTGGTGAGGAGCGCCAGGACAGCCCCCGCAACCAGGTCTGACAGGGCCGGGTCACTCTCAGGGGTAGGACCCGAGAGCCTGGGCAGGAGAGCACCGAGGCAATCAAAGATGATGTGCGCCCGCGCATCAGGTCGGAGGAGATAGTCGGCCCGAGTGAAGACCATGTCCAGTGCATGGCACCAGGCTGTCATGGCGCCCCGTCTTGCGAAAGCGATTCCTCGGACAGCGTTGCGTGCGCACACGCGCTGCAGCACCAAGGTGGCGTCCTGTTCGAACAGCGCCTTCTGTCGCGCATCAACGAGCTGGCCTCTCCGCTCGAGCTCCCTTCGAGCTGCCGCAAGGAGCTCCAATGTAGCATGGATGTCGTACTCTCTCGGTCCCACATCGGCATCCGGCCGTCTTGCTTGGGAGAAGTTGAGGTTGGCCAACAAGGCGAAACTCTCGCCCTGGTTCTCCCGCTCGTCATGCCACTCAAAGTCGAAGCTTGCGAGCAGCTCCAGCATCCGGCTTGGTCGCTGCTCAATGTTGCTTCCTCCAGCGGTGCCCATCTGTGACGGCTTGACATCTTCTTCCTCATCTTCGTCGTCGTAAGTGTCCCCGGTGTTCTCGACGACGCCGGCACCGTGCAGAGTCGCAATGAGCCTGGCAGCTTGTGCCTGCATGCCATTGTTGAGAAGCGTGTGCAGTTCCAGTGCCGCTCCACCAAGCAGATGAGCTCTGATCTTGAGCGAAGCGACGAGTGCATCGACAGTGGTAGAGATATGGCCACCATCGGCGTAGGTGACATTACCAAGGGCACCCTCGCCCATTGTGCGCTCGATGGGATAGTACGACAGCGACCGCAGCTGCGCCACAAAGAAGTTCTCCTTGGTCCGCAGGTATCGCAGCGTGGCTGAGCTCGTGAAGGGATGCGTGCAAAGGCGCGCAACGAGGGCATGGCACTTTTCTGCGAAAGCTGGCGCTCTCTCGGCCAGGCTCAGCGACGAGTCGTCCGTCTCTGGTCGCATAAGGGATAGAATGTCGTGCAGAGCGCCAGGAGCGGTGTCTGTAGAGTCTGGGTCGGGTATGACCTGCTCTTCCGGACGAACTGCGCGCAGGTCAAAGCCGAGGATGAGATGAGCAACATTGGGAGCAGCGACGTTGGAAGCCGTGTTGGCCAAGAGCAGGTCAAGAATCGCCAGCCTGATTGCTTCACTGGCCTCGGTCGTCGGTGCAATGAGACCTTCGAGCTCGTCGCTGGCCGGGCCCGAAGCACCTTCCTCGTCGGTCTCGCCTGCAATCTGCAAGAGCGCCTGCGTCGCCTTGACATGCGAATCGACGTCGCCTCCTGATTCCGCTTCCAGACGGTCAACGCAACCAGCCCGGACACGGTCAGCCTCGTCGCTCATTTCGAGGAGGCCCACAAGCCTGTTCATCTTGCGGTGATAGCCCATCTCTCCAAATCGGTCGACGCTGCTGAACGCCGGGCTCTTGGCGATGAGGCCCAAGATGCGCACCGAGAGAAGCGCAATATCGTCGCGATCGCAATTGATGTAGAGGGCAATCTGCACCACTGTCTGGTAGGCGTGCAGCAGCCGGTTGTCAAGAGTGTCGTATGATCCCAAGTGGCCAACCTTGCCAGCGACATCGACGGCGGCAAACTGGACGCCTGACCCTGGTGCAGCGGCTTCAGCAAGGGTCGGCAGCAGCACCTGCAAGAACACGTCTTGAATGCGCAGGACCCTCTGGACGATGCGCATCGCATGGCGGACGGAGCTGGCGAAGAAGAGCGTCTTGGCCTGGTTGTTGTTAATGACTTCAAAGCCCGCACTCCCCGACCCATTGACATCGAGGACGGCCAGGACTTCATGGAAGAGCTTGGTGCCCGTCAAGATCCGCTTCATAATGCTGAAGCCGGGATGGAGGACGAGGCTCGCGAGTGTGGCCGCATCGGGGGCGCCCTGATCAGAGAGGAGTGCCGAGAGGTCGTACGAGACTAAGCACCTCTCGACGAAGTCCAAGCATGTCGCAGTCACCTGCCATCGCTCGGCCGGATTCGAGTACTCCCTCGCGCCGGCCTGAAGGAGGACAGTGTCGACCACAAAAGACACATAGGGCTCGAGACCCGGCGTGCGTTGGCCCTGTCCGAGGTTCAAGACGAGACCCTGGAACGGTGGGCCCGAAGACGGTGTCATCGCTCCATCGCTACCCGTCATGACTTTGATCGGGTCCTGTGCTCGAGCCGGAACGTGGGTGAGAGACTTGAGGAAGTTGACGAAACTCGTCGTCACAGGGTACATGCGTGCCGCTGTTTCAATCGTCTCGAGGTCGTGGTGCGCTCCTGTCGACAGTCGTGATCCACCGCCACCAAAGAAAGAGGAGCCTCCAGGCCCGACCGACATTCTTGGCGTCAAGCTCCTGTCCTGGCTGCTGCTGCTGCTGCTGCTGCTGCTCGCCCCAAGGGCCTGCGAGCTCTCAAGCATGGTCCAGAGCTGGGCTGCAATCTTGGCCGCATTGGAACCTGTAGGATGAGCAAAGGCAGCCAGAGCGTCCAGGATGGATGCCTTGAGCTCAATGTCGATAGGGCATGTATACAGGGCGAAGAGGCGCGGGATGATTTGGTACTTTGAGTGCTGGTACAGAGCCTCGCGTGCAGCGACGCTGTAGAGTGCGACGTTGCGGAGCAGGCGGAAGTATGCTCTGAGCAGGTACGCATCATTCGACGGCATCGACGGCGGTTCGACTCTGCCCATGTGTGTCATTCCCGACGATGGCGACCGGAAGACGTCAACATAGTGCTGGACCCAGTCAAAGAGGCGGCTCCACGAGGCCAGTCGGCCGTCCGAGACGTTATCGTGAGTACCATCGCCTGAAGACAGGAGTGTGTGGGCGTGCCAGGCGCTCTGGACACCGGCGCTCAAAGCCGCAAGCATCTCGAGGAGAGCGCGTTGGTGCCCCGTCTCTCGCACATCGACCGCCCAGCTGAGGAAGCGAGTGCCCTTTCCTTCGGGACCGAGCCAGAAGGGAAGGCCTGATTCAGGTCTTCTCTTGCAGAGCGTAGTGACCGTATCGAAAAGAGCCTCAATGTCGTACCGCCGATTGGTCACCTCCGAACCGGCCCGTGAAGCCTCAACACCTCGGCTCGCTGCAAACGCTGCGTCCTCCTCGGATCGTTGAAGTCGTCGAAGGAAGGGGAGCATGATCGAGGTGATGCGCAGCACGAGGTTTTGGACCTGTAGCAGGACGTACTCTTGGAACTCCTTGTCGATCTCCTCATCGCCAGTCGTGTCGGCTGATCCCATCTGCGCCACAGGCTCGCTGTCTCCCACGTCGTTCTCCTCGCCCTCCAGTGCTTCAATCTCCCGCGTCCGGAAGGCGAGCACCCGGAGAACGAGATAGTAGAAGGCATCGCCCTTTGTCGTTGGCGAGCCAGCAATGGCGTCGAGGACGAGCTTCTGAATGCTGTCTTCATGGATGCGCAGCTCGCTGGCCAGGCCTGGGTTCTGCTTTGTCGCTTCGACGAGGAACAAGGCCCACTGCAGAATGACGACGTTTTGCAACTGCGGAATCGCCCACTGCTTGCCCGTCAGCTCGGCATGGAGCTGCTTCATCAGACTGCGGTCCTCTGCGTAGTCGAGATGCGCCACTCCATCGAAGCTGGCGCCAACGTCCTCGTCAACCTCGAGCGCGCCAAGGAGAGCGGTGAGGACGTAGATGGTGATGGCATCTTGCTGCTGCTGCTCATCCTTGACGTTGCTGAGCCACCGCACAATGGCAAGCAGACCCTGGGCCGCGAGCATCCTCGAGTATGCCAGAAGGTAGAGGACGTGGCCAAGTCCCTGGCGCTCCTGCCGCATCATCTCGATGCGCCGGATCTGAATCTCGTCTCCGAGACTCGGTCCCGGCTGTTGCTGCTGTTGTTGCACGCCTCTGAATGACATCTGTGTCGCTGCCATCTTTGCCTTGACGTCGTCGATCTCCGCGAGGAGCCGCTCGGCGAGGTGGCCCTTGCGCTTGCTGCCCTTGTCATGCACGTCGATTGAGAGACCGAGGAGAGCGTCGAGAAGCTGCCTCATCTTTGCGCCCAGCTTGCGGGACGCGGCGTCATTTTCACGAGGCAGAGTTGCAGCGGCACTGACGAGCACGCGGAGGCAGTCGATGGCCGCGAGCCGCTCTCGGTGGTAGAGGATGCAGGCCACCTCGGGCGCGGGGCGGCCCCAGCGAGCTCGGCCGGCGAAACCAGCCTGGAGCAGAGAGGCGGCATAGCGCTCCGAGACGCCAAGCTGCTGCGCAAGGAGCAGCGACGACTGTGCAAAGTCGACGTTGAGCGAGTGTGTCACGCCATCGATTGACACTTTGCCTGCGGGTGGGGAGCGAGGGGAATTGTTAGCACGAATATCCAAGACAGGAGGCCAAGGCCCGCTGAAAGACGCACCGTCTTGAATCTCTTTTCTTTCGGCATCGCTCGGTGGCTTTGCTCTTGCCAAGTCGGCCAGGTCTGCCCGGGCGCGATCGAGAGCTATGTACCAGTCGTTGGAGTTGGCCGCTCGTGACGGGTTGGCGACCGTGTCTGTCAGCAGCCGGTGCAGCTTCTCGAACCGAGCGGGAGCGAAGCTGGCCGCCATGGTGGGAGGGTGCTGCAACGGCTCTTCCTGGCCCTATCTCTCTCACACTCTCTTCAGGCCCGAGAGCAGCCGCACGTCCCTTGCAATGAGAAGTCGAGAAGTGGTGAGAGGGCGCTGGCAAGACCGACGAGAAGAAACGCGGTCGATGTTTTTTCCCTGCTTCTTCACTTTGGACTTGCTCGCCCTTTTCCTCCACGCGTCTTCGCTAGCCTGTGTATAGAGCCCATCGTCAAAGCGTTACATTTCTCCTCGGACCACTCTGGAACCGATCAGACATGCACTGCTCATAGTAGGACAACAAGAGACATTGTGTAATGATGAGGGAGACCATTGTATGGGAAAAAGGGTGGGGAGAACATACGGCTCTCAGAAGCGTCAACACTTCTTGAGATTGTCGTACACGTTGAATGCGCCACTGTAGCCGTCTTTGCCCTGGCAGAAGCCGGAAAGCGTTTGGAAAAGGTAGTCTAGGTTCCTCTGTGCTGCGCAGCCGTACTTCTTTGAAGTAGCCTGCTCCATTGTCATACCGACCTCCCAGCCGTTGTAGGATCCGATGGCTTGGATGGCATTGCCATTGCTTGCATCGAGGAGGCTCCTGAAGTAGGCGGCGCCCTTTTCGATGTTCTTGCTAGGGTCCCAGCATGGGTCATTCGCGCACTTGTCAGGCGACAGCTGCATGATGCCAATCTCGCCATTCGGGCCTCTGAGGTTCGCGTTGCAGTTGCTCTCTTGCACTGTGGGCGAGAATGTATTAATGACCATGGTCAGCAGGCAGGAGCGTATTGGCAGCTCTAGTCACTCATGTTGCTACCCACTAGCGAAGCTCATCACTAGCATCGGAGGAAGGCCATTCTTCTCGGCGGCTTCCTTGAAGATGTCAGTATACTTCTGGCAAGGCCTGAATGTAGGGTTGGATGCGACCTGTTCCGGCGACGCCATCACCAAATCGCTAATGCCGACATTGGGAGGCTTCCAGCCGCCAGAGTTGATGCCGCAGTTGAGAAAGTCGATGGAACCATTAGGATGTTCTTTGGTAGCGTGAGGGTCTTTGCAAGGACACTTGTAGTCCTTTTCGGGCAACAAGCCTTCTCGGAGTGCCGATATCAGCGCAACTCATTGCTACCCACTCCCTCTGTGAAACTCACCGTGAGAATAGGTGCCGCCCGAATTTGACTGGTATGCGTCGTTCACTGTCTCGTCATTGGTAGCCGATGGTTTTGTGACAGCCTTGGCTTTGCTGCTCTTGGCGGGCAGAGACTCATTCGTGGTCTTGACGTCTGCTTGTGCATTCACACTGGAAGGAGAGTGGGAAGCCGTCTCGGGCTCTGATTGCTGAGGAGCTTCGAGGATGGGGCTGCTTGCTTGCTTGGGCACTGTTTCGACGACTGTAGTGAGGCGACCAGATCAGCGTGACTGCGTTGGCAAATGCTTTGGCATTTGTTGACTCACGAGCGCTATCCTGGAGGTGACTGCCATGCACACCTGATATCTTCTCGAACAGTGCTTGAATCTCATTGTAGGCCGTCGAGGCATAGTCGTCGGCCTCGTCAGCATCACATTCCTCGCTGTCGTCATCACAGTCTTCGTTATCCTCATCCTCGTTATCCTCGTTGTCCTCCTTCCCCTCGTTGTCGCCGGAAAAGGATTCGACCGACCTTTTGCCAGGATCACCGTCCGGCTCGGACTTCTTGACCTTACGTATCATAAAGTGAGGGCGAGGGTAGCCAAGTTGATGTCCGCGACGGGCAAAGACGGAAGAGACTGAAGGCACGGTGTGCAAAGATCGTAACTCGGGTGTCTTCTCGAAGCCCGAATTGCCTGCCAGTACGGAAGCCGACCCGTACAGAGATAGGGTGTAGACGAAGAAGGCGACGATTGTAAACTTCATTGTGCCAATCTGGAAAGAAAGAGGGGAGGGAGGGGGAGGGGGGTTGAGGGAGGGATGAGGGTGATGATAAAAGAGGGGTATAGGTTGGTGGGGGTAAGAGGGAGGAGGGGCGACGATACGATGGCGGTAGAGAGGGAGAACAGGAGGAGGAGCAATGGGTCGCGCTTGGGCGGCGTAGCATCGCAAGCCCTTGGGCCGAACGGAGTTCCAAGGATTCGCTCGAACCAGACGTAAAGTCGCGCAGAGTCCCTTTCTCCTATTGTGCCATTTATTTAGGAGGAGAAAGGTACGCCGCTGGTCTGAGCCGGGTCATCTTTGTTTGCAGGCTGTTCGCGGAGAAAGATTCGTGCCCTATCTTCATAAGCCCCCGCTCTCAAGCCCACGGCGCGGTGCGCATTCAATTCATGGGCCACTCTACCGCTTTCCCCTGGGTCAGCTTTCCTGCTACTGTCTGTCTAGCCCGCCAGCAACTCAAAGCCGCTGAGGGGGCAACCCGCCGGATGCGGTTGGTCTGGAGCGACAAAGACACAGGGAGCGGAGTAGATATGAGCGTCGTGAAGTCTGTCGCCGGGGTAGTCCTTCTATCTTTCTAATTAGGACGCCCGACGTCTGCGCAATGCCGTCTCAGATTCGCAGACGGCGGTTCTCCCCCGTTACAATGCGCGCACCTCGTTCAGACACAAGCAATGATGGGAGGAGAAAATGGGCATTGCTCCTGACGTACCGCCCACGACATTAAGATTGCTGTCTGACGGCCCATTCCATGTAATGAAGATGGACCTAGGTCTCCGTCCGTAAAAATGAGAGCCGCTCGGGCCACCGTCAACGCCGTCATGTCACTGAGCACACGTGTCAATACCCAAAAAAATAGAGGGAAGAGGAAAAAAGGACGTGATGTGCGGCGGAGGCGAAGCTGCTGCTTTCGCAAGCAAGCGCATTCAATACATCGTACCCACGAGCAACAAGGGAAGGCAGAGGATGGTGCTAGGTCGTCCCTCTTCGGCTCCCGGTGGGCCGACGGGCGTCTACTATCTCATCGCTCGCATTTTGTCGGCAGCGACGCGGCTCGAGACGTCGACGTCGATCTCGCTGACGCTGTCGAGACTTCGGCAGTGGAAGGCAAGCCGGGGCGACAAGATCAAGTACACGTTCATGGTCGTTGTGGCCTCCATCTGCTTCTACGTCATGACGTCGCCACCTTTTCCCTACAAGCTCGCCATTCCCGGCCTCTTTACAGTTCTGATCCTCGTGCCCATCACGTCGCAATTCTTCCTCCCAGCCGCACCCATCCTGCTCTACCTTCTCATCTTCTTCTCATCGCAGTTCGTTCCTGCGCCTTCACGCCCGCACATCTGGGTCTCGGTCCTGCCCACGCTCGAGACCATCCTCTACGGCGGCTCCATCTCTGACATTCTCACCCGGTTTGGGCACCCTCTGCTCGATATCCTCGCCTGGATCCCCTATGGCGTGGGCCACTTTGTCATGCCTTTTGTCGTGGCCGCCTTCATCTTCGTCTTTGCACCTCCGGGCGCGACCAAGTTCTTTGGAGCGGCATTCGGCTTCATGAACGTTTTTGCCGTCATTATGCAATTCCTCTTTCCCTGCGCTCCTCCGTGGTACGAGCTTCGCGAGGGTCTCACGCCTGCGAATTACGGCATGAAGGGTTCGCCCGCCGGCCTCGCGCGCATCGACGCCCTCTTCCACTCGCACGGCTACACCTCTGGCTTCACCAATGCGCCAGTGCCCTTTGGTGCCTTCCCGAGTCTGCACGCAGCCGACGCGACCATCGAGGCGCTGTTCTGCAGCTACTTCTTTCCCCTCATGCTCGAGATTCCCATCCCATTCAGCGGCTCAGGCAAAGGAGCACGAAAAAGACTCCGACTCGATGCGCGGATTCTGTACTGGGCCTATGCCTTTTGGCTCTACTGGTGCACCATGTACCTTATGCACCACTACCTCGTCGACCTTGTTGGAGGAAGCTGCCTCGCCACCATCTCCTTCTATTGTGAGTGTCTGGACGGCTGATTCCTCCAAACGCTAGCGAGCAGAAGTGCTCATGCTCATTTCTACCTCACGTCCAGACTTCCTTACGGACGAGATGCGAGTAGCCATGGAGCAGAACTATGCCTACCGACCATCAGAGGCGGCGCCCATGTCTGCTGCTCCTCCGGCAAATTACCCCAGAGAGGCGTTCGGCACTCGCTCCAGTATGGATCTTGCGAGACTCAGCAATGGCGGCGAGGGAGGTCGGCCACATCTCTCTTCGATTGATGGATCAGCTGGGGGTGTGAGGATGAAGGACATGGGGGGCAAAGCTAATGGCGGAAGCGGAAGTGGCAAGAGCAACGACAACAAGGTCCTCTTCCAGGTCGACGAGGGTCGCGAGGAAGAGGACGACGACGGAAATGACTGGGGCAACAGCGATGACGAGGAGACGGGAGAGAAGTCGACGACTGCCTCGGCAAGCCATAGTGGGAGATAGCAGCAACAAGCTTGACGACAACAACGAATTAATACAACACAGGCCCTCCCAAGATGTACCCATAGCCAGAGCTAGTCTCTCCCACCCTCTCCTGCAATCCAGAGATCATCGAAGGAAGAAGCCCTGTTCATAATTTAGACTGAAGAAAGGCTTTGGGAAGGAAATGGGCGGTCCCAGCGCTAGGCTCATTCTTAAATTTGCTGCTCCACCTCCTGACGAAGGAAGAAGGGGAACCTAGCGCGGCTCCTGCTATCCAGCACATCTTCCACCATGTTTGACATCCTGAAGAAGCCCGACGAGGTGACCGACGCCTTACCTACGCCCGACGAGCTCAAAAAGGCGCTCGCGAGCCACGTTGAGACGGCGACGGGCGAGTCGGTGCCGCTCTCGGACCTCGTCGCGCCTGGCAAGCGCACGCTGCTGACATTTGTCCGCCACCACCACTGTGGCATCTGCCACGAATTTGTCCGCGCCCTCGGCCGCGATGCGTTTCTCGGCACGCTCCACGCAGCAACAGCAAGTGGTGCTGACGATGATGGTGTTGCCAAAGCAGGACAGCAGCAGTGCCAGGTCGTCGTCGTGGGCCATGGGCCCTGGAAGGGCATCGAGACATACAAGCAGCGCAGCGAGTGCAAGTTCGACATGGTTGTCGATCACGAGGCCAAGGGCGCCTACCAGCACCTTGGCCTCACGAGGAGCACCCTCGGCGGCGCGACGTCCTCTGTGAGTCCTACAGACAGGAAGGGGGTTTCTTATTTTATGCGAGACTGAGGCGAGAAGACATCCCGATGGCAGCCGTCGTACATGAATGGAAAGTCGATCTTGGCTGTCGCGGCCCATTCCACCTACACCGTCTTGGCCGACGCCATCAAGGGCGCGCCCGGTGGGAGGATCAAAGATATGGGCGACGTTGCGCTGCTTGGCGGTGACTTCATCATCGATGAGGGTAGGTGCCAGTCTTCCTTCTTCGCGCGGGGCCAGTCACTGATTTACATTTCCCATTGCTAATGGTACAGACGGCAAGTGCATCTTCTGCCACCGCATGAGGACGACGGCGGACCACACCGACGTCGCCAAGCTCTCTGCTCTTCTCAAAGGGAACAAAGAGGAGGCTTAACTGGGCGCATCACGCGTGCGGTTTCTCTCACATCTACCCAATGTTCACCCTTAATAATTCTGTACCATAGTCATCTCATTATTCAATTCCTACTCCATCTACCAACCCCACTCGACACCTCCAGCCACGTCGAGGAGCGAAGCCAGCACCACGCGGGTCGAGGCCCGAATCTGCCTAAAGTCGTAGCCCTCCCGGTCGGTCACGTCGCCGGAGTTGTGGTAACGATCGTCGGCGATGGGCCCGTTCCTCTCAAACACCCAGGTGGCGGGGAATTCCTGCTCCCAGAAGGACTGGTGGTCGCTGCAGCAGGCTGGTGTGTAGCCCACCGTAAGCTCCGGCACGTAGATCTTGGCGATGGACATGATGTAGTCGGTCGCCTCTTGGGTGGACAGCTTGTCAGGAAAGGCAAGCTGCAAAGGCTCGCCGGGCTTGCGATAGCCAATCATGTCCGTCTGGAGCGCCAGCTTGATCTTTGCCCCTTGCTCATGGAGATGCTTGGCATAATGCTGCAGTTGGTCCCCTATCAGCTTCTATCCTTGCTCGAGCCCATGATGCAAAAAAACTCACCTGAGAACCGACGAGGCCCTGCTCCTCGCCAGAGAACGCGACGAGCCGGACCTCTCGCTCGAACTTAATCTTGTGCTGGCCAAGATGACGAGCGAGGGCGAGAAGCATCGTCGTGCCGCTCCCATCATCGTTTCCTCCTGGTGCCAGCGTTGCTGTGGGTGGTGCAACAGCACGGTCAGCTGATGGAATCTCGTTTCTCAGCGCACGGGAAAAAGAACCTACAGCCAAAGCTCCCTCGTGAGTCGAGGTGCGAAGAAAAGACAACGATGCCTTCGTCGCTCGGCGTCTTCTTGGCTGGAGGAATGGTGCTATTTTGTTGCGAATCCATGTCAGCTTTCACTGTGCTTTCTGGCTGTGGGTGGACGTGGGTACATGCCCCCTTCCTGCCCAACCCAACGAGACTCACCAAACGACGTTGGGCGCAAAGTACTCGTCATACGTCCACTCGTTGCATTTTCCTCCGATGGCCGCGAGATCCCTCTGCATGCGCCGCCGGATCCACGCGGCCGCCGTCCTGGAGCCCCAGGTGGCGCTGTGCCGGCTATTCCAGTGCTGCAGCGCACCATCGCCGTCGCCGTCGTCGAGCACCTGCCCGTCCTGGTCCTCGCCCGTGAGGACGCGGGCATCGGCGCGCAGTGCTTCGATGTCGAGCGCAGGCGAGAAGAGCAGTGCGTGCAGCGGAGGAATGTAGCGTGGGTTGTGGAACATGCGCTTCGACGCTGGCTCGGCGGCGGCAGCAGCACTGGAAGAGTGGTCGACGAGGGGAAGGGACCAGCGCGGCAAGCGAGCGAGGCGCGTGTCGGCGGGAAGATGCGTCGAGAGCTCGAGCAGCGCAGCGGTCGTGTCGACGTGGACGATGGCGTAGCTCGGCGTTATTGTCTCGATTGCTGCTTGCTGTTTGAGCAATGACGACAAGTCGGGTGTCGCCGACGATTGGAAGACGGCCTGACCGCTCGATGGGTGCCTGGACAGTTGCTCGCCAGAGAGAATCGCTCGGATCAGGGCGTCCCACGGCTGCGCATCCTGGCGCTGCGCCACATGCCCTTCCTCGAGCCTCTCGCGCGCAATCAGCACATCATGTCCCTCCTCGCTCTTGCTGTCCGATGACTGAGCGCCTCTGGTCCGCCAGATCCGGATCAGCTCCTTGTCTCCAAGCCGCCCATCCTCGCCGGTCGCCCAGATCGAATGCTGGCCCAGGTGGTCCTTGCCAAGGCGCGACTCTGCCTCAAAGTCGTCGACGCCAGTGACCGAGATCCGGCTCGCCGAGCACAGGACTGCCCAGGAGACGAGAGATGCGACAAAGAGCGATGCTCGCATGGCGCTATTTTGGAGAATATTCCTTCTCGATGAGGAGAAGGTGTGTTGAGAAAGAGGCGAAGCAGTCAAAGCGCGCTAGCTGGGCTCCTCCACCGTAAAAAGCACGCCTTGCACCGTGCGCGCACAGCGTTTCGTCATGGCCAGCTAGCAGTGCCTGTCACACGGACCTGTGGGCAAAACGGCAGGACAATCTTGACAGTGGGATGAATTTTGTGTTGCTGAGGAGGAAGTGGGAGATTAAAGGAGCAATCTTGGCTAATGACCAGAAGTGGTAGAAAAGGAACAAGGGGGAAAAGGGTTTAGGTGAGGGGGGTGGTTGGGTTCAAACTAGGTATTCATTGTTCATCGTCAATGTCGTTGCCGTTGTCGGGGTAGTGTGCTTGTTGGGGTAATGAAGTCCGGGAATGTGAATCTAGCGGATGACCAAGGTGTGCAGGAAGCCAGCAAAGCCGAGCAGACCGACGACCCAGAAGCCAAAGTGGTAGTTGAATGGCCAAGCGTGGGCGTCGACGCCTCCCTCGATTCCCATCGCCCAGACGACACCTCCGACCAAGGGCCCCACGAATCTGGCCGCGCTGCTGGTTGTCTGGGCCAGGCCGTTGGCCAGGGGCACCAGGTGAGGCGGGCAGGTGGCATTCATCAAGACGCTGACGCTGGTGAAGGCGCATACATTTGCGAGCCAGCGCAGCGACGCAAAGGCGATCATAAACGTCATGACGATGGCGTCGGTGCTGGGGTGCAAGAACTTTCGCAGGTAAGCGAAGAGGACGTATGTCGGCAAGTACAACGAGGTGCCGAGGCGCATCATGCTCAGATGCGATAGCTTGCCCTGTGGCGGCCCCACTTTGGGGTAGCTGCACAGTGGGATTAAGGGTCAGCACACTTGAGTGTCACAGATGCACTTACTGTCTCGATGCAACTCACAAGTAGAATTGGAAGATGATTTGGCAGAATGCCATGGCAGCGATCAGCTCGGCGTAGTGCGCAGCCGTCAGACCCAGGCCACCAGACTTAAAAGGCGTGACGAGAAACGCCATGAAGACCTGGTCAAAGGTCGACGAGTGGAAGCCCATGAGACCGTAGTGGGAGATAAAGACGAGGGGAAGCTGGGAGAACAACCCTGCTGAAGCGGCCTTTTCATCGGCGGCCGGAGCGGGCGGTCGCTGCACCGTCGTTGCGCTCGACGAAGCCACCGAGGGCGGCCGAAGAGGACTAGAGTTCTTCAAGTGGGTCTGCTGTTGGGCCCGCCGTGCAGCCTCTGCGCTCCATGTATTCCTGGCGCTCCCCGACTCCGGGATGCCAGCCAGTGTCGGATCGTATGCGCCGCCCGTCCTACCTTGGTCTCTGAAGGGCGAAGAAGAGGGACCAGCGGCCCCAGCAGCACCGATAGGTGCAGGCTGCGTGGGCGAAGACGGCATGAGCAGGTTGGGGTTCTCGACACCCGTGTTGGCATACAGGCTCGGTACACGGCCGGCGCTGTTTCGCCTCATCCATTCTGGTCGGCCGGAGCTGTGGCCTGCGCTGTCCGCCCGGCGTTTCCTCTGAGCGAAGTTCAACGGCGGTAGGTGCCGGGGCGCCAAAAGGGGTGCATCCTCGTCCAGGGGCTCGCCGTAGCCAAAGCCCTGCTCGACGTGAGAGTCTGTCGTGACAGATCGGCCTTCGTCTTCGAGCGTCTCCTGCTCTTCGTCCTCTTCGTCCAATTCTTCGTCATCATCGTAGTCGTAGCCAAAGTCATCGTCCTCCTCGTCGACGGCCTCATCGCCATTGATGGCAGCAGCAACCCACAGATCTGAAAGGTTCAAGACAGCGTCGTCGTTGGCCAGGAGGAAGCGCTGGGCAAAGCTGAGCCTCTGGTTCTGCTGCTGCGCGTGGCCGATGTCTTCAAAGTCGGGGGCGTAGGGGTTGTTGGTGATCATGCTGTTGCGCATGCCAGGGCGTACTGCCGTGGCACCGCTGGCCGAGCGCGTGGCCTGGCGGCCATGCACCATTGGGTTCTCGCTGCCCGCGTTGGTTGATGGCCTGCGATCATATCCATATGCCGATCCTCCGCCCAGAACGCCCTTCTGCCTCGCAGTGGTTCTGGACATGAACGGGTTGACAGAGGCACTGCTCCAGGCAGAATTCAACTCCGCCTCGTCAATGTCCTCGTTGTCGCTCTCATGGGGAGACGGCGGTCCGCCCGTCTCCTCATCGACCTGCTGGGTGAAGGTGCGGGGCATGCCCTTGTGCCCCTCGTTCGATGCCGCCGCTGACGAGGCCGCCGCGGCCGTCCTCCTCAGGCTCAGCGATGACTCGCCCGCCTCGCTGCGCCCTGCATCGTGGCCCGAAAAGTAGCCGCTGATGCGCTTGCCCGCCGTTTTCCCGAAACTGCCCATGTTGGACGCAGCCCTCTCGACGTCTGCCTTCTCTGGCAGCTGGATTGCCCCCGTCCGGGGCCCGCCGTCAGGGCCAATGAAGAGGGAGAGGAAGGCGCCCAGTCCCGTGAAACTGGCCACGACAGCGCAAGGCAGCAGGTATGGATACTCTGTTAGGAGCTCGTTACCGCCAAACAGCCAGGGAAACTTGTCGACGGGATTGCAGAGGAGACCACCCAGCAAGGGACCAACGATACCGCCCATTCCCCAGGCAAAGCCGAGCTGGCCCATCGCTCGCCCTTCGTTGGTTTCGTCGGTCAAATCTCGAACAGCGCCCTTTGCGACGCCGACGGCGCCATTAAAAAGCCCCTGCGCTAGGCGGACAGAGATGGCCATGCGCAGGTTCGTCGACATGCCAAAGAGGACGAGGGAGAGGGCGTTGCCGACGAGCGAGACGAGCAGCACCGCCCGCCGGCCGTGCTTCTGGGCAGCCGAGGCCCAGAGGAGTGATGTGAGGAACTGGGCAAAGAAGAAGGCCGAGGCTGGAACGAATTCCAATGTCAGCCAATGCCCCCTGTGTCACATCTGAAGGTCGGGAAGACAAGCTCTACTCACCGGCGATACCAGCCCAGAAGCCGACCTCGCTTTCGCCGCCGACTTTGAAACTCTCGATGAGAAAGAAGAGAAAGGGACCGGCGACACCAGAGCTGCTGAACTCGCCAAAACAGACGAGACAGAGGACGACAAAGGGCAGCGTGGGGATCGGCGTGCTGTGGGGCGAGGGCTGCGTCGAGGGCATGATCGAAGGGATGCGCGGCTTGCCGCCCTCGGTGTTGGCATAGTGGGTGCTGATGGTGGGGATGCGCCGGACGCCCTTCCCTGGCGAGCGGGCGTCGGACGAGGCTCGGCTTCGGCCAGTGAACGTCTCGATAGAGCGGTGGAGAAGGCTCTTGCTCCGCTGACTCTCGCCCGCTGTCGAGGGCGCTCGGCGCTTGAAGCTCATCTGCCGCTTCTTGCTACTGCCAGGACGCGACGCGCCGCCCTGGTGGTCTGTCAGGCCAGACTCTGCAGCGGCCGAGTGCGGCTGTCTAGAGGGGAGGATGGCGCTGCGAAAGGGCGACGGCGGCACGGCGAGTCGCTCAGACTGGGCACCATCACGCGCAGCGCCGTCGGCCGTCGTCTCCAACGCGCCACATGACGTCGTCGGCCTCATCTCGTCGTCTTGCTGATCCTCGTCGCTATCTAGGTCTACGAGCGGCTGCTGTTGCTGCTGTTGCTGTGCAGGTCTCTTGCCTCGGCTCTTGTTGTCTGGCGTCACGGGCAAGGGATCTGGAGCGAGGGGAGCCGACACAAAAGTGACGCCCGGGGAGGATGATGTGGAAGGGGCCTGACCTGCCGAGGGCGAGGGCGACCGCCTGCGCAGCGGATGATCATCCATGGCTCGGTCTCCTGTCTCGCCCTGTATTAAAGTTACAAATGTTGACGCTGCTGCTGCTGCTGCTGCTGCTACTATTGCTGCCTCTGTCGCTACTGCTGCTGCCGCTGCTGCCGCTGCTGTGTCGGTTTCGCCAGTCGCCAATTAAGATCAATCAAACGAGGGGATGAACCCCTACCCTTGGCCCACTACTTTATTTGCCTTTTGATCCGGAGCGCGCGCGGCGACCAAAAACACAAGAAGCGAAATACAGCTGCTGCAAATTTGCTCCACGCAGCTGCGCGTCTTAGACGCATTCCTTTTTGCTGCTTCTTCATCTGATCTATCTGTTGTTAGTACGGTCTAGCTAGGTTGTGTGATTTGCTTTCTATTGTTGCTTGCGTGTAGTACAGTGCATGCGGCCATGGGACAACTTTTTGCGTGACACAAAGCGGATCTCTATGTGCATATAGCAATTGCACGCCGACGATGTTCGCACTCACTTCTCCCGTTCCACAACACGAAGTCGCTGAGTGAGGTGCGAACACTAGACTCTATGCTCTTTGGCGCAAGGACCCCACCCTTAGCGAGGCATTCGGCAGATTCGTGTTTCGATATCTAGCTATGGCCCCTTCTTCCAGGGGCCGTGCGCATTGCCTCTGCTCGAGCCATGACGGAGGCTTATTATGACTTCAGAGAATGCAGGCCGGCCTGAGAAGCCTTTATGTCGGGTGCACACACCCTGTCGGTGCGACATGAAGATCAAACAGCTTTTCTGTGGCGGACACGTCTTCGTGCTGAGTAATCCTGAGCTCAAAGACGAGTCGAGCTGTTCTGTCTGGAGAAGACCTGAGACTTGCTCCAGACGTGTGATTACTAAGTTTGGAAGACCCCAACCAGTCATTTATCATTCCAGGAAGAAGCCCTGTGGCGAACCGGAGTGCCGCTCTGCTAGCGGGCCATCACCATGATTGTTAATGGCTTCTACTTTGAATTGGAGCTCCCGATTGAAAAAGCAGAAAGGAAGGCCCCCTACCCCGTTTGCCGGTGGTGAAGGATGTCTGCACTCTGGGAACTCAACTCTTCCCACGATCAAGCTGCAAGCAGCGCGGAAGAGCGCTGTGCAGTAATGATTCCTGGGGTTTAACGTATCCATATCCCACACTCGACTTGTCACCGAGGCTACCCGCACAGGCGGTCGCGACTACTAGTGAGGGGCCACTACTGTGAGCGTGACTACTTTTTAGCTTACGCCATTGCCTCATGCAAGACCGTGTCGCTGTGGTCCGTGCGACGACCTTATTTCATGAACCTGACGCGCTGAGCGGCACCCTATCGCCGTGGGTGTCCTTTTGGGTCGTGTGGTGCGGGGTCCAGCCTCCTCAGTCGCAGTCGCTATCTGCTCCCCCTCTTTAAATTCCTTTTTGATTAGATCAGATCATCCTTGACTGCTTCGCCTTGTCTGTCTCCTGGTCCCCGCAATCCGACCACCATGTCCGCTGCTGCTGCTGCTGCTGCTCCCATGCTCGAGAGCACGGAGCCACCGGCCGATGGTGGCAAGCCGAGCAGCACCACGCCCACCTTTACCTTATCCTTCCTGGCGCTGACGACGTTTGCCCTCGTGGGAACCGCATGGCGCGCGACGAGGCTCGCAAGATCCTACCGCGCCGACCAGCAGGCATGGAAGAGCGTCGCCATGCGGCTCCTCGTGCAGCACAAGGAGATGCCCGCCGTCATGCCTCCGCCTCGCCACTATGGGCGGCATCGCCGCGGGCAGCCGTTTTCGAGGGATGAGCGCTCCGTGGAAGAGCTGTCGAGCCCTGCCTTTTCCGAACAATATCTGGACCAGCAACACAAGCGACACTGCAACTGGGAAGAGCACGAAAAGGTGCGCGAGTGGAACAAGTGGCGACGAGAAGCGAGCGAGCGAGTCGAGAGCAGAGATCGGGACGCGGCTGGCGCTGCACTCCCACAGCGCAGGTACGACTTGTCTGGCAACCTGATCAAGGAAATACTCCCCGTTTCGAAGAAGCTTCTGCCCGATGGCATGACTGGCATCGATGCACGCATCAAGGCCGACGAGGCGGACGTGGAGAGCCCTCACCCGCATCACGACTGGAATTGGACGCCCGCCGACCACCCACGGATCCCCAAGGGTCGGCCCAGTCGTCGCTCATTCGCCCAGTCCTCTACCCAGCAGAACGCAAGAGGGCGTCGAGAAAGAATGGCGGACTCGGTCGGGTGGACCTCCAAGAATGCCGACGGGGCACTGTGGGCCAGCGCTGGATCCCCTTCCGCCGACCCTGAACCCAGAAGAGTAGAAGAGCCATGGAAGGGCATCCTTCAAGAGTCGTCAAGCGAGCAATTCGTGCAAGATTCGGAGGGCGAGATGGTCAACGAGGGCTTCAAGGCTGACGAAGTTGCAAACCCCGAGATGGACCCGAAGAGAAAAAACGCAGATGACGACTTGGAGCTGCTGGCTTCCATCGTACACCAAGAGGCTGGCCAGCCTGACGTCGTCGAGAAGCACACAACAGAGAGAAAAGCAGCAGCAGTAGCATCGGCGACGAAGGATGACGCAGACCGCGAGGAACGGCTCATGGCTTCGATCCTGTGGCCCGATGCCGTCCTGTCTGCCGACAAGACTATCATCGCCGAGGGCATTCTCGACGAGGTGGCCGAAAAGAGGGCAGGTGCTGTTGACGAGCGACGAGGCACGGCAGAAGGCTTGCGGCCAGCGCAGTCGGCTCTTGAGCAGCGAAGTGGTCTCCCTAAGGACAAGAAAGATGAAGTGCTCGAGCTTCTGGAGAAGGAAGTAGCCGACGCAAAGGGGAGGATGGCGAGCCTGGAGTCAGGCTTCGAAGGACTGCAGAAGCGCGACGAGCACCGGCTGAGATCCGAGTCGGAGGCAGAGGCGAGAGTCGAGGCGCTCGAACGGCAGATCTGGGCGCTGCGGGCTAGGCTCGATGAGGCCGACACCAAGGCAAGGTACCAGGACCACGACGAGGGCAGCGACAATGACGCCTCCTTCTTCAACAAGAAGCAAACCACTGTGAGTGACCGATCCATGCTCTTCCTTCCTAGTTCTCATCTGCTCTTGTGCTGATCGTCGCACTTTACCGACAGGCCCGGGACCTGCTCCGTCGTCGATTCCGCATGCACTCGCACTTCTTCTTCTAAACTATCAATACACGTGCGCTTCCATTGCTATCGTACACTGCATGGCCTCTGCCCCCACCTTCATCACCACTCCTGTGATCGCAGAAATGACATCACCGTTCCTCCTTGGCTCTACTTTGAAAAGAAGCTGCGGATATCCTTTGTGCCCTTTGCCGCCTCCTGCAGGCCTTTGCTCTGGGCCGGTGACTTTTTCAAGCTTGAGGGTCCCCCACCCGACCGCTTACTGGGCGTCGTCGATGCATTCGAGTTCGTGCTGTAGCCACCACTAGGACGAGGCGGCGACATGGGAGGGTTGAATGGCTCGGGGCTCCACTTGGTAGACGGGACTCGTTGCCTCTTTGTGTCGCGCTCCTCGGAGCCCTCTTCCTCCACTGTCTCCTCTTTAGCCTTGGCCTTGGCGCCGTTTCCTCCTTCTCCTCCACCGTCGTCGTCGACATTGTCCTCCTGCTTGGACCCATTTTGCTGCTCCTCGGACGATGAGGAAAGAGGCACGGGCGCATTCGTCTCTGAGTTGGCATCGGCCTCGTCGTGGCGCTCGCGCTTCTTGCCGACTCTTCCAAAGGCGGCGGCGATGCCGTCCTTGCGCTGGCTGACTGGTAAGATGAAGCCCGCGTCGTCGTTGCCCACCCTGCCCACCTCCTTGGGGACCGGATAGACATCCAGCAGGCCCCGGTCGTACGGCTTGAGCAGCCGACAGACCTCGTCGGCCGAGGCGTCTGTCAGGCCGAGCCAGATGCGGATCGCCTCGACGTCGGGCAGGATGACGGGCATGCGATCGTGCAGAAACCCGAGCTGCTTGTTCGACTCGGTCGTAATGATCGTGTAGCTGTACGTGTCCTCTTCCTGGTCCTCGAGCCGACACCGCTCCCAGAGGCCTGCCATGGGCATGAGTGCCCGCGAGTGTCCCTGCACGTCGCGCCGGCCATCACCGGCGTCTTTCATGCCGACAAAGTGCGGGATGCGGACGCTGTCATCGACGCCGCGCTTCTCCCACTCGTAGAAGCCCTGGACAAAGACGACGCAGCGCTGGGCCGAGCGCAGGATCGGCGTCCACATCGACCGACCCGAGAGGACGCTGTCGTCGCGCGCATTGATGGTCCGAAGCGCCTCAAAGCCGCGCGGGATCGTTTTTGTGGCGCGCGGAAGGAGCCCCCACCGCATCGACTGGATCAGCAGACGCTTTTCGTGCTTGTCCGTGCTGTCTGTAAAGTCGTCGAGGCGCACGACAGGCATGCGGCTGCCGGGCGCGACGTTGTGCGTGGGGTGGTACTGCTCAAAGCCGGGCGCCTCCTTGACGCTGTCCTCGTCCATCTCGGCGGACTGTTCTTTGCTCTCTTCCTGCTCTTGATCCTGCTCTTGCTCTTGCTCTTGCTCCTGCTCCTGCTCCTGCTCCTGCTCCTGCTCCTGCTCCTGCTCCTGCTCCTGCTCCTGCTCCTGCTCCTGCTCCCTTCCTGTACCTCGCGATCCGCCTCCCTCTTCAGCTTCGTCTCTCCGCCTGGCCCGTGTCCCTCGGTCTCCATGCCGCGGCCCTGCCAACCTGCGGATGATGTTGTTGCGAAACACGTCTGGCGGGAGCGCATTGGCGAAGCGTCCACACATTGTGAGAGTCTCCTTCGCGCGCCCAGCTTGCGCAGAGCCGTACTTGCGTAGGTCAGCCTTAGTCTGGGGCTGGATTGGGCTGGAGGAGCTGCAGCTGCAAGTGGAGGACTGGGCGCACTAACTCACTCACGTGTCGCGCGCGTCTGAGAAGATCTTGATCCCCTTGATTGCTGCTTGCTCCCCTTTCTCCCTTTCTGTCATAGCTGTTGAGATCAGCTTTCCAGTTTTCGAAAAGGAAAGGAGAAGGCAAGACATGACGGACCCGTCGTCATCGTCGTCGCAGGCCGACTCGCTGCCGTCCAAGATCCACCAGACGCCCTTTCCGATGCCCCTCCCGCCCCGTCGCCGGCATCGCGAGGCCCAGATCGAGCGGGCCTATGAGCTGCAGCGCGTGCGTACAGCCTCTCCCCCTCGCCCTCTCTCCCTTTCCTGAACTAACGGTCCGAGAGCTGATCCTCACAGTCAGCGGCAATACGCGGTGCGACAATCTGGACCTTCATCGGCCTCTCGTCGACTTTTCTCTCCCACCACCTCTTCCCGCGCTTCCGGGGCCAGACGCTGGCCTTTAAGGCCTTTCTCGTCTCGGGCTTCACCATCTTTGGCTTCGTTGTCGGTGCCGACACGGTGCTGCTCAACCACGAGGGAGCGCAGCGGAGCGAGGAGGACATGGTGAGAACCGTCGCAAGGCGGGAACTGGGAAGAAAGGGCATCATTGCGAGCGAGGCAGAGATTGAGCGGTGGAAGAGAGAGACGCGCGAGAGGCTGCTGAGGGAGCGAGAGCAGCAGCAGCAGCAGGAGGGAGAGGCCCAGACGACGGCACCTTAGAGCAGTCATGGCCATAGGCGTAGAACGGCAAATTTGTACCAATTGCAACTCTAATTCTTCAGACAAGGCACGGCCTCAGAATGTGTGTTTGTGTGATTGTGTGTGTGCTAATCTTCTGTCCTTGCCCTTTCCTTCACTTCCTCCTCCTTTTCATCCTTTAATCCTCCCTCCTTTCCCTATCCCCGTCCGCCTTCAAGGCAGCTGGGCATCGCCCTTGTTGTAGACGCTCTCAAACGAGCGCGGGGGCTTGGGGTGAATGTTGTTGTGGGAAAAGACGCCCTCGATGCGGTGCGTGGCGTTGAGATTCTTTGTGCAGGTGATCTGGAATAGGCTCGAGCCGCCTTCCCTGGCAATGATGACGGAGCTGGCGAGGAAAAAGAGCCAGATGCGCCACAGCCGCTCGCCGTACTTGGCTCGCACCTTGTCCTCGTTGCTGATCCAGTTCTCCAGCCAGCGCTGGATCGTGGCGCTGTAGTGGACACCGAGGACGTCGACACTGCGGACCTCGAAGCCGGCGGCCTCGAGCTTGTTGATGACCCAGCCGAGGCTGCACGAGGCGTCGGCACCACGGAAGATGTATTTGTTCATGAACAAGCCCCAGATCAGGTCCCAGTACTGCCACTGGGGACGCAGGCCGGCGACCTGGAGCAAAAAGGTACCGTCGTCGTTGAGGCGCTGGTAGATGTCGTCGAGGAAGCGCGAGTAGTGGCGAATGCCGACGTGCTCTGCCATTTCCAGGCTCGAAATCTTGTCGTAGTAGCCCCTCTCGACGGGAATGTCGCGGTAGTCCTGGCACAGGATCCTGGCCTGGTCCTTGGTCAGCCCGTTCTTGGCAATGCGTTCGTTGCCAAACTTGGTCTGGTTGCGCGCCAGGGTGACACCAGTCGCATCGACGCCAAAGTTCTTTGCTGCAAACGCAGTCAGGGTGCCCCAGCCGCAGCCAATGTCGAGCAGCTTCTCGCCCGGCTTGAGGGCCAGCTTGGAGCAGACGGTGGCCAGCTTGTTGTCCTGCAGCTCCTCGAGCGTCTCTTTGCGTGTTGGATCAGTGACGATGCCCGACGTGTAGATCATCTGCGGTCCCAGGAACCATTCGTAGAAGTCGTCGCCTCGGTCGTAGTGGTCTCGGACCATGTCTTCGTCTGCCTTTGCCGAGTGGGTAAGCACGTCGGGGATGAGGACGGTAAAGACAAACTTGAACAGCTCAGGGGTCATGTGCATCAGCGACCAGTCGAGTCGGTGCTCGAGAAGCTCGAGCATGTCGCCCTTGATGTCAATCAGTCCGTCAAAGTAGGCTTCGTAAAAGATCTCCATCGGGATCTTCTTGTTTGCGTACTTTGCCTTGAGCTTGGCGTCCTTGATGGTAATGTAGTGGTCCAGTGGATCTAGAAACACAGAGAGAGAGGTGTCACTCGTCAGTACACCGTCTTTGCAAAGGCTCTTCTATGCGCAACACTCACTGCCAGGGAGCTGAACCTTCTCGTTCTTGCGAGGGCCAATGTGGCTCATGACAGTCCAGTAGCCGACCGTGACGGGGACACCAGTGAGGGCGACGAGGAAGAAATAGCCAAACCAAGAAAACCAGCTTGGCTTGATGAAGGGAATGACTCGCAGCAGCACAGCGGGGGTGAGGAGGACAAGGAGAGCGAGGTGAATGTTGTTGAAGGAACCATTGCCCTCGGCAGGGAGCGGTGCATTGGCGATGGCGGGCTGAGAGCGTAATGGTAAGCAGGCTGCTGCTGGTGCGTCTAAGCAGTCCCTAGTCAAAACTCACATAGTTGGTGAGGCGAACCTTGCCTCCGGGCGCAGTGCCGGCATGGGACATGGCTTGAGGAGGCGCCGAGGAGGGCAGCGAGGCCGCGGCCTTGTTGACCAGCTCAGAGACCCCAGCGGCACTGATGCTCGACCTCGCGGGGTTCTTGGAAGGAGGCAGAGGCGTCTCCGTGGTGACGTCGGCCATGATTCTTGGCTCTGTGACTTGCGTCGTGGGGGGAACAAAGCAGATTGAGAAGAAAGGGCCGCTGGCTCTGAACGTGTCTAGTCGGACGCGCTTAAAAGCTCGCTCGGCCGAGCGTTCTACTAAGTGAGAAGCCATGTGGGATTCGAATTTCGAGCGCGTCGCCATCCCAGTTCAGCATGCCTATGACAAAGTGATTTTCGCTCCAGAGAGGTGGAATACCATCAAAAATCCAATCCTAATCCTAACCCCAACCCTAACTCTTACCCCAACCCTAACCCTAACCCACCCTAACCCTAACGGACCTACCCCTAACCAGCGCCGACCTTCTAAGATCTAGGGAATTGGGACCAGCCGAAATCTTGCATTTTCTCGGCCGACGAGAATGACAGAAGTCAGCCCAATGACAAAGCGTCGGGCGAGCGAGTTTTTATGCGCATCCTGTCTAGTCTCCGACGCACGTGAGCGTTTGGGCCAACTTTCTGGACAAGACTTTTAGACGCCCTCGACTGTCATCCTTCGTGTGTGCATGACGATCACGACACCGCGGCCCCGATGATTACCTTCACGCCCATCTCGGAGCCGTACCAGTCGGGCCAGGGGCCATCGGGAGAGGGGGAAGTCGAGTCTCCCAAGGCTCTCGCCTACCTGGCTGAGGTCGACGACGTCAAGATCCTCGTTGACTGTGGGTCGCCCGAGTCATTCGACTTTGGCGCGGAGCGAGAAGCGACGTTCGCCGACATCCTCAGAAGGTAAGGGCCATCTCTGATCCGATCCTGACATGACGCTCCCGCTGAATTCATTCCTGTAGCCTTGCTCCTTCGATAGATCTCGTCCTCCTGTGCCATTCGACACTTTCGCATCTCGGCCTGTATGCATACGCACGCGCCAACTGGGGCCTTGTTGCTCCTTGCTACGCAACGCTGCCCGTGGCCACGATGGGACGACTGACGACCCTCGAGGCCGTGCAGTCGCTGAATGGCGAGATGGATGTGGCCAAAAGTGCTTCTGAGCGGCAGTACATTCCGACGGCGGAGCAAGTAGACACTGCCTTTGACGACATTGTGACTTTGCGATATTCACAACCGACTCAGCTCGAAGGTGGGTGGGCAAGTCCTGCGTCTCTCTCATTATCGAATGCTCTAAGCTTACAGGAGAAACAGGGAAATGCGCGGGTCTGACTTTGACGGCATACGGAGCGGGTCACACACTGGGAGGAGCCATCTGGAAGCTGAGAAGTCCATCTTCGGGCACGCTGCTAATCGCCCTCGACTGGAACCACACAAGAGAAAGGCACATTGATGGCACCGCGCTAGTAGCAACAGCATCTACCCCGTCTTCCATCCCAGGTGGTCCTTCGGGTGCGGCAGGAGAGGGAGGAGGAGTCATGGAAGCCGTTCGCAGGCCTGACCTGCTCATCACCTCCATCTCCAGAGCAACACACATCAATGCTCGACGAAAAGACAGAGATGCCGCTCTGGTCGATGTCATCCACAACACCATCCGATCAGGTCGGTCTGTGCTGATGCCGGTGGACGCCTCGGCTCGTCTCCTCGAGCTCCTAGTGCTTCTCGACCAACACTGGGCCTATGCATACCCTACTGCTCGCTTCCCATTATGCCTCGTCAGCGCTACTGGACGCGAGGTCATCGAAAGAGCACGGACATTGATGGAGTGGATGACAAAGCAGTGGGCGACCAAGGGCAAAGAAGGAGATGATAACACCGACGATCGAGCCAACAAGGGCCGCAAGGCGGGTGGCAGCGGTGGTCGAGGAGGCCAGGCAGCACATCAAGCACCTTCGTCACCCCTCGATTTCAAATATCTTCGCGTCTTCTCATCGATGAAGGCCATGGATGATGTCTTGGCCCAGTCGGACGCGAAATTGGTGCTGGCGTGGCCGCCCAGCATGGCCTATGGCCCCTCTCGCAAGCTCTTTGCCCGGATGGCCTCCAGCGAGCGCGACGTGGTCCTTTTGACCTCGATGGGCGAGCCAGGTACCCTAACGAGGTGGCTCTGGAATCATTGGGAGGGCGGTCAAGACCAAGGGGACAAGTGGGGACGAGGGAAAGTCGGCAAGCCCATTGATGTGCGAGATGAAGTCGAGGTCGAAATCAAGAGCAAAGTCTTTTTGGAAGGTGACGAGCTCCAGGCTCACCTCGATGCTCAGCGAATTGCCAAAGAGAAAGCGGAGCAGCAACGTGCTTTGCTGGCTAGAAGTCATCGGCGACTGGAGGCCGACGAGGAGGACGTCGACTCGGACGATTCAGACTCGGAAGGCGAGTCGATTGACGATGGAGAAGGAGGCGGTGACGGGCAACAGAAGGTGCTGAGCTCTTCAAAGATGCTTAATGGAGACGTCATGGGAGGAGCAGGGGATGGTGAAGGCGGAGCAGGTGGCGATGAGCTCTCCTTCGACATTTACCTCAAAGGAAATGCCCAGAGGGCGACGTCCTTCTTCGGCTCTTCGGGCGCATCAGGAGGTCTTCAGCGCTTCAGGATGTTTCCCTTGGTCGAGAAGAGAAAACGCGTCGATGCATATGGCGAGACACTCGACGTCGGACGATGGCTCTCACGGAGACGCGAGCTCGAGGCTGAAGCCAAAATCAACGGAGACGGTGCCAATTTGAATCCCGAAGCGGCGGCGGCAGCGGCCAAGCGTCGCAAGATGCAAGAGGACAAGGAGGCCCGCGAACGAAGGGAGCAGGAAGAGAAGCCGAGCAAGTTTGTCAGTGAGACGCGCACGATTCACGTCTCGTGCAAGGTTTCTTTCGTCGATATGGACGGGCTTGGAGATGGGCGTGCGCTCAAGGAGCTCCTGCCCCGGCTCCATCCTCGCCGGCTCGTTCTTGTTGGCGGCGACCAAAACGAGCGGCTAGAGATGACCAAGTCGATGCAGGGCATGACCAAGGATCTCTTTGCGCCGATCCAGGGCGAACGCGTGCAGATTGGAGAGTTCACGGCCAGCTTCACGGTGCATCTGGGCGAGGGCCTCCTCGCTGGCCTCGACCTCAGCTCCTTCGACGACTACCAGATCGCAAGACTCAAGGCGAGGGTGCGGTACGGGGTAGAGAGCAACGTGCCGACGCTCGAGCTGGACGCTTCGTCGAACTCGGCGGTCGAGACGGCGGAAAATGAACATGAGGAGGAAGCCTCGTCGTCTGCAAATGGCGCCGATGCGACGGGATCCGAAGCGACAAAGACGCTCTTCATTGGCGACTTGCGCCTGTCTTCTTTGAAGGCGGCCCTCGCCAGGACGCACCGAATGCCGTCGGAGTTTGCAGGAGAGGGAACGCTCGTGTGTGGAGCCGACGCCTTTGGCGGCAGCAGCTCCAAGCAGGCCCAAGACAGCGGTGAAGGAGGGGCCGTTAGAGTACAAAAGAGTGGCGAGGGTCAAATCATTATTGAAGGAAACGTCGGCAAGGGCTTCTACAAGGTCAGAAATGCCGTCTACGACCTTCACGCCAAGGTCGACGGTTAGAGGTTCCATCTTTCGCAATGTAACACTAGTACTACTACTACACCACAAGCATCGAAATTTGTCTCAAAGTGTGATATTGCGCCGTGGCTTTTCGGTTTTGGATGTGACTGCTCCTCATCAGAGAAAGAAGCGGAGCGGATGAGGAAAAAGAGAGGATGGAAGGAGTGGCTAAAGTTACAGAGAGGGAGGGAAAGGGAGGATAAGAGCGACACAAGAGGAAAATGTGAATTTATGCAGCAGTTGGTTCTTGCGCAGGAGTGGGCACGACGCCGTTTGGTTGTTGGGTTTGATTCTGGTTCTGATTGTCCTTGCTTGCTCCCCGGTCGCCACCACCTCGCTGTCCACCTCCGCGTCCGCCGCCCCGGCCGCCCCGGCCACCACCGCTGCCGCCGCCTCTTGACTCGTTGTGGTTGGCCGTGATGGGGTGGGCCTTGCGGTCCATGGCCTGGCCCATGGCTGCCGTCCGGAAGGTGAATCCGCGCGTCTTCTCAATCACTGATTGGTACACGGCGGGCGTCGTCTGGTTCATGTAGACCATGCCCTCCTTGAAGTCGATCTTGGCATCGCCCCTCGTATCACGGACGAGGTTGACAATCCACTTCTCGCCCTCCTCCTTTGTCATGTTGAGCCGCTTGGACAGGTCGCCAATGTCGACGCGCTGGTGAATCCGGCAGTAAGCCTCGCTGACGAGGAAACGGGCCGACTCGACAAAAGCGTCTGCATGGTCCGCGAGGAAAAAGTCCTTGCTGGCCACGTCCTGTGCTTTTCTGAGCTCCTCTTGGGACTTTTCAAAGTCAAACTCGGTGCAGAGCTGGCGAACAAAGTTGAGAATGGGATCCTTTTCTGTGCGATGCGCCTCGAGCGACAGCGCACGCGTCACGTCTCGGAGCGCCGCGGCAGGCGACAGCTTCACGGTAGGCGAAGAACCTGGGTTGAGAGACGAGACAGGTTGAGAAATGATGTAGGTACGCGTCGACCGTCGCGTCAGGACGAGGGCGGCGACGAGGTATCGAAGAAGCCACCAGCACGTCGTTTGGATCGTGTTGAGGTAAGGAGGCGAAAGGTACATCTCCACCAGGCCCTCCCGCCCAGCCGGGTGGTTGAACCAGATGAAGAGGGACCAGTGCAGAAGCCAGGTGCGCTTCTGCAGCACGGCCTCGTGACCTCCCTCGTCGGGTCGCGAGCTGTCGATCTGCTCGCGAAGCAGCTTCACCTCCTCGAGCGCTCGGTCCCAATCTCCCGAGAGTATGTCAGCGGCCATCTTGCCCCAGTGCGAAGACGTCGTCAACTCTGGATCGATCGAGAGGACTCGAAAGTGGTAGAGGTACGACGAGGCGTCACTGTAGTTGCCGATCGAGTAATGAAAGTAGCCCAACCGGTAGAGGGCATTGATTTGGTCGACGGTGAGCTGATGAGAAGGGAGAGTGAGTCTGGCGCACAGCGAGGCCCTCGTAGTTCTTTATTGCTCACCTGGTACTTGTCCTCGAGGTATGCCAAGTTCTGAGCCTTGTCCTGCTTGAGCGAGTCCACCAGCGTCGGGTCCTCGATGACATTAAGAACCCTGTCGGCTTCGGCAGTAAGACGCTCCTGAATCGACTGCACATCCTCCGCCTGCTTGACGAGCTCCTTCGGTGGGTCTTGGCCGGGGAAAGCCTGCTCATAGAGTGAGATGGCATATTCGAACATCGAAGTGCCACGGACGAGGTCATAGGTGGCCTTTGCGATATCGTCCTTGTTGAAAATTTCCAGGTCGGCCAAATGCGACAGCAGGGCCAGGCCCAGGTGCCTGTCTGTGTACCCGAGGATCGTCGATGTGAGATCCGTGTCCGCCATGGTGAGGGGTGTGTGTTGATCGGGAAGGGGAAGGGAGCGCTGCGAGGAGGTTTTAAAAAACGGCGAGAAGAAGAAAATGGGCCGCCACGTTAAAAAGCTCTTGCGGGAATCACGTGTCGCGGGCAAAGCTCGCTCCCATCTTCTCAAGCATTGTCAGATTGGCAACTTCGGCGGCGGAGTGACAGACACACCTTTGGCGATGCTGTTGCAACGGTCCGCGTCAAGTACGGCCCGTGTCGCTGCCAGGAATGGACAAGGGATATGGGTCAGGCCCGCAACGTCGGCAGCGGGAGGGCATGTAGTCGGGATTCCCACCGCCTCGAGGCGGCCGATCGTGAGCTTCCTGAGCTGGGTGGAGTTGCATCTATATTAATAGGCTGATCGCCTGCCTGAATCTCAGGGCGGAATGAGGGGCGCACTGACTGGATTCGCCATCGGTCTGGGCAGCGTGTCCCTCTATGGCTACTACTATCTCCTCCAGGAATACCACAGCGCCAGCCTAGAGATGAGGGCCTCTGTCCGCGAGCTTGAGGACAGCACGCACAAGGTGAGCGGCATTGATCTTGGAGAAAGGACTGTTGTTCACTCTGAAAGGGCCTGCTCCAGATCTCTGCTGCTATGGCACGTATGTCTTCGCTCGAGAAGCAAGTGGGAGCGCTTGCATCGTCTTCATCCACAAAGGAAGACGTTCGATCCAGGACAGGAGACCTCGTCCGCGTCTATGACGCCCTTCACCAGGATGTCCTCGAAGTCAGACGAAAGCTGTGGGACGTAGGTGGGTGACATGGAAGCGAGAGTACTATTTCACGACTGACTGAGCTTCCCGCAGAGCAAGACGTCAACAAAGCACTCGGCACTCCCACGTCTCGGCAGGCCAATGGACGCATCGTCTGATCTGCAATACCCCTTGTCCCTCCCCTCTGTCAATGTATTTGTGCGAATCAATCACCTCGTCACTGCTCACAGGCGCCACGCGTGTTCCACCTGCTCCTTGTCTGTGATCTCCCTCTGTGCACCGTGTGCAGTGCAGTGGAAGAGGGGGGGCCTTTGAGATATATTTTCGAAACAGGGCTCGCTTTGCCTTTTCCCCTTCCATTTTTTCCCTTTCCTCCTCCATCTTCGCGTTGTTGCGCGTTTTCGAGCTGCAGCAGCCCGCGACCTCTCCGTGCTTGTCGACCCGGCCCTCCCTTGAGTCTGGCTTAGGTTGTCTCCTGCTCGCTTCAATTACAGGGAGGTCCGACACTGCGTGAAGGCAGCCACGCTCTGCATTCTCTTGGGTACCCACTGGGCGTGGCGTCGGACGACCGGCATCCTCTCGGTGCATCTTCATTAGGTCTTTCTCGACGATAATTTTCCGCACCGCGCAGCGCTCCCGTCTGTTGTCGAACGGAGAATGCGAGGCAAGCAGGCAACCGCGCTGGCCGCGAGCACTGCGGCGGCGCCCCTGCCCCCTCTCAGCCCCATCGTCAAGAAGCTGAGGCAGATGTGGCGTTTTGCTGCCATCTGCCAGTTTCTTTTCACCTTTGACGAGGCATTCGGCATGAGCGGATTCGAGACAGAGGTGAGTCCGCCCACGTAGCGTGCCAAGAGGTGGAGCGGCTAGAGGGACCTGGCTGTAGACTACAGGCCAAGGCTCCTCTCTCCCTTCTTCTTAAGGGACGACTGCTCTCGCATCTCACTGTCGCTCATCCTCTCTTTGTCACCCTTACTGCAGGCACTGGAGAGAGATCTGGATGGGTCGGAGACGCAAATGATCCCGGACCTCATGAGACGGCTTCTCTACACCCTCACCTTGAACCGCGAGATCGAGTGAGTTGAGCGGCAGAGTGCTTGAGCAGAGAAACTAGCTGCTGACTGAATCATACGCCCAAAAGTTCGAGCAACTGGGAGTCATACCTCCGAGCCCAGTACGAGGCGAGAGAGCCAAAGAACCTGCTTCTCGGCACCGCAGAGTCGCCCTTGCCCTGGGCCGCCCTTCCATTGACTGCGAAGGTGAATAGTCATCGTGGCATGCCCGGCATTCCTTCTCCTTTCTCTGCTGATCACGGCTTCTACCACCAGGTCGACACAATCTATACGCTGTGCGAGTGGCAATTGGTAGACGCCGAGCGATTCAGAAAGCTTGTGAAGAACGACGAAGATGCTCAGATCTGGGTGAGGAGAAAGAGGAAGAGTGCCGGCCTTGCTGTATCAGGCCACTGATGGAGCTCTCCTTAACACACAGCGAATAGACCCCATCGGCTGGGACGGGCAGGACAACACATACTGGCTCTTTGATGGTGAGTGACGGGCAAGCCTTCACATGCAGGTTAGCGATTGGAATCTCAACATCATCTGTCTTCTCCAGACAACCGGTTATGGATCCAGCATCCCCCTCCGCCAGAGCCCGTGAAAGCTCGCCCGCCCAAGAAGAACTCAAAGAAGGCTCGAGCAGAGGCTGCTGCCGCCAAACGGACAGCTCAGAAAGCGGCCGAGGGCCCATCCACGCCCAAGCCAGCTTCGGCAGCAAAGAGAAAGCGCGACTCGCTCCCCACCTCGTCGCCCAAGCCGAGGCGGGAGCCTCTGCGCAGCTCGACGAGGGGCAAGCCTGTGACCGAAGTTTCGGCTCCCACGCCTTCGCCGCAGAAGCGAACCGGGAGGAGCCTTCGTGGCGATGCAGACGGGTGGGAGGAAATCCCGCCAGAGCTTTTGTACGAAGGCCAAAGTGGAAGACGCGAGGCGGCTGAGAAGGGCGCGAGCACGACACAGAACGGGAGAAAGGCCAATGGGGATGCCAAGCAGCGCAGCAAGAGGGAGGGAAGCACAGACTCGGAGCTTTCAGAGCCACCGTCCCTTGACGAGAAGAAGGACGGTGAGGACGTCAAGATGGAGGACGCGGACGCGGACGTGAAGGTAGATGAAGCTGCTCCATCCATCGACACGAACGGGCACCAGAAGGCTGAGGAAGAGTCCCCCAAGATCGAAGAGGAAGAGCAGTCCAAGGAAGAGGAGGAAAAGCCCGTGAAGGAGGAGGAGAAGCCAGAGTGGATCGAGTTTGAGGCAGTGAGTGATCTCCTCACCGAAAGAGACGCAGTGCAGCTAACGCCCCTCTCGGTCCAGATTGCCGTCACTAGACCCGAGTGGGAAGCCATTGCGACAAAGTTCGCCAAATCCAAGCATCCCGACGAGAAGGCGCTTCATGCCCTCCTCAGCGACACTGTCATTCCCAAGGTGATGAGGGATATTGCTGAAGTCGAAAAGCAGAGGGCCCACGAGGCTGCCATGGCAAGCAGGAAGCGAAGCAGCCGGATTGCCTTGAAAGAGAGCGAGAAGGAGGAACGGGAACGAGACCGTGCAGCGCGCTTGGCCATGGAGGAACGCATGGCAAGCCTTCGGCGCGAAGAGCAGGATAAGGCGAATCGCGAGGAGGAGGAGCGGAAAGCCGTCAAGCACCGCGAAGATAGGCTGCGAGAGCGCGAAGAAAGGATTCTCGCAAGGGAGCGAGAGGCGGAGGAAAAGGCTCTGCGCGAGATCCAGGAGCGCGAGGAGCGAGAAAGGATGAGAGAGATCAGGAAGCAGCGGAGAGAGGAGATCATTGCAAATGGCGGTGTACCCACTCCTGAACCGGCACCAGGACCTTCAGCCCAAATATCAGAGGCCCAAGATGGCGACAGCTGGGAGCTGGACTGTGAAGTCTGTGGAAAAGCCGGCATCAACCTCGACGATACCGACGAGATTGTCTGCTGCGAGCGGTGTGGTGTGTGGCAGCACACAGAGTGCTGGAACGCCTTTGACAGGAGCGTCCATCACCCGCGGCGCGACTGGGAAAAGGAGGACTTCTTTTGCAGCAAGTGCCGACCGCCAGCTCCGGGCCAGCCATGGCCCCAACGGCCGCAGCGCCTGCCGCAGGCTCCCTCTGTTCCATCTCAACGACCTGCAGTCCCTTCGCAGGCTCATCCACCATATGCTCAGCAACAATACATGCCAACGCACAATGTTCAACATCCTCAGCAGCAGCAGCAGCAGCAGCAGCAGCAGCAAAGGTACGGCTATCCACCACAGCAGGCGCAACCTATGCCGATGCAGCAACAAGCGTTGCAGCCGAGCCACGTCCGTCCCCAACAGCAACACCTCTACCAACACCCACAACAGATGCATGCTCATCCCCCACCACAGCCTCAGCAGCAGTATCTGCAACAGCAGTATCAGCAGTATCAGCAGAATCAGCATTTCCAGCCGCAAGTGCAGCATCAGCAAAGACCACAGGGACAACAATCCCCTGTGCCTGCAGCTCAGGGCCATCAATCTTACCCTTTCTCCTCTGCGTTCGCCACTTCTCGCCCGCCTCAGGGCCTGTACTCCGGACCATCTCACGGCTCCGCGGCGCCTTCTGCGCCTCCGGCGGCTCGACCAGTACCGGCAGCAGCGCCTTCTCGGCCTCAGCCAGCAGCAGCGCCTGCTCCCCCGGCCCTCAATGGAGCGGCACACTCATCAGCAGCGGCTGTGCCCAGACCAGCCCAAGCTTCTCCGATCAGCAGTCCTTCGGCGGCAGTCCCTGCTCGACCAGCCACACAAGCCTCTCCGCTCACCTCCAATCAGACGCCAATTTCGGCTTCATCGCCCGTGGCACAGAAGCCAGTGCCCTCGACACCAGGCAGTGCGCAGGAGCAAAGAAGTAGTCCCGGTACCACCAATGGGTCTTCGTCAATGGCTGCTCCAACTTCGTCCCCTCTAAAATCGCCCAGTGCCAAGCCATTCGTCCACCGGGCTTCGCAGCCGTCAGGTAGCTTCCCGCTGCGACATACCCCGGCGAAGTCTCCCCTATCTGGTGGTCATGCACCCTCGCCGCCAGTGACAGGCACGGCTAATGCACCCATCCCTGCTATTTCGCTCGGCCCCGCCCGGGCGACCAGTCCTTCTCCTGGACCAAAGGGTGCCGGCACTGCGACCCTTGGGTCGACACCGCCGATTTCTCAACAGGCTAGAGATCCTAATTCTCTCTACAGTCGTCAGACGCCTTCCTCAACAACGTCCACGCCTGGCTCGCAGACTTCGACGGGGCATGGTGACGGACGAGCACCTACTTCTGTGCAAGGGCCTCCGTCTGGACCTGGACCTGGGCCAGGACCAGCCTCTGGCTCGCTCGTCAGGCCCGATCAGGACCGTCGCACCGTTGGTCCAAGTCTACCTCGCGGCCCATTCGGATCAACAGCCCCATCCCAAACGTCGCCCGGTCAAGCTTCGTCGCAGCCGCCAGTCGAACCGAAGCTGAATCAGGCTCCCACCCAGCCTGCCGCAGCTGTCGCTCAGCAGCAGCAGGAGCAGGAGCAAGCGCCCGTAAGCGGGCCACCATCATCAACAGCACAACAGCCACATCAAATGTAACACCTTTGGTATTGCAGCATGAATAAATTTATAGAAGTCTGTCACTCCTCCTACGCTTGGCGATTGAACATTTCGTCATTTTGCGCGCTGCTCATTTCCGCTGAGGTGGAGAGGCAGCTGATTGTGAGGTCAGATTTGTAAAGAAGCCGTCCGGCTCCGGAGAGGCTTTGCTGAGATAATCCATCGATGCACAGTTCATGCCGTGTGCTCTCAGATCCGACGGCGGGTGTTGCTTCTACAAGGGGGGATAGCAGTCCGTATCTAGCCGTGGAAGTCGGCGGCGGTGCGGGCGCCGGGGAACCGTGGCACTTTGAAGAAGAAAGTGTGACGCAGGCGCCAAAAGTTAAAACGCGCTACCGAGGTGGGCTCTGTGCATGGGCACCCACCCAGTGGTCAAGCGTCAATCTGGATTGCCAGCCTACTTCTATCTCTCTCTCTCTCTCTCTCTCTCTTCGTCACTTCTTCTCACCAACACCAACACGCCCTCCTCCTCGAAGAGTCTCTGCGCCTCTCTCCCTCGTGTGTCTCGTCTCCGTCCGTCTTCATACCTGACCACTTGACCACTGGAGCGTTTGTGGCTTCCAGGACCTGTTCCCCCAAAACAGATCTCATTGGAAGTGCATCTACCACGCCAACCATGTCGGCGCCTTCTCGGACGCCGTACAATGTGCTCAGCCAGACGTTTCTCGTCGACTCATCGTACGAGGTCACAAAGGAGCTCGGCTCGGGCGCCTACGGCTCCGTCGCCGCCGCCCTGCACAAGGCATCGGGAGAAAGCGTAGCGATCAAGAAGATCACAAATGTCTTTTCGAAGAAGATCCTGGCGAAGCGAGCCCTGCGAGAGATTAAGTGAGTGTCCCTGTCAACCTTTATTTTGGCTCAAGGAGATAGAGTCTCTGATCATGGCCACTGCACAGACTGCTTCGTCACTTTCGTGGGCATAAGAACATCACCTGTCTCTATGACATGGACATCATCGACCCTGTCGCTTTCAACGAGGTGTACCTCTACGAAGAGCTGATGGAGGCTGACCTGCATGCCATTGTGAGAGCAACTTTCCTCCTCTCATCTTCCACGAGACCTTCTCGTTGACAGTCCTCCTATCGATGCAGATTCGCTCTGGTCAACCCCTGTCCGATGCCCACTTCCAGTCATTCATCTACCAGACGCTCTGTGGTTTGCGCTACATTCACAGTGCCTCAGTGCTCCACCGCGACCTCAAGCCGGGAAACCTGCTCGTCAATGCCGACTGCGAGCTCAAGATCTGTGACTTTGGGCTGGCCCGTGGCTTCGAGACTGACCAACCTGGCGGGCAGGCTGGTGGCTTCATGACGGAGTACGTTGCGACGAGGTGGTACAGGGCGCCGGAGATCATGTTGAGGTGAGAATTGCCTCTCCATTTGCGAGCGAAGAAGGTGACCAAAGCTCATCGCCTGGCTTGCGCTTCGACAGCTTCCAGAATTACACAACTGCTAGTAAGTGTGAAGTGCGGTTTCCCACATAGATGGGCCATGCGATACTGATCGATTCCGAATCAACAGTCGACATCTGGTCCGTGGGCTGTATCCTTGCGGAGCTCCTCGGTGGCAAGCCCATCTTCCGTGGCCGAGACTATGTGGACCAGCTCAACCAGATCCTTCACTACCTTGGCACTCCCTCTGAAGAGACGTTGCGCCGCGTCGGCAGCCCCCGCGCACAAGACTACATCCGTTCGCTCCCCTACAAGCCTCGCATCCCCTTCAAGCAGCTCTACCCCGCCGCGAACCCGATGGCGCTGGACCTGCTCGAGAAGATGCTCTCGTTTGACCCATCGCGGAGAATTACTTGCGACGAGGCACTCCAGCACCCTTACCTGAGTGTCTGGCATGACCCGGCGGACGAGCCGACGTGCGAGCGCAAATTTGACTTTGGTTTCGAAGAGGTCGAAGACGTGGAAGGGATGAAGAAGCTCATTCTAGAGGAAGTGGCCAGCTTTAGGGAGGAGGTCAGGGGACGGACGAGGGTGCAGCAGCCAAAGAGGCAAGAGAGGTGCGTTTTTGGACCTTGGCTTGACTGCCCGTCTGATCGTTGAGCTGACTGTTGCGAGATCCTCTGAACAGCCTGCCAATCCCCACGCGCGACGAAATCAAGGGCGACGTATCTGGAAACGTTATGGGCGCCAGCAGCGGACTTGTGCATGGGGGCACAGCGACAGAGACGGCAAGCGGGATGCTGAGCGATGCGCAGATGATGGAGGACCCGAGCGAAGCCTTTGAAAGAGAGATTCAAGGCCAGCGGTAGGAGTGAAGATCAAGTTTTGTCTCCTTTCTTTCATCTTCCCCCATCTCTCTCTTCTCGCTCTCATTTGTCTATATAATTTGAATTAGTAGAGCCAGTCAGAGCTCTGAGTACATAGTCATTGTTGACGAGGTGGTGTACAGGAGATCCAGGTCCTTTGCGCCTCCTACTTCTATTGGAGCCAGCTCGGCTCGATGGCACTGACGCCTCTAGCAAAGATTTGCGTTGTAAATGTGAGCTCATCAAAGAAGATGACGTTTGGCGGTGTCCTTCGAGCACTGAAGAGAGTCGACGAAGGGTGGATCTTGAACGTATCCTTTGAAAACGCTCGGGTATAGGTGTGGCCATCTGGCTGGCGGAATGCTGCATTGGTCTTGCGTCCTGCAATGAGCGCCCGAAGCAGGGACTCGTACGAGTCGTCGCTGTCGGCGCCTCCGTGGTTGTGTGCGGCGGTGCGATGGGAAGCGCCACCCTTGGTGACGTAGAGCCCATCATTTTGTTTTTCTTCGTCATCGCTACTGCTCGCATCGTCTTCCTCCCCTTTTCCTTTCATTTCGGCATCGTCCCCATCCTTATCAGCCTCGACGGCCATTCCAAGGCGCTTGCAGATGGTCCGCAGCTGTTCTCGGATCTTCTGAACCTCTCTGACAGCCTTCAACGAGACGAAATTTGTCTCGCACCAATCCTTGAGCATGGCCGAGGCCGCTTTGGCGCTCCCCGCTCCATTCGCAGCAGCCTCCAACAATCTCTTCGAAGCGCGCTCTTGCTCCTCAAACGCATAGAGGGCTTTCAGCTGCGTGATGTGATCGCCGGACTTGTGCGCCATTCGGTGCCGAGCTCGATCGGCCTCTTCTCGCCGCTTGCTCGATGCTTCATCGTCGGCGGCGAGCATGGGTGGGTCGATGAGAATGGATCTTCGCTCAGAGGAGAGGATCGAGACGAGTGCCAGGGCCTGCCTAGGGGTGTCGAGTCCCAACTCCGACGCAGCGATCAGGGTGCGCGAAAGCGGGGGAGTTAGAGGCAAGGCAGCCATGCGCCGACCGAGTGGTGTCAGCTCGAATCGGGGCACCATGTCCTCTTCCTCGGCATGGCCGTTCTCCTCTGGCCTTACTTTGCCATTAGCCTGCGACGTGGGATGTTGCAGCGCTCCCAATTCCAGGAGCAGGACCAGCGACTCCTTCATCGCCTCGTCGTCTGGTCGGTCCATCCAGTCGAACGACAGCGGGTCCAATCCCATGGCGAGGACATCGAGCATGGTCGAGGTCAAGTCTGCCCTAAGGATCTCGGGCGGGCTCGTGTCTTCGAGCGAGTCAAAAACGTCCTCGCGGTATAGCCTGTAGCACGAACCAGATCCATCTCGACCCGCTCGACCCGCCCTCTGGCGTGCAGCCGACTTGCTGATCGGCTTCACCTCAAGCATGTCTACCGAGACGCCTCCGCCGGATCGCTGCTTGGCCAGGCCGCAGTCGATGACATAACCGATGCCGGGTATCGTGATACTTGTCTCGGCGATGTTGGTAGCCAAGACCACCTTGCGGCAGCCGGGCGGCGTAGCTGCGTACACCTTGGCCACAGCGCCGGGACCCAAAGCTGCATAGAGCGGGCAGATGATGAACTCTGGAGGTGGTCGAGAATTGGCACCCTGGGCGTGAAGCTTGAGCGCCTGATTAAGCTCGTGGAGCTGTCGAGCAAAGGACTCGATCTCCTCGGCGCCCGTCATGAAGACGAGGACGTCTCCTGGAGGGAGATCTCCAATCTGCACCAACAGCTTCTTGGCCGCTTCGACCCAGTCCTGCAACGCTTCGGTGGAGTGGTAAAGCGTAATGGGAAACTGTCGGCCCTTGACATAGAGGATGGGGGCGGCCAGAGGAGCGAAGTACTGGGAAAAGGCTTCGGCATCGATGGTAGCCGACATGACGACAATCTTGAGCGGACTGTACTTTTCTCCCATCTTCCTTCGCAGCCGCTGGGCCCTCTTTGCGAGGCCCAGAAGGACATCGGTATGTACCGACCGTTCGTGGGCTTCGTCGAGAATCAAGATGGAGTAGCGTGTCATTGCTCCATCGTCTTTGCCGCTGAGCATCTCTCGCAGAAGCCAGCCATCGGTCATAAACTTGATTCTCGTCTTGTTGGAGGTCCGGTCATCGAATCGGATCGAGTAGCCCACCTCGGCCCCGAGCTCCTTGACGCCCATCTCGACGGCCACGCGTTTGGCCAGAGACGTGGCGGCAACCCTTCTGGGCTGTGTGATGCCAATCATCTGCGACGAAGGTCCTCCAAGGCCAGCTTCATAGAGGAATTGAGGTATTTCTGAAGACGAAAGTGGGAAGCTGGAGTGAGCATTTACGTCTCCGTACGATAAAAAGACCAGACTGCTCACGGGTCGTCTTTCCGCTGCCTGTTTCTCCGAGGACAACAACGGTGTCATTTTCTCGAACAGCATCCACGATTCCCTCTCTCCCTGCCCATATCGGCAGCTTTTTTCGAGACTCGGTGATCCTGGGATCCACCAGCGTCTTCTTCGTCGGCGAAGATGGCAGGGAGGAGGAGGATGACGATGGAGACAGCGACGAGGATGGCGCCAGGGCCCCAGCGTTCACAAAGCGCTTTGAAAGCTTGGTTGGAGAATTTGATAGCCGCCTCTTCAGGCCCCCATTGACACTACCTATCCCGCCCGACGCCGCCCCATTGCTACCCCCGCTCCCATTCGACATCGAGCTCATTCTTGTCCTATCCACCTCCACGGAAACGACGAAGGGAAAAAAAGGTTAAAGAATCCAAAAAAAAAAAAAGAGAGAAGGCCTAATCCGACGGCCGAGGATATCAAAAGAGGCTGAGCGTTACACGTGGAATTTTGGCTTTGCCGCTCTCGCAAGAAGGCTCGACCTAAGCTCTTCTTCTATCACCAACCGTCGCCATTACCTTCCCCGTCCCCCAAAAGTAATAGAGCTAAGCCAAGATGTCGTCCGCCGCTGTTATGAACGTGAGTCAGGACGGAGTGTGCTTCTGAAGAGATGAAGAGCTCACAGAGAGTCCTCGTGTGCCTTCAGCTTGCCTTCATGTTTGGCGCCATGCAGGTGGCCAAGCGGATCCCCTTTGACGAGCAGCCAGAGTACATCATCTACGCTCGAATTGCGTACGCAACGGCCCAGGCCATCTGCCTGCTCATCAACTACTTCTGTGCCTGGAAGGTCAAGAAGGCAAACGACCTCACTGTGCTCAAGTACGTCGAGCCAAAGAGCCCCATGTCGCAGGAACCGGGCGAGCTAGTCACGACGACGCACCGAGATTACGACCTGCAGGAGATCAGCAAGGCCACGCGTGGCGTCATGATGGGCACCCTCATGGTCGGTGTCATGCACTTCTACATGGGCTACACCAATCCGTGAGTTTGCCTGGCTTCACTGTCAGTCTGCACGAAAGAAGCTGAACGATAATCACATGCAGCCTTGTCATCCAGTCGATCCTGCCCATCAAGAACGCCCTCGAGTCCAAGCACGCTCAGATCTGGATCTGGGGCAAGCCTGCCACGGGCGACCTCAAGAGGCCCTTCAAGGCTGCCGGCGGTCTCTTCGGTGCGTAGTCTACCTCCCCTCAACTTTTCAGTTGCTTCGACGCTGACCCTTTCTTCATCACACAGGCGCAGCAACAGGCGCTCAGGGTGGCCCTCAGACGGACAAGAAGGCTATCGCAGAGGCAGAAAAGGCGGGAGGTGCCAAGAAGGAGGAGTAAATGGGATGACGAGACTTGCTCCGGTGCTCTCGATCTCGGAAGGAAAGGAAGGGCTGCATGTATTACAACTTCGCAATTTTTCTCTCAATTCTTCTCCGTTTCAGGCCACACGCCTGTCGGAGGTGACGAATCGATCTAGATCCCAGCCTCCCTGCGGCTCCTCTACCACGCCTGCTTTTTGGAGTGTCTCGAGCGTCTGGAGGAGCACCTCTTCGCTGACTTCATTTGTTTTTACGCTCTGGCCCTTGAGACGTTTGCCCCCACTTCCCTGCCCCTCTCGAGAGTCGCCGACCCATCGCACACCGGCATACCACTGGTCAACGTCCTTTGCGTCGTACTTCATCTGCTCGACGATTGTGCTCTTTGCTTTTTCTTCATCACTGGTGAACTTTTTGACCTGGTCCGCCAGCTTGCCCAAGAATTTATGTAGCTTCGTCTCGGTTGACGGTGTCGGTGTCTGCTCGGTGAACGACTTCGATGCCGCAATAGTCCAGCTGGGCCATGGTGTGGGTACGCTGCCGATGAAACGGACCTCACCCGAGTTGACGAAAGGCTTTGTGGTGAACCACTCCCACATGAATGCTGACGTCTCGAGGCCGCTCTGCTGGTTGACGCCGTTGCGCAGGTTCTCAAAGTTGTCATTGACCTTGAATTTCACATCGTCGGTCGACCAGCCCTGCTGGAGGGCCATGACGCTTGCCATGACTTGCGACCCGCTTCCCAGCCGGCTGATACCAAGCGTCGTCGAACGCAGATCGTCGATCGACTTGTACTTGTCCGCCTTGGCGTCCGTGCCCGTGATGACGGCCCAGTTGAGGCTGCTCTTGACGTAGCTTCCCACGAGCTCGTAGTCGCTGCGGCCCTTTGCGATGCCCGCGATGAGCGCCTCGGTCAGTGCGATGGCAATGTCAATGTCTGGGCGAGGCCTGGCGGCGAGCGACGTGAGCATCTGGCCCGTGCCGCTCGGTTGCGAGACAAGCTCGATGTGCTCCTTGCCCCAGGCCGACGATGCAAGCTGGAGCAACGGAAGGCTGAAGTGCTCGGGGACATAGCCCACGCGAAGCTTCTCTTGGCTGTCGGCCATTGTCAAGATCGCAAAGAAGGAGAGCAGGAAGAGGTAGCTGTAGTAGCAGGAAAGGAAGAAGAAGACGAGGTTGGCTCGTGTCCTGTGGAGGCAGTGGTCAGCGCCTGTGTTCGGCCGACACGGAACCAACACCCTGTGCGGGCGTGTGTATGTCTGCGCGCAGAGAGAGAAAGGTAAAATTCCAACTTCTTCGCAAGACCGTCATCTCGCCTTCGTTGACCCCGAGCAAGCACCGTCGCGCGGGTCTAGAGGTCACCCGACTGTCGCCGTCGTGCTGTGGAGGGCCTCACTGGGTGGATTGCGACACCATGACGGAGCCTCCCGTGGAAGCGCAGGAGGCTTCTGCTGATGTGAGTCGCGCGACCTGAGACTGCGTTGTGACCTTCTACACTCTGCTCATCCAAGATTCTATCCCCCTGTCTCCCAGTTCCTCACTCTGCGACAGCTAGCGCAAGGCGTCAGTGTGAGAGTATCGGCACCGCTCAACATTGCTCCAGAAGAGAGCGCTGGTAACCTGCTATGTGTCTCAAACAAGAGAGGCTTGCTCCTCGCAGCGACAAACGAAGGTGAGATCACAGACCCTCACCTTCGCACTGTCGCGGGCATAGAAGTCTGACCCCGCATGACATACGAACCCAACAGGATTCGTTGCCCATCCTCTCGAAGCATTCAGGACACTCTATGCGTCATCATCGCGCAATGCCGTTCCCGAGCTCGAGCCGGCGTTCAAGCTGGACACGGTCAACGAGGCGTCGTTGGGCGCACGCGTCTCCTTCCTGAGGATGGCAGATGGCGAGAGCAAGGTCGTTGCTGGACTTGCCAATGGTAAGATTGCACTTTGGCCCACAGACTCTTTGCAAGTCGGAAAGGTGAATCAGGCGCTCGTTTTCCTTCGTGATGCGCCAGAGGATGCTGACCGCATTGACTACAGCAAACGATCATTGAGTCGGCGTCGCCCGGTGCCCGGCTGCTCGAGGTGCTGCCCAATCCATCCGACAGACCCGAGCTGTGCTTGGCTCTGTATGCCTCTTCGGGAGCCAACGGTGGCGCAGCATTCGTTCTCGACATCCGGAGTGGGAACGTTATTGCTTCTCTGACAGCTCAGGGTCAGGTTGCGACGAGCGCATGTTGGTCTGTCAAGGGCAAGCAGGTTGCGCTGGGATTGCAGGACGGTACATTGTCTCAGGTCACACCTGAGGGACAGGTCAAAGATCAGATCGCCAAACCAAATGATCTACAAGGCGACTACTACGTAGAACAAGTCCTGTGGATCGAAAATCACGTCTTCATCGTCACGTACAACCAGACCTCAGCAGCAGGCCAAGAGGAGCCCGAGCATAGCTACGAAGTCTATACAATCGTGCGAGGCCCGGAAAACAACAACAAGGTTGGCTTTGTTCGCATGCCTGCTGATCCAGCACCGGCTTTTGGCGATACATCCAGAAGAGGCCGTCGATATGCGGCCTGGCTCAAGGCGTGGAACCCTACCAAGCATCTTGTCTTTGTCGCGAACACGCCAAGCACGGACGTCGGGCTTCTTGGATCTGTTGCAGATGAAAAGGGCTCGTCGGCTTGGCGGCTGTACGAGCTCGAGGAAACGAGTCGGCCTACGCTGCCATTCTCATCCCTCGACAGGAGCTCCGACACTTCGCCCGTTGGTCTGGAGCTCGACCTGACGGCAAAAGAGAATGTCGACGACCCGTTAGCTGCGGCGAGAGGAGAGGATGGGAAGGGTAAGCTACCACCGATGCCCATCTTGCTCATCTTTACCAACGACGGCGTCATTCTTGCCTACCACGTCATCAACTTGGGTCCAGGCGCTAGCCGGTATCCTGGCTTGGTCGAGTCAGTTGGTGGTGCTGTTACAGCTACCGCTACCGCTTCAGCTCCAGCTTCGGCTCCTGTGTCTGCTCCTTCGACTGCCACTTCCCCACCACCTGCCTCGACGACTCCGACGCCTACTTTTGGCGCGTCAACCACGCCAGGAGCAGGCTTCGGACAAGCCTCCACGTTCGGTCAGCCGTCGACCTTTGGCTCAACCTCTACGCCAAGCTCCTCTGGAGGCTTTGGTGCCTTTGCGTCGAAGCCTCCCACAGCATTCGGAGGCACAGACTCAGGCTCTCCATCCACCTCTTTTAGCTTTGGATCGCCCTCGACACCCCAAGAGGCAGGAGATGGCGAGGTGAAGACGGCAGCGCCGGCTTTCGGAAGCACTTCTGGCTTTGGATCCTCATCTGGTTTTGGCTCATCAGCCGCTTCGGGCTCAAACACAACCACGGCACCTGCCTTTGGCTCCACCTCAGCATTTGGCTCGTCTTCAGCCTTTGGTAGCGCTGGTGCATTTGGGAGCAAGCCTGCCGCACCAGCCTTTGGTTCGTCGTCTGCCTTTGGCTCGGCTGCTCAATCGCCATCAACGCCCAACAAGGCGCCAAGTGCGTTTGGATCGACTTCGACTCCTGCCGCTGGGACAGCTCCTAGCTTCGGCTCAGGTTCCGGATCAGGATTTGGCGGATTTGCTTCCAAGGGCTTTTCGTCTTTCGGTTCGCCTTCCAACGAGAAGAAATCCATCTTTGAGAGCGGTGGCGGCAGCGACGACAAGGCCAGCAGTCCATTCGGCGCACCTGCTGCTCCCGTGTTTGGCGGCCAGAGCGCCACCAATTCTGGGTCACTCTTTGCACAGAATGCCGAGAAGAGCAAAGATGAGGATAAGACAGAGGGCCAACATGCAGCCAATCAGGGGTCATCCTCGTTTGGCTCGCTCTCGTTTGGAGGAATGGGCGATTTGCTGGGAGAAGGAGGGGACAAGGAAAAGGAAAAGAGCCCGCCGCCAAGGGAGAGTAAACCAGAGATGAGCTCGAGCCCGGTGCCGTCGGCCTCTCCATCGCCTTCTGCTGCGCCTTCGCCTGCCGCTGAGCCAGCACCGCAGCCAACATCGGCGTTTTCTTTTGCCCCTTCGAAGACTCCTCCTTCGAGCTCTTTCCCCGGTGGTGCGTCAGCATTCTCCTTTGCGAAACCTCCCGCGTCGACGTCTTCTACTCCGCCTGCAACCTCTGCCTTTTCTTTTGCGCCAAAGCCTCCGGCGTCGACTACACCAGAGACAGCAAAAAGCGCATTCAGTTTCGCACCAGCAAGGACTGCCGAGTCAAATGTGGCAGAGCAAGAAGAAGAACAGAAGGAGGGCGGCAATGCTGACAGGGAAAAAGATGAAGACGAAGCTAAAGAGCGTTTGGGAGGCGATGAGGAGAAGGGAGCGGAAATCAAAGTCAAAAAGGAAGAGGACGGCGAACAAAATGAAGTCCACGAGGCAGGGCAGTATCAAGAGCAGGAAGAAGAAGAGGACGAGGGGGAAGACGATGATGAAGAGGGCGACGAGACATACGAGGAGGAAGAAGAGTACGAAGAGGGCGAAGATGATGAGGGTGAAGAAGGAGAAGAGGAGGAGGAAGAGGAGGAAGAGGAAGAGGAAGAGGGAGACGATGAAGACCAGGAGAGAGACGAGCAGGAGGAGGAGACGGCTAGTGCGCGACCCGCACCGGACGAGGACAAACCAGCAGAGAAGCCGCTCCAAGGCGCCGGACAAGATGCGACAGAGAGAGGAGCCGAGTCTGTGCCGTCTTCTTCGACCAAGTCGCCCTTTTCGTTTGCTGGAAGCTCGCAAGGTCAAAGCCAACCTCAGGCTCAAGCTCCCAAATTCTCGCCTTCGCCGTCTTTCCACAACTTCAGCTCCAGGGCGCCCAGGAGCAGCTCGCCCCTATCTGGTGCGCCACTGAATCGGGCCGACCTTTCGTTTTCACCAGAAAAGAAGGAGCAAGCTCAGTCTCAGGGACAGCAGCCGCCACCAAAATCCAACGTCCCTTTCTCGTTTGCTCCTCAGCCCACCGCTGTACAGAAGGCGACGCCGCCACCACCACCAGCAATAACATCACAGCCGGCACCACCTACGTTCGCTCCAAGTGCTCCAAGCTCCGGACTCAAGTTTAGCTTTGGTGGCCAATCTTCAAGCGCAGGATCGTCGGTTCCTGCCCCAAAATTCTCTACACCAAGTCCGGGAAGCAGCAATGGAAGTGGCGACAGTAGCAGGTTGACCTCTTCAACAAATGTGGCGCCGACCTTCGGCGCGGGTGCGAGGCTACCGCCCTCCGTCGCCCCTGCCCCGAATCTCTTCAAGCAGGACGAGCAAGCGCCTAGCAAAGCGCAACCAACCCAGAGGGATCAAAGACCGCCGAGGCTCACAGCATCGTCGATTCCTGCGCCCGAGGTGAAGGAAGAAGGCTTACAGGGTCTCTTTTTAAAGACGTACTTGACAATGGACAAGGAGCTACAAGTGCTCAAAGACCAGGTCAAGCAATGCGCCTCGTTCCAGGCCCAGCTGCGCGAGCCCAGCGCATCGTCAAAGGGTATGGAGGAACTCCAGGATGCAGCGAGCTGGACGTTTGGTGATGTTGATGAGTTGCTCAGGCTAGTGCGCGAGGTGCAAGAGAAAGCGACACACATGGAATCTGGTTCCAAGACGGCACGAAGCCGGCTGGCTGAGCTGCAGAGCTTGCAGCTCAAGGCCGAGGCGAAACGGGAGGAGGCGGCCCGCTTCCTACGTGCTCATATTGATCCGGCATTTGCCAAGATGGTCAGAGTGCGGCAGCTGGGCCCCGAGCATGTCGAGAATCGGGAGAGACTCCGGATGGGAAGTCAGCAGGTCAAGGAGCGCATCGTTGAGCTGGAAGAGTATCTTGCAACGACAAAGACCAAAATAGCCGACCGAAAGCTGGCTACGTCGTCTGGAACGTCAGGTTCGCCATCCTTGAAGGCGCCTTCACTCGACACGATTCGGCGGACGATTCGGAATATTACGACAATGGCATCTAGCAAGACACTGGAGCTTGACGAGCTCCAGGCACAGCTGGACCTCTTTGGCCAACCTAGGGCAAGTTCCTTATCGAGCTCTAGAGGTGCGAGAAAGCGCGAAAGCGAGCCACTGTCGACTCTTTCTGCTCTGCGCGATGCACTGCCATCTAGCAGCCAGGCAGACTCCATTCGTTGGGAGGCGAATCAGGCTAGGGCAAGAAAGGCAAAAGAGACATTCTTGCAAGTCCGTCACCAACCTCTCCTCACGAAGTCATCCTCATCGGCCAAAAGTGGAGAGGTAGCCGACTTCAAAGAGTCAGACCTCCGCATTCACATGGCCGGGCCTGTCCACATCCGAGATCGCGCACCACCGCCCAAGCCGACGGCTCCAGCCCCAGCTTCTGCTCCTACTCCTGCTCCTGCTCCTGCTGCTACACCAACTTCAGCGTTCTCACAGCAGCAGCAGCAGCAGCAAAAGCCATCGTCATTCCAACAAGGTGGATTTGCACCTTCGTTTGCAGCTCCGCCGTCGTTCGGAGGAGGCGGAGGAGGCGGCAGCTTCAAGCCAGATTTGTTCTCGCTACCACCTGAATCTGCACCCTTCATGCCTGGCGGTGGTGCAACTTCGACGGGCGGATCCTCGAGAGGCCATCACTCGAAGTCGAGTGGAGGAGGGAGCAGCAAGCGTGTGCCTGCTGTCACATTACCTTCGGCCTCAAGAGATGGTAACGCTTCGTCTGTCTCTTCGTCTCCATCGACCTTTTTCGCGTCTCCTCCTCCTTCGGCGGCATCCGAAAACAAAGCCTCGACGTCGATTGCACCGCCCAACTTCTTCTCCTTTGCGAAGAATCTGCCTGCCGCGCCGTCCTCGACAGCCGCGTCATCGAGCGGCCCGTCCAACGGATTCAGCTTCGCAAACAACAGTGCCAAGCCGGCCCCTGCGACCGCCGCTGTACCCGCAGGTGGAACGTCGCTACAGTCTGCCTTCTCCGGCACGGCGGGCAAATTTGGAAGCGGTGGACCTGCATTTAACTTCAGATCCTTTGCGGGACCAGAGGCGCCGAAGCCGATTGGTACAGCAGACGAAGAGGGAGACGAAGAGGAGGAAGCGCAGCAGGAGGAAGATGAGGAGGAAGATGGGGGCGAGGAAGAAGATGGCGATGATGGCGAGTGGGATGACGAAGAGGAGGAGGAAGAAGACGACGACGAAGGACTGAGCGCCGTTGACGAGGAAGAGGAGGTCGATGGGTCTGAATAGTCAACTCAAAAGGAGATCAAGGCTGTCAATGTGATTGCTTTCGCAGCTCTGTATTTCGTGAATGAGAGTGAGAAGAGGAGAGGTATACAAAGACGAGAATTAAAAGGAGTGTGTGTGAGAATACAAAACGTTCAGACGTCCACGTAGATGAGGAGCGGCTCGCCGACGGCCTTGATCTCTGGGATTGTGCATTTGAGGTCAAAGGCCTTGGAGAGGATGATCTTGAAGATCTTTTGCACGTTGATGGCGTGCGACGTCGAGCAGAAGATGAGCGGGGCCTTCATTGCGCGTGCAAATCTCCGGGCCTGAGCACAGCCGAACGAAGGATCAGAACTTGGCCTAGAGCAGAGCTAGAGAGTCAAGAGGGAGCGCTCACCTGCTTTGTGATCTCTTCTTGCTCCTCCTTTGCGAACATGGCAAAGGTATCGTACTTTGTTCCTACAAGGAAAGGAATAGCCGTCTGGTCGCCTCCCATCGTCAGCTTTGACAACTGGAGAGAGGTGTGACGAAGAGGCTTGCTCACCTTGTTGAATCCTCTCGCCTGCCTGTACCATTCCTTGATGGAATTGAGCGTGCTCTTCCTTGAAAGGTCAAACATGAAGAGGATCGCCACGGCATCGTTGCAGACCAGGGGAAGCATGTTGACAAACTCCCTCTGCCCGCCCAGGTCCCAGATGCTGAATGTGATCTCAGTGTTGCGAATCGAAATTGTCTTTTCCATAAAGTTGACTCCGAGCGTCTGGATATAGTCCTACGTCGATAATTGTTCCCGCCGGAGTGGTGTCAGTAGCATGAAGATCGGATAAATGCAAACGTCGGCTCACCTCGTTGAAAGAACCCTCGACGTAGCGGACCATCAGGCTCGTCTTCCCGCACTGTGCATCGCCGATCAGGCCCACCTTCACGATGACGCTATTCTTGCCCGCTGAGGTCGATGGTGATGATGATGACGACGCCTCGTGCCCAACCCCTGTGTCCTCCCCTGCTCTTGTGCCTCCGGCTGTCTCCGGCATGGCACCTGTCTGACTCGAGGCCATGACGCTCTCGTGCCTACTGGGACAGGATCTCTAGGGATCTAGAATCGTGTCGAGGAAGGCCCAAAGGGCACGAATGCTGCTCCCTAGGCTCTATGATGTCGCTCCGATTCGATGGGGCGTAGGTACGAACAAAAGGGCGGCCGGAGTGCAGCGTGACGGCTCAGCGTAAGCGAGAGACCGATCTCGCAGCGCCGAGTGGAAAGGCGACGCCGAGCTCACGCACAGGCTATGCGCAAAGTGGGAGAAGGAGGACACTGGCCGGGCACAGGTACTGAGAGCTCGGCGAGTGCAGTGCGTCGTCAAGGGCGAACAGAAGAGGCGGCCCAAGCGTGGACGAGGGGAGGCGAGCGAGCCAAATTTCCGACCACGCGTCGTCAGTGACAAGACCAACACCTCATCCTTCATACAACGGCGATTCAAAAATACAAATGCACATTGGTCTTCGAACGGAAAGGATCTCGAGCAGATTGTCAAAATGTTGTTGCATTGATTTGTGTAAACCTGAGCATCATTGATGGATACATCTAACTCTGCAGCTTGGTAGACTCGGAGGCATACTTGCTCTTAGCACGAAGCGCAGGCCCGAACTTGAATAGAAGAAAGGGTGCTGGGATGCCCACGACGGCCGCAATCAGGGCCAGCACCGTGTTGCCATACCCGTAGCCAAGTTTGCTGTACATCGTCGGACCAGCAAGGGGCAATGCAAAGCCGGCCAAAGAGCGCAGGAAGACGTTGGCAGCGATGGCACTGGCAGCAAAGATTGTGTAGCAATCGACCATGTAGCTCTGAATACCCTGGAAGGTTGTGAGCATGCCGATCGCAAAGATGGCCGCCCCAATGTTGGGCCCGATCCAATGCGTCTTGTACTCTGCAGTCCAGCCAAAGATGAGAAGGCCTGCAGTCGGTGTCCAGCCAGTCATCATCATCACAATCAGCTTGAACTCGGGCTTGCCCTGGTTGTTGTTTTCCCTTTTGAGTTTGCGGTAGAAGTAGTCGAGTACCCTTCCACCGATCTGTCCACCAAGAGTGAAGCCCACTGCGAGGGAAATGTAGTTGAGCGACGCAACACCCACCGACTCCCCATAGACATTCTCGAAGACGGAATTGAACGTCGTTAGTTGGAGGTAAAGTGTGCCGTAAATGATCATCATGTAGAGTGCGAGCCACTGAACGACAGGCTGGGTCCCGATGAGGATGAAAGGCCGAACGAGGTTGTGCTGAAGACGTACTGCCCAGTGCTCCGCATTCTTGTCAAATACAGTGTGCAGCTTGTCGTTGCCTGTTTCGCGACGAAGTCGGGCCGCCTTCTTGCCGAGAATCCGCGGAGCATACGTTTCTGGAAGGATAAAAACTCCGACAGAAGCCGTGACACCAGCGGCAATACTACGAAATGATATCAAGACGTCGTCAGAGGCTCGCTCAACGATCTATTTCAGTGAATCACAACCAGGGCTCACCAGGCAATACCGAAGATCCATCTCCAATTTCGCGTCTCTTGTGTCACCCATCCTCCCTGGTAAGTCAATCGGTCAGCTATCGAGTCGAGCGAACACCTTGGATTTCCACTCACAACTATGGGCCCAATTGCGGGGCCGAGCAACGGTCCTAGACTGTAGACAGCCATCGCCGTGCCTCGCTCTTCGGGAAACATAAGGTCTGAGACGGTTCCACCACCTATAGCTAAGGGCGCGGAGCCGCCGAGGCCGGCGAAGAAGCGGAAGACAGACAGTTGGACGCGGTCCTGAGCGACGGCACAGGCGACGGTGAACGCAATGAAGAAGACATTTGCAGACTGGAGCACGATCCGTCTGCCAAACATCTCCGACAGGGGCGCCAAGAAGAGTGGCCCGATGGCGTAGGCGAGGACGAATACGGAGAGCATGAGAGACTCTAGGACGGTCGATGTGACGTGGAATTGTTCACTGATGAGAGGCAGGGCGGGGGCGACCATGGAAGAGGAGAGTGGCGAAAGGAAAGTATAGGTGGAGACGATGGCAATAACGGCCCATCGACGGTGCAACGACCAATTTCGAGGGTTCTCCATCGAGTCGGGTGAGTCCCAGGTGACAATGTTAGGGTCTTCTCCCTCCTTAGGCTCTGTGGATACCGAAGAGGCTCTCCCTTCCTGCTTTTCAAGGTCGACCGCTGGCTTCCCCTTTTCAATCTGCTCGGCCATAGTTTCGCCACTGTTGCCACTCCTGACATTCTCCAGAATCGCACTTTCTTCGGCTGCTTCTTCTTCGTCTCTCTTCTCGTAATTGCTGAGCTCTTTTTTCAAGGTATTCTTTTTTGATGACGGCCCCTGACCATCGTCCTTGGTCTTGCTAGCTGATGGCTTGTTGATCTTCGTTTTTGAGTTAGTCCGCGTAGCATGTAGCGGGTTGTACCAGTTGCCGTGATGATCTCTGTGGAGGTGAGGGTGGTCCTCATGCCGGCTATTCCAGTGAGACCCAATCTCCGAGTCGACGCCGCCTGTGTCGGCATTGTACAGGTCCCGTCTGCTGTGCGTTCTTTGGAGCGCGACCGGAGCACCATCTCGAGATCCACTCCCTCCTACTGCGGGGGAGGTCGACGAGGCGCGATAGTCCGGCGGGACGTGTGGACTAGCTTCATCTCGGATATTCTCCATCTCATCCGCCATGGTGTCGACAGGATGTCTCTTTCTCCCTCTTTGGTGGGGTATCCTGTGGTAAGAAGCTTCGCTCGCCAGAGCTTATAAACTGGCAACGGCAGCTTTTAAAGAGTTCCTGGTCATATCTCAGCAGATAGTAGTAGACGACGATCGAGGCAGAAGACCTGGGGTGCCGGTTTCGCAGACTCCAAACCAAAATAAAAATGCAGATTTCGGTTTTGTTCGGATGGAATCAGCAAGAGGGTCCCGCACAGAACGACGCGGTACCTTGCCGATTCAGAAGTAAACCTTCGACTCGCAGGCGGTTAAATTCATAGTGTCATGAAGCTCCGAGGCGCGCCACACGTGGTGATATTTCCCATGGAGAGCTTGCTTACTCTGCAAAATCATCAAGCCCGGGATGAAGTCCGTGGAGATAGCTATTACTTCGCTCCACTAAGGTTACTAATCGTTCCTGTGAGGGTCGGTGAAAAAAACGCAGCCAATAATGTCCGCTTTGGCATGATGTCCGCAACATAACACGGACAGGGCCGTGATGATAGAGACACAAGGTGATTGAAGTGGCTCAGAGCGACCTTTTAGACTTTGGCTTGCCGCTCTTGCTGTTGAGCGTCTTGACTGCGCCGTCGACACGGTGCTTCAGCAAGTGCTGAGCCGCGGTAGGAGCGTCGTAGTCGACCGACTATGGGGCGGGAGGTGTCAGCGAACATGCCTTTGCAACTACCGACCGCATGCACTCACGTAGATGCTCAGCGTAGCAGCGCACTTATCCTTGTTGACCGAGTCCTGCTCGCCAGGCAGGCTGCAGTCGCCGGAAAGGCAACGGTTGAGCCCGGGCGCAACGATGTTCTCATATTGGGGCAAGCCATTGCTGCCAATGTTGATGCGGTCAATGTAGGCCCCTCCCGTCATCCTGGTGTGGATCCAGTTGGCCTTTGAGCAGTTTGCAACTTGACCCACACCCGAAGCGTAGTTGACAGTACCACCTAGACCGAGAGGAAGGACTCCTGCCTCAGGGTTGCTCCTCTTCTCGTGCGACTGGCTGTCGCCGAGGGTCGAAACCAGGTTGGCCGTGTACTTGGCAATGATAATACTTTCGTCACTGGCATTGTCGTAGTTGAGAGTCTTGTAGTCACGGATGGCCGTAGAGGCCGAGAATGCAATGGCGGGGATGCCCCGCTCAACAACGACATACGACGAGCCGAGGGTGCCGCTGAGCGTGTACAGAAACGGACCAAGGTTGGTTCCTTCATTGGGTCCAGTCACTGCCAGGTCAACAGCCTTTCCTTTGAAGAAGTCGGGGACGACCTGGTCGAGTCCAAAGAGGGTGCAAGCGGCTGGCGTACCATCAAAGTACTACAGAACATGGAGGGTCTCCGTCAGTCAGGCCACACTCCTCCACAACGCTCTACACACCGTCAGGCCGGGGTCGCTTGCGTTAGCGCCACGGTAAGGCGCACTCTGGGGGAGAGATCCGCCACGTCCCGGGCCGGACAAAGTGGCTTGCTTGGGAAGGCTGTCGTTCTCTTCAGCTTTACTCAAACAGGACGCTTGCAGCCTTATTCAACTCACTTTACAGTGCCACCGGTGCCAGACTGCTGCTGGGCCGGCGCGACCATGAGAACGTTGTGGCCGGCAGTCTTGAGTGCGTAGTAGGTCGCACGGATATTTGCAGACGCCCATGAGTCGTCATTGCTCAACAGAATGTTGAGAGATCGCTTGGCCTTGATGACTCCTGAGTAGCCCTTGGCATTGACGGGGTAGTCATCTTTTGCGCTGGCAGCAGCGAATGCGAGCGAGACAAGGACAGAAAGAACAGGAAAGAAGCGCATCGTTGAGCCTGGGCGGAGCGGGCTGGGAAAAAGGGGGAAGGGGAAGCTGTGTCAGGTGGCTGACAAAAGAATCCCTGCCCTTTTGTATGGGTGTGTACGTCCGCGATGCCACTGCACGGTGCATCGACATCACGCATAAAATGACTCTCTAATCTACGACGGAAGAAGTTCCTGTGCCTGCACTCTCTTTAGCGCGTCTTGGAACCCAGTATCTTGATCCTTCGAAGAACGAACGTGCGCTCCGCCTCGTCAACACTTCTTTGTGACCTCAGCATTTCGATGTCTGATCTGCCGGTCTCTCTCCTACCTGCATCTTCACCGCATTGAGGAACAACGTCCTCTTTGGCATTATCAAAAGAAGTCGAAAGAGATGTTGTAGGTTCCAAAATTCTGTGATTGACCGGAACAAAAAAAAAATGTATCAGGGTCCAGCCGGGACTCGAACCCGGGCCGCACGCAACCGCGCAATCACTTGGGAGGACAATGCCAATCCCTAAGCGAGAATTCTACCGCTATACTACTGGACCTTCTGATTGGAAGACCGATCTTCCTAGACAAATATATACCTAGGAAAGTAAGTTCTTCCTCCTCCCGTTGCGACTGTGAAGCCGTCGTTCACGATCTTCATTCTTCAGCCCGTGGCATGCTCACGAGCACAATACAAAGGGAATTACCACAAGACATTATCGTTTTGTTGAAAGTATGCATAGCTGATGGAGAGACTTCGCGGCGTGCCTGCTTCTCGAACACGAGGAGAAGGAATTGAAAAAAAATAAATCCGTCTCCCCAGCTGAGGTCACCGTCAGAAAGAAGGTCCGCACCGTGTCAGACCGGTGAAATCTTTGACGGGCGGCTTGGTGGCATTTCTGTATTGAGAGTCCCAGACCGAAATAGGTCCGCTCCGCTAGCAAAGACCTATTCACCACTCAATCGTGCTTGTCGGAACTTGAACGGTGAACAGCTTATTGACAGCGGCGCGCGGGCGCCGCGCGGCACGGTCTGCCGGAGACAGCAAAGGGGCACTGCCTTTCTTTAGATCTCCTTTCATAGGTGACACGGCAGTCTCTTCGCTCCTCGCCATCACTCTCCTTCACCCCTCCCCCCCTCCCCCCCAGGCTGGCCACAACGAACCTACAGACCCCAGTAACGAAGGGTCCCTAATTCTCGACACTCCCAACCTAGCCTACGAAGGCCTCCCCACTCGCGTCAGCTTTGAGACTCAGAAGACTCAGCAGAGCGAGGATGGATACTAGAGAGAACAGTGACTTCCTTCGAGGAGCCAAGGCGAAAAGCGTCTATCCATACAACTCTGGCAGCTCAGAGGGCAGCTCCTCATCTGGGAATCACGCTGCAGAGAGCACTGACCTCTTAGCACAAAGTCCCACGAGCCCGCAAGAGCCCGAGGCGTTGGAAGACCGCCCTGCACTAATGACTTCTAGCGATCGAAGATCTGGCAGGACGATAAGCTCTGGCAGCGTGAGTAGAATCTTCCTTGTGGCATACTGCATTGGATCTGTATCTGAGACCAAACACCAATAGACGGCGATAAGAAACGGCCCTATGACGGCTGCGACTGGACCTCGAAAGCCTTGGAGCCGGCCCAACTCCACACGCTACGCTCCAACGACGATGAGTGAGGACTCGTCATCGAGGCTGCAAAGCAACAATTTCGATCTATACTCAGAACACGACCCGGGACGCTGGAATACCGATCAAAAGGAGGATGACGACAACCTCCATGACCCGAAACTGCAGTATAGGTAAGGAGCTCCGTCCGGCTGCCTTTGTTTTCCTCGAGACTGATAGAGCTTCATTTGTAGAGGATCAGGGTGCTTCTTTGTCTCGAAACGGGCATGCGTCAACGTGGGCACCCTCGTACTTCTCACCACGACCCTTCTCGCCCTCTTCATGGGTTACCCCTTGATGACGAGGTTCTATTTTACGAGGCCAGGAAACAAAGGTGGCTTCAATGTGGGAGGGACCAACGCCAGCGGAATGATTCCTGATCTCGCTTCCTTGGTGAGTTTGCAAAACCATCCTCACATTCGGAAGTCCTGCCCGATCTTTAACATGGACGAAGGGAATTCGAGCTGGGCTCATCGATGTAGATACGCCACAAGAAGCGCGTATCAGCACTAAAAGGGGACTAAATGACGACGAAGAGTGGAATCTCGTCTTCAGCGACGAGTTCAACACCAACGGCAGGAGCTTCTACCCAGGCGACGATCCGTTCTGGGAAGCCCACAATCTCTGGGCTCACGGCACCGTCGACTATGTAAGCTTGGGTCGCCGTGGTATATCAGAACAGCAGCTAATGGCTTTGAGACAGGAATGGTATGATCCGGCGGCCATCACAACAAAGGACGGTGCACTCGTGATTACTGCTTCCGAGCAGGCCCTCAAGAACCTCAACTTCCGCTCGGGCCAACTCACAAGCTGGAATCAGGTGAGTCGCCTACAACGTGTGACTACTTATGATCTGACCCTCCTTAAGTTCTGTTTCACGGGAGGGTACATGGAAGCCGCGGTCGTCTTACCTGGCGATCCACACGTTTCCGGATGGTGGCCTGCCATTGTGAGTCTTTGAAAAAGTGCGCCGCGCTCCGCTGAAAAGAGCTGATGTTTGAGCAGTGGACGATGGGCAACTTGGGCCGAGCCAATTACGGCGCCACGACCGACGGCATGTGGCCTTATGCATATGACACCTGCGATCGCGGAACTCTCATGAACCAGACCGACCCCGACGGTTCAGGACCCAGGTCTGTGTTTGTCACTGGTGCTGAGACAGGCTTCAACAAGATCTACCACACGTCCTCGCTTTCTTGGGCCCCGGGCCAGAAGCTCTCTTCCTGTACTTGCGACGGTGAGGACCACCCTGGTCCCAAAAAGGCAGGTGGGGACTACGTTGGACGAAGCGCGCCGGAGATCGACCTCTTCGAGGCACAGGTCGACGCGAATACGGGCGGCTCCCTGAGTCTCTCTGGCCAATGGATGCCCGCCAGTGCCGGCTACCGACTCAAAAATGGGACGGGAAAGGAGTACGACCTATTCAACATTCATGGCAAGGACGTCACCATTAATTCGTACCGTGGAAACGTTTACCAAATGTCGGCCTCGGCGATCGCTCATACTGATCCAGACACGTACGAGCTGACGGGCAATAAGTTTGCTGTCTTCGGCATCGAGTACGAGCCTGGACCTGACGGTTACATTTCCTGGTGGATTGATGGCAACCGGGCGTGGACCATTCATGCGGCAGCCATGGCACCGGACGAAGAAGCGGGAGTCGGGCCGCGACCGATCCCTGAAGAGCCAATGTATATCATTATGAATCTGGCCATCAGCAGGGGCTTCGGCTACGTCAATTGGGACAAGCTCACCTTTCCGGCGCACCTCAAGGTCGACTACATCCGCCTTTATCAAGCGCCTGGAAAGGAAAATGTTGGGTGTGATCGTGAGTCCCTCAGCCGTCGATCATTTCCCTCTCCCAATCCTCTGACCAAGATGCCCTTGCTTTGCCGCGATGCCCGTGTAGCAAAGAAATTTCCCACCAAAGACTACATCGACAGGCACATCCTTGCCTATACCAATCCCAACCTGACCGTCTGGGGTGGCTACCAGGAAGTCGGCGTGAGTGAAAGCTGCCTCTCAACAGAGAAGCTTCGCCTGGTACTGACCAATCACAACAGGGCTACGGGCAGGTGTGGCCCAAGAACCGTCTCTATGGCTGCAACGAGGAGCCTAGAAATTACGCAGGACCTTTGCGAGGAGGAGGGTATGATGAGGCTCCCGCCTCCGCATCGAAAAACATTCCGATCGAGAGCGACAACAATTGAACGACCCAAGTGCCTGCTTACACTGTATTGATGTTTCATCTGTCTGTACTTTCCTTCATATTTCCCTCCTTTTCATCGTCGAGGTTAATAATGCCAGATTGCTGTGTGTTGTGGTACAGATACACAAAGGACGAATAGAAGTCGATAAAAGGAATGGCGTAAGTTCATGATGTCGGCTTCTGAGCATCGGCTTGCTCCTCTCCTTTGGGCGGAGACTTCGGTATTCTCGGCTGGTATGCATGAACTGGGCTCTGACTCGTCTCTGCAGCAGGTGTAGTTGGTGCTGCTTGAGCTGTTGAGCTCGGTGCCTGTGGCGTACCCCAAGCCTTTTGCCTCGCGCTCCAAAACGTCCCAAAGTTGCCCAGGGCCTGCCGAACGTGGGTGCCAGCCTGAGCGGCGGCTGCCTGTGCTTGTGCCTGCAGAGCTTGCGCACTTGCCATGACTTCGGCTGTGTTGATACCCTCTTTCCCTGCCGCGGCACCACCACTAGTCGTCGAGGACGAGACGTGGTGGATTCCCTTTTCCGGGCTGTGTACGTCTGCTGCCGCTGCTGCTTGCCCCGATCCCTCTCGTGCTTCTGCCGCCTTTGCAATTTGATCCCTTCTGAACTTGGCCAAGTCATTGCCCCACTTGTTCGCCAGCTTCCACGCCGTTTGGCTGCCTTGCTGCCAAGCATTTCCAAGAGCTTCTCTTGTTGGCCCTAGCTGCTCATCGAGGTGCAGGTCGTGGAAGCCAGCCGTCAGCCTGAGGCTGACATCTTCCAGAGTAGACGTCCTTCCTTCGCATGGGTGCTTGTGAGGCACAATGTCGCAGAGCATCGGATCCGTCGTAGCGTCCCAGAGCGCATACGCTTTTGTCAATTTCAATGCTTGCACAAAGTCAGCGCCGAATGCCTCAATACCGACATCGCGAGGCGGTCCAGCCGGGGTGGATGAGGAGGTGCTCGGAGGGTAATTTTGCTGTCCTGCGGTATCCAACGGCGGCAACACAACGCTTGACGAGGCCAGATTGGGCGTACTAATGGTCGACTTTGGTGGCGCCTCGGTCGAGGTGCCAATGTGCTCATTGTATTTGACGGTCGAGAGCATGGCACAGATGTACTCTTCAAACTTGGCCCGTAGATAGTCGTCGCTGCCGCTGTATTGCATTGTCGACGGCCTTGAAGGGTCAGCGGCGTTCCAAGTCTCTAACACGACGTTGACCACCTCGTCCATCCACTTGCGATCAGCGGCCGTGAGAGAGACGATGTGCTGCAGTCTCGGGTCGATGAACTCCAATGTTGTTTGTTCCAGCTTACGACCGAAGAGAGAGTCAGCGCGCGAGTCAAAGGGGAGGAGGGCAACTGCTCACATCAACGACGACGTCTACGGCCATCTCCTTCTGCTGCCGAAAAATGCTGTTGGTTGTGCCGACCAGATAGCTTTCCGCCTTGCTAGCAACGTCAATCTGTTGCAGGGGTAGGTAGGGTTGAAAGAAGGCGCCCTGGCCAAAGAGGTGGAGCGGCAGGCCCATGAAGCGGAGCAAGCTTTTGCGGTCCGACGTCTTCAAGCTCTCCGCTCTCTTCCTCTTGGATGACTGTCGATCCATCGTGGGCGACCCTGAGTCTTCCAGCGCGAGCATAAGGTCGGGCACGAGCGAGACGAGGCTGTATTGATAGGTGCAAAGCCGCTCGACGGGGTATCCAAAGAACATGATCTTCTTCTGCAGCAGCAGCAGCTTCAGCAGCATCAATGTCTTGAATCGCCATTTGAAGATGAGCTCTCGTAGAGATGTACCTGGATGATTCGCTTAGTGGCGGTGTCTCGGTAAGTCCAAGATACGAGGACATACCCATGTACATGACGGCCTCCCTTTCATCATGTCGATCACTGGCTTTGGATGCTTTCTTTGCTTCTGCTCCTTCCTGTTCGCCAGCAGTGTCCCCTGAAACAGCTACGGGACTTTCATTTGTGCGAATCGTCCCTTTTGCCGCCCTCAGCCCCGCCTCGAGAGTGGCATGGAATTCGATGAGAATGTCGGTATCGCCAAAATCTCCCTGAGCAAAGAACGCCCGCGTGACCACGCCGAGCTTCTCTTTGATTGGGCCGAAGACGGGCTTAATTGAGAAGATTCAGCTCCTCTCATCTGCAAAGGTGCAGGGAATGCGAGAGAGACTCACATCTCTTGCCAAGACGACGACGGCCTTTTGCACAGTGCTTCTCGTCACTTCTTTACCCCTGACCGCCAATTGCGAACTGGCAATCTGCCGATTACACGATATCCCAAAGACTGTGGCTGGGTGAAGAGTCTTCGAGACAATGTGAAAGTAGCAGAAGTCCTCATCAGACTGCAAAAGGGGGTGGGTTGGGGGTTGGGGGGAGGGATAGACGTTAGTCAGTAAGAAAGGGAGAGGGAGCCTCAAAGCATGTCCTCACCAGGTGACTACCGTCAGGTAGAGCGAGGAATGGCAGCTTTCCACAGAGCTCCTCATCTTCTGCCAGCTCCTTTGGGTGCGCATATTCGACTTGCGGCCCAACGAGATGATTGAAGTCCACCACGGCAATGCCCAGAATTACAGCCTTGTCGGCATTCTTGTCTTTGGCGTCGGTATCGGTAGCTGAGAGGCCATTGGAAGCAGAAAAAGACGTCGAGCGAAGGGCCTCGACAACCTTGTCAGGCATGGTCAGATCTGGAAGTGCAGGAGTCGTGGTACCGGAAGGGAGCGTCGACGAGGTGGCAGTCGCCGAAGAATCGAGGGCTGGCATAACGGGCGAAGAGGTCGGCTTCGTGGCATCTGCCGGCACCGCCTCAATCGATGGGGCCGCCTTGACATTCTCTGCCTCCTCCTTAGACATGGCAACGACGCTGAAGGCAAGCTATTAAAGAGCGATGACAGGATGGGAGAGGGAGAGGCAGCGAAGAGGGAATAGGACCTCCTCGGACAGGAAGAGGGTGACCGTGCGCGAAGCTACATTACTCGGCCGAGAAGGGACAGGAGCAATCTTCTTCGTCACTGGTCCAGTCTCCTCCTTAGCAGACAAGGCAATGGGATCACACTTTTTGACTGCTGTCTATAAGTGATGGAGACGCAGGAGCCTCCAAGTTGCTCGTAGAAAGTCTGTAGTAGACGTGGTAGTGACTGGTGGAATTGACGGCAATAGTCAAATCAGCTGGAGGAAAGGCACAGCACGTGACCAGACGCCTTTAACGCGACGCGGACTCACGCCATTTTGAATACAAAACAGTTTTGTTGTATTCACCTTATTGAAACAGGACTTAGACTGGCGAAGAGAAAATCGAGCATCTACAGCTTCCTTGTCCGACACCTCACCCACTTGATCTCGCGACGAGAACGGCGGCGACGACGACGACGGCAAGCATCGACAAGACACGGCCTGCAGCTCCAAGGTCTCGTGTCTTCACTCTTTCATTCCCTTTCTTCTCTCTTGGCCTGTCTGTTATTCCAGCTTAGATCCATAGCTCCTGCTTGGTCACCGTCGCACGTCGTCATCCTCGCCGCAACAGCTCCTTCTGTCACGATCGAACCATTGCTAAGGGCACAAGTGCTTCACGTCACGTAAGGGAAGCTCTTGCTGGTCTGCACGATACTACAACGTGCAAGGCCCTCTGCAGTCGCGACCACTAGGCTCCCGCGACCGGGCGCGCCTCGTCCTCCACCACGCCTCGGCTCTCAGCCCTTGTTGACCACGCTCGACGTGTCAACTACTGTGGGAGGTCCATCGCGTTTGCGTAAGTGAAGTGTGACCTAGCTGGTGAGTTCACATTGCTGGCACGATAGGAGACGATGAATGTTCGTCGTCACGTCGCGTCCGCGAGCGCGTCCCGTTGCTCGGCTGCATTGATAAAGAGTGCTAGGCACGGTGCCCGCTCATTTCTACTCCGTGTCCATGCTCAAGTACCGCCGCAATCGGGCGGTGACGGCGATTTCACCTTCGCTTACCATTCGCGTTCCTGCGAGGGGATCTGTCCGAGTACTGACGCTTATAGCTACTCCTGCCAGGACGAAGACCTGTTAGACCACGCGACCTTCTTCTCATAACAACACGTCACACGATGGCTTCACAGGTGGTACGTAGAAACGACATCTTCGCAATGTGATCACGACTTTGTTGAATGCTGACGGACTCCCACAGCCCGCTCGTCGAATCCCCGCGCGCACACGGGCCGCGACTTCTCAGAGGGATGAGAGCAGCGCAACGTCCGTCGTTCCTTCGTCAAAGGACAATGGGCCGAGCTCATCCACGGGCATTGCTGCCCTCCGCAAACGTCCAGCATTGGGCGATATGACAAACGCAGGGCGCAAGGGCGTCTTCAGCGGTGCCGAGGATACGGGAGCCAAGGCAAAACAACCGCAAGCAAGGGTCGCAACCGTGGTTCCGCGAGCCAGGCCTGTTGCCACAGCCAGCAGAGCGACTTCGACTTCCTCAACATCGACGACGGCGAGCACCACAGCCTCTCGCGGCCGCGTGGCGCGTACGAATGGGACCGCGCCAGGAGCAGAGGGAGAAAGAACGACGCGCACCGCCGCGCGACGAACCATCCCAGCGGGCACCAAGACTAGCGCCTCCAGTGCGGCCGGCCGACGCGAGAACTCGGCACCGGCGCAAGAGCAGCAGGTCAATGACCGTGGAGTCAAGCGTGTCAAGACGGATGTGGGTGAGAGACGCGTGCTTGGGGAGGTCAACCGTGGAAATGGGGTCGAATCAAGAGGCAACAGCGAAGAGGTGGGCGGCCTGGTGCACAAAGAAAAGGCTCAGGGGAAGAGTAAGCCAAAGGTCGAGGAACGCCAACCAGCCAAGGACGAGGGGTGGGAAGACCTCGATGCTGAGGACCATGACGACCCGCTGATGGTGACAGAATACGTCGAGGAGATCTTCAACTACATGAGGAAGCTCGAGGTGAGACAATTGTCCTCGCTCTTTACGGTGCCGATTGAGTGAACTGACCGTCCTTTGCCCAGCTCGAGTACCTGCCGAACGGTGATTACATGTCAATGCAACGAGAGATCGACTGGACAGTTCGAGGTGTCCTCATCGACTGGCTCATCGACATCCACGGCAAGTTTCGCCTCCTTCCCGAGACGCTCTTCCTGGCTACCAACATCGTCGACCGATTTCTCACCCATCGGACGATCTCTCTCGCTAAGCTGCAGCTTGTCGGTCTCACCGCAATGTTTTTGGCTGCCAAGTACGAAGAAGTCCTTTGCCCCAGCGTCAAGATCTTCCTCCAGCTCGCAAATGGCGGCTACACTGACGAGGAGATCTTGCGTGCCGAGCGGTACATGCTCAAGGTCCTCAAGTTTAACCTGAGCTACGCCAACCCAATGAACTTTCTTCGGAGGATTTCAAAGGCGGACAACTATGACATCCAGACGAGGACCGTTGCGAAGTACTTGTAAGTCTGGCTTGCGTCGGGAAATATCACTTCCTGTAAAGCTGACCGTTCTAAAGCATGGAAATCTCGCTGGTGGACCATCGATTCTTGGAGCACCAACCGTCTCTCGTTGCGGCTGCTGCGGTGTGGACGGCTCGCTACGTCCTTGAACGAGGCGACTGGACGCCGACGCTCGTCCACTACTCTTCCTACTCGGAGCAAGAGCTCCTCACTACAGCTGAGCTCATGGTCGACTATACGCTGCGGCCGTCGAACCACGCTTCCTTCACAAAGAAGTACTCGAGCAAGAAGTTTATGCGGGCGGCAACGTACGTCAAGGACTGGGGGATGCGCATGTGGGGTGAATTTGGCCCCAGCGAGTGCGATGAGGCGGGCGATGCGCCATTGGTGGATCTCTTCAATCATGTGGGCGTCGAGCGACCCACTAAGCTCTGTTTTGGTTCGACAGGCAGCAGCGATGGTACCGGGAGCGAGCCCGGTGACGAGGCCAACAACAGCGGCGGATTCGAGGCTCAGCTGAAGGAAGTCGCCGGTGGAGACGACGATGAAGATGACGATGAAGGCCTGGACGATGAAGAGGAGGAAGAGTACTAGAAGGCTGCTTTGCTGCGAATCTTCCCTCCCTGGATCCCCACTTTCCAATCCATTCGCCCCCCAACTATGCATAGACGCACTGTTACCATAGCCGCACGGACATGATCGATTTTTTCCATCCTTTTCAACATTCCCTAGCCACCTCATCCTCATTCGCTCATGCACCATAATGGCGTTCAACCTGGCTTCACCTTCTGTTTCTCCTTTTCTTCGTCTCTTCACAAAGATGCCAATCTAGTCACTCCATCTTCAGGACGTCTGCTTTCGCCTGATGTGCTTCATCGATGACTAGAGAATCATCCCCTGGCCACATCGGGATATACATCAAAGCGCCTCTGCCTGGCGACGGGAACGAACTTGCGCACATCTTCCACGTCGGACTTTTGTAAATCGACGGGCAGCGAGCCCTCCTTTTCGTCGAGCGTGTCGATGACCTTTCCCCACGGATCGACCACCATCGAGTGCCCATACGTGGGGTAGGAACCTGCTTCGATGTCAGCGGCCGAGGGTCTGGCGGGCGAGCAGGCGATGATGTAGACCTGGTTGTCGGCTGCGCGCCCTCGCTGGAGCAGCTCCCAGGACCGCGGGCCGGTCGTGGTGTTGAACGCGCCGGGGTAAAGGACGGCGCCCGCGCCGAGCCGCGAGGCCACCGTGGCAATCTCGGGAAAGCGGAGATCATAGCAGATGGCAAGGCCGAAGCGGCCCAGAGAGCACTCAAAGACGGTGATGCGATCGCCCGCGGTGAGCGTCTTGGACTCTTGGAAAGTCATCTTGCCCGGGATGTCGATGTCGAAGAGGTGCAGCTTGCGGTGCATCGAGATTAGGCGCCCTTTTTGCAGCCTTTGTCAGCCATCAATAACGAACTTCGAAAGAAGGTTGGGGAGAACTACAGATGCTCACCTGTTTCGTCAAAGACAGTCGCTGTGTTGTACAGTTTACCCGTTTTCGCATCCCTCTCGGGGATGCTTCCTCCGACGAGGACAATGTCGAGCTCCTTCGCAAGGCCGGCCATCATCTTGACTGTTTCGCTCGGCGAGCTTGACACGTCAATCGGATTGATCCCATCGATCGTCCACCTCTTTTCAAAGGCTTTCTGCTGCTGTTCCGCGACCTGCTTCTCCTCGCTGCTTGCTTCGATGGCTGGTGCAGCGTCTATTCTCTCGCCGCTGAGGGGAGTCTTGACGGCCTCGTACGCTCCCCCAAAGTCTTCTGCGTAGGTGTCAAAGTACTGCACGCCATAGGGGCTGTTCCAGCACTCTGGAAGCACCACCATGCGTGGCTTTCTCGACTTGTCCTTCTGCACCGCCTCGATGACGGTCCGGCGCGCATGCTCCAAGTTCCAGGCCTTATCCTTGGACGTCTGGCCGAGCTGGATCAGCGTCAGCGGGACTTTGTCGGCAAAGTGCAAGGGCAGAGCGACGGAGTGAAACATCTTGCTGCTGCCTACGACGGAGGTTCTGCTGAAAAGAAGCGGAAGAGACCTCGCCAGCAAGTGCATGTAGGAGAGGAGCAGAAAAAAGGTGACGCTTGCTTTCCCTCTCCACCTCCGCTCGCTGCTTTTCTCGCGTCATGTTGTCGTCCATCAATCACTGGGCTATTATTTCGTCCTTTGGCTAGCAGATCCACTTGAGATCAAAAAGGGCTCATGGGAGCACTTGTAACAGGCTTCATTGCTTCTGCCTCATGATGCGAGGCTCAAAACTGGTCCGTCTGAATACCAGCTCTAAGAAGAAGCCGTTCACTAGAGATCCGAGAAGGCTGATGCTGTCGGCCGAGAAGCTTAGGCGCTGGCCCGAGCTTTCTTGTCGTTAGTCCCCTCACGCACACACACGTCTTTGAATCGGTTCAGAAACAGACAACGCGCACGGAGGCCCAAAAGACTCACTTCCGACCACACGACGGTGCCTCTGCTCTTTCCAAGGCGTGGTGCCCATACGAGAAGGGACTTCCCGGTGCCGTCCTCGAGCTAGCCCAAAGGAGAGGAGAGGTTTCTACATGCACGCCTGCAGTTAGATCGGGCGAGGAGAAGAAGCCAACGACGTGGGGGCATTCGGTCCCGTTGTCATAGAGAACAGATGTCGAGGCAAAAATCGCAGCGAGACATTCGCTCGCGCATCAAGCACGAAAATGTGCACCTTGGCGGCGGTGCAGAGCTCGGCGTCGGTCCCGCGCCGAAGCCGGCAAGGCAGCCATGGGAGCAGCATGGCGCGAGCTACAGTACAGTGTCCACCTCGTCGATTGGAGCGCCGATGATGCCCAGGAGTGGGAGCAGCAACGACGTCAATGGCGCTTCGTCATCGTCAAACAATGCGGCATCGGCGGCAGCCTCGGCGATAGCGGCAGCCAATCTGGGCGCGGGCCCTTCCTTTGTGTCGTTGAGCCCCTCGGACAGCATCTCCAACTTCGAAGGCAGGGCTGGCACCCGAGGCCTGGGCGCCGCATTTGATCAAGCATCAATGGGCACGATGCCTCTCGCAGGCATGCTGCCCACATCTGGCCAGCGTTCCGGGGGTCCAGGGCTGTTTGAGCCCAGCGCAGGGAGCACAGCGAGCTTCGCGCAGAATTTAGGCGCGGGCGATGGATCGAGAGAGGACGGGTCGACGCCGCTCAGGCCGGCGAGGAGCCAAAGGAGACCGCTTCAAGCTCCCTCAGCGTCTCCTCAGGAGGGATTCTCGAGGACCCCCTCGTCGAGACGGCAGCAGTACGCCGGAGCAGCTACAGATGCGGCATCATCATCTGTCCAGGCGGTCGGGAGAAATCTGCTCCAGGCCACTCACGGGCAAAGCCCCAGTCGCGGCAGTAACACTAGCGCAGGAGACCGGCATGCCCGAAGCGCCAGGCTGATGGCTGAAGTGGCCAGCGGCGGTGACAATGGCCGCGCAACGCCCAATAGCTGGACGAGAGCTGGGGAGTCTGCCGACGAGGCCGACTTTGACGACGTGTATGGAGGCATGGACGGAGGCGTCGATGATGGGGCGGGGCAGTATAACAGCAACCATCGAGCTACGTTAAATCTCGAGCAGACGACACCGACGCTAGGTTCGCTGACCAGGCGCGAGGAGCCTGCTGCTTTGGGCAGCGTATTGAGCGCGCTCAGTGCTGCAGGCAGGAAGCAAGGCGCAGCTAGGATACTGCGAGGCACAACGGCAGAGGAAGAGAGCAGGAGAAGAAAGAGGGAACGTAAGGTGGAAGACGCCCGAGGGAAGGAAGTCAGGCCGCTGGAGCACTACGTCGATCGCGCCGACGAGAAGGCATTTAGAGAGATCTGTGCTGTACTCCGAAAGGTCAAGGCGGAGTGGGGTTTCATCGTGGACGACGATTTCAATTACGTCTCCCTTGCACTGTCACTTCTGGACGACAGCTCGCTTGGTTCAAATCGGAACCAGTTCAGCGAGATGCAGAAGCTCATTGAGCGGGGTCTTCAAGGAACTGTCGATGATCACCACGAATCCTTTGCAACTGCCATCTCGCTCCACAGCAACGTCCTCTCATCGCTCACATCAGCACAGACCAGCATCTCAGGTGCTAGAAGGAGGCTACGCGATTCGAGAGAGGCGTTGGGCGCCAAGCGTGCCGACCTTGTCCAACTCTGGCACCGATCCCAGGGTGTCAAGGAGAGCTTGAGGCTCCTCGACACGATCGAGCTCCTAAAAGGTGTACCTGATCGCCTTGAATCGCTCATGTCGGAGAAGCGCTTCCTTGAAGCCGTCAATGTGCTCATGCAAAGCCTCAAGCAGATTGACAAGACTGAAATTGTCGAGGTGGGGGCCACGGCTGACCTACGAGGATACCTCAAAGGCCAAGAACAAGCCATGTTCGACATCTTGACAGAGGAGCTACACAATCACCTCTACCTCAAGAGCTTCTTCTGCGATGCTCGATGGAAGGCCTACTCCGCAGGTCAGACTACGCTCCCCAATGTCGAGTTCGGCAGCGACTATCAAGAACCGCAGCAACAGCAGCAGCAATTCAACGGCACTAGTGCAAGCGCACAAGACGAATTGGGCGCGCTCAAGCGTGATGATGCTGATCAGCAAGGTTCGGGACTGATCGATCCAGGGTCCAATGGGGCACTGTCGACGACCGCGACCGGGGAAAGACCTCTTCAGGTGTTTCGGTTCATCAATGCACTCAGCACTCGGCCAGCTTATGATCCGAATCTTGCCTCAGACATGGCAAATCTTGGCCTTTCCGCGAGTGGCTCTGCTGCTGGCTTGGACCCGTCAGTGGATGCCGCTATGGTTACCTCGAAGAGCGCCGATTCGAACTTGGCCCTCATAGGCAGTGGTGGCGCTGCGCAGACGCAGACGGGAGGAGGGTCCTCAAAGATTGCCGCCAGCTCTACGGCCTTCGAGCAGAACCCAGAAGCAGACAGCTTCCTTTACATCGAGATGCTCCTCGAGAGCCTAGCGAGGCTCGGCAAGCTGCGCCTGGCTCTCGATATCGTGGCACAGCGACTACCCATCGAGCTACATCAGCTTGTCGAGGCCACCATTGATGAGGTCGACGAGCGCAACGAGCCGCTTCGACGATCCTCCGTCGCAATTGTTCGACCGGAGTCGCTTCTCCTGTCATCGTCCTCCGCACTTGCTCGAAGCTTTGCCGAAGGCGCTCGTTCTTCCTTTGGATCGACTCTGAGTGCAGGCAGGTCAAGTGGTGCGTTCATGAGCGCCTCGGCGAGCAGTGCTGCCACATCCATGGGCCCAGGTGCTCGCACGAGCACTGTGTTCAGGCTGAGCGCCTCCGAAACTTCGGCAATGGAGCGCGATAGCGAAACGATGAGAGACTTGTTTTGGACCCTCTTTTCGAAGCTCGATGCAGTGCTTCAAGGTCACCGTGTTGTGTACGAGGTGGCGACCAAGATCATGAGCCGCGATGGTGGCAAGTCCCAAGATGCCTCGACGTCAATCAGACATCGGCCGCCACCTCAAAGAACGATGGTAGGCAAGACGCCGTCACATGGCTCGGCGAGCGTGACGAACCTCATCGAGGTCTGGAAGCCGATCCAGACCGAGGTCAGGACGCTACTCCACGAGCACCTCATGGACGACAGCGAGAGCACATCGGCGCGGAGAAACGCGATCGTCTCGGTCAACGAGGTCTTGCGCCTGGGCACCTTTGGTAGAGACAAGTCTAAACAGCTTTTCAAGCTGGCCGAGACGGCACCCCGGCCGGGTGTCAACGTCAGCCGAAAAGACTTCGCTCCGCTTCGCAGACACGAAGAGGCCCTCACCGCCGCTCTGCGTGCCTCGGTGCCTGGTCTGGTTGGAGCAGCCGACACGAGCGCAAATGCGGGCATCTCGGCCTTCCAGCAACAACAACATCATCACACACTCCAGCAGCAACACCAACAACACACACTCTTTAGCTCTTTATCTTCGATTGCCGCTGGCGCCGGGAGCAGCAGTGGGCCGAACGCAGGTGCCGGACATCGAATTCTTGTCAAGCCCGATGCATTCAACATCTCCGTCCTCTTCCAGCCTGCGCTCGCTTTCATTGAGCGCGTGCAGATGATCTTGCCCGGCGAAGCGGCCGGAGAAAGCTCAAAGGGCTTCAGTGCCTTTCTTGAAGAGTTTGTACAGGACGTCTTTCTCGCTCAGCTCGAGGAGAAGGTCCAAACACTCTTCCAATCAGCCGTGGGCGGTCCTGACGCGTTCCAGGAAGACCCGACGAGCAAGTCTGCGCTCCAGCGACCCATTGTCAAGGCCACTGCCAACGTCCTTGTCCTTGTGGACAGCCTCTACTCGATGCTCCGGACGACACCGTTCCACCGTGAGAGCTATTCGCACCTCGTCATCCAGACATTGGTGCAGTTCTATCAGAGGTGCCACGAGAGATTCCGCGATCTTGTGACGACGGATCTCTCGTCACAGGAAGGCAACCAGCACTACCATCTCTCGGCTGCTTGGGCCCAGCGCCCTGAACTGACGCAATGCCTGTCCGAATATGTCGGAGGCAGTTGCGATGCGACGAGAAGACGCGAGCTCCTCGAGCAGGAGAATGCCTTCGAGTTGCTTTGGGCCAGTCAGCTTAAAGGCGCAAAAGGAGGTCCTTCCGGTGGGACTATTGCGCTGCATGACCTGACAACGAGTCGAAAGAAGCTCACTTCTCTGGGAAACCTTCACTACTCCTTGGTGAGTATCATAAACGCATGGTCGTTTGACGAAAGCATAGACTCACATCTTCATGCTCGCCACAGCTCTGGTTCCTCAGTCACATCTCTCGCCTCAAACCGACAGACGAGGATCTTCCCACTGCGCCTGCTGCTCGTGCCCGTCTTTCTGTCATTGGTAACCTTGCTGCAGTCTCTGGACGCCAAGGTCAAAGCCGGACCGACGCCGAAGAAGAAGAAGGTATCCTAAAGCTACCCTTGAGCATAGAGATGGCCAGTCGCTTCGAAGCGATTCCGAGAACGTACAGACACCTGTCCAACCTGGTACTGTTCACCCTGCGTCTCGAGATTCGAGCGAGGACGATTCACTACCTCGACCTTGCCATTACTGAAGGCAACTACCTCGTTGAAGACGCTGTCCTGGAGCCGGATCCACATGTTGTCGATCTCAATGCCGAGCTGAGCTCGCTCGACGATGTCTTTTCGGACACGCTTGCCAGACGGGACCACCGCTTCCTCTTTGTAGGCTTGGCGAGCTTGATGGACACCATGCTGTGCCGGGCGATCCGACGGGTGCGGTTCATCAATCGGCATGGCTTGACCAAGATGATCCGGAATGTCCTTGCCCTGCAGCAGAATCTGCGCAACATCGTCATCGTCGACACGTCCAAGGCAACGATGCCCAAGGCTTCGGGCGGCCAAGTGTCTGGCGGCGCTGTTGCTGCCGCGGGCAAAGAAGAGAGGCAAGCCTATTCTTCCTCGTCGAAGCCGAGAGGTTCCACCACGACTGGAGAGGAGGACGAAGGCGACATGGGCCTAGGGACGAATTCGTTTGAGAGGAGCCGGAAGCTGTGGGAGCTCGTGGGCAAGGACACGCCAGAAGAGCTTTTCGAGGGAATTCGGACCATGCGGCAGAGCCAGCAAGCCGAAGCAGAGCCCGGTCTCGTCTCCCAAGAGCTCGAATTCGACGACTACAAGTGCGCCCTCAACTTGATGCTGGGCATCGACAACGCGGCTGCCTCGGTGCAAGCTCAGCAAGCAAGCAAGACGCCCGTGACGCCCTTGACGCCGGGTGGAGGCTTGTCGAGGGTGGGTCTCCCAGGCGCAAACCTTCGTCCAGGGACGACGAAGAGCAGCAGCGCGTCGGGAGAGGTTTCGAGGCAGAAATTGAACGAATACCGTGAGTATCTGGCGATTGCGATTGCGAAGAAAAGCTGCACTGACATATCTTTGGACAGTAATTGAGCTGCACGAAGTGGCCCTCTAGAACGATGAAGCGATCGTGGACTTCCTCTTTTCATGTCTCTGTGTTCTTGTACCCGGCACTTCACGGGCTCTTCGGACTTGCCATTTCTACCATTGCTCACTTCCTTCATATTCCACCTAAATGACAATCACGACCTTTACTCGCCTGGTCACTTCGCGTGAGGTACCGCTTCTGAGAGCCGCACGGGAAAAGCAATCGAGGATGCCACACAAGGTCAGGATGATGATGGAGTCTGATCTATTTGAACAATTGACACAATTTTGGACTGATGAAACAAGGTGAAGAGAAAGTCGTCTTGAAGACATGGTATGGATGAACACGACGCTGGTCTTTGGGTGCCAATAATCAGACAATCGGCGCTGAGCCGCCAACAACGCGACCGCGAACAAAGACTGAGGCGATATTGCGATCGTCTCCGCAGAACAGCATCTGTCATTCGGGCGCCGTCAGCTTCTCAAAGGAGCTAGAAGATAGTGAACAAGAGCAAGCTCACCTTCTCAAAGCGCGCCTCGAGTGTGTCGTCCTCCTCGACATACATGTTGGGGTTGGCGCAACTTGCATCCGTGTTGATGAGCAGGGCGTCAAATTCCTTTTGAGGTGGACGAGAGATCCGTCAGCTCACGAAACCATAGCAAAACAAAGAAAGACAGTACTTACCTTCCCGACGTCGAGGCTTCCTGTCCTGTGGGCCAGGCTGCAGACTTCTGCACCGCCCAGCGTGGCCATGTAAAAGAGCGTGGCCAAGCTCAAAGGCGACTTTGTAAAGTCGAAGCTGTCTTCGGCACGGGACGAGTCACCGTTGGGCAAATCAGCCATCGCATCGACGCCATTCGGCTTAAGCTCGCCGTCGACGACCCGCTTTGTCGGTCCTTTAATCGTCTCTTCAAACTCTTCCTCGCTCTTTCCTTCCACCTTGACCTTGCCGGCCTTCTCTTCGGTGAAAGCGATGGTTTTTGAGGCAAAGCTGGCGTCTCGAATGGCCGAGAGGACACTCATGCCGAAACCGCCGCTCATGTCTGTGCCCAGTCCGACCTTGATGCCCATGTTGAGCATCTCGCCGATGCGTGCTGCACCCGAACGTAAGTTGAAGTTGCTGTTAGGGCAGTGCGAGACGCCACATTTCCGTTCTCGGATCAGCTTCATCTCATGGTCGTCGAGGTGAATGCAGTGTGCCAGAATTGTACGAGGGGTGAGGAGCGAGAAATGGTCGTAGACATCGGTGTAGCACGAGGCAAACGCAAACAGCTTCTTGGTGAATTCGATCTCGCCGGCGTTTTCGGAGAGATGTGTTTGGATTCGCACTACCGCCGAGTCAGCTTCAGATTTCTCTTCTGGTCTAGGGAAGAGTTGCTATCACTCACAGGAGGGATCACGAGAGACCAGCGCTCCGATGCTCGTCAAAAGCGCTTCCGAGCAGGCCAGAGCGAACCTAAGGAAAGAATCAATTGATGTTACAGAGATGGTGAAAGCGCCTTCTCTCACCTCGGCGTCAGGATCGGCTGCACGAGAGCAGCAGCAAAGTCCTTCTCCTTTTGCTTCTTGTCCTTGGAGATGCGGCTGCTTGTGGAGCTCACGCTTCCTGTCCGGTGCCCACCAGAGGCAGTTCCATTTAAGGTAATGTCCTTTGACATGTCTCCGATCTCCTGCCCCAGGCTGCTCTTCCTCATTGGTTCTGGAGAAGACGTCTCGACACTCGTTGCATTTGTGCTCGTTGATGCTTGGCTATCCTGACTCGTACCAGGCGAAGAGGTCGCATCTTCGATTTCGCGCATCGTCTTGGAAAGCCTCGCGATTGAGTGATCCATTTCGGGGCTTGCGCTCGCATCGGACGGTGTGAGCGAAGGGCTCAACGGGTCTGGCTCGTGACCATAGGGGAGCAGATTGCGACAGTAGTTGATAAACTTCTTTGTCGCTTCCATCGATAAGCTCGCGTTCTTCTCGACGTAGTCCACTGGACAATTACGATCTGCCTGACACTTTCCGACAAGGGCTCGGATTCCCTTCTCGTTGCAGACCTCGGCAAGAATGGCGCCGCCTTCCTCGTGAATCGTTGCATACATGGCTGCCGCCGTTGTGCCACAGTTGAGCATGCGCTGGACGACTGATTCGTACGTCTTGCGTGCATACACGGGATCCTCGAATTTGCGCTCTCGTGGGAAGGTGATGTTCTCGAGCCACCCAAGAAGCTAGCAAAGGCGAAAAATGAGCAGAGGAAGGCTGATTAGGTGCGCTTGAGGCAGACTCACCTCGTATTGCTGTCCAAGGCCCAAGTTGGGCACCTGGCAAGCATGAATGTGGGTATCGACGAAGCCTGGACAGAGGAAGCTTCCCTGGTCGAGCTTGACAAGCTCGTAGGCGCCGTATGCCCAGCCGTGCTTTTCGACGACGGACTTGATCGCGGCCTCCTCACCCTGAATTTGTGTAGAGATGCCCGAGAGCTCTTGCGCGTTGATTGCAGGCGGAGGGAGCATGTCGAGGCTGTCTGTCGCCGTTGACTCAGCGTGGTGATTCTTGGCAGTCTGGTTGCCAGGGATGGGCACCGGCGTGGAGCAGCGGTCATCTTCCTCCCCTCCAGATTCACTGCCCACGCTTGCAGCAAGCTCACTCTCCACCTTTTCGAGATCCTCGACGAAGCGAATGACGCCGCTCGACCCTACGCCGATGATGCCGCGCTGGTAGATGCGCAGGGAGAGGAGCGACTTTGGCGAGACGACTGCGCCGACAAAAACGCGCCGGGTCAGCCGCGCCCCCGACCCCGTCGGACGGAGCGCTGGCGAATCGTACGCCGATGCTGACTGTTGCGCAACGGCTGGTGAGTATGGATACGTCGCCCAGCGCACCCAAAGGAGTGCACAAGCCACGAGTCACTCACCATCTCGTCCACGCGACAGCCTTGCCAAGCGCGTCAACTTCAGACCTAGAGACTAGGCCGTAGGAGAAAAGTTGCCAAGTCAAGAAAGAGATTGGTGGTATCTTGCTCCTCGTCGGGAGCTGTTGTGGTGCGCAAGGAAGGGTGGTGAAAAGCGAATGGGAAGAAGAAGGCTCGGCTCGACAATCTTCGCAGGATCGAAAGGCGCACTGATCACCCCGCGCCTGGCCTTTTGTGTCGCCCAGAGATAACGGAATTTACGCTCTAAATCTACGCTGCGCAGTGGAGCGGGCGCCCAATCTGAGCCTGCACTATTTTATTTTTGCTCCTGCTGCCACTCTATCTTCCATTTTCGATCGGTGCTCGCCACTTACTGTCAATTCTCGATGCTTTCACGTCTCTTCAGACACAGCTCTTGAGTGCGTCTCTCCGCCAAGAAGTCAGGCTTAGGCCTTGCTAGTGCTTGCCCGAACGAGTGCTGGAGCACTTTGCGCAGTCTATGGACGGAATCGGTGCCTAGCTGCAGATTGGCTTGCACCGTTGCTCGCACGTGGAGGCAAAACACCATGACCCCGCTCCGTCAAATGAGCCTTGTCCGTCCCTATTCGTTCTCCTTTGTGCTCTCTGCATGTGCAAGTGTCTTGCACATGCAAGCACACTATGCAATGGAAGCAAGGAAGATGCAGCTACTCTTCCGACGCCGAGATTGTTACGGCGGAAACAAGGCCGAGTTTCCGTCCAGGCCACGCGAGGTCTGGCCTCTCCCACGAATGACTGTCACAACTCTCTCAGGAAGGTAGATAATGTAGGTAGATAATGTAGGGCATAACATGGATGAATGCGGTTTTAGAATGACAGGAAGAGAATACAAGAGACGCCGGAGGCTGCTGATGGGAAGGTCATCCCAGCTTACACGCGGACCTTGCCTCCAGCGCCACCCTTCATCTGCTGCTTCGAGACCTTGGGGCCCGAGCCACCAGCCGAAGCACCCTGAGATCAGAAACAACTCGAGTCAGCAAGATGCACTCCAGCACTACCATTAGGATGCATAGTGAATGCTCACCTTGGCCTTGTTGAGCTTCCTCTCCTCTTGCCTCTTCTTCTTGTCCTCCTTGCTCTTGGCGAGGGCCTGAGCCTGCGCGGCGGCACGGACCTCGGGCTTCTGGTTACGCCTGGCAGCAATCGAGTCGAGCGAGGCACCGACGATACCACGCTGGTGCTTGACAGTCTTGCGCGAGCGCTTCTTGGCAATCTCCTCGGTGATGCCCTTCTTGTGCATGCGGCGGTAGACGATGGTCCAGGCGATCTTACGCGGGTTCTTGCGCTGGAGGAACAGCGACTCGTTCTTGCTCGAGACGAACCGGAAGACCTGAGAATCGAAACGTGGGTCAGAATTCTCTGCATGCTCTTGATACCTGATGGAAGGGGAGCAGACGCACCTTGCTGTCTCCACGGACGTAGAGCTTGCCCTTGCCAGGGTAGATCTTCCTCTGCGAGAATGCGCACGTCTCGACCTTCATCGTGGGCGAGTGTCTGTAGGTCCAGCATCAGCCGTTGTTCTCTCAACCTGTAACTTGCAATCGTCTCCTCCAACTCCATCTCTTCGATTCCCTCGCCATCCCTCTGTCCGTCCACCTGTGCCCCTCATCATTCAATTGCCCCGCTGATATATTCCCCCATCCGAAATACCCATGTCCTTCAATCGCTGCCTCCAAGATGTCCTGCCCCTTCGAGCGCTCTCGACGCTTTCGAGCGCCCCCACCCCATGTATCGGTTACGACGTCGGGGTCTGTCTCTCCATGCGGTGGCTGGCCACCTTCAATTCCATCTCTAGCCTTTCGTTTCTTCTCTTCCGCCTCCCTGCTCAACCTCCACCACTCCCGTATCCATCGCCATGGCCCGCCACACCCGCCGTGTAATCGATCGCCTTGCAGCAGGCAACACCAATCGAGCAATACTCACCTTGAGTCGGCGGTGCGGTTTTGGCGATTGAACAAGAGGCTCCCCTCCGTCCAGCGACCTCAAACGGGCACGACCGACCGCCTGCGCGGCGCGCTTCGATGAATTCGGCCGAGTGCCGCAGCTTTCACGTGTCTGCGGGACTTTTTGCCATTTTTCGCAGGCAAACACGTGAGGCGGCCCTGCTCGCAGCGAAGGGAGGCGCTGCGAATTACCCTTTGGAAGGTGGACTTGAAACGGCAGTGTCTCTCTCCATCGTCGTCCCCTATCAGCAGACTACGCCAAGATGGTGAGTGTTTCGGAAGAGCGAGAGGAGGGCCAGATGGGCTGTAGTCAGGAGGGCTGTACGGGCGTCGGTGCAGGGCAGGGCAGGGCCAGAGAAGGGCGACACTCGGTGCGAAGAAATGGAAGGTCTCTCGATGGCAGCGAGCCAGGGTGATGAGGAGAAGATGGCCCCGAGGCTATCTTGCGTCAGGTGGCAAGGGCAGAGTGGCGGGTCGCTGGGATACCGCAAGATGGGATGCTGGAGATGTGCTTGCTTGCGGGTCAGGGATACAGACAGCATGAGATCATTGGCCGCTGGACACGGAAGCCAGGACACAGCATCGATGGTGGGAATTGAAAGCTGACTTCGCCTCTCTCGGCAGCCCAAGCAGGTCACCGACATCAAGCAGTTCCTCGAGATTGCGAGGAGAAAGGACGCCAGGGGTGAGCACTCCTCGTTGCTCCTCGTGCCCATCACAGGAAATGCTAACACCTACCTTGCAAACTAAGCTGCTCACGTCAAGCGGACGCTCACCAAGACGGGTTCGACGCAGACCAAGTTCAAGGTCCGCTGCGCTCGCTACCTCTACACGCTCGTCGTTGACGACAAGGAGAAGGCCGAGAAGCTCAAGCAGAGCCTTCCCCCGGGGCTCAACGTCAAGGATGTTGGCGTCAAGGGCAAGGCCACTCGCAAGTAAATGAAAAAAAGAAGGGGTGCCCAGCGTCCTTGAAAAGGATCCGAGACTCTCTCTCTCTCTCTCCCCCTTGACAACCGCCCTTGTATTCTTCCGACACGACAACACACACAACACACACACATTCACATTCTGACATGCATGTAGTCACCGTCACAATATGACCCCCACTGCCAGGTTCAGAAGCTGTTGTTTGCCACGGGACAGAGTCGCTAGACATCACAGGTGGAAAAGAGGCTGGGAGAAGGAGACATGTTAACGCTACAAAGCCAAGAGCTAAGGAGAAAAGTGGGGGAAAAGACATCCAGAATGAGAGAAAGAGAGATTTTGCGGACGGTAACGAGAGAGCACGCTGAATGCTAATCAGGCCTCGGTCGAGACCTCGTCGCGGGCGCTGCTGTCAAAGTACTCTTCATCGCCCGCGAGGCTGCCGTCGATGCTCAGGCTGCTGGCCGGGCTGGTGGTGCCGTTTGTGGCTGCCGTGCTTGCTGCGCGGCTGCTTCCCTGCTGTTTCCTCGCAGCCTCCTTGAGGGCCAGCAAGCTGGGAAGCGTCGCAGTCGACGACGATGGCGGCGGCATGGAGGGCGAGAGGAGAGAGTAGGAAGAGGAGGCGAGGCGCTGCTGCGCAAGCGACGAAGGGTGTGGTCCTCCTCCTCCAACGCGATCAATGTAGCCGTGCGGCTGACCGTGGCCAACTGATGAGTCGACGGTCATGGAGCGCGTCGAGTCGCTCCCTGCCTCGGACGGCGCGAGCGAGGGAGCGCCACCCTCTCCATCCTGGGGCGAGTCTTCTTCACCAGACGGATGCAGCCCCGTGCCGCCACCGCCGCCGCCACTGCCGACACCAGCGAGGCCAAGGCCCGAGCCAGGACCAGCGGTTAGGGTCCCACCGCGGGTCCTGACGAGGGCAGCATCGACGGCCGAGGAATTGGCGTCGGCAGCCAGAGGGAGTAACCCGTCATCACGGTTGGCTATCGCGCTGGAGCTGCTGGGCGCGCTTCCAAACGAGCTCTTCCTGCTCAGGCTCGGCGTCTCTGCGCCCATGCTGTTGGAGCGATCGAGATCGTCCTGGCTCAGGGAGCTGCCGTCGTTCTCGTTGAACTCGGCGTCGCCGTTGAGGCCGCGCGACATGGGCGCAGAAGGCGACAAACCCCTCGTGCTGGGCGCACGAGACGAGCCAGCAGTGGCTGCCACGCTCGGCGTGTCGCCAATGCTGCCCGAGATGCTTGTGCGGTGGAGAAAAGAGGAGCTGCTTGGATACGAGAGGCTCGACGAAGAGCCACCCGGTCCAAACAGATCCCGGTCGCGGCCTCGGATCGACGAGGCGACATTGTTGATGCGGCCGCCATCGCGCGGCGACTCGAGATGGAGCGACGTGAATGGGCCAAGAGCCTGTGCGCTGGGGCTGCTCTGCAGCTCGGGTCCGGGTGTAGGGCTGCCACGACGATCACGGGGGTCTGCATCGTCGGCATCGTGAAAGTTGTCGGAGCCCATGTCGGCGCCATCATCGGATAGGGTGGGAGTCAGGGCGCCGTTTCCCAGCGACTCTGTCTCCTCGCCCGAATCCACGATCGTGTCTCCACCCGGTGGGACGGCCGATGCGCTGGCACCAAGACCACTGGGACCCAATGCCTTTGGTGATGCTGGAGGATGGACAGCAACGGAGAGGACGGAAGCGGCGCCGGGGCTGGGCGGTCGGAAATTCGGCTGTCTTGGGTCAAGGTGGGGAGGTACGCCAGCTGTTCCGCAGCCACGTAGAATCTGTCAGTCAGTACTTGCGGTCAAATTGGCCGCAAGAGGCATTCGACTCACGAATGGCCTCGCCTCGGGGCCCAAAGTGGCCCACACTGGCTCCCTTGCTTGCATTTTCCGACGTCGCGCCGCTCCCTCCCACGCGTTCGTGGACGACACTGACAACATGATCCACGTCGTCATCGTCGTCGTCATCGACATCCAGGCCAGCGCCATGGCCAGCAGAGCTGCTGCCTTGGGCTCCCACCGAACTCGGCGTCTTTGTGCTTCCTACGCCTCCACTCGCCATGCCCCTGCGCGAGGGATGCCCCTGGTTTCCACGCTCTTCCTCATCATCGTCGTCGTCGTCGTCGTCATCATCATTGACGTCGTCACTGCCCATTGCATCTCCATGCTCGTCATCCTCATCCTCGTGGTCGTGCATGTGATGGAGATGGTCGTGAGCGAGAGATGCGGCTCCATGTCCATCAATGTCATTGAATGCTTCATGGTTTTGGCTACTCCTTTGTCCCCCTCGACCGTATCCCTCATTGCCTTCACGGCCGAGTCGAATGCCCGGGGCGACCTGATCGGCGTCGGGGATCAGCTCGAGATTGTGTGCGGTGAGATCGCCGCGCTTGCGATTGTCGTGCGAGGTCCCCAGCTGGCCGAGACCCGCCATGTCGTCCCTCTCTGCCTGTGGACGGGGGTAAAGAGGTGCAGTGTATGCAGAATGGAACGCAACTTCCTGACCATGCGCATCGACATTGGCCTCGGTCAGGCCACCAGGCCCAGATGGAGCAGTCTCTGCCTCTGTTTCTCCAGCACTCGCATTTGCTGCCCTCGCCTTGGAAGGCGTACGGTCCACGTCTCGCTCCGCCATCGATATGCGTTTGTCGTATCTCTCTCTCTCTTTCTCTTTGTCCCTTCTCTCCTTCTCTCTCTTATCTCCCTTGATCTCTGCCTGTTGTCGCGGATAGACCGTCGTCGCTTTGTGGTCGCCGTCCTACTCTTAGCCTGCTCGGTTCTGCCAAATTGGGCGAGGGTCCGGGCTCAATGACCACAGCAGAGGCGAGCTCTATTTCCAGCCTCCTTAGAGGTCACGTGATGTACACGTTGTCGTCCGCGTTGAACGACGGACGAGATACAGGCGTCGTCTTTAGGTGACGTTACCTGGGCCCTGATGGACAAAGAGAAGGAGCTTTTGGAGAAAGGGTGGCCTTACTTATACGTCCAGCTGCCTGAGAAGAGAGTAACAGGACAATAAAAGCAATGCAGTGCGGTGAGTAGCAGGACAACAAAGGCGGCGCGGAGCGGTCAGCAGCAGGACAACAAAGCAACGCGCGGGGCAGCCATATCAGTAGTAGTAGCGAGGCAAGCGGCCCCTCCAGATGATCTTGAATTGGACAGGCGCGAATGACATACAACAATGATGCTCGTATTCTTGTAATCCAAATGAAAGAAAAGCCAATGAGCCACGCGACCGGCACATCTCAAAGCCAAACGACAGGAGGGACGACGAGGGGCTCTTCTCGAGCGAATCTGCCTAGTCGTAGCCGTGGTGTACTACATCAAGCACAGCTCCAGCAACGGAGATCACGAGTGCAGGTGGCCGTTCTCCCCCACTGTCGCCGACACCAACACGTAAGGCACGCACCGCACGCACCGCACGCACCGCAGAACGACGCGAGAGCTGCATTGACTTGAGCTCGCCTCGCTGTCGAGTGCACGTCGGAGTGAGCGCGTAGGCCACGAGCCAGGCAGCCAGCCGAGCGTCGTACGTCGTCCTTTGTCCCTTGACGTGCCGCAAAGATCATCACATACCCCAGACGGCATTGCATCATATCGTCATTCTTCCATCCTCCGTGCACGCGGGTAACAGGGTCAACGGACGTCGTCTATTCCCCCTCCATCAAGCACAGGAAGCATACATTTGCATCGCTGCTGACGGAAGGCCTTACAGCGACTGGCAAGGCGCGCGCATCCTGTCCCCCTGACGATGCAATTCGGTGGTACTCCTATGGCCCCATCGCCCTCGTCAGCAGGAAGCAACTTTGGACACCAATTCAACGGTAACGGCATCTTCCAGAACGGTAACCACTTCCAGGCCAACCATTCGCAATTGCAAATGTTTGCCCCTCAAGGAACCACGGCTGCGGCCAACGGGACTAGCAATGGCCTCTACTCAGGCGCTGCAAACGGGCAACCGCAGCAACAGCACCACCAGCCCCAGCAACCGCCGCAACAGCTGCAAGGTGGTCAGCAACAGGGACAGCAACCACAGGGACAGCAACAACAGCAGCAACAACAGCAGCAGCAAAATGGAAACGGCACCGGTGCACCCTTGGTGTATCCGGCGCTGCATCTTCACCCCCTCAACGACACATTTGCTCCCAAGCAGATCAGTCTGGCTCCACCTGGTCCTCATAACAAAATCAAGATTGGACGGCAGACAAACGCAAAGTCGATTCCTCAGCCCAGCAATGGCTACTTTGACTCCAAAGTGCTTAGCAGGATGCATGCCGAGGTCTGGAGCCAAGACGGCAAGGTGAGAGCACATACACAAACGCATACATTCCTCGCACTGTCTCTTGACTGACCTTATCGCATCCGACACTCTCTAGGTCTTTATCAAAGACGTCAAGTCATCGAACGGCACCTTCATCAATGGCGAAAGACTGTCCCCCGAAGCGCAAGAGTCGGACGTGTTTGAGCTTCACAACGAGGACATGGTCGAGTTCGGCATCGACATTGTCGGCGAGGACAACAAGTCGATCATCCATCACAAAGTCTCCTGCCGAGTCTTTCTCGTTCTCACCGCCGAAGAGGCACTGGGCCTGCGAAACGACTTTGCCGCCCTCTACCGTGGCGGCATTGCCGGTGGTGGACTTGGTCACCAGTCCGTAGGCCCGGGCGCAGAGGGTGGCTTGCGAAGGAGCAAGCTGGGCGTGGGCGGTGGAAGCGTCGGTGGTACGAGCTTCGATCACATCCTTCACAAGCTCCAGGCCGAGCTGCAGAAGAGCCGCGAGCAGGCCAACGACCTCGGCACGCTCACCCAGGCCATGGGTGAGATTGGCGAGACGCTCGGAGGAGGCTTGCCGCCGATGCAGAACCCTCCGTACCAGCACATGGTTCCTCCTGTCCACTCCCTGGACAAGGACGGCCGAAACAGTGTCGGTGGTCAGGGCACTGGCGACGGAGGTGCAGAAGCGGCAGCGACTGCTGCTGCCGCTGCCTCGGAGACAATCAAGGCTCTTGAGGAACAGATTCACGAGACGCAACGGACTCTGAACCAGCACATGGACAGGCTTGCAGGGCTCGAGGCCAAGCTCGAGGAGCACGACGGTGTGCGGGACGATGTGGGCCATATGCGGTCACAGGTCAACGAAGCAAGGCGAGAGCTGGCCGAGGCGGTGCGCCAGCGTCAGAAAGTGGCAGGCGTGTTGGACCACCAAGCGTGGAGCAACGGAGTTCGGAAAGAAGAGGCAGGCGAAGACTTTGACGATGGCGCCAGTGTGGCCTCGATGGACACAGTTGTCGCTGGAGGCGAGGACAGCAGCGCAAGCAACGAAAGAAAGCCCTTTTCACAGCGAAGCGCCCTGGGCAAGGGACCGATTGGCGTCGACGAGGTTGAGTCCGACGATATCACCAACATCTTTGGCGACGACGAGATGCAGGACGAGGAGACCCTTGCCCGTCTCAAGAACCACGTCGGTCCATTGGCACCTCCCGATGGCGTGCCCGTCAAGAAGAAGAGCGAAGAGGATGAAAGCTTCAAGAAGACTGAGGAGCTCAACAGACGCCTCGAGGCCATGGAGCAGCAGCTCGAAAGAGCTTTGGAGCTTGGACGGACGCTCGCGGGACAACATGCCGAGGCCACAGAGGCGGTCAAGCGTCTGGAAGAGAAGGTCAAGTTGCTCGAATCGACGCAGCCTGAAGCTTCCGCCAGCAAGGAAGCCGATTCGACGACCCTGGAAGCAGCGGCCGCTGCGGGACTCGCAGGCACCGCAGGCGCAGGAGGCATTCTGGCTGCGCTCGAATCTCGTTGGGGCAAGTGGCGAGACGCGTTTGAGAAGGACTGGGCCAAGGAAAAGTCCCAGATTGACGAGGACCGACGAGCGCTGCAGCGCGTGGTGCAGCTCTGGGACAGCCTCAATGGCGAAGTTGAAGACGTACTCGAAGGCCAAGCCTCGTCTTCTTCTACTGATGTTTCGCTTGACGAAGACGGCGTCAGCGGTCCGTTGGATCGAGAAGGCTCCAGTGCTGCCGTCAGCGTATCTGGTGTCGAGACCAAATCGAGCTCGGCGGCCCGGAAGCGAAGAAAGAGGCGAGCAGCCGCAGCCAACACCAGAAGCGACGACAAGGCCGCCAGCAGCGCAGAAGCCGACATCAGATCATCGCTGCTCGACGGTGATGCTGCGCGGATGAACAGAGAGCTGAGGGCGCTACTCTACACCGACGACTTCAACCTGCTCGCGCGCGAGGCAAATCTGGACAGCTCTACCTCTGCTGCTTCAGGGCCACTTTCTCAGCAGGAAAGCAGATCTGCATCGGCCTCGTCAAGCAGCGTTGGAACGCGTGGTGCTGGTACGCCGACACAGACGAGCCTTGACAGCCTGCTTGACCACAGCAGTCGACGAGGGCCTGCCTTTCTTTCCGCAAAAAGAGGCGGAGGCGGTGGAGCCAGAGACGGCGTGAGTACGAGCTGCATCAAAGACCATATAACAATCGCTCAACCAACATTTCCTTTTGCAGTCCGCCTCTCTACCGATGCTTGGTGCTGCCGGTGTCTTCGTCTTTGGGATGACGGCTTGGATACTGGCGGGCAAAGGCGGGACACTAGGTGCTACTGGTGGGTAGCAGTGTGTCCTGCCCTGACGATGAGTAACTCGCAGGAAGGGGCAGCACAATAACGTAGACGACAACAACGAACGACGACGATGACGAGAAAGGGAGGGAGCAATGGAGAGCGAGGGGGAGTGGGGACGAAGGTATGAAAAAGGGACATGACCGCACATCTGTTTTCATCACAACAACAACATCATCCGACATCATCACTTGCTGCGCTTCCGTTAGGATCTGAGAAGGGGCCACACACCACGCCGAACGTGTTCTCTCAACATACGTTTAAGATTTCTTCTCCTTCTCCATAGCTTCTATCCCCGCACTACTGTTTTCCTTCACCTGTCTGTTCTATTTGGCATTCTCCTCTTCATCTCTTGCGCAACTACAGCTCATGAAAACAAGTCGGTGCAATGTGAAGGGTTCAGCCTCCACGTGGAAAAGCCACTCACTGCACAGTGACGCGGGCGTCGAAGCCATCGCGACGGGAAGTTGGCGACGCACCAAAGGGACCTCAAAGCGCAGTTGCAGGTGGTGGACCCCGGGTCTAGCAACGAGGCCCGATAGCTAGCATTGTCTCTTCCTCACGCCCAATAAAAAGTGCCCGCGCACGCACCAGACAAGATACGCAGTACCATTGCTCGTTCGAGGAGATACCCCCACCCCTTTTCGATTCGCTCCCAATTTTTCGCCTCTAGCTCCACCTCTGTTTCTAATTAAATCAACCAACACGCCAAAGAGGGGGGCGACGAGCAATTGAACCTAAGACGACAACGACGAGGTCGGTGACGAAGCACGCCGCACGACCAAGATGCTCGAGGGCGTCCTGGCCTCTGTCCTCAACCGCTTCCTAGCGTCCTACGTCGATGGCCTCAACACAAGCCAGCTCAATGTCGGGATCTGGAGCGGTGATGTCAAGCTTCGAAAGTGGGTCGCTTAACCTTACTCTCTCTCGCGCGCGCGCGCTGCTGCGCCATGCTGACGGGTATGATCTTGCATCTGTGCACAGCCTCCGACTCAAGACGTCTGCGCTCGACAAGTTCCGGCTTCCCATCGACGTCAAGGAGGGCTTCCTGGGCGACCTGACGCTCTCGATTCCCTGGTCGAACCTCAAGGGGAAACCGGTCAGGGTCCTCGTCGAGAATGTCTACCTGCTCGCGTCGCCGCGCAACGCGGGCGCAGACGTGGACGAGGACGAAGAAGAGGAGCGGGCACAGGCGGCTAAACAGGAGAAGCTGGCTAATGCCGAGCTTCTGGGCCGGGATGGGCCACAGGTCGTCGGCATGAGTTCAGGTGAGTTTCGCTGAAAAGGAGAGATGGAAGAGCAGCTGCAAGGACAAGTGTGACTGACGAGTAGAGCACACCGCGACAGAGGATGCGCAAAAGAACGAGAGCTTCACGAGCTCCCTCATCACCAAGATCGTCGATAATTTGCAGATTACTGTCCGCAACATCCATGTTCGGTACGAGGATGACTTGTCAAATCCAGAGGTGAGGCCTAAGAAAAAGAACTTATATGCTGCGAAGAACCCATTACTGAGATGATCGTTGCAGCATCCCTTCGCTGCCGGTCTGACGCTGGCCGAGTTCTCGGCCGTGTCGACGGACAAGGACTGGAAGCCGACCTTTGTGCAGAACAGTGCAGAGGGCATCCACAAGCTCGCCAGGCTCGAGTCACTGGCAGCGTACTGGGACACGGACGCCGACTCTTTGGCAGGTCACGAACTATCAAAAGCACAGCAGTTGTTCAACGACCTCATTGCGAGAGAGGGCCAGATCCCCGACCACCAGTTCATCCTCAAGCCCGTCTCCGGCGCTGGTCGTCTCGTCATGCGTCGAAAGATGACAAATGATATACCCAAGATGGACGCCCAGCTCCTCTTCGATCAGCTCGGCTTTGCGCTCGACGATGAACAGTACAGAGACGTCATCTCTGTGACAGACCTCTTCCACTTTTTCAACAGGCAGGCCCAGTACCGACGCTTCCGTCCTTCAGTTGAGGAGCTGGAGGAGAATCGGCCGCGAGCCATGCTCCACTTTGCTGGCAGGGCAATCCTCAACGAAGTGCACGAAAAGCACAAGGTGTGGTCGTGGGACTACTTTCGCCAGCGCAGAGACGACCGCAGAGATTACGTCAGGCTGTTCATGGAGAAGGAGAAGCAGGCCAACAAGGCCAACCAGAACCAAGCTGGCGTGGTGACGGCGCAGAGCGAGGAAGGCGAACCGCTTAAGGATCTCGAAAAACGACTTTCGTACAAGGACATTCGTTTCTACCGATCTATTGCCAGGAACGAGCTACGAAAGGAAAAGATCGCACAGCGGAAAGACGAAATTGCAAACGGACATTCGAACCAAGCAGGCGGCTCAAATTCGGCCGGCGGCGGGTGGCTCGGATGGATCTGGGGCGGTGGAGGAGGAGGGCATGCTGAGGGAAGCAATCAGGGAGGCGTGCTCAATGACGAGCAACGAAAAGAGTTGTACGACGCCATCGAATGGGACGAGGAGTCTGGTTCGACTGCCATCGGCCAGGCGCTCGACCTGCCTGGCGATGCCATGAAGTTGCGGCTGACGACCAAGCTGCAGACGGGTTCCTTCGCGCTCCACGATCACTCCAAAGGAAACGAAATTATCTCGCTCGTCTTTGACTCTCTACAAGCCGATGTGATTCAGCGTATCGACAATCTTGAAGCCGCCCTGTCGCTCGGCGGTCTGCGTGTCTATGACGGCACCTCGCCTCAGTCCCTGTACCCGCAGATTGTCAGAGTCAAGGATGACGAGCTGGGCATGCCCAAAGGAAGGCAGAATTCAGCAGGGGCCGATCTCGAGCAGGTCGAGAAAGAGGTGGGCGAAGAGAGCGACCCAGATAACCCCTTCTTTGCGCTTCGCTTCGAGAACAAGCCGCTGGACAAGCGTGCGGACAATGCGCTGTCGCTCAAGATGCGCTCCCTCGAGATCATATACCACCGCGGTTATGTCGAGGAAATCGTTCGCTTCTTCAAGCCGCCCGAGTCGGAGCTGGAGCTGATCGGTGCGCTCATTGATGTGGCGAGCGAAACGCTCGAAGGCATCCGTAAAGAAACACGGACGGGTCTCGAGCATGCTTTGGAGACCCACAAGACGATCGATTTAGACATGGATGTCAAGGCGCCCATCATCATCGTCCCCGAGGATGTGACGAAGAAGGAATGCCAACATATCGTGCTCGACGCTGGTAAAATTTCCCTGAAGTCGGTCCTTGCCGACCAAGGTGCGTTGGATACGGTCCGGTCGAAGCAGTCGAAACAGTACACCGAGGAGGACTACAGGCAGCTGGAAGACCTCATGTACGACCGCTTCTTTGTCAAGCTCGAATCAGCGCAACTCGTCATGGGTCCTGACCTGGCCTCGTGCATGAAGAGCCTGCACGCCGACTCGGAGCATGACCATGCATTCCACCTCCTCGAGCGCATCAACCTTGACTTTACCCTTCACAACTCCATTCTTCCCAAGGCGCCTAACCTGACCAAGTTCAAGATGACGGGCCATCTGCCCTCGCTTCGTGTCAACTTTTCCGACAGAAAGTACAAGACGCTAATGGCCATCATCGATGTCGCCATTCCCCAACTGAGCGACAGCGATAGCTCTAAGGCCAATTCGCGAGCAGGCACAATTATGGAGCTGTCCGAAGTGGAAGAGGAGGAGGAGCCAGAGGAGGAGCAAGGCAGGAAATTCGGTCGGCACTCGTCGCAGCCTTCGGAGACGTTTAATCTGAGCAGGGAGAGACGTTCGAGAATTGCGAGCCAGATGCGAGGGGACGAGTACGTGGTAGAACCGGCGAGCGAAGATGTTGAAGATGACCAGGCCGAATTCCAGGACGCAGAAGATGCGACTGCAGACCGCATCAATGCGCACCAAAAGAATTTCGAGCTACACTTCGTCGTCGACAGGCTCTCTGGATCCATTTACAAATCCAACACGGACCCTTTGAAACCAGACCGGCTCCTTGTCGAGGCCGTCTTTGAAGGCTTCCTGCTTCATCTTGCCGTCTATCCATACCATCTTGATGTCGACGTCGGGCTCCGCAGCCTGGAACTCGAGGACAAGATCGTCGACCAGGGCGCCGTCTTCAAGCATCTCATCACATCGAAGCAGGTCGACGATGGCGCCACAAAGGGAGGGACAGTTAGCACAGAAACAGAGCCAAACACGCCGCCATCTGATAAGGACCTGGTTCGGGTCAAATACACTCGAGTTCAGACCGACTCACCGGAGTTCATGTCGGTCTATGAGGGCATCGACCAGACGATCAATGTCGATGTGTCGACGATCAACATCATGCTCACCCGAGTCAGCGTGCTGGCCGTCTACGATTGGATCATGACAACGTTTGTACCGGCCCAAGAGGAACCGGTCCAACAGCCAAGCCAGCAAGGAGACAAGGGACGGAGGCAGAGCGACGCGTCCAAGACCAACAGGCGGATCTCCATCGATGGACCGCCTAAAGACGACAAGAATTTGGTAAAGGCTGGTAATCCTGAGACTGTCGAGGAACGCAAGGAGAAGATTCGAGTCCGAGTGAAGCTCACTTCTGTCGTCTTGCGCCTAAACAATGACGGTGAGCTGCTCGCAACTCTGACGTTGTCGACGGCGGATGTTGCAGTTTTGTTACGTGGCAACACGCTCCGTGTGGCCGCAAGGCTAGGCTCCCTTCTGCTCCTCGACAACTCCCAACGCCAGACGTCCAACCCAGAGTTCAAGAAGCTCCTTTCAATCGAGGGAGATGAGCTTGCCGACTTCACCTACGAGACCTTTGACGCTGCCGACAAACAGACATACCCGGGTTACGACATGGCCGTTTGGCTCCGAACAGGGTCGCTGCGATTCACGTTCCTAGAAGAGCCAGTGCACGACTTGATCCAATTCTTCAGCAAATTTGCCCAGATGAAGGCTGTCTACGACGCGGCGACGCAGGCGGCCAGCGCCCAGGCGACGCAGCTCCAGGCAAAGGTAATGAAGCTGCACTACGATGTCATCATCAAGACACCAATTGTTGTGCTGCCTCGCGACGTTCACTCGTCCGACGTGATCACGGCCTACCTTGGCGAGATATACGCGCACAACACATTCCCGGCCCAGGACGATGATCACGTTGTCACAAAGGTCGAGGCAGGCATCCGTCACATTCGCTTGGCCTCGAGGCTTCGCTCTGCGAACAAAGACTATCGCGTACAAATGATCGACGACGTCAACATCTCAGTCGATATGGCGCAGCAGGAGCATGTTGATCATGAAAAGAGCTCGACGAGGAGTGGAGAGCCCGACATGCAGATCCGAGCGAGGATGTCCGACGTCCAGATCAAGCTGACCGAGCAGCAGTATGGCTTCATCATCGCTCTTTCTCAGTCTATTCCACGAGCTTTTGCGGGCATTGGGGAAGAGGACTTTACGGATAATGGAGAAGAGGCCATGGCGAAAGCGCCTCTTTCGAAGAAGCCTCAAAGCATAGAGCCACCATCCAAGCAGGACAACAAGTCAAGCAGTGGACGAGGGCCTGCGGTGGACATGCTCCCTGAACTGGGCGCCGAGTCGCACGATGATACAGGCAAAGTCGTGCCTCTTGGAACGACGCTGGATCTTCTTTTCAACGTCCGTACCATCAACCTGGAGCTCTTCAACGCAGCAGCCACAGGACAGGAGTCGCTTAGCAACTCGAGCTTGGCCAGGTTCGCCCTCAATGGGACAGAAGTCAAGCTCAAGATGCTTTCCGATTCGTCTCTCGAATCAGAGGTCGTGCTCAAGTCGTTCACCGTTACTGACACGCGCCCAGGCAAGGAGACAAAGTTCCGCGAGATCATTCCCGCTGTCAAGCATGACGGCTATCAGTTCATGCTCTCGTATTCGATGTCTGGAGCACCTGACCATGCCGCTCTTGCCCTCATCACCGTCGATAGCCCAAAGGTCATCTTTTCTCTAGACCCGATGTTTGCCCTCTTGAACTTCTTCATGAGCGCGTTCCAAGAGCAGCAGCTACAGCAACAGAATGAGCACGACCATGACACGGACGATCGCCGTTCGACACCCTCTTCCAAGAAACCCAACAAGAGCTCCATGTCGGGTGCTGGGGCAAAGTCAGCCCGGAACACATCCGCGGCGCAAGGTACCGCAGACGGTGCCGATGGTATCGCAGCGCCGCCAGCCTTCTCCTTCCGACTCAACGTTGTTGACCCGACCATTATCCTCCTTGCCGCGCCGGAGAGGAGCGACACCGAGGCAATCGTGCTGAGCATCAAGCAGGTCCTCATGTCGCAGCAAGGCGTACTCGCCCTCATGGTGGATCAATTCGGCATGTTCATGTGCCGCATGAACAAGCCAAAGGACTCGCTCCGCCTCGTCGACAACTTCAACATTGCCTTGTCTCTGGATAGCAGAGGCTATGGGATTCAGCAGAGCACCAGCATCGAGCTCAATGTGCAGCCGCTCATCTTCCGCGTCTCGCTGCGCGACATGAAGCTCATCATGTCCGTCATCAACAAGGCCATTGAGCTCTCTTCCAAAACGGGCGGTCAAGCCGATTCGGGCGGAGCAAATAGGGCGTCGGCTAGGCAACCGTCCGCGGTGAGCAGCAAGGTGGCCGAGTCCATCGACGCAGCCTCTTCCTCAAGCGAGACAGGTGCTGTTACGCGAAGAAGCGAAAAGGGACAGTCACAGCAGTCGCACGACGCGCAACTCATCGTCTCGAAAGAGACGCTAAAGGCCGATTTTGAGCGCATCCAGCTGATTCTCATCGGAGACACACACTCGCTCCCCTTGCTCGACTTGACGGTTGAGAAGTTTGGCATCGCTGCGCATGATTGGTCGGCCGACTTGCGGCTGTCGACCTCGATTGGAATGCATGTCAACTACTACAACCTCTCGAGGTCACACTGGGAGCCGCTCATCGATCCTTGGCTCGTCGATTTTGGCATCGAAACTAAAGCAGGCACGACAAACATGATGCTGTCTTCCAAGAGACGTCTAGAGCTCAACGTCACCACGACGCTCGTCGAGACAGCCATGACAACCCTCGACTTGATCAAGGACGACGCCAACAACAACGTGAGCGCCAACCGCAACGCGCAGGCACCCTTCCGCATCTGCAACCGCACCGGCTACAGGCTCAGTCTTTGGGCGCAGCATGAGGGATCAAAGGTTCGACCCGCTGCACAGCATCTCGACGACGGGAGCGACATGCCGTGGCGCTTCGAGGATTGGAAGAATATGCGAGAGCACATTATGGAATCCGGTGGCAATTTGCTGTCGCTCCACATCGAGGGCATGCCATGGGAGCGTGTCAAGCATATCTCTGTCGACCGCGAGGGCGAGTTCCTCGTCAACCTCCGTCCCAAGCTCGAAAAGGTATCACACAGACTCTTGTACGAAGTCAAGCTTGTGGACAACGTCAAGGTCGTCACCTTCCGCTCAACGTTCAACGTCGAAAACAACACGATGGTTCCGATTGAAATGGTTGTGCTCGATGCCGAAGGCAAGCTGAGCGACATCATCAGACACATTGCGCCCGGCGAATCATGTCCCGTGCCCATCGAAGCAGCATACCACAACCGGATCAAGCTTCGACCCGATCCTGGTTTCGAGTACGGCTGGTCTAATGAGGCTGTCAACTGGCACGACCTTATCAAGCGGGCGACGCGCGTGTTGACATGCAATGACAGCAACGAGACTGAGGCGCCCTTCCGTTTCCAATGCTACACTGTCTACGATCGACAGGATCCAGTCAGCCGTACGTATCCCCGCCTCACGCTTCGAGTCCGAGCGCCCGTTGAAGTGGAGAACTTGTTGCCGTACGACATCCAGTACCGGATTTTCGACAAGAACCACAATGTGAGTGTTCCGAGTGTATAAATTCATTCCAACTCACTCACCCACCTTTGAAACAGCGCAACTGGTCCAGCTTCCTGCGCAAGGGCGGCATCTCGCCTATCCATGTCGTCGAGCTCTCCCATCTCCTGCTCCTCTCCATCGACATACAATCATCGGTCTTTTCTCCATCGGAGTTTGCAATCATTGCCACAGACAATGGCGACGACTTCCCCGTGGAAAAGTTTTTGACGCTGGCCGATGCAGAGAATCTCAAGCTCCAGCTGCGGTTGCACTACCAAAAGTACCCCGACTCCGGTGGCGCCTTCAAGGTTCAAATCTACTCGCCTTACATCTTTGTCAATTTGACGGGCTTGACTTTTTCGCTCAAGACCAAGAGCTGGATCGGAGGTGCCAAGCTTGTTGCTGGTCAGGATCCAGGCGCAGGAGAGGCCTCAGCTATGCGCAAGGAGCCTGAGCCATTCTTGTTCTCGCACAACACGAAGGATCGAAGGAATCGCGTGCAGCTGCGAGTCGGCGACTCGGGATGGTCCAGGCCCCTCTCGTTTGAGGCCATTGGGTCTGAGACCGAAGTCGTGATCCCTTCATCGAGCAAAAACGAGGAGATTCATCTCGGTCTTACCATCGAGGAAGGGCTTGGCAAGTTTTCGTTGTCGAAAGTAGTCAAGCTCACGCCAAGGTATCTGGTCAAGAACGACCTCGGCGAGCAGATCAATCTTCGCGAGGCTGGAGCGGCCGACATCATCTCGTCAGACCCGGGCAAGCGCCAGCCGCTTCACTTCCTGCGTGTGGGCGCGTCAAAGCAGATGACATTAGCCTATCCCGGCCTCAACAACAAGTGGAGTGCGCCGTTCAACCTCGAAGACGTTGGTACGGTGCACCTGCGCATTGCCAAGGTTGGACATCAGCAGCATCTCGTCAAGGTCGAGGTGCAACTTGAAGGACCAACCATCTTCGTCACACTGTCTCACGAAAAGGGACCTTGGCCCTTCATGCTGCGCAACGAGAGCGACCATACGATCACCTTTATGCAGGCCATTGAGCGAGGCGATTCATCGCAAGGTGGCACCGACGAGCAGGTTGGCAAGCGCTACGAGCTCAAGCCTCGGTCCAAGATGAAGTACGCTTGGGACTACCCTGCCCTGCCAGATAAGATCATCAAGCTCGTGGCCAATGGCAGGGAACGCAACGTCAATATCCTAGAGATTGGAAGCTTGCTGCCCTTCAAGTTCCCCAGCTCCGACGGGCGGGGTAACAGGGTGGTGTCCCTTGACGTGCGCGCGGACGGCCCGACGCAGACGCTGGTCCTATCAAATTACTCGGAGGCGACGAGCAATTACCGTCTGAAGCGGCAAAACTCAACGTTCTCGCGCACAGACTCGATTCGCACCGACCAGGGCTTCGAGGCTGTCGACGTTGACACGAAGATCCTCTCGTCGTTCAATATCGAGCTGGAGGGCGTGGGCATCTCCCTCATCAACCGCAGTGTGCAGGAGCTGGCATACATTTCCTTCCGAGGGCTCGAATTTCACTACTCGGAGTCGGAGGTCACGACGGCCTTCAATCTCATTTGTCGGTGGATTCAAATTGATAACCAGCTCTTTACCGGCCTCTTCCCTATCGTACTGTACCCCGCGGTCATCGCTCCGGACCAAAAGGATCTCGAGTCGCACCCAACGCTGCAGGCTTCGCTCATCCGCAGCAAGGACGAGAGCCACGGCGTGACGCACATCAAGTACGCCTCGTTCCTCTTGCAGGAGGTCACTGTCGAAGTCGATGAAGACTTCCTCTTTGCCGTCTTGGACTTTACAAAATTCGACGGAGCAGCTTCGTGGAGGAAGGCAAACCAGGAAGAGACTGATTTTGCGCTACACACGCGAGAGATCGCGGAGCCGCACGGCAAGCAGGCGGCACCGGCGTCAGATGTCTACATCGGCATCCTACATCTGCAGCCGCTGGCGATCAATCTTTCCGTCGTCCGATCAGAGCGATCGGACCAGGAACAGCAGGCATCATCGCACAATCCGCTCTTCTTCGTCTTGAATGCCGCCAGCATGGCCGTTGGCTCGCTCGCTGACGCGCCGATTAGGTTGTCGGCGCTTGTGGTGGAAAATGTCAGGCTGAGCCCCGACCTGCTTATGGACCGTGTCGTAACGCACTACACACAGGCGATGCTGTCACAACTCTATCGGCTCGTCGGCAGTATCGATGTCATTGGCAACCCTGTCGGACTATTCAACAACGTATCTGGAGGCGCCATCGCTCTCTTCTACGAACCGTACCAGGGCCTGATCATGCATGGACACCGCGAGTTGGGCATGGGCATCGCCAGAGGCGCCTCGACGGCCGTAAAAAGCATCGTATTCGGTCTGTCAGACAGTGCGAGCAAGGTGACAGGTTCCATCTCACAAGGTTTGGCCGCCGCCACGATGGACCGCGAGTTCCAAGCTCGGCGAAGGATGTCCAAATTCAGGAACAAGCCACGTCACGCCCTGCTGGGCCTGACTGCAGCAGGTAACAGCTTCTTCACAAGTGTCACTTCGGGCGTCGAGGGTTTGGCGCTAAGACCTCTGGAAGGTGCTGAAGAGAATGGCGCCGCCGGGTTCGTAACGGGTATCGGCAAGGCCCTCGTCGGTGTTGTGACGAAGCCTGCTGTCGGTCTCTTTGATGCCGCATCAAACATTACGGCTGGTGTGCGCAACACGACTGCCGTCTTCGAAAAGAATGAAATCGACCGTGTCCGCTTGCCCAGGTTTGTTGCCAGCGACGGCATCGTTAGGCCATATAGCGATCGGGAGGCGCTGGGCCAGACGTGGTTGAAGAACGTCGACAATGGCCGCCTCATGAAGGAACACTATGTGGCGCACGTCGACGTCAGTGGGGGCCACCACCACTCGCATCACGGACCACAACAAGGCGGAGAGGGCTCTTCGGCCCCATCGTCGGGCCAGCAGCGCGACTCGGGAACTGGTGATAATGTCGTGATGCTCACGGTCGGCCGCATCATGTTCATTCGCACCCTTCGTCTAAGAGTCGCATGGGAGGTGCTCTTGTCAGACCTCTCCTCCATCTCGCTCGAATCTGAAGGCATCGCTCTCGTCTTGAGAGGTGGGATCAATGGGCCATTCCTGCCGCTTCGAGACGTGGGAAGCCGCAACTGGTTCTTCAAGCAAATCACCCGGGTCGTTCAGAGCTACAATGCAGCGCATTCCCAGTGATGTATTGCTTTTCTAATTATTGTCATCATATCTTCTCTGCCCTTTCTGATCTCTTCCGATTTCTCTTCTCCTCTTGTGTGGATCTCAATCATGATGCGTTTACAAAAGCAAGCAAATCTAGTAGTCGTCGCCCTCGTCACCTTGCGATAGCCATGTGTGTGCGCGTCCAATCGATGCTCGCAGAGATAGCGTGGACGAGCTCTTTTCTGAGTCATTCTTGTAGTCATCATGTGGCTCCATGTGATCTTCCGTCTCCATTGATTCGATGCTCGACATCGAAAATCTTGTCGCCGGCGTCGGTGAATGATGCAGGTGCGAAGGCGAGAGCAGCTTGGCAAACGCTGCAAAGAGCGCTGGGCTCGTCCCGCTCATCATTGCTTCCCTCGATCTGCCAGCCGCCGGTGGGCGCCTTTCCCCCGTGCCCGTGTTTATCTTGGCGAGGGCTGGGCGAGATTTAGCCTTCTTTCTTCCCGCAGGACCCGTTACGATGATGGGTTTCTCAGGAGACGAAGGCGGGTGAGTCTGTGGTGTCGTCTGTCTTGAAAGGTTTGGGCGAAGCATCTTGATTGGTGAAGCAGAGGCAGCCATTGAGGCACCCCCGCTTGCTGACTCGCCATGTGTCCCGTGACGCTGGTGTGAGTGGTGAGAGGATGATGAAAAGGGTGAGATGTGGCGTTTCTTCGCCTGACCGATCTGTGCAGTCTCGGCGTCTTCTGAGTCTGAAGATGATGAGTCGGCGCAGGACGAATGGTGTGCAGAGACTGGCGCAGGAGAGGTTGCAGTGGGTGGATGGGGATTCTCCCAAAGGCGGCTCGAACGACACTCGGCGGCAGTTTCGCGAACACCTGCTTGCTGAGTCATACCGCTAGACGGCGAAAGCATTGAAGGTTGAGGTTGATGCGATTGTAGCCCGTGGGGAGACCTCCACGTTCCGGCACCACCTTCATAGTGCCGCGGGATGCTTGGAACTGGTGCCGTGGTGAATGCTATGATCCGGTCGGCTGGGACAAACTCTGTCTTGTTTGTCAGAGGGCTATCGTTCTGCTCACGGTCTTCGTCGTCGTCATATTCTGAGTTCTGACTCCTGGCTACCGTAGCGTCTTGGCCGCCAACGCCACTATCGCGGTGCACGTTGGGAGATGCTACCGTCTGTTCAAAAGCAAGCTGGTCCATAGTCGCCTCGTATGGTGTCGATGCGCGACCCTTGAGCCGGGCAATCAAAGCATCCGGTCCTTCAAAGGACGTCGGTCGGCGATCGCTGTATACATCAGGATACCGGAGACCTGACTCAGGAGCCGAGTCTGACCGTTGATGATCAAGCCGATCTTCGCCTTGCACCTTATTGTTTCTCAAAGATGCCGAAGAGGCTGGCCGACCGTCGACGGAGTACACTCTTGAGAGGCTTGCCTTTGATTCTTTGCGTCGCGGTGCAGGTTGTAGAGATGTGTCTCCCAGGTTACCGGCCGATCGAGGGTGCGCGAGTGGATTATATTCGCTTCCGCGAGTGCTCAAGGGGACAGGGCCGTGCTGCACGACGAATTCCCATGACGAGCTACGCACAGCGTTGTTATCTCGACGATTGCTTGAAGGGGATTTGGCAGGAGTGGGAGAATGTGATGGTGTAAGCCACTGATAGTGTTCGCGCACGGGCCGCCGCGTCTGCTCGGCTCGTTCAAGCTCCACGACAGACAGACGAGCAAGCGGTGCGTCCCAATTGTGTGTGTTGTTAGATTGGGCTTCATAGGCTGCTTCACTTTGTTGTTGATGAGGGTTCAAGTGGGGAGGGATGAATGCTGGCGGACTGGACACACTGATAGGTCGTGCGTATGGATTGTGGTAGATGCTTGAGGCATTTGTCGATAGTGGTGGCGGCTTCCTCTGAATGCTACGTTCGCTTGCCGTGGAGAGAACAGTTCGAAACGGTGGTCTTTGCAGGCCGGCGCCAGCGCCAGATGCAGCGATTTCATTCATTCCGCGATTGAGACGATACGAAGAATCATTGTAGTCTTCGTCGATTACCGGAGGGTCGTGGCTCTGGCTCAAAAACTTTTGCCGTCTTCGATGCCGCCAACAGAAGTAAAGAAGTCCTGCAGTGACGACAAAGACGCCAACAACGCTGATTGCAATGCCGGCCTGCGCTCCGCTGCTCAACCCCTTATCACTCGACGACGCTTGGCGGCTGGAGCTCGTCGTTGTAGACTGAGACCCATTCACGCTGCTGGTAGTCTCCATGGTTGAAGTGGAAGACTTGAAGATGGAGGTTGGTGAAGTATTGGGGGTCGTATTGGAGCCAGTCGCCATTGTCACCTGCCCTGGCACTGAGCTCGGCAAAATGGACGGTGGTTTGGAGTCGGACGGTACGACACCACTGTTCTGCATGCTCTGCGTGCTCTGGACCAATGGCGCGCTTGGTGATGGCGATGTAGCTTTTGCACTTAAGATAGAGGGCTCATCCGTCTGAGTTGGTGATGCAGCGCTGGTTGGAGCGGGCGTCGCGATAGTGCTACTTGAATTTATCTGAGCTTCGGACGAGGCCACGCTCGCGATTGCTGCCGTGACCTGTGAGACGGCACAAGCTCCCCGCTCAGACGGGGCTGCATCGAGCGAGATGGTGAGCAGCCGTCCTTTCCGCTCCTGCAAAGAACAGCAACTCACCACACGAAGCAATGTCTGAAACGACCGATTCAATGGCCTCGGAATTGAGCCGAGGCTCCTGTGTGGTCACGGTCACGGGACCCCGGCCAGCGTCAGGAGCGATGGTATACGTGCTTGGGATCCAGTCCACAAAAGGTTCAAGATCGTATGGAATGTCCCCAGCTCCGCTAGAGGCTCCCAATGTGCCGCTTGATGCCTGTCCCGGGGCTTGCCTAGCACTACCACCCAGCCGCGACACCATGTGACCGTATTTCACCGTGCTGATGAGTAGCTGTAGTAAAAATATAGTCAGCAGAGGAGCGCGAAACCCGACTTTACAAATGAAGAAGCACGCACCTCGGAGCCCTGAAACGATCCTCACCTCATCAAGCTTGGCTCCGAAGCACGAAGTTTTAATTCGAAAAGGTCGGTCACAGCCAGGAACTTGGCCCACCGAAGACGAAAAGGAAAAAGAGAAGACTTGGGTATTCGAAATGCGGACCACGGCCTGCCGTGGCCGACGAGATGTTCGGAAGGAATGGAGAAGGGATTGGTGATGGGTGTGAGCAGGTTTCGAGGGGACTGTCTGTCGACTTACCCAAAGGTAGGACCTGTCAACACCTATTTTGACGAACCGCAAGGAAGACCTTGTGGTCTGTGCCTGAAATTTATAATTGGAAGTTTTCGTTACGCCCTACCCTGGTTGAAGCGCGCCCAAAATTCGCGGTACCTTTTGGCCCCTACGGTCGTCCCCTTTCGCACCTTATGGGTCTGTCTTCAATGATGATTCCAGGCGGGGAGGAAAGAATGTCGCTTTGCGGGAGGCCACTTAAGTATTCGGCTCATGAAAGTGAGGCGGGTGATGACCTGCTCGCTCAGTTGACAGCATTCAGGAACAGACATGCCTCCGGGCCTTCGCTCCCGACTTGAGTCGTACCCTCGTCTATGACATGCCCGAGATTTGCCAAGGCTCAAAGTAGTTTGCAATTGGCTTCAACAGAGGCTGCTCTGTTGCTGACGAAGCAGTAAAGAAGGAGGTGCAACATCCGTCTGCCTCTTGTACGGAGGAGAGATGATTTGAGCGAGGCAGGCACTGCACCAGTGACAAACTGCAAGGATTCTAACTGAATCTGCGCGTGGGCGTCAAAATGTATAATGCCACCCTCCTCTAACGCCCAGCACCCGCTACCCACCCGGCACTCGCCTTCCCCCACCCTCCAGTAAAATCGACGCCATTCATGCTCGCCTCGCTGTCCTCTCGTGCAATACCGGCTGCCGCGGCCGGTGTCGCGGGAGCCCTTAGCAGATGATCCGCTGCTCGCGTGGCCGCTCTGATTTATTTTCATGACCATATGATGGACAATCTTCAGATAACACCTATATTCGCGGTGCGAATGAATCCGACTTGCACTTTCCCATCCTGTATGTACGCTTTGCGCTGCTGCTGCAGCTCGACATTTCACGGGGGCGACAAAAGAGAGGAAAACTTTTATAAAGATACCGATCATTGCGTCAAGGGGCACTATTCGTTCTTTGCTCGATGTGCGACGGCCTGGTGTGCCTCGTCTTGCCCTCGAATGGAATGGAAGACCTGTCCGCCGGTGGCTTGTCGTGTTTCTGCATGCGTCCGAGTGGGGGCAGGAAGATAAGCGAGAAACGGTCGAAGCCCCTCGTCATCCGCTTGCTACTACTTCTTTGAGAGCGCCACGAAAATAGATTGATGAAAGCGAGTCAAGCAATGCTGAACAAGAGTGAGAGACGGAATACAAGGGCGAAAGTGAGACAGCAATATAACTTGGAGCGTTTGCAGCGCTGGCGGGATGCCCAAGTTCGCTTCTGTACCGCATGCAAGAACCCAAAAGAGTGGAGCACCACTAATCGAGGTCCATTTGTTCATAAATTGGATTAAAGGCACAGGCTATTGAAAATGTTCTTTAGAGGTACGGAGATTCGTTCGGTCCGAATGTGGACCTACACTGCTACTCTATTATTCTACACTACGCTGCGAACAACCATATGTTGCCTGAGCACGCGCACAAGATCGCGACAATTCATGTACGAGTTAATTGACCGACCTTTGCAAATTCCATAGCCAGAGCCAGGCAGTACGAGAAGCTGGAGAGGGACAAGGATGCTGGCCACCGGTGGGGATTCATCGCTTCCCCTTCGCCCTCAATTTGCGTCACGACGAGAACTCCGACCAATAAGGTTAATGAAGCGCTCATGTGGGCAAATCAATGCAAAGTGTCTTCTGCTTCACAATCGCTACAACGAGATCTCAAGTGACGAGGGCGCGCAAGAGAGCACAGACAAACGTGCACGATTCTCAGTGCGAAATTTCTCCCCCACCTGCCATCTTGAGGCACTGACGACGCAAAGCCTGAAACTGATCATGTCTCGGGCCCTGCGCCGTGCTCTCGCGACGATCCCGAGTGGGTGGGCTCATGTCAGCAAGACTGAAAGTGGGACGAAATCCCACGCCTGTCACGCTCTTGAACGAGGGGCAAGGGGGCACTTTCGCCTCCGTAGCGCCCTCTCTTAGGTCTGGGAGGACAGGAAAAAAATAAGGCCGAGAAGAAAAAGAAAAAAAAAAAAGGGCAAATCAGGCCCGGGCCACACAAGCCAGGCCCGTCGACAGGGAGAAGAAGCATTTCCCGCTTGACTTCCCTTCCAGATCTATGATTGATTGTCCTCTCTAATCGGCGACAATGTGTGGTCCACAGCATGCATGTCGCCAAAAAGGCAACGCAAAAGAAAAACAAAAGCAGAGTGCAGCTGCAGTAGCTTGAAACAGACTAGAGTAGCTCGTGTAGTGTTTTAGCAGTGTCATTGCGCGGAAAGCGTGTCGCAAAAATGCAGCAGGCACTCTTTACTACAATTACTACACGTACTACTACTGCTACTAGCTGATTGAGGGACACTACGACGGGAAAGAGGAAGATTTGCCGGGGCCTCCTCCCCCAATCTTACCTTAGCTTGCAAAAATCACATAGACACGCCCAAGTCATCACCGCGCCTCAGCACTACCATCGCATACGTCTGCCGCGGTCCAAGCACATCCTTAGCCCAGTCGACGTCTTGACGGCATCCGAAAAAGAGCCCAGCGGAGCGCGACAAATTGGCTTGACGTTTTGATCGGTCTTTCGCCTGAGTAGTAAAATAAAGCCTCGTCGTTCCCGGCCCGCTTCCCCATTTGTCGTCGCCCCCGAAGATAGGAGGACTCGCTTCTCCGACGAGGGAGACGTCTCGGTCGTTCCCAGTTGAAAAGAAGAGGGCTTTGCGGAGGCGCAGCTGAGCGTAAAGAAGCAATTATCCACAGCGGCAGCAAGAAGGGGTGAGTGAAAAGTGCAATCTTGTTCGCTGGGCGGGCCGCGGTAGCGCTTGGCAGCACATGCACACAGAAGAAGGGCACAACGAGGCACAAGCGCTGCCTTCTTCCCACTGTGTGCGCATTGCACTGTTCGTCGGCCGCGTCAATGCAGCTTCTGGGCTTTTCCCCAAGTCGTAAAGGAGCTTGAGGAGAAGGAGGGGGAGGAGGGGCGGCCTTCTTTTTGGTTGCGGGCTGTGCAGGTCCGTCTTGCCCGCGCAACGGCATGGGAGGCCAACACCGGAGCTTGTAAAGAGATCAAGGGGTGGGGCGAGTGGTCGACCGGGGCTTGAAGCTGAGGTGATTTGGGCCGGGGTTAGCTTAGACCGATGTCTCCGTTCAACGACTATCCTGGTCGGGGCATGGGAATCGGTGCCTGTTTGCAGCCGCGACGTGCGCTCAGACAATCCCACAGGCGGAGCAACGTCAAGCGAAGCTGTGCTCCTCGGTCGCCCCCCCGTAGTCCAAATTGGCGCTCCGCCGCTTCTCACCCTCGCTGTGTCTCAATCCTGCTTTCATTGGACGACGGCCGCTGTTTCTCTTCTTCTTCTTCTTCTTTTCTCCCAGTCCACTATCGAAAGCTTTCATCTAACTAACAAGTTCTTCAGTCGTTCTTCTCCACCTCCGTGGGCCGTCGCTCTTCGCCACCAATCTCTTGGCCACCGCTGCCCTCGTCGTCACAGGTCTTGTCATCACCGACGTCGTCAACGTTTCTGCGCTACAACCGTGATTCGGCTGCTCGCGTCGCTGCGACAGCACGTCCGTGCCCATCATCCCGCCCGCTACCCTCGTCGCGCACGCTCGTTCACCTCTGCCCGACCAATCTCGCGAAGAGAGGCAGTCCCTTGACATCCTGTCGACGGCCGCTGCACTGGCCTCGTCGCACTCAACGCCTTCTTCGTCTCGTCACCACGACCCTGCATCATCGTCTTCGAGAAACAGTGACTGCTACACGTCGCCCAGCTCCTCGGCCACCGGTGGCATGATGATTGGGCTCGGAGACGATGAGCGCCGCAAGCATCCTTCATCGTCGTCGCCGCCAAACACGTCGCACTCCTCGCCATACTCGAGGGAAGTCAGAGACGAAGGCGAAGATGAGGAAGCAGCACGGCCCAAACCTTCGCGTCTCGCTGTTTCGGACCTCCTGACCCCTTCTTCCTCGTCTTCCCTATCGTCGACGAGCGGCCACGAGCACCGCAAGAATGTGACAAAAGATCCTCATCACCACCGTCATCATCATCATCATCAGCACCGAAATGCAGACAACGACGAAGGTCCTTCGTCGCGACGGGGCTCGGAGCCCTCGAATGAGTCCGATTCCCCAGAGGCCAGCGCCTACAGACCTCGACCGCCCCTCACTTCCTCGCACTCGTCTAATCTAGTCGAGCAGGCAATGGTTGAGAACAAGCCGGACTCGGCTGGCAAGGAGAACCAGGAGGCCATGATTGGCGCGGACCCTGGCACGGCCTTCCAGTACACAGCCTTTCAGCAAGTCACGGAGAGTCGCGAGAACATGTGAGCAGGATCTCTTATCTCTCTCTCTCTTCACGCATCCTTGAGCATGACTTGCTGAGCCATCTATTTTATTCTCATTCATCAGCGAATACCTCATGACAATTCGTGAGCAGCCAAAGCATTCGCGGATGTGTGGCGTTGGCGAGAAAGGTGAGCGGCCATACCCTCCCTCCGTGTCTCTCATCAGTGTGCCGAGATCAGAGTGAAGAGAGCTGACTTTTCGGCCACAAACAGCCGACCGTAGGCCGATTGACCCTGCCCCGATCATCCAGCTACGGGTGATTTCGCACGATCATCCTTCGCCAAGCAAACTGGCCGAGACGGGCGGCAGCGGCAATGCAAACGGCAACAGCAGCAACGGTAGCAGTAGCGCCAGCAGCAAAAGCGACGAGGCAAACATCACGCCAGCAGGAGTCGTCGCTGCAGCTTCAGCCGAAGCGATAACCCCGCCCAAGGTCAGCGGCCGCTCCGGGTATTCCAACCGGAGCTCCGCCCCCGGCATCCGTCGCGGCGTGCCCGTCACGACTGAATGGGGCGAAGGATGGGAAGACAAGACGTGGTACCTGGAAAACCCCCACTACTTCATGTATGCCATGCTCGCCGACGCCGAGACGGACGAGGAACTCCACCTGCTCCAGGATGGCAAGACGAGGTACACGACGGGCAGCTGCGTCTCGTGCTTGTACCACCTCAAGGACATCGATGGCTCTGAGCAAGGTTTCTTCGTCTTTCCCGACCTGTCAATCCGTGTCGAGGGTCGCTACCGTCTCAAACTCTGCCTCTTTGAGACAATTGGAAACATGGTGCATCACTGCAAGTCCATCTACTCGTCGCCCTTCAATGTCTTCACGGCCAAGCGCTTTCCTGGTATGGAGGAATCGACGACTCTGTCCAAGTCCTTTGCAGACCAGGGTCTCAAGGTCCGGGTGCGCAAGAACCCAAGGGCTCGCCGTGCTCGAGCAGCAAAGAGGCCGACCGATGCCATGATGCTGAGCGACGATGATTCTGACAATGGCGGCGATGCAGGCTTGCCAAAGCGTAAACGTGTTGGCAGGGTCGGTTACCCAGCCTATTCACCAGCGACTGGTGGCCATCTGCAACACCATCTTCCACATCAGCAAGCGCCTCCTCCTCACGGTCTTCACCAGCATCACCCAGACTACTTCCAGAGTCAGCCTCGACCTTTGGCCATTCCCAAGGGAAGTCAGGGTGATTACCCGCTCTCGTCGCCCGAGGAGCGCTATCACATGCCCCGGCCGGTGGCCTCGGAGCATTACTACCATCCATCGCCGCACCATCACCCTCATCCTCAGCAACAGCACCATCATCTCCAAACTCATCACCAGCAGCAAATGCAGCAACAGCATGCCGCCATGGCGAGGCAACATCCCGGGCACGACACCGAGCAGAGCGTCTCTTCGCCGCCAGGCGCCTCTCCTTACCAGGGCCGTTCGCCTTTCGACCCAGGCCGCGCACCACCGTACTATGACGATCGGGCCTCTGCACGCGCAGGGTGGGCGGCCCAACCCAACGAAAGCGCCCGTCCAAGTCCTTTCGCCATTCCTCAGCCACCTCCCAGAACGCCTGCAACGGAGCTCATGACTCGGCGTGGACACGAGGCCGCGGCAAGCCACCCGGCAGGTGGCTACGAGGAGCAGCAGCAAAGGCGGCGCCACGCATCGGACCCCTATTTGCGCTATTCCCCTTCGTCCAATCACGCCGCCAGCGAGAGCAGCACACGTGGCGTTGTCAACGGTGGTGGCGGTCCCAACGGAGGATCCGCGTACCGTCCTGGGCTCTTGTACGCTCAACCGATAAGCAGCTTAGCAAACGACGAGCGCGGTCCTCCACCCTCACCTTCGCCCGGCGGCGGCTACCCGGAAGTATACGGTGAGCAGCAGCAACGACAACAGCAGCAGCCCGGCCGCTACGATGGGCGCCCCTCCTTGTCACCGTCGGGGGTAAGGGGCGAGACGACCTACTTGTCCCATCCACCTCCGCACGCTCCCTCCTCAGCCGTTCCTCCCGGCTCGGCGCTTCACCAGCTCGGGCCTGCTCCTGCGCAGGTATCTTCAAATGGTCGTAACATTGGTTCCGCCCGGCGATCTCCCATTGAAGAGGCTCCGCGCTTGTCCCGTCAGCAACAGCAGCAGCAGCAGCAATACGAGCAGCATTACGAGCAGCAATACGAGCAGCAATTGCAACAACAACAGCAGCAGCAGCAGCAGCAACAACAACAACAGCAGCAGCAGCAGCAACAGCAACAGCAACAGCAGCAGCATCAGCAGCAGCATCAGCAGCAATTACTACAACAGCAACAGCAACAACAGCTGCTGCACCATCAATCGCACTACGGGCAGCAGTCGGAACCACGCGGCTTCGAAGGCAGGACCTTGCCTCCTCTGTACAAGGCCATACCTCCAGCTGCGTCCGCTCCGTCGGCCCGCGGTCCCTCTCCATCTCAGCTCCGAAGGCGATCACCAGGTCCTGGCAATGGTGCCAGGATGCACTAGTTCTGCCATTATTTGGTCTTCCATCTGCGTCACCTTTTTTCGTCGACTTCGCCTTCTTCTATCTTGTTTTAGTTCACCCTGGGTTTTTCTTTCTCTTCTCTAGTTGAGCCGACTGTGTCGTTGATTTTTGTATGTAAAGAAGACGGTGACGACAGAATTGTTTGAATAACAGAAGATGCGGCACTCAAGTTATGCTACTACTATCCATCCAGGCCCCTCTTTTCTCTCTCAAAGCTGGCCTCAAACTCTTGCCTGGCCTGGTCTCGGTTATTTGAGGTGCCCTTGCCGAAAGTTGGGTCAGCGAGGTTCCCCGGACTTCCGTACCTCGATTCTCTCCCTCCTTCAGCTCGTGCTCCCGGTCCCTCTGCGCCCATATCGTAGGAACTGCCGACACCGCTGCTACCATTGCGCTGCGCCATTGACTCGCGCGCCTTCTCTTGTCGGATCCTGTCCCATGCCGACGCCTGGACGCCACGTTCGCCGCGCAGCTGAGCCCATCTCGACGATGTCTGCTGCTGCTGCTGTGACGCGCCTTGCTGCTCCAGCGGCGGCGCATGACCGTAGTCGAAAGCTCCTGGCGAGGACGGCGACGAATCTCTCTCGGAAGAGGGATAGGGCGGTGAAGAAGGATACGGCGATGCTTGCCCCTGGCTGCCATCAGCGCTGAAGCCCAGCTGCGCGCCCATTGCTCCTGCTCCTGCTCCTGCTCCTGCTCCTGCTCCTGCTCCTGCTCCTGCTCCTGCTCCTGCTCCTGTACCCACCCCTACTCCAGCCCCGGGACCACTCGTAATCGGCAACGGTGGCCGTCCGCGCCGCTGGTCGATGGCGGACTGCATGACGCTGGCGAGGTGCTTGGGGTCTTCGACGTTGCGCAGATGCTTTGTGCCCGTGAGCATGCCAAAGGGCATGATGATGATGCCGCCCGCAAAGGCGCCGAGAATCGTCATGCTCGCCTGGCCAACGAGCCCAGGCGGGCTCGGTTTGCGCCGTTGGAGGAGGAGGTAGGTGAGTGTGCCGCCGAGGAAGTACCCTGCCTGTTGGAATTCAAAAGTGAGGGTCATTAGCGAGCCGTCCGCCTCAGAGTAGGACGGGAACGAGAAGCTTGGGAAGAAGAGCCCGAAGGACGAAAGAAGGGGGGACCACTCACATAACGAGCCTTGTCCGAGGATCTTTTGACAAGTCGAATCGCTTCGGCTTATGTTGTATTGCAAGTCAGCGAAGTTAATGGGGAAAGGAGAGCAAGACCAGCGGAAAGAAGACTGACCTTCCTGAGGCGTTAATTGGCTCTGCACCGAGTTGGGAAGACCAGTTTGAGGCTTTGGAACGTCGGGCCAGCCACCTGCAGCCGACCCACCCCTCAATCCTTGGCCGGTGCTGTTTCCCTCCTGCTGCTGCTGATCGCCGTCGGCCTGCCATGCTTGAGACATGGCAAATGCTGCGTAGACACTTGATTATCGAAGAAGAACCCCACGCAGAGAGCACCAGACTTTCTGCTTTTGCAAGTGGAGCTCGGTCCACGCGCGTGCCTCGAAGCGTCCCATACTCATGAGGTTGGTCTCGCCTTTCCTACAATTCTTCGCTACGTCGGTGGAGTTCCTTTAGAGAAAGGAGCGAAGGGGTTCATGAAGCGAAGGTCAGTAAAGGGAAGTATCAGAGATACATGTTTGATGAAGCTGGAAGGCTGGGGCGGTGCCATCACATCGTTTCCGACGAGATTAAGATGCGAATTCAGACGGTGGACAGGGCCTGGACGATGCTTGCGGGCAGCAGACGATGAATTGAAGGGTCTCTCTCACTTGTCATTGCGAATGTACTGCCCATTGTGCACCTCTACAATCGCTCTCCGGAAAGTACTGACGGTGCACGTGAACTTCTTTTCGCCTGACGTCCCCTCTTTGAATGCGGTATCACTGCTCGAATGTCAAAAGCGCCACCGATGTTATCTTACTGGTGCGAGCCTCACATGAGCGAATGGCAGAAACTTGAAGTGGACACCACATTCTGGCACAGCAGTCATCATATAGGCGTAGATGACTATCAATAACGGTCTGGTCGAGCGCGGACTTCCCCCGAGAGCGGAATCGCGTGATAGCCGGTGGCCGGAATTTCGGTTCGGCGTCTGTGAATAGTCACGTGTTTCCCCGGCACTTATGACCGGGCGGCCCGCAGATTGTCACCTTCCACAGCATTCTCCTTCTCTGCAACAAACGACGACGCCCTCAAGAACCAAGAGAAGTGTTCGAGGCAAAGGGACTTCTTTCCGTCCCACCAGTTGATGCTCTCAGCTGTCCGAACTCAAATTGCAAAACAGGTCATAAGGCCCTTATCGGAATCGTCTTACACCCCTTCCAACCTCTATTGCCACACTCGCAGAGCTCCTCTTTCAAGACGGCTCTTTTCTTCCAATAGAGCGCCGTTCATCCTCTCGGCATCCGCACGTCCCAAACCCGCCACCGCATTTGCCCTGGCATCCAGCGCCGCGACAGTCGCCGCAGTCATCGCCAACTCCCGATCTATCCACGCCGAGTCTGAAGACAAAATGGCACCCTCAGCCACTTCCAATGGCGTCTCTGCGGAGCAGAAGAAGCACAAGGTGGTGAGTGATTATGATGAAAGTGTTCTTATTCATGGTGCTTATACATCTCTCAGGTCATCATCGGATCGGGCCCTGCCGGCCACACCGCGGCCATCTACCTGGCTCGTGCTGAGCTGAAGCCGGTGCTCTTCGAAGGCATGCTTGCCAACGGCCTCGCCCCCGGTGGTCAGTTGACGACGACGACGGACGTGGAGAACTTCCCCGGTTTTCCGGACGGCATTCGAGGACCAGAGATCATGGACAAGTTCCGTGCACAGTCGGAGAAGCATGGCACGCAGATCTTCACCGAGACAATCACCAAGCTGGACTTGTCGCAGCGGCCGTTCAAGTTCTGGCGCGAGGGCCAGGAGAACGAGGCGCCGGAGTTGGCAGAGACCATCATCATGGCCACGGGTGCCAGTGCGAGGAGGATGGATCTGCCTGGCGAGTCGACGTACTGGCAGAGCGGCATCAGCGCGTGTGCCGTGTGCGATGGTGCCGTGCCGATCTTCCGGAACAAGCCACTGGTTGTCATTGGTGGCGGTGACTCGGCTGCCGAAGAGGCGACATACCTGACAAAATACGGCTCCCACGTCTACGTCCTCGTCCGCCGAGAAGAGCTGCGGGCGTCCAAGATCATGGCCAAGCGGCTGCTGAACCACCCCAAAGTCACCGTCCTCTTCAACCACGTTGCCCTCGAGGCAAAGGGAGATGGCGACCTGCTCAAGGCTGTTCGTGTCAAGGACATCAAGAAGAACGAGGAGAGGGACCTCGAGGCCAACGGTCTCTTCTATGCCATCGGCCACGTCCCCGCCACCGACCTGGTCAAGGGTCAGGTCGAGTGTGATGCCGACGGTTACATTGTCACCACGCCAGGTACTGCCATGACGAGCGTCAAAGGCGTCTTTGCCGCCGGTGACGTGCAGGACAAGAAGTACAGACAGGCCGTGACGTCGGCTGGTACGGGCTGCATTGCCGCGCTCGAGGCGGAGAGATTATTGGCAGAGGAGGAAGAAGCCGACATGGCTGACATTGTCGAGGCCAACCGATATGGGGAGCCCAACACGGCCAAGGCCAAGGCTTAGGCTTAATAGAGCATCTAGAATTCTCTTCTCTAGTCTTGTTCAATCGCTTCTCCGGGGACTGTCCTTACCAACGATTCATGCCAATATCATATCAATCTTTCTGATCGCGTCTTGTCTGGCGTTGTTTTATTGATGAACGCCGTGGCGGACAAGGAGAGGGCGTCGAGGACGTGGAATTCTCTCGCCAATCTAACTCTTGCGCCGAGCCTCAGCCGCTCTTCAAGCCCAACCGCGATCAAGTGCCTTGAGAGACCCTTGTCTCCCTCCTCTCATCTCTCCATCTCAAAGAAACTTTCGCAGGCAGGCCTGGAACTCTCCTTCTCTTATTCTCACTCGCAGTCTAGGCCACAAGGGCCTATATCCAGCGGACCACGACGGGTAGCATGAAAAAGGCCGTTTTTGCGCTGCTTCTTGCTTTTGTCTGCCTCGTAATTTCGTGAGTGCATTCGGCTTCCCCGACCTAACGGTATTGCCCTTCTGGGGTCGACTCACAACAGCATCCTTGCAGCCAAGTGAATGGAAGACCGATTACGGAAGTCGAAAAGATAAGGGTCATTGATACTTGCCAGAGGAAGAGCCGGTTCAAGCCAGGTGGAGTCGTACCCACTGCGAAGCGCAAGCGCAAGAACGGATACGGCGTCGACTGGGTCTGGTGGACACAGGGTAGCACATGCTATAAGGATCCCCATCCTCTTCCCCGGCGTGATCTCGCGTCTGTCGAGGGGCGTAGCACGGAAGGCGACGGGATGGGATTAGTGGCGAGGGAGACCGTGGTGAGTCTTGCTATTGGCACAACAGATTCGACTGCAGGCGCTAAGCCCTTCCCAAACGTGAACAGGATCCTGGAGCGCATCGATTGGCTGACTGATGAATAGATTAAGAGGGCTGTTGTAATCTAACATCATGAGACATCTTTCGACGGAGGCGGTTTGGCGTGCTTGTCCGAATGGCCTAGACTCTGACCAGGGGCAACATGGTCTCTGACGATCTGCTTGAGCTCCTTGAGCTCGGGGAACGCACCCTTGACCTTGCGATCCCAGAGCAGCGTCGGCGCCGCTGAGTTGCGGTAGAGCCAGACGCGAAAGCGGCCTGCGGTCTGCTTTGCCGTCTGCGGAAGCAGCATGATGCCTTCGATGTGTGCTCCTCCCGAGGCCTTTGAGGGCGCGACACTTTGCGAATCATCGTGTGGCTTTTGAAAAGTGAGAAAGAGCTCCGTCTGGACCCAGGTCGCGCGATGGAGCCATCGGCATCGATCACAGAACTGCCGCGAGCAGGCCTGGTCAGCTCTTGTCTCATCAGTCGTGCGTGAAAGACCTGCGTGCGTCCTCACCTCAATCACGATAGTAGGATCCGGAAGCGGGCCTCGAAGAGGTGCGGTAAACGTCTCTGGTTTCATCGGGTCTTCCTCCTCGGCCACACATTGGCCCGTCTCGCAGTCTTGCGCCGTCCGTGACGCTGCTGCTGCTGCCGCCGGTGCTTGTCTGTACGCATCAGCCGCGGCCTGGTTCGGGTCCTGGCCTCCCGCATTCTGCTGCCCTGACGCTGTTGTCTGCTCCTGAGCCGTCAACTCTGGCTTCATCGCCACCGCAATTCCTGCATTCATCTTCTCTACGTCGTGTAATTGGGCTGCTCTTTGCAACCTAAAAACATTGTGGAGGGGGCTTATCGCCATCGCCGCGCCTCACGTGGTTACGCATGATGCTGCTTGTTGAGCCTTACTTCGACTTCGTCTCATGGCGTGAGAGAATGGCCTTTGCCGACTCCGCCCCGGCTTCAAGCGGAATTGAAGGGATGGGCATCAAAAGAAACGCATACAGTCAGTCACGTAAAGGCCCAGGGATGTGCTAATCATCTCTCGGTTTTGGTGGCGAGGGAATGACCCCTATCAAGCCTCTCTCCTTGGACCTGATCTCAAGCCTGTGGTGGATCGCACTCTTCATTGCTCGTACAAATACACACACACTGATCGGCGTCCGGTATCAAAACGAGGATTCCCGAGCAGGGATCGCTACTGTGATTCAGTCGCGCCATAGGCGCGTCGCCAAGTCCCGCGTGACTGGTGCCACACGCTTGGTTTCTGGGCGCATCCAGCCTTTCGCCGGTGAGCGTTGAGGCCTCTCATCGGATGCGCTCAAAGTAGTTGGAACGACCGAGGACGACGACAGAGAGGTCCATGAGCTGAAGCGACGTGAGGCGGTCAGTGATGGCGCTCTACTTTCACATACGATACCGCTGGCGCAAGGCTCGCCCAACGAGCCAGCCGGCGCTCTCGACAAGCATATGACGATACACAGGCCAGGACAGGCGAGACAAAGACAAGAGAGCACGGAAGAAGCACTCACCCATTCGCCAGTCTCGAGATAGACGCGGAGCAGGTTGCGCACATCCTTGTTGGGCACCTTGCGAATAGCCGGCGTTAGGCCCGTGCTCCGCTTGATGCCGCTCAGCGCAACGCTGATCAGGACGGCATCGACCATGAGGTGAAAGAAGCGTCCAAACATCCTCGGCAAGTGTTCGTTACCGCCCTCAAGAATCAAAAGGGTCGTTGTCGGGAAACGATCTGAACACGATCTTGGTGGTTCTTTCCGCTCCTGGCCTTCCTACTCGGCGGGTCGATAGCAGCGGGTCTGGAGCAAACGCAACGATGTTGATGCAGCTAGCTTCCGATCTGACTCGAATATAGAAAAGAGCCCAGTGAATGTAATCGCGATGTCCTGTATCACCAGTCGCAAGGAAGTAGGAGGAGAGGTAGGTGGTGGTGGTGTGGTGGTGAGTTAAACGGCCCGCCCGCACGACGCGCCTAATTATGTTGATTTGGCCTTTCGGTCTCAGCGCATTGGCCACCAAGTCGCGCCGTGGACGCCTGCCCCTGCTTCAATTGCAGCACGCTGTCCTGGCAGCAGCAGTGATTCATCTCCCATCTCATGAATTGACAGGTGATTAAATTAAACAATAAAGGCCATCAAGTCCAGGGCATTTCCAGCCCAGAAAGCAGAGGCGTTGGCAGCACAGGCAACAGGAAGAATTCGCCTTGGGAAATCAGGCGTGGACGAAAGCAGCAGTAATAAGAAAAGGAAACAAGCGTCGTCAAGTGATTTACAGCACCTTTTTGGTGGCGTAGAAGTCGTCCCTGCCTGCGTCGCTCGCCGTCAGCCAGATGTGGCCACTCCGCTTCTCGGGCGCGTCTTCAGGCAAGGCCTCCCACTCTGGGCTATCCTCTACGTCTGTACCTTCGACGAATCTCTTCCATGCCTCTTCGTAGCCTCTCTCCAGCGCACGAGTCCATCCACGCGTGTCAAAGAGCGGGTTCTTGTCGCGTGTGAGGAAGAGCATCTTGCGGAGCTCCGAGAGCTCGCCATGGCCACGCCGCGTCGTTGCACCCGGTGGACCCTGCGGCTCGCCCTGATGGACAAGCTCGACCGAGTCCCTGCCCAGATCCTCCGCTGCAGTGCTCTTGGACGAAACCGCAGCTGCCTGACCCACGTTGGCGGGCGCCATCGCAGAGTGTCTGTCAGCGTCGAGATTCGCAGTCCCCTGAGACTGCTGGCCTTGTGGCTGCTGGGCAGAATGCGGCTGTGCCGAGCTGCTCGCGGCGTTGAACTTGAACGCCTCAGCTGTGATCTTGCCGAGCGCTTGGACTGGCTCCAGTGCCCTGCCTTGCCCGTCGACATAGGTGTAGGCGAGTCCACTGGCGAGCTCGACGGCTCGTTCCTCGTAGGCTTGCTCACTGTCGACGATCAGCCTCTCGCCCAGGCCAGTGGCATTGACGATGCTTGCCGCGACCCTGCTAGCCATCTTGTAACGGTGTTTGGGCCACGTCAGGACAGGTGTGCCGCTCCAGAGGATGTCGGCGCTCGTCGTGTGTGCGTTGCACTCGAGCGAGTCCAAGAACAGGTCTGCGATTCTGCCACGATGGATGTGGACCCCTTTAGGCGCAACCTCGGTAAAGATGACCCTCGAAGCCACCTCTTCACCCGCCCACTCCTTGGCCGACCGGAGGACATGCGCTTCGCCCGCTGCCGGGAACCGCAAGAGCCACAGGATGGACCTCGGTACGCGCTTGAGGATCCTGAGCCAGAGCTTGAACAGCTCCGGCTCAAACTTGTACAGCTGGTTGAAGTCGCTGAAAATGACAAAGTCGTCGGGCAGGTTCGGCCAGAGCTCCTTCCTGGCCTTCCATCGACGCTCTTCCTCCTCGGCCCACGCCTCCTCATCTGACATCTCGCCTGGCTTGATGAGGTGACCGTCGATCGCACGGCGCTCCTGCGGCTCCCGGAAGCCCTGAGCATGATCGTTGACAAAGTACGAGTGGGGCATGTAGATGAAGCGCTCAGTATAGACCCACTCGTCACCGGGCTCCTCTGGGTCCAGATCGCCGCCAAAGTCCGTCGGACGGGGCAACGTGTGCTGGAACCGTCGTTTGGCTCTCCACTGGTCAACGCTCGTCTGGTCTGGTGGACACACAATGGGATCTGCCACGATCCAGTCGGTCCATCCGGAGGCCATGCCGCCTGCGAAGCCCATGAACTCCATCTGGACGGGGCAGGGTCGCGCGGCAAACACTTCGTTCTTGGCACCCTTGGTATAGCCGTTGAGGTTCATAAGGATGTGGATGCCGTCTTCCAAGATGCGATTGATGATCGCTTGGTTCGTCCACGTCGAAACATCGACAAAGTGCTGCGCCTCGGATTCAATCTTTTGCCGATAGGGGCTCTGGTCCGACGCCGTCGTCGCATACAGAAACACGTCAAAGCGGCTGAGGTCGTGAAAGCCAAAGACGGATTGCATCAGATGGGCCAAGGGGTGGTTGTTGAAGTCCGAAGACACATAGCCGACACGCAGCTTGGGCGAGGGCGGAGGTGGTGGTGGGTACACGTGGGCCGGCAGCCACATCTGTGTGAGCGTCGTTTGCGAGATGCGCAGGGCGTTCCTGTGCGAGATGAGGCGAATGTGCCTCGGGGGAATCTTGAGCGTGAAGGTGTGGAAGGGGAGCACGGTGGGCACGGTAGGGGTGACGAGGCACGAGGGTATGGGCACCCTCGGGTAAAGTCTGACGTCCTCGGACGTTGGATCGATCGGCATAGACGACTGATTGTGTTGCTGCTGCTGCTGCTGTCGAATCATATTTCCAAAGCGGTCCAAGTACCACCTCCTCTGACTTCGGCGAAGGAGTCGCTCGATGAGTCGGATGACGAACGAACCCTCGTTGATCTTGAGCGTCTGCCGATCGAGAGTTTGGTAAAACGTCTGGAAGCGTCGGATCAGGCTGTCAACCGTTGAAGGCCTCGTGTCGCCCGTGGCAGCAGCCACGAGCTTTGCCCAATCGAAAGGGGTCCCTTCGGCAGCCAGCGTACCTGCACCGTAGTGGGTGCCGTCGTCAAGCTGCCGCTGGACCAGATCCTTGACGTCAGACATCCATCCAGACCAACCGGCCTCCTTGTCCGGGTACACCTCCCTCCAGTCGCACACAGCCAGGAGCGAGTTGACGAGGCCGCAGAGTGCCTCGGGAAAGCGAGGATTGACCTGGACGGCTCTGCGGTAGTACTGGATCGCGTCGTGCTGCCTTCCTTGGTCCTTGATCGCATTGCCAAGATTCGCCAGGGCCACATCAAAGTTGGGACTGTACTCGACGGCCTTTTCGTACATTTGAATCGCCTCGTTGAGCTTGCCAAGGTCCTTGAAGAGCGAGCCGAGGTTCGTGTAAAGGTGGGGATGCTTGCGGTCCAGGTTGAGACCGTGGGTGTAGTACTGCATCGCCAGCGCTTGGCCATTGACGGTCTGGCGCTGTCCGTTGGGCGCTGCGACCTGGGAGATGAGCGGGAGCGAAGAGAGTAGGATACCGACATTGTTCGCCGTTGACGCAGAAGGGTTGAGCGAGATGGAGAGGTAGTAGAGCGGAAACATCAACGAGAGCGACGGAGGAATACCCCCGAGCGTCAGGGGGCCGCCCTGGGTCCCACTGGCAGCCGCAGGGGCTACTGCCGTCGCGTCCTGATAGAGCTTGGCCAGAGTGAGAAGAATGGTGCTCGTGGTCTGCGAAGCCTGCTGAAATCCAACGGGGCTCTTGGCTCCTTGAAGGTGCGCGTTGAGAGCCAGAGCAGGCAGTTGCCCTTCTGTCTCGGCAAAGAGAATTTCTCTTAGCCTGATTGCTAGCTCAGGAAGCAGCATGAGCGTAGGCAGCTGCCCTTTGCCAATGCGCAAGAGGAACTTTACGATGATGTCGCCCGAGTCGCGAACGAGCCGAAGGAGGCCGCCAGAGCTGAGAGTAGCGTACTTGCCACTTGCCATTGCCTGGAGGTGCGTTGGGTCTCGCACGTCTAGACCAATGGCCCGGGCGACCTCTGCGACGAGCGTCGTTGGATCAGTACCCGGGAGCGTTGTCTTCATCGTCAGGATGGCGGCAACGTAAGTGGCAACGACCAGGTCCTTGAGGCTGTAGGCACTCTGCTCCGACGACGAAAGCGAGATCTCGATTGCCTTTTGATACTCTCTGGCCGCTGGCACGGAGCCATTGTTGGTCAAAACGTACTTGAGGTTGCCCTTTGCATAAAAGAGATTCTGCAGTCTCCATGCCTGCGAAACGGGAAGGTGGGAGGGTATGCATACAGGGTGGTCGCCTCCTCCCGCCACCTTCCTCGGCCGGCTTTCATCGCTGTCGCCACCCGAGCTTTCATCTTTGGCGGCCATGACGTGAGCCTCGACAAAGTCGCACAACTTGAGCGCCTCCTGGAACCGCGGCTCGCCCATCTGCGGCTGCTCGCTGGACCGCTGCATGTTTGACTCGGGCAAGAGGCCCTGCTCGACCGCGCGCTCGTTGGCCACCCTCTGCTCGTGGGACAGCGGCATCTGCTGCGGTGAGCTGAGGACGCCGAGAAGATTCTCATAGGCATCCCAGTAGCCAGGCCGGAGCCGGATAGCGCGCCACCACCAGCTCTCGGCCTCGTTCCACCGGTTGAGAGCTCGCAGAGTGGTGCCAATGTTGCTCATGCTCTCGACGTATTTGGCTGCGCAGTTTGTCTCTTGTCAGTCCCCAAAGAGCACCTGTCACAGTATACACACTCACGATCGAGCTTGAGAATCTCGTTGTTGTACATGAGACTGGCGGCGAGGTCACCTGCGCTGTAGTAGGCGCAGCTCAGGAGGAGGAGCGTGGGCTTGTGCTTGGGGTGCAGGTCCCGCAGCGTGTGGAGCAGTGGCAACAGCGTCGGGTGCAGCTTCACCTTCGTCTTTGTTTGCGTCTGCGCTGCACCCTCCCCTCCAGCAGCAGCCTCGCCTTCAGAAGCCTGGACGGTCTCGGTGGTGCTTCCTGTAGAGTAGAGTCCGTGGGCGTACTGAAGCATCTGATCACGCAGCTCCGGCGAGCTGACGTCGAGGCCCGATGTGGTGGAGACAGTCGAGAGGAGCACGGCCGGATCCTGTGCAGCGACTGGTGCAACCTGCTGCTGCTGCTGCTGCTGCTGCTCTTGCTGCATCGTCGCAGCAGCCTTTTGGGTGACCTCAGAAGCCGAACGTTGGCTCCATTGCTGTTGCTGCTGTTGCTGCTGCGATGATCCTGGCACTTGGTGAGACGAGTTGAAGGCCTCCTTGTGGAGCTCGTTGTAGTAGCCCTCGGCAAATGCAGTGAGCTGGCTCTGTACGGTCAGGATAAAGGGGCATTAGCATGAGAGGAGAATTCAGCGGCAGGCGCGCTGCTCACCTGGTAGTGACGGGCGACGTCTGGCGGGAAGAAGGACTGCTGCGGGGCGCCGCCGTCTTCAATGACTTGAGCGCCATTGGATGCCTGAAGAACGACGTTGGCCTGCCTCTGCTGAAGTTGCTCGCGTGCCTCGGCCTGCTTCTGCGGTCCCTCGAGGCCGGCCTATGGTGGGCGCAAATGAGGTAGAATCAGCAGGGAGTCAAAGCATGAGAAAAAGGGTCTGCGCCTGGCTCACCCATGCTCGGAGAAGGCCGGCAATGTGCTCCTGCTCCATCGAAGTGAGTACCCGATGATGGCTCGCTGCTACCGGTGCTGCAGCCCCGCCAAAGGACTGAGCCTGTCCTGAAACGCTGCCCGTGGGATCCTTGGCCAGCGAAGCGGTTTCATGGCTTCCCGAGCCGCTGGCAGTGGTGAGTGCGACGGTGGCCACTGCCGCTGCCGAAGCTAGGATCTGCCGAAATGAAGTTTCTCGACAAGGTCAGTGAAGAGATGCGAAAGAGGGACCAGAGCCCCGAACGGCGAGGAGCTCTTCACTCCTCTGGCTGGTAGCTCACCTGATACTCGTCGGGCGCCAAGCGGTACCTGGAGCGTCGGGGATGGACATCGAGTTGGACGCGTTGCATTCAGGAAGGAGGGGAGGAAGGGACGACAAATGTCAGTACTGTCCCGAAAGAGATTGGAAAACGACGCTCGAGGATGGGAAGAGGGGGGATGCCGTCCTGCCACTTGCTGGCTTCGTCGCCAGCAAGGAGCAAGTCAGGAAAGGGGAGCGGCGTGTGTACGACGACGTCCGCTGAGATGATGACGTGACATCGTCCGAGAATGAGAACCCAGCCCCACTCGGTCTGTCGGTCTGTTCGTCTCTCTGCCTGCCTGCCTGCAACTGCTGATGCTGCTACCACTGCCCCCCCCCCCTCGCATTCAAGTCCAGCATAGTCCGAACCAAGGGCGTACACAAAGCTACTCACACGGGCTGAAACGCGGCGCCAGCCCCGCCCGCACTCGTATTTCCACGTCGGGTCCACATGGGCGTAAAAGTGGCCCGCATGGCCTCGGGAGCACCGTCGAAGTCAGGTGGGAGCATGGCCAGAGAAGCAGACGGCATCACTGGCATCGACAGAGACAGGGCAGAAGCAAAGCCCTCAGACTCGTCAGCATTCATTCCTCTGATAGAGATGACCGAAAGAGATCGAGATCGAGATCTGACTTGTCACTCACGGGGCATACTAGGCACGCCCTGAAATGGATTGGCAGCATCGTAGCGTCCACCGACGCCTCCATCGCCTGCGCTGGGAGCGGTACCATTGACAGCAGCACTGGCAGCAGCATGCTTGACGCCGAGAGCCTGCTGCACGTATTCGGAGGCGGCAACCCTCGTCGCAATGTCGCCCACGGCCATCTTTGCCGCCGACCGAGGCGATTCCGGCACCGTCGAGAGGTGGTGGTGGTGGTGGTGGTGGTGGTGCTGTTCTTGACTGTGCTGTCGCTGCTTGGAGGAAGAGGAAGAGGAGGACGAGGAGGAGGTGGGAAGGGAAGAAGAAGCAGTTGTAGGATACAGTGAAAACGCCGATGCCGATTGTGCTGAGAGTGAGGGAGAGAGGATGGAAGCTGAGGACGACGAAGAAAAGGCAAGGGAGAGGGGCGCAGCAGAGGCTTCGGCCGCAGCGACGGCATGGGCCTGGCCCAGCAACGCCTTGCTTACGCTCTGCGCCGACGTCTGGGCGAGGGCATTGGCGGCCATGAGAAGAGTAGCCGCCGATGATGCCGACGCTGGAGCTGCACCTGCAGCAGCAGCTGCTGCAGGTGGAGCGTCTGATTCATCGACGCTTCTGCCCCTTTCAACTCCTCCGTTTCCTCCGCTATTGCCTCCGCCGCCCGCGCCTGCGACGCCCCGAAGTCCAGTGGACGCGGGCGGCGGCGGCGGCGCCCCTTTTTGCTCTCTTGGCAACGCACCACGACTTCCCGACGCGCTGTTGCTCGTCATGGCTGGTGCGAATGCGAGTGCATAGGCAGGTGCGAAAACGAATGCGAATGCGAATGCGGCCAGCCGACTTGCTTGCGGAGTGATCTCATCCAGGTCCGATCCTCCATTCGCGTGAGAGTCTGAGTCCTGCGTTCTCCGTTCCGCTCTTGAACCCGCCTCTTGAACCCGCCTCTTGAATCCAAACAAACGAAAAGAGACAAAAGAGCAGAGGCGAGGTCGGCACTAAAAGGGATCCTGCCCCTCCGTCGTCGCCGTCGTTGTTGGTCGGGGGATCGTCTGGTGCCCTCGTCGGAGTCGTCCAGGGGATATATATACGAGCCACGGCGCGCACCTCTTCGCTCAGAGGGATGGGAGGGGGAAAGGACGGGCGCGCAGTTGGTTTGAAGCAGCCAACACACTCGGAATCAACTTAGGAGATATTTTACACTTCGCTTGCCTTGCGTTCTTCTCGCGAGCAGCAAGAAACTGTCAAAAGTGGAGGAAGATTTGGTTCAGCGCCAAAGCAGCCTGAAACAGCGCGTGTTGTGGGCCGGCTCTCGGGCGACAGCGCGCCCGCCAAGCAAAATCACATCTTTCCTCTCTTGTTGAAGCGGACTTTCTTCTCTGATTTCTGTATCATCGCATCATGATTGGAGTTAGGCACAGGCGTAGTGAGGGAGAAAAGGGCAAAGACTTGAGTGCTTGTTTGTGTGTTTAGTGCCATCGGATCAGTCCATCCTCGTCGTATGCTATGAATAGCGGCCTGGGCTGCTCCTGCTCCTGCTCAAAATTCAAAGCCTTGAGCTCGAAACTGAGACAGGTCTGCTCCGACATGAGCGTGCTGTGCCAGATCCATTCGATCCATGCAAAGGACTGTTGCAGGCAAAGGCAGGGCCCAAGGAGTCAGCAAGGAGAATAGAATCAAAGACAACGGAGCGGACTCACAGATTCGCCTCAGCGTGCTCCAGAGGTTGGAACTCTCCTGTGCCTCGGCCAAGGGCGGCACGCGCACGTCTCCAGGGCCGACATCGGGGGGAACATCGGGCAATGCATGCGTCTGCTGAAGCGACAGGGCGGCCAGAAGGTGTTCGGCTGCCTCATGATGGGCACCCAGGTTGAGGCAAGAGACGCTGAGATTGTAGATTGCCCTCGTAAACGTCGGTCGCAGCTCCAATGCCTTGTGATACGCCTCGATGGCTTCCTCCGGCTTGCCGCCGTTGGCAAGCGTCGCGCCGAGCCTGTTCCAGAGGAGGAAATCGTTTGGCCTGGCCTGAAGTGCGGTCTCGAAGCAGTCCTTTGCCTGGTCGTACGAGCTGTTGGAGTAGAAGAGTACGCCGAGACCAACCTGGACTTCTGGGTCGATGCGACCGCTGGAGTTACCCTCCCGCGCAGCCTGGAGAAACAGCGAAGTGACACGGTTAAGCGATGCCCATGGGTTCGTCGTGCCATCGCCCGAGACTGTGCCCTCGATGGGATCTTTGGGACCGGAGATAGAAGCAGGCAGTGGCGCTGGTTTGATGTGGGGGTAGGCCCGCTGCATATAGCGCTCCAGCGTGGAGTGTGCCGCAGCATCGTACCCTTCGTTGGTGTAGGCAATGGCAAGCGACATGTACGCCTCCAGATTGCCTTCGTCGAGCCTGATGGCCTCTTCCAGAGCTCGAATTGCTTGCGTCTCCCGCTCGTTCATCGCTTGAGCCTCGCCGAGGCGACGCCAGGCTTCGCTCTTGTGCCTCATCTGGGCATCAACTTCATTCGATTCGCCTCCTGTGCCACCGGCGACGTCGCGCTGTGTGGCCACTTCGAACAGCAATGCAGCATCGGCGAGACTGCCACCGCTGGAAAGCAACCGCAGGCCCTCACTCAAGGGGTCCTCGTGGCTTACAAAGGGATTCCGGTTGTCGAAGCGGTAGCTGCCCAGACGAGGATAGCCATCAGCGCTGATCGTACCGAAGCCGTCGAGGAGAGCGTCTTCAGTACCGTCGAGCCCGGCCGTCTCTCCTCGGGCTGCTTCCCCGAATCCGATGCCACCTCCAGGGTGCATATACATTTCATCTTGCATCCGGTTGCGGGCATCGCTGAGCTCCTTTTCCCAGTTGGCCAGGTCTGGATCGGGCGCGTTGCCGGCATTCATGCTCTTCCACAGCTCCTCAAAGCGCGTTTGGGCTTCATTGCCATCGGCCTGCACATCTCGCTCCAGAGCATCGAGTGCTTCGCGGACCTTGCGATCCTGCTCCGCCTCTGACGGCAGCTGGTCTTCGTCATCCTCCTTTGCCTTGCCCTTGCCCTTGCCCTTGTCCGTACTCGTCGCCGTCTCACCATCCTTGCCGGCTTGGTCGAGCTTGGCAAATTGCTCCTCCCACTTTGCGTCGTCGAGCTCGACGATTTGGCCATTGCCCTGCTGCTGTTGCTGCTGGGTCCTACTCTGGCTCAGCTGAGGGGATGCACGGTTGTACATGCCCATGCCGCCCATGCTCGACATGCCACCGTAGCCCATGCCCATGGAGCCTCCCATACCATAGCGAGGAGCGAAAGTCGAGGCACCGCCACTGCCGCCGCCCGAACCCGACGTCGTGGAGCTCTGGGGCTGGTAGTTGGGAAACTGCTGCCGCCACGCTTGGGCTAAGGGCGCACACACGTTTGTGAGCTTCGCCGGCCAGCCAAAAGAGGATCAACTCCACTCACCCTGACCATCGCCTCCTCGGGCAAATGCGGCTTCCATTTCACCCGGATTAGGTCCACCGCCTCCAACGCCCATCTGTCGAAGCATCTCGGGTGAGAATGGCTGCGGTCCGGAACCAGGCGCACCTCGGCGCTGCATTTCGTCGGCCCAGCCAGCACCAGCACCGGGGCCACCAGCGCCACCCATCCTGTTCATCTCGGCCTTCATCTGTTCGAAGTCGTATGCACCTGGCTGAAACTGCGGACCGCCCTGCTGCTGCTGCTGGCGGAAGAAGGCTTCTGCTTCGGGTCCGCTTCCGGGTCCCATGGGGCCCTGCTGTCGCATCGACGAGCTCGAAGGCCCAGCTGGGCCGGCCTGCGTCCGGTCGCCCTGCTGCAGAGAGCGGTCGCCGCTCGTGTGCTTGAGAAACTGCGACAGGGCATTGTTGCCCGTCGAGCACTCTGCTCCAGACATCATCGCCTGGAACGACATGGTCTCTAGCTGTCGGGTTGGTTTGTGTGGGGAGAAAGGAGAAGCAGCAGCGAGCAAGCGAGGAACACTGGGGAATCCTTTTTCAGCGAAGAGCGCAAGCGGGGATAAGTCTCCAAAGTGGCAAACGCGTGGCCCGGCGACATCGGCGCGAGGCTGAGCCGACCTCGAAAATGACAAAAGCCGCTCGAGTGACTGAAACAGTCTGTCATGCACGCTCTGTTACCAGTGTTGGATTCGTCGCAGCGTCGTCCTTCTCGCGACAGCGCTAACTCAGGAAGGGGCAGGGGAGCAGGATGCCGACAGAGTTCGAGAACGTCCTCACCAACCAGCCTGTCGTCATCGACAATGTGAGTGGCGCCGTGTGCGAGCAATATCTTCTCTGCTGACTTGCATCTCTACTTTCAGGGCTCGGGGATGATCAAGGCTGGCTTTGCGGGTGGCAGCACTCCGAAATGCTACTTTCCGAACTTGTGCGTAGACCTCTCGTCGTTGTCGGACGCAGTGATGACTGACTCGACCTTGTGGCAGTGTGGGGCGGACAAAACATCCAAAGATCATGCTGGGGTCAGATAAGGAGGATACGTTGATAGGCAAAAAGGCCCAGGAGCTTCGTGGTCTTCTCAAGATCAAGTACCCCATGGAGCACGGCATCGTCACCGATTGGGAGGACATGGAGAAGATTTGGAGACATGTGTATGAAAAGGAGCTAGGCACACCCATCGAAGAGGTGAGTCTTGGCTGGTAGGCTGACGCGCAGATGAAGCTCGAGCTCAAGCTCTCAATCACATTAAAGCACCCCGTGCTCCTCACCGAGGCGCCTTTGAATCCTCGACGGAATCGAGAAATGGCGGCGCATATCTTCTTCGAGCAGTTCAACGTCCCAGCCTTCTTCACGTCCATTCAGGCAGTGCTCTCCCTCTATGCGTCGGGGCGGACAACGGGTATCGTCCTTGACTCCGGCGATGGTGTCACTCATGCCGTGCCTGTTTATGAAGGCTTCAGCATGCCTATGGCCATTCGAAGAGTCGACGTGGCGGGCAGAGACGTGACAGATGCGCTCCAAATCCATCTTCGCACCGCAGGCTACAACCTTCACACGAGCGCAGAGAAGGAGGTGGTGAGGATGATCAAGGAGAAGTGCTGCTACATTGCCATGAACCCCGTCAAGGAGGAGAAGGAGTTGCGAGAGGAAGAAGAATTTAGACTGCCTGATGGCAACTATATCAAGGTGCGCTCTCATCGCTGAAACTTCTAGCTCACTGCTTTGCTGATCGCCGAAAGCACTTTCTGCAGCTCGGGCCAGAGCGATTCAGATCGACCGAAATCCTGTTCAACCCAGAACTACATGGACTCGAATACCCTGGCATGCCGCAAATCATCGTGGACTCAATCAATAGAGCGGACTTGGACATGAGGAGGGAGCTTTTCCAGAGCATCGTGCTGAGCGGCGGGACGACATTGACAAAGGGTCAGTATTCCTTGTCTCTCCCTTCCCCCTTCATGAATGCTGACGCAAGTCTGAACAGGCTTTGGCGACCGACTGCTCTACGATATTAAGCGGTTAGCGAGAGATGAGACCAAGATCAAGATCCTCGCGCCACCCGAACGGAAGTACTCGACGTGGATTGGAGGCAGTATTCTGGCAGGTCTCAACACTTTCAAGAAGGTTGGTTGCCAATGGTTGGGCCAACTTGTCGCTGCCTTTGCTCACACTACTTGATGTCCTGCCAGATGTGGGTCTCTGCAGAAGACTACAACGAGGACCCGAATATCATCCACAAGAAGGTGAGTCTCCATTCTCTCTAGTAGTGCTGCCAGACGAGAAGCTCACTCCACAATCTCCGTCTCTGACAGGCTTTTTGATGTCCTTGAGCGTGCGCAATTGTTAATCGCTGCGTCAGTATATCCCAATGTCATCCCTCCCACGTCATGTGAGGACTTCCGTCGAGACTGCTTGACCACCCGAGGAGTGGCCGCTTGCTTTCAGAGACGAGATGAAGGCCTTGCTGAGCGGCGAAGTCTTGACACGAGTGAAGACGTTACTTGACCAATTAGCAGACAGCGAGAAGGGACAGGCAATCAGGGCATCAGCGAATTAGATTGAGTGAAGAAGACATTGATGATAACGGAACCTGATGGACTGATCGAAAGCATTGATGTTCTACAGTATTGATGGAGCGAGGCCAACTAGAAGTAATAAAGAAAGACGAAACACTCTACTGCTTGCCCATGATGGTTGTGACAAGCGTGTACATGTCTGCGAGCAGGATGGCAACGTACGCCACAATGGAGACGGCCGTCACGATCCAGTGGCTTGTGAAGCTGTGGCTCGCGCCGCCTTGCTCGGTGTCTTCGGTCACGGTCATGAAGGATGGCAGTGCGGTGACGAGGATAAGGGGCACGAGGACGAAAGGCAAGGCAAAGGAGAGTGCCACTTGAGACGCTTCGAGCTGTTGGAAGAGATGGAAGAGAAGGAAGAAATGGTCAGAATCGAAAAGAGAGGCGGGAGGCTATAGAGCTGCTACTCACCGCCTCATTGAGACCACCTCGGCCCACAGCTGATGCGATGGCGAGCGAAGGGATGATTGTAATAACCCGAGTGATGAGACGTCGGACGAAAGGGTTGGTGCGCCAATTGATGAACCCTTCGGAGACGATTTGACCGGCCAACGTAACAGTGATGGAAGCTGACTGTCCCGCCGCCAGAAGTGCAATAGCGAACAAGACCGCGTACCTATGCCCGCCTTGTCAGCCTGGATCCGCGAACACAATATAGCAGGAGGCCGGCGTAGGGCTCGTGTACTCACGCGTTACCAAGAGTGTCGCTAAGGAGGTGATAAGCATCATAAAGATCGCCTACTTCACGTGAGCCGCGATTGTAGTAGAAGGCAGCGCCGGCCACAATGAGAATGGCCGAGTTGACGGTGATGGCAAAGAAGACGAGCGAAAGGGCAATGTCCCAAGAAGCATGTGGCAGATGGAGCTTGATAGATTCGATCGAATGGCATGCGCCAGGCGGGACCATCTCATCCGTCGAAGAGGGCGCCGTGGTGAATGCACGCCTGATGCTAAATTGTTGAAGGGAAGAAGCATCGATCGAGGGAAAGCGCTGGATGAGATGCCGTCTAATCCAGTGACCGAGGTTCCCGGACGGCGTCCCGGCCTCGGCAGGGCCTTCCCGTGCGTCCTCTTGGACAGACGCCTCTTCGGACTGCACTTTGACAGGGCGAAGGCGATCGATTGTCGAAAAGTGGCTCCCGAGGAAGAGAGAGTGAGGCATGATGACGGCACCAACTGCTCGCTTTCGAATCAACAAATCGTTCTGGAGGACTTGAAGAATAAAGGGCACTCACCGATCCCGATGCCTGCATAGAGAGCTCCCGGCTCAACGAGCGTTGAGGAGGGAATGTAACCATGAAAGACGGTTGGCCAATGCGGCTTAGTGCGAACCAGGAGGGCAATGTAGCAGGCCAAGACAACCATGACCTGTTCCGAGGTGCATTAGCGTCAGCAGAGGCGTACAAAGGGCACCAACCGAGAAGCATACGCACCAGGGCCGCAATGAGGATTTCGAGGATGCGAAAGTTACCGCTTGGACGGTAGACGAAGAGGATGAGCAGCACATCTGCGCTTGTGATAATGACGCCGCCCCATAGGGGAAGCCGTGGAAAGAGACTGTACCAGAATTCCCTTTTCAGCAAACGGTGGTCAACGAAGGCATGGTGAAGAAAGAGCCTCACAGATTGAGGGCCACAGCCGAACCAATGAGCTCGGCGAGCTCGGTTGCAATGATAGCGCCTTCGGAGACGAGGTAAAGAAGCCACAGTGCCACAACTCTCGTCTTGTACCACTTCAGCTCGGCCCTCGTCTTGTTCTCGGGGAGCAGTAGCAAGCGACTATTTCTCGCTAGATCATGCCCCGTCACGGCGCCCATGCGGACGGCGAGAATCTGCAAGAGAATGCCAACGAGGCCCGAGAGAAGAACGACGAAGAGCAGAGCATAGCCAAACTGCGAGCCTGCCGATAGATCCGTGACCCAGTTTCCTTTGTAGCAGAGGCTTCAGTGTGAGCGGAACGACAATAGCCAAGAAGCCGTTGCTGCGCTCTCCCAGCTCACCTGGATCGGTATACCCTACGGACGCAACGATGCCCGGGCCGATGAAGGCAGCGTGCCTTTTGGCGCTAGCGACGATGCTGCCCCACCGCGACGGTGATGCGTCTTGTCCGTCTCCTCTTCCAGTCTCAACGTCCATGGTGTTTCTATCGTAGTTGCCCTCCTCGTCGTTGCTGCCTCTTAACCCTCTCTCTGATATTCTGGTCCCCCCTCCTGCGTCGCCCACGTCGCGTAACGTCGGAATCCATTCTGACCTGGGCGTCTTCTTCCCAGGCGCACCGTTGTCGTAGCCCGGCTGATCGGCAGACGAGGCGCAGGAGAACAAAGCATGGTCAAGCTGGTAGGACGTCGAGCGCGAGTCGCCGTCCCGCAGGGTCTTTGGTGACGGAAGGTTCATGCTTGCTCGCCCTCTCTCTTTCCCCTTCAATAAGTGCTCGAGTCACCGTGACCTTGCTGTGAGCACTCCTGATCGGGTGTCGCTTGTGCTGCTGATGGTGCGCAAGTCGGACCTCGGAATGTTATTGGAAGGGCGCAGAGTCGACGGACATAGTCGCCAAAAAAAAAGTAAAGAATGAGCGGACCTTCCTGCCCATTTGCAAAGTCAGGCCAGTTCCGGCCTCATCCGTTCCTAAAAAAAAAATCCTCTCCAGATTTCTGGTTTCGAAGGGCAGCAGAACTGCAGGCAGGCTAGGGCGCGCGCAGACGCCACAAAAGATTTGAGTCGGCCTTGGCAGATCGCTCAGTCCAGAAATTATTTGATCTCCATTCGATTCATTGTAGCACAGACGCCGCTGCCGTGGGCCACAAACCCACCACTCTGGGCACGAAGCCGAGTGCACGAGTGGTAGCGAATGGAGGTATCTGGTGTTACGCTAGTGCTGGGCTGCGCAGATGCGCAATTGTAGGCACTGTCCTCATGCGAGAAAGAGTCGCAAGGTCTTCGCGGACTGTCTTGTCATGGGGGGGCTGCCTCACCCTTCATGCCGCAAGAGGTTTTGAAAGTATCCCAGATGACTCGAGATGCCTCCCAGCGTGCCTACTCGCTTTTCAGCGTTCTTCTTATCTCTCGCTCACATTGGTCCCTCAGCCATGTCTGCTAGCTACGCACAACAGTCTCCCCCTCGTGTTTTGGAAGCGAGCTTTTGACTAGATGACTTCTTTTCAAGTCATCACCTTAGGGGAAGGAAGGACATAAGCTTTTATCAATTGCGTGTCCTTCTCGCGTGCTTGAGGCATCAACATCATTCTTGCGAGCGCAGACAACACGCCGATTGGTGGAAAGGAACAATCAATCGTGAGAGTGATCAATGAGTGTTGACGACGCGATATGGAGAGAGAGAGGTGGAGGGAAAATGAAAAGAACACGCGCGGGCCTTGGCGCACTTTTCTCAGGGGCTCGTTATTTTTGGACGGCTCGCTCCCCTGTCAATCATTTCCTTCCCCCCTCTGGAAAGAGAGAGAGAGATCTCGCGATCGTGCCGCTGCCTTCTTGACGACTCCTTTACGACTTCCTTTACGACTCTTTGCCGCTTCTCTACGACCTTTTCACGATTCACGATTCACGATTCACGACCCATTTTTACGACCATGACATCTCTTTGATACCTCTCGGCGACCGAACTATCCCAAACAAAGACCTCTGGCGGCAGGCCAGGAGGGACTCCGGCCCACAATGGTCAACATGACATGCCCAGTCATACACAAGCCCACCGACCCCGTCCCATTCATCGGCAATGGTGACATCCACTTCAAAGGTGAGAGTTTGATCACTGGTCGCACGGAAAGAGCTCGGGCACTGATTCCAGGTAAACAACAGCGCACGACGTGGGGTGGATCGTGTCGGGCTTCTTCGCCCTAATCGCGACATGCGCCTCGATCTGGCTCATCTGGAAGCATCTCACATACTACACATGCCCGCCACAGCAGCGGCACATTGTGCGAATGCTCATCATGGTGCCCATCTACGCCATCGTCAGCTTCCTCAGCTACATCTTCTTCACCGAGGCCATCTACTACGAGACGATCCGCGACTGCTACGAAGCCGTCGTCATCACCAGCTTCTTCTACCTCCTGCTCCAGTACGTGGGCGACACGCCTGCCGAGCAGCACGAAGTCTTCAAGGAGGTCAAGGTCAAGTACTGGTTCTTTCCCCTCGGCTTCTGGAAGTACAGGCCCGACGGTCTGCACTTTCTCTGGCTCATGAAGATCTGCATCCTCCAATACGCCATCGTCCGACCCGTGTGCACACTCGTTGCCGTGGGACTTCAGTACTTTGGCATCTACTGCATCGAGTCGTGGGCGCCACAGTTTGGCCACATCTACATCAGCATCGCCATCTCCATCTCGGTCTCGGTGGCCATGTACTGCATCATCCAGTTCTACCTGCCCATCAAGGAGGAGCTCAAGCCGTACAGCCCCGTCCTCAAGTTCCTCGCCGTCAAGAGCGTCGTCTTCCTGACCTTTTGGCAGTCGTCCTTTCTCAGCATCCTCGCCTACTTTGGCGCCATCAAGGACACGCAGTACATGAGTGCTGCCGAGGTTCAGGTCGGGCTCAATGCGCTCCTCGAGACGTTTGAGATGGTCATCTTTGGCTTCTTGCACATCAAGGCATTCACCTACCTCATCTACCGCCCAGAAGACAGGGCCAGGACGACGCGGCGGGGGCGAGCCATGCTCGATGTGCTCGACTTCCGCGACTGGTACTACCAGATGAGCCAGTCGACGCGCTACGTCGTGGCCAAGAGCAAGGGCAGGCCTTTTACCATCGTCGAGGATATTCGGCGCCAAAAGTACGAGCACCTCTCAAGGGCCCTCGGCCATGACCGGTGGACGCACCTCGAGATGGAGAGGGAGCGGGGCAAGGCGGACCAGCCGAGCTTTTGGAAGCCCGGGTGCGAGCCGACGGCCGAGGACGAAGAGCTGCTCGAGGACGAAAAGAGCAGCGGCGCGACCCCTTCGACGGCTGTTGGGCTCGCCGCTACTGACGTTGAGAAGAAGGCAGCGTCATCGTCAACAACGACGCCCTCACAGACAAATGCGAGGAGCAGGACCGCAGAGCAGCGACGCACCAGCAAGGCTGTCACGGGAGGTCAAGCAAGGGAGAGCAGGCTGGCCGATGACACGAAGGAGGAGCGGCGACCGCGAGGCAACCTCGCTCTTCGCAAGGACTTTGACCCGGAGAGGGACCAGAGAGACCTCGACGCCGATCCAAGCGAGAAGGACATTGGCACTGACTCCAAGGAATCGCTCGCAGCGCCTCGACTGCCCCAGCTCAAGTACAATGCCGAGGAGAGGAGGGAGCTGCGCGTTGTCACGTCCAAAACCCGCACCAGAGATGCCTATCCTGAGTTGACGGCATTCCATGCCATTGCTCAAGAGGAGGACGACTTCATTCCCGGACTGGAGGATGACGAGAAGCGAGAGCTGGCGCAAGACGAGGAAGAGGACGGGGACGAAGACGGCATTTACATTCCTCGAAAGGGAGGTAGAGCCAGAAAGGAGGGCAGCCTGGGCCTCGGCGCATTCTGGCGCAAGTTTAGAGAGCGCATCTCGGGCACACAGGACGGTGCAGAGGGAGAGGCGATGGAAGAGCAGGAGACCGAGGGACTTGGCATGCATCCGGAAGGGGAAGCAGAGATCTTGACGCCCCCTCGTCCCATTCGAAGCGATTCCGGTTCCTCAGACGCCACCGAATCGGCGCTTCGAACGAGCGACTCTCCACTCTCGCAATTCATTCACGATCAGCGCAGCCAGAATGCACCCCAGAAGGGCAACCCGCCGCCTCGCATCGCATTCCAGCAGGCACATCCGCCCCAGATTCAAACCTTTAAAGCTAGACAAACGGCTCAGATTGGGGCTGTGGAGTCACCAGAGCTCTTTGCAGGGTCGACACCTGCCCTCTCGCGTGCTTCGTCTGCGGCCCATGCAGAGCCGTCACAAACGCGAGACAACGCTCGGCTTCCTCCTCCTCCTCAGGAATTGGCGCCCGCAGACAACAAAGAGCTTGTTTCCAATGTCACGGGCAAAAAAGCAGTGCAGGACTCAGTCATCCATCGCCCGCCCGAGCGGCAGCCAGCAGCCTCGGTGCACCCCAGTGTGGGCACAATCACGTCGGCCGCCGTGTCGCGAACGAGCCTGCCGTCACACGGTCCAGCACCAGTGGCTGTACCCCTCTTTGCGTCGTCGCCGCCTCCGCCTCCTGTCGTCGCACCTGCACAGCCGCTGACTGCGACGAATCTTGCCTCTCATCAATCGGCAAGAATTGAGCCGCCACCGCAGCGACAACTGTCCGGCAATTCAGTGATCACGATGACGACAACAACGACACAACAGCAACAGCAACAGCAGCAGCAGCAGGCCAAGACGGCAGGCGCACCAAAGCGTACGGCCACGTCCAAGGACGTCAAGGGCCGCAAGATCTCGCTGGTGCTGCCCCAGCCGCTGAATCCAGAAGGCCAGCTGCCCCCACCCGCGGCACCCGTCGAGGCGCCCGTCGCAGTGCACGCCCAGCCAGCGCCGCCGCCAACAACAACGAGCGGTGGGAGCGTCGTCTCGGCGCCTCGGACGAGCAAGATTCAATTTGCGCCCGAGAGCGTCGGCCGCAAGTCTCATCAGCAGAAGAACAAGGTTAGCGCGGCGACGGCGACGACGGTGACCAAGAGCTGGCGCGATGACCCAGAGGCTGAGCCGCCAAAGTATCCGCTGGGCCGCGTGGTGCAGGGTGGCAAGTCACTGGCGCAGCTGCAGGCAGAAGCCAAGCAGGCCGAGGAGGAAGAGAAGAAGCGCAGGAGGGAAGAGGAAGAGAGACTGGCGATGGAGCGCAGGAGGGAGGCACAGCGGCGGCAGAGGGAGGAGTGGGAGCGAGGGCAGGAACGCGAGCGGCGGCGGAGAGAGCAAGAGCAAGCAGATGCTGCTCGTCATTATCAGCAGCAGCAGCAACGCGCCGTTGATGGAGGGGAGGGCGGCAGCACGATCCGTGACCATCGACCGAGGCGCTCGAGCGCGCCCGTTGCGCCACCAGCGCAGGAAGAAGCGCGGACGTGGTTCTTTGGCAAGAAAAAGGCAAAGGAGCCCGATCCGTTTACCTTTCTGCCCGCACCCTCGCTCATGCAAGCGTCGCCGTCTGATTTGGACGACCCTTTTGCGGCGGCGAGCAGCGCGATCCAGCAGCAGCAGCAGTCGCCGACGCGCGACGGCGAGCCGAAGTCCGGTTCGAACCTCGTCGGCGTCGGTGCGAGTGGGGCCGCCACGTCCAGGTCCAGGCACATGAGCTTGGGCATGATTCCGCACAACCAGACCTTCGATGTCGGCTCCATCATCACGCCTAGGGATATGGCGAGACACGACGTGCAAGTGCAAGTCAAGCCGTACCCACAGGGTGTCCCTCGTCCCTATGAGCAGCCTCGCCATCACTATCACCTGCAGCAGCAGCAGCAGCAGCAGCAGCAAGGGCAGCCGTACCCTCATCCCCGTCCCCTTCAGCAACCCCACCAGCCTCGTCCTCATGTTCAACAACCCCCGCCCCCACCTCACCATTATCAGCAGCAGCAACCTCGGCCCCTTCACCACCAAAAGCATCCACAGCACCATCAGCCGGCTGCTCCTGTTGTGCCCCGGCAAGCACCACTTCGTCAGTTCTCTGCCCCGCCTCCTGGCGCACGCTACTGGGCCGAGAATGGCTACTCGAGTGTGAGACCTCCTGCCCATGCTCAGCCCCAGCCTCGACCTCTGCCTGCCCCTGCCCCTGCTCCTCGCCACCGCTCCTCGACTGGCACGCAGCCCCATCTTCAGCCGTCCCCGCAGGCTCACTTGCAGGTGGACCAACAGCGTCGCTCCGGGCGGCGCGCCTCATATGATCGATACACGGGCGAGCCGAGCTGGATCGGCGATGGTCAGCGCCAGCCACCACAGCAGCAGCAGCAGCAGCAGCAGCAGCAGCACCCGCCGCACCATCCGTCGCAGAGGCAGCAAGGCCAGCCAGCCAATGGGCACTACTCCAATCGGGCACCGCCGCCACCGGCGCAGCAGCGGCCCGATCCCAGGGGCACAAAGGCCGGCTATCAGGCGCCCGAGGGCTTCCGCTTCGACTACATTGATTGAGCATCTCCTTGCTTGTACCAGTCTAGATTCAAACCTTGGACATTTGGCTTTCTTTCCTCATTTGACATTGAAAACAGTGGACAATTGAATGCTGGTTGTTGGTTTATTGCGGTAGTGATGGCAGTGTGAGAACAAGAGGGTATATGTATGCGGCACGAAACGAGAGTCTACCTCTCATTCGAGCGCGGCAATGTCTTCGTCTTCGTCGTCTGGTCCATGGTCTGCGCCATTGGATGCGCCTGCCAATGGCTGGTCCTCGCCAAAGGTCTGGCCTCGAGATGCCTCGAGGATGGCCTCTGTGGCCATCCGGATGCTTTCCTGTGCACCCGCGTTGGAGCTCAGGTCGATGCCGCGCAGCATCATCGTCGTCGTCGATTGCCGCTTGGCCCGGTCCTTGTCCCTTTCTTTATCCGTGACGGCGCCCTGCTGGCGTCGGTTGTCCTCGTCTTCCTCCTCGAGGAGCCGCTGCCGTCTGCGGCGCTGCCGCTCCTCGTCCATCTCGCGCAGCTCGTCCATGTCGTACACGCCTCCGCCGCCGCCGCCGCCGCCGCCAGCCGACCTTGGCGTCGATGGTGTCCCCGGGCCCGCACCTCCTCCTCCTGCGGCCGAGAACGACGCAGAGGACGCCCGTCTGTCGCCTGCAGCCGCGCCCTGCTGCAGCAGCTGGGGCCGGTTGGACGCAAACGAAGGGACGGGCCCGCGGACGACTTTGGTCGAGAGTCGCTCGCCGAGCGCATCGGCCAGCTCATCGACTTTCCCTTTGGCCTCGTCACCGAGAAAGGAGCCGAGGAGGCCACCGAGCCGGCCGCGCACGCCCGTCGTCACATCTTTGGAATACGTGCTGCTCGTGGGGCTCTTGGCGCTGCTCGTCGTCGTCGTTGTGGTCGATGATGTCGATGCGGCGGCGGCGGCGGCGGCGGCGGCGGCGAGGTCAGAAGAGGAAGAAGACGAGGGAAGGGGAGAGGCTGAGGCTGCGCTGGGGGCATCGTGCCATACGCCGTGCGAGTAGCTGCGCCGGCTGACCTCTTCGAGCGCAAAGGAGGCGGGGAGGTCGTGGGCGAAGAAGGTCTCGAGGAGCGGGTGGGAGAGGCACAGCATGCGAAAGGCCGGCAAGGTCAGAAAGTCGTCGTCGTCGGCCTTTTCCACGACGGAGCGACGGGGCCGCCGAGGCGTGTCCTCTTCGTCATCTGGCGGAAAGAGCGTGGGCGACCTACCTGGGTCAGCCGACGACATCAAGAGGAGTGAGAGAGAGAGGGTGAGCAGCACGACTACTTAGTCCAACAGTCCACATCCGTGCGTCGAAAAGACTGGCTATTAGCTCGGGCACGTGTTCCATTGTCAGCTTCCGGACCGTACAGGTAGGTAGGTAGGTAAGGTAGCCCCAAAAGCTCTAAATTGAGCCAGCTCTGGCTGAGTCTAAAAACTAGAGCACAAGGTCTCGTCGTCACATCACCCTCCACCACCGCCACGACTCTACCACGCACATTTGGCAGCCTTTGTCAACGATGAACAATTACCTTCAGAAATTCCAGGTGGCTGCTGGAAAGGTTGGCGTGCAGGTGGGTTGATTACTGCCCTGTTCTCCGCGATTGAGACCACGATGGCTGACGGAGCGGAAACGGGCAGGCAACAGCCTTTGCACAGCAGACGAGCCGCCAGCTCTCAGAGCAGGCAAGGCTCGCCCAGGCTGGCTTTTCGTGGGTAGGCCCTTGCCTTTTTCGTGAGAGATGTAGAGACTGACCTTGGTGATCGCTCATCAGACTCCCAAAGGAGTGCGACAAGGCCGCCCGTGTCCTCCAGTCGTTCCTCGGTGAGTAGGCTATCCCTGAGCCCGCATTCATTCGGGACGCTAATGCGATCAAATACAGCCGATCCCGAGCACCCCGACAGCGCGCTCAACAGCATTCCCAAAGCTGTGCTTCAACAAGCAAAAGGCCTGGCCGTCTTTAGCGTTGTCAAGGCCGGCTTCGTGTGGTCCGGCAAGGCCGGCTCAGGCGTCGTCACGGCCCGTTTGCCCGATGGAAGCTGGTCTGCACCCAGCTGCATCGCCACGGGCGGTGTTGGCTTCGGTCTGCAGGTGAGTCTTGCCTGCGCCTGCTAGTGACGATGGTAGAGAGGAGTCGGAGGAACTGATTTGCGTTTGCCCAGATTGGTGCGGACTTGTCCGAATTCGTCGTCGTGCTCAATTCCGAAGACGCCGTGCGCTCCTTCTGCCTCGCAGGCAACCTGACCATCGGCGGCAACCTATCCGCCGCGGCAGGCCCTATCGGTACCGGTGGTGCCGTGCAAGCTGCCATCGCACACCCTGCACCGATGTTCTCCTACTCGCGCTCAAAGGGCCTTTACGCCGGCATGTCCCTCGAAGGTACTGTCCTCGTGGAGCGCAAGGACGCCAACAAGGAATTTTACGGACAGGCCATCCCCGCCCTTGATCTCCTCACGGGCAAGGTCCCTGCGCCAGAAGCGGCGAGTGCCATGTACGAAGTCATCGAGGCGGCAGAGCTCGTCGACGAGAGCAAGCTGCCACAACAAGCCTACGTGCCGAGCGCAGACCACCCAGGCGGAAAGGTCGATCCCGTCACAGCGTACAACCTCAGCGGTGAGGGCGCGACAGGTCAGTCTACTGGTGCCTCGGGGGCGACGTCGGGTGACTCGGCAGCGGCGGCGGGCGCAGGTACGGGCAACAAGCCCATCTTCGATGCGTGAGTCTTGCTTCTCGTCCTTTGGCTACGGCGAACTGTTCTCTGAGGGCTAAAGTGGCGTTTTTTCTCGCTTCAAACAGTGGCTCGGCACACTAGATTGAGCTTAGGCTCTTCTCTTCTGCGCTTTCTGTGGCCTTCCTCTCTCTCTCTTTTCCTCTTCGTTCTTCTTTGTATCCCCTGAATCTCCCCCTACTTTCTCCTCTGCACCCAATACACCAAAGAAAAGCACGACCGATGATCTGATTCGGACGATGAGTTGAAACGAGAAAGGGGAAAAATAAAGGAAAGAAAAGATGAGGATACAGAACGGAGGAGGACCGGAAGGAAATCGAAGAGGAGAAGGGAAGGGGAAAAGGACGGGGAGGACCGAGACGCTGGCCTTATAAAGTAAAGAGACGCAATGGACGGAAGAAGAAGGAGAATAAACAATTACATACACGGACCGAAACGCTGCTGGTGAATGTGGTGGATGCGAGGAAAGGCTGAGAACTGACTTGATGGTGAAGGACCGGTCACGAGACGGGAGATTATTTGGAGAACTACGGTAGCTGCTCCGGTCGAAAAAGAAGTTGAGTGGCCCCATCGCGAGGGCGGTGGTGCAGATAAGCTTGTTATGAAAAATGGCGAGCGGGAAAGCGAAGCGCAGGAGATCCGTGGTTGTGCATTCGTATTTGCGTTGCGTGAAATGTTGTTGACGGATCATAAGTAAGATGATGAATGGGCCCAAAACGTTGGCGCTATTGTAGAGTAACGAGGGCACGACCTCCGAGGGATGCAGACACCCCTAGTGAGGGAGCGACTGGCGGAATGATCGATCAGCCCATCAGGGCATATTCTTCATCGTCGGACTCCTTTCCGGTCCCTCCACCCTGATCGCCACCGCCTCCTGCGCCGCCCTTCTTGGGCTTCTTGCTCGAGCGAGGCTTCATGCTGGGTAGCAAATCCTCTTGATCCTTCTTGAAGCGTGGATGGGCAAAGCTGGAGTGAGGACCGTAGAGCTGCAAGGCTGTACTGATGTTGGAACCTCCGCTGTATCGCTTGGCAGCTCTGACCTCTGCCGCATCGAGGAGGCGAGAAGAGGGGACTCTCTGGAAGCCATAGAGGTTCAATTGCCGGACAAAGGAAGCATTGTTTCCGTGCTTGAAGAGTTTGGGGAGCACCTCTGAAGCGAACTCGTTGTTGATATCCGGATCGTTGGAGAGAATGACCGAGTCGCCGGACTCCGACCAGCGAATGTAACGGTGGTACATCTCCGGTCGGCACATGAGGTACCAGAGCTTAGAGATAAATGCTGAGCAGTTGGCGGCTCCGCCAAGGCGCTCGCGAATGGCAGAAACTTCGACCATCTCTGGCGTCTCGACCTCGCCTGCAGCGATCCCCGCGGAAGCTGGTTGTCTCATTTGTGCTGAAGATGCTGTGTGCTGATTTGCGGCCCCGACGGCCCCGAGCGGCGCCCTCAATTTGCTGCGGCCTCCTGACGGCCCTCTGAGCGTGCCACCGGCCCCGCTGTTGTTGTCATCGTCGTCGTCTTCGTCGGCGAGCAGCACTTCGCTCTCGTCTTCCTCAGTGTTGTAGCTGCCGCTGCTGGCACCCGAGACTCGCCTCGTCATCTCAGCCTTGAGGTTGGAACGCTGAGTCTGACGTGGGCCCAGCGCAGGAAGACTCTCTTGCGCCTCGCCGTACGATTGCTGGGTGTGGTACTGGCGGGGATAGTATGAGGGTGTTCCTGCCCCACCGTGCTGGTCAGTGTAGACGCCCGGCGGTCGGTCTCGCGTCGAGATCGTCTGAAGGCCGGAAGCATATCGAGGCGAGTGGGAGAGGGCATGCATCATAGCATGGCCATGCGCGCCTCCAGCGGGGGAGGCGCTGAGGCTGCCATTTGAAGTTCCAAAGCTGCTCCTTCTCCGTGCACCCTGACGAGAGCTAGGCGAGTAAGAGTGTAGCCCAGGCGCAGGGACGGGCGATGCACCACTCGGGCTCGCGGCATAAGGATGGTGACGGCCGAGGCTGAGGGCCGAGTGACGTTCCGAGCTGTACTGACGTCCGAGGCTGCCCGGTTCGCCACCCCGGCCACCGGGGCCCAGGTGGGCGTGGGCTCTTTCGTACGAGGCAGACATCGTCGTCGTCTGCGACTGATGGTGACTGGAGTGCTCTTGTGTGTGTAGCGAGACCCCCAGCCCAGGCCGGGCATTGGCCCCGCTCGGAGAAGTGCTGTACCCAGCGTCGTCTTGGCCCAAGCGCTGGTGGTGGGGAGAGTGATGCTGGGGCTGGTAGGAGTGAGTTCGGTGGGGCCCGAGACGAGCTCTCCGGACTCTAAACGTCTTTTGGTCGCCTTCGTCCTCGGTCGCGTCGTCGTCCTCCAGCGCCATGAGCTCATCGTCTGTCTCGTCATCGTCGACGGCTGCATGGGGTGCACCGCTGGCCAGACGCTGGCCAGCGCGATTGCGAGAGCTTGAGCGGGGCCCTGAGAGGAGGGCGTGCGAGGGCGAGTTGGAGAAAGTGAAGCTCTTCGGACCGCCCTGGGATAGCGGTGGTCGCTTGACAAAGGACGATCGATGGGCTGCATTCGCATTCGAGGGTAGTGAAGAGGCGCTACCGCTGCCGTACATGCTCGAATGATGGGATGGGCCAGCGGACAGCCGGGAGGGAGTGCCCTCGTGGGTCCCCGTGTCCGGGCTTCCTCCGAGCGAGAGCTTGCTGAGCGTCGCAGCCGTCCAGCCGGGACTCATGACCCGATGGACAGGACGCCGCTGAGCCTCGCTGATGGGTGGCGAGAGCTCACTGTCGTTGGGAACGTCGGACGCCTCTAGCGATCTTGGGCCAAAGCAAGGACTGGAGAAGCTGAATACGCCAGCGGCATCGCCTTCTCCTTCCATCATCTCGCCCGTATGCGCCTGGCCGGGTCGATGGTTCCCCCTTGGTGGCGAAGGCTCGCCCGAATCGTGAAGGCCGAGACCACGGGCAGTGTGGCCAAAGACGTCTTCCTCGTGCTCGTCGCGATCCTCCTCCATCGCTTCTCGCCCACTTGGGCCCGCTCGCTCGGCTGATGTCTGGAAGCTGGTGCTGAGGTAGGGCTTCACGCTGGCATAGCTGTAGGGCTGATGAGCGTGGGCAGAGATCGAGTAGAGGTGCGGGTCCGAGCTCCTCCCCGGAGACCAGTGCGATGACGACACGGAGGCGGGTCCACTGGAGACGTGGGAGGCAGCAGACGAGGATATGGCAGTCAGCCGGGGGCTGATGAGAGTCGAGTGCAACGACGGCAGCTTGACATTCTCTGGCGACCTCGACGTGGACCCCTTTCGGGTTGTCTCTGCCGAGGGGAGCAGCAGGCTGTCAGGTGGCGTGGGCACGTCGCTTGGTGTGACGGTGGAAACCATGGCCTGCTCGACCTTTTGCTCTTGTGAACCAGGGATTGGTAGCGGTCCAACGGCGCCGCGCTGGAGGCGAGGTGGGTAATTAGTGACCGTCTCCACCAACAAATGCTGAGGCGGCGAGAAGATCACACTCACCAACTCGTCGTCGCCCGTCATCTCCACGTCGTCGTCCGAGGCCTTCATGATGGTGCCGTTTGTCGTCGTCCTTGTTCTGGGTGCAGAAGTCTGCTGCTGAGTCGTGTTGGAGGATCCAGCAACGTCGAATCCAGTCTGGCGCTGGGTCGGTCTATAGTCGAGTTCGGACATGATTGATCGATCGGGCAGAAGCGGCGGAGGACTTTCGTCGTGGTGAGAAGAAAGTCAAGTCGAGGCTTTGAAAGACAAAGCTGAGAGGAGGTGAAAGGAAGAAAATAAAAAGGAAATTTGGTTCGCTCTCCCGGCGGGCGAAGGGGTCCGCACTCAGACGATGAGACCGTCTAGGGGTCCGCCACCTCTTTGCGTGAGTCTACGAAAGCGCTAGAAAAGGCCGCCCTCTCGTCGGTCGACGCCCAAGTATCGGCTCCGGTTGGTCAAAAGGGGCCTTGATACGCGATCAGTGAGAGGCGAGGCAGTCCGCTGTCGAGGAGGACAAGGGAGAGGAGGGAGCGCAACCCGAAATTGGCGTTGTCGAATATCTCTTTCCTTCGCTGGCTATCGCCGATAGTTCGTCAGGGTTCTTCGCCCGCAGCTCTCGCCTCGTCTTGCTTTGCGTCTGACTACTATTATGTATGTGCGTCCGTAATGCTGCGAAAGTGATGAGAAACGTCAGCGCTACGTGTTCATCATCCTGAGTAAACCCTCTTCCCCAATGTAGGGCAAGGAAAAAGTCGATGTGAAACAAGGAGCAGGCAGGCCAGCGAGCAACAACGCCAGGGCTCCGCCAAGACAGGCAAGGGGCAGCCCGATTGAGGGCAATACAGTGGCGAAGCAAAGAAGAGAGAGGGACGAGGGGAGACGAAGGGGGTCCAGGGCACCCGATCACTGGCAAAAGTAATGATACGAACGACGTCATGACGCTACTCGCCCTCTGACGCAGGTGCAGAAATAGCGCTGCATCGCGTCGAAGCGGACCAGAGACCGGAGACCGTCGTGGGTGAAGTGGACGAGTAAAGGATGAGAACGACGCAGCCCACCACGATGCTTCGCCACCCGGTCGCCCCTTTTTCACACAGAGTCCTCACCGCCTCTGCCCCAACGCTTCGCAACAACTCACCCTTGCTCTGGATTCGGCGTAAAGGCGACCGTCGAGTGAGTTGAACGACCTATTTGCCAGAATAAAGCCTGTGACAAGTTCGGACAGGCGTGCTGTGGTTGATGCGAGTCCGAGGTGTGTGTGCCGAGAAGAATGTGGGATTCACCGCCAAGCCACGCGTCCGCGCGCGCCGCTCCAAAGCTAGCCGGAGAGATATGGAGGACCGCGGTTGAGGGCGGAGCCAGAGGAGGGGAGATTTGTGGTGGCAGTTGCGAGGTGCGATTGGAACTGCCTATGCGTGGACGGGAAAAAGGAGACAAGGATAGATTAGTGTTGGTATTGGGGAAACAAAGGGAGATCGGGAAGAATGGTGCAACTTCCAAAGAGGGCGGTAGCGTGCTAGCTCAGCTGAAATAAGGGCCGTCTTAACTTGCGAAGATTCAGGAGGGGCCTGCAGCAACGTGCATGATTGTGGGTTGGCGGGCGTCTCGACCCAGGCCAGGGTTTCGAGGCGACGCGTCTTATCTCGACCTTGCTAAAGCTTTTGATATTCAACATTTCAAAGGCAGTGCCATTGATTACAGAGCCTGCAATTCACTTATTAGGCAATGACTCACAATCTCCGTGATGCACGACATCGTCGTTTTAAGCTTTTCTATCCCCTCGACCACTGCCCACTTCGATGGGCCTGATGACAGCAGACCCTTTTAGACGCTTCTTCCTTTGCAAGGAGATCTACAATTACATCGGGAAAACCTCTGCCCACTTCAACCACCGTGGGTCACCACCAGCTAGTCTCAGAAGGATCCTCTCGCCCTTGTCGCCAAAGAAGCCGCTCTCGCTCCAGGCATGCAAGTCCTTGACTCCAAATGGACCAAATGTTTTGATGTCGGGCTCGGGTGCTTGCGACGTCGAGGCAAGGTAGGCGGGTGACCATCTGTACTCGAATTGCCGACTATCTTGCTCTTCGTCTGCTTTCCCGGCTGGTGCTGAGTCATCTGCCCCTGTTGCTGTTCCTGATTCTGCTGCTGCTGCTGGGTCCCAAGTCTCGCGCACCAGGCCAGAGCGTCGCACACTTCGCAGCAGGCTCTCGTATGTCTCATCGTAGATGTTGACAAGACCATAGCGCGCCATCAGGTCCGACGTCAGAGAAGTCACCTCCTCCAGCTCCGCCTTGGCGGTGTCTTCTGTCGGCTCCTTCGACTTGCCATTGGAGGACGGCGTTGTGCCATTTGACCTTTTTGACGAGGAGGCCTTTGCCTTCTTCGAGGCTGCTCCCAGGCGCTGCAATGCTTCGATGACACTCTCACCACGGCGCATGCACTCGACCAGACGCTTCTTGCTCTCGTCTTCGTCCAGAGCCTTGGCATCGCGCTGCGCCTCCTCTTCTCTCTTCTGCTTTTCGCGCTTAGCTTGTGCCTCCTTGGCCGCCTTGATGCCTTTGCGGCTGTAGTTACCTGTCAGCCACTTGTCATGGTCGGCGTGCGGGTCTTTCGCGTTGGCAATGTAGTTGCCCTCTTCGTCGAAGCGACCAGCTGCCATCTCGGCCTTCATGTTGAACGAGTCGAGCTTGCCGCCCATATCCTCGGGATCGTACCCAACCTTGGTTTTTTTCTGCTTCTTGACGCCAGTTGTCCCTCCCTCTTCGTCGTTGAGATCCTCGTTTTCGTCTTCGTCATCGTCGTCCGACTCAATCTCCAGTTCAAGATCTCTGTCTCGTTCCTCGTCCTTCTCTTCGCCAAACTCCTGACCTTCAATCTCGCCCAGCTGCAAATATCTTTTTTTGCCAAGCTTTGCCTCGCCCTTGCCTGCCTCCTCCTCGTCTGAGCCGTTCTCCAGGTCGAACATGTCGTCATCTTCATCGATGCCGGCCACCTTCGCCTTTCCCCCTTTTTCTCGCTGCGATTTCCTCGCGATTTCGTGCCCCTCTTCGTCTTCATTCTCCGACTCATCCCCTGACTCGTCCTCCTCCGAGTCGTATCCTGCCGTCACGACCCTGCCTCTGCGCCCCTGCTGGGTCCGCTTGCGCTCCTGCTCCTGCAGGTCCAGGTCCCCCGCAAGGTCGGTGTCGTCGTCGTTTTGCGGCGCATCCTCGAATCTCGTCCGCTTGGCGGTGCTGGGGGCCCCGCCCGGTTGCCCTAATTGCTCACTCGAAGCCACACCCAGATTCACGTTTAATGGCGCCGCCCCTCCCCCCGATGATGAAGCCTTTCGTTTGCTGCTCATCGCTCGTCGTTGGCGAGACAGAAGCAACACGAAGGACACAACTTGAAAAGCCCCGACGCGTTTCTAAACATAATCATCGGCCGAAATGCCTCCTTTCTCCACACGCCCTTTGGATTTTTCCACCTCCGAGACGAAGCAAGCCGTCTCTCTCTCCTTCAAACAGCCGACCAGCGTCAAACAGAATGCCTCGGCTGATTGAAGTCATTGCAAACGACCGCTTGGGTCGTAAAGGTGAGCGTACCTTGGTCATCCATCGAGTTCTGGCTTGCTTGCTGACCCGACCGCTGCCACAGTCCGCGTCAAGTGCAGCCCGGACGACACGATCGGCGATCTCAAGAAGCTCATTGCTGCGCAGACCGGCACCACACCAGAAAAGGTGAGTCAGACTAACCCAAGGTCATCAAAGCCTTCATGCTAACCACGGCTGATTCGTCTTCCGTTCAGATTCAGCTCAAAAAGTGGTACACGACGTTCAAGGATCACATTTCGCTCGGCGATTGTGAGTGTGCTGCCGCCCCCGAGCTTGTATAGCGGTGACCCTGAAGCTCACACTTTTCCTCCCCCTGAGAACACAGATGAAATCCAAGACGTGAGTCAGGTAGAGGCTAATTCTCCGCAAGGGTAGCTTGGCTGACATAGTCCGTGTCTGCAGGGAATGAGTCTCGAGATGTACTAGGGACTGGCACGGCTGCAATTACCATATATCCACGCCCAGGTTCATGAATGGGCCAGATAGACCCTTCATGAAAGTAGAAAATCCGGGAGTCTTGCCGGAGATTGGCATTCAGCAGCACCTCTCTTGCGTGAAAATCGAGACAACCCACCCGGAAACAGAAGGACAGGGAGCACGATACCCAGGAAGAAGGCGAATTTAGACCGCATCTGATCGTCGTCCTTCACTGTTTGGAGGATGAGTGGTGAAGAAGAGGAAAGCTGCTCGAAGCGGTGCAATGGTGGCGTATCCTTTGCAGTATTGCATGCCTGAAGATCTCCCTGCTCTCGATGAGCTTTGCTCCGCTCTCCGAAGCACTGTGGCGGCTCGTCGTGGCTTCGTCGCTCTGTGACTATGCTTCTGGATCGATCATTGCACTGGATCTAATGCTGTGACTCGCCGACTGACCCGCGATACAGCCTCAATTACGGCCCTTTTCCCCCCTCTCTCCCCCCCCCCCCCCACCTTCTCTTTTTTCTCTCCTTTCATATTTCTCTCCTATGCCGACGCCCATGGAGGCGGTCTGAGCTGAGGAAACACCGTACCTGTTGACAAATCATTCTTCAAGGTCTGCAAGGTTCTAGAGTTTGGCGTCTTGCTGGTAAGTGTCTTGCTGGGAATCAGGCCAGATGAATTGCGTTTACTTCGATCACTTCTGTCACTTGTGAGGACAGCGGGCTGGCTCGAGGCAACAATTGGCCCCAAGCTTCAAAGGTTTGCCGCTCGAGTGTGGGTGTGAGTGAACGGGCGGCCCTTGTCCTGAAGGTTTTCTCAAGAGGCATGGCCGGTCAACAATGGGTCCTGATTTCTTTGAGCTGTTTTCACGTCGCCTTGACACCAGATCGATGTCGTCTTTGACACATCACTAACAACCGTAGAAAACATTCGGATACCAAGCGTGCCGACAGTGCTGAGTCAGGTGATAGACTTTTCAGCTGCGGTCTAAGCCACAAGTGCTGCAGTCGAAGTACTACGCACCGACTGAAAGTACACAGTAGCGGCGTTGCACGCCCACGGGATATTGCTGACGCAATAACAAGTGGTCTTGTCTTTGTTGCAAACGAAGCCTTCTTTCTTCTTGTTGAACGGAAATTCTTGCTTTGCTGGGAATTTGCAGCATGCCAAACATTCTGAAGATTGTGTGTGAACCTCATCAACATCAACTTGATGGTGAAAAGACTTCTCGCCTCACCGTCTTCTTTGAGCGAAGCCGACTTATAGAACTTCACGCTAAAGAGCAAGAGAGCGACTTGAGCAAGACAAGGACGAATGTAAGCATCTCTAGACGTACCGCCTAGAATCAGAGGTACTTGGATCGAAGCCAGAATCAGGCAGAAGGACTCCTACTTCTCCAGCAGCTACAGCGGCAGTCTTGAAGGAGTACAGGATAAGCTTCAGCGTTCTTTTGGCAGCACGTTCGGGAGCGAACCCACGAGGAGTAGGACGAAGAGCACGAATCCCGTAGAAAAGACGTTGTTGCCGCGCATCTGCTCGTTTTGACCCAGTACGTTGGAGGTTCAAGTGGCTGGGAGGGATTAGTGACGGGTGAGTGATTTGACCACGAGAACATCCGGCTTCTCCGTTTATAAAGACGAAGGGGACACTAGGCGGCCTTGATGGACTGTAACGGGTTTCCGAGCAGTTGCGTCTCCGCCCTCGCCGCTCTCTTTTCTCTTGCATTGCCCTGTCCATTGGCTGCACCGCGCCGCTTCACTAGTAGTAGTACTCTCTTCTCCGCTCCGTCTGTCGCATAGAACAGGAGTTGCGCGCATACACCTGTCGCTGAAAATACCGCCCTCTGGCTGACGCAACAGACGATTTTCCGAGCCCTCTCAAGTGCACACCTCTCCTTTACGTGCAGCAGATGGTCCTTAGAAGCTTTCAAGGGACACCTGTACAAGGCTCGAAATGTTTTCCTGGAAGATTGCATTCTGCTCGCTCCAGTCATCCCTCAATATTGAAGCCGACCTCAAGTCCATTTTCTCCGAGACGCGGCGCGGCCTTTGAGAGGAACGAAGTGCGACAGAATGCCCGTGCGAGGCCCCAAATGTCCGAATCAGCACCCTTCCCCGTCCCCGCTTCGCTGAGCAAAGGCGCGCTTGCCCGTATCAGGCACTTCTCTCACTCCCCTATAGCATGACTGGGAGCGCAGGCTATCGTGCTTCCTCAAGGACTGAGGTAGGCTAGAACGAGTGCTCGCAATCGAGACGCTGTGCGCGGCGCACGACGGCTGGGCGATGAGCTAATAAATCGGAGAATCGGGGGTGGAGGCGAGAAGAATGCTGACGCGAGACAAGCCTCACATTGCAAGACGAACTCCGAATCTAGCAGTCGAACTGTCAAACCGCCATCACAAGCCCGCAGCATCCAGCTCGCCATCATGGCCAGAGTACTTTACTGGTTTCGGACCGATCTGAGGCTACACGATAGCCCGGCTCTGCTAGCGGCCCTCAACCTCAAGCCCGCGGCACTCTTTCCCGTCTGGTGCTGGGACCCAAACGTGAGTGTGCCTCGTATTTTCTTCTTCCTTCGGTCGAGAAAACATTCTGACAAGGCAATATCTTTGTTGGTTGAAGTACATCTACAAGCATCGAGTGGGCCTCAATCGCTTCCGCTTCCTCCTCGAGTCTATGCAGGATGTGTCGGACGGCATCACAAAGATCAACCCTCTGTCGCAGCTCCTCGTTGTCCGTGGTGATCCTTCCGATCTCTTGCCCGAGCTCTTCAAGCGGTGGAGCATCACGCACTGTGTCTTCGAGCAAGATGTCAATGGCTATGCGAGGGAGAGGGACAAGAAGGTGCAAGACGCGGCTAAAAAGGCTGGCGTTGAAGTGGTCATTGAGCCTGGCCACCACCTCTGGGACGTCGAGGAGATTCTTAAGAAGCACGGAGGCAAGCCTACGATGAGCATGAAAGCTCTCGAAGGAGTGAGTCGGCTTGAGCTACTTACGCAAGGTGCAGTGGCCGATGCTCACATGGATTCTTGTCCAGGCTGTCAAGGGGCTGGGTGACCCTGCGAGGCCCGTGGATGCGCCCACCAAGCTCCCGTCGCCTCTGCTAAAAGGGAAATCAGAGCCATCAGAGCGGAAAGCACTTCTTTCTGAGCTTCGAAAGACCCTTGAGGGGCTCCCAGAATACAGTAAAAAGCCAGGGCCTCCCAAGGTGGACCTCAACTCGGCGGAGCTTGGAGGACAGCGCAAGCCGGATGGAAAGGTGACCTGCTACGACACTCTCACCGGACCAGACCAAGATGCAAAGGACGGGGACAAGGACAACTTCACGGTTCCAACTCTAGCTTCGCTAGGCATGGATCCTGCCGCATGTGGCGCAGCTCCCGAGGCCTCGGTGCCTGGCGGTGAGACCGAAGCACTTCGTCGGCTGGAGAAGATCTGCAAGGACGCTGCATACGTGGCGACATTTGCCAAGCCCAAGACGTCACCTTCGAGCGATACACTGGAGCCCAGCACTACTCTCCTCTCCCCGTTTCTTAAGTTCGGTTGCCTGAGCATCCGCAAGCTCTGGTGGGACACGCAGGACGTCATCGACAACTACAAGGGATCGAAGACGTCACCCCCAGAGAACTTACATGGCCAGCTTCTGTTTCGAGAGATGTATGCTGTTGCTGAACTTGCCGTTGGTGATCCCTTCCAAGGCATCCGAGGAAACAAGGTCTCCCGTTATGTATGTACGAGTGTCGCTCAGCATTGTTGAGGCCTCTGACCCACTTTACGTCTCCCAGATGGATTGGTATCTTCCCACTCACTACGACAAAGAGGGCAACAAGATCGAGCCACGCCCCAGAGGCGACGATGTCTCCGAGTCGCGCCTCGAAGCCTTCAGAGCCGGCCAGACGGGATTCCCTTGGATCGACGCACTTATCCGCCAGCTCAGGCTCACAGGCTGGGTGCATCACCTTGGCCGCCATTCTCTTGCCTCCTTTCTTACCCGTGGACAGTGCTGGATCTCGTGGGAGCGCGGCTCGGAAGTTTTCGAAGAGTGGCTTCTCGACTGGGATCCGAACGCCAACCCAGGCAATTGGATGTGAGTAGCAAATAGCCTGAAGGGCTTCGCTAGAATACCAAGCTGATTCCTCATCACTTGTTGGAACAGGTGGTTGAGCTGCTCGGCCTTTTTCGCCCAGTACTTTCGCGTGTATGGTATCGCCACCTTTCCCGCAAAGTACGACAAATCAGGAGGGCACGTCCGAAAGTACTGTCCGGAGCTGGCAAACTTTCCCGACAAGTTCATCTACGCCCCGCACACGGCTCCGATGGAGGTACAGAAAAAGGCTGGGTGCATCATCGGAAAAGACTACCCGTTTCCCATCTTGGACGAAAAGGAGGAGAAGGCGAGGTGTCTCAATCGGTGCAAGGCGGCTTACGATGTGAGCTCCTCCATCCCCTCTTCTCTTCACTTTTATCACAAACTGACACGATACGGCAGATCGGCTTTTACGGGACTTCGAAAGAGGTGCTAGAGGGAAAGGCAGAGGGAATACTCAGGAAGAAGCATGGAGAACCAGACCCGAAGCCGCCCAAGAGGGATCCCGGCACCAACAGCAAGATTCCTGACTGGGCCAAAGCAGGGCATGAGGCAAAGTCGACAACGGGCTCATCTGCGCCGCCTAAGAAGGAGGAGGAAGATGAGAGAGAGATCGAGCCGCATGAGACAGATGACCACGGCGATGAAGCCGAGCAAGAGGAGAAGGGAGCCGATGGGGACGAGGAAACTGGAAAAGAACAAAAGAATGGAGGAACGTGGAAGAGCAGCTCAAAGAGGAAGGCGTCGAAAAGTGAAAGAGAAGGAGAGACAGCGTCCAAGAGTCGCAAGAAGTGACAACTTGTGTAACCCTTTTAGCAGAAGATGGCCAAGGGCCTGGTAAGGCAGTAACAGCGGTTTTCAGGAAAAGGCATCAAGCGTGGAGATGCCCATCGCACGTCTACTGTGCGCTCTGAGAAGATTGTCGAGAGTGTTTGCTTTGGATACACGGCAAGAATGTGTTTATTTCTAGAATAATGAGACATTGTACAAGATGGTAAATGAAGTCTGGGAGCAGAGCAAGTTCAAGCTGGCGTGAGTACACTGGGCTTTGTCCCGAGGGAATGAATCACCCCCAAGCCTGTTGGAGCACATCAGCAATCAGTTCATCACACACAAAGCACAAATTCGAAACCCACAGGAGAGGCCGTCAAGTTGGAACCAATTGGCGATAGGCTCTTCTCGTCCGCCCAGGGCATTGAGGATGTTTTGAGCCAGCACACCGCCGAGAATGGCGCATGTCGGTGAGAACTCTCCTGGGACAGAGACGCTGAGTGCGAGAGAACTGTCGATCCATTTAGACTGATCAGCAAGGAGCGAGAGGAGATGGTATGGTCTTCAAAGCTCACTCGAAAAACTCTTTCGGCGCGGTATTATGCAGTTGGAAGGGCATGGTCGCGTCAACACCCTTGTCTTCCATGATCGTCAAAGCAGCCTTCTGAAGCTCATCGGCGCTCGGGCCTCGTTGGCCGTCACCGTTGGCAGCAAGCTCCCAGAGAGCTGCACAATGTGTCCTTTTTAGCCCTCTGTACCCAAAAAGAATGTCTTATGACTCACCCCATACTCCAAACAGGCCTGGGCTTAGCCTCGCCTTCCTTGTCTCTGCCCGAGTCGCCCCCTTCCACGTCATCCCGACGGCCGTTCCCAGCTCGACAAAGTCCTGCGTCCGCTTCTCGTATCGTTTTGTCACCGGTCCCGAGGTAGGCTTGTCTGCTGAAGCAGATGCTGACCCATCACCATTCGTCTCTGCCTTGACTGCGATTGGGTTGTCCAGCTCCTTGACATAATCATGCTGGGCACCCAGATCGGCAAAAATCCATCCATTGAAGCCTGTCGTACCTGCGATGTAGAAAGGTATCTCGAGCGCACGACAATGAGCACTGATTGCTACCAGGCTTTCTTTGCTCCACCTCGGCGAGAGTGACGCCGGACCTGAGGGAACATTCACGACCACGGTATCGACGTGCAGATCTTTAAGCACAGAGCTTGATGGATCCAAGACGCTGTCGAAAGAGCTCGTTGGTAGGACTCTGATCGAGACGAGAGGATTGAGGACCTGCATGCGAGCGGCAGCTGGACCGAGACGCTGACAGTGCCATTCCTTCATCAGCGCCAAAACGGTCACGGGAAGCATGAGTGTACCCACCTCGCCTCCAATGTCCTCCTCGCGCCAAAAGAAACCTGCACTCAGGTCGCTCTCCTGACACTTTTCCCGAAAATCGACAATCGTCAGCGAGGCAATGCCTGCCAAGACGAGATTTTTGATGCATTCTGTTGTCAAGCCTTCCAGATTGACAATGAGGATGTGAGCCTTGCGAATGCGCGTCTGCGCTTCGAGGCCCCACAGCCGGATCTGCCGATCGTAGAGGGCGGCCTCGTCTACGGGAAGATGCATTCACATCGTCAATGATGAAGCCTCAACCTCTTTGCAAGCAGGTATGCATTTACCTTCTGTCACATGCTGCAGCTGCTGCTCTGACTTCTGCCCGTTGCTCATCCTCCCCGATTGTCTGGTGGTCGCGAAGAAGTGGATTGAGGAGGTCAACATTGCACGTGGAAAAATAGTGGCTTGCACCCAGACACCACGCGAGCTTAGTTATTGCTTCATTTGGAAAGTCTTGAGGCAAGGGGATGGAGAAAAAGCTCCGTGCATTGTTTTTATTGTTATTGCTATTGCTCCGCTCGATCTCGTCCCTGAATCTGCCTCCTCCTTCTCCTTCCCCTGGCAGCGTGCGCCGGCTCGCGATCGGCCGTATGCTCAAAGAGTCTCGACAAACACCCTCTCGATGACGGAACGAAAGAGGTTTAGGGGGTGGGAGTGTTTGAATTTTTCAGCGTCAGCGCTTGGGATTCTCACCTCTCCGCGCGTAGCTGCTGGGAAGCCACAGCAATGAAGGGGGTGGGGCTACTCGTGCTGCAACAAATATTGCACGGGCCCCCCTATTGCGTGCATTTGTTAGGTGGTTGCTCATACCATGGTAGTGCTTGAAACCGGATGCTCGAGCAAGACTGAAACCGGGGCAGTTTTGAAAAGTCGTTGAGGCGCTCTTGGGCGCTAAGGCAGACTGATAGCCAGTGCATGAGGACAACCGAGGAAACTTGACCCTCGCGATGCAAGGTCACCAACGGACACGGGAAAAAGAAGAGCCTTTATTCCTTGCTCACTTGTGAAGGGTAAGTGGTTGATGTAGCGCTTGCAAAGCTATGGTCACCGTCCGTGCTTGCGCGAATGTCCTTCACGTACTCTGACCTACTTCTACTAGCTTCTGACGATACATCGTAATGCTTCCTCTCACGCAGGATGCGCGAAAGCGAGGAGGAAGGAGGCTAACAGGGCCTTCGATTCTCAATTACTGGTCCTAGCCACACAAATTGGCCAAACACATTAAAGGGGAACATCATTTTAAATTTGTGATCTGTTTGCAAGGCAAAAATTGAGCTTGGCCGACGGAGAAGCTAAATGATGATTTAGGCTCGAGGTGCCCGAGGTTGCTCATTGTGGCTTTCGCGAGTGCCTGCATATTGTGCGCATGAAGTGCATCCCGCGCCCTCCCTTTTTTAATGTTTGTGTGGTATCCCTGACCCGCGAGATTCCAGCACTGAATCCCATCTTTTCTGCGATTGCTTTTTGAGAGGATTTCTGTGAGATGGCTCCTGCAGTATTTCCCGCTAAAGTGCAGGTAGAGCCGGCGAGTCTCCTATTAAATTTGCTGGTTCCTCGAAATTGGACCGGTGTCAGGGATGGCAAAGGGTTCTGATTGTTGACAATCCATGGTCGAAATCAGTCCTTTCGCGCGTATAAATATTATTCAAGCGGAGCCCAACCTGTATGTTCCGATGAACAGCGCCACTGACTCGCTGCCCCTCCCCAGCCGGACTCTCCCTTTCACGGTCCTCCCTTCCTTCAAGACAACTTTCGGTCTTGCTGTCCTCTTCGCTCGTCAGACAACATCCATATTCATCCTATTTCTCTCTGCGCCAGCCTGACTTCACGGTGAGTGATTCCAAACTCAAGAGAGGCGTCGTGGAGAGCTTTATCACGGTGCGTGGGCGTCACACTTGGCTGTAGGAGGGGACGAGGCGTCTCGCGCCCACGAGTCTTGGGCGTGCGAGATCTTTGTCGCCTTGACGCAGGGCGAGACGCCGCTCTCCATCCCAATGAGCTTTGCCTGTAGCACACAGCTTCTCTTTCTGCTTCCACCAAGCATAGCGCTGGTCGTGTTCGAAGCTGACAAGTCTCTTCAACCTTTTCAAACCCCCTCGTGCTGGCCACGTTTATCCATCATGCTCAAACCGCTCATCCTACCTGCGCACTCGCTTGCCCACCTTCATCAAAGCCAAGCCCATAGAGCGCCAGAAGCTCGAAGTCAATTTCACACTTTTGCGTTTGCATCGACCTCGGCAAGCTCGGATCGCGATATTAAGCTGCTGAATCTCGTGTCTCAACGAGTCAAAGCGCGGCGACGCCATCATCATCTTCCTCCGACTCTCCTCAGTCCGTCAGGTTGGACGCATCAGAAGATCTCGGCGACTATGGCGTACAAAACGAGCACAACCAGCACTTCGTCGAGCAAAGCGTGTGACGACACGACTCCACGGCAACAGTCCACTTCCTCCTTTTCTTCTTCCCGCCCGTCTTCCTCTTCATCCAGTGCGGCATCCATTGGCAGCTTTCAGTCTTTGCCGACTATTTCAAAGCGTGCCTCATCGAGCAGCTCAACACTTCTTCTTAATATACCAGCCGCGTCAACAAGCCCACGTTCGCGTTCTACTTCGTGCCGATCGAGGACATCCCTGTCTTCGACAACAGCCAGTTCCGAGTGTATGTCTGTCGCATCCAGAGCAGAACGATCGCCAAAAAGCAGCAGGAAAAGCATCCTCAGGAGCATGGAGACCTCACCGCTCTGTGCCGCACCACCTCTGCCTTCCTCCCCGGTCAGCGATCGGTGCAATCCTCTCATGGCTGCTCTCGCTCCTAGTCCCACAAGGCTGCCGCCCGCACCTGTCTCAACATTACCAGAACCACCGTCAACAGTGGCTGTGGCTTTGCCTGCGTCGACGCACAGAGTGTCGCAAGCTATAAGAACGGAGACGCCGACGCGCACTTCTTCCCGCCCTATAAATGCTGGCCACCGAAAGCGAAGGAGCAAGGTTCTCGTGACTGCGCTCAAGAAGGCGAAAGATGCGCGTGATGCGAGCTTGTCGATCTCGTCTTCCTCTTCTGCATCTTCTTCGGCGATCTTGGAGCCGAGTACCGCTTCACGTGAAATGTCCTTCGACGATGCGCTGCTCTTTAACGATGCGGGCATTTCTCGGTCTTTCAGTCGGATAAAGGAGCTGGAAGAGAAAACAAGGCCATGCGAGCAGAACAGCGACGATGAAGACGACCCAGGCTGGGAAGACTTTATTTCGGGTGGCTACCTCAGCTTCCCTCTGCCGCCTCCGAAGGCACTAACAACAACTTCCAGAAGAGCAACCAATATCAGTTCGCATTCTTCTACGTTGTCGGCGAGCAGTATGGGTAGCAGCAAGACTAAAGAAAGCAGCATCGCTTCATCGATGTCAAAGTCGCACTCGCGAACTTCAAGCAAAGAGCAACGAAGCCTTAGACGGCAGAGCGTCAGGATAAGCCAACAAATATCGCCTGCTAGACTGGCTCTAGCGGGGCTTGGCGAAGAGCTGGCGTGGGCGAGCAGCGATGAAGAGATAGATGGACTCGCAATTGAAGACGAGCGAGAAGGATCATCACGACATGCACGACGAAAAGACATGTTTTTGACACCAACCGCAAGTCCAATGGTAGAACCCGACAACCCACGAGTCGGAGCGGCCGGAGCTATGAGCAGACTACCGCCATCGATGCCACTCTCTAGATCACCAACAGACCATTCCCAAGCTGACGTGGTTGCTACGGAGGAACATCTGGCTCGAACGTTTGGCATCCGGGTTAAGAGAATGTCCTCGCTTTCTCCACAGCGACCGCAGCAGCCGCGTCCGGTCCCAAATCATCTCCGGTCCATTCCACCCGTCAATCCTTCTCCTCGGTTCCTCCAAGGTCCCCTTCCGACGATTCCTACGTCTTACAACACTGGTGCCAGGGGTGCTTTCCAAGGCTCCACACCATCCAGGGAGCGAAGCGACAGCACCTTTTCTGCTGCCTCATCTTCTGTGCTTTCTTCTTCAGAGACATGCAGTGTATTCTCAAAGACAACATCGCCATTCTATGGCGATGAGACATCTTCAGTGCGCACTTCATCAACACGACCGTCGTCCGCCGAGAGTCAATCCGCCACCTCGAAGCAACAGCAAGCTCCTCCGGCGCGACCTCCCAAGAGCCCCATTCGCGCCCTGGTCGATTTGCCCCCGGTCTCAACGCCTGTCTTCACAATCGACGCACACCCGTCCACGGATCGCGCTCCAACTTCAATTGCAACGAGCAGAAGAACATCATCCTTCTCTCTCGGTAAGCTCATGAGCCGCTCGCCAAGCAACAGCTCCGTCCTTTCCTTGAGGGACAAGTACCATGCCCTCGGTTCTTCGTCCACTGTCTCGCTTGCGACTGCCAGCGATTGCCCGGCCTCGCCAAGCCTGTGTGCAGACAACAGCAGTCATGTGAGACGATCTTCCTCCTTCAGGCTCAGCCAGAAGCTTCGCAGCAAACTCGCGTTCAAACCCACGTCTCCCAGCTTGTCGATGCACTGCCCCCCAACCCCAGACGATGTGCCCATCACACCTACTTCATCAGACAGCCTCAACATAAAGACCTCATTTGGGGCACAACAGCAGCGCTCTTTCTCGTCCCGTATTAAATCGTTCCACCCGCACTTGGGTGATGCCGACGATGCACACTCTTTCTTGCCCACGCTTGGCAAAAAGGAGGCCATGCTGTTCCACCTCATCCCTTCGCCTCCTCCTACAGCTTCTTCGGGTTCCTTTACTTCATCTCCACCTCTGTGAAATCGTCCGCGATTCCTTTTCACATAGCCTCGCTTTCTCTGCCAGCCACCTCTCTGTCGATAGTATACCGTCACCGCCGATGTTTCTGTTCTTGAATTGTATGATGATGTAGGCTTGGATGTGACGTCTGGAATAAAGATGTCAGGGACACAATGCGCTAGTTTGCGGGACGAGATCTTGTAGATCCCTGCCTTGAGGTGTCGAACCGAAGGTGGGGGGACACTCATATGTGTGGTAAAGTTGGGGCCGTGCGAGCCTCCTCCGCGAGTATTGCACGTGTTCCAACTGTGACCATTTGCACACCATCCTTTGCAAGTCCTTTCGCACGCACAACGATGAAGGCAATTGCGACCCTCGCGAGGGCGAAGCCCCTGAGCCCTCATTACGCCTGGGTAGCCACCAGAGGGATGTCATCAGATGCGACCAAAACGGCAAGAGCCATCGCAACGCCAGCGACGAGACCACCGGAGCACGTTCACACACACGCATACACGCCTCTCTCTCGTCCGCACAAGGCTGCGCTGACATTGGGTGCGCTGCTCGCCTCGTTCTATAACCCTGCTCGAGGCGATATGATTGCCCTACTGTCGGAACTGAGCGGCGAGCCTATGCTTCCTCGTCTCCGAGAGCAGATGCTGGAATCTGCAGAAGGCAGGCGCCTCCTCCTCGAGCGACCCGCCATCAACACTGCGAGCGTCGATATGGCCTACCTCCGCTCTCTCGACGAGAACACCTTTGGCAAACAATATGTCCGCTGGCTCGACTGGTGCAATGTCGGGCCCGACACAAGAGCCAAGGTCCGATACATCGAGGACCCAGAGCTGGCGTACGTCATGCAGCGTTACCGCGAGTGCCACGACTTCTACCATGTCATGTGCCTCATGCCTGTCTCTCACCTCGGCGAGACAGTCGTCAAGGTCTTTGAAGCTGCGCATATGGGCTTACCAGTCGCTTTTCTTTCTTCGATTGCGGGACCCGTCCGGTTATCCAACGAAGAACGCGCAGCCTTATTCGGAATCGGCGGGGCCGGCGGGACCCAGGGTGGGCTTGCGGGTTGGGCATGGAGGATGGGAAAAAAGACAAAGCTTCTCATCGGGATACGGTGGGAGGAGATGTGGGAGCGCGATTTTGACGAGCTCAGGAAAGAAGTTGGATTCGATGAAGATCCACCGGTCAAGGTCACATACGAGGGAAGAAAGAAAAGGGCTAGCCAGGCAGAGACTTTCAACAAGGGAAGATGGCCCAGCAAGATGTGGGACATTGTCGAATCCTCGAAGAAACACATCAAATAGGACCAAACTTTGTAAGAATAGGGCACTCCCAATCTGTATCATAACCAACATCGCCATCAATTGTCATTGTTCCAAAGAATGCAGAATGCAGGGACATGCTCAGAGCTTGCGATAATGTGACGTCAGGGCATCCATCCTCACGGCCTGACCTTGGGTAAACTGGTTGAGGCACGGATCCGAGCTGTAGTCCATGTAGTTGTGGATGGGATCGGGTAGGCTGTCGCCGGTGCATGTGTCCTTCTTCGTAGGACACCCACTCGTTGGCTCAGCTTGCGGCGGCGTGTCGTCGACAGAATCGCCTGGGTCAGCGCATCCACCCTGGAACGTGTGGTAGAGTCCCAACCAGTGGCCGACCTCGTGCACGGCCGTCTTTCCCTGGTTGTAACCCTGCGCATCGCCGCCAGGCATAGTCGAGTAGAGGAACACGACACCGTCGCTGTTGGGCGCATCGTCGTAGTCAAAGGGAAAGGTGGAGAAGCCCAAAAGGTTGTCGGGAAATTTTACGGTATAGAGATTGAGAATACTTGCGTCACCGACTCGCAGAGCCTTCTTCATGTCCGTCTCGAGACTGTTGCCTGACGTTACACCGTGGAACCATGTTTTGTTGTCGCTGCGTGTCGTGTTGGTCAACGTGAATGAGAAGCCATAGTTTGCGTCTTGTATTTTGTCGGCGTCAGCTTTCCATACTCCCACTCTATCGATGGGGGGCTACTCACAGGCCTGGTTCATTTCCTTGATCTGATCTGAGATTGTACTGTCAGAAACATTGCCATCGTTGCCGTCGTGCGTTACGTGGAAGACGACGTCGACATTCTTCTTCTGGACAGCCAAGACGCCATTTTTGCTTTGCTTCTTGAGCACATGCAGCCGTTCTTTGGTCAGTTTCCGGCTCATCTCATCTTTCGTTTTATTGGTGTTCTCGACGGTTCCACAGAAGCGGGTACGTGGGATCAATGATGCTGCGTTCCAAGCAGTTGGAACCGTCAAGCCATCTCCGTCGCCCTTTCCTTTGCTTGCCGAACTGTGTTTTTTGCTGCTCAACGACGAGTTTGCGTTGTCGTGTACCACCTTGAGGGGGACCTTGGGGAAGGCAGAGTCGATCTTTCTATCCTTCTTCTCCTCTCCCTTCTTGCTTGTTACTGCCCCTGACTGATTGGCTTCTCCAGCACTGGCACTGGCCTGCTTGCTGGTGCCTTCGCCAGCACTTCCAGCATGTGTGCCGTTCTGCGCAGTGGAAGGGCCCGCCAGACTGCCTTTTGTCGGAGTCGACTGAGCACTTGTGACCTCAGTGTGGTTCCCCTTTGGCTTGCTTGTTGTATTGACGCTCGTTGCATTACCCATGTGCATACTGGCCACCGCCTTTGCATTCGTAGGAATCGGGTGCTGATGCGATTGCGCGGTGGAGCTCGTGTAGTGGCTTGTCTTGTGCCTGATTGTGCGGTTGCCCTTGCTTTGCATGTGCTGCCGCGTCATATTCGTGGGGGGGTGGATGAGCATCCCGGGAGGTGCTGGACGAGCTTCGACAGCGTTATTGGGCTGGAAGTGGGACATGACCAGAGCCAAACAAATCAGCAGAGCGGCACGGAAAATCATCGCAGACGTCATCTTTCAAAACTTGGGAACAATGATGGGGTGTTGGGTGGTGATGGTGCCGACTCGTAACAAGATGATGAAAGGTATTGTCAATCGTATGCACAGGCTAGCTGCGCAGTGTCGTCAAAAGAAAGAGGGCAGTACTCCGACCAGCGAGAGTATCAAAGCCCTGAGGTGAAGAGAAATAAGAAGTGGATGGTAGTGGACAGAAGGAAAAGGCGGGTCAGAGCTCTTCTTTGGGACCCCCCTCTCCTGGCGTTTCCAGACAAAGCCGATCGGCAGGCAAGCTAGCCTCAAAGCTCGTGTCAGACGAGATGTTGAGCCGAAGTGCCATTTTTAACCGTGAGACACTTCGAAATGACATGCGACGCGAGTCAAGTTGGATCTCACCGAGTCGACCAACATCCAATGCGAGACGCGCTAGGGCGATCATTGGTAGGTACTGGCTTCAATTTATCGTGTGGCTTTTGAGGGTGACGACATGCGCTGAGCTGTCCGTCCATCCAAAAGCTTGCGACAACGATCCGGCGGTGGTCGTCGGCGTGCTGCCGATTCTGATCTGGTCTGGTCCGGAATCAGGTCGTTTACTGAAAATTGATTGGAAGGTACTATTGCATGCGTGTCAAATTGACGCGGAGAGGCTCCCCCCCGAGCGAGCACAGATTCCGACGCGAGATCGTTCTTTCGGCGTTTCGATTTTTATGTTGAAGCGCGCCGGACTCGGAAAAAAACCTGGGCTGCCTGCCTGCCCCCTTTTCGCCCCCTCGGGGCTCTCGCTTCCTGACCATTGCCATCACATCACATCCTTGCACGCCCGCTCCCTCGCTCGCAGCCCATCATGTCGCACAACTACAAGATGGAGCAACCAGGCTCCTACCAGGGACAGGCACCCTACAATGGCGGTCAGCAGCAGCAATATTACGACCAATCTCAGTATCCGCCTCCGCCCAATGGCACTGGCTATGGGCAGGCCTATCCACCCTCGGGCGACTACAAGATGCCCCTGGCACCCGATGGCTATCAGGGTGAACGCTTCGAGCCGCAGAAGCCCAAGTTCCAAGATATCCCCTTTGCCATCCTGTTTATCCTCGTCTTTGGAGGTTTCGTCGCAACGAGCGTCATTGCCCTGCGAGGCTTCAGTGCTAAGGCATCCGACACTGTCTCGACGTCCGGTGGCCTCGCGACGACGCTCAATGGCCAAACGGCTGTCATCCTCATGTTCTCGGCAGCGATAGCGCTCGTTCTGTCGCTTTTCTACATCTTCCTCGTGCGCACGTTCACCAAGATTATCCTGGAGGTCTCGCTCGCCCTGAGTGTCATCACTTCGGTCGCCTACTGCGTCTACCTCTGGGTCAAGGGCGTGAGTACTGTCCTGGAAACCTCTCAGACGGTCTGCATGGCTCACATAGTGTACAGCAAACGGCCGGCGCCATTGTCATGACGATTTTTGCGGTCATCTCCGTCTTGGCCTACTGGTTGTGAGTACGGACACGGGAGAGGCCATTGTGGACAATGATTCTTCTGCTGACACCATCCATACAGCATGCGCAAGCGCATTCCTCTGGCCAAGATCATCCTCAAGAGCATCATCAGGGCGGCTGACGAATACAAGTCGACGTACGTCTTGGCCCTCTTCTTCCTCATCATCCAGACGGCCTGGTCGGTCTGGACTGTCTGGACGCTCATTGCCGTCTACCAACGGTTCACCCCGGGTGCTGCGGGCGCTGGCAGCTCTGCCAGCTCCTCCTCGCGAACGGGTCTCGTAGTGCTGGTCATTTTTGCCTACTATTGGACTTCGGAGCTGATCAAGGCCTTGGCCTACACGAGCGTGTCTGGCGTTTTCGGAACGTGGTTCTACAATGCTTCGCCAAACAAGGTCAAGGGCGCCGCCATGAGCAGTCTGCGTCGCTGCCTCACGTACAGCTTTGGATCTCTCTGCTTTGGCTCTCTGATCCTGGCTGTTCTCGACATTATTCGCGCTATTCTCCAGATTGTGCAGCAACAGGAGTCGGCCAATGGAGACATGGTCGGCGCGGTCCTGGCATGCATCGCCGGCTGTCTTGTTGGCTGCATTGACTGGGCCATCACGTTCTTTAACAGACTCGCCTAGTGAGCCAATCTTACCTCTCCTTTCAACCTTCCGACAGGACAGCGCTGAACCTGCTTTGCCTTTTCACAGCACCAACATCGCCTTGTACGGCAACTCGTTCGTGACAGCGTCCAAGGAGACCTGGCAGCTCGTCAAGCAGAAGGGTATCGACGCGCTTATCAACGACAGCCTCATCAACACCGTTTGGACTTTTGGCAGCTATGGTGAGGCCTCACACCCCTGTTTCGATGGCTCTTTTCCGCTCACGCTCATCATTGCCTTCTCCTCGTAAGCCATCGGCCTGGGATGCGGAATTTTCGCGTACGCCTACCTGAGCATCTCCAACCCGGAGTACGTTCAGCAGGACGGAAGCTACTTTTCAGTCGTCATTCTCTTCGCAGTCGGCCTGGGCCTCAACATCGCCCTTGCGCTGGGTGCCGGGACAATCGGGGCGGGTTGCACGACGATGTTTGTGTGCCTAGCCGAGGACTCGCAGGTCGTTGCTCAGAAGGTAAGTTCTCCTCTCACCACACAAGATTGTTTTCGAATGTTGTCTCACACCTCCGACAGGATCCTGAGCTCTTCGAAGCACTGCGCAACGCCTACCCCCAAGTTGTCCACACCGTCGATCACGCATAAAGGATCACACTTTGCCGAACTTTACCTCTTATCCTCGTCTTCTTTCACCCTCGCCCTCACTTCGACCTATAAATGCTTTCTGCTCGCAAACCTCGATACACCCCTTTCTTTCCTGTCTTTGTCGAATAGAAATCTAATTGTCTGATTTACAACCTTTGTCCCCGACGAGACAGCGAAGAGGGTAATATTGTTGACATGAAAGAGACGAGAGAATCAAGGTTGAAACGGTCCAGCTGTAAGATGGGAAGAGAGGAGAGAGACGCTAGCTCAGGTCAAAGCCTGCTTCTGACTGGATGGCGTAGAGGAGCTTCTGCCTGCACTGCTCGTACGTCGAATAACGGGGCAGCTTCAACAGATTGACGCACGTCGAAGCCGTCGGAAGCCTCTCTGGATCCTCGCCCGAGTGCCTGATGGCCAGCTGCGGATTGAGCTGGCTAAAGCCGAGCAGTGGCGCAGAGGGGCACGACGTGACAAACTTCAAAAACGCTTTACGCTGCTTCTGGTCAAACGACTCAAGTGCCTGCCAGAAGAATTGCACGACGTCGTCCTTTTCGTGGTAGCCGCTGAGATGCGTGTGTTTCCGCAGGTCGGCCAGGTCGATGGCTTCGCCCGTACCTGAGACAAGCTCGCGGAGCTCCTCTCGGTCGAGCATCTGGAGCCAGCGCAGGTCGATGAGGTCCGTCAGACCTTCTAGGAAAGCGTTGCACTGTGGACGAATCTGTACCGACAACCGGTAGTGTGCGACGAGGTAGATGTACGCCAGCCGGTTGGATCGTGTCACGCTTTCGGTTGCTCCCCCCGGTCTCAGAGGCGTGATCTTGCTCACGCCAAATTCGTCGTCGGACGCTGTGAAGTCAAGGGCGAGATCCTTTTCGACGTCACCTGGATAGTGCTTCAACCACATGAGGTTGCGATAGAGCGTCTTGTCGAGCGAGTCAAGCGAGGCAACGTCATCGAGATAGCTTTGCTTGCCCAACCATTTCGAGAGAAAGAAGGAGGCGAAGTTGACATCAATGAGGATGCCTTCGTAAAGAGCCTTGCCAAGCATTCGCCCCAGAAATCGATACCACTCGAGCTGATCCTCTTGCTTGGCGTACGAGTGTGGATTCGGATACAGCTGCTGCTCTTCTGTGGCGCGCCAAAGGCCTCTATCTGTATCAAAAGCCTCCTTGACGAGCGAGGTGAGAAATTCCTTGAAGAGACCACCTCCGTCGATTCCGCTCTCTTCCTGACCAAATTGATCGATGAATTTGACTTCGAATCGGTTCTTGAGCGCCGGTCCGAGCCGATTGAGGTGTACAAATCCGTCTTCGGCCAGATTGGTGCGACGGATCGTTACGGTATGCACAGCGTGCTGGTACACGTCGCGCAGGATTCCGTGGCGTTGGGCGTCCAAGCGCACAAACTCTCTGAAGATCTCGACCCGAACCGTAAAGGGAACGACAAAGGGAATGTTGTTCAGCACGCCGATTCGAGGGGACACAAATGCCCTCTGGCGAGCAGAGATGGCCCGCGCCGCCGATCGGGTGCCGTGTCGGGGTCGCTGCATCTGCGACTCATCATCGTCTGCCATCACGGCATCCTCGTTTGCGTCGACTGCCACCTGTCGCATATCAGCTCCGTCGTCTTCGCCATGCTCCTGCGCCGCGAGCGATTCCAAGTTGGCCTTCTCCTCCATGACGACGCTCTGGATAAAGGACTGCAGATCCCACTGGTTCGTCATGAGCCAATGGCCTTCTGGTGTGAATTGCCTGCGACTGTCGCGCTGGTGAATCTGCTGGAGCAAACGGACAGCGAGGCTGCGCAGCGCCAGGAGATCCATCCTCATGCCCGCGACTGGCTTCTCGCCCAAGTTTGAGAGCTCTGACGAAGATCCTTCGAACCAGAACATGCCAAAGGCCAGGTTCCGCAGTAGGCTCGACAGCGTCACGACCTCGTCCAGTGTCAATGGGTTGCGCAAGGTGCTCGACGCCGAAGAGCTGCCGAGGGTCACGGAGCTGCTCGAGTCGGGGTAGAATTCGTCATCGCCCATCGTCAACAGCGAGCGCGAGTAGAGCTCGGCGAGTACGACGAGGCAAGGCCAAGACTTTGCCAAGCTCTGGTCGGAAAGCATCGAGGCGAGCTTCTTTGCCGAGGCGGGTGCGTCGCTCGACAGCTTGTGAAACAAGGGAGTCGAGCGAACCCATCCTCGCCAGAGCTCTCTCACCAGCCCACCCATGGTGCTGCCCTGCGCGTTGCCTCCAAGGCCAATGGCGATGGAAGACAGGACTGACTCCCTCGTGGAGCCATCCCAGCTGTAGAGCGTCGAAGCGAGGAAAGCGCAAAAGACCTCGCGGGAGCTCGTCGGAAAGCGGCTGGAAGCGGCCAGAAGTGCGGCCAGATGATCGTTGGAGGGGAGGATGTGCAACTTTGTCAACGTCACCCGATCGAGAGCATTGACGCCGCTCTCCTTCGATAGACTGCTGAGCGAGACGAGAGTGCCGGCAGGAATGGCGTCTTGCAGCTTCGTGAGTGCGATGAGATAGTTCTTGACGCTCGCCCCGTCCGCCAAGTGTGGCACTCGCTTCGAGCACAATGCCAAAAGATTTGCCAGGACCAAAGTCGAATGAACGCCATCAAGGCTCCCAGCTGGCTCAGCGGCCAGCAGTCTACAAATTTCGGCGAAGGGAATGCTGGTGGCGAGGGCTTGTAGCGAGTCTAGAGGAATTCGTTGTGAAAGGTTGGGGATCGTCAAAATGTCTGCGACAAAGCAGCGGATCGCGAATTGATAGAGGGCATGCGATCTCTCGGCGGGCGTGTCCTGCCTCAGCGGGAAAAACAGCAGCGAAACGGCCGCTTTGAGTGTGGCGGAAGCGTCTCGCTTGACAGGCTGATGGAAGTCTGGGTCAGGTTGCTCTTATTGGATGCAGTCCGTCCAAATACACTCACGAAACTCAGAAGGTGTGACCTGATCGCTCGGTAGAGGCCAGCCTCTGTGATCCAGGTGCCCCAACTGCTTGGTGCAAGGGCAGTGAAGAGGTCCAAGTAGGGCTGATAGGTTGCCTGCTGGGCGCCGTTCTGCACCAAGAGGTGGAAGAGAATTGTCCCAAGAATCGTCCGCAGCTGGGAAGGGTACGATGAAGAATGTGACGAAGTAGTCGTCGTGGAGAGCACTCTCGGAACTGCCCATCGCGGTCAGCAACGTGCACAAACGGTCGAAAAAGAAAAGCTGGCGCACTCACTTCCATCTGAACCTGCTCTTAGGGCATTCTTCGCCCATGCCAAAAGAAGCTCGTCGTCCCTGGACAGCACCAGTAGCTCTCTTCCTGTAGCTCTTCTCCCACCTGCTGCTCTCACAAGCTGCTTCACCATCCTCGGCCGGCTTGTCGCCCTTGCCACCAACCTCGACACTTGCTCGAAGCCGCGCTCTCCCTCGCCTTCCAACGTGCCGAGCGACGCCTCTGCCTGTCTCCTGACCACATCTCGCACGCCACCAGCTGCTGCACTTCCCCGGTAGGCTGCTTGTATGCGCGTGGCGGCCGCCTGGCGCCGCTTGAGCTCCTGCCGAGCGGCGCGCTGGTCGCGCGCATGCTGCGCAAGCTGCGAAGACGTCACCTCGGACCGGGAGCCGAGGTTGATGTTGCGCTGCGTGAGCGAACCGGTAAAGTTGAAGTCCATATCGTCGTCTCCAATCTTCCCTCTTCCTTCGCTTCTTCTTGGTCGCCCGCCCCTGTCTGCGAGTAAAGGTTCGTGTGGTGGAAAGCTTCGCACGATATCCTCGAGGGCGTCGTCATTCACGGTAAGCTCACCTCCACCGGGTTCTCTCTCTCCGTTCGGCCGAGTAGAGGTACGCACACCCAAAAAAAAAAGTTGGAATTTTGGAAATTTCATCGAGATGGAAAGAGGCTCGGTCTCGACGACGAAAGGTAGCAACTTCCTTCATTCTTCATTCAATGGCGCAGGGATTCAAGCCAGCAAAGGCGGCGCCATCCAAGGCAAAGGGCAAGGCTAGGAGCCACGGGCCCAAGGCTGCTGGTCCCAAGCGAGGACGTGAGTAGGCATGGTCCGGAGATGGATGGGGTGGACGGACGGACGAATGTAGATCGCGAGCTGATGCATCTAGATCTCTTTGCCATTGCTGCAGCCAAGGTCATTGCGCCAAAGAAGCGACAGGCTGTACAAGACGCTGCACAGAAGCAGGTGTGTGGCGTGACTGTGTTCTGCAGACGGAGTATCATGGGAGCTGACAGGACACTCGGCTCGGCTGCAGAAACAGCAAGCGTCGCTGACGAGACGCATCGAGGGCGAGATGGCTGGCCGAGCTTCGGGAGGTGGGCCCTTGACTATCATGAAGAAGGTGGCCGACAATGTAAATGAGGAAAAGGAGAAGGAGAAGCAGAGGAAAGAAGCCAAGCGCAAAGAGAAAGGGAGGGCTTGAATCGAGGCGGAGAAATTCCTCTCAACCCCTGCGCTGTACAGTACATATCCCGTGACGACCGCGACATGCCTCCGTAATGAATGGTGCTTAATTATCTTCATCGGATTGCTATTTACTTTTGATCGGCTTTCTTCCCTTCGAAGTACTGCACGTTTTGAGAACATCATGGGTCAATATCTCCAGCACGAAGTTGAAAGATCGCTCAATCAATCGCTGCCTGCTCACCTTGCCAACTTTGGCCATCATGTAGCGAAGGCTACGTCCAAGCCCGGCAGTATAGATGCCCTTGAGGCTCTGGCTCCACGCTGGGCCGCGGACAATCTCGCCAATCTTGTCGAGCAAGACCTGCTCAAAGTCGTCCTGCTTGACGGTGGCTTCCCAGAACTCTTCGGCTGCCGTCGGGTCGAGATGGGCGGCCTTTGCACCCGGCTTGCGCGCGACATTGTCACTCCTTGTCGAGAGCGACAGCTTTGCAAACGCCGGGTGGCGATCGGGGAAGGACGTGTAGTGGAGCTGCAGCTTCTCGCGCAGCCTCAGGGGCAGACGGCTGGCATATGATGCACGAGTCTTGACGGATCGATCTTGCTGTAGTCTCGAGGGAGTGAGTGCGTTGCTCTGCTTCAGATCATCGTCATCTAACTCACAGTCATGGCAAAGCGGTCTTCTCGCATCTCCTCGACATGTACGGTGCCGAGACTCCTGACCAGGCCTGCATACAGCCGGCGGAACATCTCGCGCTGAGCCAAGACAATATTGCGGACCTTGCTCGAGTTCTCGCCGCCCGGTACACTCATGCGAAAGTCGCCTGTGTAGGAGAGCGAGGCAACCTGCGTGTAGAGCTCCACCTCGGAGAAGCGCTCGGGGAGGAGGAGCAGCGAGGTGCGGAGGGCCGAGGTGAGGTTGACCTGCTGGGCCAGACGGACGCGCGCGTCGGTGGTGAGCATGGCGACGGGCTTGTGCATGCGCCCGCTGATGTACAGAGTGTCCCAGTCCAGCAGGTCCTGGCAGAGTGTATCGACATCCATGACACCGTACTTGACGAGCTGTGATGAAACCCTTAGCAAAGACGAAGATGAGAATGCCTCGATAGTCTGGCTCACCTCGTCGTCCATCTTGACGTATGGATTGTACCAGAGCCCCGCGCCTCGCTTCTGCAAGAGGCCTACGCCGATGCCCCCCAGCATCCTTGAAATTAGGCTGTAGTGCTTTGGATGGTCGCCCATGTTGATGGCGTGCCAGTGCTCGGGGTGCATGACTGCCAGCACGAGGTCAATCATCTTCTTGCCGTCCTTGGTGCTGGGCTTCTTGGCATGCTCGGGCCCGGCCTCGCTCTGAGGAAAGACGCCGGATCCATAGGCAAAGGCAAAGCGGCAGGGAACATTGAAGTGGGACATGACCTTTTCGAGGCGCCCTCGCAGCTCGTCGTCGAGTGGCACCACCTGGTTTGCCCCGAATGCGCGCGGAAACGAAGGTGGGGGAAACGACGGCGTCTCAATGTACCTGCCTGGCCTTGTAGACGACGACGACGAGGTGGCCGATGATTCTCCCTGTGACACACGAGTCGTCGTCGAGAAGCAACCTATTCTCGGCGCATGTGAAGGCCTCGGCACTGCTCGGGCCCCCTCGCGCCATGCCGAAGAAGAGCATGGCGGGCTGAGCGACCTCGCCGCAATCCGCTGCACCTGTCCCTGTGCTCGCGATCGAAGCTTCGGTGTTCTGTTAGCACAGCGCCATGCCAACCTACAAGGTCCTTCCACTCACCATCCCGTTGACCCTGACTTGTTGATGAGCAAACCTTCGCCGACCCTCGAAACACTGACTGCCTTGTGAAATGCAAATGCTTCCGGCTTCCTTCCACTGGCTGGAAAATTCAGGGCCTCCACTCTCTTCGGTCGAGCAAGTCCGCGTCACGCGCGCGCCCGAGCGAGCGAGCGTGCGATCTTCTGTTTCTATTTCTGATGTCGACTCGATCGCCACGCCCTCTCCTCGGTCGCATCGGACGCATGATTGTGCGGAGCAGCGTGCTTATTGCTGGCCGTCAGCTGGCACGCAGGGGGTTTGCGAGCTCGGCTCGCTTGTCAAGGGGCGCCAGCACGAAGTTCGAGCAGCGCATGGCCGAGGCCGCAAAGAAGCCACGGCCTGAGCAAAAGTGGTCGAACCGAACTCTGATCATGCTGGCCAGCTGTGTGGGCGCATCGGTGAGCGCATCCCCCTCCCTTGCCTTCTGTCCAAAGACGTGAAACTGACTGTCCTTCAAAGACGTTTATGATTGGCATCAATCAAGGCTATGCGGCTGGCAAGAAGGAGGCGCTCGAAGCGGTTGCGCTCTCAAAAGATCCTCTTCCTCCTGCGCAGACTGCCGAGTCGCCTTCAACAAGCCAATGATGCAATTGGAAGAAACGCTTCATTGATCATCGCGTGAGCGTGTGGAAGCGTAAATCATCACGCGTTACTCGAGCAAAGCAGGCAGAGCGGATACCTTCTTATTCAACAGGTCGTCAGCATGAGGGATGCCGCGGTCATGGACAATGTCTACAGGATGACGTTGTGAGCGATCTCGTGCTAAAGTATATTCTACATCATGGTGCGTACTAAGGCTGGGGTTCAGAGGAAGAAGACGGACAGAGAGGCAATGCCGAGCAAGACGACGAAATTCGACAACATGTCTGGACCGTGAGCACCCAGAGCGCCCGATGTGCGGCTGTTGCTGCTTTCTCTCACCTGCGAAGGCCGCATTGAGGCGGTGGACTGGGAAAAGATCAAAGAGGTCTCGCTCGGCGCCATCGTCTTTCGGCTCTGTCCATTGGGGCCTTGGGAAATCAAGACGCCATTCTGGTATTTGGGCTGTCCGTTTTTGCCCAGGGAGATGGTCTCGTGCGGCCCAACGTTCGACTGGTGGCCTGCTACGTTTTGAGAGAAGAAGCCACTCGCCATGCTCATCACTTGCTTGTTTTTTTCTTGTGAGACCGACCCGTTGTCACCGACGTTGACCGGACCGTTGGGGCTCTGCGATGCGAGGTCGAGAGCATGAGAATTGGCAGACACTTTGATGCCGTCGTTTCCGACATTGCCCATGTTGATCGACAGAGCACCGACGTTTACAAATCCACGACGAGGCTGGTGCAAAGGGGAAAATCGAGTCAGTCGTCGAAACCCTGAATAGAGCAAGTGTGCGGTCACGTATATACCATGGCTGTGGGCGTCGGGCTCGCATGTGCAGCAGCGAGCATCATGAGAGCAAGCACGGTTGCTTTGAGAGGAGACATTTCAACGACAGCCTCTGCTTTGCTTTTGGTGTGAGGTGGTGCAAGTGCTTCGTGCGGAATAATTGCTGCGAGGGTTTCTTTTTTCTTGGAACAGACGTTGAGAGGCAAGCTTGTGCAAGCTTTCATGAGGGGTGTCCTCTTGTTATATAGTTCTGGTATGCTGCTCGCCACCACATGCTATCACCGCCTTGCTTGTTCTGACCGCATGGTTCTGCGGCGAGCACCGTAAGTGGCCCTGGAACGTAGATTAATTTTAGCGCCAGACGTGGGCGTCGATATTATCTTCTTGAACTTCACCGGCCTCATTCTTCTGCCCAATCAATGTAGGATAAGGTGAGCCTCGTCTTTTCGAGGAAGCGACCACATGGTCTCTCAAAAACTTCAACAGACAACAGACTGAGGCTCAGGAGCAAGGTCACTGTCAATGTTGCACAAAGTGCGACAGGGTCCGAGACGCGACCCGGTCGACTTCTGCTGCAATGGAGGCTTGCTGTATTGTAAGGGGAGCTTGCGCACAGGAGCAGAAGCAGAAGCGAGACCATAGACCTTTCCGTAGGGTCTGTTCCCTTGTAGAATGAAGCTTTCGCAGCTCTCAGCTCAGCATGTAGACACGTATTCGCGTTTGCCTTGTTCTCTCTCTAGTGGTCTCTGCCTTCTTTGTGTGGATTTCGACACGAATCTCGGCGAAGCAGTGAGAACGCTTCTCGATACGCAAGTAAACCTGAAGGAAACGACTACGTCTCTGCCAAAGCTGCTCGCCGACAGCCGTAAAGGGGAGCTTCGTCGATGAGAGACGAGGGGCCAAGAACATGGTCATTGCATTAGTCAGCGTATCACGTGACTGAAGCCGTCACCCAGCGCCCTGAGTTGGACGAGTCTAAAATTACACACGACGCTGCCAGTGACGGACCTAGCCTCTTCGCTCCTGGAGACAGCCAAGTTATCTTTCTACGTGGACCCGACATCGCCATTATCGTCCAGGACGTGCATCTTAAAGGAGGAAGAAAGGAGAGCACCAAAGTTCTCGCGACTTGTTATTCGGAGACGCTCAGATACTCGGGAAGAGAGAATAAGGGGGTCCGCATTGACAGATCTCACTCTCCGTCCGCCTTAAATCAGAGCTTCCTCGCCACTATGTCGTCAACTACATCGTCAATGACGGCCAAGCAGCAGCGGCTGGAGAATGCTCTGAGCCAGATCACTCAAAAGGCGGCCCCTCCAGAGATCGACTTTACGCTGCACACCACCGATGACGGCACGCAGGTGTCAACGCAAGAGCGTGTCGTCAAGGACGTCCAGGCGCCAGCATTCAGCAAGCCGACCGACGAGCAGTTCTGGAGCACTCAGGACCCTTCGAAGCCCGACATTGCTTTTCTCAAGAACCACTTCTACCGCGAGGGCAGGTTAACCGAGGAGCAAGCCCTCTACATCATCCGAACAGCGACTGAGATCCTAAAGAACGAGCCTAATCTCCTCGAGGTCGATGCACCGATCACCGGTGAGTCAATGCTGGAGCCTACGTGATGTGAGAACAGTCTGTTGATGCCGTTGTGGTCTTGCCTCGCTCGTGCAGTCTGCGGCGATATTCATGGACAATACGTGAGTCAAACGCGCATCTTATGCACAGCACTGCAGAGGAGGCTGACGATTGTGACTTTCGCAGTTTGATCTGATGAAGCTCTTCGAGGTGGGAGGCAACCCAGCTGAAACGAGATACCTCTTTTTGGGCGATTATGTGGACCGTGGCTATTTCAGTATTGAGGTGAGCATTCCGTGGAAGCGTGTATCGAGATGTTCGAGTGACTGAGCACGATTCTTTCGTCTTTGCAGTGTGTGCTTTACCTCTGGGCGCTCAAGATCTGGTACCCCAAGACGCTATTCTTGCTCCGGGGAAATCACGAGTGCCGTCACCTCACCGACTACTTCACCTTCAAGCTTGAGTGTGAGTGCTGACGGATTCACTCAGGAGGTCTTTGCTGAACCGCTTCCTCAGGCAAGCACAAGTACTCGGAAACGATCTATGAGGAGTGCATGGAGTCATTTTGCACGCTTCCACTTGGAGCCATTATGAACAAGCAATTCCTCTGCATTCACGGCGGGCTTTCGCCTGAGCTTCAAACGCTCGACGACTTGCGCAGCGTGAGTATAGCAACTGCACCAGACTACGCTGTTGTGCTCACTTCAGCCACTTCAACAGCTCAATCGCTTCCGTGAGCCACCGACACATGGGCTCATGTGCGACCTTCTGTGGGCAGATCCACTGGAAGACTTTGGGTCGGAGAAGACGAATGAAAGCTTCGTTCACAACCACGTCCGTGGCTGCTCCTACTTCTTTACGTGGGTTGCTCGTCTTGATACCTTCTGTCCGCTCTTGCTTACTGGATGGCAAACCCCAACAGGTACCAGGCCGCTTGCCAGTTTCTCGAGCGTAATAACTTGCTCTCGATCATTCGAGCCCACGAGGCGCAGGACGCGGGCTATCGCATGTACCGGAAGACAAAGACGACTGGCTTCCCTTCTGTCATGACAATCTTTTCGGCGCCGAACTACCTCGACGTCTACAACAACAAGGCGGCTGTCCTCAAGTACGAAAACAACGTCATGAACATCCGGCAATTCAACTGCACCCCCCATCCTTACTGGCTGCCCAACTTTATGGACGTTTTCACCTGGTCGCTTCCCTTTGTGGGCGAAAAGATCACCGACATGCTTATCGCCATTCTCAATATCTGTAGCAAGGAGGAACTTGAAGAGGAAGAGGAGGAGGAGGAGCTGCCGACAACGCCGACAGCAGCTCAGCTCGAAGAGTCAGCCGAGAGGAGGACAGTCATCAAGAACAAAATTCTCGCCGTGGGAAGAATGTCGCGCGTCTTTGCTCTTCTTCGAGAGGAAGCCGAACGCGTGTCGGAGCTCAAGACGGCCGCGGGCACGAGCAAGCTGCCGTATGGCTCGCTTGCATCGGGCTCCGAAGGTATCAAGGAGGCCATTCACAACTTCGACGAGGCTCGCAAGGTCGACATCGAGAATGAAAGGGTGAGCCTGCTTTTCCTCCTCATCATATAGTCCTCGCGTTCAATGTGTCTCACCATCCTTCTGCTGCACTACACAGCTTCCTCCCGACCTCTTCGATGCCGAAGAAGGAGAGGCTGCCGATCAGGCCATGCAGATGTCGCCTCAGAACTCTTTCGAGGGCTTCTCCGCCACAGGCGTGCCCTCCACACCCTCGAGCCCAGCTCCTGGCAGCCCCGGTCGGTCATCGCCGTCGACCAGCGGTCACAGGCGGGGCCACTCGCGGACGAGCTCGCTGGGCACGACTGCGACGAGCAGCCCATCGAACAGAAGGAGAAGTCTCGAGAGCACTGTCAACATGATCAAGGAGGCGCTCAGTGGCGAGGAGGGCGTTGATGAGACGGTGAGTGTGACTTGTTCGTGTCGATCTTGTGTAGGCGCCGTCTAAATCTCCTTTGTCATCTCTAAAGCAATTGGACAAGCTGGCGCATGACATTGCCTCGCCCTCGACGCCGAGCCGCCATTCACCTCAAAACTCGCAGTAAAACGTCATCGATTTTCCCATGCAGACAGCACAATTTCGTCTACTCGCACGTATACACTTCTTCCCAATTCACGCCGACGCACAATCTCGAGTCAGAAAGGACCATCAGTCACTCCTTTTTTCCCCTCTCTCTCTCTCTCTTTGATCTTCTCTTTCTGTTCTTTCCCCACACTATCTTCTCTTCTTCTGGTCCCTCGCTCTCTGTTTCCTAGCCTCTTTTCTCATCCATTGTTCCGTGGCTTTCAAACTGAGCCACGCATGAATCAATCGAGATTCCAAGAGACGGAGGAGGTCTGGCCCTCTTGCCCGTTGCAGACAGCGAAAAGGGTACCGCAATTTGTCGGCACTAAAATTTTGTCCCGGGCCCGCAACTTGCTTCGCACGGACCGGTCCCCCTGGAAAAATCAGAGCGAGAATGACAAAAATTTGGCCTGCTCCGCCAAGTCGGCAGGGCAGGGCAGGCCGCGCTTCTTCTTGATCGTCGCTTCCACATTGAAATAAGGCGGTTCAATTTTGATCTTCTTCTCGCCTGATGAAGGCGCATACAGCGCACACAACGAGCAGAGAAATGCAAGCGGGAGGTGCATTGAAGAAGGAAATGCTGATCCTTGGTGAGGCACAAACTGATAGACACATCAGGCCGGTGATAGGCGAGAATCGCATCCCATGCACGGGACACTGCAATTGGAGCCGCGCCTAGCGTCGAGCCGCGAAGAAAGAGGAAGAATGAAAAAAGGGCAAAAGGGAAAGACGCAACCAGCCTGAAACCAAAAAAAAAAGGGAAAAGAGAGAAGGCACATGCCCATGACGCATTGACAGAGATTAGTCTCGTGCAATTGGTGCCGCTCGGGTGACATGCTACTGCGACGCTGGGAATCTTCTGCTACTACTCAAACTAGTGCTGTCTTTCTCGCTCTCTTGTCTCTCATTCCTGTCGAGCGATACGGCTTGTCCACATCAGGCCGCCTGCGGACGACAATCAGAACGGGCCGACGACAGCGCCTTCCGGAAGCAAAGTCGGAGACTGAGCCCTATTTTTATCCAGGCCTCTCTGCCCGCCAATTTCGAGTTGCACGTTACGACTTCATTACTACACTACTACTGCGCTAAACGACTACTTCTACGACTGCCTTTGCTCTCGTTTTCTTCCTGCTTGAGTCCCCTCACGCCTCCCTCGTTTTCCTCAAGATCACCCAAGATTCACTCTACGGCGACATCTTGACGTCTTGCTCGCTCTGCTCGCTCTAGCCCTGCCGCAGGAGAATGCTCTAGCTCAACCTTTCTGCCACGCAAAAGCCGACCCGGACTCGGCACGCTTCCAACGCACGCTCGTACGAATCATCACGCCCAAAGACAGCGCAGCGCAGCGCCGCTCTTGCCGCCGCATTACGACATTCGCTCGCTGAAAGAGGAGAAGGACGACGACGACAACGACGAAGACTACTCGCTGACTGAGCGTGAATCGGACCGAGGACCGGTCGCTGCCAAACTCAGCCTTCCGACATCCGACGCTTGGCAGAGGATTGCCGTCAGCGCGCCCTGTGCTCCATAGGGAGTGTGCGTGGAAAAGTAAAAGGGGGCAGAGGGTCGTTCCTGTCGGACACAATGTGAGTTGCATGCATCTGAGATTCAAGGCACGACCGGACCCCGCTGTCTGCGTGGCCGCGCCATCGCACCATGGCAGCACGGCGATTTGCCCGACGGCCATTGCCATCCCTCGCCTGGCCTCTTTACCGGGAGCCGAGAGGACGAGGGGTAATTGGCATCTGGTCGCTTCACCTCTTTGCCTCGCCCTCCCGTCTACCCTCCACCACCCCTCCCTCCCCCTTTTCCGCCCCCTTTGCCCTCCTTCGCTGCTCGTCCCTTTCCCCATTTCTTTCCTAATTCCCCATCACTGCGCCCAGTCTCGCATTCTTTTGACTGACGCAACTCTTCACACTCCTTTGCGTATACCCTCTTTTCTCCCCCTCTCTTCCTGCTCCCTCGTTTCCGACTGAACCAGACCAAAACAGCTGCGTCGTGCGGCCTCAGATCGATCCACAACCGACGTCAGCGCTTCATGAAGGACTTGGCCTGGAAGCGCTGAGATGCCCGTGACTCGCACCCAATTGGCGGCCCAGTCTGCCGGCGGTGTAGGCTCATCACGGCAGCATCATTCCGTCGCCGATCCTGAACCCTCGTCCTCGACCCTGTCCTCATCTGCATCGTCATCGTCCTCCTCCTCGCGCTCCTCAGGCCGGGCAACGCGGGCGCGGGCGCAGCGGCAGGTGCAGCAGCAACAACAGCAGCAAGTACAAGTCCAACAGCAAAAAACTCAGCAAGTGACATCCCACCATCAGCAGCAACAGCGATCGCAGCCTCCTCGAAACGATGGCAGCCTGTCTCCCAGCTCAGCCGCAGAGCTGTCCCCTGGCCCAGCGACACTGCTCCCGTCGGCGACAGGAGTGACATCGGCGTCGCTGGCAGACTCCTCGCCCTCTGGTCTAGACCTCCAAGCCAATCAAAAGGGCCCTAATTCTCACGCAAAAGACCCGATCGGTCTGCTTCCTTCGAACGACGCCGGTCAGGACTCCCTCAGTCACCATCATCATCATCACGGCCACCAGGGAGCTTCATCTTCGAGCCACCAGCAGCCCCCTAATTCATTTGCTCACTTTTCTTCCGCCGGTCTCCTCGATTTCTCTCCGGATGGCTTTGGTGCTGCCGCTGCCGCTGCGGCGTCGGCCGCAAACGCCTCAACATCAAGCCAGAACGACTCGCAGCTCGGCTTGGAGTCTTTCAAGGCGAGCGACTTGGGCCCCAACGACATTCAATCCCACCCAGCCTGGTCAGGATTCATGACTGACATCTACCTGCATGGCCACAGTCACTTTGGTGGAGCCTCTCAGAGTCATCATGTGCCAACGCAAAGCCCCTCCGCCAGCCAATTATCACCGTCGCATGTCAACGACTTTCACTCCCTCGACGGCTCTTCTTCGCAGCAAAGGACGGCGTCGTCGTCTGCCGCGCACATGGCGCAGCACCGCGAGGGTCACTACATCCAAGGGGTCCATACGATGCAGCACGCAAGCAATGCCTTGCCGGGTGCAGCTCAGGGGACACGAGCGCAGATGCTTTCAGCTTCTGAAGGCGTCGACATGTCGAGAGACTCGTCGTCGGGCAACGACAACGACACCCAGCGACGAGTCGCCATGAATGAGGCACACCAAGGCATCTGCACGCCCCAGCACAGCGACAACCGACCCTTGTCAGGCTCTCAGCCCAGCCCCATGGGCCACGGCGAAGGAGCACTGGGCCTTGCAAACGCACACTGCAGCAGTAACAGTGGCGATGGCGGTGTGAATGGCGGCACTGGCAAGGCTGACTTCAATGCACAATGGAACATGAACCGGCCGCGTCAGCAGCAGCAACAACAGCAGCAGCAGCCGCAGAAACAAGAGACTCAGTCTGCGCCAATGGCATTGGACAGATACCCTCAGGCTCCCACGACTGTGAGTAGCGAGTGTGGATCTTAATTTATTGCTCAACTCTCATTGACACGGATGTATGCACTGCAGGAGCTCTCACCGACGCCGCTGTACCGTCCGGGTCTCAACATGAGTCACAGCAGCGGTGATGGCAGCCCTGGAGCGAGTGGCCCAATGGTCGTACGGGGAAACGAGCAATCGATGCGAGCTTTTCACCGGCAAGCTCGAAGCTTGGGCCAAGTGGGCGCCACCATGACGACATCGAGCAACGGTCTGCTTCACCTGGGAGGTCCCTTGACATCCATCAATTCTTCTCTTTCAGACCGTTTTGGAATGATGGACAACGTGTCGAGCAGCAAAGGTGACTCGCAAAGCTCAGCCCAGCTGCAGCATGAGAGTCCTAGCCAACACCACCAAGGCGCTTTGGCCGCTCAAGGCGATTTCTCGCCCGACATTTCTATGACGGCCCGATCCATGTCGCCATCTGACAGCAGCATTGCCTCGACGGCTCCTTCAAACGTCTTCGCTCGCTCTCGTCATTCGCTTCGATCTCCCCGCACGTCAGACTCTACCACCAATCGCACAATTGGCGACTCCTCCTTTGATACATCGATCGATAGCGCCACGTCTTCCGCCTTGGCCGCGACGACGACATCGAACTCGACATCAGTCAGCCGGGCTTCTTCAACATCGGACGAGCTAACGTCTCAGTCCATGTCCTGGACCTCTTCCTCGCAGCTGACGTCGGCCAGCCAGCACAAACGGACGTCTTCGAGCGTTAGCTCTCGTTCAGCTGCCACAAAGTCTGTCCGAGGCAAGTCACGACTGCGGAACATTGATCGCAAACGCATCTGTCAGTATGCCATGGAGCACCCAGAGCTCAAGCAGGAGGAGCTGGCCAAGCACTTTGGTATCGAGAGAAGCACGGTGTCCAAGACGCTCAAGAACAAAGAGAGCTGGATGACCATCCCAGAGGAAGGTTCCGGCGCGCTCATTGTCAAGCACCGTACGGGCAAATTTCCCGAGATTGAGTCAGAACTGGCCGCCTGGGCGATTGAAGAGACTAAGCGTGGCAATATCCTCCTCGATTACACCATCAAGAATCGAGCGCTGGAGATTGCAAGGCTAAATGGACTCGGTATTGGCGAATTCAAGGCGTCTGTCGGCTGGATTGACAAGTTCAGGGACCGCAACAAGATCCCAAAGACGGTGGCAGACCTGAACAACATGAGCAGCCACTTTGAGAACTTGCCACATCTGATGCCGCATGCGAGGACCGACTCTAGGTCAGGAGATCTGGCGGCCATGCAGTCTCAGCAGCAGCAGCAGCAGCAGCAGCAGCAACATCGACAAGACTTGGAGAGGGGAGGCTTTGCGTTGGACGACATGACGAGTATGGTGCTACGGCAGGACTCCTTGCAGCAGCCACATGGCCAGACGACCGCAATGCAGACCACCATGGGTTCAGAGGCGTCCGATGAAGTTCACCAGATGCCCATCTTTTCCTCTTCGCCTGGCGTCTCGCGGTCTCGGCCTGGCTCCAAAGGTGCAATGTCCAGGACTAGGTCGACAAGCGACATTGTGCATAATCATTCTCGTGCTATGAGTGATGCGTCGAGCCACGAAGCTAGCAGCCACTCTCAAGCAACTCCAAAAGCTTCCAAACGCCATTACGACTCAATCCTTGGCGGACAACAGCAGCAGCAGCAGCATCAAGACCATCAGATGCAGCAGCCACAACATCCAATGACAACGCCGGCTTTTCGTAATGCAAGTGACAAGCTTCAAGCCGTTTTGGAGCAGTCGCCAGGCCTGCGACAACTTATTCAGGATCCGAGTGCTTCTTCAATTGCAGCTTCGTCTTCTGCGCCGCACGGATGGATTGATGGCAACGAAGACAATCCTGATTCGTCCTTCTCCACCTCCAAGCGCCGCCGTGGCGACGGGAAGAGCTCCGAGCTGCAAGGAGCAGCGATCAGGCGGACGAGGAGTGAGGAGCAGAATCATGCTCATCATGATTCTTTGACTTCTTCGTCGGTCGATCCTAATGTTGCTGCGGCGGCTATGGCAGCAGCGCACGAAGTTCGGCGGAGCGACGTGCGACGATCTCAAAGAACGTTGCGTGCCTCACCGAGGCAAGGTCCAGCACGAGAGCAAGGCGTCAGCGACCCGCCTTCGATGCTCGTCGATTCGACAGCGGAGATGCGCCAGAACTCGCCCCTTTCGCGCCCCGCGCCGTCTTTCCACAGCAGCCCACGGCGCAGTGGCTATGGGGGAGGCGCCATGAGCGGAATATTTGGTCGCCATCGCGAACGCACCTCGTCTTCGTCGAATGCGGCTTCTCCCGGTGCTCACGCCCAGGGCGGTGACGATGGATGTGCAGAGGAACGTGTCATCAGTCTCGATGAAGCGAGGGACAGCCTCGATTGCGTGTTGAGCTTCCTCGCAAGCTCTGACGCTGTCTTGAGCCCATCCGACTACTTTATGCTCGGTAACCTCCAGGGTATGCTCAACTCCCTCGCTAACGACCGCGGCTCGAATAGCAACAGCAACATCAACAGGGCGAGGCTTGAACAGATGGTGACGGGTAGTCTCTCGTCCATCGATCGACGGGCCGACTTCCAGCGATCTCCATAACGTCAGGTGGTCTCCCTCTTTCATTCCCACAATACACACTCAAAAATTTCGAGAGACAAACCATCATCCATCGTCGACTCGAATCACAAAACGATTCGTCAACATCTGGTATTCTTCATCCACGCACAATCTCAAATCATCAACCAAGATCCAGTCATCAAAAACGTCTTCTCTCTGTCTCTTTTCTCTCTCTTTTTTCAAGCAACAAGTCATTTTTTCCAACAATCACGACAATGGCTCGCCTTGTTCACACACTTCTCATACTCACTCACATACAACACAAAAGCTCTTTTCCCATCACAATTGGTATTCCCCCTTTCGTCTCTTTTGTCTGGGTCAATGACAAATCTCTTGCTCTTTGATCTCGTTGCTCCGCCCAAAAAAAGACGGTACCTGTCTCGCGGCGAGGGAGGCCTTGCTGAGGCTTTCAAGGGTCTATGTTTGATCAGAAGGGCGTGTGCGTTGTGGTGTTTTAGAGTACAGAAGTGGTATACAGTACTTTGGTACAGTGTGGTCGGGTTCTATTATGCGGTTATGGTGGGTCGCGATCAGAGCTGTGGTGGTACACTTGCCTGTGAGGCAAGACGGGCCGCTTTGCCCTTTGCGAGCGTCTTGACGAGCTTCTTTTCAATCGCGGAAATGGTCATCATCATGTCCTCCATACTGATTCCCACAACCGAGCAGGCCGCCTCGACGACCTGTCTAAGCGGACCGTCCAGTTTGGATGGGTCAAAATTGCGGCCGAGCGAATAGATTGCGTGCTCTTGACCTGGTGCGAGGTCATTAATCGACGTACTTGCCGTGTGCTGCTCGTCCATTTGTGTCTTGCCAGTGTAGAGACGCTGAAGTGCCTGCTGCGAGTGCTCATGGACAGCTTGCAGCGGAGACAGCGCTGCCCTTTGCATCTGCGCACTAACGAGATCTGGATGGAAAGATTTTGGCGTGTTCTCCTCGCGCAGCTTCTTGATAGGTGGGGCACCGGGAGCGCAAGAGAGCAAATCATCGATGTTGCCTGAAGACTTTTCGTCAGAACCTTCTTCACAAAAAGCTGGCAATCTTCACTAAGTCACCTTCGCGACGCCTCCAGTCGTAGACACCGTGGTTGTTTAGAAGAATCTGGTTGTCTTCGAGGTAGTCCAAGTAGGCATCCAAATGCTCTTCATCCATCTCAAAGAGGTCCATGCTTATTTTTGGCAAGAATCAGCATCGAGGAAAGGCCTACGTGGAGCGAAGAAAGGAGGACTCTCACCCTTGGGGATCGAAGACGAGGCGAGTGTCTTTGCGTAGCCTTTCTTCGAGCGAGCCGAGCGCATCAAGCCAATTGGAGAGCTTTGGCGCGCCAGTCGGATGAGTGCTTGCCTTTTCGACTCTTGAGTACAGAGGTCTTATGAGCTTGTTGAAGTGAGAGATGGAGAACCAAGCTTACCTTTCCTGGTCGTCTAGGCCGTAGTGCATTTTTGCGACCACGACAAGCACAGCCATGAGTACTGCGCACCGAGCTTGACCCTTGCCGTTGACAGTGACGATCAAGCGGCCTTGCTGTTGCGCCTTCGCCTTTTTCTTTGCCTCTTGGTCCATCTCTTCATCGATGCTATCATCTTCGTCCTCTCCGCTCTCATTGCTGTCACTCGTTCCCGGTGAAGATGCTCGGCGGACTGAGACCTTCTGCGAGCATTCAAGAGGGACTGCATGCATCGAGATATTTGCGTAGCCGACAAGCGTCTTCGCGGCCAGATAGAAAGTCGCTGCTTGCAGAGAGGCTCAGGCTTACACATTCGCTGGTCTCGGAAGTGGCATGTCAGACTCACGAGGCAAGAGCATTCTTTGCGTGCAGGCAAGAAGCATAGGCAGCGCATTGACGCTTGGGAATTCGACCCCAAATGCACTGTTAAGCTTGGCAGCCACGTACGCCGTCTTGCTTTGGAGCTTCATCACGGAAGGGACCCTCTACCAAGATAGCTTTTCGTCAGCCGAGCCCACTATGTCATGTCTTCGCCAGCTGCACACCTTTGGGTCGAGCATTTGCACGCTCGCATACGGAAGGTGGCTCATCATTTCTGGCGGCAGGTGGTGCAGTGCGTGCATGTATGGCATCTTTCCCGATGCTATAAGTCTAGATTTGAAGAAAAGGTGGTGAGTGTCGTTCTGCGAGCAAGCCTGTCATCGCTCACTTGACCAGGTCATTCCATAGGAGCGGGACTCTCAGGGTGAGAAGCGAAAGGTAGAGAATAGCCGTCACTGTCGCCATGCCATCTGGGTCTTCCTTCTTTTCCTCGCCACGCTTCGAGCTGCCGTCTGCACCTTTCGCCCTGCTCCTCTTCTTCCTGTATCGAGGAATGATCACCTCCCCATCTTCATCTTCAAATGCCGACTCCAAGCCCGAGTCTTGTGAGTAAGGGTAGTCCCATTGACTGGTCTCCCCAGCGCTCGACTCGCCCCCGCCCTGTTCGTCCATGCCAACGCCAGCCTCGCGCAATGCCTCATCGAGCCTCTCACGCTGTTCGTCCTCCTGCTCGCGAAGGAGCTGCCTTTCCCTATCTTCTGCCTCCCTCTGACTCGCGCTGATGGCCGCGGCGGCGGCCTTGATCTTGCTTCCTCCCACTTCAACGCTCCACTGCTGCATATGCAGCTGTTCAGCCGCATGCGACAGCTGCTCGACGAGCGGTCTTGGCTCCAGATGGGGCACTCGCGACACCCACAACGCCCACAGCTCGCGTGCCACGGCCTCGAGCTGAACCGGTAGCGATGGCACCTCTTCCCTGAGGGCTTGGATCTGGAGGCGGAGAAGGAGCTGCAGGCATTGATACTTGAGGAACCGTCCCCGCGGGCCCTTCCAGACTGCTCCGGAAGGTGAGTCAACCGCATCGACAAGTTCACACACGAGGGAGGGAACCACTCACACTTGCGCTCGCGCCTCTGCCTCTCTCTCTTGTGCCGCTGTTTGCGGTCCTCTATCCCCGTCCGATCTTTTTTCCGCCGCTGCGACGAGCTCTTGAATGCATCGTCGCCCTCGTCGCCGACCTCTTCGCGGTAACCCTGGAGAACGTGGCCCTCATCGCATACGATCAAGCCCGTCGATCCGTCGCGGTGGAAGCGGCGTGAGCCACACAGCTGACACTGCCGCCTTTGCCGCCGTCGTGGTGTCGAGGAGCCAGCGAGCTGCGACGACGAGGAGGGCGCCGCGGAAGACTGGCGCGTGGGTGGGCGAGGATAAAAGGACTCCCCTGGCTCCATTGTCTTTATAGTCTGCCTTTCCTTCCCCCCTCCTCCGCTTTTGTTTGCAGAGCAGGAAGGAACGGCCCAGCTGTGTTGTTTGCCTTTGGACTCGACACGGGGACGGATGGACGGGCTTTTCCGACTTTTTCTTCGCTGATTTTCCCTTTTCCCCACTAGTGATTTTCCGGCGGCCGTGCGCTCGCTCAGTCTTGTCGACTAGGGCGTGTGGAGTTAGTCCAAGAAAAGGCTCATGCGGGCGGATGCGACCACCACCTCGCCGAGAATTCCTGCAGCCGCTCTTTTCAGCCGCTGCGCACACCGCATATAGACGCCTGCCTGCGCTCAACATGGTCTCGCTGCGATCCCGAAGCACTGCCGCGGCAGAGCCGGCTGCACCGCCGCCGAAGAAGACGACGACGCTGGGACAATCGTTTCGCGGCGGCAAGGCGTCCGTCTCGTCGTCTGCGGCCTCCCGCCGTAAGAAGCCGGCTGGAGAGGAAGCTGCCGTCGAGACCAATGGCAAGAAGAAGCGCCAAGTGGCAGAAGAAACAGCGCCGCCGGTGGTGAGCAATGGCAAGGCGAAGCGGGCCAAGGTCGAGCCGGCCAAGGAGGAAGAAAAGGAGGAGCGCGCGCTGCTGAGTCGCGACGAGGTCAAGGAGGCCACGACGATTGCATACCCGGTCCTGTCCTTTGACCTCGACCACGCACGGAGGCATCTCATCAACACAGATGTCCGCTTCGCCCCGCTCCTGGACAATATCCCACTGAGGACGTACGAAGAAGTGGCGCGGGGTACGATCCGGGAGCTGGACCTCTTTCGCACCCTCTCGTCGTCGATCCTTGGCCAGCAGGTTTCGTGGCTCGCCGCGCGCGCCATCATCTACCGCTTCTGCCGCCTCTTTTTCCCCGACCGGCTGCCCGAGAAGCCCGACTTTGAAAAGACGCCGCGCGACTCGCTGCCGTTTCCCAACCCGCTCGACGTCTGCGAGGCCTCCGACGAGACGGTCCGGAGCGCAGGCCTGAGCTGGGCGAAGGTCAAGTACGTCAAGGATGTCGCGAGGAGATTTTCTGATGGTCGCCTCGACGCGCGCAAGATCGTCGAGCTCGGCGAGGAGGAATGCATCAAGCAGCTCGTCGAGATCAAGTGCGTTCCTGCCCTCCAGCTTTCCTTCCCGCACTGACAAACGAGCTGACTAGTCCCGTCTCTTTCTCCCCCCCCCCCTTCCTACTCACTCTTCAATCTTGACAAACACCAGAGGTGTCGGCAGATGGACGGCCGAGATGCTGCTGATGTTTGCGCTGCGCCGGCCCGACATTCTTCCCGTGGGCGATCTGGGTGTTCAGCGCGGCATGGTCCTCTTCCACCTCGCAGGCCGGGAAGGACCGTCGATCAACAAGCGCAAGAAGAAAGCAAAGGGGAACGACGAAGAGGGAGAAGGCGAGGGAGAGGAGGAGGAGGAAAAGAAGCAAGAGGCATGGGAGCGCGAAGAGGGCGACAACAAGGTGGCCAAGTCACTCGCGACCATCGGCGAGACGACAATGACCGAGTCCCAGGTCCAAGTCGAAGAGCAATTCTCGCAGCAAAACCAACAGCCAACGGGGCCCTACGTCTCGCCGGAGCCGAGCGACGAGGCAAAGGTGTTTGAAGTGGCCCGTCAGCGGCAGAACGAGGGCATGCAGCCCCTGCCCACTGAGCATGGCATCACCCAGGCCCTGCTCAAGAGCCGCAAAGACGGGAAAAAGGCAAAGGGAAACGTGTACTTGACGTGAGTGTCCTCCGACCCTCCTCCTATTCAGCCACATCCTTTTCGTTGGCTGACCTGCTCTTTTGTGCCAACCTTGCAGACCCGCCGAGATGGAGCAGCTGGCCAAGCCCTGGGCCCCATACCGGTCTGTGGCCTGCCTGGTGATGTGGGCCATCGTCGACTAGGCCGCGTGCTCTCTATGCTCTACTCGAATCTTACTGGACGTTTCAAAGTCAATATGGACATGTAGAGGAGAGAGACAAGGAAATGGCATTTGCAAGGAGAAATGTTAATAGTCGAGAGACTCAGAGGAGATGGTCGCCCTTTGACTCGCGCTCGGCCTGCCTAAAGTACGGCGTGGCCTGGAACCAGGCGGCGGTCTCTGTGCCCGTCTGGCGGTGGGTGAACTCGGCTTCTTGGGCCTCGATTTCGATGGGCTTTGTGCCACGCGCACCCGCGGCGGCATCGGCCATGAGCATCACCTGGCAGTCTGTGTTATGGAGTCAGTCAAGCGCTCATCTCTCTACAGAAAGACGGAAGAGACTACTCACGCCGCTCGAGGGCAATGAAGCGCATGACAGCGCCCTCAATCGTCTGGCCAGCCGAGAGGATGCCGTGATTCTGAAGAATGAGACAGGCCTTGTCGCTGCCGAGCGTGTCGGCAATGTGGTGGCCCTCGTCGTCGCTCAGCACGACGCCGCCAAAGTTTTCGTAGAGACCCACGAGGCCATAGAGGGCGCACGAGTCCTGCGTCGTGTACTCGATGTTGCGTCCGAGGGTGCTGAAGGTCTACATGCGATGCGAGAGAGGCAGCGTCAGAACAGAGAGAGGGAGAAGAGTGTGTGTGTCGCGTGAGAGGAGGACCCACCTTGCCATAGACGCTGTGCGAGTGGCAGGCCGCATCAATGTCGGGCCGGGCGGTGTGGATGGCATGGTGGATGGCAAAGGCAGCCTGGTTGTAGTACTGCAGGTCGGGCTTGCCGCCCATCTTGATGGAGCCGTCGGGGGCAATGAGGAGCAGGTCGCTGGCCTGCATGGCGCGGAAGTTGATCCCAAACGGGTTTACCCAAAAGTGGTCCCGCAGAATCGGGTCGCGGTACGTCAGGTGGCCAGCGACGCCCTCGTCGAAGCCGAGCTGGCCAAAGATGCGAAAGGCGAGGGCGAGGCGGGCCTTGCGTCCCTCGCGCTCCTCCTCGAGCGTGTCGTACTTTGGCGGCGAGGGAAAGTTGAACGCCTTGGCGTCCTTTTGCACCGCGCCATTCGTCGGTTGGGGTGCCATGGTGGTGTTGTTATCCTTGCTGCTGTTGTTGTTGTGTTAGTGCTGCGTCCCTTCTTATCGATGGCCTTGTCGCTGGCCTTGCTGGTGGTGGTGGAGCTGGATCAAGGAGCGAGTAATGGTGGCAAACGGCGCACCGGCCCGGTCCCTGCGCACCGCTCCTCTGGCCACTTTCCTTCTTCTGACACTACTGACTTACATTTACAGTGGGGTTAAACACTTCGCGCGGGGGGGTTGCCATTTTAGTGGCGCTTGCGTTGGACTTTTTGCCCCGCTTCCTGGATTAGAAATTGCTTGGGGGTCCGTCCATGTGAGCGTGGAGGCACCTTTCTCACACGATAAAGGCGGGGTTTTACAGAGGTGCATGGCGAGTCAACCGCGAGGCAACAACAATAATGAGCACGTCTGTGATTCTAATTGCATGCGGTGCTTTACAGAGTAGCAGATGAGAGTGATTGAGCAGTGCGGAATGCAAGCAGAAGCAAGGACAGAGCAGGGTAGACAGAGCAAGGGGTGGAGTGGAACAGCAGTCATCACCGTGGAAGCATGGTCGGAGGCGAGGAAGGGGAAGTGGCAGAAACAGAAGAAGCAGGCACAGTCGCAGCCGTAGTCGCAGGGGGCGAGCTGCCGCCGAGGTACTTGCGCAGCCTCGAGTACCGCCTCGACTCTCTCGTCTCGAGGATGCTGCTGCTCTTCCCGATGCTGGTGTGGCAGAGGCCGCAAGCGATCAGCTCCAGCCTCTGCTGCCAACGAGAGGGAGAATACAACTCAAAGGACTCACTAGTGGCTGATGAGGAGGTGGCCGCTTGCCTTTGGTCGCAGGAAGAGCCTGCCTGAAAAGCGGGCACCGGTTGCCTTGGTTGGAGGATCCGTCTGGCCTCCTCCACCAGCGTCGCTTCTCCCGCCGTTTTTGCGAGGAGCAGCAGCAGCAGCAGCAGCAGCCGCAGTGGCGGTAGCATCATCACCACTCCTGAGCGTGGGCAGATTGGCTTCTCGCCGCTCCTGCTCTGGGATGGGGGCAAAGGCGAGGACGCCGAAGCGCGAGACGGGGTCTTTGCCGTTTGCATAGTGTTCCAGGTGGGCAATCGTCGGCTGGCCCGCTGCATTGAGCGGGTTGTTCTGGTGGTTGGCCGCCGATGCAAACGTGTAGATCTCGAGCTTGTCCAGCACGTCGCGGCCGACATCGGAGAGGAGCTGGTCGACGACGTTGCTGACGATGATGCCGCCCTGCGAGTGGCCCAGCAGCACGACCTTGGACAGCGAGTCGTCGAGGAGGCTCCGCTTGACCTCGGCATACGCCTGCCGCACGCTTCGCGTGCTCACAAACAGGTCGCGCTGGAGAATGCACTCGGCGACGTCCAGGATGGGCCCCGCGGTGCGATTCAAGACGCCCATCACCGGCCTGCGAAAGAGGTATTCGAGACGGGCGAGGTCGAGCATCATGCCGCTCCGTGACGTCGCAACGCCATTGACGCTTGTCGAGGATTTAGAGAGAAGATAAGCATTTGGCTTTCCTCTTCATGCACAAAAAAGGGGAAACTCACAAGAACCAGGTCTCGCCCTTGAACCGTTGGCGCTCGGCAGGGGACAGCACAGATCGAGCGGGGGCGATGCTCACGAGGACGTCGCCCTGAACGCGTTGGAGGGGGATCAGGATGGCGGCGGCAATGATGATGGGAAAGAGGCCGCCGGCAAGGCCTGCATAGACGATGAGCGGCACAATCACAGAGACGGAGAGAAAGGTGAGGAGCAGCTGGAAGGCCAGGCCAGTCGGCGTGATGTCCTGGAAAAGGCCGCCGTCGGCCAGCCGCAGGGGCAGGAATGCGTTTGGAAGGTACGCCACCTGCGACAGCACCAGCCCAACGTCCGAGACCAGCACCAGCAGCGGCGAGGCGCGGAACGACGGTGGTCGGCTGGCGGGGTCCGGCTGAAAGTCTTCGACGGTCATCGCGACGGGCCCGCCGTTCGCCATGAAGGGGATAGGTTGCTTAACCTCAGGATTGAGAAGATAAAACAATGATGACGCTAGGCTCGTCTTGCACAATGGCTTTTTGTGGAGGAAGCGCAGCCTTCTCTGTGGCGCACAGTACAGTAGTGCTCAAGCTTTCGACATGTGGATATAGAAGCTCAGCCTACATTCTGTACAGCGCTTCTTTAGGTCTACATGGCCCCGGCAGGTGGATCACTTTTCATCCTCGTCCGAGTGAGAGGGCTTTGTCGACTTGGAAGACGACGGGGGCATGAATTTTGGCCTGATGCGGCGAGAATAGTACGCTGAGAGCAAAGAGGCGTAGCCACCGTCAGCTCCTTTGTGACGGCTATTGCCACGCGGGAGGGAGAAGGTGCCAGAGGGCTCGCAGTTCAGCAACTGCTGTACTCACTCCGGATGCTGCAAGGCGTGCGGCCGAGCGTTGCGCTGAGCTCCTCAACATCCTGGTTGCTCAGTGTCGGCAGCTTGCCTCCAAACACCTTGTGAATGATGCAGAGCTCTGTGTGGAACGCAAGCAGCGTTGAGTCTCGCTGTATCAGAGTTGTTCTCTTTTCGAGATAGACTATCACTGGCCTCACCCTCTTCAAAAGACCAGTCCTTGCTGAGGGCCTTCGTTGGGCTTCGACTGGTGCCATCCGTAGGCTTCTTGGTGGGAGATGCTTTGCGGGGCGATGCCTTGTCGATGGTCGACTTGGGCCTCTTGTGGCTCGACTTGGGACTGAGCACCTCCTTTTCGTCTTCACTTTCGCTAGCACTACGCTTGAGGTTCGCCATGTTGCCGATTTTGAGGAAGACTACTATGAAAGCTGGGGGAGATGTTCAAACGACGCCTGGAGGTGGATAATGGGGAGAGACGAGAGGGCCAGGCTGTGTACTCGTTTTGTTTTAAGCGACCGCCTGAACAGAAGATAGATGGATGAAACAACAAGGGCCGCCCTCCCATGCTCCGACGGATCTGGCACGCCGCCCCTTGTCACTCTTTGCCCGTCGTCGTGCATTATTCCCTTCATTGAACACCCCTCTGAGCATCCCTTTCTTCTCCACCGCTCACACCCCTTCCCTTCCCTTCCCTCACAGACCACCACATCGATCCCATCATGCCCGTCAAGCGCGAGCACCTCGATGACTCCTCCACCGTCGACTCACGCTACTCGCCATCGTCGCTGATCAGCCACGAGGCGTCCGACGACAAGTACCGTTCCCTGTCCGAGAGCAGCGATCAGGTCTCGTCGGACAACTATCAGCCCACGTCACGCTCCACGACGCCCTCGAGCTCGTGCCCCTCGTCGCCCAGGCCCTCGCCCGCCAAGAGGGCCAAGCTCGCTTCCGCTACACCCTCGAAAGGAGCGCGCGCTGCGGCCCAGGCAAGGGCCAGCGCCAGTAGCGCCAGCGCCAGCCCGCGGAAGCAGACGGCCAAGGGATGGACTCACGAAGAAGGTGAGTCGCACACGTCATCCATCTTAGAAAGGTTCTTGTCATTCTCATCTCACAATGGACGGGTTCGCAAATTTCCTTCTTTTCCCTCCTCCAGTGGAGATGATCCTCCTCTACCTTGCCTCCCGGAACATCGCCCCGCTGAGCCCAGCCGACATGGCAAAGCTTCTCGAGCTGCTTCCCGGCCGCACCGAGCGCGGGATCAAGGACCAGGTGAATCTCAAGCTGCGACCGAGGATGAAGCAGCTGCAGGGAAAGTGACCCGCTCAGACGGTCCTCTTCCCCTCCTCATTTCCGGCTCATCAATGTCGAGTGATTGTTTCTAGGCCCTGTCAGAGTTGATAATACATGTCTTGCCTTGTGCCCACTTCTATGCTAGTGCGAGGGAGGCAAGGGAGCACCCGTGGCCGACTTGTTGAAGAGAACATCCTTTAGCACCTGGCTCACCAGGCCGTTGTGGGCCTCCATCGAGATCTTTAGCCTGTCGAGAGAAAGATGAATCAGTGTTGGCAGCCCTGGCAAATTCGACCGACAAGGGGAGAGAGAAGCACGCACCCGTCGTTGGCCGCCTTGGCCAGCGGCGTATCCTTTTCCTTCTTTGCCATGTCGTTGATCATCTTGTCGATACGCTCCGCCTTGGCATCGACGGCGGACCCTGCTCCATCGACGCCCGCGATGCCATTGGCCGATCCTGCATCAGTGGCCCCGGCGACTCCTGCACCGGACACTCCCTGATCCTCTCTCGCCGTCGTGGCCGCGGTAGACGGTGCTCCTCCGGCTGGCTGCATATATGATGTTCCCGCCTTTTTACCCACACTTTGCCACGCCCGCGACAGCTTCTCGCCCAAGTCTTGGATTTGCCCCACGGCATAGGCCCGATTGACGACGACGGGGCTCTGGGCCAGCGTGTTGGCCCAGTACTTGTTCCAGAGCATGTCGAGCAGCTGCGTGTCGAGGCACGACTTGAAGTGCTCCACCTTCAAGGGGTAGTAGCTGTTGGCATGGACACCAAAGTCCTCGATCTTATTAAGTGGAATCGACTGGTACTCGCTCGCACCAGCCTCGGGTGGGGTGTAGCCCTCGGGGTACGTCCGAAAGGCGCCAATGTCGACTCGGCCTGCCGAGATGGTGCGGTTGGGATCGATCTTCGTTGCACATCCCGGGGTCTTTGTCAGCAACTTCAAGCCAATTTGCTTGAGCAGGGCTCTATCTATGGCAGCTCACCACAACAGCAACGAAAGGGTCGAGGTACTGCTGGTTGGTCATCTGGGTGCTGACATCGATGCCGCTCAGCCAGCAGCCATACCCCGGGTGCGAGTGATACCAGCCAATGGTATTCTCCAATCTCCCAATCTGTTTCATACTCAAGTGAGCCACTGCGTCTCTCCCTGTGCATGCATCGCAATCAAGCTTGCAAAAGTCCGACTCACCCTCTGGCTGCTCTCTTGCCACTGCACCATGAACTCGTACGCCTCGTCTCCCGCATTGACCCTCGTCTCGGTGCCCTGCACGGGGAGCGCAAAGGCATCCATGATGTAGATCGTTCTCGTCTCGACGTCCACCTTGCCCACCATGGAGCCCATGACTTCGTAGATGCCGCCCGCGCGCGTGTGGATCATCATCTTGATCAGTGCGATCGAAGAGATGCGCACGCGCTGGAAGAAGTGCGGACTGATGGTACACCGCGTCAGCAAGTTGTCTTGTCAACAGCAATTCACCATGCCCGTCGAAACTGTTCAGAGCAGGGGATCCACGCAGCAGGACACTCACTCTCGCTTCCAGGGAGCGTCGTTGCGAATCCGGACCTGCTCATCGTTGTCATAGTGGAAGATGGCATCGGTACGCGGATCAAGCGTGACGACGTTGTTCTCCAGCTCAAACTGCTTCTGCGCCAGTCTCGCAGACGACGACGACGAGGGTGCCTCGGTCATTTCTGCCTATCTCGTCCGATGCAGAATCGCCTGTCGTTGGGGAACTAGCTGATCAAGGCTCTCCTGGGACTGAGCAACAGAGGCGACTTGCAGATGGACGCACAAGCCAGTCGAAATTAACCACGTGGTATTTCTTCGCGCTTCCGGCTTCTCGATCGATCTCAGGGAAGGCAGCACCCGGCTCGTCACTCACGTCGGTGACTAAAAGCGGGCAGAACGAGCCAAAGCCATGACAGTGTAAAAGAGCGGTGATATGATAATGCCAAGAGCTTTTGGATTACAAGCCAAGTGTGAACAGGGCCAAGAGGATGGATACGAGGGTGGAACGACCTATTAGACGACAGAGGAAAGGGCAGAGAGGAGGAGCGCGACCAACACCTCTTTCGAGACGAGGCGAAGGAGGCGGCGGCCAGAAAAGAGAACTGGAGGAAAAAGAACCAATCTATAAAAATATCATCGTACTTCCTTCCGCCTCAGTCCTTCGTTAGCCCACGACCCCTTCTCCATCTCTACAAAGATTGCACCAAGCGTTTACTTGGTGTTCTCCTTGAGCCAGGTAATGAGGTCGTTGCGGTCCTTCTCCTTCTTGAGACCAGCGAAGCTGTGAAGAATCGTTGTCAGCAACTGGTTTAGAGCGACTGTTGCCTCAGAGCAAGCAGAGAAGTACTTACGCCATCTTAGTGCCCGGAATGTACTTCTTGGGGTTCTCGAGGTACCTGAAAATACGGGACATTGCCAATTAGCTACGGGTCTCTCGTTACCCGACCAGCCTCGCGTGGCGACTCACTCAAAGAGGGTCTCCTCGTCCCAGTGCACACCCTTCTGCTTGTTGGCCGCCGTGTAGCTGAAGCCCTCAACCTGGCCCGACTGCCTGCCGAAGACACCCTGTTTACAAGATGTCAAGAAGTCGTCAGTGTCAAGGTAAGAGCGACGGCGCTGCCTCGAGGAAAAAAAGCGACTCACGTGGAGCGAAGGACCAACGAGGTTCTTGCCTGCCTCAGTGGTGTGGCACTGAGCGCATCGGGTCTTGAAGAGGCTGTGCGAGAAAAAAAGAGGCGTGGGCGATTTCAAGTCAGCGCGGCCCAGACATTTGGGATCCATGGGGCGCCACCAAGGGACTCACCCAGCGCCCTTCTTAGCGTCTCCTTCCTTGAAGCCCATTTTTGTGATTTAGCTGATCGGTGCGTTGCGTTGTAGGAGCGGCGAAGGTTGGTAGACGAGATCACAAAGCCCCGATAGAGGTGAGCGACGACGAAGAGAGAAGAGTGCGAAAAGAAAAAGGGCAAACCAGAAAAGGGTGGGAAAAAAAAGTGGAGTGAAAGAGACGAGGAAAAAAAATTGGATGAATCAGCCACGCTGATCGCATTCGTCCTCGCTGCTCGCCATCCTGGTCACGGACGTTGGCGAGCAGCAGCACCGACATCAACTCACCTGGTATGTGTGCAAAGACAGAGACTGATGGTTCTGGTAGAGTAGAGAGAGGTTGGTGGCGCCCAACTTTCTTATAAATTGAACCTGCCCAATCCGACGCAGGGCTGAAAAAAAACGAAACCTCCCTTCTTTCTAATCATTGGTCCGAGGGCCGCCGAATGCGCGCGCCCGCGCGCGCGCACTCACGATTTCGCCCTGAGCCGGCTCATATTAGAAATCCAACCTGGGGACCAATCATAGGGCTGATGACAAAAACTTGTCACCATTACTCATCATAACACCTGGGCCCCGGGCTTTTTGGCTCTGACCCTCGACCTCGCCGAGACCGACCTGTTCCATGTCCCATCAAGAACAACAAGGGCGAGATCAGCGAGACGGGCCCGAGTCCGCAGTTTGAGCCGGTTAGCGAGCCAATTGGTGGCCCGCGAATGGAAATTTTCCCAGACACCTCGTTTCCGCGTTGGCCCGACTAGAAAAGTTTCATTATGTCATTACTTAGTCACAGCTTTCGGGGGGAACACGCCGCGGCAAAAGGAAACACAGTGGCAGGCCATGAGCGCTTGGGCAAGCATGTATATACAGTTGATGATGCAAATGTGTTCAGGGTGAGAGGGAGAATTGCAAAGCTGGACCGCAGCGCTTCTTGGCCTCGGCAATGTCATGCTTGGTGAGATGGAAAACGTCCTGGCAGACTTTCGCAAAGGCCTCCCACCTCTGGCTGTACGAGTCTTCGACCAGGACTTCTTCTGCCCTCTGCCTTGCGTCGGCATCGTTGCAGTACTCTGCATCCATATGATCGACGAGGCCAAAAATTTCGCCTGCGACTTGTTCTAGCAAGGCGACGTCTGGCAGCTGGCTGCGATCTACCCGTGCAACGAGCCGTCGCATCTCTTCGATCTTTTCCTTGCTGATCGTTCTTTCAATTTCTTTGAGCGTCTCTTGAGCTTCGGGGCGATCCATAAGCGCAGAGAGCTCCTTGCTTCGCGAGACGTGCGGGCTGGGAGGCACTGGAAATACAATCGCATGCCTCGTTCCACCCGGCGAGAGCAGAAAGGCATCTGTATCGCCCCTCTTGCCACCAATATCGAGAGGCGACAGGGCAGCACCTCTTTTGCCTTGTGAGGTCGACTCGGGATGGTAGCGTGTAAAGTAGGTCGAGCTTGTGAGCGTAGGGCTCGGAAGGCGATGACGTACAGAAGGGGGAGATAGACTGGTGCTCGGTGAGCCGGCTCCAATTTCTCGACCTCCTTTTTGTGCTGCCCCAGCCTCTGCTGCACTCGAGCCACTCGCTTCGTCGGGCAATTTTAGACCGATGAAGTGGCCATCGGCATCGTGCAAATGCACCGGTGGAGGAAGAGGAGAAAGAAAATAACCGCCACCCCTCGACGGGCTCTTCACACCGCCCTCCGAGGGCGTGTCGACGTGCTCGTCGAAAATACTGCTGCCGTCCTCGCTGCTTACAGCCTGGCTGCCTGTCGAAAAGGTGTCAGACGCCGTGCTGATCGATGACCGATGACGCTGCCTGGTTGCTCTCGACTCTGTCGGGTCGTCTTCGTCGTCGGCTCCTACGGCCGAGAAGGAGGCAGCACCATCGAGTCTCCGGATGGCGTCACCGGAACGATCAAGCTTGCTCAGGCTGTCCCGGAACGCATTTCGTCCCGGCGCAATGTCATCCGAGCCTGCAGAAGGATGTCTGGTCCGCCCATCGGGCAGGAGTCCCACCTTTGACGGCGTTGCTGCTCCGTCCTCCCCCTCGGACGCCTCGGCGGCATCACCAGAGTGGGGCTGTGTGACAAAGGTGACCGATTTTCTGACCTGAGGCCGTGAAGTCGCGCCGGCGGACCAAGACGAGGCAAGGGAATTGATGGACTCGCCCCTTGTGCTGGCGCTCCTAGGGCCCGAGATCGTATGCCTAGATCGGCGCTGCTTCTCCTCGTCCATCTTAGCAGGTGTCATTTTGAGAGAGAGGGGCGTGAGCGATCCACCGCGGCTGACGAGGTCGGGCATCGCAATGCTCTTTCTACGAGGCATGAAGCGATGCTGCGATCCAAGCTGCTCGACAGAGGAGTCGGTGGACGCCGAACGAGGTGCGATGAGACTTCCGAGGCCGCGATGCTTCCGGAAGCGCACTGACACGTTGTCCTCGCCAGACGAAGACGAGGAGGATGAGAGCACAGATGCGCGTCTCCAAGAGCCTGGCTGATGAGGATTCTGTACGATGCGAAGGCCGGCAAAGGAGCCGGATGGCTTGGCCGAGAAGTCGTAAGTGTCACTTCCATCGCTGCGGTAGATGCTCGTACTGCGCCGGCGTCGATGCCCATTGCCTTGTTGATGGTCGTGGCGATTGCCTTCCGGTAGCTTAGACTCGAGCTCGGCATCTCGGCTCATCGAGGTCGACGACTGTGACGAAGGACAGTCGGCGTAACTTGAGGGAACCTCATGCAACGCCTCGACGTCGAAGCTATTCTGCCATCGCGCATCGTGTTCGTGGCTGTAGGCGCTGGAAAAGTCTTCCTTCTCTTCATCACCATCGTTGTTGTCGTCGTCTTCGACCTTGTTGTTGTCGAGTGCACGGTTCCACCACCGATTCTGTTCAATATGCTTCGTCAAACGAGCTCTGTGTTGGTGGTCCCTGGTCAGATCCTGGCGAAGATCGATGCCTTCGCCACCAAGGCAGCGCCAAAGCTGTGTCCAGAGACTAGGCGACCGAGGAAAGACTGTGTCGCGCAATCGCCTGAGCCATTCAATGTCATTGAGCTCTTCACGGCCGGTTGTGACGAGAAGGTGCGAGAAGCTGCGCCACTCTCGAGAATCCTCGCCGCCGAGAACATCACGGAGGCGGTCCGTCAGCGTCGCATTCCTGCTGCTTGGCGAAAAGAGGAGCTCGTCGACCTCGGCCTGGCGATCGAGAAAGGGCAGCAGGACAGACGAGTCGGCGAGATGAACCGTGACGGCCACCTCTCCCTCCGCGCTTTTGCATTCATGCAGAGAAGCGGGCCCTGGGCCAGGCACCTGCGCGGGACCAGACCTGCCAAAGGAGAGGGACAGGCGCTTCTGCGGTTCTGGAGCGGCGCCACGCGCGCTCTGTGATTGTTTTGCCGTGTAGATGGGCTTGCGCGCATCGATCGCTGGCAGCTCTCGCGGCGCCTTGAGAATGGTGAGCGAGCACGAGCCAGAGCGGGACCGCCGCGACCAGTCTCCATTCTCGACCTTCTCGTCGGGCCGGTCGTCGAGAGGCGACGAAATCTGCGTAGATGCCGTCATCGAATGTAGTTTCGGACCCTGGAATGTCTGGTGTTGCTTTGAGGTGAACTCAGCCTCGTTGCCGTGATGTATGTCCTACTGATGAGAGGGCTCGCGGTTTTGGTGCTCGTTGCTTGTTGCTTGGTGCTCAGTCGTCGCTTTTGTTGTCGTTGTCGTCTCTCATACACCATATATTTGATCACAGCCACCGTCACCTCTGCAGTCGGAGGGTCGCCCTCTGCGCTGTCATGGCACTCTACAGCCCTCTGCTGAATTTGGAATCGAGAAAGAAGGGGGAAAGGGACCAGCGGATCGAATCAAGCGAGAGGTAGGCGGGCAGAGGTGAGAGGCATCGAGCCGCCCAGATTTTATTTTGTTCTGGCCCATGCAGGCAAGGCAAGCTAGCAAGCTAGCTAGCTTGCTAGCTAATCGATCGGGCGATTAAAGCAGTGCAGGACGTGAGGCCGTTCCTCGCGAGCTTGAGTCCAGCAGTGGCGGGAGAAGCGGGCGGGGGAGGGCCTCGCCTGGCCACTCAGCACGGAACAGAGACTGGAAGGCCCTGTGGGCGAATGACCCGTGACGAAAATGACTTGCCTGACGCTACCCCGCAACGGAGAGCAGCAGGGCTTTTTTTTTTTTCAAGCTTGGACCCTAGATCATCATCAGTAGGCCTCCAGCCCCACAAATCGAGTGGACGCTATCAATCGCGCGAGGAGATATTTTCCAGGTTCACCGAAAAATAAAGTCCAATCCAAAAGAGGGCGTGCACGGGGTCCAGGCAGACACAGCCTCGCCGTCTTCCGTGTCGTCATCTCCTCAGTGTGTCGCAAGGGGCCGCAACGTCACGAAAGAGAAGAGGAGGGGTCCAATGAGCAGCAGCAGGAGATTTGGGGCAACGAGCAATGACGGCATTGATTCCTATCTTTTCCATCTCAGCACCTGGACTTTCTTTTGCGCCGGCAGAGGCAACCCGTCCCCATCCGCCCATCGCATTTCAACCTCCCTCCAAATCTCGCTGACCTTGACCTCTTGCATGCCCAGGGATTTGAACAGCGCGAGGCTCGGTGCGTTGTCGAGCCCAATCTTGACGAGGAAGTTCCGCGGTTGCAGAGGCAGGGCTCGGCTAGGTGCCGAGGGCGACGAGCTCACAGATGGCACAGGCGTGGGCGATGTCGATGCGTAGTGAATGAGGAGCGAGAGGGCCTCGCGTGCCAGCCCCTTTCTCCGTTCCGACGGCTCTGCTTTTCAATTTGAGCTTGTTGGCGGGAGGACAGGAAGAAAAGCTCGGCTTACCTGCGATCATGACTTCGAGCTCGGCGTCCATCGCCGGAGACTTCGCAACGGCAGATGGCTTCCCCGCCCCCGCCGTCTCTTCGTCCTCGTCCTCGTCCTGGCTTGGCGAGAGAAAGAGGTTGACATCACCGGCCATCTTGCACTTTGCAAGGAATTGTGAGACCTCGTCCGCGTCTGCCTCTGTGTCTGGCACATATACACTCTCGTCCCTCGAGAGCACAATGAAGGTCAGCTCTGTTGGTGCAAGGGCTTGTCAGCTACTTTACGCCAACGAGTCTGACGGCCAAGGTGCTCACTGTCATCGTCAAGATGCCACGACCTTTGCATGTCATGCTCCTCCTCCAGACTGAGCGGCTCCGACGCTGTCTGTTGTCGGATCTCTGGATCCGTCATCCATTGGTGATACTGCAGAAGGATCAGACTCGACGCTTTGCGATGGGGAGGAGAGGGGAGAGCGTACACTTGCTGAAATCGACAGCTCACCTTCTCGACATGCTCGCTGCGATAGGGCACGAGGACCGCCCTGCTGCCCACCAGAACTGTCTCTTCATTTACCTTCATCGGGAATATCGACGACAGTCCTGACACAGGGAAGAGAAAAAAAAAGCCAAAAAAAATAACCGCGTGTTGAGTCGGGCCGTGCGCGAAACGCCCTCCGAACAACAGAATGCACGTCCTGGGATGCGCGGACGACTGAGCCCGCTGCTCGGCTTGTCAAACCGCGAAGAAGACCAATTCAAAGATGGTGGCGACGCTTGCTGGGCGAGAGGTGCTCCCGCCATGCGTCGACGGCCGCAGCCCCCAGAAGACAAATGACAAAGGAGAAATCAGAGGGCGTATTGACCGCTAGCTCCTCGCAAAGCAAGCAAGCAAGCGAGCGAGCGAGCCCGCAAGAAGAAATGGGGGAAAAGCGCGAATTTTGCCTCGAGTCGATGCAAATCCGGCGTGCGCGATCCGTAGTGTGTTTCTTATTCTGGTTGTTGTTGAAACAAAAACAAAGCGTGTGCGCGCGTCTCTCTATCTCAATATTCAGATTTCAGCCCGACCAAGCCACCCAGCCAGTCTAAGTCTGCCTGCCTGATCTTACCGTGTGGACCTGGCTGAAACAACGCTCGTGCAGCACCTTCGCTGGCGACCTTTGCTTCAAAGGGGACCTTCGAGCTGCTCCTTTCTGTTCTGCCACCACAAAGACGGAAGGAAGCTCTTGTTGTCCGTGCAGAGCCCGAGGCCAAGCCACCAGAGAAGGGCAAGCACGTGAGAGCGGGGTACTCTCCAGGAAGGAAGATCCGACGCGGGGAGGGCCTCACCAACCAACGACACAGCATAGAGATCCCGAAAGGGCACTTCGCCTGCTGCGAAAAAAAAGGGCTTGAAAATCGCCCTCGAGCATCGCCTCTTGGAGGGAGACATCACTCCCTTCTCTTGGTCGAGGAAGGACGGCGACACGTGCACGCGACACAGCATGCCATCCTGGCAAGGCCTCAAGGGACACCGGGCAGCCAAGCCCTCTGCTTCGCCAGACACTGGTCACGGCGACCAGCATGCCGACACTGGCAGCGTAAGTCGAGCCGAGTCGAGGCAGGGCTCCGCTTCTCCTCCTGCCGTTGGCACACCACCTCATGACGTCGTTGGCCGCCTTCGAGTCCAGATCTTGGGCGCCAGTGGGCTGGCAAGCAAGGACCGAAACGGCAAGTCGGATCCATTCATCGATGTCAACCTTCCTGGTGCACCACCATTGTCAGTCACAGGAGGTAGCAGCGGCGGTACTGGCCAGCGCAAGAGAGACAAGGACTTTTACCGCCGCACGACGCCGGTGCAGCCCAAGACGCTAGAGCCGACGTGGAAAGAGACCGAGGCGACGTTCGAGTGGGACGTGACGCCCCAGTGGTACGGTGTCACAGGAAGCCAGCCACGCACGCCAGATATCGGACTGTCAGAGTCGGTGCCGACGTCCGAGTCCGAGATGGAGCCAGAGGGTGCCGATGCCGACGAGGAAGACGAGAGCGAGGGCGAAGATGAGGAGAACCAGACAGCCGTCCTGCAACCGGTGGAGGACCAGTCGGCTCTCAAGACGCCCAAGATCCTTGTCGGCACAAAGCACGCCGAAGTCGAAGACGAAGACGACCACAAGCTGGTCCTCGGCGAACAAGTGGACGTCCCGAGCAAGAGCAGCAGCCACCTTGCTGCAGAAACAACTCCGCAGCGTCCTTCTAATGTGCGCAAGCTCTCTGGTGCAGCCGGCAGAATACTTGCTGCGCCGGTGCGCATGACCTACAAGGGCACCGTGGCAACGACTAGAGTCGTCCGCAAGCGCGGTCGGCCACGCCCGATGCGCCTTCGCAAAGATGCCAGCCAGAACCAGCATCGCATCCCCGCTGGGAGCGCGCTTCTCAATGCGCATGGCCACCTGCACTCGTGTGTTGGCAGCATCGAATTCGTCGTCTGGGACAAGGACAAGTGGAGCGGCAACGACTACATGGGCGAATGCAGCCTCGAAGTCTCGCAGTGGTTCCAGGAGGGGAAGAGTGCAGCGTGGTCGACCAGCGAGGTGATAATTTGTCTTGTCTTGATCGAAACAACTGAGGGACACTCTATCTTGCTGACACGGTCTCCTCTCCGCAGCCCCTCGAGCTCCCGCTTGTTTCCACTCGTCGCAGCGCAAAGGTCAGTGGGAACATACGTGTTCGCGTGGGCTTTGTAGACGACGAGGGCTCCTCGAAGGCCTGGCCGAGCGTGGACGAGCTCTACTCCCGCCTGCTGGCTTCTACGCGGCGTGTCGAGGGTGCTGGAATCCGTTCGGTGCCTGCCAGCGAGTCGGTTGGTACCACGGGCCTGGCCGAAGCCTACGTCGATGACGGCCTGAGCAGCGGGTCTGAGTCGGAAGCACGCGAAGAGCTCTTGACCGACGAAGAAGACGATGACGACGACGCCTCGATTGCCAGCTTTGAAGACGGCTTGACAACGACAGACGCTGAAGACTATTCGGACTCGGGCGCTGAGTATCTTGGCCATGCCCGGCCGAGCCCAAGCCCACCTTTGGGTTCGACGTCGGACTTGAAAGAGGCAGCTGCTGCAGCCTCGACGACACCGCGCAGAAGCGTGCTACCTCGACGCCTGCGCAGGGAGCGAGGCGGTGACCAAAGCGGGTCGGCGAGCGACCTGGGCGAGATGGAGCAGAAACAGAGGCGATTCAGAAAGAAGAGCGAGCCACGCCGACGACGTCGCTTGCCGTCAAAGAAGGATGCCCAGGTCGCTGAAGAAGGAGACGAGGAAGGTCGACGAAGGCGAAAGCAGGCTCGAAAGCGTCGTCGTCAAGATCAAGACTTTGCCTTCAAGAGCGAGATGGGCCTCGACATCATCGGCATCGTCCAGCTGGAAGTCAAAGGAGCTCAGGACCTGCCTCGTTGGAGAAACAGCCTGGGAACATCGTTTGACATGGATCCGTTCGTCATTGTTTCGTTTGGCCAGAAGATCTTTCGGACTCGCGTTGCCCGTCATACGCTCAACCCGACGTGGGACGAAAAGCTGTTGTTCCACGTCCGTCGCCATGAGGAGAACTTCGTCACGAAGCTGGCCATCTACGACTGGGACAAGCTCAGCTCAAACGACTTTGTCGGTGCAACTTCGATCTCCATCGACGCTCTCATCAAAACTGCACCCACCCCGGATCCAGAGACGGGTCTATATGCGGCCAGCGACGACGGCATGCACGACATGATCACCTATGCCCTCCCGCTTCAAAGGGACGAAAAGTCAGAGGATGGAAAGACATTGGGCAAGCATTCGCCGATCCTCAGTGTCGAGGCCAAGTTCACACCTTACGACTCCTTGCGCCAGCGCTTCTGGCGGCAGCTTCTGATGCAGTACGACACGAATGACAGTGGCACGCTGAGCAGCCTCGAGCTGGCCACCATGCTCGATAGCCTCGGAAGCACACTCTCTGCGCATACGATCGGCAGCTGGTTTGGCCACTTCAACAAGAAGCCGGACGAACAGGAGCTAAGCATTGACGAGTGTATCTATTCCCTCGAATGGGAGATCAAAAAGCCATGGAGCGAGAAGCGCTACGTGGCAGAAGCTCCTCTGGACCTGCCATACACGCCTGCCGGCAGCGGCACTCAGACGCCTGCGACGAGCGATGTGGCCTCGGGCTCGATTGCGATGGATTACTCTGGTCCTGCTGCGCCGTCTGCCGGCCACGAAAAAGAGCTGGCTGACAAGAAAATTCCTGTACCCATGACTGTTGTCGAGGACCTCACCACTGGACAGCACACCAGCGAAGCTAGTGTCAAGCCTCTTGGGACGACGAGTGGCGCCAGAACTCCCGGTGTCATCGAGCGAGACATGTCCGCACTATCGCTGGGCACGACAACTTCAGCGTCAACAACAGATTCATCGGCTTCGCCTAGCCATTCGGTCAAACCGGGTGCAGATCGAGCACGGTCGCAGTCGGCGACCTCAGACGCAGCTTCGTCCTCTGGTGCGGGCGAGCGCCAGGTCGAGAGGGTCATTGTGCTCAAATCGTGCCCGCTGTGTCACATGCCTCGACTGTCAAAGAAGGCAGAGGTGGACATCGTGACGCACCTTGCCGTGTGCGCTTCGCAGGACTGGCGCCGCGTCGACTCGATGGTCGTCGGCAACTTCGTCACGGCTTCGCAAGCCCATCGCAAGTGGTACACCAAAGTATTCACCAAGATCTCGCAGGGTCAGTACCAGCTGGGCGCCAACAGCGCCAACATCATTGTCCAGGATCGCATCTCGGGCGAGCTCCTCGAGGAGAAGATGCAGGTCTACGTCCGGCTGGGCATCCGCTTGTTGTATAAGGGCGCCAGGTCACGCATGGAGGGCGCCAGGATCCGGCGGATGCTCAAGAACATGAGCGTCAAGCAGGGTCAAAAGTACGACTCGCCGTTGAGTGCCAGAGAAATTCCTCAGTTCATCGCCTTCCACAACTTGAATGTCGACGAGATCAGGGACCCGCTCGACAGCTTCAAGACGTTCAATCAGTTCTTCTATCGAAAGCTCAAGGAAGGCGTCCGGCCTGTCGCGGACCCAGAAGACCCAACGACGCTGGTGTCGAGCGCAGACTGCAGGTTGATGGCCTTTGCCAGCACCGACGAGGCCACCAAAGTCTGGATCAAAGGCCGGGAATTCACGGTCGAGCGTCTGCTCGGAGACAAATTCAAGGGCAAAGTCGAAAAGCTGCACGGCGGCGGGCTCATCATTTTCCGACTGGCTCCTCAGGACTACCACCGCTTCCACGTCCCTGCCGATGCGACGGTGGGCGACATTACATTCATCGAGGGGCAGTACTACACGGTGAATCCCATGGCGATCCGAAGCACTATTGACGTGTATGGCGAAAATGTACGGTGCGTGGTGCCGTTCCACAGCGAGGAGTTTGGCACGTTCTACTGCATCTGTATTGGCGCCATGATGGTCGGCTCCATCAATCTGACCGTCAAGACTGGCGACCGGGTCAAGCGCGGCGACGAGTTTGGCTACTATGCCTTTGGGGGCAGCACAAACGTCTGCGTCTTTGAAAAGGGCATCGTGCAGTTTGACGAGGATCTCCTGGCCAACTCGAGGGCGGCTACGGAGACGCTTGTCCGAGTCGGCATGCGCATCGGAAAGAGGGCCGCCTAGACGATGCAGCCCTGCCCTTTTTCTTTCTCCTCTCTTTCTCTCTCCATTCTTCCCCTTTCTCCCTCCTTTTCCCCTCGCGTCCTAATGTCAAGTTAATTTCACACATGTTCATGGTAATGCATCAGGGTAGGCTTCCTCACGACCAAACAAATTCTCGTCCAAAGAAGAGGGACTTCGCTCGCTGGCTACTGCTTCTGCTACTGCTTGATTCCAGACTTGTATGAAGAAGAGCAAGGGAGAAAGGACCGACGGATGCAAAGAGGACGAAGTAGTGGGAGTTTGGCAAAAGGGGGAGGAGGTTGGGGGCTAAAAAAGGAACCGTCTGAATGTGCCGCTATTCGTCGCCGTAGATAAGGGAGGGGGGAAACAAAAGTAGCAGCAGAATGGTATCGCGGTCCAAAGGTGGAAAGAGAGGATTAGGAGGACACCGGGGACAGAGTACAGAAGGCGAAGAAGATCAAAGGTGGGAAATTCTTGGACGAAAGGGGGAAAGGTTGTAGACTGGCAAAATCAAGCAGAGAGGGCAATGACAGCAGCGACGGCGAGGGTGACGACGAGGGCAGAGGAGACGGCGACGCGGCTGACAGAGTCTGCAGCCGTTCCACCCTGGATCATGCCGAGCTTTGGCTTTTGGCTCTCCTTGTCGACGGCGTAGTTTGCTGCGTACTGTCCCGGCAGGCCACACGTCGAGGCAAAGTTCTGGTGGCACGAATCCCGGCAGGCGGTGCGCTCTGCCGTCGTTCCGCCAGGCTTCATGCAGTCGTCGGTGCAGGTGGTGCTGCGGCCGGTGCAGTCGGCAAACTGGACGGGCCAGTTGTACTGCTGCAGGTTGGCGTCGCCCTTTGTGCACGAGCACTTGGTGGCCATGGTGTCAACGTTGCAGAAGTTGTCCTTGATTGTCGCGCCGGCTTCCTTGCAGCCGGCCGTCTGGCAGAAGCTTGTCTGCTGGTCGCAGATAATCTGGCGCTGCTGCTGCGTGTGGTTGAGCAGGTTCCAGTTGATCGTGGGCATGTCGGCCGTGTCGACGACCTGCATCACGTAGGGGTTGCTGCTCTGGACGACCAGTGCCGGATTCCACGCGGCGGTGGCATCGGGCTTGGGCAGGGTAAAGTTGCTCGATGCCGTCCGAGGGGCATCAGAGACCGTGGACGGGAGCGCAGAGACGTTGTAGTATGGCACCGACGCTGCCGGGGTGGACGACGAGGCGGCCGAGGCGACAGCGGAGCTGGGTGCTTCAGTGTCGGTGGAGATGATACGGGCAGTTGAGGCAGAATTGAAGCCAACGGTGGGTCGAGACACCGTCGCGGCAGCGGCCGTGTTGATGCTCAACGTGGCCGCGTCAGTCGTGCTCTGAGCAGACGCTGCCGATGCGCCCAAGGCGACGGCAGCGAGTCCGAGTGAAAAGAAGCGCATTGCGAGACTGCGTGCGGAGAAGAATTGGGAGCGGCCAAGATGTAACGCGGGGAGGAGCAAAGACCGGGTGGAAAGCCGGGTGGGACGAGAAGGGAAAGCAAACGAGGGTCGGACAGCAGAGGGCTTGGTGATGAGCCGGCGCAGCGACTGGATCTCGCTGTCGTCGTCTAGGTCCAGCCAGAAGTCGAGATGGATAGGGAGTAAGGAGAGCGCAAGGGGGGGAAGAGGGCGTAGAAAGGGGACACGAGAGTGGTGGGTTCTGGGGCAAAAGACGGATGGTGAGGAGAGATGGCGCGCGAATTTCGATTTGTGGGTAAAACACTCAGATGCGGAGAAGCTACAAATCGACTCACATCCCTTTTCAACGTCGTGCTTTTCATTACCTTTTCTAAAACACAAAAGAATAGTCGGATTTTATTATGATTATCACGTTGAATCTTGAATAGTGTTGCAGAAATTTTCGGTCACCAACCTTGTCATCGCTAGGCGTCTGCCTGTCCCGAAGGGGACGCCAGAATGCAGCGCTCGGACTTCAGGCAGCGCTAAGAACATGACTATTGTCCGACGCTGTCCACGGCAGGATAATGCATCAGCTTGTCTGGCGCTTACCCGGCGCCGGTCTCACTTTCTGGAGCATCACTAGATTTAGATATATCGAATGCCTGCATTCGTCGGAGAGTGACGAGGAAGTAAGAGGGAAAGAGAGACGAAGCATGCTTAATTCTCCACGTCTTGGGCCTTGCCCTCCTCTGGTTGGCGAACAAATTGAACGCAGCACTATCCCGATAGGCAGCCCACAATCAAAAATCCCAATTTAAATATTTAGCATCAAGCTTTCTCTCCCTCCTCCCAGCACGGTACGCCATCGATCGACCGGCAACGACCATCACACCCCCACCACGTATTCCACCATTATAACTTATTTTAGTCTACACTGCCTCGAGAGACGTCCGGGTGAAGGTTTCTCGGAGCGTGGGAAAACGACGCAGGGACGGAACCTTGGCCTACCTTCCTTCTTCTCTATCTCCCCTCGCTTCCCTTCGGCTAGCCGCTAGCAAAGGCTCGTTTACACCTCCTTTCGGTTCGTCAGTCGCTTCAAGAGCCTCGTCAACCTGTTTCTGGTCCAACTGCACAAATTAGGTCGGGCGTTCGAAAGAGGATAGACGGAAGGACGTGCGCGAGGCAGAGAAGCTCTCAACTACGCTGGCCAGCAGTTGAGTAAAGTAATCGTCGGAGATACTTGATACTTCAGCGCCCGCTCTCCGTGACCCCTGACTCGACAAGGCTTAGGCAAGGCTAGACAAGGCTCGGTAAGGTCCTCAGAGACTACATTTGTGCGTCAACTCTTCGTTTGCTCTCCTTTCCACGCTCTATCGTTGCTTGAATCGCTCAACGCGACACAGCGGCCATGGGGCTGTGTATGTCTACCGAGTCGCACGATGACTCACCCGAGGCAAAGAGGAGCAAGGCGCTGGATCGCGAGCTCAAGATTGAGGAGAAGCGAATGAACAGGGAGATCAAGCTGCTGCTTCTCGGGGCGGGCGAGAGTGGCAAATCGACGATTCTCAAGGTGAGTGAGAGCGCATGGACTTTCTCCTCTAGCACTACTGCCATTTTCTGACTCGCATCTTTCTACCAGTCGATGAGGCTTATTCACCAAATTCCCTTCACGCCCGCTGAGCGGGAGCACTTTCGGAGGATGGTTTTCCTTAACCTGGTTCAAGGCATGAAGCTCATCCTCGATACCATGGAGGAGTGGGGCGCTGAGCTGGAGCACGACGAATACAATGTGAGTCGACTGCAGTCTCTTCGTTGTAATGCTCACATCCTGACTTGGTGGGTCCTCTGCAGAAATTCTTGATCCTCTTTGTCAAATACCCCGACATCGCCGAAGAGGAACCTTTTCCCACAAGCTACTACGAGCCGCTACGATTGCTTTGGAATGACGCTGGTGTCCAGGCCGTCTTCCGCAGAGGAAATGAGGCTGCCGTACCCGAGAACATGACCTAGTGAGCACTCATCTGTTGGATCTCGTCCAATACCATTCTTTTGCTAATCCAGATCGGTTGTTAGCTTTTTTGCCGACCTGGATCGCTTCTTTGAGCCAAAATACAAGCCGACCGACTCGGACATCTTGCGGTGTCGGAACAAGACGACTGGCATCATTGAGACAACGTTTCCGATCGATGATCGTACTTACAGGTAAGTCAAGCAGCCAGCCACGCCACTTCTTCTCCTGAACGTCGTCTGACCTCGTTCAGAATCTTCGACGTTGGCGGTCAACGCTCCGAGAGGAAGAAATGGATCCACTGCTTCGAGAACGTCACGGCTGTCCTCTTCACTGTCGCGCTGTCTGGGTACGACAGCTGCATTGTCGAGGATCAGGACGCGAACCAGATGCAAGAGGCCATCTGGCTCTTTGACTCCATCTGCAACGCAAAGTGGTTCGTCCGAACCTCGATGGTCAGTCCTCACTTGCGATTCCCTCCTTGCGAACTAGCGCTCACTCCGACACGCCATCTTTGCAGATTTTGTTCCTCAATAAGGTCGACATCTTCCGGACAAAGATAATGTACTCGAGCATCAAAAGATACTTTCCAGATTACGAAGGCGATGATCAAGACTTCAGCGCGGCGAGAAACTTCTTTCGAGCGCGGTTCTGCAAGATGAACAGGTCTACGACCAAGGAGATCTACCCCAGCTTTACAAATGCCACCGATACGAGCCTGCTTAAGATTGTTATGGCCAGCGTCACCGACATCATCCTGACCAACAGCCTTAGAGATAGTAAGTCATCTCTTCTGGTCCTGTCAACCTCACATTGCTAATCCTTCGTTCACAGACCTTTTCTAGGATAGCAATTACACTTCTCTATTGTCTTTCAACTGCCATTGATTCTGCATACATCCTCCTAGCCATCCATCACCACCACCTCACACACTTCCTTGTATTTCATCTGCTTCTTCTTCCAAACACGCATCTGTTCCCTTCCTAATTTGGCCATCCAGCGCTGGATTTTCAACCGGCTTTGGCTGGCTAGCGCACAGACCTCCATCATGAGGCGCGATGTCCCCTTTTTAACTTTAGCTCTACCAGCACACACACAGCCCGCAGCGTCTTGCGCCATGTCTGCGCCCTTCTACCCACCGCAGCTCCTGCTGCTACCGATCCAGCTGCAGCATCGTCTGCCCCCGCCCTTGCAGTCGGTCGAGCTGGAGCCTCTGCTGCTCCTGCACACTTTTCTCTCGCTGCCCATTTCGACGTACACGGTCAAGCCGTCGTACGCCTTTCCACTGGCCCTCTTTGGCCTCGTCGCGCTGCACCTCCAGTCGGGCCTCCTGGCGCACTTTCAGGTCCTTTGGCTCGTCAGCGTCGCCCTCGATGTCGTCTGGCTCCTGTACAAGGGCAGCACCGCCTCGAGCACCGTCGTCTTTCTCGTCGGCATGAATATGCTCCTCAAGCTCGTCAGTGCCGGCGCCGTCGCGCGGGTGCTCGAGAGCGGCGGCGAAGTCCGGCTCGAAGGCGGCGGCGCTTGGGGAGCATCGTCGGCGAGTGGGCCTGGCTGGATGGGCGCGAGTGGCCTTCCAGGTGTATGGAATGGTGCGAGTGGTGAGTCGCTTTTCCCGCCGCCCACATTTGAGCATGGGCAACACTGACAGTCTATCAAACGCAAGGAGGGGCGAGGTATCAGACCATCTACGACGACGGCCAGGATGCCGCGGTAGGAGGCTATGCAACAGAAGCAGACGCTCCTCCAATCGTCTCACCCGTGTCAGCTCCTCGGCCCTCATCTTCGGCGCCTCAACGATCCGGCGCACAGCAACAGCCAGGGCAGGGGCAAGGACAAGCAGCGCAAGCGACTAGCGGCGACAAAGGAGGCAGCTATCAGACCATCGCGTGACGTTCATATAGAATGCGCGAAAAAAGGGGTCCTTTCCTCCCTCAAATGTCATTGATCCCGCTAGGAATGAAAAGAACGAGGTCATAGAACAGAGAGAGGAAGTGGTAGAGAAGTGGAGCGAATTTTAAAGACAACAAATGCTCTAGTCTGCAAAGAAGGATCGAATGATGCGGCTGTTTGCAAGGGCACCCACAGCCGAGGGCCCGCTGCCTTGCCTGGGCTCGACCTGCAGGGAGCGGCTGTACAGCGCCTCTTCGTCCCAGACGGGAAGGTCCTCGACGAGGCGGTCAACCTTTGTCGTCGCCTTCTTGTTTGTGCTGGCCATCGTCGAGGTGCCGGAGGCAGCCGGCTGAAAGTCGTACTCCTGACACTTGACAATGGCGCCCACAGCGTCGTCCATCAGGCTAAACTTCCTCCAATGGACCATGGCGTCGCTGGCCCGTTTTGAGGGATTGCCGTCTGAAATCGATAGAATGTCCTGGAGATGGACGCCGAGGTAAGGAATCGTCTGGCCTTCGGAATTCTGCAGCGCAAGCCGATAGGCGGCGAAGCTGCGATCACTTCCCATGAGCCTGGCCAAGCTCTGGTAGGCCTTGTTGACCGGCTTCCCATTGAGGAGCTCCCTGGTATGCTTGAGCCGGTGAACTGCCGCGTTGCCAAGCCCAGCGAGGACGGCCTGCAAGGAGTTGTAGTTGTTCTCATGGCGCAGAATGACAGCGATGTTCATGAATTTCTCCAGCATCCTCGCCCTCGGCTTCAGCTTGGCCTGGACGAGAATCATGGAGCAGACCCAGAAAGAGACGTAGTTGAAGTGGGCAATGCTACGCGCCACGGGCGCCTCCTTTTCGCGCATGTGCCGATCGACGAGAATGTGACGGAGCAGGTCTCTGGGCCGGATCGCCGTGAAGAGGATCCACTCAAGGCGCGTCAGCTCTTGGGCTACCAACTCGTCGTCGACTTCAAATAGGGCGTTTGAAGCTGCACGCAGCCTCGTCTTTTGGTCTCCAAGCGTCGCCGAGGCAACCATGCTGGAGGAGGTGGAATCCGCTTTGCCCATGGTGCTGCTGCTCGCTGTCCCAGCCACGTTCGTCGCTGCAGAGCCGCTGGACCCAGCGCCAGCGCCAGCGCCCGACCCTGCTCCTCCCACGCTGGGAACCGAGCCTAGGCGAGTGGAAGAGGCCGCAGGCGAGACCTGGCTGGATGCGCTCGCATCGTAGAAGTTTTCGTTTGTGCCGCTCCCAGACCGTGCCCGAACGGAAGATTCATCGACGAGACTGTTGCTGGCGCTCGTGTTGGCGCTCGCGCTAATTCCACCGCTCGTACTGCTTCCTTGATCCTCGCTTGAGGCCGCCGTGACGTCAGATGCGCTCCTGTGTCGAGTCTCGAACCCGGCAGGACGGGCCTGCAGCAGATTTCCATCAAAACCGCCTGAGGCCGCTTCCTTCGCAGAGGATGTGTCCGAGTAGGCCCGAGACCTTGTATCGCTACCGGCGTTGCTGGTAGTACCGTCTTGAGTCCCACTGTCGACGTGATGCGCTGAGGAAGGAGCAGAGGAAGGCGCCGACAGGACGATGCGATCGCGATCCACGTGGGCCAGCGATGCGTCGCTGCTCTCGAGCATCGGTACCGGCTTGACGGGTGGGACGTCGGCAGCCACCGACTGGGGCTTGTGATTGTCTTGGTTCTTGCTCCATACCGCATCGAGATCCGGCGCCGATTGGACGACATCGAGGAGCGGCTCGAGTTGCACCGCCAGATGACGGCTCGACTCGTTGACCGGAAGAAAGTCATCGAAGAAGCTCTTCAGCATGGGGAACGTTTCAGGTCCCGACAGATCTCCAGGATAGTCCCTCATCCAATCGGCAAGCATCGTAGTTAGTCTGTTCATCGGCAATTAAAGTGAGCTTCCAAAGGTCGGTAAAAAGAGAATAGGATCAGAGGCTCACCTCATCATTGAAAATCGAATGATGGTGCCATCATGTCGCTCGCCCTCTGCGAGCTTCCCAAAGCGCGAAACGAGCTGCCTAAGCAGATCACTGGGCCTGGCGAAGCCTCGGTAGAAGATCATGAACATGAAGAGGAACTTGTGTTCCTCCCCAGAGACGGCGGCAAAGAAGAGCTTGTCCCATAGCTCCTCAATCGAGACGTAGCCACCGGCCGACTTGGCGCTCTGAAGGCCCATTTGCGCGCGGCTGATGCTCTGTTGAACAATGTGCTTGTCGTCTTCCGAGGCGGAGCCCACAACGGAAGGAGCATCGACAGAGGCGACAGAGGCCGTTGTTGCATCGCTCAGCTTCCGGTTCACTCGAGACCGTTCGCCAAGTTCACCTCCGTTGAAGCCATCTCGCCCGAGGCCGCTGCTCCCTGCACCACTAAGGGAGCCGCTGTCGGCAGCTCCGGCCTGAGAAGATTGGGCAGCCGCCCCATCCGAGATTGATGAGGCCAATGAGGAAGAGAGTGCTTCGGTCTCGTCGAGACCAACCCGGCTGGTTTCAGCTGTCGAGACCTTGGTCGACTTGACATCGTCTGTCGAGGTTGCGCTAGTGGCGCCCGGCGTAGAAGTGGAAGTTAGGGAAGCAGCTCCACTGCGCTGGCTGGAGGTCGAGGAAGAGGGCAAGGAACCATCAAAGGCCAAGCCTTTGCGAGCGCGAACCTTGACGACGTCCTTGACCAGGTACGAGAAACAATCGCGCATCCTCCGCTTGCCCTCTTCCGTATTGACGCTGCATTCGGCTAGGCCAACATTGTAGACGCCGGCCATGTCGCTGGCGTACCACGGATCGACTGCTTTTGGCTCAATGTCGGACTTGCAAGCTAGCATGACGGTGCTCAGACTGTGAACGGAGAAGTTCTCGAGGAGCTCCGAGATGCCGCGAAATGAAGACAGCTGAGCAGCGTCGTAGCACAGGCACACTGCGTCGAGCCTGGGCAAGAATTTTGGCCATGCAAAGCGCTTGTTGGGGCCGTTGAGGAGGAGGGAGGCGTCGATCTCAATGACCTCGATGGACCGCTGCTCTTGATCCACGACGCACATCGTTGAGTGCGACTTGACTTTTTCCGAAAAGGAATTGGACTTGAAGAGACCATACTGGCGCAGCCCTTTCTTGATCACCGTCGATTTGCCGGCACCCCGGTGACCAACGACGCCAATGACGAAGCAGGCACTCGACTTGGGTGGGTATTGCATCTGCTGCAGCAGGCTCGCATTGCTCCCGCTTCGACTTCGGTTGCCGCCGCCCGATCCTGAGCCCACTCCCGAGCCGGCGGAGGTGTTATTACCTCCTGCTCCCGCCGATCCGCCACCGCCGCCGCCATTGGTATTGCCTGTCCCTCCATTTGCGCCTGCGCTCGACAATGTCGTATCTCCTACTTGCGCCTGCATTGAAGCGGCACCCGTCGAGCTGGTCGATAAATTGCTCACGCTTGTCCCCAAGACTGAGCCTCGGCTACTGCTGTTGGACAGGCTCCTGGGGCTCGTCATGACAGAGTCGTTGATTCGCACAGACCGAGCGCCGCTTCGATATCCACTTGAGCTGTCTGCGCTCCAGCTCGTGTACATTGCCTGCGACCAAGCTCCCAATCCGTCCTCATCGCCCTCTCTCATCATCGACGACAAAATGGCATCGGCAGGTGAGATGTAATCGCCCGTAGAGCTCATAAAATCAGCTGGAACCAAGTCGTCGTCGTCCTTGCTGTCGTCATTGGCTGCGTGTCCGGATGCAAGCGCATTCGGAGGCGATGCCGACGGCAGGACCATCTCGTTGCACAGCATAGACCGAGGTCGTGCTCGCTGCAAGGGTAGCGGGATCTGTTGCGACAACTTGGGCCCCTCGAGGATGCCGGGCACCGCGCCCACGGTCGCGCCTCGAGGGCGCCCTCGAATCGTTCCACTGGGACCCAATGAAGACCCCGACGTGGAGGAGGTTCGCTGATGAGCATTGTCGCTCTCGGTCCTCGCCATTTCTGATGTCGGCGACGTCGAGGAGCTCTCATGGTCGCGCATCTTGCCGACTCTGCTGCTCCTTGACCGCTCCATCGAGAAGCCCCTGTCGCTAAGCTCGCGACTTTGTCTCGCTCCTTTCCCGCTCACCAAAAATGGAGGAGCAGAGCTGGGCTGAGGAGGCGGTGGCGGTGGCGAGTGAGGCATCGGTCTCGCTGGTGGAACCGTAGGGGTTCTCTTTGACCGGCTGACGATTCTCGGGCTCGTCGACGGGCTTGACATATCTGGCACGAATGACCCATCGAAGAAATTGACGATAGAGGGTGAAGCCAGCTCTGGTTCTTGGGGGCTTGAGTTTGACGGTGATGCCAAGGGCGGCAAGGATGTCGCGGAAGCCATTTCTCGCTTGATGCTCCCTGCTGCGGCAAGACCGTCAGCGTGTGTCGAGGGTTCCGAGCCTCGGATCACTGCGTCTGGCGCCGGTGACTGGCTCGCACTGATGCTGTCGCGCGGCGACAGAGTGGCAGAAGACTCTTTATTCTCTAATCGGCGCTCCCGATCGATTGCATCTTGTCGAAGCGTGGCAGATGATGCCGTAGCAGACTGTCGAGGAACAAGGTGAAGCCAGCTGGAGCCGTCGATCGACGACGAATGTCTGCTGTTGCGATTTCTTCCCTGACTGCTGGCGACAGTGTCGGGGACTGCATGAGACTCGGGTGAGCTGCCCGCGCCTGCGTCGTAAAACGCCTCTGATCCATCGTGGCTCAGGGCGGAAAAAGACCGCATGCTCTCGGGGGGTGATCCATACGTGGCCAAGTCCATCGATGCTCGCCGACCGGTCGAGGACGCCGATTGAGCACCGAGGGATTGCCTGCTCGATGCGCCCTCCCTCGCCGTCGTCATGGAGGATCGGTCCGAGACTTTGGCACTGCTTGAAGCGCCCACATTCATCCCATCCAGCTCGTCGCTTCCCCAGCCGTCGATGCCGTCCTCACCGCTTTTCTCATCCTCTTCGCCGTCATTCTCACCATCGCTTCCCCAGGCCAGCGAGCCAACTTCGGCCTCGGCGCGGCTGGTGCTGATGGTGTTGCCCCTGCGCCTTGCTTGTCTCTTCTTCATCTGATTTCGCAACAACTTGCGGCGACGCCGTGAACGAGCGTGATCCTTTGACAGACCTTCGTCTTGACCGGACCTAGCTTCCAACCTTGCCGCTCCATCGCTACCATCGTCATGGTGTGCTGGCGGAAGTCGCGGCTTCGACAGGCTCTTGGCGCGCCGACGCAGCTGCGGTTGTCGGCTGCTCGGCTGCCCAGCGTCCGTTTCTATGCCCATAGAGCTCATGTCGCTTATGCCCAGGCCAGAGAGCACCTCGTTGTCAGCCAGGCCTTGAAGCGTCTGCACATATCCTTGATGGCTATTGTGTGTCGTCGCCGCACCGTCAGCCTCTGGTCCGGTACTTTGCCCCGAGGTCGAAGAGTCACCCGCGGTCCACTCTGCCTGCTGGTTCCAAGGCGAGTTGCCGCGTGACGAGGACGACTTGGAGAGCATGTCTGATGTCCTGCTCGACCGCTTGCTCGAGCTCGATGCGCCACTGCTGCTGGCCAGGTCTGGGTAGAGCGAGTCGTGTCCTAGGGGCAGCCCAAGCCTCGAGGGGAAATCGCTCATTGTCGTGTCGCGATTGCCTCGACCTTCGCCTTGACTTCTGTGCTGGTCCTCGCCGTCTCCGACTTCTTGCGCATGTATTGCTTTCTGCTTGTCTTCCAAGCTCCGCCGCTCTCTCTGCTCCACCTCCTCATCGAGCCCTACAATCTTTGGCCCTCTGCCTCGTCTTCTCAGCCTTGCAGCTGCCGAGTCCTGTGACCCGTCCGCGGCGTGTTCATCTTCGTCATCGATGAGGACAGGAGCGGAGCCAGAAGTTGCCGTCGTGCTTGTCGAGCCCGCTCGTTCCCTGACCGAAGAGGACACAGATCCGTCCCGTTTCGCCGAGGTCGCCCGCTTGCTGGTCGAAGAGGACGCGCTGGGGTCCCTCTTTGCCAGCGACGACGATGAAGAGGAGGCACCCTGTTTGATGGCCGCCGAGATCCTGCTGAGCGACGATGCAGTGGAGCCTCTGCCTCGCGAAACGACCGCGGGCCTTCCGGCGTCCGTCGGTGGCATCGAGGAGCTGCTGTCCTTGCGCGTACGGCTCTGCCAGAAGGCCAGCGCCTGCGGCTTATTTCTCTTTTCCTGCACGCCTGGCAGCTTGGGCGTAGATGACGAAGCCTCGGCCATGATGGGCGGATACGATCTTGTCACGCTCTTATACGAAAGTGAATCTGCCACAAGTGCGCCATCGTTGTGTCAGCGAAGGGCACAGGCCAAGAGAGGACAGAGGGGGAGCGGAATGGGCAGAGTAAGAGAAGAGGGAAACCGTCGACCGAAAGCTTGCCGACCGATCCCCCTTGGAGCTTAAAAAGAGGAAAATTGTGCCCCTCTTCTGCCTGGCAATTCTCCGAACTCTAGCTGGAGGTGCCAAGGGGCCAGAGTGCGCAGCACCGGGCAAAGAGCATGACACCAGCAAGAAAAATAGCGGCAGTCGCAGCAGCAACAATGGCAGGTGTACGGCCGACACTCCCCCACGCTCCCAGACGACGCCCTCCTTCAGGAACAATGGGAGACCGATTCAGCAGAAGTCCCGCCCCAGTCGGGCAAGGACTTTGCATTGCCTCTGCTGCCTCTCTCTCTCTCTCTCTCTCTCTCTTTTTTCCACTCGCCATGTCATGCACGCTCGAGACCTGCTTTCGATCGACTCACCCGGTGCTGTTATGCGTATGTGCCTTGTGACCCCCTTTCAAAACGAATCCTTCGAGTCGGTCGACGGCAGGTGTAAGGAAAGAGGAGGGGGAGGCGAGGGGTATAAGTGCCGTTGTCTTTTCCTAAAGTCGGTCGTCAAAGTCGTCGATGGGCCCCATCCATTGCTTCTGGCCCATGCAAAAGATCGTTGAGAGAAGAAGCTCGTCCCGCCCTATTGCAGATGGCCTTGGTGTCGCTCAACACAGAATGTCCTTCGTCGTTGTCGTCGTCGTCGTCGTCGTTGTCGTCGTCAATGGGAGCGTCAAAGAAGAGGGAGGCAGAGCTGCCGCGCCACTTTCTTTCTTTTCCGAGTCCTCAGCCGGTCCGGATGGCGGCTTTCCTTTTTGGGGAAAAAGGGAGAGAGATGAAGGATGCCCGCTACTCGCGCAGGGGCGTTGATGACAATGTGGGAGAGAGAGAGAGAGAGAGAGAGAGAAGATTGCGGGCGTACCTTAGATGCCTCTATCGCGTCGTCTGCCCGCCCGTCGGGTGATGGCCGTCCGTGTGTGTGATGGGGCCGTACGAAATGCCGTGGAAGAAAATAAAAATAAAAAAGGAGGGAGAAGCAGGAAGAGCAGGAAGCCAAACGCTCAACGTTGCGTGACACGCGTCAAAGGGGTACACGGCGGAGGATAGATGGAGCGTGTGAGCGGTCTGCACTAGCCCTACTGCTGCTAAAACGTTAGTAGTGGCATAAGTAGCAGCAACACGGCAAGACGCGCAACTGCAGGATTAAGGAAAAGGAAAGTGACACGAAAGGAAATATTAAAGTGCGCAAGGGCAAAATAGGCAGGTCACAAGATAGAGAAGGGCCGGCTCTGTTCAAGTCGCGTCCCGGCTTGGCTTGGCCCCGACGGGAAAGGGCAACACCAGTGTGTGACGGTCTACTGTGAAGGTCGTCCCTCCTTTGTGCTCTCATCATGGCTCATCTCCATGACGCTGTACTGACCTCTGCCTGGCTTGTGCTCTCGCATCGGCTCCGTGGGTTGGGGATCCGCTTGTAGCAATAGCGGAACCACGTGCGGGGTGGGCGGAGCAAAAAAAGAAAGCGAGACGCACGCAGAGCCAGCCACAGTTATGCAATCGAGCAGCGGGCGAGCACTTCCGTTCACGCACGGCGCGGTGCAATTTCGATGCAGTCCAAAGGGGGAGAGCTCCATCTGTCCCCTGTTTCTTCTCATTTGGTGGGATGATGTCCTTGGTAGGCAAATAGCACAGCTAGCCGGCCGTGAGTGACAGGTAACAGGGTTCAGTTCACGGTGTTCCGGCATCTATCGACGTGAAGAGAAGGCAGACAGGGCGCATAATTTTTTTTTCGTAGACAGGAGATGCAACGAGGAGAAACTGGCGACGACGAGAATGGATAATTCGACCGCCGCTGAGGAATGCTCAGGCTGCCTTCAGCGGACTTGGATCACGCTGAGCGGGCGGGAAGAGATTACCGGTCTTGCGAGAGCCGTCCGATAGCGTAGCCAGCATTGGGAAGCCTCTTTCTGGCAGCACCACTCTGATCCACCAGCGCTGTTGCTTGAAGTGGCAGGATAGCACGCTGCTTCTCGGTTCTTCTTTTCAATCGCTTCACCTCTTCCCTGTGCGCAGTCACGGCATGCCACTCGCTGGTCATTTTCTGGTCACTGCCTCTGCTACTCTTGGCCAAGCGCGATTTCCGTCTTTCTTTCTCCTCGCTTAGACAATATGCTACTCTGCCCAGACCAACTTCAATGCAAGCTTTGCTGTGCATTGGACGATTGATAGCGTGGTAGAGCTATTCCCTGAGAACGCCGTCGCTTTTCTGTCTTGAGCAACCAGCATGACCTCGGCGACGACAGAGCTGGCCTCGATGCCGTCTCTCGGCTTCAATCTCGGAGAAGAAGACCATATCCATATCAGCGATCAAGAGAGTGTGCTTCAGCCTCATGCTGCGAAATCGGCAATCTCGGTGCCAAAGGAGCGACCCGAACTTATTTCTCTAGAGACGGAGAAGTTGGCAGGACAGGAATCACTTGTTGTGCGCAAGACGTACATATGGGAGGTCATCATCGTCATCGTATCCTCGCTCCTGGCGGCATCGATGGCCGGCCTGGGTCTATACTCGATCAAACTACCCCTGGTGATGTTTAGCATGGACGACGAGCACGGTGTCACCGTCTACCGTGGTGTCTTTGCCTTTGCGGCAGCCTTTGCCGGGTGGCTCATCTCTTGCGGCTTCGCCTGTGGCATTGCCGCTGTCGTCGGTCGGTTCTGCATCTACAGAGGAATTCAGGGACACCGATGGCTTGTGCTTCCTGATACGCTCCGGGGCAGGCCCACGCCCGAGTCGGGATGGGCACTCTTTGCCGTAGGACTGTGCGTCGTCACCGTCTATGGAGTCAGCCATTCTGCCTCCAACGTCGTCCTCATCCCGTACCAAACGTACTTCAACGTCACTTCTGTGCAGACGTTTTCCGTCGCCGCTCGCCACAATGTCACCGGTGCCGATCTGGCCGCCGTCGAGACCCTCACGTCTTTTCAAGGAAAGGTGTTTCATACCCTCAATGGTGTTTCGCCCTCGGACCTGCGTTCCATCCCCTTGCCTGGATCAGAAGGAAAGCCACTGCTTCTCAACACCTACCTCATCGTCAACTGGCCCTCGGTACGCGTCGACTGCCGCTCTCCCAACGTCACCTGTCAGACGGCGACACAGGACTGCAACGCAACGCTCGCCTGGGACTACGCCGTGGCCCACTATGCATCAAACGCCTCGCTTGTCGTTGGCCGCAAATCTGGCATAAGGGACCACGAGGAGTACAAGGTGCCTCTCGCATCGCTCAACCTCAGTGCGAGTGCCGTGGCGCTGCAGCTCGAGTGCAACCTCTCGTCCTCTCCGCCGTTCTTTCTCGAGACGCTCATTTCTATCGCAGCGTTCCAGAATGCAGGCACAATCGACCGAATGCCGGATCGCCAAGTCGTCGTCAATGACTGGAGGGACGCTGCCTCCAAGGAGCCCGGCCAGGTGCTCGAGAAGATTATTATGTGGGCAATATTTGTGCGAGAGTCGCAGAAGTGGTACTGCGTCTCTCTGGCCGTCGTAGCCGTGCTGAATCTGTTGCTGGGTCTCGCCGTGGTGCGCCGGCCCATGCTCGATGTCTCGAGTGGCGCTTCCATCGCCAGATCGGCCATGCGTAGCCCGCACCTGCACGAAGTGGTGCTCTCCAAGAAGGAAGAGGAGGAGTCGACCTGGACCGGCAAGCTGCTGACCGCCGTCAGCAGGAGGCCAAATCGAGCGGCGCCGTGGAATCCCTCAGAGCGCTCTGGGAGTGGAGACGAATCGTCGTTATCTCTTGCATCTTCAAACACAGTCGGCGATCAAGCACAGCAACGGTTCAGGTGGAAAATGGGCCCCGACGGGCTGCCGCGATTCATGCCGCCCTCTCGTCCGCCTTCGCCCGAAATGGGGCAGAAGTAGCACTGTCACGTATTCCTCTTCCTCCCTTCTAGTCTCATACGATCCGGTCAGTCCTCCTTGCGATTTGTATATAACAAATCCTTTCTTCATAGTCGGTATGGTAATGATCCTTCGCATGGTGGCATGGAAGCGAATGTTGGTCAAAATGCGATTAAAATTGTGAATATCAATTTCTATCTATCATCATCATCCCTTGCCATATCCTCGAACCACTCTCTCGATGTCTTTCCGAGGCCCTCGAATGCCAGACCATGGCTCGTCGACTGGATGCCCAGCCTCCAGTCGCTGGCGTGAGTTAGTGAGATGGCCTTTTCCAGGCGCTCGACCTCGTCTCTTGCCAGGTCGGCATTGCTGCTCGCAATTGTTCTCAGCAGACCTCGACCTTTGACCTTTGCTCTACCTGAAGACGAAGTCGAGGCCGAGGCAGGAGCGGTCACGACCTGTAGCACGTCGAAGCGGATCGAGGATCCGCCGACAACGCCAAAGGCCTCCTCGAGGGAGCTGCTGATCATGCCCGAAATGGCCAATGGCGAAGGCAGAGCGACTTGGCTGTCTCTGGCAGTCGCGATTCTGCAAGAGGGCGGCACAACAGCGGCGGCTTTAGTCAGAGCCATGGCAGGAAACGACAGCATAAGGCGCTCACATGTCAAAGACGATATATCGATAAGCAAACTCCTTGACGTTTCTGCGTTGTAGCAAACCTTTGCTCTCAACATCGACATCTTCCTTCAGATTTCCGTTGGTTCCTGCTAGCCCTCGTTCTGAAAGTTTGGTGGTTCAAAAAGGTGATTGGATTGATAAACGCTTGCCCTCAATATGAATTTCGCGTAATCAGAACTCACGGCCAACGGTGTTTGCTCCGTTCGAGTGAGCGTCAGGCTTGTTCCCTTGGGCTTTTGTTGCTTCACTTTCCTGATGACCCCCGTGGCTGACAACAGCTCCATTGGTGCCGGCCTTCTGGCCCTTAGCATGCTCCACACGCTGTTCGGACCTCTGCCCGTCGGCCGCTGACGCCACCTCGCTCGCGGCCTCATCCACCTCTTCATCTGCATCAAAGAGGACCTCGAGGGCATCCTGGAAAAGTTTCATGCGCTCCATCTGCCCTTCGGATATCGTCATGAGATCAAACGCCAGCGCTACCACTGGTCTGGCTTCTCCTGTCTCCTCTTCAGGCGCGAACGACAGTCGCGGCAGCTTCGGATACCTCTGCGAAAAGTGCGTGAGGAGCACACGTTTCGCCCCCATCTTGGTGCCAACCTCGATGGCCTGTCCAAACGTTGAGTGGCCCTTCGTGTGCGCCATTTCCGGCTGTGAATCTTCGATTGTTGCTTCGTGCACAAGCACATCGACCTGTTTGCCCGCCTCGACAAGGTTTGCGCAAGGCCGTGTATCGCCAGAGTAAGCAAAGGAGAATGGTCGGTCAGAATTATTGCCTTCGCTACGAACGACGAGACCATAGCAATGCATGGCCCGGTGGTCCACCTCGGTCGTGAAGAGCTTGGCGCCGTCGAGCACCTGCTCAAGGCCAGCGAGATGAGCCTTGACCTTAGTTCGCTCTTTTATTCGGCTCTGCACCAGCCCGCTTACGACGCGCTCCACTTCCTTGGTCTGCCATCCGTCGAGCTCATCAACAGTGGAGAGCTCGCCTCCCGCTGCAGCTGCTGCCTTGAAGGACGCCAGGACGATCTTCCCCTGCTGGATTCTTTGTATCGTGTCGTTTCTCAATTTTGCCTGCCAAGCTTCATCTTTCTCTGAGTCGTCCTTTCCTGCATTTTCGGCATTCGTGACGGGGTCAGGGTTCACCCCGACGGCGTGGTCGAGGTGTTCACATTCGAGAAAGACGACTCCCTCGTTGTCTTTGGTCGTCTTGGAGAAGTCATCGTCGTCGCGGACGATGCCAAGCGAAAAAATTCGATCGACCTCTTCAAGGTAGGATCGAGTGAAGTTGTTGGCAATGACGTAGAGCCTTTGGGGCGCTGGAGGATCAAGCTTCTTTCGTTCGGCTAACAGACGGGTGACGCCCATGTGATGATCGCCGTGCACATGGCTGAGGAAGATGACGCGAATGTCTCGAAGGACATCGTTCACCTTGGCTCCGAATGCGCGACAGAGCTGTCCATAGGTGCCTTCACCCGCATCCAGGAGCACGTAGCCTCGCCCTTTTGGAAGATGAACGAGCGTCGCGCTCACGTTTCGATACTTGCTCGGCAGCGCGCTCCCTGTTCCCAGTGTGGTGAATCTGAGTCCTTCGTTTCCTTCGCCCTCGCTTTCTTTTGCCAATGTCTGCACTTTACGACGAACTTCGACAGCCAGATCGGCAAAATGATTCCACGCGGTCTCCTTTGCCTGCCTCAATTCCGGCTTCAATTGCCTAGTGCTCTTATTGTCGAGTCGAAAGGCCGCGAGATCCTCCGCCTGGGTCGAGTCCACCGGAAAGTTAAAATCGGGAGCATTACCCATCATCGGTCGCGGTGGTCCTGGAGGCTGGAGAGGAATCTCTGTGTCGAGACCAGCGGGGCCTAGCTTGTCAAAGCCTGTCAGGTGTAGCCTCGGCTCAAGCTCATACCCCGGCACACGGAACAATTGAGGGTCGAGGCGGCTCATGCGGAGATTGGCTAGAGCTGAAGAAGGGAAAGAGAGCTTATCGGCAAGATAGGGTCTCGAGGTGACGATGTGGTTGGTGTGGGGGAAGGAGCGTACGAAGGCCTGGTATCTTTTGCTGTCGAGGATGCTGGGGTGCACGGCATGTACCATGACATGCGCGACGTGGTCTCCTTGGCGGTAAGCAGTCAACTGTTCCTGCATTGATTCTGAAAAGAAAGCATCGAGGTAGTCGGGATGAGGGAGAGCCACCTGGATGAAGACGGCACCTGGTCTCGATGGCGCAACGACGTCGCTGCTCTTGATCGTAACCGTTTCCAGCTCCTCTTTTTCATCCACCGCTGCCGGAACAGCATCGCTGAGGACCTTGTTGGCCTTCTTGTGCTTCAGTCTCGCCACTTTTGCTCGACCGACAGCCTGCTTCTTTGACTGACTGAGCCATTCCCGGCGCCTGTCGTCGTCCCACTGGTTCCACGCCTTTGGTCTCTGGATTTCGACGTCTTTCCCCGCGCCCAATTTGCCGTAATTCTCGCCAGGCATCACTCCTAGATTTGCAGCCTTGGGAGCATCGAATTTGCCTCTGGACGGATTGCCTACGACAATGTAAGTCAGAGCAGGAGCCTGGCCATTCATTCGGGAGAAAGATGATGAGGCGACTGGTTCCAGGGGTGGCTCGTCGAGAGCAGTCTTGCTGGCCGTGGCTCGGTTCCTAAGCTTTCGCTTGAGCGCCTCGTCCTTTTCCAGCTCCACAGCAGCCGCTGCCGCCTCTTGCTCTTTTTGCTCCTCCTCGCCCTCCTTTGCTTCCTTTACTGGCGGCGGACGAGAGCCGTGATCGTTGGGAAACATCTGTAAGAGGAAAGACTTTGCTCGCTCCGAGGGTGGAAAAGCCAGATTGCTACGAGTATCAATGATGGTGTCGTTGTCGACTTTGCGTTTTTTGCTAGCAGGGGAGCTAGAATCCTTGAGATGTTGACCGGGAGGCAAGACGAAGCCAGTGGGGAGCAGAGGAAGCGCCTTAACAGCAATGTTGGTGTCTTGGAAGATGACAAAGTCCTCTTGTTCCTCTTCCTTTTCCTCGTTGGTATCCTGCTCCGTCTCCCTCTCCTTGCCAGTCTTGCTGCTATTCGAGGACGATAGCCTGCCTGTTGGACCGAAGGAGCTTAACATGGGTGCTTCGTTGACGCTGACTGCGATCCCATCACGCCTCGCATAGCTGCGTGCCGTGGCAAGCCAGTGTGTGAGTGCAGGTGGGCCGTGTATTCTCACGTTGCTTCGATGGCCATCGGCCAGCACCATGATGAGGCCCGGCAGTCCGCCGAGCTCCTCGATGCCCACGCGCGGCACGAAGATGTTCTGCAGTCCCTTGGAGAGGCCCTTTGCACCCCGCTGCACGAGTGACCGCGACGTGGCTTCGGGCACATTGAACACATATTTGTGCGAGTCGACATTGAGGATCAGGACCGCCAAATTTGTCGGATTGTCCGACGAGGGAGGGTGGAGTATCCGAAGGCTTGACTGCATCCTAGGCTTGGTACCCCGGTGTAACCACCAGGTACGCTCCAGGCCTAGGATTGTTGGTCTCCCGGGTCTGGCCCAAGAGGCGGCCAAGCAGAGAGGCCGCCTCAGAAGTAGCGTGGTGGGCAAGCTAACCCCGGTCAGCGAGGAGGGGGAGGACGACGTCTGGTATGAGCAGCGAGTGCTTCCTGACCAAGGCAAGGCCATTTGCAAAGCAAGAAGACAGAAAGTGACGCTCCAAAAAAAAATGTGCTTATGTAAGCGCCGAGTCAGGAATTTAGGCTTTCTCGTTTCTTCTTGCCACACCTCAGACGTCCACCATTCTCTAGCACGAACCATGGCACCTTCCACAAACAAGCTCAACGTCGGCATTCTCGGTGCTACAGGTAAGTGATGGCCCATATGAACATGGAGGAGTCGCAGAGGGGCTAACAAGGACGTCGCAGGCACTGTGGGCCAACGTTTCATCCTTCTCCTTGCCGAGCACCCCAACTTTACTATCCACACTCTTGGCGCCTCGAGCAGCAGCACGGGCAAGACGTACAAGGAAGCCGTGCTGGGACGATGGAAGCAGTCCCGTGCGGTTCCTGCCCACGTCGCAGACCAGGAGATGAAAGAGTGCGTCGCCAAGAATTTTGCGCAGTGCGATGTCGTCTTCAGCGGGCTTGACTCGGGTCCCGCATCGACTGTCGGTGAGTGCCTTCTACTATTGGACAAGCTCGGTGGAAAGCTAACTTTGGACTTGGGTAAAAGAGCCCGAATTCAGGAGCGCAAACCTGCGGGTGTTTTCGAATGCAAGAAATTACCGAATGGACCCACTATGCCCGCTCGTGGTTCCCCTCGTCAACACCTCCCACCTCGACCTGATTCCTCACCAGCGCGCCTCGCTCTCTCCCCAGCTCAACCAGGGATTCATCGTATGCAATGCCAACTGCAGCACAACGGGCATCATGCCGCCACTCAAGGCGCTCATGGACGCCTTCGGACCATTGGACAAGGTACTCGTCAGCACGTTACAGGCCATCAGTGGGGCAGGTTACCCGGGACTCTCGGCTTTCGACGTGCACGACAACGTCGTTCCATACATCGGCTCGGAGGAGGAGAAGATTGAGAGCGAGAGCAAGAAGATCCTCGGATCCATCAATGGGCCAAAGACGGCCTTTGATGAGGCTCAGTGCACCATTTCTGCTGCGTGTAACCGCGTCCCGGTGCTCGATGGGCACATGGAGTGCGTCAGTCTGAGCTTTCAGCGTCGCCCTCCGCCCTCGGTCGAAGATGTCAAGCGGGCCCTGCACGACTTTAGGTGCGAGGCCCAGGAGCTAGGCTGCCACTCGGCTCCTGCACAGGCCATCACTGTGCACGAAGAGGTGGACCGACCACAGCCCCGGTTGGACCGGGACCACCAAAATGGGAGTGGCGTCAACGTGGGCCGTGTCCGCCCGTGTCCTGTTCTTGACATCAAGTTTGTGGTGCTGTCGAACAACGTCATGATCGGCGCTGCCACGTCGTCGGTCATGAATGCAGAGGTGGCTCTGGCCAAGGGTTACCTTTCTTAACATCTTTATAATCTCGCTTTTAAAGAAATAGCATAGAGGCAGCACGCAACCTCGACTAAAGAGTGATTGTTTGCGCTAGATTAATGGAACGAGAAAGCAGGGGAGAGATTGACGACGTTTGAGATACATGGTTATCTAAAGAGAAGAGGCAAAGACGACTTGAGAAGTACAACATGTAGCCTCGATGCGTGGTGGGTGATCGATTAGGGTTTTGCTAGTCAAATATAAGATTAGGTGGTTGCTGACGAGTAAGTAAGGGCGCAAAGAGGGTGAGAGACTGTTGAGCCTAAGAAGAGACTCCTGTGTTACGAGCGAATCGGCTCGGGTCAGGGTTTGTTGCTCTGACTCTGGCGAGACGCGACAAAGTCAGCCGCAGACACGACGCTTCTGGGCGCTGCGATGCCATGGCTCGTGGAGCCCCGTGGCTTCTCCAGCCCGTCCGGCGGGGAATCCGTGTGCTTGTTGGATGAGCTGGAACCAATGAGACCGGCTACACTGGCTCGTCTTCTTCCATCGTGTTCGTCCTCATGCTCACGGTGCGCATGAGGTGGCGGGAGATGATGGGATGAAAGGTGAGATTGGTGTGGGTGTTGATAATGGTGAGACTGCTTTTGCTGATGCAAAGGCTGATGATGATATTGTGGACCTTGGCGCTGGTAGGATGAATGCGGCAAAGGGTCCCAATGTCCGTGCCGTGCATCTGCACCGTGTGCATGGCCGTATCCGGGCGGTACCGAGCGATTGTCATGCTCGCTCATTGATATACTGTGTCCTGGCCTCGTCGTAGAGGAGCCTTGGGTAGCCTCTCCAGAGCGTTGCTGCTGTGGATGTTGCTCGTCGATTTCGAGACCGCCGCCAGGGAGCGCGACACTGGACCTGAGTACCTCGATTGTGATCGGTGGTCCACCCTGAAGCTTCTCTCGTTTGACGAGCTTCGAATAGTGGAGGCCACACGCATTACACACTGTCCGTGCTCCATCAGGGCCCCTTCGCCATTCAGGCGTGTCGGTGGCGCCGCAGGCAGCGCAGCAACCAGGTGCCGGCGCCCGTGACCGCTTGCGATATTTGCCTGCCCTTCCTGCTGCCCCTGCCATGTTGCTATTGCTATTGCTGCTTGCCGCGCCGTCGTGGCCTCCTGGATTGGCAGACGCATAGTGCGGCACTGAAGAGCCTTCGCAGCCGACCTCGCCGTGCATGTGCTCTGTCTCGGCCCGAGGATAGTAGTAGGAAGTCAAAGGCCTCTGCTGTTGATAGAGTGATGAAGACGAGGATGAAGTCGACGATGGGAATTGTGGTCGATGTGAATGAGGCTGAACGGCAGAGAGGGCGGGAGGTGGCGGCAGAGCGCCGTGCACATCGTAGTGAGAACCTTGTTGTTTGCCGTAGTGATAGTGAGGAGGGGAGCGAGAATGTGATCCGACCCCATCAGGGCCCCTCTGCTTCGACATTGACGCCCACGAATTCGGACGATGACTCTCCGACGGTGAGCGTTGACGCTTCCTCATGCCGTCTGGGGTAAGGACATTACTGTGGTCTGTGGGTTGCAGGCGATTAACATGGGTGATGGGACAAGAAACCTCTCTTCGTTCTCACCTTCCTCCATCCACCTCTTCTTCGATGAAGGTTTGGCCACCTGCTTATAGTCGTCGTCTGGTCTTGGCATTGCAGTTTCTGCAGCGGCCCAGATGCTTCCCTTGGGTGGCGCCTTGTTTGTCATGAGCCGTCTGTCGTCCTGGGGGGAGGAGGGCATCTCGTCCATCATTGGAACCTTTTGGCTCACGCCGAGTGGCTTGCTAAGGATTCTCAATGGACCTGATTCTGAAGGCAGTGTGAGTTTTTGAATGGCACAGACATCCAGAAGTTTGAACCATGCTACACTCTCACCTGCAGCTTCAAAATCGGCAGCGAACTCCTGAACATGATCGTGGATCCTGCCAGTGAGGTAGTCGAGCTCTTGAACCTCTCCAGCTAGAATGTCGCCGTGTCGCTGATGGGCATCTTCTGCGAAGCTTGCTAGATCCATAGCTGCTCTTTGAATCTGAGGTAGTAGGTGGAGAGATTAGAAAGGAAGAAGAAAGCCACGTCACTGATGGAGGAGAGAGGATGACTTACCCTGTCGAGCATCTCGCTGCGGTAGTCCTTTCGATTCTTCGGCATTGCCCGTGTCGGCGTCTCGGGCCGAGCGTTGGTGCTTGGGCTGTGAAAGGTGCGCTCATTGTCGTTGAAGGGCGTGGAATCTTTGGAGGTCGAGCGCCGAAACTTCTCTTCCCCAGCTGCGCGCAACTCAGTTCTGTCTCCTTCTCTCCCATGATCGCCTTCATCTTCGCCCTTGAATTTAGGGCGATAGTGTTCCCACGACGACTTGTCGATGAGGGGAGCTTGCGTTGAGCGAATTCTATCCCCGTCTCCGCACCAACGATCAGACTGAAGGCCTCCTTTGGCGTGAGTTTCAAGGTCGACAGACGCATGAGGATATATGCCACGCACCAAGGGCACTGTGGCTGATTTTGCATACAACGACGACTGGTATGGCCTTGAAGGTGGTCCGCGCGAGTCGAGTGATGGCGACGTGACTGGCCCGGTTCCCTTTGCTCCTGGGAAAGCTGTGAACATGCTCCTTCCATGGAGCGTGGATGGCGAATGGCCTGTCATTGCTGTTGCCGGTGATTTGTTCCAATTGAGGCGCGGCGGTGGGTTGGGAGAAACCCTTTGACCTTCTGCTGCAGTTCGTCTGCCATCATTGTTAGAAGTGGCGGCGATAGACGAAGCAGATGATGTCGACGATGACGATGAGGGAAGGGTTGTGGCTTGATCAAGCGACCGAATGGGAGGTAGCTTGATCGCCTCCTTGCTCCTCGTCACCTCCTTCAAAGGTGGCGTCAAAACGCTGCTGCTGGTAATTTCGTCGTCATTGATCTGCCCCGCACCGCTCCTCGAACTAGATGCTGATGGAGAGGTGCGCTGATCGGATTGGGGCTTCCTTTCCTCGCGAAGCCACGACAGTCTCCCTGCCGGTGGTTCGGCTTCCTTCTCACCGATCGCCGTCACTTCGGGCGAGGTAGCATGCCCGACACCGGGGTCGGTGCTCATCCTCGATCCCGAACGGTCAAAAGATGTTGCTGGCCGCTGGTGTCGACGATTGAGGGGGAGAAAGGAGCTCGTAATGGTTGAATTTGCGTCGTCGCTCGGGTGAGATTTAGATGATGTGCGGGAGAAAGGTGAGGAGGTGGTCGACGATCTGGAAGGGAGTGTCGCGAGCATCAATAGGCGAGTAGATGAGATTGCCGCTGATGCGATTGCTTTGGTAGGATCAGGCTCCGATCACAGAAGCGATCTGTCAAGTCAGACAGGTAAGGCGGCGAAAGGGCGGAACGGTATCGGCGTGGTCACGGCGAGATTCGCTAGCGCGGCCAAACAATGATCGAAACCAAAAAAACCGTTGGCGATGGCGGAGCTGGATTGCCAGACGTTTTGATGGGAAGCAATGCCTAGAGAGTACCGTGTTCTCTGGTGAGACTGCGCTCGTTTGTAGAGAGAGCGGCCCGCGCACAGAGGTGGCGCTTTCGAATGCGATCTTGCCCTTTTTTTCCCTTTCTCTCAGACCCGTCCTTGGCCTTCGTGGCACTATATTGCCCCACAGCTTCCGCCGCCTAGACCGATAGACTGGCAGAATTTCAAGCCGGCCACGAGAGAAGAGCAACGCGGAAGTAGCACCCCCACGAACTAGTCAAGTGGCTGAGGGAGGACGAGTGGATGAGGCCGACAAGAGAAGCAAACGATGAGAGAGGTGCGAGACGCTGTAGCTCGATGTTGTCTGCCAGATCGTGGCGAGAATATCGGGGAGGACGAAAGAAAGCGGAAGAAGAGGAGGCTGCGTTACGTCTCGATCCGCTGCCGATGTGACCACCTGCCAAGTCGAGGCACATTAGCGATGAGGGCGCATTTCGATTTCCCAGTTTTTTTTTTTGTGGTTTTCGTATTCTTCCCTTTCTTCTTACAGGGCAGCCATCCGGGTGAAGTGTAGGCCTTGACTACCGGTGGATCTCGACGCGCATGCGCGGGCAGTTTGGGCTGGAGCCACACGACGCTCTGTACGTGAAGGGACCAGGTCTTGCATTGTTACGTTAGGCCGGCGAATGCCTGCACAGCACTACTGCAAGTGTTGCCGAATTATTCGTTCCGCCCACGCATGAATTATTCATCTTGATTGGGCTCCCTACCTGCCTGCAATGCCCGCCTGCAAGTTCATTTCTTGAAGCAACACGTACGTAGTTACTCTTTAATATTACCTCACTTGCTAATGCACTACTACGCTCAATTGGAGTAAAGAACTACTAGTGTAGATAGTTGGCCTGTCAAAGCACCGATGCCTCCACCTCGCCCTGCTCCATGATCGTTCCCGATAAAATTTGGAGGCATCCAGACCGAGGAGCTGAACTTGGGCCCGCACTAGCTGGCATTACAGTATGCTCCACTCGCCTTGGAAAAGCCGGTGAGATCTTGCCGGGCTCCACTTCCCTGCTAACCGCTAATGCCGGAAAGATGTAAAGTTGATCGATGGTCGAGAGTTGATTGAGCCAGGCCGGAATCCGAAGCCAATGCCCAGTGGCGAGCTGGCAGTGTCGCTGGCAAAGGAGAAAAGAAAAATCAACCGAAGGAATTCCGCTTGGCTGCAGCGACATGAATTGATCTGGCCCTCGAGACTCTTCATAAATTACAGTTCTCTGCACCAGTGCAGTAGTAGGCAGTCTAGCTGGAAGAGTAAAAATGCATGGATCGGGAACTGTCTGATGTGGATCCGCACTCATTTGCCGGTCCCTGTGCAAATTCCCCCTGCCCCCCTGTCCTCGGTGTTCTCTGCTGCCTCCTGGGATATAATTCTGCCATTTATTTTTCGGGAATCCCCCTGATGAAGTAGTGATACTAGTACTATTATTTCACTAATGACGGTCGCTCAGGAATAGCAACATATATATAGAGTCCGCTATGCAAGCTGCCCGACCTGAATGCCAATAATACAAAATCAGATGCTAGAGAGATTGCTGTCTCGGACCTTTGCTCGGACGCTGATAATAAATTTCCGTGCTCGCCACGCTCGCGCGCCTTGGCAGATGTCCCTTGCCTTTCTTCCATCTGTAGCCAATCAGCGGAGGTCCAATCACTGTGCACCACCACTGCACAGCCCGAGACCAATTAAAGGTCGGAAATGTCGGGTAAGGCCTTCTCCTTCTTTCACCCTCCTCGGTTGCGCTCAGGACCGTCCACGCGGGGAAGCGAGCGATTGAATCACTCCGTTCGAGGCTAGGCCTTGTCTAGATGTGCCACAACACTCAATTTGACATCGCAGCATCTTGCCGAGGATGATGGCGATTTGTTCTTTACGATTGCCGTGGCCTAACTGCCTTCCGTGCTGCCTCGAGATTCGTAATGTTATATTGTAGATGACGACCGGAAAAAAGATGTGAGAGGAAAAAATAAAATAAAAATGACAGAACTGGTGACAGACAAGATGACAGATAAACACAGCGCTGAGTGAACTAGTTCCACTGAGGATGGACGACAATCGATCCGTCAGCGCAGGTCATCTTGAGCACTACAATGGCACCGAACAAACTCACATCCACCCTCTCGGGCATTGCCGCCTTGTTGCTCCCTCCTGTACCACCTGCTCGCTGCTCTGCCTCCAGCTTCTTGCTCAGACTGCCACCGCCTCCCCCTCTCTTTGCGGCCGCCTCAGCACGCGCTTGGGCAGCCTGGGCTCGAGCTGCTCGATCGTCCTCGCCGCCTGCCGCGGCCCCAGAAAAGCCAGGTTGCTCCCCTTGACTAGCATCTTGCGTACTGCTGGAGCTGCCCAGTCGTTGTCCCTGCTGACGCGATGTCCGAGAGAGGCAGCTACCCATCCTTGGTGTATGTCTGTGCGCAATCGGCCCTGTCCTTAACGGCTTCTGGTGAGAGAGAAGATGGTGGATGAGTTGGGGTCTCTGGATCGGTCAGCTGTTTTGAAGTACCTGTTGCGTAGTTGGGCGCCAGCTGTGTTGCCGCGAGCAATGCGACTCGGCGTGGTGAATAGAAACAGTCGCCCCGTTGGCTGGGAGGGCGGGAGATGAGATCAATACCTCTCCTGAAGCTGCAGCTTGATGTACACGCGAACGCCCGCGTTGCAGGGCGGACTATGGGATAGGCGTCGTCTTTAACGAGACGTCACCTGGGTCCTGGGGAACGAAGAGCTGAAGGACTCTTGGACGAGGTTGACTCTACTTACAATTAGTTGCACCACCGCGGGGACGACAGAGCCAGGGGAGCGTAGTCTAAATAAAGGTGGGACCACGTGCGAAAACCTTGACAACTAACTTTTAAGTCTCAGCCCACGCTCGTTGGTCTTGCGCTATGGGCTTTGCGCTTGGCGCGCACTATAAATGGCATGCACAGTCTCCGCGTCTCCGTGGCATGCGAATCTGCGTGGAAGCGGCGGCTCTTTGGTCCCCTGAATGTTCTATTCGTTGTCCACCACGACCTCTGTCAGCCCATCGGCATCTTACAGTATGGCTCGCTTCGTTATTTCGCTGTCCTTTGCGGCCCTTGTCCTCGGCGTCCTTCTTGTTTCTCCCGTGGCGCATGCGCAGAACCAAGCGAGTGAGAAGCAGCTGGATCCGAATGCGCAGTGCGACCAGACGACTCGAGACCAGATCACATCGTGCCTCGACCAGATTGAACAGGACGAGTCAAAATTGCCTTCTGGTCCTTGCTCCAGCTCTGGTTGGTTTCCTCCTCGTCAGATCTTGCGCCATCACCATGCATTTATTAACACACACTCTTGCCAGACTGGACTTGCATTTGCACAAAGCAGGTTGGGCTCCAGGACTGCTACCAAAAGTGCAGGGGTCTTCAGCCTGTCGATGATGTCAATTTCAACAAGGGCAATTGCTTCAGTAAGTGACTGTGCAGTGCTGCTTATGTCGAGGTCGGGAGAGGAGTGCTGAAGCTTTGCACCTCAGACCAGCACGGCGTCGACATGTCTGCGCTGACCTACAGCTGGAGTCAGCTTCCCTTTGCTGTCGATTCCGGTGCCAGTCGAAACCAAGAGTGGGTAGTGGCACCCAAGTCTAGTGCGAGAGCGCCTTCAGCTGACCAATTTTCTCACAGCACCTCCTCAGGAGGTACTCCGAGCAATAGCAACGCATCTGGCAGCACTTCCTCAGTGTCGTCGTCCACGTCTTTGCCCTCCTCCACCGCACCGACTAGCTCTTCAATCTCGTCGAATAATGCCTCTGCCGCCACCAGCAGTCCAGCCGCGAGCCGTACTAACACGTCGGACTCGACTGTGTCAAACCTTCTCCCTGACTCCCACTCTGTTCTTGGCCTCACTTCGGTCTTGGGCGCTCTCCTTCTTGGCACTGCTGTGCTGTAGTCTATCTCGTCGACTCTCTTTAATCTAACTGCACTGTGTCCTCTTCTCATCAATGATCATGTAGCCCTTGTTAACCAAGCATCTCTTCAAAGTCCGTTGAAGAATCGTCGTATCGTTTTCTCGATTTACCCCCACGTTCGTTCTTCATGTCTTGTTGCTCCAAATTTATCGATATAGGTCGCGTTGAGCCCCTGCGCCAAGACTGGCTAAAATTTCTAAAAGACGTCAATTCGCTCGAGTCGCATCTTGTGCGTTTGAGGTGGCTGCCAAGATAGGGAAGAAAGAAAGAGTAAAAAGGGTACGAGGCGGCCCTTGCCAGTTTCGCTTTGCTGCCATTCAGCATCCCTCCTTTCTCGCCTTCTTGTTGCGGAAGCCAGAAGAGGCCCTCTTGGCGGCTACGATGTCTGTTCAACCTTGATCCCGGCCAGCACTACGTCGGACGATTGATTCGCCTCAAGGCCTCACCGACAGTCCGCTCGCATCGCAGTCACCCTTTCCGGGCCGGAGATTCAACCACACACGCAGAGGAAGCGGGGATACGCAGGTTTACAGAGTACGCCGGGTACTTGGAAGCCAAGAAACGACGCCCTTTGCGCGCTCCCTGCCCTGGCTCGTGTCCAACAGGCGTAGAGCTCCGACCAGCCCAAGGTGCCGGAGAAGAAATCGCAGAAAAGGAGATATAGGCTTTCTCCTCACGTCTTGTGAGCGCCACATCCCCGTCGCCCTCGCTGTCGGTACTCGGCCCTGACATCTTTCTACGTTCAGCACTTGTGCAAGAGGAGGGGGGGACGAGTTGACCGAGAGAGGGTCACACAATGGCAAACTACGTTCGTCGGATCGTCTCGGGTGCCAAGGCCCGCCATGTCGACCCTGAACTCAAAGCGGATCTGGACCTCTGCTACATTACCGATCGGCTCATCATCATGGGCTGGCCTGGGAGCAGCTTCGAGGCCCTCTACAGAAATAGCCGCAAGGAGGTGAGGAGGTTCCTCGACAAGAAGCACGGCGAAAAGTACCGCGTCTACAATTTGTGAGCGAGGCGTGCGATGGGTCAAGCGATCTCTGCGGGAGGAGACTGACTCTCTTCTTTCTAGATGCCCTTGCACCGAGAACAGATGTGAGCTTGCGTCTAGAAGAAACGGGATCATCTCTGCCAAAAAAGTGGAGGTTATGCTGACAATTGCCCACTCACAGACGAGGCAGGCGAATTCTACGGCGCTGTGTCCCGCTACCCTTTCCCCGATCACCATGTTCCACCTTTGAGCATGATTCCCATGTTTGTCGCCGACGTGACCGCCTACCTGGCCGAGGATCCTGAGAACGTCGCCGTTATTCACTGCAAAGGTTCGTCACTCGTCGCTGCGGCCGAAGCTCTTCTCGTTACTCACCTTGTGACAATCTTTACAGCTGGCAAGGGCCGCTCAGGTACCATGGCGTGCTGTTATCTCCTCTCCCTGCCCATTCTTCCTCCACCGCCCCAGGATCCAAGGAACCTTGGAAGCAAAGAGGAGAGGAAGCTTGCCCAGGCCTCAGCCTCGTCACCCATGTCAGACCCTTTGCCGCTTCCTGCAGAAGCGAGGGACGAGCAAGCAGAGGACCGGCTCGCCAACGGCATCGTCATGGACGCCAACAGTATGCGCCCTGGTATTGCTCTTGAGACGAGCAGCAGCGAGGATCATCCAAATGTGCCATGGATCGAGCCTTATCTGGCACAGTCGCCAGTTGCAGAGGAAAATCCATACAACAGCAGTCTCGCCGCACCAAACCAGATCGAGGTTGGAGGAAGAAAGGAAGCCGACTGCCAGTGCCAGGCTGATCAACGGCGAGTCAACGTCAACGACGTTGAGGCAGTGGCCGAGAGACTCAGGGCTGTATTTGAGCTGCATACATCTAGGAGGCTCAAGCCGGCCAAAGCCGCATCCTCGCCGAGAGTGCAAAAGTCCTTCTCTAACATTCGCGGCCAAGCTACGGAGCAGCAGCAACAGCAACAGGAAGCGAGGATGAGCATGGAGCAAGGCAGGAGAAGGCCCTCATTCGGATCGGGTGTGGGCAAGTTGATTCGCCAAAAGAGCCTTCAGAAAATTCAGAATCGTCAGAGGTCCAATTCTGTCGCCCCTCCTAACAATCGGCGGCCCAGTTTCAACCTAAACGAATTGCAGAGCCACACATCGTTACAAAAGCGGAGAAGCAGCAACGTCGAGACGGGGGTGAGACCAAGTCTGAGGGCTCTGGGTGTCAACCCAGCAGGGCGATCCTGCATCGACCTCTGCCAAGCCTCACCAGCTTCAACCGAGGATCGACTGAGTGGGGGTGTCCAGCCTCTGTCACCCAACCTTGAAATGGGCGCCGACCCTTGGGCTTCGTCTACCTCCTTTCAGACACCTTTCGAAAGCAGCACGCTCCCATCACCTTTTGATGAGACGCCCACGCGCATCAGTACTGGGCAAAGACTGATTGTCTTTGAGGACGACAAGAGAGCAAGGCAACATCGGTCGGCCTCCCGGTCTGATTCACACGTGCCGGGAACCTCAGCGACCGACTTTCATCACAGCAGCGACGGTTTGACGTTTGCCTCTTCCCTCAATGGCGAAGGCAATGTCCACAAACATGATCAAGGCCAAGGCAATGGGCCATTATCATCCGGCAACTCCATGGCACCTTCCCCTTCTCGAAATGGCAACAGCCGTACCCATGAAAGTCAACGAATGTACCATTCGTCATCTGGAATTCCTCGACTGTCCAGTGACAGCAATGTTGGAGCGCCAGAGCCTGCCGAAGAAGGTCCAAGTCAGCTCGACGAAGAAGAGGAGCCAGAGCAGCCACGTTTGGCCGTCTCTATTCCTTCTCAGAGACGATGGGTGGGTTATTGGGCCAGGATGCTCACCGACCAAGACCCTCGCGCGTGTCTCGACCCCTTGAGGACTTCGACGAGGCGTCGCTTGGTGCGCATCACTCGCATTTACATTGACCGGCGAATGACGGCAAAAGATGCAATTGGCTCAGGGCCAGTCCGTGCGGGCATGTCGTCACCCAACGGTAGCGATGCTCAATTCCACAATGGACTCGTCGGCAGCGTCGACAATCTTAGCATCCAGCTTGGTCGGTACGATGAAGGCCTCGTCTCGCGCGTCGAGAATTGGGAAAGGTCGGCAAGGCGTCGCACACGAGCATTTGGGATGCTGGACCCTAGCGATGCCGCGCCAGAGCTTTCGCCGGCGTCGTGGGAGAAAGACGGTGTTGATGCAGAAGCACTTAGCAAGCGCAAACGAGAGCAATTACAAAAGGAGGACGATGCAAGGTGGGAGAGCTGCGGTCGAAAAAACAGTGAGAGCAGAACCGAGTCGGACAAGAGGCTAGCACAGCACGGAAACGACCGAGGGGTCGGCCAGTGGGGAATCAATGTCCTGGGCGAGGCCGACCGTGTCCGCAACTTTGAATGGGATGACGGACCAAAAAAGGGCACCAGCAATAATGCCAACAACAAGGGAGCATCCACAGGCCAGCTCGACTACTTTGATCTCGTCCCGGAGGCTCGGCGTCAGATAATGCATGGCCAGCATGCTCTCTCTGCAATGAGCACGATTGACCTCCAAGGGACGTACCATACCACAGGTCCTGCAACTCACTCATCGATAAAGCGCTACATCTTCGAGCCTGGCAATTTATCTGCTTACCAGAATGCTGCTAGCGCTTCTCCTTGGACCGCCAGAAGCAATGGTTTGGAGAGCCACGACGGAGAGAACGGACCATCGGTATCGTCAACGAACCTCATGTCCAAGGTCACTGAATCGTTTCGCATGACACGAAAGAAGTCTATCGCGGCCATTCGTCCTCGGAGACACCGGAGCGATAGCGACTCTGGTCCAAATACACCGTCGGGTGCCGCCAGTCCTGCGCATCGCGTTCCTCCCGTCCCACACTTTTCAAGAACTTCGTCGAGTGATGCGCTCACCCCTGAGCATGGTCATCAGCGTCACCAAGGCGAGGCATATACGACCTTCGGCAACTCGATTCCGTGCTCGAGCTATACACCACGGTCCATGTCCTCCAGCAACGAGAGCCAGGGCGGTGCCAATGTCGCCTTTTCTGGCACAATTGCGGGCGGCCGAACTCCTGGCTGCAGAGACCCCTCATCATCTAACTCGCCCACGTCGTCGGCATCAACACCACCACCTGTGACGGGGCTTGTCGTCGATGCGGACCGTGAGCTCCTTGTCAAAGTCCTCTGGGGACGGACTGGCACTACGCACGCCAAGCTCCCCGACTGGTCTTCGGCTGGCTGGATTTGGATGATTCCGTCGTTTGAGGACCCGATGTGTTGCCCCACAGCTTCTGGAAAGAAGGCGAGAGTGAAGGTGGGCATGAGGACCGAGGCAAGATTTGAGAGACAAGAAATCGACTTTCGGAAAAAAGGATCGGCGGCGCCTGGTGGAGATGTGAGGGCTATCGGTATCGAGTGGGAGTGGGTCGATGTGGGCGAGGAAAACGACGAGGACGAGCAAACGGATGAGGAGTCGGAAGCTTAAGGAGCCGTGATGACCCGAATGACAGTGACGACCCCTGCGTGCACAGTCGTATCAATGCTAGCTGCTTTTGTCTGGATAGCGGTCACAATGATTGATCTCGTGGGTATTGTAGTAACACATTAAATTTCGATCATACTGTCGATTGAAGAGACGCTTGATAGATTCTCCACAAAGCGTAGAGTGCGGTAATAGAGTGCGGTAAAAGGAGAAAGAGCCTCATTTGCCTTTGTAGGCATCGGCGCCGAGTAGAGCACCAGCATCAGGACCATCGACGACGGACAGGACTGCTTCGCCGAACAGGCCATTGACCCAGCCAAACCAGCTTCGTGTCTGAGAGTCGTTTGAAGATGTTAGGAGTTCTGGACATGCTGGAAACAAATTGGGCTCAACAAGCGTGTGGCAGACTCACAAAGTCGGTGACGTTGTTCACGTTGATGCTTTCGTGCATCAAACCTGTCCCGGCTGTGCTGGCACGCAGAAAGGCAAACGCTTCCTTCTTCTCCGGTGTTGCGGTCGATGTCAGAATCTGTCAAAGGAATCATTAAGAGTCAGGCTCTACCTCGTCTTGGTTTCGCGCAACGAGAAGTTCGACGGGACTGACCTGCATGATGCGTGACATTGGCCAAGCGTATCCCCATCCAACGTGCGGGCCTCCAATGCCGGCGCCTTGGGACCCGCTAAAGAAGTATTTGTTCGTCTTAGATGAGAGGACCATGGACCGCGTCCTTTGATATGTCTCGTCTTTGGACTCTAAGAAGCCGAGGTACGGCAAGCTGAGCGACGAACGCATTCCCTCGTCAACAAATCATCAGGGCAGAGACCTCAGCGTTCTCGCTATCTCACCTCAAGAGCGAAGGGATATTGGCGTCATCAATGTAATAGGCAGAGCCGTAACCGTCGACTTCGTACGCGTAGACGTCGCCGAGAAGGTCTGGTCGAGGCTTGATAGCGTTTGTTTGAATCGATGCACGAATCTCTTGGGCCATGTCATGGGCTGTGCTTTGGATCAGTGCGAGTTGTTGATCTGCTTCGGTTGCTGGATGAGCGACGAGAAGGTCGGACAAGCCTTGGAGATTGACAGCAAGAAGTCTGTGACCAGAAAAAGCTCAGTGCTTCAAATGTGAGCTTCTGAAGGGGAGTGATTTGGACTCACGCATTACCAGGCACAAAGAAGGGAAGCATTGTGGCGTCATCACTGGGTCGGAAGGCGCTCTTGACCATGCCAATCCTTGCGCCCGGCTCTCCCAGGCCGGTCTCGGACCGCGTTTCAGTCGACGTCCTTGCCAATCGTTGAAAACGGTAGAGTCCTCCAACGAGCGGCTTGAACCGGCGTTCCCAGTCGTGACTTAGGACGACATCCCTCTTGGTCTTTTGCAGCAGCTTCTGCTTAGCGGGAAATCGCGCCGGCCTTTGCTTTGCTCCTTCTGCCGTAGCACCCTTTGTGGCGCTGTCGAGTGCGCTTCGCTCCTCCTCCGTACCCCTCATCTGCGCCTTGAGAGCCTCAAGCGCTAGCCCAGCGGCCCTCTTCCAAATATCATTGCCGACAAAGTCTGCCCTACCGCTCCACTTGGCCAGGTCAACTTGCAATCTGAAAAAGTTGCCCAGCGAGTCCACCTCCCACTTGCTCTCCCAGAGGTACACGCCGTCGTTTCCGATCTTTTGGCTGGACGTGTTGCTTGGAGGATAGGGTTGGTACGTTCCCTGCGTGCCAGGAGCGGGAGGATAGAAGTAGTCTCGATCAGGATTCTTGGGGTCGACGGCGGAGTTCTTCTCGTGTGGGATACCTGTGGCAGAATCGGGAGGTCCAAAGCTGTTGGCAAATGGGTCCGTGAGGACAAATTGCGACTGCATGTAGACGAGGCCTAGTGCCAGCCGGTATAGCTTCTCCCAGTCTTCGTTGGTGGCATTTTGTCCGGCGGTCGAGTTGAGCAGCGGTAGGTACGGGTTCATTTGGCTGGCTGAATCCCTCAGCCATCTGTGGCGTGCAGCACGGACAATGAACAATTGAATGTCGCAGAATAGACCGACAAGGCGGCAGACAGACTTACGAAGCGGTGATGTCGCCCGTGACGAAAAAGGACCTCGGGAAGGCCTTGGCGAGATCCTTCTGCTTTGCATCAGCATCGTGCCAGGCAACAGTAGTGTCGAGCGAATTTGGGTAGCAATTCAGCCAAAGGCGCCGCAAAGCCTTGTCTCCGATGCGTGAGGCCACTCGCTCTAGCTCAGCTTCGACCAAGCGAGAAGTGAAAGTCCGGTTCTGGACAGGAGGGCGGGCATCAGGCAGCTTGGACAGCGGCAGAGATGGGTCGGGTCTGGGCGGCGTGTAGGTCGGAGCCGATTCGGCAAGGACAAGCTGCACGGCCGCGACGATGAGGACAATATTTAGGAGAGCGCGGCGCGTAAAGAAAAGAGCCATCGAAGAGTGATGAAATTGAGAAAGAGTCGAGTCGCAAGAGAAAGGGGCCTTCCTGGTCGCTTCTCGTAGCCCATCAACCCCGCGCTTTCGTTGCGCGCGTCAGGGTGGGGTGGAACATTCTTACGGAGCGTGCAGAAAAAACAAGCTCGCCTCGCATCAGCAACGTCGGCGAATTCTCCGTCACGGCACAGAGGTTCTCGCGGCCACAGAGGACGACAATTTAATGGGATTGAAAGACGGGAAACAATGCTTGGACTTGTCTGAAGATGATGTAGAGTCCCTACTTAATCCTTTTCAGCCTCGTGAATGCAGATATCAAACAGCTTCGCGAGCGGGGAACCGGGCGAGGGCTTGTTTTTGTGAAAGGCACTCTTCATCGCCTCATCGTGCCCATAGCCCCTCTGCTGCAGTCGCCTGACCCTTGTCAGAAATGTCGTCCTTGCCTTCTTCGCTTCGTCTCTGCCCATGCCACACTCCTCGAGCCACGCGGGCGACATTTCCAGCGCCTCCCTGAGCTTCACCATATGCTCCTTCCCTGTGCCTGAATCCTCGTCTTCTTTGCCACGACCGTCTTCGAAGGCTGTCTCCTGCGCTCTATGCGGGACGTCCTCTGCTGTTCTGCCACGGCTACCATCATTACCATCATCTATCCTCGTAGGAGTCGCTGGCAATGTTGCACTCTGACCCATCAGCCGGCGTTGCAGATTCCTGCCTCGACGCTCCCGCGCTTTCGCTGCAGCGGTGGTCTTCTTATCTGTATGAAGCTGCTCGACCTCTTCTCTGGAGTACGGCTGCGCGATCCTTCCCTTCCGGTTGATCCAGTCAAAGTTGTAGGGATTCCCGTTCTTGCTAAAGAGGGCAGTATGGGGTGGGTATCGGGTCTCGTCGAAACCAGCTGGCTGACGCACCGCTTGCGCATGCTTTGCCTTGGGTCTCGGCTTCCGCTTTCGAATGGGCAAGGTGGCAGGCCGCTTTCTCTTGAGCTCTGGCTTGCCATCAAGGGTCATGAGTGCTTCGGCGGCATCAGAAGAGGCATCCGATCTGGTGCCGTCGTCAGACTCTGGGACTTTCTCGTACTCGAGTAATCTCCCTTCGCCATCGGGGACAGCTACTGCACTCTTGCCGTTAACTGAAAGACCCATCACGGCCTCGTCATCGCTAATCGATGCACTGCTGTCGTCGTATCGGGTCGCACTAACGCCATCGTGCTTAGCCAAAGGCGAATTGAAGTCGAGGCTGCTTCTGGCCGACGATAAAGGTGACGAGTCGGGACTGATACGGATGACAGCGGACTTCGACGACGACGCTTCGCCACGTCTCGATAACGGTCGCCCATGCGAGGAAAGGAGGCGCGTCTTGCTCGCTTCACGCTCAAGTTTGCTTGGCCGGCGGAGTTGGTGGTCCATGTCTCGTACCCTGTCTTTGCCTTTAGTCTTACTCTCTCGGGTGCCATCTGCTGCTGGCATTGAGGTCGAGATGTCATTGTCATCAGTGACGTTGGCGTCTTCCTCTGAATCCGCGGCATCAGGGGAGAAATTGCGAAAAGGACGCTCCGGAGGCGCACCTGTTGAGCTGCGAGCAGGACGACCCCGACCGGCCGGACGAGGAGGCGGCGGCGGCGACGCAATGTCGGTGACCAGAGGGACTTTTCTTGGGCGACCGGGTCCGCGACGCTTGACCTCGACAACTGGAGCAGCTTTGCGTACACGCTTATTGGGCCGCTCATCCATCTCTGTCTCAGCTTCGGAATCAATGTCGGTCGTGGCACCATGTCGTTTGCTGCGCGCTCCACTCTTGCGCTTCGTCGCCGAGATAGAATCCACGACATCCACGGGCTCGGCTCGAAGTCGTCCAGGAGGCTCTGCGATGTTGGCTTTTGCGCGCCTTCTCCTCCTTTTCTTGCCAGCTTTTGTTGTCGCCTTGACGGTGGAAACTAAAGGGACCTTCTTGCCTCCGAGGGTACCCGAACAATTTGCCGAGCCGCATAGGCAAGCGATGGGCGCCTCTTGCTCTTCTGTAGTCGGTGCGGCCATATTTTTGGGCCGGAACGTTTTCCAATTGTAAAAGTAGGTAAGCTCCTCGCCAGCTGCGATGTCTCGCTTGGCAAATAGGCCGATCTGGTGCTCAGCACTCGCAGGCTTGTGCTCGCCGCAGATGAGCCACCTTTCTACCTGGCAATTGGGATCACACTTTCGCGCGATAGCAAAATGCTCTTCAGTCTTGGGCGAAGCATATAGAAGTGACAATCCGCACAACTCACCGAATGGTTGGCAAACCGCGTGATGTTGCCCCGCAGGCCCGAATCGATGACCTCTCCAGCGGCTGTGTCATAGTCGAGGTAGTAGTAGTTGCCCAGCTTTCGGTAGAGTTCGTTGGTCCTCTTGGTAATTTGTGCAAGGTCGATGACTTCGCCGCGGTACTCGTCGATGAACTCGCCCTCCTCGATAGGCTCTGACGCCACAAGGCCGAACCCTCTCGGTCCAAACTGTGCAAAGGAAGATAAAGAGGACGTCAGCTTACATCTGAGCCTAAGAGAAGAGGTGACGGGCGAGCACTCACCCATCTGACCTCTGTCTTCTTGGTTGGTCGCTTGCTCAACCAGTTGTTGGTGCACTTGTCGCCGCAGGGACAAAGCTTCGGATCACAGAGATAAAGTAGATGACGGTTCAAACAAGTCTCATCGCACGTTTGACCAATCTTGCAGTCGCACACGTGCTTCTCGCCAGCCAGCTTGGCTCGCAAGGGATATTTGTTGGAGCTGATGTGCGAGTAAGCTGGTGGCTTCTTGACGCTCTGCTTTTTCTCTCGAAGGTCCATGCCCTTCGTGAAAACGTCGTAGGTAAGGCGGAAGTTCCGATGCTCGGTCAAAACCGTGACCCCATGGTAGATAGGAAAGGGCATTGCAGTCTCCTTCCTGCGCCTCTTCGATATCGTGGCGGCGTTCTTGTTTAAAACAGTCCTACTGAGCCTGTTCGTGGGACTTGTGCGCTCGTTTTTGTAGTCATTGGAATAGAGTCCGCTCACAAGGTAGGTCTGCAATGTGACTTTTGTGAGCATGTCTTTCTAGAGGACAAGTATCTGAAAGAAGACGAACTCACCTTGCCAACACTTTTGGGCGACGTCCTTGAGAGACCCACCTTTGTACCGCTTGAGGGGGGCCGTCCACGCCTTTTAGGAGCCTCCACGATTATGGACTCCTCGTCAGAGGCAGTAGCTTCCTCGGTTTCATCAGGGTTCACAGTCTCAGTGTCGATTTCGCGATCACTTCGACGCAGGGTGGCTTTTCGCAGAAGAGACAGACTTGCCGAGCGGCGTTGAGTCTTTATATTGGAGCGAGGACCTGTGGCTGTTGGTACGGAGCTCTTGAAGCTCGTGCCGAGGGGTGAATTGGGCAGCTCCCCACGTCTCCGTCTATAAAAGGCGTTGGTACTGATCTCGTGCCTTGATCTTGAAGGAGGAATAAGACGTTTGGCACCGCGGTTCGAACCAGCAAGGCTTTTCTGAGCTGAAGAATTCTTCATTGTGAGCAATGCCGAGGGTGCATTTTGGCTTCCCGAAGTTGAAGCACCTGGAAGCACGGTAGGCAAAGGGTGCTTCCGAGGTCGGCCTCTGCCCCTCTTGACTGGGACAGGCGGTAATTCTGTTGCCGACTGCGCTTCTTTATGCTCCAAGTCACTGCGAACTTCGGAGAGCTTTGATGATCGCTGCAATTTCGCCGAGCGAGGGCGGCTGTATTCTTGCTTTTCGACGGACGTAGATCGAGGGTCTTGTTCATGTACTTGCTGCGGCGCCATCTTCCGTCGCTTGGGGCTTAGCCAACGCATTTCCTCAGCCTCGATGGCTTTCGACGATTTTGTGAGCTGGCGTTTAGCCCTTCCGCTCGCCAGCGGCTCCGAGACAACTTGCTTTGGGCTTCGAAACGTCTTCGAGGTCGTACGCTTGGGTAGGACTACAGCTGTCGCGGTTGCATCGCCTTCGGTTTCGTCACTTGCGTAAAGCTCCTCGCGATTATCACCTTCGGCATTCTCGACGACATTGGCTAATCGCCTTGGCGAAGGGCTGGGGGTAAGGGTAGGTAGCGATGAAGAGTCAGAATGGACTTCGGCGTCGGCCCCAGTACCGTTAATATCGTCCTCGTCATCGGCATCGTTCTGAAGCTCGTCAGACAATTCATTGGCTCGGCTTTCCGAGGTTGGAGAAGATAACGGAGAGGATGATTTTGAGGACACGTCGACAATCATTTGTCGACCGGGTAGATCGTCAGCTTTGTTGACGGAGTCGATGATGTTCGGCACATCGTCAACGCCAAGGTTGGACAGAACGCCATCTTTTCCCAATACGTCGACATCGTCAGGGGGCGCCACGGGAGACGACATGCTCGAGTCCTTGTCTGGATACATTCCCGCCCCATCATGATCGTGACCCCAATCTCTTTCCAGGGTCTCGCCTTGCTCCTCGCCGAAGGTCTTTTTGATGCGCTCGTCGGTGTCAAGCCTTTTTTCTATGATATACCCGTTCCCTTGTCGCGTCTCGCGAGAGGCGAGACTGGCCTCTAAACTCCCTTCTCGATCGAGCGAGTGAACTTTTCTTTCTTGACGGGAGGGAGGCGTCGGCGAGACCTCAGTAATGGACAGATCAGTGGGTTCTGAGCCAGAAGCGGCGCGGTCATCGAGATCAAAGCAGAAATCTTCCCCTTCGCCATTTGTTGTCGATGCCGAGACGGACGCAGAGGCAGACGTGGAAATATATGCCCGCTCCTCCGGAAGAGCAAGACCCTCGCGCGATCGTTCCAGTCCGAGCTGCTGGGGTCGCTGGCGATCCTGTAGCTGTGGGTGCACTTCATTATGTTGCTGTGTGGAAGTTGCGTAGGAAGATAGTTGCACCCTTGCAATATGCGCCCCTTCAAGCTCCTCCATCTCGTCGTCGTCTTTTTCTTGAGCGCCCAACGGACTACCTTCGAGTTGATTCTCGGAGCTCTCGGAAGTCACCGAAACTCTGGGACGCGGGAGAAACGGCTGTTGAGGTCGTCCGACAGAGGACGTTTGAGGGGCGCCCGGGAGCGCAACGCCGATCGAGGCGCGCGAATGAAACAAGGCCGCCTGCTTTCTGGCCTTTTTGGAAGTCCGCAACATCTCGTGTGTGTGCAAACACTCTTTCGCCCCTCTTTCTGAGACAGCCTCTACCCTCTTGCTTCTCCTGAGCGTTTGCGCAAGAGAGGAAGTCTGTTGGTGCAATGCCTCGCGCGTGCGGGTCGTGCACACGCGACTGTGATTCCGTCTCCAATGCAGCTATGACGCGACTCAAACCTGTCTTGAATCGTCGAGAGTGAGATTTTGGCGTTGTCTGACCCTCTCAGCTTCACACAACTGGTGTCTTGGAGCAAAACTCTGAGGGTTGCGTGCCGATCGGTGGGACTATGAGCGGCTGACGAATCGGCGCTGCGTCGTCGCGCGCCCGTACCTTTGAGGTCGCGCTAAGTTGCTTAGGGTTAGCTAGCGCAGAGCTTGCCAAAGCTACCACCGCTGGACAATTGCTGTGTCCCGCTCTGCCACTACGAGTGTCGAAGTAACAGAGGGACTCGAGGGCCACCGGTTCGAGCTGACGGAGGCGCGGGTGCGGCGAGGGCCTCTTTGCAGGAGAAAGAAGCGACGAGGAGAGGGGGAGATGGAGAGAGCAAGAGGCACGTCACGCGTTTTTCTCTTTCCCCCGGGCAATTCCTCAAATCTGCATGACTATTTGTCCTCTCCCTCTAGGAAAGGAGCGAAAATCGGGGCCAACAAACCCCTGCCCTCCATAAGTTGGTGCGGCAAACATGTTTGATAACGAGCATTTTAGGTGTCCGCTCCTACTTCAGATTAAGAGGCTACGCCGTCAATCCTCATACGATCATTCTTTTGCAGTGCTTCATGTCCATTCAGGTCCACGAAAAAAAAAACTTCACGGAATCCATTGAGAGACTTGTACGAGAATTCATCTCGACTCTGCTTCACCTGATTCTGATCTTTTCGCCATCTCTGCTATGTGATGAGACAGTAGGGCAGCTTCCAAAGAACTACTTTGTTTGACAGATCTCCGCAGGTCATGATGTCATCTGCCGGGCAAATACCTCTACCAAATACAAGCCGTTGCTGTAGCTGGATAAGCTCTACCTCAATCTACGAAGAGAATACGAGTTATCGTCAATTGTTTACGGTGTGAAGCATGTGTCTACTCGCACCTCCATTGGTGGTCAGATACGGACAGGAAAATGAGCGGAAATAAGAGGAACATAACTACAAGACGGCTGCTATGCTGCGATATAGGAACTCATGTCCTCTACAAGCAAACATCTGCTAGTCTTTAGATCTGTTAAAGCAGCATAACAACAAGGACAAAGCAGATTCTCAAGATTCTCATCTTCGTTACAATATGTGGCAGACATTTGGACAGAGCGTGTGAAAAATCAATGCGATCCCTCAATGTCCACAAACAGCAAGTAGTACCGCTCGATTGAAGAGAGAGTGCGGAGCACACCACTTGTACCTCTTTGTTGGCGACCTCGGTGAAGAGAAGGCCTCAACTGCGTAACAAAAGAGGGAGAGGAGGTGTCGCCTACTGGTGTGTCGCAGTGGGCGCGACGAATAGCTCCTCCAACAATTTCGCTTCTGCTTGGAGAACAGGAAGACTTTGAGTAGGCCAAGGAGCTGAGAAGAGCGTGGGCTACCGAATTAGTATGTGATCACAACATAGTCTTCTCCCCATGACTGCGATGTCTCTTGAAGAGAGGGCACAACCTCCTCCTGCAGAGAGCGGGCGAGACGTCATAAGTTTTTGTCCGAAACGACGCGTTCTCCGCGCGTGACAGCGTTGCACTGACGGAAATAGTCGAGGCGTTCACAAGCTACGAGCATCGGCGTCTTGAAGCCACTTCCTCGTGCTGTCTGTAGGAACGTAGAATTCGAAAATGTCTGCGAGGAAGACGGAATCTGGTCCTTGAAGGCTTAATGTCTGTGGGCTATAGGCGTGAAAGCGTCTTCTTCCAAGTGATGTTCTGACGAGCATGTCGCACATGTCTTTCCAATTTGAAGTCACGGGCGAGCTTGGGACCTCGAGTCGACAGCAAGATCAATTGTCGGGCAAGCAAAGACTTGAGGATGACTTTTTTTGGTCAGGACCAGAGATCAGTATGAATATCTCGACGATCGCAAGTACCTTCGATCCGTGAAGCTGATGCTGACACAAAAAGGACGAGAGAAAAACGACCACAAATTTGATCCAAGGAGGACAAGTGATGAAAATGTGGGCATCAATATCGCTCTCAATTAGGCATTTCATCGCAGCAAATGCCTTCACGACTGGGTACTTCTACTTCTAAATTTCAAAAGGATATCAATTGCCAGCATAATTCGAGCCTCTACGGCTCTGTCACTACTGCAAGTAGGAATCCAATGGCTCACCGAGGACGCCCTCGACGGCCTCGACGAGCCTGCTGACTTCGTGTCTAACTTTTTCGTCATCGTCGTCGAGCATCTCGCTAATGTGCGGTACCGTCTCGGGCACGAGTCCGAGGATCGTCTGTGCAAGTGCTTCCTGGCTCCACAAAGTGGTAGTAGCGGTCAATGCCGCCACTTTCGCGGATCTTCTCCTGTTCCTCGAGATCTTGCTCCCTCCTTCCGCTTCTGCCTCGTCTTCGTCCTCATCCAGCAGTGACTCATCCGATCTGCGACATTGCGTCAAGAGCTTGGAGTTGACAAGCTTAAGGGATGTTTCGTCCGGCACAGTCTTTGCCAGTCTTGAGATGGTCAAAGCGAGCAACTCGGCGCCCTTGGTCGTCATTACCGATTCTGCCTTGGTTTCGCCTCCGCTGCCGCTTGACAATACAAAGATGGGAGCCAGAGAGAGCTGATCAACAACCTTGGGAACGGTCTTGGCGAATCGTGCAGGGTTCCAAAAGCTTCCACGATCGTACTTGGCGCTCTTTTCGAAGCTCGAGATCACTTCCAACCACAGCGCTTGGATAGTTTCTCGCTCGTGCTTCAAAGGCGACATGCCGTCGGAGGACTTGGCGAGCGACGAAAAAGCGTCGAGGAGCTCCACAGAGAGATCCAGAACGGTCGAGTAGTACGACGAGACCAGCTCTTTAAGCCTGTCCAGCAGCGCGTTGGTGACCTTGTACAGGACAAGCCGCCTGGCGCACAGCCCGTGATCCCACACCTTGCCAGACTGACGCTCATCTTCGTCGTCTTCAACGAGATCCAGTGCGGCCCAATCGTGAATACGCAAGAAGAGAGGCCGGAACGCTGATTCGTTGAGCTTAAGGACAAGCTGCATGAAGACGCCGATGGCAATAGCCTCGATCTCGTCAAAGTCTGCGATTGCCATTTGGCCACCCATCGTCCGGCGTAGGTCGAGGATTCGGAGCAAAAAGCGGAACACGGCCTTGTACGTCGACGCAATCGTGGCCCTCGACGCCTTTGTCCTTTGCATGCACCTTCGCAGTACATCGAGACATGCCGTGTGCATGTACTTGTTTGATTGGTCTTTCGTCGACTGCCACAGCTCCACGACGGCGTTGAGAATTTTCTCGAAGGGTAGTTGTCGAGCGACCATCGTCAAGAGGCTCCTGAATGCGCTCGCAAGTTTCGAGGACGTCATCTCTTCGCCAATGAGGAAGCGCGCGATGGGCTCGCGGGTTGCGAGCGTAATGATCGTGTTCGTGTACCCAACCATGAATGTGGGAACAGCTTGACAGAGTGAGCTGAGCACTCCAATCGCCGGAACACCAAGAGCAGCCTCGTCGCCTTTGATCGCGTCGTCGATCAGAAGGGCACAGGTCGGGACGATTATGGCAAGCTGCGGGATGATACGAGGACCGAGCTTCCTCGCTTGGCCGGCCAAGAGCTGCAGACTGCTCTGTCGCAATTCAATGGATGCTGCGTCAGCCTTGATCAGGCTGACGAGATCAGGAACACCGGCGCTAAGCGCATTGTGCTCGGAAGCGGTACAGTCGGACACGATAGCGCGTAGAGCAGCAAGGCACGAGAGCCGCAGTGCCTCGCCCGTCTCCTTTTTCCAAAGCAGCCCATAACTCGTTTCGATGACCGACGGCGTCAGAAGGGAAGCCGCTTCTCGTCGGCTGGCATCGGTGAGGGAGGGCAAGCAGTCGGAAACGAGGTCGAGACCGCTTCGACGGCGGCTCGGCTCCACTTCGCCGAGGAGCCTCATCGTGACATCGGCGAGCGTGTCGACCGAAGCAAGCGACATGACATTGTCGAGTGCGTCTCGAGAGCAGCGCTGAGTCTCAGCATCACCCAGCAGCGACGTTTGAATCGCATGCTGCGTAAAAATTCCGAGTGGCTCATCGATGACTTGAGAGCCGTCCAGCCCTCGTTCTTCCTGCACCTTCGCAGCAAAGCTCGGCTGACCAGACACAAAGGTGATGAACTTCAGCAGGGCCAGCATGCGCCGTGCCGGCTCGAGACGGTGGCCCGAATGCTCGCTATGGACGTTGCTGAGCGAATCAAGGAACAAATGTGAGCGCGCTTCGACGGCGTCGTCATTGCGGTGCTCATAGCCGCGCTGAACCTCGGCCCAGATGTCGTTGAGGGCAGTGAGCTGAGTTGGGGCGTCGTAAGCTTGAATGACGAGCAAAGGCAGCGCCAGCGTGTTCTGGGCGTCTGCTGCTGACTGTTTGGAGACTTTGCGAGCGTGTCGATCAACGAGAAGCATGCAGATCCCGGAGAGAAAGTCCTTTGGCCCAAAAATGTCCACCAAAAGCTGGAAGAAGATAGTCCGACGGTGGCGAGGAACGTGCGTAGCTGCGTCTGTAAACACGCAGAGGAGGCTACGGGACTCCTGGAGGAGGGCAAGGCGGTCTTGTCCTCTCGACAGTCGCTTCCGGATCGAGGCGATGAGCGGTGGCAGGATGCTTCGCATTGTCTTCTCAATGACTGTGAAGCTGAACGAGTCATCACGCTGCAGCATAGTCGAACCGACGAACGTAAAGATAGGCATGGCGTTGTGAAGAACCGTGTCAGGTGCCAAACGAGCCACCGTTGAAAGGAGAAGGAGAGCCTGCTGGAAGGTCTGAGGGTTACTTGACGACTTGACAACATTGACAATCGTGTCGGCCCTGATGTTCTGAATGACTTCGCCCGACGACGTGCTTCCCTGCCTTTGGTCGTCAAGTAGCATGGACAAACAGCTCATCGAGAGCTGCATCAGGTAATCGGCATTGCCAAGGCGTCCAAAGACCATTTCGGTCCCAACGCGAAGCACCTCGAAGAGCTCTGCAACAAGGGCACCCGACGCCGCTGTACCTTTGCGCGCCAAGGCCGCCTCGAGGACCTCTACGAGGATGGCTGCTGCTCGGTCTGACGCTGCGTTCATCTGGTCGCCCGCAGAGGAAGCATCGGAAACCCTGGCCTTCTTCGCATGCGGGCCCGCCGACAGAGTGGATGAAATCGACCTCCGAAGTTCCCCGACGACCAAGATGAAAGTTGAAGGAGAGATGTTGAGCGACGCAAAAGAAGACCGAACGTCAGGAGAGACGCTCCGCGCCGGGTCCGAGACGCACAATAATAGAACCTCGTACGCTTGCTTGCTCTTCTCGTCGCTGAGCAAACCAAAGACACGCTCACGGAGCGAGAGAGCCGCGTGCTTCTGGACACCAGCCTGCTGACTCTCGAGAGCTTGCATAAATAGCGTCCAGACGCCATCCTCGTCGAATTCGAGAGCTTGACGGCTGTGTCGGTCGAAGGCACCGAAAAGGAAACCCAAGTAGGCATCGGCACCAGCCTCTCCGAGTACGGCCAATGCTCTGTCTGTCTTGTTTGCCTTGGACTGGATGTGGTTTTGAAGCAGGGGCAAATAGCACGCGAGCTTGCCTCCGTCAACAACGCCATTGAGGGCCTCAAGGAGGAGGAGTCGGGCGTCCAAATTTCCCCAAGCTACGATGTGGCTACCCAAGAAGCTCACAATCGCACGCTTCCACTTGGAGTCCGCTTTTGCTTCGCCTCTGCTCGTCGTCAGGCTGTTTTTGAGCAACGTGTCGAGATGCCGAACATCGTGCTGCAACGCCGTCGCATTCTTGATGATGAGGTCGAGCAAACGCTTCGCACCCGCAACGTCGAGGTATTTGAGATTCTCGGACGCCTTCTGGCCGTAGAGCGAGTCATAGCCAAATGTTTCGACTGGGGCTGAATCGGTGCGTGACACAACCTTTGCGATGACTGCGGCCAGCAGGTCGAGGCACGAAATGGCTTCCCGTCTGATCGATGCCTCTTGAGACTTCAGTGAGACAAAGAACGACGGCAGAATCGTCTGGAAATCAATCTTGCGAGTGGTCTCATCGAAAGCCGACAAAAAGGTCTTTCCGTGGCGCAACGCAGCAAACCGGACGACGGGCAAGGGATGGGACGTCCAGATATTGGCGAGAAATACGAGGGCGGATTCGCCCATCCGAGAGAAGAGGATCTGGAGCATGTCCTTTGACAGGTTGACGTCCGTGGAGCTAGAGTTGGCAATTTCGTAGAGTTGTGCGGCCGTTTTGAAGTCGGCGGTAGTGCTACCGAGCATGACGCTGCTTTCGAGGGGAACACCTGATACGATTTGAACGAGCAGGATTGCCTGCGACCAGGCCAATACTTGCTTCGGTTTTGTAAACTTGTAGACCTTTGCCAGGAAGTCGTCTCCAAATGCCTTTGTCGAAGCTCCCTCTTTCGACTCGGCGGTCGCGACCAGTGTGTCGTCCTTGAGAATGCTTGCTGCCAGTCGACCCCGCTTGCCGACCTCGATCACCTCTATCAGCTTGCCGAGCACCATGTTAGCCAGCACTCGACTTCGGACATTTTCTTCTCGTCCCGTCAGTCCAAGCCGCCTCACGATGGTGTCGACGTGCTCTTGCCACGACGAAGCATCTGACGAGGACACAGCTTCGGCAATTGCCAGCGCGACATCAGCATTGACTTGCTGCCAATTTTTGCTCGAGAAGCTGCGCTTTGTCGTCTTTGTGATTGAATCAGCCACTCTGAACAGGAATGAGTCCGACTGCTTCTTTGACAAGGCCGAGAGGACGTCGACAATCTTGCTGCATGTTTCGTGGTTGTGTTCGCTGCAGAGCAATGTTGGCCATAGTGCGTCCAAGATCGTTCCATCGGCCTTGAGAGAAGAACCAGCAACGTGCTGAGCGAGAAAGGAAGCATGGGCGAAAATCGCTTGTCCTTCATTATCTCTTTGCATAAGAGACATCGAGGAAGCAATACCATCAGCGATCGCTTCTGGCTTCAAGTTGGCAAGCAGCACGTTTGGTCTGCTATAGAGCGAAGACAAGACGAGGGCAGAGTCGTCGCTGAGCCGAGATGCGACAGTCTCCTTGACCATGGGGTCCGTGACCGATGTCTCGCCCTTATCGATGGAAGAGTACATCGCCTCTATAGCCACCTTTCTGCTGTTCGGTGAAGTGTCATTGACGCCGAGCCAGAGCTTTGTCGATTTGGAAGACTTGAGTGTAACTCCTGCTTGGGCTGCCATGACGGCACTCAACGCAGACCAAGCACTCTTGTCGGCGTTCAACCCAGAAGTGAGCTGTTTGACGGCCTCATCAATGATGGCGGGCTGTCGTTGTCGGCATCGTGCGAGCGCAGCGACGATCTCGGGGACCTTCTTGAGTGCGATAAGGCGAAGGAGTCGTTTGCATACATGGACCTTTACGCCAGCGTCTGCGAAATCCAGTATGTCTTCTAGAAGTAGCCCCAAATTATCCTTTTCCTCGGACGCCATCTCCGCACTTTGCTGCTCCAAGACATCGCCGAGAGCATCACAAAAGTAAACGAGCGAGGATTCAAAGCGATAAGTTCTGCAGTTGTGCCGAAGGATGTCGACAAAGCCTGGTCGTTGTGCGAGCCTGCGAGCTGCCTGGATCGGGAACGCGCCCGAATCTTTCTTCGCGTTTGAAGATTGCACGATGCTGAACGCCGCAGTGATCAAAGCCCCTTCGATGTTCTTATTCGACGCTGCGGTGGCCAGACTGCTCACTACGCTGTGCGTAGCTTCTGTGCTCAAGTCAAAGGCCGCAGAGATGGCACTGAGGACCATGCAACCGGCCGCCTGGGCTTCTGCTCCCCGCGAAAGCGAGGTAGACAAGTCGACAGCGACAGGGAGAAGAACACTGAGAATCAGCTGCGCACTGTCCTGGCTGTTGCCTTTCCCCTTGCCCGAGCCTCCCTTCGTGAGGCCCATCGAGAGGGTCACGTCGTCGGTAGCCTCGCCCGCCCACCGAGCGCAGACCCGGACGAGCGTCGAAGTCCAAAAGGAGACGAGAGCATGGCTTGGGTTGACGTCGTCGTCGAGACACGGAAGAGAGGTAATCCACCTGAGCGTCTCGAGAGCGGGCGTCGTCTGAGGTGGACCGAGAAGGGTGGAGATAAGGACCGAGGAGGGGAGCGATACCGCACGTTTCCTGACTGGAAGGAGGAAAGCCAGGTGTGGCTTATGTCTGCAAGACGATGGAATGTGAGCAGAGAATCTAGAGCAGTCAGGTGAAAGAGAGAGAAGACCTACTGGATCTTGAGAATCTGGAGCATGCGAGCGAACTGAGGCGTTTCGTGGTAAGGCATGAAGGCGGACAATGTCGTCTCCACGTTGAAGTCGTTGATTCTGGAGGAAGGAGAAGGCAAATTATCGTGAGCACTATGCCTGCAGGCATGCAACGTAGGAGATGAGACTCACCTAAATCTCCTGACGAGCCACTCAATGCATTTGCTTGTGCTTCTCTCCAAGAGCGAGCCCCCGACTCTAGCAAAGAATTCGCTGACGGCCGCATCAATCTGCTGATTCTCCTCCTTGGTGGCCATGGTTCTGTCTAGGTCTTTGCTGGAGGGCCCGAAAAGCAGCATGCCTTGTTCTGTCGAAGCCCATCGATCCAAATTTGCATCGTTAAGGCAGAGCTCTTCCCACCCATTGGTGCCGAGACCATGGACGGTTTGGAGGTCCTGCGAGGAGGCTACCTTGGCCGGAAACAGGTACGAGGTCGATAGCGCTCGCGCCTTGGACACCTCGGTACCTATCCGGTCGGCATTGTGTGAGCGTATGCTCCCCAGCTGCTGGGATAGCGAGCTCGCCATCGTGCCTCGTGCTGCTCAGGTCGTCGGCGCTTTTGAGGAGCGAAGGACGCCTTAAATCTTCGAAATATCTTCTCTCCTCTCTCTTCTTTCTGAATTTTTTTTTGAGTGTCTTGCACGTGACGAAAAAGTGGAGAAAACTTGTCATCCTCTTTTGGACCGACAAGAAGATTTCGTGAGCCTAGCATCAATTCCGACGAGAGAGGAAGGAGAGGGCGAGAGGAAACAGTCGTCTCCAACGACGAGGAGGAGAAAAGGGCAAGTCGTTTCTCGTCGGGCTCAGGAGTAGACGTTGGAAAATGTCACTCCCGAACACAGCGACTTGGGCGTCGCCCTTTCACGCCCGACGATGCTGGAAGGCGGCCATTGTTGCGGGAGGATGGCAGCCGTCCACGCCGGGCTTCAGTCAACGGTCCGTCGCGCTCCGATCCAAGAGCCCAAAGGTGCAGTCGCCACCACGGGCGGGGAGAGTGCATCTCAAGCCATTGAAGCTTGCTGCTTCAAAGGGCGGGACGAACGTGCTCAAAGTCAATAAGGAGAAGGCAGCGGCGCAGCACCCTGCCCCAACTCCGAAGGCCAGATCGGCGAGAAGGAGGCGGCGACGCGCTACCCAAGCCAGCAGCGACAAGGAGGAGACAGCAGAGCGTAGTGAAGCTGCGGGTGAAGGCAAAGGAAAGCTGCGGGAGAATGCATCGGATCTAGCGGACAGCTTGACGGGAGACAAGTGGTCCTACGAAATCAAGGTGGCGGAAGGCCGAGGTGAAAGGTTCTCACGGATGCCCGGCAAATTCAATGCCACTGGCTGGGGTCCCGACCGACTTAGGCCGGTGTCTGCAACAGGCTTCCCGATGGAAGGCGAGGGCAGCACCGAGGCAGACGGTGGCCCAGTTGCTGCCGCACCTGATCACGGTTCAACGCCGAGCACATCGAAGCAGTCGTCTGGGACCAGATCTTCATCACGATCGCGATGGACCTTACCAGGCTTCCTAGAAACCACATTGGCCAGTGGCGAGGATGCCCAAAGTGCACGAAAGCTCTTTGCGCGAAGAGACGGTGATGCACTGAGGCAGCCCGACAACACGAACGATTACCTGCCAACGGACAGACTCGCAGCTCTTGAAGGCGAGGACATGGACTGGTGGAGCAGGCAAGGAAAGTGGCGTACAAAGATAGGAGGACGGGTCAATGCCCTGGACGTCGACGTGCAGCCTGTTGAGCCTCTGCGAGAGATGACCGTGGCCAACCTTGCCCACGGCCTTGATCGCGTCCTCTTCAATCCTGGCATACACTGGCTCCGAGACACAAGATCAGGCATCTACAACTACGATCCCCGCATTCGCAACCTGCTCGATGTAGACCTTTTCGACTACGCTGCGCTGCCGCCCTACGTCACGTCGAGCCAAGACAAGGAGCTAGCGCAGCTCGTGAGACGAGAAGGCAAGCGATACAGTGGGAGCACGAGCAGCATGACGGGTATGCTCAGCCACGTGTACTTTGCCATCAGCGCATGGAGGCAGCCCCAGCTCAAAAACTTCACCGAGGCCTACCAAGGCATGCCTGGTGGCTTCTCGTTTGGAGCCAAGCTTCCTTCGAGCATCGTCCTTCGTCGCTTCGCAGACGGAGACGATGGCCAGCCCCGATATGCCATTGACGCCGACAAGTCCAGCCCTGGCGACGGCGGCGGCGACGACAGCGGCGGTGACAACTCCAATTACGTCCTAACGCAGCTTGGCAAGAGTATGGAGAAGATGCTGACCTCGAGTCCGGAGCAATACGAGCGCTATCTGCGCATCAACAGCCACCAGCTGAGCGAAGAGGAACGCTCAAGGCCAGAGGCCTACCACTACGCCAAGTCAGACAAGTTTGTGATGCGTTCACAGCTCGACTGCTGGGACGAGCGCTTGCCTCGCAAATCTTTCGACCTCAAGACTCGTGCTGTCATTGCAGTTCGACAGGACCGTGCAAATTGGGTCGAGTCGTCGGGCTATCAGATTCGCCACGCCACGGGCCTCTTTGAGTCCTTTGAGCGCGAGATGTGGGACATGAACCGATCGGCCTTTCTCAAATACTACTTCCAGGCCAGAATCGGACACATGGATGGTATCTTTGTCGCCTTTCACAGCACAGCCTCAATGTTTGGCTTCCAGTACATTCCTCTCGAAGATATGGCCGAGAGGGTGTTTGGCAGCTTGGAGATGGGCGAGCAAGCCTTCCGACTGAGCATCGGCATCGCCGAGAAGCTCCTCGATGCAGCCACGGAGCTCTATCCCAGCGACGTGAGTCTTTCAATGTTTTCCTGCGTGTGACACACTGGAACTGACCGTCTCTAATCGAACAGACGCTCAAAATTACCCTCGACGCGGAGCAAAGCCATGATCCAGTGCTCAATGTCTTTGTCGAACCAGATCGGCCGGAAGAGGAGGGAGCAACGCCTAAGGATTCAATCGAGAAGGAAGGAGACGCCGCTTCGGACGACCGAGCTGCGGGTGTTGGCAAGGATGGAGACAAGACCAGAGAGCCCAGGATTGTCCAGCTCCAAGTTTCATTTGACCGCTACCTGTCTGGTGCCCACGTGACGGGGCCCGTCGACTTCAGTGCCCCTCAAGGACGGTCGATCGATCACATTGCGCTCGATGAGATCGAACGACGGCGCCACTCGCAGCTTCCTTCGCTCGAATGGTCGCTGGAATACTCGATCTCGCCCTGCCCGCACCTGACGGAAGGCCAGGTGAGGCAGAACCTGGCCAAGGTGCGCAAGAGGCAAGAGGCAGTGGCGCCACTGCTGATGCCCAATGTCGAGGCGATCAACGAGCGGGAAGAGTTCCGCGAGAGGGAGCTTGGCAAAAACCCCGAGGCACTGAAGAGATTCCTGGAAGACCGGCGAAGCGGAGCCGCAAAGGGCATGCCATTGGCACCTGGTCAGAATCCGATTCGGGGCGAGACTGAGGGAGAGGGGGCCAAGGGTCCCAGCGGTGAGGTTGGAACGCCGGACAAGGTCGATGCTGGTGCAGGGCCAGATGCGGCTGCCGCACCAGATCGAGCCAACGACACAAAGTGGAAGAAGATCAACGAGAGCGTCTTGCGCCTCCGCAGACTCGCAAAGCTCGGCCGAGAAGACGCCGAGAAAAGAGAGGACAAGGATCGCCTCGAGATGTACGAACGCCGGGGTGACTGAGAACGCAATCCTTCTCTCTCTCTGCAGCATGCTGCTGCTTGTACTCTGTTCAATAATTTGCATGCATTCCTCACAGAATACACATTGTTGCTCTTCTATCGAGAGAGCTCAGACCCGAGCTTATAGTTGAGGACCTTGTCCCAGTCCACCTTCTGCCTCGTGATCGGCAGCGTCTTTCTCAGCGCCTTGAAGGCCCGCTCGCCAAGGTCATTGCAAGTGGCAAAGAGGGTCTTTTGGTAAGCCTCCTCATGCTTTTCGATGGCGCTCGCGATGGCCTTTGCAACCTCGGGCGCCGATTTTGCGTCAAAGGGATCGGCAGCAGAGGTTGGGAGCGAGAGAGTCGTGCTTGTTGGGCGAAGGCCGTGCAGCTGAACGTTGCCGTCTTCAAAGTAGTGAACCTGGAGCGCCAGGGTTGAGTCGAGCGACGATGGGGAAGAGGGGTCAAAGGTATATGTTGCTCGCCACCGTCCCGACCTAGCCAGGACGTCAGTTTTGACGCACAAGAACAAAGGTCAGAAATTTGGAACGAACCAGTAGTTGGAAAGCTTGATCTTGTTCGCGACAATGTGAATGAAGAGCTTCGAGGGGCCCGAGGCCTCTTCGTCCTTCTCTTCTTCGTCCTCACGCTCTGCCATGACCGCGTCCTCCTTCTCCTTGGTTTCACTGTCCGTTGCGGGTGCTGCCGTTGCGTCTTCCCCAGCAGAGGCTTCCGCTTGGCCCTCTTCTCCTCTATTTTCCATCTCACTATCCTCCCCTTCTGCAGCTGTGTCTTTGGGCCCTTCCTTGTCCTCTCCCTCTGCAACATTCTCTTCGGTGTCTTGCTGGACGTCTTCGCCCTCTGCGGTCTTTACTTCGGAGTCTGCCTCGTCTTTCCCGTCCACCTCCTCTCCTCCTTCTTCGACAGCGTCCTTCGGATTGGCCTCTTGAGCGATGGGGTCTGCCGCCTTGACCGGCTCTTTGACCGGCTCTGGCCTCGGGAGTGACTGGACAAAGACAGAAGCGATGCCCGTCTCGTAGCGGTCAAAGACGTACTTGGCCACGTCAGCCTCGATAGCCTCTCGAAGGGGCTCTGCATGCACGTTGGGCTTGTAAGGCTGCGGGTCTGACGCCTTCTGCGTGTCACGAAGAGTAATTGTAAAGCAAGAGTGAGTGTGTGGGCCGTGGAGAAGGCAGAATAGGCGTGAGATTACCCACCAGGTCGTAATGGTCCACGACGAAGCTCGTCTTGCTCCTCGGGTCCCTGAATCGTTCCTGTCCCTTCCAGCTGAACACGCCGTGCTCCGACAACACAACAGCAGCAACGGCGGCGGCATTCGGCTTGGAGTTGCCATTGGTATCGGTGGCAGACGACGCTGGCGCATCAATGGTGATGAGCTGCTCGACATTGTGCTGCCTCCAGACTTCCTGTGCTTTCGCTTGGAACTCGGCCGCGTCCGCTGCGCCGTCATCTCCCTCGGACTCTAGAAGCGCAACGAGGTCGGCATAGACCTGCGACTGCTGTCCTGGCGGGGACTGGAGGAGCAGCGGAAGCGCCAGAGCAGCTCTCGAAGACATGACCGGGTCGGCGTGCTTGTAGTCGGTCGATGAGGGGAGTTACTTCTAGGAGGGCACTCTCCCTTGTCGTCGGGCCATGGCCGGCCACGTGTGGGAGATTCGCATGCACGGATCACGCTCTTATCGGAGTGCTTGACTCGCGATTGGGCCCTTTCGATTTTATTTTTACTTTTTACTTATCCACTCTGACGCATCCAGCCACGGACGACGACGGCGACGGCGACACAGAGCCGAAATGGCATCGTCCTCTTCACCTTCGCAGCGACGGCGGGCGAACCCGCTGGCCATAGTCGGTGGTCTTCTGGCACTTGGCGGCCTCGGGTATGCCGTTTACACCTACGTCTCTGCGCCCGTCGGGCCTCATTCGCCAGCCGATGGGCGAGCGTCGAGTTCAAAGAAAAAGGTGAGCGGGACCACTCCCTCCCTCCACGGACACCTTCTTCCATCCCATGCAAACATAACACATGCTCATTACCGGGAACTTCTCTCACAGATTGCCACAAAACGGCCGTCGATGTCTCTCTCCCTCCCGCCGACATTCGCGCGAACGCCTCGGGCCATGTCGATCCTTCGCCGTCTGCTTGCCGATCTCTCTGCCGTCTACGTCGTGACGCTCATTTCGCCGCCTCCTCAACACGCAGCCAACGCCAACGCTGCGGTCGTCTCTAACGGTACGGCCCTTTTTGGCAACGACGACGACGAAGAGGAGGGGAAGGAGGAGGAGGCAGGTGCTGTCACAGGCGGCGGCGGTGACGTGGGCATTGCCAGTGTGGCTGCCCTGGCCGAGTCGCTCAAGGATGTCGATGGCTTTGATCAGCGCCGCGTCCTCGAGTACGAAAAGCCAGAGGGGAGAATGTCGCTGGGGCGCGCGCTGGCATGCGATGCACACGTCGAGGTGCTCTTGCAGCAGCAGCAACAGCACAGGAGGCATGGGCGGGACAGCGAGCCCGGCGACGAAGAGGGTGATGACGACGATGGAGACAGCACACCACGCGCCGGCTCGCCCGTCTTTGGCAGCTCTGCGTCGCTGTCGAGAAAGCAGAGGGAAAAGGCAAAGGAAGATGGCAGCAGCCTGAAAAAGTACCAGTTAGGCCTGGAGCAGCTCCGCAAGGCGACGGGCGTCCTCGTCGTCCTGGCCCTTGCCTCGCTGCAGGATGCGGATTCGACGGCCTTTGTCGATCAGCGGCCAAGGGTGGGCCAGAACGGGTCAGCTAAGCCAGGCGAAGCGAGGCTGCATCAGGGTGGCGAGCTGGATCCGGACCAGATCCTGGGTGCCTTTCGCGATGTTCCTGGCGTCAAGACTATCGACTGTCGTGGTGCTTACGGTGACGAAGGCTGGAAAGAGGCTGCCGACATGCTTGTGGGGCTTAGGAGCGGGTGGAAGTAGTGCACTTCTTAGCTTTTTTCCTTCTGTATCTTGTACGTTTTCAATCATACCGCTTTGCGACATCGACCGGCTTCACACAATAAAGACAATGAAAGTGGTGGTGACATTCTCGTGATATGATGATACAGCAACAGGGCAAAGAGAGAATACGAAGAAGCAGAAGCAGAAGCGACAGGTCGAGCAAGACAGAATGCTGAAGGAGCAAGAAAGCAAAGAAGACATATGTAAGGGTGTGTGGGTGAAAAGAAACCCGATCAAAAGCTCATTCGGATACTGCCAGCCCCGGACGACACATGCGAGAAACCTTTCATCTTCCACTCGTGCCACTTATCCCCCCACCACACCCTCCCTCGTCCCCAGTGACCCACTGGCCATTCAGAAATCGCATCCGTCACGATTCGCCTCCCATTGCCGATGTCCTCGTCACTCGGGCCCTCGACGGTGAGGTGGCCGACATTCGTCGATGCGTTCCAGGAGCCCTGGAAGCCAGGGGCATGCTCGACAACGATGGTGCCGAGGCGGCTCGAGATACGCGAGTGGAGTTCAACGGAGCGATCCTGCTCAATATAGCGCACATGAGTGCCGGACACCTTGCTGTCCACCTCGACGGTCCGCACTTTTGACCACTTGTTCCTAGCCTTCCCGTCGCCAACGACATCGCCAGGCAAGCCCAAGTCGTAGTCTCCATCGCTCTCCGTGAGCCAGACGGCTGCATCGACGTCACCATTCTCCGTCGTGACGGTGAGATGCTCGGCCCTGTAGCACCCGCCAATGTAGCCGCCGTGGTTGCGCACATTGATCAGCGGCGCTCGGGCACCGCCAGTGACATTGATTCCACCGGCACCCGTCCTCAAGGTGATGTTGTTGCTGGCCAGGATATTCGTGAGCCAAATGGGACCATTGCGTGTCTCGACATCGATCGAGGGCGCAACGATCGACGCTCGGAGACCGTCGGCGGAAATGTCTCGCATCGGCCCGTTCTGTAGCACGAGTGTGACCGACTCGGATGCGACGAGCGCCCGCGCGATCTGCAGCCCACTGTTGAGCAGCTGGCTCTCAAACGTCTTGAAGTAGACGCCGCCTTCCTTTGTCCAGCCTTGGTCGTCCCGGCCCCAGAGACTCTCAATGGCCAAGCGCATATTGTCTGCATTGACGCTCACGTGGGGGATCAGCGAGGTGTTCGACCGCAGAGACTCGCTGTTCCTCTTGCGCCACTTGGGCGCTGGTAGATGGACGGTGACGTGGTAGGAGATGAACTGGCTCGGCGAATAGAAAGGCCGACTGCCCGAATAAATGCCCAGGCCTACACCCTTGCCATGGTCCCTCTGCATCATGCGCACGAGGATGCCGTCTCGGAGCCACTGCTCGGTGAATCGCGACTCGACCTCGATGACCATCTGATCGTAGATTTTGTGGTTGGTGAGCTTCGCCCACTCGTCGTCTGAGAGACTGGTCGAGTCCTCGACTGTAATGAGACCCGAGTAGGCGGCACCCTTTGCCGAGACAAAGAACTCCTCTTCGGTGACGGGCAGGGTGAAGAAGGCTTTCGTGCTGTACAGGGCTACGTATCGTCCCGGCCACATGTCTTGAGGAAGCCTGACAGGCGAGGACCAACCGGGCATCTCGATGGGACGACCGTCTTTTTCTGGAGGAGAGGGAAGGAGCTGAAAGTGTGCAATGTGTAAGCTCATCCATCGGGGGACAAGGGAAGAAGCGAGCCTGATGTACCTCATCCTGACTACCGTCATGCTTGAGGGTAGCAAAAATAATGACGAGAGCAATTCCAGCGACGATGGCGCCCGCAAAGGCAAAGTGAACGGCATGGCGAAGCTTTCTCTTCGCTATCGTTCGGAAGTCTCTTCTCTCCCACCTCCGGCCTCGCCGCCCTCGCCTTCCTCCTGCTTCTCCGGCTCCTTCTTCATTGCTTGTAGGCAGAAGGGGCGTTGACTCATGTGCCTCCTCTTCTCTTCTAGTTTCCGCGTCTCGATCGGAGGATTGCGACTGTGCCTGGGCGGAAGAAGTAGAAGCAGACGCGCCCCGGTTCGCCTCCTCGTACGCGGGCGGAGGTTGAAGGTCCCACGCGGCACGTCCACTGTTGGCAGCAGCATCGTCGTCGTCGTCCTGTGCCGACATGCCGGGCGCGCTCATTGAATCGTGGCGAGCAGCATACTCTGCTGCGCGTCGCCGAGCCTGCTCCTGCTCCGCCTCGAGGCGCTTGTGGTCGATGATGGCCATTGTCGTCCTTCTCCGCCCTTTGTCCTCAGTCGCTCTCCCACCACGTCTGTGTTGGCGGAAGCTCCAGAGGGTCGACGGTGGGTCCCGATGCAAGATTAGACTCGCTGAGTCCGTCGAGCCACGTGCGTCTCGCGCGCTCTCTATTTTGCTCCTTGGCCCTCCTCCACTGTCCACGCCGACTTTCAAGATTAAATAAAAATAAAAATAAAAAGAACACTCACCGGACCGGTGCCTCCGTGGCGTGAACGCATCGTCGCCCTCTTCCGATTGGAGATACTTAAGGCGGAGCCTGGCGACCGCTGCCACGGTGCTTGCTATGCGGCCTGTTAGTCTGAGGGAGGAAGATGGTGCATCACGCCTTGGGATCTTGGGAAAGAGGTGATGGCGTCGACGAGTTTTCTCAGCGCGCGAGTGCAGGTAAGTGTAAAAAAAAAACGGGGGGCTTTAACGAGCTACACTGATGGTGGCCTTCATCAACTTTGCGCCTCCCTTCTTCTTCGATGTAACCGCCGCACAGAGGGGTTTCTCGGTGCTACTTGCAATGACAAATTGCCCGAAGCGGCCATTTCTCCTGCTCTTTTCCCTTTTGCTCCAATCGGCCTCGGAGGAGGGAGGCAAGGGCGAGAGGCAGCCTCATTGGTGTAGGTGTCCCCCCACCTCTATGCACCATCTGAGTCGAGTGAAAGGGTTCCCCGCTCGCTGTCCCTCGAAACTTGAGAAGTTCCTCTGCGTATATAAAGGCGGTTTGACAAACACACTCTCTTGCCCATCACCATCATCTCGGCCTCTCTCCCCGTCCATATCGGACTGACAGACTGGGCGATTCACCTCACACGACAGCTCCACAGCACGTGTGCTCGTACACAATATTTTCCCCCCACGCCGACGTTGGAGTTGCTCGGAATGGTCACCAGTACCTTTACATCACCACCATCAACCCACCCGCCCCTTCCCCTTCCAACGGCGGCTACTGCTAATACGACGACGACGCTGCCGCACATCAACGGAGGGCAGTCAGTCAAGGTGCTCAGCACTACGGAGCGCGACGGAGCCATGGCACTCAACGGGCACGCCTCGTCCTCGACGCCGGCCTCGAGCGTCCACAGCAGCGTCAATGGCAACGCGGCGGCGGCGGCGGCGGCGGCGGCAGGCGGCTTTGCAAATCTCTCGGCGGTATTGCATGGGCCATTAGACATCAGAATTGTGAGCACGTCCTTCTCTCTGAGTCCACTTTTCATGATGCCCGGAACAAGGCGATGCTGACTACCCTCTTTGACCGGCCGCAAGGAATCACGGCCATGCCCTGCGCCAGCACCAGGCGAGGTGACGGTCAAGGTTGTTTCGACGGGCCTTTGTGGTGAGTTTCCTTGCTTTGAGAGACGTTGTTGCGGGTGATGATGATGATGGTGATGATGAAAGGGAGTGGGGGGGGGGGGGGGGGGGGGGGGGGGGGGGGGGGGGGGGGGGGGGGGGGGGGGGAAGGGAGAGGGGCGAGGCTGCTGCTGATCATGATCATGGCCACGATGCTGACTGCTGCTGCCACACAGGCTCCGACCTCCACTACTTTCTCCACGGGCGAAACGGCGACTTTGCTCTGCAGCACCCCATGTGTCTGGGACATGAGTCGAGCGGGCGCATCGTCGGCCTCGGCACCGGCGTCACCGAGGCGTTTCCCCAGCTTGGCTTGGGCACGCGTGTGGCGGTGGAGCCGGGCCTCAACTGCGCCTCGTGCGAGCGCTGCCTCGAGGGCCGCTACAATCTGTGCGAGAAGATGCGCTTCGCCAGCTCGGCAAAGACGAGCCCGCACCTCGACGGCACCCTGCAGCGCTATTTCAATTGGCCCGCCAGGCTTGTCCATGTGTGAGTGTATGCATGTAGAGCATACAACTACTACTCTTCTCTCTTCCTCATTTGCTCGAGCAAGTACTGACACGTTGTATGCTTTTCCCTGCTCCCTGTTCTATGCTCCAGACTGCCCGCCAACGTCTCGTATCGAGCCGCAGCGTTGCTCGAGCCCCTCGCTGTTGTCCTGCAGGCCCTGTCCCGAGCCGACCTCCGAGGCGGACAGTCGGTCCTCGTCTTTGGTGCAGGTGCCGTAGGACTGCTGGCCTGCGCCGCCAGCAAGGCATTCGGCGCCTCGTGCGTGGCCGCCGTCGACATTGATGACGGTCGCCTCGACTTTGCAAAGAGGAACAGTTGGGCAGATGCAACGTTCCACCTCGGCCGCAGTGCACCTGCTGCCGCTCCGACAGAGCCAGCCGATCGCAAGGCGCAGGATCAGGCGCAGATGAAGCAACTTCAGGCCCAGGCCCGCGAGATTCTCAACTACTTTGTCACCGCTACCACGACGGCCGAGGTTGCGAGTGCATCGAGCGCAGCACCCACAGCACCAGCAGCAGCACCAGCAGCAGCGCCAGCTGCACCGGGCCACCCGCTTCTGTCTGGCTTCGACCTAGTGTTGGAATGCACAGGCGTGCCCTCGTGCGTCTCGCTCTCCATCTTCTCAGCTCGCCCAGGCGCCAAGGTGGCACTCGTCGGAATGGGCCACCCGATCCAGACGCTTCCCCTGGGCGCCGCTGCGCTGCGCGAGGTCGACATTCTGGGTGTGTTTCGCTACGCAAACATGTTCTCGCGCGCCATTCGCCTCCTCAGCGGTGGAGCCTTGCGAGCCGTGGGTGGCGGTTTGCGTGCCGACGGCGCTCCTGTGCCTCGGCAGCAACAGCAGCCGGGAGAAGAGCGGGACGAGCAGCGTGGTGGCATCGAAAATGTCGTCTCGCACCGCTTCAGCCTCCAAAATGCAAAGGCAGCCTTTGAGGCACTCCAGGCTGGAAAGGGCCAGGACGGACGGGGAGTGGTCAAGGTCTTTATCGAAGACGAGGACGACGGCGAGTTGTGACCCTTTTCGCTCGCTCACAGCGATCTACCACCACCAGCATTACTCCCTGTAAAACGCTTCTGCTTTCGCTCTTATCCTTACTCTTGTTACTTTTTTCATTTTCCCTTTCTTTCTTTGTTAGCCACTGCTCTCCTCGCTTTCTCTCCCTCTCCTCTCCACAGGAGTCCAGCCGGTTCTGGTTGGCTGAGCGACCGCTTCCTCGATGCTATCTTCCATGCATCGCCCGGGCGTCTGTCTCACATTGTCTTACTCTCGATCAAGGAACACTTTACAGACAGAGAGAATCAACAAAAGAAGAAGATGGCCAGTTCCATCGATCTCGATAGAATTCTGAATTAAGTGTCTCTCCCCTACTGTCCTGCTACAACGAGGATTGAGGACAAGCATCAGGGTCAGGACGATGTAGTAGCAGCTGGTGCCAAGATCTCGCGCTCGATGGCGTCGCCCAGCTGCGTCGTCGACGCCTGTCCGCCCAGATCTCTCGTGAGCTCGTCGGGCTTGCCCCTGCCTAGGACGGCATTGACGGCGAGGATGATGTCGTCGGCCGCCTGGGGCTGGCCCAGGTGGCGGAGCATCATGCTGCCCGCCTCGAGCTGGCCGATGGGGTTGGCAATGTTTTGGCCCATGATGTCGGGCGCGCTGCCGTGCACTGGCTCAAACAACGACGGCCACTTGCCCGTCGGGTTGATGTTGCCGCTCGCAGCCAGTCCCAGCGAGCCTGTCACGGCCGGCTGATTGGTTTAATTTTGCACGAGTCAGTTATTCTTTGGTGCGAAATAACAAGGGGAATGAGGGGCAGGGTGTGCCGGTATTATCTGTGGCAACACTCACGCCGAGGTCCGAGAGAATGTCGCCAAAGAGGTTGCTGCCGACGACGACGTCGAAACTCGATGGCTTTTGCACAAAGTGTGCGCAGAGGATGTCGATGTGGTACGATTCTACCTCCGAGGCCCCCCGTGTGAGGTGAGCTTGCTCATTTTTGCATCGGGAAGTAGCAAGGGAAGGAGAGGCGACTCACCGACTTTGACATCGGGGTACCGCTTGCTCATCTCTGCCACGCGCTGGTCCCAGTAGGGCATGGTGATGGAGATGCCATTGCTCTTCGCTGTCGGTGCGCCGAAGAAAGTAAGCTCAGCTATAGAAACAAACGCATACAGAGGCAAGGAAGAGAGAGACAACTCACTCGCGCTCGTCAGCTGCTTGGCAGGCCGGCTCTGGGCGAGATCGAAGGCGTACTCGAGAATCCTCTGCAGGTGCCATCAGTTGTATTGTTCCCGTAAGTTTGGTTTGACAAGCCAGTGCACGATAAGGGCTGGTATTGCACTCGAGCCAGAGACTCACATCGATGCCGACGCGCGTCATGACCGTCTCCTGCACCACCATCTCCCGCTGAGTGCCGTGGAAGATCTTGCCGCCGAGCTCCGTGTACTCGCCCTCTGTGTTTTCGCGCACGATCCAGAAGTCAATCTTGCCCGGGTTGCGCAGCGGTCCGGGCACGCCGGCCACGCTCCTGGCCGGACGGAGGTTAACGTACTGGTCAAATTGGCGCCGGAAGAGGAGCAGGCTGCCCCAGAGGCTGATGTGGTCCGGCACCCGCTTTGGGTCTCCTACGGCGCCAAAGAAGAGGGCGTCGAAGCGCGAAAGGACCTCGACCCAGTCATCGGGCAGCATCTTGGCATGGCGCTCGTAGTAGTCGCACGAGGCAAAGTCAAAATGCTCGAGCTGCACCTCGAAGCCGTACTTTTTGGCGCAAGCCTGCAGGATGCGCACGCCCACGGGCACGACTTCCTTGCCAATACCATCGCCAGGGATCACGGCTATTTTGTAGGGTGACTTGAAGCGAAGTGCAGCCATTGCCAGCGATTCTCCTCCTGGTCCGATGTGGTCTGGATATGGGCGGATGGTCGCTTTTCGACGCGGGGGGAAATTTGAAGGAAGCAATCAATCCCTCCACACAAAGACAGATCACATCTCTGATTCTCTCTTTTGTAGCCGTCTGAGTATTTCCTTGGTCAGGGAAGGCCAGCTGCAGCACTATCTCGCCCAGCATGGCAGCTGGCTTTGGCTGTGCCCATGGGTGAGGCTGATACTGTCGGCCGTCGCAGAAACGATTCGGCGCAGCGTTGCAGCCGTGAAATGCGAGGATGCGCGGTGCAACATTTCCCCGATGGATCGCAACCTAACTGCGATCTTGCGTGCGTTGTACCATGGATCTTTCCGCTGTCGCTCGTGTCCTTCACCACCTTTCTCCCAAAAAAAGGGAATTGACCGAAAACTGACCGATCCATGTTCTCTCGCCTCGAATCAGACAACCCGACTGATGCTATCTATCTGTCCTTTTCCCCAAGAATATTTTCAGATTGAATCTCTCTCATCCGTCCCTTGTTTCCCTCCCCCTTTTTCTGCTTTTTCCCATTTTACCCCGCAATTAGTCCCCAACCCCACAGACAAGCACAGAGCAGCAGCAGTAAGTAAAACGGGGCTTCCTGGCATTTGACGCATTTGACAACTGCGTTCCGTGCTTCACCCCCAACGTACTCGCACGGAGTGGCGCAACAAGCCACCGTCTCCCCGATGCGTCCTGCGTCTGTGCTCTCGCTTACGTTACATGCGCGTATGCCCGAGCACCTATGCGTACGACGCAGTAGTAGCACTTCTAGTCTAACAAGTGCATGGCTGCTAGTTGTTGTACTTTTCGTGGATGCATTGCAACGCCGCGTATTACTGCCCGCGCCTCTCCTGTTTCCGGTTGTCTGTCCTCTTTCCAATTTTCCTAGTTTTCTTTCCACTTTCTGCATCTCCCGTGGGGAAGAGAGGGAAAAGCGGCCATGACGGTGGTTCAGCCGGCAATTGAGCAGAAAGTCTAAAAAATAAATAAAAAGTAAAAATAAGAAAAGGGAAAGAAAAAGGAAAACCGGCTTTCTCTCTGTCGCCTCTTCATTCACCCAGGCACGTACAGCACAAGCCCGCCTCCAGCCCGACTCCACACGACGGTAACGCGAGGACAAGACGAAGAGCGAGGGGGTGGGGAAAGCGGCCGGACTCGCAAGCAAATTGGAGAGGGAGGGAGGGGGGACGGATTGACAACCCTGTCCACACCCTCATCCGTCTTAGCGCCCTCCATTCTTTTCTCGCTCAGACCCTTTCACACACATCGATCTCAATCTATCTTTTGCCCGAGAGATCTCCTCATCTCTTCCTCGTCTCCTCCTCTCGCTTTCCCCACACACACGCACTCGTTCCCTCTCTCTCCCTTTTAACACCATCACGACCATCAGGAAAAGGGAAGAGGAGCGGTGCTGTGTCGGCCTGCGCGCCTTGCCTTCTACGACACAAGACAGCGAGACAAGGACGATTGCGCACCACCTGTTGCTTTCGCGTCGCACGCGGCATTGGCTACCATGGCCCCGGCAAAGGCAGGCCCGGCCAAACGGGCCGCGCGTCCGGTCAAATTTACCATGGGCTATGTTGACGATGGCGACGACGATGGCAACAACGAGGAGGTCTTTACCGATGATGATGATGACGACGACAATGATGGCGGCGGTGTCTGGCACGACCAGTCTGCCTCGTCGAGCAGCAAGACCAAGCTCGACTGCGCGAGGCCTGGGCATGCACCCGCGGCCGCTGCTACGCGAGGAAAACCGCCGTCCCCCGCCGCGAAACCAGCCCGCGCCGATCCGTCGTCATCAAAAGCCGCCGATCGACGAAAGGAGGCCAAAGAGCACGAGGACAAGGACGAGGAGGAAGTCGACAACGTCGATGAGGACGATGACTCCGATGCATGGTCCTCGGAAACTGATGACTCGGACGAGGAGAGAGAAAGGCTAGCGGCGGCAGCAGCAGCCGAAGCCAAGACCAAGGCAAAGGCAGCGGCCGCGGCCGAGGAGAAGCGGAGACGGCAGCGACAGGAGGAGGAGGAGAGCATGTTCAAGAAGCGGCCGATCCGGAGCCAGAGCGCCGCAGATGTCTCGCTCCTGGGAGAACCGCATACAGGCCTGTCCAATGGGCGGGCCGCCTCGTCATCAAAGCACGGCTCGCTCAACGGCATCAGCAACAATCCAGTAGCAGCAGCAGCAGCAGAAGCAGCAGCGCCGGCACCGCCCGTCCGGGGCATCCTCACCAGCATCTTCCACCCAGAACAAGGACCCCACTCGCCGCCGGGCCAGCTCGTCGGCAGGCCGCACGCGAGTGCCGCGGATCTCAGGCAAGTGCCCAGTCGGACAAGATCACCTCCTCAAGGAGCGTCTCGGCGACCGCCAGCCTCCTCGGCAATCTCCAACAGCAAGCGAAGGAGCTACGTTGATCTGGTGGAATACCGGCAGCAGGCGACGGGTGATGGCCCCGGTGGCGATGGCAGCGGTAGTGGGGGTGCTGGTGGTGCTGGAACTGGGACTAGCAGCGGTGGACGATTGCCAAAAGTGCCCAGCAGCCCACAGGTCGCCGAGATGGGCAACCAGGGAGGCCTGCGAAGCTCAAAGAGCGCAGTGGCCCTTCCTGTCTTAACGTCTCTCCAAATGAAGATCTCGCCCTCGTGGACCAGCCCGCCGCGGTCGTCCGTTGAGGATACCAGCCACCTTATGAGTAGTACTCCTTCACAACGGCAGATGGGCCAAAATGGCGTTCATAAAGGCGCTCAGCAGCAACAAAGCACCTCTGCCTCGGCGCAGGGAGCCAGCAGCGCCCCAGACACGCACGACAAGCCCGTCGTTTCAGCAAAGCCAGCCGAAATTGACATGCCGGCTCGGAGAAGATCGACGGGCGAAGACCTCGGCGATGAAGGGGCAGGCATGCCCCTGACGCCCAAGACGACGCGAAGAAACATGATCCAGCACGAGCTGTCCGAGTCCTTGCGCGAGAACCTGCTCTGGGAGCGACAGAACCGGCAGAGAATGCTGGGCATTGGCGCAATTGGGCCTTTGGACCATCACTTCCAGCAGCCCCCACCTCCCATTGAGGAAACATACCGTTCCTCGAACCGACAGCAACAGCAGCAGCAACAACAGCGACAGCTACCGCTACAACAGCAGCAGCACCAGCAGCACCAGCAGCACCAGCAGCACCAGCAGCGGGCTCCAAGAGGCCAGTCTGTGCTGTCAGGCGGCCTGCGACCGCTGACGAGCAGCAGCAATGTGGCGCAACAAGCCAATACGGCTCGATCCCAGCACGACACAAACACCCTACACCGCCACTACACAGGCGACTTCCACGTCTCGGGCTGGTGACCTTCACTGCCCACCTTCTTCCTTGTTGACTTGTTAACACCACCCCAACCGCTCCTACTTTAGCTATCCTCGCACACATCTCAAACACCTATCCTCACTACTCTCACAGACAATTCTTAATCAGTATTTGGTCCCTGCAATTCACCCTATTTCACTGTCCCTCTCTCTCGGTGGTCTACGGGTTGATGGTCACGCGAGCGAGCTTAGTGCGTGCGAACATTGCATAAGATTCGGCCGAGAGCACCCAAAACACGCCTTAAAAAAACAAGGAACTTTGATTCCGTCGGTTGCATCTGACCTGAGACGGAAGCGACGCGGTGAGAACGCATCTACCGAATCGCCTTTACATCGAGATTGCAATCGAGAGGAGCAGCGATGGCGTCTAACATCGGCTTTGCTGCGACAGCCATGGTGGCAGCTGCAGCAGTAGAATGCTGTGGGGCTGTCTCTGTCCAGGCGTCGGCGCACCCTTCAAACTCTGCTTCGACCCCCACGCCCTCGTCGTTCCCGCTGACCGACTCGATCAACGAGATGCTCTCTACCGCCTCGCACGTCCTCGCTCGCATCCCCGGCTCCGCCATCTTTCTGAGATACGTCAGGAGCTCGTACCAGGATGACCCCATTCGCAGCTTGCTCGAGCTCTTCCTGCTCGTCTTTGCCATTAGGACTGTCCTTCAGAGTCGAACGAGGGGCGGCTCGAGCGGATCAAACTTTGTCAAGCTGAGCGAGAAGGTGAGAATGGCTCCATTGCCCTTTACTCTTTCCCTTTTGCCCCTTCTTTTGCTTCCCTTCCCTTGCTTCATTGGTACGAAGGAGCCGATGCTGACGTGCAAGAACACAGGAAATCGACGACCTCGTTGACGAGTTCCACCCGGACCCGCTGTGCGCGCCCCTCACGCCATCGGAGTCGCACGACCTGCTCTCTGTGCCCACCATCATTGGCGCTCCCTCGGCCCACCCCAAGATCTCTGTGCCGACATTGAACCACGGAAAGGCGCGAGAAGTCATCAATCTGGCCAGCTACGACTTCATGGACCTGGCAGGCAGCGAAAAGGTCAAGGACAAGGCTGTGACGGCTCTGCGAAAGTATGGAGTCGGGAGCTGCAGCCCGCCGGGCTTCTACGGCACCATCGGTGGGTTCTTCTGTTCAACGGAAAGGTTCAAGCAGAGACTGATACTGACAATTGCATTCTTCAAGACGTCCATATGGCGCTCGAGGCCGACATTGCCCGCTTCCTGGGCGTCGACAAGTGCATCATCTATTCGCAGGGCTTCAGCACCATTTCCTCCGTCATTCCGGCCTTTTCCAAGCGAGGCGATATCATCGTTGCCGATCGAGGTGTGAACTTTGCCATTCAGAAGGGCCTTCAGATCTCGCGCTCGACGGTCAAGTGGTTCGACCACAATAACATGGCTTCACTTGAAGCCGCTCTGCAGTCTGTCGTGCGCGATGACAAGCGGCGAAAGGGGCCCTTGACGAGGCGTTTCATCGTCACCGAAGGAATCTTTGAGGGCGATGGTGCAAAGACGGACCTGGCAAAGATCGTCGAGCTCAAGCGCAAGTACAAGTTCAGGCTCTTCTTGGACGAGAGCATGAGCTTTGGCACTGTCGGCGCCACTGGCAGGGGCATGACAGAGCTGTGCGAGGTGCCGCCGAGCGAGGTTGACATGATTGTGGGAAGCATGGCAAACACGCTCGGCTCTTCGGGAGGCTTCTGCGCCGGCACCGAGGAAGTCGTCTTCCACCAGCGCATCAACGGAATGTCCTTTGTCTACAGCGCAGCTATGCCTGCCATGCTCGCCGTGGCCTCGTCAACAGCTATTCAGCACCTCATCAGCACGCCCTCGATTATGTCCACGTTGCAGGACAACGTCCGGATCCTTCGAAATGTGCTCGACCACGTCGAATCGATCTGGATCCCTAGCGATCCCATCTCGCCCCTGATCCACATCCAGATCCGAAGCAAGCTGGAGAGGCACCCGGACACGCCCATTGAAAAGTTTGAAAAGGGAAGGCATGTGCTCGGCGTCGGAGACGTCTCGGTCAACCTGGCAGAGGGGCAACCACAGAAGCTCCCAGCCGTTGTGACAACTTCGAGCGCCGACGCCAACCCCAATCCGCCCAGTCCGGCGCTCTCGTCGTCGTCTGCCGCCACGGTCAAGGCCAACGGCAGCAGCAGCAGCAGCAGCAGCAGCAAGAAGCGAGGGAGCGGAGGCGCTGGTTCGAGTGCCTATGCACCCTCAAATGCATTCCAACCGCATGATCTGAGCGTCGCCGAGCAGACCCGCCTGCTGCAGGCCATCGTCGACGACGCGCTCGAGCACGGCGTCTTCATCGTAAGGGCCAAGCGACTGCCCAGCATCAACCCAAAGGTCCTCGAGAGCGGGCCAGAGTCAAGACCGAGCATCCGCATTGCCGTCAATGCGGGTCACAACAAGAAGGAAGTCGAAAAGGCCGCAAACGTGCTCAAGGCCAGCATCGTCCGTCTGATTGGAAAAAGGCGGTAGAACGTCTTTACTTGTCTGCCTATTCTCTTGTCCTCCCTTTGCGCTCCGACCCTTTTTTTCTCGTTAATGGTAGACTGATCCATTCCTGCTGGCGCAGAGAAGCACGTTGAGATGTGTATACAAGTCCTTGAGTCTAGAAGAGGTATTGTGATACATGTATTGTGACCGATCTCCTCGCCCCTCTCCTTCTTCCTGGCACCCGTGCTCTTCTATGACTTCCGAAGATGGACACCATCCCAATCGACCCTCTTCGCAAAGTCTGTCGGAGCACCGATTCGTCAGTCGCTCGCACCAGCAGGCAACTCTGGTAGTGTCAACAAAATTTCACAGCTCACCTTTCGCCTTTGAGAAGAAGCTCTCCTCGACCTCGGAGCCAAGGCCTGCAGCGACCTTGAGGACGATTTCGTTGACCAAGAAGCTTCCCAAAATGTCGACGTGGTCGCCAGTCGTGCTTCCGCCGCGCAGGTCCATCGGTTGAGGATCGTGAGCGATTTCGTGCGTCATGACCTTGACGCCACCTGGGTTGTACCGCGGCTGATTCCAGCCTTCGAGGCACATGGCGCCCAAAGAGTGTGCAGAGACGGTGCCGTCTCCGTCGGCAAACTTGACGCCGGACCGCACGACGGGAGTGGCCGATTCGTCGTGACTGAAGAAAGAAAGGTCAGAGTCAGCAAGCGGGTGCCAAGTGAGAAAGAAAAGAACCAGAGGACAGCCTCACATGGACGTATCGATCCAGCCAGTCCTGCCCGTGGGAAACTCCAGCGGTGTCGCAGTCGTCGTGTTGCCACAATCCAGGCATGTAGCTGCGTCTCCTTCTGCGACAAATTCGTCGCGTTCATAGGGGCCCTGGGCGTACCAGTAGCTGCGCTCCGTCGGCTTGCCAACGCCGTAGATGCAGTGGATTTTGAGAGAGGGAGCGTTGGGTAGAGCGGCTTCCAGTGGATTCGCCCATGTCTTCTCGATCTGATTGTTGCGCTTGACCTGCTCCTCATCAAACTCCATTCCGTTCGAGTAATTTTGCTGCACCATCTGCTGAAACGTCGAGGGCGTGTGCTGGAGTAGCCAGGTGAAGCCATCAACGGCCGAAAGGTTATTGGGAACAGAGTGCTGAATGCTCGAGCCATGCCGATCGTCTTTCTCGCGATCACCCGCGGGAGACTCGTCGCCGTGGTAGCCCTTCGTGTATCCTTCGACGGACGGATCGGGGTACTTGAATGAATACAGCTTGCCGTGGCTGTTTTCTAGCCCGTCTTCCTCGTCATCGGGCGCCCAAGTCAAGTTCCCCCAGACGGCCTCGCCACCTTTGATGAGCATCGATGCACTTCCGGCCCATGTCCTGAAGAGCTTCGCCCTCTCTCTCCGGCTGAAGAAGCGTTCCAGCAAGAAGGCGCCGGCCGGGGGCAGCTCTACAGTGTCCCTCATCTCGCCAGAAAGCAAGGCAGCCATGGCCTTTGGCACGCCCAGAAAGGTGCCCGCAATAGACGTGAAGCTTTCAATGTGGCGCTCGACCCAGTCTGGACCACCGTTTCCGTACGTCGGTCCTTCTGCCTCGACCCACTTCATAAAATGCAGGGCGACGCTGGATCCCATGCTATGGGAAACGAGAACCGACTTCTTGCCCGTCAGAAGCAAATTCTGCTCGAAGCGAAGCTTCATGCGCGAGAAGAATCGATCACGCTTCTCGAGATTGTGGTACGAGAGACGCCAATCGTACGCTGCGAGCCAGAGATCATTGGTATCATAGCCAATTGCGGCCAGATTCTCGATGATGCGGGCCCAGATCCAATAGCCAGACACGAAGTAACTGGCCGCGTCCAGGCCCTCTGCCGCTCGAACCTTGATCCCAGGCGGGTCAAGACCCGTGACGGGGTCGAGACTGAGATGTTTGATCCACATCTCCTTTTCCAGAACGATAGTGCGCATCATCGTCGTTGTACCCCAAAGACGCTTCCGGAAGTAGCTCGACGTATCCTCGTTGGTCGTCCAAGACTCCAGTCCAGTGCTGACGATGCCTGGCAGCAAAATGACGGGGTGCTGAACCTTGACGCCTTGCTTTGCTAGCATTCGCCCAACAACAAAGTCGCGGCTTGCAACCCAGTCTCTCGGGCTTGAGAAGAGCTTGTCGCCCAAGTCGGCAAACTCGCCAGGAATAGAAAAGGAGAGGTCCAGACTTCCGAGATCGATGCCCATTGAGGAGAGTTGCTCGTCCAAAACACCACGGAGGCTCTTGAGGTGCGTTTCGAGGACGACGTGCTGCGAGAGGGCCCATACCAGCAATCCGCCAGCGATAATGCCCGCCAAGAAGAAGAGCCTTCGGTAGTTGGTAAGGCCTTTTTTGGTCTCCTGGTCCGCCAACTCGTGTCTGAACCAGGGGATCTCCGAGAGGTCAAGCTCATGGAACGGCGTACCGGGAGCCCGAACGCTTCAGTGCATCGCCCAAATTTGGCACATTCAGCCCCACTGTTTCGCTCGATGTCTGCGCACAAAAGGGCCCACTCACGAATAGCTGAGCTTTCTTGCGCCCAGGCCACCCATCGAGGGCCGTCGATGTCGCTCGAGGATGAGTTGCTTAGGGGGCAGATCCGCCTCATCCCCCGAAGTGTATGAGTCTGGTGTCGAAGCACCCGAAGCCTGCTGCTGCTGTTGCTGCTGCTGCTGCTGCTTTCCACTCTGCTGTCGCTGCCTTCCCACATTCGGCGAGGCCAACGCCGACGTCGTAGCGCCGCCGACACCTTCAAATCCCTTCTCCCCGCCAGCACCGCTTTCGCCCCCGTTCCGCCCGTCCTTTTTCCCACCGCCATTTTGCCCGCCAGCTTTTCGCCGATTCATCTCCGCTCTTTCAGCGTCGTTGCCCTGCACAAGCGTAGATGAGGGTTCAAAGAACAAACACGGGCCGATTTTTTTTCTCCTTTTTTCGCGTCTCGCGTTTCGGGAGTGGAGATCAACGGTGCGTACGTCACAATCGCGATTTCACGCTACTCCCGCCTAGAGAGCCAAAGAGATAGGGAAGCTCTTTCTGAAAGCTCAGTTCTCGACACGATCAGGTATTGTGGGATTGGTGCCGTCATCAAGTAAACACAAATATTAGAGAAAGTAGCGATTTAATCTCCCAACGTCGATGACCCCGTCGCATTGGTGGAATCGTCGCTCTCGAGAAGAGAGTACTCTGTGAGGTGGCGGCAAAGTGACGATTAGTCGGGCAAGGGGGATTAAAAAGGCAGTAGGACTTACGCTTCATCATTGTGCATTCCCCTCCATTTTCGAGGTCGATGTTATAGCTGTAGAAGTATCCTTCACTCGTCACCACCATGACCTGCGGCGTGGTGCTGCTCACGGCCACGACGGAACTGACGCCCGGTGTGGGAAGCTTGAGGAATGCAAAATCTCTCGAGGGCTCCCACATCTCGGCCATCGGTTTGGGAAGGTATCCGCCCACTGAGCCAGCCATATTTCTCCCCAAGGCCAGCGACCGTTTTCGGATAGAGCCGCTGAGGAGATGAAATCATCAATCAATCAGTCAAGCCAGATCTGCTGACATCAAGAGACTCACCTCAACCCTCCAGACTTCTTCTTGTCGTCAATGAAAGCCTCGTAACCTCCAGCCCCACGTCCATTCCCGGTCGGGCTCCCCGTGTCTGAGGAGCCGTCCAAGCTTGGGCTCGTCGGCGGGACGAGGCCCTTGTTGGAAGAAGCGCCCGCGCCCTTCGTCCCTTGCGCCAATTTAAAGACATGCACTGTTTCCGTGTCGCTCGAAACACACAGCAGGGAGCTGACGGCGTTGAAAGAGATGTTGTAGATGCGGGCAGGGTAGGACCCTCTTCGGAATTGGAACAGCTTTTGGGCGCCTGGCACCGAGAAAACTCGAATAACGGTCCCCTTGTCAGATGCTGTTGCCAGCATCGTGCCCGTCGAGTTGAGGGCCAGCGAAGAGATTGGCGTCTTGTGAGCTTGAATAATATTAGTGACCGACAGTGTCACAAGGTCAAAGATGAGAACGTCGCCAGGCGAGTGCTGTGACGCTCCCTGAGAGAATGGCGAATTTGGCGATGGTACCGGCGACGGGTAGGCCAGGTAGCATGGGTCCGAGGACGGTGAAAGCGCACAGATGGCTAATAGAGGCACACCGGGTCAGTCGATTCAGCCAGAGCCAGCGCATCCACCATCTACTGACCATGGGGGTTTGGACTTGTCTCAATAGTGTGAAGGAGCTTCATGTTTGAGATGTCGTAGATGTAGATTTCCTCTTCGAGGATGACAACGAGCCGGCGACGATTGAGCTTGACCCCAAGCACAGTCGTCGGAAACACGAGTTCGCAAATGGTCGATTGCCGCTTCATAAAGGCCAGATTGAGTTGAGGCGAGCGTGCGGAGGATCGGAACAAGGGTCAGGCTCACCTTGGTATTGACAATCTTGAGTTTTCTTGGGCTGCTGCTTGGTTGACTATCGGCTGTGCCTACAAGTGCGACAAGGCTGGTGCAGAATAGCATCTCGACGATGCTGCATGGCCCGTCGTCCCTGCTGTAGACCTTGCCAAAGGGCTCTGCATTCGCAATCGAATAGCCCTTTCGCGTCCCAATCGAGACACAGGATCCATCCTGGTTAAAAGAGACACTGAGAAGGTCAGATGATGCCTTTGGTGTGGCCAATGACCGCGACATTGCGAGTGGATCCCTCTTTGCCTCGGGTCTGAGCAGAGGCTGAGCGCCAGCGAGATTCGTTCGATTCCTACAAGGCTGCGCTGGCCTTCTCGCTGCTCCGGTGTGGGGCACTTATGAGCGGATGAGTCGTTCGCGGGAGCCTTGTGTGACCTTGTGATGACAAGTGGAGACGTGAAGGCGAGCCAAGGTGGTGATGAGATGTGTTGGTCTTTCTGAACCGAGACTCCGGAAGTTGCCTGGCTCGATGTTGCCTACGCGCGATTGGAGGCCACGTGTCCGAAGAGGCGACGCCCGTGTGGAAATTAAGCTTCTTTTCAGGACGTGCGAGTGTGAGAAATAAAGCTGATGACGACGAGGACGAGATGGCACTATACCAGATCGTCATCTCGAGAGGGCTAGCGACGCCAAATCTTGCTCTTCCTCTGTATCTCCTCCCTCCGCTGCCTGAGCCAACTGTCCCGACCACATTGATGCTGAGTCTGGCCGAGCGAAAGAGAGAAAAAAATACTGCCGTGACATTTGTGCTTCCGCTCGCAGTTTGGCCGTCGCCGCTCCGAAGCTCCGTCCGTCTCCTTTTCCGTGCTCTGTAGTTGGGAGTCGGCAGCTTTGTTTACAAAGTCTTAGAGGTGCTTCTCGGCGCTTACAATAAAATCCTCCTCTTTTCCGCGTATTCCTCCTCTTTCCCCTTTCTCCTTCTCTCCTCTCTTCCTCTCCTCAACTCAACACACTCCCTCTACCTTGTCTTTCGTTGTCGACGACAGAAGTACTGCGTGGTTTCCACAAAAGGCTGGATCAAGACGAAAGACAAAAAGTAGCAGACGAAATGATGCAGAGTCGTGAAAAAATCGCTTTGACCGCCACTGCTCGCCACAACTGGCTTACCAGCCACCAACAATACGCCAGCAAAGACGTTGATGGCTCAACCAAAGATTCTTTCGTAAACCTTAGAACTTCCATCGACCTGGCGCTGAACCTTAGAAAAGACAAAAGAGAGCTCGAATCCTCCTTTCGAAAGAACACAGCGGTAAATTACGGACAGAGCCAAATCGTCGCCAAGCATTCCGGACGCGCGAACAGATGGTCATCGACGCCCACAAGTAAATTTCGTTTTCCTTTCGTGGTCAACTCCAAGGTCTCAAACAAAGAAAAAGCACTGCCAACAACGAGAGTCAGGGTCGCCGAGCAAAAGGCATGGACGGAGGTGCAGGGCGAGTCGTGCCCGCCTGATCACAACGTAGCGCGATCCACAAACGTTGCTATTCCTACAATGGCGCTTCTCACGACGGAGCTAACCGCAGCAGAAGAAGAGGTCAGGTCTTCAGAAAAGATTGAAACCCTCATCAAGACTTGGGCCGACAAGGCAGGCAACTGCAGCTGTAGTAAGACTGCTTTCTCCCAAAGACACACCGAAAGGATTAGCGAAGGCTTTGGCTTCGGCATCCGCTCCATGCAAGAACATCAGTGGGTTGCTCATATACGCGAGTAAAAGCCATAAAACATCTGATGACTCTCTTCGTGCAGAGTCAAGAGACGGTACATGTTCACTACCTTTCTAGGCCGAGGTGAGGCAGACTTGATCTTTCCTTTCTCGCAATTTGAAGCTTAATCTCTCGCAATTGTCTTTCCGGGAAAGGAACTTGGGGCGACTGTTGGCTTGCCTTTCCTATCAACAAGTTGGCGAAACGAGTCGGACCATGCACACCACTAGCGGTCAAGATCGTTGTGCGTGAACGGAGCCATTCGCAGACGAGGGCTCAGACACTATGGAACGAGTTCAAATGCCTCAAGGCGGCCGGAACCCACGCCAATATCACACAATTCCACGAATTCGTCCTCACACCTCAACAAGCGCTCCTGACAATGAAGTACTATCCCTTAGTAAGTAAAGACCTTGGTAAAAGCAGCCTTCTGCCTCCTCTTACAATAAGACAAACATGTACTAGACAATGGAAACGCCTACCCCAGCAGAGCTCTACTCTGGGCCAGACGGATACTTCAGCCAGCTTTCTTGTGAGTGAGCGACTCTCTCAAAGAAAGGCGTAGCCGGCAGACTAGAACTTGTGTCGATTCAGCATGTATCGCCTGGCTCCACGATAAACTGGTCACCCACGGCGACCTCAAACCGGGCAATATAATGGTCGACGTATGTCCAATTACGTCCAAGCGTACTCCGATTCTGGTGCGATCCTGCCTTGTTCCCCCTGTTCATGACAACACGCTGACAGGTCATTCTCCTTTTCTTAAGATTGACTTTGGCTTCGCTGCGCTCCACGAGAAACAAACTTTCTTGACCCGATCAACTTGGGGCACCCCGTATGTGTATTGACTCGTTTGCGTAAGCATCTCCTCACAGCTTTCACTATCTGTCTACAGAGAATACCTCAGCCCTGAGCGGTATAAAGGCATGCTTCACGATGCAAGGTTGGCCGACATCTGGTCTCTAGGTGTCACCTACTTTGAGATCGCAGTGGGAAGGTCGCCCTTTGAGTATTTTAACGAGACGGTAAGCGAATGAAGGCTCACGCTTTGGTCAGGCCTCATGCTAACTGAGCGACTCGCCATCTAGTTCGCAGACCGCGAGAATCAGCACCTCTACTACCAGAGGACACTCGAGCAATGGGTGGGGACGTGGTCCATCGATAAAGAGCTTGAAGATCTCATCCATCACATGCTCGAGGTCTCTCCGCTTGAGCGCCCTTTTGGAGCAGCGTTGACCAGACATCCTTTCTTTGCCCCAAGGTTAGAGCGAAGCGAAGGAAATTGCAGTACTGCATCGGAAGCATCATTCTACAGTGAGACAGACAACAGTCACCCGCCGCTCTCCACTCCTCCGACGACGGCATCCTTCTCTGCTCATGGCATCAATCGTGAGCTCGACCAAGGCCCGTCGATCGGACACGAAGTTATGGTTCCAGGCCTCTGCAACACCTGGCCATCGCTGCAGGAGCGTCACAAAACACAAAAAGAGATCGGGATCAGGGCAGCTCCTGACAAGGAGACAAACTTACAAGTTTCCTCGTTTGACGAAGACTACTTGGAGGAGGTTGGAGACAAAGGAACGTCGCATCGAAAGACATCAGATCATGGCGCGTCCACGACCAAAGCTCGACGTCACCATTTTCGGGGCTTTTCTTCTAAGTCAATAGAGGACGATGTGATCGAAGCAAGCTCGATAGAGAGGAGAGAGCGGACACTGGTACTTCGTAATGGGCCCCGCCAGATCTCATCAGAGCAACACGAAGACAATCACAGCGATAGCTCGTTATCCTCTGTAGCTCTCTCTGCCTTCCATTCAAACCGGTCTTCACAACTCGGCGATCGCTCACTTGTTCCTGGCTCGACAAGCGGCATCGGCCCCCTTCGGTCGAGTCGAGGCAGTTCCGCGCCGATGTCTCACAGAGTCATGACAGCCTCAAAGCGGACGCAAGCAGTTTGCGATGCTACCTTGACGACTAAATTTGAGAATATCACCGACGACTGCTCTTCTCCTTCTTTTTCAATTTCGTCAGAAGGAATGGTCTACATCCATGACAACATATCTCGGGTCAAGGACGAACCGTCCCAGAGCACGTACCAAGTTTCTCGCTTTTCGGAGCTCAAGACTCGCCTCGGCACAATACTGGCCAAGAACGAGCAGCATGAAGGTGCTGCACCTCCATCTCCGCGACAATCTCCGCTGAAAAAGCTCTTATCCAGAGGAACCAAAGTTGACAGGCGTGTGGCAGGGGCAAGGGTGGGCGCACGCTCCGAGTCCGAGGCTGGTGGCCTGATCAGAAATCTCTCGTTGACGTTCGTCAATGGTACAGTCAATGGTACGGTCAATGGTCACGGTCCCTACCAAGATGTCTCTCTCCGTTACAGAGAGCATCGCAAGGGAGACAACAGGCCCGCTTCAAATCCGCTATTGAAACTAGCGGGAAGAACAGAGGTTCGTCAGGAAGCATATCAGCATCGCCACAACCTACCATCTCCATTGAAGAGCTGCTCGAAGAGCCACACTCGAGAACAGAAACTCTCCTCAGCACAAGTACTTGGAAATGCTCCCCGTTGTAACGAGCCCGTTCCAGAATTCCGAGGCCGTGGTGATGCAGAGTGGGTTGAGACGTCCTCCACGAAGCCAGTCTACAACGCTTCAGCGGCTCCGCAACACACTTTGGGATCATCCTTCCCCGTGCCAACGCAACTACGAACCACCAAGCCGCTTTCGACCTGCTTGTCACGCCAGTTGCCAACGCTGACGGTCAGTCCTGGCCTTTCAAGCGTCTGGAAGACTAACAGGCCGGGCCCAAATGGCTCACCGTTGCCATCGACACCGACAAACAACACGAACAGTCCACGATCATATCGATCAAGCGCATTCTCCTTTGCCGGCATTTGAAGCAAGAGGGGGCTCTCGTCTCTCGGTGACCAACACCCTCTGTGAAATTCTTCTCGTTCTCAAATATGAATTCAAACTGCGTGCTTTGCTTCTCCTCAGAGACGTGTCGGTGCTTTCTTCTCTGCATTGCTGCCACCTGCTACCAATCGCTGCTACCAGTCGCTTATCTCCGCTCTGAGCAAACACGACAGCGCTCTAGGCGCTCTTCGGTGAGCGAACGAGGTTCGGGGATTGTCGACCTTCCGAAGGGATACGGCGGAACGGTGGATTCTCCGAGATTCGGGCGAAATTAGTTTTTAGCACCGAGCCCCCTGCTGCAGAGCAGGTTTCTAGATGAGAAAAGGTTTTCGTTCACTTCCGTTCTAAAGCCACGGCTTCCGCTTCCGCCGCTTTGATCTTTTTTTTTTCTTCAAACGTGGGTCACCTGTCACCCAAACAGACGAGTGGAGTTACCTCCGTGATATAAGTGCGAAAGGGCGGGAAATGCGGGATAAAGCGTGCGCTTCGAACGTCAATGAGTCAAACCCTTCGCACGGCCTTTGACAGAGGTTAGCTGCTTTCTATAAAGAGGCCGTAAAGGCCCGATTCTGGAGTGGCAAAGGTGCATGATGGCGACTGAAGCGAGCCAAGGCAACTTTACCGAGAGGAGCGGATCGCCAATGGGCGTCGTCCCGCCCGACAGCGACCAAGCAGATCTCGAAGAAGCTTCAACAATCACGCCTACGGACGCCAAGGTCGAGCCGTCGGAAGAGAAGGAAGGGGGCCTGAGAGCATGGGGCGTCGTCTTTGGAGGTGCGTCTCGAGGCAGAGGGCTCAGAATTCTACTCCGTGCTCAATTAGCTCCTCCCTCCCTTTGCAGCATTCCTAGCCAATTTCATCTCGTTTGGCGTAGCAAATGTCGATGGTGTCTTCTTGCGTGCCTACCTGGGCGATCCCAGCTCCAAGTTCAACAAGGAGGGGTCGTTCAAGCTCTCTTTCGTGGTCGGCATTGGTCTCGGTCTGGCCTTCGTTGCAGGCCCGTTCTCAAACGTAAGAATTCGCTTCTTGATGCCGCTCTTTCGGTCAGCTGATCCCAACCCTACTCATCAGATCTTGACCACCCGCTTCGGGATACGAGCACCTGTCGCACTTGGCGTGATTCTCATCACCGTCGCTATGGAGTTGGCCAGCATCTCGACAAAGTACTGGCACCTCTTTCTTAGCCAGGGCGTTATGTGGGGTCTTGGCGCGAGTCTCATTTTCATCCCTTCGATTGGCCTGCCGAGCCAGTACTTCACCAAGCGTCGCGGGCTTGCAACAGGCCTAGCTTCGGTGCGTCTTTCTCGGACCCTCTTCCTTTCCTCTTTACACAGGCAGTGAAAAGCTGACAACAGAGGGACGCGCGCAGGGGGGATCGGCAATTGGTACGCTAGTCCTTTCGCCATCATTGCAAAAAGCGATTGAGACCGTCAAAATTCCTTGGACGTTTCGCATCCTTGGCTTTATTGAGCTCGGGCTTGGTATTCTATGTGTGATTCTCCTCCGACCCAAGCCCATCGACCCCAAGTCCTCCGAGAAGGCCGTCCAGTTTATTGCTTTCGACCTGAGCATCCTCAAAGTACGTGGCTTTCCCCTCTATCTCGCCTATGCCTTTCTGCAGCTGTTTGGCTACGTCACCCCCGTCTTTTGGCTTCCCAGTGAGTGATCCCAACTTGCCACCGAGAAGCAAAAAGAGTTTCTAGACAAGAAGAATAGCAACTGAATGGGGACGTTCTTCCAGACTATGCCCATGCGATCGGTCTGTCGGCGAGCCAAGGTGCAAACGTCATCACCATCTTTGGCGGCGTCAATTTCCTTGGCCGTCTCTTGGCCGGGTTCGTCGGCGACCGGCTTGGCATCATGAATGTTCTTGCCTCCTTCACCTTTATGGCCGGCCTACTCTGCGTCGTTTGCTGGCTCTTCGCGAGATCATATGGAGTACTGATCGTCTTTGTCGTCCTATGGGGAATCATGACCGGGGGTAAGCAACATGGCATTATTCGAGCCTCTGTCGGTATGTGCTGATATTTCTGCAGCATATTGGGCCTTGACGGCACCTGCCACGGCCCAGATTGTCGGTCGCCAACGTCTGGGCTCAGCGTTGAGCTTCAACTTTCTCATGAACGTCATCCCACCAATCTTCGCCTCTGCAATCGGAAGTGGGCTAGTGCAGGGCACGGCCAACATGCTCGGCGTAGACCAGACCACCCCAGATGCCTACCGCTACCTCATTGTTTGGAGCGGGCTTGTCTACATGGTCTCAGCGCTGATTCTTCTTGCCGTTCGATTCATGCTCGGACCAAAACTATTTATCAAACTTTGATCCTGTAATCATCTGTCTACGTTCGCGGCTATGAGTGAATGAATCCCAATCACCGCTCTACTTCTTCCCTTTTAGAAGATGACAAGCAATGTGTTCCCCGAGGCCGCGATAAAATCTGCACGTGTCATGCGATTCCGTCGCCAAAGCGAGAAAGGAGAGAAGACGCGAATAGTGAACGCAGACTCGAAACCGCCTTTCCTTTTGCAATCTTGCGACCGACTTCACCGATCTTTACGACAGACCTAGCGTCCGGACCAAACGTAGACCGCTCAGCATCAGGACAAGTGCGAAAACGCCAGCTAGACACTGCTCGTTTTCCGAAAGCAGCTGCAAGGCCAGGGGCAGCAAAGGCCAAGCTTTGGATGTTCAGATCACCCTGATCGCAAGCGCGAAGACGACACCAGGTGTCTCATATTGAGCAGCGTCCTTCTCAAACGGCAACGAGCTCTGACGCGTGCGCAGAGGGAGAGGGATTCATCCGTCACACGCAGCTGCCGCAAGGAAGCAAGGAGAAGGACTGCGAACGGGAGGGGGTTTGAGCGGAGAAATGGCAGACGAAGTAGCTACGTCCGATGGCCGTGGGCGGCGGGGAAGCGGGGTCGCCAGTGCAACGGCAGCCAGCAAGGCGGCAGACGGGCTCGGCGAGGGTGAGGTGGCAGGAGTAGCGGCGTCAGGGTCAGGTGCTGGGCAAGACGGTCCTGCGCAGGAAAGAGATCCAGGGTTAGAAGAAGACGAAGAAGAGGAGGAAGAAGAGGAAGAGGAAGAGGGCGGCGACGCAGCTGCTCAAGGGGCCGAACGGCAAGCAGCGGGAGAGGGAGACGCTGCTCAGGACGATGAGATGGCTGTTCCATTTGAGGACGACATGTATGGTGAGTCTCATTGTCCAGAAACGCTTGAGCATAACACGACTCTGACCTGGACGACTGGGGGCAGAATCAGAGTCAGATAGCGGGACAGACTCGTTGACGTGGATCAGCTGGTTCTGCTCGCTACCTGGGCACGAGTACTTTGCCGAAGTCAGCGAAGACTTCATCGAGGATGACTTCAACCTCACCGGTCTGAACGCGCTCACTCCCTTTTACAAGGAGGCCCTCGAGATGATCCTCGATGTTGAGCCTCGTGAGTCTTTGCCTGTGTGACACCTTTCTGCTGAGTCCCTCGCTGACGAACTTTGACAGAGGAGGACAGTCTGAAGATCCCCGACGTCTCCATTGTCGAGTCAAGCGCCGAGCTCCTCTACGGGCTTATCCACCAGCGATATATCCTCACAAGGCAGGGCCTTCAACAGATGGTGAGGCTGACTCGCATTGTGAACCCAGCCTCTTCGTGGCTGACGGCCTCTATGTATGAACAGGCGGAGAAGTACGAGCAAGGTCACTTCGGCTTCTGTCCTCGCGTATTCTGCCATTCGCACCCTGTCCTTCCTTGCGGTCGGTCGGATCTTCCAGGGCTGGACACAGTCAAGCTCTTCTGTGCCAACTGCGTCGACAATTACACTCCGCCATCGTCACGGTTCCACGCAGTCGATGGTGCCTTTTTTGGGACAACGTTCCCACACCTCCTCTTCCAAACCTACCGCGATCTGGCACCGTCTCCAATTGCGCCGCCGGGCACCAACTACAGCTCGCTGAACGCCCATGCGACACAGACTTCGCAACAACAACGGCAAGAGAATGAGGAGGGATCATCGAACCAGAATGGAAGTGCAGTGGGCTCGGCTGCCGCCGCAACGAGTGGAGGCAATGGTGGGAGAACAAGAGGGAGCGGAGCGACAGCGAGTACCTTGCTGCCGTCGCAAATCGGACAGCGTGTTCCACAGGCTCGACTGTACACGCCTAGAATTTACGGCTTCCGCGTGAGCGAACACGCCAAGAGCGGGCCGAGGATGAGGTGGATGAGAATGAGGCCCGAGAGTTTCGAGGAGCTCGATACGGGCATTGCGCCTGCACCTACTGTGCCATCGGCTGCTGCGACTGGCGCATCGGACGCTATTGACGAGGATGATGACGACGACGACGAGGAAGGCGGTGGTGGCGGAGCTGGAGCAGCTACAAATGTTGCATCTGTTCCGGGCGTCGTCGATGGTAGAAGCACGGCGACAGGCCGACCGGTAACGGGCCGAAGCGGAAGTGCGGGCCTGACATACTGACCGGCTCAGAGAAAGAAGAACAATAATACCTCCCTTTTTCGCCCCTCATCTTCTTCCTTACTCGGCGTTGCCTACACTCAGACTCTGAGCTGGACCTCGGGCCCCCACATCACTGTCCTCACATTGTAGACCAGGCAAAATCATGAAGCAAAAGAAACGAATCAGGCTTTAAGAAAAGGTCGATTATCGTCAAGAAGTGATCCATGCTGTAGAGAGGCTTATATTCGACGGGGATGCAAAAATGCTAGAAGTACACTACAATTTGGTCTTCATCCTCACAAAGACTCGCCCATTGCCTGAAGAAGCTGCTGGGCTCTTGCCTTGCGCTTCTTGACCAAGGTAGCCTGCTCTTGGGCCAGGGCAATATCAGCGTCTGAGGGACCGTCTGCTGCATCCTTTGCTTCCTTGGTCATGGCCAAGTCTCCAAAGGACACGCTTTTGCTCTTCTCGTCGGCGGCTGATGTCGCGAAAGAGTCTTCTGCTTCTGCTGTTGCTCGTTGAGGAATGGCAGGGATCTCGGCCGTCGCAGCCTCACGGAGCGAACCGATGAGGCGCTGAGGAGGATAGGATTAATTGGAGAAGTCCAATACAGCCATCTGCCTGTAGACGAACTCACCTCTTTTGCACCACCCTGTACTGTCGCCAGGTAGCTGCCCGCCAAGACTGTCCATCTGTCTGTCCAGAAAGGCGGAATCTCCTCCTCCTCTTCCTCTTCTTCCTTTGAAGGGTCCTTATTCTCCTTGCTAACAGCTTCCTTATTCGCAACATCCTCACTGGGATTGGCGGATAGGCCTTCAGAGGTAGGCATGCTCAGAGCATGCCTTATAAGCCAGAGCTGCCGAGCCTTGTTGAACTTCCACGCAGGTCGATCGAGATGATATTGCCGTGCATACTCGAGCGCCCGCTTAGCAGGTTCCCCCAACGCTCCGTCCTCCTCTGGCTCCCCGAGTTGCTGGATCTGCTCCCTCGTTGCCCCTTCATTTCTAGGCTCCGCCTTCTTCGCCACAGTGGCTGATTCCTCCACCTTCTTGACCTGGTTTTTGTCCGACGCTCTCTTTCTCTTCCGTTTTCTCTTGCTGCCTCTCGATTCCTTGACTTCCTCTTCCGACTCAGAGTCGCTGCTGCTGCTGCTGCTGCTGCTGCTGCTGCTATCACTATCACTGTCGCTGTCGCTCTCAAATTGCTTCTTGGACGCTGCCTTCTTCACTTGCTGCGCCGGTGCAGCTTCGTCTTCCTCATCGCTCGATTCATCATCGTCGCTCGAATCCGAGACCACCCCTGTCGTCCTCTTTTTCGACTTGCGCGGCCTCTTTCTCTTCCCTGCCCCTGCCCCTGTTCCTCCTGCTCCGGCAGAAGCAGAAGTAGGCGTTGCTTTTTCGGACTTCTTTGGCGTCGCGCTCGGCATCGTCGAGATTGTCAGTCGTTCTTGTCGACCAAAGCAGCCAAGTCAACTTGCGCGAAGGATTGGCGCGGAGTCTTAAACAATTTTGAGGAGATTTTTTTTTTCTGGCGCGGGAGACGGAAATTACGTTACCACGCGAGCTACCCTCCACCACTAGACAGAACTCAGGCTTTCGCAGTGAAGAAGACAGGTCTGGAAGGAAGACGGCACGGCCCTGCAAACAGCAAGCTGAGACGGGCAACGATGGGGAGCGTCGCAGAAGAGGAGGTGTACGATTTCTTCAGCACAGAGCTGGAAGCGATTCGCAATGGAGAGGTGGAGAAAGGGCCGATTGATTCGGGAAAGCTGCTGGAGGCACTGGGTTTGGGTGAGCTAAACGCAGCTTCGTTGAAGGAGCAGCTCGAGGATCGATTCTTGAGACCCAAGACGAGCGTGGATGAGTCCCTTTTGGGGTCTGCACAAGTGTGAGTAGAGATAGGACGAAAGCCATGAAGAGAATGTCGGACTCATCTGCTGCCTTTTAACCCGTCCTTGCCAAAAGACAATGGGAGAGGAAAGCAGACCTAGCCAGCATGCTCCCGATGCAGCCTACACCGTTCCCCACGAAACTTGTCCTCGACCGCGTCGATCTCGACGGGGACATCGTCGGCCTGCGAGAAGCTCCATCTCGACCAGTGCGGAGTACCGTCAAGCTCATACCGTCCGCTTCGTCATCTTCTGTTGCAGGTGGAAAGGCAGGGGGAATGGTGACGTCAGTCACGAGAAATCCTGCGTCGAGCGCGGCATCAAGCGCGGCCCACTTTGTGCGAGGAAAGGTGGGCCAGACGATGTTTGCACCGGGCGGGCTCGAGGACGAAGTCCTGGCAGCCTATGGGGGAGGTGATGATGAAGCCGACGAGGCGAGAGCGCAAGAGGAGCAGGATGAACTGGCGAGACAAGTCAAGCAAATCGAAGACGAGATCGGCAGAGGGATTGGCCTCAGTTACGTCCCTCCTGGTTTCACACGGGGGTATCGAAAGGGAGGCGCGCCTAAGGAAGAAGAGCTGGCCCAGGCTGACGAGGAGGGGGAACAAGAAAATTTTCGGACAATTGCGTCGTCTTCCAATGCGGCTCAAGGTCTTCATGCGCTGCCCTCAAGCAGTTACGATGCTCTCGAGGCGAAACACGGGCGTACCAATGGCTTGCACACCAACGGTGACGCTGCTGCACCCACGTCTTCGTCTCAGCGTAGAAATATGGACGCCGATCTTGATGAGCTTCTCCCCGCAGAGCGGCCTGCTCGAGCTCACCGCCAGAATCAGGCAGGGCGACATAACGCGAAAAGGGAGTGGGCCCATGTCGTCGATGTCAATCAGAAATTCTCAAACTTCAACGAGCTGGTGCCCGACCCAGCAATGCGACATCCCTTCGAGCTGGATCCGTTCCAAAAGGAGTCAATCTACCACATCGAACAGGGTGACTGCGTCTTTGTCGCTGCTCATACGTCGGCGGGCAAGACGGTGGTGGCAGAATACGCGATTGCATTGGCGGCAAAGCACATGACCAGATGCATCTACACGAGTCCTATCAAGGCCCTCAGCAATCAGAAGTTCAGGGACTTCAAGCAGACCTTTGGTGCGCAGAACGTGGGAATTCTCACCGGCGACGTACAAATCAATCCAGAGGCACCTTGTCTCATCATGACAACAGAAATTCTGCGAAGCATGCGTAAGTGAAAGCGCGGCTACACAATAGGTGACTCTGCTCTCAAACTAATGGAACATACGTCAGTCTATCGAGGTGCCGACCTGATCCGAGACGTAGAGTTTGTCATCTTCGATGAGGTGCACTACGTCAATGATCAAGAGGTGAGTAGGCGTGAGGCAAGGCATTGCTGTATGCGCATTCTTACATTCAATGGTAGAGGGGTGTCGTTTGGGAAGAGGTCATCATCCTTTGCCCGCAGCACATCAACCTCATCCTCCTCTCGGCGACGGTGCCGAACACCAGGGAGTTTGCTGACTGGGTTGGTCGGACGAAGAAGAAGGACATCTACGTCATTAGCACGCCCAAACGCCCAGTGCCTCTGGAGCACTTTCTCTATGCAGGCAAGGACCTCTTCAAGATTGTCGACGCTAAAGGGCAGTTCCTCAATGGCGGGATCAAAGATGCTGGAGAGTCTATTAAGAGGAAGCAGGAGAAGGAAAGGGAGGCGGCGGGCCTGCCACCACCCCAGAGAGGTGGTGCCAGAGGCGGAGGTGCAGCGGGTGCAAATAGCCGCGGTCGCGGCCAGCGCGGCGGCATGCAACCCGGACGAGGAGCAGCACTGGCCGGTCGGGGTCGAGGTGGCGGCAATGTTGGCAGTGGACGACAGGCTGGAGGCGGTGACCGATCCATCTGGATTCACCTGGTGGGCATGCTGAAGAAGAAGGATCTGCTACCGGTCGTCACATTCGTCTTTTCAAAGAAGCGGTGTGAGGAGTATGCAAGTAGCATGCCAAATACCGATCTCAACAATGCCAAGGAGAAGAGCGAGGTGCACATTGTCATTGAGAAGAGCTTGACCAGATTGAAAGGTGAGAAGTAATATCGTCTGCGAGTAGAAAGCAAGCTGAAACCGGATTTGCGCCAGGATCGGACAAGAACTTGCCCCAAATCTCGCGTATGCGTGAGCTTTTGGCGCGGGGTATTGGCGTTCATCATGGTGGCCTGTTGCCCATCGTGAAAGAAGTTGTCGAGCTACTCTTCCAGCGTGGCCTCGTCAAGGTTCTCTTCGCTACTGAGACGTTCGCTATGGTAAGCTAGTCCACTCGGTGCTGTTTTCTCTTGTTGTGACGCTGACTCACTCCATCTAGGGCGTCAACATGCCTGCTCGATCAGTGGTCTTTTCGGGCATCCGAAAGCACGATGGACATGGCTTTCGTGACCTGCTTGCAGGAGAATACACTCAGATGTCGGGGCGAGCAGGCCGGCGCGGCCTCGATGCCACAGGTGTCGTCATCATCAATGCTGCAGATGAGCTGCCTGAGGTGAGCGAACTGGACCATGCAGACCTTGAGGCGATGAGCTGACGGTTTTCTCGAAGTCTGGCCGGCTGAACAAGATGCTGCTTGGCCAACCGACAAAGCTGCAGAGCCAATTTAGGCTGACTTACAACATGATACTCAACCTATTGCGTGTCGAGGCGCTCAAGGTCGAAGAAATGATCAAGCGATCCTTCTCCGAAAATGCATCGCAGAGACTCCTACCGGACCAGCAGGACAAGATCAAGAAAATCGAGGGACATCTGGCGAGCCTACCGGCCATGCCCGACGAGGAGAGGGCCAACCACCTGAGTCGATATTACGACCAGTGCGCCAGTGCTGTCGCGTCCAATCTCGCCATGCTCAACTTGGCCTTGGATCATCGACAGGGCGCTAAGAACATGGCGACTGGTCGCATCGTCATCCTCAGAGACACGCATTTTGATTTTGACGTGGCTGTCCTGGTCAAGGCTGTCGCTTCGCGAGAATTCCTCGTCCTGGCTGCCGTGACAAAGGAGCGCAAGGAGGGCAAGCTCGATGCAAAATCAGAAAGGGTCGCACCAAGGTGGCCGCCCGCACTAAGAGACAGAAGCCAGGATCTCGTTTATGATCTGAGAGAGGTACCACTGTCGAGCATCGCTCTTCTCACAGACTACACCATCAAGGTGAGAGCCGGTGTCGATCGTTCCTGAGGGACCTCATGTTGAGCTGAAGTATGACCGCAGATTGAGCAGTCGATGATTATGGCGCTTCGCATCTCGGCAATGCAGCGCACTGTTGAGCAGATGATGCCCCTGATTTCGCAAATGGTCGCATCTGGACCCATTCCAGAGGCCGACTGGTCCAAAATTCGCAGCATGGAGTTCCAAGAAGCGATGAAGGAGCGTAAGTCGCTCTCGTCGCTGCTCGCTTCGGCGTCAACCGCCGAGGTGACGTCGGAGGAGACTTTCGACCGAGAGTACCGCATGATGCACGTCCGCAAGCTCCTCGAGACCGAAATCTCGTCCTTGAAGATGAGGCTCTCCGACGAAAATCTGGAGCTACTGCCCGACTACCAGCAGCGCATTGAGGTTCTCAAAAAGCTTCGTTTCATCGATCCCGTTTCGGAGAGCGTGCTGCTCAAAGGACGAGTGGCTTGCGAGATCAATTCTGCAGACGAGCTCGTCTTGACAGAGCTCGTGCTCGACAACGTCTTTGGCGACTATAGCCCTGAGGAAGTTGTTGCTCTCCTCAGCGTATTCGTGTTTCAAGAACGCCAACCCGAGGGCCAGGAGTCGGAGCCATTCAAAGAGGGGACGAAACTGGAACAAGGGTACGAGACGATCCTCAAGACGGCAGAGCGGGTCGAGCAGGTGCAGAGCACGCAGAGAGTCAACTTTGACAACTTCGAGACGAAGCTCAAGACGGGCCTGGTCAACGTCGTCTATGAGTGGGCTAGAGGAGTGGTGAGTCTGCGGCGAGTCATAATGAGAACTTCTATGCTAAATCTCATGAACCTGGACAGCCCTTTGAAAAAATCGCGGAGATGACAGAGGTGGCTGAAGGGACAATCGTAAGGGTCATCACTAGGCTCGACGAAACGTGCCGAGAGGTCAGAGACGCGGCGAGAGTCATTGGCGACGCCGACCTCTTCGAAAAAATGGAGGTGTGCCAGCAACTCATTCGTCGTGATATTGTCTTTGCCGTTAGTATGCACAGCATGGTGTCTTCGTGGAAGATGAACTGACCACTCCTCTCCTCCGTCACAGGCAAGCTTGTACTTCTGATCACCAAGCAACAAAAGTTCCACGCAATGAAGTGAGAAAGCAAGAAGAGAGGTAGGATGCATAATCGAAAGGGTGTGACAATCGATGATATTTGAGACCTAGAACTCGCCCTAGAATCATTAAAGCATCGATCGTCAGCGGTGATTAGCGCCAGGAAGGGAGAGAGGCCGGTGACTTACAAAGTAGCTCGACTTCTTGATGCGGCCCTGTGAGAGCGCCGGATACTGAAAAGTCAGGACATCGATGCTCGTTTCGTCAAATGCCATAAAAATGAGGACGATGAGGCCGGACATGGAACTCACCTTGTAAGGTGCCGTCTTTCGGGCTTTGTCATCAATGGCGCCACCTTTGTAGCCTGGCTTTGCCTTCGTCTGGGCGAACTTGGCCCTGGACAGGCGCCTTGCGTAGTCTTCTGCGCTCTCACCCTCGGCCTGCCTGAGGTCGCCGTCCTTGCCTTGCTGCGCCTTCATAGCTGGGTTGGCCAACTTCGGGTTCGCCTTTGCGTAGTCTTGAGCAGCCACGACGCGCTGCTGGTGCGCCGCCAAGCGGTCCTTGTACCCTTCCTCGGTCTCGCCGGGAAGCTTCTCTGGTACCTGCTCGTGCTCCAAGGCTGCCTTCTCCGCTGCCCTCGCGTTGTCCGGGTTCGTCTTGACGACGTGAGGCCCGTCTGGCGTTCTGAAGACGTGCTCAGTGCCAACGCGTGCCTGCTGCTCCGCATATCCGTCCGCAACGTGAGAGTCATAGGCCTGCTGAGGAGCGGCGGGGCTGTCCTCTTTGGGAAGCTGCGCTTCGTACGGCGATTCGTACTTGATGCCCTTCTCCTTGGCTTCCTGGCGCAGCCTCTTGTCTTCCTCAATCGAGGGCATCCCTTCGGCTTTCCGCTCTCGGTTCTCTTCTTCGGCCTCGATCTTGTCGTGGTGCGCGAAATGCTCGATGTCTTCTGGATGGTTGTACGACTCCTCGGTCTGCGTCTCGGGCTTGTTGTGGTAGATCTCCTCGTGGTGTACAAAGTACTCGGATTCCTCGTCTGTTTAATTTTACCACTCAGCAGGGCTTGCGGGGAATCTGGGACAGCGGAGGCATGACTCACCATAGTGATGACCGAGAACGCCTTTTCCGTACTCTGGGAAGCTAGGCAGGCCGTCTGGACCGCCATTGACGAATTCTCGCTGGGTGATGAGACCGTTACGATCCTTGTCCAGTTTCCGGAGCACCTCATGGACGATGTGGTTGGCTTTCTCGTCGTGCACCTCATAGTCCCTCGAGTGCTTGACGGAAGTCGAGTGGTGCACACCATATATGGCCTCGATTTCCGGTCGCTATGTGCGCCATCGGTAAACAGTCAATCGAGACGCCTGCATGTTCGGTGACACAGAAAGGACTCACATCAAGAACGCCGTTGCGATCGAGGTCATGGAGCGCAAAGAAACTCGACAGGTCAAATGCACCAATATGGTGCTCGTGAGCCATGTGCATCTGAACGTATGACTCTTTTCCCGCTTTGGGGGCCTCCTGGTTGGCAATTGATGCCGGAGGTAGACCATCGTCCATGTGCTCGTGCAAGGCTCTCACGCTGGACAGCGGCGCCAGCGCAGCAAGTGCCAGAGCGGTCGACGCGCAGGTGAGACGCTGATGAGCGGAGGCGATGCTCAGTGCTAGCCATGTCGACTCGCTCATTCACGAGATCACTCACCATCATTGTGGAGGAAAGATGTGGGAGGAAGCGAGTGAGGTGAGCTAGGAGAGTGTGGAAGTTGTTCCTTGAGCTAAAGTGCTGGTTTGTGATTGTTTCCACGTGGCACGAAAGCCCGCGTCTACTCGACGGCGCACAGAGCAGCCTCTCGAACGCCCAAGGGCATGATCTTTGCGCCACCGAATGGGCGTCTATGAATGATGACAATGATTGTGTCGTATTTATTTTGAACTTATTTACGAGGAGGGGGGAATCGTGAATGGTGGTGATTAAATTCTCTTGACTGAGTCTGCAATGTCAGGCGGCCAGCCCACCTCGATAGGCGCTCTGGATGGCTAGCCTGCGAACTTGCTCCATACTGATGGCACCTTGCCTGTAGGCTAGGATCTGCCCGTCATCTCCCTTTATTTCCATCGTCCCATCTTCCGTCACCTCGACCGGAAGCGGTTTTGCAGGCCTCGCATCTTCCTCGTCACTGTCATTATCGTCGTCATCCATCATACTGTGTCTCACGCGATCTCGCGACGTTGCTCGCGGTGAAGAGAATGTCGAGGAGTTCCTGTCTTGCGCCGGTGGCGAGCCTGCACCCGAGAATGACATGCCTGGACCAGCGCTGAAGGTGTTAAAGTCGGAGACCACCTTTCGTTGGCCGTGATCCGGGGAGGACGGGACCGCAGCGTGGCTGGCAGCGTAGACGTCCGTGGCAACGATACCAGTAGCCTTGCTCATCCTCGGATGCGGATAGTCGGAATAGGAGACGTTGCGTGTCTGTCTGTATCGATCTGACAATCGCGAACCGATGACCTTTTTAAGGTGAGGTCGAGCAGCAGCGATATTTGGCGCATTCAGCCACACATCAATATTGTGCTTGGACTCTGATAGTGCGGGGTCAGCTATTGAGTTAGACAAATTCCTGGAAAGAGAGACCTACCTTCGCTCTCTTTATAAATGTTCTCAATGAGAAGCTGCTTCGTCTCTTCATTACGTAGGCTCAAGCTTTGGTGGAGCTCTTTTGTGACCTCGTCCATGACATCGCCCGGTCCAGCGCCAGCTGCCTGACCTTCGAGGCTCATCGATCGTAGTCTGTCAACCACTGCATCTCCCACCTCTCGATGAAGCCGATCGAGATCCATCGCCTCGCCCGCCGCTCCAATGATTACGTGAGCCAAAAGGCTTGCAGACGTTAGGGGGAGCAGTTGGGACCCAGTGATGCGCACCAAAGCCTGGAAAAAATCCGTGGCGAAGAGGTAGCCGCTGAGACCAGGCTCGCAGGCGATCATGAAGAGAGGAATACCGGCAGTGGCCATTTGCCTGGCAATCTGCAAAGGGTCCGCCTCATCCGGGGAGCCATTAGGGAAGCCATCGCCGTATTCTCCAATTCCGTGAGGAGGTGCATCAGCGATTAGAACGGCCATCCTTGTTGCGCTCGGTCGCCAATCCTGTGCGAGCAAGTCAAGCTTTCAGAACTCTACTCCCAAAAAAGAAAAAAGGGAAAGAAGGAGGATAATATGGATACTCACAAGCTCCGTGGCCGCCTTGAGCGCAGCTGTCACAGCTTCAGGCCCGTCACCGCCTCCCGATGCGTAGAGGGACTTGAGATTCTCTTTCATCTCTGCCACTTTGGTCGTAAATCCGACTAGGAGAACACAATATTAGATTCTTCGGGCAGGATGGTCCGAATAGGGAGCCATACTTACAATTCTTGACAATGTAAGTGTGATCCTGAGGGGGATGATCCCGATAGGCGAGGAGGCCCAAGCGCAGAGCATCCCTGCCGGACAACTTCTCTGAGTGAATGATCTTCAGTGCTCTCTTGTCAGCATTTGTCTCTGAGATACACCGACTAAGAGGGTGACCTACATGCTCGCAGATCGCTTCGATATTCTTCGTTGCAGAGGCGATGTAAGAGCCCATCGATCCCGTAGCATCCATAATCTGGTTTTTGGTTTCAAGCCTCAGCTTTTTTCACGAATATCCAACCAAGAGCCACTTACAAAGACGAGATCGAGCGTCTTTTCTGGCCCTGCTGCCGCCGTCCAGTCGTCTAGTGCATTGTAAGTAGAGGAGGAGGAGCTGGCATGAGGCGGCCCCTGATCTGACATCGCTTCTTGCGCAGCATTCCCAAACATGCTGTCATGAGCCAATCACAAATTAGCACTTGATACTCATTCATGAAGAGAGGCTGAAGATATAGCTCACCTATAGACTCCCCTCGTCCTACTTGCGCTGGCGCTCATCTTGTCGTCGTGCAACCTCCGGACAGGCTTCGGCGGGTGTCGGTGAAAAGAGAAGCGGCTTTCCCTGCTTCTGTGCCAAAAGGCGGTCCTTAGCTGTCTCTTGAGCCGAGCACGAGGGCACAAGCGCAGACGTACGGGCGCGTCTATGGCCTCCGGTAGTTGCCGTCTTTGTATGGAAGGATGGAGGAGAGTGACGCAGAGGATATGTGGGAGACAGGGAGAGCGCGGCGGGCACCAAAATTGCTTTCTTTCCCTCCGAAAGAAAGCCACCAACAATCGGTGACGCCGCTAGGTGGAGCTAAAAGCAACTAGCAACACGTGCTTCGTCACCATAAGGTCACGAACCTTCGTCATCACCGTGCCTAGCATCACGACATAAGAGAGAGAAGTCAATTAGGGAATCTGGAAGGTCTGAAGCTCTCGGCATACCATAGTGCTGTGTTCTTCTGTGCATAATGCCAGGAAAAATATCGATCCGGCATGACCACGTCTGTTCGCTTTGAGAGGATGTTCAGGAGACAGCGAAGGAAGGACAGGTGCACTGGTGTGGGTCGTTGGCAATCCTGACTCTTTTGAGTAGCCAGACGTCCAAGTGTGGATATCCACTCAAGCATCTCCACAGAATTACAAGGGTCGATGCCAGAGACGGGGATTTCCAAGCAAGACTGAATCAGTGTCCCTCCCATGGAGAGGCAATAAGAAGAGGCCCATGTAAGCCAATCGCCTCTGTGACATGTCCTCATGGGTACACAACAACCCCTGCAGCTGTTGTGCGGTCCGAGATGAGAGCTGGTCGGCGACTTCTGACATATACGAAGCTACACAAGTGAAGGTCATCGTGAAGGAAGGGATACCTACCACGTGTAAGTTCACGTGCAAACAGTAGCGGCGCAATTTTTACCAGAGCAAATTGGAAGAGCGGTTCTGGCTTTCCGACATCAAGGGTCTGTCGACCAGCAATACAAGCGCACGACTGTGGTAGGAAGAGAGGCTGAGAGAAGATGTCTTGACAGGACCAACCGTCTTTCCGTGTATCGTCAGCGCTGAGTTGCTGCCGAAGGCTCGTTGAAGGATTTCTGCACGGGGGAAGTTGAGATAGAAGCTATGACCATGTGCAGAAACGATTGCAAAAGGCGAGACAGAGCGACAACTGTCGTCCGGGCTGCCTTTACCAAGACATCTACCCCCTCACACCATGGGTATGAATCGTCATGGCGGCGGCCCCAGAGCAACCTAAAGAGCTTCTAATGCGACACGGCCAAACACCCTAAGTCGATGTAGCTTCGCTTTGCTCATACATCCCCTTGTTTCCCCCCGTCTTTTCAGTGATCTAATCAAGTTTTTCTCCGCTCTCACTTCAATGGCAGTATTCGTGGAAGCATTCTCGCATATGTCTTGCTTGAGCGTTTCATGTCACCCAGATCGCGAAGATCATGATGATTCAACCAGTGACATGCTGACATAAGCATCTTTCTCGCTAAATTTCAAGGAGACTCTTTTGCTGGCGCGCGTTTGACTTTATTTTCGTTAGTTTTTGTATTGCAGAAGACGGAGGTGTCGATTCAAATTTGCACTGATATGAATGAATAGGGCGACGTGGACTTGTTTTCTCGTCGCACACAAGACCGTCTTTGACGACTAACCAACTCTTCCTCCTTCGCTCCAACACCTTCGACAGCCACCAGGGACGACTCGCGTCTTTTCCCTTCTTTTTCCTCGCCCTTGCACATATCCTCACGCTTCTGTAGTCGGACGGGATATTCAGACAGGCTAGGAAGCTCAAATTCTTTTCTCAGCCAACCCCTTATCGCCTCGCAACAGTCAATCTTTTCCCTTTTGTCAGTCGATAAAACGTCAAAATGGGTCTCTCCGTCTCTCGTCTTTTGAGCGGTCTCTTCGGGAAGAAGGAGATGCGTGAGTAGGCCGCACGGGGTCACGTCTCTTCTTGAGATGAGATGGGGCGCGCGAGGGAGCGCACTTCTTGCTTTGCACCTTAGGAGCTAGGGACAGAGACTTACGTTTAACACTCTCGACAGGCATTCTGATGGTTGGTCTTGATGCGGCCGGTAAGACCAGTGAGTAGCCGCACCTTACGAGACGTGGACATGGTGGCCAAAAACCTAATCATTGCGTTTGCACCTGCAGCCATTCTCTACAAGCTCAAGCTGGGTGAGATCGTCACCACGATTCCCACTATTGGTGAGTACTTGCTGCTGTGATAATGTCTTCGAGAAAGCAAACAAGTGCTTACCGGCATACTCACAGGTTTCAACGTCGAGACTGTCGAATACAAGAACATTTCGTTCACCGTTTGGGACGTTGGTGGACAGGACAAGATCCGACCGCTCTGGAGGCATTGTAAGCTCGAAGAGAAGTTTGCGTCACTTAGGACAGCAGGGACTTACCTCTTGTCCTCCTTTCCCAATAAGACTTCCAAAACACCCAAGGTATCATCTTCGTTGTCGACTCCAACGATCGCGAGCGTGTTTCGGAGGCCCGCGAGGAGCTGCAGCGCATGCTCAACGAGGACGAGCTGAGGGACGCTCTCCTCCTCGTCTTTGCCAACAAGCAGGATCTGCCGAACGCCATGAACGCTGCAGAAATCACCGACAAGCTCGGTCTCCACAGCCTTAGGCAGCGCCAGTGGTGAGTTATTCCCTCCTGTTCAAGTGTTTGCAGTGCGATGCTCACTATCCATCCAGGTTCATCCAAGCGACGTGCGCCACGAGCGGTGACGGTCTTTACGAGGGTCTTGACTGGGTGAGTCTAGGACTCTCTCTTGTGCCAAATTTTGATTGCTGACCGCTCATTTACGCGCATACAGCTGAGCACCAACCTCAAGCGCCGAGTCTAAAGAAGGCGGCTGGTTATTGCGAGGCTGGAGGCATCTGCCGAAAGGGGGAGGGAAGTTCAGGTGTCATAGAATCTTGGAGGTTGGATGATCAAGACTGCTCTTCATGACTTTGTTCGAAGCTGGGGAGAGCGGTGTGAAGCCAGCAGTGGGGGAACGAGAACGGAGAGATGGAAGAGGAGATGCTTTCCCTCCTTTGGCCACTATCCTTTTTCAAAACGACAAAATGATGGATCGGTACTGGGACTCAGTACGACTCCTTTTTCCTCTTCGTTGTCCGACATGCAACTGTCACTTCACTTCAACGCTTCGCTCCCTCCTTCCGCAATCCCTTATCCCCCGTCTCTTTCTTCGCTGCGCTAGTTTCTTTCTTTCCGTACTCTCCCCTGTACCCCGTCCTTCATACTCCTTTCTCTCCCTAAAACGCCGCTTTCTTCTCTGTTCACAACACGCATCTTCTTCGAGAATCCCGTCGTGTGACCTGCTAAAAGATTCTGGCGCGCCCAAGGCGCCTAAGTCCCCTCTCAGTCCACGGCCTTACCTACCGAGACTCCCAGAATAGCTTCGCTTTACCAGCTGGCTTTAAATTTTTTTTTAGAAGAAAGCCGGTCTGGGGTGCCTGACACGAAGAACAGCTTCTAGTCAGATTACGATCAACCACACAGCATTTTTGCCGACAGCCATGGCCAACAGCGACCCGATTCCCCTTGTGCCGACGCTGTCAAACGTCTACTCTGCACCTCGTCTGGCCAAGGAGGGCCAGCGATGGGACAGCCTGACCAAGGACTTTGAGTCCAGGTTTGGCGCGGCCCCCCACTTTATCGCCCGCGCCCCCGGACGGGTCAACATCATTGGCGAGCACATTGATCACATGGGCTTCTCGTGCCTGCCCGCGGCCCTCGAGATGGACATTCTCATGGCTGTTCGCGTGCAGTCGGATCCAGACCAGAACAAGAGGGTCCACTTTGACCTTCAAAACACTGAGAAGCGCTTCGAGGCGACGAGATTCGAGAGCGATGTCAAGAGCACCGACGAGGTGCAGCTAATCCATGAGGGACCAAGCCGATGGGCAAACTACTTTAAGGTCGCCTTCAAGGTATGTACAGTTTCACTTCCTCAGCTCGCCCCCCTTCTCGATTCTGACACAGCTCTGCGTGGACAGGGCCTCCATCCCCACCTTCCTCCCGCTGTCCTGTCCGGCTCGACGACGCCGACGAAGATCGAGGTGCTCATCGATGGTACGATTCCTCCCGAGTCGAGCCTGAGCTCGAGTGCAGCCATGACCAGCTGCAGCTCCATTGTCATTCTCGAGGCATTCAAAGCGAGAGAGCTGATCAGCAGGAGAGAGATGGCAGAGGTCGCAATCGAGAGCGGTGAGTTGAGCGCCCACCTATTCCATCTCGAGGCTCGTTCTGCCCCGGCCGTACTGACAAGTCTCTTTGATGATCTTTTTTTTTTCATTGGCAGAGCGGCTAGTCGGCGTGGCATCAGGAGGGTGAGCTTCGTTTCCCGTCTCTCCTAGCGAATGTAGCTGACCTAGTCGTGACTACGCGACAGAATGGACCAAGCGGCGTCCATCTTTGGTGTCCCAGGGCATGCGCTGCACATTGCCTTTGTGCCCACATTGACCGTTCAACCGACGAAGCTGCCGTCTAGCTCGCCGGCTCATGCATTTGTTGTCGCCAACACCCTCGTCGTGTCCGACAAGAAAGTCATGGGCCCCGTCCAGTACAACCTTCGCGTCGCCGAGTTGTGGATGGCCTGTCGTGCCCTCTGCGTCCACCTGGACCTGCCGAAGGACGACAGCACAAAGACACTCAAGAAGCTCATGGAGACATACTTTAGCAAGCACCCACTGACGAGCGATCAGGAGAGCGAGACCAGAGAAAGATATGGCGAAGAGGCGGCAAAAATCAAGGTGCTGGGTGCCTTGGCTGGGGACTTCTTGCCAAAGAAGGGCTTGACGAGGCAAGAGGTCGAGGAGCTGACAGGCTTCAAGGGAGATGCATTTGACAAGGAGTTTCTCTCGCAATTCCCAGGTGAGTCGCCTCGACCGCAGGAATTTGACCTCGACTGTGTAGAATTTGGGTAAAGCTGAGACCAAATTCGGGTTACAGTGCGGGCGGAGACGTTCAAGCTGCACGCCAGGACAAAGCACGTCTTTGCCGAGGCTTTCCGAGTCCTCGTCTTCAAGTCTCTCTGCACCTCGAGCTCGTCTCCCGACGTCTACACGCAGCTCGGCACACTCCTCGACGAGTCCCAAGCGTCGTTGTTGCACGACTACGAAAACGGCTGCGTGGAGCTCGAAGAGGTCGTGTCCATTGCCAAGAGCGCCGGTGCGCTGGGCAGCCGAGCCACGGGTGCTGGCTGGGGTGGGAGTACCGTCAGTCTCGTGCGCGAGGACAAGGTCAAGGACGTCCTCGAGGCACTCAAGGTCGGCTACTACAAGAAGAGGTTCCCACAGATGAGCGACGAAAGGCTCGACGAAGCACTCCTCGTCAGCCAGCCCGCGGGCGGTGCTTGCGTCTACAAGGTCGATTAAATGGGAGCAGACAGACAGTGGGAAGGGGAAACATTGCAGGAGGGCAATAGAGTACAAACGAACGCTGAAATCCATGAGAAAAAGGCATCATTGACTAGTCTGCGATTGCCGATGGCTGAGACGGATGTTGATGGCTTCGTTGAGAATCTGAGCGGAGGAGGTAGACAACTGTCAGCTTGCGAGTCTGGAGGAGAATGAGGCTTCATGTGCGGTCCGTCACTTACCCGATCGACGTCCAGAGGAGGCAGGCTCGAGAGCATACTTTTCGCCTCGCTTTGATCGAGCTCCTCGAGAGCATCCTTGCAGTTAGTGAGGATCGCCAAGCACACGTAGGTGTGCAAGTCGAGAAAATCGGGCATGGCAAAGTACGTGTCCCATAGCCTCATGAGATCTTCGATGCGCATCTCGGCCGCAAGAAGGTGGCGCAACCAGGCCGACGCAAGTCCAATCACGTCGACTTCCTCCTCGTCAAAGTAGGCGTAGAGCTCGGGGAGTGTCGTGCGAAACAGCGTCAGAAAGGTTGAGATTCGCGAGGGTAGAGGGTGGTGAACGTGGTGAGCCTCCATTGTTGTCAGAAGCTTTTCAAATGCAAAGTACATGCCCGTCTCGGCACGGATGCACTTGACAAATGGCGCGCAGAGGTAGACCATATCTGGATGGTACTCTGTCTGGCTCGGGCCCGTGACAAGCGCAGCGACGCCATCGCCAAGTGTTGAGGCAGCCTTGGCAGCCATTGTCGTTGTGCTGACAACGGGCAGCCGCGCCAAGTCCTTGGGTGGAAGAGGAAGATGGTGAGGTTGCGAAGAAGCCTGATGCGCCCACTCGTATTCTTTGGGGAGCGAAGGAAATGCAGAGCTGGACGACGTAGAGAGTCTGCGCGCCGAGCGGCTCGAGCCAGTATTGCTTCTGTGTCGGGTCACAGGTCGGCTTCCGTTGCTGCTGCTGTTGCTGCTACTATTCATTTGCGCCGAGGACGTGGGGGGCAAAGAGCTGTGAGACGGGGCAAGGTCCATCTTTGTCGGTGAACCGAACACGGGCCTGGGATTATGTCGGGGTGATGACGGGGCCGAGGAGCCCAATGACTGCGTTGAGCCTCGGGGTGCACTTGCCAAGCCACTGGAGGTCGAGGGTCGCCGGCTATCCTCAGTGTCTTCTTCGCGAGCTAGGACGGCATCGAGTGAACCAATACTCTTACGTGCGCTGTGACCTGAGCTCGAAGCAGTCGAACCTCTCCTAGGTCTTTCTGAAGTCAATTCCGCCATGCTCGACGTTGATAGCCTTCTCCGGTGATGCTCGCTGAATGAGGCTCTTCTTCCTGACTGGTGCTGCGGACGGTGGTGGCGGTGCGAATCAAGCTGATGCTGAGTCTGCTGCTGCCCTTGAACCGCTTCCCATCGTGCACGATTGAGATAGGCAGAGATGATGTTTTGCACGGCAGCACTGAAGTGCTTGAGCTCGTGGGCCGCCATTGCTTCTGGATCTGTGAGGTCTTCCTCGCTGCCATCGGCCAGCAGGTTCATGCCCAATCCATTGGCCATCGCGCCCGTCGACGAGGGAGAAGCAGGCGCATTCGATCCGCCAGCTAGCGCGCGCCAGCGGCCATTGTCGACACGATTCGGACCGCGAGTGACGGGCGTGCTACCACCAGTGCCACCACCGCCTGCTTTTCCTTGCCCTCCTGGCCCGCCATTGAGTAATTTTCCACCTCCGTTACTACCTGCTTGCAGAGGGGAGGAGGATGATGTCGACATGGCCAACCCTCCTTTGGAATCGGACTGTGGCCCACGGGACGCCCAAGAATTGGGCCGTGAAGAGATTCTCTGGGCTAGAATACGAGAACATGCACCCTCAGCACCATAGTCCGCAATACAATTGAGCTCACGAGCCTGTTCGCTTACCTGATCGCGCCAACGTCCTTCCCGCAGGGGGCCGGGCCATGAGTAAGCGGTGATAGTAGCGTACGCACTCGCTCCGGATCCTCTTTTCTAGCTGTGCATTGTGCTTGTCCAGGCCATCGTATTCGAGGTACTTGCTTCTGACAGATGTCATCTCTTGACCTGGCGAGACTTGTCAGTCTTCCGATTCGGTCTGTTGGGAAAGACCAACACGACGACTCACTCTTGTCGTCAGACAGCACGCCAAGCAGGTAGAGCCAAACTTCGCCGCGCACCGTCGGCTGGACGCCGTGTCGAGCGTAGTCCTTGAGCTTTTGCAGGTCGACATGCTGCTCGGCATTGAGCAGCTCGATGAACTCCTCGGTGCTGGCCGAGGCGCTCATCTTAGGCTCTAGCCGGCCTGTCTGTTCTCCCGATTTTAACAAGAGATGTTGATGCTGTCCCGGAATCTCCCCTCCACCAAAGAAGGCAAAGTTGAGAGCCTAAAATTATTGGATCTCGGCCGATCAGCAGCAACCACTTTTGACCACCAACGCCGCAACATCTTCTGTGCTCAGAGGGCAAAGACGACCATGGCGCCGAGCACGAAGCTCGCGTCGTCGCTCTATTCTGGCATCTTTGACGATGGCGATGATGGAACGAGCAAAGAGGCCACGTCGTCAGCTATAAGCGAGATGAAAGCAAGCACAGATGCCGGCGAGCAACCAAAAGGGGACGAGCATGAAGACCAGCCAAAGGAGGCAGGGCCGGAGGCCACAGCGCCGACCCCAAAATCGCAAGGTAGTCCCCACGGGTGATGTCGGATGTTGAAGGGCATGGCACATCGTCTTGTCTGCTTCCTTCTCTTCTGTGGAGAAGGATGCCGAGAAAACGGTGTAGTCAACGCCTGGATCATGAAGAGACAATCCGCATACCGCGCTCGCAAAAGAATGCTTACCATTGATCTTCTCTTTTCAATGGTCCGCTCTTGACGATACTTCAGTCGCATGGTCCGCTGCACTGCGCTTTGCGCCACGCAAGAGTGTCGCCCAACAGAAGAAACGTCCGACTGTTGCAGCTGCACTGCTCGCAAGCTCTTCATCGATGGAAAGCGCGCATGTTGAAAGCAAATCATCGGAAAAGAGCGTGGTCCCCGTCCACGTCGAGGAGGAATCATCTTCCACGTCAAGCACAAGCAAGCCATCATCTGGACCGTCAAAGGAGGTCCTACAAGGCATAAAAACGACAGCTCTGTCCCTCACGGACAGCGCAGGCGCCCAAAAGGACTTCAGTATGCTGCCCATCATCACTCAACCTCCCGAGATGGCGATTCCACCAGATGAGCTTGAGAGGGACCGAGCGATTTTTGCGGAGCTTGCCGAAAAGCGGGGCGAAAGGAAAAGGCCTGACTTTGAAGACGTTGACGACGAGGATGATGGGGACGTCAATGGATGGAGCAATACGAAGGAAGGCAAAAGGGCAAAGAAAAAGGTAAGTGACAGTGTCTCTCATGATTTCCAGAAATACGCTCTGAGGAAGTGTCGTTGGTTCGCAGAAATACAAGAGAAAAAGGGGTGCTTCTCCCGGCCTACAAAGCACGATTAACTTGGACGCCGACTACGACGTCCGAGTGCCCAACGACTATAGTGCGTTCAAAGACCTCGTGCGATCAAGGAGAGAAGCCATACGCCGTCTGCGAAAGGAGAAAGAGATGCAGGAGCAGTGGGGCAGTGAAGAGGAGGATGAAGAGGATGAAGACTTTGACCTCGATGAAGAACGAAGACGCAAGCTGAGTAGGTGCACCCATCATTGCTGCTCGTGGTATTCTACTTCTGACACCGAATTGCGTTAGGTCGATTCGCACCACCAGCATCGTACAACGCTCATGTCCTCCCTTCCGCCGCCCAAGGCGACCTTTTCGATGATGATGAGAAACCATACCTCTCACCTCCACCAGCACCCCCAGAGGCACCACCTGCTCCCCCCGTAGCCCATACCCTTCCGCAAGCACAGTCGGGCGAAGAAGCATATCAACGCCGTTTAGCGCTCTCTCAAGCAGCGACTGGAGAAGACGCTTACCAACGTCGATTGGCCATGTCGCAGCAGCAGCAACAGCAGCAGCAAGAGCAAGAGTCAGCCTCGATCTCCCCGCCCGCTCCTGCCGCGCTTGAAGCTTTGCCTGAAGCAGACGAGCTCAAGCGCAAAAAAGAAGCAGCTATTGCCATTGCAGCACGACTGGCCAAGTTGCGCGGCGAACAAACGGATGCCTTAAACAACGAGCCAGACAGACTTGCGTCGACCGTGATAGCAGCGCCAGAACAGACTGCCGCCCCAGGACCGCCACCGCCGGGACCACCTCCACGACCTCCTGCACCCCCTGTGATGCCAGTGCGGACGCACGTGGATCCGTCGACATTTGCAGAGCGTTTGCTGGCTAAGCAAGGTTGGAAAAAAGGGGAAGCATTGGGATCGGAAGGCAGCAAGGGCATCCTCGAGCCTATTCGTGCCGAAAAGATTCCTTCCTCGGGCTCGAAAAAGCTATCATCGTCATCGCGCCAGGAAGAAAGTCATGGCCAGAGCAAGAACTTGAACAATAGAGGAACAGTCATCAACTCGATGGCGGAGGAGGAAAGGCGCAAGGCAGAGGCCCAGTACGGTTCGCCCTCCGAGGTCGTCGTGCTGGAAAATGTCGTCGCGTCAATCGAAGACGTCGACGATGATCTCCCTCAGGAGGTCGGGGACGAGTGTGGGAAGCACGGGTTCGTCCAGCGCGTCCTTGTGCACCCTTCGTCACCTTCTGCGGGCGAGAGCCTGCAGGGGGAGCCTGTCAAGGTCTTTGTCAGATTCAGCGGGATGGCGGGCGCCTGGCGTTGCCTGAAAGAGCTCGATGGGCGGTATTTTGGCGGCAGAACCGTTCGAGCCCGCTACTATGACCGTCAGGCTTTTGATTCGGGAGACTATTCAAGGCCACTGCCATGATGCGAGATCATTTTGTATTTGTCAAATTCTTTTATACAATTAGATGAACCCAAGATCAGGTAGTGATGACGAGCTGATCTGCGACAATGTTTAGGATCTCTTCTGTAGTCCGACTAGGATGGTCGATGTCCTTTGCCGTCCTTTGCCAGAGACGACCGTGCCTCGGGGCCTGCCTTGCACACCGTTGACGGACAATGTCCTGTGACTCTGCGGTGCCGTGCATCTTTTCAAATTTGAGCCACCACGCCCACCCGTCTCCCCAGTCCCCGCCGCTCTTTGACATCCTCTCAAACCACTTTCGAGCGCTCTCGATCTTCCGCTCGTTCCAGAAGAGCCGCGCAACAGTGCAGAGCACCTCGACATGGTCGCCCGTCTTCTTCAAAGCGTCAGCCGAGCGCGTCTTTCGGGCCTGCCTGGGCTCGAGCCAGACAGCCCGAGCATGCAGAGCGCCGCTCGACGGGCACTCCTGCAGACCTCTCGCTAGCGTCGCTTTGGCCTGAGCAACGCTTCCAGACCGCTCCTCGACGTCGACAGCCTCAAGCCAGAGCTGCTCATTACGTGGATTGGCCAAGCGAGCCTTCTCGAGAATCGCTCGTGACCGAATGGTGAGGTCGGCCCTCTCTTCGAGCCTGCTCGCCTCGAGCCAGAGCGGCACGCATTTAGGCACACGCTTGCATCCCTTTGTGAGCACCTCTCTCGCCGCTCTGATGTTGGCGCCACCTTCTTGGCTCTCGAGCCGCTCGGTAAGCTGTGCGAGCACAAGGTAGAACTTCCAGCCACTGGTGTCTGGGAACTTCTCTAGCGCTTGCTTTGTCAGGTCCGCTGCCTCTTTCAGGTGGCCCAGATTCCTCTCGAGCAGGATGCTCTTGAGCCAGACGCGCTCGCTCCCGACCTCCTTCCGTGCGCGCGCAAGCAACAGGCTGGCGGCTTTCGTCTGCCCGTTCTCCGCTTCGAGCTGCGCAGCCTCGAGTGAGATGTGTTCTGACCCGACGTTTTGGTCGAATGCGCGGATCAGGATCTCTCGCGCGCCTGCCACATCACCATACGTGGCCCAGCGTTCCTTGGCGTAGAAGAGCCAGAGGAATTCGGCCTTGGGGCAGTTCTCGACACCCTTCTCCAGGAGCGCCTCGAGGGACTCTCGGTTCCCGTGGCTCTTTTCGAGATCGGCAGCCAGACGCCAAATGGAGGGTATGTCCGGAAAGTGGCGCAATGTGAAGGCCAAAATTGCTCTCGCTGTGTCGATACAGCCCTTATCGATGGCCGACTGGGCGTCCTCAACCCACACCGTCTTCCGGTCTTCATCGTCAATATCCAGTCCGATTGTCGCCTTGATGATGGCTGCACTCGTCTTTGGGCTGCCCTCTTTCTCGACTTGCTCAGCCTCTCGCAACCACTGTTCGCGCGACAGTACTGCGCCAGCTTTGGACAGACGGTTGACGGCCTCGGCCATGATGCGATCCAAGCTCGTCTGGTTCTTTTCGATGTTGGTGCTCTCCTGCGTTTCGGCATCTTGCTGCTGCTCCATCAGCCTGACGGCGCTGATCCAGATTTCGTGGCTTGTAGGGACCGCTCTTCGCGCCTCGTTGAGTACCTTTCTCGCTTCCTGTGGGCTGCTCAGCCGAGCCAGAGCCAGCCATAGATCGACACTCTGGGGGATATTGGCCACGGCGCCGCTCAAGAGGATCCTCGCGTCCTCCGGCGACTCCTCGAGATTCACGAGCTCCTTCCACAGTTTGACGGAGTGCGGAATATACTCGATGCTCTTCCGCAGCACTCGCTTCTTGCTGTTTGGGTCCGTCTCTAGCTCGGCAGCTTTAAGCCAGATCTTGACGCTCTGACTGATATGCTGGACGGCTTGGGCAAGGATGACTTTGGCGTTGTCCAATGTGTTGAGGCGCGCACTCTCTAGCCACACATCGTCGCTCTTTGGACACTGCTCACAGCCTTGCGCAATAACCTTGCGCGCCACAGCCATTTTGCCCGCCACCTCCTCGAGCCTCGCTGCTGCAATCCAGCCAGGCGCATGCTTTGGGTTCGTCTTGATGACCGAATCAAGCAGGCTCCTCGCCTTCTTGATGTCGCCAATTTCGGCCGCGCTCTTCGTCACCGTCGAGCTGAGCTCGGTAAGATAGCCCTTGGGGTCGATCGTTGAGCTGGTACCAGATGTGGAAGCAATGCCGCTCTCTCCAGCTTCGTCGAGCTTGTGCGAGAAGATCTTGTTTCGCGCTTCTCCGATATCCGTAAGACTCGTCGTCGTTCCCTGCAAGCTGCTCTGCGTTCCATCGCTTGTCGCGCTCGCCCCTCCAGCCTCATCACTCCCTACACTGCTCTCCATGGCACCCCTTTCCCTGTTGCCCAGGATCACGCTATCCGGCACCGCGAAGCTCCTTGTATCTCTTGCCTCTCTTTTGCTCGCAGCTTTTCTCCTCTTGCCTGTCAAATTGCCGGGCTCCGGCAGGTTGGCCCACTCCTCCTCGCTGACTGTGCTCAAACCCCTCTTCAGGTCTGCAAATTGTGCCTGGATCTTGGGCCGCTCAGCCCGGAACTTGGCCAGCTCCTCTTTCTCCCTCGCCTCGCGCTTCTTTCGGCGCCGCTCATCCATCTGCCGATCGACACCTTCCCAGATCCTGTCGGCCTCTTCGTCATCTCGTTCGTACACGGCCCCCGCGAACAGGCCCGTCTCATTCTCGGGGTCTTGATTGGGATCATTTTCCTCCTCGTCGCCCCGCTCGCCTCCATCGTCATCATCCCCTCGATCTCGCCCCGATGGGGTATCATCGCCATCCTCGGGCCCCAAGCCACGCTTGGCCCGCGCGGCCGCAATCGTCTCGGCGGATGGGCCTTCTCGAGCAGGACCAATGTCGGACCTCGTCGTGAAGCCCGAAGCACCACGACCGAGACCAGCCACATAGTTGGCCGGCGGTGCCTGCTGCAGGAACGCCAGCTTGTTGTGGGAGCCCGAAGCCATCGTTCGGCGCTCCGTCTCTTGGTGGTGGTGGTGGTGATGGTGGTCGTGTCTTGCTGAGTGAAGCAACGCGAACATGTCCAAGACGTCCGTCCCTCTTTCCTTCGTGGAGGATCGTCGAGCGAAAATAAAGATTTTCCACGTGGGCGGATGAACACACGACGCAAAGGAGTGCAAGGTCACACCTAGCACCACCACTACGAATACGATTCAGGAAAGCAGCCTCTCGGGATCCTGGTACAGTAATTTTGATTTCTGCCTAAGCACATACACGCCTTTACAAGCTTCACGCTCCCCCTCCTCCCCCGCCTGCCTGGCCACCACCCCTGCCAGCGCCACCTCTGATGGAAATGACGCTTCCCGCGGCCCGTTGCTTCTTCGGCGCATTGCCATCCCCAGCCGGACCACCCTGCGCCGCGCCGTTGTTGGCGTTGTTGTTGGGCCCGGCTCCCTCCAGCTTTCTCTTGTTGGAGTTGGCAGCTGTGGCAGCAGCGGCGTTCGTGGCCGCCGCAGTGGCTGCTCCGGCCGCTCCACCTCCTCTTCCTCCTCGCTGTGCAGGCCGGACGGCCCCACCGCGCCCTGCTGCACCACCTCTTGCAGCAGCCGGCGCGCCTCCGCGTGTCGCGCCACCAGAGGGGGCCGCCGAGGAGGCCGCAGGTACCGGTCTCACAGCCGGGCCAGTGGGCGCCGTAGCGGGTGCAGAGGCGCCTCCCTCGGCAGACGTCGGCGTCGCAATTGACTCGCCCTTGAGCTGAGCGATTTCCTTGGTGAGCTTTTCGATCTTGTTGTCACGTTGCTTGACGACGAGCTTGTTGCGAAGGTTGGCTTCCTCCTTTCCGGCCTCGTACCGAGCCTTGAGGGCCTCTTCGTGGGCGGCCTTGAGCTCCCTCTCCTTGGCTTGCACCGCAGCCTGCAATTCGCTTTGTTGCTGCGCCCCTCGCTCGTCTTCAAATGCCTTGAGCCGGGCCTGGACCTGCTCCTCGATGGCCTCCGTTGAAGCCCCGTTGGCATTCATCTCGGCGCCTGCGCTTGCCTTCGTCTGCCTGACGGCCGCTTCGACGGCCTGCTTCTGGCGCTCGGTGAATTGCTGCGCCAAGGTAACTTCCTGAAGCTGGAGCTCCTCCTGGTGCTGTGCCTTGATCTGATCGAGCGCAGCACCCTGGGGTGTACCTTGCAGCGAAGCCTCGAGCTCGGCAATGCGCGCGTCTCGCTGCTTGAGCTGCGCCTCGAGCTCCTCGATGCGCTTCCGCAGCTGAGCAACAATCGTCGCATCGCCGCCCTGGAGAGCATCGCCTCCATCGCCGCCGTCTCCCGGAGCAGCAGCGGCCGTCCGCTCCCGAACGGCCTTTTCAATCTCGTCTGCATGGTTCTCGCTCCACTCCTGCCGCAGCCTGGCCTCGCTCTCCGCCAGCTGCTTCTTCGCCTCGTCACGGTCCTTCTCCGCTGCTCGTCGGTCGTTGAGGAACTTCTTGGCGTTCTCCAGATGTCTCTTGACATTGCCCTCGATCGTCTCCCTCTGCTTCTCCCACGCCGCCTTTTCTTCGTCAAACTTCTTCTGCACTTCTTCCGAAGCTGCAGCCGACGTCGGAGCCTCTGCGCCTTCTGCAGCCTGCTGTGCGACCCCTTCCCCATCGTTGACAGGCGCTGAAGAAGCGGCTCGCTTCTCGAGCTCTTCCTTTGCACTCTCGAGTTCCTGGACCTTGACTTCGAGCTGTTGCTTTTCCTGCGCCAACGTCTCGCGCTCCCCGTTTAGCCTCTCGCACTCTGTCCTGAGCTCGTCTGTTCCCTGCGCTGATTCTGCATTCGCGCTGCTCTCTGCCTTGACCCGTTCGAGCTCCTGAGTCAGCTCCTGGCTCTTCTGGTTGGCCGACTTGATGCGCTCAATCGACTGCTGCCTCAGCTTGTCGAATTGCGTCTGCTTGGCAGCCGCTTCGGCCTTTGCCGCTTCCGTTGCCTTGGCCTGCTCCTCGACCTCGTTGGCCTTCGCGTCGAGCTGCGCCTTTTGCTCTTCGACGACCTTCTCTGCAGCCTGCGCACGCTCTTCGAGCCGCTTGAGGTCCTCTGGGTCGATGCGGTTGTACTGCTGCAGAATCGACTGAGCCCTGGCCTGCCACCGCTTGTTGTCCTCCTGGGTGAGCCTCAGCTGGCCCTGGCTTGCTTCGAGCTCCACCTGCGCGATGCGGAGCTGCTCCTTGATCGGGTCCAGCTCGGCCTTTGTCGACGAGAGCTGCGTCTCGAGGAGCGACACCTTGCGCTGCGCACGCTCCGTCTCGTCGCGAAGGGTTGCATTGCTCTCGCGCAGGATGCTCAGCTGATTGATCTTGTCCATGAGCTCCTCGTGCTGCTGCGCCGACGTCGTGGCCGATGCGTTGCGGTCTCGCTCCTCTGCCAGCTGAATGCGTGCCTCGTCGAGGCTGCGCTGCGTGTGCTCAACGCTCTGCCTGAGGCGGGCGCACTCCTGCTCGCGAAGCTCGACCTGCAGATCGACAATCTCCTTTTCTCGACGCAGGTACTTGATGACTTCATGCAGCTCCTCGTTGCCAGCAGAGGACGAGGAAGAGGAAGCCCCTTCGGCAAGCCCCGCAGTCGCAGCAGACGACGAAGAAGTGGAAGCGGCCTGACGAATCTCGCTGGCCTGCGACCGGAGCGTCTCGAGGTGCTTGTGCAGCGCCTCGTTCTGGCTCCGCAATTCCTGGCTCGCCTTGCGCATCTCGTCTTTTTCTCGCTCGTACACGCCTCGCTGGGCTTCCCAGCTGCTCTGTGAGCTCGCAAGATTGCCCTGGGCCGTCTCTCGTGCCTTGATCGCCTCCCTGGCCTCGCTTCGACTGCGGTCGAGAGCCTCCTTGGCCGCCGTGAGGGCTTTGACGTCCTCGGCGTGAGCCACGAGCTCGGACTCGTACTTTGCGTGGGCCTCCTGGGTGAGCTGTGCCTGCCTGCGCATCTCTGCTCGCACATCGTCCTGCTCAGCCTTTGCCCGGCTCTCGACGCTGCCCAACTCAGCAATGGCGTCCTCCAACGTCCGCTTCTCGGCCGCAAACGTTGTCCGCTGCTGGTCAGCCTCCTGTCGAGCAGCGCTGGCTTCATTCTGAGCAGTCGTAAGCTCAGTCGCCAGCGCCTCGAGTCTCTGTCGAATCGTGGCGAGCTCCGTCGTCTTCTCCGCAAGGCTGCTGTCCGTCTCGGCCTTGTACTGGTCGTATGTCGCCTGGAGCTGACCAAGGGCCTCTTCGTTTGCCTGGGCAATCGACTTGAACTGCTCAACGTGGCTGCGGGCCTGCTCCGCTTCGACTTGGGCGCTCCTGAGCTCGCCACGCACGTCTGCCAGCTCCACCTCGAGCTGCTGCTCCCGGCTCAGGAGCGTGTTGCCAGGCTGCTGGCCGCCTGCTGCTGCTGCTGCTCCACCGCCCACTCCGTTGACGCTGCTGCCGCTGCGCCTCTCGTACACAGCCAGCTTCTCCTCCTTTGCGTCGAGCTGCTTGGACAGGTCCTCGCTCCTCGCCGTCAGATGTTCGACGCTGGTCTTTGCTACAGCCAGGTGCTCCCTCGCGGTGGCGAGTTCGACATGTGCTCGGTCTAGCCTCGACTTCAAATCCGTCGTCTCGACGTCTCGCCGCATCGATGCCTGCCTCACGGCCTCCTCTTCCTTTGCCAGCCGATCGCGGTTTTCCTTGAGCTGCTCCTCGAGCCTCTCGACCTGCGTCTCCATCCGTCTCCTGCTCTCGCCTGACGATCTCTCGAGCTCAGACTGCATGCTCTGCACGTTGCGCAGCAGCTCCGAAAGCGCCGATTTCTCCGTGACAGCCGCCTTGGACTCGCCCATGAGCCGCTCGACGGCCTCCTTGTGGAGCTGCTTCTCGGCGCGCAAGTTGGCCGCCTCGTTGCGCAGCCTCTCGAGGCTGCTGCGTGCCGTGAGGAGCTCCTCTTCGATGCCGTGGGCGGCCACGTCGCGCTTGGCCAGGTTCTCTTGCAGCGTGTTGCACCGCTTCGTCAGCTCCTGCGCCTCGGACCGTGCCAATTCGTACGACTGCTGCACGCTTCGCACCCTCTCTTCTGCGCTCTCTCGGCCGGCCTTGTCCTTGGCAGCTCCCAGGGCGGCCCTGCTGGCCTCTGAGCGTGCCTGGTATGCCTCCTGCTTGAGTCTTTCCGTGTCGTTGGCCACTTCCGTTCGGAACGCTTCGAACTGAGCCTGAAGTTGCGAGTACTGATTGGCCAAGGTGGCGTGGGCCGCCGACGAGTCACTTGACGAGGATGCGGCAGCAGCAGCGGCGGCGGCACCACCGTCTCCACGGCCGGCAGAGCACATGGAGCGGAACATGTCGCGTTCCCGACGCACGCCTTCGATGCGCGTCTTTTCTGCGCGAAGCTCGTCTTGGAGCCGGGAGATGACCTCCCTGGCCTCTTCCACTGCTTCATTTTCGCCCGCCTCGAGCCTGGCCCGATAGTCGCGCTCCTCGGCCTCCATCTTGGCGCCAAGCTCGCGCACGACGCGCAACAGTCGGCCGTTTTGGGCGACCAGATCCGTCAGGCTGGCAAATGTGACGAGCTGGTTCGTGATGACGGCCTGCGTGTCTGACTCTTGCCGCTCCTGCTGCGATGGGCCGCTGAAGGGGTCTGGCAGCTGGCTTCCATCGGGCGCCAGTCGTTCAGCAGCCGAGGGGTCGTCGCGGAGGATCGTCTCACGTGCGAGGTCGCGCACCTGTCGGCCCAAGTCGGCCACCTGCTGCACCAAGATGCCGTTCTCACGATTGACGGCCTCGGCCTCGAGTCTGCGTTGCTTCGCCTCGCGCTCGTATATGTCGCGCTCCTCGCATGCCGTCGCCAGCGTGGCGCTCATCTCTTCGAGGTCCCGGCCCAGTCGCTCCGTCTCCTCGCGCTGTGCTTGCAGCTGCGGCGCCCTCTCGGTCAGGTCGGCGATGAAGCCCTCCAAGACGGACCCGAGGCGGTGGCTCTCGAGCTTCTCTCGGCGGAGCTCCTCTTGCGTCTTTGCCAGCTCGGTGTAGACCTGAGTGAAGCTCTTGCCAGACTTCTGCACCTTGGACGCCAGCGCAGCGGTGGGCGACATGAGCATCGAGTGGCCCAGACCCACGCTTCCAGGGGTTCGACCACGGGGTGTCGAGGGCACAGGACTGGCGCCGTCTCGGACGCTGCCATCGTCGTCGACCATCCCACCAGTGCTCACACCCACACTCTCGGCCAGACGATCAAGAGCCAGCTGGATCTCGCTCTTCTCCACCTCAACCTTTTCGCGATTCGCCCTCTCCGAGTCGAGCTCCGCAGCAATGTCCTCTTGACGGAGGCGATGCTGCTCGATGATGTCCTCCCACTGCGACTCAATCTCCGACAGCCGTCGCTCTGCATTCTCTTTCTGCTGTTCCAAGAGGTCGCTCAGGCGCGACTGGGTGCTCATTTCTGCCTTGAATGCAGTCTCGTCCTCGATGAGCTTCTGTCGCAGCTCTGATTTCTCTCGGTTGGCCTCTTCGAGGCGGGCCATCGTCTTTTCGTAGGCTGATTGCAGCGATTGTGCCTTGGCTTGGGCTGATTCCAAAGCCTGGTTCGCAGACTGGATCTGGTTGGAAAGCGAGACGATTTCGTTGTGGGTCCGGCTTCGATGGGCTGCGTACTCTTCCGTTGTCCGGCCAAGCTCGTCGTGGGCCCATGCGGCATCCTTGCCCTTGAGGCTGAGCTCCTGCTCCAGGCTCTGGATCTTGAACTGCAAGGCAAGTTCGAGTTAGTGAGGGCGGCCTGCTTCTCTCTCTCAAAAGTGACCCACCTTCGCATTGCCCTCTGCGCTCCGGGCATCCTGCAGCTCCGTCGAGAGCCTGTTGACCTCTGCTCTCGCCTCTCGCGCCCTGGCCGTGAGGTTGTCGATCTCTTCTGCCCTCCTCGCACACTCGGTCTTCTCCCTCTCGAGCATGTCGAGCATGTCGCGCTTCTCCTGCTCGGCCTTCTCGAGCCTGCCGGCCACCTCTGCCGACTGAGCCACGCCGCTCTCGGACGTGCTCTGAAGTGCAGCAAGCGTGCCCTCGACCTGTGCCAGCTTGCCGCTGACCTCCATCTTTTCGCCAAGCGCAGCCTCCTTGGCCAGTCTGTCCTCCTCTGCGCGCGCCTCGGCCTCGGCCTTGAGCCGCTCGGCCTCGTGCAGCTGGGACTCGGCATCGACGGTGCGGCGCTCGCGCTCCTCCTTGTCCTTTTCCAGCGCTGCCTGCGCGTCGACGAGCGGCGCGAGGGAGAGGATTGACCGGTAGAGCTGCAGGATGAGGTCTGCATCGGGCGCGCGGAGGCGTTCGTCGCTCGCCAGCCCCGCGCCATCCTTGTTCAGCGTAGCCAGCAGCGTGTCGAGGGGCATGTCGGCGGGCACATCGACGGCCAGCGTCGGCCGCGCCGGTATCCCCACGGATGCCATCTCGACGTCGGCCATGATGCAATGCAAACCACACTGCTGCTACTGCCTCAGCCTGCGACCCTCTCTCGTAAAAGCAAGTGAGTGGATGGGTGCGTGGAACTGGGAATGGCGATGAGAGAAGAGGAAATAAATAAATAATCCATCGAGAGGCGTGTTGCAACACGCGCGCGCTTTGGCCGCTTTTTGAATCGGCGCGGCCGAGAGAAAAAGAGCCATTGTTAGGAGTGCAGCAGTTGGGAAAGTCTCGAGGCGGTGAGTTGCAGGCGCTCTTTGCTCATCACTTCTGGACAAGCGAAGCGGAAGAAAGGCGAGAGAGGAGCCTGGCATGCCGCTTTTCAAGAGCAAGAAGAGCAAGCCAAGTCTCGCTGCACCAGCACCATACGACAACAGCGGCGCATGGCCCGCCGGTGGTCCCGATCGCGGTCCGAATGAGCTGCACGCCGCGCCCCACCATTTGCCTCCGCCGGCAGGAGCAGCGACGCACGCTCGGGCAGGCTTGGCCAATGACGAGATTCAGACCGATGAAGAGCTGCCGAATAAGCCGTATAAGTACGCGCCGGAGCTCTCCAAGACGGGGATCAACGTGGGCGGCCTTCCGGTCAATGTGTTTGGCCTAAGCGAACTCACGCCCTCGACGTCTCGTGCGCTGCGTCCGCGCGTCCCAGACGTCGCCGTGGTGATCCACATGCATGGCCGAGGCGGGAGCGCCGACAACGAAGAGCGCATCGTGCGCCACCTGTGGGACTGTGTGAACCGCAGCAAGGCGCATACGCAGCGGCAGAGGCTGCCGCTCGGTGACCAGGCGGGGGGAGACCAGCGCGAGTTTCTCCTTGTCAGCTTCGATGCGCGCAACCACGGCCACCGTTTGACAGATGCCGTGGGCCAAAAGGGCTGGAAGCAGGGCAACAAACGGCATGCACTGGACCTCTACTCGATGATCCGGGGCACGGCGCAGGACGTCAGCCACCTCGTCGACATGCTGCCCTCCTACCTCTTTCCGCAATCGGACCGCGAGGTGGTGCAGTGGTGCGTGACGGGCAAGTCGCTCGGCGGGCATGCCGCCTGGCACGTCCTCGCAAACGACCCACGGGTCACCGTCGGCGTGCCCTTCATTGGCTGTCCTTCGTACGCGAACCTGCTGGCAGACCGCACAAAGACATCCTTTGTCACCAATGGACCCCCCTATGTCCCCCATGCACTCGCACAGCTCGTCAGGCAAACCGACCCTGCCTCGAGACCTTACTGGGAGCACGACGCCCGTGTCAATCCCTTTTACGGTAAAAAGATCTGCATATGCTCGGGCGCAAATGACAAGCTGGTGCCCTGGCGCTGTTCGCGCGAATTCGTCGAGAACCTCGTCGTGGGACCAACGCAAAGGCCAAGCGACGGACTCAAGGTCGTCCTCGTCGAAGGCGCAGGCCACGAAGTGACTGAAGGCAGTGAGTGCTCAGAGTTGGCTGCCGGTCAGAGGTAGAGCTTCCCGCTGACCTGGAATCCCGTCCCCAATCACCCTCGCAACAGTGATCGAGGAAGCTGGAGAGTGGATCTATGCTTGGATGCGGTAAAAGAAGGACACCCTGGAATTGTTCCCTTGCATTGTAATTATATCTGTACATGATGTGTAATGGGCACTCAACGAGAGGCGGGCCTTGCTGGGTCGCCCACTCGCCACCAGCTTTTCGTCTTTGGCACCTCTTTCCGGTCTGCGAGCCACTCCATCACCTCTGCCAGGCTCTCGCGCCTCCTCAGACCCCTCCTGAGAATCCGCCCCTTCTGAATAGCATCTCCAACGAAACTGGCAAACGAGCGCGTGTGTTCCACTGCCGAGCTCGTGGGACGTTTCCAAGTCTGCTCGAGATCCTGCAGCGTCACGCCCGCTTCCTCCCGGGCCCAGCGAAGAATCTCTGTCGCGCCGCCATCGTCGCCCAGACGCACATAAGCGAGCATCAGATCTCTGAACAGAACGATTGGCATCGAATAGCCGAGCTCCCCCTCGTCACTACCATGCAACCTTGCTTCTTCTCCTGTCGTTCTGCCAGAAATGTTAGCGTACGTTTGCCGGAGTAAATAGACGGTGTCGTCGAGCTCGGCCTGCAGACGGGTAAACTCCGTCCCGTTTCCGTACATTGCTGACGAAGGATGGCGGGCAATCGCGTGGGCCTTCTGATGGATCGCGCGGATCACAGCACGGCTCGCACTGAAATCGACCGTCGACAAGGAGCGGTAGGAGAGGTGAAGCAGCAGCAGCGCAGCCTGCCTGTCTTCAGCGTGCAACGAGTGACGAGTTGTCGGGCTCTTCGTCATTTCCTCTCTGGTCTGGCTTTCACTCTTCTCGTGCTGTTCGTCCTCCTCTCGGCTCTCTTCTGTCTCTCGCTCCTCCGGACGTGGCAAGGCCGGACCCATCTCATGCACGCACAGCTTAATAACCGAGGCCAGGATGGGTTTGCTGGGCAACCAGAGAGCGTCCTTGGCTAGCCGCTCGAGCTTGAGTGCGACGCTCATCGACGCAGTCTTGCCCTTCCGCAACTGATCTGCGTAGATCCTAGTAGCCCCGCTGAGCATCGCAAGATGCTCTCCACCCTTCTTGGCAGCTGTGAAGGCGACAATGGTACGGATCGCCTCGACGAAAAAATGCTGCGAGACGCCCCTTGCATCTGCAAAGTCGAGCAGCTTGCATGCCAGATCAAGCCGCTCGGTCGACCAGCATCGATAGAGCATCTGGGTGAGCAACCTTGAATCCCGCTCGTCTTCCCCGCCAGGCGAAGTCCTCTGTACGACAATTTCAATCGCCTTGTCAAGGTCAATGTCGGCCAGACCTTCCATGAGCAACCGGAGATCGTCGATCTGCGGCCTCTTCAGTGCTGCCTTCTGGCCCTTAGTACTGAGACCGAGGACAGCCGTCATGACGCGCAGCGCCTCGTCCCTTCGTCCAAGGAGGAAGTAGGCAGAGGCCAGGGCAAAGTAGTCTTTCTGTGACCTTGCCGACCATGGGCGTGAGCGCGCGTAGGCGTCAATGACGTGATAGGCTGTCTGAATGTCCGACGATACCTGATCCGCTTCTTCTCCTCCTTCTCCAACGGCGTTACTCCCCTTGGCGAGAAGACGGACGAGAGACTGGAGAACATCGTGAGATTGAATCACCTCGAGCGAGTCGTCGTCGCTCGGTTCAACTGCGACTTTGTGAATGCTCTCTTTCCTCCTCCTCTTCCGCGACACGTGCAGGTTGAAGAGGATAAATGCAGTCAGTCGCTGGATGTCCTCTTCGTGCGAGAGGTCTCTGACTGGCTTGGCCGCTGCGCCGCCCCAGAGACGGTAGAGCAGCAGCACTTGTCGTTTGAGTCCTGCATCAGCCAGAGTAGCAAGAAAGGACGCACGGTCTCCGGGCGGGAAGACACGGCCGAGTTCTTCAGGTTCGACTGCGAGGTTGCCTCCTTCGTCAAATATGCCTAGCTGCATGATCATGAGGTCGACGGACACACGGCGATTCGCACGTGCACGAGAGGGAGGCGAAGCGTGGCGTTTGAGTAGCGCAGTGACCATTCGGGGACCCAACGTCGCAGCCAAATCGAAGGGTCGCTGTGCACATGGGGAAGATGCCACGACACTGCCCATCGTGTTTGTGGCTGCCCGTAACAGACGCTTGTCGGAGAATGCGATATCATAATACTGATTGAGCCAAAGATTGTCTGCGAGATGCTCCGGAGCGAACAGGATATCGCTCATTCGGTCGATGATGTCGCACGCAGCATAGCGAAAGGACTGGTGCGATTGGGATGCAAGGATAGTAGTGAGAGCGCCGCGCGCCAGCCTGCCGAGTATATCGTTGCACTCTTGTTTGGGAAGCGAGAGACCTTTGACGAAGGAAGCCATACCTCTGAGGGACTCAGCAGCATTTTGGTGTCTCGATGCCTTTTGAAACAGTCTCATCGTCACGCTGCGCAACGTCATTTCGAGAGCCGCCTCAGCCACCTGCTCCTCTCGTCCGACCGATCTCAGCGATTCGCCGACTCTCCTTCCATCTGCCGAAGCTTGACGAACGAGCTCGTCGGTTGCCGCTTCTGTGCCAGCCGCTTTGGCTTCCTCAAGCACCCTTGCCGCGGCCATTAGCGTCTGTGGGAGGTCGAGCGAAGAGGGACTGTCGCCTAGCATCTTTTCCAAGCCTTCGGTCGATCGAGGCAGATGTAGAAGATAGTCGATGAGCCGTGCGCCTTCGATGGTCATCGGAAAGGCTCCATCGAAACCTTCTTCGGTGACGCTGAAGGACGCGCTTTCGTCTTCTACCAAGTGCCGAAACAAGCTACCCAGAAAAGGAGGCGAGCCTACGCTGTCTGTACCATGAATGATGGCATTCAGAAGGCTCCGTGCAACCGAGGTGTCTAGATCTGCCAGGATCGTGGTCGGGTCGCCACCTTGTTCGACGAGAAGCGAGAAGACGCAATTCACCATGGAGCACCAGTGAAGCCTCTCCACAAAAGGGTCGTGCGCCATGCTTTGCCTTCGCCAGGGTGCCGGAGGTGGAGAACAGGCAACAGACCTCAAAATCTTCCGGCAGGCGTCGTTGAAATGGGCTCGTTCTGGTGAATCGCCCAAAGAGACCTGCATGTCACAATCGGCGCCCCTCGGCGAGTTCCCAACAATATCGTTCAAAATTAGCTTCGCCACTTCGGGCACCTTCGTCCTCTCGACGGACGCGCAGAGAATTCTGATAGCTTCTTCGTCCAAGTTCGCCAGTCTACCTGGACACGACTGTCGAAGGTAGAGATATGCATCGAGCAGTGTCGTGTCTGGTGGCAGATTAAAGTGCGAGGGGGGTGAGTCGCTGCGCAGAAAGCGGAGCAGACGGCTCTCGTGATCAGATGTCGTTGGCTCTTGGAGCTTCCTTGTAACCTCCGCTTCCCTCGACTGGCTGCAGTCCGATGACGGCGCGAGACTGCGGGCGTGGAGCTGGGGGCGAAGCTGGTGAGGAGGGCGATGCAGTAAATCTGCCGCTTGCCCGCCATAGAACTTTTGCCCGGAACCTCGAGGACCCAGTCTCCTCGCCGCCTCTCTTGCGGCCAGCGACCATATTTGTGAGCGCATTCGCGAGCCTATCTCGGCGGGGGCGAGGCTGCCCTTGCCATCATCGTCTTAGGTGCGTGGAGCAACCCAAAGCAATCTTCTCATCGACTTTTTTGTCAGCGATCATCGCTCACGTGAATCGATGCTTATTTTCTCTCTCTCTCTCTCTCTCTTGCTCTTGGATCTCAGAGAGCCACGTGGTTTTTAGGTATATGCAAGGACGCGGATCCTTGCGTCGCCTCGCGCGTCTCCCTAATCATCGACGACCCCTGCTTTTCGTCCAGACGACGGTGGGAATCCACACATTTTAATTGTTTGGTTCAGACAAGCAAATAAAACGAGCTGCCCCAAATTGGCCCATCGAAAGCTTTACCACAGCGGCGGAACCGTCCACGTCAATCCTCCGCACCCTGTTCTCGCTCAGCTCTCAAAATCTGCCTACCGCCTCCTGGCATGAATCTCACGTGTGGACCGAGGGCAAGCAGTACATATGACTACCAGGCCGCCGCACAGTGAAGCCCCTGCCTCTCCGATTTTCTCATGGGCGCAACCAAATGCTTGTTTCCTCGCTTCTCCCCGAAGGCAGTACTCAATCGTTATGCCCGACCTTGCCAATAGATGGGGTGCCTGCCGGAGCAATAATCTGCTGCTGACCCTCCCCCTGCAAGCAAGCAAATTGATGTTCTTTTTTCTGCCGATCGCCACTGCTACTCACCTGCAAACGGGCGGCTCCTGTTGTTCCGTCGTCGCGCGCTTCTACAGTATCGAAGCAGCGGGCCGGACAGATGAGAGAATAAAAGGGGGATAGCGAAATGTGTAGAAACCCACCCAGAGCCCATCTCCTCCCAGACCGATCAGACGTATACACCTCGTCGTGATGCTCTCGCCCAGCAAAGCGGATCTTCTGCTGCTCCCTCCCTTTGACGAGTCGCGTCGTCACTCTGGCTCCACTGCCTCGCTCCTCTCGCTGCGTTCGGCGGCGTCCAAGAGCAGCGCGTCGTCGCACGTGCCACCTCCACCGCCGCAAGTGACGCCCATGTCGCGCAACTCTTCGTCGTCTTCTTCTTCCAGCAAGGCACGCGCGGGCATTTGCTTCTGCGGCAAGCCAGCCGCGTCCGACCGCGATGACGACGACGCGGGTGAGGACGAGGAGGCCATCTACTGCGGTCGGCAATGCGCGCGTCAGGATGCCATGCAAGCTCTCCTTGCCCGCTCGCAAGGCGACGACAAGAAGGAAGAGCCGCATACACCCCAGCGGCAGATCCTCCAGGACAAAAAGGTGGAGAACCAGAATCCCGTGCACAAGCTGCCTCGGAAACCGGTCCCGAGTCTAGTCTCGAGCAAGCAGGCAGCCTCGTCAGCCAAGGCCCGGATTGTCAAGAGGGCCAGCGTAACTCTCTCGAAGCGATATCCAGGCCTCGACCTATCGATGCTGGAGCCGCAGATCGAGGAGCCAGAAGAAGAGCAGAGAGAGGACGTCGAGGAGCGAAGGCAATCGTCGATGCTCGGCGTCAACCTCTCACTTCGGCTCAGCATGATGGGCACGAGCCACTATCGCAGGATGGAGGCCCTCTCGTCGACGGACTTGCTGTCGCTTTCGGGGTCGGCGTGCTCGAGGTCATCGTCATGCTCCTCAATGGACTCGAGGGAGAGCTCCACATCTTCTCGCGACCAGTTTGTCTCTCCTCTGCCCGGACCCGAGCCCAGCCTCATTTCGGAGCCCTCGGAGCGTGAAAAGGCGCGCATCGCGGCCCTCGAAGCGCCACAAAAGGCCCGCGCCCGCCACGCTCGTAACCAAGCCGCAGCACCTTCTCCAAGCGACATTGCTCAGCTCCTTCGCGATGCCGGGGACGACTACGATGGCGCAGAATCTGCTCACCCTGGCCACCAGGCAAAACGCTCCGATGCCTCGGATCTGAGCCGGAGCTCCATCGTCTCTTCTCTCTTCGACGATGCCGGGCAGCACATGAGGATGGATTCGATGGATCGTCTGGGTGTCCGAAGCAGGGGAACCACCGTTTCCACACATGATGGCCAAGAGCGAGTCAACATCTCGATGCTGCTGAGCAAGCGCATGTCAAGCCGTCAGCTCCACGATAAGGCGAGCACAGCAAAGATGGGCGAAGGCTACAACGGCTTAGAGAGCGCCAACGTCGAGCGGCTGCGTCGAGAGCTTCAAATGCTCGACGACGAGCTCACCAGGACATTCGATGCCTTTGAATTCGACGACGATGAGTACCAGGACTTGATGGGCGGCGACAATGGTGATGATGGCCTCGACGCCCGCTCTTTTGTCGAAGAGGACGAGGAAGACGAACTCGAGCAGCCGTACGAGTCTCCCGTCGGCAGCAACAGAGGCTCGCCGAGCCCGAACTTCCTGGGCCTCGATCTTGGCACGGAGCAAGCACCGCTTCCCCCTCTCGTCGAAACAGCACATCAGGAAATCGATCTTATTCACCAAGACGCCGCACCTACAAAGTCGCAATTTGAGGACGAAGACTCCCCAGACCGTTGCGCTGCTCCTTCGCCGGGCAGCGCGAAGAGCAAGCTCAAGTCACTCTGGAGAAAGGGCTCGCAGCCTCGCCTCTGCCCTTCTCTTGGCATAAGCTCAAGCATGGAGCTGCCTGCCTCGCCATCGTCACCCACAAAGCGCCTTGCGACGCCCGGCGCAACGAGTCAGCAGGAGAGAGAGACAAGGGTCGCCGACCGACTGGCGGACCGCCTCGATGCCGTCCTACGGGGACGGTGGGGACTGGTGAAGTCCTTCAGCTCGGCTCAGTCTCCACCTTGAATTCGTTCTACCACAGTGCCTCCTAAGGCTTCTGCCTTGAAAGCTCCTTTAGCTATACCAGGTATCCTCTCTTCCCTTTTCCACTCTTCTGTATTTTACCCTGATAACCATGTAGCCATAAAATCTCCTCCTCCTTCGCCTTCTTTTAACTGTCCCAGTACGTTGACTGTAGACCTAGACACACATTCGTTCAAACCTTCTCCTTTCAAAGCTCGACTCTGCACCTCACTTGGGACAATACCATTGATTCGCCTCTGATTCTGTTCTTCTTTCGTTATCGACTGCTGACCTCAGCATCGGAAAATGTGTTTTTTCCATGATGAATCCCGAGGTCGGTCATCATGCAAACGAGGTCGCCGGCTCTCTCCTCCACACCTCTCGGGAGGCGATACAGCAGCGAAGAATGGGAGCATGTGACACCTGATTTTGTTTTTTTTTTTCCACCTGCGCAAGAAAGGGATGGGAATACTAGCACATGGGGCGCGAGCCGTGGAATTATCGATGAAGAGGAGGAGGGAAACGAACCGCGAGGCTACGGGATCGGAGCTTGAAAGAGTGTATCCCGAGAGCAGCCCGAAATATTCAGTCCCTCTTTATCCACCACGGTGTCATCTTCAGCTGCTGTGCTGTGCATCGACAAGATTCGAAGAAGACCTTGCGGTCGAAGTCTTATCTAGGTACCGTGCGCGTGTGGTTCTTGTTTTATTTTTTCGGTTGCTTGGATAATTTCTTGGAACCTTGTGGGCGCGGATAACGAAGTAGCAACATCCAGGTTCGCTGCGCTGGATCGACAGGTCGAGGCATATGTGGAGAGGACGAGAAGGGAGGTACACAGAGGTGGAGCAGAAAAGAAGACATAGAGAAGCAGCATGGTGAAGTTTCTCGGGTGATTGCTTGTGGAGAGTGGAGAGGAACCCGAGGGAGGGCGCAGATATGCTGCCGGTGCCTCGGAGTCCGCAAGGTGGATTTTGGGATCACCTCACCACATGAAGAGGCAGGTCGCCATATGTAAAATTCTGTACACGTTCGTTCAAGATTAAGTTCTTCGGCACACTCAACAAAAAGGAGGTGTTCCCCGCAGACAGGCCCAAGAAACAAGTGGGCAGACAGGAAGATTCATTTGGCACGCAAAGAACCCTGCCGAGGGCGTAAAGTGGGGCTTCTGTCCTGTGCCCTGCAGCCCTGCTCAATCCTCGGGCCACTTTAGACTATAGCTCGAGAGAAGGCGCGCTCTTTTTGCTTTGCTTTGCCAATTAATGAATTTCAAACACTTTCGTCATCGCCGTGTGCCCTTCAGGCACCGCCAAAGAGATGAGACGACAAACATGTGAATACCGAAAAGGACCACATGTAGGGCAGCAGCACACAAGGTGTTCCTGCGCAACGTCGAAAGCGACAGGCGGACTGGAGAGCTGCCTTAGATGCCCGTGCTGCATGCGTGGAAGTCAGATAGAGGAATTTCGAACGCAAGCCTGCTGTTTCGATCGCCGAGGGGAGGGATGGGCAAGCAGGACGGTGGATGGATGCAGTGTCTCCCACCCGGTGCAATGGGATTCCATGAGATTCCTTGTCCTCTCTTCACCACGACGAAGACAGCAAGTGTCTCTTCAAGATTAGGTGTCCCTTTGTCCTCCCGTCGCCCATTGTTCTTGCATTGTTCACTGCGCTCCCTTTGTCCGCGCCCATCTCTTGTCGGCCGATTCACGGTCTTCGATCAAGCTCAACTTTCCGAATTTGCAAAAGGATCAGCATAAAGTGGGTGGTGAGTGCAGTCTGTCTCCTGGCTTGCCTGCGAGCTGCTGGACGCACAGCGGAGCCATCATTGGGCGCCTGCTCCTTTAGATAGTGACTGCGCTCGAGCCTCCTTGAAGCTTCCGTCTGGGCTCAGCCTCTCAAGAGAATGGACGGACCGAGAAATATTCTGTTATGTGCTGATTGTCATACTTTTGCCCCTTTTGCAACACCGTCGATCAGACTCATCCTCAGCCTCCTTTACCCCGAACCGCCACACTTGGTCTAAGCCCAGTCTCTCAGCTTCCGGATCCCCATTTCACTCCCCGCTCCATATATCTCGCCTTTCACGTCCTTGCGCCTTTATTTCTTGTTTCTGCACCATTTGCCAACACGCAGCACTCGCGACCATGGCTGCCATCATCATGACGAATGACACGGAGGAGGACTTCGAGAACCTGACGTCGGATGACGAGTACGCGCGGTATCCAGCACGACGTCATGGTGGAATGGGCAAGCTGGCTACATTCTTTGGAGAGGACGAGGAAGACATCGACCAGGTGCTGTCGAAGAGAGGACCACTCCTGGGGAAGTCACGGATGCCCAGACCTGTGGCACACCACATGCGATCTTCCAGGTCTGTCGAACGTCGCGATAGCAAATGCGAGAGTGGAAGATCGTCCTCACTCGACGTTACGTGGCACCATCCTTCCTCGTCGTCAAACGCCCCGAGGATCTCCTTTCATCCGCCAAGTAGCGATCTTTGGCAGGACTGGAGGACCAGCAATGAGTTTTTTGCAGGCGAACACACTGCATTTGATGATGGGATACAGTCGACCACTGCAAACAGGTCAGTCACCGACCTGTCAGATTACACCAGGATGGACGAGGGCGAGAGACTCAATAGAGGAACATCGCTCTCGTTGGAACGAGATCAGAGGAGGCACATGACCGACTTTTCGCCTGGCCACATCTTATCCAGTAATTCGTTCAGTCCGTCGAAAGCGCCAGCGACATCTTCGACTTCGGGGTCTTCCACCACCATTGCTACCCCTCGATGGGAGCGACGTCGGTCCTCGTCGACGGCATCGTCGCATTCACGCAACAGCATGCTCTCGCTGCCTACTGATTCTCAGCCGTCTCAGGTGCATTCGTCCCAGGATCACGCCGACTACCGGGCCTCTCTAGAGCTTCGTGCAGCAAACCTGCCGCCAGCGCTTGGCGGCAGCAAGCGGCGCCATGCGCCACGAGTAGCAAAAAGCAAGCCGAGAGACCCGCTCGAGGACTGCCGACCTGATCAAGTGGCCAGGCTCAGGAGGAAGTGGGCCATGACGAGAATGGTAGAGCTCCCAGCCAAGTTCCCTCAGCAGCGAATGGACCTTGAGGCTGTCACGATTCTTGAGCACCGCTTGACTTATCGAGATGCTGCATCGACGAAGCTGTCGAGTCGCATTAGCAAGATGGGTCTCGCAAAAACGTGGAAGAAGCGCTTCGTCATCTTCAGTACGAACGCTCTAGCTCATCCAAACGACGAAAACAATTTAATGCGCTGGCAGGCTTGTCGATCTACCAACAGGTGGTCCGAGGGTGCTAGAGACGAGGAGGACGACGATAGTAGGTACGACTCGATGTCCATGATGACGGCAAATTCGAGCAGGACGCGCAGGAAGCGCGTCAAGGGCAGAGCGGAGGGTGGTAAAGTCGATAGTGACGACGGCATGGGCGAGGCTGCCATCAACTTTGTCTTTGATTTCGATGAACAGCGCTACGAGCCCGTCTCGGAACCGTACGCTTGCCTCTCGACCTATCGGACAGGAACAGAAACGGAGATGGAAGTCGAGAGGCTATTCTTGAGCGGCGACAGCACCGTCACGGTGCCTTCCAAGAGTGCCGCCGAACATGGCACCGACGGCCATCTTCTGGAGATCCGTGGCAAGCTCGTGAGCGCCCTGACGGTGAAACAAGACGAGAGGAGAAGAAGCTCCGATATCACAACAGTTTGGTTACTCCGCTTTGAGTGTGTCAATGTGTTGATGAGCTGGCTCAAGATCATGAGGGTGAGCGTTTATTTAGGACGTTACGAAGAACAGGAATGTACACTGACGCTTGGATTGCACTACAGTCCGCTATCATTGCGCTCGAACGGGAGGAGCGATTCTTCCATGTAGGTCGCCGTTCGATTGAGCTGCCTGGCCCTTCGACATACAATGAAAACTACGGGCGGAGCGGGGCAAAGGTGGGCAACCTCCGTAGTCCTTCGAGCACGCACTACACGTCATCAAGCTCTTCTCTACGTCACTCCGGGGGCAGACACGAAAACCAGGAAGTTCTGGCAGGTCAAGCTCGGACTTCGAGCTACTCAGATGATCGCCAGAGGCACTCTCTTCGGCCTCCAGTGTTTTCATCGGGGATCGCGTCCACTCGGCTCTCGCTGGACGGCCATCAAAGCAAGGAAATGCCCGATCCGCCCTTGTCCTCAGGTCGCAGTACAGAAGCGCTGCCCGCCGTTAAGGCGCTGACCGAAGAAAAGATGACCCGACCGAACAATACAGTCTCTAAGGAACAAGGCCCGACCAGTGGCGAGGAGCCTCATCTGCAGAACTCGATCCTTCCGCAATCGTGTGGCACGAGTCATGGACTCGGATCCCTGTCTCGTTTACCCCGTTCTTTTACCCTGAACGCAAGTGCAGGGATGCACAGCCGCTCAAGTCGGAGCGAGGACGAAGAAGAAGATGAGGATACAAAAGATCGTACTTCGGCTAGTGACCCAGGCCACGTACAAATAGATTGGTCGTTGCCTATCGAGACCGGTTCAACACCATTCCTGACAACGCGTCACTCGGTACTAGCATCCAAGAGATCAACCAATTCCACGAAGAGCTTGTCGTCGTCGATCAGGAGCTACACTTCATCCAACGCGCCATCTGCTTGTTCGTTGGCTTCGTTTGCATCTGGCACGTCGCATGATCGATCACCCATCTCGCCGGTGATGCCCCCCACGCCCGTCGCCCCGCTTACAGCGATCACTAAAGGGAGAGAGTCCATGACGGTAGCTTCCAAATATGCCAGTACAGAGGAGATTCAAGCCCATCCTTCAAGGCAGCAGCAGCACGGAGTACGGTCGCCACCGAGAACCCGAACAAGTACTTCGTCAGACCACAACAAGATGGGCCATGGCACAGACGGGATGCGGACAAGGTTGACAGACAACTCGAGCCGAGTCAGAAGACCGTCGCTACCCATAGGTATTCTACCGCCGAAGACCCCACCACCTCAGCGTGATCTTCCTGTCGCTCCACATCAAACGGCAATGGCGTCCAAGCAAGTCCTCATCGGCAGTTTTCGCGCCGTGCTGGAAGAGAAGGAGAAGGAGGCAAAAGGACTATCTGTGGCGGAAAGTCTTACGACAGCAGATACCGACTCCACGATTGAAAGCTGCTTGAGCGGTGAGCGGCCAGGGGCGCTCCTCGAAACAACAAACAGCTTTCCGTGTATCCGGACAGAATCTCCGGTTGATCCTTTTGCCCTGCAAAGCGCTGGCGGTTTTGCAGATCAGAGCAATGATCACGACGTTCTTCGCGCGGAGGATGGAACGACCTTCGACGATCAGATCGAGGAGGTGGCTCAGGACGGAAGCGCTTCCCCCATTGAGACTACAAGCAGCATCGATAGCTGCAGAACAGCGGCGAGCTCCGTCTCTGGACCCTCTCTTCGACCTCTGACTCTCAGTCGATCTTCGTCTATCCTGTCACCTATGGCAAAACCTAGTGGCTTCGAAGCACGGATGTCGGACCAGCCTCTTGATGTTGCCATTCAATCTTCGAGATTGGCGTCACACCAGCGTTCTTATCAGCACAGCCATAAATATTCCACAACTTCTTCGCACTCCAAGACATCTTCTCAGGCCTCGTCCATTGCGTCAATGGCCACCAACCCGCGAGATTCTGCTCTTATCAAAAAGATGGAGCCAGCTACCAGAAGCTCGACAAGTGCTGCAACTTATTACCCCCAAGAAGGGTCTCCGCGTTCCACATCGACAGAGTCCACCTTCAACTCTGGATATCTTTCATGCTCTTCTCCGCCGCCAAATGCCACCGTCCAAAGCGCTCATCATGAAGCCTACCTTTCTCCTGCTCCCTCGGGTTTGCCCACACCCCCTCCGACAAAATCAAATACAATGTCAGCGGTGGCCAATGACATGCGTCGGGGCGTCTTCGAGCAGCGGGGAAGGTGCGCTAGGGGAGTGCCCACTGCCGTCTTACCCCACCATCTCCGTTCGCCCGGCGGTCTGGGAGATAGATATCATTTCGAACAAGCACAGCAGTACCGGAAGAAGGTCACGTCGCTTTCGACGATCGATTCCGTCTCGATTGATATCATGACACCCTCGAACCCACTTTCGGGCCAAAGTACGCCGATGACAGTGAGCAGCCCGTTACAGAGCGATGATGCGGGTGACGACAAGACCCTCCATGGCGGAGGTGCCGCCGGTATTGGTCTGGGCATTGACTATCGATACGATGAGGGGCCAAGGGAAGGAGACTCGAGCAAAGAAGAGATGAGGACTTCACAATTCATGATGCTCAAGAACGACGAGTTCGGCGTAGCATTGTGATGCTCACTATCATCACTTTCCTTCCACAATACCTTTGCCTCCTCTCTCACATCGTAGCTGGACGATATGTCACTCTTCTGTACTTTTTTTTGAACTTTCACACCCTGCGACATGGGATGACATCTACTATTCTCGCGAGGCGACAAGAGTGTTGACAAGAGCCACCTCACGGACCGTGATAGTAGAAGAGACACAGGTATTAGTTTGGAGATAAGGGGAGTACCAGACCAGAAATGGAACAGGGCACATGGAAGGGTGGAAGAGAATTGAGAAAGGCAGAGGAGATTGGTGGCCTTCACATGGTGAGGTAGAAGGCAGCAATGATGAAAGCCGCAGAGACGGCTGCAGCAGAGATGTTGGGCGATGGCGTGGAGGCGTCCTTGTGTCCACCCTGGGAGCTCTTGCTGGTGCTATTCTTGCGCGCCGTGTCGGCAGCGGTGGCAGCCGCAGCAGGGTTCGACTGCGTGTTGACGAGAACGCGATCGACGACGTGGACGACGCCATTGTTCGTGAGGATGTCTGCTTTGATGATCCGAGCTTCTATGGACCCCGTAGATACAAACGTCTCGTTGCCCTCTGTGCGGAACTTGACCGACTCGCCCGATGCCGACGTCTGATCGGCCTTGATTTGACCCGACTGAATCCAGGCCGTGTAGGCCACTGTGCCGTTCAGAACATGGTTGGCGAGGATGTTTGCGATGTCTTGCGTGGTCGCCTTGCTAAGTGCTCCTGTCGCATTGGCCACTGCCTGAAGATCGGGTGCGTCAGTTTTCCCAATGTACAGCAAAGCGAAGGGGTGTAGCTACCTTGTCCTCGGGCGCAAAAAGGGTGATGGATGGCGTGGAGGAAAGGATGTCGACCGTCTGGTTTCTGTCCAGAAGCGCTCGGATCGTCGACAGATCATCTTCTTCCTGCAATATGCTGGAAAGGTTGCCGGGGATAGTAAGGAAGTGGTCGATGGGCTGGATGAGGACGTTGCCAAGACGAGGTCCATCGGTCGTGTTTTCAAAGCTGGCGACTTCGTCGGCCAAGGGATTAGGGATTTCTGCCTTGTCGCTGGTGCTGTTGCTGGCTTGGACGACGACCACCTGAGGCTGTTGCAGCATGTTGACAAGTGGGCTGCCGATGAGTTCCGTAGGCGCAACGATGCGATTGCCTGGTGCTTTGTGCAGATTTTCATAGGACAACGAACCATTGACGAGGTGGTATGCGAGAATCGCAGGAAGCTGCTGAGCAGAAGGCATTGATCCAAGCTTCTTGAAAGCAGCATTGGTGGGTGCCAGCAACGTCATGTTGCCACCTTTGGCGAGAACCGGGCCCTAGTCACCGTCATCAGCTTTACTCTCCTTGTTCGCATCAAGTGTGTACACTCACGATTGCCTGAGTGAAGTTAGTGACTACCTGACTCAGCATAGTCAAGCCACTGGCGGTAAGAGCATCGACAAAGGCTTTTCCTGGGTCCGCATTTTGTTGGCCAGCGACGAGAGTGGCGCCAAAGGCGAGAGGAGCTAGAAGAAGCCCTCTAAACTTCATGTTGACGAGAAATAGGAGCTATATGGCCAGCGGATGGATCTTTTTATCGAGAGCTCCAGTGCCAGAAGGAGGCGATTGGTGAATAGAGGCCTATGGCGCAAAGGTAAAGAAGGGAAGAGAGAGAAAGGGAAAGGGGGAGGAAAGCGGGTGGCTTTATAGGCCCGCCGTAGCTCACTAATCAGCATCACTCGCCGCTCGAGCTGGAAGAGCGAGCGCGGTGACAGAGGACGAGGGACATTGATGACCATTTTCGCGGTCCGTCAGCAGATATCATTGACCCTCGCCGGGCACTCTATTGAGCATACGCGCCCTCCTCCCCTTTCTTTTAATTCTTTGTGGACCGCTGAGGAGGAAGTCATCAAATAGAAGCTCCTCCTTGTTGGCCGCTCTCCTGATCACGTCACATGTCACTTGGTCTCATTCGGGCATGAATTGGTCAAAGGCGCCATTTCATTGTCCGCTATTGTCCGTATAAATTCACAAAATAGTGCCGTAAGCGGCCACCGCCGCGGTGAGAGTCGCACTCACAACCGCAACGACGACGCCGCTGGAATTGGCGCTCTTCATGGAGAAAAGATTGACATTGTCCCACACCTTTGGGTTGAAAAGTTAGTGGCAGGAGAAATAGGCATTCAAATGAACCAGTCTTACGTACCAGGTGGCGCACGCCGTTGACGGAGTGGTAAACGATGGGAAATGCAAGAGCGGTCTTCGCCGTCAATTTAAACCAGAGGGACAGACCGCTGACCAAGCCAACGAGAGACGGTGTCAAATGCGTGACATCGACGCCCAAGAGGGGCAAGGCGAGATACGCGAGTCCGGCTCCGTACTGTGAGAAAAGTCAGGGGGGCAATTGAACGATGGACAGTAATTACCAACTTACCAGGCCGAGGGAAGCGACGAGACCGGTGCCTCGATTCATCCCGCTTTGGAGAGACACAATATGGTCAGTTTGCCCGGGTAAGCTCCAGGCGACGCGGCCTCTTACCTCATCCACCTGCAAGGTGAAGGGAAAAATGAGGTGTCAACACCTGGTGTACATGGGTGAAATGGAAGCCGATTCTCACATATTGATGGGATATTTGTAAATTGTGAGGTGAGGTGAAACGGGCCGCAGGCTCCTTCGCTCATTGAGACCCTTGAGGTTCTCTTCAGGTTTCATCGGTATCATTCGTGGTACTTGCCGTAGGCTCGAAGATGCCTTCACCGTAAGCTTGCTCGATGTCGAAAACCTTGAAGAAGCGACAGCGGCGCCTAACGGCCTCGCGAGTCCAAGACCGACTTGCGATGGCAAGGAGATCGGAGACAACATTGACAGATGGCTCTTGCAAGGCATGTCGTCTTTATGAGGGTATGAAGCTGGCTCTGAGAAGCCTCATGCAGGGCAGACCAGCGAGGCTTCCTCGGACTCTGGCGGACCCACATCCGTTGGGTCGTATGAGAAGCTCCCGGGGGCAACCGACACCTTCGGCCGAGTCTGTAAGCGTTATTTTCGTTGCCCTCCATTCTTTTTAGACGCGATTGTCCTGAACATTGCTTTGCCTCTTTTCATTCCCTGTCAAGATGCCGCTGGAAGCTCTGCGGGCGGCGCCGACGTTCATGTCGGTGGAAGACTATGCCGTGCTGCAGCAGTCGACGCCAGCGTCCTTTGAAGGCCATCCTCCTGTGCTTCGCCTCAAGCTAGAAGGCGTACGTTGCACAATCGAACCTGCAAGCGCCCTTCCTGGCGGGGCAAGGCAGACAGAAAGCAACGGCAGCGCGTATGGGCCTCTTGCTTCTGAGGAAGGTGTTCTTTGGGTGACAGAGAGGTGAGTACTGTCATGAGTCTCGCATGCCTGACATAGAAGACTCATCTGTTTGCTCCGCTAGTGCCCTGTCGTTCTTGACGAACACCGGTCGAGGTTTCACTTTGGACTACCCGACGCTCTCTCTTCATGCCGTTTCAAGAACCTTGCCCGACTCTCTAATCGCTTCCTCTTCTCGGTCAGCCGCCGATGTCTCGTGTGTCTACTGCCAGCTGGACGAGAGCCAGGGTGATGATGTAGACGAGGACGAGGACGAAGACGAATCTGGCCTCTCTGAGCTTTGGATCCTCCCAGCCGATCAAGACTCAAGTAAGTCGCTGGCTAATCCGTCTTGATTGTCTCGCTCGATCGCTGAGCATATCACAGTGGAGCCTTTATTTGAAGCGCTATCTTACTGCGCCTCGCTACATCCCTCGGGGCTTGAAGATGAAGAGGGGGGCCACCCCTTCGCTGGCATAGGACCATTCGGCACAGGCGCACAAACCCTCCATGCTATGACCGAAGACGGAGCTTATGACGACGCCGAAGAAGGCGAGCAGGAGCTTAGTGAGGCAGGAAGGGTGAGGAATGGCTTCCAGACTCCAGACAACCGCTTTCGCCCCTACTAGAAGCGGCGATAGCACATGTGAGATGTCTTGAGTAGAAGAGGACAGGCAAGCTGAATCCTTTCGTTGACCTTTCCTCGCTCCCTTGCAGGCGACCCTTGCCCATCTTGATTCCCTCATCGAATGGACGCCTGCTTCGAAGTCGTCATGCGCCGGCCCTGCCTCGTCACCTACAGCCTCCTTCCACTCTTCCGATCCGCGCAAGGCCGAAGTGATGGATCGTACAGACACGATCATTCTGGTCAATTTGCCTCAAGAGGTGTTCCAGATGCCCGAACTGGCCTCGTCACTCCTAGACCTGCTCCATGCGTACGGTGACATGGTTCGTTGGACGCCGCTCCCGAGCTTCGGACGAGCCTTGGTGCAGTACAAAGAGGTAGCAGGGGCCAATCGTGCAAAGGAGGCATTGGACAAGCTCCTGCTTCCCGTCATCGAGGAGGGAGACGAAGAGGGTGAGATGGACGCCCCGCCGACGAGGAAGACCTCTGATAGCGGTGACACGCCTGCGCTCCGAGCGTATTTTGGCCCGCACTCCTCTTCTCTGCCAGTCGAAGGCAGCTCCAATCTCCCTGTACCGGCGACCGATCGCAACTTCCTCATCAGTCCTCCGGGCAGCCCACCGGTGGGCTGGGAACCGGTGCGTGAAGATCCTCCCAATACCGACACGCTGGCAGACGACTTGATCAAGGCCCTGGGCTCGTTGCGCGACCGGGGCTTAGGTGTGGAGAGCCATTCGCCTCGACCATTGAGGATGGATGACGATGAGGCTGGCGACGAGAACGAACACGCACAGAGGTTGCCACCACCTCCCTCACTCGTCATTCCTCCCAGTACCGCCCCTGCCCGCTCATCGCATCCTTTGGCAACTCAGCGCGCCATGGGCGATGGCGAGGGATTCGTGTCAATCCCTGGCGTCACGGTTCAGAGCGTTGATCCCGAGGCGGACGACGATGCGGGCCTCGATCAGCGGCTGAATAAGGGTCTCAGCATCACGGGCGTCAAGGCGACGGTGGAGTCAATGCGGGGTGCTTCAGCCGGCGGGCTGGGCGCCAACAGCGACGGCTTGGCGGGGAGTGGTAACAAAATCACGCCAACTGGGAGGCCGCCCTTGGCGTAGGCGTAGTGTCGCCGCGCAGATTTGTCGCTTGTCACTTCAATGATGATCATTACCCAGATTCTCGTACAACCTTACTTCCTTTTCATCATTCAAACATGATCCGACCTAGCTTTGAAGTCGCCGTCGTTCTGCGGACTGGAGGCAGGAGTGGTGCAAGGATCTGAGTGCGTCTGCTTTCGCCTTTTGCCTAGAGCCGCTTGCTGTGAAGTCTGGCATTTACGTCAACGAGTCTAGCCACTTCAGCCAAGCCGACGATGAGGATCTGACAACTGAGTGACAACCAAACTCAATAAAACCGCTGCTGGCTGATCCAGGCAATTTCTAAGATCTGGGGCGATTAGTGGCTTCGCTTCCATCTGGGGGGCCCAGAACTTGGGCCAGACGTGAGATGAGACACACACGTAAACCTTCCCTTCAAAAGCTCCAAAGGCTGCCCCAATATCGATATGAATATTTGTTGCCTGGATGACGACGAGCAACCAAAGACTAATATATAAAGGCGTGGTCGGGTCATGCAGTCTTCGTAGCAATTTCGGTGGCCGGTCGGCATTTTACCCGGCCTTAAATGCTCCCTCGATCTTGAGGCTGGGCTCCCTTTCTTCCTGCTGCCGCTTTGCGCGAAAACTTGGTCTGCGGTGCTGACACATCAAATTATGCAAAAGGAGGCCCGCGCAGCAACTCCGGGCGGAGGTTCATGCCGGTGGCGGGTCCGCCCACCGTCCGAGGTTCCACCTCAGACAGGTTAAGGGTGGGGGGAACGGCGAGCACCGTCGCACGGAGCGGCACGGAAGCGACACGGAAAGCGCTTAGCGGCAGCCACGCACTTGCGGCGGACCGACGCTCCCGTTGCACTTCACTATGATTCTCTCCCTCCTTCAGAATTTAGGCCGAGAGAATAAAGCTCGCCTGGGTGTGTTTGTTCGCGCACTGCGTTCGGGCCCCTCTCACGTGCACTGTGCGGACTCTTCCGGAGCAACCATACAATGGCAATCAGCTTGATTAGCTGGTAAGCGGACGAATATAGCTCCCGTTGTCCATGCAGGTCCCCTCCGAAAGTCGGCATTCCCACACTGTGGCCTTAGCGCAAGTGCACATGTCAGCCTCACCAGGGTTTAAAGAAAGCCGCGCGCGGGGAACAATGGAGCTGAAAGTCTTCATTGGGCGGCACGGGCTGTGTATGCTTAGATCGATCCAAATTTGCCGTTGAAAGTCGTCTATATGCACCTTCCTGAAGGAAAGATCGAGGCTTGACCACAGCTCTTCTCTGCTCCCCCACCCCTTCGCACCTGTGCCCATGCCGTTGATCTCGCCGGCCCGCTACATTTGCTTGCTTGGCAAGGCGAGCAGCTGTCCACCAGCAGCTCATCCCTGTCGGCAGGTGTTCTCCGGAAGGATGCACGACCTCTTGTCAGAAAGCAGATAATTGAAAAATAAATCACGAAAGAATTTAGACGTCGAGGGCGCACGGGGGAAAAACAGTAAGGGCTTTTATTTTATCCAGGGCTAAAGTAGGAGTGACCCAGCTGCCAGCCGCCGCGCCGACTGGACGGACGTCGGAGGTGGAACCTGTCGGATGACCAAAAAAATACAGAAATGCACATTCGAGGAAAAAGGGCCCAGAGCAGCAGAGCAAGAGATGAGATCGAATGTGGCCGCTGGAATGACGCACCCCCCGTTGCGTGTCGTGCGTGGGACAGGCAGAGGGGCGAGGACGTGGTGCAGGCCTAGTAGTAGCTAGTTAGGCCGGGCAAACGGGACTAATGGGAGCCCGAAGCTCCGACTGTGCGTCCGAGCTTTCCCCATTGCTGCCTATTCTCTTCCATTCTCCTTCCATCTTGCGGGTCCGCCTCTTGTCTCTCTCTCTTTCTCTCTCTCAACGACGACGACGACGACGGTGACAACGATCACCCTCCGCTCTGCACTTGGTTGCTCACCTCCCAAACCCTCTCCGCCCTTACTCTCTCCCGCAACAGCCCCCACTCTCGAGGCGTCAGCAAGGAGCCATCAGCCCATCGCAGCGCAATTGGTTGGCACGGGCGCCGTCTTCACCGTCCGCGGTTCCGCCGTCAGCCCATCAGCCCGTCAGCCCGACAGAAAAAAAATAACAAGCCAGCGCGCCGAAACGCCCGCAAGAGGCGTTTGGTCAGATGGAGTCGAGATAGCAGGCAGAAAGAGAGAAAGATAGAGAGAGAGGGGAATCAAGAGAGAGTAAGACTTCTCTCACAAGAAAGACTAGATCAACACCGCGCCCGTGTTAACGTTGGCTGGGCCCAACGCCTTCAGATTGCATCCCAGTGTTAGCCCTTGTCGTCGCAATTTGTCCCTTGTCGTCCTATAAAGAGTGGACCCTGTCCCCCTTTCCCCCTTCCCTTCTCTCACCGTCATCAGGACGCACTTCAACGGCGAACGAGAACAGATTTCCGCTCCATTAGTTCCAGCCACCCAGCAACACTCAACGCTCGAGGCGGTATCGGCTCCGGTACGCATATCACAGCAGCGCAGCACATCGCCCCTTCGCCCCATAAAAATAAGAAGAGGGGTTTCGCGGCGGGGCCTCATTGCACTCCGAAGCGCGACCGGTTATCTGGCGACGTCCTTCCGAACGGCCCCCGGACCGGTGTGCTCAGCCCTTAAGACACAGGGCGTGGGTTCAGCTTTGCAATTGCAAGAGAGGCAAAGAAAAGGGGGGACGGAAGCCTCGAAAGATAACGGGGCCGCACACGAAAAGGGCCCGGACGCAAAAGGCCCGACAGCTGCTCACGCACGGGCGGACGGAGACAGTCGAGCGGGCGCACAAGCCGTCATAGCCGCGTGCGACAAACGCGAAACGGTGGGCCGGAGGTCCGGCCGTGGTCCTGCTGCACGATGCATCAGAACTATCATCTTCACCACCACCATCACCAGCGCCCTCAGACTGACCTCGAGACACCTTCCTCGCGCCCGTCGCACTTTCTCGACCAGCAAAAACAGCGACAACAGCATCAGCAACAGCAACAACAGCAGCAGCAGCAGCAAGCTCTCCACCAACGACAGGAGCTATCACATCACGGTGGTAGCAGCAGCGGCGGCGGCGGAGGCAGCAGCAGCAGCAGTAATAGCAGCAGCAAGTTACTCAGCCCGGGCGGCCGCTTAGCTCCTCTGCACCGCTTCGACACACCGCCGGAGTTCAGTCACAGATACGGAGGAGGTGCAGCTCAACCACGTCACCAGCCAGAAAGACTTTCGCTTGTCAGGCAAGGGCCGGGAGAGCAGGAAGCCCCCTCTTACCGTCACCACCAACGTGACCACAAGGACAGGGAAATGCACTCCAGCCTTGGTTCAGCCTCCAACTCCAGTACCAATACCAGCAACAGCGCCCACGCCCACGCCAACACTAACGCCAACACTCACGCCCATCCTGCCCACGCCTCCTCGGCTACTTTCTCCGTCTACTCGTCCTCTTTTCGTCCTCTCACTCACGCCGGCACCACGAGCGCCGCAAATAGCCAAAGCCTCAGCATTCCGCCCAACAGAGCCAGTTCTTCATCGCCTCCTACGTCTTCCTTGTCCACAACATCCACTTCGACCATTGCCACGACTCCTGGAAGCCAAGCAACTGCCACTCCGTCCTTCAAGGCCTTTGCAGCCAAGAACGAAGAACACAGAAGCAGCAACGGCGGTGGTAGCGGTGTCGGTGGAGGCAGCAGTGGCGGCGGCTCCTTCTCGGCTAGCTATCGAAATCCGCACCAGCAAGCGCCGGCAACGGCACCAGCCAGGGTCAAGGACTCGATCGAGTCCCAGCAGCAGCAGGATCAACAGGCAAGCTACCGGCAACAGGAGCAGGAGCAAGAGCAATCTCATCATCTGCATCAGTCAAGGACCGCTCCAGCAGCCATGCTGACACACGAGTCTTCCATGCGCTCCTCGGCTTCGGCTGTGCAAGACAACGACCGTAACGAGGCAGCGACAGCCGATGAGCGTCGATGGGACGAGGTCAACGGTACTGGCGGTCGTTCTTCGCCTCAAGAGGCGGGCGAAGCCTCGATGCAGAGGGAACCCCAGTCTGACGAGGAAATCGACTTTGAATCGGACGACGACGACGAGGCCCAGAGCGAAAAGCGTCCTGCTTCCCTCGACGGCCAGGAGGGAGCTGGCTCCAAGCGCAAGGCGCCGTATACCTCGAGCGTTGATGGCGGTGAACCAAGACAGGACAGCAACAGTGGCAACGTTAGCATGGCGCCCGCGCCTTCCTCGTCGGCCGCTGCATCGGCCCAGCCACCTCGTCTTCCGTCCTCGAGCAACTTCCCCCCACTAAGGAAGAGCTGTGACCGGTGCTTCAAGATGAAGACAAAGGTATGTATGCGTATTTTCCTGATGGAAAAATATCTGAAAGGGCCTAACACGATGTGTCCACTCGCAGTGTTCCCGAGCTGCACCTGGAGCAACGGGCGACGGACCTTGTGTTGGCTGTGTCAAGCGAGGGCATAAGGACTCGTGCATCACTTCTCGACCCGACGCTCCCTTCCCGCGAGCATCCTCGACGGCCAACAAGCGGGTGCGACGCGACGTGCAGAGTGGCGCAGACCCGGCATCAGCACCGCACCTGTTGAAGAGCAGTGGCAGCAGCAGCAGCTTACCAATGCGACATCCCAGAGAAACGGCCGATGGCGAGCTCGAGAGTGCCGCTACACCGTCATCGAGCTCAGCTGGGCGGGCCGAAAGCTCGCACGATCCAAAGAGGGCCTACGAGCGCTTCTACAGCCCCGAATCGCCCGATCTCGAGACGAGACGACCCGATGCAGCTCTTCTGCTGAGAAATACGGCTGCGGTGCGCAACGTCATGCCGATCGAATCTTTGACGTATGACAATAGCTCGGGGTCACCCCACCATCGCCCCCAACACGATGCAGCTCGTCTGGCATTCGGCCACGGCGGATTCCGCGGCAGTAGCTCGCATACTGGCCACGTACCGGTGAAGGCAAGAGCCATGCCGACAGCGTCGGCCAAAGTGCCCACGGCCGCGCAGCTTCGCACGCTCACAACGACTGAGCTGCGAGACATTGGCCTTCATGTCATGTCCGAGGTCGCGCGCCGAGCCAACACGCTAGCCGCGGAAAGCCAGCAGCATATACGGCAAGAGCAGTACATGCATCAAGCTATGCCATCCTCAAACATCGTACACCAGCAGGCCAATCTTGCGAGCCACAAGCTGCCGCAGCAGATCTCTCAGATCTTTCTCTCCAACTTTGAGCGACACGTCTGGCCGCTTCTGTCGCTACCACACCTGTCGCCTGCGCGTCTCAGAGCCACACCTCCCGATGATGAGACCGTCGTGTCGAATGCACTCACGGACATCGCTCTGGCCATCGGCATCCAGCTGCACGCATCGTCGCTTACGGCCTCGCAGACGGCCAACGCCGCTCAGGGGAAGATCTATCGGGCCTGTTTCGAGAGCGATGACACCCGTCGACAGCAGCAAGATCGCCAGGCTGAGGATGTCAAGGTATGGCTCGACGACGAGCAATGTCGGGCCTATGCGGTCAACATGGTCCGTAGTCGGGGCTCCAAGATTGGAGAAAAAAGCTGCGACAGCGTCCTGGAAGATCTCCTCCTCTTTCACTTTTACAGCATTCGGGGAGAACACTGTGCGGCCAGCGACTGTGCTGCGCGGGCACGCCGAGCCGTCCTCCGCCTGCAGGACTCGTGGCGGGGCGAAGCCGGCTGGACGGAGAACGAGGCTCGCTACCTCTGGCGGCGTGTCGAGGATGCAGACTGGCAGTCACCAGTGTCCCATGCTACGGGCCCTTATCCAAGCCAACTAGCGGGCGAGCCGCTTGTGCAACTTGACGATTCGCCCAGCAGGACTGTCGATGATGCATTCCACGCACTGAGCCACCTTCTCTCTCGATCGCTCACGCCTGGCGACATGCCCAACGACTTGCTCTTATCCAGATTTAGGGCGTCAATACCTGAGTCGCTGGCCTTCAGCTTGAAGAACGATTGGATGGACAAAAACGAGGCAGGCGCTACCGGCTGGATCAACGAGACAAGCATTGACCGATCTCAGCCAAGCTTAAAAGTGTCGATGTGCTTGGGTGTCTGCTTTGCACGTCTCTTGACGGCCATCAAGCCGCTCGTCGACGGCTACAAAGGCGATGGAATGACAGGCGAAGAGCCCCGACGGTGCTATGAGACTGCGTCCGCGATGACCTCGGCGACCATTCTAGCGCTCAACCTGTTCCCCGACATCGCTGCAGAAGCACTCAGATACGCCCACCACTCAGTAGCTGCAGCATGGTCCATGGCGGTCGCCAGCAAGCGGATGAGCAGCGAAGTGGGTAATGTCCTTGGCAAGCAGGTCCAAGACGTGCGCCAGCTCGCAGACCTCCTGGACAGCGTCTCTGGGACCAAGAATTGTCGTTTTGCGACTTTGATGCGTCAAGCGGCCGACTTTATGGAGGACACTCTCGAAGTCGACCTAGAAGAGCTTGCGAAGCAGGGCAAGCTTAGGAGGCTGATGCTTGGGGACACAACGGTCAGCGTCCCCACGGTCAACCCTGCCGGAAATCCCGTCGATGCTTCCACAGCAAAGGTCGGGCCGACTTCACGATAATTGAAAGCAAGCATGTACTTCTCTCTGCCACTAATATGCTGTTACTCCCCTCATAGATATCAGAGATACTACTGTAGAAATGAGAGTGATCCATCACTCCTCTCGATGCCTGATCATCCCGTGGCTGAGCTCGTCTGACGATATCGGAAGCGGAGCCTCCACGTGTGACATATTCGCCTCTTTGCTGGCAATCTTTGAAAATTTTGACACAGACCTGGTGCACTCTAATTTGAAGAATAGTCTGACTCGCACTACGAAAATCTCAGGTCTATTTTACAAATTCCGTACCAGGGCTCTCCGGGTGGCCTCCTTTCCCTTTTGCGTTCGTTCCCTCGCCCCCTTTTTTTTTCTCTTTGGTTTTGCTCCCCTCTGAAAAGTTGGATTTTGCTGCCTCTTCCTCCGTCAGGCAAGAAAGCACATTTTTTCGATTCACCCTTTGGCCCAGCGCAGGCGACTTTCCCACCCCCTCCTCCTCCTCCCCTCTATCCCCTCCTTATTTTTCTCCCTCCTGCCTCTTCGCTTCGCTTTTCTCGATTTGTTCAGTCACGCATCCGACAATCTCGGGCTCGAGTAAAGGAAGAGGAGAGGGAGAAAATAAAAAATCATCATCATCGATAGAGGAAAGGGGGACGTCGAGCCGGCTTTGCTATACCGCGAATCGAGAACGAGAAGCGAGCCACCCAGGCCAGTCGTAGGGAAAAGGATTTTGTAATATTTTCTTTTTCTTGTGAGGGAGTGAGCGCGCGCGCGCGTCTCTTTTGCATGGACACCGCTCGCCACAGAGGAAGCCGTTTGTTTCCCCCTGCTTGGCTTCATCGATTTCCCTCTCTTTCCTCCTCATTCCGAGTCGATCCATCGTCCATCCACCTTCCTGCCTTTAAGTAGGTCAAGGAAGGCAGTGCTAGAGGCAGATAACGGGGGCCGTTTCTTTCGAGGACGGAAGGGCGACATCCAATCTACCTCATCCCCCTCCACCAGAGTCTGCTTGCCATAGCCGATTGTTTCCTCGACGACGCGACGTTCGATTAGAGCAACGTCGTCGCCGTCGTTGGAGCCCCGGACCAGGGAGTTGATCATCATAGCAAATGGTCGGAACCACAACGCACGTTGCGACGGGCATTGCTGCAACATCACAGCGTCGTCTCAAGAAACTTGGATTCAAGCAGCTCCGTAAGTCATCTCTCTCTACAGTGGCGAACGCGCGCGCGTATCCACGAAAAATGGATTTCTGGGATGGCGTTTAGTCATGGCGCGCCTGCTCCCTACCTCTTCTTCGCCTTCATCTCTTGGCTGACCCATCGTCCATCTTCACAGTCTCGATTCAACGAGGGAGCTCAGGAGGCGGCCTTTCGCTCCTTGGCGCCACCGAGGCGGCACTTGAGAACGACGACCATGATCGTGGGCTAGGTGTCGATGCTTCCGAAGTCACCGTAAGTGTCACTTTCGGATCTGGCTCGACGCGTTTCTGGGGTGCATATTCCTTCCCTCCACCCCCTCGATGGCGAAAACTTGTGATCGTCTATTTCGGGCGGTAGTGCCCTCTCGCACCCTAAAAAACCTTCACCATCATCGCCATCGTCATCACAATTTCGTCTCGAAAAAATTCTTCTGACATGAATGCTGACCTTTTTAAATTTGCCTCTTTTTAGGAACATCACTTGCAAGCGGCGCTCTCACAAACACAACTTGCAAGCGATGCAGAGAGCTCAAAGACAGCATCTGCCCGACCAGCGTACCACATCCCGACACCGGAAGCCAAGCAGGTTCTTCAGGATGCAGAGTACCAGCAGCTGTATCCCCATGGCGCCTACTCGGACCCCGTCACATACCTCCGATCATCGCAGACGGTAGAAGAGTCGAACCGAGGTCCGGCGTACTGCCTTGATGAAGACGACAATGACTGGCTCCAAGATTGGAACAAGAAGGCCTCTGAGGCTCTCGCGGTCGCGCTCAAGAGTGCTCGATCGCCAATTGCGTCAGCAAAAGGGAAGGGGAAGGAACGGACAAGAGAGGAGATTGTCAACAGTCTGGTCGAGGAGAATGGCGACCTGCGCGTCATTAGCGAAGACGAATTTGAGATGGTTATCACCGTCTTTGAACGAGTCTCTGCCGAACAGGTCCCCTTCGCCCACCTCGACGTGTCGAGACTGCCATCACTAGAAGACTTGCTTCCCTCTTTCGACCCAAACTCTTCCCTTGCAGACCTTGCACAGCCCGAGCTGCCCGAACTGCCCTGGGAGCATCACACTCACGGCTTTGCATCCTCATCAAAGAGCGACGGGAGCAGCAATCACAACAAAGCCAATGGTTGGTCAATACACCAAAGGGGTCACGACAACGAGCGCTGGTCGCCCGACAACCCGTTCCGGAATCTAGCGAGCCTTAAAGGCGTCGCGAAGATTGTGTACCCTTGGTGGAAGCAACGGAGGGAAGAGAGGCAAGGCAAGCAGATTGTGCCAGCGCTCAACTTTGACGAAAGCAACGACAACGACCCCTATGTCTGTTTCCGACGACGCGAGGTCAAGACGATCCGTAAAACGCGAAAGACCGATGCGATGCATCTCCATAAGCTCATCAAGCTTCGCGCCGAGCTGGACCAGGCGGCCAAGCTCATGAGCCTTGTCGTACATCGAGAGAGGACGAAGCGAGCATCTTTGGCTCAGGATCGGGTGCTGTGGGAGAAGGCGCGCGATCTGCTGGAGGTCAAGCGGACGTGGAACATCGTTGGTCCGAATAATGGAGCGGAGGATCTGGAGCTTGTGTCGGGAGAGCGCCGAGCAGAACACTCGCATGGCGTGTCTGGCGCCCCAAAGAAGAAGAAGAAGGTCGAGGAGCAGCAACAAAACAACGTTGTCAAGCTTCCAAATCGCAAGCCGACCAAGACGACATCTGGCGAGGAGACTGCTTCAGCTGCTGCCTCTGTCACGTCGGCAACAGCATCTGGTCCTGCTGCAGCCGCCTCGCAAGGATTTGGCCAGGCGATCCTCGAGCGTGTCCAGGCAGTGCAGGCATACATCGAACGCGAGTGCCAACGGAAGCGAGACAGCGACGTCGGGTGGGAAGAAGGTACGGATGCGGCAATGCATCCGTTTCCAGTCCCTTCTCGGCTTCGTTTGTTTCGGCCCATCCACTCAGATCCGCCGACGGCCGAGTGGTCCGCTTCTCAACGGCAGCAGCAGCAACAACAAAATCAGGCCCCATCGAGCTTCGCACCTTGGTCCAGCTCGTCACCATCGAATCGGGACTCGAAGACGGGCCCCGTCTTTCTTCCGCCGCACCCTCGCGCTGGCAAGCCGCCGTCCTTTCGCCGACGTGTTGGCCGCGGAGGTCGCGTGCACCTCGATCGTCGGCTTCCTACGCCAAGTCCTGTCCCGACCAGCTTGTCTGATTGGCCGCGCGCTCTCCCTCCGGTCCGACAAGGACGCGGTGAAGATGGGGCACAAGGGGAGGCCTCGAAAACGACGAAGAATGGCGACGGAATGAATGCAAGCGATAAAGCAGGCACTGCGCAGCACCAATCTCTCCTCAGGAGAGCTGCCCCTCTCACGGGACCATTTGCTTTCTCGCCCTCGCTACGTCCGAGTCTCCTAACGTCTTCCACCACACCCGCTCTGCTTACATCTACCGGTCCTTTTGCTTCGAGTGCGGCCGGCCCCGCGTCTTCAGAACGGCCCTACCACCACTCCTCGGATGCGTCGAGCTCTTCGTCAGCCTCTAGTCAAGAGTCCAAAGCTTCTAATACCACTTTTGAGCGAGCTGCCAGCACGCAGCCCACCGATGTGGACGAAAACGAGGTTGACGACGATGCACATGAAAATGGTGCAAAGGATGACGAGGAGGACGAAGGGAGGAAAGAGGCTCACGATGTTGAAGACGACGAAGATGAGGAGGAGGAGGGTGAAAAGGATCTCTCAGAGCAGATGGAGCGCGACGCTGCGTTTTGGAATGAAGAGGATGAGGAGCAGTGGCACAGCCTCCAGGAGAAGTGGCGATATGATCACGAGGGCGGCCAATGGGCTGGGCTGGGGCTCTGTGGTCTTGGCGGCATGGAGGACGATGATGAGGCTGTCATCGATGACTTTGACCAGCGGTTCCTCAAGTACCGCATCACACTCTTGGAAGAGTCGGATCTGATCAAGCTGTCGACGGTGGTGACGAACGTCAACATGGCTCAGGCCGCTGTTGAGGCAATGCCTCCGCAACCGACCGGCTATTCCATCTTCCGAAGCGACGGTGCTGGTCACGTCTATCATCAGCAGCAGCTTCAAGCCCAACACCAAGCCGCTGCCGCCGCTGCCGCAGCCCAACAACAGCAACAGCAGCTTCAGCAACAACAGCTTCAGCAGATGCAGCAGGCCCAGCTGCATTCTCTCCCTCAGCAGCATGCTTCCTTCCCGATGCAGCAGCAACAGCAGCAGCAAGCCGCAGCGGCAGCCGCAGCTGCTGCCGTGGCGGCGGCAAACGCAGGAGGCGCCAACGGGTCAGGAGCGGGCTTGCATTCAGTCGCGCGCGCTGCTCACACCAACGTCGGTGGTCCCTTGACGGCGCTGCAGCAGCAACAGCAAATGTACCAAGCGCAACTCCAGCTCGCACTACAGCAACAGCAGCAACGCGCGGCTCAAGCTGCCGCCATGGCTGCTGCCCAGCAGAATGGCGGCGCTCAGTCGCCAAACGGTGGCATGGGTGCGGGCGGTTCTTCACCAACTCCGCGACCACGTTCAGGACAGATGCAGCATGCGCAGCCTCATCCTCTGTCTCAGTCATTTGGAAATGGCGTCGGGACCGGTGTCTCCTCGGCAGGTTCGAACATGTCTGACGCTGCAAGCCCCATCAATGCCAACGCATTGGCTGCGCAGCTTCGTCAACGCCAAGAGTGGGCTGCTCATTCGTCGATGTCGCCGCCGCAATTCCCACAGGGCATTCCTCAAGGCGGATGGAACGTGAATGCCGCAGGAGGCGTTCCGAGTCCACAAATTCAGGCACAGTTCGGCCCCAACAGTCGACCTTCATCGTCTCAAGGAGGTACACAGACGAACCAAGGGCAGCAGAGGTCGTCACCACTTCTTCAGAACGGTGCTCCTTCATTCCAGGCGGGCCCAGGATCGAGTCCGGGACAGAACCACGCTTTACCGATGAGTCTTGCCAATGCCGCTGCTGCCGCGCAGCAGCAGAGGAACGGCCAGTCGATGGGATCTGGCGGCGCACAGCAACGACCAATGAACAACGGCTTCATGGCCAACGGCATGCCTCAGGTAAACCCACTGGCCGCGGCAGCACTGCAACAGCAGCTTCAGGCTCAGCAGAATCAGCAGCAGCACTCGATCGGCCAGCCTGGAAACCAACAACAGACGACGGTCCAGCAGCTCAACCAGCTTGCTGCGAGCGGGCAGCTGAGTCAAAGCTCCCTGCTAGCCATGCAAGCCGCCCTTTCTGCCAACCAGAACCTGCAGCTGAAGCTACCGCCGAATCGGACCCGGGCTCTGCAGATCGCTCAGCAGGCTGCCAAAAATGCTCAACAGCAGCAAGGCTCGCCGACACCGCACACCGGGATGGGCCTGATGCAAGGCTTGCAGCAACCGCAGCAGCAACAGCAGCAAGTAAGCAACAACTTTGGAGGACAGCAGGCTGCCGCCGGCGGTGGTGGCGGCAACCCGCTCGTCATGGGAAATGGTAACCAGGGTCTAGTGGCAGGGGGAGCGACCAATTCTCCGAAGGCGAAGGGGAGGACTTAGTTGAACATCTCTTGTGTCTGTTTTTCCATATTTTGTCGATCATGCATTCTCACCAATCTCGCCACTCTCATCTTGGATAGCTTCGCTTCGCTCTAGCTGTCCCTTTCGGTGTTTTTCTTTTTGATGTTTCCTCACTCTATGAAATATCTAAACCGCTTTTGTATTTTTGTCATCTCTTCCATGGTCTGTTTGCCTGATTTGCCCCCTTGTAGCGACTGAGCTAGGTCGTGATAAGGGAGGCAGCCCGACATAAGACAGAAGCCCAAACGGATGCGAAAAAAAAAAGAAAAAAGAAAAAGAAAGGTCTCACTGGGACTCGAACCCAGGTCCCCAGAAGGACTATCTGAATACCTTGGACACAAGGATTTAGCTTCAGAATCTGATGTGATAACCACCTACACTATGAAACCCGATTCTTGTGTCGATCGAATTCATGTACAACTATAACTTGTTTACAGAAGAAGGTCATCGTGGGTTGCGATGAAGCCAAAAAAAGGTCTTCAAAGGTCACATCCCAACTCACTCTTCTTCGCGTCGCCTTTGCGCCCTAGCACCTATTCTGCGCGCCTGCTCCTTCTACGCCTCTTTCTTCTTCAGATTTGCGCTCTCGTTCCTCGACTTTACCCCTTAAGCCCACGTTGAGGTCAGAGAGGGCGACTTGGACAGCTTCCAAGTCGTCTCTCGATCGTTTCGTGCGTGCCACAACATCGTCCTGGCGTTTGAGTCACATTTTTAGTACTGCGGGGCCGGTCAAGCTTCGCCGCCCTCGACCATGGCTGCGGTTGCCAAGCGGGCGCCTGCTTCGCCTTCGTCGTCATCGCTCTCGCCTTCGCCACCTCAGATCGATGCTTCCATCTTTGCGTGCCCCTGCCTCAATGTGCGCATCAGCGTTCCATCTGAAGACAGCCCAGGTGCGACGTCAACGGAGCCCACGAACACGCAGCACGGCCAAGCGAACAAGGGTTCCCGAGAGCCGTTATCAGTGACTCGCATCATCTCGTCATTAGATGTAGTGCAGGGATGCAGGATCACAGTGGTGAGTTGGCTGGCCCTTCTTGCTCATCTCTCTCTTGTGCCCCCTATGAAAACGCGAGAGTGGCTCACACCTTTTCCAGGCCCAGCCTCTTGTCACAACGCGCGAGACCATTGGATCAACGCGCGAGACCATTGGATCAGCGACTTCATCGGATGCAAGAACCCCTGTGGCGTTGCGCTGCCTCAATTGCGGCGTGCCTGTATATGCTGTCAACGAGCAAAAGTCATCAGAGAAGGACACCAACGGCACGGCCATCGCGACTCCGGAAAGCCAATCGACACCGCTCCCCGTTCGACGGGGAGATCAGCTCTGGATCTTGGACAGCTGCTTGAGCGGTGTCCGTACCATTGAGCGGACAGCCAGCTCGCAATATTTTTCCAAGGCTTTCGGGCTCGTCGTGCAAGAAGCTGCTCCCAAAAAGGACAGTGGGAAGAGCTTGACTCGTAACGACGGCGAGGAGGGCCGCGGCGATGAACAAAGCTGGAGACAAGAAGAGCTAGACGAAGAGGAGGTAAGGTCACCGCGCAGACGGCGTCAGGTAGCCCCGGTACAGCAAGGCACTGGCGTCTCTTCGCCTATGCGGTCGGTCACAGCGACGAGGAGCAGTAGTGGCAGTGGCAGTGGCAGCCGCAGCAGCAGCAGGCATCTTCCTCAAGATGACCAGAACGACGTGGACGTGGACACGCTGCGTCTCCTGGGCGATCTTCTACCACCCATTCCCTCGCACATCGTCGTCTCCGCTTCTTCTTCTTCTTCTTCTTCTTCTTCCTCCTCCTCCTCCGCGTCATCAGGAACACCTCGGCGAGCCAATGCGACGAGTGCTCAGTCTCCTCTGAAGACCCACATCGAGAGTGTCGCACAAGCTGAGCTTCGCGCTATACGACAAGAGTCTCTTGACGAAGTCTACGAGCTGCTGAGGCAAAGGCGAAGGGAGATTGTTGCTCGCGAGGCAAAAATTCGAACCGAAGCGCTCAAGCTCCTGGCCAAAGTCGAGCCCGCCAACGTTGCCTCTTCCGTGGCGAATCTGGAATATATCCCCGTCTCTGGACAACAAAAAGCGTCGCCGTCAATCTCTATGCCGCAGCAACAAACACCCTCATCGGCGGCCACCCAGTCCGTCACAGAAGGCTCGCCACTGTTTGAGAGGAGAAAGCCCACGGTGCCGTCGTCTCTGGGCGCCACTTCGTCCTTTGGGACCTCTCTTGGCGACAACAATGGCACTCCTACCTTTTCATCGTCAGCAATGCCCTTCGCACAAGGTCTTCGAGCGGGAGCGAAGTCGACAAGGACTGAGCAATCAACAGCAGCAGGACCTGCATTGTCTTCGAGCGTTGGTGCTCTCTCCGCCTCTTTCGCCATGCGAGGAAGGGACCCGCCTCCTGCACTCAGCGATCGTGCTCCTCCGACCACGGGAGACGGCAGCACATCCACTGGCTCGCAAGACATGCGAGGGACGTCTTCGAAGGATGACGCGACTTCTTCTCCGGGCGAGGATGAGGAGAGAGAGAGGGAGAGACAAAGGGAACGGGAGGAGGATGAAGAGGACTGGTACGCCCACAAGAGACGGATGAGGGAGCGCTACCCGCACGCAGACCACTCAGCCTTGCCCAGCGCGGCCAACTCGGACGATGAAGAGACCGGCGTGAGGCTCAAGGGAGGCTGGGCTCACGAGGACGATGACGATGACGAGGGTAGGGACGTTTGGCAAGGAAGGAGAGACGAGGAGAGGAGGGGTAGAAAAGAAAGAAGCAGGAAAGAGGATGAAGAGAACGAGCAGAAAGAATACGATAGAGAGGGAGGACTCCGAGGTAGGGGACGAGGAAGAGGAAGAGAGAGAAACGTGGCATTATCTTCTTCGATGAATTTGGAGGAGAAAAGTCGTGCTTTGACGGGCATCAGCGAAGGAAGTGCCGGCGCACTCTTATCACCGACCAACTCCAGGAGAGAAGGGCCCAAGAAAGGAGCACTGAAAAGCAGCAGCTCTTCGACCGATGCCACAACTACGTCCACCCCGGATGCCTCTAAAAGGGCGAGCAAGGATGCAAAGAGCGCCTTGCAGTACGTCTCCGGCGTCAAAGTGGAAGCTACGTCCGAGAAGAAGGTCATGTTTGCAGACAATGCCGAGGAGGTTGGTCAGGGCGCATTCGTGGCCGACGAAGAAGATGAAGATGATGAAGACAGCACTACCGAAAAGAGACTGAACTATACAGAACCGGTCGACGAAGGCGCCAACGCCCTCTTTGACATCGACGAGGACATTGACGAAAGTAAGATTGGAGAGGACAGGAACGGCCAGGAACGAAGCACGGAAGAATCCGAGAACGAGCTGAGAAAAGGACAGGAGGAGCTCCTGGAAGAAGAGGCGAAGAAAAGAGGAGCGGTCGAAACGATGCAGACGGGCGAGGAGGAAGCAGGTTCGGGAAGGACAGACGACCTTCCCTATGAAGAACACATTGCTCAATCGGTTCCGCACGTAGGATCGTTTGCTGCTCTGGTCGAAGCGCAGTCTGCCCAACCTGGCAGTGCATCTCTGCCCCGTCGCGATAGCTTCGGCTCAGGAGTGCAGGGCATTCGCTCGCCGGACAGGCATGTGACAAGCCACGGTGACTTTGATCCCGCCTCGCTGCGACTCGACGGTCGCCAGTCTCAAAGCGTCGTCCCACCACAGAGAGGTGTAGCGGACGTCGACTTCAACACGACTCCTAGAAGAGGTGGTGCTCTTCCCAACTTCTTCCCCAGTGACGACAGAGGAGGTTCTAGGGCAATGATGGGCTCTAACATTGGCTTCCGTGTGGCAGTGAACGAGGCTGAAGCGCGCCTAAGCGGACTGTTGGCCCCACATGCGCCCTCTCACCGAGATTTGTGGACAGGTGCGGGGAGGTGGAAATCAGCGTCCGGCCGCAACTCGAGCAAGGAAAGGGCAAAGTACATTGATGAGGATGCCGAGGATGAAGGTGAAGAAGACCTGGACGTGGACAACAATGACGATCAAGACGATGGCAATGGAGGTCGCTCCTGGCGACGCAGACGCCAGGCTGCAGCGAAAGCCGCCGCAGCTACTACCATCAGCACAAGTGATGAGACAAAGTTCGCCCCCAGCTCGGTGCCCATCGCCATCACCTCACCCCCCGGAGGTCGCTCATTCGGTGGCCGAGGTGGAGCATTTGCTTCTTTCGCCCCTGGCTCGAAAGCGTGGCAGCGCGATGACACCTCTGGCTTTGACTTGGAGCCTAAGACATCACTGCCATACCGAGAGAAGAAGATGACACCTTCGCTTCGAAAGGCTACGCGCAGAGTGTCACAGACCGCATCGGCTGCATCAACGCTTCCTACGATTGCAGATGCCGCCGAGACGACCTCTTCAGCATCGTCCTCTGCCGGCACCACGCGGGGCAGAACCTCACTGCTCAGCTCCCAGCCCTCAGGCGAGGAGTCTTTCAAGCCCGGCAAGCCCCCCATGCCAACAAGACGAAGCTCAGGGAATGTAAATGCTGCTGTAGCGGCATCAGCCGCTGCGATGGCTGCAACGTCATCGTCGAAAGCATCAGAAGTCGCCATGGCGGCGGCCGGGAAGAAGGAAGCCAGCAAACCTACCATTGGCTTTGACCCGAATGAGGCAAGCGTCTCAATGCGCTCGCCTATACCGACCTCTGCCGCCATTGCAACTCCTCAAGCTGACAAGTTGGCTGCACCTGATTCCGGCAAGGCGACGCCTATGACATCGTCGCCATCTTCGACTAGCAGTGCTCGCCGTTCGCCGCAACCGCCCTATGTTGCACCGCCTCCCCCTCGCACGACTAATCTTCGGCTGCAGCCTGATCCCGCGCTAAGACCTGCACCTCTCACACTCTTTGACGCCGCCTGCGATGACACCCTGGCATCCAATGAGGTCGGAGAGGAGGAAGAGACAGACTATGCCAAAGTGCTGCACTTCATGCATCGCGTTGAAAGGCTCAAGATCAACAAGCGCACCGGCTGGCTGCACCACCGCATCGAAAAAGCGGAGAGTATTGCCGATCACATGTACCGAATGGCACTGCTCTCGCTGCTTCTGCCCGGCAAGGAAGAGGGAACTTCTGATGAGGGAGTGGGCAACGATGAGAAAACGCTCTTGGACCTGGGCAAGTGCGTACAGCTCTGCATTGTACACGACCTGGCCGAGGCAGAGGTGGGCGATTTGACGCCAAAGGACGGTGTTGATCCCAAGGAGAAGCTGCGCAGGGAAGCCGCCGCGATCCAATATCTCGTGCATGACCTTTTGGGCAGCAGTGCCGCAGGACTGAGGATCGAAAGGCTGTGGAACGAGTACGAGGCGAGGGAGACGGCAGAGGCAAAGGTGGTCAAGGATCTCGATCGCTTCGAGCTCTGCCTCCAGGCAGTCGAGTACGAGCGCGAGAACGACATTCGTGACCTCCAACCCTTTTTCCTGAGGAGTATCAATCTCATCACTCACGTAAGTTTCGCAAATTTGGCCAAGTTGGTCTCTCTTTCCCGGCCTTCCTTAGACTAATACTTTGCGCTCAACAGCCTCGTCTACGCCAGTGGGCAATCGAGCTGGCAAAAGAAAGGCAAGAGCTATGGGAAGGCAGAGGAATTGCATACAAGCAAGCCTACCCCTGACGTCCCGGCTGTCGAGACATGAAGTCAATTCCATCAAAAATAGCCAACGTTGTTGAGCTGTAGATATAGCAAGCGAAACGAAAAGTCAATGAAAGATTCTAAAGTGGCGGAGAAGCGGTGCTTTCAGACCGAAGATGATCAGTGACAAGGACGAAAGCGCCAGGTCGGCTGTAAGCAAATACCGCAGTGTTTCTAATTGGGGCGAACATGAACGAGAAAGAGGGAAAATTGAGACACCATTACAGCAACGGAAGGCAAGCTTAAGCGCCTCAGATTTTTCAATCCTCCTCCGTCTTCTTCGGTGCTGCTCCGAGCGACTACAATCAGCTCGAAGTAGGCAAAGTCCATTGCCACCCGTTTGAAAACACAACAATGCTCGAGTGCACTTTGGCATTGCACCGTGCCCCGGGTTGGTCCGAACGCCTCTTTCTTCAGCAACGAACTGATCTGTTGAGTACAAAAGCAATGTCTGGAAGATCGGACTAGGTTACTGAGAAGCTGTCAGCCCGCCATCGCCGGGCAGGTAACTGTGGCTGTCTGCTTCCGTCGAGCTCTATTGCTAAACTGCAGCAGGCAGCTCTGGCCATGGCCAAATTTCAATGTTCGGCGTTGCAGACTTGCTATATTGTGCTTGGGCTTATTTGCAAGTCTGCAACGCCGAACATTGAAAGATCCAATTTAAGCATTCGCCTGAAGTTGCAGAGAGTAGAGCGTCTTCACTTCGGAGTACCGACCCTGATTCGGTGCGTGATAGATGGAGCCCTGGCGCTAACACTGTTTGCATCTATCACACACCGTGACCAGAGGACACATCGGGAAAAACGTTGGTGCGTGAAGAGGACCAACCCCTCGTCGCGACGAGAGAGCGCCTTTCTCATCTCCAAATTGCTCAGAATTTGCGGTCATTGCAGTCGGAGCTCATAAACATTCGGATTTGCCTGTTCAATGAGCAGCGTTTGCCGCTAGGTAGGTCCGAAGAAGCTGCGATGGGCAGCCACGTCTCGATGGACCGTCGGCAAAAGCATTCAGCACGTGGGTGTCGGTAAAGTGAGACCTCCACCCGACGCCAATTTCCCGAACGGGAAGAGCGGGCCCGGTGCAGGCCCATTAGTCTACTTCACTCGAGCAAATAGATACAGTAATGCATTACAATGAACGACGGGGCTATCAATCAAGGATTATCGATCTTATGCTGCCTTGCTCTAATTGACGCAAGACGACCAAAAGCCAGTACTGGTACATGCACAGTATCGAAGAAGGGGTCAGGTAAATAGTGAGAGGAATATTTTGTATATCACGCACGGGGAATGATAGAGTGTTGGGAAGTGTCCTCTATAGGTGAGCCAAGGACTCGACACGAAGACGGTCTCGGAACCGACTTTTTTCTCCCTCTAACCACTTCTCTCCGTCCTGCTCTCACCCTTTTTTCGTATTCCTTTTTTTGGTTTTTTTCTTCGCACGCAGGCAGGCCGCTCAGCACATTATTCTGAAGACGCTTTGCTACTTTTCAGCACGCATTTGCATTATTCGGTCGGCGATAAGGGACAGCTCCAGCATCGATTACAACCTCGCGATCCTAGCATTGGAGGTTGTGTTATTGATGTAAGGCGGCCCTTAGCACTGCTTCATAGAGGATCGTGGTCAATATTAGAGTAAGGCGTAATTGGGCCGGTGTCTGGTGGTCCCGAGGCGGGTTGCGGAGGCTCGCTTCCGGCAGAAAAAAAAATCATGGCTCAACGGGACCAGCACCAGCACATGCATCAGCACCAGCACCAGCACCAAGAGGCTGCAGCGTCCGGGCACTTTGACATCAGTCGCAGCGGCATCGGTCCTGCGCCCGGTAGCGTGGCACCCCCGCCGCAAATCATCGTCGACGGTGCAGCACCTGCATCAGTTCCACCATCAGCAACAGCAACAGCAACAGCAGCAGCAGCAGCAGCAACGGCAATAGCACCATCATCAGCATCAGCGAATTCGCACCTGTCGCACTTTGCTCCTTTTCCCTCAAATCCATCGCCCATACCCTCTGCATCTTCTTCCTGGTCCAACACCGCGCAGCCTGGCTTCTACACTAATCAGGCCAATACCTTTCTGACATCTGCCTCCGCCGCTGCCCCGGCTTTTGCCCTCGTCAATCCTCCGTCGTCCATCGCCGCATTCGATCCGTCGTCTGGCAGGGGCGACGTCGACCAAAGCGCGACGTCGTACCCTCGCACCACGCACAATGACCCGTCCAGCTCTACTCACCACCTCGAGCAAGCCGGCTGGACGAGTCGGGCTCCTTCGACGTTCAATGACGTCCCAGGCCCCAGCCAGCATCGTCAGCCCGTGACTGCGGTGAGTGTGCCAGAGTTCAATACGGCTTTGAAGCGTTGGAGGCTGATGTTCTCGATGCCGTCGCCCAGACCTTGCGCAAAGCGACCTCGACAAGCAACGCTAGCATTGGTGGGCCGAGAACCCAGATGGGAGAGCGACCAAGGGCACCGAAGCAGCCGTCAACGTCGCTTGCCCAGGCCATGACCGACGATGACGACGAGATCCAAAGTTCTGCCAGCTCCTCCGCTGCGGTCGACCATGCTGGCAAGGGCGCCCCAGTTCGAGCACAAGGGCCCGCAAATGCCCCGACGACCGATGACACTGCCGCTTTGGCTGTCGCTGCAAATGAGAGCGCGACAGAGGCAGCCGCTCGTAAACAGAACACGGCCTGTGATGCGTGCAGGAACCGTAAGGTTCGCTGCCATCGGATTCAGGGAGAAGGCAAGGTAAGTTGAGCTTGTTTCGTCTTTTGAGATCGTCACCCGCATCGTAATTGACCGCTCTTAAACGACGACAGTGTCTACATTGCAAGGCAAAGGGGATAGATTGCACGTAAGTCTCTCGGCGCCTCAGATGTACAACACCGCACTCGATTCTGATGCCCCTTCTCTCCACGCAGCACAATATACGTTCAGCTGGCTTCGACGGGAGCAAAAAGGCCCACCAAGCGTGCAAAACAACAACCAGGCGATGCTGAAGGGTGCGTTTTGCGGCAGTGTGTCTCTTGACGGATCCTATCAGCTGACTTTCCCACTTCAGCACGACGATCGCAGACGATCAGAGTCTCATTAGGTACCTCTTGTTGAGGGATGCAGACTACGGAAATGCCGTCTCGGGTCTCTCCTACGAGCCTCCCGGGTCGACGCCGCCTGCAGTCTCTATCGTCATGGCACGGAAACCGACCGTAATGACTGGTGCCCCAACCACCGCCGCCGAGTCGAGACTGTCCAATGCCACGGCTCGAGCCGCATTTGTAGCGGACCTTGTGGAGACCTACTTTTCCATCGTCCACATTCGCTATCCTATCATCGACGCCGATGAATTCCGATCGCGATTCTTCAATCACACCCCCGAGCTTGGCGGGCCACCTCCAGATGTTTTGGTGGCCGTGATCCTGGCCTGGGGTGCAAAGTTTACCGAGAATCCGATCATCGTCGCCGACAGACTTGAGGCTGCCAACGAGCTGACTCCGTCTCAATGGCAAAAGCGGCAGGCATCTGCCGCGGACGTTGGCCCAGCGAGCGAAAGCAACAAGGTACAGCGACAGTACGGCGAGCAAAGGCTGAGAGCACAGGATCTGCATTCATCATCGGCGAGAAATCAGGCGCGCATCGTCGGGCGCAGCCGCATTGCCCAGGACCTCATTGTCAAGGCTCAAGAGGTCCTGGACCGTAACAAAGCCCATCGCCATGCCACAGTCGACAATATCAAGGCCGCAGTCATCATTCAGGCCCTTTTTTGGCAGCAGGCCGACGCTTCGGAGGATGACACGACGACAACGCAAATCTCACAACTGAGACCAAAGCCACGAAGGGGTCTGTACATTTGCAATGGCATCTGGATCATGTGTGCCATCTCGCACCTCATCGAACTCCGTATCCACCTCAAGTCAACCCTCGCCACAATACAGGACGAATCGGCAAAGACTCAGCTCGCCATGACGTGGTGGATGGTCTGCATGATGGATGCACACATGAGCGCCTTCTACCGCCGAAAGCCTCACCTCGACTTTGAGGACTATTCTTGCGATCCTCCAGAGCCGCCCACGGGGCCACAACATTCTGGGCCAAATCCTCTCGCAGCCTCGCAACAATATCGGTGAGTCTACATTGAATTGTGGATGAGGTCGTGCTCGCCTGACTCGCCTCTGCACAGGATCTGGCTCGAATCGTCCCAAGATCAAGTTGAGATGATGCGCTACGTCTGTGAGACGCTGTGGAGACCCCGCGCGCAGAGCGAAGGCATCTCCGCCAAGAAGCTCGACAAGCTCATGAGGCTGGCTAATCATTGGCGTAACAAGCACCTCGCCGTCGTAGGAGCACCCTCACCATCGTGGCCCTCTCACTGGAATTTCGCCGATGCTGTCACAGCTTGTAGCTCCGACTTCAACTACTACATCGTCTGGATCCTTATGTGGGAGGCCATCGACGAATACGGCGTTTACGAGCTCAAGCAAAGGGCTTCAATGGAAGGGACCGCATCTTCGTCAAACTTTCCCTTCTTCGGCCTCGCAGTAAACCCGCACGCCTCAAGCGCCCCTTCGATTCGAGAGCAGCTTCTCCCTGGTCACCCGGGTGTGGCCAGTTCGATCGACCCAGAATTGGACATCGCAAAGGTCGAAGCAATGGTGCAGACTGTTCAGGAGGAAGCTTTGTTCGCAGCGCTTCGGGCTGCCTCATTGACGCAAGTGTTGTGCGACAATGGCTACCTTAGGCTCGAAGCGGGCATTATGAAGGTTTCCATGACCGAGGCAGGCTACTGCCTCTCGCGATTCAAGAGGCCCGAGATAACGTCGATCATCGATGGATTGAGACAATATGGCCAAGCCTTCGAGGAATGCTACGAACAGGCCAATGAATTAGAGAGACGTGCGTATCTTTCTCCTTTTCTTCTTGTAGAGACGATGCTGACTTCTTCCTACAGTCGCCAGTGCCTACATGTCCATAGGGCCAGACTCAGGCTTCTCAGGAGGGGACGAAGCGATGGCAGAAGCGGAGCGACACTATTCGGCCCCCTTGGCGATCCCAGGCTCCAGCACCGAACCCGGGATGGAATTTCAACGAAGCGCTGCTGGCGTGTCTTCTTCAGTGCCCGGCACAGGATTTCGACCAAATAACGCAGCTCATGCCTACTTTGACGGCCAAGGTCCGGCTCAGCACCCACAGCATGAGATGCAGCCACATCCATCCTATCAGAGCATGGCTTCTGCTCCCATCGCTACGTCGTACCCACCATCCTCGTCAAGCTACTTTCACTATGCCCCCCAACAGCAACCAAACCAAATGAGCGTACGAAGCAGTCATGAAGCTTCGCAGAGATTTTGATCTCCATGTTCACCTCTGAATCGCTTCACCATCATGAGCCCTTTGCTCCTTTTCAGGGCGCTCCAGTCTAGCTCTCATCCTTATCATCTTTTACACCAATTTGCTCATGTCTGTACCATCAAGAATAGTCATCTGTCCTCATTGCCAATCATTCTTCTCGCACTGACTGACGCGTTTGCACATCACTGGTAGGGTACACCTCCAGATTAAGCTATCTTCGTGTCCACGTTCGTTCATCAGAGATGTCGCAAGTTTTGGGTGGCATGTCGGGCGACGTTTTTGCTTGCCTCTTCTTCTTGCAATTGCCATCATTTTCCGCTCGCTTGCGATCGGTGAACTGAAGGTCAGGATGGCGCCAGCTGTGGCAATCTCGTCTCCGTCTTCGTGGACACCAGGCTCGACGCCCGCTCTCGACAATGCGTCGATTCCGGCGTTCATCTCGCAGAACCTCGGCCAATACAGCCCTTACTTTCCGCAGTCGCAGTCGTACGACGAGCCACCGAGCCATTGCGAGGTCATCTACGTGCATCAACTGGAGAGGCATGGCAGCCGCTACCCAACCAAATCGACGTATCGGGGCCTAGAGGAGACCCTTAGGAAGATTGCCAAGCACCTGAAGAAGACGAAGGACGATACAACTGGATCGTGGGAACGAGGAAACGAAGGCGGTGATGATGATGATTATGATGAAGGCGAGGGAGAGATTGAACGACACAGCCGAGGACTGGACCCATCATTGGCCTGGCTGCGTGGCTGGACGTCCAAGAAGAAACGCGAGGATGGTGGACTTCGGAACAAGCTTGGACAAGACGAGCTGGTGCCATACGGCCAGTGGGAAGGTTACCTGAGTGGATGGACCTTTCAGCAACGTTACGGTCATCTCTTCGAACAGACGGAGGCGCAAGTAGACATCAATCGCAGCTTTGAGAGACCAGGAGTGGCCGAGTGGGCATGCGAGGCGCTCGCAGGCTACTCGACGCTTGCGCAACACATCTGCCGATGGTCGATGGATCTGATCGCTCCACAGGAGAGCAAAGACGACGATCGACGTGCAATCCATAGCAGACCCTTTGTGCGAGCGTCAGGAGCCGAGAGAGTCGTAGCAACCTCGCGCTTCTTCCTTGAAGGATTCGCTCAACGATCTCTGGACGCATTCCGACATGCCCAGCCCGTTAGCAGCGCATGGCCCCCTTCTGACCGCGCTGACCCTCGGGTGCCACAGGGCAGGATGAACGTACTGAAAAAACCAAAGCCACATAGAAGCATTCCAAATTTGCCTTGGCCTGACGTTGTCATCCCGGAGGCGCGAGGCCAGCATGGCTCCAACAACACACTCGATGTTTACACTTGCAAAGCATTTGAGCAACTTTACCGCGATAATCCGCACTCAGAGGGCGCCAAATTGGAGAGAAAGCTGCAAGACCGTCAAGCGCGGCACACTCGAAAGGAGCTTCAGCGCCGATTTGGGACCGACCGACGTGGACGAAGACTCAGGCTGACCACAGAGGACGTTATGGCGCTCGCAAACGTTTGCGCGTTTCACACAGTCGCCTCGCTTGATCCTTATGTTTTCTCATCTCCAACTTCCTCGTCCGACGAGAACGCTCCAGCTACCTCCCCTTTCTGCAGCCTCTTTGAACCTAATGACTTCCACAACCTGATCGAAGCTTCATTTGACATCGAAAAGGCGTACGGATTCGCCTCGGCCAACCCACTGCGCCGATCGCTGGCCATTGGGTACTGGAGGGAGGTCTTGGCCCGAATGAAGGGCGAAAAGCCACTTGTGATCCCAAGCCCAACGAGCATCAATACCACCCTGGATCTGGACGAGACAACCTTTCCAACTTCTCACTCTGGTGACGCCGGACAGACACAAGAGTCGAGAGCATTTGTTGATTTCGTGAGTCTGCGCTTGCACGTACCCGGGATTGTGACGAAAAAAGAAATCTGACAGAGAGCACCAATAAAGACACACGATAATCAACTGGCGCCTGTCGTTGCCTCGCTTGGACTGTCACACTTTGGAGGATCAAAGAAGTCAAATGGCTGGAGGACCTCTGCGACAACGCCGTTCGCTGGTCGACTAACGATCGAAGAGCTCCGTTGTTCTTCACAGGAAGGGGAGGACGCAGAGAGGAAAGTGAGGATCTTCGTGAACGATCTGCTCGTGGCACCCTTTTCCCAGGATGCATTCTACGCCGGGGGACAAGGTGGAGCAGTCTGCAAGGATGCAAAGCTATGCTCATTTGACGAGTTCGTCAATACGCTCGCCGCTTGGGCCGAACAGGATGACGAATGGGAAAAGTGCTACCGCTAAGCAGAAAGACCGCATAGAGATCGTCAAGAATGTCATTAGATTTGTCTTGTCCCGTAACACTTCATTATTCAAATCACCTGGCGGGAAGTCTGGTCGCAACCAAACGTCAAAGAAGTAGGAAAGATGTAAAAGGTATAGAAGAAAGTAGGTCGTCCCTCACTACTTAACGTTGCCCCTCTCGACGAGTGTGCCGACGAGTCGTAGGTTGGAATCGAAGCTTTGGTCCTTGACGAGTCTGCCAGCTATGCTTCTGCTCCCATTGCTGCCCGCGCTATCGCTACTGGGGATCGTCAGACTGTGCTGTTGTTCATTCTTCAACACAGGCGAAGCAGCAGAAGAGGCTTTCGCTTTGTTGGCGGCTCCAGACGAATTGTCCCTAGAATGCCCAAGCTCCGTTACTGAGCTCGATCCTGGTCTTTTTCCCATGGTCGTCGTTGGCGCAGCGGCCGTCGTAGCGACATTTTGATGACTTACGCTTGCGCCTGTGGCATTTCCGCCACCAGGCATCTCAGATCGCAGCCTGTTTGCGAATTTATCCACGCGTGGTTTGGCATGGCTGTTTGAGACAACTGTCCTCGCGTTCAGTTGCTGCTGAGGTTGAGGAGAGCCCATCGCAGCCGACGAGGAGGTACCTGTCAATGATGCCCTCCTCTGCTGTTGTTGCTGCTGCGAGCTTGACATGACTGGTGATCCCTGCTGCTGCTGCATTTGAGGAGATGTTGTCGATCTCGATGACCGGAACGCGGCCACACTCGAAGCATGAGGAGAGGCACGCTGCTGAGAGGCCGGGGTCGTGCCCGACGACGGGGACGGTGAGTAGTAGTTGTTTGGCTGGATCTTGTCGTGGCCCCAGTAGGAGAAACTTAGCTTGCTCTGTCGAACATAGCGCTCCGGATCCAAGGTCCCCGCTTCCGTCTCTTCCGAAGCGTCGCTTGCTCCATCTTCTCCGTTCGCCAAACGCTCCTCGTCCTCGTCGTTTTCCTCCTCATCGACTTCGAGCAGATCTCCAGCAGCAGCAGCAGCTGCTGCTGCCGCGGCGGCTGCCTCGTCATCGCCCATCTTGGGCACAGCAACGGCCTTCCACGATTGCACCGCAACAAACTTGTACAAATTCCTCGTCTTTGCCCTCAAGGTCGTGTGCCGCAACGCTTTCAGACGCTCCTTGCTCTCCTTTGTCCGATTCGCGAAGTCTTCTTCGCCCCCTTCGCCTTTTATTCCGCCATCGTACGCTGCCTGGACTTCGCCCTCTCCTTCCTCATCAGGCCGAATCGCCACGGAACTGACCATGGGCAGCGCTGTCACGCCCACGCGCTGGCACCTGAGCTCGACGTCAGAGAAGCGGACGAGCCAAATGTCACGCTTGGATCCCATGTTGGGCGCCTTTGTCGACGTCTTGTCTTCGCTTCCGAGAAAGTCGGACAGCCGGCGGTACGAACGTTTGCTCTTGAGCGCCGACCGAAGGCTCGAGACGGCGGGCGAAGACGAAGACGTAGCAACAACCGTTGAAACCGGAGGGTTGGTCGACAGGGACGTTGGGGAGTTGGTCGACGTCGTCGTCTGCTGTTTTGAAGAGGAAGAACCTGCCAGGAGCTGCTGTTCCTGCTTCTGGGCCGACTCGCTTAATGCCCTCTTCGGTGCTTCTTCATACAGTGCCCTCTCCTCGATCAGCAAGCGATCCTTTTTAGGCTTTAGGACACTCTTGTCTGAGAGGCCTTCGATCCGAGCAAAGGCGTCTCGCGTCTTGTCCCTCTCCTCGCTGCTGACCTTTTCGTCCTCGACGGACCGAACAAGTCTCTCGACATCGACAACCATGCCGACCGTCGACTCAAACTCATAAGTGGATGGATCGGTGTGGAAGAGGAGGTTCTGGAAAAGAAGCGGGTACTTGAGCAGGCGCTGGAAAGGCATCGAAAGGAGAATCGACAGCCCGCATTCGCCTCGCTCGGCCGCTGTCGCCTCGAGTGACTACAATGGGATAGGAAACAATGATCAGAAGAGGTTGTGGGGGGGGGGAGGGCAAAGCCTGCTTTGGCACTCACTGCAATCGCTCTTCCGAGGGCCACCGTTTGGGTCAGGCGCTCCCGCTTAATCCTCTTGCCTCTCATCGCCCTCTCCATCAGCGCAGCCTCCTCGAGATAATCCAGCGCTCTTTCCAGGTGGACGACGTAGTTGTGATAATGCTTCAAGACGTACGAGTACCGACTGAAGACGTCTGCCAAGCTCCTGACCAAAGGCCACTGCTCCTCGTAGCGTGCCTTGAGGGCTTCAGAGAGGAGCGCATGCCCTTCGTATAGTCCATCCGAGACAGCCTCTAGGACAAGTCGCAGCGAGAGTGGAAGAGGGACCGAAGGCCCACCATGGTAGCCAGCTTGGGAGTTGACGACCTCAGAACCAGAGGTGACATTTGCTGGCTTTGCTCGCGAAGCGCTCCATCTCTTCTTCTGCGTTGCCGAGGGTGTTGCTTTGCCTGCCTGGCGCGGCGGTGCTGTCGGTGATGACACGGTGGGAGGTGCAGGTGCAGGTGCAGAGACGCTGTTGACGATGCTCGAGCGACCATTTTTCAACGGTCGGCTGCTCGAGAGCGAAGAACGACCAAGCTGAGCCCCATTGTCGGTCGAGGATGGGACTTTGCCATCGGCGCTTAGGTCGCGCTCCGACCTCATGTAGCGAGCTGCGATGGGTAGATCTGCAGCACTGTCGGCGACCAGGCCGTCAAGCGTGTTGTTGTTTTGGTGCGGGCTCCCGTAGCTGACGTCGTTTGTCGCCGCATGATTCGCCCGTTTTGGATCCGATGTCGATGAGGGATACTCCGCTGTCTTTGGGGAGCCCGGAGGACTGAATCGAAAAGGGTGAAGGAGCGCCTCGCAATACAGGTCCTTTGTCTTCTCCAGATCCGCCACGTAGCGCTCCTCGCTGGCAACAATCTCCCAGAGGACCTCTTGCCGGGTGCGCTCCCTCGGCCCCAAATTGGCAACGAGGTCGTCGTGGGTCATCTCGCTCCAGCTTGGCCCTCCCAGCGTCTTTGCCCCCACGCTGGCCCAGCCCGACGTCGTCAGGAGGCTGCTTCCTCGGCGAGAACCTGGTCGGCTGCCGCTGCCACTGTCACCAAAAGCGGGCAGACCGAACGAAGAGCTTCCTGTTGCAAAGCTCTGTGGGCTACCCGATCGGTAGTGGGGCCCAGCATAACCGCCGCCGCCGCCAAAGGGAATTGTCGAGAAACCGCTGCCACTGCCACCGCTGTCCTGCTGATGGTGTCCATGCGACAAGCTGACAGAGCTTCCCATGGCCGCAGGCGGGGAGATGATGGGCATGTCCCTCCTTTGCGCTGTGGACGGCGACGAGGCGGAATTAGACCTTCGAACGGGCTTCTTGGATGAGCCCGATGATGCCACCCGTTCAATGGGCTGGCTCCCCAGAGCAGTTGGGTGAGACTGCGGCGATGGAAACATCTGAGAGCTGCCTCCGTTGACGGAAACGTTGGCGCTCGTCGTGGACGTAGATTCCAGAGGCTTGGATATACTGCGAGCCCTCGCCGAGCTGGCCAAGGTGGGTCTGGCAAAGCTCGACTGTTGTTGCTGCTGCTGCTGCTGCTGCTGTTGCGAACCTGCAAAGGAAGGATACGTCGTCGAGGAAGCCGAGCTCGGACGGGGCGGCAATTGGACGGACGATGTCTGGCTAGGGGAAGGCGGTCTTGCGGGCTTCTTTGGCGAAGGAGCAAAGGCGACCGTCTTGCTGCCCCCACTTGAGCCGCTGGCATCTCGGGCGTCTTTGGACTTGTTCGCAGACCCACCCGGCATCCTGTGCATCACTGACGACGTTGGCGGCGAGAGGCCCAGGCCCGAGTCGTGGTCTGTTGCTTCCCGGGTAGATCTGAGTGGCGTGAACATTGCACCTGCTGCGCTGTCGTTTTGCAGCATGTAAACCTCCCGGTCCTCTGCAGCAGCAGCCATCACGTCTTGCTCGCTCGTATCATTGACTCGAATGCCAGGCGCGGTGTCCTGCGGCGCATGGTACCTTGTCTCTCCGAGAGCATCGCCGCTGCTCGTGTCTACCGAGATTCCGCTCGAGGCGTGGGGGGTTTTTTCCTTTGGCGCAGTTGAAAACCACGACAGGCTGCTCTTCTTGTCGTCCGATTTGCCATTCGAGGCCGATGGTCGCCCTGTGCCTGCTCCTCCCCCAGGCCCATTTCCGGTCAGCGTCTCGTAGCGAGCAGTGAGCGCTTTGACCCGTTCGCCCGATACGCTTCTCTGTTGCGTCTGTTGCTGATGCGGCTGATGCTGCGGTGCCTTGAAGTCTTTGAAGTCCTGCGGCGATGTCGTGGGCGGGCTCGTGGGCGTTGAGAAGCGGCCAAAGAATTTCTTCATCGCTGCTGGCTACTGTCAAAGGGGCGCATGTATAGCAGATGGGGATGGGGGAGAAAGAAGGGACGGAGGGATTGCGTAAGGCTGAGAGGGGAGCTGGGGTATCTCTTGAAATGTTCGCTTGGATAGTGTGGTTGAGGGACACGCACACAGTGGAAAGTCGGAGAAGAACGAGAGGGTATACTGCAGTCGAAGGTGGTCGTTAGGAAAAGTCGTAGGCGGTACTGTGTTCGTCGCTGCTCGTCTCTTGCCGAGAAAGGAGAAATGGCGAGAAGGAGAGGCAGAGGGAGGCGGACGCAGACTAGTGTTGGCCTCTTCTTCACAAGAAAGACCGACCAGAGGATTGACACACACGCCTGGGACACGCGAGGAGGGGCTCGAGTGTCACTTTTGGCCCTTTCGACTTTTTTAGGCTCGTCACGCGCTCGCACGTACCCGGCGCTGTCTCTCAGTCTCTCTGTCTCTGCTTTTCCCGAGATGGCCAAAGGGGAATAGCGTTGCAAGCCTTCCTATTAGACAAGAAAAGGCATAGTCTAGAACTGAGCAGCCCGAAGAAGTTGACCAATGTCTCCCCGCCACGCCGTCTTTTCGCAGGCAACGTCGAGTGGAAACCAAGCCCTGGCTCGCTCGTCCATTTCCGGCCACTGTGACTCTTCGCCCGCCGCGCCCCGCTCAATCTGCACCTGGTGCGCAGTGTAGACGGCCCGTGGCACAAAGTCGTCCGAGCTTGGGTCTGGTGAAGGAGAGTGTTTGTGCGGCTTGTGATCTCGAATCGAGTTTGAGGGGCCAGGTTGCTGTTGCTGTGCGCTGGGACGAAGACCAGCTTGACGATGAAAGTCAGCATTGCGCCGGCTCCTCTCACTCACTCCCCATTTGTCGCCTCGACTTGAGTTCTGCTGCAAAGTAGCTCACCCTCTTCCCACATCTCCCGGATCGCTGCGCTCCTCGAATCGGCATCGCTCTTTTCGACACCGCCCTTGGGCAAGACGTATTTGCCATCGTGCTTCCTTGATGTTACCAAGCAGATGTGCACCGCACCGTCTTGGTCACGACAGAATGGCAGCGCGACTGCCACCTCTCGTGGTGTGACTATACAATCGATGAGCATCCTCTCGTTCCTCATTTCCATCGCTCGAACTTATCTCACCCTTTTCTTTGGTCATGGCTTTTCCCTCTGATGTTGCAAGAAGAAAGCGCGCACGCTTTCAGCCTCCTCCACAAAAGTCTCGCACAGAACAAGGCAACTTCTCAAATTCCTAGCCTCATTTCCTACAATCTCCTCCATGAGCATCAACGCCCGCAGTGTTGATTGTCGTCTTGATATTTAAGAAAACCTCCAATCATTTATCTACAATGACAATGGCTGGCCTGCCACTTTTTCTCCTCTCTTTAAGGGTTCTCGGCAACCCAGGCGACACCCTTCTCAATGTTCTTCTTGAGCTCGGGGATGGCAGCCTCGAGGAGCTTCTCCTCCTCGGCGGACACGTTGCCGACGGGGTGGATCTCCTTGACGCCCTCAGCGCCCAGGGTGATGGGCGAGGCAAAGAAGGTGGCCCCTTGGTCCTTGTACAGGGGCGACTCGACGTACGAGCACTCCTTGACACCGCTCTCGCCCTTGGCGGCACGCATGAGCGCATTGGCAAAGACGGCACCAGCGTAGGCCATCGAAAGGGTAGCCGATCCGGCACCGTCCTTGGCCTTGACGACCTCGTCACCACCAAACTGGATACGGTGAACGAGCTTCTCGTACTGCTCGCCGGGCTGCACCGACTTGGCGGCGGGGCCTGCCTGGGAGAGGAGAGGCACAATCGTGACGCCCGAGTGACCGCCGACGACGGGGACCACGACATCGCTGGGCTTGAGGCCGGCGATGCCCGAGAGGAAGGTGCTGGCCCTGGTAACGTCGAGGGTCGTAACACCAAAGAGCCTCTTGGGGTCGTACACGCCGGCCTTCTTGAAGACCTCGGCGACAATGGGCACCGTCGAGTTGACGGGGTTGGAGATGACGAGCAAGTGAGCCTTGGGCGCAACCTTGGCGGCCGTCTTGGCCAGGTCACGGACGATCGAGGCGTTGGTCTGGAGGAGAAGGAGGAGGGGCAAAAGATGTCAGCGCATCATCGGGCAGGACTGTCCGTCTCCATACTCACGTTGAAGAGGTCGTCACGGGTCATGCCGGGCTTACGGGGCACACCAGCGGGAATGACAATGATGTCAGCGCCCTCGAGGGCCTTCTCGAGGCCACCCTCGGGTCCGTCGGGCGAGTAGCCAGTCGTCTAAGGGAGCAACAGGAGAGAGAGCAATCAGCAAGACGGCGGCAGTCAAGGAAGAGCCCGGAACCAGCACAAAACTCACAATGGCGGGCGTGTTGACGTGCGAGATGTCGGCGGCAACACCGGGAGCGAGACGGACATCGAAGAGACGGAGCGACGTGACGAGGGGGTCGTTCTTGAGGAGAAGCGAGAGCTGGCGACAATGGGTGAGGGCGTGAGTCAAGAGAAACATTCATCAATCTGATAAAGCCGCTGCTTACCGGTTGGCCGATACCACCGCTGGCACCCAGCACGGCCACGGCCGAGTTCTGCGATGCCGACGACGAAAAGAGCCTGCTGGCGCTCCGGAGGGGAGCAGCAGTGCGGAGGGCGGTGCGTCCAATCATGGCGAGTGAAGTGGGGGGGAAGTCTAGGAGCAGTAACGTTGGTGGTGTCGGTCAAATTCAAAACCAGGCTGGGCTTCTCGGTCAGACTGGCTTCTCTCGCGCCCTCTTCCGACCCTTAGTGGAGCAGGCCATTAAGCAAGCGTCCGCCTGACCATCGTCCGAATTGATCCGGGTGGCACGTGGTCTTTTCTACACGTGATTGAATTCACCTCCGCAGCCCATCTGACTTTCTGATTTGGAAAGTCCCCCCTCGTCACCATCGACCAAACCGACATTCTCAAGGCCGCTCCCTCTTCACCAACAACCCCTGATCAAAATGGTGCGCATCTACCGCTAGGGCATTGGGCGACTCGGAGAGAGACACAAGCACACACCTGCGACGACGATGCCATCAGATTCTCTCTGAAAACGAGCCTGGCCGAGGGTGCAACCCCGATGACGCCGGGCTTCGTGGACGCTTGTCGTCGTAATGGGGTGGCCCCTGCAAGGATGCTTTGTCTTCCCTCTGCATGCCAGTGTAGAGCTCCGAGTCGTCCCATGGACCCTCGTCTCAATGACCCCCACTTCTGTTTGCTGACTTCTCTGCCTGCCCTTTCTTCCCCCACAGCCCAAGGCCACTAAGCCCACCACCAAGAAGCCCGCTGCGGCTCCCTACGGCAAGAAGCCCAGCAGCAAGGTGCAGAAGGACCCTCGCCTCGAGAGCACGCCCAAGCACTTTGGTATCGGCCAGGACATCCAACCCAAGCGCGATGTGACGCGCTTCGTCAAGTGGCCCGAATACGTGCGCCTGCAGCGCCAGAAGGTCATCCTCAACCAGCGCCTCAAGGTTCCCCCTGCGATTGCCCAGTTCAGCAACACGCTCGACAAGAACACGGCTACCGCTCTGTTCAAGCTCCTGAACAAGTACAGGCCTGAGTCGAAGCAGGAGAAGAAGGCTCGTCTGGACGCTGTTGCCAAGGACGTTGCCGACGGCAAGAAGACCGACCCCAAGGCCGATGGCAAGAAGCCCCTCTTTGTCAAGTACGGCCTCAACCACGTCGTTGCCCTCGTCGAGGCCAAGAAGGCCAACCTCGTCGTCATTGCCGACGACGTTGACCCCATCGAGCTCGTCGTCTTCCTGCCCGCCCTCTGCCGCAAGATGGGTGTCCCTTACGTCATTGTCAAGGGCAAGGCTCGTATCGGGACACTTGTCCACAAGAAGACGTCGGCCGTCGCTGCCATCCAGGACGTCCGCTCCGAGGACGAGCGAGAGCTCGCTACCCTCGTCAGCGCTGCCAAGACCAACTACCTCGACGAGACGTCGCACCGCAGGCAATGGGGTGGCGGTGTCCGTGGCAACAAGAGCGCCAACAAGCTCGCCAAGCGAGCAAAGGTCGCTGGTGCTCCCCAGCCCCAGTAATTGCTCTCTTGTCTTGTTCCTTCACCGCCTCTTGTCAATCATCCCCATGTACTTTGTCCTCCTTCATTGCCCATAGCGGCGCACCCAGGCGAGCCTATGCAATCCAATCCGGGTATCCAGGTATATCCTCATTGAAAAGATCAATCAGCTCTTTGCCGCGAGACTCTTTGTCACACTGTCGATGTACATCTGCAACATCTCGTTGTCGGCCTCAGCCTTTTGGCAGTCTGCTTGCACCGACGACACGCGTGCGAGGAGTGCTGCAGTGAACGCTCTCGTCAGCTTACTCTCCCTTGTCAGCCTCTGCAGCAAGGCACTCACCTCGAAGACTGTCTTGACTGGCCATGATGTCTCTGTTGGGACGGATATGAGAGTGTGTGAGAGACGTAACTCAGTCTAAGCCAACGCAACACATGCTCACCGGACCAGGCGTTGCTTCTCGACCACCTCTCCCGGCGTCACATCCGTCTGCGCGCCCCACGCTACGCTATCCGTAAAATCTGATGTGGCACCCGGCGTCGACGCCATCTTCCTGTCTCTGTGCGAGAGTCGTTCCAAGCAAAAAGGGGAGAGAGAGGAGAATTGAGGTGGCCACTGACGGGAATCCGGGCTTGCGCTTTGCTCTTCCCAGTTGACGACGAGCCGAAAGGCCCGCAAAACCGCCCGGCGAGCTTTTTCACGTGGTGCATCTTCAGAAGCGTGGCCCTCTCTGAAAAAGTAGGGAAAAAAGGTCGCGCGCGCGCTACGCTCCACACACACACACGCACGCACACGCAAGACCGTTCCGTTTTCCTCGCCTGGCTTCTCGCTCTCGGGAGCCTTGTGGTATCAGGTACGAGAGGAAAAGAGGAGAAGTTCTTGCCACGATGCGGCGGGACGTTCGTATCGTCATCGCTGGCGACGATGACACGGGCAAGTCGACGCTCATCACGAGCCTCATTAAAGAGGCCTTTGTCGAGCGCGTTTCGGCCATCGTTCCCGAGATCACGTTGCCGCCAGAGGTTGCGCCCGAGGGCGTCGTGACTAAGATCGTAGACACGAGTGGTGAGTGAAAGGAGGTGTGTTCAGAAGAATCTACAGTAGCTAAAGACGTCATTCCCGTTCGCCAATAAAGCATCACCCGAGAGGCGGCCCCACCTCGAGACGGAGCTGCGACGGGCATCGGTCATCTGTCTCGTCTATTCCATCTCTGCGCCGTCGTCTTTCGACAGGATCCCCACCTACTGGCTTCCGTATATGCGCTCGCTCGGTGTCAACAAACCCGTCGTCCTGGTCGGCAACAAGATCGACCTTCGCTCCGGTGATGTCACCAATGCTGCGCTCGAAGAGGAGCTGGCCCCGGTCATGTCCGAGTTCAAGGAGGTTGAGACGTGCGTGGAGTGCAGCGCAAAGATCCCCCTCAACGTCTCCGAGGTCTTTTACTTTGCCCAAAAAGCTGTGCTATACCCCACGGCGCCCCTCTACGACTCGCGGGAGCATGCGCTCAAACCGGCGTGTGTCGATGCATTGAGACGCATCTTTCGCCTCTGCGACTCGGACAAGGACGGCCTGCTGAGCGATGCCGAGCTCAATGATTTCCAGCGCAAGTGTTTTGACGCACCGTTGCAGCTGCAGGAGCTCGAGGGAATCAAAGACCTGGTCCTCCAGGCACCCATCGCTGGCACACGCTTTCCCTACGACCACCTCAGCGCCAGTGGCAGCACCTCGTCGAGCGATCCGTCGGCGAGCCAGGGTGGGGTCGCCGGTCGCAAGAATGCAAGGGCGCACCCGCACCTGCGCAACGGAAGCTTGACGCTCTCAGGCTTTCTCTATCTACACACGCTGTTTATCCAGCGCGGCAGGCTGGAGACAACGTGGACTGTGCTTCGGACCTTTGGCTATGGGTCCGATCTGACGCTCGAGGACAGCTTCGTGCGACCAACTTTCCACGTTCCTCCAGACTGCAGCGTCGAGCTGAGTCCACACGGCTACCAATTCCTAACCGACGTCTTCGAGGCACACGACAAGGATCGGGACGGAGCACTTTCACAAAAGGAGCTCGAGAGCCTCTTCCTCGTCGTGCCTGACGAAAGCCACCCGTGGACCGGCACCGACTTTCCCCACACGACAATCACCGACGAGCACGGGGCCGTCACGCTGCAGGGCTGGCTGGCACAGTGGAGTATGACGACGCTTCTCAACCACAAGATGACCCTCGCCTACCTTGCCTATCTCGGCTACCCTTCCTTTGTGGGCCTCGAAGGATCAGGCGCGATCAACGGCACGCCCGGAGGCAGCGGCAACGGAACGATGAGCACGCCGCACAAGTCTTCGACTGCTTCCAGCTCGTACTCGCCCCCTGGGTCTGTGCCTAGAAATCGCAACTCTTCCTCGAGCCCCTCGCCTCCACCGACGACAACTGCACTCAAATTGACGAAATCGACACGAAAGGAGACGAACAAAAAGAAGAAAAAGGGAACGCAAAGGAATGTCTTTTTGGCCTATGTGCTTGGCGCTGCGGGAAGCGGCAAGACGTCGCTGCTGCGTCACATGGTCGGCAAGGGCTTCGACGAGCGATATTCCCCCACGGGCCGCACCATGAGCGTCGTTTCGGCTGTAGAGCAGGACGGCGCAGAAAGGTATCTGGTCTTGCAGGAGTTTGGGTCGCGGTACGAGGCAGAGGCTTTGCGAAACGTGGGCAAAATGCCCAGTGCCGACGTCGTCGTCTTTGTCTACGACTCCTCCGACACCAACTCCTTCTCCTACCTCTCAAATCTTCGCCAGCAATTCCCCTCGCTGGCCTCGATGCCGTCGCTCTTCGTCGCCACCAAAGCCGACCTGGACCTGGCTCAGCAGCGCCACGAGGTGCAGCCAGACGTCTACTGCGCCAAGCTCGGTCTGCGCATCCCTGGTCTCGGATCCGGTGCAGGGCCGATAAGCGTCTCTGCGCGCATGGAAGAGATGGCGGACCTCTACTCGGTCATCCTGGCCATCGCATCGGACCCGCGCGGGGCCACGCCTGGCGGTGGCGTAGGCGAGGGGGCGCTGAGCTTTGCGACGCAGGCACGCTGGGCCCTCTACATCTTTGCAGTCGTGCTCGGCGGAGGTGCAGTCGCGACGGTGGGAATGCGGGCCTGGCGCCAGGGGGGCACCGCGGGTTTCCTCGGCCTTGGCCTGGGCCTGGGAAACGGCGGCGGATCCGCCTCCTCGTCATCGACATCCAACTGGTCTCTTTCGTCATCCACCTCGCCGTCCACCTCATCCTCCTCTGACTTTCTGGGAGGATGGCTCGGCTGGCTCTGGAACGGTGCTGGCTCGCAAAGCACGAGATCCGATTTGTAGTCTTGTGCAATATTGTCACCACTCAATATACCCTCCGCTCTTCCCCCACTCAGATTGCCCATGCATGAAGCGCATTAATTTCCCATTGCTCCCATGGAAGCGCGAGCGACGAGATCATCAGTACTCGCTTCCGAGGCTTATAATTGTTGTGTTGCATCGGCCCGGAAACTGATGCAACCCCCGATGTAGGTCCACAGACTCGGGAAGAGCCATCGGCGTCGTTGCAGCAAGGCATGCAGCATCGGATGTCCGGAGGATTAGACAAGGACCCCCTCTTTGGCGCCGCGTGCCTGCGTCACATCGTCCTTTCACGCGGTCTGATCTTATCATCTCTGGCTGCCTGGGAAGATTCTCTTTTCCTGCCTGGTGTCCCGACTGGAAATTAGAGCTGTCGACACAGTCAGCCGCGGGACGACGAACCCGTCCATCCACAAAAAGCTCCTTCATTTGCTGAGCGCTAGCTAGAGAGCGGGGGCATGACACCTGCGATTTGTCTCTAGCGCCCTCCGCGCGCGACTTTATCCTGATATGTGTGCCCAATTTTTTTTTTTCTTTATTGCCAATTTGCCAAGTTTCAGGCACGAATGACCGCTACGGGACCTTTTTGACGCGACTGGCGTCAGGGCACAAATGTGCAGTAATTATTGCATCTCCCTCAGCGCGGCCGCGGCGCGCAGGTTGTTCACGAGCGCCTTTGCCTGCCTGACATCGCCTATCGCTTCTCTTGGCAAACGAGTCACGACAGTAGTGGGTGGATAATAGATCAGTTTGGGCGTCGATCTGAAGAGCTGCAGTGACGAAAATTTTGTAACCTGTGAGAGCGGGCGTGAGAGGCAAACCAACAAGCCACCAATGCTGGTTTTGCAAGACATGGACTCCCGATCCTTCCGAGACATTTAGAGATCGGACAAAGTCCTAGATAGAGGCTGACGCCCACTTGTGTATGTGCGTAGTCATGCCGTCCCCCCACGCAGAAGTCTAGGATAAGGTGCCCCTGAAAAAGGAGACCAAGGCTGGCATTAGAAGGACGTGTTGTACTACTGTACTGTAGTATGCTTGCAGCAGATGCTGTATGTGATGCGAATTTCAAAATGTCGCCGCTAGAACAACACACTACGTACTACTACCCCTTGGTTTTATGGTGCTTTTATTGTGTGTTTTAGACTATTTTTGTGTGATTTCCCCATTGGAGCGAGCTCCCATGTCGTTGGCCGTCCGTTCCTAGCGGCCAACTGGAGGTCACGAAAGCGGTTGGTAGCTACGCAATACGTCGTCGGCTAAGCGTGGGTGGGGTGCTTCACTAGTTTCCTCATTGTCTGCCTGCCACAGCGCAGTGCATCGATCGGTGGCCTCACAGCGTGGCGACCGCTGACTTGGCAACCTCCTCTCCGCCGCGCTGCCCAACAGACACACACCCTTGTCCCTCGAAAAGGCAGGCGTGCAGAAAATAATCCGGGCGGACTTGTGGGCGCGCGCAAGGGAGCCTGTCGGAATTTGAGGCCGTGCTTGGTGCATGTTTTGAGCTGCAAGCGAGCCTCGCTCTCCCCTCTTCTCTCGACTCGACACGACGATCAAACTCTTTTGCGGCGCCCATTGTCTGACCAATTGGGGTAGGAAAGAGCAAGAGAGTGAGAGAAAGAAGAAAGGCGACGAGCGCGGCGCAGAGTAGCATCGTCGAAGGTGTCTCTGCCGGTCCGCACTCCGAGCGAGCGAGCACAGTCGACAAGCCCTGGCAGCTCGCAAACGCCTCACACCATCTCCCTCCTTTCAGGGAGCAATCGTGATCCTCCTCCTCGCTTGGGTCACCATCGAAGTCGCCAAAGTCGCCCTGATCGCAGAGTACCAAAAGCCTTCCTCCCGGTCGCAGTCCAAAGGACAAATAAACCTCCGTCAGCTATCGGCGGCTCGAGCGCAGTTGGGCGGGCGTTGAAATCCCTAACCTCCCTGCTGGCGCTCAGTGCGCTCTCAGCCCACTTGGGGGACCCACCTCATATATTGTGAGTCCGGTCGCCCACCCAGTCCCTTTTTGCACTGCCTTTAGGACACTTGGCTCGTTTCCTTGTTGGTCCCTCGGCCACTTTTCCGGCACCAGAGAGCACTATTGACACATACACACAAAATTGTCCGCCGCCCACAGAGCAGGGGCCCGCGCGCGTGGGACTCGTTTCAGACACTTCTCTTCTTCCCTCGCTGCTCCCAGAAGACTCTCCCAGCGAGGAAGAGGACGCCGGGCTTGGACCTTGTGCCTGCTGCTGCTGCTGCTGCTGCTGCTGCTGCTGCTGCTGCTGCTGCTGCTGCTGCTGCTGCTGCTGCTGCTGCTGCTGCTGCTGCGAACAGCAAAGTGACGTACGCCACCCACCGCCTCGTGATGCCGTCGCCAAAGGCTGACTGGGACAACGCACACGTTGGTGTCCAAGGTCCGCCCATTGCCACCACGATGAACGATTCCGTCCCCGCCGCTGACTCGCCCTTCCGACCACTTGTACCGGAGGACTTTCGAAGGCGCGGCAATGGCAGGAGCAATAGCAGTGGCGACTGGACTGCCCTCACAGGCCGCCCCAGTGCTTCATCACCGCGTACCACTCCAGCCGCCGCGACCGCCGCTTGTCCGCGCCAGAAGCCTGGTTCTGGCCCTGGCAGGGCGCAGGAGAAAAACAACGAACCAGCAGCCGCGGCGGGCCTTCATAACACTACAAGAGAGGATCAGACCACACCGAGGGCCTCTTCCTTTTCTGAAGCAGCAGCAGCCGCGCAGCAGTGGCAAAAGAATCAGCAGACCCAGAGCAGAGCCGTGGGCACGTCGGTGACGTCCAGAAGCGCCAAGAACAACAAAGGAATGGACAAGACGCCAGACGTCAAGCAGTCGCCATCGCTAGTAGCCAAGCCAGAGCTTCCCCCGTCAGCACAGAGCATTGCGCTGCGCGACGAGGCCGAGAGAGACTGGCAAGCCTACTGGCAACGACAGCGCGCCCAGATTGCGACCCATGGGAGACGAGCGCCACCAGAGACGGTCCAGGCGGCCCTCAGATCCGCCTCGAAACCTCCGTCGTCGTCGCTTGGCACAGACGGCCAGCGTGGCGGTGGCGATACTCAACACCAGTCTCTGTCGTCATCTAGCGCCGGCTCGCAGCGACAGCAAATGCAACGACAAAAGCCTCCACTCAAGCGACACTCCAGTGATAACCTCACTGGAAAGGCGTGCATTGGCTTGTTTGACGATCAACGTTATGACCACAAGCGCAAACCAATGTCGGCCGACGTCATGCAGGAAGCCCTTCTGGGCATGATGAATATCGTGGAGACGGGACCGAAGAGCCCGCAAGAATCTCTCTCGCTCGGCAAGGGAATGTTCGTCGATTCGTCTGAGCGTTTCAAGTTACCCTTTACCCACGACTCGAGCATCAGCGGAGCAGACGACGCTGCTTCCTCCTCGATGAACGGCAGCTCCATTGAGCTCCTCGAGGAATCCCGTCCAGTGGCTCGAGCGGGTGGCAAAGGGCTAAGCGGCCGTCGCATGTTCCGTTCTAGATCTGTATACGTGGGTGTAGGTGATGGCAGCAGCAGCAACGGCAGTAGCAGCAGCGCCAGCGCCGGAACCTTATTGCCCAGGCCAGAGATGCGCAACGACCTTACCTCGGAAGAGCGGAGGGAGCAGCTCCGTCGCGCGCAGAAGCTGGCCAGCCTTCTTGGCGGTGAGGTTCTTGCGAGCAGCGACGGCGAAGACGCTGGACGAGAGGCGCTCCGACACAAGCGATCGTCTCCCAGGATCCCGGGCTTGCCCAGGCGGCAGAGCGACCCCTTTGACGTACTCATGCATAGGTCTGTCATCGCCTCTTCGCCATCCTCTAGGGAGGAGTCGCGATACAGCATACATGCCTCAAAAGCTGGTCCTCGAGAAGATGAAACAGCACCAGGGCCAACCACTTCGACGTTGCGCGCCAGGAGGTCAAGAAGCGCCCTCGGCCTTGTGGGGAGAGAGCGTTCATCTTCCATCTCTTCGCCGCTTGCCCCAACGCAACCACCCCTCGACATTCATCCAAAGGCTGCCGCGATCCTCGGGCTTCCACACAGCAAGGGGCTCTTTGCTTTTCGGCCCTCGGTCACGACGCCGCCTGCCTCTACCAATGGAGACGACGACAACGAGATCCACGCGAAAGGTCAGAACAGTGCGACGAGCGACTCGGTGGCCTCGTGGGTCACGAGTCAGCTCGACCAGGACCACGAGGCGGACCAGGACAAAGACGATGTCGGGGCAACAACCTTGCCTTCTTCGCGCGATAGCATCGAGATGCTTGAGAGCGATGACGATGCCGTCGCCGAGGACCAGGAAGAGCAGGGCCTTAGCTTGCGTCAGGGCAGCAGAGTGCTCGGCGAAGCGATCCAGAGAAAGACTTTTGATTCGACGCTCCTCACTTCCTCTTCCCCTGCGTGGATCCGCGAAGAGAGGAGGAAGAGGGTCACGAAAATCACCCGCTGGCTCGGCGACGTCGTGCCAGCCCATCTCGTAACACATTCCAGCGAGCCACAACGCACGCCGCCGCCTGCTTACTTTTTCGATGAGATGCCACCCTCTGCTCTCGTCGATTTCGCAAGCGGCACTCCTTTGATCTCACGTTCTTCGTCTTCCTCATCGTCGGCGCAAAAGAACAATCATGATGCGACGGAGAGCAGCAGCCCAATTCGGCCAATCGCAAAGGCAAAGGCGGCCGTCAATGCAAAGCTGTCGAAATCACGAAACGGTCCTCGAGCTCCCCTCCTGCTGGACACGAGCCACAAGAACCTCAGCTCGCCTCAATTTGCCAATGTGCCGAAATCGGCCCCTCCTACCGTCGACGACGCTCATCGTCTCACGGCCAAAGAGCATTCTGACCAAGTCAGACGAGCTTCGAAGCTCACTTCGCTCTTTGGTGAGGTGCCACCCCAGCCACTGTTTGCCCCTACGCAGTCAACCGAAGCTGTCAAGCTCTCTACGCTCGGCATCACGAGCAAGCACCACCGCTCCACACCATCTCTGGTTCGTCCGCCCTTTGATGGGGCTCCCTCTCTCGATCAGATGAGGCCCGCTAGGTCGCATCGTCCTCGTTCTACCTCGCCCATGTCCCAGGATGGCAAAGCGATGACGGGGTATTCGAGGCTTGGTGAACGTCCCAAGTCGACTTCTGACAGCCTTCAGCCACCTCCTGCCGACGACGGTCTCTCGAGCGAGCACTATCGATATTCGATAGGTGAGTGTGGTCCCTCCTCCTCAGTTGCAGTCAGAAAGGAGCAAGACACCTGACCAATGTATCGTTGATCACCATAGATTCGCTCGAGTATCTCTTTCAGAACGATACGAGCCTCCTCGACAATCTTGCATCTGCCCTCAACGTTGACGACGAGCTTTTGGGCTCACAAGATACTAGTCGCGCCAAAGCTGAAGCCTCGAATATCGCTCAGGCTCGGAACTCTGGTGAAGGGGGCAGCAGCGGTCACGGCCATGCATCGCTCCGCGGAGGTGACAAGTCACTGGGGACAACGCCAACGGTGGAACAGGACGTGTTTGTCACGCCGAAAGAGTACGACGCCGGCGAAGAAGAAAAGAAGTTGGCAGAGGCAAAGGGGCCGCCTGTTGATGACCATGCGAGCAAACTTCACGAAGTGACGTACGATTCGCGTGTGGCGGATGTTGTCCCGTCCACAGCGTCAGTCAACACGTCCCCAGCAACGTCGACAAAGGCAAAGAAAAAGGAGCATGATGCGAGAGTCCGACGCCACCAAAAGCTAGAGCGGTGGTTCGGACAAGCTCCTCCGCCTGCACCTCACGCCCGTACGATTGGTCCCGCATCTGCATGCAGGCACTTCGAAGCAGCTTCGCCGACGTCAGCATCTTCGACAATTGCGCTCGCTGGCTCTTCTCCAATGACGAAGCGACTCGTCACTGATGAGGTCCACATCATCTCTTCGCCTACCCGTCAGCAGCACAATACGTCATTATTCTCGGCCTTCCGAGACGACGACGGCAGGGGCGACTACTTTTCTGGCGCCACAGCTGAGCACCTTTACAATTATTCTGCTCCTCCGAGCGCATCTCTGGCGCAAGAGCTGGACAAGGTTGAGGTGGGTCGATCCGGCGGCAACCACGCCCGCGCCAGACCAACCTCGCTCGCCGTCTCCTCCCCTACGCCTTCTTCTCCGAGCCCTTCCTCGCCGTCGCTATTCTGGCAAAAGACAAAGGAGGTTGCCCAGCAGGCTTTTATGCACACGACTAGGAGCGGTGGTGCTGCGGCTTCCTCGTCGGCCGCTGCGTCGACCTCGAAGAAGCCCAGCTCGCCTGGCTCAGACTTAAGAAGAGCATCTCTGAATGGCGTGACAATGACGACCTCGACCTTCACAGTGACTTCGCCGGTCACGAGAGACCCAATGTCGACATCGGCATCCTCGCACAGGGACATGCACTCGGCGGCCAGAGTCCCCGATGCCGACTCTGCGACGACAGACAAGGTGGAGGAGCTACAAGACGACTCCATCGAGAAATTGCTGAGCTCTCTCGAGGAAGAGGTTCGAGATGATCGGAAGCTCTCGGCGGCCGAGAAGCAAGAGTACGAGCGCAGACTGGCGAGGCTGAAGATGCAGCAGAGGAGAAAGAGGGAAAGCGTCACCGCCACTGCCGTCGCCGCGATCTGATTCGCAGACTCTGATCAAAACTCATGTCCTCTTTATTACAATTGTCTTTTCTTTCCGACGTAGCTGGTCTTCCTTCATGTTTTACCATACCCTCTCATTCACACCTGACATCGTTCGTGAACTCCCTCGCAAATCAATCTGTGAAACATCCAAACAATTATCTGGGCTTGCGTTAAATCTTTCTATCATCAATGGTCGAGCAAGTGGCAGGAGAAACGGCAGGCACACTACACTGTATGTAAGAGCGAGGGGCAATCCAAAGCTAGAAGAACGATCGTCCAAAATTGCCGCTTTCGAGATTGTTGGCCTTTGGGCTGACTTCCAGCACGGAGTAATGGATGAGGTTGAGCGCCTTGAGCGCGTTTCTCTTGTGGATCACACACGAGATGTTGATCTCGTTTGCGCCTTGGCTGATCATCTCGATGTTGATGTTGCCCTCGGCGAGTGTGGCAAACATCTTGCCGGCGACACCCACCATGTTCCTCATCTGCGTGCCGACGAGGCTGAGGATGGCCATGTCTTTGAGCAGCGAGACGGTGCCCAGGCTGCCCAGCTCGGCGCGCAAGCGATCCACCGTCCGCGATCGGCGCAGACCAGGTTGCGACGAGTGCAGCGCCATCGACACATGCACCTCGGACGTACTGATGAGATCGACAACGACGCCGTGCCGGTCCAGCGTTCCAAAGATGCGCGCAAAGAAGCCGTGGGAGAGTGTCTTGCGATTTGAATGCACGTTGAGTACCCAAACATCGTCTTTGATGGTGACTGCCGTGGGCAGCTTTCTGGGACGAGGCTCTGGTGGTGTGCCAAGGGTGCTAGCAGCGCCTCCGTGCACCATGGCAGCGAGTGGGTTGCTACCCCATGGCGTAGACGTTCCGCTTGCGCCGGGTGTCTGAGGCTGGATGAGGTGACCGCCCATCATGTCAAGTTCGCTCGCGTTCTGGAGAGACTGTAGCGACGTCGGTGGGAAAATCACCGTTCCGCCGCCCGAGGGATTCTCCACGTTCTTGATACGAATAGGCACAGAATTCTTGATGGCCTGCTCCATGGTAAAGGGGTGAATGACCTCGCTGCCGTAGTAGGTCAGCTCGGCGGCTTCTTCGGGCGTGATGGCAGGGATCAGCCTAGCCGTGCTGACTTTGCGGGGATCGGCAGTGAAGACACCATCGACCTCTTTCCAGATCTGCAGCTCGGACGCATGGAGGCCCACGGCGCACAGAGCCGCGCACAGGTCCGTGTAGCCCCTTCCCACTTGAGAAAGCAAGGAGCCCGGGACGTTGCCAAAATAGCCCGTCACGACGGGGACACCCTTGACTTGCTCCAATCGCTCAGCCATCTTGACTGCCAGGAGATCGTAGAAGCTCTGATCGAGCATGACCTCGTCGGCTGCTGCTGTTTTTGGTCCGCCCTTGCTGCTGACCTCTTCGAGAAAGGCAGCGTCGACGATGCTCTCCATCCCGACCAGCTCCGCTTCGATGCCGGCGTCCAGCAGGGCGCCCACGACGATGCGACATGACAATCGCTCGCCGATGGACATGATAATGTCCTTTGATTTTGGCGAAATCTCTTCGATAATCTGTCATGGAAATGGTCAGCTTGCTTGCCAGATCTCGACCACCAAAAGAACATCGACTCACTTTAGCCGCCATGAGAAAGTCGCGCAATCGCTCGCAATCATCGATGATCTCGCTCTCGAGCGTCTCTCGCGCTTTATCGTTTCTCGTCACCGCCTTCTTCACAGCGTCAAGATGGTCCTGCATGATCTTGTCTACCGTGGCATTGTACCCTATGGAAGCGGGAGAGCTTTGCTCGGAGAGAGACAGCGCCTCGAGACCGCTATTGCTCCGGGACGACGCTAGCGCCGGCGACGAGTCATTGCTTCGTAATCCACCTCGTCGCGACAAACTCCTTGCGCTCCTTGAGAATGCCGACTGAGGCGTGTTGCCTCCTCCGCCTAAGCCCGAAAGGGAGCTGACGGAATTGCTCATGCTATTGCTCCCTTCAGGATTGTCTTCATCGACGGACTGCAGGGCCTCGCTAGCAGCTTGCAGGAGCAAGTTCGTCGTTCCAAGCGCCTTGGTCTGGCCGGACCGCGCCGAGCACACGATGGCGAGGCGCACATTGCGATTTGCGAGGTACGAAGGAGCAATGACGTTTGCTATCGTGTGAAGCTGTTTGCCCACCGAAGTGCCACCATACTTTTGAACAATCCAAGATGCCTTGCCTTCGCCGTTCACAGTCCCGGCTTCAGCATGCAGAGATGAAGGATCAGGAGGCGAAGGGAGGTGTGTGGTTGGCGGCATTCGAGAGAGGGCGAGAAGGAGTCAGTGTGTGTGCGTGTGACGGAGAAAGAAAGCGGTGACTCCGAGCACGCAAATTCTGGAAGAATTGAGTTTTTTGACATTTTGGTGCCAAGGGGGCGCAAGCCAAAGATGGCCACGTGAGCGAGAGGACGCGTACGGTGAAGCAACACTTTTTGTTTTTCTTCTCAACTCTGCGTTGCGTCGTTGATCCAGAGAGTGCAGCGAGCTTCACCATGGCTCAGCCTTTCTCTGCGCCGCCAGAGATGCTGGCGACACTCTCGCAGATCTTCACAAACACGCTCAATCCGGCTACACAGAAGCAGGCTGAGGCGACCCTGACCGACCTCGAGAGGCAGCCCAACGCCCGTCTGCCGCTCCTCCTTCTTGCGCTCATTGCAGCGGTGGATCAGTACCCAACACCTGTGCGGCTCGCGGCCTCGATCAAGCTCAAGAACATCTGCAGACGCGCTTGGGCCTCCGAAGAAGCACTCGAGGCGGTTGAAGACCAAGGTGTCGAGCTCGTCTCCCCCGAGGATCGCGGTCAGCTCAAGGCTTCACTGTTGCCACTCCTCACCGACCTGTCGCAACCGACGAGAATTGCAGCGTCACCCGCGGGACTTCGACTACAGCTCAGCGAGGCCGTCGCACTCATCGCAGCTTCCGACTTCCCTGCGGAATGGCCTACACTCATCGACGATCTCACTGGCAGCCTTGCTTCGCCTCCAGACTCTTCAGCTCTTCAATCGGTGCTGCAAACGACCCACAGCATCTTCCGAGGATGGCGCTCAGCTTTCCGAACTAACGAACTCTACACCGAAATCAATCTCGTCCTCGAAAAGTTTGCCTCGCCATTCTTGGAACTCGTCAGGGTGAGCCTCCCTTCCCTCTGCGTTTGTAGCATTGACTGATTAATATTTGTATGCAGCGAACGGACGAAGCTCTTGGGTCTGCGCCGGCACCATCTGCCGTGACGGTGTCAAGTACGATGCTCCTCCTCCTGCAAGTATACCACGACCTCTCTGCACAGGATCTGCCGCCTCTGTTCGAGGACAACTTGGCTTCCATCTCCGCCCTCTTCCTCCGCTACCTGAATCCTCGGTCGGCTGCGTCCAATGGCATCTACGCTCAGAACCCTGCCATCGTCGAGGCTCTCGAGGGCGACGACGACGAGACATCGCCGCAAAATGGACAACTGATTAGAGCTGAGATCTGCTCCATCGCCGAGCTGTACGCCCAGAGATATCTGGACGCCTTTGGTGCGAGCGTTCCGGATTTCGTCCGGGCAGTGTGGGAGATGCTCGGGCAGGCTGGAAAGGCCGAGAAAGAGGATCTGGTGAGCATCGCTGGCTGCTGTGATCGTGGTTCGTCATCCCAATCATGTGTTAATTTCGTGCCACAGCTCGTTTCCCAAGCCATCACCTTCCTGTCGACAATTGTCAAGGTGCCTTCGCAAAAGGAAAACTTCTCCGGCGAGGGCACCATCGAGGCTCTTGTCGAAGCGATTGTTCTCCCCAATATCGCACTGCGGGACCAGGACGAGGAGCTCTTTCAAGACGAGCCGCTGGAGTGGATTAGGCGAGAGTTCGCCTTCGAATCTGCAGATACCGACACGAGGCGCCAGGCGGCCTCAAAATTCACCAGGGCCCTTCTCGATCAGTTCAACGACCGGACTACCCAGGTCGTTTCTCGTCACATTGGACAGTACCTCGAGCAGTATCGTGCCGATGCGGCTGCTCACTGGCGGCAGAAGGATGCCGCCATCTACCTCTTGACCAGCATTGCCAGCACCAGCAGCACCGTCGCCAAGGGCGTCTCGTCAACAAACGCTCTTATCGACGTCGTCGGCTTCTTCACCGACCATGTCCTTGTGGATCTACAATCGGACCCGTCCACCGTCAACCCCATCCTTCAGGTCGACGCAATCAAATACCTCCATACGTTCCGGAACCAGGTGAGTCCTAGGAGCTCGTCTTTTTCTTTTCCATGTCGCTGACCATCTTCAAACACACACTCTCTGCAGCTGACCAAGGAGCAGCTTCTCTCGGTCTTGCCCCTTCTTGTGCGTCACCTCGAATCAGAGTCATACGTAACCTCAACATATGCAGCCATCACAATCGAACGAGTCCTGTTCCTCAAGGCTGCGGACGGGCGACGCCTTCTCTTCTCCTCCACTGACGTACAGCCATTTGCCGAGTCCATCCTCATGGCTTTGTTCCGCAACATTGAGCGCGGACAGACGCCGGAAAAGATTGCGGAAAACGACTACTTGATCAAGTGCGTCATGCGCCTGATTGCGACGTCGAGAGAAGCCATGATTCCCATCCGACAACCGGTTCTCAAGCACCTTACCGATATCCTCGTTGAGATTACGAAGAACCCGAGCAACCCCAGATTTACGCAGTACTGCTTCGAGAGCATCTCCACCCTCGTCCGTTTCGTCACAGCAGGCGATCCATCGACGATTGGCGAATTCGAGCAAGCACTGTCCGGGCCATTCATGTCTATCTTGCAGAATGACGTTGCAGGTGAGTACAAGGACGCTTCCTATAATTGAGCCATTCGTGATAGCTGATTGAATCGAATCTCCCACAGAATTCATTCCCTTCGTTTTTCAGATCCTTTCGCAGATGCTCGAACTTCACCAGGGAGCCGAATTGCCCAATTCGTACGTCTCGCTGCTTCCATCGCTCCTCACGCCAGCGCTTTGGTCATCGCGTGGCAATGTCCCTGCTCTGGTCCGCCTCTTGCAAGCGTTTTTGAGCCGTGGAGCACGACAGATGGTCGAGGCGAATCAAGTGAGCGCGCTGCTGGGCATCTACCAGACCCTCATCGCAAGTCGAGTCAACGACGAATTTGGCTTCGAGCTTCTCACCAGCATCTTCGACAACGTCGAGCCGCAGCAACTCGATCAGTACAAGGCGGCGGTACTGACGCTGATGCTGACACGGCTACAGTCGAGCCGGACGGAGAAGTTCTCAAGGGGATTCATCGCCTTTGTGGGCGCCCTCTGCTCCATTCAGCAGCCGGGCTACCCCGACTACGCCCTCTCGGCGTTTGATGCAGTCCAGCCAGGGTAAGTGCGGTGCGGTATTAGTGCCAATCTTCTGATGCTGATCCCTTCATCTGGACAGGCTCTTTTCGCAGATCTTGCAAGGCGTCATCTTGCCGGACCTCCACAAGGTGCCGCCGCGACAGCGCCGATCCGTGGCCGTCGGCCTCACACGTCTCCTGACCAAATCGACTGCGATGCTCTCGCCGCCAAACAGTGCCGCATGGGCCCCAACGCTGACGGCAGTCCTCAAGTTTGTCTTTTACGAAGGATCTGTCCTCTCTAAGCCGGCGCAAGAGGGAGATGCGGGCGCGACAAACGAGGACGACGACATTTTTGCGCAAGACTGGGAAGAGAACCAAGGGTTCCAGAGTTCCTTTAGCCTTCTCGCGGCCAGTCGGACCTCTTCCAGCGATGGTGATGCCAGAAGAACAGCATTTGCAGGGCCAGATGTGGGGGCCTACGTCGCAAGGGCCATTGGTGAGCTCATGCAGAGCCCAGGTGCGGACAAGGTCGCGCCCTTGTTGGCGCAGGTGCCCGAGGAGCTCACGGAAGAGCTCAGGCAGTATGGGTGAGGAGGGAAAAGGTGGAGGAAGGAAAAATCTGGGTGAAGAGGTTAGTGTGTAGACCTGGCTCCTCTGCCCCCGGCTCCCTCTCAGTGTCTTCAGGACTCTGTTCTGTTATTGTCTTATGCAGGGAGTGAAGAAAGGCCCGGTTCTACATGTACAGACACATTCGCTTGTGTGAGTGATGAGAGATAAAAGAATATTTTGGCGTTATGATCAAAGACGAGGTCTCTTGTCATGCCGTGGACAAAGTGGTTGGTCTTTTGGTTGATTCGTTGGGAGGGGATCCCACCTTTTAGGCTTGGCTCTTGATAGAATGTGCCGTCGCATGCCTGAAAAAGATTCAGCAAGCCGATGTTCTGCGTCGCAAAGTGGCGCGCTCCTCTGGCCAGCATGCCGTTCTAGAGCTGCGGCTGTCCAATGGCGTGATAGTACCTTGCTGCCTGAACGACGAGGCCAAAAGTGGCCGCAAGTCTCTTTGGCAAGTACCTGATTGTCCACTTCATTCTCTCCGGCAACTCTCCTGCCTCGTTTTGGTTGCTACTGCTCCTGCCCCTGCTGCTGCTGTTGTTGTAAAGGTCATCTGGCGCTGCTCTCGGCAGCGATGGAAGAACGATCCTGGCCGAGACGAGCGTCTGACCCATGACTGAGCTGCAGCGATTCTGAGCACAGACGACGCAGAGGGTGTGCTGCAGGCGCGGGCCCTGGGCGAGACGCTGGTGCGAGGCAAGGAAGTCTCGTGTCCGTACGAGCCAGGTGCGGCTCGGCAAGAACCTGGCGCGTGGGCGAAGCTCGAAGCGCGGACGGCGCCAGGGCCGGGAGGGGCGTGGACGCGTGAGCCTCGTCGAGCAGCTGAGGAGCTTGGGCAAAGCTGAGAAGAGGGGACTGGTGCTGTGTTCAGAGACTGATGAGGCTGGGCTGCCTCCTACGAAAAGGTCTGTATTGCCGACATCGTGCGGAGTCATAGAGTCTCGAGGAAACGATGCCACGGCGACGTGCCCTCCCGTAGGCGAAGAAGACTCTTGGTGGTAGAAGAGCTCAGAGTGCTCGTCGACATCGGACAGGGTCCTGCCAACGTCGGAGGAATAAATGACTTTGGACCTGCTTGGATGGGCCGCTTCTGCCCACCTAGTCGCCGGTGCGACGATGTTTGGCGACCACATGGACGCCTCTGAGCCTTTGTTCTGCCTTTGGTCTTGCCTGGTCGGTTTGTGATGGATCCTCGAGCGTTTCTGCAAAGTCTCCTCTTCTGTGACGTAGTCTTTCATGTCGTCGCGGTGGCGACGAGCGAGATTGTGGGCAGAAGTTGTGGAGCCAGTTCGGCCTCTCTCTACCCTCTTGGCGTTGGCTTCCTTGGGAGACGGCGACAAAGTCCTTGAGGGGGCAGCTCGAGTGGCGGTGCGGCTTCGTCTTTGTGCCCAGCCGGGCAGAATTTCGCCCTGCTCGCTGTCGCCGTGCATCATTTTGCCCTACACTGTGCTCCGTCTGGACCTGGCGGGAGGAAAAGGGGTGGGAGAGAGTCAAAGAGAGAGAGGGGGGAGGGGGAGGGGGAAAACGGGGAGAGACGGAGATGGAGCTTGGATAAAGAAGATAGAGGTAAATGCCCGCGGGTGACGTAGAAAGGACTTCATGACCACCGACGCCCCGCACCTCCGCTTCTCATCCCTTTCTTCGCCCTTGCTTGACGCGCTCGCCCTTTGTCCTTGCTGGCCTATGCAATGCGAGTTCAGCCGTTCTTCTATTTCCGTACGTCTCCTGCATGTTTTGGCAGGGAGGATGGCCTTTGTTTCAGCCCTACGAAGATCGCCCCCAATGGAAAAGGGTCCAGCGATGCTTGCTCTTCAACACAATTTGGCCATCCATCCTATCATCAGCCGATGCACAGGGGCGACGACAACAACAACAAGTTCCGGTTGCACCTCGGTCCAGAGCAGGCGTTGGCGACTTCACGGTCAAAATGCAACGGATCAGATCAGATGAAAGATCGCGCTGCCATGAACATTGCCACTTTTTGACAACTTTTTCTTCCTTTTGTCAGCAGTCAGCACACGATCGATTAAGTTGCCCTCGCAGCTTCATTGCGAGCGGAGAGAGCGACATCCACGGCGATCCGTGGCGGCCGAGAAACTTCGCGCGCCAAGAAGACGACGGCGCTCCACTTGCAATGACAGCCCGCCGCACGAGCCTCCCGTTGCAGACAGATCCAATTTTATTTTACTTTTTTTTTTTTGCACAGACCCTACTTCGATTTTGACTTCTTCGACCTGACACCAATTCTCTTACAGGCCAATTCCTAGCTGCAATCAGCCAATGACGACCGACGAGGGCGAGGACGCTGCTGGGCCGTCGTCGCTGGAGCAGCGGCCGCTGAGTCTGGGCGAATACAAGCGGTATGGACGGCAGATGATCCTGCCCGACTTTGGCCTCGGCGGCCAGCTCCGTCTCAAACAGGCAAAGGTCCTCATCGTGGGCGCCGGCGGCCTTGGCTGCCCCGCCCTGCAATACCTCGCCGCCGCTGGTGTGGGCCACATCACTATTGTCGATGCAGACGTCGTCGAGACTTCGAACCTGGCGCGGCAGATTCTGCACACGGACTCTCGGGTGGGCATGCCCAAGGCTCAATCGGCCGCTACCGCCGCACGGCAGCTCAACCCACACATCAACGTTGTGCCCCTCTGCGAGTCGCTGTCGGCAGACAATGCCCAGGCGCTCGTTGGAGCACACGATGTCGTGCTCGACTGCACCGACAACGTCTTGACCCGCTACCTCATCTCCGACGCCGCTGTCCTGTGCGGCAAGCAAGTCGTGAGCGGGGCTGCCCAGGGCTTCTCTGGGCAGCTCGTCGTCCTGCACAAGAAGCTCAGCAGAGAGGGCAGGGAGCCGATAGCACGAGGCCCGTGCTATCGTTGTCTGTACCCCAGAGCACCGAGACCGGAAGACGTGACGGACTGCGAGGACGGGGGCGTCTTGGGCGGCGTGACGGGCCTTGTGGGCACCATGCAGGCGCTCGAGACGGTCAAGTTGCTCGCACGGATAGGTGATGCTGCAGACGGTGACGACTTCGACACAGACGAAAAAAATATCTCAGACGCGGCACCGTTGTACATGACCCTAATCAACCCATTGGACCCTGTCCCCTATCGCAGCGTCAAGCTGCGACCGAGAAGGGCGGCAACGTGTCGGTCTTGCGGCGACGGTGATCTTCTCCTGGCAGCAGGCCTTTCCAAGATCAGGGATCTGCAATCGGAAGACTACGTTTCTTTCTGCGGCCTGGCCAAGCCCTCATCGGGCGGTCAATTCGAGGATCAAGAAGCGCATATATCGGTGCAGGTAAGCAATCTGACCTTGCCAGCATGTCATCTGACTGACTGATCGTGACCTGTCTCTCAAAGACTCTGCAAGAGTCGTGGCAAAAGGACGGAGCAACGCATGCCATCGTCGACGTACGACCACCTGTCGAATTCGAGATCGCCCGCTTGCCAGGCTCGCACAGTTGGGTACCTCCTTCACTAGTCTGATCACCGCATCTGCTTACAGGCCACTCGTGCGCAGGTGTTCCATATCAAAATTTGCGAAGAAATGCACCGTTGGCGCTCGAAAAGCTGCGCGATTCGCTGCCAGAGACTACAACGCACGTTGCCCTTCTCTGCCGACGGGGGAACGATTCGCTCCTAGCACAGCGCCTCCTCTCATCGGCATCGTCAGAGCAGGAGGAGCGACAGGATCAGCAGCAGTCGCACAAGGACCCCCCTTCCTCAAGATCGCCGATTGTATTCAAAAATGTCCGCGGTGGACTGAGAGCCTGGTCAAGCGACGTCGATGTCGCCTTTCCAACCTACTGATTTCTAGATTTGTGGCTTGGCCCAGGCATTCGAAAAACCGATGGGCTCTTGTTCCTCCCGCGCGTGCGACGCGTGGCTTTCATAATGAATGAACGGTGGCCCCTTTTTTTATAATTTTAGAATCACTGTGAACTTCCCTGAGGCTGCAAGTTTGGCGGTGCAGCTTTAGTGCAGCTTGGCTTGCCGGGGGCCCCTACACCCTACACTGCATTCACAGCACGCATCACCGACGACGACTTCAACCTCCCACCATCCTCTCATTTCTTTTCTCTCACACAAAGACGGGGTTCATTGTTGAAGAAGGAAAGCACGGTGCGCAACATGCCGTTCTCGCGTTGATAAGATCGAAGACCGTATTTCCACCTCCGTCCGAACGCTCGAGGAAGTGAAGCTGGCCTTTCCAACTTCCTTTGGGGCCGCAACGTGTCTTTGTGCTAAATACATCAACGTGTCACCATGTCGGCCACTTCCGCCCCCGTCTCGACGGGGAATGCCGTGACGTCGGCAGCGGTATCGTCGTCGTCGGGGAATGCAAGCATGGCATCGCAGTCGTCGGCGAGCGAAGCGATGAAGTCGATCTCGAGCGTCATCTCCTCAGCCTCGGCCGCGCTGCAGTCGGAGAGCCAGATTGCCGCGGGCGGCTTCAGCCTGCCAAGTTGGATGAAGTGGCTCGGTCTGGCTTTGGCGGTCGGGAGCGGCTTCCTGATTGGTGCTTCGTTTGTCTTCAAGAAGCGCGGTCTCTTGGCCGCCCAGCGCAAGTACCAGACCCAGGCGGGCGAGTCGTACGCATACCTCAAGAACCCGCTCTGGTGGACGGGCATGACGATGATGATCCTGGGCGAGGTGCTCAACCTCGTCGCATACGCCGTCAGCTCCGCAGTCCTCGTCACGCCGCTGGGTGCCCTATCAGTCGTGGTATGTTTTTCCTCCTCGATTCCATTGCTGTGAAGAAGAGAAGTACTCAAATGAAGTTCCTGCCGAATGCAGATCTGCGCCATTCTCTCATCGTTCTTCCTCAACGAGAAGTTGACGCTGTTTGGCAAGATCGGCTGCTTCCTCTGCATTGTCGGGTCCACTGTCATTGCGCTCAACGGACCTGAGCAGCATGCTGCGGGCGAGATCAAAGAGTTCCAGAAGCTCTTTCTCAGCGTCGGCTTCCTCGTCTGGGCTGGTCGTGAGTTGTCTTTGTCGAATCAGAAAGGGTGCTTTTGCAATAGGTGCTGACCAAACCATCAGTCTGCATCGTCGCGTCGGTGGTTCTGGCCTTCTTTGTGGCGCCCAAGTACGGCAAGAAGTACATGCTGGTCCATATTACCATCTGCTCCCTTATCGGTGGCCTCTCCGTCAGCACAATTTCGGGCATTGGTAGCGCCGTCGTGCTCACGATCCAAGGAGAGAATCAGTTCAAGCACTGGTTCCTCTACTTCTTGCTCGCCTTTGTCGTCATCACCCTGGTCACCGAGATCATCTTTCTCAACAAGGCCCTCGAGCTCTTCAACACGGCCATGGTCACTCCCACGTACTATGTCTTGTTCACCTTTGCCACCCTCGTCACGTCCGTCATTCTCTTTCAGGGCCTCGATTCGAGTGCTATCCAGATCATCACAATCGTCCTGGGCTTCCTCACGATCTGCGCTGGCATCACCTTGCTCCAGCTCAGCAAGATTGACCCAGACGACCTCACGAACAAGGAAGGGGCTGTGGGCATCGATCGTGGTACCACGATGCTCCTTCGGGCGAGCCGAAGTCATATCTCGCACAAGGGAGACGGGGGAATGGCCACTGCAATCGAGGATCCGGGCATGGACACCGTCCGAGGCGGTCTTGGAGTGATTGGGAGCATGGTGCGAGCGAGAAGCTCGCGGAAGATCCACGCCTCGTCAGATGCGTATAGGCAAGTGGAAGGCATGGCTTCGAGCGACTCCAACAGCGGGCTCAACACCTTGGGGAAGAAGGACTTGGAGCGCTATGAGCTCCATGATCGACCGGTCCCGCGGCGAGGCAGCAGCAACCCTTCCGTCGTTGGTGGACCGGGCGGGATGAGCTTGACGTTGCCCAACATGCCGTCAAAGAGGGACACCACCATCTCCTTTGTCTCTGGCTCTGAAGATCCGCATGGCCACCATTCTGGGTCCGAGAAGCCAATGGAGGGGCTCCACAACATCTTGACGTCTCCTCCGAGCAACCATGGCATCCTCATGTCGCCCTCTCACAGCCAGATTGGCCTGCCAGGCTCGAGGAAGGGCAGCCTCGAACCACCGGCCTCCTCGTCGAGCCACCAGCACCAGCAGAGGCACGGCTACACGACGGAGCCAGCCAGTTTCCTCACGCCCGATGTGGGAAGCAACGTCGCCACGTCTGGGTCTACACCGGCCTCGTCGATGCTGCTGGGCACCGACGATGGGCGTTTCTCAAGTCAGGGAAGGCCGGCAGGGCCTAGATTGCGGGGTGCTGGGGCAGGTGCGATGCCACGGAGTGGTGCGGCTGCTGATCTGAAGAGAATGTGGGATCCTTCAAGCGCTTCAACGCAGATCCGGCCAGACGAGTCGTTGGAGAGCCTTGATGATTCGATGGCAACCCAGGGCAACGACGATGACGATGACGAGGAAGGGGATAGGAGGAGGCAGCAGGCGAGGAGGAGCAGATCGGGAGAGAGGAGATATCCGGGCGCGAGCAAGGGCCACAAGGACGATGAGATGGAAGAGGAGGAGCTATTGAGCCCCGTCATGCGAGGCGCTCAAGGTACTTTTAGATCGACGGCCGACACCGGTGCAAGACGGTGACCGCGTGCCCTCTCCCTCTTCTCCCTAGTGCCCACGGACATTCTCGAACTGCTCTGCTCCGCTCCAAGCCCCCTATTCCTTGTAGATTTGAACACTTGGTCTCTTTTCTCTTCTGCGCCAAGGATACGTTACTCTTAGATGTACACTTTCCCCCCGATTCTCATCAACGCCGATTGATTTGATTTGCTCTTCTCACATTGACAGGCAGGGTTCCGCGCAAGAGGATAAGGAAAGAGTGAGGGCGCATGCTGTGGATCTAGCGACCGCCCTTTTTGGCAGCACCCTGCCTCGGCTTGGGCAGCGTGAGGGGCGTCTTTAGAATCAGCCTTCGCTCCGATCTCGTAGAAGTACCAGTCGAGTCGACGACGCTGCGCGTGTTTGTGCCGCATCCAAGTGACTTGAAAATCTCGACGAGGCTGTAAGGAGAGACACACGCCCAAGGTCATGTCAGCGGGAAGATGAAAGAGAAAAAGAAAGAGAGAGAGAGATTGAAACTCACCGAGAGGCGCCAAGGCCGATTTCCTTGGACAGAGTCGACGGTTCCACGGCGAAATCTTCGACGTGGAGACAGAGAGCAAACGAATAGGCCAAGAGCTTCGTCTCATGGAACGTCGACAGGACGGGCCTGTTTCGCAGAAAAGAAGGTCGGTCGGTCAGTCACATGCGGAAGAAGAGAGAAGGAGACGGCGAATCGAGGGCAAGAAGAAATACCCACTTTGTCTGTCCCCTCGGCGTCTCGGAAAAGCGGGCCAGGAGATCGTCGACAATGAGGTCTGCGGCCGGGTTGTTCTTCAAGCGCAGTCGGTCGGTGAGCATCGATCGCTCGTCCAAGTTGCGCGCCTGCTTCCAGAAAGCCCAAAGCAGGCCAGCGTAGTAGCACGCCTTGAGCTTTAGCCTCGCATCCGTCTTTGTATCGCCAGACGCCTTGAGGATACCTCCGCTTTTCTCCTGCTGGCCGTCGTCATCGAAGGTGATCTTGTTTGATGCTCCTTCATCTTGTCCTGTCCCTTCGCTGTGACGCAGCGGTCCACTGAGATCCCAAAGTCGGCTGACCAGCCAAGAATCCGGCGACAGGGGTCCGATTATTCTCGCAAGCTTTTTGGCGAGGTCTTGCGGGGTCTTGGTCGTGTAGAGGTGTCGGACGTTGAGCGCATTCCAGACATTGGTGGGGATCAGCGTCGACTGGATAGGGTAAACGTCGGCCGGGTGCATGGCTTCAAAGTAAGGAGGCGGGATGGGTCTCAGCCGGTCTGCCTCCTCTTTGATCGAGTCGAGATTTGCCATGCCCTTTGTGTTCTCCTCGATGTCGCTCCTCATCGTGTCAATGACCGCTTTCATGTTGGTTGTGTCGACCTTCATCCTATCCTCGTTCCGCGCCTTTGTCTTGGTCTTTCGGTTGCCGAACGCCTCGCCTAGACCACGACGAGCCAGTTTTCTCGCTGCCCAGTCGCTCGCCTGTGATTGTGCATCAATCGAGAGGGAATTGAGAGATTTGATGGTGCGTGTCAACGTGAAGAGAGGCGCCGCTCGTAGGGTCACCATCGACGTCGAAGGATCGTAGAAGCCCACCATGTAGCTACCGAAATTATCTAAGCACTTGGTCGACCTTCGCGCACTAGGAAACGTACTCACTCTCCAGAATAGCCTCTGGCTTCTGTTCGCAGAGACTCGTCTGTTCCGACGGTTGCATGCGCACTCCAGTTCCCACCCACGTACTCGATCGAATCCGTCTCGCCCGCCAAGATGAGGTTGTCCTCCAGTGTAGGGCCTCCGGCGGCATCACTCTTTCGTCGCTTCTTCTTGGTAGAGAGAGACGGGTTTGTGTAGAGGGTGAAAGCAGCATCCTCTGCTGGGACAAAGTCGGCCGTATTGACGAAGAGAGGGCCCATCCTGTAGGGATCATCACGAGAGACCTTCAACGTCGCGGTGCCTTGCTGCTTTGGCTTCCCCTTCGAGGAACTCTCCCCGGAGAAGGACGAGTCTGCATCCCGCGACTTTGATTTTGGCTTCGACTTCTTGCTCGATGATGCTGTTGAGGCATCCCCGCCGTGTTTCCGCTTCTCTCCAACGTCGGGCGCCATCGTTGATTGATTCTCGAGAAGATCCGAACGGCTCCAAACCAAAATTTGGACAGGGACGCGGTCACGAGAAAAAATCGCTTCCACGTGAGCGAAGCGATGCCCGCCCCCGTCTACCAGACAGAGCCAATGACGCCCGCTCATTTCTAAACGACCAACCTTGGCGGACGAGAGGATCGATGGTGATGCTCATCGCTCGCTCGGCAGCTCCGTGCCGCGCTTCGGCGCTGGCTTCTCCGTCTCTGCGTGCCCGATCTGGATTCCAGCAGAAGGCGCTGATCCACGATCTCGTCATCAAGCACAAGACCGGCCAGCCCATCCTCGGAGCAGGACCATATGGCGGTGGAAGGTGAGGATCTCGTTGCATCTCTTCCGCCCGTCCTATGAAATGTTGACTCCCTCTATGTGGCAGATCGTCCGTGTCGGGACACGTCGCAACTGTTTTTGGGTGCACTGGCTTCCTTGGTCGCTACCTCGTGAACCGTCTCGCGCAGAAGGGAACCCAGGTCATCGTGCCTTACAGAGACGAGGACGAGAAGAGACACCTCAAATTGATGGGCGACCTCGGGCAAATTGTTCCCATGGTGCGTGTCTCTGACAGTCAGTGAAAAGATTGCGACTGCAAAGGCTTACTTGGCCCCTCTTGCAGGAATGGGATCTTCGCAATGACGAGCAGATCGAAGAGTGCATGCGTCATTCCGACGTCGTCTACAACCTCGTGGGGAGGAACTATGAGACAAAGTAAGTGGGCTGTAACCGTCTTCACCGATACGTCTGTTTTTTCCTCCTCGCCGTAGCTGACTTGGAGTCAAATCAGGAACTTCAAGTTCCAGGATGTACATGTCGCGGGTGCTGCCAAGCTGGCCATGATGGCCGAGGCTCTGGGCGTCTCGCGCTTCATTCATGTCTCGCACCTGAACGCCGATGCGAATTCGCCAAGCGCTTTTCTGCGCACCAAGGCTGAGGGAGAGGAGGTCGTCAAAAAGGCGTTTGACGGTGCGACGATCGTCAAACCTGGCCCGCTCTTCGGACACGAAGACAGGCTCTTGAACCAGATGGCTAGTGAGTAAGGGTCACTTCACGAGCGATGGAACAATATGCTGAAGGCATTTGCAACAGCCTATCCCATCACCTGGCACGTCAACCATGGCCAGACAAGGATGCGCCCAGTTCATTCGGTCGACGTCGCACACGCCCTCGAGGTCATGATGGATGCCGAGGTGACTTCGACTGGTCAGACGTTCTCTTTGGCTGGTCCTCGGACGTACACGGTGGGCTCGATGCTCCGACTAGTCGAATCGCTGACATTCAACAAGACGCTGCGAGTGGGTATCAACGTTCCCAAGTTTGCCTTGATGACTGCAGCCAAGATTGGAGACTTGGCGTGGTGGCCCATGATCTCGCCTGACGAGGTCGAGCGAAGGTTCCATGACGATCTTCCCGATGCTCCTGGTACATTGGGTTTCGCCGACCTTGGTATTGAGCCAGACATTCTCGAAGAGAGGGCCATCGTCTATCTCCGACGATACCGGAGCAACCTGCGGTTCGAGCAGCCCGTTGAGCACTCCGGCGTCAAGCTCAAGAAGGGGCGATACCACGTTGTCGATTAGATGACGGGGACCTAGAAATGAGCTGCGAGGTTGATCTCGGGCAGTGTAATTGGAAGCAATTTAGAAACTCTTCTTCAAATCTCTCCTTAGGGCCCCTGTCTTGTGCCCACCCTCTGCCCTTCTTCCACGCAGTAAATGGACCATGTCCTATAACTCTGAAGACCATCTGTTACTTGTCCCATCAGCTTCCTGCCCGGTCCAAGGTCCTAGAGCAGCGTTTCGCTGGTGAGTCGCGCCGTCCCGTGGGGCACACGATATCCTTCCCCCTGTTAGCGTGGAATCTGGCATCCCTGCTTGGTTCTTCACGAAGAAAACTCAAATTCCGGAAGTAAGTTCGTCGTTAGAAATACCTCGGGTGCCTTGCGCAACAGTCGTGATCATCGACGACGAAGAATACCTGGACGACGATGGCGGACGTCGAAGCTTTGGCGGGCGAACTTCCAGAGGCCAAGGAGGGTAGTCGGCAGCATGCGGTCGCCAAAGAGATGGGGCTGGGGGCAACTTATGAGCGGAAGGTTGCCCTCGTCAATCGAGAAATTCGCGCCATGGGCTTTGGCAAGTTTCAGTGGGCCCTCACGCTCCTGTCTGGCGGCGGCTGGGCGGTGGACAACGTGAGTCGGGCTCAAGAAGAGATGAGAAGCTTTGTCGAATGTGCTCAACGTCGTTTCGAAGACAGATCATCTTCTACGCGTTGTCCATCTCATTGCCGCAAATCGAGCGTGAATTCGGCTCGAGCACCCCCGTTCAGTTCCAGACACTTGCCTTGTACGTCGGCCTTCTCGTGGGCGCGACATTCTGGGGTTTGGGCAGCGACATAATTGGCCGCAGGGCCTCGTGGAACCTGACGCTCCTTATCGGCTCAGTCTTTATGTTGAGCGTTGGTGCCGCCCCTACTTTTGCCGCCATGGGCTGCCTGCTCGCCTGCACGGGTGTCGGCGTTGGCGGCAACCTTCCGGTGGACGGTATGCTGCTCCTCGAGTTCACACCAGGGTCAAAGCAGTGGGTCGTCACACTCCTCTCCGTCTTTTGGAGCTTCGGCCAGCTGTTTGCTACCGTCATTGGTTGGGCGTTCATCACCAATTACTCGTGCATCGAAAAGGACCCCGAGGGGCTGCAACCATGCCTCAAGGCCGACAACATGGGATGGCGCTATACATTCTATCTCTGTGGTGGCTTCACTCTCCTTCTCTGGGTTGCACGGTTCTTCGTCTATCCGGTTCCCGAGTCGCCCAAGTACCTCATCGCAAGAGGAAGAGACGAGGAGGCGATTGAAGTTCTCAATTTCATCGCCAAGGAGAACAAGACAAAGAACAACCTCACGCTGCAGTTGCTTCGGGAGATGTCTGACTGCGATGATACAGGGCGCACCACGACGGAAATTATAGCGGCGACGGTGATTGGGTCTAATGCTAGCGGAGAAGACTGTGGCGCAGAGGAACGGAAGACGGACACGATGGGAAAGGCAGACGACGATGTGATCAAGGAGAATGTTTGCGAAGAGAAGACAGCTTCGAGGCCTGCTCCATTGTCCGCACCTTCAGAGAGTGGCCCAACGAAGAAGGCGAAGGGGAGCAGGATTGGCTTCTCCCAATCCGACTGGCAACAGGTCAAGAGTAGCGCAACACACTTTGACCGAGCGCACCTCAAGCTGCTCGTTGCTTCGCGCAAGATGGCCTTGAACACCTTTATCATCGTCTTCTGCTGGAGCTGCCTCGGTCTCGCGTACCCGCTCTACAACGCTTTCATCGCCATTTACGTGGAGCAAGCCTCTGCGAACCTCTCGTCGCAACCGCAATCGCAATCGGAGCAGTACCGCCAGCTCGTCTACTTCTCCCTTTGCTCCATACCCGGCTGTCTGCTCGCGACTGTCCTCGTCGAGCTGCCCCGAATCGGTCGAAGAGGGGCCATGGCCTTCTTTACCCTCTTGACAGGCATCTTTTTGTTCGGCTTCACCACGGCCAGAACGACCAATGCAGTCCTCGGATGGAACTGTGGAGCGAGCTTCGTGCAAAACGCCGCCTATGCGGTCCTCTAGTGAGTATTTCTCCTCATTGCTTCTTTCTGCGCCCCAAGCGGCAGCTGATTTGGACCTGTCCCGTCGTCGCAGCGCAATCACCTACGAGCTCTTCCCTACGCCCGCCCGGGGCACAGGCGACGGAATCGCCATGGCAAGCCAGCGCGTCTTTGGCCTGGCCCCGCCCATCATCGCGGCCTACGCCGGCAAAGACAACCCCTCGACGCCCGTCTTTGTCTCGGCCAGCCTGTTCGTCGCAGCCTCCATCGTTATGCTCTTCTTACCATTTGAGCCCAGGGGGCTTGAATCCATGTAGTAGTATCGTCAGCTATCGTCGAAGCATCTTCGTTAACCCCAATTGTCTGCCTCGTGGGCTTTCTTAGGATCAAAGACTTAGTTTGCATTGCGTAAAGATGATATGGAAAAGGCTACATGTATCAGACGATGAAAAGGGACTGGACCGAGGCTCGGTCAACTCTACCGCAAGTTGACCGTTCTCCGCTGTTGCTGCTGCTGTCGTTGGTGCGATGCAAAGGTGCCTTGTCCAGCACCGCTTGCCGAATTCGGCCTGCTTCCCCCAAAGACGTCCGAGGAAGAAGACAGGCTCTTCTTGGTTTTCGAAGACAGCGGCGGCGACATGACCTCGTCTCGGTCCGTTGGCTGTTGCTGTTGCTGCCTCTTGACTGGCGCCTTTCCCTTTTCACTGACAGACGATGCAGAGTGGCCGGGGTCCTTCATCGACGGTGCGCCCAGAGGCTGCCACGCCTTTGAGCCGCCCAGCTCAAAGACACCCCAGGGCGACTGCATGTTGGGGGAAGCGACATTGATGTCCTTTGCCCTGAGCCCACCACCTCGTTTTCCTTTGCTCGGAGACGCTGTCTTTGGTCGGCGCTGTTTGATCTGCGGGCTACTGTTACCCGACGAGGCCGATGAGGACGTGGAAGCAGCCGAGGAAGCGAGGGTAGAGGAAGACGAGGAGAGCGAGTAGTCACTGGCAAGGTTGTTGGCCTTGGTCACGGCTGCAACTTGGTTTCGGAGCTGTTCGGAGCGCTGCTTGGACTTCATCTTGAGCGACGGGCTGGCCCCTTCGCTCGCATCGCCAGCGCCGACACCAGTAGGCGAGCCAGCTTTGCGTGATGCTGCGACAGTGGGCGTGAGCCTGGTCTTGTGCACATGAGGCGTGAGACCGGTCGTCTTTGTGGCGCGGGTCGCCGACCCGGGGAGAGTGGGTGAGGCAGCCGAGGCAGACATCGACGAGCTAGACGAGACGGACGCCGATGAGTTGTCTCGGTGCACCGACGGACGCTCAGCGGTCCTGGGCGCCTTCTTCGCAGAGCCGCTCTGCGTGGGCGTGGGCGGCATAGCAGCCTCTACCTCGCCCTTACTGCCCTGTTCGATGAGTTTACCGTCGCCGTCATAAACATCGCGACCGCGCTTGAAGGTGCGTCCTTCGTCAAAAGAGATACCGAGGCCCCAGAGCTTGTGTCCCATTGGCAAATCGCCTTCAATCTGTACGGTTCGCTCGCGTTCCATGTCTGCCGACGTGGCTGTCGAGGTCCTCCTGGGCGGCGGACGCGGGCACGTCATTGACTCGGAAAATAGGTTAGTGTTCCAGTTGCGCAGCGGGGGCTGGAGAGGCGAGACGAGGCCAGCAGGGTAGGGGTGGGTGGCGAAGCGGCCACTCTCGTTCGAGGTCATCATCGGTGCTCCTGGCGCATCATGGCTCGCCATTGACGCTCCTCTGCGCACCGTGTTCATCCTCGGTGTGCTCATGAGATCGCCAAGGCGAGGCGTCTCCTCGCCGAGCTCGAGCCCAAGGCCGCAGACAGTGTCAGAAGATGGGATGTTGTTGAACTGCTCCCGCGTCAACGGCATCGACGCCCGGCGAGAGGACGACGCTGGCATCGATCCGGGCAGAGGCAAGACGTAGGGTTCTGACGACGAAGGGCCGGCAAGAGACGACTCCGATGGAAGCTCGCGGCTGACAAGACCGACCGAGGGTGGGGGCGTCTGCGCCACAAGCTCGTCAACGCCGGGGAGCTTGATGGGCGCAGACACGGCTGAAGACGATCCCAGGGACAGGTTGCTGACCGCCGGCAACAGCGATGGAAGCTTCTGGGATGACGCAGTGAGGGGTGTGGGAGGAAGGCTGCCATTCTTGATCTGTGTAGACGGCCGACCTGGGTCGGCGGCTACGTTGGAGCCCGTCGCCATGTCGAATGAAGGAGAGGGCCACGGCAGCGACTCGGACGGTGCAGGCCGGCCCGACAAGATGTTGGCCGGTCTCGGTCGACCGCTGCGCGTGTCGGAAAAGGAGCTAGAAGACTGCATGTTGTTCGTCTGACCATCATTGTGCGTCAGCGCTGGCCATTTTGCTTCTTTGCAGATTGTGACAACTCACCTCGATGTTTGTTCGGTGAAAATATAGAGAGGGGATTGCAAACTCTGTTGGTGTTGCTGCTGTTAGTCGTGGCACTGAGCACACATGCGTGCATCGCACCCTACGTCTACGTACGAGTAGTAGGAGGTTTGAAGTTCGGAGACCTGAAATTAGGGAAAAACGGATGTCGTCAAAGCACAAAGCAAGGAGAGTGAGGTCCGGATAGGAAGTGGGCGCTTGAGGAAGCTGTGTCGATCGGTGGCCGAAACAAAAAGGAGTGTGGCAGAAGAAACGAAAAAGACAGTGGGTGTCGCAGGAGGCAGTCGCGACGGTTGGCAACGAACTCGGACGGGGAGGGTGGTGGGGAGGGGGAAAGGGAAGGGGGAGGGGGAGGGGAGAGAGTGTTGGTGTTGGGTAGGAGTGAGAGTGGCTGATGGAGAGGTTGACGAGAAGGGAAGGTCGCCCTATATTTACAATGTATGCACCAGCGTGCATCTCTGCCCGACTCAGTAAGTGAGAAAGCGGTAGTAGTAGTAGTGTAGTAGTAGTAGTAGTAGCAGCAGCTTGCTACTATTACTGCTATTACTACTTCTGCTCCCGAGCCAGCTTCCAAGAAAGAACAAACGTTCGAGCAAGCAAATCATACAGCCGCGAGTGTGCCTTGTTGGCCCGGCCACAGCGGCGTGCATTGCGATAGATTGCACAAAAGACGATGCTCACCATCGAGTCGAATCGAAACAGGCAGGCGCGACGCCCGCCGAGAATCGAAGCGAATGCCATATTCAAGCACTGCGCAGCAGCAGCGGCCCAGACTAGACGACGCTATATCTCTGGGCTCTCACCAGAGATCCGGCGCAACGGTACGAGGCAGGGGGCCGGAGAAAGACGAGGCAAAGTGGCCGACATGCCTCGAGACAACTCAGATGACGTGAAGAGCTACGCGCTGCGTCCTCACATTCCTAGCAGGGTCTCTTTTTGTAATCATCGAGGAAAAGTGACACAACGCGTCCTTAGTGTTGGTCTCTTCGAGCCTCGCGCGAGCACACGCGCCCACAGATTTTCCGGTCCGCCTTTCTGTGACCACTCGATCTTAGGGCAAGCATTCAACGACTACTGGCGTCGTCTACATGCTACCTTGGCTCGCTGTGGTCACACATCCTATTTCCCGCACAAAGCTAGATTACTCATTGCGCACGGTTGAATTGCATCAAATACATTTCACGCCTGCTTTTCAGCCGAAGCACCACCACTCCCCTCGTCCATCTCAAATGGATACACTTTGTCCGCGGGCTCCTTCGCCTTGGCAACTGCCTCTGCAGATCCTCCAGAACTGGCTTCTGAGCTGACGCCCAATACTTTGTACTGTGCGCCCATACCTGTCGGATCGACGAGCCGCTTTGCCGCCGAGCTGATGTCTGCCCGCCTCTCGTCGTTGGCGGCCGCCTTTTCCAGTGCCTCGACCCTGGGACCAAGACCAAGTGCCTGCAGGAAGTGGGCCTGGTACATGAGTCTCAGTGGTCTCGCGTCGGTAGTGAAGAGGGCTGATTTGAGGTGCCAGAAGTCGACATTGGCTGTCAGATCCGCCTTGCCTGGGTCCTCGAGAGGGTCGACAATCTTGTGGGATCTGAATGCTCTGAAGCTGCCCCCGAATGCCTTTTCGTCGCCATAGTCGATGATGAGACCTGCACCTCCCTGGCTGGGCGTTTGCACCCTCTCGGCCTCTCTCTGCAAGCGAGCCGTCTTTGCGGACTCCTCTTCCACCTCGGGGGCCACCTCGGCCGCTTTCCGTCCCGAGACGAGCTCCCCAATCCTTCTCGCTGCAGCCCATGCCTCGGGGCTGATTTCGACGCGCTGGCCAGGCTGGAGGGAGTTGAAGCGCTTGTTGCGCATCGCCAGCAGCAGCGACCACGGTGTTGGTCCTGGCGAGGTGACGTACCGGAACTTGGGAGGGCCGCCTACTGCCGGCTTGGAAGAGGATGTCAGATCGCCTGGCTTGAGCACGGTGCTGTGTAGCCCGGAGAGTCAGTAGAAATGAGAGGGAGGACTTTCATTCAGACTTACATCCCAGACTGGCCCCCTCGTTCGACGTCCACCAGGACTTCCTTGAACCCATCGTTGCTTCGCTGAAGAGGAGCTCAGGACGCCAGTGAGCTTTGCGGCAACTACGAGCAGGTAAAGAGAGAGATGAAACGTACCTCAAAGATGTGCGTAGGAAGGGCATCGAAAAATTCGTGAGCAGCGACCATTGTCCAGCTGTCGCTTCGTATGGGCACGCTGTCCACGAGGGGGAACCACTCGACCCTGATCTCATCCTCGCCCACCACTTCCTGGTCGGCAGATACGAGCCTTTTCCCTGTGCCCTCGAGGGCCTTTTCGATTGCATTGTACTGCAGCTCCATGAGGCCGGGCGAGGTCTCGACGAGATGAATGTCCTTGATTGATCTGTAAAAGGGCGCAAATCTCGCAAAGGTCCTCAGCATATCCGCCAGCAGTGTCCCCTTGCCCGGTCCGAGCTCCACCAGCCGAAGTGGCGCATCCCTCGCCGTGTTCTGCCATCTCGCGACGAAGAAGATGGCGAGCAGCTCGCCAAAGACCTGCGACACCTCTGGGCTCGTGATGAAGTCGCCACGCGCGCCCAGGACATCGCGCGTCTCCGTCAGGGCGTCGAATGTCCCCGGCGGCGTATTAGCCGTGGCGTAGTAGCCTTGGACAGGATCCAAGAGGCAGGTGCGCATAAATGTCGACACGCTCAGCGGGCCCGATGCCCGGATGGAGTCGGCGAGAATGTCGGCGAGCGTCTTTGTGTCTTGTGCCGGCTTCGCGGGAGTTTCATTGGAATAGCAGCGAGCCGGCGGGGCAAATGCCGTCGGCAGTCGTGCGCAGCTCCTCGCCGCTCTGCATTCTGATCCCTTCCAGACTGCTGTACCGAGTCGCCGTCTAGTGACATTCATAGTCTGCGATGCCATCGTCGTATGTTGAGGACGAAAGGCGCCTGCACGCTCACCACCCTGCATGCACACCATCTCGAGCAAATCTTCTGAACTTTTCGACATTTAGCCTCACGTGTATATCTGATGCTCCACTTTATTTCGCGTCCCAGTGTCGCGGGGGTTTAGCTCACCAAAGCAGCACTCAGCTCAGCAGCAAGCGACTCAATCGGCGCCGCCCCATGTGCGGACCTACATGAACGGGCGCTGGAAGCAAGCATGGCGCGACTGCCCCGAATAGCCGAGAGGGCACTTCAGCAGCGTGCGTCGAATCGGGACCCTGCACGTCATGCGCGCTCAGCCGGCGGTTTCCAGAGGGACGAAGAGGATGACCAGCAACGAGGGAGGAACTTCGACGACGGCATCGATTATGCCGCCGCTGCGGAACCCAACGAGACACCCTTCGAGGCTCGAAGGAGGCTGCTAAGCCTCAGCGCAGCAGAGGCAGTCGCTGCTAGCGGTCGGAGATTTTACCAGAAAAGGGCAGAAGAGCAAAGGCAACGGCACGTGCGAATCAAGCAGGAGGATGACAGAGAGACGATTGTCATCAGCGATAGCGATGACGAGCAAGAGCAGAGACTTGCGTCGGGAAGGAGCGAGCAGGTCTCTCAAGGGCTTGATGGGTCTCGACCTGTGTCGGTCAAGGTCGAGCCTGATGAAGAGGAGGCAGCCGAGCAGCGTTCTGCAATGGAGCACCTTGACCAGAGAATACGCGTCAAGCAAGAAAGCGAGGCACCGACAACACGTCCGAGCACGCCACCTCCTCCCCGACCAGCGCCTCTACGAGAAAGGAGCGTCGCCAGCAGCTCACGGGCAACAGAAGAGCCCGTGCAGAAGCCCGTCTTGGAGCGCGACTTTCCCTGGCCGGAGCACTACCTCGAGCTGGAAAAGGTCTTCAAGGCAGTCAACACCGTGTATGCCTTCTGCTCTGGGCGCAAGCACATGGCGACAACCTATGACACCATCAAGTCCTCTGTAGAGAATCTGCTGATGCGGCCATTGGAGATCTTCGACATTGCCCAGATCAAGTCCTTGTGCCCCGATCTCATCAATCTCGCTTACGTGGACCAGGATATGCTCCAGGTCCACTTGGACGGTGGCTCATCGACAGCGAGCTCGGCAGAGGGACAAGGTCTCAGCTATCGAGAAAGAGCCAAGGCTCGGCAGGCGTATCGAGATGGCATATACGAGCAGGCGGCCTCAGCCATAGGCTCTGGTCCCGATCTCTCCCTTTTTGTCGATGGCAGGCAACCGTCCTTTGGCCTATCGAGCAACGGTGGTGGATGGCAAGATGATGTCAACGAGGAGCAGCAACTGCAGCAGCAGCAAGAGCGATCCGCAGCCGTGGAACTGCAGGCTCCTGCAGAGATCGGCGCCAAACGGCCAGCACGAGAAAAGGATGAGTACGTGCTCCTGTTTGAATTCAACGATGGCACACTTCAAGGACCGAAGGCCACAGCCCGCGGTCGCCCAGGAATGCGGCGAGGTCCCTCTCGAAAAGACCAAAAGTGAGTGGATTAAAAATTCTACCAACAGGAGACCGGCTCAATTTGGATCATTCGCAGGCCGAAGATCAATCCCAAGCTCAATGATATGCCTTCGCCAGCAGCGATGCGCAAGCTCATTGAAAAGCGAAATTTCAAGTTCGAGCAAGCTGTTATCGAACTCCTGACGGCTTGCCGTGTGAAGGAGGAGGACCCTGTGCAGCTTCTCATCAGCGCCGCAGAAGACCACGTGCCGATCAACCCAGAGACAGCCGTGCCTGACGGCGAGACGCCCAAGAAGCGCCGTATTCGCCTCGAGTACCTCATGAACAATCCCGATGAGCGACCGAGCATCATCGAAGTCATTGAAGAGTTGCAGGGACAGCCGTGGTACAAGAACCAGATTGTGCCTGGCGGCCATCGAACAGTTGCAGAAAGGCCGGCACGGTACGAAGGACTGACTTTTGCGTTGAGTCAGGAGCTCGTCAACGCGCTATGGGCTACGAGGCAGATCGAAGAGTTCTATCTGCATCAAGCTGAGGCGCTCAATGCCCTCGACGAAGGAAAGAACATCATCGTCTCGACGAGCACGTCGAGCGGCAAGTCGCTCATCTATCAAATACCCGTCCTCCGCGCCTTGGAGGAGGACCCCACATCGACCGCCATGTACATTTTTCCAACGAAAGCCCTAGCTCAGGACCAAAGGCGGACACTACAAGATCTCCTCATGAACTGCGAAGGACTCGAGGAGACAATTGTTGCGACGTACGATGGCGATACGGACAAGGACATCCGCCACGACATCCGAGAGCGAGCTTCTGTGATTTTTACCAATCCTGACATGCTCCACCAGTCCATTCTGCCATCAGAGAACCTATGGCGGAGATACCTTCGCGGGCTGCGATTCGTTGTCGTTGACGAATTGCACATGTACAACGGTCTCTTTGGCGCACACGTCAGCTACGTCATGCGGAGGCTGCGCAGGATCTGCGCGGCCCTGGGCAACCGTAACGTGAAGTTTATCAGCTGCAGTGCCACCGTAGCCAACCCAAGAGAGCACATGCAGACGCTCTTCGGCGTTGAGGACGTTGAGGTCATCACCGAGGACGGCAGTCCAGCAGGCCGTAAAGAATGGATCGTGTGGAATCCCCCGCTGATAGATGACCGCGACCCCAAGCAAGGGCGAGTGAGCGCATATGCCGAGGTGTCAAGGGTCTTTCGTCACCTTCTCGAGCGAGGTGTACGGACGATTATCTTTACAAAGGTGCGAAGGACCTGCGAGATCGTGATCAATCAAGTCCGCAACGATTTGCTCCTCCAAGATCGCGCAGACATTGCCAACAAGGTCATGTCATATCGTTCCGGCTACTCGCCTCAGGATCGTCGCAAAATCGAGCAGGATATGTTCAAGGGTCAGCTCCTGGGCATTGTTGCGACGTCGGCTCTCGAGTTGGGCATCGACATCGGCACTCTCGATGCCGTCATCATGCTCGGCTTCCCCTACTCGATCTCAAGCTTGAGGCAACAGGCGGGCCGCGCCGGTCGAAGGCAAAAGGACTCATTGGCCGTCCTAGTCGGAGATCCATTTCCAATGGATCAGCACTACATGCACAATCCCGAAGAGATCTTCACCCAGCCGGATGCCGAGCTTCAGGTAGACCTGTCAAACGACTTTGTTCTTGAGGGCCATTTGCAGTGCGCCTCGGCCGAGATGCCTATCCATCCAGGAGACGACGCTGCGTTTCTGGGATCCCAGGACACGCTCGAGGTTCTATGTAAGAATCGCCTAGTCCCCACCGACGATGGCTTCTATCATTGTCGATCTGAGCTGCTGCCCAATCCAGCCCGAGACGTCGCGCTGCGTGGAGCTCGTCAGGAGACGTATGTCTACATAGACGACACACCGGGCCGACGAGGCGGACCGCGAGTGATGGAGGAGGTCGAGGTGGATCGTGCCATCTTTGAAGCATTCGAAGGCGCTGTCTTTATGCATCAGGGCCTATCGTACATCTGCAAGGACATCTCTCATGACACCCGCATCGCTCGCATGGCGCAGGCTGATGTGAATTTCCACACACGACCCCGCGATCACACTGACACTGATGCGGTCGAAACGCATCGCATTCGAGCACTCCGCGGTACCAACTCACGCGCCTATTATGGCCACGTTCGAATCGAGACGCACGTCTGGGGCTATTTCAAGGTAGATCGCCGAGCCAACATCTTGGACGTCGTCGACGTCGACTGTCCGCCATTCATTCGCAATACAGTCGGGCTGTGGATGGACGTGCCACTGTGGCTCGTGGAAATGTTGGGCTCCAAGCAGATCAATGCCGCCGCGGCTATTCACGCTGCAGAGCACGCACTCCTGAGCCTGACGCCCATGTTCGTCGTCAGCCTGGCGGGCGACGTTCGCACGGAGTGCAAGGTAGCTGAACGAGAGTATGCGCGAAAGACGACGACACGCAAGCGGCCTGCCAGGCTCATTTTCTACGATGCACCAGGGCAGAATGGGGGAGTATGCTCAAAAGCTTTCGAGCATCTCGATGGACTGATCCGAATTGCCATAGGTCAGTTGTGCTCTGAGGCTTCCCTCTTCGAACAAAAGTATGCTGATAGAAGACTGCACCTTGTAGCCGTCATCGAGAGTTGCCCCTGCATCGAAGGATGTCCTTCATGCGTCACTTCGCAGACGTGTGCGCACGCCAACGTCGTGACTTCCAAAGTCGGAGCCTTGGGTGTCCTCCGAGGGCTCGTTGGTCTCCAGCCTTTCGATGAGAACCTTCCACCCCAGAACGAGCCTGGTCATCGTGGCGCACTGGCAGAGGCGTCTGAAGAGGGCGATGTGGACGAGGCACTCCACAGAGTGGCAGCCTCTCAGCCATCGTCGATGACGCTGACCATGACGCACACGCTCTGCGAGGCCAGCCCGGTGCGAACCCAAGGCGGAAGGGATATCCCCGTGGAACATGTCGAGGAAAGACTTCCGCCCAGCTTGCAACGTGTTTTGGACCGTCACGGCGACGATTTTTCGGGCGGCGGAGGTGCTGCTGCTCCCACGTCACGACCACTCCCTTCAAATGCGCTGAGCCAGAGTCATAGGCAGCGTTATGCAGCGCCTCCGCTGGGCAAGTCGATGCACTACGACGAGGAGGACTAAGTTGGAATGTAGAGTTTTTACAATGTATTCTAGAGATCTATCTGCCATCGCATTTTCTCATTGTCCGTCTCACCTGTGATCTTGTCTGGCAGAGTACCAACTTTTAATGGGAAGAAGCATATGGGGTAGCCCTTACCGCATGGGGCCTTCTTGGAACGGGCGAATCTAAGAGGGCGTAAAGTGGAGGGCTAGTCAATCTCACGTGGTTGAAGCGGCCGCGTGTCTGATGAATCGGTCTCTTGACCATCGGACCTCTACACACAAACCTTGACATCGGTCGAGCACGGCAGCTTCTACGACCTGACGAGGTCATCACTGGAGCAGCGCTAGCTGACGATCAGGAAAGGGCGAGCGTAGCCACATCGGCTTTGCTGCGTAAAATACCAAAACCCACTTGTTAAACGCGCCATCGCAAAGTGCTCGAGTTGAACCATGGCGACCGCTGTTGCATCGACGTCGGCCTCCGGGCTTCCCCCGGCCACAGAGTGAGCGACAATCAGCGTCGTAGAACCTCACCGGCATCTCTTACTGACCGCTGTATTCCGTTGCACAGCGTCAATGCGACATGGAACTTTCTCGCAGAGGGGATCGAGGTCATGGTGAGTGCCGACTCAGCATCGCTTCGACGCGAATGCAGAGCCTGATCATAACCTCTTGCAGATGACCCGGCTGCAGGAAGGCATGTCTCACAAGCGTTATATGGAGCTCTACACCGTTGCGTACAATTACTGCACGTCGTCAAGGATGACACAGTCCTCTGCCGATGGGAGCAGTATGCGTTGTGAGCAAAATGAGGCTCTTCGAAAGAGACACCAGGCACTGATGCCACTTTGAACAGCTGGCGCGAATCTCATGGGTGCAGATCTCTACCACAACCTCGTTCTTTACTTCCAACATCACCTCAAGACCGTCCGAAAAGGCGCCGAGAATCTTACAGATGAAGCGTTGATCAAGTACTATGCGAGCGAATGGGACCGGTATACCGAAGGGGCAAATTTCGTGCACAGGCTCTTCACCTATCTCAACAGACATTGGGTTCGGCGCGAGAAGGACGAGGGGAGGAAGAATATCTATACCGTCTATACTGTGAGTCTGTGGTTCGGTGGCTCTTATCTGGATGATCTGGATGCCTGCTGACGACTTCTTGGGCGGGGCAGTTGGCGCTGACGCAATGGCGGGATCACATGTTCAAGCATGTGAAGTCCAAGGCGCGCCTCACTAATGCTTTGCTCAAACAAATTGAGCGGCAAAGGAACGGCGATGTCATTGAGACGAGCCTCATCAAGAAGGTCGTCGATAGCATGGGTATGTCTCAAGTTCATCTCTACGCGAGCGCATTCCTGTCTTACGCATAAATTCTACCACAGTATCGCTGGGTTTGGATGAAAACGAGTCAACGAAGCAGAACCTGGACGTGTACAGGGGCGAGTTCGAGAAGCATTTCCTCCAGGCAACGCAGGTCTACTACAGCCAGGAAAGCGATGCTTTCGTTGCGGAGAACAGCGTGGTGGATTACATGAAGAAAGCCGAGACGAGACTGAAGGAAGAGGAGGATAGGGTGGAGCTATACCTGCACCAGAGTACAAGGGCGAAACTCATTGGCGCGTGTGAGACTGTCCTAGTCCGGGGTCACGCCCCAATGCTGTGGGACGAATTCCAGACGCTGCTTGATGCAGACAAGAAGGAAGATCTTTTCCGGACATACTCGCTACTTTTCCGCATCCCCGAGGGGCTGGAGCCGTTGCGAGAAAAGTTCGAAATCAACGTCAAGAAGGCTGGGCAGGAGGCAGTCGCCAAAGTCGTTGGCACAGGGAGCGAATCTGTCGTGAGTTGCGGTGTCTCGAGGATCGAGGGCACACTGATATTGACTCGTTCGATCTCCAGGATCCTGTTCAATATGTCACCGCACTACTCGATGTGCACGCACGCAGCCATGCCCTCGTTCTCGCCTCCTTCCGCGGCGAAGCTGGTTTCCTTGCTTCTCTCGACAAGGCATGCCGTGACTTCATGAATAGAAACAAGGCGACGGGCACAAGCGCGAGCAAGAGCCCGGAGTTGCTAGCGATGTACGCTGACGGCATGTTGAGAAAGAGCAACAAGAGCTCTGAGGAGGCGAGCCTGGAGGAGGGGTTGGATCAAGTTGTGGGTACGGCTTGTAGATGGCACGATTTTCAAAGCTGACATTTCTTGCCTCCAGATGATCGTTTTCAAATACATAGAAGACAAAGATGTTTTCCAGAAGTTCTACAGCAAGATGCTGGCGAAGCGGCTGGTGAACTTCTCTTCGGCTTCCGACGATGCTGAGGCGAGCATGATCTCGAAGCTCAAGGAGGCATGTGGCTTCGAGTACACCAACAAGCTTCAACGCATGTTCACCGACATGGGTCTCAGCAAGGAGCTCAACGATCACTTCAAGGAGACGAGTAGTGAGAAGAGCGACGTCGATTTCTACGCTCTTGTCCTCGCGAATGGCTTCTGGCCACTCACTGCGCCAGCGTCTGAGTTCTCGATTCCGACTGAACTTCTGCCCACTTATACGCGCTTTGAGCGATACTATGGGGCAAAACATTCAGGCCGTAAGCTGACGTGGCTGTGGCACATGTGCAAGAACGAACTCAAGACCGACTACCTCAAGCAAAAGCACATCTTCCATACCAGCACCTATCAGAGCGCCGTCCTCCTCCAATTCAACGCCTCGGACAAGCTCACCTTTTCAGAGATTCAGGGTGCCACGAGGCTTAATGATCAAGCTCTGAAGCCTGTTCTCAACGCTCTCGTCAAGATGAAAGTCTTGCTGCAGGACGAGGACACGTACGACATCAATGAAGGTAAGAACTTTGTTCTACATTCTCTTCGATTTTGGGCTAACGAGAGAGTCACAGGCTTTCAATCAAAACGAATGCGGGTGATGCTCAACGTGCCAATGAAGTCGGAGCAGAAAGCCGAGTCAAATGATGTTATGAAAACGGTCGACGAGGATCGCAAGATGCTGCTACAGGCGACCATTGTCCGCGTCATGAAGGCGCGAAAACAGCTGAAGCACGCTCAATTGATCCAAGAGGTGGTCCAGCAGGTTCAGTCGAGGTTCCAGCCGAGAATTCCAGATATCAAAAAGGCCATCGATCAGCTGCTCGACGTAAGTTCAGCTCCTTGGCCTTGCTTGCCCTGGCCATCTTTAACTGACAGCCCCCATCTCTTTAACAGAAAGAGTACATTGAGCGTGTCGAAGGTCAAAAGGATCTGTATCAATACCTCGCTTGAATTTTTGTCAATGTTGGCCCCTATCAAACCTTTCTTCCATCTTTGCACGTCTTCTTTCCTCTTCCCGCATTACATCGCCACCGTATCGTCGCTTTCTACATGACCACCCATCCGCATATCTCTTGCGCCGTTCCCCTCTTCAAGCCACCTTGACAGAGATGACAATGTAACACCTTTTTGGGCCTTTTCTTGACCTTTCTCGGGCAACGCAACTAACTGTGCTTGCCCCCACTGAGAGAGGACTTTTGATAAGATCGAAGGCTAGCTAAGCGCACAAAGCAGGGTGGCCGCCCGTGCCCCTTCATTCGTGTTCAAGATGCTCGAGCCGCTCGAGAAAGGAAGACCGACGGCCTCGCTCACAACCGCTTGCACAAACCATGCGAAGAAGAGGATGAAGGTCGTCGCCAAGGCGCCCAGCTTCGTTCGTTGGCGAGGCAAGACGACTTTGTCACTTCAGAGTCAGCTTTTCTTATGCGACTGAAGAGGGAGGACTTGTGTACTGATACTCAACCGCCTAGACCTACACCAGCGCTGAGGCCGCCCACGAGGCTTCGTATGGCCCAGTCGAGGGACGATTCGTCCCATTGAAGACCTCTTAAAGTCGCCCATTGGGGCGGGGGAGCGGCATCTGCGATCGATTTGGGTCGGGGCTGCCAGAGAAGGAGCAAGGAAAGAAGGAGCGTCGGCGTGACATTGGAAAGAAGGAGCGAGGCCGGAACCAGGTGTGCGCTATTGGATTCAACAATGATTTTTAGCGATCACGGCCGATGTACGGAAAGGTAGAGCGTCGGGACTCACCGAAAACGATCGAGGTCCGGATCGGGTGTGGAGCGAGGCTGTAACAGGTGGAACGCACGGTGGTAAAGGATGGAAAGGACGAGCGTCGTTACGTGCAAAGCAATAGACTCTGCAATTGACTTTCCTTTGAGCTTCAATAGATCACCCCTTTTGGATGTGGCTCACGGAGGAAGGTGGCTCGCAAGACCCGAAGATACGAACGCAAGGCACTGGCCTCGACGGAAAGTGTCTGTGCGCCGGCCGAAAGAGTCGAGCGTAGGCCACCGGTGCTGTTCCCAATTGAATCTGCACCTGCAACGAGGAGCCAGTTCAGCCTCCTACAGTCATCATGATGGCTGGACTCTTCGCTCACAGAGGTAGAACCACCTCAGATCTGGGGCAGAACTTGTCAGCTCTCTCTTCGCTCACTCACACAATACCACGACTTACTTACAAGCATCAATGATGAGAATTGCCGCAAAGCGCTTCGCGAGCTTCCACCACGCCATCCATTTCTCGCGCGACGCTATCAGTGTGAGAGATGAAGGTGGTCCGTCGCTTCCTTCGCTGCTATTCGGACTCAAACTGGCTCTCCTCTCACTCCGTGTCGACCTTCGCCGCTTCTGATTGCTCGGACCGCTTGCTTCATCTGGTCTTCGAGGTAGCCGAAGGTGCGGCCGATTAAAAAGCACATGTCTGTATGCTCTGGGCTTCACCAAGATCTTTCAGAGCGGGATAAAGATCAGCATGCGTGTCTCCTGAGAGGAACACTTCGTGTGCCTACGCACCAGATCAATAGCGACGATCACGGCCTCATGCTCTACGTACGGATCAGCGTACTGTCCACACGTCGAGCAGCGAGTGCACAAGAGGTGTGTCGGTCCATAGGACACAAACAGGCTGGATGTGTGTGCGCTGCAGTGCACACATACCGCCATGCTCGCATCGCAAACGAGGTGGATGTGAGCACCAAACAGAGCGCGAAGGAAAAACGCGGAAAAACGCGCACAGGCCACTTCGCGTCGACAGCCGCGAGCGCAATCAGAGAAGATTACAGTTTCCTCATTTTCAAGAGCTTCTATGACTGATTTGATATTTCGCTCCTTGAGTGTGATGATCACGGTTGTACCAATACAGATGATTTGCTGACTCTGGGGGAGCTGACCGGCGAAAAGGGCTTCCAAAAAACGCGACTGGGGTTTGCAGCAGCAAAGTTAGAAGGAAGCTATGCGGCGGGAGGTGATGGCTTGAACACAGATGGGGCTTTGAGCGGGGAGGACGATTCGGTTGGCGAAAGCGCCTTAGAGGGAGATAAGGACCTGGCTGCAGAAGGTGAGAGCGATGAGGAAGAGCGAGACATCTCAGCGTTCCTTTGGCCAGCTAGTCTGATCTCCTTGCACCTCTTCTCTCGACGCTCGTTGAACTCTTGCTTGATTAGCTTAGCTCTTTCCTTCCAGACCTTTCGAGCCGTTCGAGTACCTTCCTCCGCCCATGAATCGTGATCCTTCGCCCGAGGTATAATGACGTTGTCTAGCATGTGACGAGGGTCTTGAAAGAAGCGCTCGAAGAAATGAAGCAAGAAGAGCCCGCAATCGCAGTAATTGTCTTGTGCAGGACATGCCACTTGCTGTGGTCAAGGTAATGAGACATGAGCGTCATCCTTGCCTTCAGGGGCGACAAAGGGTAGGTCACTCACAATTTGTTCAAGAGAATCCCCAATGTCTTTGGGATCCTCAAAGGAAGCTTGTCGCTTGTCCTGGGCTTCGTAACAAAGGTAGTCGCGTAGGATGGTGCGGACCCCTTTGTGAGAGTTGCCGAGCGAGTCGAACGTCAAGATCATCGTGTAGTTCTCGACATTGAATCGGAGTCTTTCGGTCACGACAGGATTCTTTGGACCCGTCGACTTTTTCCTTTCAAGTTGTGCTCGACCTTGATCGCCGTAGGTAGCCTGAATGGGGAAACTCGACGAGATTCCTCGGCCCTTTGCTTCTCTCTCCCTTTCTTCTTCTGCCTCCCTGGCCCTGGCCCTTTGCTCTTGCTCCATTCTCTCCTTCGCATCGTCTTCTTCCCTAAGCCTTCGTATTGTGTCGCCGGCGTTGATGGGCGTACTGATGCTGTGCCCGCCTCCGCCGCCGAGCATCGTGCCTTGACCAGCATTGTGCAGACCGTCGGAGGGACCAGAACGAGACGCGCGGGCCCGTGTCCGCTTATCTTGCACAGGAACTTCCTTGAGAGATGCATTCGGACTGGTCGGTGTGGACGACACGACAGTTGGCAAGACATCGTCCCATGTGGTCACGGTGCGATGACTAGGTTTCACTTCCAGTTTGTGGACTTCCACAGCATCGTCTACCTCCATAGCATCCGCAGCCTCGACCTCGGCCTCAGTGTCGGCCTCGTTCATTGTCACGTCACCGTCGATCTCATTACCGCCACCACCAATCTCTGCTTCTTGTCCCAAAGATCCTTGCAGAGTATCTAACGGGGGTGTCGTCATGCCATCGGATGGAGTCGTCCAGACCTCGTCCATTCCTTGCAGGTGGTGCTCAGGACGATTCTGGAGGCCTCTCTCGTTCGCGGTCGACGTGGCGATTCCTGGCTCTTTCACTTCGATGACTTCGTCCTCTACCTTTCCTTCGTCCTTGTCTCCGACTTGACGCTTTCTTAGAACGTAGTGAGGATTGATGACTATGGCGAGATACCAGTGCAGGTTCTCGTTGATGGGTATCACGAGATACTTTTTCGAGAAGATGTCCACTTTAGCCGTCCACTTTTTGACAAGCTCGTACGATTGCCTTCGTTCCTTGCCAAGCTCGGTGAAACGCTTCCAGAAGAACGAAGAGAAGACGTAAATGGAATCGTAAAGCGCCGGGTCTCTCTTCTTGATGTCCTCCAGAAGGTACTTTAGCCCAAGCTCGATCAAGGTATCGTTGACTAAAGGATTTTGGGTAAGGATTCGGCAGCCGATCTTTGACAAAGAATTCACTCACGGAATTCTCCCTCTTCCAGTTTTTCGAGGTCGCTTTCAAATACATTGATAGCTCCGACACCTTCGAATGGATATGAAAAGGACTTTTCGAACTTTTTGGGCAGTGCTGACGTAGTCTTGGGCTGTGTGGTTTCCGCGTCTTCTGCCTTCGCGACAGTGTGCTTCTCTTCCGTCCGGGGGGATATCGTCTTCCTCTCATCCGGATTTCGAACACGACCACCTGCTGAACCATTGGTCGCTGTTGGAGGAGATTGACTGCCGTCATTCGCGTGCTGCTGGGAGGACGAGATACTCTTGATGCGTTTCGCCTGCGGTGACTCATTGGCTAGGATCTTTGCACTTCTTTGGGGAGAAGGGCTACTGCGCTCGAGAGACCGTTTTTGGTGGCCAAGAAGGGGCCTTGATTGCCCTGTTTGAGACAAAGAATCGCTGCTATTGCTCTCTGCCTCCGTTTTTTCTTGAAGATACGTGAGCGTGCTTCGGAGTGCGGTGGCAGCATTGAGATCCAGAGTCGTCACCGTAAAGGGCAGCTCTACATGACCAAGCTTTCGCAGCTTGTCCGCATTCTCCCGGGGGTCTGGACCGTGTAGAAAGCACGCAAAAGCCTGCGGCGCTTCTGAGGACATTCTTTCCAGTGAATCTTTGGCGAATTCAAAGCGGTCTGAGGATGCTCACCTGTCTTCAGCCGTCGTCTTTGGGCCTTATGAATCTTGCACGCGTTGACTTTTGTCACAACAACGAAGAGAGACTCTCCCCTCTCCGTTTTTGATGAACAAAATAGCTGCAGGTGCCTCAATCAGTGTTTAGTGTTTAAAAGAGAAGCTAGGGTGAGCTTTTCTTGCTCACCTCCATCTTCTCAATATTTTTGAGCGCAATTGACAACACATCGACGTCGTCCCAGCTCAGCGTGACAGATTCCGATGTTATGCAAGCTCGAGGGGATGTCACGCTTTCGATGAGCTCTTCGTTCGCACCATTTGGGCTACCGATATTCTGGTCTTCGCTGAAGATGATGTTCGACAAGCCCATCTCGATGTATATCCCTTCGGACCGTCTGCTTTCCCGCAAAGATGAGGGTGCTGGATCGCCCAAGTGACTCGCTTTGGAGCCCTTCAGTGCTCCGCCTTTCTTCTCCATCGTGGTCTTCCCCTGATGCTGATTGTGAGCTTGACGAAATCTTCTTGCGTGGTATTATAGAAAATACTCACTGAGCCAGGATCTTTCCCCTTCATGCGGGAAACCACCCGGGCCTTCTTGGGTTCATCGCCGGGACGGACAACCGTGAAGGCCCTCTCAGATCTTCTTGGACTCAACTGGAGGTCATGTTCGTCTGTGCCTGTGTCAGGAGCCATGTCGAGCACGGCACGCTCTTTACCCTTGCCGTTTGCCCGACCTAGGTCGGACGCCGGTACTTCCAGTTGCTGCTTCGGCTGCGCGAGGAGCCGCGGCGAGGGCGGCTGCTCGGGCTCTTCAATCTCTGCGACCTCGTCATCGGAGACCAGGTCGATGGGCGTCTCGTCCTTTGGAACCTGCTGCGAACGATTTGCTTGTTTCGCGTCCCGTGGTGTTAAAGCTGCATTTCGGTGCTGCGACGGACTTTGGGTCCATGCTGGGTCTAAGCATGACAATGGTAATTGTGGCCTTTAGTTTGCAGCTATAACGTAAGATAACAGGAAAATTACTCACCTTTCATGGTGTTCTTCAACCTGCCGTTTCCTCTGCCTCCTGAGTAGAAAGTAGAAGATGGAACCGGTCTATCTTTTGGACCTGCTGCACTAGACGTCTCCCCTGCCTTTTTACTGGTGTCGAAGCTATCCCTGCCGGGATGATACGGGCTCGAGGTCGCAACACCCGTTCTCGAAGGGGCATGACGGGCTTGACGAGATTGCCTTAATCGCCTCTGGGACTCGTAATCTGGGCTATTTCCTGTATACGTCGCGCCGTGCTGAGGAACTTCGATTGGGTTACCTTTTCCCTCGCTCAACCTGGAGGCAAGACAAAGACAAGCCTGTGAGCGAGCCTGACCACATCGTGGATTCGGGTCTATAACTTTCGTTCCACTCACAGCTTCTGCCTTACTCGATCCCGGTTCACCAGAGTGCCGCTGCCAATCGGCGAGCTTGCGCCCGCCTTCCCAGGCGACGCCATCGCTCCGTACCGGCCACCGGCGCAAGCCTGCGAACAGCGAAGAACGGAGACGCACCAGTTCCCCGGAGAGATTCTATACAGTTGCGCGAATCAGGGTAGGGACTAAGGCGGGCGCGAAGCAGCTGTAATTGATGCCCCGCTGAGCATTTGAGGCAGTCTCGAGAGCACGCGCAGCGACTTGACGTATGCTTGGGTGTGCCGACCTGGCTTGTACAGCTAGTGTTAAAGCACGTGAAGGTCGTCTCGAGGGCGATGCAAGCTCTGCCTTCACGTTCGCTTCACGTTCGGTGGCAATTGACTATTGTGGAGATGAGGCAGTGATTGGGCAACGAGGTAGAGAAAGGGAAGAGCGACGGCGAAGGCACCAGTGGAGCAAGCTCAAACAAAAAAGTAAAATAAAATAAAATAAAAATGGATGGCCCTGTCTCCTCCTACGCGTGGGCGTAGGCGCGTTGAGCCTCCTCCTCGTTTGACTTCCGGGTTGCAAGGTTGGCAACCTCGTTCAATCGACACCGAGAAGCAAGTAAAGCATTTGAATGGGATCAAAAGGGCATTGTTGGAATGAATGTATACGTTACACAGCGTGAAGGGGGAGTGAGAGAGGTACGAAGGCTGGGAGAGTGTCGAAAGAACAGTGAATGTGGAAGAAAGAAAATGGATACATATGGAGCTCGACGGCGTCACTGCCTAATGCTTGCTGGCGGGAGACTTCTTGCGATGAGAGTGCTTGGCTGGCGGCCGCGCGCCATTCTTCTTCCGTCGTACATGCCTCGCCTGGAGAGCCTTATCCTCACTTGTGGCGGCACACTTGCCCAAGAGGTTCTGAACAGTCTTGACGGCGTGGCTTTTCGCGCGTTCGGCTTGCATCACTGTCTCCAGGAGCCTAAGCTCGAGATTTGCTTGGAAGCTGCCACGTATGGACCTCAACATGGCACGATGCTTTTCACGAAGCTTTCTGACGTCTCGGAGTCGCTTTTCGGTATCCTTTGCTGCGAGAGACTTGCACGTGTTCGACGTAACGCGATACAAGCCCTCAGACGCCTTCCCAACCTTGTCCCACAATCGCTGGCGTACATACGCCTTTGCATCCGACAAATCATCCCTCATCTTGACGTACTCGTTATTGGCCATGCGAGAGACGACCTCGATGGCGGTGACGAAGATCCTGCGAAGCTCCATAGCCCATTGCTCCCATGACTTTTGCAATGTGGCCAAGACTTCGTGAGCTTTTGCGCCGATCCCAGGACTGGTCTGACCGACATTGAAGATCAAAGACGCCGCTCGAGGTGCACGGTATACTAAAAATAAAAAAAGATGAGCAGGACATCAGCAATGAATTCGTGACATGGCTGACGATAGCACAAAGCTCACGTGAGGAGGACAGCTCGAAGAAGTCGAGTGGCTGGTAGGGCGACAAGTCAGTGATTTGGCTGGGCGAAATGTTGTTAGACTTCGGGCTGCAGTCGGACGGGCTGTGGAAAGGCCTGTTAAAGGGAACTTCTGGAAGCAACGAATAGAGAGTGGTCGACTCGATGGCCGACCTGACCTTCTTCGAACGGCTGACGACGGCACTGGGTGGAGCTCCTGTAACGGTGGCGGCGGGCGTCATGTTGAGCTTGACCGGCAGGTCGATGATGGAAGGGCTCAATTGGGAGCGATAGAAGAGAACAAGATGAAGAGCCAATGCGGCAGTAACGGCCATCGCAGCAGCCATCTTGCCTGTGATGAGAAAGCCTATGTTCCACGGCCTGGGCCTCGTGACGGGCCCACCGGCTTGAAAGGGAGGAATTTCTAGCAGCTTGTTGGTGTCTTCAATGACGTCGAAGCTGACTCTCGCTGCACTTGAAGAGAACATGAGAGGCGATCCGGGGTGCGGGTCCTCCGACGTTTCTTCGTCCTCGCTCTTGTCATCGTCGGCCCGCAGCACTTCTGAACCCTTGACAGATGCTTCTGGATCAGGGAACCGGAAACTGTTGCTCGTCGAACCCGTTTCTGGAGAGGTGGACATGAGCGGACCTTCGGATAGGGCCGACTCGGCCATTGAAAAGGAGGTAGCATTTGGAATGAGGTGGTGAGACCCCATGGGCGTCGAAGAGCCGAAGCTCGTGCGCGAGAGGTTGTGCGAGACCCTCTCATAAGATTCTGAATTGTCTCTCCAATCAGGCTCCAGCCTGCTGAAAGTAGACTCGCTAAGGCCGTTATCGCCATCGTCCAGCGACCCGTTATCTTCAACGCCAGAATGCTCAACGTAGTGGTGGTGATCAGGCTCGTCGACGAGTTCAAAGTCATCGAGGCTCGAAACATCGCTGCAGCTAGCAGGGTCTGGATCGCTCGGCGTCTTGGAAGACGATGAAAGGGAGGGAGACAGAGCCCTGTCCTCAAAGGCTGAGCGCTGCGTCCATGGTTCCACACCGCCGCCACTGGAGTTCGTTGAGGGTTGCATTGCGTCGAGTTGGGGAAATATGCTTGCGTAGCGAAGTCTACACACGAAGGTGGAAGAGTTAGCAACGCAGAACAGGAGACTCGCGACCCCACTTTGACTCACGGCCGACGAATGTTGTGCGCAGCAAAGCGGGCCTATATAATGCCAGGGGCGCTAGATAGGATCAATTAGGTGCTGAACCGCGCCGGACGCCCCAGTCGTCTCACTTGCGGCCTCGTCGTTGCAAGGCGGTTATTTAAGGGCTCAGACTGCCTCTCGATCTGCTGAGGCTGACGAGGAGAAGGGCTGCGATGGAAGATGCTAAGTTGGTAGACTTGGGCCGGGCTTGTTCCCTTCGATAAGCCGTGAGGGGCTCCCCGTCATTCATTGAACGCAACACCTCTGCGCAACCAAATTTATATGCTTTTCGCACGGTCCACCCAGAAACAGCACGTGGATTGAGGCGCCTGTCACGCGGGCTGCTCCTCCTCCGTTGACGCCCTCTCGAAGAGTCCGCTGGTACGTTGCTTCCTTCTCGCCCTTCTGTTTGGATGTTTTTTTGTTTTTTTTTTTCAGAACAGAAATTTGAGCTCGTCAGTCACATTGAGGTCGGACTTCAAGGCAACGTCAAGTGTTTATCGCGATGTCCGCGGAAGGTAATGGCCCGCTCCAGAGGCGTACTCCAGAAAATAGGAAGCGCTTAGCCCTCTGGAAGTGACAATTGAGCTTTAGCTACGCTCGCCCCAAGCATGACAGAAGCGCTCATCCTCTTTGGTGGTCGAAATGACTAAGGGAAGTCAGTCCGACTCCGCTAGGTCAGCCATGGCGCCGAGACGCATCTTGAGACCAGCAATAATTGAGACCAAGCAAAATAATTTCAGAAGCACAGAAGCAGAAGTCGAAAGACCTTCATTCGATATTGCCTTTCTCTTTGCGTAAGGATACAGCATCTCCTGGCTACATCGATCGACCAGTCATGTCGCATTGTAATGCTATCTCCTGGGCTCAGCTCGACTTCTCACGGCTGCACGCCGCGACCGGAGGCAGTAAGCACGGGGGATTTTTTCTTTCTATTTTTTTGTTTTCGATCAGTGTCAGTCCAACTTGTCCTCCGCCATTCGCGTCGTCAAATTTTCTTTCTTCTGAAGAGCCAACATAGCGACTTGCGTACATCGTCCTTGGTCGACGCTCTCCGATAGCAAACGAGAGCAGCCCCATTCAACGGTATTCTTAGGAGCAAGTCTCCAAGCTACATCACCCTGTCCCTTTCAGCACCTTGTCAGCGGAGGGTGGACAGCGGCGCTGCCTGCGACGGAGGAGGAGGAGGAGATCGAGTTGCGGCGCTTCATTGCGCAGACACGAGCAAGGTGACGGAGGACGATGGAGGAGCAGCTCGTCCAAGCAGTGGAGATTGCTTCCAATCCCGCTTTGGCCGCCAGCCATGGTCAGCAGGACTTGCCCGCGCAGGCCATTGCCTACCTAGATCAACTCAAGGCCAACAGTCAGGAGGCTTGGTTGCCCGCATGGAATGTTTTTTCCTCCCGATCGGGTGATGGTTCAGCCCCTCGCTACGGCCACAACCAACGGCTATTCTCCCTCAACATCATCGATGAGTTTCTCGAGAATAAGTGAGCATTCTTCGCATGTCTCGTTCGGCTGCCATTGCTGATGCTGATCACATGCGACAGGGTGACCCAGGCTAGCGATCCAGCAGGCGCAGTCGCTTTCCTTTCGGAAGCCGCATTGAAGCATGTCAGTGACGAGTACGTTGCAGGGACGGGCGAGCAAGGCACAGCTTGTGAGTGACGCAAAAATGTTCAAAGACAACGACACATGAGCTGACACCTCTCGTCTCCACTAGTTTTGCGAAACAAATTCTCCCAGACCTTGACGAATCTACTGCTCCAGAGCTACGGCCTACCACCACCATTCACGCTTTTGCCTAGTTTGCTGGCCTGTATGCGTGCTCATGCCTCGCCTTCGCCTTCCGATGCTTCCCTCAACCCATGCTCGACCGATCTTGTTCTGCGGCTACTCCACGATGTCTCCATCGAGCTCGGATCTGACATCACGCTGCGTGTCATCCGATCAAGAGAACGACTGAGCCGTGATGCCGCCATTCGTGATGAGATTCGGCAGTCACAAGCGAGTCACATTGCCGAGACGCTTTGGAAGGTGGTGCAAGAGGGGATGCAAAAGATTCAGGAAGGCCAATCAGCCACGGCGTCCTCGGCTCAGGGATGGACCCAAAGGAGAGCAGTCGAAATGACGGCAGCAGCAACCAAGGTCATTGGAGACTATGTTTGTGAGTGTAGACAGGCTTTCCTTCATATTCAATAAGTGCGCTGACTCTCAACTCCCCCTGCAGCCTGGATCGACATTGGTCTGGTCGTCACACCAGAAACCGTTCCGATCCTCTTCACGCTTCTGCAGCACACTGAGAGCTCCCTAAGGGTTGCGGCCGCCGAAACACTTTTGGAAGTCATCTCCAAGGGAATGAAGCCCGCTGACAAGGTTGAGTTGCTCCGCGTTCTCAATCTGACAGCTACCATCGGCGAGCTGGAGAGGTCGACCAGGCTAGCGAAGGGCGAGGAGACGCAGGACGATTCGGAAGTCGAATTCAGGGAGAGGCTCGCCAAGCTGGCCAACGGTGTCGCACACGAGCTGTCGCGAGTCGTCGATGAGACTGCTGCGGAAGATGTCACCCGTGCAGCGGCCGACGACATGCTCATCGCGCATATGAGCTTGATCCTGGAGCTGCTCAGCGACCGGTACGATGAGCTCGCTGAAGCTGTGCTTCCCAGCGTCACCACTGTTCTGGTGATTTACAAGAAACTCAAGCGAAGGGCAAACTCGGGCCAGGGGAATAACGCAATATTCACCAACGAGAAGGCCCTCTTCCTCTCCAGGCTGCTGGACATTGTGCTAGCCAAGATGAGGTTCGATGATTCAGCAGAGTGGAACGGGGGTGGACCGCAGTCCGCCAACAGTGATGAAGAGGACAGCGAGGATGAGGACGTCGCCAAGTTTCTACAACTCCGCAAGGCTCTTCAAACAGTGGCAGCATCGATTGCTCAGATGGACATGGGTCTATTCGCCGGGAGGATTCAGGCTCTAATTATCGAAGTCCTGGTTGCTACCGATGCATCTCTTGCTGGCAGCGGACCAGCAGTGCCTTGGCAGACGGTCGAGCATGCCCTCTTCTGCACATACTTCTTTGGTGAGGTGCTCGCCAATGCTCAAGCTTCGATCAAGACCGGCATGAATGCGACGTCTTTTGTCCACCTGCCCCCCGATATGCCGAAGGCGCAAAAGTCAAAGGTCCACAACATCAACTTTGTCGATCTGACTCTCAACCCGCTCGGCGAAACCGTGCTGCGTTTCTACCAGTCGTCGGTATCGGCTTACCGCCATGCAGCTGTTCAGATTCAGTACTTTGAATGCGCGGTCCGATACTCGGCCTTCTTTACAGTTCGCCCCGACGCGCTTGGTCCTGTCCTCCAGCCATTCCTCGACTGGCGAGGCATCCATCACGAGCGACCAGTGGTTAGGCATCGCGTGCAATATCTCTTTTCTCGCTTTGTGCGCGAGACTAGAGACTGCATCACTCCCGACTATGTGGCTGGCATTCTCGAGGCGACTCAGGTATGTCCATATTTTTGGCTGCGTCTCACGTCGATTGAACTGACTCGTATCTCCTTTGCTCTCACAGGATGTTCTCGTAGTGGAAGCGCACATGCCTGCAGCCAAGCCAGACGAAGATCCGCTCCTCAATGCGGTGAACTCGCCAAGCGCATTCGACAGCCAGCTCAATCTCTTTGAGATGTGCGGGGTCCTCTTGTCGCTTCTGAACAACCAGCCCGACCGACAGGCTGCCTTGCTAAGGGCCCTCGTTGACCCATCGCTGCAGAAGATGAAGCAGGCCGTCGAGGCATGGTCGAGCAACAAGGACAACCTCGAGCTCGTCTTGGAGACACATCATCTGTTCCTGGCCCTCAGCAACCTTGCCAAAGGATTTCCCGATCAGTCGTCTGGAAACACAAGTCGACAAGCTCCGCCATGGATGCTGGTCTTCAAAGACGTCACAGAGCAGATCCTCACAAGCCTGACTGCACTCAACCGCTTCCAGATCATTCGCGACGCAGCTCGGGGTGCCTTTGCAAGGATCGTGGCTACAGCTGGCCTAGTCGTCCTGCCCTACATTCCGAACCTGCTTAACTCCCTCCTCGGCGAGGTTAGCTCACCCGAGCTTTGTGATTTCCTGTCGTTCTTGGGACTCATCTCAACGAAGTACAAGGTGAGCCGGCGTTGTCTCAGTTCAGTTCTGGAGCCGCAACTGACAAACTCCTCAGACCGATGTCGCTCCTGTTTTCGAGGAGCTCTTTGGTCCGTTGGTAACACGCATCTTCTCTTTCCTCAATCGCGAGGTTTCTGGCACAGATGACGCCGTTGAACGGAGCGAGCTCACTAAGAGCTACGTGGCTTTTATCTCTCAGCTCGTCGCCAATGGCCTTGAAGGCATTATCAGAAGCGACCGAAACCCAAATCAACTCGAAGTCATCCTCCAGAGCCTCGTCTTCTATGCCAACAACGGAGATGTGAGCACCCAGCGCCAAACGCTCAACGTCCTGGTCCGCCTTGTCAACCTCTGGGGCGGCTCTTCGACCCAAAATGGTGCCGCTCCTAATGGTCAAGCGCCATCGATTGAGCTGCCAGGCTTCGAGCGCTTCATATATGAGACGCTTGTCGGTCTCTTCTTTGAGATTCCAAGCAAAGCTACATTTGACTTCAAGGATGCTCAGACGCAAATTGTGAGTGACTTCGGTCTTTGTTGACAGGCCTTCACCTGCTGACTTGCTTTTCCTAGGCCTTGACGGAGCTGTGCAGTCTCGCCAAGACGATGTACCAGAAGCGAGGCAACGAGCTGCTCGAGTACCTGACGAACGTCTATCTGCCCAACATGCAGTGCCCGCCTGATGTGGCTCAGGAATTTGCGCAAAACCTCAAAAGGCTCGACGCCAAGGAGCTCAGAAAGGCATTGGAGGTAAGCCATGAATTGTCTCGTGACGCCCCGATATTTCCAGGCTGACATGATGACCTCACCAAGGCATTCATCCTTCGCTCTCGGGGCCAGGCTTAGAGGACCCGTCAGCTTGTCGCTCTCTTGCGCAACTTTGTGCCACTATACCTGCCCACGTACTCATTACCTCACCTCATCCTCCTTTTCTGCCCTATTCATCACACATACAGCCTCTAGCTTTTACACACACACACAATGTCCCGTAGTCAATCACTTAATGACACAACAAATCTAGATCAAGGGCCGCTCCTCTATTGGAAGCGAGGGCCTACTCCTACCCGCTCGCCATTTGGCATTTGCCGACCTATCGCTTTCTCGAGTGCGTCCAAGTGATATTGGACGTTGCTCCATTTACCCTCTCTTGCTTGGTGGCGGCGGAAGCAGTGGGCCACCGCCAAACCCACCTGCCCCGAACGTTGACGAGGGTTGTGTATCTCTAATTTTTCGCCCACCACCGCCAGAACCTGGGATCTTGATGGAGAAGGTCTGGCCTTCCTTAAGGCTGTAATCTTGCTTTGGACCTGCGGGAATGTGGGGCGAAGGGCCTGAATCGACGTCTTCGGCCGCGGGACCGGCCTTGGCTGCCTTTGTCCGTCTGCATCGTCCATCTCCGTTGAGCTGCAAACAACGAGAAGGGGAACAAAAAAGTTCGGTACTCACTTTGTCCAATCTTGGAGTGCAACGTTGAAGTCAAACGATTCGCTCCGATCGAGAAACTGTGTATGCCTTCTCAGCTTTACTTCTTCTTGCTAAATCCCAACATCATCTTCAGTGCACACTCACGCCCATTCCGATGAATGCCTTCTTCTTGGAACCGCCTTCGGGAGAGTCGCTCTCGACGCGCAAGACAAAGTACCTCGACGAGTCAAGGACAGGCTCTACAGACTGGCCCGTCAAGTCGTAAGGGCACAGCGCGAACAGCTCCCCTTCGCAGCGTAGAGTGATGTTCAGCGACTCTTTAGTCTGCAATTTCGAAAGCAGAAAGAGCAGCGAGCTCACCAGAATCCTTGTCCTCCAGTCGAATCTCGCACTTGTCCGCTTCGCCCTTCTCAATGATCCTCAGCCTCCCCTTCCAAAGAAATGCCTCCATGTCGCCCCACTCTGCCGCCTTGTAGCCTGCCGTGGACTTGCGCGGCGGGATCCGATAGACGTAGCATTCCCGAGCAACGTACAGAACAGACTCGTAGGCGTCGTCCATGCTGTCTCCCTAGTGATGGTGTTGGCAGGGCTGAGGTTGTTCGAGAGTGCGCGGTGAGTGGAGTTGGCGCGAATGCACACACACACACGTGTGCGGTGTCAAGACGCGATCTCAAGGCTAAAGTGGCCGACGCCCAAGCCTAATTCAGTGTTGGTCACAAGAAGGAGAACGGCCATGTCACTGCCTTCACCGCCCCGCGATCGGCCGTACAACAAGAGACAGCATTCAAGAGCAGCCGATCATCTATTCGAAGACGATCTGCGATGGTGGAGTGACGAGCGCTCCGTCGAGCGGGAGAATCAAAGCAGGACAGAAGAGCTCTCATCATCATCGAGGTCAACGTTGCGGGAGAGCCAAAAGCTGCCGAAGTCTACCTCGAGTCGGACGATTGGCTGGCCAGATCATGACGCTCGAGGAATCGAGCCATACGACTTACCACTACAACGGCGCAAAAAGACTCGCTTTGCTCTGCCAGAAGAGATCATCTTGCAAGGGGAAGGGACTGCACATCCTCGTCACGCCGTCGGACATCGAACAGCATCTGACGCTCGTCGTGACTTGGAACCGAGGAACGAATCAAGTCGGAGAGAAGGATCGTCGAGCCACAAGTACAAAGGTGCCTCGCCGATAGTGTTGAGCTGCGCCCGTTGCCGTAGGATCTTGGGAGACTCGATCGGTAGCTCAGGAGGCGGGAGAGACGGAGTAGAGGGAAGAGACGATGAAGCCCAGATCCGACATGACCTTGGCTTTGTCGTCTTGACACGGATCACACCAATCGTGCAAATCAACCCAGATCTGCAGATGGTTGTGGAGGAGCATCGTCCGGACGTCGGAAGCACCTTCGTTGCCCTCTTTTGCGCCTGCGGATCCAGGGTTGGGAGAAAGTACTGGACGACCCCAAAGAACCTCGATTCGGTGAGGGATCGGTATGCGTTGTCGATCGGTCAGGTTTCCGTCTATCAGCTTGGAATAGCGGATTCTGCGGAAAGAGAACGACCCAGAGGAGCGTGGAAAGATGCTGCCGAAGCTTCGTTTGTGCAACCCCAGGCTTCGAGAGGTGTACACGCCAGCCCGAGTCAACAGCAGCAGCGTGAGAACAAACACCGTCCGATGACATCTATCGTGATGCAACAAGGCCATGTTCCACCGCATATGACGGCGCGAGATCCCCATGATGTGCCAGAAAGGCATAGGGTAGACTTTGAACTCGATGAGCTCATCGACGAGCTTGAGCGAAGCAGCGATGACAACAATGATCAAGACCGACGAGGTGAAGGGTACATGTGCCGACCGTTTAAGGTTGCAGCACCGCAAGTGAGATCGAACGCATCGGGCAACAACAACGTCAAGAAAGAAGCTCCTCGATCACCTTCACGAGTTAGAGACAGAAACTTTCCGTCCCCATCCTTGCGTCGCAGCGAGAAGGATCACAATGTATCAACCCCGACCATTCGCAAAGTCAAGAGGGAGCACTCGCTTAGCCCCATCAGGTTCAGAGGGTACAGCTCAGACGACGGATCGTCAGGTCGAGAAACAAGCAAGAAAGGCCGGGAGAATCCAAAGGTTCGACGGCTTGGTTCGCTGAAAGACATGTATGACTAGGTTACTCGAACTTTCGAAGTTTCGAGGGCTACAAGATAATCGTATCTGCTGTATTCTAACCAGCTTTTAAAAAGGATTCGCTTTGACTTCAGTCATTGTTTATGAGGAGCTCTGAAGGAGGGAACGCAGGCCAGCGCTCTGTTCGCATCCGCCTAAGGATCGCACTCGACGACCAGGCTGGATGGGAAAGGCCTCGCCAGATACTTGTCGTCTAGGTACACCGTGCGCTTGAGTTCGCTCTGTCCGAGAGGCTGGGAAATAGGCGATAGACTTCCGGCGAGTCCCTTTGCTCCCGCAAGACTTTTGAGCTTCAGAATTTCGCGAAGCATGGCGGAAATGGCCGGCACAAAGAGAGTCTCTTTGATGGTTGCGTTCCATAGCAGAAGCGAGAAGACGACCCGCTTGTCCGAGTCTCCAATCTTTAGAGTCTGAGCGTCATCAAGAGGCTGTCCAACGCTAGAGACTAGGAACCATTCGTTGGCGCGTACTTTTTGTTGCTCGACCAATGTGTTCTTCTCTGCCTTGTAAGCCACGACGAGCTCGATGGACGTTTGAAGCCACGCGCGAATCGAAGTGATGAATGCTTGTACGTCGCCCTCGTTGTCGCTCGTGGCGAGCTGTTCGAGCGTCTTTTTGTGCTCGCTCGAGAGAATTGCGTCGAGGGCGAGAGCGGCGAGATGAGAAAGAGTCGCCGTCACCGAAATCATCAAGACGACGAGAATTCCCACTGCTTGGTCCTTCTCATCGACGGACAGATCGTAAATATCCACGTACAGCTGGCGTGCTTCGGGCGGCAGATCAAGTCTGGGTGTCCAAAGGTGATAGGGCTTGGCGCGAGAACGATCCAATACCGATCCGATGATATTATGGAGTCCCGGTGCCGCCTTCTGAGCCAAGTCTTGCAGCTCAAAGTGCTGAGCAGCGTCGAAGTCTTCGGCCATAAAGGCATTGAGCTGAGCCAGTGTGTCGTGCAGTGTCTCTACTTCGAGGTTGCCAGACGAAAGGCCGAACATGGAAGAAGACCAACGCATGACGACAACACTCAAGAGATCCTTGATGGCGTCGAAGGACCTGCGGACTGATCCAGACAGAGCTCCTGTGTCTTTTATAGCCAGTCCTGTTTCAGCGGAAAAGAAACGAATGACTTGGTCTTGGCGAATCCTGCGCGACAGAGAACCGCTGGCACGGTTCAGAACGCTTTCGTCTACTCCACCCTGAAGTTGAGCGACAAGGGAGACGTTCTCCTTGAAGAGGTATGCCAGGGTTTCATCAGCGCAAAGCGATGCCGTTTCGTGGTCGACCAAATGCACCTTGAGCGCGTTATCAGGGCGACCGATGCTGTAATGGTCCAGCACGCCGTTAGATGCTAGGATCTGTCGTGCCGCCTTCGGAGTATAGAATGGTAGCAAGGCGTAGGCATTGCTCTGTCCCCACGAATTGGGAAGCGAATTGTAGAGGATGTGAGGCAGAAAGCCGCCATAAGATCCTTGGGCGGGCTTTAGAAGCGCCATACCTTGCTGAGTCAGCGTCGTTGCGTTCAAGTCGTGACTAAGGAATCGATCGCTGCGAATAAGCGTCACAGCGTCGGATAGAATCCCACGAGCGAGGGTGTGGCCGGGCTGCAGGCCCGAGCCAGGTACGTTGGGCTTGTTTTCCTCGCATTGAAGGCCAATGTACAGCTCGAGATCGTCAATGTGGCCGTATAGTTCTCTCGCCTTATTGGCAATCTCAGGATTTGAGTTCCATTCTTCGAAGGTCGAGAAGGTGGTCAATCCCAAGAAATGGCGAAACTCATTCATGGTGCACAGATTGAAGACGTCGCGGCACTGCTTGATGCCGGCGACTTCAGCGATGCGAAGAATGTCGGGAACGGAACGCCCTCCGAATTCGTGCGCTGGTTCCTCGATGGCATCCTTTAAGATCTTTGCGAGGTCGTCATCATCAAAGTAACCATCTTCGTTGCGTTTCAGGCCTCCAAAGGTCCATTCATTGTTTGGTTGCTGGTGTAGTTCCCTTTCTTTCTTGCCCAAGACCCCGTAAAAGTCGCTGTAGTCGAGCTTGTGAATGTCTTTTCCCGGGAGATCGCGACGAAAGGTGTCCTCGATCCACGCCACATCTGCCTTGCTCAGCGTGGCGTGCCACCTGTACATGGCGAGGAACTCGACGCTGACGACGTTTCCGCCTCCTCGTTTAGTCGTCTGCGTAACCCCTTTGATCTCTTTTCCGAGCTCCAGGTGCCAGTCTGTGTTCTGCTGAACGGTTCCTAGAATGACAGAAACGTAGTCGCAGAGGACCGTCTTTGCGAAGAAAGCTACATTGATGTTGCGAGCGAGCTGGAAGAGGTCGTTGTCTTGCCACTTGCGACCCTCCTCATCTAGCGCAATCCATGGCTTGTATTTGCCCTGTTCATTGACCTCAAAAAGCTGTTCCACCAGACGATTGTGGTGTCGCGAGAACATGATCAGGAGCGCTATGACAGGTGGCGACATGAGCATCAGACGATCCAGCGCGATGGTGTCAGGATGAATGCGGCCCTGAATGTAAGTGCGTACCTGAGCCTGCTGCTCCTCGTTGCTGCCGTAGAGTGGGCTGAGATCAACATATGAGCTGGTGAGATTAATTCAAGGCCTTTCGCGATCGGACACGAAGAGATCGTGAATGATTAGGACGGCCTGTGCAAAGAAGAGGCGGTTGAGGCCTCCCTGTTGCTCTTTGAACGTCGAAGCGCCGTCACGGCGAAGAAGAGTGTCAAACATGAGCTCGGGGTCGGGCAGCAGACGGCTCTTGACGGCTTGTGGTGCGACGTTGCGGGCATAAGGCATGCCAGACTTGCCCAGCTCGGGCATCTCGATGCAATTACCAGAACCATCAGCGCTGCGATAGACCGCCGTAGGTCCCATTCGGGAGGCCGGAGCTAAAAAGTGTGTCAGATATATGAAGAAAGGCGAATAAAACTTGCGTCGACTTACGATGAATGAGATCCGACCAGAGGAACTGTGGCGGAGTGAGTTCCTCACCCTGTTAGCACTCTGTCACCAAGCAGACAGAAACGGGCTGCTCACCTCAATGAAGCGGTTGGAAAGGGCGTCGCCGATGCGATTACCTTCTGGAAGCGTCTGGAGAGTTACGACTAGATTCTCGAGGAGAAGCTCGCGGTCATCCATGGGCTTGCCGACGACCGCACCGAGGCCGGTTCGAAGGGCTTGCAAGAGCGTCTTCCAATCGTTCCATTTGAGCTGGAGCACGTCTCGAATAAGCGACGTGGCAACATTCGTGTGGTGACTGCTGCTGTCAGACTCGACAGTGAGCTGTTCCTTGCTGCTCATGACTGAAAAGATGTTCTCCTTCTGGGTCTTGTGGGACAACGCTGCCTCCTTTTTATGCCCGGGCTGCCGTTGCTGAGTTTGCTGGCCCTCAAACTTGCAGTAGAGTGACAATTGGGTGAGCTACTACTAAGAGGTCAGGTAATCGATACGGCCACCTACAAGGAGATCCGAGGAGCATAAATATAGATATGACCCCGCCTTACACAGCCTGGACATTCTCCGACCCCTGACGTCGAGCCATATGACTTCACAGTATCAATCCAATGCCCCAAATGCGCGCGGCAGGGCAAGCTGCGCAAGAGCACGCATTTACAGGCTGTGAATCGCCGTTTCTCATTCATCACGTTGTGTGCAGTTGTTCGCCATTCTGCGTGAAAGTAGTCAATAGAGGGGTGAGAGTAATAGTGTTGTTGCCTCGAAGAATGCAGCAAAATCGCGCAAGATTGCGAGGCCGCAACATTGGAGGAGTAGTCCAACAGCTAAATTTTTAGGCCGAGAAGAGCGCGTCTTGCTCAGAGTGCCCGGCTTCACGCGTCGTCCAACACCAAGACTGACACCGACACCGACGAGGCGACTGGGACGCAAGATGCTGGCCGAGCTGCTGCTGGTCATGGCTGGCCATGCCTCCTCTTTCTTCGTCGTCGCTGATCGGCCCAGCTCCTCGACTTCGAAACGCGTGCCGTGGTCCTGGACCCTGCGTCTCGTCGACGGCAGCCATGCCTTGAGTCAGCTTCACCCGGGCGAACGCGCCAGCCTCGAAGCGCTGGCCAATTTGGCGGCCAAACACCTCCGAGTGCAACTCTTTGCCAAATTAATCCTCGTTCGTGCTCGCTCTCAGGCGCTCTCGTCGAGTAGCAGTAGTAGTAGCAGCAAGAAGAGGCAGAAGGCTGCGATGGAGCATCGCCATCAGAGTGCCCTCTTTGCGCCCATGGCTTCGTGCCTGCTGCGCCTCTTGAAGGGCTACGAGCAGCTGGTCATTGACACCGAAAGCGATATACTTCTGCGCAAAGAGGACATAGTCGACGGGGATGACTCATTCGTGAGCCTGGCAAGCGTTCGCGCCCGATTCGAGGAATGGCAGGCGCCCTTGTCTGCGCTCGATGCACTCGTGTCGGCTATCCTCGCCGGTCCTGAGTCAGACGTCTTCGTCGACGCCCAAACATTCGACCAGACAGTACACTCGCCACCTAAGCCCCCAACGTGTCCTTCTTGGCCCTCGGGAAAATTGTTAGATCTCGTCGGCCTTCGCGCAGACACCGGCGTTGGCAGGGTGCGAGCGTGCATGTTGGCCCTCGTCTGCTCCATCGAGGATGCCTGGCGCGGCGCACTGGTGGCATGGATGTGCTACGGAGACGCACAAGAATCGAGCACGTTTGGCATCGGCAGCGACCCTCTTGTGGAGTGGGTGGGCAACAGTGACGAGGCTGGGGGTCGGGAATGGTTGGCCATGTCGACCTCGTCCGATGTCCTACCTTCCCTGGCGACGACGGGCGACGACGATGACGACGAGATGCTGAAAGGATCGGGACTGACAGGCTGGCGATTCGTGAAGGATGCGCTTCCCTCGTCGATTACGGACGACGCCGCCACGGCCGAGGCAATCCTCTACGTGGGCCGAGCCCTTCACACCGTCAAGAATCGCTCTGCCTCCCACCTGCCCAACTCCGGCCCTCGAATGCTTCCCGAAACACTGACGAGCTCGCACGTTGCTCTGCTTCGGTCGGACCAGGCTAGGCCATCGACACGGCCGATGGACTTCAGGCGAGCGGTGGCGCGGATTCGCGAAGATGTGGGTGAATGGATGTGGCGCAATGTCCTCACGCCTGAAGTCGTCCTGGGCGCATTTGATGCTCTGTAAGTGAAGAAGTGTTCGAAAGCCACCGCTCGGCACACACTCACTTGCCTGGTAATCTTTGCTTTGCAGGGGCGATTACTTTCTCCATCGCAAGGGCCTGTATGCTACGTCGTTACTACAAGAGCTTTCCAAGCTCCGCTACGCGAAGCTCGTTGGCACTCGAACAGCGGCAGCGGGGACCATCAAGACGGCTGACATCGAGGTTGCTCTGCAACGAGCCAGCGTGGGCACCGAGGCCGAGGATGACAGCCACCTGGAGCTGTGCCAGGTCATCATGCCCCCACGACACACCGGCAACGTCAACGAGTGGAAGCCAACGAAGCTTCAAGGTGCAATTTCACCAAAAAATTCTGTGCGATTCGATGATATCGCACTTGGGGTGCCCTTCACACTTCGCTACAGTGCTCCATTCCCTCTCGACCTCATTCTGTCACCTCCAGAGCTGCGAGCTTACTCCGATCTCTTCTCCTACCTTCTCGCCCTGCACGCAACCCAGGCCCGCCTTCGAGACTGCTGGATGAACCTGAGCAAAGCGCAACGGAGCAGACGGCGATTCACAGGTACAGGAGAAGGAGGTGTGAGCCAGAGAGAGGAACGGGAGCGTACGAAACTCCTTCGCATGGCTTGGGGTGCTGCAAGAGAGGGCCTCTGGTTCTTGGAAGCGCTCGGCGGACACTTTCAGGTATGTCATTCTTCTGTTGATTCGCATTCATGAATGTCATAGGCTGATTGACGAGATGTTCAAAAGACGGACATCATCGAAGTTCAGTACACGCGCTTCTTGGACCAGCTGCAGAGCCTCCGACCGGCATCGCAGCAAGGCTCTCGCCACGAGAGAGACGGCAGCGGAGACTCGTTGCCGAGCCGCTCAAGGGTGCCATCAACCACGACGCGCAAGTCTGCGGCAGCTTCGACGACGGCAGCAGCAGCATCTGCAGCGGCGATAGCGAGGGCTCGAAAGGAGTCAGGAGGCTCCAGCGTACGTGCTCCCGCTCGTCATCCCTTCCCTTCGTCGTCTGTCACCGGAGGTCCGCCATCCGTCTCCCTCTGGCAACAAGCGCGCAGCGTCAATCCAGCTGCCAGCACCGTCGGAGGAACGGCGAATTTGCGACGGGTGGGAGGTGCGCCGACGTCAACGAGCATAGCGGCTGCACCAGGCGAAGGCGGGAGCGGAGCCATCATCAATAACAGCGGTCTCGACTTTGTGACTTCACGATCGACACATCAGGCTTTTCTGTCGTTTGTCCTCGATGGCCTGCTCCTCACCAGCAGAGAGGCTTCGGCGTGCGTGCGAAGAATCCTGCAGACCTGTCTGCGATTTGCCGCGCTCGTCGATCGCTGGGGAGGTGACGTGTTGCCGGATCTGTTGAGTGAGGGAAGCGTCCTCGGTGGGGCGTCTCAAGAGGGGGGAGAATCGCACGTCGACGAGGTCAGCGCAACGCTAAGGGAGAGGAGCAGATTGATTGCTGAAGTGGCCGAGGTGTGTTCTCCTGCCTCCCTTTGGCCCTCTCATTTTTCCGTGTTGACTGAGATCTGACCCCAATCTACCCGACAGGCGCTGAGGATGCACCTCGACGAGTTCTTTGCTCTGCTGTCAAACGCGTCCTCGACGCCGTCTTTGGCGTTGCAGAAGGACGGCGCAGGAGCGCCCTCTCCTGCTCGTCACAGCACCATTGACGCCACCCCAGCGAAGAAGCAAGCGGGAGGAACGGCGTTGGCGGCGGCGACCACCTCGGCCGCCGCGGCCCGTCTCGACGCGGACAGCGCCGCACGGCGTCACTTGGAGCAGCTCCTGTTGAGGCTTGATTGGAACGGCTACCTCTCAGCCAGGGCCTCACACCCGTGAAGTGGATGCTTCTGAGCAGACCAGATCGAGCGATTGTCGACTAATCAACCATTCATAGGAGTACAACAAATAGCTATCAACTTAGTTGCGTATGAGGTGCTTGAGCGCATACATGCATGGGCCATACTAGCATGCGAGACGTGTCATGATTCTGAACCTCCACCCATGCCAGTGACACCGAGACCGAGACCGTTTGAGGCCATCTCCGCGTTCGCTTCGCTGTGATGCTGGGTCTGAGCGTGCGGCTGTTGGTGCTGCGTGGGATGAAGCGTTGACGTGAGCGGCAAGGGACTGGCGCCACGACTGGCGCTGGCCGGCCTGCGTATCCTGCCCGACGATGAAGGAGGCAGGATGGGGCTGCCTCCGTTTGTGAGGGGGACTGGCAGCGAGTTGTGGTCGATTGCATTGGCCAGGTTCCGCCCACCTGCGCCTCCTGATCCCGCATTGCCGTTTGCCCGTCGCGCCGAGCCATTGCCGTTGCCGTTTCCGTTGCCATTTGACGACGAGCTCGACGAAGATGATGAAGGCGCAGCCGACGCAGAGGCAGCAGCAGCAGCAGCAGCAGCGGCGGCCGCAGCGGCTGCTGCCTGGTTTCGCCGGCTGCTGCTCCGCTCACCAACCGAGACGGGAGGCGTGCTCCCCACCCTCCCATTGCCATTTGCTCCGCCAGCGCCGTTGGAGGATCCGCCAGGCCGGCTGCGCTTTCCGGAGACGCCCAAGATGCCGAGCCGGTTCATCTCTTCGCGCCTCTCGAGCTCCTTTTGCGCTTCGCGCCTGCTCTGTGCAGCCAGCCTGGCCGCTTCGAGCCTGGCTCGGTGCAGGGATGTGCCGGGCGCGCCAGGGTAGCGGTCGTTGGATGTGGCGTAGATGAGCGCCTGAAGCGCAGGCGACGACGTCAGACTCGAAGGTGGGGTAATGCTCGAGGAGAGCGTCGAAAACGACGAGGAAGCCGGCGCATTGGGAATCGACGTCGAAGAAGCGCTTGGCTGCTGCTGCTCCACTGCTCCACTGCTGCTGCTTGATGACGTGGCCGCGGTGGCCGTGGATGGAGCCGAAGAGGAAGACGACAGAGAAGAGGAGGACGAGGGGGAGCGGGTCGCCTGCGCTTTTCGGCTACGCTTCGGGCCGCTGCCTCGAGGATGTCCGGCCGAAGGTGGCAAGAAGGATGGATTGTTCAGCATCGTTGCGCTGAGCGGAGTACTGGCTGTAGCGTTGTGGTTTCTGCGGAGGTGTTACGTCTGGTGGTGTAAATGTGGATGGGGTGCAGGAAGGCCAAGATGAGAGGGGGGGCAGAGGAGACAGGACGCGCGTGTTTGGCGAGCAGAACGGGCGCGGGTCAGACACAAAGGCGGTCCTGTCTCGCACGACTTCGAGCTAAAACTTGCACGCTCGGACCACCCATCAATTTATTTTGTTTTCCACCTTTCTGCAGAAGCTCGGCTGCAAGAAGACGCCGATGAGGCGATGTAAATTCAGACAAGTCATGAGTCTATGCTGAGACAGGTGCACGGTAGATTGTCTTTCATTCATTGTGATCTAAGAGACGACAAAAGGGGCGATGAAAGCAGCACATCTACTCGTAGATCCAGGCGTCAACGGCGCGCTTGTAGGGGATCGAGCCGTCCTGGCCGAACCAGAGCGAGATCTCCTTCTTGGCGGACTCGACCGAGTCAGAGCCGTGGCAGATGTTGCTGTCGAGGGCCGATCAGTCAGATGGCAACGACAGAGATGAAAGGGGGAAACACGGGAGTAGACTCACCGGCCGACGTCAATGGCAAAGTCACCACGGATAGTGCCAGGAGCGCTCGCCAGAGGGTTGGTGGCGCCAAGAAGGGCACGTCCCTGGGGAGCAATCAGGGATCAGCACATTGAAAGACATAGGTCCGAGCGTGGAAACGAACCTGCTTGACGACGTCCTTGCCCTAAACGACGAAAGATGAGGGAAACGAGAAAAACGTCAGCGATGGAGCGAGAGGAGGGCTACGAGGCAGTACTGACCTGCCAGACGGTGGCGAAGACAGGGCCGCTGGCCATGTACCTGGAGTGGACAGGGAATGAGGTCGGCATGTCAGTGGGCAGCACTCCTCATATTGTAGCAGAGTGGACCCACTTGATGAGACCAGGGAAGAAAGGCTTGCCCTTGAGGTCAGCGTAGTGCTGCTCGAGGTGCTCCTGCGAGGCGTGGACCATCTTGGCGTTGACGAGCTGGTAGCCCCTCTTCTCGAAGCGGCCAACAATCTCGCCGACGAGGCCACGCTGGACGCCGTCGGGCTTGACCATGATGAAAGCTACAAATTAGAGCGCGATGTGAGAGGGCTGCACTCTTCTGAGGAGGAGCTCATTAACCACTCACTCTGTTCGGTAGCCATCTTGATGAGGAGTTGTCACAATGAGAAGGTGATGTTCGGATAGAAGAAATGAAAATGTGACAGCGTTTGAGAGGCAAAACGTGCACTTTGACATCACGTGTTTTGTGCTGACGTAAGCAGAAAGAGCTTAATATTTCATGGCGGAGCGTCGGACTAAGTTACAGAATCTCGTCCGAGATGCGGTCGAAACAGTCAACACCTTCTCTGCCAAGGGCAGTGGCCAGGGCGACAGCTTTAGCGCCCGCCGCGTGCATGCGCTGAGCTGCAAGCCCGCTGATGACCCCGCCGACACCGATGATATCGATGTTCTTGAGTCTCTTGTCACCAGATGCGTCGAGTAGTCGGCGTAGCCGATACACATTGCCTGAGAGTTTGTAAACCTCCACGCCGGGAAACAGCACCTAAGACCGCACTCACCAAGCGAGATGGGATGCAAGCTTTCGCCTGCCAGCCCTCCTGTTCCATCGAACCCCTGGTCATCGCCAGGCAGACCACGAGGTAGGGAGGGTGTAAATCTGCCCGGCGAGTCACCCTCGTTGAGCCAGAACGAGCAACCAAGGGTGTTCGTGCTCGTGAGGAACGCAATCGGGTGTCTTCCTGCATCTTTCAAGGAACCTAGCGAAGAAAGCTCCTGTACCAAAGCCGCAAATTGGGCATGGTAGGAATATGGTGGAAGCTTGAGTCTAAATCTTGTCTTTTAGCTGGTGACTGACGCTCCTTAGAAACGGCTTCACCCACCCCACGGAGAGGAGATGGCCCCTAGACCCTTCGTTGGCTGCCTTGATCTCTTTCAGATATTGCGCTATCGCCTCGGGGTCGTAAGCGGTGGGCATGTCGGTCCCCTTGACCTTGATGTGGATAAAGATGAGACAAAAGCTGACATGGAGGGAGGTCGATATTACTCACGTTCGGGCAACTGAGGTTCACTTCGACGCCAATCAAGTTGGACCACCCCTCATCAGCCGTTCCTCCAAGAATTTCAGAGGTCCAGTCCCGCAGATACGCAATCGTACCTCCCACAGCCTCCGGCGGTCCAGTTATGCTGATGATGACCGGCTTTCTTTCTGAAGAGGAAAAGAGCTGCGAGAGCCAGTCCAAATACGAAGAGAGCGGATGAGGGCTGAAACCATACGAGCTGCTATTGTTTCAGCAGGAGCTCAGCTTTTCGCGTGCAACCATCCTCACTTGATCGAGCCTCTCGCAATTGTCAACCTCCCACCCTCAAGTGTCTTGAGATGGTCGCGGACAAACGCATGCGAATGCACGTTTGCGTCCTGCTCATAGACAGATTTAAAAGCAGCCGACTTCGCCTCCCTCCGAAGCCTCTCGATGTCTTCGCTTGATACAACGGCAGTTCTGGTTGTGACAGCCGATGTGCTGGGGGAATCAAATAGCTTCGTAAGATCTTGAAGATCGCTGGCCCATGGTGAAGCTTCCGGATTGTTCGTCAGCTTAAAGCATCCTAGTATGGAATGCATACAGCCTACACACAGCTATTGAGAAGGGCAACACCTTTCTCCTGGCCCGACTCCGTCTCCTTCAACAATAGCGAACCAATTTGCACCATGTCTGCGCCCTCCCACGCTTTCGACGATGAGTGACCTTGGCTTCCTCCACATACGCGGAGACGGAAAGCCGGTCTTCGTATGCCACGTGTTTCGATGGGGGTCACCATCACAACGATGAGCACCATGGCTCATTCAGCGTAGAGAGGTTGCTACAAAGGCAGCGGCGAGCATCACAAACACAATCGCGATTCGAGGAAGCTCTTCTAGGGTAGAGGTGTACGTGCCACAGGACTCCATACTCACACCGAGGAAGCATTCAAAGCTCGAGCCTTTCATTGGCTCGTCTCTTCTCCTCCCATGGGCATGCCCACTCTCCCCTCCACTCTCCTCAGCTCCCAGTGTAGCGATGCAACGCTGTGCAAGTGGCTCTGGAGAACAATAATTGCACCCTCGATGTGATCAGAAATGTTGGCTGCCAGTGACGGTCTACCATGTACGAAAGCTGGGTCACGTGTGAAATTTCCAAAACACGTGGCCTGTTCTTTGCTCCGCAGCGAGGTTGGATTAGAGGACCATTCGAGCACTCGAATCTACTACTCCTCACCGACACCTCTCAAGATGGTTAGTAATGATGTGGCTAGAGACGGCATTTGATCGGATGGCACGCTGGATATCGTCAGGAGCGTCCAATTCCGTGGGACAGGGGATGGTGATTGTGGAAAGGAGAGGTGGGCGAAGCATGTCGTAAAGGGGTACTGCTGGATGGTCTCGAAGCGAGGTCTAGGATGGAAGCGACTTGGCGGCATGGACTTTTTGCTCGTGCAGATGGTCCATTGCCTGCAGCCGTAGGAGAGGACGCAAACGGGCATCGCACAGGACATATTTTGGAGCTCTCAAGGACGAAGAAGGAGGGGGGCCGTTCCATCAAATGCTGTCTTGAATCGCAAGTCAACCTTAGGACGTGGTATGCTGACGAGGTTGTGTCTGACAGGACTCGACCTCTCCCGTGACTCTGCGAACGCGCAAGTTCATCACCAACCCGCTGCTGCAGCGCAAGCAGATGGTCCTCGATGTCATTCACCCAACGCGGGCCAACGTCTCCAAGGACGAGCTCGAGGACAAGCTGTCGACGATGTACAAGGCGCAGAAGGAGCAGTGCGTCGTCTTCGGCATGAGGACCCACTACGGTGGTGGTCGCTCGACTGGTGAGTTTCCTTCCCGCCGGTGGCTGTTGGATCAGCAGGATCGAGCAATCGTCTGACCGATGATGGACATCGATCAGGTTTTGCTCTCATCTACGACTCGCGCGACTCGATGAACTTCGAGCCCCGACACCGTCTCGTCAAGAAGGGCCTCGCCGCCAAGGTCGAGAAGCCCTCGAGGAAGCTGCGCAAGGAGAGGAAGAACCGCGCTAAGAGTGAGTGGTTTCTTGTTCCATCTTTCATGATCGTCTCTTGGCTCACGACTCGTCCCTGCCTACAGAGGTCCGCGGTGTCGCCAAGAAGAAGGGCTCTGGAGACAAGAAGAAGTAATCGACCTATTCTCTTCTTCTCCTACACCTCTCGTTGTCGCGGCACACATTTTTCTGCATACACCACACGCACACACACTACTACAACATCACCCAAAACTTCCCGCTGGGAGCAGGCTGTCTTATGGCTTCTTCTCACCTTAACGCTTGTACCATGATCACAACCATGAGCTCTACTCTCACTGGGGGAGCGCGCAACATCGAAAATTGAAAAAGAAGCCAAGTGCAGATAGACTCGGGTTTGTTGCGATTCCTGTACTAACAGAGGATACATCTACACATCGAAACGGGCCTTTCGCCTCCCCTTTGGCGGTGCTGATGGCAAAAAGTTAGATGAGGTGACCTCTGATGCAGTAGACCCTGCTGGTGCCTGGTCCGAAGGAGGCAAGAGGGGAAGACCGGCCCTCGAGACACTCGACCCAGCCTGTCTGTTGCCCAGCAGGAAGAGGCCGAGGATCCTTCGAAGGCCCTTTCCGAGTGCGCCCGGCGCTCCCTCATACAGGTTGGCCAAGAGTGAGATGCCAATGGCGAGGAGCATGACATCGCCCTTTGGGATCGGGCGAAGCTTGCGCTTGTGCACGAGGACCTGGTAAGTGCTGTCGAGGGACATCCTGCCGACATAGAGGCCGAGCTGCGATCGTCGAGAGGGAGGAACAGCAAAGATGAAGATGGATGAGAGGAAACCGTTGAGGAAGTAACGGAAGCGGGGGAACAAGGTCCGAGGAAGGTAGTGTTGGAAAAAGCAGGTGAGGGCTACAAGAGGAAGTGTGTCCCTTGTCAGTGGAGCGATCAGGAGCAATGTGAGAGAATGCGACACCTACCCCAGGCAGTGCCGATCGATCCGGAAATGACGGTGGCGCCTTGAGCAACGCTCAATGAGAAGCCAAAGAGCTGCTTTTCGGGGTCCTTCAACCATGCCTTCCACCTCAGTACGTTGAATGCAGCCAAGAAGGCGCCAACGAAACGAGCGCTGGCGATCCATTCCCGCTTCCAAAAGTCTAGCAGATTCTTGCGGCAAGAGGGCTCAGTCGGATGCAATAGGGCGCAGAGAAGCTCCGTGTGGGCGGGATGCGCAGGGGAGAAGTCGAGTACGGGGTTGATCTCCTTGTACGATGTTGTTGGGTATGGGGAAGGATGGAGCGCCGAGAGCGAGGGAGAGGTGAAGGAGGGGAACGCAGATGCGGTACGCGTCGGAGTGCTGAGCAGGGCGACATGGTCTGCAATCTGTCGCTTCGAGGGCCATGGAATCGACGAAGGGAAATTCTCGGGTCTAGAGGGGATATAAGCCGAGGAGCGAGCGAGGATGATGTCTCCATAGCCCTTCGGAAAGGCGTACGGTTCAAAGAGAAAGGCCCAGAGCAGCTGACCGTTGCCGATAGCGTACAGAAGCGCTGAGTCGCACCACTTGGGCACCCATGATGTAGCCCGGCTGCCGCTCCTTCGCAACAGGTGGTAGTGATTGTGAAGGCCTTTCGTGAAAAGATCCAAGGCGAGGCTCTTTCTCGGAAACGTCGGGGCGCCAGGCCTTGACGGTGTCTGCGAGGGCAAGAGAACCAGTGCGGGAGAGGCCAGCAGCGCAGCAAGCGACGGAGCCACGCCTTCACCCCGCAAAAGCCGCACGAGCCGTGCAAGAACGCGAGAACGAAAGGCTGCGTTGGGAAGCGAGGATGGGGCTAGGGCCGGCAGCGAAGCGAGAGACTTGAGCCGAAGAAAGTTCAAGAAGTAGGTCAACGAACGGTATAGCAGCGTGAAGAGACCGAAGCCGGCGCCAATACGTGTCGAGGTCTGTGAGAAGATGGATCGGAGTGCTTCTCTCGGACTGTAGGAACAGAAGGGCGATCAGCAACAAAGGATGTCGGACGACCAAGCCAGACAAACTTACGTCTTTCTTCGCAGCAGCCCAGGCAGCAAGCTCTCGAGAAGCGTACTGATGATGTATCCTGCCAAGAAACTTCGGATGGCCGCTCGACTGGCGAGCGGTAAAACATCGTCTTGAAGGGCATTGTCTAGCGCAACCGAAAGCTTGGGTGGTTCTTCGGTCTTCGAGTCTTTTGTCTTGTCCTTTTCCTCGAAAGCAGCCGTAAATGCAGCGATAAAGGGCGACCCTCGGTAGCCAGAGCCGGCAGTGGGTGTGGAAGGATACGAGGCCGTTGGTGTGGGAGGATTTGTTGAGGGTGCTGAGCTGTAGACCGGGGGTGGTGGCTTAGCAAGGCCCATCTTGGAAGCCAACGTGCGCAGGCGGTGAGCTTCGGCAGGTGTCACGACAAACGTCAGTGGCAAGGCAAGCGGCGGAGGAGCGTCGAGAGGCCAATCTCCTGACCCGCGATCCGACCCGTGCGACGTCTGCCTCGCCATCGAAGTCGACTTGGCCATCGTCGCTGTCGTTCGTGTCCTCAGAAGGACCGATCCCGTTTGCCGACCAGACGCGCGAACTGAATATCCAGATCCTCTTCTCCCCGCACGGTGAAAACATGTACCGGGCTAAGAGTCTAAAATGCCACGTGTGATGAAGGAGGCGTAGCCGTTGCTTGCTTGCACTTTTGAGACCTTCGAGGGTGTCGGTCTTCTTCTGTCTTTGTCCATTCTTCAACACGGCTGCGAGCGAGTCGAGAAGAGACGACAAGGGACAAATATGCGGCTCCAGGCTCTGCTGCTGCTCTTACTGAGCCTCCTCGCACATGTCAAATGTGTGCGTAGCGCACCGAACTGCTTATAGATATCTTCATTTACTGACTCGCACACGACTTGACAGCTCTACTTCTACCTGGACCCAGGCGACCGCCGGTGCTTCTACGAGGAGTTACCAAATGACACAGTCGTAGTGGGGCACTACATGGCCGAGGTTTGGGATCGAGAAAAGCAGCACTTTATCATCCGAGACGATCTCGGTATTCAGATCACAGTCAAGGTGAGTTTGGGCATCACATCATCATCATCATCTCACGTATGACACCTTCTGAACCGTTTGCTCTGATTGTGCAGGAAGTCAAGGAGGATCATCTCGTCACTTCGTCCATGGGGCCCTCTGAGGGCAAATTTGCTTTCACGTCGCACGAAGCTGGCGATCACAGCATCTGCCTTTCGACCAAGCTCCTCAACGGGTCCGGCTACAAGCCCTCGCCCGACGACCACGAGCACCAGGTGCGCATGCACCTCGACATCATCATCGGTGAGGCCAAGCCCGACAACAAGCCTGCGGACCGCCAGCACATCACCGACCTGGCAGGCCGGGTCCGGGATCTTAATGACAAGCTGCGCGATATCCGCAAGGAGCAGCAGTTTCAGCGCGAGCGAGAGGCAGAATTCCGAGATGCGAGCGAGAGGGCCAACTCGAGGGCAGTCTTTTGGAGCTTGGTGCAGGGCGTCACGCTCATTGCCACCTGCGTATGGCAGGCTAGTCATCTCAGGGTACGTCCCGCTGGTCCCCATTGTCGACGTGGAATCTGATCAGAGGCTGATGAATTTTCTCCCCCTCTCGCGAACAGACCTTTTTCGATCACCGCAAGATTCGATGAAGACTACAGAAGTGCTGTACTGTAGATTACCGAAAAATCATCCATTTCAAGATTCATCTACGGTTTAGTAGAGCAGCCAAGAGCCAGACACAGGCTAGGCTCTAGGTGTGACGGTCCCATCATCGTCATCATCCGCGCCGTCGTCGTCAACGACAAAGTGGGACGTTTCGCCCATGACTTCTGACCTCGATGAACTTCTGGATGGTTCTTCGTCGGGCACCCTTGCCCAAGACGTCGTGCTCGGTCTGCCCCTTCTTGATCTTGCAAATGCAGGTGCATAACGGTCGGACAGCGGCCTGAAGCGCTTTCTGGCCCAGTCGAGAGCGTCGCGCAGTAGCACTTCGAGCTCTCCTCCAAATTCCCCTGCACCGCCTGACCCACTGCCATCGCCGTGAGAAGCTGATGAAGATGGAAAGGTGGTCGCAAACGATTGAGCAAGGGCCGACGATGCCGTTCGAATGCCCTGCCTTGTGCCTGCTCCTGGACTGACGCCACCACCGGCATTCGTCGTCGTGGGCAGGAGACGGGCCGAATGCATCTCCCTCGCGGCGGCTTCAGAGGCCGTTGCCCTTCTCTCCTGCGCCGCAATGAGCTTGAGCACGTCCTTTACCGTGACGAGACCCTTCAATAGGCCGAATTGGCTGACCAGAATGACGCGCGGGCCCAACTTCTTGAAGAGATCCATAACCACTTCGAGCGGCATTGAGGGCTGGACAAGGAGCGGGTTCTGCTCGACCCACCCTCCGAGCTCCAAGACATCGACATCACCCTCCATGTCGATTCCCCCGCCGGCAGCTCCCAGCACTCCGTCTTCTGTCATTGCTACCCCTTCGCCCTCCGCTTCCTCCTCCTCATCCCTGTCGCCGTCAATGAGCACTGCCTCTTCTTCTTCTCTCGTCTCTCTCCTCCCGACGCTCGGTCTTCCAGATGCTCTGCCAGAGTAGTCGTCATCTTCATACGTGTCGAGCAGAGGCTCCGGGTCCTTTGCTCCGCGAGCGGTGGGATCAATCGAGAACTGACAGCGAGCCTCTGCGTCCAGGGTGCTCCTCACCCGTCTCGCCTTGCCAATCGCGTACCTCAGCTCCGTCTTGCCCGCATAGCCAAGCAATGTCCGATCCTCCCTCGACCTAACGACTGGAAAGCCCTTGTAAGGACCCTGTGCGAGCTTCGCCTCGACTTCTTTGAGCTGCATGCCGCTGGCGTAGAGGACGACGGCCTGCCTCGTCATGACGCTCGACACAGGCAGATTGAACACGTGGTCGTCCTTGTCGAGGAAGGGGAAGCCTTGGAAACGGATCGTCTGCTCAGCGATGCCGCCCTTGCCGTACCAATCGCCAACGCCCTTTGTGATCATGACGACGAGCATGGTGGGGAGAATGTAGGTCAGAGCGCCCGTGAGCTCAAACATGATGACTACGACGGCGACGGTGATCCGAGTGACTCCCGCTAGCGCCGCCGCGGCGCCCAGGAACGCATAGGTGCCCGGGGTGATGCAGGGCACGTCTGGCTGGCAGGCGCTGAAGAAGCTCGAGTGGGGAAAAGAGTTGTGGAGCGACTTGACAATAATGCCAATCATGCGTCCGAAGGTGGCACCGATGGCCATAGACGGCACAAAGATGCCCGCTGGCACCTTGCAGCCGTAGCTGATGATGACCAGCGCAATTCTCAGCACGGTGGCGAGGAGAAGCGAGTTGACCATGCGCCACTGGGCCCATGATTGGCAGAGGTTGTCGTAATCGCCCCCTCCTTCGCACTCTCGAAAGAGAATCTCGAGTGACTCCGTCATGTCGATACGAAGAAACATGTTCCAATATCCGATGAAAGCGGTCAAGACAGCCAGGACACACGCTTCGGAAACGCCGTGGGCCGCCAGATTCTCTCTTCGAAACTTCTGTACCTGCAGGTTGTACTTGATGACGAGAGCGCCATATAGACCCTGTTTCCACTCGTCAACACCATGCTTTATGACGAGTCCAGACGAACCACATGTCGCGGTGACTCACCCCAAAGATACCGATGACAATGTAGAAGATGATCTCGAAGTAGTGCCAGTCTCGATCGTAAGAGACCTGGAACAAGACGAGCTTGCCTGTCTGGAAGGGGTTCATGAACGACAGAGCCACTGTCGCAGCCAAGGCGCACAGGAAGCTTCGCCACATGGTTGTCGCCGGAAAATTGTAGGCCATCTCCTCCAGGGAGAACAGCACGCCGCCAATCGGGGAACCGAAGGCGACTGCTACTCCAGCGGCACTGGCAGCTGTCAAGAGCTCCCTCATCCGGGCTATCATCACGTCAGCTATGCTGTCGGCCGATGCAGTGCGATTGGAGCTCCCAGACTTACCCTGGCTCCTATTGAAGCTGCGGAACGCCTGAGCGACGAGGTTGCCGATGCAGCAGGCAATGTGCACAGCTGGTCCTTCTTTGCCCACACTCAGACCAGAAGCGATGGCGAGAGGCTGTGGGGCTGTTGTCAGCTGCCGGTGGTCGGCCATGGACACTACCTCGTGATGTTTGGCTCACCAGGGCAAGGCTCTTGATGGCCAGCGTCCAGGCGCCCAAGAAGCCATTGATGATGAAGCCAGCCAGGATGCACTTGATCTCGCTGATGCCACTTCCAGCCGCGTAGGGGGCAAAGTGTCGGACCATGTGGGCGCACAGGCTCGAGAAGACGGCAGCAAAGAGGATATAGGTGATCCAGGAGGGAAAAGTCCAGCTGGACCATGCCACCCAGTCCTCGCATACATCGGCGGGTGTCGTCGACGGGCTCGAGCCAGGCGATGCATCGGCGCGCGAGAGCAGTAGAGCAGCATTTGCCAGCGCAGAAGCTCTCGAAGCGAGCATGCTGACAGCTGCTGTCGAAGTGGTATTGACGACATTGGTCACGGTGGGTGCGGCCGACGCCATGGTCGTGGCAGCAGCTTGGGCGGCCTTGACTGCCGGGGGCGGCAAAGCAGCGCCACCAGGGCCTGCCGCGTCCATGAACTCGCCGCAGCAGAATTTGCGATTGAGCCACCAGCCAGAAGAGCAGTAGCCCTGCTTGAGATCGGACGCCCATTCTGTCGCCAGCGAAATGATGGCCATGTTGACGCCGATGAGAAGCCCTGGTGAATAGCAATGACTTTGAGAACGCCTTCTCATCGCGTAGTTGACAAAGACTCACCAACGAGCACGACTACACCGCTATCTGTGACTGCGCCTGCCGCACCGCAGATGAATCTCCAGACCCACCACGCTCTCCTTCCCCAGGGGTTCGAGACTGGCCACCAGCGAGGAGGGCGATCCTCAGGCGAGAAGTGCGCTTTACCCCAAGCAGGATCGATGAAGCTGCGGGCGTATGAGGAGGAGGAGGGTCCACCGTTGGTAGCCAGGTGGGCATTGGATGAGGCAGAGTACATGGCCTGCCGCTTGCGAGCCTCTCTGGCCGCTCGCCCTCGTTCGCGAGCGCTGTCGGCGATCCAATCGACCGTCGAAAACTGAGGGGATGGGGAGAGAGGCACATTTAGTCAGGAACCACGGAGTCTTCATCGTTCGCTTTGAAAGAACTACTAACGCTTTCATATCTCCGAATCTCATCCAGGGCCTCTTCGTCAAAGTCGTTGGCCTGGGACGCGGGCAGCAGCGAGTTTCTGCGACTGTGCCCAGATGAGGTTGCGCCTTCCCCGCCGGTCGCTGAAGCATGGCTCGCTCGCCTTGGAGCAGACGGGCCCTGGCCCAGCGTCGACTCGGGCTGCTGCTGCGATGTCGAAGCCGGCTCCATCGTGTTTCAAGCTCTGCTGAGGACTCTGGTCACGGTGCACGGGACACTGTCATCCCTTCGTTGGCTTTTTGTCGACGTCGGTGTCTCGGTGTCGAAATAGTGGGCGAGCTTTCTTTTTTTGGTTTCATCTTTTGTCTGCCAGCCTGGTTTGATCGTGCACGGCCTTCACGCGCTCAAAAGGCTTTCACCACTACCCAGATGGTCGATTGGAGGACGAACATTTCTTTCACTAATGGCAATGATGAGGGCACAGAGGAGGTAGAGTACAAGGGGAGCCACAACGCGGTAGAAACCCTGAGCAAAAAAAAGCGTCAGTCTCACGTTGTAGAGAAGGCACAACAGCCGAGACACCAGGGATTGGCTCCGCGATGAGGAAGGCGGCGCCTACGTCCCTTCCCCGCTCTCGCCGATGTACCCTTGAGAAACAGTGATACATCGCCGAGAGAGAGATAGGGAGAAGGGCGCTTTCCTCGGAAGGTGGAAGAATCAGATAGGAGCGAAAGACATTTTGAAAGATGACAGTGTGTCCCCATCCGTTGGCTCTTTTACAAGCAACGTAAGAGTGAACTATGCTAAAGTGGTGTAGGGTATCATCCTGAGAAGGAAAGAGCATGGCGACGGACCCTCTCTACTCACTTTCTATAGTCTGCGCCTCGTCATCGTCGACGCTTTGTTGCAGGAAGACAAGAGACGCGTGAAGGCAAGAAAAATTCTCTTTTCGTTGAGTGGCGGCACGTGGAAATTTCATTCGCTTCACCATGGTGACGCATAGGGAAGCAGCTTCGCGACTTGTTCTACAGCAGCTTTGAGAGGTGGAAGGAGTCATCTGGAAGAAATGTACACTAATGAACAGAGTGCATGGGAGTTGGCAACGAGATGCTGATGCAAGCTCAGCGCAGCGCAGCTCATAGGAGGAGAGGGCCGGGCATAGCCTGGATCTTCTCCTTGACGGCTGTGTCGTTGTCGGCTAGCTTGGAAATGACGAATCGCTGCGTCTCCCTCCTCTTCCGTGGGCTGAGATCGGTGACGCAGTTCTTCATATATGGCGTGCGCTCGAAAACGTAGGTTATTCCTTCCAAAGGCAGATTGCTCGTCTCGGGAACAACGAAGATCGTGAAGAGGGTTGCCACAAGGGAAAAGGTTCCGAAGATGAAGAAGGTGCCACGGTTCGGGATGTTCAAGAGCATAATTGGTGTCAGCTTGCCGAGGGCGAGGCTGTTTCGATCACATGTTAGCCAAGATCGAGACCTTATGCACTAGGGAACTGTGCTTTCACTTACTTCGACAAGGAGCTGTGCAAAGGGTAGGCAGATGTTAATCATTTGAAAAGGGTTGGTTGAACGAATGATCTGCACTCACGCCACGATCTTTGAAACCCCCATTGAGGGTACTCGCAGGGAAGTGGGCGGTGCTTCCGAAGTGATGCTAGATATTACCATGGCGAGACCGAAGCAGAAGCCGAAAGTGAATACCTTTAACAGCGGAGAGGAGGTCAGACACGAGAGACAGCAGAACGTGACCCATTACTCACATATATCATCGAGATTGTTGCAAGTCTCAAAGATTCATTGGGCGCCTGAGTTGCGGCCCCTGAAATGGCAATGAAGAACATGGCGAAGGCCTGGATGAGAGTGCCGATGACTGCTGGCCACTTGCGTCCAAAGCGGTCGACCGTGAAGAGAAGGGCGCACACGGCCGTGACTGTCTTGACGATACCGTATATTCCCGTTGCAAAAAGACCAGCCGATCGGCCCACTACGCCGAGCTCTTTGAAGATCTGTGGGCTGTAGTATGCCAACGAGATCAAGCCGCTCCACTCGGCGCACAAGTGAGCGAGAGAGGGCACTACGAAGCGGAGCAGGTCGTTCTTCGTCCGGGTTGCTTCTTTAAAGACGGTCTTGACAGTCCTCTTGCCAGTCGTGTTGATATCTTTCTGAATCTGCATGACCAGGTCTTCGACCTCGGGCGAATCGAGATCTTGGCGAAGGTAGAAGGCGCTCGACTGCTTAGCCTCCATCCAGCGACCCTTGAGCACAAACCACCTCGGCGTCTCCTTCGACATCATTGCACCGATAAGGGCAATTCCAGCTGGAATGACCTGGAAAGCAGTGGGGATCCTCCAGTTTGCACTGTTCATGACATCTTTCATCGACTCGTAATGCTTCTGTACCCCGAAGTTCGCAAAGAACGCGCAGGTCGTGCCCAGATACACGAACCTAAGGTGGAAGTCATGAGCTTTGATGTGCGTCGTGTCTTCCTACCGCTACGAACGCGCTTACTCACATGAAGAACGTCCCATTGAGACCACCACGAATCCGTCGCGGCGAGACTTCGGCGATAAAAGTACCTACGGACGTGTGGTTGCAACCCATGCCGGCCCCAGCGATGAATCGGCCGACGTACAGTTGCGCTCGGCCGTTAGCACCATCGATTGCACAGGTGATCTGGATGACGGCGCCCACAAGAAACGTGCAGGTGGAAATGATCATAGCTTTTCGTCGGCCGATCCAATCAGGCAGAAACAGTGAGATGAGACCACCGAGGATCTGCCCACAGAGGAGGATGACGACGATGTTTCCCTTCTCGTCTGCCAACTTCTTTGGCTCCTTGGGCATGTGAAAATCCCTTCGAAATGAAGGAGCTTCGAGTAGACCGCCGACTAGACCAATCTCATAACCGTACGAGACGCCATTGAGTGCGACGAGAAGTACGATGATGACGGCATTACGATAGCTGCACCAAGTCGCCAAAGAGCTCTTGTCGGGAGCGTAGTCCTGCTCGTTGATGCTACTGTCTTTGTTACTACTGCCTTTCACCATGACGTTGTGACTGTCGTTGACGAAGTAAGAGAGGGGAGTGGGAGTCAGTTCTGGATGGAGGAAAAGTAGACTCTAAATATAGCAGTGAGGTCTGCATGCTCGTCTCAGAATCATGTACTCGCATGACTGAGCAGGAAAACACTCTTCTCCGTCAGAGAAAAAGGGTGGGGCCGGCCGGAATCTGCGCCCTCACTTCGACCGGTCCCTCGACCAAGCAAGGCGGGACTAGAACAGTGAAGGTGCCAGGGAGCGCGGCACAACGGAAGTGCGGAGAAGTCTTTCGTGAATGATAAGATGGCGCAACCCTCCTTTGCCCACTTCCAAATGCAAAGGGCAGGAAGTGTAGCAGATGTAATGGGGGGAGCGGAGCCAGGGACCGTGCTTCAGGTGAAGGACTTTGCCCACAGCCTCATCGCAGTGTTTCGCGGTCCTTGGCACAGCAACAGGAGGACATTCGCCCGCGGAGCAGGCCGAGGTCCGACACTGCCATGGTTTGGTTGTAAGTGATTGCGATGCATCTCAGACCACACCCAGCGTCGTTTCTGCTCGGTCCGTCTCCTGAGCGCGGCCCGAGTGGCGCGACAACGGTATGCCTTGCCAGACCGTAACCGCAAAACATCAATCTCACGAACCCGTCAAATTGGCCATCTGCGTCCGTGCGAGAGAAAATAGTGCGCGCGCGGAAACCACGTGTCAGACCTACATCACTTCCGTCTCTTGCCCGTTCAACTTGGTCCTGGTCCTGGTCCTGGGACTGATTCACCGATGTCGACGGCAGCAACACGGCGATATTCTGCGTCTTCCGACGGGTCTGACGCTGTCGAAAGGGAAGCGCTGATCCTGCACAGGCTAGATACAGAGCCAAAGACGGCATCGTCAGCAGCGGCCCGAGGTTCATACAGAGACGCAGACGCGTCTGCGGATGATGACGACGAGATCGCACTGCCCTCGAGGCCAGGCGACGAGGAACAAGGGCTCGACAAGACTGGCCGACCCGAGTGGCTCAAAGACGGACTCGCGGCGGGGAAACGGTCCCTCCGGCTCCGCATCTTTTTCTTCCTCGGCATCGGCCTGCTCCTCTTGCTCCTCTTTCTTTTTGTCTTTTCCTCGTCGGGCGGCGGCGGCCTGAAGAAGGCTTACAAATGGGCAGGAGACGTCTGGAGAGACGGAGATGCGGAAGCTGAAGGCGGGTCGCCATGGGAGTTCCCTATCGATGTGGGGTATCCAGGCCCTACCGCCACAGGAAAGGCGCCAAAGCTGGCCGATGAGGACATCCCGACGCCCTCGCCTTCGCGCGGCAGCTCTCCCATTCAGACCTACACGCCTGAGCTGCCCAACTTCGATCTCTTGTGAGTGTCTCTATTCTCAGCATGCATACCTCCCTCCTCGACTGACGTCCATGTCAAATGGAAACCCGAACAGCAAACACATGGGACCTCTGACTCCCTACACGTCGGCCCCCGACTTTGGCCCTTCTTCTGCGCGCTACCGGGCGCTTACCGGGTCATGCCACGTTGATAGGGTCCACATCCTCCACCGCCACGGCTCTAGGTACCCGACAAGCGATTCGAGTGCTTATCTGGTGCCCAATCTCATTGCAAAGAACGCCGGCAAGCTCAAGTTTTCGGGACCGCTCGACTTCTTAAACAGCTACGATCCACACCGGCTTGGAAAAGAGCTGCTAGTGCCCTTGGGAAGGCAGCAGCTGTACGACAGTGGCGTTCTCCATGCTGTCGAGTACGGCAAGTTGGCCGAGCAAGACATGCAAAAGCATAAGCGCCTGTTCGTCAGGACTGGCAGCCAGCAGCGTATCGTCGACAGCACAATTGCTTTTCTGCAGGGCATGTGCGGCGCCAAGTGGCACAGCATGACCGACGTCGAGGTTCAGATCGAAGCGCCCGGCTTTAACACAACGCTGGCACCTAACTTTGCATGCCCGGCCTCGGCCAGGCCAGACACGGCTCCGGGCTTCCGATGGAACAAGGACTGGACACAGGACTACCTTCGCTCTGCCGTCGATCGCCTCAAGGGCCACGTACAGGGTCTGGAGCTGAACCAAGATCACCTCTACTCGATGCAGCAGCTCTGCAGCTACGACACGGTTGCCTTTGGACGGAGCGACTTCTGCGGCCTCTTTACCCAGCAGGAGTGGCTCGACTACGAATACGCATGGGACCTGGCCTTTTACGGCGGCTACGGGCCGGGTGCCACCGTGGGCAAGGCGCAGGGCGTCGGCTGGCTCAACGAATTCATGAGCCGACTGACAAAAACAAAATGGGACGAGAGCACGCAGACGACTGAGAATCGAACCCTGAACACCAACGAGCGAGCGTTTCCCGTCGATCGCAACTTCTACGCCGACTTCACCCACGACTCCACCATTGCAGGCGTACTCGCCGCAATGAGCCTGCCCGACTTTGAGCACCCGATGCCAGTCCACCAGCCCGATCGGCAGCGCAAATATCGCACCTCGACGCTGGTGCCCTTTGGCGCCCGCCTTGTCTTTGAAGAGATTAGTTGCGCGGCAGAGGGATACGTCAGGATGCTCCTCAATGAGGCCATTGTCCCTCTCGATCAGCTCCCCCACTGCCAGTCGCGAGTCGACGGTCTGTGCGCGCGCGAAGACTTCATCAAGTCGCTTGAGTCTCGAAACGTCAACGCTCAATGGGCGAATTGCACGGCCGATTAGTTTAGCACTTTGTATTTGTACAGTAGTAGTAGTAGTAGTGATACATCTTCATCTCCTTCGTGGAGACAGATGGAAAAATATCTCTTATCATCCTCGATAAAAAGAAAACGCCACACTAGTGCGCTCTCGTGACGCGATGATGGCTTTGGCTTGTTCCGCTCGAGTCCTGACGTCCCAGGTCAAGCTCTAGCCGGACATGACACAAGAAGCGATCCGAGCTCAAGATGAGGTCAGAAAGAGCCGTGAAAGCCGCTTGCCCAATCTGACCAATCAGTGATTCAAGAAAGTGGAGAAAAAGTGAGAGAGAGTGGAAGAGAAATACGTTGGGATGGAATGATCGGCAAGTCCGATGATAAAAGATGAAGAAAAAATTGGACGCGGACAAAGCGATCAGCAAACGATAAAGCAAAAAGATTATCACGAGCGCGCACAGACGTCAAAAACCAGGAAGAAAGAAGAGATTCGCCGGAGGGAAAGATAAGGACGGAATGACTCTTCTTCGCCCCTTCTGAAATCTTGTTCTTCTCCCCTCTTCTTGTTACTCTCCACCTTTACACACACACACACACCTCTGTTCTCGAGTAGACTCCTCTCTGAACTTGCCTGATCACGATGTCTAACCTTCCCTCCGAGCCAGAGTTTGAGCAGGTAAGAGGAAGCTTAGCCGGTGGTCGTCTCTTTCTCTTGTTCTTCCGAGCTGACGAGGAATCGACTTGCTGTTGCTGTTGCTGCCGAACAGGCCCTCAACGAGGTCAAGCTCACGCTGGCACCTTTCCTCAAGAAGCACCCCGAGTACCAGAAGGCCCTCGAGATTGTCCAGGTTCCCGAGCGCGTGATCCAGTTCCGCGTCGTTTGGGAGGGTGAGTCTACCCGCCCTCATCATTCCTTTGGTGGAAGTGCCAGCCTGCTGACTCGCATCTCGTCTCATCTATCAAACGAAAAGATGACAACCACGTTCCTCAGGTCAACCGCGGCTACCGTGTGCAGTTCAACAGCGCCCTTGGTCCCTACAAGGGCGGTCTCCGGCTGCACCCGACGGTGAACCTGAGCATCCTCAAGTTCCTCGGCTTTGAGCAGATTTTCAAAAACGCCCTCACGGGCCTGTCCATGGGCGGCGGCAAGGGTGGCTCCGACTTTGATCCAAAGGGCAAGTCGCCCAACGAGGTCCGCCGCTTCGTCAAGGCCTTTGCCACGGAGCTGACGCGCCACATTGGCGCCGACACGGACGTGCCCGCGGGCGACGTCGGCTTCTCGACGCGCGAGGGCGGCTTCCTCTTTGGCACCTACAAGCAGATCAAGAACGAGTGGGTGGGCATCCTTACCGGAAAGGCCCTCGACTGGGGCGGATCCCACGTCCGGCCCGAGGCGACGGGTTACGGTCTCGTCTACTACGTTGAGCACATGATCCGCGAGGCCGAGGGCGAGCAGTCGGGCTGGAAGGGCAAGAAGGTCGCCGTCAGTGGCTCCGGCCAGGTGGCCCAGTTTGCTGCCCTCAAGCTCATGGAGCTCGGCGCGACGGTGCTGTCGCTCAGTGACTCCAAGGGAAGTCTCATCGCCAAGGACGAGGCCGGCTACACCAAGGAGCAGATCCAGGAGGTGTACAAGATCAAGTACGACCGAAAGGAGCTCAGCACCCTGGGCGACCAGGGTGGCAAGCTTGAGTTCCACGGCAACGGAGCCAGGCCTTGGAAGCTTGTCAAGGCGTGAGTTCTTTTTCTCATTCTCTCCTTTTTGTCTTTTCTGAGTGTTCTGACGACTAGGACGCGCTTTGGAATCACAGGTACGACGCAGCGCTGCCCTGCGCCACGCAGAACGAGCTCGACAAGTCCGACGCTGAAGAGGCCATCAAGCGTGGCTGCAAGTACGTTGCCGAGGGGAGCAACATGGGCGTCGACGCAGATGGCATCTCCGTCTTTGAGAAGAGCCGTGCCGAAAAGGGCAAGGGCGGGTGCTGGTACGGCCCGGGCAAGGCGTGAGTTGTCCATCTCCTCCTTTTCCTCCCAATTTCCTTTTTTTTTGGGGGCTGACAGCGCAAGCGGATTGGCCTGAACCACAGCGCAAACGCAGGTGGTGTCGCCGTGTCTGGCCTCGAGATGGCACAGAACAGCCAGAGGCTGACGTGGGCGCCCGAGGAAGTCGACGAGAAGCTCAAGAACATCATGAAGGACGCCTACGACCTCTGCCTCAAGACCGGCGCCGAGTTCCCGCCCGAGGGAGAAAAGGCCGGAAGCGATGGCCTGCCCAGCCTGGTCCAGGGCGCCAACGTGGCCGGCTTCAAGAAGGTCGCCGACGCAATGAAGGCCCACGGCGACTTCTGGTAAAGAGAAAATCCTTTTCTGGTGGAGAACTTCCTCCTTCGTCCCTCTTCTGATTATAGAAAAGACAAGCAGTAGTAGAAGTGCTTCTTTTGATGCGATTCTTAGCCAAGTCTCATTAGAAATCGTTCATGAGTACAATCCATGTACGTTTCTCGGCAGCTCGTCCAGCCTCGGCACGATTGGGGACTTCTTTGAAATGTGAAGATGATTGCTGTAAATGCTAGCTAGGTAGATCAGGAAGATTATGCTCATCTATTGACCAGCAGAGAGCTGATCGGCGTGCTGCTGAATCTTGTCGCTCGTCTCTGCGGCAGGTGCTGATGCCGTTCCGTTTGTCGCAGCGAGCTCGTCTGCGTGCTGCTGAACTTTGTCGCCCTCGAAATCGACTGAGGAGGACGAGGGCGGCGCAGTCGTCTTGATGGCCGGCACATCCATGGCCTGGCCCTGGCCGACGGCGAGATTGGACGTCGACGTCGACGTCAGGGGAATCGAGAGCTGGGTGGCGACGGTGCGCTGCGACGCGGTCCGGTGCAGCACCCGGTCGCTGGGGGCTGCCGTCATGGGCGGCGCGTTCGTCATGGCCTGGGCCGAATTGCGTCCCGTGGCGCTGGCGGCGATGCTCATGCCCGTCCTCTCGCTGGCATCGGAGCCGCGGCGGCTGAGAGGCGGAATTGCCTTCATGCTTGCATAGGTGTCTGACGAGTTGCGCCTCTCGTTCATCAGGCTGCCGCCAATGCTGCGCGCAGCGTGGTGAGAGTGTCCGCGCGACGATGCCGCGCCTCCACCGATGCTGGCGGCCGCGGTCGACGAGGCCAGCGTCAGTACGCTGGCATCATCGCCCGGCTGGCCTGAAGGATGCGGGTTGTTCGATGGGTGGGGGCGAGAGAGCGAGGGAACATTGACGTATGGTTGATCGTCCATCGGCTCATTCTGCCCAGGCAGCTGTACGAGCGACCCGCTCGTCGACCGGCCAGCGGGAGGCGCAGCAAACTGGATCGCAGAGGAGCCAGCAATGGCGCTGGCCTGCGGTGGCAGCTGCTGATGCTGCTGGTGACCGATGCTGGCGTTGTCGCCGCTGCGGATCGAGGGTCCGCGTCCCTCTCCGTGGCGGTGCTGAGCAATCTGCGCGAGCATTGGCGGGTTGCCAGCGGTCGCAGCACCGCCCTCTCTCTCAAAGCTCATCAGTGTCGTCGGTTTTGTGCTGGCTCGACTCTTCTGCGTGTCCATGGTATTGTTGTCGACGCTGTCTCGGTGTCCCTGGCCACTGTCCGAGCCAGAGATCCGACCGCTACTAATGTCGTCGATTCCAGCATGTCCAGGAATGCCGGGCGAGATGGCCGACACAGGCCCATCGGCTGGCAGGGGTGCGTCTCCTGCTGATCCGATACGACTCTGCGCTCCCTCTTGCGCAACTGCAGCGGCGGCCGCTGCGGCTGTCTTGGGAGGCGAGGACATCAGGTCTCCAGCCGCGATGGGGTCGTGCACGGGGAGGCCGTCGAGCTGAGGAGGTGGAGTGGATGGCAGCCCCAGCGTGTTGGCCAGCCCTTCGCCACTGCTACCTCCAAACCCACCCGTCACGGGCGCAGCCACCGACGTCTTCTTTGCGCTTTGTTGTTGTTGTTGCTGCTGCTGCTGCTGCTTGGGCACCGGCGGAGCGTTGGCACCCGTGTGGAAGAAGCGCCCCGAGAGGATCGAGTCGCTCTTCTTGGCCCCTTCGCCACCTTTGAGGTTGCCGCTCGAGCCTGGCTTGCTCCCTCGTCGGCTCCGCATCGATCCCGTCTTCTTTGCTGTAGTCGCGTCACCAGTCGTCGACGTCCTCGCGGGCGGTTGTGTCGCTGCCACGCCCTCGTCTCCATTTGCTCCACTTTCATCGACCTGAACGACCTCGTCGCTTGGCCGCCTGCCAAAGCGCTTGAAGAAGCGACGGATCTTGGACCCCTCCTGCGCGTCTTGTGCCGTGGCTCCTGCAGGCGCTGTCGGTGCCGCCGTCATCGTCGTGTTCGTAGGTGCCGGCATCCTGTAGAGTCAGTCTCCTTGCCTGCTTCTCTATCGTCTGGACCCGGTGGATGAAGGCCCGGCGGGCGAAACAAGGCTCAAGGCTCAGGGTTTCCGATGCCACGTTTTGTTTTTGAACTCCTCCACTTGGCACTCTAACATGCGATACAACCCTGCCCATCGGCTGCAAGCGACCTGTGCGCACGATCGATCTCGCCTCGGCAGCTATTCCTGCTCCATGTGCTCTCTGTCACAGTGATTGGGCTCACGACCTAGGTAGAGGGCTTTTCCTGTGCTCCCTCCATTCCTTGCCTTCTCCTAGTTCATGGCGTCCTGTACATCTCCTTTCTTCAAGGTCGAAGCAAATGCTAAATAAAGAAGCCCAGGAGGGGGAGGAAAAAAAAAAGTTTAAAAAGTGCGGCGAAGCAAAAGTGGTGAAGCTTGCTTTTTTGCGCCTCTAATGTGCGGCATCCTTCTCCATGCCCGCTCGCTCAAGGAGAAGAGACCAACCAGCTGGCACGCCCTGACACGAGCCATTGACGAGAGAGGGCCTGATGCCTCGGCGAGTCGTACCTTGCGATGCGGCGAGTGCGAGCTGGATCTGCACTGCAGCGTCCTCGGTCTTCGCGGTAGGTCCGAAGCCACTCCGCAGCCCGTCGTCTCGTCGAACGGCCAGCTGCTCCTTTGCTGGAACGGCGAAGTCTTCGACTGGCTCGAAGAGGAAGGACAGAGTCTTGAACAAGGAGAGAATGATGCTCTCTGGCTCCTGGCGATGCTGGAACGTCGAAGGGACACTGGTATGAGCACCCAGGAAGCCCTCGTCGAGGTGCTGGGACGAATCGAAGGACCGTACGCGGTCCTCCTGATCGATGTGAGATATGGAGAGATACAGGATTCTGCTGAAGTATGTGAGCCTGATTGGGATGGATGAAGACCGCAACAGGTTGCATTGTATATGGTCGAGACCCCCTCGGGAGACGATCGCTATTGACATCAAAGAGTCAAGGAGGGATCTTGATCTGTTCGGTATCTGGTGAAGGGAGCAGAAACGAAACCTTCGAGGAACTCGACTGTGCATTCCTTTGGACCATTGATCTTACAGTGGGTTATAATTACCTTTCCTTACCAATATTACATGCAGGAACTGACACGCTCGCCTTGTAGCACGGTGAATTGCAACCGACCCCCTTGATACGGTCGCAGACGGTCTGGACGCAGCGATTGCAGCTAGCTGAGCTGGTTGAGACACCTGGAGCAACATCTTCCTCGAGCTGTGACAATGATGTCGCGCTGCTCAGGGTACTGTCCGACAGTGTTCGACGAAGAGTGACGTTCATTCGTTCACCACCGTCAGCAGAGTGAGCCTCACGACGTAATGCTAATTCAGCCCGGCTCTCAGACTAATTTATCATCCACGACAGCGAAACGACACCACACGTTGCGGTGCTCTTCTCAGGAGGGCTTGACTGCTCCGTCGTTGCCGTCTTGGCCCATCATCACCTCGCGCCCGAGCAGCCAATCGACTTGCTGAATGTTGCCTTTGAGAACCCTCGAGTTCTCTCTGGAAAGCAAGATTCCGATGGAGATCCATTTGCAGTACCTGATCGCAAGACTGGCCTAGCTACGTACCAAGAGCTCCGCAAAGTCGCACCTGGTCGACAATGGAACTTTGTCCAGATCAACGTCGAACACAAGGACTATATGCGCCAGCTCGACAAAATTACCTCGCTCATGGTACCGTCAGATAGTGTGGTGGGTATTTCGCAGCTGTTTTTTTTTCGCCTCAGTCGCTTTTTGGTGAGCTAACTTGCATTGACCCCCTTCAGATGGATCTGGTGAGCGGCAAGGCCCATTGCGAAAGCTAACCTCTTCTGACAAAGATACAAGAGCATCGGCGCAGCTCTGTACTTTTCTTCCCGACGGACAGGCATATTGACCGACGGAAGGCCTTATCAATCACCTGCAAGAGTGCTCCTCTCTGGCCTAGGCGCAGACGAGCTGCTTGGCGGGTATTCACGCCATCGAAAGGCCTACCGGAACCTCGGCCAGCGAGGTCTCGTGGAAGAGGTGAGCCTTGGGCCTGTTGACTGGATCATTCTCAAAAGCTAAGTAGATCATAGCTCCAAATGGATCTCGATCGATTGCCGACTCGCAACCTCGGGCGAGACGACCGGGTCCTGTCATCCGCCTCCATCGAGGCTCGCTACCCTTACCTCGCGAGGCCGGTCCTGCGATTCCTCTGCTCCCTTCCCGTCTCGTCAAAGATGAATCTGGATCTGCCCGAAGGTCAAGGCGACAAGATCCTACTTAGAGACGCAGCAAGACGCCTTGGCCTGGTGCAATGCGCAGGCGAGAAGAAGAGAGCGATCCAGTTTGGCGCTAGAAGCGCGAAGATGCAGGCTGGCCAAGGCGGCGTAAAGGGCCACGAGAAACTGCTGCTCTCGTCGTCATCACCACAACGATGAAATGAGATTCATTTCGTTTCTAGTCTTTTCGGCTCTTAAACTCTTCAATATCTCGAGCGCGAGCTGTAGTAGTTATCTCTCCTCCCCCTCTTTACTTGAGCTTGCTGAATAGCCTGGGTGCTGTGCAGGAGCTTGCGCAGTGGGCAAGGTGGACTGTGAAGGCAAAGTCAGCGAGTTTTTCAAAAAGGGGAATGTGTCGGAGACGAGAAAACTCACAGCTGTTGAGAATGGGACGTTGCGAGGAGCAAGTAAAGCAGTCATGTCAACACTGCCCAACGATAAACCAGGAAATGACCGATCGGACTCACAACTCTTCAACGCAGTTCTCCTCGTGGAAGCCCTTGCCGGCCTCGACTCGCTCCTGGCACTCGAGGAAGTGGTGCTTGGCGGGCGAGCACTCCTTTGAATTCTCGCACTCCTCGTAGATGGCGGGTTGCGGCTATTCATCTCCGTGTCAGTGCTGCTGGCACCTGTCCGATTCAGGAGCGCAAAGTCTGACTCACGTCTTCGGGCTCGTCCTCCTCCTCTTCCTCCTCTTCCTCTTCCTCGTCTCCACCCTCCTCCTTGTCATCGTCCCCTTCCTTCTCGTCTTCTCCTTCTCCCTCATCTCTGGAGTCCTCGTCTTCCTCCTGCGCGGCCTCGGATTAGCGCCCTTGCTCCGTTGCCTCTTATCGCGCATCACAGACTCACCTCAGCATGAACGGAAGGGAAGAGGCTGCTGAAAGCCGACGTCATCGACGAGAACAGCGACGAAGAGCTGTCCTCCTCGGAACGCGACATCGTAATGACAGACGCCATGCTGTGCTTGGGCTTGCGAATGGGTGAAGAAGTCGGCGACGGCCAAGCTGACGTTCTCGTCGTCCCTCATTCGTCCTTCGCCGTCCTCGTCCGATGGCACGTGCTATTTTTTTGCGAAATCCACGTGGTTTTTAAAGTCCAGACCACGGGGTCCCTGTCGACGTGGAATCATGCGGAATTTTGGCTCAGGGCGCAGCAGAGCAGCCTTTCCACGTCACCACCACAAACAAACTCGCCCTCTCGCTACTCAGTCTCGGTCTCGGTCACAGTCTCGGTCTCGTTCCCGGCTCTCTTGATATATCAGCACACTGTCTTTTCTTGGCGTCTCTTCTCTCTCTGTATCACGACCTTGTTCTCATGTCTGCTCCTTCGACCAGTACGCTACCGAGTGTGGCGACAACACCCGTTACCAAGCGCAAGCGCGAGGCACCCCTTTCACCGCCCTTGTCCATCCTGGGCCTCTCACCATCTCCCCTGTCCCCGGGAGACGACGAGCGCGACGACGACGATGACGACCACGAGGATGACTCGGTAACATCGACGAAGCGCAGAGGCACAAAGGGTGCCATGACGCCCGAGCGCGCGGCCCGACTCGAAGCGCGGGCTCATCGCAACCGATTGTCGGCACAGAACAGCCGAAATCGCAAGAAGATGCATGTGGCCACGCTCGAAAAGGAAGTCGTCGAGCTCAAAGAGGAGAGGGACAGCCTCAAGAGCAGAGTCAAGGTGCTCGAGGACCTTGTCCACAGCCTCCTCGCCAACGCAAACAAGACGGTTGATCCCACAGTTACTTCGGGCTTGCCTGCTGGCCAGGCTGCCTCTTCCTCGACACGACCGGCAGAATCCAACCGACTCCCCGCCATCGGTACTCAACTTTCCCTTACTCCTTCCACATCTTCAACTCCCGGCGACATCGCACGCACTGAGCGTACCGACCCGATTGCAGCGCCGATGCACTATCTTTCGACCCCCGCGCTCGAAGCGCCCACCTCCTCGAGTACTCCAACGACCATTGTTCCGACACCCAGCGACTTGGCTCGCCTCCCCGCAGCGGAGGCGTCGTTCCACGAGAACGCCCAGCAGCGGGCCTTGTCGCGTCGGGATCTGGTGTCGTTGCAGGAAATGAGGAGAGAGGGCGCCTTGACGGGCGAGAGTCGATTGGCATCAACGGCAGCAGCATTGGGACGACACTTTGTGTTGGCGACGAACCGAGACGAGAGGACGACGATGGAGCGAGACGAGAAGAGAGTGCCGAAAGCTGGAAGAGAGGCAAGGACGACGCAGGAGATGTTTGCGAAGAGAACAGCAAGCTGGCAGGCTGGCTCGAAGAGCTCCTCGGTGGCGAGCAGGCCTTTGTCAACGAGAAGATCGAGCAGGCGGAGGATAACGCTGCGCATCAGGGTCAGGAGACGATCGAGGGACATCATGAGACGCAAGCTGCCCTGATTGAAGAGCAGCCGGACGATTTGAGTGCCTGGAGCGAGAGCTGGGATCAGACGACCAACAACAGTAACACCGTCAGTGACTTTATCGACTTTGAATTTGATTTCGAAGTCGATGGATCCCCGACATTGCTCCAGAGGCCTACCCAAGATCCAATTGGGATGGCGATGGACGTCGAGCCCCTTCATGTATGATTTAGATCCCCCGTCTCAACTTTCCCCTTTAATGTGACCACCATTTATTTCCTATATGCGCCGAGAGAGAGAGTGGTTGCTCGATGATCACCACGGACTTTCCAAATGCACTTCAAAATAGAGCTGTCGCTGAAAGTCATACGTCGAAGTTTGCGCACACGACATTGAGGTGGCCAATAGAGAAAAGCACTCGGCAATGACAGCTTCCGGTTCGCCATGTGCGATGGCAGAACAAGAATGGCAGAGCCACTGCGAGCTCCTAGAATAGACAGCAAGAAAGCAGATGCAGGTCGATGACTGCCGCGTGCCGCGGGTCTCCACCCATAGATCCTGCTAGGTTAGGTTCCCAGATCACACGACATGGGAGTCATACATTTGGCACCCTCCTCTCATTGGTCATTGGATGGGGGAAAAGGGACGGTATATCCGAGCAGAGGAAGCCCAACGCAGGGGCGGAGAAGAGAGAGAGGGGATGGGACGGGACCGCTCTGGCTGCAGCGTCATTTGATAGTTGTATTTGCCATCCTTGTATTGGGGGGGGACCCCGGAGGATGCAAGATGGGTCGAAATGCGAGGTAGATGCTACCACTACTATCCGTTGCTGCAGCCTGCTGCACGCTGCACTTGGAATCTTTTATTTTTTTTCTATTGCAGCTGCCGATCATAAGGAAGCGATGCACATATATTGATGCATCTTTCTCTTTCCTTCCCGTATGCCCTAGACCCCCTTGCTTGCCTTTGTTTCTCGCCTGCCTCGGCCTCTCCGTTTTGGATGAAGCACAGAAGAAGCAATGCTAGTGGCGGCCAACGTCGTGGCAAGAGGGAAACGTGAGAAAACGCAAGCCTAGAAACAAGCTCCGACTGCGCGTCATCTCCCTGGCTCATCCAATCGGAGGACAGAAAAGAGATGAAAGGAGAGCTAATAAAGCAGGTTCGGCTTCAATTGGTCAGTTGCCGGCGCCAGCATGGCACCGGGGCACACCTACCTACGTCAGCAGTTCGGAAGGGGGGCGACGAGGATCGGGGAAAAGACGTCAGGCGGCCGGACTGATCGGTAGAGACCCTTTTAGATGCTGAAGGGATCTGCCTGACATGCTTCTTCTCCCTACCGAAGGCGACCGTACGTGCTAGCAATAGAGCTAGTAACTGTGTAGTAGTAATGGAGTGTCGGAGAAGCGGCAGCAGAAGCCTAGACTAGCTGCGCTCTCTACACGGGGAGCCGACGGCTATTTCGTCATGCTTTGCCATTTCGTCACTCAACCCATGATTGGACAGGCTCGCGCAAAGGCACTAGGCCAGCGAATGCAAAACGCGCCGGGCTAGCCTGACACCCCGCAGTTTAGCTTGGTGCAAGAAGCGTAGCAAAAGATAGAATGATCATTTTCGTTTAGAGCCCCGAATGGGTTTGATTGTATGACTACTGTGCGCGTTTAGCCGCAAGGTTTATTGGGTACAAAGACTGCGTTCCTCCGCTGCTGGCCCAGTACTGCTGGGGTGCCAGAATAACGCTCAAAATCGAGCAAGGCCATTTTCGTCATAGCCGCTGGTCTCAGGTCGCTGTCTCAAAACGCCAAGTCTTAGCAGGGGCCGACCAGTGAGACTGAGGAACAATACAATACAATATGCACTGTTTAAATAGCTTTGTTTTCCCTCACAGTGTGTCGGGCCAGGGACAATATACTGAACGCAAAGAGAGACGAAAAAAGAAGAGCCAAAATAAAAGAAAGAGCAAAGACGTTTCTAGTCGGGGGTCTGGACTCTTATTGTCGAAGAATGGAGACACTGTACCATGTGTACGGCTCGCCCTAACCTCCGAGGTGGCCGTTTGCGCTGGAAGCAGGCTTACCGACCCTACTGAGAGAAAGAGGAGGAGTTGGAGGCATCAGGCCATCAGGGATCGAGCCGCTCATCATTGCCACTGCCGGAACAACAGCGCCGTGACGCAGCTAGTAAAAAAGGTCCGTCCATCGCTTAATTGTTACTCTCCGTTTCTGGACAGTCCGTTGGTTGTGACTTGTACGGCGCCCTGTTTTAAAATTGAGACAACTCTCTTGGTATATGCCTGCATCCTTCTTGGCTGCCGATCTGCTTAGCGGCTGACGACGGGCATCATTGCCATTTTGTATTGTCGATTGAAGAATTTCAAATGAAAGTCTTGCTCAGACAAGTAGCCCTCACCTCGCGCTGTCTCGCCTTTTCTTTTTTTTTTTCTTTTTTTTTTCTCCTCTTTTTCTCCTGGGCCTAGTTACCCCAGATTTTGAAGTCTGGGGACCCCAGCCAATCAGTCTAGTCCCTGAACCTATTCGTCCTACGTCTGCCCTCTCCTAAAGCAACCCTTCTTCCCTCTCTCTTTCTCTTATACACATCACAACATCATCCCATCCTCTTCTTTCTTTTCCACACCTGGCTCTTGTTGATCCTCTGTCGGAAAAACGGCAACTCAGCCGACGCATCCGCCCTTCAGGACTCTTGCTCTCTCTCTCTCTCTCTCTTCCTCGGCTCGCCCGCCTTCCACTCGTTCAGGCGAGACCAAAAAGAAAAGACGAGAGACACCGCCATTACTCCTCTCTCGCCCTCTTGCATCGAGAAAGCGCCGCCGCGACTGACCGAAGCAAGAACGAAGACGACGAAACTCGCCCCGTTCCGTGTAAAGCCACACGCCTGAGTTTCTCCCTCCCCCCCTTTCAAGAGGGGTCCTTCGCTCTACAAAGGCCCCGTCTCAGAGCTTTCTCCAACAATGGCCATGGCAACGCCCATTTCCATTCCCAACATTTCTTCCTCTTCCTCCTCCTCTTCCTCCTCGTCGCACATGATGCTATCTGCAATGTCGCCCGTGGCCATTGCGTCGCCCACCAGCGTCGCCTCGTTTTCGAGCATGTCCTCCAACCCGCTCGAGTCGCTCGCCACCTCGTCTTCCTCGGCCGCCACCACGCTCTCGTCGGGCTCCACTGCCTACGAGCAGCAGCAGAGCAACGACGCAAAGAAGCTCAAGCCTCACAAGTGCGACACATGCGGCGCATGCTTTGCTCGGTGAGTAATTGTAGCTGGCCAATATTTTGTTGTTGCTTCGCTGCAAGAAGAGTAGTTTGTCTCGTGGCAGCTCAGCTGATGGACCTCCTTTTCTTCTTGTCTACAGCAAAGTACACCTGCAACGCCATGCTCTGCGCCACCAGGTCTGCAAGCCATACTGCTGCGAGCAGTGCGGAAAGGTGGGTGGCGTTATTCCATTTTGTTTGCTCCGAAGAGGACATATACTAACGGTCTTCCCCCTTTTCCCTCTACTTTCCCCCTTTTTCTCAACAACAGTGCTTCAGCAGGCAAGACTCGCTCGTTCGCCACCACCGTCTGCTCCACGAAAAGGCAAAGGAGGAAAAGGGACCCGGAAAGCACAACGTTGGAAGCTCAGGCAAGCGCAACAAGGTCAAGGCATGTGAGTAGCTAGAACCCTTCCCACAAGGCAGTCTCTGAGGCCCGTTACTGACCCCACTGCCTGATACAGCCGCACACACCTGCCTGCCATGCGCCCAGGTCAAGGTCCGCTGCGACGGAAAGACGCCCTGCTCGCGCTGCGCCAGCGGGTTCGCGTCCTGCTCCTACCCGCCATCCAAGGCGTCGCTCATGGCAAAGAACAGCAAAGCCTCATCCAAGGTCAAGGTCCTCAAGTCGTCGGTCTCCTCATCCTCCTCTGCCTCGACTGCGGCTGCTCGCCGCCAGAGCTTCAGCCAAATGACTTCGGTCTCGTCGCCCTCGCTCGGCGGTGACGACGGCGAGGACAATGACGACGACGACGACGAAGATGGCGACGATGACGACGAAGAGATGGGCAGCAGGGCGGCGGCAGACGAGCACGACGAAACATTCCGGCCAAGCTTCTTCTCGACGCTCAACCAGTCGGCCTTTGGTCCTGGCCATGGCGCACGCAGAGACACCATGAGCAGCATCTCGTCGACGATGACCGATGCAAACTCCATCTTTTCTTCGTCGATGCCCCATGCCAGCAGCTTCGAAGGTGCGGCGCCTTTCAGCCCAACGTCGTGGACCGGCAGCGAGTCGTCGCCAGCGGGTGCTCAGGTCGATCCTTCGTTCCTGTCCGTCGACTCGCTCCACCCGCGCCAGCTCCACCAGCTCCACCACCCACACCCGCAGTTCCACTTTCAGCAGCAGCAGCAGCAGCAGCAACAACAACAGCAGCACCACCACCACCAGCAGGGTCACAATCACAGCCACAACCCTAACCATCATCACCATCAACAGCAGCAGCAGCAGCACTTGCAGCAGCAGCTCCTGCAGCAGACGGGCATGCAGCACCAGCAGGCATCCTCTGCCTCGCCCTCGTCGAGCTTCTTCGACGGATCCATGTCGCCGCCAAACTCGGCCGGCTACCCACCCAGCGAGAGTGGTCAGACGACGACCTCGACGACGCTTCACACGCCTCCTTCCTTTTCGTCCTTTCCCCTGCTCAGCCTCTCTGCTGGTGGTGGGGAACACGGACAACAGGCGCAGGCGCAGCTTCAACAGCAGCAGCAGCAGCACCACCACCACCAGCAGCGGCAACAACAACAGGCGCTCGACTGGAGCCATCCATTTGCCTTTTCCAACCTCATGGACTCGGCCATGCAGTTCGCTGCTGCTTCTGCGGCTGCGGCTGCACCCTCGTCGCAGGACGCGCACCACGCCCACCTCCAGAACAGCGGCCTGAGTGCCACACTGAGCAGCGCGCCCCAGCCCGACTCGTCCTTTTCGAGCCCGTCGATCGAGACGGTCGCCAGCAAGAACCTCTACTTCGACATGGGCAACGCCAGCACGGGCACCGCCCACGCCACGAGCGCTGGCCCAGAGGCCTCGCAGGCCGACCTGGCTGCCAGCCTGGCCAGCACCGTCGCAGCTGCCACGATGGCCTCGTCGCCCTCGGGTGGCGCCGCGGGGACCGTCAACCTGGCCTCGCTCGGCCTGCCCGTGCCTGCCAACCTCAACATCAGCGTGCCTGCCGATCTGCAGATGAGCGCAGAGAACTGGGACAGCCTGATGCGTATGCTCACCTCCATGGCCCAGCAACCTGCTTCGTCGTCTTCCCGGCCCACCACCAGCGACTTTTCGGTGTGAAAAAGGGCGCCCGGTCTTCCATCTCTCTCGGCTTCAATCTCTCTCTCTATTTTCACGCACGACGACCTATACACGATCGACGCTTCCCCATCTTTCTCTCATGGGCAACTTCTTTTTTTTACCCTCCACTATACATGAATGAGCGTTGTTCGTTCAGCCTCTCTCTCTCTCCATCAAGCTCTGTACCATATGCCGGATGGTCTTTTCAAGCGGTCCCTCCCTATTTACCCGCCCCGTTACCAGTCGAGTGTGGGTGTACATGATTGTAGCAGTCGATGGAAACCCCTCTATTCCAGTTGTATCGGAGTCCTCCTCCTTCTATCTAATTCAAGCGTCTTGTTTGCCGGAGCATAATCGTACAGGGTGGTTTTGGAACTACAGGAGGCGGAATAGAGGAAGCGATGATGAACATGAAGCCGTTCCTAGCAGACGACAACGAGGCTCGAAGGCCGTCTCAGCGATGATTCGTCTTGCTCCTCGATGTCTCTTGGAAATGAGATGCGGATGCTGGAGACCCTAGCGGCTTCGTCGCACAGATGCCTTAGCGAGGTGGGCGTCGTCTCGCCCTCGCCCTCTTCCCCAACCTCGCCCAGCAAGGCCGATGCCGCCGTCGCGGCCACTTTTCTTCTCCTCATCCTCTTCTCTTCCTCCTCCTGCTCACCCGCTTTCCCAACTGCTCTTGCTCCTGTGCCTGTGCCTGTGCCTTGTGCAGATGCATGGACTAGCATCTCGCTCCAGCAGGAGCCGTCCGCCTCGAGGATGCTGATCCATGCGCCCTGCGCTTCCGTTTCCCCACTCCCAGGGTGCTCGCTACTCCTCCTTGGCCGGCAGTGCCTTTCAAAGGCATCATCGATGAGCCGACCAACAGAGGACGCCTCGGCGTCGTGATTCAGTTTATCAGAGGGCCGGGCGCCTGTATGCGCATGCAAGCTGCTACCGTCTGAGACTGCAGGAGCCAGCGTTGCTCCTGGTGAATGCCACCGCCAGCTGCTGCTGCTTCCTGTATCCACCGTGGACGCTCCCCCCGCCGCGTCACTTTTCCCCGTCACGACCATCCACCAGGCCCAGGCGGCGAGGATCACGAGGAGGACACAGCCGCCGAGGCTCGTCTTTCGCAGCCCGAGATGCTCCGCCTTGGCGCGCGCCTCGACGGTGGCGCCGCTGGCGACGAGGACGAGGAGCGTGACGGGGTGCTCCCACAGCGCCGAGAGGCCCGCGTGGAGGATGGTGCGGAGGCAGAGGCCGATGGCGAGGTACTGCAGCAGGGCCGCATAGGTCAGCGTCACGCTCAGGTGCGGCTGACCCAGGCTGAGCGTCAGCGTCGGGTTGCCGCGCGTCTGCAGCGTCAGCAGCTTGATGCTCGAGCCCGAGCCGCGGCGCGACGCTTGCGGACGAAGCTCCGGCAGAGACGCGATCATGGCGGGCGGCGACGAGGAGCGGGACGAGGCCCGGGACGAAGCTGCCGAAGCCATCGTCCTCGCTCGTCGTCGTCTTCGTCACAGAGAAGAATAATGAAAACGTCGTCCTCGCTTCCCTTGATCAGCGGAAGGAGTGGCCGAGCCAGCCCTGGTGGTTGCGCGGGCAGCAGCAATGATGAACGGGATCCTTCCCACCTTCCACCTCCTCCTCCTCGTCTGCCTCTACACTATACATTATTGTCTCTGGTGCTGCCGACAAATGAGCAGCACTTACGTACTTGCCTGCCCCACGGTGGGCGCGAACGTGCCAACCACGAAACGAACGTTCCTTGGTAGCGGAGCGGGCTTCCCTTTGTCTCTCTACTGCCCGGAAAAGGCAAAGCAAGTCTAAAAATGCCAAAGAGGGCGCCCGACCAAATTTCACACGTGTCGCTGTCACCCACCCACCCACTCAATGCTCTTGCGACGGCCTCAGCTCCGACGAGGCGGCAAGAGGTCAAGAGGGAGGGAGGACGTCTGCACATACAGACAACCGACGCCCAGAAATCGATTCTTCAAATCCATCCTTGTCGCGCGACGACGAGAAGTGGCTGCACGCGCGCACGCCAGGCCTCTCTTCTCACGCAGAGCAAACAGGAACTTCTCGAATGACGATACTATTCTTTAGTTTTGTGCCAATTGGTACACAAGCATGAAGTCTTACTTCTACTTGAGCTTCTGACTGTAGACGAGCAGCTGAGTCAGTGAGGTCCACATTGAGCGAGCGAGGCAGAGGCAGACTTACGTCATCTCTGGCACGGCATCGTAGAGATCCGCCACAAGACCAAGATCGGCGATCTGGAAGATGGGCGCGTCGGGGTCCTTGTTGATGGCCGCAATCGTCTTGCTGTCCTTCATGCCAGCCAAGTGCTGGATGGCGCCGCTGATACCAATGGCCAGGTATAGCTCTGGAGCCACAATCTTGCCCGTCTGTCCCACTTGGAGGGCATTGTCGGCGTAGCCTGCATCCACGGCAGCGCGAGAAGCGCCCACAGCAGCGTTGAGCGCATCTGCCAGCGGCTCAATGTACTTTTCGAAGTTCTAAAGAAGGAGAAGAGAGTGATGTGATGAGCTAATTTGCAAAAGAGCATGCAAAGTAGAAAGGAGAAAGTCTCACCTCGCCAGACTTGAGCGCCCTTCCGCCCGAGACGACGCGCGAAGCCGTCGCAAGATCGGGTCTCGACGAGACGTTGAGCTTCTCCTCGACAAATTCCGTTTCGAGGGGTGCGTCAGCGGGCTTCACCTCGGCCTTTTCCGCCGATCCGCCCTCCTCGCTGGCCTTGTCGAAGGCCGTTCCACGGACAGTCACGACCTTGACCTTGTCGTTGGACTTGACGGTCAAGATGGCGTTGCCCGCATAGATGGGTCGCTGGAACGTGTCCTCGGAGTCCACCGCGATGATGTCGCTCACCTGGCTCGAGTCGATGAGGGCGGAAAAGCGCGGGAAGATGTCGCGTCCTACAGCCGTGTGGCCGGCAAAGACGTGAGTGTAGTTGTTGCTCTCGACGATTGACTTGAGCAGTGGTGCGGCGGGCTCGGCAAGGTTGTCGGCGTAGTTCTTGGCCTTGCTGAAGTGAACCTTCTTCAGTCCAGAGATCCTGGGGTGTTCATGCTGCTATTAGCAATCTTGGCAGCACACAGAGTGAGAGAAAGAGGGGAGAACACACTTGGTAGCCTTGTCAACGACGCCGTCAACATCATCGCCGCCCAGCACAATGCCATCGACATCGCCACCGACCTTGGAGGCGGCGGTGAGAGCGACAAGCGAGGCAGGGTTGATGGTGCCGTTCTTGTGCTCGAGGAAGAGAAGCGAGTTCGCCAGGCGAGCTGCCGAAGTCGCAAATGTGCGCGAGGACGACGATGCCGCCGCTGTAGCAGCCCTCGTCAGAGGAGAAGCTCCTCGAAGGGAGCTGGCGGCAAGTCGAGGGAGTATCATAATGTTCGAGTAGAGGGAGGAGGGTGTGAGGCCAAGGAGACGAGCCAGCCAAGTTGTGACAAAGATCGCGCTTCCGGATCCCACTTTCAACCGACCGATCCGCCCGCCATCGGTCGGCCGACGCGTGCATACGGGCTGACCCAATTCCTCCACAAAAAGACCATTCAGAAGATCACTCATCAGATAAAACGAGACGAGCACCATCCGGTCGCCGGCTGTCATTAAGGCCCGATGGTGAAGAGGAAGGCTTCATCGTCGCCAAGCGAACCAGAGGTCCAAGGGACACCAAAACGAGTACATGTCGAAGATTGGCCTGCCCCATTAAGGGCAAGGGAGCTTGCGGCAGACTTCATAAAGCGAGTCGCTGCCTCGCCTCACCTCTGCCTGCTCGTTCCAGACAAGGACGCCGACGGGCTCTCGAGCGGCGTCATTCTCTACCGGACGCTGATCGGGCTTGGGAAAAGCGCTGAGAGCATCGGTGTACATCACATAGGAGCCGGCCAGCGTCCTGGGTCGAGATCACAGAGGCGTGTGTTCGAGAAGTCTGGTGCTCGATGGATTATAGTGCTGGACCAAGGAAGCGCTCCGAGCCCTGCGTTGACGACGACGGCCGAGCGGGGGTGGAATGCACCCGAGGACGATGAGGAGGTAGTGCGGACCCTAGTTATCGATCATCATCATGTAGATGATCTGGACCAAGCGGGTCCAAAGGGTTCTCTGCTCGTCAACGCAAGCAGGCACGAGCCCGTTGCAACGAGCTCCCTCTTGGCGTGGGTCATCTGCAAGCCTCTACTGGCCGAAGTCATTGGAGAAAAGGAAGCAGACGACCGGCTCAAATATCTCGCTATAATCGGGACATGTGGGGATCTGAGCACGTCCGTCAAGTGGGACCCTCCGTGGCCAGACTTGAGCCCCGAGCTCAAGCGATGGGGAAAATCCAAGATTGGCGAAGCTGTCGCTCTTCTCAATGCTCGTGAGTCACGTTTCTCTCTGCTTCACTGATCAGCACGCTGAGCTGATGGCAGTCATAGCGAGAAGAACGCCTCTGCACGACGCCCACGTCAGTTGGGATGCCCTGATGGCAAGCAAGACGCCGCCGGACCTCCTTTCGACAACGACAAACCCGGGCTTGCTCCGTCTGGCAGAGGCGCGAAGGCAGGTGAAAGACGAGACAGAACGATGCACCCACACGCCTCCCAAATTCTCAAAGGTAGAATCAGCAAGTTTCTTTGACCCGCCTCATCACCGTCTCACTGACGAACCGTGCTCCCCGAATGACAGGACTCCCGCGTGGCCCTCTTGACGATCGATTCGCCCTTTCAGGTGCATCCTTCCATCGCGACGCGCTGGGCTGGCACGCTGAGGGGCGCAAAACGCCTGCAGGTCGTCATGTGTGCCAACCTGGGCTTCGGGACCGTCGTCACCCATTCTGACGAGGACGAAGAGAAAGCCGCAAAGATAAAAGAAGAAGGAGAGGACAAGACAAATATGGAGCGTTACGTGCACTTTTCGTGCCGGATCGCAGGAAGCGCCAAGGGCCGTGGGGAAGAAGTCAACATCATCTCAATACTGCGAGAGTACGCGGCGCTTGATCCTACCTTCCTCAAAGACCTCGAAGCAACGGGCCACGAGGGCGGCTTTGCCAATGGCCACGTTCAAGCGGCCGGCTCGGTGCGTTTTTGTTCTTCTTTTTCCTTTTCTAGAGCATCACTGACCAAACTCGATCTTCTTTCCAGATTCTTCCGCGCTCATTCTGGGACCGCTTCGTGAGCCTCATGGAAATCGGTATCAAAGCAGAGGGCACGTCTTCCTCACCGAGCAAGGGCAAGAAGGTGGCCGTCCAGAGCAACAAGCTCACCGCCTACTTCTCTCAAGCGTAAAGTCCCTTACGAGCGATTGTCTCCGGCCTCACCCAAACTGTACAACACGCCATGAAATGTATCGATAGTCTTCTATGAGGTTGCAAGATTTGTTGAAAGGGTTCCAATTACTGGGGACACTAAGAGGAAATACTGAAAGAGCGATGATAGTTGTGTGTATTTATAGGATGTATTGATATCAACAGACCGAAGACGATCTCCGGTCTTTGGCCGACAATTTGGCCGACAAGGTCGAATCGTTGCTGTTGGAGGCATTGGAGCTGCTGTCCCTAGACGTCATCGTCATCATCTGCGAAGACGTCGGGCTGGCCCTTGAGCTGGCAATTGGCGGTGCAACGAGCGGCGTCATGCTGCCCAATCCACTGCTCATCGACAGCGAGCCACTGCCCAAGCCGCCGCTGCCGTTGCCATTCGGCGTCACATTTCCAGGCGTAGGCGGCACCGATCGATTGTGCTTCATGTGGGCCTGGATCAGGTGGCCAGCACTGAGGGCGCCCATCAGGCTCAGCTCGCCCGCCATTACAGCGGCAGCGATGATCCTCGCCAGACGCTGTGCGTTTGCGCCTGGAATCTCCTTGGAAGCGCCCGCCACACCCAGCATCTCCAGCAGGGCTCGTTGGGGTGAAAGGATGGTGCCACCGCCGACGGTGCCAACCTCGATCGAGGGCATGGACACCGTGACCAGGAGGTCATCCACGCCAGTCGATGCGTTGGGAATCGCTTCCATGAGCGTCATGCACATCGAACTCTCGACGACCTGGGCCGGATCCTGGCCTGTGGCCAAAAAGACGGCAGCCACGATGTTGGCGGCATGGGCATTGAAGCCTCCGACAGAGCCAGCCATGGCCGATCCGATCAGGTTCTTCTTGATGTTGAGATTAACCAGGTCCTTGACCGTCGTCTTGAGGACCGACTTGACCGTTGCACCCGGGATGACGGCCTCGCAGCACACGCTCTTGCCCCTACCCTCAATCCAGTTGATGGCGCTGGGCTTCTTGTCGATGCAGTAGTTTCCGCTCAGGCTCAGCACCTGCATCTCGAAACGCTGCGACATGAGCTCCAGGGCCTTTTCAACACCCTTTGAGACCATGTTCATGCCCATGGCATCGCCCGTGGCCGTGGCAAAGCGCACATAGAGGGTCCTGCCCGCCATGACGCAGCGGAGGTGAGAGAGACGTGCAAAGCGTGAAGTCGAGTCGAAAGATTCCTTGATCGTCGATGCTCCTTCTGGCGAGTCAATCCACCTCTTGGCCTTTGCGGCCTGCGTGATGGAGCTGAACTCAATCACAGGGCCTCGCGTCATGGCATCTTGCGTCAAAACGGTCGTGACACCTCCTGCCGCGTTGAGTGCCTTGCAACCGCGCGATGTCGAGGCCACCAGAGTTCCTTCGGTCGTGGCCATGGGGATCGGCAAGACTTGACCATCAACTGTCAAGGGGCCAGCGATACCGACAGGCAGAGGCATGTACCCAACGACGTTCTCGCAGCAGGCACCCATGACCTGTGCGTAGTCGTAGTTGGAGTGTGGCACGAGGGAGCTTTCGAGAGTCTTCGTCGTGGATGCTCGCGAGATGAGAGCCCTTCGGATTCGGACGGCTCGCTCGTGATCTTGCAGCAGCTTCTCCAAGGCGTAGGACTGGATCTTTCCCTTTTGCGCCAGGAGGATGACCTCTTCGTCGCTCAGCAAGAAGACACCGGCTCCTCCGGCGTACAACTCGAGAAGATCGTCCAACGGCCGGACCTCTTGAGTCCCGTCATTGCCCACAAAGCCAGCCACCTTGACACGCAGCGAGTCTGACGGCTTCTCTCCCGTCTTCGCCTCGTCGCGCACTGTGGCGGCTGCATCGGAAGCCACCGCATCAGCCGCCACGGCCTTCGTAGGGACGTCCGCCTTGCTAAGGCCCTCCTCTTGCCTTGGCACCTGGTCGAGCTTGCCCTTGGCATGGCTGGCCGAGAGCTGAGCGAGTTTCAAGTGGTACTCGGAAATGCTATCGTGCATGTTTGGCCGCTCTGCTGGCTTTTCACTCCATCGTCTCGAAGGCTTGCTATCCGTTGCGACGTCTGCAGTCGACAGTCGACCCCCTTCACGGTTCAGGTGTGCGCCAATCATGCGTGCAGCGGCAAATGCAGCCGCACCAGCCGCATTACCCTCGGCGACGGCTGCATTGCCCGTGGCGATGCCCTTCAGTAGATAGGCGTTGAGGAAAATACTGATGGCCAGTGCCAGCGACATCCACTTGCTGATGACGGGGTCGCCCACGATGACCGTCCACAAGCTCATGAAGCTGTCGAGCACAGCAAGAGAAGATGAGCTACCCGGTGAGGTGCCCGATTTAATGGCTGTGGGCAAGAACGAGTCCGATGAGTTGCTACCCGATGGTGATTCGATTGCGTTGCTGTTGCTGCCTCCCAGACCCGATGCGTTGAGAGCTGCAGATCCAATCGCTGACCGGGACCACGCTGCATTTGGAGCGCTGTCCACAAGGACGTAGATAATAGGATCGGCAACCTTGACGATGACGTCGGCATCCTTCGGCATCGTCATGCCCCTCAGAAGCGCATCCATGACAGCACTATTTGGCTTGGCGGTGGATAAAACGCCAGGTGCCGTGTCAACGAGGGACTTGTACAGGGAGACGGCGCCGGTCGACTGGTGGCGCGAAAAGGCCGATTGCGTCGTCAGTGTTGAGACGAGGTTCAGCGAATGGAGCGTCAGGAAAGCCGTAATGAGGAGAAGCTTGAGCCTGGCTACCGGATTTTCGCGACCATGTCTGCTCCTTTCAAAGGGAACCTTTCCGAGGATGAGCTTGACGATCCTCCTCCACAGCGGCCTAGTCGAGGCACTCGAATGCTGGCGTGATCCATCCGCGGCGGCACGTTCCGGGCTGTCTTCGCGCGAAGACAACGTAGACATGGGTGTGTCAAGCTCCGAAAGGGGCACGTCTGAATCGACATTGGGCGGTGTCGAGGGTTTGAGCCTTCGCATGCCCCGCATCACCTTGATCCGGTGTACCTCGACCATGACGGTGAGAATGGAGATGAAGAAGCAGAAGAGAAAAGCGCAATCGAAGATGAGGATCAGGGCTGCGAGCTGGCAAAATTCGCGCAGACCCGACACTCCACTGGTGGCGCCGACAGCCATGACTGCAATCTCGATGGCGTAGTCTCGGATGATGGGCACGCCAACGAGGTCGACAGCAGCCTCAACGACTTCGTTGGCAGGCACTGGCTGAGGGGCAGACCACCGCAGGCTGGGCTCCGTGCGAAGGCGGGCGGTAAGGGCACGCACAAAGGCTTCCTCCTGGCTGTGGTCGTCGGCCACTCTAGCGCCATTGCCCTTGATCCCATCCGGACGTGGGCCTTGCTGCCTCTGCTGCTGTTGTTGTTGTTGCTGTTGCTGCTGCGATTCGTTGAGCGCTGAAAGAAGCAGGTCTGGGTTGGCCTTGGACGTCGTCGCTTGAGGCGCGATTGCGGGGTGCGTGAAGACGGCTCTCGTGAGCAGAAAGGGCTTTTCAAAGCCGACAGTAATGACGAGGAAAGGCAAAGCCTCAGACAGGCAGATGGGATCCACGGTCACGCCGACGAGGTATGCCATGGCCAAAGCACACAGGAAGGCGAAGATGGACGAGGTCAGAACCGAAGCGCCGAGCCAAAAGTTGGATCCAAACTTGCGCATCGAGAGGAAGAGGTTGACGAAAGTGCCGTGCATGAGAATATAGGCAGAGAGCATCACGAAGATGTCTGCTGAGTCGGCGCGCTGTCAAAGTAGACGTTAATCTTGGCTGGACAAGCACAAGAACTCAAGAGCAAACTCACTTTGACCAGGGCCCAGAAGCGCATGACGAGAGCGCGCATGGCATAGGCCATCCATCGCACAGATCGAAGCTCTTCGGTCGAGGCAGACGAGTACTGCCCCGTGGAGCCATAGGCGCCGACGTCATCGTCGGAAAAGATGGGCAGCAACCGAAGCGCGGAAGCCTTTGTCACACTGGCATTGACTGTCGTCGCCAGCATATCGACATCGGCAGCCTTCTCGATGAAGTGCCGTCTTGCTTCGAAGGTCGCGTCCTCATTATCTTGCTCAATTGTCGACAAACGAGCAAAAGTATATGCGGCAACCTCCTCCGGAACATCTTGGACAAGATGCGTTGGGCCGTCACCACCCAACTCTTTCTGCAGGAGCTTGGCCACATTGGCTAGCGTCGTATCACGGAGCGCTTTCTTGATATCGGTTTGCTCCTCAGAGTCGACCACAATGACGGGCTCGATGAGGAAACGCTTCAACTTCTCCGACTCGGCCGCTCCGTGCTCGAGACCGGCCTCGTTTGCTTCTTCCCCAGCGATCCAATCCATCGAGCCTGCCTTCCTCACAAAGAAGTTCCCCCTCTCCGTCCACCGTGCGGCGTCATTGATAGCGTCCGCATCGCTGCTCAAAGGTGAGGACGATGCCGCAGCCAGACCGGCGGCCTCCCTGTGCAGTGGCTCGAAAAAATTGCTCGTCGTGACGGCGTGAAGAACCTGAAAGTAGGCGAGTGTGACAATGACAAAGATTGTCACGATGACCTCGATCGGGTTCTTGGTCGCCCGCTTCGCCAACTTTCGAAGCATGGCTCGCGGCAGTGATAGTTGGTTCGGGGTAGTGGCGCTGGTTGTCGACAAAGGCGGTGATGGTGTGTGTGCGTGTGCTGCTGTTGGAGCTGATGATGACGTTCTGGACATGTCAAATGATGTAGAAAAGGAGTGTGGGGGGGGGGGGGGTCGGCAGTCTATGCGTTGATCGTATGTACAGTGGTAGGTGATGAAATCGCCCAGAGCGAGAAGAACGAGAGGAAAGTGAGTCGAGATACGTTCGTTACCGGCCCATCACTCGAGTGCGCGGCTATATGTGAAGAAGGCGATCAGAGCGAGCGTATCGCAAGACAGCTGCCGTCGTAGCAGGCGTGACGTCGATGGCAAAGCCAATGAATGGCCCTCCAGGATCTTGTGAGGCGGTGAACCTCTACTAATGAAAAAGTCTGGAGATGGACAAAGGGGGATTTTTAGAAAAAGAAGAAAAAAAAAGAGTTTCGATGGTGGGACGATCGCGCCAGGTGGCGTGTTCCAAGGCTTATTCGCTTTCACTGACTGTCAGCTGGTCGTGCTGCCTTGGTCAAGGCCGTCGAAGGAAGGGATGCTGATGCCGATGCCTTGCCCGTCGTCGCTGCCGTTGCCGTAGCTCGTACTGACGGCGATAGTCGGTGGCTGATGACGAAGAGGAGAGGGTCAATGGGAAGTGAGAAGTCTAAGTGGAAACACCTTAAGCTTTGATAATTGTTGTATTCGGATATTCTTAATTTCAAGATAACAAAATTTGAGCCTCTTATGTCTACCCTGCCGTTTTTGTCTGCATGCGAAGAAACGAAGGGCACCGGCTAAGCGAATTCCCCGCCGTTTTCTTCTCGACGCTAGAGGATTATGGGCCCCCAACGAAAAGAAAATGTCGGTCTGCTGACTTGTCTGCGTGTCTGCCTCCCGCGTCTGCCTCGCGTCTGCTTCCGCGTCCCCCCAGCGTGCCTGTCTGTGTAGTGCACATCTGCATGTATGTCTCACCGTCTCTTCCAGGTTCAGCGAAGCTAGTAGTACGTAGTACGTGTCCAAGCGCGATTCTTCAATTTGATCTCTTCCGGGGAGTATCTGTAAGGGATGGCCTGTAAAGGATCGTCTGGCAAGTGCTTGTATTCTTGCTTGAGAAGGACACAATGGCGAGAATGCCTTAATCTGTCTCTGCGTGAACAATAGAGTGCATACACATGTGTCACCCTTGACACCGAAGACAAGATCTTTGACGGTGTCTTGCGACGGTAGAAGGGCCTCACTCGATGACGAATTGTACGGGCGAGACGATATGTGTTTTCGCTCGCCATGGCCGTATCTGCGTAATACGAAGCTCCCATCTTGATGCATCTTGGGAGGGCGACTTTTGACTCGTAGTTTTACAACTATGCCTGGAGCATCGTCCTCAATCTTCCTCGTCCTCAACTTTCTAAAGCGGCAAAATAGAAGCTGTGACGCTCTCCCCCAAAGACAAGACCGAGCGTGTCCGCGAAGAGAGACTTCACGGTGATCCGCATCCAACCAAAAATCTGAGCTTTCGGTACCGATAAGCGAATCGAGCTCAACTCCTTCACTTGTGCGAATACGATGGGCGCACAGGTCCGACGTGGGCGACGTGGGCGTCACTGTTTCCGTGTGTTCAGAGATTCGCGACTGGGCTTCGAGCATGTTACAGTGAGAGCAATCGAAAGGTCGGTGAACAAGACCTCGACGAAAGGCCTTCCGCCTCGAATTCTAGCTGCCAGAAAACCCTTTGTTCGTGGCCGAAAAGCGCGAGATAGGCCTTGGGTTGAGCACAAGACGGGGTTCTTGTCTTGGTCATGCACATAAAATCTGCGTGGGCCAATAGTCCTGTCCTATTTTCACTCAATTGCAGGCCCACACCGTACATTGGGCACACATCATGGCTCACGCAGCTGTTTTGTTCATGCGCCTATGCTCCGACTTCACGTCGAAACATGCCCGCGTCCTCGCATAGGTAGTCTCTAGGCGCCCCAGGGCGTTCGCTATGTGGGCGTATGGCGCTTTGGAGATAGGAAACGGCGTTTTAACTACTTCCTGCCAGGACCCTCCTGGACAAGACAGTCGGAAAGGCCCGCTCCACTGCTTTCAATACAGCGAGAAACACCTGCCAAATGTTCGAAATGACTTGTAAAATGAGGGAAGGGTTTTGCTGATGATCACGTTCATCCTCATTGGCCCGGCCGTAGCGCTCTTGAACCGTGGCGGCAAGCAAATCTTAGCCGGCAACCGGAGCGAAGGCCTTTGCGGAAATCGACGGATACAAGAATGAGATCATTACAAAAATCGCGTTTTTCAAAGCCGGGCTGTTTTTTAATTATTCCAATGGCAATGCGGAAAAGGAAAATAAAAAAAGAGGGCAGGGAAAAAAGACAAGAGGTGGGAAAATTGAATGAAAGCCGCGCGCGATGGTTGGCTGGCGCGAAGAGAAAGGGCCTGGCTGAATGGATCGAGGGCGAGAGAGCATATCTTCAAGCTGGAATCCACATCGACGCAAGTTTCCTCCCCTTGCTCCTACTACCACCACCATCACCTGGGCAGTCGCCACCGCCGCAAGCTCTTTCCGCTACATCACCTCGTCACTGTCAGCGCCCTTAGCTGTGCTGATTACACTTTGACACAAGGAGAGAGACACTTTTCCATCCCACCCGGTTTCACCCTCAATCCACCATGCTTCCGGCTCGAGGCGCCATGCGCGCTGGCGCTGCCCTGAAGCGAGGCGTGGCCGCACCCTCGCTCACCAGGGCGACGATGGCGAGGGGCTACGCAACGACGGCGGAAGAGGTCCCGGACATTGACCCCTCCATCTTCGACCGCAAGGTTGACATGAGCAACGTCGAGAAGGGAAAGGGATACTTCATCAACTACAAGAAGATGGACGAGAACATCAAAATTGTCCGCGACAGGTGCGTCACCCGATCATTGGAAAAGAGCTGAATGTGTTACTGACTCGAACCGAGATTTGCAGGCTCAAGCGACCACTGACCATGTCGGAGAAGATCGTCTACGGCCATCTCGATGACCCTCACAACGAAGACATTCGACGTGGACAGTCCTACCTCAAGCTGCGCCCCGACGTGAGTTTCTCTCCAAGCCTTCTTTCTCTTTTATTCTCTGAGATTGAAAGCTCACTGCGTGAAAACTCAAACAGCGAGTCGCCTGCCAAGACGCCACGGCCCAGATGGCCCTGCTGCAGTTCATGTCTGCTGGTCTCCCCACCGTTTCCGTGCCCACGACAGTACACTGTGACCACCTTATTGAGGCCCAGGTCGGTGGTGTCAAGGACCTGGCCCGTGCCAAGGACATCAACAAGGAGGTGTACGACTTCCTGGCCACCTGCACGGCCAAGTACGGCATTGGATTCTGGAAGCCTGGCTCGGGCATTATTCACCAGATCCTCCTCGAGAACTACGCTTTCCCCGGTGGTATGATGATTGGTACCGACTCGCACACGCCCAACGCCGGTGGTCTCAACATGATTGCCATTGGTATCGGTGGTGCCGACGCTGTCGACGTCATGGCCGACATTCCCTGGGAGCTCAAGTGCCCCAAGGTCGTCGGTGTTGAACTCACCGGAAAGCTCTCGGGCTGGACCGCTCCCAAGGGTGAGGAAGTTTGCCCTGTCGATAGCTGAGAAACTGAGCTGACTTGGCCTTTTCCTTCTCCAGACATCATTCTCAAGGTCGCCGGCGAGCTCACTGTCAAGGGTGGCACGGGCAGCATCATCGAGTACAAGGGACCTGGTGTCGAGGGTCTCTCGGCGACGGGCATGGGCACAATCTGCAACATGGGTGCTGAGATTGGCGCTACGACGTCTGTCTTCCCCTACAACGACCGCATGGGTGACTACCTCCGGGCCACCAACCGTGGCGAGATCGCCGACCTGGCCAAGGGCTTCCAGAAGAACCTTCTCCCTGACGCGGGCGCCGAGTACGACAACCACATTCAGATTGTGAGTTTCGACAAGTGTGGCTGAGCCTTTAGCTCGCATAGCTGACTTCCCCCCCCTCTCTCTCTCCAGGACCTGAGCTCGCTCGAGCCCCACATCAACGGCCCCTTCACCCCCGACCTTGCCACGCCCCTGTCCAAGTTTGCCGAGGCTGTCAAGAAGAACGACTGGCCCCAGGAGCTCAAGGTCGGCCTCATTGGCTCGTGCACCAACTCGTCGTACGAGGACATGTCCCGCTCGGCTTCGATTGCCGAGGAGGCTGCCGCCCACGGCCTCAAGGTCAAGTCCAAGTTCACCATCACGCCCGGTTCTGAGCAGATTCGTGCCACCATCGCTCGTGACGGCCAGATGGACATCCTCAGCGACGCTGGTGGTGTCGTTCTCGCCAACGCCTGCGGCCCTTGCATTGGCCAGTGGGACCGAACTGACGTCAAGAAGGGCGAGAAGAACTCGATCATTACCTCGTACAACCGTAACTTCACGGGCCGTAACGACGCCAACCCGGCCACCCACGCCTTTGTTGCCTCGCCCGACATTGTCACCGCCATGGTGTTCGCTGGTGACCTGACCTTCAACCCTATGACCGACTCGCTCAAGGGCGCGGACGGCAAGGAGTTCAAGTTCTCCGACCCCACGGGCAAGGAGCTCCCCCCTCGTGGCTACGACCCCGGTGAGGAGACCTTCCAGGCTCCTCCTGAGGACCGGTCGCAGGTTCAGGTCAAGATCGACCCCAACTCGGACCGTCTCGAGTTCCTGCCGGCCTGGGAGCCTTACCAGCCCGGCTACGAGAAGGACCTTTACGTCCTCGTCAAGGCTGAGGGCAAGTGCACCACCGACCACATCTCTGCTGGTGGTCCCTGGCTCAAGTACCGTGGCCACATCTCCAACATCTCGCGCAACACCTACTCGGGCGTCATCAGCGCCTTCACCCACGAGGCCAACCAGTCGTACAACCACAACACGGGCAAGTTTGAGTCGACGCCCGAGGTGGCCCTGCAGTACAAGGGTCAGGGCAAGCGATGGGTCTTCATTGGCGGTGACAACGTCGGCGAGGGTTCGTCGCGTGAGCACGCCGCTCTGCAGCCCCGCCACCTTGGTGGTTTCGCTGCCATTGCCAAGAGCTTCGCCCGTATCCACGAGTCGAACCTCAAGAAGCAGGGCCTTGTCGCCGCGACCTTCAAGAACCCCGAGGACTACGACAAGATCCAGAAGGACGACATCGTCACCCTCGAGGGTCTCGACAAGTTCGCCCCCGGCTCGGAACTCAACCTCGCCGTCAAGCACGCTGACGGCTCGACCGACAACCTTCCCCTGGTCCACTCCTACAACGAGCCGCAGCTCAAGTTCTTCAAAGCTGGTTCAGCGTTGAACTTGATGGCGGCAGCCGCTTCTGCAAAGGCACAGGCGTAATGGTGTCCAGTCAAGGTCACCATGGCGAGCAGACACTTCGTAGAAGTCGAGGGCACCAGCGCGTCTTTTTGACGTGGTTCTTTCCCGCGGAAAGATTCTCGCGTCAATTTCAACGCATTTCACTTTCCTTGCTGTAGTTCTTTTTATTCATTGTTACCTCTTCTGGTCGTGGCTTTCTTGTTTTTGCCCTCGTATCACACAACCAAAAGCAATAAGGAAGAATGGAAAAACAATGATTCCGGACGAGATTGATGTTGATGCAGCAGCAGGCGCAATTTCACACCCCGTCGCTCTTTGTCTTCTATCACCAAACTTCTTTTCCTACCAGAAGAATTTCGGGCCGGGCGTAGCGCCGGATCTGCATATTCCGTTTGAATTGAGGTTGACAAAGCTTGCTCGTCCAGATGGACACTGAAAGCGACGTCGCAATAGATCAATCTAAGTTTGTCCCCTATCGGTCTAGGGACATCTCGGGTGGACGGGAGAAGTGCGCTCCCATGCTAAAGGGAAATGGAAAGATGGACGGAGGAGGCTAAGAACGGCAAATGGACGCTTACGGCATCCCCTAAGAGGCGTCACTCATTCAGCCTGTGTTCCCTTTGTTGGCGCGCTCATGGTCATTGTCTCGAGGCGAATCGGGAGACCATTGTCTCGCATCGCCAGTCTTCTCTTTCTTCTTCTTGGGAGCTCGTCGGGTTTGTCTCTCTGCCTTTTCACGATTCGCATCGGGCTCCTTAAGTTCTTGCTTAATGCGAATGAAAGATTCCCCGCCCTGCCTTTCGCAAAGGTGGGACCCGCGCAATAAGGCAAAGAGAAACGAAAAAATAAAATAAAAAAGAAGGCTAGCTCGGGAGGGGAATATAAGCATTTGCTTCCTTTGAACGTTAACGTTAAACCCATGAATCACTATCAAAGAATAGAAGAATAATAGAGGGTTAGTGAATCCGTCGCGCCGCCTCCTGCTTTCGGTAACTGGAGACGAGAGCGCGCCAAAGAGAGGTCTTTTGGAGAGAGAGAATCCGCCGCAAGGACCCTTGGGTGGTCCATCATCATCACTTGGCTTCGAGGACTCCGGAAGACGGCGACCATAACGACGGTTCTTTATTCACTTCCGTCAACCTGTCCCGACACGCCACTCCTACCATCCCGGCATTCTCCCTGCTCGTCGGCGTTCACACTCCGACCCGTCGCCGGATCTAAGGCTTTCCTCACGCTGGCGGATTCGACACGTCGAAGTGGACTAAGGCAGGGGAAATTTTTCCCATCAGTTCGTCCCATAATCAGCAGGGGCCCTCTCATTCGCCTCTAATCCGCCCTCGGCTTTCGATCGCGCGTCCAATTGGCCCTTTCGCTCGCCATTCGTTGCGAAGGTGCAGTGGGACCGACGATCAGGCTGATCATCCGGTAGAGTGCGCTAGAGGAGACGAGGGAGGGGAGACACTTCGGAAAACGTGACCCCTACTCGCTCGTCTCCGCCCAACCCCCCTTTACCCCTCGTCGAACCCTCGCCTCTCGTTTTCCTCTCCCTCTCTCTCCCCTTTGGTTTCGCCTCACCTTTCCTTCACCCTTGATGAGCCACGAAGCGCCATCGGTCTTGGAAAAGGTCTCAACAACGTAGCGTGATTGCCATCCCGGCGCAGTGTGCACGCTCACCAACGGGCAGCAAGCGCGACAGATCTTCGGACATCCTCCTTTCGAGTCCAGCTGAGAGAAGGAGAGAGGCGGTACTTCGCGGATCAGGAGGTCGGCTTTGCTCGAGACGCGCGCATACAGAGCCTTTGGCCAACCCTTATCGCAAGAGGACCATCTTCTCGGTCTGGTGAGAGTGCGCTTCTCATGTTGTGAAGGAGGACTTGACGTTGACATCTGGGACGCCTATAGGGTCGCTCACACAGGCGCTTGGTACTCTCTCATCGAAGGTCCGCGTGAGAGAGGGGCCCTGTGGCCATGCCGCTCCTCAATGGAGTGAGTGGGTCAGGATCGCCGCACGGAGGTCTTGGCAGCAGCAGCAGCGGCGTCGTGGGAGCGGCAGGAGCGGGAGACGGAGGCTTGCGTGCCGGCATGCTGCCAAAGCAGGCGCCCCACCAGCTCTCACCGAGACACTACGACCAGTACGGGCATGACCCAGGGCCCAGCTCCATTCCTCTAACTAATCGGACGGGCAACGGCAACGGTAATAGCAACAGCAACAGCAATGGGAACGTAGGCTATCTTGGCGCATCCTCTCTGCAAGCGATACCACCCTATCGAGGGTCACCCTCAACGACGCAAGCAAATGGAGGCTACAACACCAGTTTGGCCTCCAACAGCGCAGTGAATGGCCAGGCAGGCGGCTACGGCATGCAAATACGAAGCCCGACAGAATCATCGATGCCGACAACGGCGGCCTCGTTGATGCGAGAAGGGCCGAGAGACTTTACAGTCATCAAAGACGTCGGTGATGGGTCCTTTGGAACAGTGTGTCTGGCCGATTGGAAGAGCCCGCTGCCGAGCGGGACTTTGCTCAGTCCGATGCAGCATCCAACGACAAGACCAGAGTACCTCGGCAAAAGGCTGGTGGCCATCAAGAAGATGAAAAAACCATTCAGCAGCTGGGACGAATGCATGAAGCTGAAGGAGCTCAAGGTGAGCAGAGACGATTTGAACCCTTGAGACAGAGGGGCCTGTCGGTGCTGATGAAGAGGATCCCACAGTCACTACTCGCAATACCCCACCACCCCAACATTATTCCCCTCTACGATGCCTTTCTGATGCCTGGCGAGAAGAAGATGCTGCACTTCGTCTTTGAGTGCATGGAGGGAAACCTCTACCAGCTCACCAAATCGAGAAAAGGGCGCCCATTAGCCAGTGGACTCGTCGCCTCGATTTTCCAGCAGATCATCCGTGGTCTTCACCACATCCATGAACACGGCTACTTTCACCGAGACATGAAGCCAGAAAACCTGCTCATCACCACCACTGGCCTCGCCGACTACCCGGCCTATGCACCTTTTGCACCTCGAGGCACAGCACCGGAGCGAGACGTGCTTGTCATTGTCAAGCTGGCCGACTTTGGCTTGGCTCGAGAGACGCAAAGCGCGCCACCCTACACCGAATACGTCTCGACGAGGTGGTACAGGGCACCAGAGATTCTGCTTCGGGCAAGAGACTACTCGAGCCCTGTCGACATTTGGGCCTTGGGTACCATCCTGGCCGAGCTCCTCAACCTCAAACCGCTCTTTCCTGGCCAAACTGAGGTGGACCAAGTCCTTTACATTGTCGAGATTCTTGGTAACCCCTCGTCGGAATATGGCAAAGACGAGCGAGGTCGGTTACGAGGTGGTGGCGATTGGGCCAGAGGGCTGCGGCTGGCTGAAAAGGTCGGCTTTGAGTTTCCAAAGGTACGCTCGTTTGTTGATGGTAACCTCGTTTAGGGCTTGTATGCTAATCGGTCCTCTACAGGCCTCCCCGATGAACTTCGCGAATCTCTTTTCGGCCAAGGTGCCTGCCGCGCTGGTCGACTGCATCCAAGACATGATGCGATACGAGCCTCAGGCGAGACTCACGACGCGAGACTGTCTGAACCACGTCTACTACCGCGAGATCGCACCCAAGCTACTCCCGCTACAGGCCAAGGAACTGGCCATCGCGACGGAGCCGACAGCACAGCTTCGACAGGTGCCAAGAGCACAGTTGCAGCCCATTGCCTTGCCCGACAAAACCATGGGCATGGACCCGAACGCAGGAAGACGGCAGGTGCCTCCGTCGCACTCGGCCATGCCTCAATCAGTCCGGCCAGCGTTTGGCGCAGGCACGTCAGCCCACGACATGGCGAGGCTGCAGCAGCAGCAGGATCAACCCATGGCTGCGGCTTCACCAATGCGGACCGGCCCGACGCACGACACTGGCCCAGTCGATGCTCCGATGGATGCCGCCTCTCCCAAAGAGCTTAACGATGTGCAGTGGGCACCTGCACCGGGCTCGGGTGTACGAGATTCGACAATTTCGCAGATTTCGCAGTACCCGGCGTTCCCAGACTCCGCGTCCTTGTACGCCGGCAGCCACGCATCGATGCAGTTTGACGACGTTTCGTTGCGACCGCCTCAGGCGTACCAGGGCGAGGCTGGCTCCGACGCTCAATTCTCGACGTCGACGGTGCGTGACGTCAGGCAGTACAACCCGCAGGTGCAGCGAAATAGCGCTGCTATGCCTCCCAGACGACCGGAAGAAGAGCAATGGGTCAACCGGCAGGCTCAGCAGGGCCTCCCTGCGCAGACTCAGGACAACGGCAGCGATCTGGCAGACAGTAACGCGAGCAACGAGACACTGGGATCACGCGATCGGCGGAGGAGCAAGACCTGGGGTCTCAACATCTCCTCTGTATTTACCGGCAACAGCAGTGGTAGCGGGCCGGTCCCGAAGCAGCCGACGGGGCAGCAATGGGATCCTACGCCCGCACAGCAGCTCGTGGCAGAGCAGCAGCCGCAGTTCCTGACAAGCCAGGCTCAACAACAGGCGGCGTATTCATCGGCTTCCTTGCCAAACTCGGCGCCAGTACAGTCAAGCAGCAAGCCGCTGGACCCAAAAAAGGCCAAGAAGGAGGCAGAGAAGAAGGCCAGAGAAGCGGAAAAGGCCAAGAGAACTGCCCAGGAGAAGGCGGCTCGAGACCGAGCGCGGGCAGTGATGCAGAAGAGGAACCAGATCTTGGCCGCATCAAACAACCGGGACCAGGTCGAGTGGCTCGACAACTCATTGGCCGACAACGATGTGACGAGGGCGCTGGCTCAAAGCGACAAAGCAAGGGGAAAGCAGCCATCGTCAAGCATGAGCTCTTACTCGAGCACATACGGCGGTACATACGGCGGCGGACCGTCGCCAGCCTCGGAAAGTTCGGGCAGCAGTCTCTTCTCGCCACAGGCACCATCTCACCAGCATCTGGCTGGTCTTTCGAGTCCCGGCTTGCCTCGGCAGGGAATGCGAGGTGGAGTGCATGGCTCGAGTGCCTTCTCAAGAGGTCCGGGCCGGTACAGAGAGTATGACGACGAGCGATCGCTGTCGAGCTTCGATCACGATGACCCCCGAAGACAGTCAATGCAGTCGTTCCAGACGGGCGACAGCGACCCAGGCCCGGGTGGCAGATATGTCCATGGCAACCTAGCCAACATGCAGCGCCAGGGGTCAGCGTCGAGCCTGAATTCTGCACCCGGCGTCATCGATGCCTCGGGCCGGAGATTGGTGGACTACCGAACTTCGCACGACAACCGATCGGTGGCCAGCTCGCTAGACCAGCAGCTTGTTCAGGACTTTGGTAATACGACGGTGGGCGATGTTCGGCAGCGCGATCCGGGCAGCGTCTCGCCGGGACCTCATCACCTCTACGGCACGAGGACATCGGTCAGCAGACAGAGTCACGGAAGTCGAGCTTCGTCGGCCCATCGACAGGGCTCTGCCTCACCACTGCACCAGACGCCTGCCCCTCGCTTTCACCCGTACTCGCACGGGCCCGGACCTAGCATCTCATCGACCCACTCTGGCTCAGCGCACTCCTACCAGCTTCCTCCACTGCCCCAGGTTCCGATTCACGGCGGAGGCGATGGTGCACCTGGGCCCTTTCCGCATCGACCACGCTCAGTGACAAGGAGGTCGTCGCAGAGCGCCCATCGCGGCATCTCCAGAGGAAGTGTGGGCTCGCAAGCCAACGACTCTGTCCAGCGCCCGCTGGCCAGCCCCACGACGCATCTCGCCAGTGTCAATCCCATGTTCCAGATTCCCAGGCAGCAGTCGCAGGGGGCGACACCCTCGCCTCAGCCGCCGCAGCTGCCTTTACCCGGAGTTACGGGGCAGGCACCGCTGCTGCCGCCCTTTTCGCAGCTAGCCCAAAGCGTACCGATGAGCCCAGACAATGACGCGACGATGTACGGACCCTCTGGTCAAGGTCAAGGTCAAGGCTATCAGCGGTGACCTCACAGAATCGACTTCTGTTCCTCCATGCATCCAGTCCAGCTGGCCATACTCGGGCATCTCCGTACACTATCATCAGAGCCCTTGGCCAAGCTCGTTCCCCCTCTACCTTCCTCCAGCGCTCGCGCTTAATGTTTTAGCCCCCCCTCACTTGACCTTTGACATCGTCTCCCCACCCTCATTTTAGCCGATCCAATTCCAAAGCCAATATTGCTCTCTCGCCAATGACGGATCTTTGAACTTTTGTGACACTAAATCTCACGTGGACCACGATCGATCCCTTATCTTGACTCGCATGCATAGTCTCGTTAGCGTGCCTGCATGTATCTTTTTTTGCTTATCTCTGGCCCAGAACAAACGAACATTACTTTGGTTCTTTTCCTCGTTGAGCTCTGGAGAGTAAAGAGTGCATTCTTGCCGGTGTTTCAAACAGATGCAGAGAGGAGGGAATCGGTGAGAAAGAGAAGAAGGAAGAAGGATAAGGCGGGAATTTTGCTGTCTTCTGCTCTGCTGGGCTGCTGACCCCGAAAAAAGTGAGCAGTGAGGCCGAGGATCGGGTCTGTGCGCGAGTACTAGGCACAGTGAGGTCGAGGTGCGCGTGGGGGGGGAGGGCAAGGAAACCGACGGCGCTGTGACTGCGTCGGGGTATCAATCGTAAAGAGAGAGCAGCAGCCGAGACCGTGCTATGCAGGCGGACCTTGTGAGACCGTGCGCTTTTCTAGGAAGGAGTTCAAAAGGGCACACCGGATAAAGAGCAACCGCTGAAAGTGGACTACAGAGGCCTGGTCCTCAACAAAAAAAGGTGTTTGCCCTTCGGACACAACTGCCGACAAACTGATGATGGCTAGAGTTTCGCAATCGGAAGAGGGTTCATGTGCTGCTGCGTCCCTGAGCCCTATTCCCCCCGTGTTCAAAAGAAGATTAATAGCTTGTTGGCGCTGCTGTCAGTCAGTGTCAGGGTGAGAGCTGCCAAGCCAGAAGATGGAAGGAAAGCCAGGGGGCGTGCCCAAATATATTGGGTAGCATTGAGGTCTAAATTTGCTCCTGTCTGCAACGTCCAGCTTCCAACTCTTCCGCATCGATCTTTGCCTCTTTGGTCTTTGTCGCTTCCAACACATCTTTCAACAGGCAGCTATCTTGCATCTGGCCGTGCGTCTGCCATCGCCGACTGTGCAGAGTAACGCGCAGTCTTCCCGAAAGGGAAAGAGAACAAGCAGGGGGCAGAGTCCAAGTCCAAGCTCAATTTCCCGGAAGCAATCAATCCACCGAGAGGCAGCTTAATTGTGAGCGCTAAACGAAGCTCAGAGATATCGGCTACATACTGTACATTGGCATCGAAGAAGCAGAAGACGACAACATCTGTCCTGCAAGTGCAATCTTTGCCTTCTTTTCCGTCACTCCCCGCAAACTCGTCGGTTGCCCGAACCGGGTGATCAAGAGTTGAGACCCATCTTTCAATTCAATGGACCTTTCAGTGGCTCCTGCCCGGAGGCAAAGGGAGAAGCCGCCCTTCCTCAACAACAACAACACTACCACCACCACCAGCACTGATTGGGACCCCGCACGCTCGTTCGCACAGCCGGGCTCTTTGCTCCGACACCACCATCCTCACCAGCCATTGGCCCCTTCGATCCGCCTCCACTCCGACTCGATGCAGCAGCCCTCTGGCATCCCTGCCGCTGCGTCCAGCACTGCGACGCTGCCGGCACCCACATCGCCGCTCCCGCCCCTACCGAGCGGTCTGTCGCCCGTCATTGAGGGAGAGGGATCGATCGCGAGCAGCGACTACACGTCGTGCCGCTCCTCGCCGGCCCAAGTCGCCAACCAGGACGTGGCGGGCGCTGTGCCGCCGCCGCCCCGGCCTCACTTGCATCCCAAGCGCGATCCGTCGTCGAGCCCCGACTTTCGTGCGCTCGACGATCGGTCTCCCCGCCTGCCCGCTCGACACGGGCTTGCATCGACCGTGCCGGCCGACGGCAGCTCCAAGCCTCGCCAGCGCCAGCGCGTCCTCGACCTCGGCCGGGCCGAAGACGAGGATCGGTCGGACGGCTCAGCCGGCGTGCCCAAATGGAGCACCCTGTACAGCTCCACAGTGCACCAGGACTATGACCGGCCGTTTGGCCTCGCATCTTCGCTCCCGTACCATGCTAGCCCAACGAATGCGGTGGGAGGCACTGGGCGCCGATCGACCAAGGCGGCCAAGGTGACGCCAACGCCCAAGGGAAGCGCCGATGGCCGTCCGCCATCGTCGTCCTCGTCCTCGTCATCATCGGCCCACAAGAAGCGGGCTGGCGCCCACAAGCCTCAGTCCCCTCACCAGAACCAGCAGCCGGCCACGTTCTCGTCGGGCAGCCCGCTGCTGCTGTCGAGTGGAGAGATGCCATCACCCTCCTCACCGTCGAACTTGTCGAGCGCCCGAAGAGGCCAGGATGGCGCTGCTGTGGCGGCGGCGGCGGCGGCGGCGGCAGAGAAGCCCGATGTCGACATGATTGACGGTGCCGATACTGACAGCGGCAGGGACAAGCCGGCTCCGACGAAATCGTATACGATCAAGGCCAGGTCCTCGTCTCGCGCTGGTCATCCGCAGTTGCGACGGGACAGCAGCTACCACGTCGACGATGATGTGCTCGAGGAGGTCCTCTCCGCACCGCCGGTGCCTCCTCCAAGAAGCTTGGCCAGGGCTGGCGGAGCACGAAGTGGAGCCGCGGGGAGAGCAGCTCAGGCAAGAGAAGCAGGACGCTTCGTGGCCAACGACGACGAGCCAGACGAGGAGGAAGAGGGAGACGACGACGACGACGGGCGGGACAGCGTGGCGGGCATGGAGCCGGCCTGGAGCGACGGTGCGAGCTTCGTGGATGGGATCCCCTTTGGCGGGCGTGGTGCGTTTGGCCACGAGGCGGGACAGGACGCCGACGACATGGACGAAGAGAGCGATGCAGAAGCGATGGCCTCGTCGGCAGCTGCAGCAGCCAGGCGCAAGGCGAGAAAGCAGGACGAAGAAGCCTCCGAAACATTTGAGATGGCTGCCCTGCGACGACAGGTCGAGCAGCTGCAGATGGCTTTGAAGCGCCAGATGCAGGCCAACCAGCAGCAGAGGCGATCGCGACCTCAACAAAAGGATCCTAGCAGTCCATTCATGACCCTCGGAATCCCCACACCACCGGGAAGCTCCCGGCCCGACAGCTTCGTCAGCGGTCCTCTGGGTAAAGGCTCAGTCGCGCCATACTCGACGGACATGACAATGGTGGGCGAGGAGTCTAGCAACGGTCGATTTGTCCGGCCTCGCGTCACCTCAGATCCACCGACGCTGAGCAGCGTTGTTCTGGGCGAGTCGGTGTCGCAGGTCACAAGATTGAGCGATCGGCGAGTCGAAGAGCTGGCACAGAAGATTGAAGCACTTGAGAATCTCTTCAGATCGGCCAGCATCAGCCCGCACCCCAGCGATGGCTCTGCCGTCAGCGTAAGGCCTGCTTCGATGGACCTGACCAGCCTCGCTCAGGCGCAACAGGACGGCCAGCAGCGCGCGCTCGCTCCCGAGCAGCTACGGCCATACCCATACGACATCGACGAGTGGCGCGCCAACTCGCCCTCTGCGGCCGGCCCGCAGAGGTCACGGTACATGCCCACGCGCTCGCCCTCGCTCTCGACAATTTCCACGCGCGACGGTCGCGGCCAGTTCGTCGTCAACAACGGTACGAGCACCATTGGGAGCAGTTACACGCGGAATCGTTCTCCAGCTGCCTCGGCGTTCCACTACAATGCTACCCCCTATTCGAGGGGCGGGCCAGAGGCACCCATGCCGGCCATGTCGACGTCGGCCCTCCCTTACCCGGGACGGCAGGGCGACAAGAGCTTCCTGTCGCCACTGACTCCCAGCTCGACTCACGGAGCTGCAAGCAACAGCAGCAGCGAAGGGCAGCAGCAGTCGCAGCAGCGCAAGCGTGGTGTCGCCCGCTTCATCATGTCTCGAAAGATGAGTGGCCAAGAGGCGTACCACCACGACGATGTGGACCGCCACCCAGACCCAAACATCAAGACGATGCAGGTCAGCTGGAGCAAGAAGCGCATGGAGAAAGTCGAGAAGCCTCATACAAAGGTCAAGACGGGGCCGGGAAGAGGAAGGATGGTGATTCAGCCAAAGACGTAGGCACAAAGGAGAAGAAGCCCGGGGCTTCTGCGATCACGGTATCTATCTTGGGATGTTCAAGAGAATGTGGCTTTTTCGGAGCGCCTGTACTGTACGATAGCGGACAGAACCTTCCTCTCTTTTTTTTTTTTTTCTCGTGAATCTTCATTAGACACCCTCGTTCTTCTTGAGAAAGGCTCAATGGCGATGGCAAGCGGGCAGTCTCTATTCCCATGGGCTGTGCTTTTTTCACGTGTTGGGAGCGGCGTTTTGGCAGCTTGCGCATCACAACTCGCCAGTGTAGCGAGTGTGTGTGAATGCGGCGGCAGAAGAGGTTCCCTTGGGCAGAGGGGGAGACCGGTCGAGTCGACGAGTTCTCCCCTTGACATCACCAAGAAGTATGCAAACGGCGCGCCGCCGCAGAGTGTCGGCGCTTTTCCTTTGTGTATGCACAATGTCAAAGTCTCGGTGCGGTCAAAGCGGACGGGCCGCCGGTCGCGGGCGTGGGCGAATCGAGAGCGCTTTTGATGAGGAGAGCGCGTTTGCCGTTCCTCCCCCGGCGGGGCTTTCCTCGTTTCTACACTTCACCACCAACTGCGACCGAAAGGGTGTAGGGTCAAGGGATGATGGAGTCGTTTCCTTTGCGAGCACAAGGCCGTTCACAGGATCGGGACATCGACGCTTCGTCAGACGAAGACGGCGAAGAAATCGACATGCTCCTAGAGGGGTCCTCAGAGGAAGGGCTAGCCGAAGAGCCTAGTGTCGGCTGCGAGACCTTACGGGCCTACTGCATTGGCTCCCTCGTCGCCCTCGTCGGAACGGCCGCCAACGTCTGGTTTCAAGCACGGCAGCCAAACATCTACATATCTTCCTTCATCGCCCTTGTCCTCGCACATCCCCTAGGCAGACTTTGGGAGGTAGCTGTCCCTCAAAAGACTATCAGACTGCCTTTTGGCTACTGCTTCCAACTAAATCCGGGCACCTGGTCAATCAAGGAGCATACTATCGTCACTGTCATGGCCACCATAAGCCTCCCCTCCGCCACAGCCATTGATATCCTCGCCGCCATCAAGCTCCCCGTCTTCTTCAACGATAGCCGTCTAGGCAACGATATCTTCTTCCAAATTCTCGTCGTGCTCTCGACTCAGCTCATGGGCATCGGTCTGGCTGGGCTCGCCCGTGATATGATTGTTCGACCAAAGGAAATGGTGTGGCCGATCAACAACGCCAAGATTGCCCTTCTCGAAGCAATTCACGCCAAGTCTCGGGGTACGGCAAGGGCAAAGGACATCGACCCCGGCGCCTGGTCCATGTCGACGATGCGGTGGGGAGTGTATGTATGCGTGGCATCTTTTGCTTGGCACTTCGTCGTTGAAGCTGTGCTGCCCGTCTTCACCTACTTTGACTGGACGACGTGGTTTGCGCCAGAAAACGCCCTCTTGGCAACCATCACCGGCACAAAAAATGGCTTGGTGAGTCAGCGTTCTGACGAGATCACACCATGGGGAGATATGCTTAAAGACTTATACAGGGCCTCAACTTGCTGCCGACACTCGACTGGACATTTATGTCCAGCGCAGGATTGCATCCGCTCATCTCGCCATGGCCAACGACTGTATCACTACTGTGTGGGTCCAGTCTCACGACGATGTCATAATTTGCAAGAGAGACTGACAATTACATCTGCACAGACGGCGCCACCATTGGCTTCATCGTTACGTTGCTGTTATGCTTGACCAACACATGGTACTCGGCGCACCTGCTACCTACATCCAGTACTACATACGACCGTTTTGCCGAGCCTTACAAAGCAACCAGCGTTTTGGATGTGCATAGAGCGCTCGACATGGCTCATTTCGAGAGCTACTCGCCCCTCTATCTCTCAGCGGGGTACTGTGTCGTCTTCGGCGCCTCATTCGCTTGTGAGTCTTGGATCTCGAAGCCTCTCTTGTAGCTAACAATTGAGCTCTCTTCCAACAGCATACAGTAAGTGAATGGGAGTTCTGAACCCCTGCAGTCACATTCCTCAATACCTTGACCTACAGCATCGATCTTGGTCCATGCGGCGCTCGAGCATCGCGCAGATATTTTGAAAGGCATTCAAAGCTTTAAGACTTCGAGCACAAGGAGGACTCCTACAGATGACGAAGAAGTTCCGTACAGCTGGTTCGGCAGGTGAGCTGACAAGAAGCCATTCTGGTCCATTTGTTCACACATTTCGGCCTCCTTGCGTGTAGTGTCACACTTGTGTCTCTGCTCATGGGCATCGTCCTGTGCACACTCTTCGAATCGACCATGCCCATCTGGGCCCTCTTCCTGTCCGTCGGTCTCGTTTGTTTGTTCCTTATCCCGGCTGGACTCGTTATGGCCGTCAGCGTACGTTGCTTTCAAGCTGAGTGCGATCAGCTCAACCCTGATCTGTAATTCCCCACAGAATGTTTCGATCAAGCTCAACGTCCTCGCTGAACTCATACCAGGCTTCCTCATTTCGGAAAGGCCGTACGCCAACATGATCTTCAAGGTTTATGCGTGGACATCGCTTTCGCAGGCTCTCCACTATTCCCAGGACCAGAAGTTGGGCCTGTGTCTTGGTCTACCTCCACGAGCCGTCTTTCGTGCACAAGTGCTGGGAGCGCTGATAAGCTGTCTGGCATCGCTTGCCGTCATTAACTACCAGATGGCCTACATTGACGACTTCTGTTCATCGACACAAAAAGACGGGTTCACCTGTCCCTTCTATGTGGGTTCTTTCTGCGTCCACGCTTGGATCACCACTCCTGACGCCCAACGACTCTTACAGACAATCTTCTACACTTCGGCATTGGTTTACGGTCTCATTGGGCCACAGCGGCTTTTCGGAGTTGGGAGCGTATATCAATCTCTTCTCTGGTGTTTTCCACTGGGCGCTCTCCTGACACTACTCATCTGGCTCGGTAAGCGCCAGTGGCCCAACTCTTGTTTCCGTCGTGAGTTTCATGTGACCTTGTTCGCCCTGGCTCTCAATTCAAACGCTCCTCTACAGTCCTAAGCAGCCCAGTCGTCATCAATGGCGCTCATTACTTTGGTAAGAGCACGATACTGGTGACTGCACCCTTGATATGGTTAGTGTTCTGATCGCTGCCAACAGCGCCTTTCAACTGGGCCTACGTCTGGTGATTGTCGCCCTTCGCGTATTCTCTTTCTCCTTCTGATCGTTCCACAGGTCCGGCGTTCCTCTCGCGTATTTCCTCAACTATGACCGCCGGCCGAAATGGTGGGAGACCTACTGCTGTGTGTACCTGTGGCTTATATCTTCTACACTTGCACGGCACACGGTGGCTTACATTCGGCCAAGACGTCCTCTTTGTCGGCCTTACCGTCGGAGCGGCGCTGAGTGGGCTGCTATTTTTTGCTCTTAAGGCTCGCTGGCCTGGGATTTCTCCTGTCTGGTGGGTTGCCTTTCGGACCTCATAGCGTCACTTAACAGATAGCTGACAAGAACACACGATCAGGTGGGGAACGACAGTCTTTAAAGCAGGATGCGACGGACGAGGATGCCCGTTGCAGGATCTTCCCCACAAGGGCTATTTTGGGCCAGGCGTGAGTACGCCAATCTTCGCCAAGGGTTAGTAGATGAAGATGTAGAGCCAGCTGACAGCGCGTACTCCTTCATTGAACAGCCGGGAGAATTTTAGCAACAATAGAGGGGAGCTGGGCCCATCGAATGGATGTAGGTCATCGTAGCATAAGTAAATGGAAAAGTGGTCCCTCGCGAAAAGACGGCTTTTGTTTTCTTGAACAGCGATGGCCTTCAGGAGACCTACTGAGCCTTTGGCTCAAAGAGGCAGGTCAACCGAGGCGCTCGTGTTCACGGTGTGTACTGGCCGAGCGCCAGACGGGTACTTTGGCAGAACGGCCAAAGGTCACATTAAGAGCTTCCAGTCCGGGGGTGGCTTTTGCTGAGGCGGTAAGAACACCTGAGAGATAAACCTGTGCATACAACAAATGAGATTCGGGTCGGTCTTGTTGGACCTCCACGCCTATGTCACGACGCTGGCTGGTTGGGCTGGACAGAGCGAGCAAAGGCCACTTTTTTGATGTCGATGTGGGTCACAGGACCGCTAGGCCGCGGGCGCGAAAGGGTTCAAAGGCGAAGCAGCAAAGGCCGGCCAGCTCAAAGATATTGTGCCCGTTCCCCACATTTGTCTCTTCTCTACCTCCACCGCTCCTCGCGATTTAGCTTTTCGCCTAAACCACTCACTATTTTGCCCGTCCCGCATATGCTTGCTTGTCTGCCATCTGACCAAAGCACCGGCGAGTTGGCTGGCTGAAGAGTAGAAATCAGAGCAGGCGCCACTCCGTCTCGGCTTCCTGCACAAAGTCTTTGCCTGCCCTTTGCACTCCTCTTCCACGATTACCACCACCAGACCTCCAGACCTGAGCAATTGAGAGACGAACAGCAGCAACCATGGGCGCTATTCCTGCTTCCGATGAGCACCTTGATGTCCTTGTCGTCGGTGGAGGCTTCGCTGGAGTCTACCACCTCTTCGAGCTGCGCCGTCGCGGCCACAATGTCAAGCTCTTTGACGCTGCGCCTGACTTTGGGGGTAGGTGTCACGACTCTTTTCTGTCTTTCAATCTCTCCCTTTCTGAGGTTGTTGCTGACTGACGGGCCTTGGTGTGCCTCAGGCATCTGGCGTCTGAACTGCTACCCTGGCGCTCGCGTAGACTCGGAGCTGCCACTGTACGGCCTATCTTTCCCCGAGGTGTACAAGACCTGGAACTGGTCCGAGCGCTACCCGGGATTCAAGGAGCTGCGGCGCTACTTTGACCACATGGACAAGGTCCTCAATCTCCGCAAGGATTGCCGTTTCAACATGAGGGTCACGGCCTCCCATTGGGACGAGGCCAACAGTCGCTGGAACATCACGGCGGGCCCTGAGGGAAAGGAGACGCATGTGACGGCCAAGAATGTCATCTTCTGCATGGTGAGCTAGCTGGCCGCCCCCCTTCCTTTCCCAACTCGAGCTCATACAGTTCATTTCTAGGGTTTCGCTTCCAAGGTCAACTTCCCCACGTATCCGGGAAGGGAGAACTACAAGGGTACTATGCACCACACGGGTTTGTGGCCTGATGGGCTCGAGGCAGAGGCATTCAAGGGCAAGAAGGTGGCCATCATCGGCTCAGGTGCCTCGGGTGTCCAATGCACGCAGGAGATTGGCAAGCACGCCGACTCTTTGTCTGTCTTTATCCGTACCCCCAACCTCTGCCTGCCAATGGCCCAGATGAAAATGTCGGCAGACGTCCAGGAGGCCTTCAAGGATGCGTACCCCGACATTTTCGAGAAGCGCAAAAAGACCTTTGCGGGCTTCCACTACGACTTTGATTATGACGACTGGAAGCGGCACACGCCGGAACAGCGACGGGCCTTTTACGAAGAAATCTGGGCCAAGAAGGGCTTCCACTTCTGGCTCGAGACCTACGTTGACGTCTACTACCAAAAGGACTGCAACCGGACTGCCTACGATTTCTGGCAGGAAAAGACCGCGGCAAGGATTCACGATCCAAAGAAGCGCGCTTTCCTCGCCCCTAAGTGGGTCCAGTGGTGCTCTTGTGGTCAACGATTAGTCTGAGGCTAACGAGGTGATTTCCAGGGAGTGGCCTCACACGTTTGGCACAGTGCGACCCTCGCTGGAGCAGAACTACTACGACGTACTCAACCAGGAAAATGTCGACATTGTGCCCGTCAAGGAACAACCCATCGAAAGCTTTACCGAAAAGGGCATCAAGATGAAGAACGGCGAGGAGAAGCAGTTCGATGCCATCATCCTCGCCACGGGCTTCGACACGCACACGGGAGGCTTCCAACAAATCGACATTCGTGGCCAGAATGGTGTCCCGCTGACAAAGAAGTGGGGAGATGGATGCAACTCGTTCCTTGGTCTTGCCACGGCGGGCTTCCCCAACATGTTCTTCCTCTACGGTCCCCATGGACCAACGGCGTACAGTAACGGACCATCGACGGTCGAGATCCAGGCCGAGTGGACGTGCGACTTCCTTGACTACATGCGCAACAAGCAGCTGAAGAGCTTTGATGTCGACCCAAAGACGGAGGAGGAGTTCACAAAGCACAATGACGACCTCAGTGCTGCTACCCTCTTCCACGACAGCCACGGCTGGTGAGTTGCACCCAGGATACCCCTTTAATTCCTGCACTCACGTTTGAGTTTCTCCACGAAAGGTACATGGGACGAAACGTCCCTGGCAAGAAGCACCAAGCGCTCAATTTCACAGGCGGCATTCCTCTTTACGTGAAGGAGCTCAACGAGAGCAAGGATGACGGCTACAAGGGCTTTGTCATGGCTTGAAAAGCTTCAACAGAGTTTTCGCAAGCGCTCTAATCCTGCTATTCTCTCGCTCCTTCTACCTGTTCTCATCAGAATCTATCCTTCTGCCAGAGCTTGCGGTTGATCCGAGTCGCTTGTGCTTCCTTTTTACCTTCCGAAGCGACAAGCAGGGCGACGTTCTTTCCGCTTCACTGTCAATGGCTTCAGATCATCGTCTTGTCCTCGTCTACACATTACATTCTAGGACTTCCTGCCACAGTCATAATACAAGATCGGTACACCGAGACGATACGTCTCCTTTTGCCTCGAACAAAGATCCTAAAGTGATAAAACTAAACTAAACCAAAACGGTCAAGAATCTCTCTCTCTCTCTCTCTCTCTCTCTCTCTCTCTCTCTCTCTCTCTCTCTCTCTCTCTCTCTCTCTCTCTCTCTCTCTCTCTCTCTCCTCTTTCATTCACGAATGAAACTGTTGCTGGTGTTGCTGCTGCTGTTGGTGCTGCTGCTGTTGCTGTGGCGTCGGTGCAACAAAGGCCAATGCACTCTCCCAGTCGCTGCTTTCCATGGTAGCGTTCATGAGCAAGCCCGAAAAAATGTCTTCGTCCAATAAGCTGGACAAGCCGCTGGCAGTCGCTGCTGGCTGCGCCTGTTGTCCTGCGGCGTGGTGGTGATGATGACCCTGCACGCCGGGTTGATGGTGATGGGCCATATGGTAGGCTTGCTGTCCGCTCGAGTGATTAGAGGCATCGTGTGAAGGCCCAGGAAGCGAGGGGCTCGTCATGTAGCTCGACGGGGTGGCGGGTGATGGGTGCATCGCTGCGGACCAGGCACCGCCCGGGGTCGTAGCCGATCGCGAGGCGTTCGGAGGTCCCCAAGGCGAGGAGGGATTGCTCCCCGGCGTTGGCGCGCTCTTCTGTTGGTAGCTGTTGTGCCGCATGTGACTCTGGCCATGATGGGTCGGTTCGGCAAAGGTTGACGCTCGATCTCGAACAAAGCTCGTCGAGTGCCGCTTGGCGGGCGGCTCAAACATGCCCGCGTCGGATGGTGACCGTCCTAAAGAGCTTGTCGAAGAAGAAGAGTCTTTTGCGGCCGCATCGAGCAAGACCCGCTCGACTAGTGAAACAAAGGGCGTGCTTGGCTGTGGTGCGTTGTCTCCGCTCTTCGCCCGCTTCCTCTTCGGTGCTTTCATCTGAGACGGGTTGCCAATGTTCTGAGGCTGTCTCAGCTCCATTTCGGCATCAAGAAGACCTTGCAGCAGACTCTGTGTGTTCTTCGCCGCTGCAGATAGGTGTCTGGCCGTAGCGCAGATAGCAAGGATCTCCCGGATCGCGTTTCGTTTTTCATCTGCTTCTTTGCTCGCAGCGCCGCTGCTCGTGTCGTCATAGCACATGTCCAAGAAGAGGACGAGGGCGCCGGAGAAGACGTAGTAGATATTGATCCAGACCTTGAGCAGGACGGGTGCATGCGATTTGGCATGGCGCAGAATGGCGAGAATGGCGAATGCGGAATCGACGCAGCGCTTTCTCGATAAATTGTTCCGATCAGCAAGGCCTCGGGCAAGGTAGGGGCGATGAAGACGCAGGAGACGGTTGTGAGCCGTGATTTGAATGGAGAGGAGCTCCATATCATAGGTCGAGTCGCCATACCGCCAGTTTTTGGAGTCGTCGATGCGTGCTTGGAAATAGGGCGGAAGATTGTGAAGCAAGTTGAGCAGTTTCTTGTCCATTTCAAGTAGCTGTGGGTATGTCATACCGCCCGGCAGATTGAGGATGTCAATCGTCTCGCGGTAGACCTGCAAGAAGCGTAGGCGGCAAATTGTAAAGCTCGTCGAAGTGTACTCTTCCATTGGCTTCACCTTCAAAGGACCTTGCGGACTGAGGTCATCGTCGTCGACATTGGAAGGCATGTTCGTCTTGTTGTGGGCCGGATTGATGCAGTAGCTCCCTCCATGGCTCAGCGCATGGCTCCAGTCTAGCCAGACGAGGTACCACCAGACACGCTTGCTGAGCTCTCGCTCAATGACATTCTGCTGTCCCTCGCCGACGTTCGCTGGGTTGCTGCTGCCGGCCGAGACGATCATGTTCCTCTGCCTTTCCTTTTCGTGAAACTTGGGATCGTCCATCCGATTCAAACAGAGATTCTGAGCGATCTTGATCGAGGCGCCAACGAGGGCATAGGCGGCATCGGCTTGTTCGTCGACGTTGTATGCGTAGACGGACATGAGGCACACGGCCTGGAGGTGCTCGAGCTGGTGAGATCCAATGAAGTCCGAGGCCCAGAGCAGCTGCTGGCTGCCCGCAAATAGGAGGTCGCAGAGCTGGTTGGCCGAAGGAATGTCCATGCCCCACTGGTGTGTCTCTTGACCACCGCAGAGGTGCAGAGCGAGACACATGACCATGAAGTGGATGCACAGGAACGAGGGACGGATCGTTCTGGCGGCCACTTCGTGCGGTAAGCTCAGCAGCTCCTCCAAGTCGGCCATGAATGAGGGCCGATGTATACATTTGGAGTACCAGTCGACATTGTCAAAGTAGTAGTCGATCATCCTGCGTGTGATTTCCTCGCTGGGCGACAGGCGGAGGAAACGGTAGGCGACGTCAATGACGGGGTCTGCGCTGCGTTGACTGGCGGCATTGTCAGGCTGAGGACTGTCACCGGGCGCGTTCGCCTGGCTGGCATTGCTGGCCGTGCCTCCGGAAGAGACGGTTGGTATCGGCCCGGAGGTTGTCCTCGCCAGATTTTGCGCCGCTCTCCTCGCATTGGCACGGTTGCCCATCGCGCTGTGTGATTGGAAGAAGGTTTTTGTGATAATGAGATGATCCATGTCTCGACCGGTCTGGGAAACAACTCACAAGTCTTCCAGCATCATGACGGCATCATCTTCTCGACCTCCATTTCTCTGTCCGTCCTTGACTTGAGCCTGGGCTTGTGCTTGTGCTTGTGCCTGCCCATGTCCCTGTCCCGGGTGTTGCGAAGAGGACTGGGGGTGCTGGTGCGACATGGCCGGCGGGGCCGGTGACTGACTCTCCTTGATTGACGGTATCACCTGTGAGCCGGAGGCCGATGACGACGAAGACGAGGATGAAGACGGTCCACCCGTCCGCGCGTCAATGACACTGACCCTGCTCTCGAGCTCGTTGACACGATTCTGCAGAATCTGAAAGTCCGACAAGCTGCATCCAGCTTCCCAGCGTATGACAGGCTTACAGCGCGCCTGGTCGTTTCGCAGCACACAGGGACCACAGGGACACTCTCGGTCGCACTTGATCTTGCGACGCTTGCACTCGGAACACGACAGCGCCCTTCCCTTTGGCGGCTCGGTCAGACGGGGGACGGCGCTGCCACCGGGCCCGCTTCCGCCGAGGCCGCTCCCGGTCATGGTGGGTGGTGATGCGGAGAGAGGTGCGCTGGAAGAGGAGGCCCTCTGTGCCTTTGTTGCGAGGGGGCCCTTGGTCACGCTGGGAGAGCGTTCGTACGCCGACGATGTCGTCAAAGGCGGCGGCGGCGAAAGGCCCGACATAATTTGGGCGCCCCTTCGGTACACGTTTCGGAAAGTCCTTATCTCCTAGGGCCCGCTCGCAGTTTCTAACGCCGTATCAATCGACGACGGGTTTGCCTATCCGTCGTCAGCACACGCAAGGCGCCCGCCGCGGATCTCAAGCAAGCGACTCACGCATTCGTTCAGCTCCCTTCCTCCGCACGAGGGCGGTAGGCAAAGAGGGCAATTTCTTCCTGCTTCGGGCCTCGGCGTCCTTATCGAACCGGAGGACTCGTCGGTGTTTCTAGGGAAAAAAAATCTATGCTCCCTCGCCCTCTCCTTGAGTTACGCCAGGTCCTGCTCCCCCAGAGTTTCCCTCAGATGAGTTTTTGTCGCGACGTGCTTGCACCTGTCTCGACTCGGGATGATGCAAGTGACCTGCGTCTGACACGAAGAAGGAAGAATTGAATCGAGAGAAGCAGAACAAAAGAAGAATTGCGGGGGACATCAGGCGAGGGCGCCCCCTCGGCGCGGGCACCACGGACGTGGAACCGTAGCCCGGCCTTCCAGCTCGGCCGAACGATCAGCGGTCACGTGTACTTTTTTTGGACTTGACTTCTTCCCTCGCCATGGCGCATCTGTGTATATTGCAGACCGAGCGCACAAACATGTTGGCTCGTACAGTCGGCTCGCAGCTGAGGACTGCTGGACGAGCGTTGAGGCCTGAATTGGCGTTGCAGAGCCGGATAGCTGCCGCAAGGACTCCCGTAGCGGCACCTTCACGCGGCTTTGGCTGGTCACCATGCGCTCATGCCAAGAAGCGAGACTCAAGAGCAGCATCGAAGGAGGAAGACGACGATGCCTTCATCGATGTTGAGGCTGAAGACGAAGGCGACCTTTTCTCGGTGTCCGACTCTGTCTCCACGTCTGGACCCGTCGAATCGACATTGCCGACGCGAGAGACATTCAGGCAGAGCTACAACGAGCTGGCGCCGCAAGTCGAGGCTAAGCTCATCGCCATGGCAGAGGGAAGCACGAACGAGCCACCGCGGCTATCTGCGTTCCGAAACCTTTCCGGCGCCGCGAGCAGCATCGATGAGCTTCGGAACTGTCTCTCGATTGCTGCGCGATGGAACGACTTGGGCGAAAGGAGGCGGCTTGGCATTCACAAGCTGAATGTCGTCGATGGCAGGGTCTTTGCCCGGCAGGCTTTGAAGCAGGGCCTACCCGAATTGGCCCTCTATGCCGCCCTTCATCGTGCCAAGACGGGGCTGGACTACGACTTGGCTTTGTTGCGCATGATTCAAACGGGCCTCGTCACAAAGCTCGTCCGGACATCACAGTTGCCGCAAGAAGAGGCTAAAGTGGTGTTCCTGGAGAGCGAACAAATCGAGGGAACCGTCGAGACGCGCGAGCCATGGATGGGAGCGCAAAGTGCGGCTTCAGGCGAGGGCGAGAGCGAGGGAGAAGCGGGAGAGAACCAGAGAGAGGCAACGACAACAGGCGAGGATGTGGATGCGCAACGAGGGCTGCTCTCGCTCATCGACCGAACGCTGGTCCTCACCAGCGCCACGTCCGCCTTTTCAAGGAAAGGACTTGTCGATATCTACTGCCTCATGCTTTCCATCGACGCCCACCTTCAACCTGTGCAGCCTCAGGAGCCAACCGCTTTTAACACCGAGCAAGTGCGGCCACGCTTGGAGCGCGCCATCGACGTTCTCCTGAGCACAATGTCGCAAACAGACCCCACGACTCTACAACGACTTAATTCGCTCACTGACACCCAGCGTCTGTCTCTTGGCGAGGCGCTCCAGTCTCTTTCCACCTACACATCTCAAGATGCGGACGTACTCAGCGTCCTGAAGCAGATCAAGGCTGCCAACGATGAGGCATCGGCGGCGTCCGCGGCGGCCAAAGTGGCAAAGGCAGAAGCAGAAGCAGCAGCAGCCGCAGCAGCCGCAGAGGCAGAGGAAAAAGCACGAAAGGCGGCGAGCGCCTTGTCACAGTCGCAAAGCGAGAGGGAATGGCTGGGGAAAAAGGATGAATTTCGTGTATAACAGCCGAATTCAATTCTTCAATTCTGGTCTCTCTCAACTTGTGATTTGGGGTGATGGTGTGAGAGAAAGGTAAAGACTGAAGAGAGAGACATTTTAGAAAAGGGGTGTGAGGACCGCCGTCCTACAGCAGCGAAACCGTGCCGTTGTTGGGTCCTGAAGCGGGTATGACGAAATCGGTTCCGTTCCTTCCGTGGCAGGCGACCTGGGCCTCTTGTCCCCAGTTTTCCATTATGACTTCGTCCTTGAAGAAGGCGAGGAAGTCGTCGAGCGGGCACAGGCCATCCTTTCGAGCGGCGGACTGCTTGTGGCTGGAGGAGCTTGACGACGAGGCGGGACCGAGGGAGCAGCCCTGTGCGGAACCCATGGGAAGGATCGCGTCGTTTAGGAGCGTGCGGATATAGGACTGGGAGTGCTTGCCACTAGTCGGGCAGTCGATCACCTAGCGGGGAGAAGGCGTTGTCAGCAATCATTCAAGGAGAGAAAGGCCAGAATTTACTCACCTCAAAGACGAGTCGAGCGGCGAAGGGGACGATATGAGAAGCGTAGAAGGCCCTCTTCTGGACCAGACTGTCCTCAGTGAGCTTGACGGCGTCGAGGAACGAGAAGTTGAGGGCGGTAAGAAGGTGCAGGATGTTTGATTGATGCGTAAAGTCGACGTGAATCGGCTGATCCACGGGGAACGTGCTGGTGTCGTCATCGAGCGTTTTGTTGAGAGAAGGGGGCAGGGGCAAGGGCAGGATTGAGTTGGACGGTGCCTTTTCTTCGATGCGGGCGAGGAACTCGACGAGGTAGCCAAGAGACTGCGCACGGGCCGTGGGCGAGCCAAAGGCGTAATTGCCGCGCTGGAGAAGATCAGAAGCGTACTCGAAGCCTTCCCACTCCTTCATCGTGAAGAGGTGGCAGAAGTTGGATTCGCCCAGCGTGAAGGTTTCGTGGGCGCAGAGGGTCTGCATACCGTAGACGAGCTCAGGGGTGAGGTGCATCTTGGGCAGATGACGGCTCAGTCGATTGACGGCTCCCTTGAGGTACGTCTTGATCCACTTCGACGAAGTCTGGTCTCCGAACTGGAGCGCCTCGTCGTTGGCGTTCGGGCAGTTGCTCGAGTCGGCCAGGGTCTGTCTTAGAATTGAGTATCACGGAAGGACCAGCCTAGCTGAGCGAAGGACACTCACATTGTTGTAGCCATCATCCTCCACAATGACTTCAAGATTCACCGTAGAAGGCGCATGGAGACCGTACATTCCCAATGCCCAATGGCTCGCCGAGTCGACCATGCGATGCTGCGACGTGGTCCTGAGCACGGGTTTGCTGGCAACCTTACTCGCGTTGAACAAGGCTCCGTATCGGTAGAAGCTCTGGACACCACTGTCAAACATCTGCTGTGCGCCGGCTGCCGTCAGGTGTCCCACGCCCAGCTCGTACTTCCAGTGGTTGAGAAAAGCGAGCGGGCCCGTGGCATTTAGCATGACGCTTGATCCCATTGTGACATTTTCGATGGCTTCAGCGAATCGAGAGGCTGGCGAGTCCTTTGCCGGCATGTGTGCGCCGTTGCGATGGAGCATGTGGACCTGCTTGAGGTTACAGTGCTGTGGCAGAACCTTGCGCTCCTGCATCTCGGGGAACATGGGGCTGGAGAAGTACGGGCTCAGGTGGCCCCAGTGCTTGGGAACGTCAAAGGTGCCGCGAAAGTCGTCCAGAGCTCGGTATCGATTCTCGTAAGAGCTTGGTTCGTACGAAGAGAGACGCTCAAAGGAGAAGATAGTGTCATTGGCGACCATGAAGGGCGACTCCTGAGCTGCCTGCACGTTGTCCCAGTGGCCCACTCCAGCGGCGGATGAGAACAGAGGAGCATTGTCGTCGGAAAGTGCAGGAGTGGGCTCAGGAGGCGGCATTTTGGTGAAATCGGGCGCTGGAGGAAGAGGTCCAGGTGCTGTCGAGTCGGGACCATCCTTGGCAGGCGGAGGCAGAGGAGCTTTCGAGTTGTCAATAACTGGGTCGGAGAGTGACGAGCTGCCCTTATCACCAGGCAGAGCAGAGTCAGTAGCGTTGTTATTCTTGGAGCTCTTGATCGTCTTGGAAGGTGCATCCACATCGGCCAATTCCGAATGGGTGAGGAGGGGCACCCCGGCTGCAGCAGATCCGGTTGAAAGGACGGTGACATTGGTGCTGGGAAGGACAGGCATGTCCGCTTTACCTGGGCCCTTGCCCTTGTCTTTCTTGTCACTTTCAGGCGGAGGCGGGACATGCTTGTCGAGAGCAGGAGGGAGACTGTCGCTGTCTTTGGCATCAGGCCCGGTGAATTCATCCTTGTCAGGAAGAGCTGAGGCCGTCATGTTGGTCTTCGGTCCAATGGGTGCGGAAGCAGGATTGAGGTCGGCAGCTGCACCCTCGGGCTCACCATTACCGGTCACAGAGGCATTAGGCGGTAGCATTGTGCCGTTCTTTGGACCACCGATCGCGTCCAGTGGCAGCGACGTGGCGTTCTTTGGCTCACCCATCGCGTCCATGGGCAGCGATGTCGCATTCATTCCTTCGCCAGGGCCAGAAGCCAGCGGGAGAGGGGCCGAGGTGGCATTCAGGTTGGCAGGGAGATCGACGGGAAGGGAAGTGGCGTTCAGCTGCTTGGAGCCAAGAGCCGAAGAATAAGTAGAAGGAATGGAGGAGTTGCCCTTGGTGGCAGGCATCGGTTCGTCAAGGTCGTCTTCAGAACCTTCGTCAAGGTCGTCGAGGTCCGCCGACATCGTTGCATTGGACTTGAGACCAAGAGGAGCCTTCTTCGCCGAGTCAGGAAGACCACTGAGGGACGCCGTGGCATTAAGGTTGAGTCCGCCACCGTCAGAGCCCGCCAAGTCCGTCATATTCGAGCCAGGTCCAGCCGCAGGGAGAGGCGACGCCGAATTTCCACCAGCTGGGGCCTTCGTCAGCGAATCGGCCAGCGATGCGTTCGTAGGAGGAGGTCCGAGAAGATCAGCGTCGACCATCGAGGCGTTGTTGTTGGGAAGCGAGGTTGTCGAGTCGGTGCTGGCCATGCCTGCATCGAGTACCCGACCCGATGGAGGAGGCACAGGAGGCACAGTCGACTTGTCATTGGGACCAGGGGGAGGAACGACGGGAGGAGGGCCACTCTGTGGTGAGACGGGAGGAGCACTGAGCTGCGATGGAGGCGTGCTGGGGACTACACCAGCTGGAAAGGCAATGGCGACGGTGACAAATGTCACAATGGCAGCCAGGCCAAAGATTAGAAGGCGATGCTTCATGACGAAAGCACAGAAGGGTCGCGCTGAGATTGTTGTCGAGCAGTCTCGCAGTACCAGCCTGCGAGGGAGTTCTGTCAATGACCTGCAGACAAGAATATTTGGTCCCCCGTCAAGAGGGAGAGAGGTAAGGGAAGAAAAGGAGAGGAGATTCGTTGATGGGAAAAGAGAGGAGGTGCCCAACAGGCGCCCTTATATCTGCGCACTTGTGTGGCACAAGGAAATGCGCACCTCGCCTCGGGGCGCCTCGCTGCGGGCGTTTTCGTGTGTTTACCAGCCGAGGGGCATAAGCAAAAGGTGCCGACCGAACTCGTCCGATTCAGTTGTGAAGGCTTCAATTACGCCGCCACATCTACAATGCTATAGGATTTACAGATGTCAAATTGAGGCCCCAATCAAGCTTCGTAGCTAGGCGGGCCAAGAGCGCCCATAGGTCCCGGAGCATTGTGCAGGCGATGGTGCTGTCGTGGATGATGCTGATTCTGATGCTGTGGAGGGTGGAGTTCATGATGCTCCTGTTGATATGTGAAATCACTTGGCGGCGTATAGGGGTACGCCGGCGGATGAGTATCACTTTCCAGAGTGCGCAACGCCACCGTCGGCGTCGGCTGCGTCGCGTCATTTGGCGTCCTCAAGGCAGCGGTTGACGTCAAGTCAAAAGCCAAGGCCGGTGACGTCGTCTCTAGCAAAGGAGCAGACGTCGTCGCGGATGCATTTCGAGTCATTGTCCCCGCAACGTATGGGGGTGGGAAAGCAGCAGATGCTTGCTCGTCCCGAGCACTGTGCTCTTCGTCGTCACGAACAAAGGCGCCTGGCAATGACGTGGTGCGCTCTACCGCGTAGCTGGCGCCCCGGTCAGAGTGAACGCCCTCGCTGCCGCTTCTCGCCCTCTCTTCGTCGTTGCCATCTGGAAAAGGCGAGATAGGAGGAGGCGGTGGTTCATTGTCGTCATTGTGCCAGCTCCCTCCAGGCGAGGGAGGCGACTCGCCATTTGCATCTGTCTCCTCTCGAGCAGAGTATCCGCGCAGGTCTGAGTCGTATGGATGGCTGCTGAAGTTGGGCACATGCGCGCGGTTGCCTAGTGCCCTGGGCATGGCGCTCCCAACGCCCTCGACATCGACCTCCACCTGTACGTCATTGCGACTCTCGAGCAGACTGGGAGGTGGTCCGTCCAACAGCGCTCGAAGCTGCTCCAGTCGTCTCTGGTGGTCCTCGAGTGTATCTTCTCCTTGCTCTGCCCGGCTCGAGGAGGCTCCCGAGTCATGGAGGCGCCGGTAGGTGGCCTCATCCATGACGTCCAAGTCGTCGCCGCCATCCTCGAGCGAACGACCCACATCTTCGTAGCCGTCGTACTCTTCCTCGGAGTCGAACCCAGCAAACGGGTCCTCAGCCTCCGTGTTTGCTCTACTGCCGCCACTCGGACCAGCGATGGGGTCCCCATGCCCGGCCACACCAGCAGAGACGGCTGCACCAGCTTTCTCGGAGAATTCCGTCACCTCCTGTCCTCCGCCAGCGGCCCCAGGCAAAATTTTGACCTCTTTCTTGACAACGACGCTGCGATCTTCTCCTTGTCCTCCTCTTATCCCCACGCGTACCTCGACAAAGAACTTGACTTGATGCAACAGCGTCTCCTGACTAATGCTTTCGCAACCGCCGCCGCCGCCTCGGCCGTGCACCGGTCCAGACAAGTTTGCGTCGTGGTCGGGGTGTGGGTGGGGCATGTTGGAGAGATCAAATGGAGGGTGGAGAGTCAGCCGGAGGATGATAGCTCGCGATGTGTTGAAGCGGCAGAGCTTGCCACTGGTGGCAAGCAGCGACTCGTGCGACGTCCCACGCCCTCCATGAGGAGCAGCGCCGTCGTCGTCGTCCCCTCGAGCCCTTGCGTCGACAGAGGATGACCTCCCTTTCCCGCCACTAGCACTAGCACCACCACTGCCCGTCTGCTCATCCCTCCTTGTGATGACCCTGATGAGCCTGGCCTCTACACTCCGAAGATGCAGCCCCTTTTCCCGAATCAGTGAGCGGTCAGGTGGCAAAATCTTGACTCGAACGTCGATTGGCTCCGCTCGCCTGAAAAGGGCCCGCTTGAGCTGCAACACCATTGGCGTGGGTGTGTAGACGTGCCAAGTGTGAGGCTCGAGATCGCCCTCGCCCACACCGGCGTGCTCGTCTGCGCCGAGCGGCCCTGGGGCGCTGTATCGGGTGAGATGAACAGTCACAGAGCGGGTCACCGAGAGCAAGGACGGGTCGGAGCTGTGCAGGACTGCTTCGAGGCGGTACTGCAGCGAGCTCGTGCCGAGATGGATGCAATGCGGGAGGTCTGGAGTCAGTTGGAAGGAGAAGGGCATCGTCGAGGGAAGGGCTGTCGAGGAGGAGTTTGGCTGCGCAGTTGATGTCGTGGCTGCTGAGGCGGAGTGCCACAGCGTTTGCGAAGACGAAAACAGCGTGATGGAGTCTGTGGGACCCATCTCGATGGCCTGGAGTGATATGGTACTGCAGCAAGAGGGGTCAATTATCTCCTCTCTCTCGCAGCGCAGGAGGCGCGCGGGGGAATGCAGACTCACCATTTGTCGTAGCCAGCGCCCGAAGTCGCGTTGCGCGCCCTTTCGTCGAGCTTGACAAGGACATCTCCCTTGATCCACGACTGGAAGCCATCCAAGCCGAGGTAGCCGGCCTGGAACGAGGTGGCGTCCGACTGCGGAACGACGTCAAAGAAGTTGTCGAGCCCTGGGCTAACGCTTCCCGACGAAGTGGACGCTGCAGTGTCGGCGGACGCTGCGGCATTGGTGGCAGTCGAGGCGCTGTAGTTGGGCGGTGGCACCAGACCACCCTCCATGGTGGGCGGTATCGCTCAGCGTCTCTCGCTTCCGCCTTTGACCTCCTTTGTTCCTGTGACTCTGCTCGTTCTCGTGGTTGTGGTGGGATCGTCAATGATCTCCACAAGGTCGAGGAGCTTAGAATGTCGCCACACGTGGGCTTGGCAAAAATGACTGCACGCCCAACTTTTTAAGCTCTTCATGCGATTCAGCCCTTCATCCCTTGACGCATGCATAGCCTCTGTTGTTGCCTAGCGGATAGCTGCAGCTGCAGTAGCCAGAGCAATACGTGCGCACTCTCTCTGATCTCCGAAGCTGAGAGATCTTTCCGTGTTTGTAAGAAATGATTCGATGTTGACAAGGTAATATGATATGAATTAGGAAGGTTGCCTAAAGATAGTCTTCTCTGATGTATGGCTTCTCAGTCTCATTAGCTCCGCACAACGCCATCGGTCGAGAAGACCCAGTCCCAAAAGGTGCTTGTGACTCCGTAGCGGCCTTCATAGTCGACATAATGGTGCTGAAGATGATGTGCCTTGAGCTTCTTGACGTACTCTGGGAGCTTCGTGTGGTGAAGGCTGCAAGAACAACAAGAAGAGTCAGCTAAAGTCAATCTTGAGGACCGAATGGAACTTACAAATAGTGCGTGCAGTCGTATCCGACATACATGAAGAACGCTCCCGAGATGAGGCCGTTCGCGATTGCGTTCGGGAACAGGGCGTGGGCGAGCTGAGTGAACGGATACGAGAGGGCGGTGAAAAGGAGTGGTGGCATCACAAGGCGAAGGCTGATGTAGAGACTGTCAGCTAATGATCTCTTGCGCTCTGGGGAAACTGAGCCCAACTTACGGATCCATCGGCAAGAAATGATGCTGTCGCGGGGTAGGAAAAAAGTAAATAAATATAAGTGTTAGCAGGCGACACCGCGACGCGATCCTTTTTTTTTTTTTTTTTTTTTTATTATTACTCACCACACCATGAAGCAAAAAGTGGATCAGTAGGAAGATCTGACGGTCTGGAAGAAATTCGTCCACGTGGAACAGGAATCGATGTAGTAGGTACTCGAGGGCACCCCAGATAAAGATCCCTGTCAGGAAGAGGGGAACGACGAGGGCGAAGCTGGAGAGGCTCGGGAGGTGGAAGAAGTCGTGGGAGAGGTACTTGTTCGTGAAGTCGTCGTCGATTCCTCCTACGAGATTCGTGAGAATCTGGAGGGATGTGGAGGGAGTTATGGGCGCCGCCGTGAGGTTCTGGAACGCTGAAGAGGCGAAAGAAGACGATGCCATCGTGCTCGATGCTGTCGAAGAAATATCGGCACCAATCCACTGCTCCATTTGCTGCGCACTCCGGAAATAGATGGCTGCCGAAATAGGCAGCCAGAAGATAGGAACGATGTACCATGGCGTCTTGGTGAACATCTCGAGGTACCACGGTCCGAAAAGCTGAGCAGAGCCCTTGAGGTGACGTGGCGAATGCACCTGCATCAGGTAGAAGTCCTTAGAGAACCTCGCGCTCCACATCTGCGGGATCAAGGGCTTGCTAAGGTCAAGGAAAGCGTGGTTCTTGTAATCTCTCTTGAGATCAGTCTCGCGAGGCTTGAAGTCGTCGGTGATGAGGATCGTAGAATCCTTGCCAGTGAAATCTGCACCTCCTTCCTCCTTGGGCGCGACAAGCGCGTGCTCCTCTTCCGTCAGTGGCAGGCGGCCAATGTAGTGCTCCTCCAGCAGATCAAACGCGCTCTCGCTGTGCGAATGCTCGACAGGATCCTCCATGATATCTCCCATGTCCTTTCCAGCGAAACGCATGATGAGGTCGTCGCCTCCCGGATGGTCTGGCGCGAACTCGGTGACATCATACACTCTGCCCTTGTATGAGACCCAGAGCGAGTCGATGGTGTCGTGCTCGGCGAGCATGTCTGTCGAGATTAGTCGGGTCCTCTGCGTGGCTGCCGTCTTCGCCGGACCAGCCAGCTCCGTGGCCGTGGTAGTGGCCGCCGACATCTTTCAACAAGAGAGACGCGGTGAGGGTAGTGCGGTTAAGAGAGCGTGAGGTGTAGACGGTGATAGTGTGAGGGTGATCGCGACAAAGTGGTGGGAGTGGCTGTAGTAAGAACGAGTCGTCAAGCTGAGGTAGAAGTCAGTGGGTGTTGATGGAGGAGAGTGAGAAATTATGGTGGCGATTTCCCTGTCAATTCAAACGGTAAGGGCTTGGATGACTTTGGTAAGTCAACACGACAAAACGAGTCCCCGGGCCGAGAAGAATAGAAAAATTCTTCGAACGCTTAATTGCTGCAGGGCATGCGAAGTTCTCCTTGTTTTAAAGTTTTTATGTTTTCCTCCTCCACGTGGCTCTTTCATGGATAAGATTGGCCTGAGCGTCCAGCGTCTCTACTTAGACATCAGATCGAACAGCAAGCAAGGAGCTGCGAGAACGGAGGCCGAAGACAGCTATGGTAAGTGTTAGAGGGCCGTTGTGCTGATAGGAGCATCCTGCTGACGCTTATGGAAGGCCATCTCCGATCGGATCTTGGGCGGGCTGATGCTCCTCGTCAGCACATTCGTCTTCTCTTACTACACGACCTGGGCCCTTCTCACAGTGAGTGTTGCCGAGATTGAGATATGAGTCGATGCTGACCCATCGTCACCTGCGTGTCAGCCAATCTTTCCTGATGACTCGGTGATCCAGACCTACTTTCCTCCCCGAGAATGGGCGATTCGACTGCCCGCCATCATCCTCGTCGTCGGTTTGGGCGTCGTGGGGTCATTTGTCGGTCTGGTGATGCAAAAGGAGGCGGCGAAGAAGCGCGCAAAGGACGCAAGAAAGGGAGCATGAGGACAAACCAGAGAGGAGCTGTGGTCGATTGTTAAGCAATGACTATCGCATCACGCTACGTTGATTGGCTGGTCGGGGGAGCAGATGCCAGGGGTTCTGTCTCCTAACTTGGGACTCATGAGCCATGGAGCGAATGTGCTTTACACAATCGCTCTGGTATGACTGCTGTCGTTGTTGAGTGTTTACCATCGCTCCTCGCCATGAGCCGACATCACAATGATGCCCTCTTCTTTGCTTGCAGCCCTCAGCGCTGCGAGGCGGAGCATTCGAAACATAAGATACATTGACCCTAGTCTTCAGCCCAAGGAGAATAGGAAAAGACTTACGCTAACCCTGTTTGAAGTCTTCTGAGAAGAGGTGAAGAGAAAAGGAGGGGAAAGGAGAGGCCACGCGCGTCAGGCACCACGCAGGGTCGAACCGGTAGGCAAAGAAGAAAAAAAGACTGGCCTTGGCGGGTGGAGTGTGTGGCTTTTCTGGCGGATGCATTCGATTCTATTTTCTCCGTCGGTTCAAGGCGGTGCCCACTTTGCTTCCCATTGTTTTCTCCCTCTCCTGCTTTCCGACTCACACAATCCTGCCCACTCCACTGCACGCCACGGTTGTTAGGCCATCTATGCTAGCGGGGCAGAGGGGTACAGCAGAGACGAGGCCAGTATGACGTCGCAGGCGAAGCTTTCGATTCGGCCACTGCCCCACCTGGATTTCGTGCTTGGCTTCCCAGGGATTCCAGGGTCGTCGACGCGATCAGCAGCCCACATCGCAGGAAATGTAGAGGTGCGCCTGGGCAGCAAGGGTCTCAAGGCGAGCTGGCTGCGGATCGAGCTGAGGAAGCTCGAGAGCGTGCCGGGTGGTGAGAACTGGGGCGAGCTCATCGGCAGAGGTCCTCAGGAGTGAGTGGTAGCACAGCCTCCGTCTGTGGCGGTCTCGGGTACTAACACTTGGTCTCTCTTATAGCGTCTGGAGCGCTCTCCCAGGCTCGGGCAAGGGCGATCGCGAAGTGGACGAGGATGGCGGCCGATGGGAGGTGCTTCAGACGGCAGACTTTCCCTTCAAGATCCCGGTCCCGGAGGGATTACCACCCACGGCTCGACTCGACAAGCAGTGTGGCATCTCCTACGAGCTTGTCGCCAGCCTGTGTGTCAAGGGAAAGAAGGGACTTCTGAAGAAAGAGTCAACGTCATCGATAATCCAGTCGGTCCATCCGATCGTCATCGAAAAGCATGATCTCCACTCGACATGGCCGGCGTACAACGTCCCCGACGAGCACCGCGGTGAGAATGAAGGAGTGAGGTGCAGGGTGGAGAGGTACCAGACATGCTATGCTCCTGGCGACAAGGTGCGCGTCAAGATTATCGTTCAGAGCGGCAAAATTGAGCCGGCCAAGCTCAAGAGTGTCGCCTTTTCCGTCCGCGAGACAATCACTTTCCACGGCGGCAAGTCGAGCCGGCTGAGCCTCACTTCCAACTCCGCCACGAACCGCAACAAACCGGCGAGTCAGCGGACTGAAACGCTAACTCAAAAGGCAAAGCAGGTCGGCAAGAAGCTCTACAAGGGCGATTCGTACGAATATGAGCTCGAGTGCGCCATCCCAAAGCACCACGCGCTCATGACTATCAGCACGGCGAAGCACGTCGAGGTGAGCTACACGATGCGCGTCTACGTCGACGTGTCAAAGGCACCCATCATCATCGACCATCTTCCCATGACCATGACGACCTTTACCCGGACGGCGAGCTGGGAAACTACTCGTAAAATCGGCTATGTGCCTGGCCTCTCGAGCGACGACACCGCTTCCTCAGTCTCCGGTGGCCAAAGTCGGGGTATGACAAGATCCCAGTCATACAGCGGATCCGCAGCATCGCTCGATCGCCGGGCCATTGGAGGCGGTCCCGCTTCTTATGACTTCAACTCCAATCTTCGAAGGAGAGACACAGTCATGACGCAAGCCACCAACTTTTCAGGCCCAGGTATGGCCGGCCGAGGTGTTCCTGGCCAGCTGTTCTCGTATTCGTACGGCAGCTATGGGGCCGTGCAACCCTATCAAGACGAGGCAGCTCCTGTACCCAGACCTGCCTTTGCAGGTCCTCAAGGAGGTGTTGATGGTCTGGAGCTGTCGCCTGAGGAACAGGTAGCCATGTTTCATCACTCAAATCGACCGCAGGATGCATATGCGCTCGGTGGCGAGTATCGTATCCTCAATAATTCAGGTATCGTTCCCCTCGACGGCGGTCGGCCGCACTTTCAGGCCATCCAAGAGGAGGGCGCGCCCATGTCGACCGCCGATGTTCACCAACAAGTGGTGCAGCAGCACATTCAGCAGCACCATCACCACCCGCGCTTCCAACAGGCGCTGGGCACACAGCCACCACCTGCCAATGCGTCACCAGCTTCGGTCTCTTCCCCTGTAATGATGAGCGGCAGCCCCAGCTTGTCGGCCAACAGCGCGGCCGAGGAGGAGAAGATACGGCTTTACAATCGGGCAAGGGAACAGGCAGAGAAGAATCAGAGACGAGCCGACCAGCAACGACAGCTCGCGCAGGCATCCAGTATACCTCCATCGATGAGCCATCCAGGGCATGGACAGTCGATCAACCGCCTCTCAAGCGGAGAGATACGGGTCAAGACACCCACTCGGCAATCGACGCAACGACTTTCTGTCGTTGGTGGGTCTTCTCAACCTCTGGGCAACACCCTTATGGGATCTGAAGAGGAGAAGAAGCGGCTATGGGAGAGAGCGAGACGGGAGGCAGAGGATTACCAGAAAAAGTTCACCCAAGGCGTCTCATTTCCTCCCGAAGAGAGCTCGAGCAACCCTGCAAGCGGGCCACCGACGGCGAATTCTTCGGCGAGCGCCTTGCAAGCAACCTCTAATTCGACGCTACACGCTCCTGTGGCCAACCGAAGGCGGAGCAGCGGCATGTACTGGCTCGACAGCCCGACCGTGGATGCCAATGAGGCAAGAGGTCTACATGCGCCCTCGGCTCCCTTTGAGCAACCCAGCATCTCGGCGCCTGCTACCGACACCCCAACCCCACAGCCTATTGCACCCTTTCCTACAGCAGCAGAAGAGAAGCAAAGGCTCTACAATGAGGCCAAAGCTCAGACCGAAGCTCATACGAGGGCTGCTTCAGGGCAGCAAGCATCAATGTCCTCGTCTCAGGCGCCATCTTCATCCCAAGGTCCACCATCGGCTGCACAGCCACCACCATTTGCACGGCAGAATTCGTCGACGGAGCCTCCGTCCGTTCCCGGAGGTTTTCCTGCAAACACTCTCGATGAGAAGGCACAGCAGGCAAGGTTCTACGCGGCGCAGGATGCTGTTGCGCGCCACCAAGCCGAGCAATCGTCTTCCTCTCTCAACAACGCTTCCGCGGGCTCTTCTTCAAACCCTGCTGCGGCCGCATTGCCTTCGTATGCGCAACCACCGCAATCATCTTCCGCCATGTCTAATGGCGCGGGTTCGTCTTCTGTCGCACCACCTGTCGCAGCCGAAAGGCGAGTTGCATCCGGACCGGCGCTTAGCGAAAAAGAGCAAATGCGTCTATACTACGAGGCCAGAGAGCGGCAAGCCGAGTCGGAGAGAGCGGCCCAACACACACCCGCCCCACAACAAGTCCAGCCGGCTAGACCTCCGCCTCACGTCAATCACGGCTCCTCGGCGTCTCTCTCTGGTCCTGGGCCCTCGTCGTCGATAAATCCTCTTGTGGCACCTGCACCCCCACCTCGGCCTGCTGACAGCCTTCATTTCCAAACCTCGACGCCACCCACGCTCCCCGCGCTCAGCTTCTCTTCCGGTTCCGCCTCTGGGAACTTTCTTTCGTCGCCTACGTCTCCGCCGAATGCGTCTGGCAGCACTTGGCACATCGGAAGGGGAGCAACACCAACACCCATCGATGGGCCCTGGGCACCCAAGATTGCGACGAGCTGGAGCATTGCTGACGATGAAAGAGATGGAGCAGGACCCTCGGGCTCACGTGCGACTTCAGGCGCCCCTGCTCCGCCCCCGTTGCCACCAAAGACGCTCGCTTCTCCAAGCCGAGGCTGAGAGCCATCTTCCACCCCTTTTTGTGTTCACATCATACCGATCATTCTTCCCTTTTCGACTTCTGCACAGGTCATTTTTAATTGCTTTACATCAGGGTGACAACGAGTCCTTTGCACAGTCTGAAAATAGAATGCTGAGACACCTCAGACATACTCGACGGGCGAAATGGGCCCAAAGAGCTCGAGCAAGTCGTTGTCCTTGCGATGGCGGCACTCTTTCAGCTGGCCAGTCTGAAAGTAATGGGCAGTCGCCTCAATTGTGCAGTTCGAAGGCTGGACCAAGGATGTATGACCAATGCCGCTTTGCTCGAGAAAGTAGGATGATGGCGAGAAGGAGCGTGCTATTTTGCTGTGGGAATTTAAGAGTCAGAAACGACGAGACAGGACAAGGAAAACAAGGGGCACTCGAAAGACTGACACTGCATTTGCTCGTGGCTGCAGAGAAGTTGTGAGATTCAGCACAACGGGCACAGGAGAAGACGTGACGCAGAACTCACCGTGACCGGGTCTATTCGATTGCCAATGATCAAGACCTTCTTTCCTCTAAGCGCCTCTTTGAATCCGAATCCACCTGTCCATGTTGCCTTTCTGCTTGGAACCACTGAGCCATACCTGGCGTAGAAAGGAACATAGTTGGTGTTTGCTGCAACAAGCCTGGGCGTGAGACCGTAGGCCACTTTGCCAACGTAGTCGACGGCTTCTCGCACGCTGTAGTTCTTTGGCAGGACGTCGTTGTTGAATGTTGCGACTGCATTGAGCGAGCTGGGTTGTTGGCCGATCAGGGCAGCGAGGGACTTTGATTGTTCGTAGTAGGACGCATAAAGCTCGTCGGTCTGGTTCGATACAAAGAGATCCAGCAGGCGACCGATGCTCGTGAACGATGTCTCGTTGTTAGCGGGTGCCGCGAGTGCCGCCTGGACGGAGGACTTGATGTCTGTTCCGAGGATCTGCAGGTCGGTGAGGCTGTCGCTTGCGTTGAAACGGGAAGGCGAAGCGCGTCGCGGCGCGACATTGAGGCTCTCAAGCGCCCCATCAAACGTGCGCAAGAGGTCCTCTGCCGTCTTTCCGTGCTTTGCCAAGGTACATCGATCTGCCCCAGCTTCCTGACAGAGCTTGAGAAATTCTGCAAACATCTGCTCTGTCTGTCCAAAGAATGTCGGACCGTTGCCGTGGTAGAAGGGCTGGGTCGCTTCGGCCGCAACATCGACAACGCCATCCAAGACAACGCGGCCGACGTGCTCGGGGAACATCGACAGATAGTAGTTGCCGAACACGGTGCCATAGCTGACGCCGTGGTAGTGAAAGAGGCTACTATTGTCGATTGCACGCCTCAGAAAGTCCATGTCAAACACATTGTAGTAGCTTCCCTGGTAGGCGAGCAAGGCAAGCTGCTCTCTCGTGCTGTAATGTGGACACCCTTTGGCGGTCGCAGGCACCGAATTGGCCAGTTTATGGTACTGTGCCGTGGCGCGATCGTAGCCTGTTGCGTTGAGCTCCTTCAAACCGTGCGTGAACGGGATCTGGACGTTGGTCGAGGCCGTAAGCTTGGCTGATTCGACGGCGTCCGCAAAGCATGTTGCAGGATTTGGCCCACTGGTAGCCAGACCTCTTGGGTCCCAGCCGATCAGATCGTAATTCCCACCGGTGAGCCGTTCAAAGAAGCGGTAGTTCGAAGCGACATAGACGCTTCCCAGCCCGCCAGGCCCGCCAGGGTTCAAGAAGACCGTCTGCCTCTTCTCCGTGTCCTTTTGCTTGCCGCTGAACGAGGGCGAATAGCGGAGCAGGGTCAGATTGCCCGTGCCTGCGCCTGCGTCTTCATAGTCAAAAGGGATGGGCAAGCTCGCGCATCGGAAGCGATCGTCGTCGTTGGAGAGGTCTTTGGTCGTCCGTGGCGCCGCGAGGCGGGCCGTGTCGAGCAGACCAGCGCAAAAGGATGAGTCTTTGGCTGTCTTCCAGTCCAGCTTAGGCACGGTGCCCTGAGGCAGCGATTCTACGTAGCGGTCAAGGATCGCGTTGGGGCTGTCGTGGCAAACAGCAAGCCCAGCTAGACAGCAAGCCAGCAGGAGCGCCCTTTGACGAATCATGGTCATCGGAGCAAAGACATCTGGAGGCTCAAGTCACGGTGTGTGTTCTTATAGGAATCTTGATTTCGCGCTAAATCGTGAGGTTCATGCCGAACCTGCAACGCGGTTCCGTGGAGGAACGAATTCCGCAATGGAAAGGCGCCAGGCTAAGTGATCAAGAAGCTCACTGCAGTCGGCGGATGGGGTGAAATCATTGCGGCACAGCCTTTTACAGATTGTTCACCCGAGAGGACTAGTCTTCACCGTCGAGCTCTGGATAGTGACGGAAGATACCATCGCTGTAGGGAAGGCGCCGCTCGCTTTCGAGGTAGGCCTTGATCTTTGGCAGCTTGGCCACCGCCTGCTTGAGCGCAAACACCTTTGCGTACTTGCCAGACTTCTCCAGGGCGGCTGCACGCTTGGGAAAGGCAAATTGGATGCCATCGATGAGCTGTTAGATTCGTGTCAGCTAGTCCTTCATGCCGAGTCATGCCATCAGTCTCCCACCTGGAACAGAGCAAGGTCGGCTGTCGTGAGGCTGCTTCCGTAGAGATGATCTTCATCTTCGTTGCTCGCGATTGTCTCTTCAAACAACTTCAGAAACTTGGGCAGGCGGACCTTGCGCAAGTCCTCGGCGCGCTTCTTCGCCTCTGGGACTTGCTCTTCGTAGTATGCTGAAGACGCAACCGGGTGGTGGGAGTCGTGCACCTCGCTGTTCAGGTCAAGAATGGTGAGGGTGATCTGGTTGACCTGGGCGCGCCTGATCTGGTCCACCTCCGGGTCCTCCTCATTCTTCCCCTTTTTTACACCATCGAGGCCGAGATGCGGGGCGAGGTAAGCCAGGATGGCGGGGGTCTGGGAGAGGAAAAAGGGGGACGAGCTCTTGACGTCCTCGCTCGTCTCCGTCTTTCTCGACTTGGTGCTTCTGGCGGCTTCGAGCTGGATCTCGAGGACGGGCGGTGCAAAGTGTGGCGGATGGCCGACCTTGCTGCACGACATGACGTGCTTGAGCAGCGTCTTTGGTTCGTTGCTCTCCGTGTAGGCCGTGCCGGTCGCCTCAAAGGCAAGGCGAATGTATCTGGTCGCATATCAGCATATGTGGAAAAATCTGGGCATGTCTTCGTGAAGTACACTCACTCGCCGCGTCCAGGGATCGAGGGCCAGTAGTGGAGCACATACTTGGGCGCCATGATGATCGGTCGCAGTGTGCCGCGGGCTATGGTGGTGGTGTGCGAGAACATTCCCGACACCAACACGTCGAGCCCGGCTCAATCAATTGAGCGACACGCAAAGTGGAGGTTGGGCCAGGGCTCCTTTTCGCACGGTCCTGAACATGGGAAGCATGCAGGCGAGTGGGGAGACGAGTGGGCATCGAGCACGGCAGGCTTTGTGACATGGCGCTCGCCCACCAGGGCAGGCAAGGTCAACAATAGAAGGCCGTCGCTTGAGCAGGAAGTCGGTCACTTCGGCTGAACCAAGAGATACTTTGTTGCTTGTACTCGGGTATATTCCGGCCTTTTCTTCCGGCTTAGGGCGTGTGCACCCCACACATTTTTAGACTAAGCTTGTCGACCGTTACCACGATCACGACCCACCTCTTCTCAAAAGCGCGAGACTGAGGATGGAGCGATATCAGCCGCCTCCCTCGTCGCAGCCGCCCGAGCGGTTCGGGCTGCGCATGTCTGTGACTGCCTCGATTGCCCACAACATCACTCCCCTGACGCCTGTCTCCTTTCTGACGCGAGCAGCCCTCATTGTGCCCAACAAGATTGCCCTCGTCCACCCGGAGCGTGGCGTGCGCTTCACCTATGCTCAGTGGGCTGCGCGGATTCTCTCGCTCACCTTTGCCATCCGCAACACACCCGGCTGGAGGCGTGGCGAGCGCGTGGCCATCATTGCACCCAATACACCCATGATCCTCGAGGCCCACTATGCCATTCTTGCCGCCGGGGGCATCGACACGCCTCTCAAGTGAGTCCCTCTCCGCTCTTGCAATCCTCTTCTTGTCTGTACTTACCCACTGACTCTGATGCAGCATCCGAAACAACGAACGCGAAATCGAGTACGTGCTTGGCCACAGCGGTGCGCGTTTAATCCTCGTCGACGAAGAATTCGCCCACCTGATCCCCAAGCAGCTGCCCAGTGGTGTCCATGTCATTGTCAGCCGCGACACTGGTGGAACAAAGGGCGTTCAAGAGTCGGCGGACGCATACGAGGCCTTTTTGGATGGGGGAAGAAAGATCTGGGCGCAGGCGGAAGAGGACGAGAGGAAACGGTACGGGCCCAAGGCAAAGAAAGGGTGGGAGCTCCTCGACATTGTTGAGAATGAGAACGAGGCATGCGCGCTGTGCTACACGAGCGGTGGGTTCACTTCTCTCTCAAGGACTTCCTACCTCCTCTTGCACCTGACTGACTCCAATACTTGACGCACAAAGGCACCACTGGAAGACCAAAGGGCGTCCTGACCAGCCACCGCGGGTCTTACCTTGCCGCTGTCGCCAACGCCTTCGAAGCGCAGCTGACCGGCGAGAGTGTCTACCTCTGGGTGCTTCCTGGTGGGTCACCTCGACCTTCATTTCCTCTTCTCAACCTGCTAATCGTGATCACCTTTATCGCACAGCGTTCCATGCTGCCGGATGGACTTTTGTGAGTAGTCTGCCTCGTACGATCCAGCTCAATGCGCTGACGTTCCTTCTCAAAAAGCCATGGGCGGTGACCGCGGCTCTTGGCACCCACTATATCCTGCGCCGCGTCGACAACAATCAGATCTGGGACGCGCTCAACCATGGTGGTGTGACGCACTACTGCGGTGCGCCCACTGTCCAGATCGGTCTGGTCAATCACCCAAAGGCCAAGAAGCTCGACAGAGTCGTCAAGGTGGCCATCGCCGCCAGCGCACCCACGGCCGATCTCCTCGCCAAGATGGAGGCTCTGAACCTGGAACCGGTGCACGTCTATGGCCAGACGGAAAACTACGGCCCATTTGCTCGCCGATACCGAGAGCCTTCGTGGTCCGACCTCGCTGTGGAAGAGCGGGCAAGGCTCATGGCGAGGCAGGGACACGGATTCCTCGTCGTCGACGAAGTACGCGTCGTGCGTCGACCCTCGGACGACTCGTCGCCGGCCACAGGGAAAGACGAGCGCGAGCTCATCGACGTCGAGCGAGACGGCAAGGAGATCGGCGAGATCATCATGCGCGGCAACCTCGCCATGCTCGAGTACTACAACGATGCCGATGCCACGGCAAAGACGATCAAGCACGGCTGGCTCCATACGGGCGACTTGGCCGTGCGGTTCCCGGGTGGCGAAGTGGCCATCGCCGACCGGTCCAAGGACATTATCATCTCGGGCGGAGAGAACATCTCGTCGCTCATGGTCGAGCAGGAGCTGGCGGACCACGCCGATGTTCTCGAAGTCTGTGTCGTTGCGAGGCCCCACGAACGGTGGGGAGAGGTTGGTCACGCATTTGTCGTCCTCAAAGAGGGACGCAAGGGCAACATCGACAAAGAGGCCCTCAGGGCCCATTGCAGATCGAGGATGAGCAAGGTGAGTACTTCTACCGTCTCATCTGGGAGAAGTTCATGTTAGACCCTGACGAGGTCTTGCCAGTTTGCCGTGCCGGCGTACATCGACATTGTCGACGAGCTGCCAAAGACGTCGACCGGCAAAGTTCAAAAGAAGTGAGTACTTTCTCGATGTCATCTTCTTTCCAATGGCTGACGCTCGGTACACAGCGTCCTGAGAGCGAGATTGGCAAAACTCTAAAGGGACATTGGCTAAAAATCAAAGGCCAACAAAAGGTCTGAATGCAGATGATGATGATGAAGATTACCGATCATTCCCGTACTCATCCTCGTCGCTCTCGACGCCGTACAGCAAAAAGTCTTTCTTGGGCCGCTCGCCCCACTCGATAACACCATGTGCGCTTTTGGACGTTGAGCTCTCTCTTCTATCTTGGTTCTTGTTTGCTGCTTTTGTACTGGGATCCATCGAGGATGATGATGACGATGAGACCCTCGCCTGACCTCTGACAGAAGAGACTGCTGGGGGTCGTCTACCCAGACCGATCGACTGCTGCAGCCCTGCTACAGCACTGAGTCCTGCCGCCCTCTGCCCCTGCTGCTGCCTAATCTCCCTCGTGACCTTTTCGAGCTCCCTGAGCGTTGGTCGATTGACCAGATAGCTGTACCCATCGCTCTCGGGCTCCCCGATCGGGACGAACCAGAGCTTCCAGTCTTTTCCCATGAGGTAGTGCCAGTTGCCTCGCCAGCCAACGTCGTAGATGTTGAGCTTGCCGGCCTTCTTGAGCACCCGACGCTCCTCGCGTGTCAACTGCTCGTCGCGGCGCCATGCTTCGACCCGCGCTGCAGCTGCTGCCTCTGCTGCCTCTGCTGCCTCTGCCGTCTCGCCGCCAGACTCGGCAGCATCGCCTCCCGCCAGGCGACGCAGACGAACAGACACATCTTCGCGATCTGCTGAGTGCGGGCTCGGTGGCGGCGCCTGCACCCTCACTCGTCCGGCGCCCTCCATCGACTCGAGCGTGGTGCGGTTGCGGAGGATGAGGTACAGGTGGTAGCCCGCAAAGGGAAACAGTGCCATTCCAAACTGAAAGGAAGTAGCAATCTGCCATCAGCAACTTGCGTCGTAAGTTCGTCGCTGTTTGTACTCACAATAAAACCAATGAAGAGAAGGATGGCCCATGTCACGGGCGACGTCTCAAAGCCATTGGTCTCCTCGTTGACGTAGTGGACAATGGTCCGTGCCATGTCCTGGAACGCAAAGACGCAGAGTAGAGCCGTGTAGCACAAGAAGAGGAAAAAGGCCTTGTGATTGCGCAGCCCAACGCATCGATTCGCCAACAAGGGGCAGTGATGGTCCATCCTGAGCACGCATACACCGCACGAGCTGCAGTGGTGCGCCCGATCGGGCTTCTCGACGTTGCACTGCTTGCACCATCGCCTTGTCCCCGTGTTCTTCACCTGCAACCCACCGAGATAGGCCAATCCGCTGCCCTCTTCCACCTCATCCCGACCTCCCCGTGCCTGGTCTTGTCCCTCCTCGACGGCGTGCATCACATCGTCGAGCTGCGCACGGCCCGTCCGCGATGGCGCCTGGGGCTTTCCCGGAATGAGCGCAGAGAGGCCGCCATCGACGCCAAAGACGGACGTGTTGGCGTGGTTGTACCGGAACGACGCCGGCCCTCCTCGGCTGCCCCTCTGGGCCGCAGACGAGAGCAGGGGTGCCTCGTCTGCATTTGCCCCTTCCTCCTCCTCCTCCTCCCCCTCGTACCGCTCTTCGTCGGCTTCTTCGCCGCCAGCCTCGTCGTCGTCGGAGCTCGATGGTAGGCCTCTCGACTCTCTCTTTCGTTCGCGCTTCATCCACCTGCTCTCGTGCCTCTTCGTCTTGCCTCCCAGGCCATGTCGCCGCTGCTCCTCCTCTTCTTCTTCGTCCACGTCCACACCGCGAAATGCGCGGCCGCCCTCGCCCTCGAATCCCGCCGCAGGATGGCCAGGGCTCTTGAAGACGGCCACGAGCAGCGCCCACAGCGTCAGCGCCTCGAGACCCGTGACCACGACGAGGTTGATCGCCGACGAGATGTACCGACCACGCCGGAGCATGCCGTAGCGGAGATGGACATCGACGAGGACAAGGTAGGCAAAGAGGAGCATCGAGAGGATGAAGCCGAGCGGAAGGAAGCGCGCCCCCGTCATGGTGCGCTGCAGACACCCGCTGCGGCGCTGTTTGGCGCTGTGCGGGGAGAAGCTTGCCATCGTACCGTATGTCGCGCGCGCATACACACACACACACACACACACACACTTCGAGCTCCCGCTTCTTTCTACTCTCTTGCTCTTAGTTGTGAGTTAGTTATATAGCGTAAGTGGGGGTTCAAGGCGGTGCGGTGCCTGCCGCCAAATTGCCACGTGCCCGACAATATCTCTCTCACACCTTGACAAGTCTTAATTTTTCTGGCTGCTCCACCACTCTCTGCCGACGACGAGACGAGACGAGACAGAGACAGATGGGCAAGTCTGCCAAGTTCTACAAGAAGAAGCCCAAGCTTGGCAAGGGCGGCGAGCACGGCGGAGGCGATGGAGCTGCGGAGCGCTACGATAAGGAGGAAGAGGTCGGCGCGGCGGCAAAGGCGAGGGCGATGAAGGTGCGTCTGGCCGAGGAGGCGAGGCAGAAGAGAGCAAAGGGGCCGGACGGTGTAATAAAAAGGCCTGTCGAGGCATATGATGAAGTGGAAGAGGACGAGGACCAGGATGAGGTTGAAGACGAAGAAGGAGCAGGGAAACAGAGCATCGCGAAACGACCAAGAGGCTCGGGAGGCGCGGCGAAGCTGCGCGGCAAGGCAGCATCGAAAAAGGGCCAGGACACAAAGGAGGACGACTACCGTGTCCCACGGGATCGAGGCATCGACTACATCGGCCAATGGGAGCTCGGGCCCGGTCGAAAGAAGCGATAGAGAGACACATCGACGTATTGCAGAGTATGCGAATTGTATTTATAGTACAGCGGACTTGAGGGATCAGAAAGTCAGACGTGGTGTGGGACAGTATATTACACTGCTGTTCGAAGCTGCGCCCTGGCCTGGGCACACGCCTTGCTCAGCGCATCTGCGGTGGCCTGACTGGGATGTGGGCAGTCGATGGCTTCCGAGTGAAAAAAGTGATTGGAGAAGGCCGTGTTGTACGTCGACAAGAGGTTCTCAGCAGCCTCGAGGTGGCCTAATTCAAGGGAGAGGGCGATGTCAGCGGACGGGGTAGAGGGACAAGGACGAACGACAGATACCCACTCTTGGCTTCGCCGGCAAGCAAATTGGCACCCTTGCGCTGGCAGAGCTGCAAGATGAAGCCTGCGGCATGCCCGAGCATGTGATGGTACCAGTTGGGTAGGTATGTAATGCGATCGCGAAAGCCGAGGGCGTCCGTTACGAGCGTGATTGCCGCAAGAGCGCTGGCGCTGGCTGCTTCAACAGCCTGGAGCTGGCCTCTCAGAATCATTCGCGGCGGCGTCTGTTGATGGTGGCCTGGTGAAGGGCGGGAGTCGGCGTCGAGGGCGAGGGAGCCGAGATAGGCCTTGGTGAGGTGATACGAGAGCGAGAGGTCGAGCGCGGAAGGTGTCGAAAGCGAGAGGTCTGTTGTCAAAAAGGTCAGCTTTCGTCAACAAGCCCAACTATATGAAGAGACGGCGGAACTCACCCTCCATCACGTTCGTGTCGGCGCGCCACATTTCGAGCTCGTCGAGCCATGTGCTCCACGTATCGCGGCCGGGCTCGAAGGCGCTCTGTCCAGGCGACCTCGACTTGACATGCGATAGTCCCCTCTGCGCATCTTGGGCGCGAACGAGGATGTAGAGGAGGCCTGCATGACCAAGCAGCTGACGGTCCGACGATGGCGGCACCTTGATCGCTCCATTCCATGAGCTCTCGGCACCGCCCGTCGCCGCTCCCAGCTTCTTCTTCTCGACCTTGGGCTTCAACAGGCCGCTGATTCCTCCGGAAGGAGGTGTTCGTGCCGTGATAGCTGGGGAGCTTTCGTCTCCACTGCTGAATGCATAGCGGAGGCTCTGAGATTCGTAATTAGTAAGCTGTGCACATGCGGTCTTGGCCACAAGCCACATGCTACAACCCACCTCGATGTGCCGCGAGGGCGAGTCAGGAATGAGACATGGTCGATTGACGATGAACGATTGTTGCGCTTCTGCCACGAAACCAGCCAACCATATACGTGCCTTGTCGACATTGTCAATGAGGCGAAAGGGCGGGTGGACGCTCCACGACTCGTGCTGCGTCGGTTGCTCGCGCACCTCAAAGTGCCTCAGATAGTCGACGGACCACCACCTTGCCACTCTTGAAAAGTGCCAGCTGACCTCGCCGCCGAGCCACGCAGCAGCGATACATGCGCTCGTAATCTCCTCAACGCCCACGCCCAGTTCTGGATCCAGATGTCTGTTCGCAAAGTCATCGACATCGTGGTTGGGATCGAGCTGCGAGATGCAGTCGGTCTTGAGCTCGGTGTGCAAGGTGCGAAGGACGGGGTCGTGCAACGAAGCGACCGAGAGAATGGCCGAGACGATAAGGGGTGTCATCTGCTCATTGGCAGGGAAGGTGGGGAAGCCCATCGAATGAGGCAGTAGACGCTCGGCGAAGCTGTACATGCTGGAGTCAGTACTTTGCTACCCCACTACGTCGCATGAACAGGTGCGAGATTACGACTCACAAACGCATCAGGCTACGCGCGGCCTTCATCGACACAAGATTGGCCGTGACAACGTTGATCCTGGGATCATCTCGACCAATATGAAGTGACGCATTGGCGTAGTGGCTCGTGCTGCCCTTTGTCCATTCTGGTCTGCGGCTTGCTGCTTGCGACTGATGGTTATAAGAAGGCCAATTGGACGACGGTGTCGAGCATGCATCTGCCAAGTTGGGTGAAATGTCGATCTGGGAGGCTTCCCACCGATTCGATCTCGTCGCAGGAGGCAAGGGCGGTGGCATCATCGATGCCCGGGAGCTTGCCTCGTTGACGGCCACAGAGGAAGAGGAAGAAGAGGGGGACCGATGTGTTTCCGGCTCGAAATCAGTCGGGATGGGCCGCTTGCGAGTCATGGACGAGGCGCGATCCCTTGTCATCTGTGGGTCGCCCGAGAAACTCGCCGAGGGCGAGGTGTAGTCGGGCATGGGCTCAGAGTAGGGGGACGACAACGGGGGTAGGACTGGTCGGTAAGCGTTGCTTCCTCCCTGGTTGACAGCCGCAAGATTGAGCAATGATGAAAAATGCAAGGCTGTAAAGCAACTCACGTTGGTAAAGGAGGGCGAAGGGGGCATGGGAAGGCTCGGTGCGCTGGGTACAGAGTAGGCCGAGGCCGATTGACTGCGCCCGCTGCTGCCCGGGCGACCGTAGTGAACAGGGGCCTGCTGGGGCGGCACTGATGTGGGTCCGATTTGCTTGTAGAGGTACTCGACGTCGTTGGACAATTTGGAGAGCTGCTCGTCGGTCCTCTCCCTCCAGAGTTCGTCGTCCTAGAGGAGAGCAAGTCGGGCGTCAGTCTTGTGACCTTCCTTTCTTCACTGGCGACAACCATCCCCATGGGAACGACAAGACAACTCACCGCTCTCAAGCGGAATTTGCACTCGATGTTCTGATCCGAGCATCGCTTGCAGGGTGGCTGTCCGTCGTGAACGCAGCGGACCTTGCTGCGACGACAGGACTGGCACGCCTTCTGCGGCTTGATCTCACCGGGGACCACGTTGCTCGTCGCAGGGCCAGTACCTCTGCTCTGGCCGCTGCCTGCACTTGCTGTCCTTGCGGGAGCCAGGCCCCAGGTCGCAATCGCAGACGAGAGCGGCGTCGTGACGGGCGCAGGGGGCGAGGCACCCGTCGGACGCCGATTCTCGACCAGCGACGACACCGATGGATGCATGGGCCTGGTGGGCGGCGACCTGATCCTAGCCTGTGAGAGGCTCCAACGAAGGAAACGAGAAAAGCAAGGAAGGGCGAGGTGTGGCAGAAACGAACGGAGTCAGCTAGTACGTAGTGGCCGTCGTGTGATCGGAAGAGTGGTGGGCGAATGAAGGAACGACGCGGGGAGCTTGATTAGCCTTGGGAGCCCGAGGAGTCAGCGAGACTGGAGAGCCGGGCGCGCATGCGATCATGGCTTAATTTTGAAATCAATTTCGCTCGACAGGCACACACACATATACGTGGGAAGTGAAAGAGAATTCACAGCCTGTTCAGGCTCAGCTAGGAACCTGGCTTTGCTTGCCTGCCATAAAATTGAAATTGTCGCTCTCTTCTTTGCCAGATAGGAACCGGTCCGGAGACAAGGTGCTCGCTCGCTCGCTTTGCCTCGGCCTCGGAGAATGAAAAAACGGGGCAAGCTTATTGACTTTTGTGTAGCGTCTCCGACTGTACTGTGGCTCTCTTCCTGCTGGGCTTGGTTGAGGAGGGAGCGGTCGGCGCTTTCGGAATTTCAACAGACAAAGCCAAGAAGGCAAGCTTTTATTGGTCCTGGCGGCACAGACGCTTTCCCAGTAACAATGTAGAGTGTAGCTAGTAGTAGTAGTAGTAGTAGTAGTGTAGGGTGTGAGTAGCCGGACTCCGTGAGCGCTGCAAAAGCCTCGCTCGTGTGACCTGTCTGTGGATCAATAGGGAGTCGAAGCAGGTGACAGATGATGATAGATAGGAAGATATATAGCGTAGCCAGTCGCTCTAGGGTGTGGATGCGCGCTATGACGCGCGGTGCGTTCCCAATGCGCAAGTTGCAGCGGGGTTGTTGGAATCTAAATCGTAGCTCTGGGAAGGAGCGCCTCACAACTCGTCGACGTCCTCCTCGTCCTTCTCCTTCTCATCATCAGCCTTTGACCGCCCGCCATGTCGTCCGCACTCGAGGAGGGCGCTCAGCCGTCGGCCCTCGTCGCATCGAGCACGCTCGTGTCGCCCCGCGTGACAACGGCGCTCATCCTCCGAATGCGCGCCCTCGTTGCCCACTGGATCGCAGTCGAGGTCGACGAGGAGAGCATCACGGCAAACGAGGGCCTCATCAACGAGGACGCCGTTGCGGCCTTCATCCAGGCCGGCGGCGATGTCACCAATGCCGTGCCGTTTGCCTTGCTCGAGGCTAGAAAGACATTTCTCAACGACGCTTCCCATCGCGAGCACTCGCTCAACGAGCAGCGAGCTTTGGCCTGCGAGGTGATTGCCCGCCGCGTCGTCGCCGAGCTGGAGCGAGCCGAGGACAAACTCTCGGCGCAGAGCAATGAGGGACGCGGGCAAAAGGGCAGCAGCGGCATCAGCAGTCACATCAGCCTCTCGAAGCGATTTGTGCGCATTGAGGATGATGGCGACCGCACCTTGCCCACGAGCGCCCTCGAGACCGCCGTCGACCAGAACTGCGTCCACTTCCTGTCGTCGCCCGAGGCGCAAAAGTGCGCAAACGAACTCTGGAAGGGCTACATCACCCAGCAGTACTCGGACAACGGTCTCGTCTTTTTCGAGCCCCACCACCCTGCCTCGTCGTCATTCATCGACCGCTTGGATCCTTCGCGCCTTGCGGTGCCCCAGTACCAGTACTACACAGGCATTCTCATCCACGTCGCCCTCATCGTCGTCTACACTTTCAGCACGCTCGAATACACTGGCCTCGACACCTGGGAGATCCTCCTGTGGTGCTTTGCTGCGGGCTACCTCGTCGATGACATCACGAGATGGATCAAGATGCGTGGCTTCGACAGCGTCATCTCCTTCTGGGTCATTGTCGACTTCTTCACCGATGCCCTCTTCGTCACTGCTTTTGCTTTCCGCGTCGCAGGCTGGGTTGCTCGCAGTCAGGAGCGCTCCGACGAACTGCAGCTCCTGGCTTTCCAGTTCTTGAGCTGCGTGGCACCCTTCTTGTGTGAGTGATACCTCCTTGCTTTCTTCCCTTCTCGCTCTCGGTCAACTGACGTATGCGCACCACCAAAACACAGGGATGCTCCTCCTCAAGGCCCTCGATGGCAGCCAGTACATCGGCATCATCCAGCTCGTCCTCCTCCGCATGCTCCAAGAAACGGCCGCCTTCTTCATCCTCCTCCTCTTGACCGCTGTCGGCTTTGCCCAGTCCCTCTTTGCCCTCGACGCCGCAGACGGAAGAAGGGTGCCCAATTCGGTTTCTTTTGTCGTCAACCTTCTCACAGCTGCCATTCTTGGCCAGCCCGACTTTGACGGTCCGGCAGACAACTTTGGAGAGCCGTTTGGGACGATTCTCTTCTACGTCTTTTCCTTCATCACGCTCATGCTCTTGAGCAATGTGAGTCCCACCCATTACCACTTCTTCTCTCCGCTCTCTGCTCATCAATTCACACTCAGATCCTCGTCGCTTTCTTCGCGTCGGCCTATGACAAGACGGTGGACAATGCCGAGGATGTGTTCCGGGCCTACTTTTGCTCAAAGGTCATCTCCACCATCCGAGCTCCGGACCAGGTGAGTCTCGGCGCTCGTGCTGCATAACTTTGGCTGACTTTTTTTCCGCAAAGTACGTGTACCTGGCACCTTTCAACTTGATCGAGGCATTCCTGATCGCACCGCTCGAGCCACTGCTGCCCCGCAAGACGTACGCAGGCATCAACCGAGTCGTCCAATCGGTCCTCTTCTGTGTGCCCCTCGTCTTCATTGCACTCTATGAGACATACATGGAGTCCCAGGTGGCCAAGGCGCTGCGCCTCGAGATGCTCGAAAGCATGCCCGAGGAGCGGCAGCGACGCCGCATTCAAGTCACGGGCATCGAGAACGGCGTCTTGGACCCAGAGATCCCGTCTCGGGACGGACAGTCTGCTGATGAAGGCGAAGAAGACCTCGTCATTTCCCGTGTCAAGTTCGAGACGCTCTCCAAGCGCCTGCCCGTGGTCAAGGGCCAGGAAGAAGAGGAAAAGGACGATAAGGTGACGGCCGACGACCTCCGCACCGTCTTATCCGAGCTCAAGTCGCTGCGTCAAGAGTTGGCCGAACTCAAATCTGCAAAGTAGTTCCTAGCACAGCCTTGGCAAGCTTGATTGGTGACGTCTTTGCTGTCTAAATCCTGCTACTACTACTACTACTACTACTACACTCTCTTTACTTTTCACGCTCCGACAAATGCAATCAACGGAAGTTCATGATGATGATTTCGGCGAACAAAGGTACGGACAAATAAAGGACAATCATGGCGGCTAAAGTCACAATCCTCCGCAAGGCCACGTCGGCAACTAGAAAAGTAAATTTGACATTGCTGCGTAGCGCTGCGCTCGCGCTACTGGCAGGAAGAGGAAAGAGATGGACACTGTGTGTGCACAGTGCGTGGCGACGTGGTGAAACGAAGAAGTCTAGACCATCTTTTCTGGGGACCGGGCTATGAAGTCATCGTTCTGATTCCGGTTCGGCTCGCGTGGACTACTAGCGCGCGTTGAGTCAAAAAAGAAACGCGCAGGTAGGAGAATGTCTCTGTGGAGCCTTCTCTCGCAGCGCGGCCGGTGAAATTGCTAGAAGGGAGGGGGCGGGATTTTATAAAGTGCCCATCCCCACCTGCTCCTTGCCACTGCCCTATCGTCACCTCATCTTCTTCTTCTCAGCTTGCTGCAGCAGCACACACACACACACATACACACTCACACACACTGGCAACCCTCACGCCCCAATCTATCCAACACCCGCTTCATCTCGTCCCAGCAGACAACATGAGCGCGCAGACTGCTGACACGGCCGTTCCCCTCACCGCCAACGGCGCCACGGTGGCGGCGGGCGATCACAAGATCGACCCCTCGCTGGGCTCCGCCATCAGCACGGGCCAGGTCGCCTCCAATGACACCGCGCCCGAGTACGCCGCCCAGGCACCCAACGGCACCCTCTCGTCGGGCCACACGGCTGCTGCGCCCGAAAAGGCGGCCCCCGTGCCCCAGGCCAGCGTCGACTCGGCTGGCTCGGGATCCGGCCTCGCCGGTGGCCAGGCGCCCACGACGACGACGACGACGATCATCACGACGACCAGCAGCCCCACTGCGCAGGATGGCGCCCAGGTCGCCTCGCCCCTGAGCGCTGGAGCGCCCTCGGTCGCTTCCCCCGTCACTGCCGCTACGTCGTCGCCCATTCCCGAGACGGCCGCTACCTCGGCGCCCACTTCGGCCCTTGCTGCGCCTACCCAGGCCGACGGTACCACCACTGACAAGGACGCGCCGACGACGACGACGGCCGCTGCTGTCCCTGCTGCTGCCGCCGCTGGTGGTGCAGCTGCTGGTGCTGGCGCTGCCAACGGCCACCAGCAGCACGCCGCTGCCGCGCCCATCAGCGGCAAGGAGGCCAAGAAGTACGAGAAGCTGCTCAAGAAGGAGGCCAAGAACGAGGAGAAGGAGCTCGGTGCCACGCTCAAGTCGGCCGAGTCGGACGAAAAGGCGATGCGCAAGGCGCGCAAGGCCGAGTCGCAGTCGATCAAGCGACACCAAAAGGCCGTCGACGAGGAGCACAAGACGAGCAAGGCGCTGAACCGGGCCAAGGAGGCTCAGGAGAAGGCCGCCGCTGCCCTTCAGAAGGCCACCGAGGAGCTCGATATCAAGAAGCGCCACACGTCCGAGACGACCAAGGCCTACGAGAAGGTCAAGGCAAAGATCGACGAGCTGCGCAACACCAAGATCGCCAATGACAAGGACCGTGCCCGAAGGCAAGCAAGCATGACCCAGGCTCACTAATCGTCCTCCTCCTACGACCTTTATTTTCTTCTTCCTTCCTTCCTTTCTTCTCTCTTTCCCTCCTCTTCTTCTCTTCCTTGCTCTAAGCGCTTGACTTTCTCGATACCATCTTTACTCTCTCTCACTCTCTCCTCTTACTTCCTCTCTCTCCTCTCTACGATGCTAATGAACTACGTTTTACACCCTCGATTGCCTCGTGTGACTTGTGCAACGGCAGTATCTTCCATGAAACGAAAGCCTTGGCCGCTGCGACCAGGCTGCAAAGCTTAGTCTAGCAGCAGATTTAAACCAGGCGATCTGCCGTCTGGATCTCTCTCCCCCTTAGTCATCGCGTGACCAACGGGGGCCCCCAGAATAGAATTCTTGGCTCGCGTCTTTGGAAAATTCGATTTCAAACCCGAACGACCAAAACAAGCGATGGACGGAAAGAAAGAATATCATAATCATACAAAATTTCCCATCCCGCTCCCAAAATGACTTTCTATTCCTTGTTAATGTCTCAGGGCCGGAGAGGGGAATCGCAGAGTAGTAGTAGTCGCCCGAATTTCAGCACAAGTACCTATTTTTGAATTGGAGCTTCGTAGGGAGAGGGGAACGATGAATAAAGCAAGCAAACCCCCTCTCATCTCGACCTCTCTCCATCAGACATCACTCACTTCGCTCGCTCGCTCGCTCTTCCACTCACTCACTCACTCATTCACTCACTCGCTCACTCCCCCCTCCCTCTCACGCCCCTTCTACACTCCTTCGAGAAAGTTTTTCCCACTCTCCTTTTGACTCGTTCACGATGAAGACGACCTTTGTTTCCCTCGCCCTCTTCCTCGCCGTCGTGGCCCAGATGGTCGCGTCGATGGCTGTCATCACGAACCCTGTCAGGTGAGCGCTTCCCGTCGCGTTTTCCAGTTGAATCCACCCCGCTCCCCCCTGTCCGTCTGCTGACCAGTGAATGAGGAAACGCGTGTCAGCTCGACCAAGGGCAAGGGCGGCAAGAAGCTCTCGGTCGTGTGGAACGACGACGGCAAGTCGCCAAAGATTTCCGACTGGGGCGGAGTCAACGTCTTCCTCGCCGTCGGCTCGCAGAACGTCCAGTACAAGCTCCAGCAGCTCGGCAGCAACCTGCCCGTCACGCAGACCAAGGGCTCCTGGAAGGTGGACCCCTCGATTGGCGCCAACTCCAAGTCGTACTTTATCCGCATGGAGGGAACCAAGCTCGGATCGGACGGTAACCCGCCCATGGCCTTTAGCGCTCGTTTCGAGCTCAGCAACATGAGCGGACAGTTCAACTCGACGGTGCAGAACGCTGCAAACGGAAAGGAGGGTGCCGCGCCGAGCTCCTCGACGACTGGTTCGTCGGGCAGCAGCTCGACCTCGTCTGCCTCCTCCTCGTCCACCTCCTCCACTGGCCTCTCCGGCGCTGCCTCCTCTTCCAAATCATCGTCGGCCAGCTCTAGCTCGAGCACCACGAGCGGTGTCGCGCCCATCTACCTCAACAGTGCCCTGGTCACCGTCGGCGCCATTGCCGCTGGCGTTGCCGCCTTTGTCTAAAGGAGGGTTCTCCTCTCCCTCAAATCCTATGAGGGAAAAAAAGGGGATAGACCTCGCGCATCACATTACGGCTTGCCTCTGGTCGGCATTGTCATGGGTATCATCTTCCTCCGGCACCACATTCATGCAATACACGCACACACACATCATCCTCCCCTCAGCACAACACTCATCTCTTCCTCTCCGCTTGTCTCATCACATTCGCATCACTTGTCAGATAGGGGTCACCGTGGGCTTTGGCTTTGACAGTCACAGCTTGCATCCCACTTACGCTACTTCTCGACTGTTTGTTGAACTGGATCAGCTTTTCTCCATTTGCTTGGTCTGAATCGGTTGGACGCCCCTCTGAGAGACACAAGTGCGATGAGCTCAACGTCTCTCCTCTTCTTTTTAACAACTGTGTCGCCGATAATAGAAACACAGGTGCGATGCGCTCAGCGAGACGATGCAGGGAAAGAAGAGTCTTGTCATGGACATTTTCATCATGGAGAGAGACTCCCGTCGAAAGGGGATAGGAGGCCTCCAGACCCCTCTTGATGAAAGAGGAGACATATAGCTGTACAAGGTGGTTGTTGGTGTGGCTTTGTATTTTTTGCGCAGAGCAAAGGAAAAGAAAAGAAAAGAAAGGAGAGATGTTGACCCCTCCTCCTGAGATGATGGTGTGGTGTGGTGTGTTTGTGTGTGGTAAAAGTGTGAAGAAGAAATTGAGAAGCAATCCTCTTCTGACAGGATCCTTCCCCTCATGATGTGCCCATCTCTTCGGCGCCGCCCTCGGGTCGCCTCCATTCGTCTATACCGCTCCTCCTCGTACGAGACCCCCTGCCCGGTTCGCCTCGCGAAACATCACTGCCCAATGGCTTCGCTTAGAAGCGCATGGCGTGAGGCTTCTGGCCGTTGGTCAGGCTGAACGACGCAGCGAGGTACTTCGCCATGTTGGGGCCAGCCTTCTTGACGGCCTCGATGACGGCCTTGTCGAGGGCCTTCTGGTCAGCAACCTTGGCCTCTGGGTGTGCCGCCTTGTTCTTGGGGTCGGCAAAGAACGATGCCTCGGGCTTGGCGCCGGCAACCTTCTCGCGGTTGAAGTAGGCATCGTTGATCTTGTCATCAACCTGGACGAATGGGAATGTAGCAAGTCAGTTCTCGTGTTCCCCATCGCAGGCAGTCGAAAAGGGTGGAGCTCAACGCACCTTGACACCAGAGACGTCAATCTTGGTGCTCGTGGCAATGACGTAGGCCTGGTTGACCCGGCGGATGGGCACACCGTTGACCTTGAAGGGACCGGTAACGAGCAGGAGACCGCTCTCGAGCTGCTTGAGGAAGACGACACGCTTGCCACGGAAGCGTCCGGCCAGGAGGATCAGCACGGTGCCGGGCGTGATCGAAGGTCGGAGCGCAGCCGGCTTGGGGCTCTTCCTGCTCTTCTTTGGCACGGCCACGTCCTCAGCGGGGTAGTAGCGCGAAGCCTTGATGACGGGCTTGGAGCGCTTGCCACCCTTGATGTCAACCGACTTGGTAGCCCGGCTGTCGTCGGCCTTTTGCGCGGGAGCAACCTTGCGGTCCGTCTTCTTGTACGCAGCCTTTTTCTGGAACACCTTGGTGCGGCTCAGGCGGCCGACGTGGGCGCTCGACGTCGAGTTTCGTGTAGTGGCGGCCATCCTTGTCGGTCCGTGAGAAAAGAGGTTGTCTTGAGGAAGCAGTGTTAGCAGCGACGACGACGACAGAGACCAGAAGTTGCGACTGGAGTGACCGAAGCAGGCCGCTCTCGTCGGCCGATCAGCTGCGGTGCGTTCAAGTCACGAGCGAGCTGATTAGGTCAGCAAAAAATGAAAAGTAAAAAATAAATAAAAACGATCTTTGACACGCGAGCGAGAAATCTCAGAATTCCATGACTCAGGAAAAGGGCCGAAGACCCTTGTGGCGCGTTTTAGGCTCGTCTCGATAAGCGAGTCTCGCACGGGCTCATGGGTTCTACAGCCATTGCGCCTGTCATTCTGGAAGACCCTCCGGCCGCTCCGTCTCTGCTTTTCACTCTAAAGTCTTTGGGGAAGGGCAGACTACTTTGCGTTCTGCTGCATTAATTATCGTCATGGCACAACGTGTTCAGTTCAGGCCTAGCTAGGGTTTGGGTCCTGGCTAGCGTGCCGAGAGGGTCGTCCGCGCACGTAACGGAATATAGCCAATGGGATTGGATGTCGCCGGGGCACTTGCTCCCCCTTCCGATTTCGCATCTCATTGGGGCGGCAGCCTGTCTCGCACTCGTCTGGAGCCTGGCTTAGATGACTGCTTGATGTTAAATTATTAGAATATTAGCAGATTTACTACTGTAGCAGTCTGGCAATGAGGGTCAAGATCAAGAGTTGTCTAGGGCCCGACGGTTGGGGGTGAGGAGGGGGCACTGGCTCACTACTCGCTCTGGACCTCGCTTAGATATCATGGCTCTACTCAGTGTATCGGCTGTCGGGGTTCACAGGGTACATAAAGCGGGCTGTCGCTACATGTTGTCTTGAAGTAATCAATCCCCTTCACAATCAAAAATGGCCCCTCCCACCGCTTCCTTCACCTCCGCCCCTGCTGCTACCGGGCCTTCGCCCGCCGCGCTCAAGCAGCAAGCGGCCAACAAGCAGAAGACGTTCTCGCTCCCTCGCCAGCACTACGACATCAAGGCAGGCAAGGAGCCGAAGGAGGACTACGATGGCAACTTCCAGTTCGCCGATATCAAGGAGTCGATCACCTCTAGGGCCATGACTGCCCGCTACTACGAGGACATGATGAACGCAGGTGAGCAGGAATTTAAGTTTTTAGACGGTTACGACGTGCTTCTGACACCTCTCAAACAGCCGTCTCGGATGTCGTCATCATTGGCGCTGGATCTGCTGGACTGTCGTGTGCCTACAAGCTCGGCAAGGCCAGGCCCGACCTGCGCATTACCATCCTCGAGGCTTCGGTCGCCCCTGGCGGTGGCGCTTGGCTCGGTGGCCAGCTCATGTCGGCCATGGTCATCCGCAAGCCTGCGCACAAGATCCTCGATGAGCTCGAGGTGCCGTACGAGGACGAGGGAACGCACGTCGTCGTCAAGCACGCCGCCCTGTTCACCTCGACGATCCTCGCCAAGACGCTGGCTCTCCCCAACGTCAAGCTGTTCAACGCCACCTGCGCAGAGGACCTCATTGTCAAGAAGGACGCCGACGGTGTTTCGCGCGTCAACGGTGTCGTGACAAACTACACCCTCGTCACGCTTGCCCACGGCCTCCAGTCGTGCATGGACCCGCAGACGATGACGGCTCCCGTCGTTGTGAGTTTTCCTGACTCCTTGCTTCCTCGTCTCGTTCCAACCTCGTTGCTGACCAATTTTTATTCTCTCGCAGGTTTCCTTCTGCGGCCACGACGGCCCCTTCGGTGCCTTTGCCGTCAAGCGTCTTGAATCGGCTGGCCTGTTCAAGATCGGTGACATGGGTCCCATGGACATGACCAAGTCCGAGGGCGAGATTGTCAACAACACTCGCGAGCTCTTCCCCGGCATCATCGTCGGTGGTATGGAGCTGTCCGAGGCCGACTCGCACCCGCGAATGGTGAGTTCGCGGCTTTGAGACACAAATCTTCGGTCTACATTGTTCTCTTTCTGACTGAGTCTTCTTATAACAGGGTGCCTCGTTCGCGGGCATGATCTCTTCGGGCGTCCGCGCGTCCATGATTGCCTCGAAGCTGTTCGACTCGCTCGACTGCGATGAGTTTGGCGAGGTCCAGGGCGTCCGCACCCAGTGATTGTGTAAAATGAAAGCGTCACATCTCTCAGAATTTTGATGCGGCCTTGAGCATTGAATTGCACCGAAGGAAGAGAAGTTGCATGAGATTTGAGGTTGAGTCGCCTGTGCGCACTCTGCAGTGCAGCAGTACCTAGCAGCAATAGTGGTGGTGGCTTTTCCGCGTGTCTGAAACGCGTCCGACGCGCGAATTCTCTCGACTTGCAAAAGTGTTGGACTGCATCACTCTATCATCGCACCACTACTTTCTACCTCGTGCGAGCCGCCGCCGACGAAGACGAAGCAGAAGCACCGCACGCTCATGACATAAGACGAGACCGTGCCAAGGGCGCTCACAGGACGCTTACGATGGGGATCTCGGGCCTCTTGCCGCTCCTCAAGGACATCCAGGTGGGTCCTCTCTTCACGCCAGGATAGCGTGCTAGCCAGGCCTGACCACTGCGTCTACAGAGAGAGGCACATGTGCAAGACTACCGGGGCAAGACGCTGGGCATCGATGCCTACGTCTGGCTCCACAGAGGCGCCTACGGATGCGCTCAAGATCTGGCCATGGGCCGTCCGACGACGGCGTGAGTCACTTTGATTGGGGAAGGGGGCAGACTACTATGCAGAGCGTGCGATTCGAGACTGACTCACTTTCGGTCGTTAGCTACATGAATCTGGCCTTAAGCAGACTGCATATGCTCAAACACTATGGCATCACGCCGTATGTCGTCTTTGACGGAGGTCACCTCCCAGCCAAGCGAGGTACAGAGGATGAGCGAAGGAGGTGAGTTCCTCTTCTTTTCACCTTGAAAGCCCTTGTCCACTCAAAGCTCGATTTCGTCGACGGCCTCAGACGCCGCGACGAGCACCTGCAGCAAGCGAGGAAATTCCTGGGCCAGGGACGGCAGAAGCAAGCGTTTGAGCACTTTACCAAGTGCGTCGATGTGACGCCGGCGATGGCCTACCAGCTCATTAAGGTGCTCCGAGAGCAGGACATCGACTACATCGTTGCGCCCTATGAGGCCGACGCCCAGCTGGCCTATCTCGAAAGGCGCGGCGTCATCGATGGCATCATCACCGAGGACTCTGACCTGCTTGTCTTTGGATGCCAGACGGTCCTGTACAAGCTCACGCCCGAGGGTAACTGCATCGAGGTGCGACAGAGCGAAAAGGCACGATGTCGGTCGCTTCCCTTTACTGCCTTTCCCGAGGAGTCCTTTCGGCAGATGGCCATCTTGTCCGGTTGCGACTACCTCGATTCGATTCCGGGCATGGGGCTCAAGACGGCGCACAAGCTCCTCAAGCGCTTCAAGACCGTGTCCAAGGCCCTCTCTGCCGCGAGGATGGACGGGATGAATGTGCCGCCGACGTACGAAAGGGACTTTGAACGCGCGGAAAAGACGTTTGTGTACCAGCGTGTCTTTGATCGAGACGAGCAAGGCCACTTCCGGCTCGTTACTCTCACGCCTGCCTCGTCCTACGATGGCGATCTGGACGCCGACGACTGCATCGGTGCCGATTTGCCCGAGGAGCTTGCCAAGGGCATTGCTCGCGGCGACATTGATCCCATCACCCGACTCCCCGTCGAAGGGCTACTTACGAGGACCAGCTCCGCTTCCGCCGGGCCAATGTCGTCGAGCAGCTCGTCGAAAAAGACGATCAACAGGGCATACAGCGCCCCGTCACGATTCAACAAGCAAGCCAAATCGGAGCCCGGGCAGCGGGGTATTAAGGGCTTCTTTGCTGTCGCAAAGGGCGAGTCGTCGAAGTCCTGTTCTCGACAACAAGAAACGCCCTCTCGGGCTCCGCTGGCGCCAAGATCGGTTAATCAGTCGGTGTCCAAGCAAAGCTCGAGCGATGCAGTCGAAGGCGAGGCAAGCAAATTCTTTGCAAAGGTGTCACCGGCCAAGGAGGCAGACACCAGCCTAGCAACTTTCACGCCTCGCTCCAAACGACAGCGGACTGACAGCTTGGCGAGCGCAGACTCGGTATCGTCGCCCGCCTCTTCGGCACACGTCTCGCCTCAGGCGCGCAAGCTCAAAGATCTACTCTCTTCGGATCCAGTCGACGTGGACACGGATGTAGAGGATGTCGATGAGGATCGCTTGACCAACGTGTCGATGTCCTGGAAGACAAAATTTGCGTACTCGCCGGACAGTACGCTGACGCCTCGCGGCAAGCCTGCGGCCGTCATGGAGAGTGTCAAGAGGAGGAGGTCGAACGCGCTCAGCATCGATGAAGGAACGACTTCGAAGAGGAACATCACCGTTACAGAAGAAGACCACTTCTCGTCCACCACCGTGAGCCGCCGAGAGGAGCCTAATACGCCGAGCATTACGATGGGCAGGCTCGAAATCGGCAGCGGCACCCTCGCTGCGTCGGATCCACCATCGCCGCCGCCTGCTCTGCTTGCGGCTTCCGGCGGCCACCATCGAGTTGCCGCCGTTCGGCCTTCGCTCGAGAGCTTCCGCTGCCCACGCGGCAGCAATTGACAGTGATCCTTACTGACACACACATCGCATCTACTTCTCTGCCTCCCTCCACTCATTTGTTATAACAAGAGATCCCCTTTACCCACGCAAGAACAATGTACCGGTATCCTTAGCTATTGATCAAAAAGACAATCCATGCAAGCTCCTTTCAGCGGTCGTAGCGGCTCTCTCCCTTGTAGATAGAGTCCTGGCCGACAAGTGAAGACGCGTGAAAAGGCTGGAGCCGTTTTGTTCCGCCTTTTGCGCGCACGGCCCCTCCAGACCTGTCAGACGATGTAGCCACGACGTTTATTTTCCCTCTCCTCTTGTGGCTCGGGAAGACAGATCGAGGTGTGGTTGAATGCGGGGTTGGGTTCCAGATGTTAATATCAATTGCGGTGCATCACCACGCAGCACATCTGCCACAGCACTGCCCCGTCTTTCACGCAGGTAGGGGAGCATCGGGGTCCACTGCTGTACTACTACTAGTGATATAGCTAGCTAGTTACTGCCAATTGAAGTGTTAGACGCGGTGGAGGGAAGTGTTGCGTCTCCCTTGACGAACGAGCGGCTAGTGACTCGAGGCAGGCGCTGGAATATAAACGCAGCCTGCTCAAGGCTTGCTTCCCCGCAACATTGTCCCAACCGCCTGACCAACAAAAAGTCGTTCCAACAAGAGCTGATCAGGTGAGCAGCTAGGGTCGAGCATCCAACGGGCAAATGAGGGGGGAAATGGGAATGAACGAATGAATGCACGGCCTCGTTGGGAATAAGAGTAAAGCCGCGCGTGTCCAAAGGGCGTGGCTTGCATTGGTTTCTATGTCCTTTCCTGGCTTTCGCACAGCTCCCACTCACAACACAACCCTTCTCCTTCCCCCACATCAGGCAGGACAGTCCTTTCGAGACCACGACGCAACACAAGTAAGCGAAACTTTGCAAAAAATGACGACGCCAGGTACCAATGGCATCACCTCGCCGCGCCAAAAGCCCGTGCAGGTGAGTAGCAGCTGAGAGGGCTGCGAGAAGACAGCAAAAGGTTAAAGAATGGATCCCCCCACCGACAGCCGACACCCGATGACAAGACATACGAGGACGACCCTCACGCCAGCTCGGTGCACCTGAGCGCCCATGTAAGTGCCCCCCTCGCGCCTCTTCCTTCTCCTTGTGGCTGCTTAGCCCTTTGCAGCTACTGACATTGAGTCTTATGCTCAGGGCCACGGCGGTCTGGCTAATCTTCGAGACATGTTCTACAACCAAGGTGAGCAGACGTTTGTGCAAGCATCGGCTGCCAATTGTGGTGATGTGGGCAGGCCATGAAGAAGAAAGAGGGGAAATAGTCCCGATTCGGTCCGAGTTTATTTCAACTTTTTTCCGTTTGACTTTTTTTATCCCTATGAAACGCTTTCTTCTTCCTGGTCGTGGAGGGACAGAGGTGACTCTTACCGACACGACCCGGCGAAGCCGTCACGTTGGCTGGCCGGCTCGCTCTCCCTTTGCTTCTCTTTTGCAAACTCCCCATTGGCAAGGCAAGAGGGATTGATCAGTTCCCTATCTTCTTGACTTTTGGGCAGGGTGCGAAAGGGACAGAAGCGTGTCGTCTGCAACTACCCTTGCTCTCGTTGCAGCAGGGGCCATGTTGGGGATGAGACCTGCTGTCGCCGCTCCGCTCGGGCTTCAAAGAGGGCTACTCCGATGCGCAGGCGGCTCGAGACATCATTCATCGGTTGCTCTTCTGTCTGGACGCTCACCTAGGACTCTGATTTCCCCTACTGCCTCATCCTCCCCGTCATCTTGTCGTCGCCGTATTGCTTCTCTCGCGGAAATCGACCCCGATCACCCTGAACCCCGCAATCCCTCCACTGTCTCCATTGATCCTTTCTCGTGGGAAGACACGGCCTTTGATCAGGCTCGCCGAGACAAGCTCGGCCTTCGAGGCCTTCTTCCCCCCGGCCATCAGTCGCTCCAGACGCAGATCGAGCGCACCCTCGTTCAGCTGAGATCAAAGAAGGTGAGTCTCGACATGCGACAGCTGTCGTTTCAGATCGATCGATTCTCATCGTCTCACCTTCCTTGCAGACGGACCTTGGCAAGTATGTCTTCCTCTCGGCACTCCGCGTTACCAACGTCCGGCTCTTCTACGCCGTCGTCATGCAGAATGCAGAGGTGAATATCTCTGCTCGATGTATGTGTCGTACCGAACTAACTTTTACTTCGCCCAGGAATGCCTGCCTCTGATTTACACGCCCGTCGTTGGAGAAGCTTGCCAGAAGGTGAGTTTTGCCTTTGTGTCGGCCTTGCAGAGGACAAAGCACCGACTTCAATTTTGCTACAGTTTTCCAAGATCTACCGCCGCCCTGAAGGCCTGACCATCTCTCTCGAGGACAAGGGGCAGGTGGCCAAGGTCATCGACAACTGGCCTGTCCCCACTGGCGCGCCACGCATTGCTGTTCTCACCGACGGAAGCCGTATTCTCGGCCTTGGCGACCAGGGTTGGGACGGCATCGGCATCAGTATTGGCAAGCTGAGCCTTTACGTCGCTGCTGCCGGTATTCACCCGCGCGCTACCATTCCCATCTGTGTTGACCTGGGCACCAACAACAAGGAGAAGCTGGAGGACCCCCTCTACCTCGGTCTGCGCAGGGAGAGGGCCTCCGACGCAGAGTACACCGAGTTCCTCGACGAGGTCATGGACGCCCTTAACACGAAGTACCCGAACCTCATCGTCCAATTCGAAGACTTCAGTACCGAGCGAGCCTTTTTCTTCCTTGAGCGCTACCAGAAGAACAACCGCGTATTCAATGACGATATCCAGGGTACGGGCTCTGTGGTCCTTGGTGGCTTCACCAATGCCGCCCGCGTCAGCAGCAAGGCATCAGGCAGGCCGCTTCACGACCAAAAGATCCTGTTCTTTGGTGCAGGGAGTGCCGGTGTCGGTGTTGCTATGCAGCTCAAGAGCTTCTTTACCCGCCAGGGTCTCTCCGACGAGGAGGCAAAGAAGCGCATTTGGCTGTGCGATTCCAAGGGTCTCGTCACAAATGAGTGAGTCTTGCGGTCGTTCCCTTTCGAACATTAGCAGAGGAAGCTTACATAGAACTACAGCCGTGGTGACAAGCTGCCCCAGCACAAGATTCACTTCTCACGAGACGACAACGAGGGCAAGCAGTGCAAGACCCTCATCGAGGCCGTCGAATACATCAAGCCAACAGCTATCATTGGCCTCAGCACGGTCCCAGACACCTTCACGGAGGAGGTCCTCCAACGCATGGCTGAGCTCAACAAGCGCCCCATCGTCTTCCCTCTCTCCAACCCTTCGCACCTGTCCGAGTGCAACTTTGAGACGGCCGTCAAGGCTACCAAGGGTGCCGTCATCTTTGCTTCTGGAAGCCCATTCCCCGAGCTCGACTACGAGGGAAAGCACCTCATTCCTGGCCAAGGAAACAACCTTTACGTCTTCCCCGGCATCGGCTTGGCGGGCGCTCTTTGCAAGGCCGGACGCATCAGCGATGAGATGATCACCGAGAGCGCCCTTGCGCTGGCGGATTGCCTAAACGACGAAGAGAAGGCAGAGGGGCGTGTCTACCCTGCCCTGACGAGGATGCGCGAAATCTCCCGCGATGTGGCTGTGCGCGTCATCCAGATGGCCATCAAGCAGGGCCACGCCAGAGATGGCGGCTACACGGCCTCGATGGACGAGGACGATCTCAGGAACTGGGTCGAGGGCGAGATGTGGAAGCCCACGTACCAGACTTACGTTGCCTAGGTCTACCTTTCACATACTGTTTTACCTTCTTCCTCACCATGTATTAACAGTCATTACCAAAAGGGGACACCTCCCTTTTCCTCGTTTCTCCCTCGGTCGATACTAGGTTGATGTGGGAAACGAGCATGAAGCATTCCTGTCGATTGATTGAATTGGATTATCTAGAACACTTCTTGGTTGATGGTTGCAAGTATGATGTCTACGATTCGATCTTGAGATGGAACGGCACGACGAGGGCGCCATTGGTGGCCTCCTTGATCCTCATCCACCTGCCCTTTGCCGGTTCCTGGCCCAGAGCTGCCGCCACAATCAGCCCCACCTTTCCCCTTGCGACTTCCTCTTCCTCCTCCTCTTGTTCTTGTTGCTCCGCCTCCGAAAAGACCTTTCTGAGGCCTCCTCTGAGTCCTCCACGCCTGGTCCACTTTTCCGACTCGAGCACTTCTTCGCGATTCTTCTTGCTGCCGCCTCCGCTCGGCCCTGCCGCGGGGGTCGCGACGAGCTGAAGCGAGTTGACAAATCCAACGGCGGGGATTGTCGAAAGAAGCTTGAAGCTCCTCAGGCTTCGATCAAGCTTCCAAAGCCTGATTTCGCCATCCCATGACCCCGACGCAAACACATCGCCATATGGCAGGCAAGCCAGGCTCGTGATCCACCTGGGCGTTTCGATGGGCGCTTCACCCTCCCGGACGTGCTCGAGGTGATGTCCATGTGCGACGGGCATGGTGAAGACGGGCTTCTTCTTGGACAGCGACCACAGCGAGATGGTGCCGCTGTCGCCTCCGCTGAGAAAGCAGTGTTCATCGACCATGGCAACGCAGTCGATGCTGCCTTCGACCCATTCCTTGCTGATGGAGGAGGCTGGCGCTGACGCTTCTCCATCGTCGTCGTCGTCGCCATCGAGACCCTTCGTCAGAGCCATGTCGCCGCCCTCGAGGACCTGTCGGACCTTGCTTTTTGCACCTCCGCGGAAAACCAGCTGAGATTCGTCCCGCACCTTCCACCACCGCACCGAACGATCTCTCAAGCCTGCGGAGACGACAACTTCGCCCCTCAGAAGATCCAGATCGCCCACAGCCTCCTGATGGCCAAAGAATGTCTCAACGTAGGAAAGCTGAGAAACATCAAATAGCTTCAAGGTTCGATCGTAGGACGCAGTGAAGAGATCGTGAGAGCCTAGGCGGAAACCGAGGGCTGTAATGGAATCCCGATGGCCCCCAAGCGCCTTGAGGAACCGGCTTTGCTGTGGCGCACTCGCTGTCGGTGCGTCTCCTTGGTGCTGAGTAGTCGAACGCGTAGACCGAGAAGGAAGAGCCCAGATGCAAATACGTTGATCTTTGCCACCTGTGGCCAAAAACTTCCCATCAGAGCTCATGGACATGGCCCAGATTTCGCCGGTATGCCCTTGCCCAGGCGCAAGATTGAGATAGTGGGCCTTTTCCTTGCCCTTGTCTGCCGCCTCGGCGGATGATGCCACCTCGGCTTTGCCCATCATCTCCTGGGCACGTATCTTGCGTCGGGCCGAGCCACTCGTCTTGGACAGGGCAGGCCTCCCTCTTGCCTTTGCGTTTTGGCTCCCGCTGCTCATACCCCTAGGAATCACTTCGAGCATCTTGCCATCTTTCAAGCGCCATCTGACGATCTGTCCGTCCTTCCCAGCTGTAACGAGCCATGCGCAGTCGCTCGCTGGCCCAATTCTCGCATCGGTGACACTGTGCAAGTGCCCTCGAGTGGCTAGGACGTGCTCCGAGCTGCCCTGCTTCGGGATGACCAGCCTATCGGCGACGAAGTTGTGAATATGTGTGGATCTTGTCGAGACGTCCTGCTGCAGACGGGCAGATATGTTCTGTCGATCTGCCTCGGCGGCATCTGCCCCTCCTTCGTCCTCGTCCTCGTCCTGTCCCCTCATCCCTGCAAGGTAGGCCTGCGCAAGGCGGACTCGAGCCTCGGCCGGGGTTTCATCGACGTCGTCCTCCTCGCTCTCGGAGCCCAGCCGGTCTCGCTTCTCAAAGTCATGTCGGAGGTCCATGTTGGCGATTCCTTCGTCATCGTCGTCGTCATCGTTGTCACTTCCACCGGCTCGCCCATTCTCGAAGAAGCCCCCGTCGTCGTCCTCATCATCTTTGCCCCTCTTCACCCTCTTTTTCTCCTGTCTCCTCCGCGCTGTCGACGGGCCTGCCTCACCGCCGCCCGTACGACCACTGCTCCCGGCGGGCGCCCCCTTCTTGCGCTTCTTCTGGAAGAAGCTGTCCGACATGGCAAGGCCTTCGATTGGGCTGGGTTGACAAGACCTCGCTGCCAGAATCTTTCTTCTTGGGACGGAAGTCAAAAAAATTCGAGCAATGGCTGACTAAGCACACGTGATCCTCCGTCCTCCACCACTTGCAGCCCATCAGTGATGACAGTGGCCTTCTGTCAACGATCACTCAGTCTGACGGAGTCAATGGATGGTGTATGGCATACAAGCGGTAATGAGGGGTACGAGGCTCTATGATTATTAGAAAGTGAGGTTTCCGAGCTCGAAGGTCCCTTGCGGTCCGCTTCTTGTAATCTTCCTGATGTCGACAAAGTCCTTGCCGGCATCGACGGTCTAGCCGGGCCATCTCTCCTGGTCAGCAGCGAGACCCAACCCGACCACTCTTCTTCCCTCTGTACTCACTCCGTAGATGTGACCACATCCGCTCCCTGCAGGTTCGAAGCGAAGCACAGACTCGTCGATAAACTTCCGAGGCAGAGCAGCAATATAAAGTTCATTGCCGGCGCCGGACTCAGCGCTGAAGAAGAGCTTGAGCGTCTCAGGGATCTGCGTCGATGTGCTCAGGTGAATGAAACCATCTTTGAGCTGCAAGAAAAGCCAGTCGATAGTCAATGCGTAGTGTCGAGTAGGAAGGAGAGGCGTAAACTTACGTCAAGCTCTGATCCCTTCCATTGTCCGTCGGGCAGAGACTGTCTCTCGGCCGGCGTGAGAATCTTGTACAGAACGGTACACTGCTCTTGATCCGACATGATTCTGCTCTCTTTGCTCACGAGTTCACACAACGAAAGAAAGAAAGCGGACCGTGTCTATGCGCGTCTGGTTGAAAGTCACGCTGGGTGGAAGTGGCCTATGCAAGAAGCTCTAAGTGCAGTTAGTCAATCAGGAATTCTCAGCAGTGTGTAACGAACAGGCCAGGCAGCCAACGTGGGATTTCAACATTTCGACGGACCTGTTTCGTCAACTTTGTCAACTTTCAGAAGCAAGACGCTTCCTTGCAACTTCGGGCTCTGCGAAGCCTAGAATCGAGCGCAGGACAACATGGCGCACCGGCAGCGGACGATGCGGCTCATTGCCATCCCGCTTGCGCGAGCGCGACCAGGTGCAACGCCCGTCTCGACGTTCCTTGCCCAGCGCATCACAGCCAAGGGCAAAGAAAAGGCCGTCAGTGGAGGCAGCGATGGTGGTGGCGGCGGTGTCGGCAGCAGCGGCGGTGAAGGTGAAACAGGAGCAGCGGCAGCGGCGGCAGAGCAGGCGAAGAAAGAGCCACTCGTCTCGAGGCTCATGACCAGGGCTTCCAACTTCTGGGTCTCGCTGGGAAGGACAGACGTCAAGAGCCCGTTGGACTGGAAGCGGCGGACCTACACGTTGGGCGAGAGGCTGATGGATCGAATCGAGTACGAGGAATGGGCCCTCAAAGGCGTCGATCCGGCGTTGGGACCCAGCCTGGACGTGAAAGAGGCCGGGAGAAGAAGGGAAGATGGAAAGGATGAAAAGGCTAAGGAGGATGTTGTCTCGTCGACATCGGCTTCATCATCATCTTCTTCCCCCGCATCGCCTTCTCCTTCTTTAGACATCAAGTCACCTTCCCCAGACAATGTGAGTCGTCTTCAATCTACGCGAACACTACCGAAGACTAATCAAGCGCCTATTCAGATCCCTCTCCTCTATCCGCCCTCGCTCCTCGCTCCCACTCCGCTTCTGGCGTCGCTGTCGCGCCTCACCTCCTCGAGGCAACCGCATCACCGCCAACGAATGATCTGGTGCATAATCGGAATGCCCTTCACGATCCCATTCGCCATCGTCCCCGTCGTTCCCAACCTACCCTTCTTCTACCTCGTCTGGCGCGCGTGGAGCCATTGGAAAGGTAGGCTTCCGCGTCTGGACCCTTGCCGCCCCCATCGCAAGCTAGGCTGACCCTGGAACTATTTGAAACGCAGCTTACAGCTCGTCGAAATACCTTTCGACCATCATTAGTCGAGGAAGGCTGATTCCGACGCCCTCATCCCAGCTAGACGAGATCTTTGCCATCCCTGCTCCTCCAGCACCACCACCTACCGAGTCTGAACCCGAGTCGGGGCAGGGCGAGAAGACGGCGGAGCAGCAGAGAGCAGCAGAAGAAGTGGTGCCCATCTTGCACAAAGCTGCGGCGGAGGCCCTAGTCAAGGCCCTGGAGCTCGATGCGCAGCTCGCAGTCGAGCTCAACCGCGCCATGATTCAGACCCAGTCAAGCATCGAAAAGGGTCAACTGCAAAAGCTCGACGAGGCCGCAAAAGACGATGGACATCACCAGGATGCAAATAGTAAGCCCAAGGCATAGAACTAGACCGTACCGCACTCGCCCTTTTCCCCCTTCCTCAACACACACAAACATTGCTCGTCACTCGTCGCTTGTCTCGTCAATCTTCAATGGAGTAAGACATACTATTACAGATGATGAGCCCTGTCTTCTGTTTGTTTTCCAAGCGACCGAAGGGAGAGGAAGAGGACTGAAAAGGAAAAAGAAGAGGACTACTTGATGCGCTCACGTTCAATGATGGACCTCTGCCTGGCGTCTCTCGAAACACGAAAGTACCAATCGAGCGAGTTGCTCGTCTGACCCAAGCGGCTCAAAAAGTCCTCATCGTGGGTGATGACGATGAGCTGGAAATTGCTCTGACTGCGTCGCTCGTTGATGAGTTCACAGAGGCTCTGTGACAGGGCATCGATGTTTTCCTTGTCTAAGTTCGTCGTCGGCTCATCGAGAGCCATGATGCCGCAATGGGCGCTGAAGCTGTCGGCCAGGGCTAGGCGGATCAAAATCGACGCCAGGCACTTTTGGCCAGCAGAGCAGCGCCCGCGCATGTCCATCTCCACCGAATCTTTGATCATGCACACCCGGTAATTGTAGGTCCTGGCACCTGTTCCTTCGCCGTCGGCCCGGATTGAGATCGTGTCAATGTCGGTGCCTTGGTAGGTGCGACCCCAGAGGTAATTTAGATTCTGGTTGATCTCCTCCATCTTGATGGCATGAAACTTCATGATAGCAGCTTGCAATGCCTTCTGGTAGAGCTCAAGATCGCTGTTCGCCAGCTCGGAAGTCTGCAGTAAAGGTTATCAGCTTGACGCCATGCACATGCCATGCACATGCCATGCACACAACCACCAACCTTGACATCGATAAGTTTTGCGGTGTAGCGCCCATGTACATTCTTGTATTCGTCCTTCAGCTCCTGCTCCCTCGATTTGATCGTCGCCTTGAGCGAGGTATTTTCACCCGCGAGGTGCGACGCTTCGCCATTCAGCTCGTTCTCCTTGCGTTTGCTCACGTTGAATTTTTCGCTCCAGATCTTGTTGGCCTTGCTCGCCTCCTCAAGTTGTAGGCCCGCCATCTCTGAATCGATGCGCTCGATGTCGCGGCCCAGAGCGAGGTAGCGTAGATTATCGTGGATATTACGCTCCGTCGCGCGGCTCTCGTTCAGATCCTTCTCAATCTTAGCCACCTCCGACTCAATGCCGCTAATGTCATCCTGGGTCGCGCGGATTTGTCCTTGCAGCTTCGTGAGTGCATCGCTGCATGCCTGAAGCCTCTGTTCGCCTCGACTTTGAACATAGCTCTGCACCGCTGATTCACTTTCGGCCAACTGTCGAACATAGCCGCGCGTCTGTTCCACTTTAGTCTGCGCCTCTTGCTCGCGCTTCGAGCGAACCTTCTTGTGTTGGTCCAGCTCCCCCTTCGCCTTGCGGATCGGGTCCATGGCCGCAGCGATATCACGCTCCAGATTCTTGACCTTTTGGCTGGCATCTTCATGTTCGGCTCGAATCTCTTCCAAGCGACTGGCGAGGTCGTCTTGCTTCTCAAGCTCCCGGCGCTTCTGAGAGACCAACAGTTCGGCCTGGTGGATATTTCTCTCGGTGCTGGAAACAAGCGTGCGCTTACTCTCCTTGTCCTGGGTCAAAGACTGCACCTCGCGCTTGAGTTTTTTGACTGTGTCAGCAAGGTCATTGATTTCATGCTGCACCTCGTCTCCGGTTCTCGTTGTGCCTGTACTGGTAAGGTCTGTCTCCAGCGTATTTATTTCCCTCTGCAGCTGCTCGATCTCGCTCGTCAAGCGCGAAACATCGGAAGCGACCCTCTTGAGATTGCCAAGCTCTCGCAGCTCAGCTTTCAGCGCTTCGACGTCGGCAGTGCTCTTCTCGGCTTCCACACCAAGCGATTGGAGCTGTGCTTCTGCATCCTTGACGTCAGCCTCGTGCTGGGGCATCTCTTCCTCGCGCATTTGCTTTGCCTGAGCCTCTCGGGGCTTCAGCGACAGGAATTTGTCAACCTGGGCACCCCATGTCTCAACGTGTGACTCCCATTCAGCCAGCTGGGCGGGGCTGCTCTTGGCCAAAAGGTCCTGAATGTGCTTCGTGACCTTGTCGAGCTCTTCCTCCTTGATGTCTCGTCCACATGCCAGACAGGAATTTTGGTTCTTCGCTTGCTTCATGACGGCATCAAAGATTGTTCCGGCCTGCTTGTACGTCGCAATCTTGTCCTTGCCCCAGTCGATCTCTTTTTGTGATTCTTGAATGGCGTCTTCGACAGAGTCAAATTCCTTCTCAAGGGCCTCGTCGATCTCTTTCACAATTGCTGTTGATGGAGTTTCAGCGAAGCATTCTCTGCTACACCTTCATCTCTCGCACCTTTAATTCGCTCCTCCTTGTCCTTAAGTTGGTTCCTAGCAAAAGTCAGCGCTGACTCGACATGTTGTACCTTCTTGTTTTTGTCTTGATCGACACGTTCGGCTTGCGTCAAAGCCTTCTCCTTAGCAGTCGTTGCTTTGGCAACTTCGGTCTCGACCGTTTCTGCGTTGACCTCAGACTCCGTAAATCTTTTGATGGCTTCGTCGTGACGCTCGAGGAGGGCCTGAATGTCCTGTCTCTTCTGCGCGACCGACTTCTTCTTCATGTCGAGCTTCGCACGGAAGTCTGCATGGCGCTGAAGAGAGTTGAGCTCGCTCGTATACTCTTCCCTCCTGTCATCGAGCTCCCTGATTTCGTTGTTCTTGATACGAATCTTTCCGTCGTAGTCGGCGTCCACCTGCTGCTTGATGAGCTCTTCCAGCTTGGAGGCAAGGTCTTTGTGCTCTTTTTCCGCCGACTCTAGCTCCAGGCGCGTGACAGGCGACGTCTCAAGTTCCTCTTGCGTCTTCTTCAGTCGGTCCTTGAGACGCTTGATGATCTCCATAGCGTGCTCGCGTGATCCTTCTTTCGCCTTGAGGCTATTTTGCAGGTTGTAGTATTTTGAAGAAAGGTCAGCCTCTTGCTGCTCCCCCTGCTTCCTCAGGGTGTCTCTGTCGCTCTCCAGCTTTCTTGCGTCGTCTTGGACTCTTTCGGCGAAGTCACCAGCCTGCGCGTCGCTGAGACCCTCGAAGTCAAAGCCCTTTATGCCGAGATCAGAGCTCATCTCCCGGATTGACTCCTCACGCTGCTTTATCGCTCGTTCATGGTTCTTCCTCTCCGCCTCGAGTCCGCCTTTTTCGCTCAATTTGCGATTGTACCTCGCTTCCAGATCGCTCAGCTCATCCTTTTTGGTCTCGATGCGGCGCCTGAGCTCGTCCTGGCGTCGCCTTTGCCCGTCCAGATGCTCACGAAACTTTTCCTTGCGGCGCTGTAATTCCGACTCGGGCTCTGTACAAAGGCAATGTCAGAGCTACTTCTGAGGCGCTTTTCAATAGCACTTACCGTCGAGCGGCGTCATGGTCGACTTCAGATTGTTCATGTTCTCGACGTGGAGGCTTTTCTTTTCCTCGAGCGTCTCGGCCCTTTGCACCGTCTCTCGGAACTTGGTGGCTTTGTCGTACAGCTCCTTGTTTGCCTTTGTCAGCTCTTCGATCTCGGAATTCAACCTTGCGAGGCGCGCTTCTTTTTCGTCGAGGTCTCTCGACATCTTTTCCGTCTTTTCCTTGAGCTATAGAATGATGCGTGATTGTTAGTGAAGAGATGGGATTCAGACCTCAAAGCACTCACAGCATCTGCCCGGTCTTTGTCCGTTTTGAGCCCTTCGAGCTCAGCCTTTTGCACCTTGAGGCTGATCCCCCGATCCTTGCGAAGCGACTTGATATTGTCGAGAGCCTTGGTGTACCTGTGTATGCTGTCAGGTGATGGACTCGACAAAGCACCTCAATGTACCCACCTCGTGGCTTCGAAAATGTCGTCAAACTTCTTCTTGAGGCTGGCAGGCTCAGAAAGTGGCCAATTGCTCTCCTCCTGATGGCAGAAGATGACGTTTTCAAGAATGGCCTTGGACACGCCAAGGAGACGGGGGATCTCCTCGTCGAGCTCGGCGCACTTCGTCGACAGGGTGGTCCGCTAGATAGAATGTCAGTAGACTAGTCACAAGAGCTGGGATCATGCAGCAAGCTCACTTTGTTCCTTGGCTTGTTCTCGTCGTCGACTTGGAGGAGCGACTCGAGCGTCTTCATCGTCAGCCCGCCTGCGCGCTTCTTTGTGACTTGCAGGTTGCGCACACAATTGATGCGGACCTTGTTGGTGTTGTAGAAGCGGAGACGAACCTGCGCCTTGACTTCGTGAGAAGTCGCCATCTAGAGAATAAGGCAACGTCAGCGGGCAAGCCTTGTCCCCTCCGCATTGCCAGACTCACGTTGGGATCATGGACAAATGCGCCTCCCTTTGTGTTGGGAGGAAGGTCACCTGTCGTTGCGTACTTGAGACACTCGATAATGGTCGTCTTTCCACTCCCATTGTAGCCGACGATGACTGTCAGGGGACTGAAGAACTGGATCATGTGGATCGACTTGTCGTCAAAGGACCTGATGCCGCGCACGGCCATCTCTTTTCACCTTGTCAGCTTCAATGGCGAGTGCGCTCCCCTGTGGAGGCATCACTCACTGTCGAGCGACGCCATTGCGGCGACACTTGGACCCTTGCTTGGATGGTCGCAAAGGACAACGACCAGTGATCCAACGAGAGGAGAGAGAGAAGGACTGAAGATGGATGAGGCTCAGCACTAAAATGGCGGCCCTCTTTACACGCGGTCCAACCAACACCTCGACCCTCTTTCGGACTTTTGATTTTAGTCAGTGTTGGTTCGCGGTGCGCGTCGCTCCGGCCAGCACCACCACGGCTACCTTACCACCCCATACCCTCCCCTAATCTTCTTGTCACGATGCAAGCGTCGCATCTGAGTATTTAGCACGAAAGGCAGCAGCCATGGCCCCCAGACACTCTGGTTTCCTGGCAGAGTACCCGCTCGTCCGGGTCGACAACTTCACCGCCAATTTTCCTCTACTGCCGCCCTGCATTCCCCGGTCAGCCCTCGACGACCTTGCCGACGGTGCGACACAGTATGCCGCCCCCCACATCCATCTTCTCTCACACGTTCACTCCGATCACCTTGCTGGTCTTGGATCCCTTTCGCGCCATTCTGCACCCATCTACTGTTCACATGTCACGAGACGCCTCCTCCTCGGCCTTGAGCGCATACAGGATCGGACGCGCCACGATGCCGGACATGGACCCCGAATTCGACCTTACCGCGGCCTCTACCGATCGGAGTCGGAGCAGAAAGCCCGATCCAGGGCCCATCATGCACGTCCGCAGGCCGGTCTAGACCTCTTGGTGAGTGTAACCTGTCTCTCTCTGGAAGCTGGCATGGAACCTGACCCATCTTTCCACAGCATCCACTCGCGTTTCATACTCCCACACTCGTCTCTTACTCCGCTCGCTTCCAGATTCGCCTCACCCTTCTGCCGGCGAACCACATGCCTGGCAGCACCATGTTTCTAGTCGAGGGTCCCCGTGGCGCGGTGCTGCACACCGGAGACGTTCGTGCCGAAACGGCCTGGCTGGAGGCTCTCCTGGCTCGTTCGCTTCTCTGTCGTTATGCTGGCGGCCTCGGTGGATCTACCCTGGCTTCTCCGTGGCTTCATGCGAGCTCTTCAGCACAGGATTTTGATTCGGCTACCGAGCCGCCGCCAGGTCGAGGACGGATCGAAACCATCTACCTTGACACGGAACGCCTGCTCGATAGCCAGGCACCAATGTCCAAAAACCGTGCTATAGTTGATGGGCTCGAACTCCTGGCCCTCCTTCCAGACGGTGCCTTCGTCTTTCTCGACTGCTGGACCGCGGGCTACGAGGACTTTCTCTACGCCGTTTACTGCGCGACGGGAACCAGAATCCACGTCGATCGTTACAAGGCCTGGATGCTCGCCCAGGGAGAAGAGGACAACGACAATGATGAGCACTGTGCGAACAAGCGCTGGCATCGTGCTATCTCCACCGACATTGACTCTTGTGGTCGGATCCATGCGTGTGAGAGGACAGCGAAATGTACGGCCATGAATACGTCGACCCTAGGCCCAACTCCTCTGATTGTCGAGGTCGAGATGGCTGAATGCATCGGTGAGATGGAATGGAAGCAAAGCAAGTCGGCGTTCCTCGAAGACCTTCGTGCGGCGGCCAAGTACCTTCGACCATGGCCGCGAAAGCTGGTGAGCAATAACCGACGGCAGACTGTCTTACTCTGCTCTGACAATGAAGTAGACGATCCCTTTGCAACGTCACTCGCCCCTGCCGGAGCTCTACGACTTCGTGAGGCGTTTGCGACCCCGAAGGATAGCGGCTAACACTGGAGATGCAGCGCACCAGCTTGTGTGTGATAGGATAGCTGACCGGCTCGACCTAGGCACTCAGCACGCCAATGGCCATGGCTATCCCGACTATGGAAGATTGCAGAGAGTTTGGAACGAAGCATCTGATTCATACGGAAAAGAGGAGGAAGGTTTCTCTGCCAAGGTTCATGCCTTCCATTCGTCTCTGCGAGTACCGCGAGAAGACCGCCTTCGCAAAGAGCGGATGGACGCCGATGCCGAGATCGTCGGAGGACTGGAAGATGCAGACAGCACGTCTATGAGCGATGGCGAGGACGGCTACGAAGCAGACATAAGCCGCCCATCAGCAACAGCTAAAGCTATCTCTGTACTCAATGTTTGGGACAGTGTGACGGGGCGCTTTGCCACATCGGGCGCATCACCATGGATTACACCCGCCATGCGTCAACATCAAGATGTTGCTTCGACAGTGACAGCAACAACACCAGACACCTCAGAGACCGATGCGCCAGTATTAACTGAGGAGCTAGCATCGCGTTATTTGGCCTATGCGGGCATGTACCTCGGTTATCGGATACGCAATCCTTCTCGGTACGCTCAACCAGTCGCCTGGCGTGGCTTCCGGAAGGTCAAGCCAGACGTTGCCCGGCTGACAGAGGATGCTCTACAGCGTGAGCTGGGCTGCCGCCCGCCTCCATGGGATCAAGCCGTGCCCCGGCTGCCAAGGTCACCCCTTGTATCACTTCAAGAGAAGAAGCGGGAAACTCCGCCGTCGACGCCTATTCCATCGAAGACACTCCTCACTTCGACGCAGTCCATCTCGCCTTTCGGTCTCCCTTCTCCGGTGCCGCTGACAACGTCACCCGAAAAGAGGCTAGAGAATGCACCCTTGTTGGCGTCGGCGTTGGATCGCGACACAGCCGTGACGAGGGCCCACTCTTGTTGCTATGATGAGAACTCAACTACGCAAGGCACTGAAGACGACGTTGAGGTGGTCTGTGTGTTGACTCGATCCCCTGTTGTCGATGAGAGGGCAGACTACTCATCTATACTGGCACATCTCCGCCGTGGCTCCAAACCAAAAGTGGCTCCCGACCTTGGAGCCATAACGTGCGACATCCTTTCGTCGGGCCGGCATTCCGCGGGCTCTGTCGAAGCCAAGATAGGAGCAGCCATGCTCCTGGGGCTCGGGCTCCGTTCTTTGCGAGCTCGCGCCCTTCTCGGGTGGGTCAAACCAGCGACATGGCCAGTGGAGATCAAGGCTGGCGTAGAGGACGCTCTCGACGCTTCACTCTTCTCTCTCGAACACGATCATCTGGAAGAAGAGCAGAGCGTCGTAAAACTGGTCATGCTCCTCAGAAAGCTTCTCGATGACTTCCACCGTCTTCCATCGCATCATCCTACTCAAAAGACCGCACTCGATCGTAGAGTGCGATTCCGAGAAGATGCCAATGTGGCTCAGGTGAAGCGGCGATGCTTTGGCTGATTTGTCTTTCCTGCGTGCAAGTTCCTTGCGTTTCCTCATCCTTTGCACCAATTACTCTTTCTCACCTTCTGTACCAATTGCCCTCTTCCTGTATGTTTCACTAGCAACATGTACTCTGCATCGCAATGGTCTTCGCATCAAGTTCCGGCAGAGACGAGATGAACGTCTGCTTTGCCCGTTTCGTCAAGCACAGTCCCTCTCTCTCCTTGATTCACTCGGATAGCCCCAGTGGCGGGTAACACCTTAGAAGTACGATTGATTGGACGTGAACATCATGGTATCGTACATGCCTCTGTCAGATCTTGTAATAAAACTCGCAATTAACGACCGGTCAAGGCGAGAATGTCGTCACGGTTAAGGACGTTCATGGCGTCGACTCTGAAGTCGTCCTGGACAATTGACGAGGTGCCGTCCCGGTACTGGAGCAGCTGCTTGTTCTTGCTCGTGTACTTGGGCCAATTTGCCACTGCGAAAGAAAGAGAATGTGAGCTTCAGCAGACGAAGAGGACAGTAGGGGTTATGCTCACGCCCATCGATGTTCGGGTTGCCGTTGGTGGCAAAGGCGATCCAGCGCTGTGCAATCTTGGCATCCATGCTCGGGTTCTGTGTGTTGCGTCCAAGCACAAAGTCCAGATCAGCACCGTGAGGAATTCCCAGGTAGTCGGCATCGCCATCACGGTAGTTCGCAAAGTGATACGAGTAGATCGATGTCTTTGGGGACTTCTTGAGGTAGTTCTTGAGCAAGTTGCGACGCACCGACTGGAAGCGAGTGTCAGCATAGATGGAAGCCGCGCGCTTGAATTGGTTGGTGTCGCCGAAGAAGCGGTTGTCGTTGTCACCATTCTTGGGCCGATAAGGCGAGCCCACGGTGGGGTCGTCAGGATAGGCCTGAAGGAGGTCCGAGAAGGCGCTGTTGGCCTCATCGGAGTCGGGGTCCTCAAACCAGATCTTCTTGTACCAATCGCCAAAACTTTCTTCGTCATCGAAGCTCTGCGGCGCAAACGGCGTGCCTTCGTCCTCATTGTTGCCGCTCAGGAGATTCACTTTGGCGAAATTCCCCTGCGAGAGCACGACGGAAGGTCGATCGCTGAAGAAGCCCTTCCGGGAGACGCCACCGTCGATGCAGGCGGTCCAAGGGTAGGAACCCCGAATGTAGTCACTGCTCGCTCTTGATTGCTCCTGGATGCTGGCCTTTCGAATTGTCTTCCACGTTTGCGAACGCAGGCAAGACAGCTTGCCCTCGTTGGAGTCGTTCTGGTCGCAGCCGACATTATCGAGCAGCCGGTTGAACTGGTCCGTTTTGGTCCCCGTCGAGGCAGAGTCAATCGGAGGACCACCGGGCGTACCGCTCTGCATGAGGGCGCCTTGGAACGGCGGACTGTCGGGATTGCCCAGAAGCAAGGCACCCACGCCAAATGCGCCGGCAGACTGGCCCCAGATATTAATGCGGTCTGGATCACCGCCGAAGCTAGCCACATTGGCCCTCGTCCAGACGAGGGCGCGCTGCATGTCACGGAACCCGAGATTGAGGCCCACATTGCTGGGTGTACTGTCTCTCAGCTGCTCCATGGTCTCGCCAGAAGCAAAGCCCAGTGCACCGAGGCGGTAGTTGATCGTGGCTACCAGTACGGGCTGGCTGTTGTCGATGCCGGCCTGAATGAAAGCGGTGGGGTCAATGTCGTTGCCGCTTCCACCCTGGAACCCGCCTTTTAGTTTGAGAGTTATGAGTTGAAGTGGACTTCAGACATTTCTACATTTCCGTTCAACTACTCACCACCGTGGAAAAAAAGGAGAACGGGAACGTTGGCCCCGTTGGAAAGCGAAGCAGGTCGCTGAATATTCATGAAGAGACAGTCTTCGTCCTGATCGCTGACGCTGCCACTCTGCGGGCACCGGGGTCCCTTCGTCGTCGAATCGATGGCCTGGACCTGAACTTTGCCACCCTTCTGGACAGAGGTCTGCTCGTCGGGATCTTCTTCAATGTTCCAGAGCTTTTGCCCCGCCTCCGCTTGGTTTTGGCCCGCATAAGTGTTGTTGCCGCCGTACTGCCGGCGACGGTTGCTCTGGCTCGTCGGTGGACCCTGAGCTGGCGACGGTGGGGCTTTCGGGGGCGCAAATCGAAGGTTGCCAACGGGTGCAGCTGCATACCGGACGCCTAGAACCCGTCCACATTTGCCTGTGAGCTTGCTGAAAGAACCAGGCTCAATGGTTTCACCAGCCACTCACCGTACCAGTAGACCTGCGAGCCCTGGGTGCCACCGGTCAGGACGCTTCCGTCGGAGAGCTTGGCGGTCGGAGCCGCCGCAGGGGCTGGGGCGCCATTCGTTAAGGCAACCAAGGCCAACGTCACCAAGACAGCTAGCCGCATCGAAGTCCGTGAAGAGATCGTGTTTGATCGTGTAAGACGTGAGACGTGAGGCGTGAGACGAAAGAGAAAGGATTCCTTGCAAGACCAGCTTGAAAGGGTGTACAAGTGAGATGCACTGCTCGGGCCGTTCGCCAGGAAGCCGGTTCCTGTGGCCTCGATGCACGAATTAGCGAAGTAGAAGAAAGGAGCAAGTGGGAACCCGTGCTAAGGGGCAAAAATACAAGGAGGGGCTTTGGTGGAGGAAGGGCTTTCGAACGCTCTACAACTTCTATGCAGTCTCTTAGCGCGATGGATGTATGCTTAAATTGGCCGCCAGGGCACTGCTCCTCCTTTTCTCGATTCGTGGGGTTGTCGGCCGCTAAGGGGGTCGGACTCCTGGCGAACAGCTTAAAAAGAACAGTTACGGCAAGGCGAAGAAAGAACAATAGATCGAATTGTGTTATTTATGTTTCGTCCAGCACAAGGGATGTCAAGGATAATCAGGGGTGTAAGATCTGATCTCTCACCACCGCTCGGCAAGCCGATGGAAGGTTTGTGAGGAATATGATCGTGTGGTGCAATCATCGGATGCAGATACCGCGCCTCTAATCGAACAGATGGAGACAGAAAGCGGCCCGACGCAGACCGTCGCTCATCACAAAGCTATTTCGCAACCATATCGATCAACAAGACCAATATCAGGCAACGTGGTCCGGCCCCTTTCCTCTTGCTCTAGCCTCGGCGCCCAGATATTTCTCGACGCTCGCATCGAGGTCCTCGCCAACGAGTTTCTCCATTGTCAGGCTCTGCTTGACGGCAGACATGCCCCGTTCCTTGGCAGATGCAAAGATGACGTCGATCTGAAGGCCAGAGTCAGCGATGAAAGAAACGAAGCCTGTGTAATCTCATGACTACTCACTTCTTCCAGGGATCGGTGCGCCGTTTCGGGGAACAAAAAGTACACGACGGGGACAATGAAGGCATTGATGACGGCAAAGATGATGTAGGTGCGGTAACCAATGTTGGCCAAGGCTGGTGGACCAATCATGACGATGAGGAAGTTGAAGCACCAGTTGGAGATCGTCGCAAGGGCATTGGCGCGGATACGGATGCGCAGGCCGGTCACTTCGGCAGGGTATAGCCATGTCATACCGAGCCAGCCTACGGCAAAGAAGGTGTTGAAGACGAAGAGCATAACCACCGCGGCAATACCAGGCCCATCATCGAGCACAGGCGCCCCGTCGACGACAACTCCGGTCGAGACGGTACCCGCCAGGACCGCCATCGAGGCAGACATGCCTGCAGCGCCAACGAGCATCAAAACACGTCGCCCTGAACGCTCAACAAGTGGCAGCGCGACGAGCGAGGCTAGAAAGTATTCCGTCCCGTTACAAGCGCTGATCAGTCTGGACAAATCTGGAGCGAAGCCAAGCGATTGCTCAAGGAGGAGCGCGAGGTAGTAGGTCAGGAGGTTTATCTTTTAAGAGGACTTATGTCAGCGGTTGCCTTGCTGCGACGTCCATCAGAGACACGAAAGACTCACACCACCAATCTGCTGGAAGAATTGGGCGCAGACCGCAATGAGAGTCCTTTGCAAATTGCGGTTGGGACCACGGTCGAGCAACTCGGAGTACTTGAAACCGCCTGCGTTTTGCGTCTTTAGTGCGTCCTCTACCTGCTTGAATTCGGCAAGGACGTTCTCGTCGTCTTCAGCTTTGCCGGCAAGGCGAGCGGTGACGGCCAGTGCTTCTTGCCTCCTCCCCTTCAGGAGCAGCCAACGGGGCGAATCAGGCAAGAAGAGAACGCCGATCATGACGAAGATGGTAAAGACGCATTGGAAAGCCAGAGGGAACCGCCACCGAATCGTTCCTGTGGCAAAGTAAAAGCCATATACGACCCCTGTATCGCCCTCGTCAGCAAAGTGATGTCTGTCACTGCGCGAATCTGCACGCACAGTAGGAAATCATGATGCCAAAGGCGATCATAGCACCAGACATCATGATGATCATGCCTCTGTTCTTCGCTTTGGCGCACTCCGATTGCCATCTGTGGAGAAGGCTTGTTAGCATATTGCCATTGTTGTGGCACTCTCCAGTCATCGGCTCACGTTGGGATCGTGCTCGTCACAGCGCCATTGCCCAAGCCTCCAATAACACGACCGACTACGAAAAGCGCATAAGTCGTGGCGGGACTGCCAGCGAGGGCGACCTGAAACACTGTCCCGACGATCATGAGGACAATCCCCCAGAACGTCGAGGATCGCCTTCCCCAGGCGTCACCCCACACCAGTACCGCGACGGCGCCGAGAATGCATCCGACTTGGTAGATTGCCACACCAGTTGCCTGGATATTCTCGTCACCGAGGCACTGATTCGGTTCGAAGCAGTATTCGCGTGTCGGATCAAAAGGCGCCATCAGAGGAATGTCTTTTTGGAAGTCGTCGAGCGTGACCAGTCCTGACAAGACGCCCTGATCATAGCCAAAGCTATCGGTAGCATTGTGATCAGCTTCGCTCCCATTTACTCCTTGTCATGGGTCGAGGCCGTCGCATACTCACCTGCAAAATCCGACGTTGGCGATTAGAGTGATGCTCCAGTTGAGTGCCCGACCGGAAAGCAGCGCCCGGCCAGGCAGGATCGGGTACTCGGGCAAATCGCCGAGCCTGCTCCACAGTGACTTGATCTTCTCCGGGCGCGAGACATTGAGTGAAGAATTGGACAGGTCTGAGGGATGTTGAGTCGGAGAAGTAGACGCAGACGGCGTCTCTTCGCCTTTTGGGGTGGCAAGTACGTCTTCTTTCTCGTTCATTGTCGGCACACTCAAGCTTTGGGGGGACCCACGATTCTCCCCAAGCCGGCCTTATAAAGTTCAGGGATGTGCCGATCTCATGCTTGCACGGCCATACTCCAAGATGTTGAAGACACCTACGTGGCTCACCCCTACGTCATGCTCAAGGACTCTTTGTGTCATTGGTGGTAACTTTCCGTGGCTTTTCTTCTTCATCTTGGCTCTTTCCCTGAAGACGGAGACTCGAGAATGCCTCTCGTTTAGACACCGTGAAGAAGGTCTTACGGATCTCGCGAGAAGAAGAAGCCAATCTTCCAAGACTGACGGCCAAGAGTTTGTGGCTTTCAACGCGTGGTGGCACCCGCCGTCATTCAAATTCTGTGCTGTACAGTACAGTACTCCTAGTAGTAGTAGTAATAACGCTTTGAAAAAAAAAAAAAAAAAAAAAAAAAAAAAAAAAAAAAGAGAAATGGTGCTTTCCTCTAGGTTGTTCTTCGGCAAAACTCCATGGGTGACTTTGTTCATACCAAGCACCAAGCCAGGATACTCGAATCATTGGATTACTCTATGGAGACGGATATCGATACCGGAGGGCAACAAGAGGCAGTACTGTGCGATGAGCTCAGAGAGTTGGGGGCAGGATCATGGGGCCTTCGATTTCCGTCCTCTTCTCCTTGCCCTGGAGTGCTTCGACGATCGCCAGGCTAAACGCAAATGCCGTACCGGGCCCACGGCTCGTGATAAGATTGTTGGAGATGACGACTCGGTCTTCGCTGTACCGGTAGTCTTGCTCGAGTTCCCCCTTGACCGAGGGGTGGCTCGTGATGGAGCCATCCTTGCCAATCTTTGCCGCCTTTGCCGCCAGCGAACCTACAAAGATGCATGCTCAGCATTTAGTACAGCCCATCCGGTCAGTATAAAATTGAGCTCACCTGCGCAGATGCAAGCCACAACCTTGCCCTTCGCATAGAAGGCACCCAGGAGCTTGGTCACGTCCTCGTTTTTGGAAATGGTCTCTGCACCCTTGTTGCCGCCAGGCACCACGATGGCGTCGTACTCGAGCGCCTTGCCACCCGCCAGCTCGGGCAGTCGCATTTCAGGCACAATCTTGACACCGCGAGAGCACGTCACGCTGTCATTTGCCTGGCCGTGTGGGTTCTGCGTGCCGCCAGTCTCGGACGAACCAACAAAGGCCGACTTCACCTCGATACCGCCGCGGACGAGTACATCGTAGGCGATGGTGAATTCCATCTCCTCGGTGCCTTCGGCGATGAGAATGAGGGCGGATGGCATGGTGATGATGGGGTGCTGAAGCAATATAGTGGTTGTTGAGGTGAATCGGATTGGTCAAGAAAGGCGAAGCCGAATGCAGAAGGACGTGACTGGCTGTGGAGGTCGTTGCACCCTTTGTGGAACCGCGCTACTGTTGTTGATTGAGCTCTCGCTCGTCCCACCCTGTCGCCTAGCCCGACGAATTTAGAGCTGACAGGTGACCTTATGAGAGCACTGGATGTGAGAGAAACAATGATTCTGGCAGACTATTGAGGAGCCGCTCTTAAAGATGATGAAGCGTTGGGACTTGGTCAGCCCAAGAGAGATGCGAACGAAGGAAGAAAGAACCATCCACTTGGCCTGTGCATCGACATTTTGTGCACGCGCTCGGTCAGTCCCAGGGCGCGTGTTCAGCACACCACCGCTTCGAAGCAGGAGAGGGGCCTGGCACAAACATGTCGTTGGCGGTGAGAGTTGACCTTTGCATGTCCGCGACAAGAGCTGACGCCCTGTAAAGCGCTCCATCCTCACCTTTTGCATCGACATCTCCCCGTCGATGGGCGCGAAGCGCCTGGTCGAGGAGGAGGTGGCCATCGACACGGCTGCGAGCGCAAAGGAGTGGGCCAATCTCACCGAGGCGCAGCTTCACGATCGCATCGCAAAGGCTGAGGCGGGAGATACGGAGCAGCAACCAAAGACAAAGGTCAGAACGAGGGAGACTACGGATCTGCAGTGGGTCAATGAATTTGTTGCCAAGAAGGTTCAGAATTATGTGAGTTGAAGTGCGCGACTGAGATGCAGTGAAGCAAAGTGCATCCTTCTGACTCCTGGAGCACAGGTCCTCGCTGGCCTCAAGACGGCCAGGATCCACCTTCTCTTGTTTGGATCACCTCGTTAGTGAATCGACGCAGCATAAAGTGGTCTTCTGCTGACAAAGGCCATCCCTTTACAGGCACCGACAATACCTTGCTGAGCTCGGGGGCCGCCACAGAGGGCTACGAAGGTATTGACGAAATCATGAAGCCGGATCAACCCGACGTCAACACCTTGGAGGTCCTCAGATGTCTTCGCGCGGCCGAGCCGGAAGAAAAGCCTCACAAGGCTGATCGTGAGTCTACTGTCGTCCCACAAATCATGCATCACGAGCTGACATTTGTGCCCAGCCCTCGACGCAATCGTTGCGGCTGTGACGACTTTAAACAGCAAGGAGGCTGGTGGAATCGGGGCAGTGTCAAAGAACACCTGGCGTCGGACCATATACCTCCTGACCGACGCAAAGACATCAATGAACAAAAGCGATTGGAAGTCCATCAGGAGCAAGCTGCTGGAGGACAACATCGCTCTGAAGATCGTGTGAGTCCTGCTTCTGCACAACGGAGAAGAGCAAAATTATGCTGACTAATTGCGGCAGCGGCATCGATTTCGATGATCCTGACTTTGGCTTCGTCGAAGAGAACAAGGATGCGGTCAAGGTAAGACGATCGATTGATGATTGAAGCTCGCCCTGGCTCACCACCGCTGAGTCTCTTGTGACAGGAAGAGAACGAAGCCTGGTGGCATCACTTCTTGAGTAAGCTGCCAGGGTCCGGAATCGCGACGGCCGCCAATGTGATAGCACAAGCCAAGCTCCCGGCCATTCAACTGCAATCCTCGGTGGCCACGCCATCGTCCTTGACTCTTGGCGATCCAGAGAGCCGCCACGAGGGATCCTACGTCCTCGACATCCCCGTCAATATCTACAAGTGCACCGCTACGGCTCGGCCGATGGGTCAGAAGAGACTTAGTAAGATAGCCCAGGACAGCGCAGCCGCAAGGACGCAGATGGCGAGGATGAAGGAAGCTCAGAGCCAGCTTCAGCCCACGAGTATGCCCACTTTGAGCCAGACACAATCCCTCACACAACGAGAAGACGGTCGCTCCGACCGAAGCCAGGGCGATGGGGCGGGATTGACGTACGGCGTACAAATGGTGCGCAGATACTACATCAAAGAGGACATGGAGCGACTCGAAGGCGGCATGGACAACGCTACTCCGTTACCTGAAGGAGCGGAAGAGACCTTTGACAAGGCGTACAAGCTCGGAGCCAGCCTTGTTGCCGTCAACCAGGACCTCGAAAGGAGCTTGTCTACCATGAAAGGCCTCGAGATCATCCAATTTACCAATGCTGCCCTTGTGAGTAGCTTATACCACCTAGGGGTGCAACGACGGTAGTGCTAATGCAGACGCAGTATCGTCGACAATATCACATGGGCGAGACTTTCTTTGTATTCCCAAGTCCGAACAATGCTCGGTCTCAATTGCAACTCTCGAGCTTGATCCGAGCCATGAGCGAGCAGAACAAGTACGCCATCGTTCGCTTCGTGCGCAGGAACGACGCTGACCCCAAGGTGTGTACTGATCTTGTAAAGACCTGACACGTTGACTAATTTTGCAACGCAAAGCTGGGCATTTTGGCCCCGGCCATGCCGGATCCTGAGCTGGGTCACGAATTTGAGTGCTTCTATCTCGTTGAGGTTAGTTGCTCCTACTTGTGAGGGAGGAAGAAAGGTTGCTCACGAGCGCGGTCATTTCAGGTGCCATTTCGAGAAGACATAAAGCGCTTCACTTTCCCTCCCTTGGACCGTGTTGTCAACCGCGAGGGCAAGGAGCTCACGGAGCACTCAACGCTTCCGTCAAAAGAGATGCGAGAGAACATGGACGAACTGGTGGATAGCATGGATTTGATGGACGCTGAGGAAGGAGGAGCGCTAGACGGCGATGACGGACCATGGTTCCTCAGCGAAGAGTCCTTCAATCCAGCTATTCACCTCATCAAAGATGCCGTCTCATGGCGCGTTTTCCATCCAGACGACAAGCTCGTCCCGAAGCCGCATCCTGAAGTGGAGAAGTTCCTCGAGAGGCCTCACAAGGTCGTCGAGAGGTCGAGAGACAAGGCAAAGAGGTGTCGAGAGCTCTTTGATCTTGAATACGGTGAGTTTGCCTTTTCCGTTCACCTGTGGGAGGCAAGACCCTCACACTACCCTGTACAGTGCCTACGGTGGCGATGCGGAAGGCGGCGAGAAAGGCAGAGAATCAGTCGGAAGGTCGAAAACCCAAGGAGGTGAATCTCGAAGGTGTCATGGACGAAGAGCTAGCGGCAGAAGAAAGAGCAAAACAGAGCCAGACCATCAAAAGTTCTCAGTCGACTGCGGATGCGCCTGTGAAGAATGGTTCTAAGCAAGGCATTAAAGTCAACAACGAGGAAAGACACTCTGGGAGCGACACGGAAGAGGAGGAAGAGTTGGGTCTTGGTAGGCGAAAAGCAGTGCAGCCCAAGAGAGAGGACGAGGTGGTGGCGACAGCCGAAACCCGGTCCACGACGTTTGACAAGGCCAATGCGATAGCAGACTTTGAGACGCGGCTCGAAGAGAGGGGAGCCGAGCTGCCTCCTGTCTTCGATGGGATGGAGCATCTGATCAAGGAGACGATCTCAAAAAGCTTCAGCTCAAACGACTACAGCAAAGCAAGGGACTATTTGAAGGCACTGAGGAAGGCTGCTGTCGAGGTGCGTCAGACATTCAGAGGTCCTCGTACTGGCGCCTGACTAACCCAGCTCTTTCTCTGTGCAGTACGAAGAGGCGCCGCGCTACAATGAGTGAGTCTCCCGCGTGTTTCAAGTATTCTGAATACAGCTGATGCTGAGCGGTCTTGTCAAGCTTCTTGCGTGCGTTCAAGAAGGAGTTGCGGGCAAAGAACAATCGCCGGGTTGACTTTTGGAACAACTTTGTCCAAGGCGTCGAAGAGCTGAGTCTAATCACCGACGAAGAGGACACGGCTGCTTCTACCAGTGTCACCAGAGATGAGGCTGAAGAGTTTGTCAACATGTAACCACGACATTAATGTATCAACAGCAAAGATGACTGAAGAAATCCCGATGCGAAGATCGGGACCACATAGTGATTTTGGCTTGCTCATGTAAGAGGCATGGCTGTCTGAACGTGACCGAACAATACAAGTGGATGATGATGTGATGGTTGTGGGGGAAAGAGAAAGGGGCGAGGGGCGAAGGGGAAGAAGGGCGATCAACGGTAGCGACGGAGCTGGAGGGTGTCCCGCCTCCTGATGACTGCGTTCTTGCCGGGCGACGTCTTGTTGTAGCGGTGGCCCTTGCCCATGCCTCGGCTCTTCTTGCCCGTGGCGGTGAGACCGCGCGACTCGCGGTGCTTGTGAACGGGGTTGACGATCCAGTTGATGCGAGGGTCTCGCCTGATGGCCGCGTGCGAGGGGTCGACGCAGATAACCTCAAAGTACTTGTACACACCGTCCTGGTTGATCCAGTAGCTGTTGAGCACTCGGAGGTTGCTGTTGCGGCGCAACCAGTCAGCCTTTGCTCGTCCCATCACTCCTCGCTCTTTGCCCTCATCAGAGCATGTTCATTCCACTCACCCGCACTTGCGTCCGACGCGCTCCTCTGCGATGCTCCTCAAGCTCCTCTGGTACTTGAGGTGGTTGACACCCTGGTGAACGGGCTTGCCGTAGGTGGCACCCTTGGGGGCGTGCTTCTTGCGGTTACCACGGCGGACACGGCACCGGTAGATGACGTATCCCTGCTTGGCCTTGTAGCCCAGGCGACGAGCCTTGTCGGGGCGCGACGGCCTCGAGGCCCTGTGGATCACATTGAGCTGGCGGTACTCCCAGCACCTGACTCGGAGCAGGAAGCGGAGCAGGTCCGACTGCTTCTTGGTGTGGATCGCCTCGACGTACTTGTAGGCACCCATCTTGACCGGTCTTGTCGATGAGGAGAAGGAAAGGTCAGGAAAGTCCAAAATTCTCTAAACCTGACCAGAGGCCCTCTGCCAGGCGCGATTCCCATCTGGACCCACATGGCAGCTGCGGACAAAAAAATTGGAACATATTCACGTGATGAAAAGCGCCGGGATGGCAAGGCGAACGAAGGACTCAACTTTGAATTGGGGAGGCTTGCTCATCTTCACGACTCGAGGACCACCGACCAAGATGCCGTTCGTCAAGCAGCAGAAGAACAGCGCCTACTACAGCCGATACCAGGTCAAGTACCGTCGCCGTCGCGAGGGCAGGACCGACTACCAGGCGCGCAAGAAGCTCACGTCGCAGGCCAAGGACAAGTACAACGCCCCCAAGTACCGCCTCGTCGTCCGGTTCTCGAACCGCTACGTGCTTGTCCAGATCATCAGCGCGAAGATCCAGGGCGATGCCGTTCTCACCCAGGCCAGCTCCAAGGAGCTGCCCAGGTACGGCATCAAGCACGGTCTCGGCAACTGGACGGCCGCCTACGCTACCGGCCTTCTCTGCGCCCGTCGTGCACTCACGCTCCTCGGCCTGGCCGACAAGTACGAGGGTGTCACCGAGCCCGACGGGACCATGACCGAGACCGAGCCTCTCGGTGACGACGAGCCCCGCCCCTTCAAGTGCTTCCTCGACGTTGGTCTGAAGCGCACCTCGACGGGTGCCCGTGTCTTTGGCGCTCTCAAGGGTGCCTCGGACGGTGGTATCTTCATCCCCCACTCGGAGAAGAGGTTCCCCGGCTACGACCCCGAGACCAAGGAGCTTGACAGCGATGTCTTGTCGGGCTACATCCGAGGAAGCCACGTCGCTGAGTTCATGGAGAGCCTCGAGGAGGAGGACGACGAGCGCTTCAAGAAGCACTTTGCTTCGTACCTCGCTGACGAGGTGGGATCCGAGGACCTTGAGGAGATTTACGAGAATGCCTTCACGGCCATCCGGGAAGACCCCAGCTTCCAGCCATCGGACAAGGCCAAGGACTGGAAGAGCGAGAGCAAGAAGTACAAGGCCACCAAGCTCACCTACCAGCAGCGCAAGCAGAAGATTGCGGACAAGATTGCCGCCTTCCAGGCCGGCCAGAACGAGGCCTAATCTCTAGTCTCTCTCTTTTCATCCCCAAAAAAACATCTTGTTGTACTAGCCAGCCGGCACCCTTCATTGACATGCACTCACATGGCATCCCTCTTACACTCTCTCACGTCATGTGCGTGTTGTCTGTTTACCCAGCATGACGTGTTGTCTGTTTACCTGGACTTGCTCGTGGGAGACGGCGGAAGCGCCGTCTGCGCCGATGTTTTGACCTTTTGACACTGATAAGAACTTTCTGACACTGATGGGAGCAGCCGAGAGAACAACGAGCCGAGTACGCCCATACTAAAAAGCGCAGACTCGTATCTCTTTCGCAGTAGAGCCGGAGCACCGGGGCACAGTTCTACGCCTCTTCTTTTCTTCCGCCACTCCTCGCCTCGCCTCTTCTTCTCTTGCGCACGCTCTCTGCGATAGGTTGGAAGCCAAAAATAAGGTAGAAGACCAACCATGGCAGAAAACGTACAGTAGATGCTGAGGTCTTCGACATGCCTTTGGTATTCATGGTGGCTTCGCTAAGCTGGTAGAGGCGACGCTGAAGACACATTGGTCGATGAGGAGGAAGGAAGTTTCCTATCTCTGGAAAGGACCGGAACGCCCTAGGCTCGGGCATTGCCCGATGAGGCGCTCTTCAGTGGAACCTTCGGAGCGATTTCGGGCAGGAACAGAAATGAGCAGAGACTGAAACGGACAGAGACAGGAACGGACAGAGAAAGAATACGTTGGGTGCAGATTAGTCAAGCCAAAGGTGGACTGTCCTGACAGTGAACGCCGCCCCGTATCACTTTTGTCGATGTTAAGGTATATAAAGAGGCCCTCTGTGGGTTTTCTCGCCCTTTCTCAACAGCAAAAGAGACTTTCCTCCCCATCTCACTGTCTTTTGCGACCACCCAGCATGAAGCTAACTTTTCGTATCTTTGCGGTGCTGCTCGTCGCCATCATCGTCATCAACATAGCAAACACAAAACCGGTCAAAACGGATACTCAGCATGATAACGAAGTTGTGAGTGTGGGAGATATTGAAAAATTCTAAGGCCATAACCTAGCTGACTTTGAGCACTGCTTCCAACAAGATCACTCTCGAGAAGCGTGCACCCAATTACCTTGAGGCATTGGTGATCGCTCTCATCTTCCTCATAAGCAAATTGCCTTTTCCCAAGAATAAGGAAGACGAATTGTACGAGAACAATTTCGGGGTGCCTCCTGATTGTGGCTATCGTCCGTACGATTCGTTCCCCTTGTCGAACACGGTACGACGCTTGGACAGGCCGTCGAGCCGTTCGTTTCCCTCTGCCACCAGTCGGTCGTCGCATAGCCCAAAAGTCTCGAAGTATTTCACACCCAACAAGCCCCATAGAACAAGCCCATCCAGGACAAGCCCATCAAGCTCCTCAAAATCCAGTTTTCATTTCAGTCTCATAAATGCCTCCCAGCCATGTCCTCGGATCCTTTCAGGGAAGCTAAAGCCTACGAGGTCCTTCAACAGCAAAGACGATGCCCCATCAAGCGACTCCGAATCCTCTGAGCCCTCAAGCCCCGTTGGCCTCCACCAAGCGAATTTGTCGAGCGCCTCAGAGCCCTTTGAGCCCTCCAGCCGCGTTGGCCCTCACCAGGCGGGCTCGTCGAGCGCCTCAGATCGGTTCAACCTAAATGAGCTCTCTGAATGTATGGTAAAAAACCTGAGCGACAAGGGTTCGATACTCGCAGAGAAGGTCAAGCAGGTGTGCAGAGACCCGAACATCCTGAAAGCTCTGCTCGACCGATATTATGATGACCCTTCAATCACGATTGAGGAGGCTAAAGAAGCCTCCAAGGCCAGTCCCGACGTGGGTGATGTCTTGCAAGAAAGCGATCCCAGCATTCGACAAGCATTCGAAAACTGTATCGAACAGCAGAAACGTGGAACAACTGCCAAAAAGCTGTTCTAAAGGCTGTTCTCTTGGCCAAAAGCATCTCTCGCTTCTTGCTGTTTTGGTCTGCTCTTCTTTACTAGAACTGTCGTGAAGAAAAGGTCTATCTTTTAATTGATACATTGAACTCAAGTGATACAGCAGGGTACAACGGTAGAGTACAAAAAAATTGTTGCGAGAACGCAGCGTGAGGATCTTTGGAAACGACCAGAACGCCCGAGGCTCGCTTAATGTCCGATAAGGCACTCTTCAGTGGAACGCTCGGAGCGATTTCGGGCAGGAACAGAAAGGAGCAGGGGCAGAAATGTGCAGAGGCAGAAATGGACAGAAGCAGTAACGGGCAAAGGCAGAAACGAGCAGGGGCAGAGACGGACAGAGATAGCAACGAACAGAGACAGAAACGAACAGAGACAGAAGCGAACAGAGACAAAAAAAAACACAGGAGCAGAGTCGTCAAGCTAGAGGTGGACTGCCATAACAGTGAACGTCGCCCCGTATCACTTTTGTCGATCTGAAGGTATATAAAGAGGCCCTCTGTGGTCTCTTCTCGCGCCCTCTCAACAGCAAAGAGTCTTTTCCTGCATCACACTGCCTTTTGCAACCGCCCAACATGAAGCTTCCTCTTCGCATATTTGCGGTGCTGCTCGTCGCCATCATCGTCCTCAACCTCGCAAGCACGAAACCGGTCGATGCCGGAGCTCGGCAAGATGACGGACTTGTGAGCGTGAAACAAAGATCGACAACCCTCTATCATTGTAGCCCAGCTGACCTTGAGCATGCCTCTGACAAGATGACACTCGAGAAGCGAGTACACCCATATGTTGCAGCGGTGGCGGTCGTCCTCATTATTCTCATAAGCATGTTGAACTTTCCCGAGGAAACACAAGTCGAAAGCTACGAGCACAAGTTAGGAGTGCGTCTTGATTCTGGTCCTCGTCATTACCCTGCCGATCAACACCCTGCGTACGAGCGGCACCCTCCGTACCAGCAACCTCCGTACCAGCAGCCACCGTACCATCAGCAACCTACGTACCATCAGCAACCCCCGTACCAGCAGCACCCTCCGTACCATCAGCAACCTCCGTACCAGCGGCACGCTCCGTACCATCAGCAACCCCCGTACCAGCAGCACCCTCCGTACCATCAGCAACCTCCGTACCAGCAACCTCCGCACCATCAACCTTCTCACCAGAACCCTTGGTGGAACATGGCACCACATACGAGCACTTCATCGAGCGCGTTTTCTCCCCCTCATCCAGATAGTCCCGTGTCGTCGAGGGTCTCGAACCCCTATGATGAATTCGCGACAGGACCATCGAGTGCCTGGAAGCCCTTTACACCGCCAACCGCCTGGGCCCCCGATGCTTCCTATAGTCCATCCACACCGTCTGGCGGAAACGAGCAAAAAAGCACTGAAGCCCTTGAACCTTTTGACCTCGCAAGCCTCTTCAAGCTCTTACCACCCGGCATCGATATGAGTCCGTCGAAATCCTTCTATCAAAGTGTGGTTAAGGTCGACGAGGTCTTTAAGTGTATGGAGGAAAGGCTGGGTAACAACTTCAACCTTCTCCATCGAATAGTCGGTCAAGTGGACAAGGGAGAAAGCCATCTGCAAAAACTCGCCCTTGAATCTAAAGAAGGTCTTGAAGTCACAGTTGAGATGATTACAAAAGCCCTCAAGGCCGATTCCATCATAATCGGTGCCTTGTGGGCGGACAAAAAGCTCATGCTCGCACTCTTGGCTTGCATTCATCAACAGGTTCCTGGCGGGACTGCCAGAAAGCTTGACTTCACTGATGTTTGAATTCACTTAAGCCAGATGCATCGCCTTTTTGCTGCTCTGGTCTGCTCTCCTTCTAAGTCAGATTTGTTATAAAGTGGGCTTTCTCTGAAATTCATACATCTGTCTTGAATAATACAGCAGGGTTCGACGGTAGAGTACAAAAAGACGGTTGCGAGAGCAGTGTGAAAGGATCAACTGACCAGGTCCCAATAAAGAAGTTGTCCCCTCTCGTCGAGTGTGGCTGCTACGTCCTTTTCCGAGTTGAAGGCGACCTGCGTCGCACGACTTGCCATTGGATCCGACAACACATACCGACGGTGAAGCAAAGCGCTTTCTGCCATTGTTCTCGTCTCTGTCTGATGCTGCGAGAATGCTTTTGATGGGCGAATCGAGAGCAGCATTGTCGTTGTCGAAGAGCCATCGACACGCCCACGGCAGAGGAGAAAGAGCTCGTCATCGTTGTACCACTGCAGATCGATGACGTCATCTAGGGCCCCTACCCTTCCCTCTGTGGTAGCCAAGAGCGAATTCGCTGGTATCTGCCTCGACTGAATGGATCCGGATGGTGAACGTGGTACCTCGACGAGATTAAGGATGAGCGAAGTGTCCTTGCTGGACGGAACGCGCGTGACAAAGGCGATGCGAAATTTGCTGCCGTCTTTGCTGATCTGAGAGCGGACTTGGGGCAAGAGAGAAGTGCTGTGAGACGACGAGACCGAGGCTTGTGCGGGGGTTGTCAAGGATGATTGCTGCTCGACACACGAGGAAAAGAGCTCATCCTTTCGAAGCGAGCACAGGATGTGCGTATCGGGTATTGGCAGATCACCAATATGGTGAACGCTCGCATCAGTGGAGACAGCCTCCCTAAAGCCTCGAGAAAAGAGCTTTGAGACCTTTGTGAAAGCCTGTGCCAGCTCCTGTGGCAGTGAGGACGAGATGAATAGACCATGTCTCTTCACCGGCTGCCTTTCCTTTCTGCTTGCTTGAGGCTGTCCGACCGGCTGATCGAGATGTTCCATAGCCGCTTGCAGCTTGCTCTCAAAGGATGGCAAATCCTTCGTTTCGGGCTGCGTCCATGCCATATTGTCGTCCTTGTCTTTGACCTTTGTCCGAGGTTGTGGTCGAGAGACGGGGACCTTTTCCTCGTCCAAATCCTCGTCTTCGTCATCGACACGTACGAGGGCTTCGTCAAGCTCCAGCCCCAAGCTTTGCTCCCATTGCAGATTGAGAAAGCCCCTCTCGACGAGATTGGAGATGGAAAGGACCTCATACTGAACGGAAACCGAGGCCTCGTCAACGCCAGCCTTGATCGCCTCTTGTCTCGCTCGCTCGTACTTCCACCATTTGTGCAGCTCCCGCCAGGACCTTGCCTCCTCGTCAATCTCATCGGCCAAGGAACGCGCACCCATGACAATTCGCGACAGCGACGCTGTCAGTTCTTCAAATTCTTGCTTCGCTTCGGCGCCTTTCAGTGGACTTTGACTCGGCCAGAGAAGAAGACCTTTGAGGTCCCTCGAGAGGACGAGACACCTCTGACAGGCCTCTGCAACGAGACGTGCCTGCCTTGCCATGAAACGAAAGGCGGTGCTCTGCTCGGTGTCAATCTCTCGCACAGCCGAGGCCGTCAGACGGTGCATGTCACCATCGTCGCCCGAGACGCTGCCCGTGAGAAGGTTGAACATGGCTTCGTTGGAGACGCCGGTGAGGAGCGTCCTAATGATGGACGAGCTCACGTCGGTAGCATGAGCTTTGGCCACGCTGCGAACACTGTTGGTCCACCGCTCGAGCGACGAGGCTCTGAGTTGACAATGTGCCGTTCGCAAGAGGACGACATTGTCGTATGCGTGCTCGAGAAGGTAGTAGAAGCCGGTCGAAAGGGCAGCCAGCTCTTTCCATCGTTCCAGCGGCCTCGACCTCTCTGCAAAGGGTCTGACAGTGGAGAAAGAAAGTCCCTCTTGGGTCCCCTCTATCGAATCGCTCTGTTGTTCGCGCTGGATCCGCAATGCGATGCGCATGCAGCCGTCGTCTGATAGATCCGACGTCGCAATCCGCCCGGCCTTGCCTGCCGGCAGATTACCCAGACAGACTGTGCCATCGAAGAAGAGAAAGACCTCGTCTTCGTCCCATGCGCACAGGAGTCCCGTGTTGCTATGATCGACAGTTCCTCTTCGGCGGAAAGGAGCTCCTGCACTGGCAGCAGGGGGTGGGGCGACAAGTCCATGTTGATGGGCCTGACTTCCCAGTCGAGGAAACTTCTGTACCGCTAAGCCCAATGAGGTCGTGGGGACAGATTCTGCTAGGTTCCTGCTCTCTTCAAGAGCCTTCTTTATTGTCTTGTTTGCTAATGCCTTTCGTCGAAGTGGTGTTGGTGGCCCTGGTCCTTGCTTGAGCTCTCTTGGCAGATCGGCGTGCCGTGGTAGAGGATTGAGGAGATTGAGAACATGACGAGCACTTCCCTGTCGGACAGCGAGTCAGGGAGCTATTGCATGGATGGGGTTATCATGCTATCAACTCACTGTGCAGGGTGCTTCGAGCTCGTCGGTAGGAACCCACGTCAACCCGACCACCGATGCCGGGCTCTCGTCAATGGGTATCGCACGCTCTTGTGCACCCGTCTGGACGTTGTAGATGCACAGATATCGTGCGGCTTTCAACGGTCGAGCACCTTTCACGTCCTTCCGCGACACCTGGACGACCAGAGTCGCCTCTCTGCCCTTCTTTGTCCAGCAGCTGGCCGTGACAGACATGTCTTCCAGCTCTGCAAGATCGTGTCCCTCGGTGCCCCAAATGTCGGGCACCTCGACCTGGGAGTCCCACACCAGCACACCGCTCTCACCGTCCGACGGCATCCGCCAGAGGCTGATGCGAATCGGCGGGCACTTTGTCAGGCGCGGCGCAGGAGGTGTGGCTGCTGCAGCTGACGTTGCCATCGATGAGGTAGCAAGTGCACCTCCCTTGGCCCCAAGCATCTTTTGTCGACTGAGCATGATCATACGCCGACGCGCTTCGGACATGTTCTGGCTCATACCGGCTGGCTGTGGCGGAAGCCCTCCAGAGATGGCCGACGTCGAGCTGGACGAGGCCTGGGAGACGTCGCGACTGAGAACAAGGACGAGATCCATCGACGGGTTGATGGCGCGCGAAAGCAGGACATGCCGATAGGACCCCGCATTGTTGCTCGAAGTAATCGCCCCGGAAGGGTGTAATGGCAGCGATAGCCGTGCGAGAATGTCGGGCTGCTGACCGTGGCCCTCGTAAGCCATGGCCGCCATGAACCACTTGTCCTCCACGAGGAAGAAGACTTAAGAGAGAGAGAGAGCAACACTTTTGCCCAAGGGGACGCGTTTCTTCCTGCCACGTGGCCGGGATAAGGAACACCCAGGAGGCTAGCGATGGCCTCTCTTCTCATCTTCTTCTTCCCCTCCACCACGTTCTTCCCCCAACAACGATGGCGCAAAGCATCTTTGTACGCGGCTACCTCATCGCCTACAACCTCGCCTCCTTCTTTGGCTGGGCCCTGATCCTGAGCACGACGATCAAGCACCTCGTGCTCGGTCCGCAGACATTCAGTGCGCCCCAGCGGCTCGCCGGCGACATTCTCGCCAGCCTGCGCCCCTTCCGAGCCTGGTTCCAGGAAAAGTACGCGAACCCGTACCTGCCTGCGTTTGCCCTCGAGCTCCTCGAGCGTGCATCGCTGCTCCACCGGCATGTCGGCGCCCTCGTCGCCCTCGTCCAGTCCTTTGCCGTCCTCGAGGTCCTCCACGCCGCCCTCGGCTGGGTCCGCAGCCCGGTCCCGACGACGGTTATCCAGGTCGCTTCGCGCCTCTGGCTCGTCTGGGGCATCTCGGAGCGATACAGCGAGTCGGCCGGCAGTGCCTTTTACGCATCCATGGTCTTTGCGTGGAGCCTGACCGAGTGCGTGCGCTACTCCTTCTACGCAAATAGCCTCATGGGTTCCGAAAACGACGGTCTGCTCTGGGCCCGGTGAGTTCTGGTCCCACTCCGTGTCCCCAACCTTCTCCTTGCCGCGGCTCATTCAGTTACACGCACACAGGTACACGCTCTTCTACGTCCTCTACCCGCTCGGCGCCGGCTCCGAGGCCATGCTGATGTTCCAGACCCTGCCCAAGGTGCTTCCCTGGAACGACCCCTCGGCCTGGTCCGCAGGAAACTACGCCATCCTCTTTCTCTTTGTCATCTGGTGGCCCGGCCTGTATGTCATGTACTCGCACATGATCCGCCAGCGCTCGCGCGCCCTCGGACGGGGCTTCTGGGGCAGCAAGCGCACCGAGGAGCGCAAAAAGGCCGCTGTGATCAAGGAAGCCAGGCGGCGAGGCGCAAAGGACATCGCAGACGCTTCTTGGGCCACGGGCGAGTCGAGCAGCAAGAAGGACAAGTGATGGAAAATTAGTGGAATCTGTCTTCTTCGAGATTGTAGGGGAGCGAAAATTTAATTGTCTTCAATGTTTGTAATGGGGGTATTGCTACTGCGAGTCATGCACGGCTTCTGTTGTACCAACAGATGCCACAAGGATGTTGTGTGATGGTAGGGTAGGGTAGGTCGGATATGCAACGAGTACATGGAAATTTGGTGGGGAAAGCATGCTGTGCAAGTGGCGAGACTACTTGACTTTCTTCTTGGGAGCGGCGGCGACGGTCGCCATGGTGGAGGCCTTGGTGCCCTTCATGTAGCTTGTCAAAGGCGTCTTTGCGCCCTTCTTGGGTGACCACACGGATTTGCTCTTGGGAGCGGCGACGGCCTTCTTGGGATTGGCTGAGGTCGTCTTCGCATTCGTCGAGGTCGCCTTCGGGGCTTTGGCTTTGGACTGTGGCGCAGGGCTCTTCTTGATCGAAGCAGCTGCCTTCTTCGTCACAGCACCATGGACACTCGACTTTGTCTTCTTGTCTGGATCATTGGCAGACTTGACCTTTGCTTCACCCTTGGGGACCGGCTTCGCTGATGAAGCTGCCGCCTTTCCAGACTTGGTCGGCGTCGCTGTACCGTCCCTTGTTGAGGCACTGGGAGAGGCACGGCTCCTCTTCTTTGCGGCTTTGCGCTCCTCTTCCAAGACAGCACAGTGGTTGGCCCACGAGAGCTCTTGGCAGTTCGGAGCGTCATTGTGATCCTCCTCTTCGTCTTCTGCGGGTCCCATACCGAAACCAGTCGAGGAAGCCTCTTTCGGGTACTTTGTCGCCTCCCAGAGACCCAGCGCAGCTTGCTGGACGTCACCCTGGACCCAGACGTCAAAGACACCATCCCACTGAGAGCCGGGGACAGGAAAGTCGTAGTTGAGGAGAACGGTTCGGATGGGCGCATTGACGTCGTCGTCATCGTCACCGTCATTGTCATCGTCATCCGCCTTCCCTTCCCTTGGCTCAGCCGAATCGTCCTTTTTTGCCCTCGCCCGTGTCGTCCTCTTTCCTGACAGCTCCTCTTCGCTTTCCGAGGCCTCTTCCTCGCTGTCTCCCGAATAGTAGCGTTTGTCGCGAGCCTGACAGGCCTTTGCAAACTCACGCACGATCCGCTTCGTCCCTGGCACCTTGAGACTGGTACCTGCCACGATGAGGAGGTCCGGCGGGAGCGGCTTGAGCCTTGGAGCCCGCTGCTTCGACTTGCTGCCGGTCGAGGAAGGTGCTGACGGCTGCTCTGTGGGTGCCTTTGAGACGGAGATGGTGGGTGTCGCCGATGCGATGCCCTCGTCAAACGCAGCCCCCAAGGCCTCTTCCATCGAGTTGGCCTCGCAGATGGGCTCGAGCGGCGCCCTGCTGGAGCTCGCCAGCAGCTCGTCGACCGTCTTCTCCTCCGAGGCCCTCTCCGAGGCCGCATCGGTCTTCTGCTTCTCCTTTCGCTCCTTTCGCTCTCGTGCTGCTCTCTCCAGCGCGCTTTCCGGCACGGCAGTCTCGTTGGGGTCTCGCAAGCCGAGAATGTCTCGTTGCACGCATTGTCCCACCTGCTCTCCCCCGTCGTTCTGGCCGCCGTAGAGAACAACGTCGACGCGCATGATTCCCACGCCTCTGGACCGCAGCCCGGCCGTCTGGCGCACTTCTTCGTACTCCTCGCACTTGACGCACTCAACCGGTTGGCCCCTTGCCAGCGTTTCCAGCGCGGCCACGGCCTGATCAGGCGCATCGGGCGACAGCTCCCTCTGCGGGATCCGAAAACTGTGTTCGCCGTCGCCAGAGGCCAGCGACAGGTAGATCTTGTGGCTGCACACGGCACACGTGAGCGTCGACAAGCTGCCGTGAAGTGGGATTGTCCGGGGGAACATGGGCATCTGGTCGGCGTCGGGCGTCGAGGAGCGCAATCTCTCGGCAAAGAGGAGCGCCGAATCGCTCTTGCTCCTTGAGAAGGCGCCAGGCGCTCTGGCGTTGGGCGGAGGTCCCTTGCCCAGCCTTTCATCGCGCTTTCGCTTCCCCAGTGCTCGCACCGTCGCAGTGCTGTCGCCCGTCTCGCCGAGTCCAAACGTTAGTCCGGCTCGCTCCTCAAGCCCATCGATGTTCTGTGTGTAAACTCGCTGGAGTCTCCCCTCGAGATCAAGGCGCTTGAGGAGGTGGTGGAACGTCGTTGGCTTGGCGGCATCCGTCATTGTCTTGAGCTCGGATATCATCGAGTAGAAGAGCGACTGGGTCGAGGGCGTGTTGAAGAGCCTGGCATCAAAGAGATCCTTGCCGCTCGACAGTCCTGCATTGGGATGCTTTTCCTTGAGCGTCTTGAACAGGCCCGCCGTGGAGCGAAAGTCTGGGATATTTGCTGGCGACGAGACAGAGATGCCCGCGCCTGGAATGATTGGCTCGTCAGTCTTGATGCAGGGAAGCGGTGAGGGGGAAAGGGTTCAGCCAAGACTCACCGCAGATGACGGCAATACGCCGAGCCCCGGCGACAGCCTCCCAAACCCTGGCCAGATCTCTCTCGGCATTGGTTGTCTTTCGCCCAAAGGGTGGCACAAACGTATCTGTGGGGACATCGTACTGGATCGCACGAGGATCTTGCTTCTTGCCCTTCTCTGTTTTTCTCAATGTCGCCTTGCCATTCTCAGACGTTGCGGGAGACACCTCAACGACCACGTCTGCAGTTTCCCTTTTGGCTTTTCTGGGCGTCGTCGGTTTGGAGGGTACGTCGTCCACACGAAGCGAGGGCGTGCAAGACGTCGCAGTGGAACCTGTCTTATGCGTTGGTGTGCTCCTCGACGACGATGCCACGTCCGACGGTGACGAACCACGGGATGAGGAGGCGCTGGAAGAGGAGGAAGCGACAGTGGTGTGCTGCTGAAACATGGAGGCTGAGCGCGAGAAGGCGCCACTGCGGCGGCTTGGTCCAGCCTTTTCCTTCTCAGTGGCGCCATCCTCGTCGCCCGAAAGCGAGGAGACCGAGGCAGCACGGATAGCATCGACGGTCAAGACACCAGCCTCTGAGCGAGCGCCAGGCCCTCGAGGCTGAGGGAGACCATCTTTGACTGGAAGCGGAATGACAATCATGGTGCGTGTGGGACGCTAAGAACGTGGTGTTGCGCCTGTTTGGCTGATCCGACGGCTCCGAGAGTCCCTCAGGTCGATCGTGCACAACAAGAGAAGAATAAAAGAGGGGCGAGAGTGAGGGAGAAGCAGGAGAGAGGTGAGTGCCGTTCCTGCGTCGTCTATGAAGCCATCCGGGAGAGAATAGGTGTGAGAGGCGGTTGGAGAGACGTAAAAAAACAAAGTGGCTCGGTCGATGGCGATTGGAAAGGCGAATGCGACGAACGGGTGCGCCCAGGGCTCGGTCAAAAAAGAGACAGGGCCATAGCGCGACGCGTGGGGCAAGTCACGTGAAATTGACCGACCGACCGAACGAGGGGTGCAAGACTGATCTGATCATCCGTGCGTCGTCGACAACGGACTCAGTGACTCACTTGGTTCGTCGAAAAGGAAGGCGCAGGGAAGACATGGCCTCGCCTGGCTATCTGGACGACGAGAGCGTCGGTGGGCCCTCGGTGCTCCTGGCGCATCTCCAGCGAGAACGGGCGTCGTACATGCACCGCATCTCCTCCGAGGAGCAGCACATCGACTCGATCGACTCGGAAGAAGACGACGTCGACGACGATGTCAGCTTCACAACGTGGGACTCCGAGGAGGAGGCCAGGCTGGCGCAGGAGGAATGGGACGAAAGCATTCGCCAGCTGCAGCTTGCCGTCCAAGTGATGCTGCTGCCATTTGTAGGCAAGTGGCTTGGAAGGAGATGGAGCTACTGGGGTGGGTGTTGTTCTCTCCTTCTCTCAATGGGCAAAACAGGGCGGCTGATTTCTTCTTCTCCACAGTCTTTGCTCGCTTCAAGGTCCACGGCTTCTCCTCTGCGCTCTTTGGCCTCGACTGGATCTGGTCGCCAAACACCATCGTGCCCTCTGCCGCCGTGGCAGCGGTGCAGCCATGACGAATGGAGAAAGGAAGAAAGAAAGAGGAGGGAACCAGCAATGTATTTCTAGTCTAATCATGCTCGCTCAAAGGCAAGCTTCTTCAGGCACCACATGTGTGGTGCCCCTTCTTCGTCGTACGGCTCGCCAGTGGTCTGGTACGAGAGTCTGCGCGTCTTTCAGGTCAGCATGCTGCATCGGAAGCGAAGAACCCCACTGAAGGAGAAAAAAGGGGCCACACGCACTTTTTGTAGAAGTTCACGGCATGCATCTGGCTGCTCAGCACAACGTCGATGCTGTCCACCCCTGTGTCCTTGTGGGCCTCATCGCCCTGGGCAGGCGTCGAAAGGACATCGAGAAGCCACTTTTCGGCGCCACGCACCGCCTGCTCGCCAAGATGCTTGCCCCGCTCTGAGCGCAGAACGGCGAGGCGGCTGATCTTTGCGCCTCGCGAGTCGTGCCCGTGCGCGGCCCCCTTTGCGTTGGCCGCTGCTGGCTTGGCGAGGGCCACGCGTCTGAAGAGATGGGCCAGGGACTCGGAGCTCTGCACTCCACCGAGCGGATAGCTCGAGTCGAGCTTGCCGGCTGGAGTCTCATCGACGGTGATGACGCCCGACTGGCCGACGACGTCCTGGGCCCGGTCGTCCTTGTCGCTTTGCCGCTTGTCGCTCGCCGCGGACCCTGCCGCGGTCTGCTTCGTCGCTGAATTGGGGAACATGGGCAGCCCTCCACTGGTGCCGCCAGGGCCACCTCCTGCCGTCACCATGCTCGTCTGCTCCTGCGGTATCGAGTTGTCCTCTACGTTCGACCTCTTTGCTTCCTCTGCCTCCATGGCGCCTCCCCTGAAGAGGCCACCATCGTCGGCCTTCTTGATAGCGTCCTTCGCAGAGGAGGACGGCGGCGGCGGCGGTGCCAGGGCCAGCACCTCTTCCCTTGGGTACGGTGTCAGCCTGATGACGCCCACGGGCCTCGCGCTGTGCCGCTCCACGACGATAAAGTGCGCAGACACAGGGTCGTACTCGTCCACTTCCGTATCAGCCGGGAACCCCTGCTCGCGGTGGAACACCTCGAGGCGGACCTCATGCGCCGCACGCAGATCGGCAGCCGACGAGCACAGCCGCAGCTCGTAGTCGGACATGGCGGTGATGTAAGTGATCTTGACGGCAAGCGAGAGAGAAAGAAAGAAAGAGAAGATCCAAGATGACTCAGGCAGAGCAACACACGCCTGGCTCGCTCTCGACAAGTGGAGACTGATGATTATGTAATCGAGTGCACAGGCCGACTACCTTTGCGCTCAAGACATGGACTGAGGGAGCCGAGCGTTGCAGTCCGGGCGGGTGTGCAACGGTGCTGAAGAACAAGCAGTAAGAAGGCAATTCGTCTGTAGCCTGAGTGACAACCACGACTGAGAGGCAAGGATCTATCTCCCTTGGTGACTGGCAGGGGTGGAGTGATGTGGCCAGGCCGCGCTAAGGCCAACAACCTAAAATTGACTGAGGCTGGGAAGTCGCGGTTGCTTGCTTCTTCTCCTTCTCTCGCCAATGAGAAGAAGCTCGGCGGCGAGACAGTTCTTGAACAGCATGGCAGCGCCCAAGTACGGACTCAACCCTCACCTGGCCAAGGCATGCCCCGAGCCGCCAGTGCCGCTGGCCAAGGCGTGGGCCGCGTCGTACCCGGGTTCGTCGTCGCCGTTTGCCTCGTCGTCGTCGTCGTCGTCTGCCTCGCCGCCCTCGCAGCCGCTCCTCAATCTGGCCCAGGGCGTGCCGGGCCATGCTCCGCACGCATCGCTGATCGAGCGCATGTCGCAAGAGGCAAAGCGGGCGCCCATGGAGACGCACGGCTATGGCCACGTCTTTGGCGATGCCTCGCTGCGCCAGGCCCTCTCGCATGATCTCTCGACCGTCTACGGGGCCGAGGTGAGCGTGGACAAGGTCGCATGCACGGCCGGCTGCAACATGGCCGCCGCCGTCGTCTTCCACGCCCTTGCCCAGCCGGGCGAGGCCATCGTCCTGCCCACGCCCTGGTATTTCAACCACCAAATGACGCTGGCCTCGCTCGCCGTCGAGGCCGTGCCGCTGCCGACGCAGTCGCCCGCCTTTCTGCCCTCGGCCCAGGCCTTTGAGGACCTGGTGCGCCGGCACAATTATGGGCCCGCGTCCAGCAGCCTGCCGCGCATCAAGGCCGTCGTGCTCGTCACGCCTAACAACCCGACGGGGAGCATCTACCCGCACCAGCTGCTCGACGACTTCTACGCCATCTGTGCGCGCGAGGGCGTGGCCCTGATTGTGGATGAGACGTGAGTGGTCGATGTAAGGATCTCAACCCACATTCTCACCCTCTATTCACCGCCCCTTTCATTTCACACCACAGCTACCGAGACTTTCTCCTTGCCGACGAAGCGACGAACAACACAGCTCCAGACGGGCTCCTGCCCCTGGCCCGGCCGCACCAGCTCTTCAGCAGGCCAGACTGGGCCGACATCGTCATCTCGCTCCACTCCTTTTCCAAGTCCTATGCGATCCCCGGCCACCGTCTCGGCGCCATTGTGGCCCACCCGTCGCTCCTCATCTCACAGGCCACCGACGCCACGACGGGCGAGTCGTCGAGCACGTTTGGCAGCCTCGCAAAGAGCCTCGACAACGTGCAGATCTGCCCGCCCCGCAGCGACACGCAGCGCGCCGTCGCATGGGCCATGGGGGACCCCGACCAGCGGCAGTGGCGGCTGCAGGTGGCCAACGACCTGGCGCAGCGGCGCAGCAAGTTCGCAGCGGGCCTCAAGGCGCGAGCGTCAATCGACGACGTCATGCGCCTGCTCCCGCGCGGGCCCTCCTCGTCTGCTGCTGCTGCTACAGACATCGACGGGGCACTGCGGCGCCAGTTTGGGACAGCAAAAGAAAAGAGCGCGGCGGAGCTCGGCTGGAAGCTGCAGAGCGCGGGCGGCTACTATGCATTCATGGCACACCCTTTTGCTACAAGGCCGAGCCAGGAGGTGTGCACGGCCCTGGCCAGCCTCGTGGGCATCGTCGCATTGCCCGGCAGCTTCTTCAGGCCGGCCGACGAGGCCGCGACGGACGGCGACATTCGCGTCAGCATTGCCAACGTCGACGAGAGCCTCCTCGACACGCTCCCGGCCCGCCTTGTCCTCTTCACTGCCCTCTGGGGCGGACAATGATGTTGTGTTGCAGCTAACAAGACAGGCATGTAATCTATTCATCACTAGATGCTGGAACGACCTTTTCGAGAAACTGGCCGAGGTGCTCGATCTGGAAAGTGAAGTAGCAGTAGCAGTGATGGCAAAAGAAGAAGAGGGAGAAGTGGAAAGACAGTGTGAGCATTGGGCACCGAGCCAGGCGAGTACAGAAAGCAGAATCAGAAGACGCACCTCATCTGCGCAGGCGCTGTGCGGCATGCCCGGGTAGGCCTCCTGCCAGACGCCCCGCCATCTGCCCTCGTCTGTCTGCCTGAACTTGCCGAGGCCGAGGCCCTGGCCGCCGCCGTCGCCGGCACGGAGAAACTTTGCGCTGCGCTCGCCAAAGTCGAAGCGGACGACGGGGTCAGCGGTGCCGTGGCCCATAAAGACGGGGAGCGTCTCGGCGTGGCTGGGCAGAAAGGGGGCGACGAGCTTGGCGCGGAGCGGGAGCCACGTCGAGAGGGCAATGATGCCCGCCACGGAGGGCGTCTTTGTGAGGCCGGCCAGGAGCGCAATCGCGCCGCCCTGGGAGAAGCCGCCGACTGGGAGGGGAGGAGAGGAGCAGTTGAAGTTATCGTCGCATCAGAAGATGGTCACAGCTCGCGGAGATGAAGCATGATCACTCACCCACAACACGCTCGCTCGCCACGCCCTGGCCATCGAGCCCCGAGGCCGAGCCGTCGATCTCGGCATCGACGAGGGCCTTGATGGCATCGGCGCTCTTGAGCAGGCCCGCCTCGTCTTCCGCTCCTTGAACATCGTCGAGCGTCGTGACTGTGAAGTAGTTGAACAAGGGTGAGGCCACGTCAGCAGCCAGCTCGCTGAAGCGTCGGGGCAGGAATCGCACAAGAGGCGGAAGACCTACTATCGAACCAGGAGGGCATCTTCATGCCCATGTTCAGCGACACGGGCACCACGGGCGCATTGGGCAGCACGAAGCGGACGTGCTGCAGCGCAGGTCGCGCCGAGAGCATCTGCGCCACATCGTACCAGCCTGCGCCCGTGTCGCCAAGGCCGTGAGCAAAGATGAGCGTCGCCGTCGCCCGCTTGCCCGAGGCGGGAGGCACGACGATGGTCTTGAGCAGCTGGTGCGTCGCGCTCATTTCCGGTGGTGCTTGATTGTAAAGGAAGATCCTGAAGTAGAACGACCAGACGAGGGCGAGCAGGCCGACTATCGCTTTGCTCCAGATGCCGAAGATTGTATTCGTCGTTCGCCGTTCGCCCGTCGAGAAGACAGGAAGTCGGGAGTGCACTAAAACGTCGGCGGAGGGAGCGCGAGGCCCGCGTTCCGGGGTGGACGGCAACACGTGCGCGGACTGACGTGCGCCTGTGCCCTTCTAACTTTTTTTATTTTTTTAAAAAAAGAAGGGGAGTCACTGGCCTTCTTCTCGCGCCATCGCCTCCATCCGACGACGTCAGAGAACCACTACTCGTCATGCCGCCGATGAACCCCGGGACAAAGTATGCGCCCTACGAGCCGGTGAACCTGCCCAACCGGCAATGGCCCAGCAAGGTGCAGCGGACCGCGCCCATCTGGACCTCGGTCGACCTCCGCGACGGCAACCAGGCCCTGATCAACCCCATGTCGCAGCAGCAGAAGCTCCGCTTCTTCCAGCTCCTCGTCCACGTCGGCTTCAAGGAGATCGAAGTGGCCTTTCCCTCGTCGAGCGACACCGACTTTGGCTTCGTCAGGACCATCATTGAGCAAAAAATGATCCCCGACGATGTTTGGATCCAGGTCCTGACGCCTGCGAGGTTAGTGGCTTTCTCTCGAGATCAGTCTCAATTCTTCTTCCACTAGGTTCGAATCACTCACCTACCCGCTCACGGCCACTACAGAGAAGAGCTGATCCGCAGGACGTTTGAGTCCGTCAAGGGGGCAAAGAATGTCATCATGCACATGTACAACGCCACCTCGCCCCTCTTCCGAAACGTCGTCTTTGGCAACTCGCAGGAGCAGACCATCGATTTGGCCGTGCAGCACACCAAGCTCGTCACCAAGCTCATGGACGAGTACAGCAAGCCAGAGAACGGCGGCACCAACTTCCGCTACGAGTACAGCCCAGAGACATACACGCAGACGGAGCTCGACTTTGCTGTCCGCCTGTGCGAGCAGGTCCGGGTCGCTTACGGGAAGGCCTCTTCGACCAACAAAATCATCTTCAATCTGCCCGCCACCGTTGAGATTGGCCCGCCAAATCACTATGCCGATCAGGTGAGGACCTTTCCGCGTTTTGTCCAAGTAGCGTCTGAAGCTCATCTCCATGACTTTGACTCCCATTTCAACAGATCGAGTATTTCTGCAACAACATCACCAAGCGCGAGGAGATTACAGTCTCGCTGCACCCGCACAATGACCGAGGCTGCGCCGTCGCTGCTGCCGAGATGGGTCTGCTTGCTGGTGGAGACCGGATCGAAGGGTGTCTCCTTGGTAATGGCGAGAGGACGGGCAACGTCGACATTGTCACGCTCGCCCTCAACCAGTTCTGCCAGGGTATCCAGCCAGGGCCTCTCGACCTGAGCGACATCCAGTCCGTCGTCGACGTCGTGTCCAACTGCAACGACATTCCCGTGCATCCTCGTCACCCTTACGCTGGAGAGCTCGTCTTTACCGCCTTTTCTGGCTCACACCAGGATGCCATCAAAAAGGGCTTCCACGCACAGGCCCAGCGCAAGGAGAAGGGCGACCACGTCTGGTCCATCCCTTACCTTCCCATCGACCCGGCCGACCTGGGCGCGACATACGAGGCTGTCATCCGCGTCAACTCGCAGTCAGGAAAGGGCGGTGTTGCCTACCTCGTTGCTCAGTCCCTCGGCCTCGACCTGCCGCGGCGCATGCAAGTGGCCTTCTACCAGGTCATCCAGGAGGTCGCCGACCGCACTGGTCGTGAGATGACGACCGACGATATCACTCGGGCCTTTACCCAGACATACCACGTTCCTTCCCTGGCCCTGGGCAAGAACGAGGGCTCGATGGTGCTCAAGAGCTTCCGCATCACCGACGATGCCCCTCCCGGCCTCAATGGCGATGCTGCTGCAGCCAACGGCGGCACTGAAACACCCCGGTATGTGCGCTTCAACGGTGTCGTTGCCCGCAACGGCAAACCGCACGACATTGAGGGCCGGGGCAACGGTCCTCTCTCGGCCCTCCTCGATGCTCTCGATGCCGCCTTTGGCATCAGCGCAAACGTCCGCGAGTACAGCGAGCACGTCATCGACCGTCCGGGTGTCTTCGCTCCGGCTGCGCCCGGTGCCACCAAGACAAAGGCGCAAGCTGCTGCCTACGTCGAGCTCGTTGATGCTTCGCCAAAAGCCGTCGCGGAGGCCCAGAGCGCAACAACAAATGGAGGAGGCGCTGTCAGGCAAGAAGGCTGGTGGGGCGTGGGCATCGATGTCGACATCACCGCCAGCACCCTCAAGGCCGTCCTCTCAGCGGCGTGCAACCTCGAGTCCAAGACGGCCGTCGAGATTGCCACAAAAGCAGTCGAGCAGAAGTGATTTACCATGTCTAATTCGCATTTGAATCCATAGCCCGATTGCATCGTCTGAAATGAGCTTCTTTGTGTGATGGCGCTCCCCGTTTCTTTGAGGCTGAGTGGATTGAGCCACGTGGATTCCAGCCACGTCAAGTTGGAATATTTTAAGACGTACCGACCTTCTGAACAGCCATCGTTGCCGTCCAGACTGCGTAGGGTAGGACAATGTACCAGCAAAATTACGGCTCGAGTCGGTCACCAGTGAGTTGCAGCGACGGGAAATCGATGGCGATGCTTCTAATCTAACACTGACTTGATGTGAACAGCCACCCCTGCAGCACCCCAAGCCGACACATCCTCCGTTCCAGGTGCCCGATCCGCCTGTTACGCCCAACCAGCACGGCGATGTAGGCATCGAGACTTCGCCTGCTGACCCGCACCTCTCCTCGGCCCGTGCCAGAGGGGCGGCTTCCTCGTCCGTGGTAGGCGATAGCGGGTATGCGCGCTACTCTTCGCCTCCCCTGCAGAGCAACAACAACTACCCCAACAGCTTCGGCGGCGCCATGCAGGACCCGTACGCCTCTGGTGCTGGCGGATATGCGAGTGGCAATATGGGTTCACAACAGCAACAGCAACAGCAACAGCAACAGCAATCATCAGGTGGTCAGGGTGGATTTGGAGCAGGTTTTCCCAACTTTGGTGGATTTGGGCTGGGGCAAGGCGGCCAGCCAGTGTTCAACGACCACACCGCCCAGATGGGCGTTCACTTTGGACGGCAGATGGCCCAGGTCGGTGGGGAGTACGTGGAAAAAAACTTCAACCGGATCCTGCCCCTGGCGGTGCTCAAGCACTACTTCAATGTCTCCAACTCGTACGTGCTTCACAAGCTCCGCCTCGTCCTCTTTCCCTGGCGGCACCGGCCATGGTCACGAGCCTTGCGGCATGGGTCAGGCCCCGCCGTCGGTGGAGTGCCCCCAGCTTCGCTCAGCATGCGTGGTGGGCCAGGGTCATCAGGCGGCGCGCAAGAGAATGGGCCTGCGTACGGCTCCTCGGCCTCGTCTGGACCCAGCGGTTCTTCCAAGATGACAGAAGGGTACGCAGCGCCGAGAGAAGATGTCAACAGTCCTGACCTCTACATCCCTGGTGAGTTCTGCACTTTTTTCGCTCGTTAGGCAAGGGCCAAGAGCGCTGAGTTGTCTTTTGAAAGTCATGGCTCTCGTCACCTATGTCCTCCTCGTGTCGGTGATCCGAGGCTTGGAATCGCGCTTCCACCCCGAGGTCTTTGGCCTCATCCTCAGCCGGGCGCTGGGCATCGTCTTTTTCGAGTTTGCCGCCGTCAAGCTGGGCTGCTACCTCCTCAACATCCAGGGCGACCACACTATGGTCGATCTTCTGGCCTACTCTGGCTACAAATTTGTTGGCGCCATCGTCACACTCCTCGTTGGCCTCTTGCGCTTTGGCAGATTCGTGTACTGGAGCGCCTTTTTCTATACTTGCGCAGCCAACGCCTTTTTCCTGGTGAGTCCTCTCTTTCTCTGCGATGGAAGAGACATGACAAAGTAGCTGATGCATTTCTCCCTCACACAGCTACGGTCCCTCCGATACGTCGTTCTCCCCGACCCATCGTCACCCTCGAGCGTCACCATCACCCACGCCCAAAGATCACGGCGCATTCAGTTCTTGTTCAGCATCGCCGTGGCCCAGACGCTGTTTGGCTGGTTCCTCATCATTGGCATCTGGAATTAGGCCGTTTGATGAAGGAGAGAGAGAGATGATTGTTGCTTTCATTGGAAACAAGACAGATAATACAAATTGTTCTTCTATGTCACCGAGACGTCGCGCTGGGAACCGTGCTGGATGGGATCGAGAAGGGAGATGGTGTCGTTTGTGGAGTCGAGCACGACGAGGAAGCGGAGCGTCTCAAACGACGTCGCCTGGTCCCTCCTGATCGAAGTAAAGTAGGCTGTGCCTGAGTCTGTTGGGTTCCGAAAAGCTTCAGAGATGAGAAGGGGAGGGGAGGAAAAGAAGGCCAGGCCGAGCTAGGGCCCACCAACGCACCTTTCTGCCCCTTGAGCCTGAACTTGATGTCGACTCTGCCCTGCATCATGTTGATGTTTCCCCGGATCCACGGATCGCCCATCAGGTATGTGCTCCGTTCCAGCTGAACCCCAGTGCCCATGAGCCGCTCGATGTCGTCGTCCTGCCGAATCCGATCGAGGATGTTCTTGACGACCGACGACGAGAGCCGCTCCTTGTTGGTGGCATGCAGCGTGAACGCAGACCATGTGCCCAAGGTCAGGAGGAGTGAGAGGACAATGGCGGGCCGGTAGAAGGAGCGTACGACGGGAAGCGGCGGCCGTGTCCGCGCAAAAGGGCGCGATGGTGGCGGGGAGGTTTGGGGCCGCACTCTCGGTGCAGAGGTCGACGCCGAGCGTCTCCCTGCCGATACCGCCTGCGCTCTTCCGCGGGGCAAGCTGGGCAGACGGGGGCCCAGGCCGATACGGAGTGTCGACATGCTGGTGATCATCGCTGCAGACAGAAAATTGACTTCTTGGTCAACGACGTCGAGGTGCAGCAAGAGGCAAAGCTTCGCGGGCGCACGTGGCAAATTTTAAAGGGTGGTCTAACCGCGCCGCTTCGTTCAATGCGGTCCAGGATCTAATCTCCTCGTAGTGAGAACAACGCCGCCCCCAAAGCCTTGATCGCTGGCCAGACGAAGACCATGTCGACGATCGCTCACTCGCTGCGCGACTACCGCGAGCCGACACGGACGCAAGCGGTGATCCACTCCTTTGGGCTACCTTCGACGGAGGAGCCGCAGGACGACATTCCCGCCGTGCTCTCGCTGTCCAACCCCGTGCCAGCCAATGCGGGCGCTGCCGAGGCGGTCGACAGCGCCGAGCAAGAAGACCAGGTCTATGCGGGACGACTGATCCTGACGAACGCATTCCTCTGCTTCAGCAGCTTGGACAGGAGAAGCTGCCGGTTGACGCTGCCCCTGTACTGCGTCAGGAGAGTCGAAAGGCTCAATGCACAGAGGACCGGCGTCTTTGCCTTGGCCGTCGTTGTCTGGCATGGCATGAAGGTCGTGAGTTCTGCAGCATGGTACACTGAGGGAGCTTTCGTGTGTCCTGACGAGTGAATTCTCTCCACAGATCATTCAGCTCAACGCGCTTCGACCGCAGTGCGAGACATTCTGCGCCCAGCTTAGGGACAATCTCCGCGCCCAGCTCGGCAGCATGAAGACGCTCAAGAGCTTCGTGGCCGGCTGTTACAGCGAGGTGGCTCTGCAAGAGCTGGCAAGTGAAAAGGGCAAGGAGAAGACTGCGGCTGTAGAGGACGCCGGCAACACGGAGGAGAAGGCGGGCGAGGGCGCAGAGGCTGTCACCCCAACTCCTCCGCCGCCATACCATGCAGGGCTGGGGGCACGCTTCAAGTTTCCAGGCGATCCGAGAAAGTGAGTGTGCGAGGTTGCTTCGGGAGAAGAAGTGTCGGACTGACGAGACTTTGGTGCAGATTGCGAGAGAAGTCAAAGATGAAGCTTTGGAGAGACTACCTTCGAAGTCAGTATGCTTTGTCCCTTTCATCTGTGTGCCCGGAGACTGATGGCTCTCTTTTGGCAGTTCATGGCCGCAACCTCACGCTCGTGAGATATCCTCAATTCCTCCGGCTCGTCCAAGTTGGGCTGCCCAACCGGCTTCGCGGCGAGATCTGGGAGTTGACGTCGGGCAGCATCTACATGCGTTTCGCGCACCAAGGCGAGTACGAGGCGCTCCTCAAGTCCAACGAGGGAAAGACGAGCACATCGACAGAAGAAATCGAGAAGGATTTGAATCGGTCACTGCCGGAATACGCCGGCTACCAAGACCCGCAGGGCATCGAGACACTGAGAAGGGTCTTGACCGCCTACAGCTGGAAAAATCCCGAGCTGGGCTACTGCCAGGCCATGAATATCGTCGTGGCGGCTATCCTCATCTACACGTCGGAGGAGCAATGCTTTTGGCTCCTCGACATGCTCTGTGATCGTCTGCTGCCAGGGTACTATACGTGAGTCTGCTCCCAGCACTTCGAATGCGTCTGTTAAACCTGACGTGTTACTTTCCCATAGGCAATCCATGTCAGGCACCATTCTCGACCAGAAAGTCTTCGAGCATCTGGTTCAGAGGTCGCTGCCGATGATCCACGACCATTTCGTGCAGACCGACATTCAGCTCTCGGTCGCCTCGTTGCCCTGGTTCCTGTCGCTCTACATCAACTCAATGCCCATGGTCTTCGCTTTCCGGATCGTCGACTGCTTCATGGCCATGGGCCCCAAGGTCCTCTTCCAGGTCGGACTCGCCATCCTCAAGATCAATGGCGAGGAGCTTCTTTCCGGCCGCATCACCGACGATGGCGCATTCATCAATATGATCAAGAACTACTTCAGGACACTGGGCGACTCTGCCCACCCTGAGAGCAAGAACCCCAGGCACCGACAGATTACAAATTTCCAGGAGCTTCTCGTTGTCGCTTTCCGAGAGTTTGGCGTCGTCACTGACGAGACGATCGCGAGCGAGAGGAGGAGATTCAGGCAGGAGATTGTCGAGGAGATTGAGCTCTTTGCAAAGAGGAGCGCCGTCAGGAATCTCAAGGACCTCGGGCGCTTCTCAAAGGAGCAAGCGTGAGTCATTTGCACGATTGAGTCCAGCCCCGCTCGGTGCTGACAATGGAGTACAGAGGCCTCATTTATGATCAGATGGTGGAGGCCATCTATCGGACCCGGCACGCGCCTGCCATTGCCTCGGACGAGAGCGGCAAGGCTACGACGCCGACAACGACGCAAGATTACAAGGAGATGCGCATCGATCTGCCGACATTTCGCTACTTTCTTGCCGAGGTGGCTACTTGGGCGCGCGACGAATTCGTCATCTCGAACGGCTTCCAGGAGAGGATTGAGCGCAAGATCCCCGACTCGAGGACGAACAACAATGACGACATTATTCCCAGGTTGTTCCAGCGGTGGGATCGCGAAAAGCGTGGTTCCTTGAGCTTGCAGGACATTGTGACGGGCCTCGACGAGATCATGTTTGCGCGGGACGACGTGCTGGCGAGCATCGAGTGGTTCTTCAAGCTGCATTCCAACGGACGCGACTCATTGACAAAGGACGAGGTCCTGCGATTGAGCGAGTCGTTGCTCTTCAGTGAGTGCCTCTCTTCTTCCAGTCAAAGCTTGACTTGCTGACAGTCGTTCTCGCCTCGCTACAGTGTTCCGAAACGAGAACAGCGATGGCCATCTCGGCGCAGTCTCGCAGCTTATTAGTGCATCGTTTCAGAACTCCTAGTAGAGATTAGAAGGATGGACCAATCACAAGATTCTTTAGCACCACGGATCCAATGACATCTGTGCACATCACCTTTAGACGTGTGACCCCAAGAGGAGCTTGCACTGATTTGAACAAAGGCAATAGGTCTGGTCATCTCAAGAAAGAACGCATGAAGTAATAGGTGACTTGATGATCATTGAGACGTTGTCTGTGAAGTTAATTGAAGTGGGCAGAGAAAAGGAGAGCAAGGCGTTGTTTACAGGACCAGCTTGACCGTGACAATCTGGAAGGGACGCAAGTCAAGGATGATCTTGCCACCCTTGACGTCGACATTGTCATCGACTTCGTCCTCGAGGAGATTGCACAGTTTGGCCTGCTTGATGTTGAGCGAAGAGCAGGAGAGTACAGCTTTGGCGTGATTGCCGAGCGACTCGTAGAGCCTGCACACAACCGTCTTTCGTCCGCTGGCCTTCTTGCCATGGTACTCAAAGTCCTCTTCGCCACGCTTGACGGTATCGAGGATGACTGAGCCGCCGGGATTGTCGAGACGCACTGGCATGGCAGCGGGAGCAGCTGCTGAGGTGCAGATTGGAGCTCCCTCTACGAGCCTGCTGCCCGAACCAAAGATGTCGCAGACGTAATCATTCGGCAGTGCCACCGTGAGGGGAGCATTAAAGATGCGTCCTGCATGGACCACGTCAGAGTGCTCGAGGGACGAAAGATGGGGATAGATGCCAAGGCGGAAGCGGTGCTTGCCCTCGTCCTGATGAGCGTCTGGATAGGTGCCAGCCTTTAGAAGCGAGATACGCATGAGGCCGCCCTCGACGCTGTAGCCGTACTTGGAGTCGGTCAGAAGGGCCAAGCCCATCGAGGGTTCCGACAAGTCGGCGAATTTGTGGCCGCACACCTCGAACTTGGCCGCTTCCCAGGAGCTGTAAAGGAAGGATCACTCGGTCAGGACTTGGGCAACGAGAAGCAGATCAGTAGGAGAGGGAAGCTGCTCACGTGTTTCTAGACGTTGGACGTTTGGTGATGCCGAACTGCGTCTCATACGAGGCCAAGTCGGCTCGGAGCACTGTAGGTACGTCGAAGCGAAGGAAGCGGTGCTTCTCCTCCCAGTCGATCTTGACATCAAGGTTGATGAAGGAACGAGCGTCGCGCGCCTTTGCATTGGTAGCAGTGGCAGGAAGCGCGTCGAGGGATATCTCGACGCGGACGCTGCTCTTGCCGAAATTGGCCTGGAGCTCCAAAGCGGCTCGCCAGGGTCCTGCCTGGGCAATGCGGACCGTCTCAAAGGCAATCTCTTCCTCTGTCTGCAGGGAGTAGATCTCAGTCTCCCACGCATCGAACTGCGGAGGATAGTCTTCGCAGATCGACAGGCCGGCGGTTCGTCCGTGTGGAAGGAGCTCCTTCCAGACCTTGTCCTGGGTGAGGAGCTGCAGGCTCGAGATGCGACCCTTGTCAACCTTGAACATGACACCACCGTTGCTCATGGTGAAGGATTGATTCGCGTGCTCCGTCACCGACACAGCCTCGAGGTTGCGCATGATCGATGTGGGCGCTGGGCTCAGCGTGGCGAGACCACAAGCATCTGCATCCTCCATGAGCACCAGCGTCGATGCACCGTCCGATGACTTCTGGATGCCGGCATCGAGTCGCTCAGGCACCCAGACGAGCTCGCGCCTGGGAATGTTGAGCGGATTGACAATGGCGAGGTTGGATTGCTTCTTGTCGAGCGCCGACAGCGCCTTCTCGAGGAGGGAAGCGCCGCGCTTGGCAACGCTCGCATAGATCTTCTCGGCGTCGTCATAGACGAGGCGAATCGAGGAGCCAGGCAAGACGTCGTGGAACTGGCAGAGCAGAATGGACTCCCAGAGCGAGTCAATGTCCTCCTTGGGATAGCTGTAGGACTTGGCTTCCACGATGCTTGCCAGCGTAGCGGTCCACTCGAGCTGCGACATAGCAATCTCAAGCTTGCGGTTCCAGCGCTTGATGCTTCCGTGGCTCGTGTAGACACCTCGGTGGAACTCGAGGTATACCTCGCCAGTCCATGTGGGGAGGCGTTCGCCATTGTCGGTAATCTTGCGCACATTGTCAAAGAACTCGGCGGCGGTCTTGCCCGAGTGCACCTTTGGCATTTCCGTGTATCCATTGTTGTACACTGCCCTGGCCCGACGCAGCGCTTCGAGATTGGGAGCCGAGGGGCCGCCTCCACCATCTCCCCAGCCAAAGAGATGGAGAGCCGTGGGCTGGACGCCGAGGTTCTTGTTGTTCCTCACGCCACGAAGAATGTCGTTGACGCCATTCTGGCTGTCGTAGTTGTCGACCGGCGTCATATGCGTGATGATCTGCGTGCCGTCGAGGCCAGTCCACATCATGGTGTTGTGTGGGAATCTGTTCATGTTGGACCAACTGAGCTTCTGGGTGAAGAAGTAGTCGGTGCCTGCACCACGAGCAATGGCGGGAATCTGAGAATTGTAGCCGAACGTGTCGGGCAGCCTTTTGGGAAGAATGAATTTATCAGTATGGCAAGTCGTACGATGATCGAAGGGGCAAAGGAAACGCACCAAAAGACGTTGGATCGCTTGCCGAAGCGCGATTCAAAGTAGCGCTGGCCGTGTACAAACTGCCGGACAAAGGCCTCGCCGCTGGGCAGGTTGGCATCATTCTCAACCCAAGTGGCGCCAATGGGGACAAAGGTGCCCTTCTTGACGGCCTCCTGCACCTTGACAAAGAGCTTGGGGTAAAACGTCTCGAGCCACTTGTACTGCTGGGCGGTGCTGGCTGTGAATTTGAATTCCGGATACTTTTCCATCAGGCTCAGCTGAGTGGACCAGGACCGGGCGACCTTCTGCTGCGTGGCAGTAAATGGCCAGAGCCAGGCGCTGTCGATGTGTGTGTGGCCGATGCTCCAGAGCGCAAAGTCATCGCGGTCGCGGCGATTACCCTCGTCGTAGATCTTGGCTCCCTTGTCAGCCCATCCCTTTCCCAGGATCTCTTCGGCCAGCTTGCGGCATTCCTTGATCGTCGACAGGTCCGACTTTCGAAACGTGTCTTGGATCCTGTTGGCCACCCACAAGGCCTGTATGATTTCGCAACGTGCCGTCAGCAACAGCAGCGACACACAATCCCATTCATCCTTACTCGCCTTGTTCTGGAGTGGACCATCCCTGGGCATCTCATTGACGCAGCCTTGGAGAAGCTGAAAGTCCCAGAGGAGATGCCAGGCTTCGGGGCGCTTGACGACAATGTCCGCGGACCTCAGTTCAAAGTAGCGATCGGGGTCGGGGTCTCCCTCTTGGCGGTTCTCGACGCCAAAGAGGCCATTGCAGGTGACTTCGGCGTACAGAAGCACGCCCTTGCGCATCGACTTGGGCAAGGGAAAGTCGACACGGCGCTTGTCAAAGCCACCGGTGATGCCCTGGAGCGACAGGCCGTGCTCGTCGAAGATCATGGCCTGGCGTGGGGGAGAGCGCAGCTTTGTGAGTGGAGGGGCGCCGGCCACGGAGCTGAGACGACTCACCTCGCAGCTTGGATCGAATTCCAGCTCGACCCATTCCTTGTCGCGCCATTCCTTTGGCAAGTTGATGTGCAGCTTCAGCCAGTGGTTGGACCTGTGTGTGAGAAGCAGGGTAAAGACCACTTTTAGAAGAGAACAGGCAACAAGGCAAATGGGGTAGGTTGCAATGTACTCACCAGCTGGGGCCAAAAGTCTGACCCTTTTCTGCCTTTCTGTAGTCTTGCTTCTTGGCCTCGTCGAAGCTGGGCTTGGTGCCCGCTGGCGGGTCCCATCGCTCGAGACGAATGACATCCTTGTGGTCCGTCTTGCCCTCAAAGAGGACCGAGGAGAGGTTCCAGTTGGAGTACTGCCCTCCGATAAACTCACCCAGGCGACGCTCTTCGACACCGCGGATCGAAGGGCGTCGCACGGCGTGGCGAGCTTCCGTAGAGAGCAGGGGGTAAGCTGGCGGTGCCATGGTGGTGTGTAGAAGCGCCAGCGGGTGCGCGGTGGAGCTCCCGAACGGACCTCGAGCGACGTGGAATAAGGCTATGCACGGGCCCCCGCGCGCACGCGCGCCCCGCCTCATCAATGGTTCTGTCACGCACACACACAGAATCTCGTCTTAAGTCATGCACGAACGCATAGTCTAATTGCCCAATAGGAAGGAACCCCTTGATTATCGATAAATTTTTGTTTCATCAGGAAAGAGTAGAGATCAGCCCTCGTTCTCGAGCCTCTGTAGCTCCTCTTCGTCCAGAACGAGCTGCTGTTCTTTTTCCCTCTGGGCCCTCTTCTCTGCGCTTGCCTTCATCTGAGCCTGCTGGTTCTTGTTGACGGCAAATTGACGATCGCCTGTCGGGTTCGACAGGTCGGCGCCAAAGACTCGGAATGAGAGTGCACTCTTCTCTTGCTTGTCCAACATGAGGTTGACACTGGCTGCTGCGCGCCAAATGGGCACGGTGACGAGGCTGTCGAGCGTCTTTGTCTCACCGTCGAACGGGCTCGTCCATGTCCCTGGCATGACGTCCACGAGATGGCTGCCCATTCGCAAGTCCTTTTTCACGAGACTGAAAAAGCTGTCGGGCTTGTCGTCTTCCTCTGGCAGGCTCTCGAGGGTGGGGTAGTGGTGCGTAGCGAGATAGGCCAGGTCAGACATCTGGGCCTTCAGGATGTTGCTGGGCGCCATCAGCGGACGCAGGGCCAGGATGGCATCAGAGAGAATGCGCCACTTGCACTGTAGCTTCGGATCCCTGCCTCCTTCTTGTCTGCCAAACGCCTTGGTGCCCGCATTGATCAAGCGCATCTTGATGGGGTTTGCCGTTGGATGTGCACCCTTGCCTGGACCCCCTCCCGAGATCAATGCACGGATCGAGTTGCTTGTCAGGTAGACAGACCGCAGAGGTTGACCATCCTTGTTGCGCACCAGCAAGTTCCGGGGGTTGAACTTGTCGGTAAAGTGGAAGAAGTCAACGATTGAGTGGACCTGAGGATTCCTCTGCGAGACGTGGACAAGAGGGTCCTCGCGATAGGGCATCCCTCCAGAGTTGACGCCGTTGTCGTGGTTGCCCAATCGAGCCTTCTGTCGGTCCACCGCATGGTTGTCGGGTTTGACGTTGGTGTCTGGCCCGTCGGGGACCTCGTTCTCTGAATGCTCGCCCTCGGGCTTTTCCTCTGCCTCGTCCTCCTGCCCCATCTCCTCTGCTTGCGCCTCTGTCTCTACCTCTGCAGTTTCGCCATCCTGCTTGACCTTCTTCGCCGGAGCCTCGTCTTCCTCGGCTTCACCGTCGGGGCTGAGCGGTCGCTTCGCAGTGGACTCTGCCTCCTGCGCCTCTTGCGCCTCCCTCTCCGCATCCAACATGTCGAGGGCCCTCAACATGCCCACAGCCATGCCCTCGTTCTCCTCGGCATCGCCAGACGCTTTCTTCTCCAAGACGGTCACGAAGAAGCCTCCAGTGTTCTGGTCCTGCGGGACGATGCGCATGCAGTGCCGAATGCCGAGTTCCTCCTCGTCGCCCTGCGGCCACATTGTCTTGGACGTGCGCTCGGCCAGCGAGGGGTCGAGCTCTTGCAGACGCTGCCAAGACGAGACGTAGGGTACTTGGGGCAGCGTCGCTCTGTATGCGGCGCTTCCCGGCTCTGGCGCCGCTGCCTCCTCTTCTTCCGCCGCCGCCTCGCCATTCTCTGCGCCTTCGACCTCTACCTTCTTCCCTTTTGAGGAAGAAGAGGATGCATCGACGAATCGCCCACCTTCGAAGAGGTGCTTTCCCTTTCCCGGGCAGACTTTCCACGTCGCCAGGCCCCGTCTCCGCTTGAGGTCGGGCATGACGTCAGACTGATCGACAATGTGCACCGAGCCGGCGCACTCGCGCAGCGCGGCAGCCACCACCGCCTCGTTCTCGATCGGGTTGAGGCTGCACGTCGAGTACACCAGTCGACCGCCGGGGCGGAGCGAGTGCAGACCGCGCATGAGGATGCGCAGCTGCAGGTTATGCAGGTTCGACGCCGTGTTGGGGTGCCACTCCTTCCAGATCAGCAGGTTCTTTCGCAGTGTCCCGTCGCCCGAGCAGGGCACGTCGGCCAGGATCCTGTCGTAGCGCATCGTCCTTTCCTCGACCGCTGCCTCGGCTGCCTCGCTCTTCCACGAAACCTTGACCGAGGGCCAGTTGGACGCGTCGCAATTGGCCACGCAGAGGTTTGGTGAGGGAAGTCTCGAGGACTGGTGGACGAGCATGTGCGCCCGCTTGGCGTCAGAGTCGTTGGCGACGACAAAGCCCGGAGGGCACGGGTCAAAGGACTCTGGAGACGTCGTGAGGGGGCTGTGGAGAGCCTCGATGAGCTGTGCCGTCTTTGATCCTGGAGCAGCGCACATGTCGAGAACGATGTGGTGCTGCTGGACGTCGAGGAAGAGGGGCGGGATCATCGAGACTGTCTCCTGGCGCGAGATGTTGCCGACCTCGGTCTCGTGGACGAGGAAGTGCTGAAACTTCTTAAACTGCTCCGTCTTCCGCAAGACATTCTTGCGGACATCGATCTGCCAGCCAAGTCCCTCGGGATACCAGGGAAGCACCTTGGGGGCCGGAATCGTCTCTCCTTCATACTGGACGCCGGTCAAGAAGGGGAGGTAGGTCTCGTGCATCTGCCTGAGGAGGACCGACGTCGTCGACTTGCCCGAGGTGATGCGAAAGGACGTGGGCAGCGGATCCCTAAGCGTCTGTATGAAAGCGCCCCACTCTTCTGGCTCCACGATGCCCTGGTCGATGTAGTATGCCTCGCTGGTAATACGGGGCTTCAGCAAGGTGAGGGCATAGAGAGGACGCTGCTTCTCGACTCACAACTTCTTGTTGGTCTGGTCAAGCCCGCTCTGGATCCAGTTCTCATCTCTTGGCCGTGGTTCGCGCCGTCCAGCTCCCCTGCCTCTTCCGCGACCACGACCAGCACCTCTTCCTCCTCCTCTTCCTCCTCTGGCCATGTTGTATGTGTGCTGTACTAGACCGCTGCGAAGTGAATGAAGTCGGAGGAAGAATTGAGGGCCAAAGAAATTTTAAAAAAGAAAAAATTTAGTCACTGTCTCCCCTGGACTGACGGACACCGATTGCCACGTGCGCGGTATGACTTCTCCTTCTCAGCCCTCCTTCCACCCTGGTCCTACCGTGACGAACGGGCGAAGAAAAAGAGATAAAAGGTGAAAGGCATCATTTTTTGAATTGAGGAAGGGACCAGATGGATGAGAAGGGGTCTGACATTCTTGTCTCCGAAGAGCAAGTCGTATGGAGAGTTATCTTTAGGGGCAGAACGTGATCGTGTAGTCGCGCGAGCCCGACGAGCAGGTCCAGAGAGCTGTGGAACGGCGATTGCGTGAGTGCATGTTATAAATACTAGGGGAAGAGGCGGTCGAAACGGCCACTCACCCGTGCCGCTGCTCTCGTCGTAGGCGTAGGCGTAGCTGTTGGGGCAGTGGCTCTTGAAGTAGTTGCTGAAGTGGGTTGGAGCAATCAGTACGAGAAGAGAAGATGTTCATGTCATGGGTACTCACTACGACGGGATGTTCGAAGAGGGGCACGTAGCCGGGGTGTTGTGGGCACCTTTTGAAGGATATTAGAAAAGAGCAACTAGAGTGTAAAGATGGAAGACACCCACCAGCACAGCAGTAGTCATCGCGACCAGTAGCCAGGCAGCTCGACTTGCAGCCGACGACGGCGCCACCAGCGTCCTTAAGCTGAAGGTCGCCGGGGCACTGGCTGTTGAGGTCGAAGGGGCAGTTCTGGTCGAGGAGAGAGATGTTGAGAATGAGAGGCGAGCAAAGGAAAAGATATAGGAAGCTTCATACTCACAGCCGTGGGGCAACCGTTGGCCGTGATGGAGATGGGGAGGTTGGAGCCGTCGACGAGGCTCGAGTCGTAGTTGTCGACGTTCGAGGCCAGCGTGAACTCGGCAAGGGTCACGGGGGGAATACCGGGCTGGGTGCAGTGGAGACCACCGATGCAGCTACCGGTAGCGCACGACTGGACGTCCTGCTTGGAGAAGTCGCACTCAGTGCGGGCCCAGAACCTTCCGGCCGTCCACGCGTCAGGGACCGGGATCTGGCTCGTTCCCTGCGAGGCCAGCTCCCAGCCTCCCTGAGCAGCGTCACCACCAGGCACGCCATTGGCTGTGTTCCCCGTGTAAACCGCAGGCCAAATAGTAAACGGGCAATTGTTGTGGATGGTGAAGGTGCGGGCGAGGGCCTGGCTCGAGAAGAGCGCGGCGGCGAGGACAGCAAAAGACGGGGTGAAGTGCATGGTGCTAGGTGCGTGGAAGGGAGACAGAGAGAATCTGATGGGGGGATGATGATGGTGACGGAGCGCCCTTCTTATGTGTCTCGAGAAGGCCCCACATTCGTCCAAGCTGCCCTCGGCACGGGCTGCCTTCATCCTGCACCTGCGAGAAGAGCTGCTGAGCTGCGTAGCTTTTCGCTAGAAGCGCGCACCGGCGCCGCTACTGACAAAGAATGGTGAAGGGGTGCCAGCTCCATTGGTCGTCTGCATTGAAGCTTTACTCGGGCCGCTTGCAACAAACGTTCCTGGCGAGGTACGAACAAAGGGGGGGAGTGACGAAATGGTTTTTTGAATTTACGTCCTGAGGCGCTGCACCGACAACAACGGAGGCTCTTAGTTCCTGGCGACTCTGTAAGCAAGTTACTTCCGAAATGGCAAACGGGAAAATTGGGCGTCAATAGGCCATGTGCCTCACTCTCTTTCGCAGGCATGCGACCCTGTCATTGCCATGACGACCGTAGCGCGGATAAAAGCACAAGAGACGGTGTCCAAGGAAGAAGATTACCCTTCGGAGACCTCGCCGCTTTTGCAGACCCTCTCTAGCTCATCTGTGCAGCATCAAAGTACCCACACGTCTATCTCTATGCGACCTTCTAGAACGTCGTACGATGAGTGTGGGCCTCGCCGGCGTCACAGCCTTAGCGCAATTTTTCGGCTCTCTATATTAAAGGCCAGGAACTGACGATACGCTAGCGACTCCCACTCCAAGTTGGCCGTTCCTAGAGATTTCGCACTAATTTACGGTTTCGAAGAAGCCCAGAAACGGCCAACAACTTCCGAAGAAGACGCTCGTTGACCCTCTGAGCTGCCCTCCGGACGACGGACCTAAGATGCGCGGATCCAAGGCCGGTCGGTGGCCCACCAAGGCTTTTTTCCGGTTTGACAGCACACTATTTGTTTTAAAGGACCTCTACTTATGACGACTGCATCCTTATAGAAGGCTGAGCCTACTTTTGTTTTGCCAGGTGGGGCATTGCAGCGCCGAATCCCTGACAGCAAGTCAGTCAGCTTGAAGATGGAGGAGGGCTCGGATTGGACTCACTTGTGGAAGATGCCCGCCAGAAGGTTCACGTCGATTGTGTCATTGTGCTCGTGCTTGATGTCCACGATGTTTGTGAAGGTCATCCAGCCGTTTTCGAGGTCGTGCAGCCAGTCTTTGGAGGCTATGTTCTGACGGATGAGCTCTGAGTTCTTCCCAGCCTTGAAGACCGATGAAGCAGGTCACAAAGTCCTTCACACTCGTCGAAGGGAGGTGGGTTTCGGGCTTCAGTTGGCCGTTGACCTTTTGTCTGGCGAAGTCATGATAGGATCGCACGGGCGATCATCAAAAGTACGCGACATAGAAGCTCGCCACGACGACCTGCATCGAACTGGATGTCCTCCATCACTTCCATTAGAATCTTGAGGTTCTTGGTGAAGCGGAACTGCCGTTCCTTCGCATCTTTAGAGAGTTCTTCATCGAAAAGGGCACCAGCAGCAGCGATCGCAAGAATGGGCGCTCTGCTCGAGGAAGTTACGACAGACTGCTTTGTAGAGTTCAGTTTATCGATCCTGCGCATATGGCTTTCGACCCCTTTCCTAGCGAGTGCTTGGCATCGTTCCGTGCAGTTTCGAAGGTCAAACGAGAGCAACGCGGAGAATACGACGATCGCTTGATCGATTGCGATGTCCGTCTGGGAGTCACCCTTTAGAAGCTTGAACTTGGCCTGTTTCAATAGAGCTCCTTCCTGGTGCCACGTCTTCCAGAGGGAGCGGCCATAGTATCTCAAACATGCGATGCGCAACACATCACCGGCTTCGAAAGGGAGACCGGTGCTTGGTGGACAGACAGGGGAGGAAGACGGTTCCTGTCGATGCAATAAATCGTGCGATGAGCTGCTTGTGCCCTGCGAGAGTGGCACAGACGAGCCGCTTGGCGAAGGAGGGTCATCGCAATGTTGGGCGCTGCCAGATGCTGCCGCCTCGGCTTCGTCAAATCGCCATTGTTGAACAGCAGATTTGTACCTGAAACCCCTATTGGGCTCGGCAGGATATGCCGCTTGATTGGATGACCGCAAATTGACGACCGTACTTTTCTGCTTTTCGTAGGCAGCTTCGTGCAAGAATAGGTACCTCAGAAGGGCCTCCGAAGCCTTCCCCTCGAAGCGACCCTCGGCAGATGGGATAGCGGGGTCATCTGCAAGCGATTCGTTGTTTGCGTCTTCATCAGAGCAGGTTCGGATAACAAACTTGAGAAGTGTTGCTCACCCTCGGATACCCATGGCTGCAGTCGCAGTCGTAAGCTTGACCTGGCCATGGTTGCCAGGTACTTCTGGTCATTATCCACGGTCCTGGCTGACTGATGAAGTTTCGACCCTGAGTCGTGAATATGTCTGTGACGAGTTGTTTCGTCGACGTCCATGACAGAGGGTGAGGGGATTGGGATGAAGGATATGGGGATCGGGATGGAGGTCGATGGAGGTCGATGGAGGTCGATGGAGGTCGATGGAGGTCGATGGAGGTCGAGATTATGTAGAGGGAGGTGATGTAGATGGAGGGGATCTAGATGGAGGTGTCGAGAACGAGGGGATGGAGATGGAGAACCTACGTGGTGGTGAGGAGAAGAGCCCGTCTTCGTCGCTGTCTGCTCTTTATATAACCCTCTTACGCATCAAGCTACGACAATTGATGCCACTCTGCTTTGTCACTGTCGCTGACAGCACAGCGCTATTCACACAGCGGAGACTGTCCAGCCGGGCTTATCTCGATGCACGGGCAATACTGTGCCGTCCAGTTTAGATCTCGGCACCATCACCATCAATAGCAGGCTTCCGTCTTGTACTGTCTTCTGCAGCGCCCAGTAAGATCACGTCAAAGGTGGGCTGAATATTCCTCTGTCTCATCTGAGCAAGATAAGAGGGGTGCGCGACACACCTCTTGTTCCCTATTCGATCGTACGAGAAGAGAAGAGATTGGCTATGTCTCGCGGAGCGGAGTGCGGGCTTGTTCGAGTGCGACCTCCCCGAGCACCGGCCGAGGGCTGAGGAGGCCTGCCGTCCAACGTGCCGATGGGGGCTTGGCAAAGGATATCACGGACAGGAACGGCAATCTTGACAGACGGGCAGGGGATCCAGCGGCCAAGCCCGATCGTCTGTAGGTCATTACTATCATCGCAGATGGCGCAAAGATCGCGTCCAGTCATGCTCGCGGGCGGCAATAGAACGCGGCGCAGTCAAGCGTCAACAATAGAGAATTTGAGAAATGAGTATTAATATTCAGGCTGAAATGAAAAAAGGAAACTGAAACTAGTGCCAAAGAAAGAAAAAAGCCATCTCTATCTGACATCGTCTCCCAGGATCGTGACGAGAACAGCATGTTCGCTCCCTTAGAGCTCCTCATCGGTGAACACCTCCTCACCGCGCTTCCGCCGTGCGATACGGTCCTTCTTCGCCTTCCTGGCCTCTGCAGAAGTGAGCTTCTTCTTCTTCTCAGTCTTGGCAATCTTGTTGCCCATCGCGTCGAACTGGTCCTCCTCGTCGTCAGCCTTGGTGTCGATCTTGGTCTTGCCCTCCTTGCCAATGCTGTCCTCGGTCCAGTTGGCACCCGAGGCCTCGAGATGACCGTTGCTCATCTTCCAGCGCTCCTGCGCGGCGCTCTCCGAGAACTCGAGCGAGTGCGTGATGAAGCAGACACCGCCCTGGAAGTCCTTGAGCGAGGCAATGAGAGCGGCAAGCGACTCTCGGTCCAGGAAGTTGGTGGGCTCGTCGAGGATGATGATGTGCGGCCTTCGCCATGTGGCAGCAGCCAGCACGACCTTGACCTTCTGACCACCCGAAAGACCGGCCATGTGCGAGTGCGAAGTGAACTCGGGGTCGAGACCGAGCTGGGCAAAGTGCTGCTCAATCTCCTTCTTGACCAGGGGCCGGTTCATGCCGAGCTCCTGGGCAACGCGCGAGTCGACCTGCATGACCTTCTTCTCGAAACCACGGCTGATGAGGTCGTCACGCGACAGCCACTGGTTGTCGGCAGAAGAGTAATTCTTAAAGCTGACCTCGTACTGGAACGAGTTCTTGAGCTTCTTTCGCCCGACAATCTCGTCGATGAGGCGCTTGACACCCTCGACAATGACCACCTCTCCGTTCTTCATCTTCTCCTCGTCCTCCTTGGTGAGCTGGCGCGAGCCCTTCATCATCTCCTCGAGGTCCTCGCCGGTCTGGTACCGCCACAGCATGTACTCGAGCGGCGTCTTGTCGAGGTGCTGGTCAATGTGGTGGAACGCGTGCTGGGCAACGTAGCCAATGACCAGGTTGGGGTGCTTCCACACCTCACCCGAGTTGGGCTCGGTGTCACCGACAAGGAGCTTGACGAGCGTCGACTTGCCCGAGCCGTTGGGGCCGAGGACAGCGACACGGGACGAGAGCGAGAGCTGCATGGTGATGCCCTTGAGCTGAGGCTCGGGCGTGTTGGGGTATTGGAACATGACGTTTCGCATCTTGGCCAGCGACTTTTCCTTGGTCTTGACACCATCCAGGAGCGGGGGGTCGGGGAGCTTGAAGGAGTAGTCCTCGCCCGAGTTGAGCTCAGAGTAGCTCTTTGCCTCGGGGACGCGCTTGACAAAGGCGTCGAGGTTACCCGGATACCTCTTGATCTTGAAGCGGTTGAGGTGGAGGATGTCAGTGCAGGTGTCGTTGAGGAACTTGGAGTCGTGCGAGACGATGATCGACGTGGCCGTGGTGAGGCCAGTGAGGTAGTCGGTGATCCACTTGATGTTGACAACGTCAAGGTGGTTCGTCGGCTCGTCGAGGAGGAGAATGTCGGCCTTGAACAGGACGGCACGGGCCAGGGCCAGCTTCATCTTCCAGCCACCCGAGAGCGCAGCAATCGGCGAGCTCTGCTTGTGGGCGTCGAAGCCCATCTCGAGGAGGGTGCTAGCAGCCTCTTCCTTGGTGACGTTGAGGCGCTTGTCGGCAATGATGAAATCAAGGATAGAGATGTCTCCCTCGGAACCGTCGAGGTCGTGCTCGACGTACCAAGTTCGGACCTCGTCGGGCGAGGGGAAGCCCTCGACCTGGCCGTTTTGGATGGCACGCATCAGCGTAGACTTGCCCGAACCGTTTCGGCCGCAGAGACCGTATCGGTGGCCGCGCTTGAGGCGCAGGGTGGCCGTGTTGAGGAGAATCTTGGCACCGTAGGCAAGCGAGAACTGGCAGTTGCACAGGTCCTCGCCTTCCTCCTCGTCCTCAAACACCTCGGCCTCCTCACCAGTGCTCTTGGCAAGAGCCAGGAGGAGCTGCGAGATGACGCTCTTGACCTTGGCCTGCTCAGCACCCTTGAGGAGCGAAACATAGGGAACAAGGGTCGAGTCCCACTCGGTGCCCTCAAAGTCGCGCGCATTGGAGAGGTTGGTAACGAGCTGAGCGATGTAGGCAACGTGGGTCGATGGGCCCGAAAGGCCCTCCTTCTGGAGAGCCTCGGTGACCTTGGCAAGCGTCTGCTTGAAGTCGACGTCCTCGAGGGGCTTGACGACGGAGCCGTCACCCTCGACCTGACCGACTTCCCTGAGGGTCTTGATCGCCTTCTGGATGACGCCACGAGCCTCTGGGTCGGCCATGGTGCTCTCCATCTTGATGAGACCGGGGAGGAGCTTGGGAATGAACGGCCGGACCGTCCGCTCGTTGTCGACGAGCTTCGACATGTTGTCGATGATAACGGCAACCTTGCGCTTGATGGGCGTGGGCCTCTCCGAGATACCTCGCTGGAGCAGGGGCGACATGAGAGCCAATGTAGGCGAGTCGACCTCGGACACGAAGGTGGTGGCACCGAGCAAGTTGACGGTCTTTTGCACCTCCTCGACGGGGTGAATGAGCGAGTTGATGAGAGCAGGGATGAAGCGCTCAATGTCCTTGTTGCTGATGAGGTTGCACAGCTTCTTGAGCGCAGCGCGCGAAGCCTTCTGGACATCGGTCTTTGTGTCCCAGATGACCTCAGCCATGACGGGAATGATGTCAGGCATGGCGGCGGCCATGCGGTCCGGCGCAGCAACGACGAGCTCTTCGAGAGTGGCGACGCAGCCGGTCTTGACCTGCCACTTGCCGGCAGTCTTGGCCTGGTGGAGGAGCACCTTGAGAACCTGGGGGACTGCCCAGTTGCTCATGACCTGGACAAAGTTGCGCAGGGCGTCCTGCGCAGCCTGGCGAACGTTCTTCTCCTTGTCACCCATCGTCTCGACGAGGGCGTTGAGCACAGTCTCAAAGATGAAAGGCTCAACCTCGTGGCCGACGCCCTGCTCGCAGAGCGACGAGATGAGGGCGCAGGCACCCTCGCGGGCGGCGGCGTTCTTCTTGTCGCCGAGGCCCTTGGAGATGATGTCCTCGATGCCGAGGTCGAAAAGGCTCTGAGTGCCCTCGATCTTGACGAGGTTCACCAGCTCCTGGACGGCATCCTTGTCAGCCGACGAGAGGAGGCGGGCAGCCTCAAGCTTGACCTCCTTCTCCGAGACGGTGTTCTCGGTGTTGGCAGCAGCGGCGGCGTCCGAGTTCTTGAGGCCCTTGGCATTTGCGGGCACACTTGCAGGAACGCCAGCAGCGGAAACTCCGGTAGCAGCGGGAGCCATTTTTGCTGTTGTGATAAAAGAAGAGGACAGCGGTCAGCAAATGGTACATGGTCTCACGATGGGCGGTCCAACGCCACAGAGCGAGACCATCGACTTGACTCATCACGTCGACAGGCCGGCTCGCAGCCAAGGACACGCACATGTCATGTGTTTACACTCACACAGTGAGTTGTTGGTGATACAAGTCGTCTAGTTGAAGCAGTCGAAAGTCGTCACAAAAGTGAGAGTGACGACGGGAGGATCGTCTATGTGGCGAGGGATTCGCCTCTATGCGAGATGCTCCAAAAGGGTAGGAGCTCTAGGAAAAATGCGCCCTTTTTCGAGAGACCAAGGTAGCTTATGGTCGTTAGAAGGGATAGGGAGGGTGGTGGTGGTGGCGAGAGAAAGTTTGTTCGATTTGGCAATGCTTTCTTATAAACGAGGACGGGGACAGACGACGATGAGGGCGAGGGCGAGGGCGAAAGTTTTCAGAACGAGAAAATTTTTTAGGGCTTGACCGGTAATGCTGCCGCGAGCTTGAAAAAAAAATTTTGAGCTTTCGATTTCCAAGCGAGGGCTGCTCTAATTTGTTGTTCTCCATCCCTTTTAAAAACTGAAACTTTTGGGCTTCCTGACAAGTCTAAACAAAAAGTCACGGTCGCGGCGCCGTTCGGGCTATGTCCTCGAGCGCCCGCACGATTTGTACAACGTCAGCTCGATGCCCAGATCTGAGCTTCAATGTTTCCTTGCATCCCAGAGACTTCCCCGCAATGTTGTCTTTGCTCCGTCAACATTAATCAAGTCTAGATGAATATCATGATCTGTGTAGCAGAGCAGGGGGCTGTCGCGTCGGTGGCAAAAGAAGGAACGTGGACGCGTCGTCAGTAGTGTAGTAGTAGCGCGCGTCTCCTGGATCAGACGACCCCTGAAGCACCGGCACGACTACACGGATCTGGTCGGGTCGTTAGACCAGGACAGGCACTCTTTGCAACCTGATAAACATTCAAGACAATCTAGCTTGTCTGGGTCCAGCCCCTCTCCGTCCCAGCAAGTTTGGACCGGGAATGGGTAAACGATTGAAAGACTGTTCGCAAAAGTTCGAACTTTCGCCCAGACGAGTACTGTTATGCCGTCTTTCCCCATGCCTGAGTCCTGTCATCAGCCTTGCCACTCCCCGGATTCCAGCCTCCTTTTCCGATTGAAATCCCAATCGGGCCGACGAAACCCATTAATGAGTCGTTTCGAACTTCCTTTGCGGGGCTCCAGAAACCGGTCTCCCCTCTTCTCTCCTTCCCGGGTGGCAAATTGAATGATGTCGTCACGTGCCGCGTCGGTCATCGTGACAGAAGATTGTTCTTTGATTCCAATCTACTCGGCGCAGTCTGGGGACTGCACCGCGGAGATGACATACAGTCGAAGCTCAGCTGCTCGGATAGAACAACAGCCTGCTTTTTGGCGCACTGGACTGCCTCAAGGTCATATTTGTGCCACGTGCCTGACGATGTGAGAGAACAAAGGCGACACAGTGCTGTAGCCTCATCGGCGTCAGGCTCAGACGTCATCTACGGAGACACCCAGTCTTCTTGCCAGCGGTGAGCTGCCGAAGGCGCAGCCGTCATCGCACAGGTTTGTCACCATGCGCAGCAGTGCTGAAGCAGCCCAGCGAACGCTCATCCTCCGAATATCGTCGCGGCGCCGAGCTCAGTCGACGTGCGTGCCACGTGTCGTTTGCTCGGGACCACCGAAAAGCAGCCGCTTATTACGTCGCTGGTCTTCTTTGTAATTTCTTCGCAAGGCGCCGAATAAGAATTGGTAATCGGATGATTATCCATGGCTATCGAGGAGATCCTTTCCTTGTCGGCTCATAAATAGACGGCATGCTTCCCCCTTTCCAGCCTCTTGCATTTAGGTGCAACGACCCGTTTCTCGCATAACTCTTTCTCGTCTTCCTCGGCAACATGGAACTGCCTATTGCAGGCATTACGGCGTGGTGGAGGAACGTGCCACTCTACTACGCCATCCCCGCCCTAGCTCTCGCTCCGCCGGTTCTTCTTGTTACCGTTTTGGTCACTTACGTTTCGATTGTGATCCCGTTGCGCCTATTCAAGGAATATGTCCTTCACAATGCCACGTACCGCAACGTCCCAGCCCCGCGCCATGCTAGCCGCTGGTTCCCATTGTGAGCCGAGCATCTTGGCCTTTGCTGACCAGCTGAACGTCGGGCTGACCTGTGTGCATCCAGCTTTGGCGACTTGAACCTCATTCGGGAGATGCCGCCCTTCGACGCGCACCTCAAGTGGATCCAGGAACTCGGCTCCAAGGTAATTACGTACCGAGGCATGTTTTACGCCGAGCGCATCTATCTGGCCGACGCACGAGCCATGAACCACGTCCTGGGCCCTGCCAACAGCTACTCGTACCCCAAGCCCGACAACACGCGTCGGTTCCTCTCCGAACTCCTCGGCCATGGCGTCCTCGTCAGCGAAGGGGACGAGCACAAGCGCCAGCGAAAGATCTTGCAGCCTGCCTTCAACGTGTCTGCCATTCGAGGCCTGACACCCACGTTTTTCAAGCACGCCAACAAGCTCGTCGATCGGCTGGGCGAATTCGTTGACAAGACGGAGGGGCCAGCCGAAGAGCCGTTTATCCCCGGCCAGAGCGCCATGTCGGCAAAAGTGTCACAAAAGGGCAAGCCCGTTTTTGACATTTCACACTGGACCTCCAAGACGACGCTCGAGTGAGTCGAGGCGCCCATTGGCAGCCCACCGGTCTGGAAGCCTTGTCACGCGTACTCATCCACTTTTCTTGACAGCATCATCGGCGAAACGGGCTTTGACCACGACTTCAAGACAATCAACTCGGGCGAAGGCGAGGGCGACGACGAGCTTGCGCAGGCGTTCAACACGCTCATGAGGCAGACTGGCAACCTGAACATTTGGCAGATTATCCAGTTCGGCCTCCAGTCGATTCCGGGCTTCTGGTGGCTCCGCATGCTTCCTACTCGCCGACGCAGGCTCATCCTTGACACCTATAAGATTCTCGAGAAAAAGTCCAATGAGCTCGTCGATGCCAAGCGCGCCGAAATTGCCGCAGACATGAAGGGCGCGATGCAACAGGACTCTAAGGCCTACCTTGAGGACATGGGCAAGGGCAAAGACATCCTCTATCTCATGATGAGGGCCAGTGAGTTCTTGTACTCCTACATCTTCCCTCGACATTGTCGCTGACCTCGCCACTAGACATGGCCACTGACATATCGCCATCGGAGAGGCTGGCCGACGACCAGCTCGTCGGACAAATTACCACCTTTATCTTTGCCGGACACGAGACAACGAGCACCCTGACGCAGTGGGCCCTACACGTTCTCTCGCTTTCAGAGAACAAGCACATCCAGGATAAGCTCCGTGCCGAGCTCGAGGAGAACTTTGCCGGACGCGACGAGATCCCCTACGACTCACTGATGGCCATTCCTTACCTCGACAACTTTACCAAGGAACTCATGCGGCGGCACTCGCCTGTCGGCTCGACCACGCGCGAGGCGCAAAAGGACGATGTGATTCCACTCTCCAAGCCTTACCCGACAAGGGACGGCAAGGGCACGTTCAACAGCGTCGTGGTGAAGAAGGGATCCGAGGTCATGATTCCCATCCAGGTCCTCAATCGCAGCGAGGACGTCTGGGGCCCCACCGCTCACGACTTCAATCCCGATAGATGGGATGATATTCCCGCCACGGCAAAGGAGAGCGGTCTGCCCTCGCACATGCTCACCTTCATCGCCGGTCCTCGGAGCTGCATCGGCAACCGTTTCTCCATTGCCGAGTTCAAGGTCCTCATCTCTGCACTCGTGCGCGCCTTCCGCATAGAGGCCGTCGAGGGCTGGGAGATTGAGCCCAAGCAGGGCATCGTCGTCCGCACTCGAATCGTCGGTCAAGAAGACCTCGGCCTGCAGATGCCATTGCGCTTTTCCAGGATCTGATCGCTTTTCATCACATCACATAACTACTACACTACCACTGCTGTATATTTCACGATTGTCGTCGCTCGGACCACCTGCACGGACCTCTTGCTTTCAATTCATTTTTCCCGTAGCCTAAATTTTGCCACACCCAACTAGTGCGGCCCAACAGCCGCGTCTGTCTCCCCTGCCCGTTATGGTGTCCTGTGGCGATGGTGGAGTTCCACGATGCGGGGCCCTTGGGAATCGGAGCCTTTCCTTGCTCAGGTAGAAACTGCGCTGTTTGTGGCGGCTCGAATTCGTCTCTGCCTCCGCGCTCGCAGCATGGAGTTGAAAGTGATGCAATATTTGTCCCCTCCGTTGAAAGCCCTTCCCCTTCTCGACAAATAGATCTCTGGAACGATGGAAGAAGATGGAACTCTTGACTAGGCCTTTTCTTTTCTTCTCATACAACAGGCAGGGCGAGGTTGCGCACGGAAGTTCGAAATTTGCCTGCGCTCGCCTCGCTTGCTGCTTCGCGCAAGATGAGGAGCGCAACGCGCTTTAGATAGGGCAGGCATGCCTGCAGCAGCACCTTTTTTCGAAACTTTTAAACTTTCATTCACGCATGTCAGGCTTGCGAATTTTTGGCCCTGGCCTCCATTTTCACGTTCACTATCACCGGTACCTGTAGAGCCTACCCTCCTCGCACGGCATCATATATAAAAGTGATCAAGGGGGTGTTTCCTCCCGGATCGTTCATCACCTGCGATCATCGCTCTTTCTCCCATTCTCCATTTCCTCCTCCCACCCTCACTCTTGTCCAAAAGAAAATAATAGGTGAGTCAAGAGATCGCGGATCGTTATCGGCATAATTCTGTTGGGTGGCTGCATTAGCGTGGCGATATCTATCTTCACTGGTTCAAGCCCTCTCTTCCGCGCGGATCGTGGCTTCAGGGTCAATTCACCGCCCCCTTCGACTCTTCTGTCGAACGGGAAGGGGAAGTGTACCAAGAGGGGACGGGGGCCCGTGCTACAAACTTTACAGCTCTGGAACACTGAGGGCGGGCCCTCGCACACGGGATTGAGGCGGGGGGAGTTTCCCCATTCTGTCGGCGGGGAAACTATGCGCGCATTGGGCCCTTCCGGACTGGAACGTGATTCGATATACACTGGACTCCGGTACTGACTTCGTATCTTTGCTATCTCTCTACCTTCCCACACCTTTTCGCTCTTTCGACCGCAAAGACATGGCTGCCACTGCACCTGCCAACACTGGCGCTTCGACGTCCAAGTCGCCCGCTCCCTACGGCGAGGCTTTCAACCGCATCACGTCGGTCCCTCTCGTCTCTCAGACGCTCAACCTGGCGCACCAGACGCTCGAGTCTCACTCGCTCCTCGCTCAGCCTTACCACTTTGGCGGCAACGTCGTCTCGTCGTCCCTCAAGGCTGCCGAGCCTGTCACGACGCGCATTCAGCCCCAGCTGGCGCTCCTCGACGACTACGCCGTCAAGAGCCTGAACTTCGCCGAGTCCAAGTGGTCTTACCCCTTCCACGCCACCACCGATGACGTCTACAAGAACGCGCGCGCCCCCGCCGACCAGGCCATTGCTCTGCTCCACGCCTACTACGACGCCGTTCAGAAGACCTACGCCGAGCGGGTCGTCAACCCGGCAAAGGGCCTCTACGACGCGCGAGTGGCACCCGTGTACAACCAGGCCAACACGCAGTTCCAGGAGTTGACCAAGCAGAACCAGTACCTGCAGCGCGCCACGGAGATTGTCTCAAACCTGCAGACGAACCTCGCCAAGACCATCGACTCGATCTCGTCGCGAGGCAAGGCCGACGGTGAGCAGGCTGTCCAGAAGGCTCAGGGCCTCTCCAATGCCATCTTTGCCGAGCTCGAGCGTGTTCGTGGCTACGCTACGGCGCTCCCCGCGGAGTCCCGCAAGCGCGTCGAGCCGGTTCTCCAGACGTTCAACGAGACGTTCGACAAGCTCAACAAGGAGGCCCGTGACACCTCGGTGCCTGCCTTTGAGCGCTTCCGCAAGGTTCTTTCCTTCGTCCGCGAGCAGAGTCTGCCTGCCCTGCAGAAGGTGAGCTCGGAGATCCACGAAGTGAGATTGAACTTGCGTCAGTCTCCTTGTCATCGCTCGGTCTTGCTGACATCCTCATCTCCACACTAGGCCATTGTCAACCCGCCCAGCAGCACCCCTACGCCGGCTGCTAAGTAAATGCTGGAGCTTGACCCTTTCGCCTCGGCGACATACCCCCACCGCTCGCTCCAACGAGACGACGCCGTCGCGAATCTCGTTTCCTTGACTCTTATCACTTCGTCCCCTTCCCAAGACAACACCAAAATTGTCATTCCGAGATTAGTACGCCCCGCTGTCTACTGTAGTGACTCTCTGTTTGTTGTCTCTTCTCTTTGACGAAATCTACTTGTCACATTCTCCGCTGCCTGTCACTGCCTGTCACTGCCTACCACTGCCTACCACTGCCTACCACTGCCTACCAC